AGGGCGGACTCACACAAAATCCTCACGTGGTAGGTATATGGTGAGTTGCCGAACCCGGTAGCCTAATCGGGAGCGATATTAGTTAGTTCGCCGACATCTGTAGTTATCTTGCGTAAGTTATACCTTCATATTCCCTAATAATAAGTATGATCATACTAATATCTAATTTTCTCTAAGTCAAAAATATCCCTCCTTTAAACAGCAGTAGGGTGAGGATTTCCATCGGGATCATGTTCCAAGAGCAGCGGTAACCCCTTATCAGCATCGCATTCGGGGACCTGCTCCCCCACAAGTAGCTCCAATTATTACCTCAAACAAGCTACCAATGACTACAATTCGTCGAAGTCCTGGTCGTGGTGATGAATATGATGGTCTTGATGATAATGCCTTTCGTCAACTTATGGCGACTGAAGCCCTAATACAACAAGTAACATATGATCGGTTAACGGTCGCATTTCACGCTTAGGAGCCAGCCCTACAAAATAATTGGACAGCTTTATTATAGATGTCGCTCGTTACTGAGAACGGTGCTCGAGTTCTTACTGCAGTAAAAGGGAATTGGAGTTTACTGCAGTAGAAAGGAGTTGGTGAGCTTCAACAAACCACTACTCAACACCGTAGACAAACCACCAAGTGTAGTGGTCTCTACAGTACTGAATATTGTGGTTGTTGTGAAGTCTGCTTTTTCATTGATGAAAGAACTAGCTACTTATAGTACATGGGCGCCCCTCTGCTCTGGACGAATGTTGACATTCGTCCGAGACAGAAGAGACGGTGAAGACGGGACATTACTGTCGCGAATGCGCATCGCTCAAGGGTGTCGTTTGCGATGAATGCATATCGTTCAAGGATGCCGTGATATACTAATCCAGTTCCGGAGTCGCTGTCTCGGCAGAAGCTTTTTCGGCCGAAATACTTTTCGTCTGTTGATGGCCTTGTTTCTCGGCTGTCGCAACAATAGACAAATCAAGCAACTGCTCCATCTCTTGATAGCGTCCGTCCTGCTATAGCTAGTATTTTATGGAATGCTTATGCTGAGGCTTATCTTACACTTCATGGTGTTCGACCACTACTACTAGAAGCTCGACCACTAACTCGAGCACAACGTCGGCGTCAAGCACAACGTCGACGTGAAAGACAAGCTGCTCGTGTTTGTGGTGGCGCCCCTCCACCTAGCGATGATAGTAGTAGTGGTGGTGATAATGGCGCCCTTCCACCTAGCGATAGTGGTGGTGGTGGTGATGCTGGTGAAGGTAGTTCTAGTTAATGTTAAGTTATTAGTATCAAATTTTGAATGTTTGAATTTTAATTATAGATGGTATTGATTAAAACAACAAAAATTACATGCATTATAATGTATAATTAGCTAAGTAAACTAGCTCTATTTTAGACTAGCGTAAGGCATTATTAAGGCATTAAGGCAACTAAAATACCCATATGGGGTTGGGTTGGGTATGGGTATGGGTTTACCTTACCCCTGATGGGTTGGGTATGGGTATGAATTTCGACCCATAACCCATGCACATGTCTAGTTGAGCTAGTACCTAAGATATCTTTCTGCTGTCTTAGTCGGCTGCATAGTCGCTCTATGTAAGTATAGTAGGAGCTGTTGTGTGTTCCGATCTTGCTGGTGGTCTTTTGGGTTGCGAAAGTATATCAATGCATACTTTTTTGGGTCAAAAACTGAGGCATGGCGCTTAGCCCATTGATCGGCCTTACCGCATACCTGTTGGAGCTTGCGTAGGTTGTCCTATATTGAACTTCCAACCACGATATATCCCACATCGTCCACCCACCCTGCTGGGTCGATATCCCTATTACCTAGTTCAAGTAAATCTGCATTATATAGGAGGTATAGGATTGGGATAGTGGAGACCCTTGTGGAATGCCTGTAGGTGTTGCGATACGTTCGGAAATTCCTTCGGGGAGACGGATACGTGTTGAACGGCTTATTAGAAGTGCCTGGACCTATGGGCCTAGGGCACCTAGGCGTCGCTTGCGTAGGTTATGTATCAATCGCTGGTGTGATATATTATCATATGCGCCTAAGACATCTAGCATAAGCATTGAAACCACGCGTTTCCTGCCCTATGTAGTAATGACCCGATCAAGGATTCGCTGTATTGCATGGTCTGTGGAGATTCCTTTTCGGCCTCCGAGGTGTCCCTTTGGGAGTAATTAGTGTCGCTCTACTAGGTAGCTGATCCTGCGCGCTATAATAGATTCTAGGAACTTCGCCACAGTGTTGAGAAGGGCGACTGGACGGTACGACTTAGGTAGTTGGAGGTCCCGTCCCCCCGCCTTACGAAGCACAACTGTTATTGACTTCTGGAAGTGGGACGGGTTATATCCTGTGCGCACACATGCGTTATAGAGTTGTTTTAGTGCTTCCACGACCACTAAGCTTGTCCCAGGGATTGTGATTAATTTGTGCCAAAATGAATTTGGAATGCCGTCTTCGCCGGGAGCTTTATCCGCTGGGGCGTCTTGGATCGCTTGTACGATTTCGTGGCATTTGATTGGATCAACTGGGAGCTGTGTAGGGTATTCGAAGCTTCTGATATGCTCTCCGTAGGGTGTACCAAGCAGTAGTCATCCCACAGATGTTCTTTGGAATATCAGCATGGTTCTGCCCCGAAGCGAAGACTATCCCGGCCACCCAACAAAATAGACTAATCAACGAATTCGTCAAAATACAGAAACGGGCCGCGATTATGATAGGAGGAGCCTTCAAGAGCATGTCCGCTGCGGCTCTTGACGTGGAACTCTATCTCCTTCCAATACGACTTCAGATGGGACAAATCATGGAGGAAACAGCCATAAGGATCCAAACAGGACCTAAATGGGCGAGACCACCATGCCTAAGCAAAGAAAGGTCGAAAAAGGAGGTCAAGCTTTCCGGTTACAGCCCACTAGAAGCCCTCAGATGGAAGAGGAATGCAGTCCTCAGCCCAGGACAACACCAATGGGAATCAAAAAGGGCATTTGTGATCGCCCCGTGGGAACAAAAGATAAAGGGAATCATTCATAACTATGACCTGGCCCAGCAGGAACATAATGAAATTGATACTAGGGCGACCCTAGCAAGGCTTGACAAATTACCACTCCTAACCCTCTACACAGACGGAAGCGGAAAAGGGGGATAAGTTGGGGCTGCCTCTACCAACACTCTAGAGGGAATTGATGATAGGAGGTACCTCGGTGACAGCCAGTCGACCACAGTCTATATGGCCGAACTCCATGGTATCGAAATGGCTCTCCAGAAATTTCGGAAACTAGTCACGCAAAAGACCTTGCAAGAGACCTTGCAAGATCTAAGAAGATTTCGAGCGAAGGAAGGTGGTCCAGACCCTCCAGAGCTCATCATCTTCTTAGACAACCAAGCAGCGATCCAGGCGCTACAGAACCCCCAGCGCCCATCAGGACAATACGTGATCTACTCAATATACCAGCACGTACAAGCCATTAGGGCGTGCACACCAGCGAAAATAACGATCTAATGGATCCCGGCTCACGCGGAAATCAGAGGAAACGAAGACGCTGATCAAGCCGCGAAGGAGACTGTAGTTGATTCAAAGTTTGGCAATTCGAAGGCGGAAATCTTCCGATTGGCTGCCGCTGCCCGTAGCGGGGTACGCGCCAAATTCAAAGAACGGTGGGCAAAACAGTGGGCGAGAGAACGCACAGCAAGGCCGACACGGCGGCTAGTAGAGGCGCCGACGAAGAAGGTGCTACGACTCTATGAAGGAATATCGAGGCCATATGCGTCGATCATCATCCAAATGCGATCGTTGCGCATTGGCCTCCGCCACTAGCTTTATAAGATCAATGAGATCGATTCTGATCGGTGCAGCTACAACGAAGGATCGCAGACTCCGACGCACATCCTTCTATAGTGCCCGCTATTCGCCGATCAGAGGATATGGCTTAGGAGAAAAACCAGTGCAACTAATCTTGATGCTGAGAAGCATTCGGACTAGGATGCGCTAATATCCCACCCACAGGCGATCCGCTACATCGCGAACTTTATGCACCAAACAGGCCTGCTGGGCCAGTTCCGGCATGTTGAAATTAAGCCGGACCCGGACCAGGATGGCCACGAATCTATAGGCCTAGCGGCCATAGGCGTAGGAGGGGAAGACGATGGGTAACGACACCATGAAAAACCTGGACACCGAGCATCTAGGCCACGACATCAAAAATACACCATGAACAAGATCAACGAAGGGGAGCGGAAGAATATGCCAACTGGGGAGAGAATACGAAGATTCTACAGAAGTTTGGCACCGGGAGAAGGAATGTGGGATTTGGAATTTACTTGTTGGACAGCAGTCCTATTTCTTTTATATTTGATTTCTAAATGGCGTTGGGCATAAGTTCCTGCTTCGGACGGTTGAAGCGCCTGCATAGCATATACGCGACTAGCATAGCTCAATCGGGTTAATAGAACTTTGAATTGAATTAAATTGAATTGAATTGAAGCTTCTGATATCTGCCATATCTGCTTAAATGTTAGTCCTAATGGTTGCTATACAAGACTTTATTATTGTTAGGCTAGCTAGATTTATATTTTTTGGCTTCGTCGAGTCATGATAAAGAGAAATTCATTTTGTTATCAACATTCGAAATGCGGTGTAGTCTTAAATAGCTTACTAACACCAATATTTAACTAAAACACTACGCTATTTTAACTGCTGAGATCTCCACTATCATTATAGATACCAAGGTATAGATAGCTGTATTGTAACAGGCTGGTGCCTGCTTTAGCATTCATGCCTGTGCCACTCATGCTCGTCACGTGCCACCCGCACCCGCATCCCTTATATTGCCACATGTCCATAGCTAGTCTCTCTCTTCTCTTCAAGCTTAATAAAGACAGTTTGTCGGCATCACTAGTTCTGCATTCAAGATTAGTATTAGCCCTTCACATTTATTAAGCTTCCTTTTCGATTCGGTTCCGGTTCTTTTTCGAGAAGTACACGAACCGCCAGTTTTCCACGATGGACCAGACCAACCTTTTAGCTCTTGTGCAGCAGATACAGCAGCAGCTTTCAGACCAGCAAAACCAGTTATTAGCGATCGCTTCGCAACAGAACCAGAACCAGCATTACCATCTTCCTGACCCACCCCGATTTGACGGCAAGCCCTTCACACTACGTACATGGCTCCCAGCAATACAAGCCAAGTTAGAGGCCGATGGCCTTACAGGACGACAAGCATTCAACTATATCTATAATCGCCTAGAACCACCTCAACAAGCATCAGTGTTACATCTTCAAGATAAAGCCAACCCCGATCAGATCTTCCAGTACTTTCAGCGTCTATGCTATAACCCCCGCGAGAAACAAGAGAATATTCTTCGATTCGCCAATATCCGGCAGAGAGATGATGAAAGCCTCATCGCCTATCTAGCTAGATTTGAACGCCTTTCGCATGAAGCAAGTATAGGTCTCGTGGACCAGGCGCTTTTCGCGATAACCACACTTCACCGTGGACTCCGTCGCCCTCTTCGCGAGACCCTCGAACAAGTTAGCGATTCGCTATTTAGCCTTTCGTATGAAGCTTATATCGAGTTTTTACAACGATACGACCGTCGCCAGCCAAGATTCCAGACCCAGCCAGAACCCAGAAATCAGCCAAATTTCCAGAAGAAACCCCAGAACCAGTCCCAGAACCAGTCCCAGAACCAGCCTACCTCTAGTCAATTCATAAACCAACTCGAACCAATGGACTTATCAGTCAACACTACTAAGACCCGCCCGATTTCACCAAGCAACCAAGTAAGGATAAGAACAGCTCAGATCCAACCATACATCGTCCCCGAGAGACAGGCCCAAGAACGTGCCCAAGTACGCCACGATACGCGACAGTTCCTAGGTCTATGTTATTATTGCGGTTCCGAAACACATTATATAAAGGATTGCCATTTAACTAGCCCACGATCCAGCCGTTCACCAACCCCAACCCGCTCTAGAACTCCAGCTTACATCGCCTCCGACGACGACGACCCATAGGAGGGGGCTATTGTAACAGGCTGGTGCCTGCTTTAGCATTCATGCCTGTGCCACTCATGCTCGTCACGTGCCACCCGCACCCGCATCCCTTATATTGCCACATGTCCATAGCTAGTCTCTCTCTTCTCTTCAAGCTTAATAAAGACAGTTTGTCGGCATCACTAGTTCTGCATTCAAGATTAGTATTAGCCCTTCACATGTATAATATATATCCATGTAAGTCGATGGATGACAGGAGAACAAGAATGCATTAAGTAATACTATAATACCCTCTTCCTCCAGCTTTTACATACAGCAGCTAATCTGCGTGATATAGACTTAATTAGGCTATGGATCGTCTCCTGCGGAGTTTCCTAAGCATCGCGGATATGGACCTTAAAGAGGCCCAATCAGCTTATATTTTCACTTATTTCTACTGACTTGGGTGTAACGGGTTGATACCCGATGAAATGCTCACTCTCTGGAGAGACTGCGCTCCTGGCATCTGTGCGGAGCCGAACGAGCTATAAGAACACCCGGTCCCCAGGACCCATTTCCCCCCCTTAGTTAATTCTTCTTGTTTACCAATCGGATCTTTACAGCGTACAAATTCCTGCATTCATCCCGTAACATTGGGATACATCCTTAGTTTACGCTTTAAAAGCCACATCACTATATTTCTTGTATACATTCAGAGATTCACGCTCAAAATGATAGGACATTGCTATTCCAACGCCTCATGCCTTACCCGTCAGGCATCAAAGCTATAATTAGGCACTACTTTAGCAATTATTAGTCATCATAAATTCTGCCAGGATTGGATTTTCCAAGGAATTATGTCAGCCATCCTAGTTTTCAGGGAATTGGTAGGGACACAACAAAACAGTTACATAAGCAATTCCCCCATCAAAAAGAAACAGCCCTAGTTATTTACATTTTCCGCGGCATCTTACATGTCCTAATAGTGTGCCCGATTTCTCTGCAAATTGAACACCTTGAATGTGCTTTTTTAGGCTTTTGAGCCACTATAATGCCCCCTGGAGTTGGTTTTTTCTTTGGTGGTGGAACTAAAGGCTCCAGTAGCTATTTCCAAGCTATTTCCTCCTGAAAGCCAATTCTCCAAAAAGGATGGATATCAGTGAGAGGAATTGGCTGGTTTCTCTCTAGTAAGCCTTTAATCCGATGCGCACAATGTAGGTTATCGTTGACCATCATTATATGGATTATATGATAGTAAATCCTTAATGATTAGCTTTAAGTTAATACTACCAATATGATTCTAAATATCTTCTGAACCACCTAAGCTACCCCGATAGATATTCTATTTCTTACTAGCTTCATTCTTTTCACCATATTTATTCTACATATATCGATTATGCGGGGATGTGTAGTATCTCAGATACACTATGATGTGGGGATAAATGAAACTTCGCTATAAGCATCAGATTTTACTAAAAAGAATTAACTAAGAAGTTATATAATATCTCGTTTGCCTATATTATAAATATATTCATATATGATAACAATCCTGATTTACAAATTTTAGCTTCAGTCAAAGACTATAGGGGCATATATAGTTATACTATATTCTACTTGCCAAATTCCAGTCTCTATTATTTATAATGATAGTACATAATTTACAATATATAGTATTAATAAAAGACTATATCATCTGTTATGATGAAGATTACTAAAACAAATAAATATTATCTGTAAGGATAAAGATTATATTTTTAGTTAATCTCTCTATAGTTACCGAGATATATTCTATCTCAGCAATTATTAAGATCTAGCATAGAAATATTATTATGTATAACCAATGTTTGTACTCATCTCCCAGCACTTCGAAAAGGTCATTACGATTTCCACTTAGACCGTCAATCTAAACATCGACATAAAGATATTGTACGGGTACCTTAAAATATAAATAGAATTAATAAATAGTTTATCTTCCATACAAAGCTACTGGTCTTTCGCACACTCCAGGCTATATAGTGCTTCAAGTTATTAAAGCCTCCAGCATTTTCAAAATACCTGGCTCTCCGGGACTGCCGTGGAGGCGGTCAATATAGAATCATGCTCAATTCCATGCTAAGTTCTGTACTTAAAAGCATACTTAATACATTTTTTATAGGTTGTTTAGGTTTGAGGCTCGCTGATCCTAATTCAGGGTGCGTAGGCTTGAAATCGTTCGCTACTACTGTGAGCTCCCTACTAGAAACAAATGAGCATGGAATAGAGCATAGAATGAGGTATAAAATTGAGTATAGAATTAAGTATAGAATGGAATATGGAATTAAATACTTTGAATTAGCTATCTAGGGTAAAGACTTAAAGTAAATCACATATGAGCGGCGCACACAACTATGTGGCGCACCTAAAACACCATAGTAAAATCTAATAAATTAAATATCATATCTCAACAACCATGGCTCTCATAAGAATCAATACTGGGTGAGATATAATAATAAGAAATCTTATAAAGATCTCAGTCATTTCAAGTCAGTTAATTAGATGGATTATAAGTGATACCATAAATTACGATTTAATTTATTTATCTTAGCTTTAACTACACTTTAATTGACAATTTTTATTTCTTTCTTCTATATTTTTATTTTATCAATTATAAATGATCCAAATTCAAGAGTTGAAGTCATTACAACGGGTGGTTCGAGTTTACTATGGTGTCCTGGGTGCGCCACTCGCATGTGTGCGCCGCCCGTATGTGATTTACTTTAATTGCCGTAGTATTTAATTATATAGGATTTCTTCTAGTTATAGATATTTATAGATAACTATTTAGTCCAATTTAAAACCAATAAAATATCCTCTAAGATTAGCAATAGTCCTTAGTTTATATTTGTTACGAATGAATCTCCTAGGATAAAAGCTTTATAAATAGATTATAGCTCTATATTTCCACTCTTATATTAGTATATTAGTATTTTAGGATAAGTGGTGTATTCGATATTATTAAAATTGAAGACTGACTTTACCTATTTTAGAGACTCCCATTTTCGTTGAATAACTTTATTAATCTTTATTATCTTTATTATATTTAGCTATAGGATCTATAGCTCTTTTCTTGGTATATATAATTAGCACTCTTTGTAATTTGCTCTAAGGCTATTTATTTTACATGGGATACAGGGCTTTGTGTTAAGGGTAGCGCTTGCGCTCACTTCCTGCACGTAGTCTAAAAGACCATTATGTTATTCTAAGAGGAATAACATGTGCAAGCCCCACTTATATATTAATCCAATCCTACACTAAACATCAACCTGGATACAAGTTTTTGTCCGGCGATCAACCTATGACACTTTGCGAAACTGTGAGCTTTATGCTGTCGGCATAGATATTTCTAGTTTTCTATGTTATTGCAACCGATTGGTTGACTTGAATCGGGTAGTGGTAGCGGTGGTGATGATGTACGAAGTGAGATAGCTTCGAGAGCAGTCAACCCCAGTCAATCGGGATGAAAAGGTGTAGCAGCGAATACATTAGAAGTAGATCCAATAGCTTCTAAGCGTGCAGTTGGGTAAATTGAATGTATGCGCCACTTCGAATTGAACAAGCAAGAATATGATCGTCTCAAGACCGCAAAACAATCCACATTAAGCGTCGTAAAAAGTGGGATAAATAAGCAGGTATGTAAACTAGTATAATGTTCGTTTCATTTAAAACTTTTATCAAAAATGGCTACAGCCTACCATGACCATATAACCCTAAAAGACGATATTTGCCTTTTATATAAGAAGTAATAGCAGTGATAAAGAGCTTTTGAAGGTATCGAAGCCCTATTTTATCTAATATATTGTTGCGACAGCCGAGAAACAAGGCCATCAACATACGGAAAGTATTTCGGCCGAAATGCTTCTGCCATGGCAGTGACTCCCGGTTCGGAATAACCACTCAGAGGAACTAGGTTAGTATATCACGGCATCCTTGAATGATATGCATTCATCGCAAAGATACCCTTGAGCGATGTGCATTCGTGACAGTAATGTCCCGTCTTCACCGTCTCTTCTGTCTCGGACGAATGTTTACGCTCGTTAAGGACAGAGGAGCACCCATATACTATAAGTAGCTAGTTCTCTCATTAATGAAAAAGCAGACTTCACAATAACCACGATATTCAGTACTGTAGAGACCACTAACTACACTTGGTGGTTTGTCTACGGTGTTGAGTAGTAGTTAGTTGAAACTCACCAACTTTTTGATTCTACTGCAGTAAACTCCATATCATCTTACTGCAGTAAAACCTCGTTCTCAGTTATCGGCGACTAGCTAGCTACGCCCGCTAAATCGAGCGACATATATAGCTATTTGTGTGATATTTCTAAAGATAAACTTCTGTTCAGTACCAGCTACGCACAAGGCTGTTTACAAAATCCTTGAAGAAAAGTAAGAGAGCCGGCTGTGATCTTGAGATGAGACGTTTTCCGTAGGCGGCGAGGAGAGTTGGGAGTTTGAGTACAAAAACTCAATGTCGTAGTTTGGATATGGGCACCAAATAATGTATTTAAAATTAATCCACTCACGTATTGTAAATGGCCACTGAATCTTCATTTATTCAATTTAATTCAATTAACGTCTATATAGCCATCCATATGTGGTCGTGGTTGTTTGGTTATTTATGGTCACAAAGGAATTCCGGAGGCCTTTTGGAAATTAGAATTTGACGAGAGTGTGATAATTCGAATACGTTGCTAAATATTACCTGTTGCTGTTCAAACAAAGTACATGTAGAAAAGTAATCGAACATCAGGAATAAATTAAATCCGAAACTGGATTCTTGACCCCGCCCGTTCGTTTGTTGTCCTTTATTCTCATCCTCAATATACATTTTCAAAGAACACGATGTCAGGACCCAAGACAGATGATCTCAAAATCTCCCAGGTCAGTTGATGGTTCCTATCCAGCGAAATTGCGTGTCCTCCTGTGAGAGTTTGGATCTAATAGCCATAAGTACATAGACATTGGCAGAACTAGCAAAGTGAATACCATTTAATTCCAACTGAGGAGTTGTTATTTAACAATATAATAGGGGTGAAATGACTGCATCCGCTCTCGAAAGCCACCTCAACGCTCTTGAAGGAAAAATGGACGAGCTCCTCGCTGTCTTCGAAGGCAAAAATTTGCCGCACCCCGACAACGAAGCAAATTCTCAGAAGCTCAATGGAGAAGAGGGAGATCAGACTAAGCTCGGGGAGTCAAGTCATTAAATAGAACGGTCATATGGAACTGGCCAGTAGCATCCTTCTCCACCACGCCGACCTCAGTAATGATTCCATCTATCAGAGCTGCGGGAGTGATGTCGAATGCGGGGTTCCAAACATTGATACCCGGCGCAGCAATGCGAATGGTTTCCAGCGTCACGCTACCCGAATCAACCCCTTCTCGTGGTCCCTTGATCTGGGTTACTTCAGATGCCGAGCGTTGCTCAATGACAATATCGCTTCCTGATTTGGTAGCCAAGTCGATCGTGGTAAGCGGTGCAGCCACAAGAAATTTGACACCATGATGCCTTGCTAGGACAGCAAGACCGTATGTGCCAATCTTGTTTGCTGTATCTCCATTTGCTGCTACTCTGTCTGCTCCCACAACGATAGCATTCACACCCACGCTAGGATCTGCAAGTAACGCTGCCGCCATTGAATCTGTGATCAGTGTGGCAGGAATATTATCATGAACAAGCTCAAAGGCCGTCAGGCGAGAACCTTGGTTGTAGGGTCTCGTTTCTGTGCAATACGCATGCCGTAGAACCTTTTTAGATTCCAAGGAGCGAATTACCCCTAACGCTGTACCGTAGCCCGAAGTTGCGAGAGAACTATGGGTTCACATTAGCTTATGGGTTGTATAAGAGCATTTCGAACAGCCTTACCCGGTGTTGCAATGCGTCAAGACAGATACATTTGGGGCTCCAGATTGAGTGGCATGGGCCAAGATCCATTCAGCCCCATTGTGTCCAATGCGCTGGTTATCCTCCAGATCCTTGCCTAGCATGTTCTCCGCGGCGTCGATGAATGTTGTCACCAGATTCTGACTGGTAACCCCTGGAAGCGCAGCCTGAGATGTCAGCAAAGCTTCTAGCTTGCGAGCTGCATCACTCAGGTTGACAGCAGTGGGTCTGCTAGTCACCAAGTAGTCGAGTTTTTTCAAAATTAGCTCTCTTGTCTCTGTAAGTGCTTCTGGAAGCTGGCCTGCAGACTGGAGTGAATGTAGTTCCGAGGCGAGCGCTAGCATTGCAACAATGGCAATGGCAGGAGCACCGCGTACTTTCATGTCCTTAATGGCGTGCCATCCATCTTCTGCGGTCTGAATGAGAATATACTTCTCCACAAATGGCAATTGCAGTTGATCCAAGATCTCCAGGTGACCCTGATTATATTTGATAGCCTGCAACATGGCGTAGATTTCAGTATCGAAAATTAGTGCAGTATGATAGATGGAATCAGAGGAAGCAGAAGGGAGGAATGAAGAGGGATTATTAGTTTTGCTAGATGGCGGGGTCGATAACTAATATTAGATAACTCCTCATCTCTGCTTACCTAATGCATATTTACCTAATAGCTTACCAGAGGGAAGGCAAGTGTATAATGTAAAGCAGCTGAAGAGGAATAGAAACGAAGCCTGATGGATAACGAGAAAGTGAATGAGAAACCATAAGATTTGATGAATTATTGAGTATGTTATGTCTCCCCGAGATCATAATGGCCAATATCTTTTCTGCATTGCTATGAAATCAAAGACGATTAACTCGCGGCAATGTACAGCACTGGTATTCTAGTCAGAGTTATATTATACTGATTGAAACGGAGCAAGAGGACCGACCGTTATTGCCACGCACAAATGCATCAGCATAGCTGCGTCGAAGCTTGCCATCAACATATTCTTCTGCGTTTTCGAGGGCAATATTCATGTAGCCATCGACGGATTGGAGTTCTCCTGTAAGTATACCAAAAATGAGTATTTGGAAAAAGGAAAACAAGAAGATAGAGAAAAAAGAAAGAAAAATGCAATTGTTACCTTTGTAAACAACGCCGGAGTTGAGTTTCACTATAACCGGGGCACCGGTGATATCAGCCAGAAAGACGGAAGGGTTGTTTCCTTCTGGAGAAGGGGCGTCATCCATCTTTAGGTAGATAGATATTTCTGGTGAAAACAGATCAGTAGCCGATTTCAAGTATCCAAGACCACGCGTAAATGATGATGTACCTGCGAAAGTGGTAGGGTTTATTTCGAGAGATTGATCTTCATGAGATAAGACCATAAAGGCGGTGAGATCGAACTCTTCACCGCCTTCCGCCTTCCCTTTTTACTGTTATTGTACGATGTAACGATTGGTAACAATTCACGATGTCATCATTTTTCAAAAAGCCAGAATGGGCAGTTAAAAAGGATACCACTGAGCCTCAGTTTTATCGAAGGTCGAAACAGACCTACTCTGATATTGTCGCAGCAGATCGACAGGCACAAAGCAAGCAGAAAATTACGGCCGAATCCTCTGAAAATATCTCACCGAAAGAGGTCAGGGATCATAAGCGGCCTCGAATTTCTGATGAACTAGAGGAGAAGGATACCAAATCTCCTGTCACCTCACTTCCAGAAGATGAATTTGGAGAAGAAATTGAAGAAGAAAATGAAAGTGTTACCGTTGGCCCACCAGCTGATCGCAGCAAATGTCATGGAGCTATCATCGATGAAGAGGCTTTACCACCAACCACACATTCTACCAACCACCTGAATGAAACTTCAACAAGCCGACCAGATCAATCTCATTTATGCAGCTCACTTGCCTGTCATATACCCCAACCTCTCCAAAAAATTCCGAGGAACAGTGAGAGTTCATCGATCAGACCAGGCATATTTGATCAGCCAATTAAGTCCACAACCCCCCATCTTAAAATACCTCAGCCTGCGAAAATAAATGATCCTGTTTTGGATGACCCAGTTGTCCAGATCTTGATAACATCGGTCATTCCAAACACAAAACCATTGCTCATTCAACGGAAAATGTCGCAGGCACTGCGGGAAGTACGCTGGGCATGGTGCAAACGCCAGGGACTTACACTAGAGGAACAATCACGAATCTATCTTACCTGGAAAGGCCGACGGCTCTTTGATGTAACGACCTGCCGGGGATTAGGGATCAAATCAGAGCGTAAAATTTCGCACTCGATTATCGATGATGACCTTGGTACAAGTCCTACAGAACTCCGCATCCATATAGAGGCCGTCACCGATGACCCTACTTTACGGGATCAAGCTATATCTTCCACTCATATGGAAAGCCAACCAAAAGCACCATCAAGTCCACCAGACGGTCAGGATTATCAGACCAAATCGATGAGATTGATCCTTCGAAGCCTTGGGCTGACTGACCTGAGGATCAGAGCACGGTCAAAAACGCGGGTCTCAAAAATCATAACCACATTCCGACAAAAAAAGAATATTCCTCTGGTCCAAGAAGTTTCAATATTATTTGACGGAGATCGATTGGATCCTAACATGAGACTCTGCGACTATGACATTGATGATGAAGATTTGCTAGATATTCAGATCAAGTTGCAAACCTGATCTACTCAAGGGTCAAACCCAATTTCTTTACACGACATTGACCCCGGAGGTTAAATCTCTTTGAATCTGTAACATCCAATTGACCGATTTTTATTGATCCTGAGTCGTTTACTTCTTCTCCATGTCTATACTTAATTATCCTTATCGATAAGATCACATGACTCAATAGTTTTTTTTCCTGTTGGCCGCAGAAGATAGAGCTACCATTCGCCACGTACCAATATAAGTTCACAGTTTTAAAACGTGTGCAGTGGAAGACCCATACTAGTGATATTTAACCCATCTTTCAATCACCCTTTCCTATTCAAGTATTAAAGACGACTTTCGAGACCGCAACCATGAAAGTCATTACTGCCAATTTCGTGACTTGCGCTGTTAAGGAATGCAAAACTTCACCGACATCGTTTCCACTACATTTCAGTGAGGCCGAACTGGAGATGCAGGATTTGGATTTCCAGCCCGAGTTTGTTCGCAATGTCGTACCCCGCATCGACTGGGAAGCTCTTCGGGTAACTGCGAATGAGGTATGCTCTATGAAATGATGATGTTTAAAAAGGCTTGGACTGATTATGAGAGGATAGCTTGGATTTCCTAGCCTTCCAGACTCAAAACCGGAGGGGGAAGCACTGGAAAATGAACAGACTTTAAAGGATCTACATCGGCTATTGCTGGAGACCCAAGTCATGGAAGGCAAGTTGATCTGTGGAAATTGCGGGCATCAATATGTTATCAAGGAAGGAATTGCCAACTTTCTGCTCCCAAGCCACCTGGGTGAGTACTTCAGTTCATCCATTTATAAGACCAGCATCTAACCGTCATATTCCATAGTTTGAGGATAATCGCGAAATCGGCATGCTCTCTAAAGCAAGACAGGTGGATAAGTTGCGCAAGTAAGAGAGAAAGAGGCAGGAAGAGTGTGGATAATCATCGACTCTTCTGCAGGATATTATTGATACCCGCCAGAATTCGCTTCACTTTTGATTGAAGCCATGGGCAGAAATTTGAACCAGTTCATACCATGCGCATAAGCGTACGAGTCAAAGGAAGAGAATAAAATATAACGTTTGAAATTGCCAATAGTTTGTATTGTACATGCAGGCTATAGCGCTTGAAATCACGATTGAACATTAGTACAAGTCCAGATGTCCTCCACAACCAAACGCCTATCCAATCAAGACTGTGATGAACAAAAACTCCAAGGCTGGTGTTTAATTGAGAAATCCTTTACAGCCAGTTGAGCCGCAAAGACAGGGAATGCGATCATCGCTACCCCATTCTCGTTCAAATTTGTAATCGTACGTGAGTTCCTCATCTGCCGAGTACATAGTCAATATAAACTCTTATTGGAAGTCATATTCAGTTCACAACATACCTCTTTCAATATCCCGAAGAGCGTAGATGACAATGCGCTTGCTGCCGTCCACTTTGATGATTTTAGCGGTACAGTTAGGCGTGCAACTATGATTGATGAATCTTGCAATTCCGCCTCGTTTAGTGGCGTCAATGACAGTGTTCTCGTCGATTCGGAAGAGATAGCTGCTGCCAATCCCGCTCTTCAGATATCGCCGCTCTCTCATGTCTGCGACTTGCTGGCGAACCTTCTCTCCCACATATTCGATAATCATGTCATTGGCCGTGATATTCTCCTCAGCATACAAGCCCCAATTATGAATGGCGGATCGGGCAAAACGAACAGGCTTCTTGCGTTTTTTGAGTTGATTGAACCGAAGAGCATCACCTTCACCACTGGATGTTAGAAGAGCTTGCTTTTGTGCATTGATATCGGCGATAAGTCGGCGATTGTTGACGCGCGTGGAACGGGAAGTTGATTTTGAGATGGTCTTGGCAGCAGCAATTCTCGCTTCTTCGGCAGCAGTCACTTGAGGATCAGCGTTGGCGTTAGCTTCACGCTCCTCGCGAGCCTTTTGCACCTTGATGCGGTGGGGCAGGTATTTCGACTTTTCAGACTCAAGGATCCTCTTGCGGCCCTCAGTCCGAGCGGCGCCGGTGATATTTGGAAGATAATATCCGGTGATACCAATTTCCTTGTGGCTGGGCCCTTTCATTTCCATATGGTTGAGCGCTTTGATCTCCTTTTGTCGCCACGCCCATGCGACAATATTCTTAACATTGGACGCAGACTGGTCAAGTAAAATTTCTCGAAGAAATCTCATATCCTCCTCATCCTTGATGAGGTGTTGCCAACCGTCCAGGTCCAGAATGATGGTTTCATCATCTTTCACAGTCGCCCGTGGCTCGTCCTTGGACACTCCCCATTCAATTTCGGTCCTGATATCTTCAAGATTGTCTTCAGCTGAAGGGTCATCAACCACATCATTTAAATCGAGGATGTCTTCTTCCGGCTGTTGGGCCTGTGGTGTAAGCTTGACGTGAGAATCGAATGATTCCGCTCCCTCCGGAGCAAGATCGATCTCCACTGTTGGGAGAGCTTCCCTCTCTCCTGGAGTTTGAATACCAAAGAGCTCTTCGTCTTGCCGCTGCCGTTTTCGTGCATCATGTTCTTCTGTGAGTCGCTTTCTTTTAAGTGAGCGAGGAGATAGCGCCTCAAAATTGGATGGGAGACTATCGCTCTCTTTGCCAAGTTCATCTGTGGCTTGCGCGCTGCTTTCTTCAACTGAGCCTAATGCATCTGATTGATATCCTCCGTCCGGTTCAAATTCAGAGGATACAGAACTTGCGCGGCTTGGAGGAAGACTGCTTCTTTCTTCGGTATCTCGGGTCAGTGGAGTCCGTTGTTCGTCATCGGAATCTTCGTCGTCATGCAACTGCTGAAGGCGATGGTAGAGGGGTCGCACTTCTCGTCTACGAATTGGCTGTCTGCGTCGTTCGTCTACGAAGGCTGCACCTGTACGGTCCATACCATGGGCTTTTCGAATGCGCGGAAGAGCCAGAACATTGAGACTCGACGATCGCAGAGGATCGCGACCACTTTCAGACCGAGAATCGGGGGTACCAAGGATGCTGCTCACCCCAATTCGAAAAGCTGACTGTTTTGTGCTTTCTGGGCCTGGTATGCCCAGTCGTTCTCGCCGGGCAATATGCTTGATAGGATCGAGGTAATCATATAACGCGGGTGCGGCAATACGAGACTTGACATCTTCGAGAAGCTTGTCCCTCAAGTCACGAATGATGATAGAAAGAACTTCCCTGCAAGGGTCTAAGTCGAAAGCGCGTTGCCTTTTCTCCTCTTCCACATCCAAGTCGGCCTCCTTCCGCAACCTTTCCTTCTTGGCCTTATCCTGCTGCTCAGCTCTCAAACGCTCTGGACTCGGACTGCGCACATAGTTGGGATTTCCATAAGGATGGCTTTCCATGTTCATAATATATGTGAAGAGCAGTGTCATGTGACACATTCGGAAGCAACGTTCAGTTTCCTCTTCGCCTCGCCGGGAATTCTCGAAGATGATGTAGTAGCCTGTTTTATCACACCGAATATCCTTATAGTTGAACGGTTTCAGTCTCTTCATCAAGTGTGGGATTGTTGTGCTGAGAACTGGCACATGGCAATGACCGATAAAGATGTAGGGGTCGCGCTTGATCTTGCTCAAAACGGGGATATCTTCAACGAGAGAATGTCCCATGGGTAGTCGCAGAGCTCTGGGTCCTTCTGGAATAACCAAACCAGGGCGAATTGAAGATCTCCCCGAAGGACCTTTAGGTGCTGTGGGTGGCGGCTCATTCCTTTTGGCATCCAGCCTGGATTCCACGGCTGTCACGAGGCTTTTAGATACCAATCTTTGGGATTCAATCGCTTTGGCAGCCATTCGTTCGGAGACGACACCCTCGCGATCCATTTCTACCCTGATTCTGCGAGTTCCGATTCTTTGCTCCTTTTTGCATTCAAAATAAGCACGCCGGGCCGCACTGGATGCAGAAATGGGGCCATCACCACGAAACGAGTTGGTATCTTTGTATCTGATTGAGCATATTCCGAGAAAACGTCCCGTATTCGGATCTGTTCGATTGTTCATCTCTGCGACGTCGCCAAAGCTGGAGAAAAGTGCGCTAATAGGCGCGGATGGTGTGAGGGGGTCGAAACCTGTCACAACGATCTGGATTGGAGGACCCGGCCCGATGCTTGTCGTGGCATCGTACGGCCATTGTTTTAGAGTGTATGGAGCTGGCCGGTATTTGGTTTTCTGCTTACATCCTGATCCACGAGTGTAATTGGGAATGGCCAAACGGGGGTCAAGAGGAACTGCTTGATCATTGGTGAGGATATCCACATATTCGCATTTCCGTCGTTTCTCCTTAGACGATTTTTTATCGAGATCGGGGTCGTAGACCGCCCTACAGCCTTTAGGTTTTGATTTCTGGAACATTTGAGATTGGGGAGTTGGTGGGGTATGGATGGGTGTAATGGAAGACTTGGTAGGTTCTGTATTCACGCGAAGACCATGATTGGGTGACTTATCTGCCATCTTGGATCGGGGACTGGAAGCTTTGCGAGAGGGGGATGATCCCGCATTGGTGAGTGGCGTCAGGGTGTCATTGGAGATTGGATGAAGTTTCCCATTAATCTCTCCTGATCCACTCAATTCAATTGCTATATCGTCACCAGATAGTGGTTTTGTAGTCTTTTCCAGTCTCGGAGATTGGTCCGATACGCCGATTATAGGCGCGTCGGACGCCTTGAATGAACCCGTAACCTCTGTTTTGCCATCTGATCCTTTGGCTTTCTGGTCACCAACTTTCAAGTGATTTTGAAGGACTGAAGGAGCTGTGGGAAAGAAGTCGGCAAAACCAGCTGAGGCGCGTGACATCGTGAGAGGTGGCTACACACCCAAAACGACCGCGCGACTACCAGGCAGCATGCTTGACAGTATATGGTATAGATAAATTCAGTGGCAATCAACTGAAGATTGAGAAAGAACAAGTCGGAAAAGGAAAAAGGCAAAAGAAAAAAAAGAAGTGAGAACAAAGGAGGGGATCAAGTTCTAAAGGTGGAAGTTCTGTCGCGCAAAGAGTTTTGCGGGAAACGAGGATCGTGATCTAACAGGAAGGCGGTGAAAATGGGGGATTTGTGGAGAAAGGGAACATGGAGAGAAGGCTGATTACATAATGGGATGGGTAATTTTGAAAAGAAAGAAAAAACGAGAACCATCAAATGACGGTGAGATAAGTTCATGGTACAGCATGGTTTGAAAAGTATGGTAATTACGGAGTACTCCGTAGCTTTAATTACAGTAAGTAGTACGAAGTAAAAATGATAATAACCCCTTTGTTCCCTAATGTCCAATTTGAAGGAATATCATCTTCAGGTGTGGCTATGTGAGGCTTAGCTAATAGTGTAAATAAAAATAAAAATATAAAAATAGTACTTTATACCCAGTGGAATGGATCGGGGTTAGCGCTATATAGTGGTAGTTCCATAAAAATAAACCTCGAGAATTCCTTCATCAAAGTGGGGGTTTGTTGTCAGGGTGAATTGAATAGTAATATTAATAATAAATAATGCACAGGGCATCCAAAATACAGGATTGCTGTAAAAGAAAAAAGAAAAAGAAAAATTAAAGGGATTACATTCCAATTCATACCTAGAGAGAATCGGGTGAAATGGACAAATTTACAAACAGAAATTCAAAAATAAGGCAAAAGAGGTGAGCAGTGGAGACGATGAATAGTTCATTTCCATAGGAAACAAATCGAGTGAGACATCGATCGTTTAGGCGCATTGGAGTTTACTAAGGGAGCTAATCAGAGTCGCCCCTCCCCTGTTTCCCTCTCTCCCCCGCTATAAATATGAATGGATCTTCCCTTCGTTTCACAACACCTTTCCTCCTCTCTTCTCCCTTCATCTCACTCTCACACTCCCCTTATAATCTCATCACCCCTACTTTCTCTTCATTCAATTCCTCTTTTCAATTCCCATTTATCTAATTACTCCGACTCGACATCATGTGGTATGTATTCTTTCACAGACTTCTTCCCCTCCCCAACACTCCATCTCCTCAATCACACTCAATACTCATCTATCCATACAGTGGAATCTTTGGCTACATCAACTACCTGGTGGAGCGGGACCGTGAGCATATTATCAATACCCTTCTCAATGGTATGTATATCCTCTCTTAACTCATCCCTTCCTTCCTCTCTAACTTTACACAGGTCTCTCTCGATTGGAATACCGTGGTTATGACTCGGCTGGTATGGCCGTTGATGGTGACAAGAAAAATGAAGTCTGTGCTTTCAAGGAAGTGGGCAAGGTCGCTAAATTGAAGGAACTTATTGCCGATGCCAAGCCTGATATGACGAAGACCTTTGCTTCTCACGCTGGTATTTCTCACACCCGTTGGGCCACTCACGGAACCCCTTCCCGACAGAACTGCCATCCCCACCGGTAAGCTTTTCTTTCCCCCGCCGGAATTCACCTCCATTTCTCCCCAACTAATCATCCTCTTGGGTTCAAACAGATCCGATGCCACTTGGGAGTTTGCTGTGGTCCACAATGGTATCATCACCAACTACAAGGAATTGAAGGCTCTTCTTGAGAGCAAGGGATTCCGCTTCGAGACTGAGACCGATACCGAGTGCATTGCAAAGCTCGCCAAGTACTTGTACGACCAACACCCTGACATTGAATTCACTGTCCTGGCTAAGGCCGTCATTAAGGAGCTCGAGGGTGCTTTCGGTTTGTTGCTCAAGTCCGTGCACTACCCTCATGAGGTCATTGCCGCCCGCAAGGGTTCCCCCTTGGTGATCGGCGTTAGAACTTCCAAGAAGATGAAAGTGGATTTTGTCGATGTGGAGTACTCAGAAGAAGGTGCTCTCCCTGCGGAGCAGGCCTCTCAAAATGCTGCTATCAAGAAGACTGCCACCAGTCTCTTGGCTCCCCCTGACAAGTCCCTGCTGCACCGCTCCCAGTCGCGGGCTTTCTTGTCTGATGACGGAATTCCTCAGCCTGCTGAGTTCTTCTTGTCCTCAGACCCGTCCGCCATTGTCGAGCACACCAAGAAGGTTCTTTACCTCGAGGATGACGACATTGCCCACATTCACGAGGGTCAGTTGAACATTCACCGCTTGACCAAGGATGACGGTACTTCCAATGTTCGTGCCATCCAGACTATTGAGCTGGAGCTGCAGGAGATTATGAAGGGCAAGTTCGATCACTTCATGCAGAAGGAAATCTTCGAGCAGCCCGAGTCCGTCGTCAACACCATGCGTGGTCGTCTGGATGTGGTGAACAAGAAGGTTACCTTGGGTGGCCTGCGTCAGTACATTTCCACTATCCGCCGCTGCCGACGAATCATATTCATTGCCTGTGGTACCAGTTATCACTCTTGCATGGCCGTGCGTGGTGTCTTCGAGGAGTTGACTGAGATCCCGATTGCCGTCGAACTGGCATCTGATTTCCTAGATCGTCAGGCCCCCGTCTTCCGTGATGACACCTGCGTCTTTGTTTCTCAGTCCGGTGAGACTGCTGACTCCCTCATGGCTCTTCGCTACTGTCTGGAACGTGGCGCTCTGACCGTGGGTGTTGTCAACGTGGTCGGATCTTCCATCTCCCTCCTGACCCACTGTGGTGTCCACATTAATGCCGGACCTGAAATTGGTGTCGCCTCTACCAAGGCTTACACCTCTCAATTCGTTGCGATGGTCATGTTTGCTTTGTCACTCAGCGAGGACCGTGCCTCCAAGCAGAAGCGACGGGAGGAGATCGTCGAGGGTCTGGGTAAGGTTTCGGAACAGTTCCGAGAGATCCTGAAGCTCAACGACCCCATCAAGGACATGTGTGCCAAGTTCTTCAAGGACCAAAAGAGCTTGCTTCTGTTGGGTCGTGGTGCCCAATTCCCCACTGCCCTTGAGGGTGCTCTCAAGATTAAGGAGATTTCCTACCTTCACTGTGAAGCTGTGATGTCTGGTGAATTGAAGCACGGTGTCTTGGCCCTGGTGGACGAGAACTTGCCCATCCTCATGATCCTCACTCGTGACAACCTCTTCACCAAGTCCCTGAATGCCTATCAGCAGGGTAAGTTGAACCATGAGATTAATAAAAAAAGAAAATATAAAAAATCAGGAATCTAATTGAATTCACAGTGATCGCCCGCAGTGGCCGCCCGATCGTCATCTGTAACAAGGATGACCCTGAGTTCTCGTCTGCACAGACCGAGAAGATCGAGGTTCCCAAGACCGTTGATTGTCTCCAGGGTCTACTGAATGTTATTCCCCTGCAGCTAATATCTTACTGGCTGGCTGTTGGTGAGGGTTTGAACGTCGACTTTCCCCGAAACCTGGCCAAGTCCGTGACAGTTGAGTAAAATGGTGGAAGAATGTTCTAAGTAGACGATTGCGATGATCTTCATATCTTTAAGGAGTTGTTTCATTTCTTGTTAGCTTTGGGAGAATGGAATACTATATTTCTTTAGTGCATCAGAATATCTAAATGATATTACATTAGTTTTAATATTTACATAAATATCAAAATTGACTAAAAGTTGTACAATTAATTTTGCCGTATTCGGTCAGTCCGCCTTTCCCAATGGCGGGACACAATGACGGGACCGATGGTTTCGTCTATTCCCCCCGCATCACTTCATAATCACCCTTTTCTCCAGTCCTCAAGTCATCCCAGGTTCTTTCTTTTCTCTCTCTCTCTCTCTCTCTCTCTCTCTCTCTCTCTCTCTCTCTACTTGTAGACTACATCCTCTTCCCTATTCACAATGACCCCAATCAAAGGCCCAGGGGCTGTTCAGAGCTATGACGGTATGATATTATCCCACTCATCCCCGCCGCGGAGTCATCTCGGACTCAGGGACATCACTGATGTGCTGTAGGGTCGGGTTTGCGTGTTGCTATTATCCACGCCCGATGGAATGCCACTATCATTGACCAGCTAGTGTCGGGAGCAAAGAAGAGTTTGTTTGCTGCCGGTGTGACCGAGGACAACATCACCATCCAGACGGTCCCTGGTAGCTACGAATTGCCTTTAGGTGTACAGCGGTAAGTCTGTTCTTTCAATTTAAAGGCTTTTACCTCTCTTCAAGTATATCTGGTGGGGCGTAATGGCTTATATACCGCTACAGATTGTATGCTGCTTCTCAAGTCCAGGCCAGCTCTTCTGGTGAGGGCATCAGTGCTACAGATCTTTTGTCTGCCTCGGTCTCCGATATCAGTAAATCGGCTTCTACATCATCTACTAAGAAGCCATTCGATGCCATTATCGCTATCGGGGTACTGATCAAGGGTGCCACTATGCACTTCGAGTACATTGCAGATGCTGTCAGCCAAGGGCTGATGCGCGTGCAGCTGGACTCCGGCGTGCCCGTTATCTTTGGCCTGCTTACTGTTTTGACCGAAGAGCAAGGTCTGGAGCGAGCTGGACTGGGTAACAGTGGCATGCATAACCACGGCGAAGATTGGGGCAGCGCAGCTGTGGAATTGGGTGTGAAGAGACGCGAGTGGGCAGAGGGTAAGATTGTATAAATTTGTCCTGCCTTACTTGTTTTTGCTTCTAGATATTATATGAATCTCCAAAGAAGTTAGTGAGCGCGTGGGTAAAAAAAAAAAGAATAAAGCGTTGGAGAAGCATCAAATTCAAGCGTTCGCTGCCATATCTAATTCGGTATTCATTCTTCCATCTTCTCGCCCTTATCTTCTTCCTCTTCGTCATCTCCCTCTAGGGCCCGTCGTGCAAACTTCTCTGCTTCTTCCCGAAGTTCCTTTGGAACTTCTTCGTGTCGTCCCTTAGTCGGGCCATCAAGCGAGCTGATCCATGACATTTCCAATTCGAAATCTTTGTCCTTGCTGTCTTCGTGGGCGACGTAAATTATACGTGCGGCTTCCTTCACACCGTCGGCAAGAGAAAGAGTACCTGAAGTCAAATCTAGTTTCTCCAGCTCTGCCTTTGCTGCCTGTCGCCCTTTACCGGTAGCGGCGCCGTAATAACCCTAATACCCTGTCAGTAACCAAAACGAGATGTTAGAAAGATGTTGGCAACGCATACCCAATACAGCCCACTGGGTTCAATCATGTAAAGGCCGGGGCCTCCAGCGGGTGCGCCCTCAACTTTTCCACCAGACCCCGACTTGGGACCGCTGCCCACCTGGCCATCGACCGGTAGTTCTGCCTCACTATCCCATCCACCGACGATAGAGGTCACGCCGAATGGTCGTACACTGGAATACAGTGTGTATGCTTGAACATAGCCGCCTAGACGGTTCGCAAGGGCGGAGGTGGGTATTGGGCCTTTGTATGTACCTCTCCACGAGGATGCTTCGTCTCGGGCTCTAGAAACAAAGTGACGACCGTCAGGAACGAGACCAGCGGAAACCTAAATAATTGGCAAAGCTTTGGTCAGAATGTAATTATATGAAATACTTTCTTGAGAAATATGTGGTTGTGGAGTGTTGAAAGCTTCCTTTATTGAGAGGGACATCGGGGGAGGGGGAAGGAAAGAATTGAGCTTACAATGCCAACATGACGATCGACAGTCGCAATCCGCTTATTGGCACCTGGCTTTAGTAGCTTGCTGGTGATGATTTTCTCAACTGCCAACACCACACCGTCCTTGCATCGAATGCCAACAGCTGTGCCGCCGTTCTCCACGGCCTTGACAGCGTATTCAACCTATGAGTATAAGTCAGTACCCAAGAGCTTACCGTATCCATTGAAGAGAAGATAAGAGAAGATAATACTCCAAGAGTAGCTCATACCTGGAAATTTCGGCCATCTGGGGAGAAGACAGAGTTGGAAAGATCGTAGCCCGTGCCGATTGACGTCTTGTAGATCAGTTAGCTATGGGGGCAACTAACACAGAAAGATATATAGGCTTACCATGATTGTCTGGATATGTAGAGATGAGATAAGATGAGATTATCTCAATTTTTCAGCGGGGGTGGTAGAGAATTGTTAGAAGCTGAAGCTGGGGCCGACGCGCGATGATGGAGAGAGCTTCGTCTTAGCACTGCGTCACGGGGTTGCCTTGGGAAAGGTCACATGACAAGACAACAGCCCAACGTGATTGAGTTAATTCCCTTTTCTTTGGGCGTAAAAACGTGGGGGGCAACGTTTCCCTTTATTTCTTCAGTTAATACTTATTCTCTCTTAAATATTTGGTACCAAAAATACATCAGACCATACCGATCAGATCCCCCTGCTCCTTGTTTCTGTGTGTGTTTACATGCAAAGCACTTAGTATTATATACTTTCTATCATGTCTTCCTCTATCCTACACCAGTGTCCCTTTTGCAATCATGTTTCCGATATTTCTCTTTCTCTACCTGAGTTCATCGAGAACCCACACTGCAACCAGGTAGATCCCTCTGTTGGACTTCTGTCTCGCAGCCCCTGACCAATTTAGTGTGGTCTATCTGCATCCGAAAGCACCGAGAAATTACATGAGCTGGCAGCTCTCTTTGACCAGATGACGATGTGCCAAGTGCAACCCGAGTGTCAACCGCCGCCCATCTCCTACAGTATTTCGCGACACTATCATCACTCCTCCCACATAATTCCCCAGAACCCCACCCCCACAAACGGCACCAAGGGCCCAATCATTAGCCCAAAATCGATTTCTCCGCCAGCCGAGGACCTGGAGATTGAGATGAAGATGGACATATCGGAGGAGGTCGCAGTGGATCACAAGGAAGAGGCTGAACCCTACATGGTTTCCGGCTACAACGCTTACACCCTACCCAAGGAACCCACGACTGGGGAAACCTATACTTCAGCTACAGATCCCGTGTACCAATCTCGTCACTGGTGGGAAAACACTCAAATGGGGATGGAACCGCAGTATGTGGCATTTGAGGAGAGAAATCGGGATTATGTAGCCGGTGATATGCAGACTCGTTGGATGGGTCCGAATTAATGATTCAATATGTCTACGCAGATATGATATTACCATAAGCGATCAGATTTACGGGAATGAAGAATGGAATATGAATTCAACTATTGATTTTGGCTTAAATGTTACTTGATCCTCCGGAAGAGTTGCATTGCATTCAAAACATTGTATTTCTCTGTTTTTTTTCGGTTCCCCCAAATGAATTGCAAAATAACTAGGTGCAAAGGTGGCTAGTAAGAAAAAGAGTGTCCGCCATCAGAAAATTATCACGATCACCATCCTCCAAGCTCAGTTTTCTCCTGGGCAGTGTTGACGTAAGATGAAGTCGAACGTAGCACTAGTTCTTTCGAATGATCTCTGTCAACAGATGTATGTGAACATTAGGAAATTGAGGGAGCTTAGTTGCTAGAGAAGACAACTATAGGGCAAGTACGGATCAGTAAACGCTCTGTGCGGTTCGTGAGAAGAGATACGTACCTTTACTCCTCATCAAGGGCAGCCATAGCCTCAGCGAGGGCATCGGCAGAGCGCTTAACCTCATCAACGGCCTCGGCAGCACGCTTAACCTTGGCACATCCCTGACCAGGATGGGCACACCACTTCTGAGCAACGGGGTGGGCTTCGGCCATCGCATCGGCAAGAGCCTCAGCAGAACGCTTGACCTCGAAGGAGGCATCGGCGGTACGCTTCATCATGTAGCAGCCCTGGCCGGGGTGGGAGCACCACTTGTCGACGTGGACGGCCTGCACGCTGGAAGCAGCCATCAAGGCGAGAGCAACACAGAGGAACTTCATTTTGAGAAGAGTTGGATGATTGAAGTGAATTTGAAAATTGAATTGCGGTCTTGGATCTCTGAGTTTAAGAGAATGATTGACGAAGAGATTGATGGAGAGCTTGAAGAAGAGAAGAGACTGGTGGGTATGAGAGGAGCACTTATAGCTTTTGGAATTGATGAATATCAACCCGAGGTAGATCAAAGTAGAAGTAGATCAAAGCGGAAGTCGTCTAAGGATTCTATAGATGAGTCTATAGATGAGTCTATAGAGAAAGTCTATAGAGGAGGTCTATAGAGACCCTGATCAAGACATAGCTTGTGCATGGATATCACCTCAGTAGCAAATAGGACCATCGCTTCTAGATGTTGCTATCTGAAGTGGCGACTGCTGTTCCATTCATGAAGTCAATATGGATGTATAGTACATATTGGTTTGCGAAGTCATTGGACGCCGTGTGTCTGATCCAGTTTATTCGAAGTATAGGATGTCTTTATTGACATTGAATGTGCCGAGTGAGGGAAGCTCGAAGTGCAGATCAATAGTAAATAGGTGAAAGGAAGGTATTCCAAAAGAGGGAGTCTATAGGGGAGCTTCATAAAGACGTGACAAAGATAAGATCGGGCCGGGGCTGCCATGCCGAGTCCATCCGGGCCCTTTTTTTCCGTTTTCCTTGTCCGATCCTTCCAACCCCCCATATTCGGTCCTCCCTGCGGATTCCTTGTTCTCTCTACCTGAATCTCTCCGCTCACAAATAGACCAAAGAAAAAACAATGTTTTCCAAAACAGCACAGCCTGCCCGGGTATTTTTTCCAATTGAACTGCTTGATTTCCCCTGCACTTAGGCTAACCCAGTTCAGACCCTGCTTCGCAGCGCTTCCGTGGCTCCCTCCGTCGGCCGCTCCATGCCTGTGCGATGTACGCTATCTCCCTTTGATAAACTGCGCGCGCATACGTGTGTGGCAAGTTGATACCCGAGATCGTGTTGCTAATCTCTCTCTAGCCTTCGCCAGTGTCCAGTCCGATATCTTCAAGCCCACCAAGTATGGGGGCAAGTACACCGTCACTCTCATTCCCGGTATGACTGTTCATCACACATCCATCCGCCTTACTGGCTACACACGAACTTATGTCCCAATTGCTGACTCGCCCGACTCTTTATAGGTGATGGTATTGGTACCGAGGTCGCCGAATCTGTCAAGACCATTTTCAAGGCCGACAACGTTCCTATTGAGTGGGAGCAGGTCGATGTTACCGGTGTTGAGACTGGTAACAAGCTCTCAGAAGAGCTTTTCCGGGAGTCCGTGGCTTCCCTCAAGCGCAACAAGCTCGGTCTGAAGGGTATCCTCCACACCCCCGTCGAGCGATCGGGTCACCAATCCTTCAATGTTGCTCTGCGCCAGGAGCTGGACATCTACGCCTCGATTTCCCTGATCAAGAACATCCCTGGCTATGAGACCCGCCACAAGAACGTCGATCTTTGCATCATCCGTGAGAACACTGAGGGAGAGTACTCCGGCCTGGAGCACCAGTCTGTGCAGGGTGTCGTTGAGTCCTTGAAGATCATCACCCGCGCCAAGTCCGAGCGTATCGCCAAGTTCGCTTTTAGCTTCGCTCTCGCCAACAATCGCAAGAAGGTTACCTGTATCCATAAGGCGAACATCATGAAGTTGGCCGACGGTCTTTTCCGCAGTACTTTCCACAAGGTCGCCGAAGATTACCCCACCCTGGAGGTAAACGACATGATTGTGGACAACGCCTCCATGCAGGCCGTTTCGCGCCCCCAACAGTTTGACGTTATGGTCATGCCCAACCTTTACGGAGGTATCCTCTCCAACGTCGGTGCTGCCCTCGTTGGTGGCCCCGGTGTCGTCCCTGGCTGCAACATGGGCCGTGATGTTGCTCTTTTCGAGCCTGGCTGCCGTCACGTTGGTCTCGATATCAAGGGCAAAGACCAGGCTAACCCCAGTGCCTTGCTCCTTTCTGGCTCCATGCTTCTCCGCCACCTCGGCCTCGATGACCACGCAAACCGCATCTCCAAGGCCGTCTATGATGTGATTGGCGAGGGGTAAGCGTTTCTAATCGAAAAATGTTCCCAGAATTAATTCACTAATAATTTTTCTACAGTCAAGTACGAACCCGCGACATGGGTGGTCTCGCCAGCACCCATGAGTTCACTCGTGCTGTTTTGGACAAGATGGAGTCGGCTCTGTAAATTTGAGGTCTGTTGTCTCAGTTCTCTACAGCTACGACGGAGGATGCCCTGAATTAATTGGAACCGCGCACTGTGTAGGATCCGAATTGGTCGCAGGTAGTTCTTCATTATGTATTATCTCTCTTTCAGGTTAGCTCGCAATTTCCCTGGCAAGTTATAAATAGACCATTTTTGCATTCTTAATTTTTGCGAATTTATGGGGGATTTTCATATAATAATTTCAACTATTCGATCATTGAACCAGAAAACATAGGGGTACCTCGTACGAAAAGAGAGGGAAAGAGGTTAGGGTTAGAATACGATTTTTTTGGTCATTGAACCTTGAGATTTCCACGTATTCTGCATCTAATGTGAGTCGTTACAGGAAGGGAACTTGTGAGGGAAGCAAGAACTGCAGCCCTGGAGTTGCAGTGCAATTGTAGTGTCGCCACTGGCAGATGTGAATGTTTCGAATAAAGATAAAGGGGTATCAAAAGGAATTTGGGGGTAAAATCTAGACAACGCATGGTCCAGCTAAATCTAGATATCTGAATGTGGCCACAGAACTCGAACAGTGATAGCCATGAAATTTGATCAAAAGGCTATGCGTCTCTTGCGGCCTGTATACTTCGAGTTGTGTTTCACCACTTTCCCCTTCTTCTCCATCTGATCTTTCTTATGCAGGATCCATGCCTTGTCGCCCTTTCGAGGATGTCCTCTAGCACTATTCACCTCCGCAGCCTTTCTCCGGGCATCCAGGACGCTAACATCTTCCATGCCATTAACAACGCCCGTAATATCACCCTGGAGACCACCTCCACCGACTGTAAGGACGAGATAGATCTTGCTGTTCTTAGTGCCGGGGTCGTCCTCAAGCATACCGGCGCCGAACCCTGCCTTGATCGCAGCTCCGCTAATCATGCTTCGTTGAATATCGTTTTTAGGGTAGAATTGACAAACTGCCCGTCCACCACGGCGAAGACTGGCATAGAGTCCCTCAAAGAATCGTTTGAGACGGCCTTCGGGACTGACGTCGCTAGTTTCTGCATTACACAGCCACTGGATAGCACTGATGCTGATTGCCGCATCGAATGTACCGGGTCGGAAGGGAACTCCTTGTCCAATGTCGGCAAGGAAGAGATCACCCTCTACCTCTCGCTGTAGAGCGACATCCAGCATGCTTGGTGAAATATCCATGCCGATCCAAGTGTGAGGGCCACCATCCTCGGGGGCTTCCTGTGATAAAATCTCTCCCGAAAGACCCGAACCACATCCAATATCGAGAATTAAAGACGGAGACTTCAAGTCAAGAAGTTCAAGGGCCCGATTGGTCATATCGGCCTGAATATTTCGAATGCGCGACGACGTTGTATACTTGCGGGACTCATTGTCGTTGTAAAATAGGTCGGGCGGCCTGAAAAAAAAGGTTAGTCCTAGTACTCGGTCAGAAGGATGAAAATAATTATGCGCACAGAATATCCTCAGGGCGCGACATGATGTTGGTTATTGATCGGGTTAGAAGAGTGTAAAGATGAACGAGTCTTTTTTTTGGGTGGGGTTGTGGCCTAAGGCAGAAATATTCAAGATTTTTATACTGCCCGTTGTATAAATCTTCATGACTTCAACATCAAATTGATCGTTATCTCCAGCAGATATAATTAGGAAATAACTACTGTTTGTTCTTTGGTGCATCTGACTCATAATAGCTGCAGGATGATATATCCCGTCTAGAAACCATTATATCCAACATATTTGGCATCAACCTTGGAATATAAATCCGTGGATGCCTGAGTTCAAGTATATTTCACAAAATAACCCCCTGAATATAGAATAATTAGTCCTACAGTATTATTCACTTTGGCCATGCCATTCTTTCAATCTTCTCGATGTCTCTGTGCATTACCTTTTACAAATAAGTCAGATGATTAGTCTATAGCTACCTGAATAGGTAGAGAACCTTGGAGGAGCTATCGAAGTTCCAAATGTCTGTTTCCGTATCCTAGACCTGATGTATCATAATATACGAGCAAGGACCAAGGAAGTGATAAACGTCGTGTAATAATCGCCAGCTTGATGAGGCAACAAGGCAACAAGGCAACAAGGCAACAAGGCACTGATATGGAGGCCCCAAAGCGTCATGATCCGCGCGGTTGTTTCGTGGCTTCTGAGTAAGGATACTTGGTTTTCTCTCAACTCCGTTTCTTAACTTCTAATATACCTCTGCAACAACCATGTGGATTCTACCTCTTGTAGGGTATTTGGGAGTGATCGTGGGATTTGCCTTTCTCACATTAGCAATTGGTAAGCCCTTTGCGGCTATTATTAGACCATGACACTGACCTTCACACAGCTTCGGGACTCTACTATCTATCTGAACTTGTCGAAGAGCATACCGTTCTTACCCGACGCCTTTTAAGTCGTCTGATTTACTCTATCATTGCAATCCAGGTTCTACTAGTAGTCTTCGATCGGTTCCCCATCTGGCTATCCCTTCTCGGCATCCTTTCCCACCTTGTTTACGCTAGCAATCTGCGCCGCTTTCCTGTTGTCAAATTATCCGACCCGCTATTTATCACATCATGCGCATTGGTCATTCTCAACCACTGGCTCTGGTTCCGCCACTTCTCGAAACCGCTACCTGCGTCTCGACGGAGCGACAACAACTGGCGCCAGCCTTACCAGACCAACTATGAAGAGATGCCTTCATTTTCTGAGGTAGCATCGTACTTTGGATTATGTGTTTGGTTGGTTCCATTTGCTCTCTTTGTCAGTCTGAGTGCGGGCGAAAATGTCCTGCCTAGTATGGGTTCAGAATACGCGACAGGGGAGCACGTGTCAAATGGACATAGTCGTGGGCCTTCAGAAGGCAAGTCCAAAAACAAAGGAATGGCCAAAGCCTTGGTCGATAATGTACGCGACTGGACCCGAGACAATGGGGAGCTTATGGGCCTGTGGCGGGGTGAGCAAACCAGGCGATTTTGAATCGACTGCATAGGAAAAATGGAGAACGTATGTGTATATTAATGAACTTGATAAGCCATTTTGTTTTTGATTGAATGACACAACATAATATTGAAGAAAATAAAAACGCAACACGGTTGTAAGTACAATAAATTGTTGAGTTCATTGGAGAGAAAGTAAAATAAGGCAGCGACTAAATCACTGAAAGAACTGAATGATGACGATGAAAGTGAGAATAAATAGAAGTGGAAAAGGGGTATAACGATGAAGAAAATAAATATCTTCAAGTGAAAAGAAAGGTCCCAGGGCTCAGCCTCCGATATTTCAACCTCATCTTGGTTAGGTGCCATTATCATTAAACATTCCCTCCTCGCCGCTCTGCTGGTGACAAGTGGGTAGATTCGTTATTCTGCATGAGACTCACGATCTGTCGATTGGTAGACATCGATAGTTGAGAATTTTTAAAAAGGCTGCCGAGAAGGAGAGAAAGAGTCAGGCAGTAATATGCATACTGCTCAGCTAATTTACTTGCCCCCACGAAGAGCCGAGTCATCGAAATCTAGGAGATGTTAGCAACGACCAAAGAATGCTTTAATATTTGGATGAACCATACTTTCAAGTAAAAGCATCGAACTCTCACGCCTCTTAGCCTTCGCCGAGCGAGTATCTTCTTGGCTAGGTGATAACATGCCGTTCAAAGAACCGAACGAAGATGATGCTCCCTTGTGTTGATTGTGTTGGTTATATACGTCGTGTCTGTGTGTTGGCGCGTCATAGGTTGGTTGCATCGGTATAAATCCGGTGTCGTTTGTGCCCCGTGGATTATCATGGTGGTCGGTTGGAGGCACACCGTTGGATGGAAATGAGGACTGGTTGTATGATGGTGTCGGTATGTCTGAGAACATCTGATGGCGTGGTGAGCGAATATCATCTGCCGACAAGCTATGGTCGACTGTGAGCTCAATCGTTGGGCTAGAAGCGGAGCCAGTATCACCAAAAATACTGTCGAAGTCTGTGAGGAACATCGAAAATACTGGCGCTGGAATGTTCAGAGTGGGAGCGAAGACAATGCCCACGTTTCGAACGGTCATTTTATTTACGTCGGAGTTATTGACGATTTCGATTAGGAATAGTGAAAGTGCTCGCAAGAGTGACAGATTTGGCTGTGGCAAGCAATGGACTAGGGAATTAAAGGCAGCGACCTTCTTCTCCCGATCGTCAAGTTCTATATAGAGTGTTAATATCATAAAATAGTTGATGAAGGGTCGTTTGTCATACCAAGAACACGAAGGAAATCCAAGTGAAGCTCTCGAGTCAACACTGTCGTCGGGAGTTCTCGAAGGTATTGCTTGAAAAGAGAGGCGACTGCGTGAACATCATAGTACTGATCTCCAGCCAGAAAATCCACGTCGCCTTCATTATTAAAGCGTTCTTTTAATCCCTTGATCACAACGTTAGAACCGCTCAAGCGGAAGATCCCTTCCTCGTCCGCTGCCCCCTTTGCATGAAGATATTCGATACAACGATAGACAACAGCTGGTAATTCTATATCGACACCTAGTGGTGCACAGTGTTTGACCGCCTCAGCTAGAGGGATACCAAATACCGCTCGAACTGGTTCTTTTCGTTCAGCGTGGATAGGGTTGATACCCGAATCATGGGCTGTCAAGTCAAAAGATGATCTGGTACGGAAGCCCCAAATGCTGCGTTTCTTTTCCTTTGTCGAAGTCGTAGTCTTGTTACCCCAAGCCTGCAAATCTTGAATCACAGTCCCATTTGTGGGCGCAGAAATGATCTTCGGAGATTGTGATGCCGGATCAATCCAGGATTGATTCGTATCTTTAAGGTCTGTCGAAAGAGCTAGTATCCGAGGAGATCGAGGGGCCTGATCAAGTGAAGAACCAAGGATAGGAGGTTCAGCTGCAATCGTATCGTCGAAGCTGAAGCCCTGAACAGAACCACCAATCTCATGTTCGAGACTTTCAACCCCTTTAGGCAGTCGTTTACCTCCGCTACTTGGGACGGCTTTGGCTTTGCTACCAGAACTGGAAGACTGCTGTTTACTTTTCACCTGAGGCTTTCCCTGGCTCTCATTATCTGATGAAGGGCTCTCCACATATTCCATCAAAGCATCTACCCAGGTGTCGCGCTCTTCATCGCTTTCTGCACAAAGAACGTGTCGAACGAGGGCCAGAGAGTCTTTCTTCTTCGGCTCCAATATAAGGAAAGCATGGCGATACTGATGATCGGCATCCTCTTCAGTGGCTGGTGGAGAGCTGCCCTGGCCGCTGGGACTATGGGATTGCTTGCCGATCTGGGCATGATGAAGCTTGATAGTACCCATATGAGGGCCACCAGGAGACTCAAAGTATTTGAGGTCAGGGCCCTGGAGAACAAAGTATCGTGCCTTCCAGCCACCGAAGTTCTTACCTCTCTTAGTCAGATAGCCTTCTTTTCTAGGTCTTCCATCGGGTCCTCGAGATACATCAAGCTTAGAATGACTGGGTCCTTTCAACAAGCTTGTTTCATCATCGCGAGGCTCGATAGCATCGTTTGTGAGAAATTGGCAAATGATCAAAGCTGCTTTCTCATCCATGCGAGTGTTCAGAAGACTGTCAAAGTATGTATTCAATGCAGCCCGGCGTGCATCAATTTTAGCAGGGGAATGTCCACTGAAAATGCTGCGATCAGGGAGTCTCACGGAAAGAGACGCTAGTTGGCGAACCTGCTGATCTAAATATGGTAGGGAGGCGATGACTTTTTCGACACGCCAAAGTTCTGACATCTCAGATCGAGAGATGACACTGAGTGTAAAAACAGGTTCCTCGTCGAGGGGTTTGGATACCATATAGCTATTTCTCGATGGTCTAAGTCGTGAAGAAGAAACTCTCACTTGAATCACAGGAAGAGCGTTCGGTGGCAATAGTAGACCTGGATATTCATCTGATACCAATCGCTTAGAGATACTCAGCTCGGGGAACCATGGAGATCTGGGACTTTTATCTATCTTAACGGTAGGGTCCATGGTCGGAAGATGGTTCCCACGAGGAAACTGTGCTGGGTAGTTACCGGCTCGGGGAGAGAGAGGAAGGCCAGGAGTATTGTATGCTTGTCCCGTTGACGAAGCTGCCATGGCATTCAAATCTCTGGGCATGCGAGGTAAAGGAGAGCCAAGGGGTCGATCTTCTGGCCTTGGACTCATTGGTAACCCGGGACTCTTAGGCATGGAGGCGTAAGGCCGGACATTCAAAGTGGTGAGTTTTGGGTTAGAATTCAGAACCGATCCTATAGTCCCAGAACCACCAACGTTTGGTGGTGATCTCGTAGCCAAATTGCGGGGGGCCATCTCTGGATCCACAGATGTAAAAGATCCAATTCTGGCAGTACCCACTGAGCCCTTATTTTCAACATCTTTCGTCTGAGCAGCCTCACGGTCTCGGTCATCCTCTTCTCGAGTCTTTCTTCTTCCGCGGTCGTCGCGATCCGTACTTGGTATGTCCGCATCGCCGTAATCAGATTCCGAGTCGAGGTATGTGGGTTCTTCACAGGTATTATCGTCTAACCGTAAGTTCAAAGGAGCAGGGGGTGGCTTGCGACTTGGATGTGGAAGCTTCCCGTCGCTCTCAGTTGGAGAAGGTATATCACTGGACGGGCTGAGACCTGCGCCATCTTCAATCAGTATTCGAGCGCTCGTAGAAGGTGGTACTATTGACGGCTGATCAATCGGAGGTCTTTCGTCTTTTCGCTCTGTCTCTGGCTCTGGTTTGGCCTGGATACCAGAATTGGCTAGAGCTGTAACGGTTGAAAGGGGAGGTGTTAGGTCTTGTAGCTCTTTAACTTTCTTTTTGTACTTCTCCTTCTCCTTGAACGCACGTTCCAGATCCTTATTGAGACCCAGGATAAGCGTTCTCTGCTTATCAACCAACTTCCAAAGCTGAGAGTTTTGGGAAGCTGCATGATGCTTCTCCTTCAAAAGATGCACAATAACAGCCTCCGCAGAACCAGCAGCGTTGATGAGATGACTGATATCTGCCTGACTAAGGGCTTTGACATCGAATGAGGATTTGTGAGACGCCGAAGATAAAGAGGATATTGCAGAGTCAATCGACGAAGTACGAGGCATAATGCGATGACTTGGACGGTCTCCAGGTAACGAGCTCACTGGGGATGATGCAGAGGGATCGGGCTCAGCAGCACCAGGCGGGTTGGGGATATTATTTCCAGTCCTCGAAGTAATCTCCGACTCCGTCCCGCTTGTATCTGGCGATTGAGACATGGTAGTGTTGGACGGAAGTACTGGGAATGGCGCATTGGCTACACGAGATACAGTGAATCTGCTCTGGTTCTGAGGGGACGAGTTGGTGCTAGATCGGAGGGAGAGCGGACTGGAGGACGGAGAGAAGTCCCCATGTAGAAATGATTGAGGTAAAGAACTGGTGTGTAGAGGCGAGGGGGATATATGACGAGGGTCTGGACGAGAAGGCCCTCGTGCTAAATGATCCTGCATGGGACCTATAGGTGTATATGCGGGTTGTGGAAGATCATCTTCTAGTCGCGACATAATTTTCAGTTACACATTAGGGTCCAGAGGGGTGCAAAGATCCAAGGGGGGTCAGTGGGAGGAGAGGCGGGATAGCGGGTCATCGGAAGCTGAAGCTTACCTATGAGGGGAAGGGGGGGGGTGGTTTAACAGAATAAAGGGGGTTTGTCTCAGCCGAAACCACAAACTTTCGATATTACATGTTATGCCCTATAGTATAATTCAAATGAAAAGGGGGAAAGAAAATAGAAAAATAAAAAGAATAAAACAAAGGGAGGGCCCTTTCAATATGTACTCTGTTTATTAGCTTCATTTCTCACTCAACTTCCAAATAAGCAGGTTTTTTCTTTTCTTTTTGTTTTGTACATTGTTAGTTATCCACAGGTGGATTAGTATCCACTTTAGCTCCTAAAATTTAGCGTATGGAGTATGTAGTACTATTTGTAGTACTAATCAATGTTGCCGGCGTAAATATCACGAAATATCATGAAACATCGTACTGGAAAAGATGGCACAAAGACTGTTTTGGTTTGCTATGGTTTCATCTTTCACTCCTATACTATAAAATTTTAGTGAGTATCTCTCGAGAATGTACTACACTTGAAAGAGAAGATTTATACTTATATCGTCAGAATAGCAATAGATGGAGATGACTTCAGAAACAAAACAGTCGAAGAGATGGGAAGGGAATCGTGGAATGCACCCAGAGACTCCATATATGCAACCGTTACTATAATACAGAATCCCCACAACGCCAAAGCCGGTGGCCACCAGCATGAACAAAACTGCGTAGAGCGATAGAGATGTACAAATCATGCAATGTTACCCGCCATACCCATAAAAATAGCTTGAGCAGCTAGCTGAAGAGACCAAAATCCAACCTTTTTGAATCGTCTGATGCGGGCTTGGTCGTCCACAACATCTCGAGCAAATGCATCGTAAGTCTGGATAGATTATTAGCTGTAGCAAAAAAGAACGAAAGAAGAGGAGAAAACACGTACCGCAGCCGACAAGTCATCCATCAAACTACTGTCGAAGACGGTCCAGCTACCATCAAAATCACTGACGCGCTTCACCAGACGGCAGTTGATAGGAATGAATGTACGCTTCGAGTTGATATACGCGACAATTGGTCGGATCAAGGCGTTGTTGATGTATGAAAGATCTCGAGTAAAAATTGGGACGACGGCTCGGACGTTGTTGAGATTAACACGTAGGTCCATGACAAGGAATCGTTTGTCAGTGTCTGAAACAATACCAAAATCCATTTGGGCTTGCTGAGGAGAATCCGAGGACTGATGCGAAGTTACGGTGGCTTCTAAGCGGTCATAGAAATCAGCCATCACCTTGGCCAGACTCTCGTCATTCTCAGCAGGGAACATGATATCAGCCACAATGTCGACGGTTCCTTCGTGAATCCATGAGAAAGGCCCTTGTACACCACGATTAAGATGATCAATATTAAGCCCATCAACCCGAATCCTACTGTGCTTTTTCCAGGGATTGGGTTTGCCATGTTCGTCCAATTCTTCATTTAACCGGTTCCCAGAGAAGCCGTGGGATTGACGGGGGTGGATGGTAAATAGGGAGTTGTCATAGGAACCCGACATCATGTTTGCAGAGAGGAAATCATAGAAAAGCCATTGCTTTCGTAGCTGAGGCAGATCACAAGAGAATATGCTAATGGAGAAGGGTCTGAAGTTGTCAGGTTGGTAGACCGTTACTAGAACATCATGCATCTTGAACGAGTCGATTTCAAAGTCACCAGAGTTATGTTCATGTCGGTAAGACTTGGGATCCAAGAGTTCCTCTGGCCAGAAAACATGCCGGCGATCGACGACGCCTCTGATTCCTTTCACTTCAACATCCCGGAGTGGGCCCTTTCCATTGAACCATTTCGTGAAGGATAGGGTGACATTGACGGTTTCAATAGAGACATCAAATTGCGTGTAATTTGTATCTTCTTCTTCAGGATCCTCAGACTCAAGATCACCTCGGGCTGCAGCTGCAGCTGCAGCGGTCTTTGAGGAGCCCTTGGTGACATGCCCGGCGCCTTGACCAGGTCGCCTCGAAACGAAGACATTTTTGAATGTAATGACACCATTTTTCCATTTAGGCACAATGGCAGATTCAAAGACAACCTTTACACCAGATGACTTGGTGAGATAGTTTCCCACCCATCTGGCAAGCGTTTCTGTTACATGTCAACCAAATAAAATCATGAAAATTGGAGCGTGCGTACATACCCTGCGCGAACACGGTGTTGATGGCAAATATCAAAATCGAGAAGAAAGTTGTAGTTCCGACCACAATCCAGACAACGTGTCCCAAAATTACCCATGAGAAAAGTGCTGTGATCTCATCCAAATTGAAAGGCCGCACGCTTCGAATGGAAAACCACTTGAACCGGACCTTCAAGCGCGACCAAAAGCCTGTTGCTGCAGACAACAATTCTTCCTTAGTAGGTCTATGTAGATGGGGCATGTGAGGAAGACGATCCATGAAATGAAAATTAGGATTTGTCGATGGATGTTGATCTTGCGACTTGGAATCATGGGAGATCGTCGGATGGGGTTTGTCTTGATTTTGAACATTATGCTTGGAATTGTTATTTGGGGGTAGTTGAGAATTATTAGAAGCGTATCGACCGTCTTTCGGAGAATATAGTGCTCGTTTCCAGATAGTTGGAAATGTTGTCTTGTTCAAGGGTATTATGCATGCCGCGCTATTCTTGTCAACTGCTGCAGAGCTTGGGGACATGAAAACAAAGAAGCCCCCAGAAGCAAAACGTTTAGTGATCTGGGTCGATTTTGTGCATGTCGACCATCGTCGGTTGACAAAAAGTGAGTCGCAGACTTTCCTCGACGGATCGGCAGTAATAAGAGTTGATCGTATGCAGCCATTGAAAGGATTGGCTTCCCAAAAATGAGCATATAACCGGCGTCCAAAGTTGACGGACATATTTGCCATCACATCCTGTGACGATAATGAGTGTCCGAGACGCGGGAAGCTTGGATATTTGAGTCCTATGAAATCATCCGGATGTTTGTATTGTTTGCACTATAGTATAAGCCCACAGCAGTACTTTTTTCGGCGAGGGGCGCCACTGATAAATTTTACGATAACAGATTCCCGCCTCAATTTTTTTTCCCTTTTTCCAACAGCAACAGCTCCACTTCCATTGACACACACATCACATCATGTCTGCTCCAACAGCGCTTCGTCAGCCTGAAGCTCCAGAATGGCAACCTGCACAAATTCCTGGTTAGTACAGATGAGTTCGTGATTCTATTTCCACTCGCTTACCCTCAACAGACCAGGACGATGAAGTTTTGATTGACGCACAGGCTGAGCCAAATGTCTTGAATCCTGTGATGGATTCGGCCGAAGACAATGAGATGCGCATCGATGAAGAGGGTCGCCCAGTCTTTACCCCGGCGCAAGAGACCAACACCGCATATCGTATTGAGACTCGAAAGGTCCCTGTACCACCGCACCGGATGACACCACTCAAAGCCAACTGGGTTAAGATCTGTCCTCCTATTGTTGAGCACCTCAAGTTGCAAGTTCGGATGAATGTGAAGAGTCGGTCAGTAGAACTGCGGACCTCCAAGTTTACCACCGATGTGGGAGCGCTCCAAAAAGGTGCCGATTTCGTCAAGGCATTCACTCTCGGCTTTGATATCGATGATGCTATTGCTCTTCTACGGCTGGATGATCTTTATATCGAAACCTTTGAAATTAAGGATGTGAAGACCCTTAACGGAGAACATCTTGGTCGTGCTATTGGACGTATTGCGGGCAAGGACGGAAAGACCAAGTTCGCTATCGAGAACGCCAGTCGGACTCGAGTTGTGCTTGCTGACTCAAAGATTCACATTCTGGGTGGATTTAAAAATATCCACATTGCTCGCGAGGCTATTGTTAGCCTTATCTTGGGTAGTCCTCCAGTAAGTGGGATGAATATCTGGTCATTAATTCTATGCTAATGTAAAAATAGGGCAAGGTCTATGGCAACCTTCGGACAGTTGCTTCACGAATGAAGGAACGCTTCTGACCACTTCGTCTTTCTATCAATTTATATTGGCATGGTACAGGCGTTTCGGAATATCTCATCTGGGCTTTCTTTTTCAAAATACTATATCCGCGTCACGACTTTCAAGATCCCATCTTGAATAAAAATTCATGTTACAGAAGTGCAGTCGAAAGATATCAAAAATAGTTCCATTTCCTCATAATAGAATGCTATTGTAGACAACAGCCCCATATTCTAATCCTTCTTCAGAGGGTGGAACACTTCCTCGATTCCATTTTTGGTGATAATCAGCATTTGCAAGTTATCACCAACCTCGATATGACGTTCCACGGCACTTGTGAAGGCATCCCGAACCAACCGTTCAACTGTCTCGCGGGGGAGAGGCTCGGCCTTTTTAGGTTCCAGTGCGTGACCTTCTCCACTACCAGGGATATATTGGTTCTTGAAGTTGACCTGGTTATCCAGGAAAGGCATGATCAAGCTGGATGCCGCACCTGCAGCGCGACATTGCTCGCGCTCGTACGAACCCACGGGGTCGTAACTGTACAGAGCTCCTTTGCCTTCTTCATCCAGACCGGCCAAAATGGCGTGCACATAGTAAGGAAAGAAACGCTTGCCGTAGAGAATTGTGGACAATCGTTGAGCACAGGCCGAGACGGACATGGCCTTTCCGTGCTGGTACTTGTACATCTTCACCACAGCGTCCAGTCGTTCCTTGAGGGCAGTACCGTCGGCAGCGAAGCCAACTACTGAGAGAAGAATTTGGGCTCCCTCGCCGGTCTCATCATCGCCACCAATTTTGAAAACCTTTGGAACCATGCGAGAGTTGATACTGTATCCTGATGTGGAGCGGGTGTCGCCAGCGAGGATTGCGAAATCAGATCCTGTGATGCCTAGGGTCGAGCCACCGTTGTCGGTATATCTAGCAACAAACAATTAATTCAGGCGATAATTTATAGTATATTGGATAGCTTCATACGGGTAAAATCCATGCTGTCGAACAGGAGCAGCTGTTGGTTCGGAGAAGGAGTATCCGAGGGCCTGGCGAGATGGGTCCAGGAGCGACGTCATTATGGCAGGAAAAAACTTCGTTCTTGAGTATGTATCTGTAGGAGAGTTTTGAGATAAGATGGAGGAGAAAAGCAAGAAGAAAAAGCTATTGAAAATTGGTTGAAGGAGCAATGAAGATGGTTTCTTGTGTCTGACGCGAATGTCGGTAGCTACCTGCGCTTATGTAACGCAGCTCGCCAGGCCCACGCCGCCCGAAAGTTCAAGTCTCCGAGTCGGTCTCCAAGCATTTGTCTTTTACAATTGCAATCTCTTGCTACACAGCGAAACTACTGTTAACTCAAGTTATTAACCATCACTCACATAGCTTTTGAATCCTCCAGTGATTCAGCTTCAGTGATAGAAACCAAGCTCCAAAGTTCAAACATCATGCTCGGTCTCGTAGCATACGACAGCAGTGAGGATGAGGTAGAGACCAAGGTACCCATAACACAGGTAGAGCCTTAAAATTATTGCATCGAAACATTACATTCTGACGCTCATTGGTTAGCGAGAGGAAGAGCTCCTTGTCGTTTCGTCCCAAGACGGTACAGCCAAAGGTGATTTCAACTTTCATTCACTTTTTGTACCAGTCTGTTACGATCAAGGCTAACATTTTAACTGCCCCAGACCTGCCATCCAATATTAATATTCAAATTCAACCCAAATTGAGTGGTAGTGCAGAGGCCCCAAGTGGTCCTGTTTTAGGTCCCGCAGCTATAGACCAAGCCCCGTCCCCAGAAGGCCCTTCCACAAGTGGCCGCTCTTCGCCTTTCTCAGCATCTAGAGCTCTCATTCAAAACTTGACACTCCCTTCAATACCAAATTTGGACATTCCCGAGTCGCCCCCAGGATCTCCAGATCTAGCTGTGAATGCCAAGTTCGAGCATTTTCTCTCTCTGAAAAAACAAGGTGTACATTTCAACGCGAAGCTGGCCAGCTCATCTTCATTGAAGAATCCCAGCCTATTGATGAAAATGATGCAACACGCAGGGATTGATGAGGGGTGCCAGTACGATACATCATTGCCAGAGGAGTTATGGAGCACCTATAACCTGCCCAAGTGGGGCTTCAAAGAAGAACTACTCAGGGCGCAACAAGTTCGACAGAACATGGACGACAAAAAAGCATCTGGTCAGAGATCTTCCATTGAATTTGTCGCAGGCTCGTCTGCAAACCCTAGTCACTGAGTATCTGATTCAGAACCGAAGCGAAAAGGATAGTCGACTGATCTGGCTCGTTCATTAAATGCTACCGAAGGTTCTAAGCTATCCTATCTGAAGACCTACCTTTGGTGACATGAATTTACACTCAATACCATGACTGCGCTGGGATACTTCTGCAATTGTCAAGCGAATATCATTTACAAGACTCCTTGCTCACTTTGAGCGCGTTGGAAGGCCTTAGCCTTGTTGGCATCCCCAATATTGATATTGGTATGCTGCAATCTTTTGCCATTCAAATGACCGTGTTTCTCGGGTATTATTTTCCTTTCTGCGCAAGGGTTAGCATCTTAAATCGACCGGGTATTCTTCACACCAACCCGAGATTGAAGGATCCAGAGGCCAGGAACCTGCATATTGCCGCGATGGGGGCTTCTAGTCGATGCTGTCTTGGGCGCATAATGATACCAGGTCTTTCTCGGTAGCAGGCGTGCATCCTCCTATGGTACTGATTCGCCTCATATCTGATTTGATTGCGACTGGAGAAGCTCATGTGGATGCCCAAGTGCGAGGACCCATGTTCATGATGGACTAATTCAGTAGAAGCTGTAGCCATTCTACAGAATGAGAAACAATAAATGGAACTATCATTCAAGAAGGCCTATGTTTCTGTACTCTTCCCATTTATTAAGGTAGATCTGTGCCTCGGAGTCTTTAAGTTGTTCCAAAGAGTGACAAATTAAAAAATACATGAATTGACAAGAAGCAGCCAATTGTCAGAAAAGTGCAATGAATTTAACATATCATCTTAATAGATTATGAATATTCTTATAATTTCAGCTCTCCAAAATACCCGATGTTTACTGTAGTAACTATTGGGAAAAGCACATGACTACAATGCTTGGTCACGTGCAACCAGAGCTGTCAGCTTCGCCTGTCTGGAGCTTCGTCGTCATCGCTCAAACCCCCGTAGCCCTCATCTCGCCTCTTCTTTTTTTCATACCAACTTTATCTTCTATATCTCTATTTGATTCATAATGGACCACTTTCCAGGAACTTGGGGCCGTGTGAGTTCCATCGATATGCCCCCTTCCAACGCCGAACTTGCTAACGACCTGACAGCCTAGAAATGATGTTTACGGAGCTTACAACCCATCATATCTTCAGACTACGGGTCCGAAGGCACATACATCATCGCCAGCCGTGACAGGAACATCAGTAATTGGTGTCAAGTTTAACGGCGGTGTCGTTCTGGCCACCGACAACCTAGGTACGCATCGCGTCTGTCAACCTGCGGTAATCAACTTCTAATGTGTAACTTTATTATGTAGCATCATACGGATCTCTGGCACGCTTCACCGATGTCAAGCGTCTGCGAGTTTTCGGCGACAAGGCTGTTGTCGGCTTCGGTGGAGATGTCTCCGACATGCAACACATTGACCGTCTACTCGAATCGATCGATATCCGAGAGAACTACTCGAATCACGGCAACATGCTTAACGCCAAGAACCTGCACACCTACCTCGCCAAGGTCTTCTATAAACGGCGGTCTGATTTCAACCCGCTGTGGAACCATGTTCTCGTTGCCGGGTTCGACGCCGAAGGAAATCCATTCCTTAGCTCAGCGGATTTGCTGGGAACAACATTTTCCGGTCCTCACCTAGCCACCGGATTTGGTGCCCACCTCGCCGTCCCGATCCTGCGGCGCTTGTTTCCCGAGGAGAAGCCGATCGAAGAGATTACCAAGGAGCAGGCTGTTGCCGCTCTGAAGGACTGCCTGAAGGTTCTCTTCTACCGAGACGCACGCAGCACGGACAAATATTCGATAGCAGTGATTTCTCAGGATGGTATTGAGTTGCACGAGGATGAGCAGATCGAAAGTCAGAGCTGGGCTTTTGCCGAGCGGATCAAGGGTTATGGTGCTCAGACAAACTAGATATGTTCTGTATTTTTCTCACTTGAAGTTACCAAGTGAATCTGAAATGGAAAAGATAACATTGAATTTCATATGTGCGCGCTTATACAAAGGTAATTGTATGAGGACCGATATCTACAATGGGGTTTCTAACTGGTCGTTACAACTTGGATGCTGGTCTCTCGTAGACAACACGGTTCACACATGAGCCAACACTAGAGGGAAGAGACAATTAGAACAATTCAACAGACAATGCTGTCAAGGACTCACCCTTCTAACGAGACCTCAACTTGGTCCCCGTCCTTTAGCCACAGAGCGGGCTTTCGGCCCATACCCACACCTTGGGGTCTACACAAGCAGTGTTAACAGATACTGATTTCACTTCCAAGTTTATATCTTGGTGAGAGCTGCACTTACGTTCCAGTGAAGATCAGGTCTCCCGGGAGGAGAGTGGTTCCCTGGGACAAGAAGGCGATGGTCTTTGCCACGCCAAAGATCATATCCTTTGTAGATGATGACTGAACCGTTTTCCCATTCAATGTGGTTGAGATTTGAAGATTGTTGGGATCAGGAATAATCTTGGAGGACACGATGCCAGGTCCAAATGGCGCCCAGCCGTCGAAACCCTTCCCTAGTCCCCACTGGCCTCCACCACGCTTGATCTGCCAGTCACGGTGAGAGACGTCATTACCGACAGCATACCCGAGGACGTAGTCCAGAGCTTTGCTCTCTGGAACACTCTTGGCCTCCTTGCCAATCACGGCAACCAACTCACACTCGTAATCCAGTCCCTCGCCCTCCTGTGCAAGAAATGAGACAGGAATGTCATCGCTGGGACCTGCAACAGAGGTGACAGGTTTGTAGAACAGCACTGGGTAAGTAGGCAAGGGCATATTGGATTCCTTTGCGTGCTGCTCGTAGTTCAATCCCAAGCAGCGCACAGTCCCGATATCTTTACGAGCCAGTGGAGAGAGAAGCATTCGCACCTCGGCAATCTGGTCAGTGACCTGGTGCTGGCCAAAGATATCGCCCCTGATGACTTTTGCCTGTGTAGCCTTGGATATGTCATTCACGCCAAATGGGAGCAGAGCATCACCATAGTAGACATGACCATCCTTGGCCAGGAACCGGACAAGACGCTTGGTAGTCAGTATATATATATCCAAAGTTCAGATTATTTCCAAGTGGAATTATTGAATATAATATATTCCTTGAGCTCGGTTCTAAGGTTGTAGGTATTGAGTACTCACAGAAAAGGTAGCCATTGCTGAGTAGTATATACGTATATAGAAGGTGTCGGTGTTGAGGTTCCAACTTCCCCACTGGAATTCGGCCGGTAAAGGAACTCCTCGGCAGAAAACGGACTTTTAAGTATTCCCCAACTACAACATCACATCATGGCTAGGCTATCCGGCCTCCAACGGGATGTCTTGTCTCTGTACCGTCAGTGTCTAAGGGAAATTCAAAAGAAGCCAGTGGTAGGTCTCCATCTCTTCTGTATACCGATACCCACTGATCATTTATCTTTAGGAATCAAGAGACAATTTCAAGAGCTATGCTCGGTATGTTCATTTCTAAGTTACCTAGGTATCCAAGGGATATATATATCAGGACTGACCAGGTTCCTAGGGCTGAATTTGAAAAGTATCTCTCAGTGAATAAGAAAGACTTCAACACCGTGGAATATCTCCTGCGCAAGGGCAACCGCCAGCTAGAGATGTATGCGTCCCCGGGTATTCGGAATATCCGATAGTGCCCAGCTGGGATATCTGAACTGAAACTCCCGAGGTCGACTTGGGCTACTTCTCAGATGTGACCTCGTGAGTATCTCGTTTCCCCCATTCTATCCGCTTGACCCATGATTGAGAGAAGAATCAGACTATATCCGAGCTACTTCATATGTATGATATCTAACGTGATAAAGTAGGAAAAGGTTGCAAAGAATATAGATGAGACTGTCGGAGGACTGCCTAGGTACATCTTATGAATTCAATTGGTCAGAGGGAACCATTTATATCGGACTGAAGTATGTATAATATGAAAAATTAGATGAGGAGTCGTCACCTATAGCATCAGAGGAATACTCTAGATACTACCACTTACTTCTACTTACCTAATAGTAGAAATAGAATAGTTAAAAGAAGACACTCGAATCTGCGACTGACTTCCCGCCACTTCTGACCAATCATCTCGACGTATATATAACATCAGATTTCTATGTCGAGAGAATATCAGATCAACTTCAAAATAATATCTTTCTATATCTTGAAAAGAATCAAAATCCTCCACAATGACCTTCATGTCTTGTACCTCAGACTTCAAGCCGCTTTTTAGGCTTCTCGACGAATATGAGACCCACCGATCGCGCCCCGCTCATCCCACTTTCACTCCAGCTTTCGATGTACGGGAATTTAGCGATAGCTACCATCTAGATGGAGAGCTACCTGGAGTGGATCAGAACAACATCGATATTGAGTTCACCGACCCACAGACTCTCACTATCAAAGGGCATACCGAACGCCACCAACCATCCACTCCGTCTACACCATATACACCATATACACCTCGGTGGCGTCAACCCACAGTCGAAGATGATGAGAATGAGGATTCCGATTCAAATTCCGACTCAGTTCCCAATCACAGTGAAACTGACACGGCTAAGAAAACCAAGTTCAAGGCTACCAAACCAGCCAAGTCAGCCCAGCCTTCTTTCCATTACTGGGCATCGGAGAGATCCATTGGTGAATTCCAACGCACCTTTAACTTCTCCGCACGTGTGGATCAGAACGAGGTACGTGCGACTTTGAAGAATGGCATCTTGTCGGTGATTGTACCCAAAGAGGTAGCACCCAAGACGAAGAAGATCCGGATTCAATGAGGCGTTCGATATACGTAATCATCTACAATCATATAAGCGAGAGTGCATCATGCAAATATATCTACTACAAGGTTATAAATAATACTCCAGTACCTCCTTGCATGGAGAGGTCTGTTCTTCGGAGCTTCCAAGGTTCTAGGCCACGCGGTGTAGACGTGGACGATGTATGACTTGGCAGTTGGCAACTGCAGTTGAAGTGCATAATCTCTCATTATCATCAAATTTCAGGCGCTGAACTAATGTGACATCACGAATGAAATAAATCAAGGAAAAATAAATCAAAAGAAAAAAAGGAAAGAAAAGAAAACATTCAATGAGGGTATACCCAGCAATAGACTCCAAAAGTCCCAACACCATAGCTTTGCTTTAGCTTTTTTCTGTAACGCCAGGATAAAATCAGATAACTCCAAACTTCAAGTATTAAAGTTTCAAAAACTTCATATCGTAAAAGTGAAAAAAAGGAAAGTGTCGTATAATATGTGGAAAGGTGGGTTTCAAGGCCGCACATGGCGATAGTCTTGGTTGCGAGATCGACGGGGATCAGTATAGCCTCTATCGGTTTCGCCATTGATAAGGTCGGGAGATACTATTGTGGGGAGAGAAGGTGCCATGCCTGGTCGCCGATACCTACTGGCGATATGTTTCTCCGCATATCCAGTAGAAGGTCGGGAAGGGACCTGAGCCGCGTACTCGGTATATCGAGGAGCGCAGAGTGTAGATCGGCGGGATCGAGACCCGACAACAGTGGTCGGATCACTGGAGTCATACCAGCGATTAGTAGTAGTAGGATTGAGATCTTGACTAAGATGACGAGATTTGTCGTCGAATCGGTCCAAGACCATAACATTCTTGCCGCTGTCAGCAACAGATGAGCTGGCTTGTGAATCAATTGATCCACGGGTCTGGCTGCGCTGAAATGAGCAAACGGATGCAGCCGAGCTATAACCGCTGTCGGTTTTGTTGTTTGATTGGGAGGTACGTCGAGAATCCTCGGATGCAATCTTATCGATGAGACCATCGTGATACATGGAAATGCCTTCGTCTTCAACCTCCCTGGGAAACCCGCGTGATCCAAAAGGTACTGTGATGATGGGAGATTTCTCAAAGGAGAACGGACTTCCGGGATAGTCCTCTTGCTTTTTCGTGTCCAGAACAGGGATTTCCAGAGTGGTGCGTTCGTTAGGAGATGGATTGACAACCCGTAGAGATCCCAGCTTCAACGCTCCCAATTGAGTGTATTGAGTATCGGTAGGGCTCGACGGGCGGATGTGAGGGGCGGCCGGGAGCGATTTTTGTCGCGGAGGAAGTGGCCATTGTAGAGCATCGGACTCAACAAACTCATCAGCATAGTCCCCAAGGGAAGAAGGCAAGAGAGGGATCTGGCCTGCAGTCCGTCGAGTTGCCACTCCAGGACGTGTGAGAAGGGATCGGCGGCGAGTCAGGGAGAAGCGCTGGTTGCCCACTAAGAAATGGGTGTTGGAGGCAGCCGCATCGGGATTCTCATAGATCCTACTCTGATGTTTCTGATTGGCCTGGAAAGAATTGGCTCTCCTCAACGGCTCTGAATAACCAGTTGAAGGTCTTCGTGCGGAGCGCGTAAAGGAGAAAGAACGGGAATTTGGTGAAGGAGGCTCCCAATTCAGGTCATTGATATTGTGAATTGAGCCTGGAGTTGGAGTCTCAGCAATGCTTTGGCCCGGTGAGACAGGCTCAGTCTCATAAACAGTTGGAGGGATCTCTCCTCGTCTGGGATAATTGCTTCTTCCACTTTCTGAAATGGAGGATCCCACCCAAGGGTTCTGCCATCCAATCAAGCCGGAGCTTAGCTCTTGCGGGTCATTAGGGCTGGGTAGAACAGGGGAGCTCAAAGCAGCCAGCTTCTTCTTGGTCAACGGTTTTGAAAGGCGATTGCAACGCCGTTCATCTTTGGAGAGAGTTGACTGAGAATTTCCCATGGCTGGTATATATTTTCTTGAAGGATTCAACAGAGGTCAAAGCATGGGGTAAGGACGTAGTAATATAGCAAATGTCTCTCAACAGGCTTTCATTCAAGGACTTTTTGTTTCTTTTTTATTTTTTATTTTTAATTTTTCGTTTCGATCGGGAATCCGGACAATTGACGTCAAATAGGGCCAAAGATTGCAGAATCTGAGCAAACTCGTGCGACGGCCGTATTTAAAATCAGTGCAATTGGCGGCTGAAGGACTTCCCGTGCGGAGTTGATGGAGTCGTGGGGCCGTGTTTCGGAATGAGAAGTCTGATGATGAAGTTGAAGATGAAGATGAAGATCAAGATGGAGATATATGGGTCTTATTTTGGACTTCTTCGGTAGTAAAAGGGGGGTAGAACTGATAGTTCTGGAGGGGTACGTATAGTATTATATACCGATTGACTTGGGGCTGTGATGGTTGAAGGATGTGAAAAGGGAAAAAAAGAAGACCCCAAAAAGCGGAAGTCTATACAAACCTTGAGATGGTGAAACAACAAAACCAGGGAAATGACTAAAATGCAAGATGAAAAAGGAAAATAGTCAGTACCTTGGGAGGAAGACCAAGCATAATAACCTGAGACCAAGGCAGTTTTAGCCTCTCTAGACTGCATTCAAGTTAAGTACGTTCAAATCGGAAATCGGAAATAATAACAATAATAACTGCATGCAGCTTAAGTGGATATGATTGGCTCGGACCTTAGCCGCAAGCGGGAATGAACTTGATATACTGGATTACTAAGTATCTGGTACTTCTGTCTCTATATGGTACCACCTAACATTCCAAAGTACCTTGGACTTTGGTATCGAACGAGAACAACCTCATTGTCCGTCTTCGTCAATACTACGGAGTACTCCGTACTAGACCTACCTTACGTGGCCCCCTCCTCTAGGATCCCCCAGGCCCAACTAAAGAATCCCCCCTAACTATTCTTAAAAATAATACCCCCAAATTCCTAAATCGCTATCTAATTTCCTGAACTCCCCGTTAAATCCTTTAAAAGTCGGAACTCGGAGGGAACGGGAGGAGCACACCCCACAATATTCATCTGTCTCTATCTGTCTCTATCTGTTCTCTATCCCCTCCCCGGAACACGGAGTTAAACCCCCCCTGGTCTCCACCATGGCGTGCCAGAGCTTGTCCGCATGGCCTTTGCTTAACCTGCAAGAGTTCCATCATGCTTGTCAGGCCCTCTTGCTTCAATCCCAAAGTACCGGAGCTTGGTCCGTTCGACTTGTCACACATGTATGTCCCTCTACATTCTTCTTCTCGACCCCTCCCTGCTTCACTGCATTCTGTAACTTGATCGAAACAGAATGGTGACACGTATTGGCTAGAATGGTACAAGCCTCAGAATCACACAGTGCATGGATGTGGTGCTTCCAGATGAGCCCACCGACCTCCAAGAACTAGTGGAAGATGATCCGGTGCGGTTGAACCCCATTCTACACCGGCCTTTCTTCCAAGGTTAGGTCTAAAATACATTAACTTATAGGAAGCTCTCATTCGCATTGATCGCAATCCAACATTACACATAGATTATGATATTGTACTCTCCCCAACATATCAAGTCCCGATCTTGTACTTTGCTCTTCGTTGGATCAACTATGATGCCCCTATCGGGCTGGATGCGGTCTATCGGTATGTGGTCCCCGCTCACTATCAATCCGAATTGAAGAATGTTGGAGTCATGGGTGGAATCAGTATGGGCGTAGGTGCATCCTCCAAGATTACAAGAAAGAAACGACAAAGTTCATGTCTTCATAGTATCATCCGATATCTGGCACTCCGGCCTTTTTCATACATCCATGCAACACAGCAGAAGCTATGGCTCAAATTGCAGGACAGAACGTCACTCCTGGGCTATATCTTCTCCTCTGGCTCGGTCTCGTGGGGCATTGTGTTAACCTGCACGTTCCACGCGAGATGATTACTGATAGTACCGGTACATCTGGAGACACCTTGCTAAGAACCGACCAGAGGAAAGACACTGAAACATCGCAAGTTCAAGAAGCACATACTATTTTAAGTAGGCCTGGCCCTCATCGATCAGCTTGAGTCAGGCCAAAAGTATTTTCGTCTCATACGCGCGAACCAAATGACCAAACACATATCCAGCCAGGGTGTGAAGATACTTGGACATTATTGAGTCATTCCCTAAGGTCAGGAAATGACCGGAGGAAAGTAAGAGACTGAACCGTCGCAAGTTCGGGAGGCAGATGATTTCAAAGTAAGCCTGATCTTCGATTAGCTTTCAAGCTTTCAAATCAGGGCCAAAGTATCCTCGTCCCACGCGCACGAACCATCCAATCAAACTCCCATATGTAGCCCAGAGCACTTGCGCCGAAGGCTGAAGATACTAAAATATTATTAAGTTATTCCTCATCAGAGGCCTCCATAGAAACATCACTATCCTCATCCATTGGCGCGTCATCTTCGTCACTCTCCTCCTCGCGAGGTCGCTTGAGACCCTGGCCCTCGCCGTTAACCGTGTTTACCACACCCACTGCGGGTCGCGTGGGAATCGTGCCAGGTGGGCCACTGAAAATGGACTTTTGTAGATCGGTCGACACTCCAATAGGTTCGGTGGAAGCCGAAGGTACAGCGTATGTGCCCCGGAGCTTTGCAATGATATTTGATGAGCCCTTCGCGTAGGCAATGCTCTGCAAATGAATTAGTATCTGAAAAAAAAAAAAAAAACGAACATCCCGAAGCTGTGACAAGACACACCATTTCTTTGCCGAAAAACTCAAACCCTTCAAGTGAGCGCAATGCTTGTGTGCTAGCTTGTACATCTCTAAAGACGACGTGGGCCTGGCCTCGCATTTTGGGGGTGTTCAAGGCCACAACATCGAGGACGGTGCCATAGGTTGAAAAAAGGGTGTAAAGTGATGAGCGCAGGTCGGACTTGCGAAGTTTATCAGGTAAATTGGTACAGTAGAGTCTAAAGAAATCAGCATCTCATATCATATCGCAATGGGAGAGATCTGACGTTTGATTCGGAGTTCCCACTTTCTTGGGATCGAAAGCTCGAGTTCCAACTTGGGTGGCCATGATGTTATTGAAAAGAAAAGGACCTGGAAATTGTTCAAGATTTGAGGAGAAAATGCTGGTGAAGAAAGTAAGAATGGAGCTTGGTGGGTTGAATGTAAGCCGACTTCTCCAAACCCAAGAAAAGAAATGGGTCGGCTCAGGTCATGTGACTTGATAATAAGTAGCGTCATCCCGCACTTCCCTAACTCCCCTCATCAACAACATCTATATCGACGGTAGAGAGCTCCTCCTGTCGTACTTTTAATATGGCCTCCCCTCAAGCCCACCACCTCTTTCATGCTCCAATTGCTGACCATTCGTTCTCCTCTGACCGACAGACGCTTGCTGTCGCTCGGGAGAACAACCTGGAACTGTACCAAGCATCAGGCAGCAAGTTCTCGCTGAGCGATGAACTCAAGGGCCATGAGAAGACCGTTACTAGTGTTGACATTGCTCCGAACAGCGGTCGAATTGTCACTTGCTCACAAGGTGCGTTGTCCAACGCCCCACCCCCTCAATCCGTGGACTAAATCCGAATCACTCCATAGATCGCAATGCCTACGTCTGGGAAAACACCCCCTCCGGCTGGAAGCCCACCTTGGTCCTTCTTCGAATCAACCGCGCTGCAACCTTCGTCCGATGGTCCCCCTCTGAACAGAAGTTTGCTGTCGGCTCCGGAGCCCGCGTTATTGCCGTTTGCTACTTCGAGGAGGAGAACGACTGGTGGATCTCGAAACACTTAAAGAAGCCTATTCGCAGCACAATTACCACACTTGCTTGGCATCCGAACTCTGTGCTGCTCGCAGCCGGCTCCACCGACTCCCATGCTCGCGTCTTCTCGAGCTTCATCAAGGGCATTGACACCCGCCCTGAGCCTAGCGCCTGGGGTGAGCGACTTCCCTTCAACACAATCTGCGGTGAATTCCTGAATGATTCGGCTGGATGGATTCAGGGTGTTAGCTTCTCTCCCAGTGGTAATGCTCTGGCATTTACCGGACATGATAGTAGTGTCACCGTTGTTTATCCCAGCGCCCCTGAGCAACCCCCTCGGGCCATGTTGAACATCTCCACCCGACTCCTGCCACTGAACAGCCTCATATGGAATGGCGAGAATGAAATTATTGCAGCTGGCCATGTAAGTCTCTTAATTATTCATCTTTTATTAACCACACCTGACAACGAGCTTCCAGGACTGTGAGCCATTCCGCTTCCAAGGCGATGAAAATGGATGGCAGCTCACGGGCTCTTTGGAAGACAAGTCTTCTGGTGCTGGCGGTGCTCGTGAGGAGTCTGCCTTGAACATGTTCCGTCAGATGGACCTCAAGGGCCAGACTAAAGCGGATACCAAGCTTAAGTCGACTCACCAGAATACTATCAACACTATCCGGGCTCACGATGAAGATAATGGACAGGTCAAGTCCTTCAGCAGTAAGTAATACGATTCTTTATATTCAACATACATGCTAACACCTATATAGCTAGTGGAGTTGATGGCCGTGTCGTGATCTGGACTCTGTAAATATATTATTTGATAATATTAAGCCACTCTTGAATACATATACCTAGGTATGAATTTAACTGACCTATACAAAGAAGACCAATTGCTTTTGTATGTATCTAGCCGTTATCTAATGTTACTTGGCGAAGATTGTATAGTTACTTCCCCGCAAAGTTTATGGATTACCTAATCCATTTCCCCAGGTTTCCAAACTTGCCTCTCATTCATCTCCAACTTGACAACTACGACATGTTCTATCATCAGCAAATCACCTTTCTTTCTATCATATTATTATTTTCCCTTCTATGTGCTGGATCCTTTCAAAATATAACTGGCTCAGTCTCTAGTGATCTGTTTAACTCTCTCGAGGAACTATCACGACTGGTAGATATCTCCTACTGCGTGGGTACCACAGGTGTTCAGGAGCCATTCCAGTGTCTCAGTCACTGTGTAGAGTTTCCAACTCTGGAGCTAGTTACTGTAAGTGTTCTGAGCTGAATAAATCAGTATCTCAACAAGCAATATCAGTTGCTTACAGCCCCTTAGACATGGAATACGGGTGTGCTCTTATCCGACTCGTGTGGTTATATTGCGGTCTCCCATCCACCAGCAGAGAAGCGCATCGTCGTCACATTTAGAGGAACATACTCTTTTACCAACACAATTATCGATCTGTCGGCATATCCTCAGTCTTACGTGCCATATACAGGCGACGACAAAGAAGATCCAGGAAATGAGACAAAGTGCCAGAACTGCACCGTACATGCTGGTTTTATGTCTTCGTGGTTAAATACCCGGCCCATCGTGCTGCCATATGTACTGGCAGCTCTCGAAAAGTACCCGGACTACGAAGTAACGTTAGTAGGCCACTCGCTCGGAGGAGCAGTAGCTGCACTCGCCGGTCTTGAGATGCGCCTCAAGGGTTGGAACCCACTAGTCACTACTTTCGGACAACCAATGATTGGTAACAAAGCATTTGTGAAGTTCCTGGACGAGCAGTTCCAGCTAGAAAGAAGTGATAGCAAGCTTTCGCCCGACGCGGAGGCCCAACGATTCCGACGCGTCACCCATGTTGATGACCCAGTCCCTCTTCTTCCGCTCACAGAATGGGGCTATGCACCACATGCAGGAGAAATTTTCATCACGAAGCCTGAACTTTCCCCTATTGTTGCAGATATTCAGATGTGCATGGGTGACCATGACCTGCGATGTATCGCTGGGTCGGAGATATCTGCTTTTTTGCTGGATATATATCAAAACCCTATCCATATTAGGTCTCGTTCAGATCCATGCTCATCATACAGCGGCGTCTCTGGTGCCGGCCAAGCTATATTGAGAGCGCAGAAAGACGGCCCTATACATTGCGCATCTGACGATCCCATGGCTCCTCTGCAGCCTAATAATTGGGACTGGTCCCTGATTCCAGCCAGATACCGTCTATGGGAACTCTTCTATGCTCACCGTGACTACTTCTGGCGAATTGGCCTTTGTATCCCGGGCGGAGATCCTACCGGCTGATATGCTTCGGGATTGATGCTGGATCAACAGTAGCTTCTAATCGACTACCAACTAAATATTTTAGCTACGCAAAGCTTGATGCATTTGTGAGATGAACTCGGCCAACCTCTCTTCCGAGCTAAATTGAAAGTACGTAAGGACATCTTTCTCAAGCAACATACCTTGATTTTTTTTTTCTTCTAAATATGATCGAGCGTGTTGGATTTAGCTGAATCCTCTCTCGTACTCTTCCGCAGTGAATGATTACCAACCATAGTTGGCCTTGGGATGTTTTATCATTGTCTTTCCAAGAGACGCCTTATTTGGTTGCCCAATTACGTTTCCGAACGGGATACCTAGACCTCGTCGCCAAACAGGTTTCACAAGTGTATCACACAGCATTAGGCGACTAGACACCAGAAAAACTGCATCTAGTTTCTTGATAGCACCCGTGGACTCAGATAAACCCATAACACCATATCAATTATCAGAAAAGAATTGAATGCCAAAAGGTTATATAAAAAATCATATACGGATATCTAGCTGAACGAAGATATGCAAGAAAGAAAAAAAAAGCACTAAATTCATGCTATTCGTAAAATTAGAAGACCAGATGAAAGGGAAAGCCAGAAAGAACCTCAAATTTAACCTCTCCCAAGGCCAAGCCTCAATCAATGTCCAGGCTCAAGACTTGGCACAACGACAGGACCATATTTGACCACAGTTGCATATGCACCTTCGCCCTGCACCATGAAATCAGCAGCCAAGCTAAGCTTGCTCCCCTGAGCCGGTTGACCGTAGGGATTGGCAGAGACAATTTCAGGGTCATAAGCGACGATAGCGACATAGTTTCTCCGAGCCATCAGTTTCCGATGTTCACGGGCCTGGCCGGTAACATCAGTCTGGAAGATCTCCATCATATCTTCTTTAGTGTCAGTAGGCTGCGACGAGGAACGGTGACCGTTGGCAGGGACATAGAGGGGTTTGCTACTGCTATGGAGAAGTTTAAGGACATAGGACGGTGGCGGGGTGTTGACGACAGGAGAGGCAATGAGCTGGTACATGGTCTTGTGATCGGAGGGTTGAGCAGGGTCGTGGACAAGACCAGCACCGCAGACGCCGACGGCGCCTGAAAGAAAAGTCATCCGGAGAGACTTCTGGTGAGCGATGCCTTGCAGTGTGCGAATAAGGTAGGTCCGTTCAAGGTCCTAGATGAGTGTCAACGAAAAAGTCTCATAAATTCATTTGAGAAACAAACCTTTGATTCATGCGTCCATTGATCGCGCAGCTCGTCCATTAGGTCAAACTCTCCAAATGGACTCAAAATGCTACCCATCAGTCCGGACTTTCCCACAGCACGCTTAACAGAGTCGAAGCCGGAGCCTACAAACTCCTTTGCTCCAACAACACCGGCAACTGAGCTAGTTACTTTGCCTAGAACATTATAAGCCCCAGTCACGGCTCTTTTGCCCGTGGCAACGGTGTTTGCGATGTGCTCTGCCGTCTCCAGTCGAGGGTAGATGAGAGGCACAGATACCATCCATAGACAGTGCTGAACACTGGGCGGTAGCATTGCAACCTTTGGGAATATACCCTGGTATGTGGGACCGGCCATGACTTGATGGGGGTTACGTTCAGAGCGACAGTCAGGGCCAACAACCACCACGCCGGGACCAAGGTACTTGACGAAATGCCAGCCAGTTCCGGTGATGGTAAAGAGATCTGTGTCATTATTGACATTGCGGAGAATGTCCAGAGTGGTGTGGTGTTGGAAGAGAAGATACATCTCAATACCTATCCGGCCGATATTCTTGAACATATTGGAGAACTGCATATGCTCAGGATATGAGCCGAAGCCATCGAAGCTGAGAATCATGTTAGCAATGAACGAGAAAATCAGATGAATGAAAGATAAACTCACATATCGTGATCATCAATCTGGCAGATGTAGGGGATTTGCGCAAATGACTCTCTCAAGTATGGCTGGTCAAAGTGGCTGGTATAGTAATGGAAATAAGCATGGGAGACATCCTGTTGATTTGCAGCGGTCCAGGGAGCATTTTTCCTAGCTTCTTTCCCACTGATAGCCAGCCACTGTTTGAGACAAGCAATTTCCTTCCACATTCGATCAGCGTAGATTTGGCCTCCGAGACAGAGTTGCGCGTGGAATCCTCCAATCTCATTGTGTTTCTGCATGATATCCTTCCACATAAGACCCACACCGCCGAGACGTGCACGCTCGTTAGCGTTGACATTGATAGAGAAATCATTGCCAGATGTTGCAATAAATCGCCAATTCGTCTCACGCCGTCCTGCAACAAGAAACTCATAGCGAGTACAGCCGAGGTGCGAGGTAATAGCATAAGTCCATTTGGCAGGACCAGCATCATCCATCTGCAAAGAAACCTCGTACCTGTAAAAGGTCCACCGTTGATGGGCTGCAATATTTGTTGCTTTGAGCTGTCTCGGATTAGGCGACAAATCGACACTCTGGTGGAGGTGGATTGTAGGTGGTTGTGCGGCGTCTGTCACCAGAAGAATAGAGCCCAGCCATAGTCCGCGTTCGAGATCCATGTTTGTATATCTTAGGTATGGGCCAAAGTACACACCGTTTGTCGGTGCAGTTTTGTAGAGGTCCATCCCACTGCTGGGCGGAGGTCCCGAAAAGCCCCCCATCATGGGAGACTGGAGACTCTCAAAGCCTGGGGTAAGTGGGATACCTGGAGACGCCATGGACTTACCAAAGGCTGAAAACCCGGGAGATGTCAGAGGATGGCTGCTATAAACACTACCGATAGGAGACAGGGGCGTTTCATTCAGATTCAGTGGCGTAGGACCCTTGGGGAACTCCCACTGAGTCGACTGAGAGGGTAGATGGATGTAGTAATATTGGCCCGAATTTGGATCCATGTGTGCAATCCAGCCTTCAGGAAGGGGAGGAGGTGATGATGGCGTGGGTCCAGAAGGTCCAGAAGGTGCAGGTGAATTTACCTGCACAGTTTGTTGGAATATAGGATGATCGTTGGCAACTGTACTCTGCGGTGACTGTCCCATACTCTGTTGCTGGCGAGGGTCATTGGCAAACGCAGGGTGTTCATGTGAAGAGATTGACGAGACCGGGGAAGCACCAGAGACAACAGCTGGGTGAGACTGATTGTTTGTTGCTGGATGTTGTCCAGCAACAGCACTAGCGGCTCCACCGATGGCAGCGGCAGAAGTAGGGGTACCGGCGCCAGCACCGGGCTTCTCAATCGGATATCCGTTGGCGGCAGCAGGCCCAGAGACACTTGAATAGGCCGGAGGAGGTTCATCGGCGAGGCGCATCCGATCCATGTCATGTTCCAGTGTATTACTTGGGGGTCTAGATGCATGATGCTGCAGAGATATGTCCTGCTGAGCTTGCTGTGGCTGCAACTGGGGTTGGGCCAGATGTTGCGGTGGAGGGCTGCTATATTGAAGCGGATGAGCCGGCGCCTGTTGATCTGCCGTTACGACTTCTTCCGCACCCTGATACACGGTGGGGGGACCATGTGGTTGGGTCCCTGGAAGTTCAGTCGGTGTCCATGGCCGTGGCACCGAGCCTTGCTGATAGGTCGGTTGCTGTCCAGAGTACGGTTCTGCGCGTCTCTGCGCCGCCAGACTGGTTGCCTGAAGACTAGTAAGAGTACCCGTGCCAGCGATACCCGCCGCGGCATAACGAGCCTCGATATCAGAACCAGGTTGCTGACCAGGTCCCGCGATAGGGGTTTCCGGTGGTGGGGGAGATCCGCGCTGAGCACGGGTAGTAGAAGTAGAAGCAGTTGAGCTGATGCGATTGATACCACCAGAAGAAGACTGTGGAACTTGAAGATTGGCCGCGGGTCTTGGAGTCGAACCCTGAGGAGGCGGATAGTATTGTTGGCGATATTGATATTGCGCATCTGGATTTCCCTGTCCCGTCGGAGGTATCGTAGGACGAGGCCACGGCCTGGCGGCGAGGTCCGGTGCATCTGCGGGAGACTCTGGTAGGGGCTTGGGTGCAGCACCACGGCGCTCTGCCAACGTAGCGACTCGAGGCTCGCGACCCTCCCGCGGCCTTAGGGCTGAAGGATACTCGGCGGGGCTCACAGCACTGGGGCCAGCCGGTGGAGACCCATATCTGTGGGTGTCAGCGGGACGTTCATCGTTGGGACCAGAGCTGCGCATTTGAGGACGAGGCCGGTCATCAGGATAAGGCAAACGAGCGTTTGTTGGACTTGAGTTTGAATCAGGAGAGCTCGATGATCTCTTGTTAATTCGCAAAGGTTCGACTGGAGAAGTACCGGTAGGCCTAGAGGAGTTGTTCAAGAACAGTTCCTCTGGGTGAATACCACGGCTGTCGCCGGGGTTCATTGCAGCAAGTGTTTTAAAGTCGCAGGACGCAATAAGCAGTAAGCCGACTGATGTGTCACCAATCACGGAGCTGAGGCCGCAGATCTGTGATGTTACCGGAATCTCCAGATGAGGGGCACTTGTGGGTGGATATGGCCTATACTAGTTGGGGAACGGGCAATAGAGAGATAGTAATGAACTGATCGGGCTGCAGAACATGTCTACCTAAATCATTACGAAGAGATTTCAAGTTGCAGAAAGATGAAACGAAGAATAAATTGGAAGGTTTATTATTATAGGCGCCAACTGAGCGAGGCGCGCTGACCCCGCAGGTGACAAAAGGTTCATCACAATGTACTATAGTAGGGCTAGTGCTACTTTTACTCTTGTAATCCACTCTTTTAGCATATTCCACATCAAATTTCGTTTCTGTACATATACACATCAGATCATGCCCTAATAAAACAACAAAAAAAATCCCCCCCCCCCCCCCCATGATTCGCCAGATGCCCAATATCTAACGCCAAAATGATATCCCCACTAAAATCCAAAATTGACCATCTGTAGCCCTTCTTGGGTCATCAGGTCTGCCCAGTCAACATCCAATGTGTGACCGACTCGCATCAACCGCTCCAGTTGTCGCTCATACACGGTTTGCAGAATGGTTCGTGTTGTAGCTGCGTTACGTCCCATCCCATCCTCCTCATCCTCCATGCCCGTCATTAATTCCATAGCCATCATCTTGAGACCACTGGCTGATGCAGTGGCACCTGCAAGGAAGAGCGGGAAAACCAAGAAGTGACGATCAGCACGCCGTGTGCTGGTGGTACGCTCAGCAATGCGCAGAATCTCCGATGCATGGTGGTCAATCTCTGCCTCAGGAGCAACGTCCGATTCAAGACGCTGACCAGACCACATGCTACTGTATGAGAACAGTTGAGATACATGGAAGAGGGTTGCTGACTAGTATACAAAGTTAGTGCCTGAAAGATGAAAAGGGAAGCATGAACAAGGACAAACCTGTTGCAAAAGTTCCTGGGATCGCCGGGGAGGCCATCTTGGTGTTGGTTCCAAAAGGCAACGCTGGGAGACTCCCAGAGCTGTGAAAAGGACTGACGCAGATCAGAGATCTCCTTGGTTCGTGCGTTGAATTCAGAGAAGGGTCGAGACTGCTTATCTTGACGAAGTTGAGCAGCAAGGAAGCCAAGTTGGGCAGCCAATGAAAATGTATCAGCGTAAAGGCGCATCATGACCGGTAAGCTTTCATGCTCATCGGGATAGATGACACTGTAGCCCTCCGATCCGGAAGGGTATAGAAGACTCTCCCATCCAGGAAGCATGTGATTGTCCATGATAGCTCGCACAAACTCTCCAGTACCTGCACCACTCAACAGAGCATACAGGTCAATGTGGCAGACCCACCAGAGAATGAACGGGTGAGGTTCCCGGCCAAACTTCTCCCTCCGTAGAAATGAGATGTGCAGTAAACGGGAGATGTGGTGAGACCAGAGATTTGAGCCGTGGGGCTCGGCTGCAGCAACCTCGTAGATCAGGAGGAGGAAATGTGTGAGGAAAAGACCATCCGACACGAGATCGTCGTTATTTCGAAGGCTGGTTTGCAGAGAAGGGAAGGCCTGTTGGTAGTACTGCAGAGCATCGACGGTCTGCCCAGTCCCGCTGTGCGAGAGACTGAGGGCCGAGACAGCCATTATAGCGTGAGATAGCGGAGGGAAATGAGAGGCTTCTCGTTCTAGAAAGTCTACGCTCAAAGTCATACCACTATTCATTCCAAATGAATCATCCTGACCACGATCATGTGAGAATAATTGCTTCCACACAACGTGGCGGAAGTGAGAAAAGAGTGTGTTATCCTGACTTTGTTGATCCACGTGCGAGTCAAAGTAAGACAAATGGCAATCATCAATGATGACCGGTGATGGGAGAGGGTCGATCAGAGGAGACAAGGAGAGAGAGCAGAACGGATCTGAAATCTCGGAAGTGGGAGAGACTCGGGATCTGCTGTTGGAGGAACAGCGCCGAGTGACATCTTCAAATGTCTTCAAGATCACGGTGTTGGGATCAGCCCCAGAATTGGTCAGCGGAATGGAAGCACTTATAGGGCTACTGGCCACAGAGCTATTGGACTCGGCAGGCTCGATTTTGAACTGGGGATTCTCTTCTGAATACTCCGGCAGTGAAGCAAAGCTATCTGGCACCATCACTACATGGTAGGTGCCCGGTGTTGAGCCCTCTGCCTTTTTCTCTCGATCTTCATCGGATGTGAGGAGGGAAAATGCGGGGAGAGAGTCGCCTAGGGAGAAATATTCTGATCGTTCCTCGCCGCTAGTAGGAGGAGTGGGCGAAGAAACTATGGGACTGTTAAGGCCAATGGAATTCCACCACGTGAAGATAGAAACTTACGATCCCAGATGAAGTTTCCTTCCGTCTTCACGTCGGCCATACGGCCCATAATTCTCGGGGTATCATCGCGGAAAGCCAGGCGTGGCCGATAGTCGCAAATATGGCCGAGTCGAGTACATTGCTAAAGGTGACGATGAGTAATGTTCTTGTGGAGCCGATGGGGAATGAATGTCCTACATTGCACTGTGGATGTCCCTCATCACACTTGACTATTGAGGAATGTTGATCAGCCACCAAATTCCGCCACATCTGTGGAATTTCAGGAAAACAAAAAGACTCACCTTTGCGACTCTGTAATGTGCAAAAAAAATATCCCTCATCAGTCCCATATTCTGGATCGATTGCGCGCATAGAATTGACTCACCCGACATGTCCTAGAATTGCAAGATTAGCTGAAGAACTGATATTGTAACAGAGTATTATACATACCAGCATCCTGTACGTGATCGTGGAGGAAGGCGGATTCGTGGAGGAGCAACCAGGCTCTTTTCTGGCTTTCCCTCGATGAGCTCTTCCTTCGGAGCGATGATGGGCAGGCGCAGGGGTTTCCCAGAGGCATGGCCTCGGCGGTTTTGCATGACTAGACTAGTGACCGTCATAAGGCTGACTGGATGCCTGGAGCTAGATGGAATCAGAGAGATGTACAAGCAGACGGGATCGCAAGAACGAACGGGTGTAACGAGGATCAAAAAGTAGCCAGTGTATGTGTAGTAAATAGAGATAGAGATAGAGATAGAGATAGTGGTAGTAGGATAGTAATAGTATTTAAGGGAAAGAAAGAAGGGAGAAAGTAAATGAGGGTGTGGGTAGAAGAGAAGAGGGAAAGGGACATTATGTAGTCAAGACATGGGGAAGTTTGGGGCAGAATACTGCATGGTTCGGCGTCTGTTTCTTTTTGGCTTGACGGGTGGCGGGAATTTGGGAGGAATTTCGGATGCGAAGTTGAAGTACCGAAAGGGGAGAAAAGAATTAAGGGGAAAAAAACACACAGAACAGAAACAGAACAGGTCAGATTACATGGTCCCAGTCCCATACTCATGGGATCACGCAAATCCGGTTCGTCCGGGGAGCTTAAAAAAAGGGAACCACAACCAAGATCTAATATAAGGTAAAATAAATTAATTAAATTGGCAGTGTAAAATAGAGAGATAGAGAAATAGGGAAATCATGAATTAGGGAATAGGGAATAGGGAATAGGGAAATCGAGAAATAGTAATACAGTACAGCTCAGAAGGCTTGCAGGTGCCAACCATGTGGGAATTTTGAATTGAATTGTGCTATCTCTCTCCAGCGGAGACTTAACGTAGAGAGTAGTTCAAATGCTAGTAGATTCGGGAGATTTCTCGGGAATCATTTAGGGCTGGCTGACGGAGTACATACAAGTTACTCCGTACGGATTTGAAAAAAGACTCGATCGGGTCCGAAAGAATGTTAAATTGAGACGGAAATATCTGGGGAATTGGAAAACAATGTAAGGAATGAAAGGAAAGGAACCAAAGAGAAGAGAAAAAGACCCAAAAGACCCTTAATAGATCACGATCTGGCCCGGTCTAGATTGTCCTTGAGCTTAATCCAGTTTAGCGTTAGTTTGGATCTGGTATTATCTGGTATTATCTGGTATTATCTGGTATTATACTGTATTTTATGGTACTCAAGTAATGCAGCCGAACTGGGTCTAGCTTCAATTTCTAGCTCTACTTCGTACGGACTTCGCCGAGAATTAAGCGAGGTGGCGTCTTTTTTTTCACTAGTTCGTTCAAGAGCTGAATGAATAGTACTCCATGTACTAGACACATGGTGCAACTTTTAACTTCCTTATCTCGTTGTCCTGGTCCAAGTACCCCAAGTCCCGAGAAAGTTCTAAAAATACTATATATATATACTCTATAGTTATCTGTACTCCGATTCAATAACTAACTTCAAACCGGCTATGATCGACTATTGGAATTAGAATTAACCAATTGCAAGAATCAGTTACTATAAATATACACCTCCTCCACTGTAGATCACTTAATAACCCTAATCAATTTAACACACTGTCGATCTCTTCCACGTGGTTTTTCTCTCAGAAGATACTTGTACTGCTTCCCCTTCTAGGTCTAGCTCACTTTCCCTAAAACCCACTAAACCCGCTCTATAGCTTGGTCCAGTATGCGTTGTACGCTGTCTGATCGCTCACTCTTCCTCCACTCACGCACCGCCAAGCCAAGCTTCTCAGGCACGCCTCGCACCTCCGGCCGAATCTTCAGATAGGCCAGGATGGTTTCACCACGAATCTTCCGGATAGCCTCGACAGCATCCCGGTCCCGTTCCAGCAGATGAGCCAGTTCATTCATTGGTCCCAACATTTCAGACTCTGATGCAGATGCAGACGCACAGCCAGACTCAGCCCACTGCTCCACTCGTTCGAAAAAAGCTTTGAGCTCCAGATAAATGACGCTGACGACTTGTCTAGCACCGTGGGTCAGGGCCTGGTCTAAAGGATTGATCACGTGTAAAACATATTTTCCCAGCACTGTGGTTAGACTTAGTTGGGCGGACGTTAAAATTATTACAGAGGGGGCAACTGACCGGAGCCTGAACCGGCTGTGGCGGGGTTCAAACATTGCAGAATACACTGCACTCCTGCTGCAAGGGTATCCACTGCCCCATCTACCTCCATACTTGCACTATCACACTGCTCTTCAATAATGGGCGTGACGATGGAAATGGCTTCGGGCATCAAGTCGATGCCTCGCGCCTGAGCAATCTCACCTAAGGCCCGGAGTCCATGCGGCCGATAGGATGCATTGGTTCGCTTTGCTTCACGGATTGTGATGGTCTGCCATGCAAGAATAAATGAAACAAGGTTAGCGCTGTTTCCCGGTTTCTCGTATCCCACTTCGTATTCCTTGTATTTTCTCCCCGTTCCAGACCCAGATTCATGGGAAAATGAAAAACTGGGGAAAAAGCAAAAACGTAACAAGGAACAAGGAAGGGAAAAAAAACAAATAAAGAGAGAAGAGAAGAGCAAAGAAAAGAAAAGGAAAAAAAAAGGAAAAAAAAAAAGAAAAAAAGAGGAGTGTAAAGAGGTATGAAAAAAAAAAGAAAAGAAAAAGCCTACCTTTAATCGTTCAGCTTGGTCCGGTCGCTCTACCCACAGTCTCTCACCCTGACGAGCAAACTTGACCAAAGCAGTCAGAACCACTTCTTTCCCCTCCCAAGTCTTCCCCGCCAAAGCTTTCTCGAGTACAGGCCAAACTAATTGCGCCGTCCCGAGATCCACCTCCGAATCAAGTGCGATCACCGCCTGGGCGATCGCACGTGCCGCAGTATGCTTAATGGCCCACAGCGCCGATTCCAGGTTGTCGGATACGAGGCTGACGATCTCCCGGATGTAAAGAGCCACAGCTCGGCTTCCCACATTTTCTGCCCACGTCTTTTCAAACTCTTCCTTAACATTTTCATCTGCATCATGTTTACTGACAAACACAAATGGAAGAGCTGCTGTGGCAAATGCCATGAATCGGTCGTTTGAGAGTTTGGATGCGGAGTAGAGAATCTCTGCTGAGATGGCGCGATTTGTCGTCTCTTCCGCATTCAGATATAGGCATTTGGCAAATTCAATTGTCTTCAGGACCCTCTCATCAGATGCGAGGCGCAGTAGATAACCCATTGAGGTGCAATAAGACGCGCTAACTGTTTCATTGCGATCCACAACGTACTTGCTCAGTAGCTGGATGAACCGGTCCGCGTACGGCCTAAAGAGGAGAGTCTTCATGCTCAGGAGTACCAAAACTCGGCTGCAGCCTACCTTTGATGGGAGACCCACAGATGACCGGAGCACATTCTCGAGTCTTGGGGCCAGCTCTTTCAAGTTATTCTCATCCAGATGATCAATGAGGAACCGCTCAATAACTTCCATCATGGGAGAAGAGCGAATGCTGGATAGACGCATCTTGTCAATTTCTTGACCGGTGAGTCCATACTTGTCGGCATTGAGATGGACGTAATTGACGGCCTGAGGCTCAAGGGAACTGAGGGATCCCAAGAACTTCTCGAGAATGGTGGGGACGAACGGGTGTAGCACGGTACCAGTGCTCTTCTTGATAATCTGGACGAGAGCACCAATGGCATATCCGCGCACTTCCTCCACACTGGAATCAAGGCCCTTGTCACTGAGAAGGAAGGGTATCGCACTACCGAGAAGGGCTCCGGCGCGTTTCTCGTTTCCCCCTGTCTCAAGTGTGCGAATCACCGAGTTGGTGATGGTTTGACAAAGTTTGAGTGCCGCGACTCGCACCGATTCTTTAATATCGTCAAGGAGCTTGAAGGATTTGGTGTAGATCTCATCCAGGTACTGTACATACTTCTCCGGGCGGCGGCCTTGTACTAGATCAGCGATGGCGGCACAACTCGCCTGCCGAACGCGCCATTCGCGTCCTGTAAGCATGCTTTTCAGCAGATCTTCCATAATTCTGTCGAATTGGGCATCCACCACAACGGTGGGATCCTTGACCAGGGCCTGCCAAATAGAATTCATAGATCGCTGCACATTAGGGTTGGGATCGAAGCGGTATCGGAACAGCTTTGGGTAGATCTTAGGGTTTTGTGCCAGATAACCATCGACACTGGCGTCAGAGAAGATGCTGCTGATCCCAAATCGTCCAAAAGCGGCTCGGTTCGTCCAAAGCGCATTATTGGATGCCATGGACATGAATCGGTACACCAATGTCGGGTCTCCCGCCTCAGCCGCCAGATTCATAATATCCTTGTACGTGTTGACTGAGGATCCCTCGCCGGTCGGCAGAGCTCCCGGCTCGAATAACTGCGTATCGGAATTGACATTTCCACCGCCAAGGTTGGCACCGGTGGCTGTGAACGAATCAACAAGATCGTGAACCAGACTGTCTTTCAGGGCCTGGTCACCGATCTCGTAGACCAAACTGAGACCGTGAGCCCCTGTTTCCTGCACCACCTCGTCTCGGTTCCCAAGAAGACTCGTAAAGGTGGCCTGGCACTTGCGTAGGCGTTCCTGCATCTCGGGTAGGTGGCCACAGTTTTTGACAAGTGACAAAAGCCATATGGCGGAAGCTTTTCGGAGAGACGGTTTGGACGCCACACAATCTGCAGTCACTTTGTCACAAACATCGGCGAACACCGAGCGTGGGACTGCGGACTGAGGGAAGCCCGCGTCCACGTCAAAGTCCTGGATCAACGCTCGAGACTCCCATCCAATTGCCACGTTGCTCAAGGCTTCACCTACCGTGAATTGAACTTCCGGGCTTTTAATTTCATGCAAGCTGTACATATTATCCATGAATTCCCCGAACATAGAAGTGGCTCCGTGAGCTCGAGAAAATATCAACGTGACTAGGCCGAGAGTCGTGATAGGCGTGTCATTCTCTGATTTGGCGTCTTTCGACAACTTTTGTAGCACCTTTTTCCACCCTTCTTCGGGCAAAAATTCCACCGTCAGTATACCCGATAAACTGAGCTGTCCAAGGGCTTGCTCTGCAGTGCGCTGAAGGAGCGTATCACGGGAAGCATCAATGATGTCGAAGACGGTATCGATGAAATTTTTCACTACTGTCTCAGGAACCTTGTTCAGAAGACTGCGATATGCAAGCCTGCTCAGCAAGTATGAGCAAGCAAGGACCGCTCCTCGCACTCGAAGTGCAGCTTCACCCACTGCAACGTTCCATGAATCGATGGTAGCAGCCAACTGGGTCAAAAAGGTGTTGCGCTCATTCTCGGCAAAGGAAGGATGAGATACTAAAAGGCCAAATGCTCGGGCTGCTAGACCCTGCATATCTTGATTGTTGCTCAAAATGGGCCTGGTCAAAGACTGAGCCCGGGAGCTCAACTTCTCGACAACGTCGTTGGGTGCCAATGAGCAGATTTCCACGAAATGGACACCGCACTGGCGAAGACCAGTAATATCATCTCTGACAATTCCATCGAGCATACCAGATAAGAAAACAAAAACGGGTTCTTTGGCAGAGCTGCGGATGTACTGTCGTACGGCAGCCCGGGCTTCTTCGCTGGTTGAAAGCTGGACTTCAAGTTTGTAGTCCCAGTCTTCCTCCAGGGCAGTAGTAATACCGGATGCGGAGAAGGCCTCCCAGATGAGGGTGTTTCGAAGGAATGCAATGGCAGGCATGAATGAATTTTTGTATGGGCCTGATAGAAGTTGTGATATTGACAAGCCTCGGGTCATGGAAGAATCATCAATCTCCTCTGACCGAAGTAAAAATTTAGTTGTTTCAGCAAATGAAGGAAATTCAAACCAAGTCTCGTCGTGCTCATGAGTTGTTGTACTGGCCGACCATTTTTCGTCCTTGGTCGGGTTCAGAAGTCGGAACCAGTAGGGATGAAGTCCTTTCTTGCCTTCCTCTACGACCTCCTGTTGTCTTCCCGAGCCCCTGGCGATGGCCATCAGATCAATCCAACGAGCCACGATATCATTGTAGGGGAGGAAACGATTAGCAAAGCGGACAGTAGCATATTGAACGCCTCGAACAACATTGAACCCGGTCTCAGAGTTCATATCTCCGGGAAGTAGGCTCATTTGGCGGACCAAGAATGGGCGCAGCTGATTCTGAAAGTCTGTATCGTGACTGTTCAATGAGGAATTGAGAATACTTCCTAGGGCCTGATCAATGGAAACAAAGATCTGCGGACTTGAGTCGTCTGCACTCAGAGAATTGAAGAGCCACCGAACTAAATCAAACTCAAAGTTCTCCTCGGTCTCGACCTGGGTTTGGAAATCAACCTTGGGTACCAGTATACCAATACTTTCGTAGGCAAGTCCTCGCAGACTTAAGTCTGTTGTAGGCAACTTCTGTCCACTGGCACCCGGGCTGGGCCACCCCTGAGACTGTATGAAGTCTCTTAAGCCTGCGATGATCTTAGGCGCGATTTGCTTGAGATCTGAAGGCGAGCCCATGCGCACAACCCAAGTAGTGAAATTAAAGATCTGAGTTCTTAATTTGGAAGCCTGTAGCCCCTGAGCGGATCTGGCGGTATCTGACAAGAGTCCATCCTCAATAAGCTTGAAGATGCGCTGCGTGTTTTCCGTAGCCTTGATTGATTTGCCTAGGAAGGTGATGATTTTTGCTTGCAAGGGAGGACGCGCTGGTGGAGCACCGTCGGCTGTCTCAGCTCCGAAATACAGATCATACAGCTGTTCAACGACCTGGCTTTCCTCGAGATTGACGGCAAATCGCTTCAGAGTTTCGTCGCCCAGATCACTCAGTCGGGAATTTGAATCCGCGGATGCAATTAATGAAGGAATGAAACGCTGAGTATCGACAAACGCACCACTACCGATAAACCGGAGAGCAATGACCTTGGTCTCTGTCATATTCAAACCACCTGGAGAAGCAGGATTCCATGTTTCGCCGATAGGTGAACCCTTGTTCAAGAATTTATATTCTTCAGGAGAAAGACCGGGACATGTGGACGCACCTGTAGGAGCAGCAGAAAGAAGCAGTAACTTCCCTAGCCAGAATGATAAGAATTCAGAATCATCGTCAGAAAGGCCTAGACGCTGTTTCAACTTCTGATCTTCCTCGCCGCCCATTGGGGGTAATTTGAAAAGAGGCAACAATCTCAGTACAAGGTTGAACACGATGGCACCTTGAGTAACAGATGTCCCAATCTGCGCAATTCCCTGGAGCAGGGGCGGCAGGACCTCAACTCTGGCCTCCGAACTGAGGCGGTCAATACCTTGCTGAGCATATAGCAAGTCAAAATGCCTGACAAGTTGGGACTTTTGCTCTTTGAACTGCTTTAATAATGCTGCGACTGGCAGCTGAATGGATGGGGCCTTAATCCGAGCGTTGACATGTTGGCACACCGAAATGATTTTGTTGCGTACCTCCACACTTTCTGATGAGAGCTTCAGCAGTAGTGGAGCTAGATAGGTTTGAAGTAATGATTGAAGCTTCTCGTCAGTATCTGCCATGGCGATTCTGAATTCCACTTTGCCTATCAGACTCAATTCACGAGCCTCAGGGCTCGGTAAGTCCGACATGGTAAGAGAAAAGGGTGAGGATAATGAAGATTTAAGTTCAAGTTGAAGTTGGCATTAAAAGTGAGATGAATTTCAGAAGTCAAGTTGCAAAAATTAAATTCCCTTGGAATAAAAATGACTACAAACATACAAACACGTCGCTGATGGTTACCTTGAGGCCGTGGGGAAGGCAATTAGTCAGCCCTGGAGAGCCCCCTTGCAGCCTGATTTATAGGGCGGGAACTTTGTCAGCCTGAGTCTTCAGTTAACTATGGCTACTTAAGCTATGTAACTAAATAAATAAATAAATACTGTGTATTAAAGTAGTTGGAATAAGAGTTTGAGAATCAAATCCAAATACTGACTTGTATTTGATATCCAGCATTGATAATATTCAATACCTTTCGAGGGTGCTAATGAGAACTAGTTTTATACACCTTTTACGTAAATGACCAAAACTAAATAGTAAGGATCTTAGGTGCAAGCTGCCAGGTTCCTGGTGATTCAAATGTGAAGTGGCCAAATTGTCGGCAAATTGGACAATAATTGTAATTATCATCCATTTGTAGCTTCTTCCTTTCTCTGACTGGCAGCCTCACCTCGCAAGAACCGATTCACCTCCCTCTCTGTATCAGTCGGACGTTTATTGACCTCTTTGCGGGCATGATTTCCAAAGAGACATTGCCAAAGATCATCTTTTGGTACATTTTCTCCACCTTCATGATAAGACATCAAGTCTGATAGCACACCCTGCAATTCCATCGAGTTTGCAGAATCAATGACTGTCTCAGTAAGTGCATCAACCGAAACCTCTTCATCCGGGATTCCCGAGTGAGATTTCTTCTCTTGCTTCTCCTTCGCGATGATATGGGCGAGGCGGCGAGTCACCGAAAGATCATAGATAGATTCTTCTACTGTACCGGAGACAAGGTACATCCACACCGTAGTTGGACGATTCTGTCCAATTCGATGCACTCGGGCAATAGCCTGCAGTTCAATTGCTGTATTGATCAATGGCTCACATAGAAATACATGAGTGGCATTGATCAATGTCAGCCCTGATGATTGTGCTTTACCATGTAACAAGAAACATTCCACCTAAAATATTGGTCAGTGAGATACAAAAATCATTACATGTGAAGGGAACAAAACGTACCGCAGGATCGTTCTTGAACTTCTCAATACCACCGGAGTTATCAACGCTGCTGCTCACAATACCGAAGCGTTCCAACGCCATTTGCAAGATACCCAGGAAGGTCTTATACTGAGAAAAGATAATCGACTTAGCACCAGGGTCGTGTTTTCGTAGCCATATGATGTGACGTGCAATTGTATCAATCTTAGTGCCGAAAGAATCATGAAGTTGAATATTTTTGATCTCCTTTAGAAGCCCAGAGCTAATGTCAGTGTAGATGGCATTCTTTGAATGTCCCCCATCCAACTTGACATGTTCTTCTTCCTCTTGAGCGACCAGGTCCTGTGGATTGTATGTGATCCGATGGAAGTCATTGCGTCTCAAAGGTTTTTTGCACACGGGACAGGTTCGGTTTTGACCCAACCACATTCCGATGCAGTCACTGCAGTACTTGTGGCCACATACAGTCAAAACACCTGAATTAAAAGTTAGTAAAGCTTAGGAAACATCAAAAACAGTTCCTCAAGCAAACGCTCACCAGCTTGAAAACCAGACTGGCAGATGATGCAAACTCTGGAGCTATCTTCAGCGCCAGAATCGTCCCGTAAATGAATAAAATAACGTCTCTTGGACTTCAAAGAAGCTATCTTGCCTTCGAGCGCCTCTTCCTGCTTCAACTTAGAAGCAAATAGTGCTTCATCCATAGGTTTTCCGGAATTTTCCTCGTCATACGGCGCTACTGTATCTGAGATTTGCTGCAGGTGACGGTAGTACTCCAGTCGGACATTCATGGCGTCACGGAGCACCTCAACCTCCCTTTGTAGGCTAGAAGACACCGTGAGCTGCTCAGATATCATATGTCCGGCATTTTTCAAAACCTCCCCCACCACCTCAAGCTCTGCGCGAGCACGAGCACTCCCACCATTTGCTTGCCACTCAAGGGATGTCATTAGGCTGCGAAGCTCAACAACAATGCCACGAAGCGAGCCCAGCTTAGGGTCGGGCTTAAGCTGACTGCGAGTATTCATGATGGAAAGAAATAGCTGAGGGGATGGTCCTTTACCGAGTTGTGCTTGGGAAATGCCTGCCCTGACCTCATGGGAAATGAGGATATTATTCTGGCCAGTTAAAGCGTCATGACGATCGGCGTACATTGATCGCAGAGCTTCCATGTAGACATACATCTCATCTTGATGTTTCGTCGATCGCTCGTATTCGTCTCCTTCCAGCTCGGCATCCTCCTCTTGGTCAATGAGTGACTGTGAAACTTGATCGATCATGACACTACGCCATTCGTTGTACTGCTCAGCATGATTATTCAAAGCGTTACACAAATCTTCAAACTTGTTGAGCAGTTGGTAGGACTCAACCCCTCTGCTGTAGAGATGAGGCTTCATTTTTGGAATCTGAACAAACTGATTCTTTTGCTTTTTTTCTTTGATTTTCCTCATGTGACGTTTCACCTTTTGGGAAATATCAGTGAGCATTTCCTGACGTATAAGCTTAGCAGTTTCGTATCCTTCTTCTTCCTTTTTCTCAAGCGACTTAAACTCTTCCGAGTCTGGCTGTGTCCGATTAGGATCGCTCTTGATCTGATAGTAGGCGTTTGCAGTGAAGAAGACAGCAATGTGCTGGACCTCGAGGGCAGCGCGAAGTTTTAGTCGACATTGTCCAACGCGACTATTTTTGTCCGTATCTTCGGTCTCCCCATCGGAGTCATCTACTTTTTCTTTAAAATTGTCTTTGGAAACACCATTTTCTATGGTCTTTAGTAGCCGCAATTGTTCTCTGCTCTCTTCAACCAGCCGCGTGGAATGCTCCAGTGCCGCCTGCCAAAGAGACAATGATTCCTCCCGACGCTTAGCCGTTTCCAAAAGCTGTCCTCGACGAAGCTGTGAAAGAAGAAGGGCACGTTCTTCCGTGCGGATGGATATATCAGTATTTTCAAGCATGGCCTCCAGCACATCATCAACGGTACGTAATGGACCGTTACCAATGCGCAGGGCTCGCCGATTACCACCACTCAGTTCAGGGTGAAGACAGGTTTGACGAAGTCGTATCAGCCAGCTACGCATTTTCTCAACCGTGCCGATATTATCCGGATCCCAATCTGCTCGAAGTGGCGAGCCTGATTCATCTAGACCGCTTTGATAGCACATCTGTTCAAATAATTGAGAATAGTACTGCTCTTCCACGGCAGTGAAAGGGACGGTGATGACGACTCTTTTCTGCGGCGGAAGGTGAAGCTCATTGCGTACATGATCCTTGTTGTGCCTGAGAGCGATTGCTTGGATAATGCTCGCCAGAACTGGTCCAAACCTCCAGTAAAGCCGTTTCCACAACGAATTTGAGAAACAATAGGGCTGGTAGTGAAGGAACAATAGCAGTCCAAATAGGTCGTCTATATTTCGGCGAATTGGTGTACCAGTGACTGCCCAGGCATTCTGTCTAGGAATCAAGCGAGCAACTTTGGCAGCATTACTCACTCCACTTTCGATCATCTGCGCTTCATCAAGGCAAACACGCCACCATGATATGCGGACGAGAGGAGTTTTTCGTTTTTCAAATCGTTTCACATGTCTAAGACTACGGGTTGGTTCTGAATTGACGTAGTGGATCTCCCGAGAAATAACGTCGTATGTAGTCAGAACGATATCAAAATCCGCGATCTCTTCGACTATCAGATCGTCTGAGGGTTGTTTAGTGCGCTTGATGCCGGTGTAGTGGTGTACACGCAGTTTTGGAGCATGGCGGTGAATCTCATCCTTCCATTGTTCTAGAATAGCAGGGGGCGTAATGATCAGAGTAGCACCAGAATCTCTCAATGAATTCGGGTCGAACGTTAGCTGCGGTTGGCGTCGATTCAAGCTGATCAAAGCTATTAATTCAACTGTCTTGCCGAGGCCCATCTCTTCTGCGAGAATTCCCCCCTTCAGTGAATCTTTCGCATCGTCCCATTGAGAAAAATCTCTGGTGATGGTCATGAAAAGGTGGCTGAAGTAACAAGCTTGTCCATCGGCATCTTTCATCGGTCTGAACGACTGCGGGAGACTGCTGGAGGATGATGGAAGAGGAGAAAGCCCCCCATTATTGTCAATCTTCATGCCTTCCCTCCCCAGAAGCCATCGAACAGCCCTTTTCTGGAATGGAAATAGCTCGCAAGCGACATCTGGAAACTCAATATCTGCTGATGTTGCTTCTGTATCAGGCGGGACATGGACATTTTCATAAAATTCTCGCGGAGACCAGCCTCGAGGAGTTCCCAGTAGTTTCTCACGTAGTTCTAGGCGGTTTTCTTGGTTCATGGGTCGTTGATGGTGTTCTTGCAGAGCGTACCTTCCAAAGACCTCTAGAACTTGATGTTCAAGGCGCCGTATATCGGGGATTTCAAGAGAGTCCTTCCAAAGTACCACAACCTCCAAGAAAAGTTGGGATTTTATTGATGATCGATATATTGTTGCCTGATAACACGCTATCGGATCAAGACTGGGGGATCGATCGGCCGGGATCAGACTAGTGGCCTGTTGGAGTTGTTCAAGCAATTCGAAAGCTTGAGAGTCTTCAAATTCGTGAATGAAGACATCTTCCTGGTTATCGATGGTCTTCGCTACAAGTGTACATGCCTCACGATTGATTTGAGATTGATCTAGAGTATCGGGTCCGGTATTATCGTGACGATTCTCCTTAATTTCTACAAGAACAGGAAGTCGACTGGAAGGATCAATTGCGTCGAATATGGTATCGATACCATTATTATCACTGGAAGACGCGAAATTCTGATGGAAAGTGACGAAAAAATCAGTTTGGCATTCCAGTACAGCACCACTCTATACTTACAAAGCGTAGCTTTACTCGAACTAACGGAATATAGCCGACAAGTATTCCAGATTCAGAGAGACCCTTCTCATCAGAAATTACGTATCTAACTGCCTTGGAGACCTTGCGTCGCTTGATTGGAGGCTCATTGGAATCGAGTGCATTTTGTGAAAGAGCGGAGATCAATGACGGAGGTACTGGGCCTGTAAAGGAAAGAAGTAAGGAAAGAAGTCAGTGGTTTCATCCAAAGGGGTAGGGTATCTATTTCAAAAGCTCACCCTGGATAGAAACGTCTTCCACGACCACATCCATTGTGAAGTTTGACCCAATTTACCTATTCTCCTTACAATGCGACAGATTTGAACAAGGGACGTGCCATGGCTATAAGAGCTAGTAGCTCCACCGGGCTCGGAATTTCGAACTTCCGAAGTTTTTTCATCTAGGGAGGTCCAGGATCTGATATTCAGCCTTCTATCACCGAAGGATAGTAGAATGAAAGCGTTAGAATGTGATGATCATTTTTTCAAATCTCTGATTAATACAGAAAAATGGATATCAAAAATGTCTGGTACTCCTAAGATTAGACATTGTAGTTATCCATGATTGCTTAGCTCATCCCGATGGTTACATCCATGGTTATGGAGCCCTGGGGCTTATAATTGATTGCAATGCCCCGATTCCGCCGAACAACCGGATGCGCGGGCCTGATAGGTTCCCAAACGGGTGTTTTCTAATCAGAGGCCTGCCTAGGTCCTCTACCCAACATACTCCGCACACTACCTCTTCCTATACCACTCATACTACTAAGAGAGTGTGCCTTAGTCCTAGGTTGTGTATCGGATATCACCGAGCCATTTGCAGCGCTGACAGACCTGGAATATGTCACACCATTCGCAGTGGATTGGAATTTATCAATGTTTGTTCCCTTGGAGCTGGAACCGGAATCAGTCGAGATATAAGTCGCAACACCAGACTGGGTCGTGTGAAGGTTGGAAGGCCCGGAGACAAATGTGTAGGGGGAGATACCCAGCCCCCCTGACGACTCAATGTCAAGTCCCCGCTCCAGCCATCCATCAATAGTGAATGTATCTGTCGTGATGCCATATGTGTTGTTGACCACCAGAGGGTAGCTAAACTTGGTCTCATAAGTTGACGGGTTCTTTCCAAGCTCCTCAATTTTGTTCACACCCGAAGTATGCTGCGTATTAGCTTGACTGTATCCGTCCTGATTGAGATATCCATAATTGGAGTAGGACAACTTTTGGGACCAGGAATATTTGGAGGACTTTGCGCTGAATGTCCTCTCCGCCAGAACAGAGTAGGAAAGAGTTTCGTTGTCACCGTCAGCATTCTGCACAAGATTTCGAAGAACGGTGAATTTGGGCTCAGGTGCTTCAATATCTGGCCAATCATGAACTTCACTATCTCGCTTTTCGCTGGTGCTGTAGAGGAAGATGTTTCCAGTTACAATCCAGTATGACTCAACGGTACCGGATAGGGTGGCGGTTCCATCTGCATTAATCTCTAAGCCACTGACTCGGATCTCAAATGAATGTTCTTTGTTGTCTTGAAGAAGCGGGAGAAATGGCGAAATGTCAATCTCTGGCATTCGCAGATCAAAGGCGTCAATGCCAACGATAGGATGCCAGAATCCAGGGACGACACCCCCAGTGAAGATGATCGGGAATGGCCAGACGACACCGGCAAGGGTCCCATCAATATACAGTTGAAGTTCCCGGAAAGGAGAGTACCCGTAAAGCTCTCCCACAGTATCCGAGAAATCCTCGCTATCTTGGTTGAAAACATTCTGGTACCAGAACTCCTCTTTGGATTGGCCACAACCAGAGATGGCTACAACAGCACGCGACACCGTATCTGGAATATTGTACGAGACTGTAGTGTTGTCGGAGGGAACTGTAAATGAACTGGATGAATTTGATGCTGCTTTTCGCGCAGAAATGGGCAGGATGGAGTCGGCAGTTTTCACATTATTCTCATAGGAGAAGTGAGCAGTTAACGTCACATTCCATGACCCAGTGTATTCATCGTTTACAATGTTGGCGAGATCAAAGATCAGCTTCTGCTCTTCTTTCCAGAGAGAGTTGTACTGTGACATCTCTTTAATGTATGTATATTCGATACCAGTTTTCGTTGGCTCGGCAGTCGATGTTCGAAAGACTTCTATGTCACCCAGGTACATGATTGCCAGGCGATCATATTGTACGCCACGACAGGACACTGTCACGTTAATTCGGACAGTATCGAACTCACATGTCGGTGGCTCATAGGTTCCTAAAAGTAGACGTCAGTGTGATTCCAAGCAGGAACGACTGAGTATCTCTTACCGACGTATGGAACTCCATAACTATAACCAAAAGTGTGGTTCATGAGAAGCACATCCCTATTACAGCCTTTGGCTCCATGAGATGTAAACGAAACCGGCTGGTATACTTCGAACACTTCTTGATAGGACGAAGATAACACGAAGGGAAGATTGCAACAGCAAAGGAGGGCAAAAGTGACAAAAGAGAAGATGAAGATTCCCATGGTAGCTATCAGTTTCCACCTGCTCTTTATACTCAAAGCAGATTTGGCTTGATATTAATGGAAACAATGTACGGAGATATCACGATTTTCAGCTTTCCGAGTATGTAGTGAGTTTCAGTAAAGAGAGTTGGCAAAGAGAGAGTGTGTAGTTTGATGGTTTTTATGATAATGGTTGAATCCAGAGAGTGAGAGTACATCCAGTAGCCCATAGAAGTACAACCCCAACTGACAACAACAGATGATGATCAGCGAGACTTGCTGCTTTTAAACCGACGGGGTCATTAGGGATGAATTTGCTAATACTCGCGATAACACAATCAGACGTAAATAGCGTTCTTTTCCCTTAAAGCATGCAATATCTGAGATAGGTCGTCGAATCTACCCCTGAAGATAAAAAGAAGCGTGAGGGGAAGCTGCATATCCATCGGAGCTCCGTGTAGCTCCCGTTCTAGTCTCGGCTCTCTTAGAGATTTCAGTTAGAATAGTCTGTACTTCGTTCAATGACTTGTAAAACTCACTATTTGATCATTTGCCGACTAATCTCTAAGGCTTGAATCTAATAGGATTGATCCGCCATCGTATCAGCTATCAGCAACAACTGTGCCCGGAACCTTACAAGATAATATGGATCTATGATGCTGATCAAAGGTACGTATTACTTGAAATCAAACGGACATCCGGAGTAGTTCCGGCCCATTCTTCTGTGGGGTGAAATGAGTGTATTCCAAGGTCCCGTAGTTCTGTACACTTGGATATTGTTAAAATCAATTTTGTACATAGAAAAGAAGGGAGAGGTATCTACAAAAAAGAAATGTCCAACGGAGACAGTTATCCCGCGGTTTATAAAATCTAAAATTACTCCGTAGGCATGCGCTAATTTCAAGACAAAGCACTTCACATGAACAGGCGCCAAGCACCAAGAATCAAAGCAGAAGTACCGGTACAGACACCCCTTTGGAATAAGTTAGTTTGATATGCGCAGATATGGAATGGAGGGCCAGGGATTCATACATGAGCCACTGTAGAGTGGAGAATTTGACCGCCTCAACTCGCTCTCGCAAGCCAGCAACTTCTTGTTCAATGCGAGTCTCCGTCTCTTTGATGCGCATCTCCTGGCCATTGGCTTCTTCGCGAATTCGGCCCTTTTCGAGATTCAGATCTAGACGAACAGATGCTTGCGTCCTTCCAATCTCATCGCGCAGACGTGAATTCAACTTAGCAAGATCAGCTGCAAGTTTCTCGTGCGACGAGTGAGTAAGTTGAGCTTCAGTTGAGTCGGCATTTAAAAGTTCAGACCGGAGTTTGGCAAAATCAACTTTTTGAGTATATGTTGATCTCTCCGAGTCTATCACAGTCATCTTAGAAAGGGCCACATGCGACTAGAAATGGTAGGTATCTTACCTTCTCGTAGTACCATAGTTCGCGTCAAATTTTGGATAGATTCTTGAATGATGTCGTTTAATACTCGCATCATGGCCACAGCTTGTTCCTCGCTGAATCCCTCCGCTTGAAGTCGCTTCACAAACTTCAAAGTATCAAAGTGATGGTCGCGCGGACGATATGGTGTTGCACGGAAAGCACGGTGTGCAGACTTGAACGCTGCGACGTATACACCATTGTGGCGAATAGGGCTACCGAGGGGTTCGGTCAACGGTCGTGTCGCGATCGGTGTGTAGATTCGTCGGGAGATGGCATTCGAGTAGCGAGAGTCTCGGATGGAAGTAGATATACTTCGGGAAGATTGATATGGGCCATTAAGAGTGTGGATTTCTCGACTTATAGGCTTCCAGCCTCGAGGATCTTGATGCCGTTGCCGTATAGCGAGAGAGGAATTATGAGAGGAAACGGCAGGCCAAGACGATGAGCTGTTCCAGGTTAGACGAGGGATAATGCTCCGTGGCACCTCCACAACATGTTTCTGGGACGCCATCGCTATTCAAAAATGATTTAAGGAATAGCCTTGAAATGTTGACGGAGAACGAGATCAGGATGACTAAAGTATTCCGGAAAGATCACAGTTTCCCGCCTTGGCTTTCCGATCATCTATGACCGCATTTTCTTACCTAATTTATATTTTTAGAACTTGACGAACTATAAGTTGTGGTCTAGACGTGAGATGTTATTGTGTCTACTCTTTATTATATACATCCGATATTTTTCTCAAATAATTTGAAGTGCCACTTCCATCCCTACCTTATTGTCTCCGAAAAGGTAGGATGAGGAAGAGCCACAGCGTCGAATTAGAATGTTATCAATCTTCAAGTGGGTCGGTGGACCATATACGGTGCTATACATCTAGTTGATATCCGAATTATTCTGATTTGAAAAATGGTCTCGTAATATGTCGTTCTCCAATTTTAGCGTGTTCTAAGTAATAAATGCGTACAAGTTGTCACAGTTCTCTCCAGTAACACTGTCAAATTTCGCCTCTTTTGACGCCTCTCTGATAGCATATTTTAAAGACCAAAGATCTCCTTCAGCTGCTTCATTGTATCATCAGGCCCATCGACCTCGTGGCCGATCGTCCGGGAATCAGTATAGATTTCATGGTCGTTACCTCCTACAAAGCACTTGTCACCGAAGAAGTGGATCTTCTTGTACTCAACACCAGTGATGTTCTTCTCAGCCTCAACATGTCGTAGACAAAAAGTCTTATCCCATCCAGAGGGGAAGACATCGAAAGAGATTTGGCCACCGATAGAGAAGCTATGTTTACAGATCAGCATCATCCGTCACATGTGAATATTAACAACCATCGATAACTTACGTGAGGCCATAGTCGGGGAACTCCTTCTTTAGGGCCGCCACCATATCCTTCCGGATATTGTGAATCTTATCGTAGGCCTCGTACTCATCCCGCTCCTCAACACTGGCATTACGACCAATAGGGCTGATGTTGATCATGCCGTTGCGGAACTCAATAAAGGTACCGCGCTTCTTGGGAAGCTTGAGCTTTGAGATGTAGCCAAGGGAGAAGTCGGCCAGGGCCTGGTACTTCTCCTCACCCAGCCATTGGATGAAGCTGGTGCTTTCAAGCTCCTCGCCCAAGCGGAAGGCTGTCAAGCCGTTCTCGGGGAAGCAGAAATCAAAGAGCGATCGCACATCAACAGTAGCAGAGCCAAGCTGCTCTTGCTGCTTCACAAAGTTGGAACCGCCGACCTGAGAAGTGTTAGAGAGGGCCAAGATGAAGACCTGAAAGGGGCAAAACGAACGTATCCGATAGCACATTGTTGGCGCAATCGGGAGAGAATATCGAGCATCTCGGGGGTGACAGTCTGAGAGGGAGAAATAGCTTAGTATGTATCAATTGAAGGAAGATCTTTACGACCTACACGTCTCGCCTTGGTCAGGGTCTCGTCAACATCAAACAAAACAATGGTATCCTTAAGGGGACGGGCCTCCAATAGAGGGTATGCGCTTGCAGCTGTGGCCATTGTGAGAGGTAATTTCAAGATAAGTCGAGTAGAGTTAAAAGGAGAATAGAAATGACAGCAACAGGGACCAGGGGATAAATAGATTGAGGGGCCCTTTTTTTGGCCGCAAGCGGTGAGTGCGGCGGGGTGGTTAGCGTGATCTAGAACAGCGGAATGCTAGGGCCATTTTAGTGATCGACACTTCCAATAGAAACATATCAATTAAGAGTAGGGCTTAAGACTCTAGGACTCATTATTAGAGGTGTTTGACGTTGAAAAAATGTACTCCGACTCGGAAAGCGTGCATCAAGCACTTATCGATAAGAGTTGATCTAATAGATCTCGAACTTATATTACACCATACTCATGTAAATTATTACAGGAAAAATGTACAATAATTCTCATAAATTACAAATATTCAGTTCGTATTTAACCGAAAATTTAGTGTCCCATTGCAGACTGAAACATCTTCGTCGCCAATTCACTCAAGAGAGTTGTCCGATCTGGCTGTGGAAGGTCCAAGAAAACTTCATAGACACTTTTCCCCTTGGCATCACGAACAGCGCCTAGACGGTTACCCGCCACTGCTCCTGCAACTGCTCCAGGAAAGTTGCCTACAATGAATCCTAGTGCACCCCCACTCATACCACCAACAACAGACCAGAATCGCGACGTAGGGCGGGTTCGACCATTCCCCCCATCCTCAGCCAAACCCTCTTCGCGTAACATTTCCTCAAATACAGAGCCAAACTGATGAGAATTGCGCTCTTCATGATCACCGCCATTACCAAATCCAAAGGTCGACCATGGGAAACCTCCAGCACCGCCATGAGGTACATCGTCGTTGACTTCCTCTTCGGCTTGTTCGTATGCGCGAGTAGTGTCATATTCCCGTCGGCGGTTTGGGTCAGAGAGGGTATAATAAGCGTCGTTAATATCCTGGAATTTTCGCGTTCTAGCAGGTCGTTCGGGAGAGTCTGCAGGGACTCTATCTGGGTGGGATTTTAATGACTCCCTGTGGAGTTGATCAGTCTCGTACAGTACTTCGGCATGAAAAGATCGAACCTTTTGTATGCGGTACGGATCTGCTGCTGAGTGGCATCTTTAGAGATTCCGAGAACCTTGTCTGTAGCCTAGAGTTAGGAGTAAATCTCTCTTATGGTATGGAGGGACTTGCAGTAATCTTGACTCTCTGTGGTAGAAGCTATTAGCATCAAGTTTGCTAAGGGAATCGAAGCTCAGTAACTTACTTGACATGTTAGTAGTAGTCGTATGACTTGGTATGAACAACACAGAGTACTGAAACATCTTGAGGTAGAATGAATCGAGTTTATTGAAGTGACGTAACTATAAATGCCTAAGGCAGTAATTTACATGTGACAGAATGACACCTTGGAGATCAGGTGTCGAACAGGTCAAGACAATGTTTCTCAGGGGCTCTGACCAGCCACCGGAATTAAAGCCCCTTTCTTCTATTATTAATTGTTTCTTGTTGGCAGTTGTTGGCAGTTGCTCCATATCGATCTTAGTTTGTGCATTTTCCCCACTTTAAAGCGCATCGAAGTACGCAGCGGAGCTAGACCTAACAATTTGTCCATCTGCAGCTCCTAGTGGCTGGCTGGCTGACCTGCATTTGCCTTTCGCCTGTCAAATTCTGCCTGTCACACTCAAGAGCAAATATCTTAGCAGGACATTATACGTCGAGGAAAATATCTCTCGAGATTGTGACAGTTTAGCAACTTGGTCTCAGATTGGGCTGTGTTTTGCTACTGAAAGCAACCCCGCACATACAAGTGAGCACGCACAGAGAAAAAACCCGCACAATAACAACAATGGGATGGTTCAACGGTCCTTCAAGGTCCTCTTCAGTACGCCGTCGGACTAGTTCCCCGACTCGCAAGTCGAAATACTCTACCAAGTCATCAGTGTACTCGTCCAACCACTATCGAAACTCGGCGCCCTCTATCTTCAACCTTGGCCGTGGAGGAGGTCGAGCCAGTCCGACTCGATCGGTCTTCTCCAGCTTCTCCTCTTCATCACGACGAGCTCGGCCACGCGAGGGCTTTGTACAGCGCCTGATCCACTCCATCAAGAAGCTATTCCGCCAGATCTGGCGTTACGCCCGCCAGCATCCCATGAAGGTATTCTTGCTGGTGATAGTGCCGCTTCTTACGAGCGGAGTCCTCCCCAAGCTTCTTGCGATGGTTGGACTGCGATTGCCTCACGGAGTGTCCAGTGCTCTCGGTGCCAGCGCTGGTGCTCGTAGAATGGGAGAGTTTGAGCATGGGGGAATGTCGGACAACGTCAACAGCCTGATGAGTCTGGCTAAGATGTTCCTCTAGATATCCCGATGATACCCGTTCACCCCAATTCTTTTAATGACTGATGATATACATGTCTCTCTCTCTCTCTCTCTTTCTCTCTCTCTTTCTCTCTCTCTCTCTCTCTCTCTCTCTCTCTCTCTCTCTCTCTCTCTCTCTCTCTCTCTGTTTCTGTTTCTGTTTTTTTTGGATTTGTTAACATGACATGTACCGGCGGCTCACCTCTTTTTATCCCATAAAAGCATGTCTTTTACAGTTTGAATGGAATATTGAGAACTCAGGACTGTATTTTTCCGGGGCTTTCACATCCTTAAATGCTAGAGGTCGGTCAAGTAGCGGTGCCCGACGGTGAAACTTGCTGCATTGGAGGTCTGTGTGTTCGACTCTAACTGGCCTGCATCATGCTGCATGTACATGGTCCTTGTAATAGTGTGGGTATGTGATCGACGTCGACAGGGTTATGGCGTTCATTAGTACGGAGTACGGACCAAGTGTTATTATTTATCTTTTCCCGTCCATTTGTTCTATTCAACTTTTGATACATTAAGAAGGTAATTACTTATTGGCCAGCGTATTTGTCCAATATAGTCATGATCCCCCAAATTTCATGATGTTTTTATGATCGCTGGGAGCGCTTCTGGCGTCTTCGGGTTGAGCTTCGCTTCGAAGTCTCGGTAGTCTCGGCGATTTCCTCGGCAAGTTCTTCAGTCTCCTCTGCTTCGTCTAATTCATCCAGGAATTCCTCTTCAGAAGTGCCGAGGATACGACCAGCCGTAGTGTTAAAGCACCAAATAGGGAACCTGCACAGGGCTGTGTCACGGATGGTGGGACGGTGAATCTGATCAACATCGAGCAAGAACTCTTGACGCACGCCATTATCATCATCCTCCTCCAAGAAGACATTACCGACCGAGTCAACAATCATGACCTTGCCATTTTCAGCCTGGACACGTTTCCTCTCGCCAGTGGACATAGGCTCGGGAGTGGAAGTACCAACGGGAGTGGAAGTACCTGATGCACGACCAGCAGCCCGACCGCCCTTCTTTGGCTTCCGGTTTTCCTTGTCCATCATACGCTTCTGACGACGGTTCATAGCCATTGCTCCCGCATCATCAGCTTCCGGGGCAGGGGCGGGGACAGGAGGGGTGTCGATGCCTGGAATTCCCCGAGGACCTCTCTCATTGCCCCAAGCAGCCCGACGAGCCTGACGAATGTATCGGTCCACAAACTCGCGCTGACGTCTCCAGCTCAGGATCAAAGCACCGTAGTGGGCACCACCGCCGAAAACGACGAACAGACCCAGGAGCACTGTGCCCAGACCGGGACGGAAACGAGAGTAGTAGTATCCAGTGCCCTTCCACTTGGGGAATCCATTCTTCAAGAAGTGGTTGTAGCGTTCACGGCCAGAACTCTTAAGGACATTGACAATCGAGGTCAGGAGTGCGTAGCGGTCGGTGGCCTCCTTAATCGCGGCGTTGATCTGTTTTCTGGACGGACCAGAGGAGACATGGACGCCCGGTTGATTAGACTTAGAATTGCTCTTATCCTTGGCAAAATTGGCGACAAATGCCCGTTCAACCTTGTCCGGGTGGAGAGTGCGCGACTTCTGTCGATGGGCTTTCACGATTTGGTCCTGATTGGCATTGGAGCGAACACCGAGGAAGTCTAGCAAGCAGAGAGAGAAAAGGGCCGTTAGAACAATTGCCTTGAAGCTGTGAAGAATTGATTGACTTACTGTAGAAAGTGACATTGGCACCTTCCAATAGGGCCAACTCATCTCGAAGACGAAATATCTCAAAGTCTGGTAATTTAGCGATTGAGTAGAGATCAGGGGTAAAATCCATAATCACCTTCTTTAGTCCAAGCAGCGACAAGGCCCACGAAGACGAGCAACAATAAAACGGCGAACTTCATATTTGGTGTTGCGGATTAACTAACAAAGGTGGCCGAATGGGGAAGAAAGCCTCAAGATCAAAAGGCGGTCAAAAGTTGCCATAATCATGTCCACTGCAGCCCAAACTGCAGAAATACTTGGAAAGAGTCGAGACTAATTTTAGCTGAAGTGAGGGGAAAATAAATATAGCTTTTTGTATATAATATGCACTTTCCCTTCATTCTTTTCTTTCTGTATTTACTCGATCGGATGCGGTAGGGTTTTCCCGCAAACGGGGAACACTCACTGGGCCCTTCACAAGAGTACTTGAGCTAAATACTGTTTGAGACTAAATGAAAAGGGTGTGTTTGGTGTTTGACTAATATCAAAAGGGGCCAAAGTCACCCCCCTTCACCCTTCAGCCCTTTAGCCTTCTTGTCCTTCTGCCTTTCTGTAGACTTGGCATCTTTCCCTCTTCAGTTACGTCTTAACATCCACTCTCCCCTCTCTTACTCTTCACCCTCTTCTTCCTCTCAACCCTGTTCATCTACATTACTACATCATGGCTATTCGAATTCCCATTGATGCGATTACCTCGCGTTTCGGCGACCGCTTCAACAACATTCGCAGCCAGTCGCTGAGCACCCGTTTCTCGAACCTTCGTCCGGTCTCTGAGTTCCTCGACTTGAAGCGCCTGTCCAAGCCTGCCAACTTTGGTGAAGTGCAGAGTCGTGTCAACTACAATCTGTCTCACTTCTCGAGCAACTATGCCGTCGTTTTTGTGATGCTCAGCATCTACAGCTTGTTGACCAACCCCCTTCTGCTCTTCGTCATCATCTTTGTGACGGCTGGCCTCTGGGGAATCTCCAAGCTGGATGGTCGAGATCTGCACCTGGGATTCCGTAGCTTCAATACTTCGCAACTTTACACGGGTCTGCTGTGCGTTGGAGTTCCGCTAGGCATCATCGCTTCGCCTTTCGCGACTGCGTTGTGGCTGATTGGTGCCACTGGCGTGACCGTCTTCGGCCACGCTGCTATGATGGATAAACCAATTGAGAATGCTTTTTCCGAGGAGGCGGTCTAGGTGGTCGGCCGCGAGCTCCTTTTAGTACGCCCCGATGGGGAAGACCACCGGGGGAACGAATGGGGAGAAAACCCAGGGGATGGGAGGAGGATGGACGAGTGGAGGAAATTGAGCGTGACGAAGATGCCTACGGACGGGAGATTATGCGGAATGGTCGCGCTGCCTACATGAGACAGTTGGAATACGAAGGGCGGGCGCCACGCCGGCGAAACTACGACGAAGAAGACGAAGACGACGAGGAATCAGTAGGTGGAGGTGAATTTGATCTTTACAATCATCAGGACAGTGTTGTGGCATATGCGGTTCAGCTGGCCATGCAAGATAAAGAGGATCAATTGGTGGATGATGCATTGGCGCGCATTCGTCGCGCGCAGATGATGGGCAAGAACAACGTGCGGCTATCGCAGCGCGAGCTGGCTGCTTTGGAGAGGAAGCGCCAGCAGACGGACGACCAGGAGATGACTCAGGGGACTACCCGGCGCAACAAGCAGAAAAGCGCACGACCAGCATCATTTCGGCGAGTCGCACCTGTGCCTATGCCTGTGCCCGAACAAATGTTTGGGCCCTATCCACATTTTGCACCCGACACAAGTTGGAACCAGGGTATTGCTGCCAGTCATCCCTCCAGCTCTTCATCCTCAAATCGAACACGCACTCCTACTATGCAGTCGCTACGTTCACACTCGAATTCCAACACCAATTCTAATTCACCACACCGGGCCTCTTACCAAGCCTTTTCTGAGCGTATGACTCCCAATAGTCGCCCACAGTCGATGCCTCAGCCCTCTCCTATCTACGGGCATCAACCTCCGACTTACGTACGGCCCTTACCGGATGATCCGACTTGGGTTTCACCGTATACCTCGATGCACATTCCAAAAACCCTAATGCCAGAACCACTTCCATACCAGCCACAGCTGCCCACAGATCTTCGCGTGGGGCCCCAGAACCGGGGCAACTACCCCACGGCTGTCACCTCACCGCAGCTATCTATAGACAGGCGTCGTTCCGTGCCAACGCGCGGTGTCAATGCCATATCGAAGTTTGAAACAGATGTGTCTAGTGAGGAGAGTGAAGGCAGTGAGGAAGATGAAGATGAGGATGAAGACGACATAGAGGGAGATGACGAGGACTATGAAGATGATAACGAGGATGACGAAGATGAAGACGAGGTTCAAGTGGTGAATGTGGCTCAGCGCGCCAACCCTGGTCTTCACAGACGCAAGGCCGGCACTCGCAGTGGCAAGTAAAAATGAGTGCCAAGTGGTTTACTCTATAGTCTGATTATTTCTTACGGCGTTCGGATAGATAGGAACCCCGAGTATTATAGATCCTGCTAATTTTAAGTTGTTCAAGTCGTACTAGTCATGAAGTGTAAACCATATCACTGGGTGTAGATCGGTGTACGTAATCAACGGGATGATGTATGTAAGAGTGGATCCAGTTATGCCGTTGATCCGTAAGAAGAACTTGGAACTCGATGACGTCGATTTGGCAATTTCTTTCATTAAAGGACTGAAGGGACATTCCTCCTGCTCCTGCTGTTGCTACCACTGCCATTTACTCCTACACTACTCCGTACTTCATACTCCGTACTTACTCTCCTGGTGAGGTTCTTTTTAATTCTCCATTCCAGTATACGTACCTGGATTCCACCGAACGCCACCAGAACCTCAAAACCTTGGATATACTATAAACGAGTACACCAATAATATTTTCATTTTTCCTTTATAACCAGAGGTCGCGTGACGTCTTTGGAAAATCAACCCTATCTTGGTAAGCCATTTCACATTACTTTTGCCCTAAGAAACCAGCCACAATGTACTTAGTACATGTACGGGCATTGGCGCTACCGGCATCGCGCGGCAGGGGTTGTAACTAATATACGCATATAATATAGGTAGCAGATTCAGTGCATCTCCTCTAATTTAGCCCCATATACCGATTTTATCTCGAAAGCCCGACGTGAGAACGTGAAAATATTGCCTAGGTACACTTGAGTTTTCGTCGGAATACACTTGATACACAACATGTGGATTATATCATTCTGGGTTTTCCCGGTCGTTTCGGCTTCCATGTGGCTAGGTAAGAAAAAAGAATGAATTAATGTATCTAACTAGGTACTCTGAAAATGGTTCTAATCGAATAATAGCCATGTTAATAGCCATGATTGCCGTATGGGCCAGGGAAGGCGAACCCGTTTACTCAAACATGAGCGAAGGACAAACTATAGCGTATGTTCTGCAGATATCATTGAGACGAAACACAGCTGACGGAGTGTTTTTTAGATACATCTCCGATGTAGGCGCTGAAGGGCTTAAGCCATTGTTCATCACTGGCAGTGTCATCACAGTTGTATTCCTCGATCTTGCCTTTCTTTCAGAGCGATGGCTTCGACATGCTGGCCAGCTCCTTCCTAACAAAGGCATCCTCGACAAAGCCTGCGCCTGCCTGTCCATCTTCTTCTCAATCGCTGGTGCACTGGGTCTGATTCTGCTGTCCTGCTTCGACACACGCCATTACCCTCGCCTACACGATGGCTTCCTGATCATGTTCATGGCCGCCTACCTTATCAGCGCAATTTTCATTTGCGCCGAGTACCTCCGCATTGGAATCTTCTACCGCGCCCAACACCGCTGCCTTCTAGTCAGCTTCTGGATCAAGGTCGCCTTCATTATAATCGAGATTGCCCTAGCCATTGGATTTGCAGTCTGCATGAAGCGCGCCGAGAAGAGGAACGCCAGTGCCATTCTTGAATGGGTCATTGCCTTTGTCTTCACAGGCTATATCCTATCTTTCGTCGTTGATCTGCTGCCGTCTGTTCGGACCCGGAGACACCTTCCTCAGGGTGAGAAGCGCGGCATGGATGATTACATTGAACCCCATCACACTTCTCTTGAACAGCCTCTAACCCACGACTCGACTGGTCCCAATTTCTACCGGGGTTCTCGCGTTTAAAAAATGCTCTCTAATTTAATTTTACCTGGGATAGACCTGGGTACTCATGGGTTTTATGCTATAACGATATCATTTCTTAGGTTTTTTGGAGTGATTTGATACCTTTTAACGAATTACAGTTTCGTGTTTTGTCTTGAACATATATACGGTACCTGTACATTATATTGCGATTCTTTATCGTTTTGATTTTGCTGTTCCAACTTCATGACCACTCCATCACTTCATTATCGTATATCTACATAATCCCATATCAAGTACAGAAAACTCTTGTAAATGCCCACCATCTGAGAACTTGGCAAATCAAAGCAAAAGTTTCCGCCGAATGTGCTCTTGCATCTCGGCATTAATCCCAATCCCATCCAAATACCCAACAACGCCCCCATATTTGGCATTCAAATATTCGGTCGTAGCATCCACAAAGCCCGGTGGACAGCGCGTATATTCTTTCCCAAGACCAAGAAGGCGGATTTCCTTCATGCGCTCCTCAAACTCAGGGACTAACTCCAGCTCAGACCGAACATAATCATCCATGATCGCAGCTGTCGGAACCTTCTCCAGTAAAAGCAGTATCATCAAGATAACCAACCCAGTCCGATCCTTGCCCTGGGTACAGTGTACGAGGAGGGGATATGACTCGTCACGCGCTAGAAGCTCAAAGAAAGCACGAATCTCAGCAGTACTCGCATCCAGAGTATCCTTAGCCAAACCCGTTAGACCACGCGGTTGCATAACCTGTTCACCAACGAGGCGAACCGCATCAGCCCTATAACCCGTCGCGACCATAATGATGACTTTCCTATGCATGAAAAAATCCGCATTAGATGACATAAGTACGAACCAGTGAGGGGGTGTAAACGAAATTTACATATAAGTAGCCCAGTCCAATTTCCATAATAAAGCGCGTTCAAAAGCCTTTCCCGTCAAGCTTATAAGGGCACGATGACAGTCCGGAATTTGAAGAAGATGTTCGTCTGCGATTGGTATAGAGCCGTTCAGGTCGATATTCTCTGTCGAACCAGCATTTTCCGCGCGCCGTTTACGGGTTCCCATCAGATGTTCCGTCCTATGGGGGGTGGAGAGAAAGGAGTTATTTAAGAGATTCAAGATTCAAAAGATAGATTCGTTGTAGAATTAGAAAGAAATAGAAAAAATAAAACATACTGCGATCGTAGATCGACAACTGTGGCGATGTGCAGTTCATCTGTAAGGCGGCGTTTATCTCGTTCTGAGGCATCATCCAGCTGGACGGAGTAGAAGGAATTAGTATGTCTTCTTTCTTCTGTTTCAGGTTGTATATGATATACCCTTGCACTTCGATAGATCACACCTTCTCTCAGGATCCTATTAATACGTCAGAAAAGGGAAAACCCGGGGGATATGGGGCCACGCACTGTTCACCACAGAACTTGTTAATGGACTGAGCGACATCACGGAAGTTGATAATATTATCAAAGGGGCGTTCAGGCGAGTCTAGATCGATACTGGATTGACGCGGCATAGTTGTATGTTGTGGAGACGAACCGTTGAAAATATGGGTAGAAGTGACAGTGACGTTGGGCAGGAACGTGGATTGATTTTGGTCTGAGCTTTGTTCCGTTGATCCACTTGGTAATATATTAGTACGGAGTACACAATTATGGTAGTTAGTATGCCTTTTTTTATTTTTATTATCTACGGGCTATTAAGATAAGGGCTGAGAACTCGCTTATTAACTATCCATTTGCTAAAGTGCTTAATCAGTACTTTTGAACAATGTTGTTGTTGCATCGGGGTGATCTCCAGATCCATGTCTTACCACTTTACCACGTACTTGTAGATTTGCTGATGTTGCTTACTTGTAGGATATGCACAGTTTTTATGTAATATTAAAATAAGAGATATCGTTACACATTGGAATCTGAATTTACAGGCCAAACTTCAATTCACTCCACCAACGCCAAAGCAACCGAATACAACCCCCCACCAGCAAAGAATAATAATATTGAGAAACTAGCAAGAAGAACTAAGAGATGTCCTCAGAGAATCGAGACTCACGACCACTCTTTGTACTAGCGGTCTCCCCAATAAGGGGAGGAGCAGGAAGGCCATGTCCGACAGCATTATCACGCAGTTCACCCCGATGGATACTTGTTTCAAATTCCTTCGAACTAGAGACGGCAGAGGCTCGACGGTAATCAGCAGGGATATCGGCAGGGATACCAGCGGAGACTTCAGCGGGAATTTCAGCAGCATCGGCCTCGTCTCCCGGATTGGGAGAAACTCTTTTCATGAAGGACTGGCGAAGACGGTGTTTGGAATTTCGCTTCGACTCGGGCGAGAAACTAGTTAGAGAAGCATCGGATTGGGACTTCTTCTCGTCAAGACAGATCGGATGTCCATGGAAGGAATTTCGCCCTGCCAAGGCAGCACCACCAGAGAATCCAACTTCGCTATCGTTTTCGAAGTCTGGGCCAGGTTGGTGTGGATACAGGGGCACTGGACTGCTGATACGACGACTCAATCGATCACGGAACCAGGTTTTGAGCTTTGAATCGGACTTGGGGCTGGTTATTGGCTTGGTGGTGTGCAGGAATGAGATTCTGCTACCCTGAGCCGCAGCATCTCGTGGGACTGTATGACGCCCGATGCTTTGACAATCGCTGAAATGGTCCGAAAACGAGGGGGAAATGGCTCCAACGCGGGCAGCAGTCATCCTATTTGATGGAACAGCCGTCGGCTCCTCGTTCAGAATCTCTTCCAGAGACACGTTGGTGGGTAGACGAGCTTCGTCTCTCGGCGGGGTCGAATAGATATCTGTCTCCTCAACAAGCTCTTGAGGTTGAACCACGGGACTCTCTGCTGCCGGCGTCATGACGGGTGTGGCTTCAGCTACCCTCACCTCTGGAACTGTCGCTGTATGTTCAACAACTGGTGTCTCAACTGGTGTCTCAACTGGCGGTGTCTCCCAGACCGAGTCCTCTTGGACACTTTCCGTCTCGATCTCCTCTTTGGGTGCTCGCTTCTCCTTCTTCCGCATCAATAATGCTTTGAGTCCCATAATGCTCATGCGCTTCTCTGAACCCGTTGCTTTGTTAGCTCACATTCAAATTAGGGGGAGGGGAAACGTTTGACATACCCTTGTCTTTGTTTTTATCTTTCGTTTTCTTTTTTGCACCTTTCAGGGAAGCTTCACGCTCTTTATCTATGGCAGCCTGTCTCTGCTTCTCCTCTGCATTGAGACGGTTCTCGAGATCCCGAGCTCGACGTTGTTCAGCTTGATCGGTGATTTCGTCGAGTGTGGGCTGTAGACGTGAACGGGCGACGGCTTCGACGTCGGCCATCTCCATGTACTGCTGCGCACCAATACTGACTTGATTTCTGCGATCGCGAACAGCGTTGTTTTCCAAAAACTGGGCTTCTTGTCGGATTCGCTCTTTTGCCGCCTCGTCCCACTCCTTCTGGATGGCCTGTGAAGGACGGCCGGTATCGTTGTAGATCTGAATCTCCATGTTCTGCATCGTCTGGGTCACATTGCGTTGTGCGACTGCCATAAGCATCTCGCGATCTTTGACACGTTGATCGTCCACTTGATTCAATCTCGACTGCAGAACTGTCATTTGACTCCGGATCGCTCTCGAGTTTTCTGTATCCGCATCCGCGTGGGTCGCATCTGCAGCACTGTACGTTCTTCGCCGAAAGCTCAAGCGTTTTCGTTGCGATGGCGACTGCGGGCGCGCAGTACCGTAATACTCCTGGAGCTCAACATTCTCGTTTCTCATTTGTGCTAATTTTACTGAAGCTCGTTTTTGCGCAGCCTTCTGCAAGGTCATCGCTCGGTGGGCTGTGATCCCCTCTGTGCCACTTATGGTCATGCGCTTTTGTAACCGGTCCTGGCCTCGCTTAGCTGCATAAACGGGTGCCGGATTGCGTGGTTCGCTTTCAGTACCGGGGCTGTACATATCCCTGGCCATCACGATGGCTGCTGCGCGCAGGGAATTTCTCTTATTGCGCTCCTCTACCTCAACTGCCACGGGAGGAGCCGAAGTGTAAAGCTGGACGTTGGCGTTGGCAATGTGACGAATTCGGCTAGCTTCCATCGCGCTGTCGAGGTGATCGAGGGGGTCGTCATTTTCGATCTTCATCTTGTGGGAGGCACTGGCGGCAGAAAGAGCGTAATGGGAATCTGACGGGCGAACTAGTTCACTTGAGGCTGAGTCGGCCCTGCGTCGAGTCGTGTAAGCACCGGTTGCTGCGCGGCGCGCCTTGTCTTGTAATTGGTTTTGCTTTGAGACATCTTGTAACGGCGATTGGTTCATGGTCCTCTGTTCGCGGACCGCGATGATAGCGGCCCCCAGACCCTCGGCGCTATATTGAGGACTGGGCTGAGTCGCCACTGGCGGGGTGAAATCTTTGACACACCAAGCTGCTCTTTCAGCGTCGGGCAGTCGTCCTGGGCGCCAAGTTTCTACCGATTTTTGATTTGCGTGGGCGATCGCTGAAGCCGCAGAGGCATGGCTCAGATCGAGACCGGCATCTAAGTTGAGAGAGCGGATATTAGAAAGCGTTGAAATTCTCGGAAAGTGGGTTGACGAACTGAAGGGACTTTTTCTAGGGGTTGCGTCGCGAACAGAGACAGTTCTTCGGGGATGTGTCGCATAGAGTGCAGCAGTCGCGGCTAATCCATAGTTAGTGGAGAAAGAAGAACAGAAGGGGATCAAGAACTTACCGTCGTCAGCCAATCTGGCAGACCTTCCAGACATCTGCGCAGTGGCCATTATATCTGGTGGGTAATGAAAACGACGGAACTGAAACTGATGGCAAGAAGAGAATGAAGTTAAGGGAATGAAGATTGAAGATAGAGAAGGTGAATGACGTCGTCATGCGGATCTCCTTCACCGCAATTGCATCATAAAAAAGACCCTTTCCGCTTTCGGATTTTGACGATTCGAAATTGACTGGATTAGGACTAGGATATACTGTACTATTGAACTTTGATTTTATTCTATTAATTGAGATGAGCCTTGAGAATATATTATACAGAATAGTAGCAGAGATATCTACTACAGTACTCTACCATCGGACTTGGAATCCGTATTACCGAGCATGAATTGTCAAATGTGGCCATGGAATAAGTATGACACTACGACATTCAATATTGACATAATTGAAACTAGAACTGGTGAATTACATCACCTGCAATCGAATCTTAGATCGAAGAGCCTCTAGTCTCCACTGAGTACTAATCAGTGTTAGGACTAGTCAATAGTAAGGAGTTACCGACGTAATGCCGCTTCCTTGTTCCAGGGTTTTCTGCATCATAACAATCCATACTACAATGCCTCGAAACGATCACTTCAGAGCAGGCAGAGGGCCACTCGAAAATAATCCCAACCTAGAATTACAACGCAGTCATGTTTCCGGTGCTCTACCATTCTTAAACCCCACTGTGGCTCGGTACAGACCCGCTAAAGCCAAGACCGAGACTGAAAAAGAGACCCAGCCAGATCACCAAAGACCCACCAAAATCGAACATGTTTGGCGATCCCGTGATAATCGCAAAGGACGCCATGTCCTGCGAGTGGACTACGATCACCCACAGACGAAGAACACCCCTCCTCTGACGTCGACATACAAGGCTGTAACTAATAGCATCCTTCGCATGGCCACATATTGCCCATACTGGGATGTATCGTACCTAGTAGCAACAATATTCACCATAGGCTCCGTGATCTGGATCATTAATGCCTTCTTCGTGTGGTTACCGCTACAGGATCCCAGATCCGAGTTTGCCGGCGAGGAACTCCAGGGCGGAGGAATCACCGCATTTATAGGCGCGACGGTTTTCGAAATAGGAAGTGTACTACTCCTGCTCGAGGCAGTCAATGCTAATCAAAGCGGATGTTTTGGCTGGGCCTTAGAAACAGAGTTGAAAGGTGGAGAAGTACAAGACCCTGAGTCGCAGGTGTCATTGACACGCGTAGACGCGTGTCAGCACCACCACGCCAACACCAAAAACCTAATGGGAACTGGTAAGCTGGATCACCGTCTCTCGCATGATATAGCCACTGGGTATGCGACGCCGCTGCCAGAAGGAAAATCTTTCTGCTGGTGGCCTTCGCTGTATGACCTCCGAACACACTATATGCACGAGTTAGGATTTCTGGCGTCCTTAATTCAGTTTTTAGCTGCGACTATCTTCTGGATTGCGGGATTCACAGGTCTGCCAGGAATCATCAATCATATGAGTCAAGGCCTGACAGATGGAATATACTGGGTTCCTCAGATAGTAGGCGGAGTCGGCTTTGTTATAAGCGGCTTACTCTTCACTCTGGAAACACAGAAGAAGTGGTATATACCAGCCTTTAATGTCCTGGGTTGGCATATTGGAGTTTGGAACTTCATTGGCGGTGTTGGATTTACTCTTTGCGGTGCGCTGGGGCCGGTGTCCAGTTCATCTGGTATCGATTACCAGGCGTGTCTTGCTACCTTTTGGGGATCGTGGGCTTTTATGATTGGGTCCACGGTGCAGTGGTATGAGAGCTTGCAAAAGTATCCTGTTGAGAAGAAGTAACTTGGGCAACCTAGGAAGGCGAAGGGATCAGAGGCTGGAACCTTGGAATATGTAGATATACACGCATTAAATATACCTATACCTAGGTACTTCAGAGGACGAGTGTCAATTTGAACATATATATAATAGTTGTGGAAGCTTCTTTATTAGCCATTACCGGAGATTCAGCATCTTCAAGATATAGTGGCGCACAAAGGACCGGGTTAATACTCAAAAGACATATGCCGACTTGGACCTGATGATAGTCATAGTGTCTAAGACCGCCATGGGCAAGCCATCCATAGGCATATAAAGTCAAGACAAAGCTGAAATTTCGTTTGAAAACAAGTATGCATGTAATTGCCTCCACGATGATCTCCCATAAATTTTTCAGCGGCGTCACAGATGCCGAGAAGAAAACAATTCACACACACACAATACGATATAGAGTGAGTCTATCACGGTCCCAATTACCATTCCAGCGATTATAAAGGTAAAGAACAGCTCCACAAGGACCTAGCTATATTTTTCAAGGTCGTTCGTGGCCACAAAAAAATCCAAAAAGAACAACAAGGCTGAAAATGAGCTGAAATAGGAAAAGAAACAGGCGGAATTAGGGCTCGTTTATACCCTTGTTGAGACGAATCGTGTTTTTATTCAGCACATTGGTTACAAGGCCAGAGATGATTAAGCCTGCCATCGAACCTATAAAAGCACATGTGCATAGATAACCTGCTTTATCCTCTTCGAACCATTGAGGTGGCCTTTGAATAAAAGAGCCCGAATGACACCGATAAAGACTGCCCATCCAATGGATGGATTAAACAAGCCTAGTGATCATGGTCAGCTTTCCAGCATAGCGCAACTATTACCAATTGATGCGGACCCAAAAGATTCCAGGGTGGAGAAAGAGAGGAAATTGTAGTAATAGCAGCTTGAAAAAGTGATCATGTTCCGTCCATTGAACAATCGCATAGATTTGGCCGATGAGTCTTAGGAACCCTCACTGTAGGTTCTTTAGCAAATCAGGTTGTATTCAAATCTATCACACCTGCGGTAGACTTCAACTCATCATTGAAACTACTAGGATCACTCGATTCTGCGCAGTGGTCGAAGTCAGTATTAAGACAGTGGGACCGAAGAAACACAGTCTCTGGCACGAAAACGACCATCAATGGAAGAAAATAAAGCCTGAAAAATACTGCCACAGAATAGAAAAACTATTACCAGCCAAGTGGCTTGGTTATATTTTCAACAATTACCGGAGTCAAGCTCCAAACAAGGACACATTCGATAAGGCTATCCGCTTTCATCATCCCTATCGTACCGTTAATGTGATTTCAAAAATTAACGTAAACAAAGTAGAGATATCCGATGCAGGTATTCAGTGACGCTTCGAATGGAGCCAAGGCAGCTCCATGGAAGATGCGGGCCTACGATAGGCTTTGATGATTATGGCCACTGGCACCAGCCCAGACACAGCTCGCAATCATCAAGACATGCCCGATCAGGAACAGATGGTGTTTTCTACAGATGAGTGCCGTGGGCACGACAAGGGTTCCTGCGACACCCACACCGACGAGATGATATCCCGTTAACAATGCCGCGTCCCAAATGTGATATCTTCATAACCAGCGATGACAACTATATCTGCCGCCATTATGGCAATATGCACGATATAGTGACGAATAATAGGGCTGCAGGGATGATATCACGTCTAAAGAGGGGCCCGTTCTAGTAACGAGGCATTGTTAGCTTCCTATCAGGCACCGCATTACCTATTTGATGTACCAGTGGGTTGTTTGGATCGTCACTGGGATGTGGTACGATGATCAATTTGGTGATAGGGTCATAATTGAGGGCCGGTTCGCTTGTAAAATCCTACTCGCTCATTCTGGACATGCCTATATGAAGATAAATGAGCTTAATTCGAGGTCTCTGTCAGTATTGTGGATCTTATCTGGAAAATACGCAAGCTTGTGATCTTTCAAAACACCGAGTCCATGATTGCAACTTCGAAAATTTTATACTAGAAGAGATTGATTGTTTGAGCGGAGAAAGATGTAAGAGGAGGTAAATGAGGAGCAGGTGGGAAGAAGAGAGAATGATTAAGGAAAGAATATCGGGACGACAAGATTCCTTCTGCATGAGGTCTACATTGCTCGAGAGTAGAAGTCATCTCAAAAAACCAAGAGAGAACGTAATTGCTTCGGAACATACTTCAAGTGTTGATAGTATCAAAAAGAGAATTGAAGTCGGTTCAGTCCAAATTCGAGTACGGGAAACTGCCTACGATGCAAGGTCAAGAATCTGTGTATCCATGAGGAACACCAGTCTGATTTAATATAAATAGTTAAAGAAGTTGGAGCTACACAAAATACCACGTTAAAGCTCGAACTGACATGCATGGTAGAATACCGGTTTCTTTTCGAGGATTAAATGTTATAAATGGCATTGATACAAGTTGTTCTGTATAGCGTCAGATGGACGACTGCGTATAGTAAAGATATGAGCAACTGAACAATATAGTGAAAGGTTGGATGAACTTGATCGATTAGATTCTGCAGAGTCTTCGAGTCCCTAAGGCTCTCTCCCCAGGCTTCAATTTCTTAATTTCCTTTTAAGATTGTCAATAGTGTCACTTCACTTTTCTTCTACTCATACTTCCCCCCGAACAACCATCATCTCAATCATCTCAATCATGATATTCACCATTATCTTTGCAGCTTTGGCGTCTATCGTCGCTGCCCAGGGCATGTCTGGACTGCCTGAATGCGCCGTATGTGATTCCTTGACCACTTGAATTTTTTATTTTCGAGTTTCGTGCTAACAAAGTGGGAACAACAGAAAGCTTGCGTTACCCATTCCATTCCCACTACTTGTGGTATGGACGTTGCCTGTATCTGCAAGTCTGGGTCTTTCCTGAGCAGCATCGCCTGCTGCATTGCCGAGAAGTGCTCCGAAGACGATCAGGATAGTATGTTATCATCAAATTCATCAACCAGGTATATGTTGACACTCATCCATTTCAGCTACTCTCTCTGCAGCCAATTCGATCTGTGCCGGTGGTGGTGTGACTGATTTGCCCGAGTCGGTTATCTGCTCCGTCACTGTTGCGATCACCACTGTTACCCCTACTTCTACTTTGGACACTCTTACTACTTTCACTGGTACCAGCACTCAGCAGACCACCATGGAGACTGCCATGACCAAGCGTACCACCGAGGAAAAGACTGACACGATCACTGAGCCCTTGACTACTATTACCCAGATGACTACCAAGGTCAATACCAGCGCAACTACCGAGGCCGTAACCACCCAGCATTCGACCACCACGTCAGCCTTGACCATTGCCACATCGGTCGTTACATCAAAGCTGGTTTCTGGCTCGTCTGCTTCGGCTACCAGCACTGCCACTGGTGATGCTTCTCTCGGTATGGGCAAGGACAGCCCCTTGATGGCCTTTGCTGGAGCGTTTGCACTCTTGGCCTTCTTGGTTTAAGCTGCAATAGGTGTTTTAAGCCTGGAAAAATGGAGTTGCGGATGTTGAGGGATCATTCCTTAGCAGATGAAAAATCGATCAATTAGTGATCTTATGTATCGCTTATCAAAAAGTATGAAGCTTTTCTAGAAGGGGAAATGAATCTGAATCACTGCTCTAATAGTACAGTATATATACCTGCAGGTAAAGGGATGTTACGCTTATCTGTCCTTGGTGGCATCCTCCAACAGATCGGTCAGTCTCTCCTGTCGCTCCTGGCGAAGGATTGCGAAGCCCTGTGGAATGAAATATGTATGTCAGTCTATGAGCTCTCCTTTTATCTGAGCCTAAGGATCCACTTACCCAGAACCAAAACATCATTTCCAAAAAGCCAAATGTAAAGACCACGCGGGTCTTCAACTGATCAAGTCCGAAGACCGCAGAGGTGGCAGAATAAGAGACAGCAGCATTTCCACCCTTGCTCGAATAGATAAATATGCTAAGCGCGGCGTACATGAACGATCTGATCCCGGCAACGCTGGTCCAAACATTCCAGTATGTGGTCAGAGACCTCGTGATGTACTCCGGCAACTTATCCAAAATCTGGAGGTCCTCCGATGCAAGATTTCCATTGCGTAGAGGTCGGATATAAGGCAAAGCTTCGGTCAAGGCATTGCGATAGGGCAGGCTGGAGAGGAGAACAATGTCGACGAGGGCTTCGCTGAAGAGCAGAACAGAACAAAAGACGTAAGGCGATTGTGTGGTGGATTTATTAACAGGGAAATCCTATATCACTCATTATAAGTCAATTGATGCCAATGGGTATGAATTGAGTCTGGGGGCGCGCCATACAATACCCAGTGCCTCTCCCATCATGAACACGATGTTGGAGTTAGTGATCACCACCGGGTCTTTGATCAGGTACCCGGCAATGGTGATCAGAAGCACAGCATGGATCTGAATGAGTCTTTTAGACGAAATTAGAACCATTTTGGTGGAATTGTGGTGTTTCGCTGTGTTGTTGGAAATCTATAAATGTTGTCCTTTCGGAGGTCCGCAGGTTGCGCGGACTTGAATCATGTGGATCCGTTCTTTAGTTGGAGTCGAGACTACCCCCCACCTCGACAAGCGCGACAACTTTTCTCGATCATATTCACCACAGCTATTCCTCAAGCTTTATTCTGGGAGGCACGAGAAAAAGTGATTGTTCTGCAGAACTACCTGGCTATGGCCGAGTCCCTCTTCAACACCCAACGCCATGTCAAATATTATCTCCGATGTCTGAAAACCTTCCTCCCGTCAGCCTATATCCCAAATGATTCCAATCGCATGCTTCTCGCCTATCTAACTCTCTCCGGTCTCGACATTCTCGGCGAGCTACAAAACAGTACCACGCCGGAAGAGCGACAAGGGTATATTAATTGGCTCTACCACTGCCAGGTGCCATCGGGAGGCTTTCGAGGATATTCAGGCACAGACTTTAGTGCAGAGAGAAGGGCCGCAGAGAATGAGGCCTGGGATCCAGCTAATGTGGCAGCTACATTCTTTGCGCTGGTAAACTTGCTCATTCTGGGAGATGATCTGTCGCGCGTGAAACGAAGAGAAAGTTTACAGTGGCTTCCAAAACTGCAGCGCAGTGATGGAAGCTTTGGCGAGGTTCTCGGGCCTGGTGAGGTAATTCAAGGTGATCGCGACTTACGGTACTGTTGTTGTGCAGCCGGCATACGATATATGTTGCGAGGGAACAGTCAAGAAGTCGAGGATGTTAAAGACATTGATGTTTCGAATTTAATTTCCTTTATCGAAGCGTGCCAGGTATTTATCCAGTTATTAATTTCCATATTTGAAGATACTATGATACTTACTTTCTCCTAGAATTATGATGGCGGTATGGCGGAGTCTCCCTTTCGTGAATCTCACAGTGAGTATCTTCCGTATCTTGTCTACGATTCAACTTTTTAACTTATCGGTTAGGTGGCCACACATATTGTGCAGTTGGATCTCTCGAGCTTCTGCGCCGGTTAAAAGTTGACACCCGATCGGTGAAGTTGTTGTCACCGGGAACTGAGAATTTTGAGGCCCTGGTCGGCTGGTTAGCATCACGGCAAACTAGCGAACTGGGCGAAGATGACGACGAGGATGAAGAAGATGACGAGGATGAAGCTAACGGCGAGTCGCGTGAAACTGCAAGGAGTGCCCAGGATGCGGATTCGGCCCCCGACGCAAAGTCGGAGTCCATAGAAGATCGCATCCTTGCGCTTCCCGAGAGCATAGCACTATCAGCCGACTCAATACCCTGTGCTGGATTTAATGGACGATGCAATAAAATAGCAGACACCTGCTATTCCTTCTGGAACGGGGCAACGTTGGTGGTAAGTTGCTATATGAAGTATAGAAGGTCACTCTAACTGTTTATAGATGCTGGATCGGTATTCCGTGATAGACGACGTGCGGAACCGGCGATATCTTTTAGAAAAGGTACAACACCTTGTCGGTGGGTTTGGAAAGGCAGTTGGTGATCCTCCAGATCTACTACACTCATATTTCGGAATGGTCTCTCTTGCCTTCCAAGGCGAGGTGGGACTTGCCCCAGTCGATCCGGGACTGGTTACTACAGAAAGGGTAGTCCAGCATCTTGAATCGTTACCATGGCATTTAGGGCACTAAGATTGCACGATTTGTCCATTACCTAGTCGTCCCACATCAGCCAATGAATGCATATACAAAATACCCCCACTAGCCCACTAAGGCCCCCTTTATGATGAAAAAGGAGATGATATTTGAATAGTACCTACAAGGTATACATACGTAATGCTGGACTCTGCGGAAGAGGAAGTAGCTATCCGATACTATTTAGTTGAGGACTGCTGTTTATAGACATGAAAAGTAAGATATATCACTATATAAGGTGAAACAAACGGAAAAAGTCACTTTATTCTCAGGGGGAGAAATTAATAAATTGTCCCGTGTAATCCGTCCCAATTAGTACTAAATTAGACCACAACTAAGTAGAATCGACCAGTAACTAAATAGTTAGTGGTCGTCCATTTCTCCACAACGGTTCCACGTTCCCGTTGACGTCGAACCTTCCACAGCCATTTTAGAAGAAAGGTGGATGCTTACTATTTGCGCATTCCTGATTTCGGAGGGTTTTTTTCTTTCCTTCTACAACTACTCCGTACTGTAATACTCAGTGTCTATCTCTACTCAGCCCTATCTCATATCGCAGACCATCCCTTTCCTCGTCCTCTTGAATGGCAATTCCGCGCAACCCACTTCCTCACAACCCCCTACCAACTACGCGCAGAGATCTCCGCGGACGCCAATCTCGCATTATAACTCATAACACATGCCAGCCAGGACGAGAGCGGGGGTTCAAAGCCAGAAACAAAAAGAAAAGGTGTGTCCTCCGTTGCGCAATCCACCCAAGTCCGTCTCCTTTCAGGACAGCCGGGGTTAGACGGTTAGACGGGGCATAAGACTAATCAATAAACCCTGGATCGCGTCATAGCTTGCCAACTCCTACAATGAACTACTTAAGTATGCTCCCCTCATATCCCCTCTTAAAGCTGCTAGATATGATAAAAGAATCAATCCCCTTTACTGACGCGTCGTTTCCATCTACTAGAGAGTTTTCCGCGAAGGATCTCCGAACTGTGGGAAATTACACTATAGGGAGATTGATTGGAAAAGGCTCCTTTGGCAAAGTCTACCTGGCGTCGCATAAGCTCACTAATGGCTCCAAGGTACGACTGGTGGCCCTTGAAGAAGTATATAGAGGCTGATGAGTGGTTTAGGTCGTTCTCAAATCTTCTAGCAAGGAAGACACCAATCTTGCTCGTGAGATTCATCACCACCGCCAATTCCTCCATCCCCATATCGCTCGGCTCTACGAAGTTGTTGTCACAGAAAGTCTAGTTTGGCTGGTACTGGAATATTGTCCAGGTATGATTAATAGTTGAGGAACAAGTGCGGTTTGAATCAATTGACTAACTCGTAGCTTGACTAGGCGACGAACTGTACAACTACCTCCTTCGCCATGGCCCGCTACCGGTTGATAAAGTGAAGCGCATATTTACTCAGCTCGTTGGTGCCGTGGCCTACGTCCATAGCAAATCATGCGTACATCGAGATCTTAAGCTGGAGAACATTCTGCTCGACAAAAACGAAAATGTCAAACTCTGCGATTTTGGATTCACTCGCGAATACGAAGGCAAAGCGAGCTACCTGCATACATTTTGTGGAACAATTTGTTACAGTGCCCCAGAAATGTTGAAAGGGGAAAAATACGCAGGCGAAAAGGTTGACGTTTGGAGTCTGGGAATTATTCTCTATGCACTACTGGCAGGAGAGTTGCCGTACGATGACGACGACGATCAGATCACCAAGAAGCGGATTCTCACGGAAGAGCCTACCTATAACGACAGATTCCCAGACGATGCGAAGGCGCTGATCAACATTCTCTTGTCTAAGCGACCACTGATTCGACCAAGTCTGGACGATATCCTTGCCCATCCGTTCCTTTCCGAGCACGCCCCGGAACAGCTTGCTATACTCAAAATCCCCCGACCCTCGCCATTCACTACGCCACTGGAGAAGACTACTTTGCAAAGGATGAAGAGCGCCGGAGTCAATATTGATGAGGTGATTGAGAATGTTCTGGCTCAACGATGTGATCCGTTAGCTGGATGGTGGGCACTGTTGATAGAAAAAGAGCAACGCAAAGAACAGAAACGAGACCGCAAGCGCCGGGAGCGAGAACTTGATGCCAAGAATCTTCGCCGGCTGAGTGCTGCAAGCAGTCAGAGATTATCGACGGCCCTGGCGGAAGTGGCGGAAGAAGGTCATGTCAGTTCTGATCTCCAGCAAGATCGGGGACGGCGTGACAGACGCAGCCTACCTTCCCAGTTGGCAGTACCGGAGCTTCCTTCACTTCGCGAGCCATTGCCCGGGGAAACACCTGACTTGAGTACTCCGCCTACTCCGATAGAGAAGGACTCTTTGACCTCTCTCCAACGGCGTCCTGTTCCTCCACCAAAGGATAAACGGCGACAACGGCCCAGTGTAATGGCACTCAGTGCCTCGCAGCCTGAGATGGGTCAGGGTCGTGGCATCTTTCGCCGTCGCACAAATCGACGTCAACACCCCTTCATCAGCCAGCTTGCCTCTTTAAAACATTGGTTTGTGGAGTCTGCGAAGCGCTCTAAATCCCCCAGCTCCAAGTCGTCTAGTTCGCGGAAAAAATTCCTGTCCGAGAAATTCAGCCCTATAAAGAGTCAAGACTCGGGGAAGAAACAATACTCATTATCTCCTTCTGTGGATTCACAAAGGGAGCTAAAGACGCCTACGCAAGCTAAACGAGTCTCCAATTCCAGTAGCCTGGCTCCAAGCAGTGCTGCCTCTTATCGACAGAATCGACATTCTTACTCTCGCCAGACTCGACCTTTGAACACTGGCTATTCCAATCATCGCAATTCTCTCTCTCCATCACCTATCACACCCCGCGGGTCGTATCGACGCTCATCGGCTGGGCTACGTGGCCGCAAGTCCACATCGTCATCTGTCTCCTCAATCCGCAGTATTCACCACACTCGCGCACACTCCAAAGCGTCATCAATTTCATCCAACAGCATAGACACAGTTGTGACGCCGACAGCCAGAATCTCCAAGTCGCCTCACAACTCCATCAAAGTTCTACCTACTACTCCGGGTGCCTCTGCTAGATTCCCAAGCAATATCCGTTTGGTGCGTAGCTCTAGTGGAGGTGATTCTCTTGGGCAGATGCAATCCGCTTTCAACGAAGCGGTACCTTCGCCATTGATTATGTCTCCTTCCTCGAGTCTGGTCTTTGCACGACGAAAACGCTCTACTTTCAAGGGACCAATGCTTCACACTTCAAATCTTATGCTATCTGGTGGATTGGTCCACTCACCCGTCCCTGGGCAACCTGCAGGCACAGGTGATACCACTAAGCCAACGCACCCTACCTCTCGGAAGAGCCAAATAATTGAAGAGGATGAAGAAATTGAAGAAGTAGAGGAGTTTGATGGCCCAGAAGAGATGAATGAATTGGATGAAGTTCAATCTGAAGATGACACGAACGATTATACTCCTAGGGCATCTATCAAGCAAGTCACGGAGGCTGGATCTCCTGGCTCTTATAAGCGGGTGCTTGAGCCTGCTCCAGATCTGGAACATAGTTCAATGACAATCTCACGCTCATCGTCAATTATTCCCCCAAGTACTTGAGGCTGAGAACATCACTTATCAATGAATACGTCCCTGAATAATGGCTGCTTTTGCATGGAAAGCGGGCGTTTTTTTTTTTTTTCTCTTTATGTTCTCTTCCCCATTCCCCATTTCCTTAGATGATAGATTCGTTTTCTATTTTTTTCTTTTTTCTTTTTTGGCTTGATCCTCTATTCTTATACCCCTCTTGCCCTCAGTTCTACACAACAGTTTGCTTTTGTCCTGTCTGTATTTTATCTAATTTGGCTTGATGTATCGTCTTTGCATAGCCTCACCATTACCCTCGCTCTTGCTAATTTTCATTTTATCTTCATCACCTTCATCTGCTATCATGCTAAGTGCCTCTCTCTCCCTGTCAGTATTTCCTTCATATCCGTCATACTTCATACTCCCTCGCTCTCTACACAAATTTATTCCTCCTACCTGTCCTTTTTACACATTCCGTCCCACTATCTATATACTCTTGCTTAGAATTAAGACCAAAGACATAATGCCAGTTTAATTTGTTCTATCAGCAGCAAACAAGCGATAAGTTGTAACTTGATTCCTCGTCATTTCATGTACAATCACTCCATACTACCCATTAATACACGTATACTTCATCGCTCATACCGGGTTTTATTCCAAGGTTCTCTCTAGTTGGCTGGTAGTTGGCTGGTAATTCCGCGATTTCTCTATTTTACTGCCCAAGTGAGTATATGAGGCTATGACGAACCTCAGGTTAACGCTTTATTATTTACAATCTGTGATTTCATTCTTTATCTAAGAAGGTTCTTGTATATTAGACTAGACCTAGCCTCATAACAAGGTAACGTCTATCTCTATTAAGAAAAGAAAACAGTTGTCACGTCATTCTTTGTTTAAGCCCGCTTAGACTTCCCAACAGCCCCGTTCTGTGTGGCTGGAGTGGAAACATGAACAGTGTACAGACGGCGCTCGACAAACTTGAGGGCCTCATCGATAACGCTAGTAAAAGTGTTAGTAAGGAGGTATATAAAGGTAAATGAGAAGACAAAACCTACATGACGGGAGCACTAATTGCCAATACAGCCTGCCACTCGTTCCAGTTCAAAGGAATAATCGCAAACAGACCCTGCAGGAATGGAATGTAGAGGATGGCGAAGTGGAGGGCCATGGACAGGGTGATTGCATAGATCAACATGGGGTTATTGTTCAGGAAGAATGTCAGAAGGGACTCGCTAGAGGACAGGGCGTTCATGGCGTTCAACATCTCAATCACCACGAGGATGGAGAGGGAGACGGTTGAGGCGGACTTGGCCATGTTATTGGAGAACATCTCGCAACCAATTTCAGGGAACTGCGCAGAGCAGTGATGGAAGTGGGACTGAAAGAGTCTTGGTTAATAGATAGAAAAATACGATGAAAAGCATAATGAGCTTACCAGTTGCGAGAAGGTGATCTGGGGACCCTCGGAGTTGTACAAGAACCACCAGACGTAACCACCGACAGTGGCAGCACCCACATAGATACCGATAACCATGTAGCGGAACAACAACCAGCCACCGACAAGCGCCTCGTCACGACGACGAGGAGGACGCTTCATGACATCATGGTCAGGAGGATTGAAAGACAGAGCGGTGGCAGGAAGACCATCGGTAACAAGGTTGACCCACAGCAGCTGAACGGGAATCAGAGCCTCGGGCATGCCCAGGGCAGCAGTCAGGAAGATAGACACAACTTCACCAATATTAGAAGAGATGAGGTATCGAATGAATTGCTGGGTGTTGCTGTAGATGGAGCGGCCTTCCTCAATCGCGATGGTGATGGTAGCGAAGTTATCATCTGCAAGGACCATATCGGCAGCGAGTTTAGCAACGTCAGTTCCAGTGCCCATGGCAACACCGATATCAGACTTCTTAAGAGCGGGAGCATCGTTGACACCATCACCAGTCATGGCAACAACGTGATTCATGGACTGAAGGAGATCGACCAGCTTAGACTTATGAGTAGGCTCGGTACGAGAGAAGAGAGATGCAGTTTGAACAGCTTTGATCTTCTGGCTTTCACTCAAAGCGTCAAAGTCCCGACCAGTGAAGCTCTTGCCCTCAAGGTTCTCGTCGGGTCCGAACACACCAATTTGGCGACAGATAGATTCGGCAGTGCTGGGGTTGTCACCAGTGATAACAATGACACGGATACCAGCAGCGTGGCACTTTCTAATAGAGTCGGCAACCTCGGGGCGTGGAGGGTCCAGCATACCAACAAGACCAATGAGAGTCATATTCTGTTCCAGTTTGGTGTAGTCCTCGGAAGACGTGGCGTTCTTGAACAGAGGGTCCTGGCCAGAAACATTGCTCACGCTTGCGATAGCCATTACACGGAGACCACGGTTACCATACTCCACAACTTCTTCGGAGAGCAGCTTAGAGTGGGCCTTGGTGAGAGAGACGCGCGATCCTTCGGAGCCTTGCAAAACGTACGAGCAGCGCTCCAAGATAGATTCAGGAGCACCCTTGACCAAAAGCTTCTGTTCCGTGCCCTTGCCAACAAGGACTGACATGCTCTTGCGATCACGAGAAAACTCATATGTGGCCTGGACGGGGAGGAGGGATTCATAGTGGGCGCTAGCATTGTGCAATCGCTCAGATACAGGAAGTCTGAAGTGCTTTTCGTTGGTAGCGGCATCGCTAGTACCAATCTTCTCAACCAGAGCGCGCAGGGCTGCCTCGGTGGGTTCACCAATGTTCGAGAACGCACCGGTCTTGGCATCATAAGCAAGGGTTGCAGCGTTGCAGAGGGCAGTGACTTCGGCCAATTGTCGCACAGTAGAGGAGGAAACAGCAAGATTCTCGACAATCTTCTCATTGAGGGTCAGCTTGCCCTCAGGGGCGAAAGTAGTGCCTTCAATATTGATCTCATCAAGGCCACTGCCAAGGCTGTTCATGAATACGATTTTCTCAACACTCATCTGATTGGTGGTTAAAGTTCCGGTCTTGTCAGAGCAAATTACGCTGCAGCTGCCCAAAGTTTCCACCGAGGGCAGGGAGCGAACGACAGCATTCTTCTGGGCCATCTTGCGAGTTCCCAGAGCGAGGCAGGTGGTGATAACCACAGCGAGACCCTCAGGAATAGCCGCAACACCAAGCGAGACTGCGATCTTTAGGTAGTAAATGGCACCCTTGGTCCAGCCACCGAAGGCGGGATCGTTGAAATGCTCGATGTTGATGAGCCAGACTGCAACACAGATAACGGTGATCACTTTGGCCAACATATCACCAAAGTCATTCAACTTCTTCTTCAGCGGGGTGGGTTCGGAGATTTGGGAGGTGATGCTATCATGGATGTCACCGATAGCGGTGGATCCACCAGTCAATACAACGAGAGCAGTGGCATGGCCATTGACGACAGTAGTTCCCGAGAAAAGCATGTTCAGTTGTTCCTGCTTCACAGCCTGACGATCTTTGACGACAAGGGTATCTTTTCCGACACTCTCACTCTCGCCGGTCAGGATGGCCTGGTCGACACGAAAGCTGTTACTGTGGATGGAGAGTAGACGACAATCGGCGGGGACACGGTCACCGACAGCGATCTGAATCACATCTCCTGGCACCAGATCCTCAGCCTTCACACGCTGAATCTTTCCATCACGAACGACTTTGGCTTCATTGGCGGAGTATTCCTGGAGAGCGGCAATAGCCTTCTCCGCACTGCTTTCCTGGGTCACACCAACCACGGCGTTGAGGATCAAAATGGTCAGGATCTATGGCGGGTTATATTTAGCGCTTGTAAAATTCAACTGACAATGATAACACATACCACGGCCGGGTCAACAAAAGCAGTCCAATCGTCACTCTCTTCAAACAGAGCCAAGACAAAGGAGACAGCAGCGGAACCCAACAGGATGAGGACAAGCTGGTCTTTGAATTGCTCCAGTACCAATTCCCAGAGCGGGGTCGGAGGTTCTTCTTCCAGAGCTGAAATCAATGTGTTAGGTCATCATACATATCTTCTATCTTTCATTTGAACTACTTACCATTTGGACCATATTTCTTTCTTGATATCAGCACAGCCTCCTGAGACAGGCCAGTATGCTCTGAGACATTGAAGTGGTCAAGCACGTCCGACGGAGTGAAGAGAAATGATTTCTCCATTTTGTACGTATCTCTCCTGGACAAGAGCTGTGCGGAGGACAATCAGAGAGATGCGGAGTGGAGATTGGTTAAGGAAAGAAAAAGTTTAGTTTAGATGCATGAGGGCAGCCCACTCAAGATTTGTAATGGGAAAAAGGACCCGAGGAAAAAAGAATGAAGGAATGTAGGAAGTTCGGGGGATTTCCTTTAGGAGTATCTATCTTTTTTGCTTAAAGGTGGAGAGGAAGCGGAGCAACAACGTGTTCTCATCCAGTTGATTCCATTCCTGATAGGGCCTAGATGACTCAGCATGGACCAACAGGAGCACAGGGCTGAGCTTTGATCTCTGGCTAGGAAGAAGGGTTCATTGAGTCCCTTACACTCCCTTTATCATTGTCGGTCTTAATAACTGTCTTCTTATCCTGACTGGATAAGTTGATGTCGGCGGATATATCCTTCAAAAGCCGCAACCAACAATGTCACAATTATGGGGTCCTACTAGGCTACATCGTTTTGGTCATAGATAATGTATGATCCTTCTTGACCTCTTCTGCTGAATACTGACCTCATATAGTCCTTCATATTCCAACGTTGAGTGGGTCTGCCCTCAGAATAGTGGCCTATTACTCATGTACCTAGGCTGTTTAAATGCACTTTCAAGCAAGATGCCCAGGTGATCTATATCTACTCCCCCATACCTAGGTACTTGTCCAGGTCATGATTCCAATCTTCCAAGGAAGTTTAACTACATGTTGGGCCATTTTGACAGCTCATTTCTCAAGTATATACCTAGATAAGTATAAGTTGATATATTTCAAGCCAACACTGAAAATGGATACCCACTCCCTTCAAGTTAATAAGTTGATAGTTACCTAGTATAATAAGTACCTGCTAAATTATAATATAGCAGCCAGTCAAGTAGTTATTGGGTGAACTGTGTAGTCAGCATGATGTACATCTGCACTCCACCTGGATATACTTACCTAGGTAGGTAGTTAGTAGGGCTGAATTTAGCTCCTACTTGCATCATCGTATGTCTTGGACCCCACTTGTTGGGTCGTTTAGTCCATCTGGTAGCAGGACCTAGATATAGTAGTATTTACTAATAGATGACCAGGTGGGGTCCCGATTTCAATGTTTACTCCTCTACTGCATCCGTCTTGAGCTATGAAATCGATTGAAAGGGTAATCTATTTTTCAGATAAAGACAATGTGAGTAATATTACTATCATTACTGAAGACTAAGGAGATAAAAACTATTGAAGAAAAAGACTACAAATTGACTTAGTACTAGTCCTGTATAAGGATGCCACACAACCTTGGAAAGACCAAAAAAACTTTAGAACGAAAAGAATCCAAGAGAACAATAGACTAGAGGTCTAAGAAAGTATTAAGCCAGATCAAGTATTGAATGACAGAATAGAATATAATTAGATTAACTTGCAGATTTTTCAGTCTAGGATGTAGATGAATATGGAGCCTCAGGCACCAAAACAAACGCCTGACAGCCTCGTTGGGAGCCTTGGAAGCCTTACCGTGATTCTTCCCCACTTACTCCTGCTCTCTCCTTCTGCATCATCGCCCCTCCTTATCATCTCTCGACATTTAATTCTCCCCCCACCAAAAACTTCTTCTCTTTTCTCATCTTCTTCTTCCAATCTTACTTCACGATGGGATCCGAGGTATGTGTTATCCCACTTCAACCCCCCGCCCTCACCTCGTCACCGCCACCATAATCCCAACTGCATCCTTGAAAACGTTCCCTCATTTCTCCATTTCCCCTGTTTATTGTTGCTGTTCTCGAATACACAACTCGCTAACACTGAATTTTATCATGCAGCGCGAGAAGTAAGGATGATCTTATCAAAAAGTTCCCCTCATCTGTGTGCATGAAACTAACCCCCTCACTAGCAAGACGTTCCTCGCCCGGCTCTGTGAGCAGGCCGAGCGCTACGATGGTTCGTCCTCAATCAGTACCCCATCCTTTTGAGTTTGCACAATGGCTGATTTTAGGAACTTGAAATTTTTAGAGATGGTCACCTACATGAAGGTCAGTCACGATGTTCATTATTTTGGTTTTGAGGAAATAAACTAACAACCACATAGGAAGTCGCCAGCGTATGATCAAACCCCACTTTATATACTAATCCCTTTGATCGCGTACCTGACACTTTCTTTAGATTGGTGGTGAACTCACCGTCGATGAGCGCAACCTCCTTTCTGTCGCTTACAAGAATGTTGTTGGCACTCGCCGTGCCTCGTGGCGCATTATCTCCTCCATCGAGCAGAAGGAGGAGTCCAAGGGCTCTGAGGAGCACGTCACTATCATCCGTGACTACCGCCAGAAGATTGAGACTGAGCTCGAGAAGGTCTGCCAGGACGTCCTTGATGTCCTAGACCAGACTCTGATCCCCAAGGCTGAGACTGGCGAGTCTAAGGTCTTCTACTACAAGATGTGGGTTATTTCCCGTTGGCATCTACCATGATTGATCTGACCCTCGTAATAGGAAGGGTGATTACCACCGTTACCTTGCCGAGTTCGCTTCCGGCACCAAGCGCAAGACCGCCGCTACTGACGCACACGAGGCTTACAAGGTTCGTTATTTCTGCCCTTCATTTTCTCTCTCATTGAAAGTCCACTGACTTTCCTCTCACAATTCTAGAACGCCACCGACGTTGCTCAGACTGACCTTACCCCCACCCATCCCATCCGTCTTGGTCTCGCCCTGAACTTCTCCGTCTTTTACTACGAGATTCTCAACTCTCCTGACCGTGCTTGCCACCTTGCCAAGCAGGCTTTCGACGATGCCATCGCCGAGTTGGACTCACTGTCTGAGGAAAGCTACCGTGACAGTACCCTGATCATGCAGCTCCTGCGGGACAACCTTACCCTTTGGACCTCGTCCGATGGTAACGATGAGGCTGCCGCTCCCAAAGAGGAGAAGGTCGAGGAGGCTGCCGCTCCCGAGGTCAAGCCCGAGGAGACTCCCGCTGAGGAGGAGTCTTAGATGTGGTAGCGACCAGTCCTTTGCCCAAACGGCAGGGCATTCGCTCATTCCTGGAACGTGGTAACGGTAGTCGCTTGTTTTTTTCACCGCGTGGCTTTGGGACCGGCACTCGTTTCTCCTTGCACGTTTGGAGTGGGTCGGCCGGTGGAGTTATGATATTCGGTTGACGCGAGCAAGGAAAAGGGGCTGAGTGGAATTTCTCTCTTTTTAGTCGTTAACTATTCCCACTCCAGCACGATTCAATGTGTTTATTTTCAAATTCACTTTTCTAGATCCAGAAGACTTGTATTTTCATACATCACGTAGCAGCCTAGGTATTACTTTCCATACTTGGGATATGAATGTAAACCAAACCTAAGCCTCTTTGACTTCATTCAGTTCACCTTCTCATGTACCATTTCTCAAGAGCTGCATTCAAGTACCAAGTAACTGTCAAGTACTGAGTGGGTCTCGCATATTCAAGTCGAATGTCCATCGGGAAGGTCGACACCTCGCTTTAAACAAGCAAGAAGTTTGGCACTGCAGGTCACTGTGGTACTCTATTTCAATCCAGTTGATTAAAACTTCTATGTCAAAGATCGAGGGGTGTTTCAAAACGACAGACTCCGCAGATCCTTCCAAGGAATTGCTCACCCACTAGGATGTTCCCTGTGGCATTGGTTCGTGGAAGAATGCTCGAATCAAGAACGATCTTGCTCTCGTCTTGTGGATTTCCGTGGGCATTCTATTGATATTTGGCGACGAGGGCTTATGGGTCCTCACATGTTATCCGAGTCTGATTCGGCTTAGTCGATGAGGAACCTTTTTACATTAGCAGTGAGTGATTGAGAAGGAGAGCAAGGCTCACAACCTTCAGGAGAAAGAAGAAGGTGTAATATTCACTAGGTAAAAGTCAGAGGCGAACTGCCCGTCTTCTGCAGGGGTAGCTATATCTTCGATATCAGTTATTCTTAGTAAGGCCAGGATGCGATGACGAGTTGGAAGATCTGGCGAGGAATAGGTGAGAAATTCACGTCCAACAAGATCTTCCTGTTCGGTCTGACGACTCATGGTGTTCAATTCAGGAGAGTCATTTGGCTGGATAGTAGCCATAACGGAGGTTAATATGAATCGTTGGCAGGTCAAGTTCAAGCTAAGTTACAGTTACAGTGTTGGATTTCGGAAATAAGATCCATTCAAGTCGATAGCTTAAAGTAGATCAGACTAAACAAACCTATTTAGATTTTACTCTTATAGACCCGTAGTTGATCCTCTCTCTAGATGTCGCTTTTACTCTCCCTCTCACTTTCAGTTACAACCTCCTGTAGATACCTGTCTACCTGATAGCACGAGGAACATGCACGGTAGTATTTACTATTAGAAACCGAGCTGGAAAACAAGCTGACGTCCATGCACATAACTTTGGATAGAAACCTGGATATGAAATTGCACGGACAGAAGGTGTATCACATGTATCTATCATGCAGGTAATACAAAGCATAGGGTAAAAAGGCATACGATATGCATTGCATGAATGTATTCAAAGACGTCAAAATGCCGAAGCCGAAGCCAAAGCGAGTATCGTTCTATAAGTTGCTCATGCAGTGTAAACTAGAAGGGGGATGGGGATGTACACGAATGGTATGAAAAGAGGAGGTCGAAAGAAAACGAAAGAAAACTCCGAACCATCAGAAAAGAGAAGATCCAAAGACTTCTGTAAATTTTTGAGGGCGACAAAACAAGAAGTGAAATTGGGAGGAGAAGGGGGATAACAAATACATCCATTACATGAAGTCATCATCGCCCAGTCCATCATCATTATCGTAGGAACTGCTATCGACCTGGCCGTCACGAGAGGAAACAAGGGAAACCTTGGTCTTGGCAGCCTTAGTCTTCTTGCTACCCTTGTCAGCATTCTTCTCCTCGCGCATCTTCTCGTTGCTAGCGGTAGTCAGAGCGCTGGCGATCTTCTTCATCTCAGCACTGGGCAGTTCCTTGACGAGTTTGCGAGTGAAGTCTTGAGCCCAAAGAGAGTATTGTGGCTTCTTGGAGTGAGGAGTGAGAAGGGGAATGAGAACCTCCGTGAGTTGAGCGAACTGATCCTTGGTAGTAGGCTTGAAGAGCGGCATGGAGGAGAGGTCGATAGACTTGGTGGGGTCGGTGCTATCGCTGACAACAACGGCCTTGGGAGCACCACGGTTGCGCTTGAGATCGATATCAGCGAAGAGATCAGAAGCGTGCTGGAGATCAGTATCCTTCTCAGCACGGCGGAGGCGATCACGGCGCTCAGCCTCAGTCTCGTCTGCGTCGAAGTCGTCCGAGTCGTCGGCATCAAGCCTCCGCTGCTCACGGTGCTCTTCTATCCGCTGAGCCTTGGTCTTCTTGTTGGCGGCAGCGGCAGCCTTAGCCTTAGCCTCGGCCTCAGCGGCCTTCTTAACCTTTTCGCGCTCTGCCTCGGAGTCTTCGGCGGCATCCCAAGAGTCAAGAACATCATCCTCTTCCTCATCGTCGAATCTGCGGCGGGGGGCGACAACGGGAGGCGCAACATCCTCCTCTTCCTCGTCTATACGGAGATGAAGAGAGAAAAGTTAGTAACAGTAAAACTAATGTCGCAGAAATTCGAATGGTATCAAATTGTAGCGGTTCTTCTCGGCATGTAGTGAGGGGAAGGATGATAGTATTGAGGATAAGAACATACCCCACTTTGAAGGAGCCATATCGACAGAAAAAAATAATTAAATGAGGGTGGAGAAGCGGCGAAAAAGATCGTACTATCCGCAAGAGCCGGAAGAGCAGAAAAAAAGGAGGCGAACTCGCGATAGACCTTGCAATAAAGAATGGAGGGGTGGTGGACAAATTTTATGTGGGACACACTTATCGCTGGGATACACGTGACCCGGGGTTTTGGTGCCCGACCAAGTATAATTAATACTATTCTATTATTCGATATTTGTACTTTTTTTAATGCAGCCCTGTGTCTATTTTTTTTTTCGTTCTATGAAACAGACGAAAGTGTTAGATAGATCAAATATCTTTCATTCAGAAGAGCTTATTAAATTTCATAATCATAATAGACGGCTCTTCGCTACCAGCTACTAAGCCATATCCGCTTTTCTCTTTCCTAAACCTTTGTGCCCAAGGAAACATTTACAGGTTAACGGCAGAGCGGAACTTGGTGCCAGCGTAGACAGCATTGGCGCCGAGCTCCTCCTCAATACGTAGGATCTGGTTCAGCTTAGCCAGACGCTCGGAACGGGCAGGGGCACCGGTCTTGATCTGGCCGGCGCGGAGACCGACAGCGATGTCAGCAATGGTGACATCCTCAGTCTCACCGGAACGGTGAGAAACCATGACACCCCAGCCGTCGGCGTAGGAGTCCTTGGCAGCCTGGATGGACTCGGTGAGAGTACCGATCTGGTTAACCTTGAGCAAGAGAGCGTTGCAAGACTTGAGCTCAATGGCCTTCTTGATGCGCAGGGGGTTGGTGACAGTCAGATCGTCACCGACAATCTGGAAGTCAGAGGTCTTGTAGAAGTAGGACCAGGCCTCCCAGTCATCCTCAGCGAAGGGGTCCTCGATGGAGACAATAGGGTACTTGGCAGCGAGGGACTTGTAGAGGTCGGCAAGCTGCTCGTAAGTGAGCCACTTGGTGGGGTCGGAGTCGGGGTTCTTGAAGTCAAGATCGTACTTCTTGGCATCGGTCTTGTAGAACTCGGAGGAGGCAACGTCCATGGCGATCTTGATCTGTCCAGTGTAGCCGGCCTGCTCAATAGCGTCGGTGATCAGGTCAAGAGCCTCCTCAGCGGTCTGAATATCGGGAGCGACACCACCCTCGTCACCGACGTTACCGGCGGACTGGCCGTAACGCTTCTTGGCGAGAGACTTGAGCTTCTGGTAGACCTCGGAACCCTGGCGGAGACCCTCGGAGAAAGTGGGAGCCTCACTATAGAATAGTTAGTGATGAGCACCATCAGATATACAAAGTCCAACACGAAACTTACTCAGGGACAATCATGAACTCCTGGAAGGCAAGACGACCGCCGGCGTGGGAACCGCCGTTCAGGACGTTCTGGAAGGGAACGGGGAGAACGTAAGGCTTCTTGGTACCGGCAAGGTCGGAGACGTGGACGTAGAGAGGGACACCCTTCTCGGCAGCGGCGGCCTTGGCGACAGCGAGGGAGACACCGAGGATGGCGTTAGCACCGAGCTTACCCTTGTTGGGGGTACCATCGAGCTTGTTAAGGAATTCGTCAACCTTGGCCTGGTCCTTGACGTCAAAGTTCTCCTTGATAAGGGCGGGGCCGATGATGTCGTTGACGTTGGCAACGGCCTTAAGAACACCTAATCATAGCAATGATGGTCAGATCGGATTTACTAGGATGGAATCTCAAAACCTGAGAAGCTTAAGAGAAGAATTGTCACTTACCCTTACCACCCCACTTGGTCTTGTCCTCGTCACGGAGCTCAACAGCCTCGTGGATACCTATTAGAAGTGAATGTTAGTTGATAATTGATCAATCGATGTCCATAAAAGATCAACATACCAGTGGAAGCACCGGAGGGGACAATGGCGCGGTGGAGACCGGTCTCGGTGACAATGTCGACCTCGACGGTGGGGTTACCGCGAGAGTCGTAGACGGAGCGGGCGTGAACCTTGGAGATAGGCATATTGTATGGCTGATATTAATATGAAAGTCAGTTGGAAAAGGTGTAAGATGGAGGTGAAGAGGGGTTTAAGAAGGACCAGCAAATGTAAATACACCGTGTGACTAAACGGCCGGGAGGGGCATTGCCTTCACCGATGACCCGAAATGATTGCCCGGACAAGAGAATTGGATGATTTGCTTAAGTTCAACAGATGATGGGATGATTGGCCCAGAATAATGACACCACTGCCCTGGTATGATGCTCTTATTCTCGTCTCGGTGTATTAAACGAGAGTAGAGTAGAATTCATATGGAGTACTACAGAGTAGGGGAGGTGGGATGGCGGGGTATCAATATCATAGTATATAAACTCACCTTGGTTAAGACGGAAAATAAACAAAAGTAATGCAATAGATGTAAATGGTTGAAACGAAATGGAAATACCCGATACTTAAATACTCTCTTCTACAACCCCGGTTAAAGCCCAGTCTCTCCGATTCTTTCCAGTACATATCGGTGGGGCTAGAACTGGTTGATCCGACCCTCTCCCCGCTTCCTCGGATGTAAATAACAACAAATACTAACTAGCTATACTAAAATATCCATGGATTAGTAACGAAGTAGTTTTGGTGCATCTGTCCATATTAGTAGATATAGTACTAATTACTTTCATGCTATCAAATACCAACTATTAGGTGTTACCTATACTCATACTGACATTCTCTACAGAGTTTTCTCTCTGGAATAGTAGGACCATGGTCGAGGGTATATCATGTCGCATTCAGCTTGAGTTAGTGACTAACATGAATGACGGTAACGACAATGGTTCCTGAGGTGTGCGATTCCCCTGGTAACTGTTATTGACAGCGACGTCATGATATAGTCAGGTGACTCTTTATGCCTCAGGCTTACAATAACCTTAGGCCCATCAGATTATATCCTCTGTACTGCATATCACATGACCATAAACACTTCATCACGTGACCGGGCAGCTCCTCGTCGGATGGCTGTTGCTTAGTAGCTCCCCAGATTGCATCCGTTTCACTTCCCACCACCTTTGCATATCCAATCATCAAAACTTTGGATTCTCAAATCGACCCTGTATTGAAAACACTCTCCGGTCTCTTCTCCGCCGTCTTTTTCACCTTCGTTCCTCTTAAATCCCGACGAGGTCCACACCATGGACGGCGCCAGCGATCCCGAGCGGGACAACGCCCTTCAAGATTATAAAAAGAGCTTGCTCGAGCTGCGAGAATGGGAGGCCAAGCTGAAGGAACTTCGCATGGGCATCAAGGAACTGCAAAGAGAATTTGATGTCTCCGAGGACAACATCAAGGCCCTACAAAGTGTTGGTCAGATCATCGGCGAAGTGTTGAAGCAGCTGGACGAAGAGCGATGTAAGTTGAGAATCATGGGAGATTGTGTCTGCTAGCTAATTAACTCTATTTTCAGTTATCGTCAAGGCATCATCGGGACCACGCTATGTGGTTGGTTGTCGTTCGAAGGTCGATAAGGCCAAGATGAAGCAGGGCACACGTGTGGCTTTGGATATGACAACACTCACCATCATGCGGATGCTTCCTCGCGAGGTCGATCCCATGGTTTACAACATGTCTTTGGAGGACCCTGGACAAGTCAACTTTGCCGGAATTGGTGGTCTGAATGATCAGATCCGAGAGTTGCGCGAGGTCATTGAGTTGCCGTTGAAGAACCCCGAGCTTTTCCAGCGAGTGGGTATCAAGCCGCCTAAGGGTGTCTTGCTTTATGGCCCTCCTGGTACAGGTAAGACACTGCTTGCCCGAGCAGTGGCTAGTTCCATGGAAACCAACTTCTTGAAAGGTGCGTCATACCCCATATCCCTCTTGTCATGCATGACATCCTCTAATACCTTACAGTGGTATCCTCCGCCATCGTGGATAAATACATCGGTGAATCTGCTAGATTGATCCGAGAGATGTTTGGTTACGCCAAGGAGCACGAGCCCTGCATCATCTTCATGGACGAGATTGATGCCATCGGAGGTCGACGATTCTCAGAGGGTACATCGGCAGATCGAGAAATTCAACGAACACTGATGGAATTGCTGAACCAGTTGGACGGTTTCGATTATTTGGGCAAGACAAAGATCATCATGGCCACCAACCGGCCGGACACACTCGATCCAGCTTTGCTGCGTGCCGGTCGTCTTGACCGAAAGCTTGAGATTCCTCTTCCCAACGAGGTTGGCCGCCTAGAGATTTTGAAGATTCACTCCAGCACCGTACAATTGGAAGGAGATATCGACTTTGAGAGTGTGGTCAAGATGAGTGACGGCCTCAACGGCGCTGATCTCCGTAATGTAGTAACTGAAGCGTATGTTCCCCTACCCTTTGATCTTCAGTCTAAGCTAACACATTTTCTAGTGGTTTGTTGACCATCAAGGATTACCGTGATGCGCTCAGCCAGGACGATTTCAACAAAGCAGTACGGAAAGTGGCAGAGGCCAAGAAGCTCGAGGGCAAATTAGAGTATAACAAGCTCTAAGTAGTTGTATGTCTAGTTCTAGGATAGATCGCCCTGGCGATGCTTGATGTTTTCTAGAGAATCTTTTTTACCTGGAATACTATACACTAGTCATCGGGAGTACTCTAAGTATATTTATGTATTGAACCCCGGCTTTGTGGGGCCCGTAGTTTTGCGACTTTGAAAGCTAACTACCACAGCACTAATGATTCGGGTTGGAACTACAACAAATACTTTTTGGGAAGACATAGTGAAAGCGATATGAGCGTGGACAGATGAATAATATGAGAAAGGAAAAGTAATAAAGTAAATATAAGAATCATAATATTATTTAAATAATGGGACAAACGCCTAAATTCCAAGGCTTATAATATCTAATCTGTATATAAATTTGTGTCTTAATATGTAGTGAGAAATGACGAAACATGATTCGACCAGACTCGTGGTCCCCACTTCCCCGATATTGAGGATCTCAATGAGTTGGACACTTCATTGAACCTTGGAATGTCTGCCCCTTTACTCTTATGCATCATTACAGCTTTATTTAGAGTCGATATTATTGCACAAGACGCGCTCTCGGAGAAATTGCAAACGTGATTAGAAAAAGCACACCTGGCATGTTTCCGATTGGCACTTAATTTGTCGCAATACAACAATCTCCCCTGTCCAGGTGTGTACCATGAGCAGGACAATTACTCAAACTTCAATTGGCCTTTGAGCGCACAACTAACTGATCTCCTTGATAGATTGAAAGCTGCTCAAACAAAGTCACGAAAACAACAACTGCGACGAGGTAACACCATTCTCAACAAGACCAGCCAATATACCTCGAGAACTGCACCCATGTCCCTGTACTAGATACTTGCATGAGAAGCGCAGAAACGAAAATCATTTCAAGAAGGCTGCTCGACGAGGATATCATGTCGTTCCAGGCACCACACTCACATCCGTCCTCGTATTCTACTCAACCCCGGGGCGCCCTCGCTGGACTCGGTCTCACCTCTGCAGGGTCGGATCTGTCAAATAGAGTGAACAACTTCTTTGAAAACGAAAAATCACTTCCCATGTATAAAGACAAGCCATTCGCGCCACGGCGCACTGCACCCAGAAAAAGATGGAGAACGCTCTTTAATATTCTGGCGATATGCGCATTGCTGTTGCTATGGTATTATAAAGCGAGTCTCCCGTACATATCAGGCTCCATATCCAAGTCGAAGGGCAATGATAGAGGAGTAGCACTCTGGAATTGGATGCAACAATTGAAGCATGAAAGTGCTTCCGACACAGTTGTGAATTGGGATGATTGCCGAGACAAAGTTCGGGATGCGTTCATTGTTAGTTGGGAAGGCTACGAGAAAGATGCGTGGGGTATCAATTCTACCCAAAATACATTCTGTCGTGTTAAATCACTAACAGTTGAACAACTTAGGTTATGACGAGTACAATCCAGCATCCGGAAACAAAAAGAACATGATTGATGGCGGCATGGGATGGATGCTAGTTGATGCACTTGATGCAGCGATTATAATGAATCTCACATCTCAGGTCCGTCATGCGCGCCAGTGGATTTCCACCTCTCTGCAGTACAATCAGGATCATGACGTGAGTACGTTCGAGACAACCATTCGCATGTTGGGTGGTTTGCTTTCTGCACACTATCTGTCCACAAAATACCCAACTCTGGCGCCTATCGCGGATGATGATTTTCTTGCTGCTGGAGAGGATTTGTACATCGAGAAAGCCACTGATCTCGCAGATCGACTCCTTGGAGCATTTGACACGCCCACTGGAATCCCATACTCGAGCGTGAATCTCAACAAATCGATGGGGCTCCGCTCCCGCGACGATGGTGGCGCTGCATCTACGGCCGAGGCAACTTCGGTGCAGCTTGAATTCAAATACTTGGCCAAACTCACCGGGGAAGGTGAGTACTGGAGAGTCGCAGAAAAGGTGATGGAAGTTGTAGACGGGCTGAAGGCTCAGGACGGTCTTGTCCCTATCTTCATCCACCCCGATTCTGGACAATTCAAGGGTAATAACATTCGCCTTGGCAGTCGAGGTGACTCATACTATGGTTTGTCTAACACACTTCAATCATTCATGGCCAATTTGAACTGACCACCTCTTAACAGAATACCTTATCAAACAGTACCTTCAAACTTCCCTTGAAGAGCCTGTTTATAAAGAGATGTGGAACGAGAGCATGCAAGGCATTCGCAAGCACTTGCTTTCCTTCTCTCAGGATGCCAACTTGATGGTCCTGGGCGAGAGACCGCAAGGCTTAGAAGGTGCTCTCAGCCCTAAAATGGACCATCTTGTGTGCTTTATGCCAGGGACTATCGCTCTAGGAGCTACCGGCGGTATCCCATTAGCCGACGCCAGAGAATCGGCTGATTGGACTCAACAGAAAGAAGATGAGATTCTCATATCTCGAGAGCTGATGAAGACCTGCTGGGCAACTTATCTACAAACGAAGACGGGTCTTGCCCCTGAAATTTCCCATTTTATTCTTGACTCCCCACCAGTGATGATGGAAGATAAGTACCCAGACCCTAAATCGGATCCCCAAATTAGCTCGTCTATTGGTTCACCGCCACACGAACTAGCAAGTGTTTCCCTCCCCCTATCTCCCCTGCCTGACGGCACTGAGCCTTGGCGCAAAGACATCGAAATCCACCATATGGATACCCACAATCTGCAACGCCCAGAGACGGTCGAGTCTTTGTTCTACATGTACCGTGTCACCGGAGACGAGATTTACCGAAAATGGGGATGGGAGATGTTCAAGTCTTTTGTCAACTATACTTCTGTGATTGAACATGACCCGTCCAAGTCCACTTTGACCCTGAGTGAAAATGCCCCGATAACCCACGGCCGCGTAAAGGGCTTCACTTCCCTCGGTGACGTGACTGTGATCCCACCAGCGAAGCGTGATAATATGGAAAGTTTCTGGATGGCCGAGACGCTCAAGTATTTCTACTTGTTGTTCTCAGACCGAGACTTCATCTCTCTCGAGGATCATATCTTCAATACAGAGGCTCACCCCATGCCAAGGTTCAAGCTTGGTGGCGAGCTCAAGACTGGCTGGCAGCGTAAGCCTCGACCGGAAAGCACTTGAGGCATTATATAGCCTTTGGATAGGTCTTGGTGTCATTTTGGAGAATCTTCTGATGATTTCGGCCCTTTTCTACTTTCAGGATTTACAAATTCTACTAAATGTTTTCATATGTATGCAGAAGAACAATCGAAACAAAACTTACCAGATATTAGCCAGCTAGGGTATTTTGACTGTGCAAACAATGTTTTTCTGGATGACGTAAGAGAGTTGAAGTTCTATGTTAGGTGAAGACAGAGAGTTGCATCAGATTATGCAGGGTTTTTATGGATGCGTGCAGTCCTTGGGTGTAGTCGGCTTCACACTTGTTCATGCCTACTCTTATGCTATCCTCATAGGTTTTATTCCTCTTTCCATTACCACTCGCTGGGCACTTCTAATACAAAACCAGGTATTCTCTATTCTCTCTTCTCTCTTCTCTCTTCTCTCTTCTCTCTTCTCTCTTCTTCTTCCTTGTCTCTTCTTCCTCTAAACTACAAATCTTTAAACTACTGATACGCACAGTATAAATTAATATTGGACAAAGTGGCTGTTGGAGTTGTTATAGTTGCAATATCAAAATCTCAAGTGCAAGAAATTGGCTAGCAACTCCAGTGTCAAGACTCAAGACTTCCATAGCAATCATTCAGCTGCCGACCCTTCCATGCAATATAATAACCACCACGGACACCCTGGAGCTCCCCTACTTTCTCGCCCTACCAACCTGAAGCAGTGCAGCTTCGGAAATTCAAGTCTCGTGATGGGGATGTTACAATCAATGCATCGACACATTTATTCAATGTAAGAATTTTTACCATTTCTACTTCTCCCGACTGAGAGCAGCATCTATAAGCTTTTTATAACTGGAAACTGCGTCCTGGAGCTCGCGCACAGTCAAAGCCTCATTATCACCATGTGCAACGAAGATACTGCCAGGTCCGTACAGATATCGCTTCACACCATCGCGGACCTTCAAGCTGGGAACATCAGTACCGTAGTTGACGGTGATGACTTCGAAGCCAGGAACATCAGTATCCAAGTCCTGAGGCTCATACGACTCCGAATGAGTAGAAAAGTCAACAACGACATCAGCATCCACATCACGAGTCGCATCTTCTACAGCACGAATAATAATTTCACGAGCCTCCTCTGGCGAACCAGCGGCCAGGCGAACTGATACATCGGCCCGAGCCTCACTAGGGACAACATTTGTTGCAACACCACCACGCACAACGCCGATGTTCAATGTGGTTTCACCGTATTTCTCGGAAGAAGGCAGACCACCCTCGCTGGTGGGAATCTTGCCTAGCTTATCGATGCGAGCTAGAGCGGGTATAATTCCAGATACAGCGCTGTGGCCAAGCCACGGGTATCCGGAGTGGGCGGCCTTCCCATGAGACAGGACCTCGAAGCCCAGCATACCCTTGTGGCCAGAAACAAGGGCAGCCTCAGTTGGCTCACCAAAGATGACAGTATGGTATGCACCTTTAGTGTTCAGATCCGATGCCGAGAAAACCTTCATTCCATCGCCACCGATTTCCTCGCCAACAACAAAGAGCAGGCCGATATTAGCATCCGGGTTCTTCTCTAGGGTTTCGAGGGCGGCGAAGATCTGAGCTGCAACGCTAGCCTTTGCATCGACGCTACCACGACCAGCTATGATGAGATTTTCCACATCAGATTTGTGGTTCAGCCCGGATTCGGGCTCGTGAACGGAGTACGGGATGAAGGGAGGGACTGTATCGATGTGGCTGGAGAGAAGAATCGACGGCGGCTTAGAGTGAGAAGCTGGGTATGCATAGATATTATAGCGAGGCTTGAAAGGCTCGGACTCATCCTCGTCCTTCTTAGGGACGGGCGCGACTTTCTGCTTGACAACCGTAAAGCTCTTCTTTTCAAGGAAGTGAGCGATGAAGGCACCGATATCGCTCTCATTGCCCGAGATGGAAGAGATCTCCACAAGATCTCGGTGTAGTGAGAGCAAAGGAGAACTACTGATGAAGTTTTCAATAAATGAATGTGTGTTAATAGTGCTGATGGACTGGAGCGGCTGCTGTTGCCCGCGTGCGGGGTTCGGAGAAGCTTGCGACACGGCGGCGGCTGTGGCGGCCAGCAAAAATTGGGCGAACTTCATTATATTTTAGCAATTCCCCTGATATTGATGTAGGTGTTTCAGTGCGCCTTTCCAGGTCCTCAAGTGTCAATGGCTATCCCGTGGTATATCATTGTCCAAGCTCGAAGCCGACGTCGGGATATGACTAAGCATCCCCAAGGTCATGACTAACTAATGTAGTGGGGAGCCCTATACAGTATGAAGGATAAAGCGGTCTGCGACGGCAGAACCATCTGGTACCATTTATCTAGAAGTTGTGATAGTTACAGATTGTCCACCTTAGCACACTTCTTCACTTTTTGACTCCCTACTCTCACTAAGCCTTCCCTTGTGATTGTGGTTGGTTTTTCCTAGCTGAATCGACCTGCACGTTCCGACCGTGCTGCCTAGAGCGTTCCCCATTTCACTAATTAGTTATTTAAAATGTTTCCCGGCTAAGCCGTTATCCCTGTTAAGCCGTTACCCCATCAGAATTTCAAAAAACGCATCAATTTCAATTCCATATTTAAGCACAACAACATAATTAAATTGACTAAATAACACGATTATGACATTTAGTAATACTATGACCTTTCTTATGACACCTTGAGCAGTTAATTTGACGTCGGACAGGGGGTAAAACTGGCAATTCAGTCTCAAGAGGGTCATTCTGAGCAGCTTCAGCACCAGATATATATTTCTCTCCAACACCATTCTCTTCAATGACAGGCTTCTCAATCTCCTCTAAACCTCTTAAACCACCCAAATAAGCCAACTGCTTTTTAGTAGTATTCTTTTTTTTTTTTTCGTCTGTTTCTTATTATCTTTCTCTAAATGGCCACAGCGATCATGCAGAAAAATATGGTGGTGGACCGTCCGGGTAGTGCGATCGGAGAACGTCTTCCACCTCCTTTTAATAGGAGATGGGATTAAGCTAGAGGAGAGCTCTAGAGCAGAATTGCGACGAGATTTAAATTATTCAAGTCGTTTTAAGCTCCAAAAAGTATTGTCGTCGCTGTCAGAGGCAGAAGATATCGGACAATCAGAAGGTAATTCTAGATCTGGCAGACATTCAAGCCGAATATTTAGCTTATTGAGCATTTCTGATGAGCATAAAGGTACTAAGCTAGTAGCTTTAAAGCTATCTATTATAGTATCTATCTTAAAAGCTCTTTTTTATGCATCAGGGAAGATCTGAAGGAACTCATCTTTATCAATTCTATACCGCATCAACTCCGCAACACGACCGCCATAATATTTTTTTAGTAGCCTAAAGTAGCCTATGTCTAAAGACTATAAAAGATATGATATATATAGAGGCATATATAAAGTAATAATATCATGCTTCTTATAAAGATCGTCGAAAATAGGTGTTAGATGAGAGGATTGCTCATCAAGGATCAGAAGGCAGTTTTACCTCTTCGATTCCTAATATTAGGAATAAGATACATCTTTAGCTAGCCGACACTACTCGGATCAATATACCGACTATTGAAGCTCTTATTTAAACTCTAATTAGGCTCCTTTTCCTTAAACCAATGCTTCATAAACACCTTTCCTTTAAAGACAATGTAAGGTGGATGAGATCCGCGATCGGAGGATAAGATTGGCCATATTTTGACACATGGTACAGGTAAGAGCTACTCTTCTAGTTTCCATAGAGAGTAGTCATTCCTCCATCGATCGCTTTTCAAATTTAGAAAATATATGTTGAGCTGACCATTTAACAGCTAGTTGTTCAACACCCTCAAGCCGATCGACAAAAGTTGAACGTGGGACGCCAAATGACCGTACAACAGCTGCGATAGTAAGATATTTGCCATCTCTAAAAGCTTTTAGAGCTAATTCGATACAGCCCTCTTGCTCTATCAATTTTTATTCCATTTCAAGGCGAATTGATGGCATGGTGTGTGTTTGAAAACATAGGATCACTACGGAGACTATTTATTTAGATGGGGTAACGGGTTAACCGGGATAACGGGTTAGCCGGGAAACACGTTAACTATTTAAATATTTAAATAATTGTCGGGATACTCGTATCAGGAGTATCGACTATAGCGTGCCATAGTACTTCTAAGCTCACGTCGCAGGTGAGTTCTACTATTGGTCGTAGTATACGTGTGATAGTTGTGAGCGGTAAGAAGTGTTCGATTCTCTGTGTCTGCTGCTGTTGGATATGGTAGCCAAAGGTCATGTGGTAAACACATGGCCTTAGTATCAACAATACTAAATAACTAAATAATACCTAAATAGATATAGAATTCTGAGGTGGTAAACATAAACTTGTCTTAGTGAGAAAATATAGACAAATTGTGGTAGATGCTGTGAGACCAGTGTAAAAGATACTTGTGGCATCTAAAATGAAATAAGACCCTGATTCCAAATAACTTCTTTACAGCACGAGTGCATAAGATTAAGACCCTTAAAAATTTAATGGGAAGATAATTTCATACTTCTTTGATAACTGCTCGAAGTTGTAAGATACTTATCTGCGATATAATTTTTCATCCAGATCCAGATCCAGAATCTCTCAGTAGGATTAAGATTAGGTGAAAGGGGGAAAAGGGGGTGGGGGCACTCTATTAGAATGACAACCTCATCCATCCTTGGTTGATCATTATAACCAGGAATTAATGTAGATCAATGTGAAAAAAATTCGCTCATTGAAACGATGATGATAGCCAATGCCAAGGAAACGCCATTTCACATGTTCTTCTCCGAATTCCAACCATATTCTTAGCACAAATACCGAGGCAGAGTCGATAATCTACCTCAAACTGCTCAGACGTTAAGACGTGTTGGATGTATATGCATCTTCCCAAGGGTTGAAATAGTAGTTCCTGATTGAGAAGAACCCTCCGAGATGGAATTAGTCTATTGAATTGCAGTTAGTCCGTGAAAAATAGGTAACTTTAAGCATTAATAATGCACGGAAACATCTCAACGTATCTGATTGGCATGTATTAGGAAGTACCTTGGTAGCTCCATGCAATGATTGGCCCACTACTTTATCTACTAGCCGCAAACTGAAATACTGACGCTACGTCGATATTTCGCTAATGCACGAAACTGCAGTAAGTAAGAGACGGACTTCGAACTGCCGAAATACTTCATACTTCCAATCTTGAAAGAAACGTGAGGGATCTGTAGCACCGGAACCTCGCTACAAATTCCAGAAAAGCCTAGAAACAGAGGATAGACCACATATTTAGTGGAACAAGGATTTACCATAATTCAGGGAAATAATAATATTGACTCCATGACTAGTGCTTGATAGGTTACTCGGTAAATAAGGGATTCCGCTAGTTTCCGTAGTGGCGCGGAAGCTAAGTATCTTGAGTTCTTACAAAGTACTGAATCCACATCAGATGTTGCTTGCAGTCCCTAAAAGGAGTTAGTGATTGCTAAATTAGCCTGCAAGACCCATCCAGACCCGTCCTTGGAATGATCCATTCTAGTTCGTGAAAAGGAGTGGGAGAAGCTCGTCTTGACCATTTCCCTGCACTCCGTGATTTTGTATACTGATTTTAACTGTTTGCTTGTTTGATGATTTTTCATTTTATTTTTGATATCCTTAATTTTGATTACCACCAAGTTAAACTTTTATAGCTGATAAACGTGAGAATAACCATGGTAACATTGCGGGAGAAGCGGATCTACGGAAAACTGTGGCTTGAAAGGGAACGTGGGGCTCAGCGGGGAACCAAGATTTGAGCATAATTATCAGCTATAACCTATATGAATCAAAAATAAATAATAAAGAATAGTCATTTCTGGAGAAATGATACAATCATAATAAACAGGGTTGAAATGTAATCTAGTATAGTTGGAATGCACATAATAATTGTAAAGGATGAAAGAGGAAATATCCAGCGAGATCGACCCACTAATATTATGACAGGTTTCTACCGAATCGGCAATCAGGCTCCAATTTCAAGCTTTTGGGGAATCCAACATCGGGTTACCGGGGTTGTGCTAAGCCGATTCAGCCGTTATGCCACCGACTTACAGCATAATCTTCGTCGATATTGCCTTAGTGGAGTTAGTACAGCTGCCAAAATGGAATGATCTGCGAAGAACTTGAAACATTGTTACTACAGTATCCAATTTATGCATAACGGCATATCCACGGTCTACATCACGGCAGTCGTCAACTACTCGAAGACAATGGGGGTAGCGCTGCGTAATTCTTGGGTTATAAAACATGCCTCCCCCCAAGGCCTCAACAAGATAATCTCAATCCATGAAGCCCAGTTTCATAGCCTTATAAATTTGATTTGGAATACTCCCGAAGAAAACACGAACGCAGACACAAACGAATATGAACACTCCTGAAAACACCATGTCCGGACCTAAGAACAGACTCTTCTCCAGAGTCGTTGACGATAATGCTCTGAATCACCCTGAACGCTTGTTCGCAAAGATCCCTCTTGGATCTGAAGTGTCTCATGGCTTCCAGAACCTTTCTATGAAGACTCTGGCCTGTATGATCAACTCCTTAGCCTGGTGGATTGAGAGCACTATTGGTCCCGCTGATGAGCAAGAGACTTTGGCTTATATGGCCGCGAATGATGTCCGATATTTCGTTTTTATGCTTGCTTGTCAAAAGACTGGCTACAAAGTAAGATCTTGATACAATCGACGCTAGCATCTATCCCTGCTCACCCTATATAGGCATTCTTCCCCTCCACACGAAACTCTGATGATGAATATATTCACCTCCTTAATGCCACCGGCTGCACTAAGTTTGTCTATACTGAAGAGCGCAAGGACCGTGTGCTCGAGATCCAAAGCCTTGTGCCAGGTCTCAAGATATATGAAAGTCCCTCTATGAAGACCCTTCTCAATGATGAGAGGGCAAAGGTCTACCCCTACACGGAGTCTTACGAAGATGCCGAAGATAAGATTATCGCTGTGATTCACAGTTCGGGGACGACTGGTACGCTCATGACCTTATTTTCCCGCATTAAACTGATTGACTGACCCTAAATCTAGGTATGCCAAAGCCTGTATACCTCCGAAATGGCTTTTTTATGTGTATGGACGGTCTCGACAGATTGCCCGTTCCTAAGGGTCGCCAACCAGGTGCCTACTACTATTACACAAACGAGAAGGATCTCGTCTTGGTCACCACTCCCTTCTTCCACATGATGGGGATTATTTACTTTGCCATGTCTATCTTCCATGAAGTCCCCATGTTGATCGTCCCTGATAAGCCATTGTCAGTAGATTTGCTGACCGATGCTATTGCCGTCGGCAACCCTACTGCTGGAATGTTCTCACCTTCTATTTTGGAAGATATGAGCCACAACGAGAAGGCATTGGCTCAGATCAAGAAGTTGCGTGCTGTGTACTATGGTGGTGCTCCCTTGGCTGAAGAAACTGGCCACAAGCTGCAAGAGTATGCCCAAGTGATCCCCATTCTTGGAACAAGTGAGATCGGCTGGATCCCCACTCTCGTCCCCAAAAATCCTCGCGACTGGCACTACCTCGAGTTTAACCCATCCTATGGTCTTGAGATGAAGGCTCTTGGTGAGGGTTTGTTCGAGTTGATTATCCCCCGCCAGCCCAAGTCCCGCCAATGGCAGGGTATCTTCCACACCTTTCCTGACGTCGACGTCTACCACACCAACGATGTCTATACCAAACATCCCACCGACCCCAACCTGTACAAGTTCCATGGTCGTTTGGATGATGTCATTGTCCTGAGTAATGGTGAGAAGTTCAACCCCATTACTATGGAGACCATCATTGAGACCCACCCCTGGGTCCAGGCCGCCGTTGTGTTTGGCGAGGGCAGGTTCCAGTCTGGTCTCTTGGTTGAGCCCAGGCCTGATATTCCCGAAATGGACTTGAAGACCTTTGTGAATGAGATCTGGCCCAAGGTCCAGACTGCCAATCACACCGTTGCTGCTCATGGTCGTGTGGTCAAAAGCAACATCATTACCTTCACTAAGTCCAAGCCTTTCAAGAGAACCCCCAAGGGTACTGTCCTGCGCCGTGTCGTCCTGAAAGACTATGAGAATGAGATTAATAGTGTCTACGACGGCACTGACGACGAGAATACCTCCTTCCCAGACTCTCTTGACGAGGCCGGTATTCTGACCTGGACTCAAAAGCTTATTACTCAGACTCTTGAGAAGGAGATCCCAGTCAATGTGGACTTTTACAGCTTTGGAGTTGACTCTTTGATGACAATATCTGTGTCCAAGACCTTGCAGCAAGTTGTGCAGAAGGCACGCCCAGAGACAGCAGCTGGTATCATCTCTTCTCAGTCCATCTACTCCCACCCAACTGTGGAGAAGCTGGCACACTTTGTGCACGGTGTTATCGAAGGATACTCTGAGGATGAAATTCCCCGTGAGGTGAGCGTCGAGAATATTGTTAAAAAATATACACTCGACCTCCCCCACCGTACCAGCGTCCCATCAAATGGCCCCAAGGCTCCCACCACAGTGATTCTCACTGGTTCCACTGGTTGTTTGGGAATATACCTCCTAAACCTTCTTCTCAATGAGAAGACTGTTACCAAAATTTACTGTTTGAACCGATCTGATGCCGAGGAGCGCCAGAAGAAGCTTCTGACGGAGAAGGGCTTCGAGTTCAACGTACACGACTGGGCCACTGGCAAGGTTGAGTTCCTCACAACATCTTTTGGTGAGAAGCGGTTCGGCCTTACTCAAGCCAAGTACAGTGAGCTCTTGGCATCAGTCGACACCATCATCCACAACGCCTGGAAGGTTGACTTCAACAACACGGTGGAGTCTTTCGAGGAGACTCATATCCAGGGTGTGCGCCGTTTTGTGGATTTCAGCATCGAGAGCAAGAACAATGCTCACATCCACTTTGTCTCTTCCATTAGTTCAGTCGGTGGCTGGTCCGAGGAGAGAGGATCAGTTGTACCCGAAGTGCCTATGGAGGATGTCTCCGTGGCGATGCACCAAGGATACGGAGAATCTAAGCACTGTTCTGAGCGCATCTGCATAGAAGCTTCTCGCACATCTCGTGTTCCTACTACCGTTCACCGTGTGGGACAGGTAGGAGGACCTACTTTCGAGAAAGGAGCGTGGAACCGACACGAGTGGCTTCCTACCATGGTCAACACCTCTAAGGCCATGGGCAAGATCCCTACCACCTGTGGTTTCATGCCTGTAGATTGGGTACCTGTTGACAGCCTCGCTCAAATCATGATCGACCTCGTCCACACTCGCCACGGTGATACCTCCGAGCTTCCTACTAAATTCTTCCACCTCGTCAACCCTACAGAAGTCAATTGGACTTCTCTCATCCCCCCTATCCAGGAGAAGTACAATGTCGAGCCTGTTTCCTTCAAGCAATGGTTGGCAGAGCTTGAAAGCATTCAGAACCCAACCGCTGAAGATCTTCAGCGTTTTCCTGCGCTCAAGCTGTTGAAATTCTACCGCGGGCTTGGTGATGAGGAGAATGGTACCATGTCTGTGCCCTTGGATGTCACCAAGACCAAGGAAGCCAGCTCCACAATGAGATCTCTCCAGCCCATTTCTCCGGCCTTGATGGCAAACTGGTTGCAACAGTGGCAGTTTTGAGTGGAGATCTGAGAATTTGAATAGTATATTGCACTGTATATAAGCATGTAGATTTAGCCTTTCAAGTTGTCTTTTTTCACATCAAATTGGATTCAATTGATAATAAGTCTTCACTGTTTATCCATGTATCTACCATGCAAGCTCTGGCCGGTGGCGGCTGACAGCTTCCAGCTGGGAGCAGAAGTGTTCCTCATCCTTATATTTCTCTGTCATAACTTCGGGAATTTTGGGAAGAGCAAGTCAGATCTCCTGTCCACCTTGTTTATCCTCTTTCTTCCAGTGGTCCATCACCATTTGCTTCACACTTTGCTGAGAGTAAGTTGGTCCCTATTTATCACTTATATTAGTCAGGTTCATGGTTGAGGGTTTGACGAAGGGGTCACTGACTCTCCTTATCAGGGTGGAGTACTCCTTTTGTAAACACCCCGCTGTTCAGATTCTCCTGTGCGCCAACGCATAGATGTCTGTCTTCATCAAGCACCTGCCTGCCTGTAGAAGGAATTGATATTATAAAATTCTTCATCCGTGGCATCCTTGTGCCGGTACTTCATTGTATACCTTATTCGTCGTAGCAGGGACTAGAATCATACGTTGAACATAAAAAAAAAGATCACTACAGAACTGCCAGCACCATGCAATCCAGCCTCGTCGGGTAAGATCTCACCATACATGACTGTAATAGAGATTGTAGGAGAAAAGAAAGTGATAGCCCTTCAAAACTGACTATCAGTCTGCTCCTTGTTGAAGATATGATGTTCCATATACCCAGCCTTCGGCTCAACCCTATACCTCGAAATATCCGAAACAGCACTGATAAGCGGGTGAGAAGTAGGGCAATGGTAGCACTCATTGTAATCCTCAATGAGACCCTTCCAGTTGGCATCGATATCCAATTCCCAATAATAATCAAAGGAATACTCACCCGCAAAATCAAAGTTCTGCATCCTCGGCGTCTCATCGATCTTCTCATACTCATCTTCCCAATTCACCTCTGGCTCTCCCGCCTGTAGATTAATCCAGATGAACCCAGCTTTAATCAAATGATCATTCACGGGAAGCAGGCCCTGTTGGCTCTTATCAAAATCAGAAACAGTCTCGAAGCGAGGTGCTTTTGACAAATTCCCTTTGAGGCTGTAGGACCAGCCGTAGTATTTGCAGGTGAGGATAGAAGCTGAACCTGAGCGTGTTTGCACGACTGAGAATGCGCCATGTCGACAGAGATTATGGAAGCCGTTGATGTTGCTTTCGCGGTCTTGGACAAGGAAAAATGAGAAGTTAGCTACTGTGAAGGAGAGGTAGTCGCCTGCTCTTTTGAATCGACTAGAATGCGTGAGGAGGAGCGATTGTGTCGAGAAAATTGCTCGTCTCTCTAGTTGGTACATTGATTCAGAGCAATACTATGATGTTGGTAGGTTTCGGGGTGGTTCTTTAGAGGATTCGGAGCTGGTTAGCCATCGCCAATTTTGGATGATTTAGGGCCGAGATTCTTTGGGCCTTCCAATTTGATTGACCCAGACTGAGGTTTGCTTCTTAAGATACGCAGCCTACTAGTATCATCTTATTTCAAGCTAGTGTTTCTTTCTTTCTGAAGTTTGAATGAGGGGTCAAAATTCAAGAATTGGGGGGGGGGGGGGGGGGGGGGGCATTTACCTCAATTCGACTATTAGTATCGATAAGGTCTTCATCTACTCATTACTGGCAATCAAATTCCTTCTGACAAGTAGAATTTAAACCCGAATCAATCTCTCCAATTCTCACTATGCGGAGGGATGTCCAAGTTCAAAGATGGATTAAGCTTAGTTGGGTACATTTAAAACTGACTACACTGTAATTTTTTCTTCTAATATTCAGAGTTCTGCAAATTAAAATGAATGTAGGGTATCTGTAATGTACTAAGTTTCTATTCAACTGTATACTAAGCTTTCACTTTGTTTCATAATGAACAACGATATAATCACAATTTAGACTCTACTAAAGTGTTAGGTATATAACCCCAATGCTCTTCAACATCTGCAATATGGTCATATCCTAATAGCTTTGGTGCTAGTTCGGGATCTCTCCAAGCAAGAGCCTCTCCAGCAGGCGTAGGCACCATCTGCATCTTCCGATCTCTTTCTTGCTGTTCCAGTCCATCGTGTAGGTGGTATAGATACTGCTGGATATTACCACGTTCAACTATCATCTTCGTGCGCTCTTTGCGACATTTTTGGAAGACTGATAGGGCGTGCCTTTTCGCGTTGAGAAACTCGGGCAAAATCTTCGAGATATTGGGAGAATTGGGTAGGCGAGATAGACATTCACCCAAGACAGCACCGTCTTCAAAGGCCATACCAGCTCTGCGATGAGATTTAGAAAGAGTCCCAATATTTGTTTACATTGAGGAATAGGTCATACCCTGAAGCGAGATATGGTAGAGTCGCGTGCACGGCGTCTCCAAGCATCACCCATGCTCCAGATGGATGGCGCCAGTCAAAGTCTCCAAATCGGATACATAGTCGCCATTTCTGGACCGATTGGCAGAGTTTCAGAAGCTTTTGAATTCTGGGATCCCAACCTTCGAAAAGACTGCACATTTCCTCCACATTGCCCTCTATCGTCGACGCAAGCGACTCATCTGGGATGTCGTCTGGTACGAGAAGGACCATGTTGAATAGCTCTCCACCTCGAAGGACATAGTTTACTGGAGAACATTAGTTTTCACCGCTCATGAAGGGAGAAAGCACAAGCCACTTACCAGCATGCGCGTCAGGACCCAGCCAGTAATTCACTTGTGGGTCGTCGACCAGCACCGCCAATTCTGGATCCTTCCTCATCTTCTCTGTCGAGAGTAGAAGGCGATATGCAAGGTCACCCGTTTTCACCGGCGGATCGCTACGACCCAGTAACTCCTGAGTCAACTTTCCAAACACTCCATCCGCACCGAGGACTAAATCGCCCTGCCACGATCTCCCATCGCCAGTGGCAACCGTAGCCATCGCTCCATCAGCACTCACACACACGCTATCAATTCGAGCACCGCAAGTTATTCGCACACCGAGATCAAGCGCCCTATTAACGAGACATTGCTGTAGATCGGCACGATGAAAGTCCCGATACCAAGTACCGGGATAGCCCTTCTCCGAATCGTGGAAATCGAGATGTGAGATATGATTGCCTCTCCAGCCAATGAAGTTGCACACTCGGGGAACAGTCATGTGCGGAGTCAATGATTTCTCTAGACCCCAGTGTTGTAGAACACGAGAACTATTGGGAAGAACTTGGATTCCGGCTCCCACTTCTTTGATCTCGTGAGCTGCTTCGAGGACCTGCACTTTGTGGCCAGCTAGGGCACTGCCAATGGCAGCTCCAAGGCCTGCGAGCCCTGCACCAATAACTAGAATCTGCAACTGGCATGATTCCGTACGGATCTCTTGTTGTTTGATGTGGATAGGAGGGGCCATTATGGAGTGTGCTTCTAGTTCAAAAATTCATTCCAAAAGCTGTTTATCAGTATATAAAACTCAAATAGCCAACCTGGAACTTCCTATTTATCATAACTAAGGACTTACGTAGTGGAGGTTCAAAGATGGGGGTGTGTGCCTTATCTCAACCTTCAAGTAGACGGAGTATATCAATAATGAAATCCATCACATCAATTCCTAGAAATTAGATCAAAGATATCGTCCGAATCCAATTATGTCCAAGGTACGGAACCCCCTCTGCTTGATGTCAACGTCTAGACTGAAAGATTAGTTTTCCCTTCAAGGTCGTACGGCTCTAGTTACGGGAGGTGCAAGGGGCTGTGGACTTGCATTTGCCCGCGGACTAGCAGAAGCAGGAGCAAATGTCGCTATTTTTGACGTAATACCACCAACAGAGGCATTCAATACTATCGAGAAAGAGTTCGGTGTTCAAACAGCCTTCTACGAGTAAGCCGGCTCTAGATAACTCGAATATGCGATCACTGATAAGTACAAAGAGTCGACGTTTCATCGGAAGAATCTCTTCAGGCTGGATTTTCTCAATTCCAGAAAGAATTTGACAATGCTCTTGATATTTGCGTCCCCTGTGCTGGAATTAATCGCCACGTTGCTTTCCTGGAATATACATATGAGGATCACCACGATTTGCTCTCGGTGAATGTTCTTGGTCTATATTTCACGGCTCAGTTGGCAGCGAAGCAAATGATCGCCAATGGAACCAAGCATGGTAGCATCATTCTAGTAGCTAGTATGGCTAGCTATATTGCAGTACGCGATCAGCTTTGCTCGGCCTATTGTGGCTCCAAAGGCGCAGTCAGAGCTATGTGCCCTGCAATTGCAAAAGAGCTTGGCCCATATGTAGGTTCAAGTTTTAAAGCGAAAACTCCGTGACAAACCAATGGGGCTAACTTCAAACAGAACATTCGCGTGAATACCATTTCTCCTGGTTATGTTCGGACAGAGATGACGGCTGCAGTAAGTCCAGACTTCTGTTGCACAAAAGTCCATAAGCTAACACGATAAAAGTTTTCTCATCTCATCGAAGGGTGGGAGGCGAGATCGATGAACGGACGGATTGCCGAACCCGACGATATTCAAGGGGCTTGTGTGTTTCTGGCCAGTGACGCTAGTTCTTTTATTACCGGTCAGGATATTCTTGTTGACGGTGGAGTAACCCGATGGTAAAGTGGGTAGATACTTCAAAGGTGGGGAGGGTGGGGGTTTGAATTAAGTCGGCCATCAGATTAAATCATATATCAATCCAAGCAATGAAGAGATCTAGTTCGGTCAATTTTGATTATCCCCAGAGTAAGAGACTCACAATGGCTCCAGGTGCAGAGAATGAGGGATTCAGCCTTCCTGACTCGGTTGGTGTCTCTACCACTGTCGTTGTTGTTGGAGCGGGGCCATCGGGTCTGTTTCTTGCGTATTGATGCCCGTACCACGCTGCCTGGGTAATACTGAATGGCTTTAGATGCAATTTGGCTCGCTTCGGAATTGACGTCATGATTCTTGATGATCGTCCAGATAAAACGTCCACGGGAAAGGCAAGAGCCATTTTAAGTAATCATAGTTGAAAGTGGATGTGCTAACTATAAGCTTCTCATAGGCAGATGGGATTCAACCAAAGACGATTGAGACGTTCAAGCAGATGCGACTGGCAGATCCGCTCCTGAAAAATGGAGTTCGAGTCTACGACATCTCATTTTGGGTATGACTACTTCAATCGATGATTGTGCTGCGTTCTTTCTGACGTTATTCAAGAAATCCACAGCAGGCGAACAGCTTCGTCGAACGGGGAGACAGACACACTACCCTGATCATCTGGTCGGTGCTTCAGACCCATACATTCTGCTTGCTCATCAAGGAATGGTGGAAGAGATCCTGATCGATGATATGGAGTCGAGAGGCATTTTCGTAACCAGATCAAGCCGATTTGTGTCATCTGCGCGAGTTGAAGGATCTGGTAAATTAGATGTTACATACGAAGATTTAGCAAGTAACACCATCAAGACAATCCGGACAGACTACCTTGTTGGATGCGATGGAGCTCGGTCAAAAGTCAGGTCGTTCATCCCCGACGCTGAGCTCGAAGGAGAAATTACCAATGCATCCTGGGGTGTATTAGATGGTGAGTCAGAGCGAGAGCAAAATTTCGAAGGTCACTATTAAGAAAATAAAATAGGTGTCATCGATACCGATTTTCCTGATCTCTGGAGCAAAGTGGCCTTGCGCTCCCATGTCGCTGGGTCAATTCTGTGGATTCCCCGAGAGCGAGGAATGACAAGACTGTACGTTGAGTTGAGCACTACTGCCGGAGAAAGAGTAGACAAAGCCAAAGCAACACAGGAATATGTGATGCAGCGAGCGAAAGAAGCAATGCGTCCATTCAAGCTTGAATGGGAGAATGTCGAATGGTTTGGAAACTATGTGGTCGGTCAGCGCGTCGCAAAGCATTTCATGGATCCAGATGGAAGGATATTTATATGTGGTGATGTAGGTCCTTAATCCCACCAAATGAGTATACCAGACGCTGATCCACTCACAGGCTGGTCACTGCCACTCCGCACTCGCAGCGCAAGGTGCCAACACAAGTATGCACGACAGTTTCAATCTGGCGTGGAAGCTTAATCTCGTTATTCGCGGACTGGCCAATCCATCACTGCTATTAACATATGAGGAAGAGAGACGCAAAATTGCCAAAGATCTCATCGACTTCGATGCAAAGCATTGCGCTGCATTTGAAAAAGGCGAAGCAGCTCTAGCGAAAAACTTCGACGACAACATCCGATTCATTTCTGGCGTGGGCGCAGAGTATCGCACTGGATTTCTGAGCAAAGAAAGCGTTGAATCTACTCGCCTTCGGCCTGGCACATTGCAACTTCCAGCCAAAGTGACCCGATACAACGATGCCAATCCAGTCGATATCCAACTTGATATTCCCCTTCTAGGTCAATTCCGCATCTACGCATTCGTACCAAACGTCAAGAAAGCACTCAGTTTCCTGAAATCATTTAGTAGAAGAATATCAGCTGCAAGTCGACTGAGCAATATCTCTTCTCAAGCGGACAAGTCATATTCCAGAAAACCAATCGGTTATGCACCGTCGGATGAGTTCTTTCAGCTGCAAAGATACACCGCTATTTCAACAGTCTTCACCCCTGCGCTGGTAACTCTATCTTCTAGGTCTGAGTTCGAGATTGCTGATATGCCAGAGATGCTACAGGCTAGTCGGTGGACTTTGTACCTTGATGATGTCGATCAGCCTTCGTGTACGGAGAAGTGGATGGGGTCTCTAGAGCACGAAGAGGTCGGAATTGTGATTGTTCGACCGGATGGGTATATTGGCAGTGTAGAAAAGTGGGCCTTGATGGAGGGAGATGAAGCTGGAAGGTTGGTGGAAGAGTATTTCTCATTCATGAAGTAAGGAATTGTAGATAGACCGAAGCTCATGTAGAATTGTATATCTTTTTCTCTCTCAAGTTCTTCAATCAACAAGGCTATCTATGTATGAAGCACGGAATACATAATTTTTTGTCACATTGAATGCAACTTACGAAGAATTCATATCTTTTGGAGGGGGTTCCTCTTCACTCCTCATAACAAGCTTTTGAGACATTTAATAGTCGAAAAAAATCATGGTCAATCGTGGGAAATAGGGGATCGTAGGATCGATAAGATCGTAGGATCATAGCAATTTCGAAAGACTATGGTCAATCGTGGGAAATAGGGGATTGTGGGAAACAGGGGATCGTAGGATCACAGCAATTTCGAAAAAATCGTGGTCAATCGTGGGAAATAGGGGATCGTAGGATACTTGGCTCTCAAATTATTACCGATAGACCGTATTCATGTGGGCGACCTGAAATATCACCGTTTTGTTTGGGAAGACCACAAACTAAATTTCTCTACATGCTCAACTGAGAATAAAACAAGCGCTCACTTCTAGGTGCTCACATGATTGGAACCGCCAATCAACCCAAAATCTCCCAATTTGCCCATGCTTCCTCATGATAATATTGTAAGATATGTATCAAATTAAGGTTGAAGTTTGCAGTGGGAATGGTATGACCATTCCTGTCAATACATTGGTTATACCTTTGACATTCTCTCTAGCTTATCATCCCCTAATAGTGCCTAAGGCACCATGGTGTCCTGCCAAGGTGATAGATATTCAATTATACCAGTGCAACTTGTCCATCCGTTGATAGTAGCTAGTATCTGTTTCACCATCTTCCCTTGGTGTGTCGACAGCCCTAACACAAATTCTAATACATGACCCAATAGCATTAGTAGTGCCACTATCCTCACAACCGTTCGCGAGTCTATAACCGTGGCAGAGGTCGTACTTATAACTGATGGCCCGACACTCGGCATCGGTATCGCAATCATAAGCCGAGCATATTATCTGGGCATCTTCATTGATGGTCCATTGGTCCGGCTTTTTAGTTTATTATTAACTCCTAAGATATATGTATCTATCAGTGAATCATATTCCTCTTTATTTTGTTCTTTCAAAGATATTATCTTACCTGTTATTTCATTCAGATCATAGGTCACTTGCCAATTACCAGCAGGCTCATGCTTAGGTAATTTGAGTTCTGGGTTATTTCTATTTATCCCACTCGCAAAGAAAACCCTAGCGTAGGGAGGGTCGAATGTAAAGACAGTTTCACCGGTTTTTCGATTTTTAATCGCTGCTGTGGCCTCAAACTCGTCTATAGCGACGTAATCATCTGGCCCTGCGAAAGTCATTGCCTCAATTTGATTCTTGATATACTGAGCGGTATCATGATCGAAGCGGGTGTCGATGAAGTATAAGCTATCTCTACCAGTTGTTGCCACGTATAGAGTATCTGGTGCGATAATCTGGAAACCAGGTCTCCAGGTTTAATTCACATCAGGCACATAGCTGCTGTTTCGATAGTATTCATGATAGACTGGTGAGCCGGCACAGAGTCGGAACGGGCTTAGCAGTATACTAATGAAGAGTAAGAAGAGCATCGTAAATATGAAGTCAAGTTTTTTGTGACCCTTTGTGTATGGGCATTTTCAGTTTTCTTCTTACTCTTAAATACACACTCAGGCGCAGCAAGAACCATAGACCAGGAACCACTATAGAGACTAGAGGAGAAAAACTTAGTGCCACAGTCGAATTACATAGATAACGGATAATAGCGCAACGGAGAACAGAGGATAGAGGGTGAAAAAGCAAAGAACTAGCTCTTTAGAGCGTAGGATCTATTCTGAAATAAGGTCGGATTGTGGAAAGATTTGTAACGTGATCACGGACTACCTACGGACTACAATGCCACGGCACAGGTGGGTATCGGGACTGGTAGAATTCGGAGAAGCACTTATATTTTAGCTAAATTAATTTCAACTTCCCTCTTATCTCTCCCATAACACCATCATTACTCCATAAATGTTGTCATCTTTTCCTAGACAACAACATCTGATTGCGTTCTTTATATTTCCGCAGCGCCGTCGGTATTCCGTAGTCTAACATCCATTTACGCTCTACTCCGGAGTATAGAGCTGACTTCGCGCCCACTACTCGCTGGATTCCGTGATCTACTCCGTATACTCTTCTTTATATCCCAATCTCTACTCTCTGTAGTCCGTGTTTCCTGATCCATATTCCAACCTTGCAATCTGCGTTCGAGTGCGTATTCAAAAGTAAGTTAAAATACCTAAAGACGTAGACATCCAAAAATTTGACCTTATTACTTACAATACTCTTTCTACCCTGTATCAGTATGCTGATAAACCCGTTTCGACCATACGATGGCCCACCAGTCTATCAAGAAGAGTACTATCGAAACTCTAGCTATGTGCCAAATGTTATCAAGACCTGGAGATTCCAGATTATCGCACCAGATACTCCATATGTTGCAGCAGCTAATGGAAACACACTATACTTCATCGATACTCGTTTCCACCGTGACACCGCTCAGCATATCAAGAATCAAATTGAGGCAATAACTTTCGCAAAGGGAGAAGAGTACGTCGCTATAGACGAGTTTGAGGCCACAGCAGAACTTAAAATTCGAGAAACCGGCGGAACTACCTTTTCATTTGACCCTGCCTATGCTAGGGTATTATTTGCTAGGGGGATTAATAGACAAAACCCAGAGATCAAATTACCTGAGCCCAAGTCTGGTGATTGGCTAGTGACCTATGATCTGGATGAAATTGTAGGTAAGAAAAATAAAGCTTTAAAAGAGCAAAATGAAGACGAATTTGAGTAAGTGAGGTATATATCTTGACAGGCAATGCCTCTAATATAGTATGCTTAAATTGATGGTGAGGGTTTAGACCTGGGCATCGGGTCCCGAAATTAGGGGCGTTGCTGGAATGTAATACGGTCAAATGGAGCGAATTAGAGGGCTGTGTCCTGATTGAACATATATGCCCAGGTGCGTGTGTAATTGTCGACAGACTACCTAGGTATCTAGGTACGCTCTATGTAGCAGATGCTCTTTTCTCGTCGCCCCTCGCCCATCACCCCTTCCTCTGGCTCCGTTGACAGCCTTGTTAACAGACGATCAAGACTTTCGAAGCTAAGCGATATAACTTTATCTCTCTGCCCATTCAGCATATAGAAACATTTACCTAGATTTGGACTTTGATAAATTGAACTCGTGGATCATAATGTGACTACAAGTTGGTTTGACATCATTTGCGTACATATGTAGACACCGTCTTCCCAGGTTCGTTAGGTGACACCACAACGCTCTTTCCTCTCCAATATAGACATCACAGGGAAGTTTCCTTGTTCCTGGCATCGTCTTCATTACTGGGCGGCTTGCTAACTTGTTGCCTGCTAGTATATAAGCCGCTATCGTCAGTATTCTTCTTCATCTTTTTCTTTTGAGCGATATTTAACTTACCTCGAGGCATCCGATGCTATTTTTTTCTAGATCATAGACCACTAGCCAATCGCCAGCAGACTCATGCTCAGGTAATTTGAGTTCTCGGTTGTGCCTATTTATTCCCTTTGCAAAAATGACCCTAGCGTAGACAGGGTTGAATATAAATGTCGTTTCGTTGGTTTTACCATTTTTAATTGCTGCTGTTGCCGAAATCTCATCGATATCGATATACTCATCTCGCCCAGCGAAAGTCAGTCCCTCAATTTGATTCTTGATATGCTGAGCAGTATTATGATCGAAACGGGTGTCGATGAAGTATAAGACGTTTCGACTAGCTGCTGCCACATATGGAGTGTCCGGTGCGATAATCTGGAAACCGCCTAGCCCAAGTTTCCCAGTTTGAATAATATTTGGCGTATAGCTGCTATTTTGGTAGTATTATTTCTGATAGACTGGTGGACCCTCGTATGGTCGGAACGGGTTAGACAGCATACTAATAAAGAGTAGAGCATCGTAAGTATAATGTCTATGTCTGTGGGCATTTGGACTTACTCTTAAATACGCGAGGACGGAGTACAGACTAAGGAGGACGGAGAGGAAACCACCAGAGTAGAGAGAAGCCTAAGAATAGCTTATCCCTGGAGAAAGAAGGGTACATATGTAAGTGATTGATCATCGTGTGATTATCCTTCCGGACTCCGTAGGTATTCCGTGGTCTAACCTCCATTTTTCTATATAGTACTGTTGATACAATCGGAGTCGAATACTTGGAGCGCCATTGAGCATAGCACTACACATACCATCTCAGCTTGTGGATTAATGAACACAAATTACGGATAATGCACATATGCATTAGATTCATTAAGAGCAAAGCCGTGATCCTATATGATAACAGCCTCATAGCTGTTTTGGCATTGGCCAGTTACCATATGAGACCATATTTATAGGCAAACGGAAATGGAAGATCTTGTCACGATTCGATCTCAGCTTCAAGTCTAAAGTAAAAAGGCTAAATTCCAGCCCCCGAAACTTTCCGAAGCTTTAAATGCTCTTCAAACAGTATAGCTTTTCGGAATTTGCTTCCATTACTTCGCATACCTGGTGATCAGCCGCTGTAGGAGAGGATCAGGTTCACTCTTGGTAGGCCTACCATCATTTCCTTCACTTGCTTTATCTATTAATATATCATCTTCTTCAACAGAGGAGGTTCCATCATCTTCATTGATTGAAGGCCAACTCAGATAAACAGGCGATTTGGTTCTAATGGCATCAGGTTCAACGCTGGGCTCAGGTATTCAGAGCCGTCCACATCTCTCCATTTTTTGGCTTTTGAGTTTTTATTCAAGTCAAGTAAATTCTTAAAATACTAAGATTTGAGAATGTGTGAAAAGAGTAGTTCCAAGATTCAGTGATTAAGACGGCGATATACCTGGTTATATACTAGTCTGAGAGTTCGTCAGCCTACAGTGCTGCCTTCATAGGTGTGACCCAATCCATGTCCAATAGGTTCCTGAAACGCCGCGGTGGAGTCCCAAGATGTCCTCTTTACGGCCATGAAAAAAACCCGAAATGGTGTGGTGGAGTCCTAAGGTCTCGTGATTTCGTTCTATGATGCTTCCCTTTGGCGGTAGTTCAAGGTCATCTGGCAGCCCATTGCCCTAGGAGGCTAGGATACTCACTGGCTGAAGAGGGTTCTCAGGCACTGTTCCAAGGCGGATAGCACCATCCTCGCAGAAAGTGAAGTCTGGGGGCAGGAACTATAAAGGCATGGGAAAGACTGCAGAAGGAAGAGTAAAAGTTTCGTTATAAGGTGCGAATATTTGCTAAAATATTTTCTAATGAAATATGAAGTCGCTCTACACGCTGACAGCACCGCCACTTTTCCACTACGCCGCATTTTGAGTCTCACCAATGATGCTTAACCACGTTTCTAGACCTTGTAGTATGCTCAAATAATTAGAGTCCAGTTCATATTTCTCGGTTAGAGTATCCCGTTCCTCTTCGGTTCCAGCCGTCACAAGTGGGTCCGATAGGCTGACGGCTGTCAAAGACTAACAACTGCCTAGATGTCTTGCTGATACATAAAGCAGGACACGGACGGATTAGCTATGTTCCCGTTGATTATCAGCTAGCCACTGAACTCCCGCAGAGACCCGTGGCAATATATGAATATGAGAATTATATCCCACAATGGCAATCCTTGCCATTATTAAGCCCTAATTCCAAAGGGTATATTAGTAGTCTGTCAAATCTGTCCTATCTTTGAATCTTGCAATTTTCTGAGAGTTGGCCTTAAGATGCATCACCTCTGTTCTTTTTTTTTCGAATGTGGGTTCTGGATTATGTACATAGGTGACGCTAATAAATGAGGAGCTGAGACAGTGGCTTTGGGTACCTAACGCTTCAAGTGGACCATTCGCATTATTGACGCACATGTGAACGATTACTAGTATGCGGGGCTGGGGATAGATGGGTAGTCAGTTTGAGAAATTGTATATATATGAGCACTTGATCCTTCAGATTCCTCTCTTTCACAAGTTAACATCTCATAATATTCCAATTCTGCAAATTATCAATCCTTTTACCATTTCTCCAACCGAGCAAAATGGTTAACGCAGTTATTCCCAAACCTGGCCATGACCGGCAATTCTATGTCTTCTCTGGGCGCCGCTATATCATTATGGAGTTCGAGGCTACAGGTAGTCGTACCGACGATAAGCTCATCCAGCTTCCAAGATGGAACCGCGAGTGGAACACCTTCAAGGAAGCAGACTGGGGTATTATCGATGTTGTGATACTAGTTCCAGGCTACACCGACCAATTCTACGTCTTCAATGGAGGTCACTATTTTCGAGGCAAAATCCTTAACGACGGCATATTTACGGACTCTATGCTATACGGTGGTGTTAAGACCCTCGCGTCACAATGGACGGCTTTAGTTGATGCCGGATTCGACACCGTGGATGCGGCAATTGTTGACCCCAATCACAATGACTACATATTTTTCTTTCGAGGCACAAAGAGTCTGAAGTACAGCCTGTCAGAAAATAAGGTCCTCGCAGGGCCCAAGCCAATTAGCACCTATTGGCGTGGCATTGGTAAGGCAGACTTTGACTCTATCGATGCTATCTTTAAAAGCCCCAACCCCGGCGACAGCTACTACGTTTTCAAAGGCGACAAGTATGCGAGAATTAAGTGGGATGGAGGATGGGACAGTCTGGAGTACGGCCCGATCTCCATCACCGCCTGGAATTGTGCAGAAACTTGGCTCTAGGTTTGGAATGAGGATATGAATTTGTCCACCCTTTGAATAAGGTGTGCCGTCATTCTTTGATGATAACCTTTTTTCTCGTGATGAATGCTCTGTATCTAGTCTATCCATAGGTAATTTATTCTGTGGGAAATACGACAAATGTAACCTTCTTTAATAGCATTGCTAACCTATCCTTAATGTATAGGGATGACGACTAAGCGGTCACCTTGTTAGTCACGCACTTAAATGGTGTTCCATTAAAGTTTTTCCAGGCCACGACGATGATTTAAAGTCGCTAAAATCTTTCAAATTATATTAGGATCGGATCTGTTAAGGTAAACAAGCGAGCCGCTCACCCTATCAAATTTTACGCGACGTCATTTATGTGTTTCTCCTTTTCAACCATCCACCATGCCCTAAAAAGCCCCTATATGGCCTAAGCTGCCTAGGAACAGGTTGAACAGGAGGGCAGGACCTTAGTATATATCAAAGCTTATAAAAATGGCGAAATCTCTCCAATTCTCACAACTGTAGACATATTTAATATGCCATATATAACGCTACACGAGCGTCTCTTTAGTATAAAACATCGCGTCGAAAAACGTGTAAATAGTTACAAGTTGGCTGAATGTTGATCGTGTAAAATTACCTGCATCTATCATAAGATATGCACCAGTACCTTACATTGGCTTAGAGTCAGAACGATTAGCTTGCACTACAGCCTGCAACCTTGAATTTATGCCTAGGTACATGAGTTTCAAGGCTTTCTATATGGGTCCGAAGCTTTATCTCTTTTATTTTTACCATGACACGAAATAATGGAAATATGAAAGCCACATGACAGATAAAAAGAATCAAAAACTATTCGAGATAGTACAAAGAAGACGACACCTGCAGGATTCGAACCTGCGCTCACGAATGAACGCCCTTAGCAGGGGCGCGCCTTAGACCAACTCGGCCAAAGTGTCCTATTGATATACTAACTCCTAATTGATATCATGAAATTGAGTCATTTGGGCGGAGTACAGACATTACAAACGTAATGAGACCCACATTCAATTTATGGTCTTCCTATTGGCTGTTATTATTGGTCTAGTCCTAAAAAGGAATAGCTCAAAATATATACACCAATAGGAAAATTATTCCCCGTAACTATATTGTGGCTTGAGCTGACATTTCAACTCTAATACTCCACTGTCACCATAAATGGAGTCATCAATAAAGCTTCCATCTTTGTTTCATTGTCTTCTGATACCGCTGTAAGAAGACCCGCAATGACTTGAATAAAAACTAATATTACAGGAATTGATACAACTGAAAAATATGATTCTTGACTTTTATATTGAATAGAGTAGAGAGGTCGTCATATCTTTTCTCGACTACTTTACAGTGTCCAGGTGCAGACTTCGGCAGGAATAATACTGGAACTAGTACAGAAACTGGTTCATTCACCAGCAGGCCGGACGCATGCAACCTATGAAAATCTTGCTCGTACTGAGCCGGCGGGATTCTTTGACAATGGATGGCCAGGAATATCAACCACCTCAAGCTTCGATGGAGTGGAGGTTAATCAAGTTTCTTCACCATCTGTTAACAAAGTGTAGTTTTCTACATACTCTCTGTGACTCCGAGAATTTGAGTCAGAAACCTTTTTACGATCAATCTACTATTGCTGGCGTTCATTTATAACAATATATAGGCTTCGAATTAAAATGATGTACAGTATTCAGTCAAAAGGAACTCTAACATCAAGATTTCTTAATCTCCTCGATGTTGATGCCTGCATACCGGAAGTGCCCCTTACACTCTACTCCTTCACGCCTACATAGTTCACACACTACTCTAAAAACTTATTAAAGCCCTACTCAGGATTGTCTTCGTAGCACTGCCATTGCCTTCGAATAAAGGCCTTCAGCACAGCTCAGAGCCCCTCGATAGGATTAAGGTTAGGAGAATATGGAGGCAGGTATACCAGTTTTACACCAGCCTCTGAACACATCCGCTCTATGCGCTTAGAGTGATGGAAAGATGCGTTATCCATCACCAAAACAGACTTAGGTTCTGGCCACTTCCCATAGTGTTGTAGAAGTTCAATAAAATTTTCATAAACTACCGCGTCGGTCGAGCCCCGGAATACCCGAGATAGAAAAATCCCCTCTTGGGAATATGCTAGTAGAATTTGGTACCGTTGATCGCGATGGAATTTGGAAAGCTGAACGGGTGTAATACCGAGCGGTGATCACCCGGTCCGCCGAAACCTAATTCTTTTATCACATCCCAACTTGTCGATATATATGAGATGATATGATCGGAAATCCGATAGGTTATGTAAATAGTGATCTCGTAAATCAGCGTTTCGATCTCTCCCATTTTTCCGCGCAGCTCTCTTTGACCACTTGTTAGAGATCAGCGCTCTTCTAATGCTAGAGGTTGTTGGATAAATGTAAAATTTGTCCCACAGAAAAAGTGCCATCTCATCGAGGTATAGACTAGGCCGTTCAATCAGATGGTCGCAAAGCGCCTCTAGCATTACTAGAGTGATACTACGCAGTCGACCTGCACGGATAGGAGGGGCTCTAGTGTCCCTAAATTGCCGTAAGATTACTACGGATGGTGATAATGAAACGAGGGCTGCATCCAGCAGCATCAGCGATCTGGGATGTGGTCAGTGACTTGCTCAAGATCATGTCGCGAATAAACTCCAGAGTAGACAAGGCAAGGTTGGGAGCCATTGTGTTGTGTTGTTTTTAGGTAGTGGGTGTGGTTTAGAAAGAGATGGATAGTTTAGAAAGAAAGAGGATATCATATTTACCGCATGATATGGAGCCTCTCCTAATTTTCTTAGCTATAATAGGATGACATGGTTGGCTTAAGGTTCTAGAACAATCTCGTAGTATAAAACATCGAAGCTAACTTTGAATCTAGCGGTAAGAATTTATTGAACTCATATTTGGACTATTTGGACATGTTCATTGGGTATTAGTTTGAAGCGAAACCCATATTATGGTGCCGAAGACTTCTTTAGTATACTGATCGTGGACTGAGTGCTCAATAGATGCTCTCAGTAATCAGTGAGCGATCAGTGAGCAGCCAATCGCAATTACTAAGTGCTCATTAGGTACTTCAAAAAATGAAGCCGAATACTGAGAGTGGGGGTCAAATATAGCAGTCCATAGTGGGGTTTGATACGTCAATCCCACTATTATCATATCACTATCATCATAGCCCACTTTCGCAGCAACAATGGGGGTAATGAGTCTATTTAATCATTGAATGGTGGCGTCTATATCTAGATTCTACAATCAGGCTATATACAATCCAATCAATTAGCAATCGTCAAAATGGGCTCTGTTGATGTTATCGGACCTTTATTCACACCGTTGCGCTTGGGCACCTTGTCCTTGAGCCATCGAGTTGTTTTAGCTCCATTGACCCGTATGCGATCGACAAAAGAGTCCGACGGAGTGTTTGTTCCGAACGAATTGAATGTTGAATACTATTCGCAGCGTGCCTCCGAGGGAGGATTGCTCTTGACCGAAGCAACTCCGATCAGCAGATTGGTATGCAATTTAACCCTTCTGAAGTGTATTTAGTACTGATATGGTCTAGGCTGCTGGATACCCTGGTGTCCCTGGTATCTTCACACCTTCCCAAATTGCTGGGTGGAAGAAGGTCACCGATGCTGTACATGCGAAGGGCGGTCTCATTTTCTGTCAACTTTGGCACGTCGGTCGCGCAACTGTTTCTTCTCTACTTGATGGAAATCAACCTCTTGGCCCAACTAACACTCCAATCTCTGGGGAAGCCCTTGATGGGACTGAATACTCAGCATCGCCTCCACGAGCTATGACCGTTGAAGAAATCCAAGCTACTGTGAAAGAATATGCCGCAGCAGCCAAGAGAGCTAGAGAGGCTGGGTTTGATGGAGTTGAGGTTCATGGTCAGTATATAGAATTGTGCCGAATAATATTCAATATCTGAGTAGAATCAGGTGCGAACGGCTACCTCCTCGACCAATTCCTTCACGATAACGTCAACACACGCACGGATGACTACGGTGGATCGATTGAGAAGCGATCTCGCATCGTTATTGAAGTGCTCCAGGCCGTGACTGAGGCTATTGGAGCCGATCGTGTCGGAATCAGACTGTCACCCTATAACTACTTCCAAGATACCCGCGATTCTAGCCCTAACACCCACTGGCTCGCGCTTTGTTCGCAAATTGCAAGCCTCCCTGCCGAGACCAAGCCTATCTACGTCCACATGGTTGAGCCACGGTTCGATGAGGTTCTTGATGAAAAGGCCAAGATTGATTCTCTGGCCGTAGGAAAGCCATCGCTGAATGTGTTCCGGTCGACATTGAAAGACGGTGGTGTTGCTTTTCTAGCGGCTGGAAACTTCAATGCGAAGAATGCAGGCCCTAAAATGGTTGATGATGAGACTGATGGGATTGTATTTGGTCGGTTGTTCATTTCTAACCCTGATCTTCCACGGCGGTTGAAGGAGGGGTTGTCCCTTACTTCCTATGACCGGTCGACATTTTATGGGGCAGAGCCGCCTCAGAAGGGATACACTGACTATCCTTTCTACAGTGAATAGAGAATGGGAAAACTATATAAAATACAGAAATATGATATTCAAACCTACTGAGACAGACCTATTAAGACTTTCATCGCATCATGAACTACTGCCCAACGAACTGTAGCCAATTGCTGGGCCATGACAGCCGCCAGTGGCTTCGGATCATACTTTCCAGATAATGCCGTCAGCTCTGTAGAACTGGGGCAGTTCGTCATCATCACTATCAAAGACGAAAGATCGGTGTTAACTCGTTGTTCGGACGAAGAAAAAGTCATTCCACGATGAAAGACAAAGCAAGCCAATGTCGCTAGGTACAAGCACCATGGGAAATGAAAGGCATCAGTCTGATCCCAGTCATGTAGACTAAGCACAGCCTCCTGCAACAGATGCGACGCATGGCGAGCAGCATCAGTCGATGCACTGGAGTCCTCATGAAACCACCGAAGAATATTTCTTTGGGATCGTGAGTGATCAGCCGAAGTTACCGATCTTCCAAGGATGTTCCTCGCTCCGGATATGATCTGCAAGTCCAAAACCTCCACTTTCAAGGCAAGACATGCAGCATGGTAAAGTGCATGTGCAGCCATTTTCAATCCTGTGAATTGCCGTTGATCGGCGGTCTGTGCTAGCTTCATAGTAAGGCAATCTGCGTCGAAATCCACTTTCCACAGATCGTATGAGCGGCTCATACGCGGGGTCCATGCCCCAACACGTTCGGGCGTTTCCGACCGAAGGGTTGTCTGATCACGGCGCTTCAGATCCGCTGAGACAGACATCAATCCGTGCAGAATCACTGTGCGAGCAAATGTGTTTAGATTTCGGGGTCGAGATGCGCCCCCAGGGGTGATGTAGCCTTTCAAAACAGTGAGGAAGGGACGAGTTGTTTCATGAGCTGCTAAGTGCGACCATTCCCGGGCTGAGCATGCATCCCATGCAGCAGCACTGCAAGGCAAAGAAGATCTGATTTCAAATGCCGACATACACAGAGACTGGGAGAACAGAACTGCATGCTGCGTATCCCACATGAAGCAATGCATGGCTAAACGCTTCCGCTGCTCTTCATCCATAGCCTGTCTCCATGATATATCTAGATCTAGATCATTCAATCGCGCCAAGTGTGATGTATCCTGCACATTGCAACAATTACTACGACGGATCAGCTTGATCAACACGCAGTGGAATAGCTGGGCATTTTCTCTCTGCTTTGGGCCAGCCCGCATCTTCCCAAAACAATCAATAAGAAGCATGGTCTGTAGGGCCCAGAGATCAGGCTGTGGCGAAAAGTCAGGGTGGCTCAAGAGCTGGTTCCGGAGCTGATCGTGAACGCCTACAGCCAGTTGGTGGGCCTCGCGTGTGCCGTATGTAGCTCCCATGAGCAGGATCGACGCCAAAAATACCGGTTCCACTGATTCTGGATTAAAAGTTGCCTGGTGAACAAGCGGATATGTCACATTGAACCGAGCAAAGAACAAATCGCAATAGTTTTGCAATGCATTTAAGTTCAGTAGAGGTGAGTTGAGTGCCATTGGCTGGCCGTTAATGCCTGTAGGATGTGTTCGAGCCACCAGAGATAGGAATCCTGTTCGAGAATCTTCAGACAGCTGTGGCAGGCTTGGCTGAGAATTAGAGCCCAGGTATGACGCTCCAGACATCCATTCCATCTCTAGGAGCTCTGTTGCTTGTGGAGATATTGTTGCCGGTGGCATCTGTGTCCGATTTATCATGGACGCAACCTCCAGCAGCGCTGAGGGTCCATCATATTTGTCCGGTGTTGGGCAATGTGTATTTATAGTGTCGGGATATGGCCCTGTATCAAAGCCAAGCTGGAAGTCGAAATGATGAAAGGCATCATCGAGAGAGGCAACATCGAACAACCAATTATAGTTACAGGTCGCGGCAAAGGGTAGATTGAAGTCGGTTGCTATGCATATATCGTTAGTTTAATCTTCTTGAACACCTATTATGAGCTTATAGAATCAACATACCTGTGTCCATACTAGAAAAATTACCAACCTCCTCCATACCATTATTGAATGAACCATCCGCAGCATCAAACTGCCCCGGTATCGGCTCAACATAAGGCTCAAAGGGTCCGCCAGGCATCATAGGCGCGAGAAAAGGGTCATTCTCATCAATTGCATCCATGGACAAGGAATTCTGATCTGTACCGGAACCAGGAGGGGAGACAGGTGCTAGATCATCAGAGTGATCTTTCAAATCTTCTATGACAAGGCCTCGGTCAGAGCTTGTAGTAGAGACAGTGGAACGTCTTGCCGACTGGATTTCTCGCAGCAATGGACGGACCACAATCGATCCATCTCGAGCCCTACGAGTCCTCTTCCTCGTCTTGAGAACTCCCAGACCTGGCCCGCCGGCTTCTTCATCTCGTCTGGTATGGCGTTGCATATGCCGTTCTTGCATCCATATTAGGTTAGTCGGTCTTGTACCTCCAAATACGAAAAAGGAGTTCAATACCGAGCAGATCAGGTCTTCGAAAATGTACTGAGCAGCGCTCACAGGTAAATCCGTCGCGGGGTTGCTCGTGATTAAGGTAATGTCGTCGCAAATGTTCCGCGCGGGTGAAACTTTTGCTACAGCCGGGATAGTGACAAGCGTGAGCCTTCATAGCATAACTTTGGAAAGATCAAAGAGAAGAAATACGATAAACAAAAACTCTACTTTTGTGCCTTGACGAGGTAATAAGGAATCGGTGGAAAGACCGTGATAAGGATAGATGCGGGGAATACATCGTGATTGGTGTCTGCATGGATATCCCTGCTAGTATGAGGATATTGCTTATCTTCTCAGGAGCAAGCGACTTTATAAATATATACCAAGTTCAGTTTAGACTTGCTTCATAACCTTTGAAGCTGAAGAAACAAAGCTAAGCCACCTAAAAGCAGACATATTGTACCTGGGTATACTTGAAATACATTATCAAGTCCAATCCTCTATACCGATATCTCATCCAAAGAAAGAAGAATCTGCATGATAGTCAGCTGAAATTCTTTGGAGAACTCATTAAAGGATCATTTAGAACTCTCGAAGACATACTTTCTCAATATATTTGACCCCGATCAAAATTCCATCACTATCCTCGAACTCAGTTTGATCACCGAAGTCTTCGTTTGTCTCATCCAGGCAGGTTAAACAGTTGAAAACAACCTGCGCGTATCTTTCACCCATTCTAATCGATAGTTGATCTTTTGCTAATGCGACATAGTAATCCTTGAGAGACTCATTTCCGATCAACGCTGAAAGGTCCGGATTTTCTGACGCCAGTCGGGTGAGTGCATTACCCTTTATATCCACAAAAGATTCCCATAGTCCGATCTCAAGGAGGCAAACACCAAGACTGTAAATATCATGCTGCATGGCATAGTCCGCACCAGGATGAGCACCCTGCCGATCAGGATGTCGATAGATATTTTCAACCCAGACGGAGCTACCTAGCCGTTGTGTCTTGCTATCAGCCATGCGAAATGCCCTGAATCCAAGCAGAAATAGTGGTCCAAGGTGCGATTCCCGTCCATTCTCTCGAAAGATCAATGTATTCTCCGGTCGAATATCTTTGTGGACTATATCCAGGACATGGATATAGCTAACTGACGTGGCAAGCTGTTTGGCAAGCTCGATTCTTTCATTCAGAGAATAAGGGACTTGTGAAATCAGGTGAAACCGAAGACTTTGGGGCTCAGAGCATCCTTTGGGAAATCGAAAGAGGAAATCGCATGACATGAGTTGCTTGGTTCTCAGATCTTTGATGCGAAAAACGCCCTCACATTTCAGTACGTGGAATTTTCTGTCTTCAACTGGTCCTAGCTTCAGGGCTAAGTGTCGAACATGCTTGATAAACATAGAGACATCCCCCATGGATGTGCAATCGGCAGAATCCAATATGAACTTCGCTTTGCCAGTATCGACAACTTGGGAATCCGAAAATGGAATTTGAGAGCGCGTAACTGACTCCAGCTTACTCTGTGAAATAAACACGGAGGTTTCTTGCTTTGATTGTAATGTATTCTGAACTTGTTTTTCCACGGATAGCCTGTCAATTCCTGGGTGTCTATCGGATTCCGTGTCAATGATGCGCTCAGCCATCCGCCGAATTAGATACCACGTGGGGTCAAACTTCTTTTCCCATTTCTCAAGTTCGCTGATTGCTTTGTCGAGGGAATCCTTTACCAACAAGGCATATTTTGCCGCCTTTCTCTTCCTCATAGCAGCATGGTAATTCTGGGCCCCGTGTTTTTCAATTTTACTGATCTGCAGGGAAGCATCACGCAACTTGTTTTCCAGAAGTTTGAGAAGATTTTCCTGCAAGTTCTGGTGTTCCTCATCCAGAATTCCCCAGATACTTCTGAGAAAGGTCAATTGTTCGGATATCCTTTTCCAAGAAGCTTCGATAGAAAGGGATTGCTCTTTGATCTTATTATCTGCATCATTAAAAGTCTTCCATTTTGTTACGACAATCACGCCTATCTACTATATGTTAGCAAATGGGCAAGTTTGGACGAAGATCTAACTTACTTGAAGCACTGATCAAAAGTGGCAAAGATGGCAAGACCGAGCTCAACTCCTGACATTATGGTGTGAAGCTGGTGGGGTTTCTCAAAATTAGAACGCACAAGGAGAGGGACTGGAAAAGAAGTAACAAGAGGGAAAAGAAAGATAAAATGAATCTTCAGCCTCAAGAGCTGGATAGACCTATCAGAAGCGGTGAGTGTCAGCACGCTTATTGCTCAGCCACCTCGTGCCTCAATCTTGCCCTTCACAAGAAATAAGGGCAATAAAAGGGCAAATCCAATCGGGCTGATTATCTTGAGTGTTATTTTTGAATCAGTATCTAGGTATATACCATGGGCTGAAATAGTGATTTTCTCCATTCGATCTCCGTACTCCTACACTCGCGATTAATAAGACAACGAATCAACGATTGTCAAGCCTAATGTCAAATGTACTTACAAAGTAAAGCATGACGTGTACAGCTAAGCTTCTACGGGTCAAACACTCTTCAATCCAGAGAAACCATTCTGTCATCTCATGTCTTCAAGGCTGAAGGATAAGCTACTATTCCATCATGACGAGTTAAGTGCGTGTGTAGGATATGAGATTTTCATACACTTCAATTTCACGAGATGCCATGCTTCATTACGACCACATTACAAAAACAGAGCCTACGGAAACCTGGAAGAGAAATGGAATATGGAGGATCTAGTTAGCCTTGGGGGATTTGGGGCAATTTGGCTATAAAAATGTTCAAGTAGAAATACAGTCAATATGGGCTGTGAGAATTCTCGACAGGACACTCGAAACTTAAGAAATATTGTGCCAGGAACTGAATGCTATAGCAAAAGCTTCCTGGTAAAGAATTAATATTACTTATTGGATGGAAAACACTGAGGGGATTTCAGAAGTCCAAAACAGATGCTAATTTTCATCGATAATCAATACGATGGTTTATTTCCGAAATCTCTTATAGTGCAAGAACGAAAGATATCTCTGCATTACAATGAAATATATGGAACTCGGCGATCTCTAAAGAAACATTGAGTCGAAAAGCCCATTATCCGAGTGAGAAGTTCAGCAGATTTCTATTCAGATCCTGATCTGTCTTCATCATCTCCATGGGAATGAAAGCCCCCAGCGAGACAATTCCAAGTCCCGAAAAAAGTCACTGGCGGGCTTTCACTTGTAGCATTATCACTGACAACGATTATAATTTATCATTTGGTCTATCATTTGGAGGAAATAAATGCCATCTGGCCTGGCCCATCCCCTGGACTGATATTAAGCGTTCAAATAGTTTACCCGTAATATAGTTAACAGCTCCATCGCAACTGGTTACCTTTGAGCAAGGTTGAAATCGATTAATTGCAAAATATACCGAGTCCTATCTAGAGAAAATATCTCCACTCCGAGCTTTCACTTCCCTCAACTTGACTGGTGTCAATTTGACCTTCTCGTAGTGTGACGCCCTGTTCTCGATCTCGCCGACGATTTTCAAATCGCATCCACAGCCCTAGTCCAGTCACAAACACAATACAAACGACGTTACAGCAGCACGTCGACACAAGTGTGGGAATATACCTGAAGAAAACTGATTAATATATTTTCATTCTTCTGGGGGTTTGAGTGGACCTCGGGATGTAGGTAGGTCTTACTTAGGCGCATATTCTGTACGAAAGGTCGCAGCACTCAAAATTCCCGCAAGATTTCCCAAGCCAACGAGAAGGCCTGTGTTGGCAGCGCGGGAGTTCTCATGGATGTTGTTATTATTATGCCAGGCATGAAACAAAGCCGATGGAATATATGCCCCTGCAGCCACTAGGAAGCAGGCAAAATAAGCCACTGCCTTGTTATTTAAGACGTCGATAGCGGCCAATATGACCATTCCCACAAGTGAGATAGTCAACGAGAAAACGATATGGAATGTTCTCTCACGGAAGTAGTCGGAAGATTTGGCAACACAGAGTAACACAACCGCACCAACAAGGTTTGGTGCTACCGTCCACAAATTTGTCTTGACAGTTGAGAATCCTAGACGTTGAACAATCTGATCCAATTAGAAAAAGCATAGAAGGTATTTAGTATAAAAAATTACCAGGGGAAAGAAATTCATCGCTGTTGCATAAGCTACGGGGTAGGTAAAGCAAATGATACACCAGATAGGGAATTTCCAATCCTGCCAAGACTGGAAACAGGCCTTTAGGTCGAACGCTGTAGAGACTTCGACTGACGAATCTCGCAGAAGACGGACTGTAGCTGCTTTTCGTTCTCGCTGATTCAAGAACCAAGCTCTTTGAGGAACATCTGGGAGGATAAAGAATCCTAAGATTCCTGTGATGAGGGTCATGCCGCCCTCAATGATGAACAACCATTGCCATCCCTTAACTGCAGGATCATTGATTTGAAAAACACCGTATGAAATCAAACCACTGAATGCAGAAGCAAGAACTGCAAAGGACTGCATAATTGCCAGGCGAAAGCCTATCTCTCCCCTTGTGTAGAAGAGGGTCATATAGAAGGTAGCCCCAGCAAAAAATCCAGCCTCAAAGGCACCTAAGATGGTCCTGATAGCAAGTAATGAGCCAAAACTCTTCGCTGCGCATTGGCATAGAGCAAGGATGCCCCAGACAACAGACACTTCTCACTGTCAGAAACTGAAACCCATGGACTATTGACAGCGATCAACTTACTGGACGAAAGCATCAGTCGGCCGGAAAAGAACTTGGTCAGCAGATTCCATGGAAGATCAAACAAACCAAAGGGAATGTAGAAGATCAGGATGAGGAGAGAGTATTCGTTCCCTTCAAAGTGCAAGTCCTCATCCAGACCATTTGTTTTGGCATTTGCCAAGTTACTCTGTTTCTATTAGGTATGCGAATGAATTCAAATGAACCAACGGTGAACTTACCCGATCCATACAGTCAAAGAAGTACATCTACAGTTATGAGCATTTCGAAGGTGCCTCTCAAGGGGGGTTAATTACTTACCAAACACAGCATGGGCAACACATAAAGGTCCACTTTCCTGCGGTATGACTTCTCAGCCTCAACTTCCTCGTATATCCCGGTTTCATCTAGACTTGTCTTGACTTCTTTACTCATGGTTGCTTTAAGTTTGTAAGATCCAGAAAATTTGAATATGCAGGGTAGTTTAACAAGATCATATCAAGAGCAGATCAGTCTGCTTATTTATACAGCGCCCTTGCATGAAACTTAGGGAAAGGATCTACATACAATCCATATAACCAATCCTATAAGTCCAGCCCTGGAGGGCTATGATAGTCAAATCAAGTTTGATATATGTCAATAATTAAAACAGTAGCGGTACCAGATAAGAATGGATATTTGTTCTAGCCAATTCCACGTTCCGCCGGTCGTCAATATTCAATCTCACCTAGACACAGGACTTATCATCAATCTTGCCGACGGAGTTTCTATCACCCCATCTTTGATATGCCCCCACTGTTTGTACTCTGACACTTTCGGTCTTCATTCCGATGTTTGAGTGCGATGGAGTTTCATTTAATCGTGGACTTTCTATACAGCCAATTCACATGCATATTCATATTTTCAAGGTTGGAAATACAGCTCTGAACGAACAAGCTCCAAGGTCTAGAACTTACTCGAATCATGGCTACATCAGCTCCACCAATTCTAGATTTCTCTTCCTTCTATACACAAGACAGTGAGGCAAGAGTGAGACTGGTAGAGGATGTCCGCAAGTGCTGCCACTACAATGGAGTACTATAGCGCAGTAATTGAGCTGACAAAAGATGTTCTAGCTATTCTCGCTTTGACTCTTGGTGTTGAGTCTAATTATTTCGACCCGCTGACCGATGGTGCGGTAGCTACAATGCGCTACTTGCACTACCCGGCATAGCCAAAAGACGAGGATGAAAAGTTGAACCGAGGAATTGGAGCGCACAAAGATTTTGGCTGTGTCACTCTCCTTCAGGATGAAGTGGATGACCTACAAGTTTTTGATGCACCAACAGGTCAATGGCTTGACGTTAGTTCCAACCAAATCTCTTCATTTGAAGAAAGTCATTAACACCGCATATAGGTCAAGCCTGTTCCTGAAGCATACGTTGTAAATCAGGGAAATCTCTTTATGCGCATGGCGAATGATAAGTACAAGTCTTACACACATCAAGTGACCAACAAGTCAAGTATCGAAAGATATTCCATCCCATTCTTCCTAGGTAGGAACCCTGACTATTTTTGCAAGTGCCTACCCAATCGCTGTGAGACTGGTGAGATGGCGAAGTATTCACCTATTACTGTCCAAGACATGGTCACATCTGCCTAAGAAGAAAACTACGGCCGAGAAGAGCAGTACAAGAAGGCAATTGGAACTAATAAGTCAGTATCGCCGACCGCGGCTGTAGGTGTATAGTTTACAATCCGACTTGGGAGTATCCGAGTCACGCGATGTACCTCGTAATCTACTGCGCAATCTAGATAGGAGCCCGGATAATCAGTCCAAATACAGAAGAGCAGCCTGTTTTCAAATTGTTTTGGTTCCTGTAACCTTAGGGTCCAATCTTCCCACAGTCAGCCCTGGACGTTGAATGATACCTAGATAGTTTGTCAAGAATGTTGCAGCCTCAATTTCCAGGTTCTGGCAAGGGTGGGCAAGGGTGGGTAGGTGGGGCTGATAGATAATACTCTTGCTATCGATATCAGATATCATCCCTTCGTGAAGATTCAGCTTATCCGCCATTGGTCATCAACTCTGGATATACGACGTACATACCTAGGTATCTCGGGTATTATAATATATATGATGCAACCTAGCTTCTGAATCTCAGTATCTTCAATTCTCACCAAAGAGATGGACGAAATTAAGTCAGAAGAAAAGCGAGTGGTACCATCTCAGGTATCCCCGGAAGGCCGCGAAACTGGGAAGGCCATTGCCATCGATGACTTTGAAGTTGGCCAGTTTTATGGCTCTTCTACCACTCAAACCTACCGATTGAAGTCTGCCTTGGTTGGAAAATGTATGGAAGAAATTGGCATGGGAAAATTCCAATGGAAGCTTTTCGTCGTCACTGGGTTTGGTTGGATTGTCGACAACGTAATTAACTCCCTCCCAGCTGAATTAACCTCCCATTAACATCTTATGTCACTTAGTTTGCATCACAAGGCATTGGCAGTGTTCAGCCACCCATCGAAAAAGAGTTCTCTGACATTACTAAAGTCAGCTACAGCTCGGTCGCATATTATGTTGGTCTCATCCTTGGTGCCTCTTTTTGGGGTCTGTCTAGTGATCTGATTGGTCGTCGACCGGCATTTAATTGCACTCTTCTCATAGCAGGAATATTTCTCTGTGCCGTTGCTGGCTCTATGAACTTCATTGCTTTCAGCGCTATGTGGGCTGTTATTGGAACTGCTGCTGGTGGAAATGTACCTGTGGACTCTATGATTTTTCTGGAGTTTGTTCCTGGAAGGTGAGAAGACTCTGTACTACTTGGTCTCACTATCACGTAACTTATATCTGCTAGCCACCAGTATCTCCTCACTGCCCTCTCAGCCTGGTGGAATCTAGGTCAATTGATTGTCTCGTTGCTCGCATGGGTATTTTTGGCAAACTTTAGCTGTCCAACAGATGCCACCCCGGCCAATTGTTCGCGGAAAGATAACATGGGATGGTAAGTTAGCTCCTAGGATATTAATATATTCTACGCAACTAAACCTTCTGCAGGAGATACACCACGATCACCCTTGGAGGTCTAGCACTAGCCTTCACCTTTATTCGTATATTTTTGTTCAAGATGCCCGAAACCCCAAGATATCTTTTGTCCCAGGGCCGAGATCAAGACGCCGTGGATGCAGTAAACTATGTCGCTAGACAGAACGGCAAACCCGAACCACTGACTATAGACATGCTCCATGAGATTGACATCCTGCTGACTGGGACACCATGTGAAAAGGGAACCATCAAAAAGCTCTCCACCAAAGAGGTTGTTGCAGAAAGCCTTTCATCTTTCCGGGGCGAGCATTACCGATCTTTGTTCGCCAGTAGAAAACTTGCCATACAAACCCTAATGATCTGGACAATCTGGCTGACTGTCGGCATTGCCTACCCGCTCTACTTCAACTTTCTCCCATCTTATCTTGCCAAGAAGTTTACCTCAAACTCTTCTCTCTACCTGACCTACCGAAACTACTGCATTGAATCAGCTGTCGGAGTTGTAGGCCCTCTTTCTGCTGCCTTCTTCGTCAATACCAGACTTGGTCGGCGATGGATGATGTCCATTTCGTCAATCCTCACAGCCGTGTTCCTCTTCGCCTACGTTGGCGTAACCAACACAACCTCAAGCCTCGCATTTTCATGCATAACCGGACTATTGGCAAATTTCGGTGAGAAAAAAACAATTCAAAAAAGTGAAATTTCAGGAGCTAATCGAATTATCACAGAATATGCTGTCATGTATGCTTTCACCCCTGAATCATTCCCTGCTCCTCATCGTGGAACAGGAGCTGGTACTGCGGCTTCACTGCTACGATTGGGAGGTCTTGTAGCTAGTTTGATATCATCTCAGACTGGGTTTACCAGTGCTCCGATCTATGTGAGTGCTGCATTATGGGTGGCAGTGGGAGTTTTCTGCATCGGGCTTCCTTTTGAAACCCATGGTCACGATTCTTTGTGAGGGATTATTGAATTTTACTCCTACTCTTTCGATTTTGCAATCATCTTTTAGAGATAAGGACCTAGACCGCCCCTCTCACCGCTTATGGCAAAACGTCTAAATTAAGTTTAGCGCCCCAAAACCCTTCCAGCTAACAGAAGCTAAACATCATAAGCGGTATCAAGTCGGGTGTCTTTATGGCCAAGGGATGTTTCTTTACTGCGGCCGCTGAATTTGTTCCACTCTCCCCCCTCAAACTAGGCAAATCAAGGGTGGGGGTTCGATTACATAGCTAGTAGATAAGAGCTTTTTCTATGAAACTAGCTTATTATAGGCTTTGGCACCAAGAGTAAATTGGCTGAGGAGAGAGGGCTTTGTCAACGAAGGTCCAACAATCATAGCACTCAATTGCAGACATGAGCAAATCTTTCAAATTGGCCGAAGGTATTACAGTTTTTATGCAATTTATTCGTTTGGTATAATTACTAACGGCACCAGTGGCCCAACATAACAAGCAAGATAGTTGCTGGGTGATTCTTCATGGAAAAGTATACGACGTAAGATCTTCTCAGTATGCACTCCAACAGCCTCTAGTCTCTCTACTGATGAAGAATAAATAGGTCACCAATATCCTGGCCAGCCATCCAGGCGGTGCACAAGTAATGCTCCGCAGAGGAGGCAAAGATACAACCGAAGACTTCGATTCGATCCACCCACCCGAGGCGATAGAAGCTCTAAAACTAAACTTATTAGGCTCCGTTGAATCATCGAAGTTAAAATCGGATGTCTCGAAGACTGATCAACGTAAGTCTGCGATTGACATAAACAGTCTACTCAATCTCCAAGAAATCGAAGAAGCTGCCACGAAGGTGATTAGCAGGAAGGCATGGGGATACTACTTCTCGGCTGCGGACGATAAGTTTTCTAAAAACTTCAATACACAGGTCTATAGATCGATATTACTTCGTCCACGAGTGTTCATTGACTGTTGCGAATGTGATCTGGGGACAGAGGTATTAGGCTACAAGGTCGGGCTACCCCTCTTCGTCTCGCCAACAGCAATGGCAAGACTGGGCCATCCAAGCGGTGAAGCAGGAATCGCAGAAGCCTGTCGGTCTTTCGATGCACTTCAAATCATCGCCAACAACTCGTCTCTCTCACCAGAACAAATAGTAGCCAATGCCTCACCGTCCCAGATATTTGGCTGGCAGCTCTACGTGCAACTAGACCGAGGAGCGAGTGAAGCAATGCTCAAGAGGGTGAACCGCCTCGATGCAATCAAATTTATCATTTTAACTCTTGACGCACCGGTAGCAGGAAAAAGAGAAGATGATGAACGCATCAATTTCCAATCCAATCCTAGAGGAAGTACCAGTATCACCACGCATCTCTTTGCCGGCACCGACCCATCAATCACATGGACCGAGACTTTGGAGTGGCTATCTCGGCAAACTCAGAAACCAATAATACTCAAAGGTCTCCAGGATCATGAGGATGTTCTGATGGCAACGCGGTATACACCTCTTATTAAGGCTGTCGTGTTGTCGAATCACGGTGGCAGGTCGCTTGACACTGCGCCTCCAGCTGTTCATACTCTTCTTGAGATTCAGAAATACTGTCCTCATGTTCTTGATGTTTTTGATATATGGGTGGATGGAGGAATTCGACGGGGTACTGATGCTGTGAAGGCGTTGTGCTTGGGAGCGAAAGCGGTTGGTATTGGAAGGCCTGCTCTTTGGGGACTTGGCGCTGCAGGTGTGTCGGGAGTTGAAAGAACATTGCAAAGTGAGTTTCAATAAACATTTCCAACATTCCCTCAATCTTTGACGTTGATTCACTTGTGCTGACGCCTCTTTCTTCATCTTTATAGTTCTCTCGGATGAGATGAAGACTTGCATGCGCCTTCTTGGTGTTAAGACTGTTCGAGATTTGGGTCCACAATACGTAATATACTCTTTCTCACTTCAACAATCAGATTGTGTACTGACTATCTCAATTTAGGTCAACACAAGAATGGTAGAGCAGCAGATCTACAATGGGCCAGATCTTTCAGAGAACCCGTTGAGAGGGAAACTATAGAACGTTCCAATCGACAAAATTCAGTTTCATGCTTAATCTTCAAGAGAAGAATTCATTATCAGTCAATTCATTATATTTTTTTTCATTTAATTTTTGAGGCAGAGCAACGTTGAACTAATCAAGGGCACAAGGACAAGTGAGGGCGTATGATTTGCTACCAAACTGTGACGAGTGTCACCACAGCATCTTTCAAAATTCTCTTTTCTATTTCCAGTCTTGTAAAATGCCATTAATAGGAGATTCCTCAAAGTCAGAATGAAAGACGTAGTAAATAGCTTCCCCACTCTTGATATGAGTGTGCCAAAAATGGGGGAAGCTGATAACAACCCCCTCTTTCCCTCTCCCCTCTTACGCTAGAAAGTATCCTCAGTGAGAAATTCAAATTCTACAATCATCAATTGATACACAATGGGCAAGAAAAGAGTTCTCGTAAGCTACGGCGTGGATATAGATGCCGTATCAGGTATTTCAATTGATCTCATTTACGTTTCGAAAGTAGTATACTGACCCAATGGCAGGATGGATCGGATCCTACGGTGGCGAAGACAGCGTCAGCGATATCAGTCGGGGTAAAATCCAATCTACCACCATCAATCCAATTTAGAAGCTAACTTAGCCAAGGTCTCTGGGCCGGACACGTCGGAACACCTCGTCTGCTCAAGCTTTTCGAGAAATACAACATCAAAGCGACGTGGTTTATCCCAGGGCACTCACTTGAAACGTTTCCGGAAGAATGTGCCCAGGTGCGAGATGCAGGACACGAGATCGGGCTGCATGGGTACACTCACGAGAATCCCTCGTGCATGACACTGGAGCAGCAGCGAGACATTCTCGACAAGACGTACAAGCTGCTGACAGAGTTCTGTGGCAAGCCACCCAAGGGCGTTGTTGCACCGTGGTGGGAGTCCAGTGCTGAGATGGTGGATCTGCTACTAGCCTATGGTATTGAATATGATCATTCGATGTCTCATGAGGATTGTCAGATGTATTGGTTGCGGACGGGTGATTCGTGGACGAAGATTGATTACAGCCAGAAGGCGGAGACGTGGATGAAGCCACTTATCAGGGGCAAGATGACCGGATTGGTGGAGATTCCGGGTTCCTGGTATATCGATGATTTGCCGCCGATGATGTTTATCAAGAATTCGGCGAATAGTCATGGCTGGGTGAATCCGCGGGATGTGGAAGATATCTGGAAGGTGAGAGAGAGAGAGAGCCCCGAAGCCTTGCAGGCCCAACAGCGCCTGAAAAAAGGTGAACTTTTTTTATTTGGGCGACAACTGATCGTATAGGATCATTTTGACTATTTTTACCGCGAGTACGATGAATTTGTCTTCCCCATGACGATACATCCTGACGTGTCAGGTAGACCTCATGTGTTACTTATGCATGAGCGGTAAGACATTTATCCAAGACATTTCATGGGCAGATAAACTGACGAAGTGCAGGATTATCGAGCATATCAACAAGCATGAAGGAGTTGAGTGGGTGACTTTTGAGCAGATGAGTGATGAATTCAAGTCGAAGAACCAGCCACCTCCGGGGGCATTGATGCCAGCTAAAGCAGAGGATGTTCCTAAATAGTGATAGTGAGATATGAAAATGTATTGGTACATTCACGTTGAGGTTGGCTCAGATTGGTCAATTGACAAGTAGAACACCTGGGGACCTAGCCACGAACAGTTCCAAGGTCGAAACATAATCTGATTGGACCTAGGTAGCTATACCTCATAATCTGAGAAACTATCCGGGTGGAAATAGAATAGAATTCAACTGCCCAGGGAATCTGGGCACATAAGACCCAACCTTTGAACCTTAGAGGTAGATCTACCTGGGTACAAAGTACTTCGATACATCATACCTTGAAGTATAGAATCAAGGCACCAACCCCGGACTTATAAATAAGACACGATGAGGTGAGCATGATACAATTAGATTAAACGTATTCCTAATTGGCTGTAGACCCACATGATTGAGTTTGTGACATTTTCTACATAGAATGTGTGAATGTGCGAATGGGCAATACGATATCAAGAGGGCAAGAAAGACCGGCAGATCAAAATTGCGGCAGATTAAAATTGGCAGAAAGATGGAAAGATGACATGTCCAGTTTGTCTAGTTGCTCCACGGCAATACTCCGAATACCCGAGTATGCGGATGAAAGGGCATATCCACGGTTGAAGTCCTTGCCCCTTCATCTCACATCCAATCAAATGAACCTTCTATGGATCCCGAGTTCCCCGAAACGTTGAGGCCATGTGGATCTGACGTCGTATCAACACAGTCCCCTTGTTTCTTTCCTACCAACTTGAGCTCCACCTATCTTGAGATAATAGGTATCGGACACACTGTGAGAGTTAGAATGATTATGGTGCGACGTCTTCGGACTAAGGTTCTTATGGACAGGTAGGATTGCGCGACGTCCGTGTAACCGGGAGAGCACAGTAGGCCAAATAACAAGGTCTTGAAAACAATCAGAAAGATGAAGGGATTGGATCGGCCTACTCCACTTGGTCTAGGCCGATCTCGCACAGTTAAGATGGAAGGAGTCAGATGGAGTTAGGTAGAATGGAGTAAATAGAGTACTAGATGGAGTACTAAATGGAGTACTAAATGGAGTAAATAACTGGAGTTCAATAGAGTGAATAGTAAGAAAAATCAGAGTAATGGAAAAACCGGGAATCCAGCGATAAAGCAATATACAAACACTATGTTATACCCGCCAGTTGCTCTAAGGGCATGAATCTAGAATGGAATAGAACCTTTAATTATCAGCTCCGTCCATGGTTCTTGCCTTGTCAATCCACCGGAACCGAGCGGAGTACAATACGTCGTTTGGTTGTGAAAAAATAGAAAGAGAAAAAGAGAAAAAGAGGAAAAGAGAAAGAAAATGGAATGTTATGGAAGTATGGATTTAGCCTCTTTTGCCTCTTTTTTCCCCTTTCAATTCTGTGTTTTTTACTTGACAAAAAGAAACAAAAAAAGAAGGCAAAGAAATTAATATTAAATTAGAATAAAATTAGAATAAAGATAATAATAAAATGAGAAGAAAAAAAAAAAAAAAAACAAGGATTCCCTGTCAGGCGCATTATCATCAGTCCGTTTGCTGATTCGCCGATGTTGAGTAATACTGCTTTCTGCCCAGCCAACTCACCTTCCCCAAAGTCCACACTTACTTTTTCTCTCCTTCCCACTCCCAGACCAGTTCCTGAATCACACCGCCTGACCCTCTTTAATCTGCCCTGTTATCCTCTTTTGTCCCTTCCTTTCTCTCCATGCTGAAAGGTGTTTCTCCCAACTACCTTCCGCGCTTTGCGGCCTTCCTCACAACAGTATGCAAAGACTGTCTCAAATCATCGACGCGCAACGAGGCTCTTTCGACGCGATAGAGTCTCCCCCGCCTTCCCCAGTCTCCATTGTCCGTCAATACTTCCGCACCAGCTTCTCCAGCTATCTCTCTATACTCTTCGACGGGTCATAATCGCATCTCAAGCTCTGTCTCTTCTTTAGGCAACTCAATGGAAAGTCCCAGTCGAAGTCATTTGACCGGCGTCAAGGAAGAACCTTACTCTCGGGGCTCTATCGAAGAGCATTACTTCCGTAGGCACTTTGGACTCCCCGGCATTCAAACATTCCAAGTTAACAAGTGATACTAGAAAATTCCGACTACGCGTTTAATATTGAGGAACCCTATTTCCCCATGGATCCTACCGATACCTACGACCTACACGACATGGCCATGGAAGCTACTGAGAAGCGGCAGTCAGATAGTGCCTCGTATAAGGGTGTCTCACGCATTAGCTCGCATATATCTACAATTTCAACCCGATGGAAGAAGCGAGGATCGGCTGGGAGCCCCGAGCGAGAAACTTTTCAGGACATTCTACGCTCGCGTGCCAACTCTGCAGCTTCCTCTGCCTTTGCAAGCTCGACCGTCGCAAGCTCCATCACTCGAATCGACTCAATTCCTCCATCTCCCGTCCGAACGATATTTGAAGAGCGCATGAGCAGCTCAGGCACTCTTCCCATCGACATCACGCGCGCCAACAGCTTAAGTCAGGATGACGACCAGCCAAAAGCCACGACTCCGCTGTTACCCCCATTCATGGGCGACGAGTCTCCGAGGGTAATGGCATCACGAGTGCAATCCCCACTCCAGTCTCCTTCTGTCGCAGATATCAGTGATTCGGGCTGTGACGTGGATCCGGCTCAACGATTTGCAGCTATTGTGGGAATCCCCTCGCCACCACTGTCGTCCAAGCCATCTCTCGTATCGATGAGTCGCGCTCGCGCCAACACCATTCGCACCGTCTCAGGCGATGTGACCCCGTTCGTTCTATCAGATCCCAATGACGAATGGGCGAACAAACTAGGTCATGCAAACTTTACCATCCAACCTGAGCCATATGTGCCGGCCACCTGTGACATCGAGAGCTTCCAGCAACTCCGTTCTGACTGGAACATTGCTCGTTGCAATTTCGCCAAGCACCTTGTGCGCACGGGCGAACATTACGGCGTGACTTCAAAGATTTACAAGCTGACCGGCGAGAAATGGGAGTCAATTAGCCGGGAGTGGAGTATGCTGCACACTGCCATGCTCAGTGAACTCGGTTCTGTGGGAGTTGCCCTCACCCTCACCCATTCGAATACTCTTCCTTGTGAACAACTTCGCATTCCAGGTCTCCATGACAACGCCAAGTTTCCCGAAATGGGCGACGAGGATATCGTGGGACCTATGACCGTCGCACCGGCGACTGAGACTATGAAAAAGCGCAATTTCTTCAAGTTCTTCCAGGATCTCGTCTCCCGATCCTAGATTACTTTCCCATCCTCATTTTCCCTTTCCCCACCCCAATTATCTTTTATGAGCGATATCGAACTACGATAATGACCCGATAGATTACGCGCAGCGTCTCGATTCATATCTCGCATTTTATTTGCGATATGCGGTCACTGCCCGTCATGATTAATGCCCCTGTTTTCTTATTTTATCATATTGTCATACTGATGACTCTTACGACTTTACGATCTGTTCGACTACTGCTCTCGCTCGGATCATGTCTCTCTTTTGTCTCCATCGAGTCACGACAAAGTTTTATGCTGTTCTTATTAATTTCTGCATCTCTAAGTCGGATGCTGAACTGGGGCCTTTTCGACCAGTCCGATCTTTTGATTTACGATACCCACATGGTTTTCCCCATGATTATCATTGTATACGATAGACTAACACTTGTTCTGCCAGCTAAAAAGCTCTTAACCTGTTGTATATTTTGGATTACACCTCTAGTGAATCTTACAGCATAGCCTGTACCCAATATAATATATTATTGATACTTTTCGTCATTGGTAACTCCATTGGGATTGATACGAAGTAGATATGGCTCAAACCCACCACTGACCCCATAGCTTCTTCGCCTCGTCATCACCCTTGAAGCTAAACTCAACTGAGATTATATCCTCGAAGCCCTCATCCAGTGTGGGGGGACTATACCTCCTCTTGAAGTCACCAAAAGCAATGCCAGGAAGCGAAGTTCTCGCCTCAGGGTTCTACAGCGTAGAAAGTTAATCAAGTGTCCACGTCATGGCCAGTCCAAAATGCAAGAGAGGAAGTTACTAACCAATTCTTTGTTGGCGGCACGAACAGCGTTATTGTGTTTACACAATTCCGGCGATGAGAGGAAGTGTACGCAGCGAACGGGAATCTTGAATTCCTTGGCTATCTCGGTCCAAACGGCCCGAGTTTCAGGGCCGGCGTTTGTGTTGTCTGCGTTTGGAATGTGTTGGTTCACGATGATTCTGATAAGAGTTTTGGTGCCCAACGAACTAATTCAACTTCGTCGACTTCGCTGGGTAATAGAGGGAATGGAACGTGTACTCACCGACAACAACTGATTTCTTGGCCTGGAGGTGTTCACGGGCAACCTTAACGCATTTCGGGCGCTTCAAATACGGTTAGTACGACGTGGAAGAGTTACGGATAAAAGGATAAAAGGGAAGGAGCAGGCAACTAACTGTTTTTAAGATATCTTGATTCACTCGTTCGTACCCGAGTGGTTCAAGATTTGTCCAAAAATAACTGGATTTACCAGCGCCGGGACTTCCGCAGAAAACAACCAATTCAACAAGGTGTTTGCGCGTAAAATTGGCTGCTGAGGGATTGTCAGATTTGATCTGAGTGGTTCACTGATCGGCAGTGACGAGGAACAGCATGGGACAGCTCATAGCTGTGGAGTTATCACATCACATACCAGGTTCGGCAGGCTCGGCCTCAACATATGATTTTGGATCAAAGATCCGCAATTCTGTATCTGGGGCTTGGTCTAAGAAGAATTCTTCGGGCGTCTTGAATGGGAGTGCTGCATTGGATGCAAATCCACTGGTAAAAGTTAACATTTTGCAAATTTTCCCTATAGAGCGTGACTTCTTACCGATCAGCTGCGGAGTGGTCACCTGGACGTCCGGCTGCGTCTCCGACGAAGAAAGATTGCTCTAGGTCGACGCCGGCTACGTCTAGATCGTAGTCGTCGATAAACTCACGCCACATGCCCAGCCGGGGCTTGCGGTACTCGGCATCCGTCGTCGCGGCGTACACGCTGATGGGAAGGCCCAACTGGGTCAACATGGTTGTGAGCTTGTCTTTGAACATCACAAGGCTCTTCGACTCGCTTTGGCCTTTTTTAATATCTTTTTGGATAGCGATTTTCTTCTGGTTGGAGAAAACCACGACTTGGAAGCTAGAAGGAGTCAAACCAAGTTCATAATTTTTCTATTTTGAAGAACTTACCCTTCAGACGACAGGTCTTTGAGACGGCCTGGCACCGAGGCATCTAGCCATTTCCAATCATCAGAGGATCGAGGAAACGTATTTCCAGATTTAGTCTTGATAAGAGTGGAGTCCTATACAGATAATAAGCATTCTGATCCCGAAGATCTATCATGTCCTAGACTAGAACTTACGAGATCAAAAGCTGCGACTTTCTGCAACTTTCCCTGCGAGATAGGGCCCTGTTTCTCAGGCGTATACTTTCCAATGACCACGCTGCTGCCAATGACCCTCCATGTGAGGGGGTTTGGCTTCTTCTGTGAAGCCGGCGTAAAAAACGAGGCAGAAGACTTCTCTATAGGATTGGTTAGTTTTGCATCAGATAAGACTGGCTCTAGATCCGAGCACGCACTGGTCGCTTCCACCTTCCGGCGTATTGGAGGCGGGGAGACAGACCGATTGGTCGCGGTTCTTTTAATTCCCCCTTCCGCCATTCTGATGACTTTTGAGAGAGACGTCTTGAGGAATTGTTCTTATCACAGTTCAAGAATTTTGCTGTGTGGTGGATGGGGTGCACCGTTGAGATCTCCAGGGCTGTGAGATGTGTCATAAGCCGCGCGACGCGAACTTCCACGAAGTCACATGGGCAAAATTACTATCTAGTCAACTACACAGAATACACTTCCCACCAAGTACATAGTAATGAAACAGCTGTTAGCAGATACAACTGGCATTTTGACTTATTATGTTTAGTTATTTTCAGTATTTAATTGCAGTGCAGTGTTTCGTGGAGGCTGCCGCTCCGGGTATTCAAAGACAGCCAAAAAATGTAAGCTTGAAATTCTCAGCACGCCTACTTTGCCCTGGTATCCAACGACAGACGATCAGCCTGTTCTAGTCGCACTGCTGATTTAAGCTGTTCCCGCAGCTTAAACAGGTGTTGTGATGCGGTCTTCATTGTCTCCTGGTTGTTGCCATCTTGGACCGTAATCGCGGCCTGCAACACATAGCTTCCACTCTTCTCTAGTGGTACCATCTCGCTGAAGGGCGATAGTTGCTGACGGGGTTCTTTTTCCTCATTGGGGTAATGCAGCACACGATGCAAGAATATGACGATGTCATCGTGAATGAACATGTCGCCTTCGACAACATACTCTGTAACGAAACTAGTCAGGATGTCAGCAAATACATGTCATCAGATCCACCAAGCACGCAACAGCGCTTACTGCCGAAACTTACCTATAACCCCATGCATTCATAGATGGTACGATATCACCATTTGGAAGCGCGGCACTCGCCATCACACGAGCCGTAAGAGCCGACCTTGTCCCTGCTTCGGGAATATCCCTGAACTCCAACTTCCACGGTTGCAGCTCATAGTCATAGGTCGATGGAATGGCAACGGGGGCTTTGGCGTCGTCCATCCCCGCCATCTGTGTATCGGCATCGGCATCGGCCCCGGCCGCTGGGGCGGTCTTAGCAGGGCTAAAATCCGATTGACTCACGGGGCCAACGGCCTGGACGTAGAACATGCCACCATTGAGCATCTTGTTGATGCGTTGAAGGTCTCCCCCGAGTTCACATCTTGACTTGCGCCGACGCGAGCAGTCGCGATGCCTGGTTTGCGATAGGCCTTGAAGAGCAGGCGACGCTCCAGGACACTGCGAGGTTGCATGGCTGTCAGGCCGGCCAATTGCTGAAGAAGCTCATGATGTTGGTGGACCGGCACCGAAGCAAACAGTAGTAGCTCATGCATGATGTGTGATTAGGGATCAACCGGCAAATGTTTACTGCGGAGGCCCAAGCTTCCTGAGTGGCGCGATCAACGCCTGGATAGGATTGGTAATGATGTAGGTACAGGAGTACGGACCAAGTAGATCGTCTCTGCCTAGCCTTGTACTAAACCTCAAACTGCACGCCGTAGTGAGCTGATCAGATCAGTCAACTGATCTGTATTGTTCTGCGTAGTCAACACTAGACCTAAAATGTAGATCCAAAGACTTCAGAACCTTGGAAGGAACGAAACTCCGAACCGACAATTAGATCAAGGATTATGGAGTATGGAGAAGGCGTCCAATTGTTAAGATGATTGGTGAAGATGAAGAAGTGATTTGAAGATAAGCAGGGAATGGATTCACCGGGGAACCAGAAGTAGACAAAGAGAGGAGACTCAATTAAAACGCAATTGCGGGGAGAGACATTCCAAAGTACATATCAAGTACTATTTTCAATTGTCAACGCTCAACTTCCATGTTTTTCCTTATCTTTAGTAAGATCTCTATTTTGATAACTTAATCCATTCTACTCTAATACTGAGTGTAGTAAGCCCCCAAAAAAAGAGAAAAAATCAACTTCGGTTTCGGCGCCGAGCTCGGCTCTTCCCAATCCGGTGTTCTATTGCCTGTTTCCCCTCTCACTTTGACTTTTTCCTTCTCTTCCCCTTCTCCTTCATACTTAATTACTTGAAAGTCTTCCTTTCTCAATTCAACATCAACTTCATCCTTTGCCAGTATATAAAGCTCCACTCTCTTCTACCTACTCGGGTCGGATCGGATATAACCGGGCCCGTTGTATTTTCCCACACTCTCATAATCTGCCAACCTACCATTCTCCCCAACCACCATAATCACCACCATAATCACCATCATAATGCGTGCCACTTTCGCCCTCCGCACCGCTGCTCGGACTCCTCTGATCCACTTCATTGGCAAGCGTACCGTACCGCGTAGGTCAAATATTCTCAACTCAACCTCAACACGTCGCTAACCACCGGAACAGAGTCTGTGGACCACACTCCTCGCGTTCACCCCGCGTCTCCCGCCAGCAACCTTCCCGACTCATTCGCTACCTACCGAGCTAAGGCTCAGCAGCACGGCCCTCTCACTCGCCACATGTTTACTGGCGGCATTGGCGGTCACTCTGGTGCCTCTCTCGGCCCCGTCCGCCCCAAGGCCGGAGAATTCTTCGACCGCTCGGAGCTGCCCGCTCGCTACGGCCGTCTTCCCTGGTCCGAGGCCGAGATCGAGGCCATTGAGACCGGCGGTGCCAGCATGTTTGCATAGAAAATGCCAACAGATATAACATTCAACATAACATGAAGCAACGGAGTGACGCTGAGAAAATGTGTCCGGAAGCCGGTACGCCGGAACCCGTCCTGTATTTGGATCCTTGCGAGCATGGGAAGGGGAAGCCAATGGCTATGTATTAGGCCCATTGGCTTCTGTTCCGGTATAAGTCGGCAATCTATTTTCATCCCGCCCGGATTCTCAACTCCTTCCCTTTGTCAGAGGGCCGTTGATCGCGGATCTCTCTTTTTTCTGGGTTCATCATTTATTATTCCCGACATGGCGCTGGTGGTTTTGTCTATGGGTGTCTTCTTTTATCTTCTTTTCCATTTCCTTGACTCCAAGTGCGATAGAACGCTTCGATGTCGCAAAAAGCGTGCTGTCTTGGATAAATATCTCTCAACTTGGATATGATTCCTTTTTCACTTTTTTCACTGTGACATATATATCAGCTCTGGGAGCTTTTGAACAATAAAAAATATTAAAATATATCTTCGTATGGAGTACATGTAAACAACCTACATAGTTGACCTAGTCCCCAGCCCCGCACGTGCCATCTGTTTAACCTCACCTCTAACAAGACATCTTTCAACCTGCACACTATGTCATCCAAAAATCAGCTGACTTTCCAGGAGACAGATGAAGCAGACAATCTCACTGCTACATATGTCTACTCCGAGCAGGATCCAATAAGTACTCAACGGGGTCGAATTGGAGGAAGGGTTGACGTGGTGGTAAGAACATCCATCTCCTAGCCTATACCCTGGACTAGCATACCTCCTGTCTGTTCCAGTTCATTCATGACATATCTCTATACCATGAATATTACAAAGTTGTCTAGCCCCGGGCAAGATTAGTCCAAAGACAAGAATCCACGGACATGATATTATTGTCAATGGAATATCTACATGACTTCATGATTTGAACTGGAACCCGAACTTTGATTGACTGCAACTTTCAAAATTGTTCTAACAATCCCAGACTCCCGGCTCAACCTCGTCATGGTCTACAAAGCCTATCACCGCTTCCTTGAGCGATGTATTCCTGCCATCCGGATATCCACACAGTGTGACCGAGGACTATATGCCGTAAGTATTATTACCAAACGAAGTATATGCCAGAACTAACAAGAAACAGATATCAAATATATGTGAGTGCTACAGCATGACTTATCACACCCCCACATGTTATATCATCTTCAGGGCATTTCAACTAATATAAGAACAACAACCTGAAGGACTCCCTCCAAGCATTTAGCAGCTCAATAGCAGGACTCCTCTCCTCCAGAGCCGTCCTCCAAGGTGTAGGCGTAGGAAACGCCAACGCCTCACCAACCTCCGCACTCCTCCTTCATATCCTGCAAGACTCATCAGGCCGCGTAGCAACAATCCTCTTCGCGCACCGCGTCGGCACAGCCCTAGAGCCAGAATGCAAGACGTACAGACTAGCAGCAGACGTCTTCAATGACATCGCCATGGTACTCGATTGTCTCTCGCCCATGGTCCCTGCAGGCTTTATGCGCGTGACGATCCTTAGCACGGCGGGCATTCTGCGTGCACTATGCGGTGTTGCGGGCGGGAGTTCGAAGGCGAGTTTGAGTGCGCATTTTGCCAAGGGAGGGAATTTGGCTGAGTTGAATGCTGTGAGTATACTCCTCCAATCACTTTGACATGATATGATATTAACATTCCACAGAAAGATTCTTCCCAGGAGACTATAATCTCTCTCTTCGGCATGCTGGTAAGCGGGATTTCTCTCTTTCTATAAAACTCAAGCTGACCAAACAGGTCGGCTCTGTCGTCGTCTCGCGCGTTCACAGCTTCGTATTAACCTGGGCATCGCTCCTAACCCTCCTAGCCATCCACCTAAGCATGAACTACTGCGCAGTTCGAGCAGTCCAAATGACAAGTCTGAACCGTCAACGTGCAACCATCGCATTCGCGACAATCCTAGAATCAGACACAAACCTAGCATCAGACCTGAATCTGCATGCGAATCTCTCAGCTCAGCCTCAGCCTCAGCTTCCGCCTCAGCCTCAACAGGCGCAGAACAAGAGCACTAACAAATCCTTCAAAGTCCCCACCCCAGCCCAAATCTCCAAATTAGAAAGAATCTTCCCTAAGCCCTCAACCATGAAGTGGAACACGCAAGTAATCGGTACAGCCGAGATCGGCGTATCACTTTCTACATTCCTCAGACATGCCCACGTGCGCGCCTGCTCGAGCAGAGCTAGCGAAGTGGGTACGCTGACAGCACGAATTGCCGTCCCGATTACGCAACTTAGCACGTTATTCGCGTCAGAAAGCTACATGCTATTCCTCTTTGCACGTGGGAAGGGGGAATGGCACGCCTCTATCCTTGTTAAGAGGGGCTGTGGATCTGAAGGGATGTTAAAGAGCTGGATGCATGCTTTACTTGCTGCGAAAGTCCTATCACGCGCGGATATTGTTAGAGATAGCGATGGTGATGTTAGTAGCTTGGTCTTTAATGCTGTGGAGCACACGCTTGAGGTATTGAATCGTCATACCCGCTTTGCAGACTATTTGGCGGCTATGAGCGGAGTTGGGTGGGATGTTGGCATTGCGGCTCTGGAGACGAGGGCTAGACGGAGGATTGGCCGGTTAGACTAGCTAGTTTCATGATCGTTTTGAGATTTACTTTCCAAGGGCTTACGTCAAATCCAAGCGCTGACTTTTGATACCTAGAGGATTGTCTAGCCAATGTCCGAATGAACATGAGATTAATTTTACAGAAAATTGACGTCAGGGGGTATCAAGTCTATTGATTCCAACAACCATATCGTAGCAAGCTTGAAACGAAAAGCAGAGAAGATATTCTTCTGCCATTATTATACATGCTAAAGGTAGTTTTGAAAAAAAAAAAAAAATGAAAAAAAAAAAAAAGCCCTAGCCAGTCTCTAAAAACGACCAAAGCTAGAGATGAATTTTCCACATCAAACCAGTGAACCATGCACATGAAAAAAGGGCTGGGAAAAAAGGGCAAATCGCTATAAATGGACCAATTGGAGATGCGAAGTAATAAAAAAAAATAAGATAAAACGCCGTCATGTATGCTTTCGATGCATCGTATTCTCATACACCAATGAATCGCTAATAAGATCGGGGGTCGCGTAGGCGTAGGCCTGTATGCAATGTCGGTAAAGTCAAAATGATTTCGTAGGTCGTTGAGTTTTGGGTCATTGGAAGAATATATGTTCGAGAAGAGAAGTTGAGTTGAGGTGACAGATTATTCGTCGAGTCCGAGGTTCTTCGGGTTAGACACACTACCGTGGCCTGACCGCTTCTTGAAGCCCAACCTCATACCCATCTTCTTCCAGGGATTCTCGGTGCGCATCTTCGGGCTAGAAATGGGGAAGTTGGGCTCGCTGGCCGGCGGTGTAGTTGGAGGTGTTATGGGTTCCTCGGGGCTGCCGTGCAGACTCGAGCTGTCCGTCAATGCCGGGGCCGACTCTACGCTAGTACTGTTACTAGTACTTGAACTGAGGGCAGCAGAGAACAGTTTCGCATGGACGTGCACAGGGCTGAGGGAAAGGGTTCCACGGGTGGAGGTTGAGAGATCTTTTGTTGAGGACATGGGGGAGATGCGCTTAGCGCGCGACCGGACTTTCTTCATGAGATTCTCGTCCGGTGGCGACAGGCTCATTAAATCTTCTGGGCTAAGGGATAGGTCGGTTGGCAGAATGGAAGGGGAAATGGTGTGGCTATTAAGAAAGGGTAGGAAAATAGATTCTTCCATAAGGTCGTGGATACGTTTAACAGCGGAGTCGAGAGTTTCTGGAACGGGCGGGATGGTGACATCTCGGTAGCGAAGGAGACCATCGCGGTCTTCGCTTGAGAGGTTGATTTCCCTTGGGGCTCCGGGTAGGATGTAAGCTGTTAACAGACGCTGCCAGAGCATACGCAGATGTTGGCTTTCTGGGGAGTCGGTTGTGACAGCGTCGCCGGCGCGCTCGCGGAGAGTCTCGTAGGATTCTCGGTACCGCTGAGCATCCATGGTGAACTCCAGTGTCTCAAGGCAGTGATTCTGGGATAGGTATGCCATGAATGCGCTGAGGGTGTATGGCGGTGCGGCGTTATTGGCCAATACCTCGTTTAGTGTCGGGCGCATAGGGCAACAGGCACCGACAGGGACGGCAAGGCTGGCAGGGCGAGAGCCAGAGCCGGCGTCCATTTCTTCGTCAGAGTCACTATCTGATGAGGTAGGGGACAATTCAGGTGTAGTAGTTGGAGAGAAATGCAAATTCCAGAAGGACGGTGCCAAAGACTTCTTAAGCATGGCGTTTAGCTTGCGGCGGGGAGCCTGGAACCTTGGATGCTTTCTCACCGGCCCTCTGGATAAAGGATTGGAGTCCAGATTTGGGACCGGGGGTGTTATAGTATACAAAGAGCAGGTTGCATGGGAAGGGGAAAAGAGAAGCATGGAAAAAAGAGATTGAAATGGTAAAGGAGAAAGGAGGAATAAGCAGAGGAATTATAAGAGACTAGTGACTCCACCTAATGATTCTCGATCTTCCGTTTAATACAGTAAATGGAGTCCTGCGCCCAAGTGGATCAAGATGGGGTGATCGGAGAATGTGTGGCGAAGAAAATATAATTATTTTAACGTAAGGGACCCCTGGTATCGCGAGCGATCAGTAGTATATTAAGTAAGATATCGATAAATTACCGTAATTGCTGTATATTATACGCTATTGCTGTTTCCGGCCTCGGAATGTTAATCCTTCCACGGCTCTACCATGTTATTTAAGTGATATTATCCTCAATTTGCTCACTTTTTACTCTCTTCATGACTCGATTGCTCTTATTTCCGGACTAGTCCAATCCTTCTAGAATTTCCAGAACCCCCGTCGAAGCTATTCCTTGCCACCCGAATATTCCAGAGCATATATACCTATGTAACTATACTACCCAAACAAACTGGAATGTGTCCAGTCCATGCATTTCCTATTTATCCCGACGGTTATATTTTCCACTTCTATTTTCTATTTTCCATTTTCCACTTTCTACTCCACTTGCCACCGAGAAAATAGGAGAGGGGGGAAAAAAAGGTGGATATCAGGGACCATGGAACACACTTGTTACGGACTATACTCTAGTACTATTATTCTATGGTCATAGACCCGCACGAGTCATGTCTGATAAGCAGCAACTAATAATGATAGCTCATCTGCAAAGAACATGGGGAGAACCAATGGAATCATTTCCCTACCCCCTTCCCTTCCACCTCCCTTCCATTTTCTCCCCCCTTTATCAAGCGCCCGTCTCAAACGTTTTACTAGCTCGGATGATACTAGGCTATTCCCTGTAACCTCATGCAGATTCAGGCATATTGAAGATATATACCGAAGTATAATCCACTCGTGGCCGAGGCAACACAACAGCAACAACCCACTCGTTACCATTCAGGTTACTATTTAGGTTAGGTTAGGTTATTGTATCGGAGTCCACTTACTGATAGTGACCTAGTCGCTCCGTACCGCACATTCTCCACATCGTGGGGTTAGTTCAAGTCGGATATATGAATGCGTGAAGTAGAATAATACTAGACATACTAGACTAGAAGAAGTAAAGGTTAGATAGATTACTGTATATCAGTACTATAGTAGTACTGTAATAAAGTACTAAGGCTCATGGTGCACAGTAGTCTCATGCATCTTCTATATTGTATCCATGTATCTATGTACATACTCCAACTCTGTTACTTCGGTCCGATTCAAGGTATATGAAGATCATTGATCTACCTAGCGCCAACCCAAACACCAAGGTTGTTCCAGACTTCAAGAACGCACTCCATCTCATTATCGAATGACCTCATAGACCCACCCTTACCAAAGTGATTCAAAATCTTGATTTACATCATGACAGCATAGCCGTAGCATATCTTTCACCCTTAACCGAAGATTGGAGTTAAAGACGTCGATGATCAAGATCTCCACATACTTGGGACTGGAGAACTTTTCAACTTTTCAACTTTTCATCTTATCATTTGTCTTCCCAATCCAGGCACCACCTGAAACAATCAACTCCACTTTAGCAAAAAGGCGCAATAATCGTGCAACCTGAGATGTCAAAAACCTTGGAAAGTCATTTTCTTCTCCACATCCCATTCCATGTAGCGATTAATGTGGAGACGGGGGACAAGATCTGTTGGTACCAAGGTTCCAGACTTCAACTTGTTTTAGGGTATATACGCCATATTTAAGACGGCTCTTGCCGAGGCCTGCGTATAGACCTCATTTATAGATTGTTTCAGATTAACATCGAATTCTATACTTGAACTGATAATATAATTGATTTGAAACAGGATTCTGCTGAGGTTTATGACGAGAGCTTTGTAAGGAAGCAGTGTATACGGACTGTCGGTTAAAGTCGGCCTTGGCTTGGGATAGAGGTTTCACATCTGATTGGTTAGGATGGGTTCGTCGGAATACGAATTCCCCGAGGGAAAGAATAGCCCTAAGCCTCCTACTTCCTTGCATCAACATGATTCATCATATTCTAATTTCCCATGATTCATATTCCAAGTGTTCCAGATTGTCGGACTCAATGCTCGTTCCTTTCCATTAAGATATGATCATTTTCTAGGGATGCAGGATGCAGGATCCAATATCCAATATCCAATATCCAGTATTTAGTATCTACTTCTAGGCCCTTGTATGATATACCTGCTGCAAAAGGTAGAAGTCACAATGATTGACTCTTATCGGACCATATGTTTGAAACCTTGTCATGATCACATGGACCTCCACGATCCCATGAAGAAAATGATCGAAGTCAAAAATACTAAAACAATCACGAGGATGGCGCCACGATCAAGACAAGGGTTCATGTCTCGCTAAGAAACAGCAAGCTTAACCTTGGAATGTCTTAAATATCGAAGCTTATCATCGGTAAGGTGTACGATTTAGGTAACTAATATACACAGGCAGGTTTGGTATCATCTCAATAAACGTTCCTAGGCACCAGGGTAGGGTAATGGTAGAAAGAAGTAAACATGACCTTGGATCCAATCCAAACTAACCTCAACCCCGCAATTCAATTCAAGCGAACGACGATGTCTGCTTCTTCGCCCCAGCCTTTAGCCCCCAGCCCCAAAGCTAAAGCTAAAGCCAAAGCCAAAGCCAAAGCCAAAGAAAGCCCAAGCTCAGGCCAAAACCTGACAAGTTCAAGCCCCCAAGCCTCCTACAACTCCTACAAAAGTACACGTCAACCCACATCTGCAGGTCAAAGCACCTGGCACACCACGTCGTCCCCACGACCTCGATCGCATGGTCCGACGCTCAAGCCCAGCGCCCAAACCTTGCAACCTTGTACCAAAAATAAAGAAAAGTACAAACTAGATATCATTCTGCCTAGTTGGATGGCTCATCCGAGCATCTTGCATGGCCAAGAAGACCTAGTACGGGAGTTGGGATGCGGGGGAATTGCCTGGTTCAAGTCTGTTGCACAAGTACGAAGTTTTAATCTAGCTAATTAGTGGTCAATTTCTTTATCATAGTAACGAGGCTAGCGAGGGGCTGAATTCCAATAATTAGCTTACTTTCTTTTTCTTTCTTTTTTTTTTTAGTCCATTTTTAGACCTTTTTTTTAAGTCCTTTTTCCTCTAACCTTTTTTTCTTTTCCTTTCTCGCTCGGGCTGTCATTGTATCCAAGGCTGAAAGCTGGTCTGCCTAGTTGAACTACAGGAAAGCCGAAGCCGGGCCAAGGTCCACTTAGTTCAATATCGAGGAAAGAATACACATTACGAACTTCTTAGTCAAACTAATCAATGATACGCTCCAGCTTCCAAGGTTACAGGTACAGCATTCTAGAACCCCTGTGCCTGTAAGCTCGAATATGTACTGTACAACGTAGGGGGATAAGGTTTGACAGTATGACAACAGAAGATATCAATTCAATTCCATTCGCATTCAGCCTTGGAACCTTGGAACTTTGGAACATCAGGTAGAACGAGACACCTGCACAACCTGGGCTCCTGGGCACAATAGATCTGCACAAGTTGCCAATAGGGCTAAGTCGACGACGGGTGGCGTCAACTGGTAGCACATGAGGGCGAAAGTCGTTGGGCGAGTGAATTGAGCCCGTGCCATAGGCCAATTCAAATCAATACTGTCTGTGTAACTGCTGTCCATGCATGCAGAGTGATGATCTTGAGCATATTCTTGACAGCAATCATCCCTGTCGTGTAACGCTGGATGGATTGGGTTGGTTTGATATTCGCCAGTTTGGAAAGTTATGTTGTGCATTCTTAATTTCAAGGTCAGTTTTAACTTCCAAGTGTCGATCGTGAGATTGACAAATATGATTTGCAACGTAGATGTTTAGAAATGAGCTTATTGCAATCGTGGTACCTACGGGGCTAGTTAGGGCACAAACGCCCGAGCTCTACTTTAGGTACCTGTCGGGAGCTGTGCCCAATTTACACACTACTGCAACAATTATTCCCTCATAGAAAGACACGCAGTGTATTGTCGCCTACTCCGAAACTCGAAACCAGGAAAGCAGAATTATGTACGCTGAGGGCTGCGATGCGCCAAGAACGAAACCGAAGAACAGAAAATAACCAGAAAAAAAAAAAAAAAAAAAACAATGCTGTTTATGCCAAACACTACCATCAATACAACAAGAAAAGACTCGCTTCTAAACAGGAGCAAGAGAACAAGATCAAAAGCAAGATACGATTATAGACATGGAATAAATTGGAAGAAGGCAGAAACAAATCAGAACAGAGAAAAGGAAGCTCGGAAAGAGGGGAATCAAAGGACCAGGAGAGTATATGCAAGCGCGTCATTCCACGTCGCTTATGCAACAGGTTCAAGTGGCATCACAAAGCTGCTTGGAATCGACGACAAAGGGAATGGGGAACGAGTACGACAGTAAAGAGGGCAGAGCCTAGGAGAGACACGAAGAAATGGAATCAGTGACATGAAAATGCTTATCCTGCTTGAAGAGCAGTAGGATGAACAGAACATGAAAACCGGTGAACCGAGTCAATGATTCCACTTCTTTCGTCTTTTTTTTGGCCAACTCCAGGTCGATCTAATGCGCGGTTCAGGTTCAGCAAAAAAGCATCCAGCCCTGTTTCACACAAAGTCTACCATCTGAAAAGAAGCCACTGAGAAGGTATGAGATGTAGCTGGTGAAGGAAATCAAGGAAATCGATCCCTCGGCCCACCGAGGATGAGAATTTCGTATTAGATGGTGCACGTCAAGTATGATGACGATACAGACAAAAAGATCTTTTCCAAAGTTCGCCATTACCCGACCATGAAAAGAGTGATGAGACATAAACATCAAGAAAGGAATTCTACCCACAGTCGAGTTACAGTCGAATTTTGGGTCGAAAAGTCGTACAGGAAATTGGAAATGAGAGGATAAAAGGTGAAAGGGGGAGACAGGCCAAAGCAAACGGTGGGTAAGCCTTAAGAAAACCCTATGAATGCAGACCTTTGATAAATAGAACGAGAAGCATTCCCTGTCGACAAGCTTCGGCTTCGGCTGGTGGTCTCACTGCAGGCAGAAAAAAAAAGTGAGTAGGCCGAGTTCAATCCAGGACATGCTGCCGTTTCATTTCGATTCTTCGATCAACCTGTAATCGAGTATGAGCTGGCTGCATGAATTCTGGGTTAGACCTCAGCCGGATCACCTACCGCAGCAGAGAGCTTTCATTATCTTCTGGACGATAGTGGGCTGCGGTTCGTTGTTGCCTTGAACACCACCAGCGGGAGGGGCGTTCAAAGCAGGGTTGCCGGCGTTGCTGATACGACCGGGGAGGTGAGCGTTGGAGTTCTGGAACTGGGCGTGTGTTGAAGCGGTTGTGGTCATCGCATCATGGCCTGTACTTTGACGTTTCGGCTGGGCTGCCACAGCGGCGCTTGGGCGATCGCGTGTCTTTCCGGCTCCAGGCTTGACTGGGGATGGGGGCGCGGGCTGAGCTGCGTTTAAACGGTCAGCAGTCACACCGGGTCGTTGGCTACTGCGCAGGTGGTCCCTCGCATGAAGATCGCGTCCTGACGAACTCTGGTGTTGATGAAGATGAGCTTGCGAGGCATATAACTTGTAGTCCCAGCCACGGCCATTGTTCAGCTTCATCCAATCATATTCTCCATCCTCCACCTCTCCGGCGTTCTTGAGAGCTTGTGTCAACAGATCACGGCAGTAGTCATAGTCGGGTGTGTCCTCGAAGCCGAGGTTGCGAACGTAGCTCAGGTATTTGTTGAACTCTTCTGTGCCATAAGCTATTAGAGCAAGAAAAAAAAACAAAGGAAATAACAGAGAGAGAACAAAGTCGACTGCACTCACCGGGATATCCATCGCAAAGGTCTTTGATAACAGTAGTCTGCTTCTTCTCACCAATCTTCTCATACTTTTGCTTGTTGGTAGCAGCCTTCAGTCCCTGCCAGGGGAGACCACCGCGCAAGAAGTACATGAAGACATGTCCCAAAGCCTCCAAGTCATCACGTCGTGATTGCTCACGACCCAGATGTGTGTTAATACTCATGTAGCGAGCGGTACCGGAGAGAGATTTACGCTCGCGGTAGGGGATGTGCTGCTTAGTCTTGGGGTCACGATATTGCTTGGCCATACCGAAATCAACAACGTGAATGACATTGGCGGCCTTGGTGCCGGGACGACCAATGAGGAAATTGTCGGGCTTGATATCACGATAGATAAGGTTCTTCTCGTGAATTGTTTGCACTCGCGAGAGCTGGACAACGTTAGCTGAAGAGCGTATCAGGGGTTAAATATAAAGACGAACCATTTGCTTAGCAACCATCACAACTGTCTTGGTCGAGAAACGGCGGTTGCAGTGGTCGAACAGATCCTCAAGACTAGGGCCGAGAAGATCGATAACTAGGATGTTGTGCAAACCCTCCTGTCCGAAGTAGTAGACATTGGGTATACCAGCTGGAGGAAACAGTCAGCAAGCCAGACCAAAACAATAATCCCGAACAAGGAAGTACTCACGGCATCCAACCAAGATCTTGTAGGTTCGATACTCGTCACGAAGCTGAGGGGCATCGCTTTTGCGGGGTTCCTATTTGAGTCAGCATATCAAATCTCAAAATCTCAATTCGCAAAAAGTGGACAAGGACACTACGCACAAATTTGATCGCCACCTGCTGGTTATTCAAGAGATTTGTTCCTTCAAAGATAACACCAAAAGAACCTTCACCAATCTTCTTGCCCACGCGGTAGTGGACACCCACAACGTTCGATGAAGAGGAAGCCATTGATGCGAACTGTAAGAATTGCGAACAAGGAATCGAGGTTTTAGATCAAAGGCAATGGTACAAAAGTCCGTTGTACTGATCCGCGCAGGATCGGACGATGGGTTAAAATCAGTAAATAAACAAAGACTGGCTTTGTTACAGTCGGCCAAAGGCGACAGAATAGGAGGTTGGCGAATTAACCAGGAATCCCAAGTGATGTAGTTAAGTTCAGCTCGAAGAACAATGAGCTGGAGGATTAGAAAACTAGGCGTAGATTGCGGACCGGGGAGATTCTAAGTGGCAAAACACGGGGGAAGGCGACAGGAAAAAAAACAACGCTACAAGAGCTGAAGGAAATGAAGTTGAAGAGAGGAGCACCTGGGGTACTCGATGTCGAGTACGAGCCGCAGAGCTTGCAAAGTTTGAAGGGAAGTTGAGGGGGGGTTGAGAAGAGAGAAGGGGAGGAAGAAGGTTGAGAGGAGAAAGGGAGCGGAGTGTATTGGAAGTGTATTTGATACCCAAAAGAGACTGGGGGACGTAGTAACCATGCGGGTTACAAGTGGTAAGATACCATACTTACAAACAGTACCCGATTATGAGTTAGACTAATTATAATTATTGTAATGAGCATTGACTTGAAATATCTGCATGAAACACCAATTGGCGCGTCTAGGGACCTGTAAAAAAAAAAAAAAAAAAGGGTAAAAATTGGTTGTTGTTACCTGCATACACTGTTTCTGTTTTCCCTCTTTTTTCGTTTACATCAAATATGAGAAGTAAGAATTGAGGAATAAATTCGGGCTCGGACGGATTGAAGCTAAAGCCTAAGAAGGCCTAAAGTTGTAATAGTTAAATTCCCCCCCCCCCCGTTTTTTATTTTGGTATTTTTCCCTTGTTTCTCAAAATTACAAGTACCTTACATTACAGTTAGTCCAGGGGAAAAATACCACATCAGACTCGGCCTGGAATGTATGTACTTCACGTATATTGGCTACTACCTAATGAATAATCATATCTTCACTTCGTTCTTCTTGAAATAAACCATCAAAAGTAAGTTGCATTATCTCTGTGGCAAAGATGATTTCCCCTACATATCGTATTTGACATGTCCGGAAAAGGACCCACTAATGGAGCGATCGTTGGACGCTTCACTACAACGAGATACGGTGTATCTTTCCGAACTTACCTAGATGGGAAGTGTATGTTTCATCTTGCTAGAAAGCAGGTATATCCGTGTAAACAGATGTCATGGGAAGATTCAATTTTAGGGATATTGAATTTTGGAGTCTTATGGGGAAAATGTCAGATCCACGATCCCCTACCCAGCCTTAAATACAAATAGGCTATTTTTCGGCAATATCTTCGGCTTCGATGCCCAATTCTTGTTGAATGAGATCATCATCTCCGTCATCATCTTGGTCGGCATCTGCCATTTCCTCTTCATCAGAATCTTCTTCGCTGCTTGATCCACTTCCTTCACTCTCGGCATCACTGCCTGGGTCGTAGTCCTCTTCATCTTCTTCCTCCTCGTCCTCCAGTTCCAGGTGGGCTTTCTGTAGCTCGCTTTCTTCCTCCACGGGTGCTTCATCTGTCCCGTCAATACCCTGACTCTTGTTATTGTTAACATTGTACACCTTCGCGCGTCGAGCGTCGGCCAAGCTGGAATCCTGCAGTCCGTGGCGTCTAATGTAGGTGTCAATTCCATCAAAGTTTTCCTGATCGACCATAGAGAACTCAAATTCCATATTGTCTTCCTCTGTGCCGTTACGAGGACGAGCCACGATGTTGAGATTGAATGTTCGCTGAAGGACAGACGTATATGAAACGGATTCAATGGTGTCAAATGAGAAGAACAAAAGCGGTTTCTTGAAGGCAAATAAAATTCCAGTTGACAGAAGGAAGAGATAACCTAGAAATCCATGTCAGAGAAGGTAAACTGAAAAAGACAAATAAGGTTATATGCTGTAGAAATTGCTTACCCTCTTTACTACCACGGAACGCCTTGACGTGATATGCCTTCTCACCCTTGCGGTGGGCCTCCGGTGTGGAACTAGCAAACTCATTCGGGTCAGGCCTGATAACCTGGGTGTTGGGCAAGTTGTTATTCAACATCCTTCGGATGAGCTCTTCGGCACTCTCGCCCTCACCATGGCCGAGCTGTTGCCCTGACCCAGAGAAAGCTGCTTTTGCCGGCCCGTCGGCCACTGTGAATACCATACAATCTGCAGCTGTAACACCTTCAGGTGGCGGTGTGATTCCATCGGCATACTCGGGGATGATGCAGAAGTTGAATTGTTTCTGTGTCTTCTCTGGTACAGGAAGACAGAGGACATGACCTAGAATGTAGATAAATTAGTATAGTACTTGACACTCTTGTCTGATTATAGACTCACGAATTTGATCCATCGGCACACCGAATTCTACCTCCTTGGTGCTCTGATTCTTCGCACGAAGGAGATTTTGCCCAGCAATTTCGAGCATGAGCTTCTTGCGCTGCGGCATCGCGAACGATATATCCTGAACATAGAATTCTACCGATACGTCTGCGGCTTTCACATCAGTGAACACATGTGCATTCGATCCAGAAACACCATTTTGTATTTTGCGCTTCTTTGACGCAGGGCCGTCGCTTGGTGGCGGCCCAGCAAGTGGGAGGGTAGTGGTAGTCCTGGCCAGCAGAGACGAGGTGTAACGAGCAAGGTCTTCGAACAGAGGTGCATGTTGAGGTGTTTTTCCTGAGTGATTGAGACAAGTAGTCAGCATCTGGTTCGAAAAAGTTCGTTTTTTTTTTTTTTTTTCGAGATAGGCGTGGTCATATAAGCTAGTTTACGCACCGATCGCATCATAGACTCTTTTTTTGAGGGCGGGTTCTGTCGCGAACGCTTCTTCAATTGCGACCAAGGGCACGCTTGAAGAATTTATCGATGCAAATGCCATATGGAGTGCAGCTGCTCAGAGAGTGGTACGAGCAGTGCAAGAAAGGATTGGCGGAGATTCAAGAATGGTGTCCCAGGTCCCAGCCGCGGAAGTTACCCTCCCCTGGCGGACCACGTATCGGCACTGACGAACCTATGATAAACTAATGTATATGAAACGAAAAATGAGAGATAATTTTGTAAAAATGCAGGAAGATGTAGAAAAATATGAGAATACAAAAATATTTGATAATTGCACCCTGGATGTAAACTTGAGTCTCAAAATTCAATACTAAAATACAGTTAAATTTGTACAATTCGCTATCTTTATGAAGAAGAACAGCACTCCTTGGCACACCATTGTCTTTGCAGAGCAATTCCCTAGGCCTTGACCTTTTTCGCCTTCTTAGGGCTCTGGCTCGACTTAGGCTGGTTGGAGCTCAAATATTGGTTAATGAACTCCTTCGTCTCCTTAGCCATGATAACGTTTCCATCCTCATCCAATCTTGCCTTCTTCACTGCTGCACCTTGAATAGCTTGAGACGCAATCTTCTCTCCGCGAGGCGTAAGCAAGCGCTGGCTCGCAAGGTATTCCTGTCGGTACTCCTCCAAAACCTTCTGTCGCACATACTCGGGCTCGTGGCGAGTTCGGAATCTGGAGTATTTGTTTCGAAGTTCATCAATAACCGTAGATGGGAAAGGAGGTTCTTGCATAGATGGAACCCAGGTTATATCGTCGACTTCGATTCCTCGTGTATCGGAATCCAAGTCTTCCTCAGCTGGTGCTGATTCCGTGGGCCAGGGAATTTGAATGTCACTGCCACCGACGTAGCGGGTATAGCGAGGAAGTTTGCTCCAGTTCTGTCGATTGATCTTGGGTTTACCAGCGTAGATATGCTGTATAATTTTATCCCTTGTCACTCCAGTCACGGGATCCATCAGGGCCGGGACCAAGCGAATGTTGTCAATTGGTACAGGCATGGGCTGGGCAATAGTATCGCCTTGTGCTCCTAGAGAGAGTTTGGCCCATTCAGGGAGAACAACGTCGGACTAAGTGAGAGCAGCTAGTAAGTGGTCATGTTCATGTTGAGATAAATAGCATGAACGCGGGACGGGGCGTACCATGTTGAGATCCTTGATAATAACCGTCTCACTCTCCCGATTTACCTGCGTGATTTCATTGATCTTGCCGGTGTCACGACCTTTGATAATGACGACTCGATCTCCTTCGGCAAAGGGAATATACTTCCGCCGCAGGTGCTTGGGAATCCTCGGAGGAGACACAAGGTTCTGGTTTACAGCACCATAAGTCATGGCCTCGAGTCCGGAATCCCGCTTAGGAGCCAGATTGCCTTTTTCCCAGTCCTCCCAGCGGGCTTTTTGAGCATCCTTGAGGGCGCCAACCACGTTCAGAGCATATTCCTTTCGTGTCCGAAGGACGTCCTTGCGATCCACCAATTCCGCAGCTTTTTTGGCTCTGTAGACCTTCTTTTGTGCCTGTTTGCGAGCAGTTACTGTCCGTTGAATGATCCTCTGCATCTTGAGGGTTGGTGGTCCCGCAATGGCTGAATGTTGTCGCTGCTCGTCAACATTTGACCACTGCGGACGGAAAATTGCGGCCGCGTTTTGATCACGTGCTGTTGGTAATTATGCTTAGATAATCCACTTTATTATGTAATTAGTTAAAGGGAATTGATATTTAAATAATATTTAGTTAAAGAAATAAAGTCGGCTCTGAAGACATCTTCCAGTCTGATCTCATCATCTACTAAATACATGATTCAAGACCTTGAAGACACCACCCGTCGAGCAGCTAGCTACACTGAACCGCAGATACGTTTTTCTAATTGTTTTTTATTTTTCCTTTATTCGTCTCCTACAAATGACGATTTCGATAGGTCTTTCAATGTCTTGAATTAGGCGTCTTTTAGATGATGAAACTAGACCAAATGATCTTTCTAGTTCCGATCTCGACAAGTAGTTTGATTTTTTTTTTTTGAATGATTGGTCTGTGCATCGAGTGATTGAACCGTTCAAATCGTCTTGTAATCGCTAAAATCAAGCGCCTCTGGTGGCCGGACATATTTACTATCAAACTATCAAAGAAATCATCTTTTTGGACCGAATCAACATTTGCGACCATCAGATTCGACATCTCCTTCCTATATAGACGCTTCAAAGAACACAATAGTCTATGTCTAATAATTGGAATTGATGGTATACAAAGTAAGCATACAAATTGGGATAATATCATGGTCTCTGTATATATGTTAGAGTCCTACAAATAGAACAACCATCTAGAATCAATGTAAGAATTTTCCCATTCGCTGGCGAATATTGGCTCAAAAATGTGTTCGAAGCCAATCTAGTTTCAGGTTAGTCAGTAGTTATAACCTTGGAAATCAACATCTTTCGTTGCACTTTTGGTTTTTGATCGAAGTGTATGGAGGTAAAAATGAGGCCTACGCTCTTATACTCCGAGCACGTGTTAAACATCCCAGTGTGAAATTCTGGAAATGACGAGATATAATTTCTCAATCAATTATTGACATTAACTTCCTAAAGACACGAGGGGTACGTATGTGATAATCAGGTGCTCTGTAGTCTGGGCGTATAGAATCATGACAATACGCTTCTAAAGTTTGGTATACTAAGCTCAACCTTGGAGGAGATCTTGGTGATTAAATTATGAACCCATAATCGTTGATGGTACCTGGGATGACGGAGGGCTGAGATCGATATTGTGATATCAATTGATAAATCGCTCTCTCATGCCACCTCCTACAACCATCTGAACAGAGTTTGAATGCCTGTTTCCTCAATGGATGTTTTGTAAGGGTTCAAAATTATGAAATCTTCGTCTTGTCCACACTTCTTCCATGCTGACTGTATCGTCGACCTACTGTACCCATCAATATGACCGTGATTTGCCGAGAGAGACGCACACGGACGTACCTTGGTAGGTATACTTCGATTCTTCAGCTTTTCCATCCAACAAGGCGTCTTTCATTGATAAATACGAGAGTCATATCCGGGTACTTGATTCTGCGGCCATGCTATTGAGTGAGGCTGTATTAGGCACCTCAAGTCACGGTAAGGTCAGCTACCTAGGTACCAAAGTAGGTATCTATCTCCAAGGTTCAACAATTCCATCCATAGTCAGCTCTTCACAGGTTTGCGATGGACGTCACGCGGGGTTGCTTCTGATCATCTATCACCTTGTTTTCCGTCAGAAAGTTATTTTTGTTGAGTTTTTAAACGCGTTTACGATTTGACGCCTTGCAGGAATAGACAAATCTTAAGCACTTGCTGTTGGAAAAAGAAGCTATGGGTGACTTTCAAGGTTGGAACGAAGATCGTATAGACTTATAGCGCCAAAATTAGAAAATTGGCGAAACTAGCCCAGCGGATGAACTATCTCAATTGATACCCAGGTAGTTTGCTCAAAGTATGCTCAGCAGAATCTCTAGTTGAGATCGATGGGGAGTACGGCAGTTCTCCAGGACTGCATATCCACAGAGCTCCACCGTTTTCAAGAGCCTTACGAGAAAACCGACATCCACAAATTAAGTGTGTTACAGAATTCTCCACCACCTTAGCCCTCTTAGTTGTCCGAACAGATACATCATACGTGGTAATGCAGCCAAAAGCGAACCAACCAGGGGGCAGCCAAGGTACTCAGGCGGAATCGCAACCGAGGGACATGCCGAATGCGCTGCGGCCAAGGTCCTAACTGCAGCACAGCTCCGAAATCTAAGTAGCTCGTCTATAAAGTCTAGACGGTGGGGACGTGAGAGGAATAGGATGAAGTCTGGTCTCCGGAGATTGTAAATACGCGGATGTTAGTGGACTAGCCAGAATAAGTATGGGTCAAATGTGAGGAGAGCAGGCCGAGACCCGGTTGATCGACATGTGTGACACGTACGTTCATCTCACAACTGGGGTATTGTCCTATGGAAGGTAAAAGTGGAGTATCATGTACCTACAGGTACTAGTTGGGGAGATGAATGGTTAGCTACTATTCCACAAGCTGAATGACTACCAAGTACAAAGCTGTGGGGCCGTGCCTCTCGATCGGGGGGTTGTGGCTTTCGTTAGTGTGGATAATTAATGAGAAGAGAGTACTCCGTAAAAAGAAAAACCAGAAAAAGAGGAATCAGATACTTCCATAAAACCGAGGGGAGTTAGGAAGTTGAGCAGATGGAGCAATCATATGAAAGGTACAAGTGATAGTTCGTTGACCAGTCAGAACGCTAGAGAATAGTCGCATCCACCCTCAGCCCATAATCCATTACTCATAACTCATAGGTCCAACTCCTTTTCCCGTACAATATATTCTCGGAGAGGATTTCGGCCCCTTCGGTTTCAAGAAGAACAACAATTGGATCCACCATGGAAGATTAGCCCACAGTAAAGGACTCTAGTGATCCAGGGGAAAGTCAGAGCTCAGATGTAATTTAGGATATGTTGATTACTCCGTATGTTGATGTTGATTAGCCCTAACAACAAAAGGAGAAAAGACAAACTGAATACTCTATACGGTATCGGTATCGGCGATAAACAATTTGGGTCAAGCTTTGACATCTGTTTCGGATGAGCGGGCACCATTTCGTGACTGTTAAGACGATCAAATCCTTATATTGATACCCTGAGAATAGTATCTCCCCAAGCACTTTGTAGTTATAACTAGATTGATGATCCCTTTCTCTATTTTTCTTCTTTTTTATTTTTCCTTACTCAATGTACTAATTTTGGCTTATCCGAGCTGAGATGGTAGTTGCAAAATACTTCAGTAATCATTTAGAATAATAAGGAACCATGGAACAGAACAGAAGAGAACAGCGCTTCCAAGGTTCTATTTGAGAAACCCATTTCACTTGATTATAGTGGTACCTGGATAGCAACTCGCACAGATATACTAGATATGATCCCTGTACACAAGCCACACTTGGCCATTCAAAAAGGTTTCCAAGGCAATCTGCGGTCTAAAACCCCTTTCTATGATATCAGGATCTTCCATGGCATAACTCGTGTTATCACAGCCACCGTGGCTGTGTGGACCCTCCATACTCCGTGTATTCTCCGTAACAAGGATACACATATCCTCGTAACGCTGGAAGGGAGCTGAAAGGTTATCTTAATTAGAGTAAGCAATAGCAATTATGGTAATTAGTCGGAAGTGTCAGGAACAATGAAAACCATGGTTGAATATATCAGGGGAAATTAGAGGGAGAACAGGAAAGAAGGAAAGAAGGAAAGAAGGAAAAATAAAAATAAAAACACGAACAATACATACAGTACAAGATCCGGTACCACAACAAATACACCGATAATACCTAATACCAGTACACCGCCCAACCTCCCAGTCTGGCCTTCTCTTGCCTCAAAGTCATCAATCATTCTTTCCATCCTTCACTCAAAAAAAAATTAATCTCTCACCTGTACCTTGAGAATACCACAACCCTCAAATCCGTCGTTATTTCCATCGTTAAGTTCTAAGTTAATAAACACGCACAGTATGTGTTGACCCTTTTCCTTTTCCAACCCCCCCCCGGCAACTGAACTTGTCCCTTTCCCATCAACCCTCACCTCCCCCTTTCCCTCCCCGCTTTATCTCTATCCATCTTCCATCACTCTCAGAAATTATCTCCCCAACCGCCTGATTCGGGTCTTTGATTTCTCCTTTTCAACACTTCATTCGATACTGACCCGTTGTGTTTCAAGATGGCTGAGATCCGTCGCAAGCTCGTCATCGTTGGCGATGGTGCCTGCGGTAAGACCTGTCTGCTCATGTAAGTTGAACCTCCCTGGCATGTTAAATGCCCCTCCAAAACCCCTTGAGTTCTACATCGATTTCAGTTAACTAACCGTCTTCTCCCTGATAGTGTTTTCTCGAAGGGCACCTTCCCTGAGGTAAGCTCCCGATCCCGATCACATGCCCTATCGCGTGAAAGATAGCCGCCGGTTTCCTAATGAGGTAAATTCTGATTCGTTCTTCTAATCTAGGTTTACGTCCCCACCGTCTTCGAGAACTATGTTGCCGATGTCGAGGTTGATGGCAAGCACGTCGAGCTCGCTCTTTGGGATACTGCTGGTCAAGAAGATTACGACCGTCTCCGTCCCTTGTCATACCCAGATTCTCACGTTATTTTGATCTGTTTCGCCGTCGACTCTCCCGATTCTCTCGACAACGTCCAGGAGAAGGTGCGTTTTCGCAGTCATTTCACGCGCATTGGAGACCAACGCTGACATGTTATGCAGTGGATTTCCGAAGTTTTGCACTTCTGCCAGGGTCTCCCCATCATCCTCGTTGGTTGCAAGAAGGATTTGCGCAACGACCCCAAGACTATTGAGGAGCTCAACAAGACCTCCCAGAGCCCCGTCACTGCCGAGCAGGTATGTTGAATTTCCACAGTCCAATCAACCCAAATTTTACTAATGCATTCTTCACAGGGTGAGGAGATCCGCAAGAAGATCGGTGCTTACAAGTACCTTGAGTGCTCTGCCCGAACCAACGAGGGTGTCCGTGAGGTCTTCGAGTCTGCCACTCGCGCCGCTCTGATGAAGGTTGGCAAGGGCAAGAGGGGTGGCGACAAGGAGGGAGGCAAAAAGAAGTGCTTGATCCTGTAAATTACCCCCAAGCCGTTGAAAAGGGCCGGCTCGAGCGAAGATATCTTCCAACGGTCGAGAGTCGGGGCTAAGATTTGATTCCTCTTTTTCATCCCTCGGGGATTGGTGCTGCTCAGCGTGCAAGCAAAGTTGGAATTATGTCAAACGGCCCGGATAGCCTGAGCCTGTGGAATCATCGTGTGTTTCTTTTCCCATGCTGGTCTTCCTTGCGTTTATCTTTTTGCCTTTGTTTTGCAGAATTTGTCTAGGGAGGCGTTGTCATCATAACCCTGTGGGCCTTTCTTTTTTTTTCCAGTCTCTCTTCCCCTTACCCCCCCCCTCTTTACACCCTCCAATCTGACACCCGTGGATCACAATGACAAAGTTGCCCGCTCGTGGCAGTATAAACATGAAATCAACAAAAAAAACACGAGGATCCCCGACTCCTCTAGCGGTTGCGAGTTTTGGGCTGATCCACTTCTTTCCCGTGGATCTCGCCCTAGTGTGATGATAGATGATTCCCCTTTCCCGAGGATATCTCCCTCTGCGCAAAGAGCTTTGATTTTGATTTTCCTTTATTGTTGTTACCCTAATGCATGAACACCCTTTTTGATAGTCTTCTCCTTGGGCCTATTCGTCATTGAATCTAGATACAAGATCTTTCTTTTTCCAAGATTATAGAGAGTAGTTATGCCTTATAGAAATATTAGACGGAAACGCGCATCCGACGCGTGGTCCCATGACGCATACACCCCCACAGTACTTAGAAAGCCCAAGACAAGAGCTCACATGATGTTTTGATTCCGCGGAAAGTATTCAACGATTTAACCGCAGCAAACCCTCAACGTACCGACGGGGGTCTAGACCGAGCCCGTCAACAAATTTGGAAGGAGTGATATCAGCGCGGCTAGAACCAAAGTTATAAGTTGCACCGCCTAGGTCGCGGAGAAGGCGTCCACCACTACTTATACGTGCATGGCCAGTGGTGGGGACGTAGTCACTCGCTCTCCGGACAAGGAAAGCTTCCTGTGGCTGGAGCAGAGGGGGAGACGAAGAAGAAGGGGGTTGAGACGGATCTTCTCCATCTGCAACGGATGAAGATGTGGTTGATAGGGCTTGCGTCTGGGGTGGCTGAGGGATGCGGACCCAGAGAATCCACCAGCCACGATTTGTTTTGCAGGTGCGTTCTAGTTCGTGAGGTCTAGAGCGGGTGTCGACGTATGTGGATAGGATGCGGTGGTGAATTGCCAGGCTCTCGAGACGGGACCATTGGGGTCTTGTGCTTGGTGCAGAGGGTGAAGAGGAGGGTGATCGAGGGGAATTGGGGAGTTGGGGTGATTTTGATAAGAGGATCAGGGCTGGGATGTTGGGGATTGAGGAGCGGATGGTTAGATTTGATGGGTCGTATACTAGATCGTACATTGGCTGCGAGCGACCTGAGAACCGCTTGTTTGGGTAAAAGGTGCTTTCCCATGCTGGGAAGCGGGAGAGGACTGTTTCTGGGGATGTGGATCGCAGGAGAGGCTTTTGGAGGGGGCCTAGCTGGTGGTGGATGCTTGAGTATAAAGATGGTGATGATAGTGATGTGGTCTCCGGATCGAATAGAAACGTGAACATGAATGGTTGGTGCTGTGTAAGTTAGCAACTGCTTTTGTGCATTCAGAAGTAAGTAGCTTACGACGTATATCACTGCTTCAAGCCTTCTCTTTGATGGTGTATCAGCCAGCTGCACATGAACAGACCGGTGGATTATGCGGGTCTTTGGTTTGCCGCTGTCTGGTTCGGACACAGGACTTCTCTCTTCTAGATCGTCCAGTATGTCCAAGTCGTCACGAGGCCCTAGGATAAATCGGCCTATCGTCTTTGTTTGATTTCTGGATTCACTGGATTGGGATGAACTTTCTTGCGAGGCTGATGCAACGTTGTCTACGGCTGTTGTAGAAGGTGTTGCTGGCTTCCCAGGAAGTGGAAGATTCCAGGACGTACCATATCCCAGTGTCAGATATTTCATGACATTCTCGGCTGCAAATACAGAGCTTTGATCAGTAGGCTTTGAAGGTTCGCTTGCATGGGCCTCTGGAACTGATTCCGGCACTGCCATCACTAGTGGACGAGGGATTCTTGGAGTAAAGCTGCGCTCTGAAGTAGAGGGATGCGCAGCTTTAGCACTTCTAGACAGCTCCCTCCCTCTATGTCTTCGTGGATTTCGTCGGCGCAAAGAGTGAGGGTCCCGTCCTACGCCGTACGCTGTATCTCCATACCGGTAGATCAATTCCATCCAGTGTGACAGATGAACCAGAGAGCGCCGAGATATGGCATTGACGCCCGAGAAAACTACACCGTCGGCAGGCCGAGGATCAATGTCCAGGCCGAGCCATGAGCTGTCACCATCGGATCGAGGGATGTGGGAGTCCGTAACTTGTACAGTAGGGTCTCCAAATCTCGACACAATGAGATCTACGACCCCATCGGTTCGAGCGACAAAGTCTTCGAGAACCTCTCTCTCGCCGCTGCCCCATTCTTCCTCTCCGACACCAATGCCTAATTCTCCCCCAGCGGCAAGTTTAATTCCATTGTAGATTTCAACACCAGGGTTACCGGTGAGGAGGATCTCCCAATTCCACGCAAATTTCTCCCAGAAGCGCTCTAGGAAGAGACAAAACGACGATCTACCAACAAGGCTGTATAGACTGGTTAAAGAGAAGTCATGGAGGAGTAGGAATATCGAGTTCGCACGGCGCAGTTGCTGGATGAGCAGACTCGGATGTCCCATTTCCCTTGATGAATACTGGAACTTGGGGGCGTCTGAAGGGCCGGTCGAGGATGACAGGGTTGATTCCACGGGTAATCGGGTTAAATCCATAGACTAGACGGAGCTGAGCTTGGGAGATCACGATTTAGCATTAGATATACATACGGCAACAACCCACCAATCCTTCTCCAGTTCAAGAAGAACGACGCGTGTCTTATCGGTCTCAACATATTCCAGTGGTTTTCCAGATGAGAAGTTACTATATGAATGAAGCTTATAAGCAATGGATTCAAACTACAAGCTTGGATGTGATGATTCCCACTTGGAAAAGTTCACTATACCCTGCGCCAGACCTACCTGGCGCAGCCTTTCATTCCTACCCTCATCTTGAAGCTTGATTCCCTCCTCCTCGGTAGTCGAGCGTTCGGTATGTTGCAGATGGCCCGATCTCGAGGTGTAGAACACGATCTGGTCCTCGATCGTCTCATCGGTGGGTCCGAGGGTTGGGTTATATATAGCGAGGAAGGAGAGCTGGGCGGGGATCACCGAATCATGGTCACTTTCCGGCATGGCATCGTCAGCACGTGTAAATCACACTCCCAGCGCATGTATTCACGAGTTAAGTGAGGGGAGAAGTGGGACCGATGATGTTGATATCACGTGCCTAATCGATAAGGCAACACAAACCTGGAGCTTCATGATTTAGTTGACAGCTTCTATACAGCACGGGATGTTTGTTGTTCGTAGTTCAGGTGCTTTTGCACTTTTTAGGAATGCATGTTCAGTTCAAAGACCAGCCTGCCGATTCCTTGCTACCAAATCTTACGATCCTCTCCGGATTCTGTTTTGCGGCTCTGACAGCTTTAGCATTGCATCATTGAAAGCACTCCACGCTTATTCATTGCAAAATCCAAATCATATCGCCTCTATAGATGTGGTTTGTCGACCGGGAAAGCGTGTTGGAAGAGGATTGAAGGAAATTCGTGAAGGTGAGTCGAGCATAAAGTACCCCAATTGGAGCTCTGTGGCTCTGACCTATAGCTTGCCAGTCCCGATCAAGCAGGTTGCATCGGATCTCTCACTCCCAATTCATGAGATCAACACATTTACTGGATGGACAGTAAGTTTCCCTCACCTTTAATTGCTTCTATCACTCATCAACCTACCTAGCCGCCGGTCACTTTAAACGGTCCTATCAATTTGATCATTGCCGTGTCTTTTGGACTTTTTGTACCCCCACGTCTTTTGAAGGAAGCTACCTACGGTGGGTTGAATGTACATCCCTCAATACTCCCAGAGTACGTGAGATACGACATGAATAGGTCTCAGCCCGGAATCCATACTAACCATGACGAATCTCTAGCCTCCGTGGCCCAGCACCGCTACATCATACTCTTCTAGCTGGACGAACCACAACCGGAGTGACATTACAAACTTTACACCATGAGAAGTTTGACAACGGCGCAATTCTAGCCCAAACACCGGCACCTGGGTTCGATATTCCAAACCCCGAAAGCTGCACGTTAGATGATCTGGGCAAGCTAGTTGCTCCTAAAGGCGCAAATATATTGATAGAGGGCATCAAAAATGGTCTCTTCGTACCACCAGTCAAGGAGGTAGGATGGAACTGCACTGACTCCAAAACCCTTATCCACGCCGGAAAGATCATGCCGGAAGACCGACATATCGACTGGATGGATTGGACGATGGCCGACCTAAACCGACACCACCGAGTCCTTGGAAATCTATGGACTAAGACCCTTGCTGAAATAAAACCAGGAAATGGAGATGGTGTGGAATCTTTCAGCCAAAAGCGGATGTTTATAACTGATTTTGAAGAAGTGGATATACCAGCTGGATGTGAATCTTTTGCTTTGGTCCCTGGGTTGCCATTCACTAATGCTTCTCATCCCGTTGGGCCGAAGAAGGGGAGAGAACTTTACGTATTCACCCGCGATTGTAAGCTGTTGCGCATCAATCAAGTCAAGGTGGAAGGTGATAAGCTCGCTGAAGGACTTCGCGCTGCGATCAAGGCTCATCTATTTGGGGATCATTCTATTAAGTTGGGTGATGCAGTTTTTACGCCTTTCCGCAACCCTCTTGCGTGACCATGAAAGCATATGTGACACATGTCGATGTGAAATGTAAGATATGAGTTTATTTAGATGTAGTTGTAATTGACATCCCATTCATACCTATGTACTACCTACTACCCACCTATGGATACTGTCAAGATGTGGAATCGTGGCAGGCTATTGCAAAAGTCCAAATCCTGAGTCTGAGAGAGGAAGAAGGTTAGATTCGTGAGACTTGCAGGATAATCAGGCAATCATACCAATTCGGATAGCCTGTCCAGTCATAGAGGAGCTCTTTGCAAGAGTTAAGAACATTTCTGCGGTATCATCGAGATCGGGCTTCATAAATATTGATTAGCGCTTGAAACATCAATCTTCTTTTTGTAGTCGTACCGCCTGTTTCAGTATCGTCTTCGCCTCCCATTTCCCGATACTTTCCTGAGGGAATGACTTGCCCTACTTCTGTAAGCAACGTCTACTCAACCCCACTCTCAATTCATCGGTTTGGACGTACCCATTCAGTAAGCAAGAGACCAGGTACTATGGCATTGATACGGATCTTTGGGCCCTGGGATGAAGCGAGGCACTTCATGAGGTGAATCACTGAGAATGGCATTAGCTGGGCAGTTCCAAAGCTTTGAGAGTTTAAACATACAGGCTGCCTTGCTCACGCCATATGGAATGCTGCTGCCGCTCGGAATGATGCCCTGATCGAGAGAAGTGATTAGCCGCTGTGGATGCTTTGATCATACCTATGTAGAGATGTGATATCTTACAGCAATTGAGGCAGTAATAATGAAGGCACCGCCATCAGGGTTAGCATTGAAAGTAGGTAGAGCAGTCTTGAACAGGTGAAGGGCGCTCTTGACGTTGACATTCCAGCACTGCATCGTTAGCTCAAGGAACAGGATTTTTAATGGGGGAGATAATCACTTTATCCCAGTCTGCATCATCCGTTGCATCTAGATCGCCATATTGGGTCATCTTTGTCCATCCCTATTTATTGATCAGCGTCGGACATGAAGCTCTGACCGAAAGACGAACGGCGTTTGAAATCACGACATCCAACCCTCCCAACTGTTCAGTTGCAGACTTGACGGTATTGATGCAGTCGCTAGTTATTCCTGCATCCTAATACGAAAGATCAAATTCCAAGATTAATATTGACTCGTGCCCTCGCATGAAGACCTGCCGGGAATCTTACACCTTTGACAACAACCGTCTTGACATTATACTTGCTTGCTATATCTGCAGCAAGTGTATCCGCAGCATCCTTATTAGAATGGTAGTTTATTGCGATATTGCTTCCTTCGGCGGCAAACTTTTGGGCTACAAGAGCACCTAGTCCTCTGTTTGGCCATTAGTGGTTTTGATTATATATTTCCAGTGTGGAGTGTACCGTGAACCACCGGTAACAAGAACGTTTCGACCTTTGAGCGAGTAGGGCATGATTATTGGATCTCAGGGATGAGGTGAATTTAGGTAATAGCCCAGCAGGTTGAGATGTAGTAAAATATATTTCTTGGGAGATATGGATTAACCCCGCAGTACGTTCTCGTCGGACTGTCCGATTAAAATGCGGCAGAGGCGGCTTTGACTCCAGAGACGGCAATAATCGGTTTCTCTCAGACAACCTGGCGATCTCAGGACGCTTTTCCTAATTCTATTCTTAGGTTATAACCTTGGAACATTTGCTAGAAGTGTGATTTCCCAGGGCTGATCAGTCCCCATAAGTACGAACAGACAGAGAATGCCTTCTTCATAACATACACACACCGTTAGTAAGAACATCTATCTTTAAAAGAACATCCGTAAAAATCGGCGCTGTTGAAAGTAACCTTCATAGACATACGTGTTTAAAAATATATCAGACGCAGTGGACGATACTCGTGAAGGAAAGCTCATGCTAGACGTCGCCCCGCTAGCATTTCTGTGATCTTCGGAAAATCATTTGGGTCAAAGACAACCCAACCGGCGTGAATGGTGCGCTTCATGCCCCACCAAGCACGACGACCTGCAATTTGAGGCCACTGAACAAGAAAAGTATCTGCAAAGGGAAGTACAAGCAAACCCGTGGTGCTTAAACTGCGAGTTCGAGTCCATGACTCAACGTAAATAGTGTCCAATCGGGGGTACTTGTACCAAGACGAGCCACCGACAAATAGGAAGAATCGATAGATCTTAGCGGCGATAATCATACATAATGATACGGCGGGTCCATTGGCGACAATCAAGTCCGGGAAAATCGAATGGTATCGAGGAGAAAGCTTAACCTGGCCAGGGTACTTTCTAATAAGAACAGCCATGCACGAAATAAAGCAGATGATTGTCGAGAACGGAGCAGTCAAATAGGACTGGTGCACTTTACGGGCTCGTGGAATTGTCACGACGCTGAAGGATCCGCCAGGTTTCATCTCGTTCTCGAAGGTTGCCGCTTTATCTGCGCTCAAGTGATCACCAGATGTGACGACGTAAGTTCGGTGAGTCCGTTTATCAAACAGGGCGTGTCCATGAGACATCATACGGAACATTTCAGCGGTATGACCACCACTTCCTAGCACAATGAGTATGTGGGATAGTTCCTGGCGCTGAAGAGGGACTTGGCCTTTGCCATTGTGCGAAATAAGAAGGCAAACAACGATGAGCTGAAGGGGCCATGGATCAGCTCAAAATGACTCGAATCATCATCATCATCATCAAAATAGATATGCGTACGATTGCGGAGAAAAATAAACCGATTCCAATGAAAGGGAGGATCTTGCCAACGGATTTACCAAGTTCAATCAGAGTATCGTTGATCATGCTGCAAAAGAAAGCGTTAACAAAGTCCAGCAGTAGCAGAACTAGAGAAGAGGTCCCGACAGGTAGTGGCTAGTAGCCATACCAAGAGCAATCGCAATTGATGCCACGAAAGTGATCGCGGGGAACAGACGCGACAAACGAATCATCTTGGAGAATTGAGAAAGTTGCGCGAAGGAAAATAGGTGATGGTAGAAAGAATAAAGAGCTAATGGTAAAGTTGTCGCGTCAACACGTGCCGAGGGTTCTGTGCCCACCGCCCGCCCGGCGTTTATTTCCCTTGTATCCGTCTCTCCTCAGTCTTTCCCTTGATTCACCCACCTTTTTTTTTTCTAACCGTTCGCTCCATATGCTTCTTTCTCAATGGTTTTCTTTACCAAGCGTCTCAGATGCTTTGGCTGCGGACAACGTCCCTCTCAGACAATTCGTGGCCCTATTCGCAAATTCCACTGTGACCATTGCGGCACCGAAAACTACCTAGACGAGGTGCGCTTCCACAAAGACTAACGTTCTATGATGTATAGAGTGGTACTAACTCGTTTTTTGATGCTATAGAATGGCGACATCACCGACCCGCCAGTCGATGAGACAAACCCTGATGTCTACGGCCCCAGTGGCTCCCCTCCTCCCTTCGAGTCTGTTGACTTCAAAGAATCCGATTTGTTTTGCTCCAAATGCTTGCGCAATCAACACCTCTTAGCAATCTCCCTGGCAGAATACCTCCCGCCCTCTGATGATCCTAACAGTGCGGAATACGAGGATAAGTTTGCTCAATACCGAAGTGAAATGGAAGACCGATACCCACAAGTTTGCGATGCCTGCGAGCCTCGCGCGAGGCAGAGAATTAAACAGGCTGGCTACGATGCGAAGGCAGATTATCTTGGACGTATGATGGACCAGAGCAGAGCAAGCAAAGTTGCACGACGCGCGCGAAACCGCAGCTGGCAGAGCTTGTTGGTGTATATCGGCGCCCTCAGTTACTGGGTCAGCGTCTTCGGTCAGTTTGCTTGGAATGCGGTCAGCGCTTTGACCGTCCCATCATCACAATATCTTGATACCTCATTTTCGTCATGCGCCGGCCAAACTCTGGAGATGCGCCGCATCCCAAGTGAATGCGCCTTTGATCTTGCTCCCTATGCAGGCATGGCTCTTGTTGCAGGTTTTCTCTCGCTGTGGTGGAATCCGAAATTGCGCATGAAAGTGGATGGAAAATTTGGTCGATTCGCTCGTCTCGGCGAGTACTACCAAATTCAGCTTATTACCTTGGTATCACGATGCGTATTCTGGGCTTTGCTCAATGATCCATCTTCCAGTGGACTCGACCCAAGCTTACCCCCGGCCCTGCATATGTTTATGATCATCTTCACTGTTCTTGTAAGTCATTTTACTCACTGACCTGTATTGAGCTTTGCTAAGTCTGCCAGTCTGTTGTGATATCTCGTCGTGTTGTCCAGTACGATACTCGCCCTCTTGTGAATTGGTCAGATCATTCTTGGGAAACAGCACCAATCCGAACCACTGGAGGAAGTAAAGAAGCATCGCCAATATCTGACAATGCTCTTCCAGCAAGCAATAACGGAATTCGTCAACGTTTCCCTATTGAAAAGTTGGGTACCCCCGGACCTGCCACAAAGAGTCCACATGCGGCTCTCTCCATCCCTCCATCTCCATCCGATGAGATGGACTGGACACCTTCCGCTCCCTCTCAAACACTCAAACCGACAGTTAGTGTGTACCAACGTGATCAAAAATCCGTTCTTGATGGTCCTCTACCGTTTTACGGTAGTATTCCAGCAGTATCCAGACCACCAGCATGGAATTTACGTGCGAAATTAACGGCTAAGCCAATTGAACGTGTTGTCGAACCAAACCCGTTCCACAAAGCCCCAACTCATCCGGTCAGCTCTTGGCAAAAGAAAGGACCTAGTCCGGAGCCAGTGTTTAAGGCTCCCAAGTTCTTCCCGAGTAGTGACTACGCTGCTTCCACTGGATTGGAAGATATGTTCAACAAAGCTCTGGGCATGAATTCGACCAATGCGAATAAGGAAGAGGCCGAGTCAAGACGCCACAATAAGGCCCATGCGACCTCTGTTCACAGGCATCTCCAATTGCAGTATCTCCGCATTGTCCTGCTATTTTGCTCTATCGCCGCTTGGTACATTTCACAAAGCCATCTATTGTCGATCTCCGGCAATTACATTGAAGCTTGCGCTTTAGGCAGTGCAAGTCTGATTGCAGGATTTGCTCTTCTAGATGTCATGAAGAGCCCTTTAGCTGATTGGAACGGTATGGAGATATTGATCTACATAACCGAGATTGCACTAGCGATACATTTTGGTGCGCACCTTCCTCGGGACTCTTTCGAGCGCGATTACTTTGACCGCTATGGCAAACTTCTTCTCATGTTCATGTTGCTGCAAGAGATACTGGGTCTTTTATCATTCTATCGGGCTATGGTGCCCTCTGTCAAGCCAGATCAGGCGAATCAGCCGCCGCAGAACCATCCGGTTCCCTCACAGCTCGGATCGCCACAGAACAATTCAATCCATTCCTGGCTCAGTTCCCCGCAGCAGCGTTCGCCATCACCTCCTCGCAGTGCCATCCACTCGCCGAGTGATTATCCTGCTGTTCCAGACCATTTTGAATATCAGTCACATACCCCGCCACCTCTGTCTTTTGGAAGCACTGCTGGAAGCTCCAGCTTCTCATCTACGTTGCCTAGCACATCGGGATATGGCGGTGGTTTGTCGCAGAGCTTCAACTCATACCCCAAAAACCAAAGTCAGAATTCCCACAGTTTCACCATGCAGTCTCTCAAAGAGAACTACCCATATTCGGACTATGAGCAGGAGTCGGATTCTGAGACTGTCGCAACTTCGACTACAGTTCACACGGACGTGACCTCTCACAATATCCGCTACGCGCTGAACCCAACCCCTAAATACGCTTACTCAGTGTCTCCCCGGCGCAATGGGCTGGACGATGGTATCTTCGGATTAAGCCTAGGAGACCATCAAACCCCTCGTCGCGTTACCCGCAGCCAGACGCAACGTCTCGGAGGACAGAGACTTTCCTCTCGCGCTGGTTGGTGATTACCAAATTCTCATTTTATTTCGGCTTCTTTTGTCCAAGTCTCAATACATACAGCTATTGCTCCATCTGCTGGCAACTTCAATGCTGTTGATTGATTTCTTCTATCATCATGACCTTTATCTATTCTTATAGGAGTTTGTTTAAGCTTCAAGAGATGCAGCCATTGCTCTGTCTATTGGCAGACTCAGCGCGATTGATTCATCTTATCATTATTTCTTTATCTATTCTTATGGGGGTCTGATCAAGCGCGCATACTCGAGGCGGGGATCTGTTTATTGTTTCGTGTTTTTCTCGTACTTTTTTTTTTTTTTTTTTTCTCTGGATTTTATTTGCCTGTAAATAGCGATCACTTTTAACGATGTTAATGAAATGAAGCAATGAAGTCCATTCTACGCCTACTCCTAACTAGGAAATCATCCACTTCTATATTCAACAAATAGATATAGGCTATGCAGCCGATACCAGGATCTCTTCGATTGCTCGTATGAGTCTGAAGGCTCCTCCACACCTAACATCTTGACGGTTTCTTCTAGCCGCGAGCCCTAAAATACCAGCATTATACGCCCTCTCGATGGCGAAGCATTATGCCAATATACTGTTGATAAAAAGCAAATTCTTGAGTTTGAAGTCGGGCTATATCATCTCCTACAGCCCGGAAATCAGCTAGTAGATGCCCTATAGGATCGCCTTCGCTCGTAATTCCTGACTCAGTCAGTTCCTGCGTCCTATCACATATATACTTCTAGCTAGAGAGGGTACAACGCATCCCGGTTTTCGAAGGTATTGAAAGATGCCTAAAATAGGCTCATGCTAATAATCAACTCTCAGAAAATGGCCAATAAAGTGGTGACTCCTAAATTTGCTGCAGCCCGGGGTGCAGCACTATATGCCAGGATGCGATGAGAACGAGCAAGTTTCTAAAGAAGAGGACGTCTGATGGATGGTGTACTCCATATTACCTAATAATAGACCTTATTTGAATCTTGATCGTACGATCGTTCAATGTTTAGTCCTGATTAATAGACTTCAAATAATTGCGGTTTCAGCTAGCTTGATAGTGATCAAATACTTACAAGGTTCATATGGCATCAATCCAAGGCTGACGTAGAATGAAAAGATATTATGCATATCCGAGTATACATAGGCAGAATCAGTCTAGTCCGCGGCCCCTTATTGTTAGCGTTATGATCCCCCGGTTGATAGGTAATAACTAATTTACGTTATTGTCGGCGACTAATACTTGGGTCTCGCTTTTTCGCTTTTTCGCTTTTTCGCTTTCCTTGGTCTCGATGTGTTCTACATCTAACATCAAGACGGCTATAAGATAGGATTCATAGTTCATGCATCTCATTCAACGAAGTATAGATCGTACCCCAAGGGATAAATATGGAATAAAGGAAAAGGAAAACAAACTCAGGATATGATCTAAATAACCCTGTTCGATGTGGCTTCGACTTTTTAGCAACTCAACCCAAATTTTATAACTTATGCGCTGGCAGGCTTGGTAGCTAGATTGGCGGGAAGAGGTGGCAGACGGTTCTTGGCGCTTTCGCGTGCGTACTGAGCCATAAGGGCATCCATGATGACAAGCGAGGACATGGCCTCGACGATGGGTACAGCACGGGGCACGACGCAGGGGTCGTGGCGACCCTTAGCTTCCAGGACACCCTCCTTGCCAGCGTAGGTGACAGTGTTCTGGGCCTGGCCAATGGTCGCAGGAGGCTTGAAGGCGACACGGAAGTAGATACTGGCGCCGTTGGAGATACCGCCCTGAATACCACCAGAGTGGTTGGACTTGGTAGTGAGGTGCTGTTTACCGTCTGCATTGGTAGACACGATGAAGGGGTCGTTGTGGATGGAGCCAGCGACTTCGCAGCCGCCGAAGCCTGAGCCGATCTCGAATCCCTTGGTAGCGGGGATGCTGAGCATAGCGTGAGCGATCTTAGCCTCCAACTTGTCGAAGCACGGCTCGCCCAGGCCCACTGGCACGTTTCGGATAACGCAAGTCACGGTTCCGCCGATACTGTCGTGATTGTCGCGGAACTGTTCGATGACCTTGGTCATGCGCGCGGAAGCCTCCTCATCTGGGCAGCGGACTGGTGCGAACTTGTCCACGGTGGGGCGGTCGATGGTTTCAAGTAGTTTCAGGTACCCGGGGTTGGTAGAAGCAGTAGGATGTTCGACGGTAGGGGGGAAGAGGTGCTCAGTGCCCACAGAGGAGACGAAGGCGACGATCTCGACGCCGTGCGACAACTTGAGGTACTTTTCGGCGATGGCACCAGCGGCGACTCGGCCTGGTGTAAAAAAAATACTGTGAGTCGGAATTCTCTATTCGGCGCGGTGATTGTGGATAAACATACCGATAGTCTCACGGGCACTACTGCGACCACCACCGCTACTGGCCTTGACACCGTACTTCTCCAAGTAGGTGAAGTCCGCATGGCTGGGGCGAGGGTACAGGTCCATTGTGCTGCCACCGTAGTCCTTTGGTCGCTGGTCCTCATTGCGGACCAGCATACCGATTGGTGTACCCAGAGTAATTCCAAACTCTGTACCGGATTGGATCTCAACTCGATCCTTCTCGTCTCGCGGGGTAGTCAAGGCGCTCTGTCCAGGGCGGCGGCGGGTCATCTGAGGCTGAATGTCTGCCTCGGTGAGTTGCATGCCAGGAGGGACACCGTCGACAATGCAGCCAACGGAGCGGCAGTGCGATTCGCCATAGCTAATAAAGATCAGACGCTGATTTCCAGAGGTTGTATGGCATAGTGCAACTTACGTGGTGACTCGGAAATGTTCGCCCCACGTCGACATATTTTAAGATTGTATGGTAAACTGGCAAACCAAAGGGGAGTATGAAGAATAAATAGGTAAAGAAAGGACAGATCGACCAAATTGCCACCACAAATGGTCTCAGTAAGCACAGATTCAGGCGTTCAGGAGGCGTAACAGAAACTCCGAGAAATAAATCGTGCGATACAAAATCCAGTCATCGATGTTCCCTTCCTATCTTGGACTAGCGTATCCGAGTATCGGGAACGATCAATGCAGTCAACAAATCCCTGCTTTTTCAGTCTCTTTCTCTCCAATGCTCCAAATTCAAAAATGGGACTCGACGCTCCGGCGTGTTCCGACCTGGGTGCGGCATGCTTCTTCATATACAATTCATAACTTTGCGGAGCTCGCCCGGCGTCCGGCATCTCAGCATCAGATATACAAATCGGTCTCCGCGGACCCTTATGTCAATCTAGCTATTGAGCATTTCTTGCTAGAGAACTCTCCGGATGACTCGAAAGTTTTGTTCCTCTATGTGAACCGGCCATGTGTGGTGATAGGTCGCAACCAGAATCCATGGCTGGAGACAGATCTTCGCTCACTACATAATGACCGGCAGCTTGGCATCTCCCGGGATGATGCCGCCGTCTATGTTCGGCGCAGATCTGGGGGTGGAGCTGTATTTCACGATGGAGGAAACCTGAACTACAGTGTTATATCACCGCGTACATCTTTTACACGAACTAAACACGCCGAGATGGTGGTTCGGGCGCTACATAGTGTTGGGGCGGTTAATACTAGCGTCAATGACCGACATGATATCGTCATGACACCTGCACATACCATGCTGAAGGCTGATGAGCCTCCGACTCGGAAGGTTTCCGGATCTGCATTCAAGCTCACCCGACATCGAGCCCTGCATCACGGGACCTGCTTGCTTGACTCGCCTAATATCCACGATCTTGGCCGCTTCTTACGTTCCTCGGCTCGTGGATATATCCAAGCGAAAGGTGTTGAGAGTGTTCGGTCACCTGTAGGAAATGTCTCAAGTGCGTTGACAGACTCGTCTTTCTCCATGCAGACCGTTATAGATAACGTGGTGGACCAATTCGCCAAGTTATACAATGTCCACGATGACGCTATGCTTAGAGCACGCACCCATGCGACTGAACCTGAGATATTTGCCGGCGACAACTGGGTTACAGGAATAGTGGGTGATGTGCAGGGAGAATTGGAACCAGAGATTGCGAAAGGCATTACCGAACTGCGGTCAATGGAGTGGAAGTATGCTCAGACTCCGCGATTCACCTTCTCGACATATACAACTGAAGAGGATCCTCGAGAACGTCCTCCTTTGCCCTCACTTCCATCATCCGTGAGTTCCACCAGGTCTTTGTGTGTCGTATATCTATCTAACATCAACTCTCTAGACTCGCGCTTTCATGCGCCTAAAACATGGCGCCATCATCGAAAGCAATATCTCGGTCTCTTCAGACCCATATATTGCTTCCGAGCAGAGTGCTCGCGTGCACGAAATCTTGAATGGCCAGAACTTACATGAAATGTCTATTCAACGCTGGACAGAAGTCTTACAGCGCGGTCTCGGTGGCGGTGATGGCGTAGACGAAATGACTATACAGAACTTGTCCCAGTTTCTCGGAGATCTTCTTGGAGGTCGCTGATCCCAGATGCCTCTTGTATATTATTTTCTAGTGCTTGATGCATATTCCACGCGTATATACCCAATCTGACTACAAATTGAAGCTGAAAATTCAAATGTTGGAATATTGAATGTGGTAAATCAAATTTGAAATGAAGGAAATATATCTAGACGGCTGAAACATCCATACCCAGGTTGTTCTCTCTTAGGAACCGCCGTCGCAAAGTACCTGGGTACATATGTAGCTAAGAGCTTTACGTACCGTTCTTTCTATGCTAGCTGGGGCTTTCCTATTTCAGGTGCTGCCGCTTTTATGAGGGTGCTCAGGGTCAGGTTCACTGAGTAGATTTCAGATTGGCTGATTAGTTAATACGCGCCGGATCCAGTAGTTATTGCTATTTCTTTAGTTTAGGCAACATCACCATCATAATCATTCAAATCATGGTCTCTACCCCTCTCCTAAATATTCCAGAGATGACTTTGATCATGGTATAGGCAACAGCTGTCTTTGTCTCTAACAGTTCCTATCTGGGTTCCGACGGCAATGGCGGCAAACACCTCCGATAATGCGTTTGGACCTGTTAGTGGACTGAGGGCATTTGACTTCACGATAACCTTTGAGCAGGCTATACTGTCGATGATTCCCCCGACAATCCTGCTACTGACTGGAACACCCCGACTACTCCATCTCTCTCGTCGTCAACAAAACACGCGATCCGAATATGGCTGTGTTTTGAAGCTGGTGAGATACTTGTCATCAAGGATCCCATAAAATGGGCTGCTACTAATGAGCTTATATGTTGCCGCTTTAATCAATTTCGCTCTGCAACTGTCCCTCCTTGTGCTTTGGAGCGTATCAGTTGCTTCGCGGACATCGACCAGCATCCCATCTGCTGTCCTGGGCTTTCTCAGTTCCGCCATTATCATTGGACTATCCTATATCGAAGATATAAAATCGACGAGGCCCTCTTCACTGTTGGCTGTTTATATTCTTCTTTAGCAGGACGCCTTGATAGGCTAAATAATTAGCTACTTGCCTCGGATAGATTCCGCCATAAATTCTACGAAGTTTCTGCGTAAAGAACCAAGTTAATTGAAAATTATAAGAAAGAATGTGTAGAAGCTCTTTAACGACTATTTCTCACAAAATCCAATAAATGAAATACGACCTGATGCGTGTCCGAGGGCAAGAACACTATCTTTAATTGCCGAACAAGTGGGCCGATATTCTGAAGGAAACCACAGTACCTTTTCACCGTTCAGAGTTACCCACCGACTTTCCAGGATCACTATCTCAAGATTTGATCGAGGTCGGTTCGAGGCGTTCTTGCAAGAAAAGGTCTGTGCATGAAGGGATCCACGATTAGTGCTTATGTATGAGCCACATAGATACCTTTGAGTATCGATTTAGAAACATGATATTCATTAAGGACATCTGATGTCTGTGGCTACATATATAACAGAATAAGTAAGCAAAGAAAGAAAACCTTGGATGCTGGCTAAAACTAGAAACCGATCATGAAACATAACTGCGACAATTCTCGTAAACAAAACCCATGCCGAATCCCCTATCAAAACAATTTCAAACCGTCGGATTCAAAGCCCAGATGACCAAAAGAGCAGTGAATTGAATGAACACTAGCAAACACTAACTGCTTACTCGGCGAAGGACTGTCGTACCACTAAGAGTCCGATTGATAGACCCCTCTGAGAGATTATCCATGTCACCCTTAGTAGCATTGACGACACGAAGTTTCTCTCGTGGGAAAGTATAGGTGAGCTGTACACTGCTACTTTCATTGGAATCCTCGATGTCGCAGTCCTCGGCAATTTCATCAACATTGCAAGTGTCGTCGTCGCCAAGATACCCCGGAGCACCCAAGAAGAGATCGTCGCGAGTATGTCTTTCGTTGCTGACGGGATCAAATGCTCTCTTGTCTCTAGCTTCTCTTCTGCGGCGGAAGAGTTCGGCCGAGGCACTGACTGCTCGGCGAGGGGTGCTGGCGCCGCTCTTGGTAGAGCGCGGTGGCGAGCCGATGATTGTGCTACGATGATCGATGCCAGAGGCCACTTCAGCAGTCTCGTCTGGATCTGTCTGGCTGTCTGAGCGGCGATTGATAGTTAAAGCACGTCGCATAGTCTGCATCATTCCTGGTCGTGGCTTGGCTGATGGAGGTAGTTTTGAGGGCGAAGAGGGCAAGGATTCTTGGGGACGGGTGGCATCTGGCTCAGAAAGCAGGGATGTAGCTTCTGCAAGGCGATCTGATATAGTAGTTTGAGCAGTTGAGAAGGTGTCAGCTGAGTATGAGCTTTCAGAGGGAGGTACTCCATCAAGGTCGCTGTATGCTGTCTCCCTACTCAGGCGGTACGATCCTGTCGCAAGCTGTTCAAGCGACTGGCGACCGCTGCTAGACCAGCTCACGGGTCGTTCAATGTAAACAGCTCGTGCCTGCATGACCTGACCAGTCTGTTGGGCTGATGCGAAGGAGAAACTCGAGGAGTCAGATAGATTGGTGGAAGTTCGTTCACTCTTCACCGGAGACACAGCGCCGTCGTTATCAGCGCCAATGTCCTTGCGTCTGCTATAGAAAGGACCCAGACCTACGCCGAAAATCGTGGTGCGGGGAGTGCCGAATGACGCATCCAACTGTGTAAATGGATCCTCCTGACCAAGGAACTCTGGGTTTTCCCCTGTTGAAGTTGGAATAGTTGCCATAAGACGTTCCCTGACGATGGCTTCGTCCTCTTCCCGCTCGTCAATAGGGTGAATATCACTGAGAACTTCACTGCGGCGGTAACCGCTCCACGGCCTTGTTTGGCTGGGCGGTCGACTTTCAGACGGATTATTTATGTTTGGACTGGCATTTGCAAGCAATCCGGTCATCTCTGCCAATCCATCCTTTTGATCATTCCAAGGAGGCCTAGACGTATGGTTGCGGTTTCCAGACCAAGGGTAGGTGGAAACAGGATCTGTCTTTTCACTCGTGCGAGAGGTTCGGGCACTGGTCTCGTCAAGCACATCACCACGACCCCAGAAGTGTGCACGTTCAGCGCCCAGAGCCAGTTCACGAAGCTGTGAGTCTCGCTTGCTTTTGAATCCATGTCTCCGATGATATTGCTTGGCTAGCAGAGCTATGATTATGAGGAATGGAATTCCAAGACCTAGCCCAACTCCCAGGCCAATCTTCTGCCTGGAGGACAGACCACTTGCATCTGATGAAGTTGACTTATGTGCTGTGGGATTGGTGTATGAAGTGATCCAATTCCCAGAAGTTGAATTGTAAAGGTAGACGTTGGGGTTGGCTTGCGCGATGAATGTGGATCGCTTTGAAATCAGTTTGGGGATTGTATAGCCTCCTGCGATCATCAATATGTCTCCCGGAAGCATTATCGCAGAGTGACCAAATATTCCAGCATGGTCGATGTTTTTGGCACCATTGGATGTCGGGATCTTCCAGCTCCAAGAACCCGAACCTCCATAATTTTCTCCAACCTCCAAGACTGCGACTTGAGGATCAGCTGGGATAGACGTATTTCCCACCCAGCCTCCAATCACAAAGATCTTGGTTCCGTCATTTGACAAGACTGCCGCATGCCCTGATCGAGGTTCCACGGACTGATCACGAACCGCGAGCTCGGTTTTCGGGGTTGCTTCTGAGTTGACTGCCACAAAGCTCCAGCTTCCTTGCGGAACAGAAAACAACGCAAGTTGAGACATATTCAGAAATGCTTGTCGTGTATGTCCTCCAATGAACAGGAAATCCTGCTGTCTCTCCTGTTTAAAAGTTGTGGCTGACAGTGGAACAATAGCTATTCCTGCTTCAGCAACGGGAGGTGCACGGTTTCCAGTGGTAGTCGCATAATATTCAGAACTTTTGCCAGACTCTGGATTCAAGAGAGTCATCGACTGGGAATAGTTTGCAGCAGATATCCATGTTTCATCTGTGCTGTTTGGTAAAGGGCACATTCCACCAAATGCGTACACAGCGCTTTCACTTGTGCTATTTGAAGAAAATGTAAAGCCTGCAGCCAAGTATTTCGGATTTGTTTTTTCATCCGGGATCACTGGTAGCTGGCTCCAGCTTCCATTCCCGATAGAGCTGCTGTTGTCGGGGTGAAACTGCCATACTGTATTCTTATCCGTCGAGTTTTGACAGTTCCCCGCATAGACTGTTATGATGCCTTGGTCGTCGATAACGGGTGTATACGTCGAGTTCTGCTCGGTACTTTGAAAGGGTGCTTCTGAGAGGAGTGTTTGAAAAGATGTGTCGTTTGTATCGAGGCTGGAGGAGAAATTCAGAGAGAGGAGCTCGACTTTGCCTTCTAAAGAACTGCTGGGTCGAAGAAGGTAAGCGAGAGAGTCATTGTATTGTGGCGCGAGGAAGAGAGAGGAAGGTGTGTATGGGATTGCTGCGGAGGGGTTGAGAAGTGTGAATAGTAGTGTTGATATGGCGAGTGGACTGCGCCTTGAGATGCAAGGCCTCTCCATAATTTAGCGTTGTTGATCGTTATCTGAGACAAGATCAAGCATGCATTCCAGGATCGGCCAGCATGGTGCCACGAGGTACGAAGTAGAGAAGGAGCAATGTTTAATTCTGGATGGTAAACACAACTTGCATGGTTAAAATTCACGTGAATCAGTGGTATTGAAAGAAAACAGCTGAGGAGAAAGAAAACACTAATTTAGGTTCTAAGTATGCAGTCCGGAGGGTATTCAGACTACAGACGACGTATAGACCCGTGGGGGTAACGGCCTCCCAGTGTAAACACGGCCGACCAGATCTGGACTATTGGTTGCCTGCTATAATACAACCAATCAAACCGACGTGATGCTTAAAATTTCTATTATTTTATGGAATTGTGCTTCAGCAAAAAACGGCCAAGGTAATTAAATTGTTTGTTCCGTACTGAGATCGACTAAGATCGACACTTGATCGATACGGTTACCGTGGTAACGGATAGTGGTGGAGCTGGAAGGCGGCAAAATTGCGTTACTCTTTCTACTTCACGTCATTTCGGATTTCGGCTACATTTCATCAGGATAATTAGTAGTTAATGTGGATAGTAAATATGAGCTAGTGGATAAAATATTAGAACTACGGAGTCTCTTCTTTCGATATATACCCAATGGTACTGATTATGGCGTTTAATTACCGATATAATTGTCATATCCTGCGAGACTCAGCTATGATGATCTTGCTAGTCAACACCCCCCGAAGCTGGAATTTGTCATGGCCTGTAATTAGTACGGAGTACAGTCTGAAAACAGTTGCGGAGGGAACTTGAAAACCTTGGAACTTTGGAAAATTATTCTCTTCGGTGGGCTGACACTTTAGGTGGGGACTAAACACTTTCGAATTTCGAGGTCCGCTTCCAAGATTTCTGGGCAAGGTTTATATGGATTTATATAAACACCTAGGCAATATCTATAACTGTCAAACATACCGTATAATCCTACAAAAAGAAGTGGTTTTACTTTAAGAAAGTAGTCCTACTAACTCCTACATTCCAAGGTTAACCTTAGTGTGATGAATCTGAATCCATACCAAAGCTTTAAAAATGCTTAACTGGACAGGTGAATTATTAAAGATTTTGGACCTTATAAACACCTGGTAGTAACGATGGAAGCGTTGACCGACGTACACCCATGGACCTAATGCAAAGTTGAATGGATAGCTTTCCCGAATCTGCTGCCAGACGCACGTGAGATTTATGGCCCCGGAGCAGTTCAGGTTATTTACTAAATCGATAGCTTAAGTCACTCCACTGAATGTCCGCCTAACTCCGGAAACCTGCTTCCACGCCATAATACGACGTCTTCCAACGCTTCAGGGCAATCCATGAATGCAAGACTCGCGCTCATTAGCCATTTTTACTCATATAAAGAGACTCTTACTGAGAACCTTCTGGTAAGATTTGTAATTTCCTTTAGCCATCTTATGAGAAAAGGAAAACGTTCGAAGTGATAAATTCTTAGTATCTAGGATAACCTGTCAAAGTGGGACTTCATCAATTACCTACTCTGTCTCTGGTCTATAAAGCATATGCTTCTCAATTTGATTCTTTCTTGAACATGCCTATTGAGCAATACATTTGCCTCACCCACCGGCGGGCTTCGGAACGATTTACTTCACCAAATTTAAGAACCGCACTCCAGAGAGCAAAACATCATATAAGGGTTCAGGACACCGAGTGGCAATGCTGTTTAACAAGAGTGTCGGAACGATGGTTTGACTAGTCTTAATGTTGCATATGCATCTACTTTTTGGTAAATGTATGATTGCGAGTTGTAAGAGGTGTGTTATTCAATCTTGTCCTCGCTGTAACTAAATAGATAAAACTCACTAGATCCACTTCATCGACGGCATCGTAACCATTCTCATTGGTCCTGTGCCCCACTTTGGCCTGTGCAACCGCTACAGTAGAGGCATATTTGCTATCTTTTACATCTTTTAGCTTTTAAAAGACAGCCCCCCTGAAATGAATTTTTATTGATTTTTGAGAGTGAATTAGTAGCATAGTTGAAGTTTGAAAACATGTGTTGGTACAAAGATACTACATAATGGGTCAAAAGTCTGTTCACTCCCGCGTTTTAGCGCTTTTTTCGCGTCGTCTACACCCACCTTTTTATTTTTCGTTCATTTTACTAACCATAGCTCCGTTTGACACAAAAATTAGTGGAAACTGTGATAGAAATCAAGAGCTTTCTACTGAACAACGCTCTGGAATTATTTTTAGCCTTAAGAATGGTGTATCGCCCTCTAAACTTGCTGCTATCTATGGCTGCTCCCGCAAGACAATCTATCATACTTGCAATCACTATAAAGCCACCAAAACGCTTGAATCTCGCCCTCGAATTGAACGTCCACCTATATATAATAGAGCTGCTAGACGCTGGATTTATTTAAAGACGAGTCAACATCCATTCTAGAGCCATAGGCGACTTGCTGTAAACATCGATTTTCACCTCTCCCGATCAACATTACAGAAAATCTTCAAGGCTTATCACCTACCTAAATGTCCTCAAAAGCATAAGATCTCTCTTGAACCTCGTTTTACAAAAGACAGACTTTAATTCACTCAGAGATGGCGTCAGGATGTGGATTGGAAGAAATGGATCTTCTCGGACGAATGTTCGGTTCAGAGAATATAAAATTCTGATATCTAGCGAGCTTGGATGTTGAAATTAGAGACTTGTTCAAGTAAATTTGTCAATTACAAAGCGTATGTGAAGGATATTTCGCAGGTGGTATGGGCGTGTATATGGATTGGTGGTCGTTCAAAGTTGGTGGTTATGGAGCGCGATTCGAAGTCTAAAGGTAAAGGATTTACTAGTAAATCCTATATCAAAGCCCTAGAAAAGGGTCTTCTACCACACTATAAGGATGATGATACACTTTAGTAGGATAATGCTAAAATTCATACATCAAAGGAAGTAGGAAGGTGGTTTCAACGTTGGAGGATTCGTCTTGAAAAATGGCCTGATCACCTGATATGAGCCCGATCGAACCATGTTAGTATCTTCTAAAGTGTGGGTTAAGAAAGCTACACCCCGAATTAGTCGAAATGGGCCAAACTGCAGCTGATTGGGCCTATTTAAGACCTGTATTTGCCAAGCTTGAGATGCCATTCTATAGGCGACAATTGGTAGTCTAATTAGGTCTATGCCATATATATTAGCCGTTGTACGTAATCCTAGAGAACATTATACTAAATATGGAATAAAATCCAATTCTCCTGTCATTTACCTGTATGAATATATATATTATTGTTGGAATATGGAACAAAGCAGTCATGTGATCAAACCGTCACTTAATAATAGCTAGCAAACTAAGAATGAAACTCAGACTTTACAACCACTTCAAGAGGACACATAGATATTATAGGGGCGTAAAACGTTACCTCTAATAGATGTCAGAAGTGGGCGTTAGCCTCTTGCCTACCTTATCGAATAACTATTCTATACTCAGTACTGGGGTACCGACAATTATACAGCTATAGCTATAATATTCATGTAGATATAGGTCGTTGAAGTAATTATATATATTTGGGGTAGGTGGTTTAATTCCTGTGTGTGTACTCCGTACAGACGTATGATCTATAACGTAGGTAGATAGAATACCAATCAGACTGGCGCTTGATCGATTCTCGTCCTAGACAAGCCCAACCTCGGAACGGAACAATATGCACGACCTGTAGAATGCAACAGTTGAATTGATTAATGTCAGTTTGTCTAAAATAACTCCTGGTTCTTAAGTGCCAATCGCTTTGAATGGAGGCTTCTTGATGTGTTGTTCCGGTTCCATAGGCAACGTCGTTTCTTTTATGATGAGTCGATGTACCTGGCCATAACAAGGAAAGGTTGCCAGGTTGTGTAGCCGGGGCATGCATGTCAGCGCCGAGGCTAGACTTCATCTGCCATGCTGTATGGCTGATGACCATTGGGTGATCGAGCCATTTCCGATAACTTGCAGATGTCTGAGCACTTTTAAAGCCTGTCAGGGGCTATGCAGTTCATTCGTTTAAGTCCCCAGAATTTTAATTTTAATCTCCTTCACCAATCAAAATATGATATGCCGAATGCACTGATAATGCGATTCGTAAGTAGTAATTATGAAGGCTTAGGCTTACGAGACTAAGAGCAATCACACGAAAACGCCGAGAATGAAGCAAAAAGGCAAACCCTAGAGAGGTATATGGATCGGTAGCATTTATATGTAAGATAGCCCTTTTCAATAGAAGGCATCTAGCACATGCATATTAGTTCCCGCGATCATTGCTGCTCTATACAGGGATGGTATGCAGCAATACCGAACGGGCTTATTTTCGGCTTAAGCTGTGTGCTTAGACCATCTAGTCCGAGCAAATAAGAGCACTCGAGTAGGTCAATTTCGATTTCATCTGGCATACACCAACCATAGTTCTTCCGACGTCCATAAAAAAAAAACTTTGAAATCCCAAACCCAAGCTCCCCGCCAGTTTCTTCAATGTGAGATCTGCCAATTTTGCTTACGGGTATGCAATACCAATCACCAATTAAAGTGCAGGTTGAGCACCCCTTGTATGGAGCTAATGCCTGTTTATTTAAACAGCAATGTCAGATATCGCCCATCCCGGTACTGTTGCTCTCGACCAGGGCATAACCCATGGCGTTGATAAAAAGTAGCAAACCACACTCATCCTTTCAGCCATCGGACGAATGGAGTGCTCAAACCGCCGAACGAGCGTATTAATGGTATGTATGCTCCTCAATTAAACGGAATATCTGTGAAAGCGAGCTTATGACAGCGCGGAGGGGAATCATCCATGTTCCCATACCAGGCAAAAAACACCTAAAAAGCGAGGCAGCTACTCTGCAGTACATCTGCCGTGTCAGAAATATCCCCGTCCGATATGTATGGTATATTTGAAGTAGACGACTCGTTCCTTATCATCACAGAGCATACCGAGGAAATATATATGGGCTATCTGATGGGTAAAAGAGAATTTTCATCGTGGAGATTCAGCGGCATCTTGATACTCTTCGTTCTATCACGTTTGATATAATTGGTGGACCTTCTGATATCATGATACTGTTTTATTTAATCATGGAAGAATACAAGGACAGTGATACTTGGTCATTGATTGCGCCGGCCGATTGAACGTATGTTTTTTGCCACAACGATATCTCCCAGCATAACATTATTGTTGATCCGTTCACGTTGAAGATCAATGCTACCATTGAATGGGAGTACGTAGGGTTTTTTTCTACGCTGGTTCGAGGATGATTTCTATAAGCGGCCGGGTCAATCGGAGGATGATCTTCGGCAGCTAATTGAATTTCTCCAATCTTGTCGGCAAAAATAGATACTGCTAGTGGTTATGTATAACATAGACACATGTATTGACCCCGCTCATTTACCTATAGTTAAATATACTAGAAAATCCCATGTCATGCAAGCGTTAATCAAAACAAAAAATTAGCTTCAAAGAGTATCGTCAAATACATGCACTCTGGACATTACCCCTCTCGATGGGCCACTAGTGACACCGTGCCTGCGGTAGTGTGTGTCATGTAGGATCATTGTAAATCAGTCTTGACATTGGAAGGCACGTCGGGACGTTAGCATAAAGTATCAGGTATTAGGCCTTCCAAGATGGGAAAGAGCATGGAGTGGCACGCTCCAGGAGACTGGATTGAGGTTAGGGCACTTGTGTTACGGCGCTAACTAGTAACAAGGATAATTGAATGTGCAGATCCCCGAGTCCAAGAGCTACACGGAAGGAAGGCATGTGCATTGGTCGCTGTTAACACATGAGATATGGATTGGGACGGAAATACTAAAAGTATCAAATTTGATTTGAGTGGAAATTCGGGAAGAATCAGCACGTTCAAACCTAAGTAATATCTGATTACCAACCCACTTAGGTAAGTGACAGCAGGCTGATTGATAGAATAGTTCAAACTTTTTCATCGCTTGTATTTTAGCTCGTATTCGCACGGAGCACTGGGCAATACCACAGAAATCAATGTCAGTGGGTCTCATGTTGAACCTTCAAGACTTCGTACAAGTTGCGGGGTTGTAAACATCCTGTTCAATACTGTAACTACTTAGCTAGCCTAATTGGGTAAAAGAATACCTTTTGGTGGCGAATCTCCTGTTGTATGCAAACCATATTCATCACCATAATCATCTTCCAAGTTCCATTCATTATTCCTAAACCTCGTCTCATTCTGGAAATCAAACCCCTTCTTGAGCTGATCTAGCCGCTCGACTCGGTCGGGCGTAGCGCAGTAAAACTTTGGGCGGTTGCATGGCCCTGTAGGAGTGCTGATTATTGTGCCACTCGGATTATATCTCTTTGTGCCTCGGGCTTATGGGTAGATCCGCTGCCAGGATGATTAGATTTGGGGTAGTGAAAAAGCAAATTAGTACGGAGTACGGAGTACCTAGGCACTATGCGAAGAATGACAAGGGTGCCGGACACCTTTAAGCCTTCGGTTTGATCGGAATCTATTGCAGCTTCCAGCTTCGGATTTTGGACAGGTTAGACTGGATTTGATCTCAAAGTATTATCCCATGATATCTATAATCCGAGTAACCCGAGCCTGCGCTCAGTACATTACTGGGAAGATGCGTTGACATCTTTGATATTATACCTCGATTATCTAGCCTGTTAAAGACGTTGGAAAAGTGAAAAGGCGGTTAATTAAGGGCCTAGACTAATAGTATGATGTAATATGTCTGTATCCGGCCTTAACGCACGGACTTATTGGGCGCCAAGCGTTATCACATTCCACCTCTGTTTTCTTCAGAATAGTACTCTCTATGATAGTATGATATCCAGCCACATCAGACCAGGAAGCCTATTATACAAGGTCTCGGGTAGCAGGTATCAGGTCTCAGGTCTCAATATGTCCATATGGTCCGATTTGGCGAATACACTTTGGCAAGCCCCGAAGTGGAAAAGAATCCGGCACCGCACATATAGACCACTTGTGCATCCCTGCAAAGATTCCTGGCTTATGTCCTGGAGAACAAATAGTGTGGTCTGGCCTAGCCCATAGCGGTAAGGCACAATAATGCTACTCATATGAAACACAGGGCAATAGATGTTACTGTATAAGAGCAGAAGCACGAGGGAACAGTAAACTTTCGCCTATAACCTAAGTCACTATCAGTTACTATATAGGTAGGTTTGAAATGGAAAGAAGTCAGCTCACTAAACTACTAGTTCTGTTGGACCTTTTGCCAAATTGAAACTGAACTGGCACCGAGCCACCGGTTAAGAGGGACGATTGGTGGGCTGTTTCCGTATAGGACTAAAGCGGACTTACATCGGCAAGTCGATGATCCTACCTAGTTGATAGAATATAGGCATCTCTACCGTGGTCCTTTCAACAGTGGATATTTAGTGTGAAGGATTTCAAGGTTGATTCAAATGTTAAGGCTTAATAGCATAGGTTTCGTTATACTTGATAGTTTAGACAAGATCTCGAGTCTATAGACATGCGCAGGTAATTCGTACATCCACCAATATATCTTTTAGTGGGTCAACGAGGTACATAGTAATACTAGAACGAAATAAAACCACTCTACTTTTGAATATCAAAGTCTTCAACACGGGCCAGATCATCAGAGTCTGACAACCTTGGGAAGCCCCACATGCAGTAAGTTTCTTGTATTAACTATGTTTGGTACTGTACCCTAACCTTTTTTTTTTTTTTTTTACTCCTGCCTATTGTAAATCGAGAGTTCAATTTAACTTAGCATTTGTCCTTTTTTTTTTTTTCTAAAATTCATTTTTATGATCTTTGATTTTCGAATTGTGGCGTTCCGATCAATCTCCCTTCTCCGTAGTCTGCAGTCCGTACTCCGCTCTCAATACCCTACCCACCCAAATTGACCCAACCCAACCTCCCCCTTCCCCCTCTCAATAACCTACACCGGTCATTTAACCTCGACATTATTCGTCGCCATTCTTTTTTGGACATTCCTTGACTTCTATTTCAACCGAACTAGGTTTTCCTTCTATTGTGGACTCTTATAACTACGGTCCTTTTTGCTCCCCCTACCACCTCCCCCAAAGTTTCATCCTCCCCACGTGTTGTTGCCTGCGTGAGAGAACCTCGATTTTCTCGAACAGTAGCAGGCCTACCTCGATAACCCCCTCTCTTGGCGACCCGCTGTCCGGTACACGGGTCTTGGTCGACCTCGCCGACCTCACCGACTTAACGATATCCCCTCAGGCCATCTACGAGAGTAATGCTGGCCCATTCCTACCTTACTGAGCTTGTATGAGGCTCTTCATCCATCATTATATAATTAACACATACCTGTGAAAAGGATGCTCTGCTGCAATCTTAGCACCGTCGACCCGCATCAATAAACTGTCCAAAAAAGGGTTCGAAAAGGAGGGGAAAAACCCAACACAACAACTAAATTATACATTAAAGAATAAGAATGACTGAGCGCAGCTCCTCAGCCAGTCTTGAGGCTCTGGACCATGTGGCTCAAAATGGGCATGTTTCAGAAGATCCCAACCGATCCGACGAGCTGCCGCACGCCCCGGCTACAAACGACAAGATCGAGACCAAGCATGCATCGACAAAGCACGCACCGAAGTCTACCGCTATGAGCGATATATCTGAAGCAAAGGCTAGCATGCGTCAGGCCTTTTCGCACGTCCACGGCTCCGGCCGATCACCTTCAACCCGCTCTTCGTCCAGCTCTTTGCAGGCGCTCAACGAACACATTGTTGTCGATGCGTGGTCGGAACATGGCAGCGTAGGACGCAGTCCGAGGAGAACATCTCGACAATTAGAGAACTCCACTTCTGAATATCCTGAATATCCCGTATATCCCGATCAGTCATACGCCTCGTTGCAATCCCAGATACATCCAGTCTACAAAACAGCACAAAAACGCTCAAGCAGCTCATTTGCCCCTAAGCCACCTGATGCCTTGCCTCGATTTCCCCGTGCTACTCGCACTGCAGGAAACACACCTATTTCGAGCCCTGGACTGTTCTCCATGACCAACCCCCGCACTACACCGCCATCTGGGTCCGATGATGGTGGGATCGGCAGTCAGTTTCTACATCCTTCACATCTCCAACCGCCCAAAGAAACCCATACCGCCGAAGTGGATAGAGACCTGGTCACAGGAAACAAGCATATCAACCAATACGAGATCCTGGAGGAACTTGGGCGAGGAGAACATGGCAAAGTCAAGCTGGGTCGCCATGTCACAACCAAACAGAAGGTTGCCATCAAAATTGTTTCAAGGTACTCCAAGCGTCGGCGACTCGGGAAGTTGGGCAACCCGGAAGATAAAGTGAAGAAGGAGGTGGCCATACTGAAAAAGGCGCGACATCCCAATGTGGTCAGTCTGCTTGAAGTTATTGACGATCCCAACCGTCAAAAGGTGTATATAGTACTGGAGTACGTGGAGAACGGCGAAATCGTCTGGCGGAAGAAAGGTCTTCGTGAGATCGTCCATGTCGATAAACTGCGACTGGAGCGAGAGAAGGAGGGGATTCCTGACACTCCAGCTTTCTTGGAAGAGAGTCACCAATTTATTAAAACCGCTTTGCACCTTCGTCAACAAAGAGAAAGGGCACGGCAAAAGATTGAAGCTCAGGCTGCTGATGCGCGACAGGGGCCTGTTCCAGCTTGGAGTTTAGAGCATGGAGCTGAATCATCAGACGAGGAAGAAGATGAAGAAGGATTGGAAAGGAGGAGATCATCTACTCGCTCCGCTGCAGTCACGGACGAAAACTCTTTTACTCCTGCTCAAGAATTAGCCTTGGCAGCTATTGAAGGCACCATGTACGGGGCCTACTCAGATTATCCCTTTGAAAGGCGCTTCAGCACTACATCGAGTAGCTTCGGCTACGCTCCATCCGAGCCTGAGTGGTCCGCCGATGCAAATGACATGTCTTATGTACCTTGCTTGACCATCGACGAAGCCCGCGTTGCATTCAGAGATTCTGTTCTTGGACTTGAATACCTCCACTATCAGGGCATCATTCATCGCGATATTAAGCCTGCCAACCTTCTGGTCACTGGCAGCCATCGGGTCAAGATCTCCGATTTTGGCGTTTCTTACCTGGGACGACCAATGCGCGACGAGGACGAAGAGGAGGAGGAGGAGCAAATCAATGAGACCGGCAAAGCAGCTCTAGAGCTGGATGATGCCCGCGAGCTCTCCAAGACTGTCGGTACTCCTGCTTTTTATGCTCCGGAGCTCTGCTATACTGGAGATGACTTCGAGGAAACTATCGGCTCCGTTCCCAAGATTACTGGCGCAATCGACGTTTGGTCCTTGGGCGTAACGTTATACGGCATGGTGTTTGGCCGCCTTCCTTTCTTGTCGGACGATGAATATAGCATGTTCCAGACCATTGTGAAGAAGGAAGTCTTTATCCCACGTACCCGCTTGGTTCCTGTCAAGGATGACTCGTTGGACACCGTGCAAGAAAATTGCCGCGAGAGCTATGAACTTTTGTACGAGAATATTGATGTTGAATTATACGACCTGCTCCGCCGTCTATTGACGAAGGACCCGGTGAAACGAATCACTTTGAAGGAGATTAAGCATCACCCCTGGACTCTACATGGTCTACCAAACCCCCGCGCCTGGGTTGAGGAGACTGACCCCGGCTATCAAAGCAAGGGCAAAAGAATTGAGGTCTCCAAAGAGGAAGTGACGAGTGCTGTCAGCAAAGTCCCATTCATTCAACGCGTCCGATCAAACGTAGCCAAATGGTTTGGTGGTCGGTCCCATCATCACAAGGAGAAAGAGCCTCACAAACGTAACTCAAACTCAAACTCCACGGATACCTTGTCTTCAATTTCATCAGCTAGCACGTTCGGCAAGGGCGGTCATAGTAGTCGTCGATCCAGTCTTAGAGGAGATGAGGAGATGCCACGGCCGTCCAAACTGAATGTCCCAGGAGAACATCCACTGGCCCAGAGCGTCACCGCGAGTCCAGTGGAGGGGGGCTCATGGGTGTCCTATTTCGAGTCAGCATCAATGTTCGAAGGCAAGGTTCCCGCTGCCCATGCATCAATGGTGTCGGCACAAAGGGTGTCGGCGCAAAGACCTGGTCCTCCCCAGCGATCAAAGTCCTCCATGTCTACTACGGAATCCACCAAATCCACCAAAACCGTCAAGAGGTCCAGTTTCGACGGGCGAAGGGGCACTTCGTCCATCATTGAGGCTTTGGGAACCGCAAACCTAGGCAATATATTTAGCGGTGCGACTCGGCGCGCATCATCCCGCATTGGAAGCCTCAGCCGGCGATCTTCTCCAACTGGAGAGCGTATATCTGTGGATGGAGACAGACATGCCGAGCCCAGTCTCGCTCTGAGTATTGCGTCGGCAGTTGGTGACATGCAAAACACGGGCTTGTGGCATGCTGAACCTCCCGCGTCGCAAAGCCCCACAACGGCCTCTCTTCATCGTCGCAACCGGTCTCAACAGCTGACATGCAAGTCTTCGAGGGAATCTTTTCATCTCACCAAGGAAGCATTGCTGCGGCGTAGGAAAAGTGACATAGCGCACAGTCCAGAAGATACTTTGGCTCCGAGGTTAGCTCTCGAAAGTGCTATGTACTCGACCGACTCCCTTCGCTTGCCATTCATGTCGTCTCAACCAGACCCAGGATATATTGCCGAGCCCGCTAGCAGCTGCCTGTCTGTTCAAGACCCATCCGTCACCATTTGTTCCTCCTCGGCTGATGATTTTACCAGCGGCATGTCGCAGAGTGCCTCCCACCCCAGCATCCCGTCTGTAGTGTCTGGTGCGTCCTCTCTTTCTGGTGACACGCCATATGTTCAGAGCAAAGATTCAAATGGGGCCGAAGTACCCTCTTTGCTCCGTACATGCGAAACTGTCAAAGCCAACAACGATTGCTCTCCAAGACCTTCAGAAGAGGACGAATCAAGGTACTACTGCGATGACGAGGATGATGATGATGATTCCGAAGAGGAAGTACTCGTGATCGGAAAGAAGAAGACATCTCCGAAAATCCCTCTCAAGCCATCGACTTGATTTACTACTGAGCCCCAAGCTTTCAACGGCATAATTCAACCCGGCCCACCCGGTCCACCACATCTACCATCTCCATTTTACCTTCTCACCCTATGAATCTGTACACTCTGTGCTCGTTCTATATCATCTTTCCCCCGCAGGTTTCCCTGCAGATCCCCGAGACTTGTGACAGTCCTAGAGGTTGTTCACAAAGCATTCTCATTTTGCCTGGCTTGTATATATAACTTTTTTTTATCAGGCAAATTCCCTATACCCAGACTCCAAGATTTACTTCCAATCTTGGTTTCTTCAGGTGCTGGATATACTCATTTATCAAAGATTGGATTGATCTCCACCGATAACCTTTTTTGATTTGTTTCTTTTGATAATCTGTTTGCTCCCAAGTGAGCTTGCTCAGATTGTTTTACCCCCCTTGTTTTTACACTTTTACTTGTATGTAATGCTGATGATGATGAACTCTGGGAAAGGGGGTTTTATGATGATTGTTTATCCTTTTTTTTAATCAGCTGAAGATGTCTAAATGATGCTTGATGCTTGATGCTTGATGCTTGAGGCTTGGGGCCTACTGCAATGACAAACTGACGAAATGATTTGGGATCTTCTCCCTGCTTGAATATGCCTTCTAGCTTTTCTTCATAAACACAAAGACACTGCTTTCTAGTGTATTGTAAAATATTAACGCATAGCACCATAAAAACCTTTGGAATCATTTCAAGATTTTAGAAATCATAACAGTCGGGAACTTCATACCTCACGTCACATGACTTAGTAGCTTAGTATTCTAACGGTCCCAATTCTGGCAAATAACTACTATGGCCCTGTGGGTTTGTTAAAACAGTACTTTCTCGCCCCGCCTTTCTGCCATATTTTAAATACCGCCTATAGTAATCAAAATGCACTTTACCTATATATTACATAGCTGTAATTTATAATAATATAATAGCCAACTCTAATATATTCTACTCTTAGTTCATTCAACAAGGTAATAGAAAACCCGAAAAACGATTCATTTTTTTTTAAACTAGAGTCTAGTGTAACACACTAGAATTTAGTATAACCACCATTTGCATTGATCACAGCTTGACATCTCGCTTCCATTAAACCAATCTGCTCTTCCAAAAACGACTCTGGTACAGCAGCATCCTAAGCCTCTTTCACCACCTCACGCAGCTTATCATAAGAAAGCTTAACATCCGTCCGAAGGTAATGTTTTCCAATCCAATCTTTCATCCAGTTCCACACCATCTTAATCGGATTCAGATCAGGAGAATTTGCAGGCCAATGAACTAGATAAATCCCACGATCAATAAGCTCCTCAACCGTGTTAGCAGCACGATGAGCAAGGGCATGATCTTGCATATATAGTAATTTTAGCTATTCTTCATCATAAGCAAGTTTGATCATACCTTCCACCAGAGGGGGAATCCTCTCACAATAACTCTGACTCGTAATGGTTCCCCATTCCTTCTCCCAAAAAAGACAAGGCGCTTTTTTAGCACCATGGAAACTCCCCCAGAACATCCATCAGGAGCTCATTGAAGTCTCGTACGCATACAAAAAGGATCCCAAACCTCATCAGGTTTTCGGGTAACCCAAACCCGTCGTTGAAAGACAGACGTAACCCAGGTCTCGTCAGACCATAGGACTCAATTCCACTCCTCTCGTGTCCAACTAACATGTTCGCGAGTAAATTGAAGACGATATTCTTTCGTCTTATCCGTCAAGAGAGGTTTCCGGAGAGCAATACGTCTAGGATAACCTCTCTTTTTCATAGAATGACGAAGCGTTTTCCAGCTAACATCAAGCTCAAGATATCGAATAAGCTCTTTCCAAGTCATTCGACGCGCAAGCTCAGAAGAAGTAAGAAACTATTCAATCATATCAAGCTCAGGAGCAGATAGCTTAGAAATAGCACCTTTCCCTTTATGCGGTGTAGGCCGTGAGTCAATAAAGGCATATTGAACCTGCCGAGGACTTAAACCAGTCTCAGCTGAGATCTCAGCATAAGAACGCCTTAGATCTCATAAAAAAACGAGCTAAAATACGCTCCTCTCTAGTAGCTGGCGAGCGAGCTTTTGGTGGAACAGGAGGAGGAGGGGTTTCAGGAATCTCAAGTTCAAACTCAAGAGTAGCCATAATAGAGATAGTATGGTATAGTAGTAAGTGGGTAATAGTAGTGGGGATAGTGGGTAAGATTTAAATTAAACCATAGTTTGTGTGCCTTGAAATATGGTGTATTACGCTAGGCTATATTAGGACTAGTTTCCGTAAGGCGGCAGGAGGGAGTAAGTACCACGCTAACAAACCCACAGGGCCATACCATAGTATAATCAGGATGACCAATAACGATGAGTAGTTAATGCTCCTTATGATAACTAACTTGTCAAAGGACTGATTCAAAATTTAGTTTAGTGCATAGTCAGATTCCGTAACTAGCATCACCGCCAGATCATTGTTTAGTTGAACACACACACACACACACACACACACACACACACACACACACACACACACACACATATTTGACTACTCTGCTCCTATTTGCTCGCACGAATCCACTTTCAGTCCCATTTGACATAACTACATAAACAACTCGAATGATGTTTAGACACGTAGGTGGCGGTGATGACAAATCTGGTCTGCATGCATGCTATACAGGGGCGCAAGCTAACTATTTTGTTTAACATTTTGGTGTTCTGGAACCAGAGAACTTTGAGAACACATAATTTATGTTAGATTGAAAAATCTGAGACTCGCTGACATCTAGGAATCCTGTTGTTGAGCCAGACTATTCATAATATTATTAATGATAGTGGTTATGAGCTTCACGATGGGCTGCTCCACTGTAGAGATGAGAATGCATAAATAAGCCAAGAAAACGAGACTGAAACAAAAGCGAATATTCATCTCATTTGGTAATCTCTTTAAGTTATTAATAGGAGTCTCTAGGTAAAGTCCGTTCACTTTCACTTGAACAGGTGGGTATTTATCTGATCGTCTGGGTAGATGGATCTTTATAGAACAAAGACCAGATGCCACATATAACATGCTAGGTGGAGAGGAAATGCAACAGCTCTATTTTCCCATCGGGGACACATCGTAGATTCGGTCATAGCGATGAGAGGATTATAGAAAAGGACCGGGGTCACCTGGGCAGTCTTTTAATTTACTATCTTTAGTGGATACAAATCTCCCATATAGATCCACTTCTCTTCCAAAGCTGAGAATTATACGGAGTACTCCGTACAAAATCAGACCCCATCATATGTGGAGAAATCCCTCTCAACCGTGCTCATTACTCTGCACGGCCGACAGTCCATGCGCCATCAGCACCCATGCTCATCTAAAATAGCACCGTGAAGTTCCGTGTGATTATGGAGAATGGGATGAGAGATGAGAGATGAGATCTCAGAGCATGGTGAAAATGAGAAAAGGTTTTTAATTCAGTGGTGATATAAATAGGGGAAAACCTATCTAAAATCACTAGACCAAGATATTTAATGACGTTTAGTTTGGGGGTTGCGAACTCGGTTCTCGATCGGCTTTAATCTTAAATAAAAGGAACTACCAGTCACCTGGGTATTGAAGGATGGAAGATCGTTGATGAATTTTCCTAGGTGTCCCCATCTCATCTTGTTTAATTTCAGGGAGCTCATAGATTGGCGTGAACTTTGAAAAACACGTGTCTAAGCGATGCCGATCATAACTAATCTCTGTGGTGCATAATGAGCCCACGCCACTTTTGAAGGTCCTTCAGTCTCAATTTGACCACTAGTCCGGAGAATGTAAGAAACTAGTGCTAATTAGCAGCGGGTGAGAAATTAGTGTGCTTACGACAACGAGCCATACACAACCCAGCCATACATAGCCCTGATATAGTAGGAAAAGACCCACCCACAATAGAATGAAGCACGCTACAACAACAGACTAGTCTAAGGGAACCAGGAGAGGTATAATACATAGCTGCGGTGTGCCGCCGCACGGAATCTTGACTGTCATCCTCTAATTACTAACTTTGGGTATAATACAATGTCAACAAACGGTTACACAGACTGTGTGGCTGGCACATTTTATGGATTCGATAACACTGAATTCAACCCCGGCGATGTGTTTGACTTGAAATGGGGTGCTGTGGATAATGGAAGCCGACCCCTGAACATTTCTCTTGGTCGACCAGGAGGGCAAGTGCTAGACCAGATTGTTGGTAGGCGCATTACTAGAGCGACATCTTGGATCTTAAAAGCTAATAATTCTTCAGCTAGGGCCAGCTTTAGCACAACTAGCAATATCTACAAACTGCTGAAGAACGAGACAGCTAATTGCACGTTGGAGACCTATAGCTGGGCTATCCCCACAGACTTCAACACCACCGACCCAGAATATCAGCTTGGACTGTTCGATGGCGAAGTTGATCTCGGCGAAGATGGTATCGATGATTATGGTTGGATATCTTGGAGTCCGGATTTCTACGTCCGAGATGAGTCGAGCACGACCTCAGTATCCAGTTCCACAGTCACTGGATTGGTGACAAGCACTGCGACAGGCACCGCGACAGGCACCGCGACAGACACCGCGACAGACACCGTTGCGACAAAAAACATTACACCCGCGATATCTTCCTCTTCCTCTTCCTCTTCCTCTTCATCATCTTCCTCCTTCTCAAATAATACTTCATCTTCGAACTCGACTAAGATTGGCGTTGGTGTCGGTGTCGGTGTTGGTGTCGCTTTGCTGATTGTTCTGGGCTTTATTTGGTTCCTGTATAGGCGGAAAAATAGTCGTATCAACGGCGGACCTATAGAGCTTCAGGGTGCGAGTGCATCTGAACTTCCAACAAAGGAGCCAGTGGAAGAATATTTAGAAGAGCCTGCAAAGGCAAGGGTAATACCCGGACAACATGAGGTGGAATAATATTGCTTTTTTTCGTCTTCCAAAGCTATGGCGCATAAGGCCATCCGGGATTTATGCCTTGATTATTTACACTAAAACTAATCAGGATATATAAAATAATTATATTCACAGCCTTGAAGTTGGCTGTCTAGGTCCATCCGTGGACGCAAGAAAGCTGTTATTTAGTCCAGAATGATTGTCAGATACCCAGGTGGTGATAATTTCAATTACTCATCACTACTATTCTCCATTTTTTGTTCTCTGTTCTAGACCTCTTTCTGATTCATTCTGTTGCTATTCTTTTTCGTAGTTATCGCCTACCCTTGATTTTAAATTCTTTTTCAGGGAGCCTAGACCAAGTGCGAAGTTGGGAAAACTATGGCCTATATAAGTGATTCAAAGGCTATATGGAGCAAAAAGAATTGTAATGGGAGGTCAGGAAAACGGTGATCTATCTTGAATTATATCAGACATGGGAAACCGCTGCTTGCGTGAAAGTACGGTCAGAATTATAGACTCAATGTTTAGGCCCAAACAATTGAGTCAATGGATCCTGTGTACCCCGGTAGATTCAATGGACTAATCGATATTAAATAGGGCACCCGTTATGCGACCATGCTTTTCCCACCGAAGCTCTATCAGATAGCTCTACTAGGAGTGATTATGGCACACTCTGAACCCACTAAGCTTTGTATAGAAAATACAACCGAGAGATCAGGGTGCATCCCTGGATATGGCTAGAACCTGAAATACCATTAGGGCGTGATTCTACTTGCAACACTGGAAACCTTTGGTATTATATTGAGGTTCGGAACATGCCTAAAATGTTGGTCACATCAGGCAGATCAGAATGTATTGGTAGGACGCATACTTATATCATATATGGACCATACATAGCAGTTCAGGACTTAATGATCCATATAATGAGATCGAAAGTTCTGTGTACGGCCCCTACTTCTCTTCCTTCTTTACTTTTACTCTGTTGCTAGGTCAAGGGGTATAGCACATCTATGAGGAAAAGAAATCCGCAATCGCTTTATCACTGAATGAAAACTTCAAATCAGAGTCTATCTTCAATCACTCCGGCAGATGGTTAATCCAGTTTCAAAAGAGCCATACATCAGAATCAAAACTAGAAGAATGTCACTGCATGACAATAATTATTCACACAATTAGAGATCTAGTAATTGGCTGGTAATGATGATCCGACTTGCTTTCGGTTTCTTCCTACAGCCCATGGAGAGCTAATTTCAATTGGAATTAGTAATCATTGGCCACCTATCAGTAGTATTAGCCACTGTATCAGAGCTGGAGTTCCTGGCCCTAGGTATTAACCTTCATGGTGAGAATGCTAAGATTTCATTGTCGATTTTACCTCGCTGCCCACGTGATATGTATGCAATAACGCTAATCCAAATCCAGTTAAGATCAAATTACCTTATCTCGATAACGATTATATTCTGCCATATCTTACCGTCAAAAAAAACATCCAGGACCCAAAGTTTGAATTTTTTTCCAGGAAATAAATTCAATTTTCTTTCAAATTTTGAGATTCAATTTTGACTCAAAATTATGGAAGGCCCCCAAATTGAGAAAGATGCTCAGCCATATTCCTCCATGGCTGGGAAGCTCGATAACAGACTGCTCAAAGGCCTCGATGTGATGGGCTTTGAGTTTATGACCCCTGTCCAACAACGCGTTCTGAACGAACTTCCTGACTGGCGCAGCGACTGTCTTGTCCAGGCCAAGACTGGCACTGGTAAAACCTTGGCTTTCTTGCTACCTGCCTTGCATTGTATCCTTCAGGGCCAAGCTCCCCCGGCGGGCCATGTTGCCATCCTCATCGTTACTCCAACCCGAGAGCTCGCCCAGCAAATTGCGAAATCTTGCGATCAACTGACTTCACAACTAGCCAAACCTCTTGAATGCCACATAGCAGTTGGTGGTACATCCCGTTCGTCCAACCTGAGTGCCTTCATGAAAGGAAAGCCTTCAATTCTGGTTGCCACCCCGGGACGACTGAAGGACTACTTGTCCGAGGCTCCCACCGCCAAGAAGCTGTCCAAGATTCAGACCCTTGTCCTTGACGAGGCTGACACGATGCTTGAGAGCGGTTTCTTGCAGGAGTTGAAGGCGATCCTCAGACTTCTCCCGCAGAAGAGCGTCGGTTGGCAAGGCATGTGCTTCTCAGCTACTGTGCCACCCAAGGTCAAGGATGTGGTCAGTGTTGTGTTAAAGTCTGGTTATACCAGCATATCGACAATCGAGAAAAACGAAGCACCTACCCACGAGAGAGTGCCCCAGTACTACGTGGAAATGCCATCTGTCGGAAACACTTTTACTACACTCACTTCCCTTATCAAGCACGAGTCTAAGAACAGTTCTAAGATAATTGTCTTCGGTGTCACTGCCAATATGGTTGCTCTCATGGCCAAGGTATTCGCCAAGGGCCTGACCAATTTGAAGGTGTTCGAGATCCACTCCCGGCTCAGCCAGTCTGCCCGTACTCGCACAACCGAGCAATTCAAGGAGGTGGCTGCCGGTATCCTGTTCGCATCAGATGTCATCGGCCGCGGTATGGATTTCCCGAACGTTGACCTGGTCATTCAGGTCGGCTTGCCGTCAAACGCTGAACAGTACGTTCACCGTGTTGGTCGTACAGCCCGGGCTGGTAATGATGGCCGCGCTATTATTCTCCTTACAAAGGGTGAAACTTTCTTCATGTCCAATAACCGCCACCTGCCCATTCAACCTCACCCCGAAAACGACGCTATCAACGCCGGCGCTCCCTCGTTTGGGACTGCCGTCATGACCGCTATGTATCAGCTCGAAGAGGATACAAAGCAACGTGCCTACTCATCCTACATTGGTTTCTTCGCTGGATCAGGTCTATTAAGACAGCTGCGCCTTGATAAACCTGCCCTTGTACAACTTGCCAACGAACTGGCTACTGTGGGCATGGGATGTCCCGAGCCTCCCCCGATGGACAAGAAGGTCATTGGTAAAATGGGACTGAAGGGTATTCCTGGCTTCAACTATGCCAACGAAAGTCAATCCGGCGGCCGAGGTGCCCCTCACCGACGCGACCACAGATCTCGTGACGTGCTTAGCCCTGGACACGGAGGTGGAGTTGAGAAGCGAGGTGGAGAAGGCCGTGGCCGTGGAGGTCGTGGTCGCGGTGGTCGGGGCCGGGGTGGTGGTGGTCGAGGCCGCGGACGAGGCCGAGGTGCTTAGGCTTTTAAGCCATAAATATGACCCTGCCTCGATGCGAAGTGTCAAAATTCTCATGATTTTTAGAACATTCAGTTTGGCGATTCCACTTTCGTACTACTTAGCTAGTACACATGACCGAGCACTCTCACTTCCTTTGACATAGAATTTTAATGAAATAGATTTAAAAGGTTATTACTTTTTACATGTAAGAGTGCATCACTACATCTGTATTTAGTTTTGCTCAACAAAACAGTAGAATGAGCCATTTTAATCTTAAAAGCTTGTGCCATCTACTTTTGGAGACAATGGTGTTAACTACAAAATTAAGTGCACTAACGCATGATTCCCAGCTGCGAATTCTCGTACTGTAGTTGTAACTTGGTCTTATCTACTTTTAAGGTTACAGCCTAGTCCTAATTGGGGATAGCTCATGTAAGACAGATTCTGTAAATCTTATCTTCATTTCTGTTCTCAAGGAGGACCTCGGCAAGGTGACAAGGAGCACTCTTGATGGCCTGATTTCTCGGTTGAAAGGTCTATAGTAAATGGAGTATATAGTGACGGGTACATATACTCCTTTTCCATTCTAGTGTAGTTTTTGAGACTTCGATTTTTCCCCCATAGAGACATTAGGGTGAGATGGTGCGCCGAGGACCTATGAAGGAATCAAACCTTGGCATATACTGATCGAATTACTACCATGAAAAAATTGCAGGAATGAGTGGATGCTGTATAAACCTGCAGTGGTAAAATAACTTTTCCTCATCTCGTTAACTCCAAACTGTGTTATTTAAACCTCTAAGATATTTGTTGGACGTTATATGCTTCTCACCCTAGTTAATATAGATTGGTCAATCTGAGATCATTCTAGGGGTATTTTTGTATTGCAAGGCATCAAATAAGGGGGATACGGACCAGTACTATAGAAATAGGCAAATTATGAGTAGCGCATATCATACAGCATTGGAATATTAAATGAATATTGAACAAATAGACAAGCGCTCCAACCCTGGCACTTCAATATTCTGGCCTACTTGGCCTTGGTAGTACCTAGGTAGGTTCTTTATACAATAGCTTGCTATAATTGCCGGCAGAGCTAAACTCGACACTTATCTTGCTGGAGGTGATAAAAGGGAAGGCCACCGAGGCTATTTCTGTGTCTTGAGTGTCCGCCCTTTTAAAAACACCCAATATGTATATCTAAATAAGGAATTTTACTGCTCACCGAGAACCCATGTTGTCTTTCTTCTTTTATTACTACTTCATAATCAAGGATTCATCTCAAATTGTTGTTTGAAATAACGGAATGAGCCAATTTCAAGCTCCGATAAGAACTCCAGTCATAAGATTATTCATTATGACCTAGATCTTGGCAATCCCGTAATCTTCTCTAAAGATTCAATAACAAAGCCTGGCCCCAATTCCTGACAAGCTTTCTAATTTCCATACCCACACCAACAGGCGATACATCTGAGCTATGTAACATGACCAGGTAGAATAATCCGAATCGAATAAGAAAGCCTTGAAAATTATGATATTGCTGACATTTTGTATATTCGTGTCGTGACCTCAGGGTACAGAATGGGCAAAAGTTTCATCTACTAAAACTGCAGAGAAATATGCGGAAAGGGCTGAAGCTTTAGGTAGAAAAGTATAACATTGGAAAGACCTAAAATTGTGGCGAAGACTTGATTTGGGTGCGAATATGGGCCTCCGGACATATAGAGATTCCAAGGATTTTAGAAATGTGTTCCAAGGTTGCTTGTTTCCAATCTTGGAAGATTACACATCATATACAGGTAATATCTTGAGCAAACATCAACCTGGGCATATTGAAAAGGTAGTAGGTATTTAGTATGTCTTAACCCGTGGACCGCCTACAGGTCTACTATTAGGCCTTGGGATCAAATTCTCTCTATGATGACCTTGCCTTGGAGAGAGGTACAATCAGATTTAGTATGAGCACGAATACCGAGTCACATCATGGTGAACTACTGCGAGTAGGGCAAATATCGTCATATCATATGACTCAGATCAGTTAAAAAAAAAAAAAGCGAAGAATGAAAGCATTCAGAGGTTCAGAGGTTCAGATGACTAAACATACTAAAGAAAACCTTAGGGAACAGTTCGTCAGTAACCCTAGAAAAATGAATCTAATAGAGGCAAAGAGCTCACCTTTCCAAGATCTTTTTGGTTAATGACAAATCAAGATTATCAGGTGCTGTCGCCACCGAATGATTGAAATTAAATGTTTATAGAATACAATGGCCTTGTGGCATATTTTGACCCATGGAATTGATTCGGACCTTACCGTTCTGGACACGAATTGGCTCTATCACTGGCTGATCACTGGCTAGCCAACTTTGGATCATGATTTATGACGAAAATGGAATCTGGGGAACCAAAACAAAACAACAATGGCTACTGCGGGGAAAAAGGCCAGAGAGTCGATAAATGTCATCGTCATTATCATATCGCCTTCCGCCACCTTCGGCCCATAAATAGGCTGCGATTTTCCAGTCAGTTCGTGCCTATTAACAGGGTGAAGTCAGATTCTAAGACTAAATATCTATATCCAAACACTGTACTTTCTTACCTACCTCGGTAGTATTAAGGTATGGATGTATTTCAGCTTGAAAGCCCTATACTAATATGTGCGCCAGATTCACCATACACACAACATGTCGTCACGACCAACCAAGATGAATCTGTCCGATCCTAACGACAAGCATCTCTTGAAGAACCTTCATGAAGAGAAGTCTGGCTCTAATTCCACTCAGTGTCGGATGAAAGAAGAGCCCATGTTATCTCCAATGCAGCTTCTCTCTGAACATATGGACTCCAAGGGTAGTCCGGTCCCTGATCCTGCCTTCAAAGATAAACCGAAGGGTATGGACGATGATGCCGACGTGTTCGATGCTATGACGGCGGACTTTGATTAAGGAATAAGAAAGGAAATTCAAAACCGATGTTATCAATTATTGAAGACTGTAAAATCTTCAAAGTGGATGGATCTATATGATTTCAAGAGTCGATGTATGTAATGTGTAGTAAGAGTGCTAATTGCCATGGCAACGGATGACCTCCAATTCTGTATTCCGTACTCCGTACCCGTATCTGGTTCGACAAACTTCAGTTAGTTGTCTTGTTTTCGAAGTTTATACTTTAAAGAGAATCACCCTCATTTTGAATTATTATACTCGTTGTTCACTATCGTTTAATTGGATTGCATCTCACAGGATGCTAGAGTCCTGAAACTTGTCGAGACCCCGTGTTTACAACCAGATCCCGCGGGAAGCGATGAACCGTTGGAACTTCTAAGGAAACAACGCGCTACAGTAACTCTCCCCATTCCTTTTCTTTTATTTCGTCCTTGCCCTACTTTCTGTTTCTTTCTCTTTTCTTAATCATATCTACTCTTTTTTTCTGTATTCTTCCGATTTCGTTGCATGTACACCCAGCTTGTTGAGAGACGACGCGAGACCGTCGACACTTGTGTTCAGTTATTGAGAGTTCACAGCAGGGACATGGCGCTGGACTCGCGCTTTTATAACCACCTCGGTCAAAGCTCAGGGCCTGGATCGATCTCCTCAGCTACGTCCGGATCCTCGATCGCGACGGGAATCACGTCGCCTAGCATTATGTCGTCTTCCGCCTCCGCCGCAACCCTTCGATCGACCGCCTCCAGCCCCTCACTCCGCGCCCGCGAGGCATTAATACCGACGAACCGCCAAGATGGCATGTCTAGTCCAGTACCAGGAGGAAATGTTCGAGTCGTGGTACGAGTCCGAAAGTTTCTACCCAGAGGTGAGTCCATCCAAGTGATCGCGCGATCACGAGGCATGAACTTGAGTTCATGAGATGTCTAAAATCCATTCGCAGAGATTCAACGCGGCGCAGAATGTCTCATTACAATGGACCCTGAAACGCAAATGACGCATCTACAAGCACCGACGACAAGCGCGGCCGATAAGGGTAGACCTAAATCTCAGGCGCGAGGAAAGATACTCGACGACAAGGCCTTCACGTTTGATAATTCATTTTGGTCGCATGACGAAGAAGATGAACACTATGCTCACCAGGAGGATGTGTACAACAGCCTTGGTGAGGAGTTCTTGGACCACAACTTTGAGGGGTACCACACATGCATCTTTGCATACGGCCAAACCGGATCAGGAAAAAGTTATACTATGATGGGGACACCTGATCAACCGGGATTGATTCCGCGCACCTGTGAAGATCTGTTTCAACGAATAGAGTCTTCTCCTTCACCCGATGTCAGCTACAACGTCCGAGTGTCTTATTTCGAGGTTTATAATGAACATGTGCGAGACCTTTTGGTGCCACGAACCGACCCACCGCACTATCTTCGGATTCGCGAATCTCCATCAGAAGGCCCGTATGTCAAGGACTTGACGGAGCTCAGCGTACGAAACTATACTGAGTTGATGAAGTGCATGCGCAAAGGTGATATGTCGCGTACAACGGCAAGTACCAAGATGAATGACACATCATCTCGATCTCATGCTGTTTTCACAATCACACTCAAGCAGATTCATCACGATATTTCCACGGATGAGACTACTGAACGTACTGCGCGCATTCGATTGGTGGACCTGGCTGGTTCCGAGCGCGCCAAATCTACCGAAGCAACGGGTGCCAGACTGCGGGAAGGATCCAATATCAACAAGTCGCTTACAACTCTTGGCCGAGTGATTGCAGCGTTGGCAGACCCCAGTAAAGGCCGTGGAGGTCGGAAAGCAAAAGAGGTTGTGCCGTGGCGAGATTCAATACTTACATGGCTATTGAAGGATAGTTTGGGCGGAAATTCTAAGACCGCCATGATTGCGTGCATCGCTCCTGCAGACTATGAGGAGACGCTCTCTACATTACGCTACGCAGACCAAGCGAAACGCATTCGCACTCGGGCCAGAGTCAACCAAGATCAGGTTTCTGCGGCGGAGCGTGACCAACAAATTGCAGAGATGGCTGAAACTATTCGAACTTTGCAGCTGAGTGTGAGCCAGGTGACAATGAACCAGCGTGCCTCTGAGCTCCAGGACGAGAAGCTTGACGAGTATCAACAAAAGGTTGAGCAGATGCAACGGCTGATGGAGGAGACCAAGATGGTCAGCGAATGCAAGGTTCGCCGACTACAGACAGAGAATGAGGCTTTGCGTATGCATCTCAAGTTGGCTTTGGAGTCCCTCAAAAACCCTATTCCATCAGTTCCGCGTCAGCCCAGTATGTTATCGATGGCAGAACATCAAGTACCTGGACATGACGAGGAGCGAGAAGGCTCTCCGGTTTATCTCACTGATTCCGAGGCTGAACCCGAAGTCTGGGAAGATGAAAGTGAGGATGAAGACACCGTTACATTGGACTCCCACGAAAATGACGCCCATCAAATGCAGGATCATATGGAGGACCTTCTTGGAGATCTAAGCATGTTCAAGCGCAAGCTGGCATCCGACCATGAACGTTGGCAACCAACTGAAAAGTTCAAGGCACACAAACGACGTCCATTGTCTTCAATAGTTGCCAATATCCGCTAATCCTTCAAGAATCTTCGTTGGTTTGCAGGTGGTACAACCTTTTTTGTCTTTCATCCTTTGTTTTCAGGCTAGGGCCACACTTCGAAAGTGAACCCTAGTCATAGCGAGCGATTAGATACTCGTCTTTGTCTAAGACCTTTGATTTGTTGTTTATTTCTATGGTAGCGAGACCCCCTTGAGTTGAGATGAAATACGAATAACGAGAACCCCGATGTGATGCCGTTTAAAAGGCAGCTGTTATCCCGCACTGTACTTTTTCTCATTCTAAAGATACTTGAACACTATTACATAATATTTCATGAGATTTCAGTCTACTTAACTACCCAACGATCACGCTGACAAAGTGGTGGAATAAATTGCAGTTTATTTTATAATCATGAAGCTACAGAGATTAGGGCTGCGGCAACGCGACCGAGGTTCCAGAGTGGGCCGCTTATGGCATCGTTTTATTTTCCATGACTCAACTTTCTCTCCCCACCACGAAAGTCCAGCTACGAACCACCGACCCTCAATTTCAGAGACTGAGTCATCCGAGATGTCGGACCCAGTTAGTTCGGCGCAAACCCCTGCGACTACTCAACCTACTGCAACCCGTCCGGCGCAGAAATCCCTCCCAATCCGCAGTGGAAAAAGTGATAAACCCTCCCCCGCACAACAAAGTTCGCAATCCACGAACGGAAACGATGTATCTACATCTACTACTCCCAACACTGCTACAGGAGTAGATAAGCCCCTCACCCCCGCCGAATTGAAAAAGAAAGCCAAGGAAGAGAAGGCTGCTCGACGCGCAAAAGAACGTCTTGAACGTGAAGGCGGAGCTGGTCCTGCTGGCGGTGCAGCTCCTGGAGCTGGACAGGCTCGTCCCACTTCCACCCCGAGAAAAGATATCGCCAGCGGAAGCGCATCTCAGAAGAGCCAGAAAAACCAGAAGGACGCTACGCCTCGTCGTGGGTCTGGTCCTGTTGTTCAGACCGGCGCCACTACTGAGCCCAAGAAGAAGAAGACATCGGATAAGATTGTATCCGTTTTTGGACACTTGTATGGCCAGCAGCGACGGACAACTGTCGCGGGCGCCGCTAAGGAAGTCCATCCCGCTGTCTTGGCACTTGGTTTGCAATTGAGAGATTATGTGGTGTGTGGAAGTAGTGCACGATGTGTTGCTACAATGCTTGCATTCAAGCGAGTGAGTTATTCCTCCAGATATTCTCTGATATATTTTCTCTTACTGACCCGGGAATTTCAAGGTGATCGAATCATATGATACGCCTCCTGGCACTTCGTTGCCGCGCCACTTGACTACGCATCTTTCCCATCAGATTTCTTACCTTTCAACGTGTCGACCTCTTTCGATCAGCCAGGGTAACGCAATTCGTGCCATGAAAGTTGCCATCTCTAACGTTGACCCATCAACTCTGGAAATCGAAGCGAAGGCAACACTGTGCGAGTTTATTGACAGCTTTATTCGCGAGAAGATCACAGTCGCAGACCAGGTGATTGCGGCAAGTGCTGCCCAAAAAATTAAAGACGGCGATGTGATTGTGACATTTGCTGGAAGCTCGATCGTGAAGCAGACCCTATTAGCAGCGCATAGAGATGGAAAGCAGTTTAGAGTGACGATCATCGATTCACGTCCGCTCTTCGAAGGCAAGAAGCTAGCCCGTGCACTTGCCAATGCTGGATTGGACGTACAGTACACACTTGTTCACGCCATCAGCCACGCTATCAAAGATGCTACAAAAGTCTTTCTCGGCGCTCATGCCATGACTAGCAATGGCCGTCTATACTCCCGCGTTGGTACCGCTCTAGTAGCCATGTCTGCTAAGGAGCGTGCCGGAGGTGTTGAAGTTCCCGTTATTGTGTGCTGCGAGACTGTTAAATTTACCGACCGCGTCGCTCTGGACAGTATCGTTGTTAATGAAATTGCTGATGCCGACGAGCTGGTCTCATCTTTGCCTCCACAGCAGGTTACTGGTCTGCCAGACCCAGGTGCCACTCCTATCGTTCCCATTGACAACAAGAAGGGAGGCAAGGCAGTCGCCTCACCCCCGACACCAGACCCCATTGCATCTCAACGCGCAGCTTCCTCGTCCCCTCTCACAGACTGGAAGAATATTGCCAATCTCCAGCTTCTTAATCTCATGTATGACGTTACCCCGGCTGAGTATGTTGATGAGGTTATTACCGAGTTGGGTAGTTTACCACCCAGTGCTGTCCCCATCGTTCATCGAATGAGCACAAACCTGTGATACTGGTACCAGTCGGAATTGCGATGATATTTTATTACCATATGGAAAATTTTGGCGAAGTCTTAGCTTTATGCATGTATTTTTTTTTTTTTTTTTTTTTTTTGCTCCCGGGTTTGTATAATGTAGATTTCTTGAGCCGGAGCATAGCCTGGGTTTTTTCAAGAAATAACCTTTGAATGACCAGAGCTAAAATGAGTCAATGACTAGAATAGAAGATGAATGCAAACAATACAAATCTATCTCGTCCTTGCTTAATGCTAAGAGACCTCAAGGACATAAATATCGAGCACGTGATAAAGGCGGCGGTATCAAGCTCTGAATCAACTTCAACCACTGTTATATTTTGAAGCGAAGCCAAAACCTTAGAGCTGGAAACTAATTATTCCAAGTTTTATCAGCAAAAATGGTATGCTCGCTAAATATCAAGTCCCCAACATCCAACTAACTTAATCTCCAGAGCAAAGACTCCAACTTAACGTATCTACATATGCACCAGCCTAGACTGGCAGACCTATTCGAAGAATTCATACGTCCCCATACCTCAACATCAGCAACGGCAGCAACAGTCCCCCAACAAATCACACCCACCAACCCTCAGAGCAGTGCATACCCCCCAGCAGCCTACGGCCCCTCCACACCAGCCACAATTCCCTCTTTCCTTCCCATTGAAGACATCTACGTCCAGCCACAATACCAGCCACCTAATCCGGAAGACGAGGATGATGTTGTTCCGGACCAACATGCTGCTTATGGAATCACACGCGCTATGGAGCGTCGTCGAGAACCAATGTGGAGGGATCTAGGCCTTGAGACCTTGGTCAATGGGCATGGGCTTACCGGGTCTGGGGGTGGAGGTGCTTCGGTGACGACTAGTGCAATTCGGGTCAAAAGTTCTGGAAAGAAGATGGGTGGGCGACGGACTATTTGCTTGCGCTGATGTCCGCCTTCGGCGGAAGTTCATCTCTTTTCGTGTTATTTTTATTTTAATGGGCGGTGCCACAGTGATACCATGGCTACGGGATATTGACAAGGCGCGATTAGGAGGTTTTCCATTGATTCATTTCGTTATTGCTGAAGAGACTATCACCAGAATTTATAAGTCCTATCGGGATTTTTGTTAATTCCCAGCTCACCGCACGTAACGCCAAGTGTATAATAATACGATGTAAATATCGCGTGTGTTCCTCGCTAGATACGATTAATATCTACCCGAGCACGTTCATAGAGCTTATGATCAAGTTGTTTTTGTTCTCGCTCTTCGTCTGAAACGGCGCGCGGGTGGATAGCTAATTGAGCATAGGAACCTGCTGCACGACGCTTAGACAAAGTCCCAGGGTTAATGACAAGGACGCTGTCAACGACCTAAAGTAATCGATGAGATCAGTATTTTTTAGATAGAAGGATTCAAATATTGAGAGCATCTTACCTTGACAAAAGGCGGGAGCATACTAGGCACAATCAACACATCTGGCCGGACATTCCACCACTCGCCCAGTTTCATATAGGGCAGGTCTAGCATAGCGCCAGTGGCCAAGCCGTTCTCAGAGCCAGTCTTGGGGAGATTTGCACGGGCAGTGGGAGGGACGAGAGGGAAGAAGTGACGCTGCTCGACCAGATACTTGGGCAGACGGGTAAGCAAGTTACCTTCGCTAAGTCGACCATGCAGAACTTCTTCACGGCGCAGCTCCGAAAGCACGTCGTGGGAGCACATACCCATGACAGTCTCGTTGAATGACAGTGTCACGGGGTTTGAGACCATGCGGACTTGTTTCGGTAGACCGAGCTCCTTCCTGGGTAATTGTTCTTGTGGCCATGAAACGTGTCTACTCAGAGCATCGCGTACAGATGGAAGAAGGACAATGGTAATATTAGGCACTGCGGCAGCAAGCCTAGCTAGTGGGGTTGAAATGAAATGTCGGAAAATGGTGGTTAACGTGGCTGTATCGGGGTCTAAGCCCTTGATTTCGGGAAGATCAAAGTCACCGGATGCTAGCAATGGGTGTTCAGTGTCTAAGAACGGTCCCAGCAGCACGAGACTGTCCGCAAGACTTTCTGCTGCCTTTCGGCATAATTCCTGGAGTGGCTCAAAGTCTAGATTATCGTCCGCAGTGAACGGACCGGCAGCTAGCATGACATTTAGTGGGCTACTGCTCTCGGCCTCAAGACGTTCATTGATGCCATCCAGGGTCACTGATGATGAAGCGGCGGGTGGTAAGAGAGGGATGGGGAGAACTTCCTTGACTGTGAAGTAGTCGCCAGAGGGGTTGATTCCTCGGAGGGCTACAATTTGGCCAGGAAAGAAATTTATACCCGCCACTGAGTCAAATTTCAAAGGGACTCGCCTTCCGGCACCGGTTCGGCGGGATGTCTCGAGGACCAGGGAAGCTGCATTTAACTTACCCTCCAGCGCATCAGAGGCAATTCGGCCAACAGCGATGATCTCGCTTGTACTTTGGATAGCTGCGCTTCCAAAAGTAAGATCTTCCGAGTCGTATTTTTTCTGGAATATGGCCGTAAATTCATCAATTCGGTCATCCAAGATTTCAGATGCCTCCGACAACCGCATTCCCATTGGTTTATATCCGAATTTCTTTAGGTCCGTGTTGGCTGTTGGCTTGATGCGTGGTTCGGCAAATGGTGCTATTGGTGTTTCCGGGAGCGACAGATGGGCATTTATTGTTTCTAGTGTCTGACCGGGATTTGATCGCTCTGTAAATGGGACGCATCTAATACACCAGTTAGCACTCTCGACTACTTGTCATCGTCATTGGCAGAATATCACATACTGCATCATTCCGGCAGCTCCGTTGACTACCGTGGGTGTCTTCGCATCACCTGGAGTCCCATTCTTCTCGATTCGGCTTACTTTAGCTGTCACGGGCGATGTAAATTCAGCCTTACGTTTAGCTGAACCAGTCACTACATTCATCTGCCGGCCATTCGATGCGTTTGGTGTCAATTGATCAAACCTATTAGACAATGACAGATGGTCAGTTTATATACCAGATATTATTTCGGTTGAATATCCTCGTACACTCCAAACACATCAGAACCAGCCGAAGCGCGCGGTGTTCCAGTGACAGCAGGCCTCCTCTCAGTCTGACGACCTGCTTTACCACGAGTGTCACGTTCGAGAATTTCCTGGAGATCTCTTTTGAACAAGCGAGCTGAGTCCAAGTTCAATTTCACATCATCGCCCATCTTGATGCTGTAGGATTCCCATTTATAGAAGAGCTCCTCCGCGGTAATTGAGTGAACTCGCAAGATGGATTGTAGCTCGGCGAGAACATCTTTCGGTATACCATCGGGACAAGATGCTGCGAAAAGCTCATTGAGCTCAGCTGTGGTATCCATGTTGCGAGGTGTGATTCAACGTGTTGAAGTGGTCGAATCTAGTTGAAGTTCGCGCGTGCGACGCGTCAAAAATATTACCTCAGCATCGATAACCGATAAGAGTAAAATGTTCATCTCAGACCAAGTGGGTCCGACGATCTGACGAATTATCAGATTAAGGGGCTGATTATTTGCTTTTTGACATCCCAACTCTCTGATCAACTCAATTGCTCGGCACCCCCTTTCGTGACTAAAGTAAAATATCACCACTATGACCACCGAAGATGCTCCCGAGATTATCACCGATGTGCCTCCAACTACCAATGGCGATGCCGTGAAAGAAGCCGAAGCTGCCCCAACTCCTGTCAACGGCAAGACGGAGACGCTGGACCTCCCTACTTCTGCCGCAGATGGATTAATCCAGAAGCCATTCGGGAAGCCACTTGACATCTCCAAACCAGAAGCTGTCCAGACACTCACCGCAGATCAACAATCGAAATACGACGATGTGCTCAAGGCTGTATCCGCCTGGACGACTGTCCCCAACAAGTCCGAGAAGAACTCTCCCACAGAACCCATTACCGATAGCGAGCGCATGTGGTTGACTCGTGAATGTTTACTTCGATACCTCCGTGCAACAAAGTGGCACGTATCTGAGGCCCAGGATCGTCTTCTGCACACTCTTACTTGGCGTCGTGAATACGGCATAGAGAAGTTGACACCGGACTACATCTCTATTGAAAATGAGACTGGCAAACAAGTCATCTTGGGTTATGATATCCACGGCCGGCCTTGCCTTTACCTCATCCCGTCGAAGCAGAATACAGAGAAGAGTGAACGTCAAATCCAACATCTTGTCTTTATGCTGGAGCGTGTCATTGACCTCATGGGCCCAGGCCAGGAGACTCTAGCCCTAATTGTCAACTTTAACGAGACCAAGTCCGGCCAGAATGCTACCATTGGCCAGGCTAAACAGACCGTCAGCATCTTGCAGAACCACTATCCAGAGAGACTGGGACGTTCTCTGATCATTAACGGTTAGTAGTCTGCGCACCGATTATTTATTGAATCAGTTATCTGATATTTTTCTCTATACAGTGCCTTTCCTTATTTGGGGATTCTTCAAAATCATCACTCCCTTCATTGATCCCACTACTCGCCAGAAGCTCAAGTTTAACGAAGACCTGGCTAAACATGTGCCCCCATCTCAACTTCTGAAGTCTTCAGGGGGTGAGGTTGACTTCACTTACGATCACTCTATTTACTGGCCTGCTCTTAACAAACTGGCCGAACAGCGACGGGAAACTTATCATGAGCGCTGGGTTAAGGGAGGAAAGCTTGTTGGCGAATTCGAGAACTATTTGAAAGGCGAGGATGTTCCAAGTCTGTCACAGACCGTGGCCTCGGCCTAGACTATTCCTTCCTCTTCACCTTCATCTTCACCTTCACATCTCGCATTATATGCATTCTTAGCACCTTGGCATCATTCCATATTTAGCATATCGGCTGGACATATAAACTGGATTCGCATAGCTCTCGGTTAATCATTTGCGTGATTTATAACTAAGTTTTTATACTTACTAATACATAATTTTGTTCGAACTGCTGATAGAGATTGATAGTTTATTTTAAAATATTAGAATTCCAAATTAATGAGCAGTAGCCAGGGTCTAGAAATCCACTCCTATTTCAAATGTTTATGAGCTTCACTCTCAACCGAGCTTCAATAGCTGAACTGTCCCTGGAGTTAATCTCATTTTAACTGCATAACCCATTATATAGTACATAGAATATAAAGCCCAGAAACAATGATAACTTGAAACACTTGATTCACAACCTTGGAGTGACGTTAAGTACCTAGATATGATGTTGTGATGTTTCGGAGTAGCCTCTCGTACACAGAGAGTCATTTAGCCCTTTAAAATCACGCGGTATTCATGAGATGATCAGCAACGGGGAACTCTCAACATGAGAAACTGCCGGCTCTAGCAGGCGTACCATTTTGGAAATCTACTAACTTGCGAGAAGTTTCGTATCTTGGAAGTTGACTTCATTTTTTGGCAACATCTCGGTGGGGGGTCAGTTGCCTACTCATAGTCGTAAATTTGAATAGCCAAGATTATTTACAAGTTTTCACCTGGTAATTAGGTATCCTGCCATTGTGTTGCCTCCACAACATGCGGAATTTTTCGTTAAGACCATGATTGGCCAAGGAAAAGTCCACTTCGGAAGCTTCTCTTTGGTCATTCGGATCGCGACTATCTGTTGGTGAGAGCAGTAACCACTTAACGCGTACCACATTCCCTGGAGGCTTATTCTGGAGTACAAGCATCTCTGCACTACAGACTCAACTACTGGTTTCAAGATATGATAAATTTCGAGTAGCAAATGATATTGGAGCGAGAAGACATCAGAGTGGTCATACATGATATGGTCATACGTATCTGATCTGAAAGAGTTCAAAAAGGAGAGTCATCGTGCATGGCAAGGCGCTAGGGGAAGGACATGCTGTCGGCGTCGCCGCAATCAGGCTAGGGGAGGATAGGGTAGGTGTATAGTTGAAGTAACCAGGAGTGGGGGCATATTGTGAATTTCCGTCGCACGAGCCAACTGCCCAGAGTTGATAGGCATCGCCACCATAAGGGCTATTTGCCACCCCGAATGTCTTCAGGTAAGGGAAGCCCAAGTAAGTCGGTTTGGAGAGGGTTGGCCAGTAATATCTGGTGTTCAATGAGATCTAAAATCATAGGATGACGATGGATACTGGCAAAGGTTACAAACAAGCTGTATAATCGACGAGAATAACCTATCGTGTAATTAAAATTTAATAGATCCTCTCTGTGTTTGAAAAATAAAAGGCAGAGGCAGTTGCTACTGTTGATATTTGGATATCCATTTATTCAATCGGAAGGCTCTAGTACAACAGCATTGTACGTCTTCGCAAGCGGAATTGTCAACCAAAAAATAACCCGCGCGTACCGTGACACTCAATTGCTCATTTGGTATGTATCATTTTCTCCTTTAACCCATCATCCACAAGCTTGACATGATCTTGAACTGTAAATTCACCTGACTGAGAATTTGCCATAGAAGCCCCTGCGGTCATTATCAAGCGTTCGGGTCGTTCAACACTCAAGTATTGACTGGTTCGCTTTCTATGTGCACTTCGGAAAATCTAAAAAAGAAATAAAAAATATTAGTCTTGTTCAGAAATATTTTGATGAAGCCATACTCGGAGCTGCTTTGCAATGTCCTCAAATTGCTTCACCAAGTCAGCATCATTAGCCTGCTTTGCAGTTGTCCTAAAAGCGTGTGCTCTGATTGAAGCCATGAATCGTCTCTGGGAAGAAGAAAAATATTTGACATAGTCTTGCTCCCCAAGGAAGGGCTCAAGTCCAAGAAAATAATCAAGAACGTTGAACAAAACCAAATGAGCACCGGAAGTTCCATCATACTCAACATATTTGTTATCCACCATCTCCCCCGCAGCCCAGCCGTGAAATCCTTGGATATAGGCCTTAAAAACACCACGAGGTACTCTGGATTCGATGATATACTCGTAGTATACTTTCAAAGCTGACCTTAAGTGAATGCTCACTCTTTGAAGATGCTCAAGGCATCTTTTTTCTGATCCACTTCAAAGCATATGATGGATTGTATCAGGTGGTAATAGACCGGTAGCGCCTATCTTTATTGTCAGAGATGATCTGGAAGAAGTTCGAGATAGCTTACCCTCCTCTCTGGCTCAGTAAATGCGCAGACCAGGTAATACTCAGCTGATGGTATTGGTTCCGGCATGCTGCCATTGATCGCGTATTCAAGTCTGCTTCCATCTCTACCTAGATTACAGTGGAAGTTCGACATAACGTTTCCTCCTTGGGATTGTATACCGTACCATTGACAAATAAAACCCCACGGAAGATCTAGTTCAGGAGGAAATTCGATGATCTTCTCTTGTTGTGCAATTTTCACTATAGGTACGATGCCCCATCTAATACCTCAGGTCAGCTGTCGAGACGATTAGAATCTTGGAAGTCCCTTACCTAAAAGCATGGCGCAGGTAGCTTATACACGCGTAAAATCCATTGTAGGCTTGATTCGTAATCACGGAAGACGATTTAACTGCTGCAGACGAAAGGACTCCCTCCACATTTGCTATATTCACGCGTTCTTGTAAAAGCCCTCTCAATCGATTTTGATATTCAGTTCGGCGGACTTTATTAACTGTATCATCAAGCGAAGCATCCATTACTGGGAGCAATGGCGCCAGTTCGATGAATATATCATGGTATGGGCGAAGCTCTACTGGCCAAGAGTTTCGGTATGAGGCTTTGGGAGGCCAAGTACCGGCACCGTCTACTTCGATCATGCTCTGCAAAGCCTGAACAGTTTCGTGGGGCTCGCTAATTTTTTTGATCAAGGATATGTGTTCAACCTGCCGGTGAAAACGAGTGGTCAAGAAGTTCAAGGCGGTGACTATTACTGTGAGGTCGAGGTAGGAGACTGCCGTCTGTGAATATGCGAATAATTTATGGATAGATTCCATATTGAAAATGTTTCAAGTAAGGATAGGTACTGATCTTATCAGGGGGGTCATTAAAGTTTTATACTGTGCTGAACCTATACAATAGCCATTTTGAAAGAACTTATATAGCCCAGAGGCCTGGATATCAGTCCACGTTGATATTCAGAAGTATTCACTAGCATGAATGACTGGTTTCGGTAAGATGACACTATAACCTGTTGAAGTCACGCATGTCGATACCCCTATTGATTTGTTACAGGCGAATGTTTCCGGATGAAATACCAAGGATCCTTGGAAGCAACATACCAGTGTTTTTCTGGAAATGCTGCTTTCATCTGCATGCCTGGATGTTGATCTTATCTAGAAATGGGAAAAGCAGCCAATCTAGTGGCTATTTACTATGTAGGTAAACTTTTTAATCATTTTACTGAATATCTCACCAAGCTTCTACCTCCGCGCCGCTCTGACACAGCTTAGCTCACCTAACTATGCAGACAGAAGACTATATCTGAATTTTCGAATTTCATAATAATGAAATCGCCGAAATGACCAGCGAGGTGGATCATTTGGAATTTGCTGTGTCTACTGATGAAAGGGTCACAGCCACAACCCAACTATGGAGCAGGTATGTGCTCATTAGAAGCTCCCAAAGTTCTAAGGTTCTTCATACATAGATTATCAACTTTCTATCGAGATAGATAATATTTTTTTGTTTGATATGTCCATAGGAGTAACCATTCGCAGATTTGATCAACTAAGTCGTATAAGATACAAGCAAGATATATCATGTGGCCCCACACCTGAGCACTTGAAGAATAGCAGATTAAGAATTTTACGCAATGATGGAGCTACTATATTCTATTTGCTGGCATAAAACTAGTATCTCGGATTCAATGGGTTGATCTTCCAAGTGGATAGGAGGATGTGCTACCATTTGGCGCATTATATGCATGAGCATTCCAAGGATCTTTGAGTATGGACTCTCCGATCCCTCTTGTGGCGCACTCGGGCCACAAAAATTCGGGTTCTTCATCTAGTTTAATGGAATATAATCCATGGATGTAGTTGCATCAGTTGTTGCTCCAGATACATAAATACCTACCTGGTATTCTTCCTGTTCGTGGTATCAATCTTCTTTGTCAATATAAACCACTTAATGTCCTATAGCAGAACGAGACTGCATATCTGATTTGCTCTGCATGACAATAATTTTTTGAAGCCGTCGATTTAGTATCATGGCACTATGCTTTATATAACTAGTTAATCATTCTCTCCACCATAGGCAATTACATCATCGTAGGATTCAGCCTTGTAGTATGCGCACTATCTCAATGTTTTCTCCAGCTATAGCGCCTCGGAGGGCACTACCATAGTATCCACCCTGGGCATTGACATCAGCGTGTGCGTCGAGTAGCATCCGCACTATCTCAATGTGTCCTCTATATGCCGCAGCCTGGAGGGCATTGCCATACTCTCCACCCTGGGCATTAACATCACTGTGGGCGTCGAGTAGAATCTGCACTATCTCAGTGTGCCCTGAACATGCCGCAGCCTGAAGGGCATTGCCATACTCTCCACCCTGGGTATTGACATCAGCGTGGGCGTCGAGCAGCATCCGCACTACCTCAGTGTATCCTTCATATGCTGCGGCCTGGAGGGCATTACCATACTTTTTACCCTGGGCATTAACATCAGCATGTGCGTCGAGCAGTATCCGTACTATCTTAGGATGCCCTCTAAATGCCGCGGCCTGGAGGGCATTGCCATAAAATCCACCCTGAGCATTGACATCAGCGTGGGCGTCGAGTAACATCTGCACTGTATCAGTGTATCCCATAGCTGCAGCGGGCTGGAGGGCACTGCCAAAATATCCACCCTGGGCATTAATATCAGCGTGTGCGTCGAGTAGCATCCGCACTATCTCAGTGTGTCCTGTATATACCGCGGCCTGGAGGGCATTGCCATAATATCCACCCTGTGCATTGACATCAGCGTGGGCGTCGAGTAGCATCCGCGCTATCTCAGTGTATCCTGAATATGCCGCGGCCTGGAGGGCATTGCCAAAATCTCCACCCTGGGCATTGACGTCAGCGTGGGCGTCGAGTAGTACCCGCACTGTCTCAGTGTGTCCTCTATATGCCGCGGCGTGGAGGGCATTGCCATTCTCCCCACCCGCCTGAGCATTGATATCGGCGTGGGCATCAAGCAGCATCCGCACTATCTCAGTGTGTCCTCTATATGCTGCGGCCTGGATAGCATTGCCATACTGTCCACCCGTCTGGGTATTGATATCGACGTGGGCGTCAAGCAGCATCCGCACTATCTCAGTGTGTCCTCTATATGCTGCGGCCTGGAGGGCATTGCCATACTTTCCACCCTGGGCATTGATATCCGCTCCAGCTGCAATCAGTGATTCCACCACAATTGATTGCCCTGCTTCCGAGGCATCCTGTAGCATAACTGCCGTATTCCTTGAGTTTAAGTTGTCAAAAGATATTGAACTCATTATTAGAGCATGCGAAAAATGACGCTTTTCTAGGCAGAGTGAAATTTCTGACTCCTGGTCTGATTAGTCAGCCACGGCATCACCGCCGTATAAAGTTGCTATTGAAGATATTCAACTGGTATACATCGTAGACGAGTAATATTACAGAAACAATCGGAAAGGAAGGCAGTCATGGCTTTAATACCCGCTTTGCTGCCTACTCTAATCATATTTAGTTTGTCAGACATCTTTCAATTTTTTAATATTGATTATGGGATATAACGTATACCAAACATATCAACTAATATGGCTTCTAGAGTATCCAAGGCTTCATTTAAACAATAGTCTGGTGTTTTCTAAAGACCTAAATAGCTTGGTAAGATATACTCTATTGCGACATAGGAAATTAACTAGGCCCCAATGTGGTCAAATATTGGCAGTGAAACCCCCCAATGCGAAAATGTGACAAAACAAATTACTCTCTGCGAGCTGTACATCCCAAAGTGCCATGTGAAGACTTGGTGTCTCTGACCCGCAAGATTTTCCCTTCGGCATTATACGCAGACGGAGCATCGCCTAGTGGGGAGAGAGGATCTTCCTCAAGAGTAGTCAGAGTGGGAATAGTTTGGCCCTCTGTCGACGTCTTAGTAGATAACCCCGCAGCAGACCGAGTCACTGGCTCATAATCCATAAATCTCATCACGTGGTCAGCTATATTAAGCCTATTTATATTCAGGATGTGGTCTTGTTCAGCGCTATCGTGAGAGTCCAGGGTTGCTCCTAGAACAATCCCGTCTGTGGTGAATAATCTCCGCGCTGTTCGTCGGCTCATGAGTCTAGGGCTCATGGTTTCACTACTGGTAGCAGAGCTCGGGGTACGAGGCGATGATGAGTCACAGGACCTTGCGCCCGGTTTATGATGTCGGGATCGGGGCTTATTCTGCCATCTTCTTTATTCGAGTGGTACATTGATCAGTTCTCTCTGGGATTGTTCGGCCAATTCTGCTCTTTAGCGGTAAAATCTAGTGTTGTATAGTTCTGGAGTGAATCCCACTCCCCTGGGCGTAAAAGCAGGAAGCTCGGTTGGTTTAACATGTTTCTTCGGATAGACTTATGATAGGTCTTCAATCGTGGGATATCCAGAGCTTAGTGACGGTATGGAACTAGACGCTAGGATTATAAGGCTCATATTCAAGGTGTCAGGATTATATATACTTATGCCTAGGTTTGATCTTGCTGTTGAAAATATTAGGAGTACAGAGTTCATTAACACTAAACTCTCGTGCTTATGTTCGTCCGGAGCGAAACGATCAAGTTCGTGCTTATCATTTAAACATGAAAGTTAATTCTTATCACCTATTAACAGAATTATCTTAGTTATCAGAGTTATTTTTTGTTTATAGAGAGAGCATATAGAGACTAATGGGTATAGGTTGATATTAAACACCCTTTAGCGTTTCCTACACCTCTATATAAAAAACAGAGTGCCATAGAGGACTAAGTCTACTATAGCCCATATAATAACCCCAGATATTCCACCGACATTACTAGAATTATGTAAGGGGCTGGTTAGAGTGAAAGTTGAAGTTGAAGTTACAGCAGAAGCTTTTGCCGCCTAGGTAGTAGTCAGCAAAGCGCCTAGAGACTCTATACTAGTGATGGGAGTAGAGGTCAAGCTCGTGGAACTTGCAGAGCTCGAGTCTACCTCTTTAGTAGATGTCGTCGTAGTGCTGATTGTTGTTGGTGATTCAAATATACTAAAGGATGTTGACGAAACCGAAGACACAGAAAGACTCGGAGTGTCATCATCTGGACAAATGCCTGATATACAAGGGTTGCTAGAGCAGCATCCTCGAAATTTTCCTACAGTACAGACATACCAGAGCTTATTGCCAGTGCAGGTTTCGTCCGCCATCTCGCAGATTATCTACCGGGAAGAATAGATGTAGATGCCTTTTAATCAACTCTGCTCGAGAATCAACGAGCGAGGCATGCGTGAGCGAATGAGTGTAGGATAGAATATTGGGATAAAGGAATGAGATGACTCTAGTTAATAGCATCGATGGATCTTGGGAGCAGAGAGCATTGAGCATCAAGGTGGCGGTCGAGTCTGGAAGATGAAAGGCAAGTTCTTTGTTCGTACTCGATCTGGTGTCATTATTTGACAGGTCAAGGGGTCCTGCCTCCTGAACTGTCTTTGACCAAACTCAGTTTCATGATATATTCCAATGCTGAAACAGTTCACCAGCTCGATAGTAACACTGAAACATTTTTGGAAATAGACTTGACACAAAGGCGCAGTTGTAGATGTGTGGTGGAGTAGTGATGTTGCCTTTGCCGCAGAATTGACCAATATTCGTATTAGAAACAGCGAGAGGCACTTTGAGTATGTCGTCAGACCGAAATATCCGTATTAAAATGATTTACAACCCAAAGGGGCTTTCAAATGCCAAAATTGGACGTCTAGCATGGCATTAGTAATGAAAACTAGCTGGCATTCGCCATCATGGTGTAGTAGTTCGCTATGATTGCTTCCCATTTTGAAAGTCAAGAATATCTCTGCTAATTCCGATCTTTCCTGCGGAAAACGGTCCAGTGCCTTTCATGGCTGACTAGAATATCAGATCCAGGGTTACCGAGTTCATCGGTGCCACATTGCTTACGTGCAGACGCTGTCCAGTACGAGGAGATTCTGGCCAATAGTTGGGAGCACAACGCGAGGTTTCTTGGTCGAGTATACAACTTGGCTCATGCCCAGAGTTCTCACTGGAACTAGGACGATGCTCTAATTCATGTACCTTTTCGAGGCACTTTGTGAGTCCACCCGTAGAAGCCTTTGAGAGCCAGGTCGAAGTCAGCGTCCAGATTTTCGCGACTCAGCTCAATAATTGTCTGTAATTTCTCGCAGCTCCCGTGAGTCCGTTGAGCTTCTAGTGTTTATAGCCTGAGTCCTCCCTTGTGACGAACAATCGAGAAGAACGAAAGACAAATACCTCCATCTGCAAATAAAAATTCAAACAAGCATCTGAGATCGAAAAATGTTTTAGCGAACTTTCCAATTATGATTATATAGTTAGTATAGTAAAACATACTTTCAGATATGAATCTTGCCAGGAAGAGGGTTGTGAAATAGGTTGGCTCACTAGGGCCAACGGATTTGTCAAATCGCGGTCTCGGCATTAGTCCCTACTAGTGCAGTGCCAGCCTGTGGGCTTGAATCTAACCGTCATTTATGAGACACCAAGTCAGCTCTTTGCCGGGTAAGCTTCTCTCGTATCAATTTTGATTAATATTTTTTGCAGACATCAACGTTGATCTGGATATGCACAACCGATTGTCTTACACCTATATTTAACTGACTTTAGCTCGACTCTAGTTTTCTTTTAGTTCATGGGATTCTTCTAGAATTTGTCCGGTTCCTGTTGTATCATCAAATCATCCACACCCAATTTGGTGGCTCTCTACAGGACTCATTCTCAGTCACCATTTAAATCTCCATTAGCCCGAAATATGACCACTAACGTTGGATCGCTAACATGTGTCTCTAGTACCGATATATTTCAGCTCACAAAAGACTGGTAGAATTAGAGGTAAGAATGCCATAATTTGGCGTCTTGAGGCTCTATGGGAAAGTTTCAACCAAGTTAATGATCTTAATGATTAACTCATTGGAAAGTTCTGAGAGGTCGGCTATTTTGACGTGAGTGACCCTGTCATTTGCCGCGATTTTGGTGAGAAGAGTAGATCTAACTAGCTTGATCAGCGGCATAATGCTAGTGTATTTACTCTTTGGGATAGAATCGTTTAATCCAATCAAATTTATCATGTTCTGAATCTTAAATCCGTATTCGAAAATTTATAATTTTTAGAACTTTTGATTGATGGAACGAACGGGATAACGGAACGGCCAGGAAGCACTTTATTACTCACCGACACCGTGGGTCTATTTTAGTGCCGAGCTAACGGTTCGTAATAACTCATTCATTTATAATTCGCCAATAAGATTGCCGGCCGAGAATGAGGCTGGCTGAAAAGATAGCTAATGGACATATATAATGTACCACGTTTCCTCCATTAAGCCGTCTTCATTCATACCCATAACGTCTTATTGAATACCATCTATTACACATCATTCTTCGAATTTCATCATGGCAACTTCACCTCTCTACCAATCAATTCAACGCGCTGTTGAGGCTTTCTTCGCCAGCTATCCCGAAGCCATCAGACAACAAACCACATCCGTTTATTCATCTACGTTGACGCCAAATTGCGTCCGACTCATCGTACCAGCCGGTGCTCTGGGAGCGCCGGAATCTGGCTTCACAAATGCACAATATGAAGCCTTGATGACACCCGAGCTAGCTGCAATGGAATCTTGCACAGTGGAAGTGAAGGATGTTGTGGTTGACGAGCATGCGCTGAAAGCCAGTGCAAGGGTTGTTTACCACCCTAAACTAAAGGGGACTGATGCTGCGGAAAGAGGAGAATTTAGCTTCTGTTTCACCTTTCAGAAGGATGAAGAAGGGCAGTTGAAGGTGTGTGAACTCGTGGAATTCATGGAACTTAAGTGGACGGAGATGTATGTCGGAAAAATTGCGTCAGTAGTGAAGGAGCTGGATATAAAGCTAGAGTAGTGTTCAATGAATTTATGTGAATATTTGAACAAGATTTTAGCAGACCAGAAAGATAAATAAATGGGTTTATACATTCCATCTAATGGATATGTGGTTAGGCATCTTGACTTTATTCAACAATTTTGATGTATAATGTAATGTATCGATAGCATCAGCCTGTGGTCCATTACTGACTATATACTCTCCAGTTGAGAAGTTATATGGATATCACCTCGCTCGCATCAAGCTGTTTTGTTTGAATCTATCTTTCTAGTTGCCAGACTTCTGGGTCTGTATTACCAACTGTTCCGCAAAATGTATTGAGCACAGGAAAACCAATAACGATATTCACAAAGGGTCTTTTTTCTCAAATGTAGGGTTTTTATTCTAGAAGAACGACTCAACTACAGCCATTCCTATCGGTATCCAAACCTTCTTTTGGCCACATCTGTCTGGATTCTCGATTGCCGTCAAGAAAAGGTGAATTTGGCGTAGTCAAACTGACCTCAAAGTCAAGATGTCCTATAATAATCGCCATTCATTCTTGGAAGCAATATCATATGGCGGTAAATCATAATACTGCTTAGAACGGAGGCTTTTAGACATATATACCCCATACCCCGCACTCCATACTTCTTGGGACCCCAGGATTATGAGATACGATATCCGAGGATACCTCTTGCCCCATGTGCAGATAGGGATCAACAAGTATCTGAGAAATGATTCAGCTGACCACAAGACAATCAACTCTTTAGCCGCGATAGCATTCCTCTCAGAGGCAGGCTTATCCAACTATAGTCCCACCCGTATCAATCAAGGCTTTATCGACCAAATCAAAATATTTATATTTGCAGGACACGACATCACTACAACAGCCTTTCATATTTTATAATCTCCTACAGAGAAGCCCCTTAACTTTCTCCAGAATCCGTGCCGAACACGACACGGTATCTGGTCCCTATCCAAGCAGAGCCCGCGGCCAGATATCAGCCATCATTAAGGAAACGCTTGACCTTTTCCATCATGTAGGCACAATCGAAGCAGGCCAACTGAATGTCTACCTAGCCCATCCAAAAACTGAGAGCGGTTCTGTCGGTTCACAGGGATCTCGATGCACTATTACTACTACGTTGATACGTGGAGTAATTATGCGGTAAGATGTATGTTCATTCTAAGTTCCCGCGATGGAATTGGATATGCCCTGATTCCACTAGTTCTATTTATTTCCCGAGTCCATTCACTTTAGTAAAACCAGATTCCATTGGTTCTAACAGATACCGAACAGAAGTGGTTATGCTCTTTGGATGCAGCTTTGCATCTCATTGATACAAGAATTTCTGGACTCATACTTCAGATTTGTTCCTGAGTGCTGGTTTACTAGAGAAGGTGAACCGATGCCTGTTAAAAAAAGAAAATGCTTGGTGAGCGTTTGAACAGGGTCCCCGCAATTATATCGGTCAGGAGCTAGGGTAGATTGAGCTTCAGACTATTCTGGCTTTGAATATTCGAAAAATTAATATTGAATCTGTTTATTCTGAGGACGCCCCTGTTGTTTTTGGAGAGAAAAGGTACCGAGTTACGGAGATTGGGATTATTACGGAAGATCCGAATCTGGAATGCATTATGATGACAAAGATTTGGGGTGTATGATTATTACATTGTTGCGTGTCTCAGAAAACAGTAAATTGACAATTAGACATCTGTACATCTGAGTATCTAATTGTTGTATGGGTCTTGCAGGGAGATACAGCTGCATTGCTATCCGATAGGAAATCAAAGCCGAAAACCAAATGATAACTATCTTGCAATACACCTTCCTTATTGATCGAAGAACAGAATTCTTCCGGTGAGATGTTTGGGGAAAAGATGGAAAAGAAAGTGATCTTTCAGAGTATCTGCACTGACGGAATCGGTGTTGAAATCAAATTCTGGAACATCAAAGAATCAGACCTTGAAAAATTGAAGTTTTTTAAACAACGAAAGCCCTCAAAGCTTCCAAATTCCAGATTGCAGCTCTAAATCGCCGGAGTTCCGTCGGAAGGTTGACCCTGAAGAAAATACCATGCAGGATCATACAGTAGCTTGAAAATGGCAAAAGTAGATTAGTCTTGGCACAACCTATCAAACCTATCACGAAGCAGAAACCACTGCATGTGTAGAGTCTCGGAGATAGAATTTTATCTTTGAAACCACAAGCTAAGATAGTATTGAAGACTCCGGAGTTTTCACCCAAAAATACGTATTTGCAATGTTTCTGCGTTCTCTCAGGAAGAGTCACATTCTTCTTGATGGTTCGAGCTTTTTCAGTAGAACGATTTAAATATCAAGTCGATAGTTATATCGGTTGGAGGATTATATAGATTTAGGTAATCGGGTCTTCAGATTCGAGGCCGACGACTGACGTGACGACTACAGTAGCGTAGAGGAATCAGATGGCGATGACGACAAATCCTGGAACTTGGATGCCCAGCACTTCATGCATTTATGGCCAAGGCAATCAGTGCGTGTGCTCTGCAGTGCTAAAACTGTACACATGTACACATACCATGGTCTTATTCGATGAAATGGGTGTGTGTCTTACATTATCTCCGTGTTATCGCGCTTCTCCACTTAAGATAATGACCTAGTGTGACCTGCAGACTCAAGTTACAGCAACTGTCCGGAACACGGCTTTTAGTTTTGCATATGGCATGATTTAATTAACCGATCCTTAGACGGAAATGCATCTCCATGAATTGTACGGATATAAATAGCCTTAGAAGGTTGTGCCAGAGACAGAGGTTTCTTACCTAGACAGGATCTTCATAGCGCTCGCAAAGCTTTCAAACTATATCACTTTACCAAGCACTTTTTGAACCACGACTTCTCTCAAGCTTCTTCAAGATGGGACATCTGTCAATTCATCTGAAGGTCGTTCTTATTGCATTCGGTACATTCCATGGAGTAAATGCATGGGGTAAACTAGGCCACGCAACTGTCGCTTATATCGCCCAGAATTATGTCTCTTCAAGTACAGAATCATGGTAAGTCCTTCTAAACAGCCAAAAAGCCAGTATTTAGCTCCTGGTTGTGTGAAAATACCGCTAATAGACACCAAAATAAAAGGGCTCAAGATATTCTTGATGATTCCTCGTCTTCATACTTGGCTAGTATTGCCTCTTGGGCAGATGAATACCGCGAGACGAAAGCCGGCAAATGGTCAGCCTCGATGCATTATATCGATGCCAATGATGATCCCCCGTCAGACTGCAATGTGAGCTATGATAGGGACTGTGGTAGTTCATGCTCCGTATCAGCCATTCAGAATTACACGCAGCGTGTGGTTGAAAGTGATCTATCATCCTCTGAAATCGCGGAAGCCCTTAAATTCATCGTCCATATTGTCGGGGATCTAACACAGCCTCTGCACAACGAGGCCTATGAGGTTGGCGGAAATGACATCGACGTCACGTTTGATGGATATAGCGACAATCTACACTCAGACTGGGATACATACATTCCTGAAAAGCTGATTGGTTCCTCATCGCTTGCGCATGCGAAGTCGTGGGCTAAGACATTGATCACTGAGATTGATTCAGGCAGTTATCAGTCAGAAGCAGCAACCTGGATTGAGGATGACACTCTGAGTGATCCTATTACCACCGCTTTGCAATGGGCATCGGATGCTAATGCCCTGGTCTGCACCGTTGTCATGCCCAATGGAGCCGCTGCTTTGGAGACTGGTGACCTATACCCTACTTACTATGACGATACCATTGGTACTGTTGAGCTGCAAATTGCAAAGGGTGGCTATCGCTTAGGTAACTGGCTCAATTTGATTTACGCATCTAGTATTACCAAGCGAGATCAAGGTGATATTTTGAAGGAATGAGATGAGGCTTCGAAACTGATGCATTAATGCCGCTATTGTGTTACAGACTCAAAATATCAGGGATTTTCTGCGTAGTGATAAATAAATACACTTAAATCAAGTCATTCCCCTCTTCGAGGCAGCTCCTTTAGTAATGATCACGCTTGCCCATCGTTGATATATCGACGCAGAAAACTCTCAAATCGAAATTTGATAAATCGACATCTTCCAATACTTCTTCGCCGATTTATCGATTTATCCGTCCCAAATATCATGTTACAAGTAACAGATAACCTGCACTCTTCCAGCAAACAGTAATACACATTATGGTCTAGTCTCCCTAGGCGGTGAGACTAAACTATAAGAGTTGTTGAAATAAAGTCTTTGAGGGGCATTAAATCCCGCGGACATCGGTGGAAGAAATCAATGAAACGTCATGACCTTCTTGACTTTGTTTTCGACCTTATTTTGGTGGTGCGGACTTGATGGCTTCTCAAGAAATTCAATCTTCCAAGGATATACCGTCCTGGAATTCGTTCTTTCCGTGGGTGTATTATTCCGTTATGCTGGCCAACCTTTTAGATTACACTTTGGAATTCCACTCCAAATCTCCGATCAATTCTAATTTTTCAGCTGCATACACTCATGTTGCAACTACTCAATGAATCAATATGCGAGTCGAGTGTATTGTTGAGTCTCTATACCTCCCTAATAGAGAGAAACTCCCTCGCTTATGTACAGCGACGCCGATCTGCTAATCCACTACTAATCGACGAATTGCAGCTGAATGCGAGCTTGACTAATGAATATTTTGAAAAATACCAGCCTATTGAAATTAAGTGGGATATTGCAGTCGGACTGGTCCACGGATGAGGAAATCGGACTTTTCTGAAACTCCGCGGACTTTCAACGCCAGATTCTATCCCCGTGGATTGATTCATCATTCATCATTCAGGGTTAAAAAAAATACGGAGCACAGAACAAAATGAACTCAAGTCCAATAATACAGATAAATTATAAAACTAATTCAACTCCTCCCTTCTCATCCTGATCAACCTCGCATCTATCCTATCTATACAATCCCCCAGCACATCATGTCGACTACCGACAGATCCAGCAGTCCCACCCTAGAGGGCCAATCTTCCGATGAAAAGGTGATCATCTCGAGCCCAGAAGCAGCAGAGAATGCAGGGCCAGAAACTGCTCCTACATCATTCTCCTCAACTTTCCAAGAGGCTCTCTTTATCTTCGTTATTGGCATGACCCAACTCTTCTCAGTTGGTGGTCTAGGCGTTGCCGCATTCTCGATGAAGGAGATAGGCGCATCTCTCCACTCAACTAGCAATGGAGAGATGTCGTGGTTCTTAGCCTCTTATTCCCTTTGCGGTGGTGTCTTCGTCCTTATTACTGGACGTCTTGGTGATCACTTCGGTCACAAGTATGTTACTATATTTGGATGGATCTGGATGGCTATCTGGTCTCTGATCTGCGGCTTTGCCCACGACGTCGTTCTATTTGACATCGCGCGTGGAATGATGGGAATTGGCAATGGTGCATTGGTTCCCAATTCCTTCGCACTGCTAGCACGTGCATTCCCGCCTTTATCAATCAAGAAAAACATCGCCTTTGCCTTTTTAGGCTTCTGTGCTCCTTCTGGATACATATTCGGCGGCCTTATCGGGGCTGCCTTCGGTGAGAAAGTTACCTGGAGATGGGGATTTTGGTTCTGGGCTATCGGCTGCCTCATTCTCGGTCTGGCAACTGTTGTCATTGTCCCTCACCGTGTCGGCTCCCCCATCCCAGGACTGACTTTCCGCCAGTTCGATTACATGGGAAGCTTAATAGGCATATCAGCTCTGATTCTATTTTCCTTTTCTTGGAATCAGGCTTCAGTCGTCGGTTGGCAAACTCCCTATATCTACGCCCTGCTGATTGTCAGTATCTTTCTGCTCGTTGGTTTCATCTTTACCCAGTCTCACGTGGCTGCACCCGTCCTGCCGAACTCTCTCTGGGGTCGTCCAGGATTCACTCCTGTGGTCACAGCCATGGCATTTGGCTGGATGTCTTTTGGAATCTTCCTCTACTATACCACCATTTTCATTCTCACTATCCATAAGGAACCTCCACTTGCTACAGTGGCTCAAATGGTTCCCCTGGTCATTGGTGGACTGTTTGCAACCTCTGCTGTTGGGCTCTTTGTCGACAAGACCCCCGCACAGTATATTTTTGGCGTTTCAATGTTCTCCTTCTTCCTCGGCAATCTGCTCATGAGCTTTGCCAGCTACTCGAACGTCTACTGGGCCTTCATCTTCCCCGCATGTCTTCTTGTCGTAGGTGGACCTGACCTGTCCTTTGCCTCGTCCGGAGTTCTCATTTCCAACGCTGTCCTACCCGAGGAGCAAGGTGTGGCTGGATCCTTTATCTCGACTGTTGTGCAGTATTCCATCTCCATTGGTCTCGGCATTGCGGCCACTGTTGAGTCTCATGTCAACGATGGGGGCAAAGACCCGATCCGCGGCTACCGGGGTGCTCTCTGGCTTGGAATCGGATTTGCAGTTGTGGGATTTTTCATTGTGATTTTCTTCGTAAAAGACCATCGATTTGATTCGAAACAAGCGGCGGGGGACAAGCCAGTTCCCGAGGCTATTCCAGAGACAGCAGATCTTTGAAGGAATCTGTGATGTTCACGGTTATTGATTTTTCTTTTTCTCGTTTGTGTTGGCCGGGAATAATGGACCTTATAATTTAATAGATTGACTGAATTCATGATCAAAAAACATATACCAACTATTCCAGTGTTGCATGAGCAGAATTTCAATGTTATTCTTTGTGGTACGATACTCCATATTGCTTGATACTGAGGTAGACTATGATTCAGATCATTCAGAATTCATCCACCGACAACCTTTTCCAAAACTTCTCAGCGTTTCCCATCTAGGCCGAGCTACTTTCTGGTATGACGCAAAGCTTGTACCCGCTCTTGAAGTCCCAAGTGTCGCCCGCTGCTATCGATCCAGTCATGTAAAATCTCTGGGACTGATATACAGGTACATTTCCCAAGGTGGCTCAGTGTCTCAACTACGATTTTTGGACGTTTATCGCGCGTTCTTTCATTATTAAATCAGATCCAAGTGGATGCTGCAGTAATATGTATATGGTCCTAGAGATTTCTATCATAGTTTAGGGTTGTATTGAAAAACTAAAAATAGAGCTATAATGAAATACATAGAGAAAGTAGTCATAATTAAGAGCTGTGTTCAATCTTAGGTGTCTGCGGCTAAAAGTTTCCTTCATAAAATGCCCGTAACTCCACAGTAAGTACTCATTATGCAAGCTTAGAAAGTTCTGAGGTTCTACCGAGTATTTATGTAGGTAGGGAAAAAGTTTCTCATATATCGTATTCATATAATCTCATGCTTATACCTAGGTAATATCAAAACAAACTAAAGCACGAGTAAAAGCCATGACTAAGTAATACTTAGTTGACATGCACACGCCAGTGCTCACGGTGGCCCTCAGTGAATGCAGTCCGAGTGTGGTGGGTTGTAGCATTATCATTGAAAAGGAAATCACCAGCTTGCCACTGGTGGCGATATACGACACGACGATCGTAAAGCAGAGCCGTAAGCTTCTCGAACAGTGCATCACTCTCGGCTTCAGGCCAGCCAACGACCTGCACAATAGTTGGCTTACTGCTTCCAGAGATGCACTTTGATTCGGGCCAGGGTTCGTGGATGCGGAAAGTATCGGCACCGGACTCCGGGTGTGCCACTATGAAGGGCAAGTGCAATTCATGGCCACCAAAGGCGTCATTGGACTCTGTGAATGTCTTCCACTTTAGAGAACGCAGTTCCTCAAGCGGTATAGTATCAGGCCCGAGGAGTGGCAGAAGATTGCGCGACGAAGCAAAGAGAGTGAGACCACCCTCAGACTGGGAGGCAGCGCGGTTACGAAACATCTGGAAAAGAGGTGGCGTGGAAATCCATTCACCCGTCTTCTCATCCTGAGCCATCTTGAACACGCCATCGTAGTGATAGGGCATGGCCTCGCGCGTAAGCACGTTGTTCATGTTGATTTCTCCATTCTCGCGAACCTCGAGAATATCACCAAATGGCCATGACTGGATCTCACCCAGTTGACGGGCTTTTTCGCGGAATACCTCCTTCTCCACTTCCATGGTGAACCCCCGTAAGAGCAGGGGTGCAGTGGCGAGAGCCAGACGACGTACACGTTTCATGTCTACATCCTCAAATTTCAAAGGCCCGTGTCCTTCCTTTGGACGGACCAGCATGCCGCAGGGGAAAAGTGGCTCGAAGTCGACCTCCTTTCCAGGCCAATTAAAAAGCTCGCACTTCGCACGTAGGAGCCATGGTTGGCCTGCAGCGTTGTTCACGACCTCGAATTCGTCCTTGTTGATGGTAGACGCATCAACCACGCGCAAGCTAGCGTCGGGGAACAAAGCAATAGCCCCATGCCATGGTGTGATGAAATCTGGGTTGACCGCCGGAGGAAAGAGGTTGAGAGTGATCTTACCAACGTTGTTGGACTCATGGATTGACAAACGGATTGCGGACGGCGCAGCCGACGCCAGTAGTGTGGCATATGTCTATATCTGTTAGTCAGGCCAGATATTCGGGAAGGTGGCATTTACCTTGCCTCGCTGGAGCATGGCTGTCTTTAAGGCTGCCGGATGGTTGCTCTCTGGGAGAGCTGTGTCGTAGTGCCGGCTTGTCGATTTCCAATTTTCATCCTCGACAGAGACCACGTTAGCAAGTGAGTAGTCCAGGTGGTCACGGGTCTTGGCCACAAATTTGGTGTATTCTTCGAGTGTCTGTGCCTCCCGTGGAATAATGCCGGCCAAGGCCCCCAGGCTGGTGAATTCCAGATGGCGAAGGCCGAGAGTAGTGGCGAGCTTGTTCAACTCTCTATGATACGCGAAAGCGTCGCTATCGGCGATGTTCAAAAGGTCTCAAAAAATTAGCTTTATCCATCAAGGACGAATGACAACAAAGTCCTACCGCCATATACTGATGCGTCTGACACCATCAAAACGGTGGCGCCGCTTTCGTAGATCTCGGCAATCGAGTCGGCGACTCCATTGAGTGTTTGCAATGCAATCTCCTCGGCCTTGTCTGGCAGAGGACCGAGGGTCTTCCGCTTAGTTCCCTCGGCCGGTGCCTTGAAAGGGAAGGCAGGAAGGATAAAACGGATGGGCTCCTTATTGGAGACAATGTCTCTAACCTGTTTCTCGAGCGTGGGGGCGAACTTAGCGTAACGATCAGGGACAACAGCGGAGCGGTGGCGATATGTAGCAATGATTGAGACTATCTGAGAGACCTTGGCCTCGATGTCTGATAGGGGGTTTCCAGCGTAAGGCATGTTGTTTTCAAAATGATATTGATTCAATCACCACTTTTTTGTGTCCACTTCATCATGGGAGAAAGGATCTAATATATCATCATCTTCCCAGAATTGAGGAGAGGGTATACAATATCCATTTTTTGGGGGTAATCATTTCTGAATTGTTGCCTTCTGACGGCAAGAAGCAGCACACGGATTCCGCGGAACATTTTCTAGACGGGTACTCCGTACACGTCCATGGACTATTGATAGAACAACCTTGCCACATGGGCATGAACCGGACTCCGTATTGACAAGCCAAATTTCAACGTTAACAATTGATTTTGGAAAGGTTTCTCTAATCTTCCAAAGTTGTTGAAGAAGGCTCCTTCAGCTTCTTCTGGTCCAGGCGTGCCACATGGGAATGATCCCATTTTCCAATTGTTTTATATCATACTGTAGTCATTATAATATTCATACTCTGCCCTTTTAGAGCTTTCATTCAGTTTTCAACCTGTGCAGATGTTGATCGATACTCATGGTGTTCAAGAGAACGTTCAGATCTACTGTGATCTGGGAATACGCTCAACACATATCTTTGTCAGGATGTACTATATCTGGACATACTTATTGATTTGCAATCCAATCTGACTCTCCAAAGATGAATTTAATAATACGAGGATATTTCCTTTGATCTGCCATGTACGACGTAGAAAGTGAAGGCGGTAATCAACCCCGCTTTTTGTACTTTATGTCAACGTCCCCCGATCCAATCGCATTCTGCCCGCCTCTCTCACATTGGGGGCCGATCTGAATAGGCTTAGTTTCCGATGTAGGGTCCTTTCCAAGGCCTCCAAGTTAGCCAATTCTTTCAAAAATTCATCCCTTTAACATGGATGTTTCCAACACCCGCAAGAAGCTCACCCTCTCCTGTTCGCGATGCCGGGCCTCCAAATTGAAATGTGATCGCAAGGAACCTTGTGTGAGTCCACATGGGCAGATTTTAGTGAAATCGAACTCATCACTTCTCAATAGTTAGAATGTGTAAAGCGCGATTGCGCCCATCTTTGTAGTAAAGATGAGCGTCAACCAAGAGCTAAGCGGACCAAAATTCGACATACCGAACAGAACCGCAGTCAGATGCCGCCTGTGGAAGAGAAAGAGCCCGAGGTCGAACAAACCGCACGGATCTTGGAGCATTTTGTGGATGTCATTCCTCTCAACACCTCCGATTCAGCAGCTGTGGCCCCTGATATCCTCAATAGATACTGGATGACCTCGGATCCACAGAGACGCGATCAGCATCTTGCCTTGGTCCGAGATGTAGTTCACGCCCTGCCGGAATGGGACATTATCGCGGTCCTCTATGAGGTCTTTGTTACACGTTGCCAGGGCCCATTGGGAAATATAGTACACACACCAACCTTCATGAAGCAAGCTGATCAATTGCGCCACTGCTTGAGTATGGCTTCATCCGATGAGGTCGTCGCGAATACGATATCCATGGACTCCCTTGCCGTTTTGCTTCTTGCGGTGCCGTTCTCCCCTGAACCCACTTGGCTTAGCGCCAGCTGACTGTTTCCATGTAGCTTGTGCTTGGACTTGCCTTTCATCCAACTCCATCCCTCTTAGGTGTCCAGCTCACACCGTTAACTTTCCGCGTAGAGCAACTGCGCGCTTCCGATGAGCCTGCAGCGACATGGCGGTCCCTCAGTGCCCGTTGTCTCCAAGGAGGCGTCTCACTCTTTTGTGGATCCATCTCCAGCTTACAGGCGGCCATCATGATTCTACTGGATGGCCAGGAAACCTCGTTAGAGCTCGATACCGTCTTGGTCTCCGCCATCTCGGGGGCGCGTAAACTTGGATTGCATCGCCTGGGAGATGCCATACTAGATGCTTCTCCATCATTGGATTACGTCTCCCCTGCGACCGCTAAACCACCTCATATTCGAACTGAAATTTCCATTCGCATTTGGTGGGTACCTCAAGCATCTCTTTTTTCTTCAGGTTAATTCGCTAATTATTCTAACTCACTAGGTGGGCTCTTGTTATGAGAGATTGGTCGCGAGGACAAGCTCTCGGATACTATACCATCCGTCCTTCGCAATTTAATACTCGGATGCCGTTGCACCTCAATGATGAGGATCTGCAAAGGGCCCATGGCAATATTTCTGAGCGCCCTCTGTCTGAGTTCACCATGCTTTCCTATACTGTACACGCATTGAAGCTTGTCATCATGGTGCGGGAATCAATTGATCTTCAAGATTCCGCCGAAGAAGCGGCCCAGAGGCGCCAGCATCTTAACCAAAAGTACGAAAATTATGTGACGAGTTTGCCGTCCTACTTTAGATTGGGAAGCACCGTCGGACTCACAGCCATGGGCCCCATGGCTGCAATACCAGTCCAGCGGTTCATGTTACATCAACAGCTGTGGAGTCTACTCCTCCGCCTGCATCGCGCCACTCTCTCTTCTCCTATGGGACGTGCATCCTGTCAGCAACTGGCTCATAATATCATCAACACGCAGGCCCAGCTTCAAGCCCGCTGCACGGTTTGTTGCTCCTTATCAACCAACGATACGCAACTTTTCAACGCGACCGTTGTTCTCGTCTTGGGTCTACTGTTTGATTCGCCATCAAATGAGGCTGAACGGTCCAGTGCCCAGCTCAGTCGATTGATGACAGGAGACCGCATTCGAGAAGCCATTGAATTGTTGCGTACCAAAATTCCACCGGAGGAATATCCCTCCGGGGACGCCATGCCAAAAGACCAGCTACAAAGTTCGGTTTCGCGGAGTGTTGTGGCCCTTGAGGCACTAATGAAGTTGGAACAGACTTCAGGCGACGGCGACAACCGCCATGCAGGAAATAAGACTGGACCAAGCCAGAAAAATTCCCTCTACCGCCAGGTGATAGAGATTCTGAAAAGCTTGAGTGGTTCGGCCACTCCCACTGATTCACTCTCGACTCCCGGGAACGCTTCTTTGAGTCTTTCTATCCCTGTTGCTGACGGGTTCCCTGAGCTAGATGTGATGCCCATCTTATCCAATGGTCTTAGCCCCAATGTGTGGGACTTCTTAGACTTCCAGCTACCACCGGATGACGCAGGCAAAGATAAGTTTTTTGGAGACATGTATGGGGATATGCGTTTCACCCACGCACTGGACCTAAGCCAAAATGGCATCTCTGCAGCGCGCTTTGCCCACGAATCAATATCATCTCTGGGGAGTGAACCCATGTTGGGCCCCGCCACGACCCCATCAAGCGCTGACGCCTTTGCAGCTGCCAACTTCTACGATGTTATAGAGAATGGAGGCACTCATTCCTGGTGAGCTATTGGCTTTGGCCTTCTAAGATTTACATGTACTGTACGTATCGTGAGATGTACCAGAGGCTATCTGTCATTTAATCATCGAAGCGTCATACTCCTAGTTACAGATTTTCCAATTTGGTGTAGAATACCGCTTGTAGGGAAGGGCTTCCAAGGCTGCTTCCACAAACTGTACCAATATAATACTAGGCCGACGTAAAGTCTAAGAGGTTTATTGGTAAATAGACTAATAGGCACATATGTCATAGAGATAATTTGAGACAATTGGATGCTCCCTCTAGGAAGACCCATTGAAAGTGGGTAAATCCACAAAGGGATCATCGTTTGGATCTGAGTGCCACCGATACTCCAGTCCAAATGCTGTCATCTGCGCGAACTGTACGGCCTTGTCTTCATTGTAGCCTGGAATGGACGTAGCGTCCCCACTAGCACTGGCCTTTTGCGTCTCCGGGTGAGACTGACGATCTTCGGGTGCCACGTACGTATGCGCAATGAACGCCATCCCTGCATCAATACCCGCTGTCACGCCTGATGAAGTCAAGAATTTACCATCATGGACCCAGCGGGCGCTCTTTTGCCATTTCACACCAGGATCTAGAGATAGAAGTCAATGGCTAACTCAATTATAGAAGTAGGGAACCACATACGCTTGGGAGTAACTTCATCATACAGACGCTTGTTGGTAGTCGCCCGGCGACCATCTAGACGGCCTGTGGCTGCAAGAAGAATTGACCCAGTGCATACTGTGAAGACATTGGGGGCCCGATCCACCAGCTGACCGATTCTCTGGAGTAGCATCGGGTCCCAGACCAGTGGCATCACGCCGAAGCCACCGGGAATAAAAAGTGTATCGAAGGAATGATCTTCGCGAAGAGCCTCAGCCAGAGAAATGGTTCCTACGATTCCCAAGCCATTTTTTATGGAGGTCTCGATCCCTTGAGGGGAGACAAAGTGGTGGAGGTTGACGAATTCCACCGTGTAGTAGTCACTCCGGGGAACAATGACGCCAAGTGGACCGAAGAGATCTAGAGCCTCAAATTCGCTGAACACGAGAGACAATATGCGGTGGTGGGTCGGCATTTTGCTTTTTATTTAATCCTTGCAATTTTCAGGAATTGACTTGGAAAACGAGCAATTCAGAGTTGAATATCTCACCTTCGTACTTATAGTTCAAATCTTAGGATACGTGTCTTACCTGCATCGATTGAGATGCCAAACTCCGCGGAGTTTTGCGGAGTTTCGACCTAGAATTTTCTAGAGTTACCACAGTCTAAACTCTGCAATGCTGCAATGCAAGCTCCGACGGATTGGTCCGGTACTGACAAATTATTAAGTAGGCCTTTGCTATACTTCCGACCTTATATTTCTTCAACTCAAATGTTTAATCTCCGTACCCCCATTCAAAAACCAAATCCCGAGTCCAAAATGTCGAGCAATTATGAATCAACTATTGTGGCCAGAGACTTCGATACGAAATGGGTACAGTGGCTTGCCAGACGCAAGAACCCAAGTGCTTTGTCGCAGTCCTCGTCGATCCCACTACCCATTCCATCAGTTACCCTACATGACTCCGGCTCTCTGCACTCTCGCAGTACCGCAACTACATACTTCGCTCTGCTTTCAGGTGCCCAAGACCAGCAGCAGCCGTATCATCAGGGCCGACAGCATACAGCCTCATCATCGATTGATTCCTCGTGGGTCAGACTTTTCGATCGAGAAGCTCAAAGATCAGGGCGGCCTATAAATTCAGGGGCCGGTCCTCAGCAAACGACTTCTGTCGAACCGGCCTTAACATCCACGACTCCAATGTTTGCGGTTTCTAGCCTTGATCCCCTCCACCTGCCCTTGAATGCCCCGTTCTTGGACTCGGAGGCTATTCCCGGAACTTTAGATAACGACCTGGTAGGATTGGGCGACTTGGACTTTGAGTTTACTGAACAAGATGCTGAGCTACTCACCTGGCTGGATGACGAGTGTTTGGTTGCGTTAGAAAATCCCGTGGGCTCTAAGAAGCGCAGTCTCGATTTTCTGGATGAATTATCCGTCAGTAAGAAACAATTGGTCGATCGTCAGTCAGGGTCAGATTCCGGAGTGGAATTCTCCTCTTCATTTCCTAGTGAGCGCTGTACATTTGAACTAAGTACTAGCAGAAAGGCCCTTGCAGGATAATTACATACTTGTTTCGAATAAAGTAGCTGCAGTAGATAGATTGTATAAATTGGTCTTGAATACGCAAGTTGGCCGGAAAAACGCAATTCTTAAGATTATCTCTTAGCCTGGATGTATCCCATTTTGATTTATCTTTCTTATATAAATGATTAAGACGGGTTAAGGGCATATTTCTTTAACCACAATGTTGAGATAATGGAAAGAACTTTGACCATTCACGTTGGCTAGGGGCGCGGCTCGGGTTCGCGGCCCGAGGCCGAACCTTCTGTTTTTTGAAGCCTAGCCATACTGCCAAGGCCTTGGAAAATTCCCAGGCTCTCAGCTGGTCAAACACTGAATCAAGTACGCTTATCGGGAAGGATTAATAGCTACTATCCTTGGCGGCAATGACAACCTTTGACAGGTCTTAGGCCGCAAACACCACTGAAGATTGTACTAGTTACTACATAGGTATATTTTGAAAGAGCTCCACATCTGGGCACGTCACCCAAGTTGTCTTGGTGGACGGGGAAGGGGACTGTTGGGTGAAGAGCCTATTCAACAAGCTTTTTCTGACTGACCGCGAAATTGTCAACTGAGTGCTCATCACCTAGGCACATAGTGAGTTTAAGACCCCTGAGCTGACAATAGAGAGACCCCTGTAATCTTGAAACTATGTGATACGCTGTATTGAAAGTGAGCTAATACGCCCTTTCGTTGTCGTTTTTTTGCCCCTTGTTTACCCCGTTCGCATTGTTCGACACCTAAGCAACCCGCAATACGAAATTAATTTGGGACCCTAAATTTCTCTTTCCGAGGCTATCACCCGCCAGGACAAGGCGCAATTAATTCTAATTTTACAGACTAATAAGTATGAAATACGAGTCTCTAGATCATTCACGGCGTATAATCAAAACAATCATCATAAAGAACTTCGTGTTCGGTGTTCAGATTTGCTTAACAAATTTTATTCAATTTCACTATCTATGCATCTAATCCAAGAATAATCAATTTATTTGCTCAATCAGCCCATCCTTACGTGAATCTGCCTCAAATACGACCAAAAATATATTGTTCATCAGTTTCCCCGAATGACCGTCAAGAAAGATGGACTGAGATGTACGGGAAAGGCAATACGGTGATCAGAAACCACAGCGTCACCCGCTTGCCACCGGTGTAAAACGCGCTGACGGACATCATCCAGCGCCACAGCTGCGCTAAGGAATGGAGTAGCTTCTTTGTCATCCTGCGCAGCAGGAATATGCACGAAATACGACGTGGCCGCCGAACTAGCAGCCACACCTTCATGAAGGAGGCTCAGCGACAGCCCCCGACCAGCAACCCGTTGGAATTCATCAGCGGTCTCGGTGTCAAACTGTGTGGGGTCCAGGCCTTCGAACAGAAGCGGGGAATGCACCTGGGCTAGTTCCGCAACCCGGTCTAACCGCATTAGTGTCATGGACAATCCCCGCGGAACCCGAACCTGCAGTCCAAATGGATATAGCGGATGGAACTCGGCCTGAAGCTCTGTTTCAATCACGCTGTACATAGGGGCATCCACGCAGAGGAATTGTAGCCCCAGGTTGTCGTGACAGAGCCGATACGAGGTGCCATCGGCGGCAAGCGTGGGCTTGCGCCCAAGACTTACGGCAGCCTGATCCGCCTCCAGGTATGGAGTGTTGTGCCAAGGAGTAACAGGAAAATTGCTATACCTCTTTTGTGGCAGCAGCGCTACAGACAGCTTGTTTGTGTTGTCACCCGCGTGGATGGAGAGCCGGATGTGTGGTGGAGAGGCTGCTGCAACAAGAGCCGAGAAGACTTGACCGCGCTCGATCATGGCGCGCGCAACAACTGCGGAGTGCTTCTTAATGGCACTCTTCGACATCTTCTTCTCCTCGTAAAAAGTTGCCAAATCCGACATCAAAAATCTGATGTATCCGCGATAGGTGAGAGTAGAATTGTGGTCAAGTTCTTGCGGTTTTTCTCCCGAGCAGCCACTGAACAGTCGTTGCTTGAGGTCTTGAACGCGTGACACATACTCTTCTTCGCTGATGGGTACGTTGGATGAACCTTCAAGAAGATCAAATGGGCCGGCAAACCGGATATGGCGCAGACCCAGTCTGTCCACAATTTGGTGCAAACCTTCTGCATATTGATATGTCTCCTCGTCAGACACACCAAGCAGATCGTTGTAACAGCAGCCATCACTAACTATAGTGATATAAGTTCCTCCTGGGTAGATCTGCTGGATCCGGGCACCAAGCGAGTTTAGGTGCTCGAGGGAAAGGCGCTCGCCAACGTCTGGGTCTGGTCCCATAACTTTCTCTTTGCGGTTTGGGCTTTTGAACGGATATGCAGGGACCACGAAATTGATCTCATAATTGTTGGACACAAAATACCGCAAGGAATCGAGGAGGTGTGGCTTGAATACATCCTCGTAGCGATCGTCAGGCCCGCAGATGCGATATGATGCGATGATCTCTGCAATGCGACCCACGAGAGCTTCTTGAGTTCTGCCACTTGTGCGTTTCTCGACGTGGGACACAAATGCTACCCGTGACGACGCTTGCTTAGCTGGTAGCGTCGCTTGGACTATGTCGATGTGGGGGGCTTTTAGGGCAGTGACGACGTTGGACAGCATGATCGCAAATATGGATTATCAAAATGATATGATTTCAGAGGCTTTGCGATGAGAAGGTTGAACCTATTTCAAATTTCTAGGAGAGAATTGCAGGGAATCAGATTTACATCTTCCAGGGCGCTGTTGATATGGGTTCAAAGTTGGCCTCTTGTGACAAATTGCCACTGCTCTTGGAAGTACTCGTGAACTGCACTCAAGTGCTGCCTATCCAGGTGAAGATTCCAAGGCTACGGTATCCGTTCTCCGCGGATATGCTGTGCTTTAGCCCCGTTTAAGTCCGGACTCATGTTGTATCAGAAGAAGGAAAAGGTCATTTCACGAGTCAGCATACAATAATGATGCGATTTCGTCCGCGTAATCCGGCCTACTTCCTCCAATGTAACCTAATTTTAATCTATAGGCTTTGTTCTAGATGTCTATGCATGAATTTGCCTCCCTCCACGTGTCTACGGAAGATTAAGAATATAGCCTCCTTCACCTTCCCAGGTGAATGGAAAGTTCTCAGTCCCACATCTGTAGAACCTACTGGACTTGCTTTGTCTTACCTTTGCCGGGAAACGCCCGTGTTTCTAAGGTTAAGTAGAGATTCACAGGGGATATCTTCCATATCTCGGTATATAGATGCACATACAACTAATATATTAGCTTCCCGTATAAATCTATATGAAATTCACTCCATCTTCTCGTCTTTTCATTCCGAGATCTTTTACCAGGGTGTTCATTCAGCTGTTTGAAGTTTTAATGGTCTTCCAATTAGATGGCGAGCTCCTTCTTCAAAGGAAATGCGGACTCCATGGACAACCCTTTCAAGACTGTAGTAGTCATTGGACCTACCTAGGTCTCAGATTTGCCCTACCATTCCTTGGCTTCTTATTTTCATTTTAATGCGCATTGCTTATCACTTGACCTCAAGATGACGGTCATTGGCGGAGGATTGTCCGGTAAGAGATGGCACTGATATACCGACATGAAAGCTATCTTCATATCAAAATATTTGAAAGACCTTGAGCTGTTGAAGAGTGTGTTCGATTATGGTACCTTTGCAAGTGCTGTGAGATTACTATTGAAGGATGTAGGCGTCTGGATCTTAAAGGTTAAGTGTTCGCCACCATTCCCTGGCAGGTAGCCCTGTTACAACGAGTTAGCCAGTCACTGGAGATTTTAGACCTATGGGAATTCATCACAGACGTTGACGATAGGAATATTTAATGAAGCACTGGTGAATCAAGAAAGAATTTTGCTGTGCTTGGGTGATAGATTCTTCCCAAGGTTGGAGGGTGATATTATGTTAGTCTCTATAATTGACCTTCCACCAAAACAACCTTGGAGGGTTATTCCGGTGTTAACTACAACGATACGCATAATTGTCTGATTGAATCTTAGCTCACAACTAGGTTATGCACCCGAATGAGCTTGATTGAAATCTTGTAGTGAAAGAAGTAGCTTATATTTTGGCTAAGCTAATATTTCCCCCGCTATTGCTCCTGCAGCTAGCCAGCCATATCTAATTCCCAGGTAGATAATCATTCAGATGTCAAATGTCTCCCAAAATCATATCGGATGATTTCTAAGCTATAGCTCTGGAGTTGGTAAAGTTCAAAGACTACCCATCGCCAATAGCTTACCTAGGTATGAGATCTGTAACTGGATTGTTTACAGGGGAGGAACAGCCTTTTTGTACGCAGTCTGCACCTCAGGCAAAGCATCCAGCTTCTTGATGTAAGCATTGATAGCAGGGTACTCCTCAAAGGGCTTGAGGGCTGGTCCTGCCAGGCCCGAAAGCTTCAACCAAGGCAAGATAGCAAAATCCGCAATTGTCAGACGGCCGAGGGCAACGAAGCCATTCTTAGCCGAGGCCAAGTGGCCCTCGAGAACAGCTCGTAAGCGCTCCACCTCATTCTGGTAGCGAACTATGACACTTTGGTTGGGCTTCTCGCCGTGAGCACCTTCGTGGAAGGCGAGGAACCAGACCAGCTGGCCCTGATATGGACCAAGGCCAGACACCTGCCATGCGAGCCACTGATTGACAGCAGCACGATCTTCGGCGGTTTTGCCAGCCAAGCTTCCGGATGGGTCATACTAAACATATTTAGCTAGATTTCAGGCTCAGGTGAGGTAGTTTGGGGTCTTACTTTCTCTGCCAGGTAGGACAGGATAGCGGCGCTCTCGAATACAGTGAAATCATTGTTACCGTGGTCAATGAGACCAGGAACACGGCCGTTGGGGTTGACCTTGGAGGTGTATTCAAGATCCTTTACGGTACCCTTACCTTCACCAAAGCCCAGAGGCACACAGTCATATGAGAGACCAAGGTGCTCAAGGGCAATGGCCACCTTGACGGGGTTAGGGCCGGGGCCTGATTGAAACGGTTAACGGAATCCGAAAAATGGGTAACAAAGTACCTAACTACATACCGGCGTGGGTGTAAAGTGTGAAAGGAGCTCCAGTCATGATGAAACGAGATGAAATCGTTGTAATTTTGGGAATTAATGCACGACGTGTCGACCAAAGGCTGTTGCTTAGAGAAGCGCGGTACATAAAGGAATTTGATGAAGTGAGTTGATAATGAACTGAATCACATCCCTTCAAGCTGCTATTTGTAGCCTCCAGAAATCATGCGTTCTAAGTTTGATGTTGTTCAAGGGTGGATTTTTGAACTAGACAGAAAGTCCGATTATTGTATTTCGCTCCGAAACTCCGAGACTCCGGATCCTCGGAAGCAGCACAATTTCCTTAGAAGTTCAATAAAGGATAAGTCCATCTATTCAACTATTATATGATTGATATTATATCTTATTTGGGAGGCAAACTTTTGAGTAGATAACTTCCCTGGTTCGGACTTCGCATCACAAGTCTGGCCTTGGCACTATAGACAGCAGCGCTAAATTCAGAACACTAAGAGCAAAAATACATGAATATGGGTGTAAGAAAATATTTTAGACATCTAAATGACTCTCAGTAAGCACTAGCTGAGTGAAGTCTTATTGTAGGGCATGATTTACCATATGCCATTAAGAAAAGCTTTATGACCTGGCCTCTTAGATACTAGAGCCCTGGAGTAATTTACTATGGCAAAAACCTTCAACGTGTATTCAGGATACCTGGGGCTCTTTGTGCTAGTAATTTGCGTAACTAGTGGTAATATAGAGATAAAGCTAGGGCTATAATCACAAAAGTTCACAACATTTGTATCGTTTTGTAAGATTGTATTGTCTGAACTCCCGCTGGTACCTGGTTTTAGGGCAAACAGCCTTGAGAGTGGTCTGATCGTAAAGAGCACATCCAGGAAACAACTCTGCCATGGAGACCTTTCGTGTTTTATCTGCGTCTTTTGTGGCGGTTGGTGCATTGTGAGGCGGAGGCTCCGTATCGTCCGCGTCGTCCGCATAATCCGCGTATATACGGACAGTGTTCATATAGATACTATTCACTAGAAGAGAATCATCAACAGATATGAGCTCTATACATAAAGAAGAGCAATAGACGCACCAAGTATTTTTCTCATCAGCCTCTGAATCTATCATCATTCCAAGGTTTCAAAATCTCTCTCTCTCTCTCTCTCTCTCTCTCTCTTTCTCAATTACCAGTCACCATCAACCAGCAGAATGACTATCTCGAATCCCACCCCCAAGCACACTTTCGCGGATCGTGCAGCTGCCAACAATTTCAACGATGCTCAGATTCTCAATTCTAACAACAGCGCTGGCGCCGACATTCCAGAGAAGTCGGATGTCGTTGTTGCCGGTGGTGGTATTCATGGCTTGATCTATGCGATCCACGCGGCCACATATCATCCTGGAAACCTTAGTATTTCTCTGGTCGAGAAGGCCAGCAAGCCTGGCTACAAAATTGGCGAGAGTACGCTGCCGCTGTTTTCATTGTGGTGCAAGATGCACGGCCTCACAGCTGAGTATCTCCTGCGACTCTTCGGCCTCAAGGACGGGTTGGCCTTCTATTTCCTCGATCGCGAGAAGCAGGGGGAGTATACCGATTTCTGTAGCAATGGCACACCTGGTCTCTTCCTGAGTGGCTATCAAGTTGAAAGATCCATCAGTGAGCTTCTCTTTACGCTTCTGGCTCAACGCAAGGGCGTGAATGTCTACCACGGTCGCCAGGTCGATTTCAACGCCAGTGATATCAATGGCGGAGCAGACCGTAGCAGCATTTCCATCAATCCAGGCAAATTCGACGGAAAGCCAGCCACCAGCATCAACTCATCCCTACTGGTCGACGCCACCGGCCGTTTCCGCCAGCTGGCATCCAAGAAGGCCCCGTTGCAACGCTTCGAGGGCTGGAACTATGATTCCTTCTGGGGATACTTTACTGCGCCAGCTGACGAGAGCAAGATTCCTTTCCGCCACTATGAAGGTGACCACACCAACCATTTGTGTTTCCCTGAGGGTTGGGCCTGGGTCATCAAGCTCCCATCATGGGAAGGCAGTTCAACTGCTAACCTGATGGACATGATCTCGTACTTGCTGGACTTGGCCGAGGCCGCTGTCCCGGGAGATCAAATCCCTAGCTCTCTCGAGCTCGCAAAAATGTTTGACCTTAAGTTTAAGTGGGTCACTAGTATCGGATTTGCTGTGCGCAACGATGTCAAGTACCCTGAAGACATGTCGGCCTACGGCACGCGGGAGGCCGAGCGCAAGTTCAACTACTTCGTCCAGAAGTACGACCTCATCAAGGAGTTCATGACCAACTACGATCTCATTGAGAATCTTTACGGCCCCGGCACCACTTGGTACATCCGCAAGTCTCTCACATACCAGTCGCCCGTGGTCTCTGGTCCTGGATGGCTCGGTATTGGCGACGCTTGTGGTTTCACAAACCCGCTGCATTCCCCTGGTATCACCGCTGCTATGTCAACTTCGACTTACGCGGCCGAGCTTACGCACAAGGCTCTTGACCAGGCCAAGACTAAGGCAAATCCCGAGGCTGCAGAGCTCGCCATCCGCGAAACATTAGCACCTTATGATGATTTCGCGCGCCGGCTTATCCCTTCCCTGAACCAGATGAACCGCTTTAACTACGTCTGCTTCCGCGATCCCCGGCTGGGCCCTCAGGTCTCCTGCCTCTGGCAGTTCTTCGCCGGCCTCGGCATCCCAGGCTGGCAACTTATTCGCCAAGACTACAATCTGAACATGGAGACATACGTGCCACACTCAATCAACTGGGCATGGGGATCTATGACGCCAGAGTATGACTCTGTGGCCCGTCAGACCATTGAGTTGCTTACCCCAATTCCGCTGGAAGATACTGTGCCGGAATCCCTGGTCAACCAGGTCATCGAGCTTTCCAACGCCGTCAAGCGTGTCACAGTCGACGGCGGTCGTTTCAATTTCCGCTGGGACGGTCTGCTTCGTTACTACGACCTCTACCTCAACTACAACCCTGATGAGCCCACTAAGGATGTCTTCTCGCGTCAGTGTCGGGAATGCAGTACCTGGCTTCACTGCCGTCCGGACTGGCGCCGTTGCTACAATTGCGGTGAGATACGATCTGAAGAGGATGCTGCTATCACTTGGAACCCACCTCTTGATGTCAATGATGTCAAGGCGTTGGTGCGTGCCTCCGATGCGAAGCCAGCTGCAAGAGGAGGCCACAGTGCAGTCAAAGAAAAAATCGCGGAGCCTGTGGTGTCGACCCTCCCGGTGGAGGTTGTGAACTGATTTCAAATTTGAAATTCATCAGCTACTTCGGCCCTTCTCTGATTTGTTACATATCTCTCTACTCATTTAAACTACATCTTTACGTAGCTCAACAGCTAAAATCTGAATATACTGTGAACTTGGAGCTTTCTTGTTGATTTCGTTTAATTATAAATAAAAATTCAATTCAAAAATTGCACTCTCTCTTTATTTACACTGGGTATGTAGACTTAACTTAAACCGCGCTAATGAAGAAGTCTCCTGCATCGCTTCAAGCAACGACAACACCTTATTAACATGCCATTGCAAGGCACCTATCTTTTCCGCACTCAATTTAGTGGGATTACCCCAATAATCCTCAGCTCCACTCACAAAGGCAAAGAATTCCCGTCCCGAGGGTGGAGGCTCCACTCGCCCCAAAATCCCCATCCCGTCAGCAGCCTGAGATTCATGCAGCAGCACTTGCGCAACCAGAGCGGCTGACGAGGCCGGCTGCAAAACGCGGCGCAGACTTCCAGTGCAGGGCCGTTCCGCCTCCTCCAAGATATCAGGAAGCTGATCTACCCCATCCCCATTTCCCAGGCGACGACACTGGGCGAGAACAAATATACATGCATCCATACAGGCATCTAGGCACATCAACTGAAGTGGAGTCGCAGCCGAAGGATTGTGCATGAGGTAAAAGGCTTCGTGTCGGAACAGCTTGAAGCGGATAAGTCCGAGCTCGAGGCTAAGGTGCATCTTTTGTACCTGCGGGGCACGGCGAGGGAGATTTTCGTTGCCCTCTCCACCTGGGACAGTGTTTCTTCTGGGAGACGGGGTACTCCGTACAGAAAAAGGTCCTTGGCTCCCTAGTAGCTGGTAAAAGCTCAAGTTATGGTCCAGTGTATCCAACTCGGCGCAGAGGTCGGCAGCTTGGTTTGGCGATACAGGTCCTGGTTGAAGGATACAGTCTTCGGCGCGCCGTGCCAGATGCGCAATTGCAAGTGCATACTCGAGGTAGTGTCGCGTTTGTCGACGTTGATCAAGAGCCAACCCATAGCTATCATCCGCCACTGGTGTCGGCAACGGCGGGCTCCGGTGCATCTCTGCACGGATAAAGTAACTACCATGGTGGTAGATTCCCGGTGATGTCCAGTCTAGCACGCAAAGTGTGGACCACAGCTGCCACCGCCATTCACTTTCAGCATATGACATGCCTGCATGACCGAAGGAATCTGTCGATGCATTTACTGCTGACGAGATAACATCTAGGTGGAGTTTGAGGTAATCTGAGGGTGCGGCGAATGATCGTGCTGAGATTAGGAGTATAATCTTGATGGATACAATGTCAAGGATGATTTGATTCGAGCTAGTTGGAGGTGGGGTATGAGAGGTGAGCCCATTGTTTGAAGGCTCACCGAGGTTATTGGGGGTCATATTGGGTATTGTGGATTTTGCTGTTTGGTTTGAAAATGATGTTATAGACATTGTGTCTTCGTCATTTGGCGTTATAAGCATCCGTGCCTTTCGATATAAGTTTCGAACGAGATCGTCAACTTCGTTCACTTCTATACCTAGCTCTTGTGCTTTGCCTGGTTCCAGATCAACAGCAGCAAGACTAGCACATGCGAGAATTCGGGACACTTTGACTTCAAGGGCTCTGGAGGCTTGGCCGACGTCGAAGCCCTGACGAAGATGCTCGATTTCTTCGACATCAGTGATGAGTCGATGGATGTCGATAAAGCCCGTTAGTGAAGCAGAGGCGAAGATCTAATGCCATTAGTTTAAGTCATTTTCCGTACGAGACTCATTGAGAAGACTCACATAATGAGAAATCAAACCCCGAAGAAGGGGGCTTGCAGGAAGCAAAGCCATTAGTTTATATGAGGTCCACTGTTGGACATTTGATGATTGAAGACCCCAAGAACTATTAACATCGCTTGATAGTCCCACAATCGAAGACTTTTGAGTATCCGGTGTCATGGCCGCTAGGGTCTCCGTCATATTCTCTCCCCCATTGCCACGAATATTCTCCATGAGGCTCGAACTCAGTAGTTTGAGTTCTTGGACTTCTTTACTCAAATTCGAGATCATTCTTGGAAGCTGCTCGAGGCTTTCACAATGATGTCGTCTTTTATCTTATTAGAATGCATGGCTTATTGGATCACGAAGTCAACAACAAAAACTTACTCCGGCCTTTGTCCTTCCTCCCATGTACATCGGTCTCCCTCCCCGCGTGCCTGACACGCTCCACATGGATCGAATCGGTCACACTTGAGTTTCCGCCGTCTGCATGAGTGACAACTGAAAATCTTCTTATCTTTTCCCTTCTTTGGTCGATCGGGCGGTGGATTCTGGGTGCGTAGCTGAGTACCCGTCATGTTGGAATTGGATGTCATTCAATTTAATCTGGAGACAAAAGAAATCTTAAGGCTTCCTTGAAGTTCTTCTCGACCTTTCTGTGATCTAGGAGATGGAATTAACGTTGAAGTATTTCACGATTTTGCTACCGCGGTATCGGCTCAATGATAAGCAGCGACGTAAGACTTGACAAGATTCTCGACTATATATGGAGGATAATAGGGCCAGTCAGCACATTTAACCTCTCTGCACAATGTGGGCTCGGACAAATCGGCTTTACCGAGTGGAAGGCGTGCAGTTTCAGATCCAGAAATTACAGTAAGCGCTATAAAATAGTATACATATGCTAAACCATCCCTAGAACGTTCATCACGATATTGAGATATGTAACCAAGTAGAACTAAATATGCAATTCAAATAGGACTTTTGAGATGATGAATCTATTACCAATCAGAGAAAGACAGAAATAGCCTAACATAAACAGTGAGTGCTCTAATTCGCTCACTGAACAAAAATTGATAAGTGATGAGTAACTGAATAAGGCCACCTAAATAAAATGATGATTGCTAAGAAACTGGATAAGGCTACCTAAATAAAATGTAGACCGTTAGCCTTGCTCACCATGCACACTGTGGATCATTTCCATTTCCTCGTGGACGCTGTGCAACCAATGAAACTAGCGGAGAACGGTATTTCCGAGCCATTGACAAAGCACGACTTTCCAAAAAAAGAGATTCGTCTCATAGGAGTTCGTATTAGGTGGCAACCTGCACCGGGATTCGCTAGTTGGTTGTTGACCCGTCATATTCTTTGAGCAGCCTCTGGGGGAGTTCTCTGCCGCATCCTTCCAAGTTCCAACGTCTGATGTTATGGACTTATGGTACTATTCGGAATATATTTAGTGATACCCTAACGAATAAAGTCATGACCCGATGACAGCTCGCGCTAAACTATCTGGAGCCTAGCTCAGCCATCGCTCCTTTGAACTCATCTTGCTTCCTTTAACTACCCACGTTTGATTGTAGATACTAACTTGGACCGGAGTGGTTTTGATCTCACATTCATATAAGCCCAGTCCACAAATCATTGAGCAATCAGAAAAACGCCATTTATTGCATCCTGGCATAATCCCGTTCCTGGCATGGAGGATACATCATAGATTTGTTCGTTGCCTAGATCCAGCATATGGGTCACATCTTCTGCTTATACTACTATGAGCTTTATTTGGGGCTCTGGCAGCAAACAAGGGGCCCCTAACTAGATAACTAGCATCCCATGTTTAGTAATCAGAAATTTGCCTCATGACGAAATTGGCACTATAATTATTATAGCTAGTATTTGGACGAGCCATCAGACTATTCCAAGGAAATAGAATTTGATTCCCAACTGCTCGGGAAAAATCAGAGTTCCTCTATATCGAGGAGGACTGAAAGGAGAATACGTCGTAGGTAAGAATAGGCGTTAGCCCAGGCTTTATTAGAACCATGGAACCAGATCTACTAATCAGATTCTATTGGTCCGCCTTCCATAGTTTGAAGAAGTGGAGTATCACTCGGCGATGGGCCGGCCGCGTTGAAGACATAGAAACTTGGAAATACATCCATACAAACTGTACCTTGCTGTGGCATAGGGTCTGAGCGTCGGTCGCACCGGCCCGGCTCCGCTGTTTCGTGCTTTTGATACAAGATAGAGACTTGATTGGCCTAACAGCACTTCGTCTTCACAAACTCCAAATCTTCCATCATCTTTCTTCCAGCAATGGAGCCATTGCCACCTATGTATTTAATCAGAAAAAACCCCCTAAAATATACTTTTGTGTGACTCCAGCCTTAGAGAGAACTCAACCTTATTCAGCGCCAAACGGCTGCATGGCTCAGGCTACCCTAAGGCAGCCCGAGATGGATTCCCAAGGCTCCCGTAAAGGAAAATGGCATTCTACCTAACGTAATACGGGTTATTCAGTGATTACTCAAGTGATATCATGTCATATTAGCTGTTAATTAAATGAAGACGATCGTGTGATTACGTACATTTTCTGATCTGTCTTGGACTCGACGTATGCTTAGTTGAATGAGCTCCACTCTGCAATTCTGAACGAAATAATGTACCAGTGTCCCGGGGAGGCGACTTTGGGATAGAGAGGTAGTAAGTAACAAGATGCAAGAAGAGTGGTCAGGGTCCTCACCTAGGTTAATAATCTGCTAAAGCAAACAACAGACTTTAACTAGTCCATTTGCCATTATCATAGCCTTCGGACTTACCCACTAATTCAGTATATTAAATTCAGCAAACTCCAAACTTGAACTAGTTCCACTACCTGGGTCCTACCTTGCCATTATCCTGGTAGTTCTCGGACTTACCCACTAATTTAGTATTAAAGAGGATAAATAAACTTTGAAAGGATCTTAGGTGTTGATTTCCCGACGGTCAGGACTGGCCAATCTTGCCAACAGTGGGTAAAAAGCGGCAAGCCCTACCTAATCACCGTAGGAAAGCGATACGTATTCCATTTGATATTTGCCCCGATCCCGTATTCCAATATGCTACCCATATTCATGTACATGATAGGTATCGCTGATATTTCCTAGATCGGTATATGTGGTAAGAGACGCATATTACCACAAGGCAAGTACCCCTCATCATCGAGTCTACATCGAATTCTCCACCAGCTCATAATCAACGCCACGAGCTAAAGTAATATGAAGAGAGGGTGAAAGCACGGCTTGAAGTGAGAGAGGTAGTAATGTGCCGAATGAGTGTAATGGCCTCAGAGCCTAAGAACATTGACGGTACCTATGTACGTCATGTTCTCATCCCGTCAAGTTTCGGTTTGGCTACCTTCCTTTCCAAGCTTCTTGGCAAAACAGCCCCGCTTGTCTAGCTACAAAAAAATTGGAACACTTTTATTATCTCTCGACATCTCAAAAGCTCTTTGATTTCCTAAGTAATTTACACTCGTCATTTCATTTAACATATATAAGGGATTTAGCTGAATAACGACTGTTCCATGGGTAGTTGAATTCTACAGTATCCGGCAGGGCAGTACACACATTATGCACCTAAGCACTAAATAAGCCTCGCGCGTATTCATGAATGTAGGTACTTAGTGAAGGGTTCCCACCAATCATCAATAATCGAAGCTGATTCAAAAGTGGCATGTCTTCCCAAGTACCTAGATAGTATAATAATTTTCTAAGTATGACTATTCATTGACCCCAGAGTTACTAGGTACTGAGTTGCTTAATTCACGACATATGAAACTTGAGACCACGCATACATATGTAGTTTCTTGTGCGTTCTAGATTATGAAGGACCTTTTCAAGTTTCCAAGGTTGCCTTTAGACCGTTGAAAACTTGGAAGACGAAACAAGCTATATCTAGATAATGCAGGTCTTATTGTGTAATGTGGGACGGATATACACGGGAAGATCCACATTGATCCGTAGATTGCTCAGTCGAGGCAAAGAAAGAAAAGTTTTAGACTTGTAAGCCTATCTCCACTTTTTTGTCAAAACTATCACTCTATCAATGGAAGTATTTGTTTGAGCTGGATCGCGGATTTGTCAGAAGCAAAAAACCTGCTTAGGCACTTGTATGCTGTGATTATAAAGCAATTGAGAGGGATATTGTTCAATTTTCCACTTTTTTTCGTCTTGGGAACCTTCAAATTCTTACAGAGGTTCAGATTCTACCATAATCTATTATCACGCCATTATAATCAACGCTATGTAGGTGCGCTCTTAGCCATTGCAGCCGTGCATGATGACCACAGTCAAGCTCCACACGAGGGATTTCGATACAACGCTCTTCCCAGAGATGTAGATACACAGGCATGGTTTAGAATTTCAAATTAATTCATGGAACATCAAGGATCCTTATTCATGCTTCTTTAGACTGATTCGGTGTTCCCCGACATCTCAATTTCTAATCGTCGCCCTTAATTCCCGTGTCTCTCCGGTCAGCATGAAAAACATGACATTGCATTCATAAACAATTTAACCGGTTCTAGGGTCACATACACCAGTTGAAGTTAATGACTCAAAACAGGTGGCTTCTTTGATACTGGGTTGTCTTACAGATCAGATGTATGATTTGAGCCAAGTGTTACCAGACAATGACCTCGTCGTTTGAACCTCTAGTATGTGTAACTCCTTGACGAATTGAAACATGCCCTTTTTGGTATTGGAAATGCTAATATAGACCAATATTTAGTGGAGGCTATTGTTGCGACAGCCGAGAAACAAGGCCATCAACAGACGGAAAGTATTTCGGCCGAAAAAGCTTCTTCCGAGACAGCGACTCCGGAACTGGATTAGTATATCACGGCATCCTTGAACGATATGCATTCATCGCAAACGACACCCTTGAGCGATGCGCATTCGCGACAGTAATGTCCCGTCTTCACCGTCTCTTCTGTCTCGGACGAATGTTGACATTCGTCCAGAGCAGAGGGGCGCCCATATACTATAAGTAGCTAGTTCTTTCATCAATGAAAAAGCAGACTTCACAACAACTGCAATATTCAACTAGTAGGAATCCACTACCAGATCGGTGGATTGTCTACGGTGTTGAGTAGCGGTTCGTTGGAGCTCACTGTTCTCAGTAACGAGCGACTAGCTAGCTACGCTCGCTAAGCGAGCGACAGCTATGATATCCTACTCCAGGCAAACTCGTTCATGAGCGCAGTGAAAATTTTAGACTGCGGCGACATCCCCGTCACTTCGTAGGTTGTGTGTGACCTTGGGAATTGGATGAGAATCATAAAGTACAATGGAGGGACTAATAGGTACCTTAGCAGCTATGATAATGAGTGTAGAATTCAGCAAATCGAAGCAGGACATAACAGCGCCCTGATGCGACAGCCTTTACAAATGCTGACAAAATGGCCCTTTCACTAGCTGGATGCCCTTTATTCCGTATGATTACACTTGAAGGCGACCACAAAGTCCCTTTGCTTTTCCTGAAGAGTATAAATAAAGCATATGGACCAGTCACGGTCGTTCATTTTGATAGCCATCTGTGAGAAATTAATGAGATTTATTTTTCCCCTTAGTCTAGAAGCTGACCATGATCGCTTCTCAGGGACTCGTGGAAACAAAAGGTTTTTGGTGGATCGCCGGGTCAATTTGCCGCAATCAACCTAGCGCTTATTTCTAGCATGCTACATAAGAAGTTCTAACATCCACGCTGGGATTCGTATAACATTGTCTGGTGCATCTGACTACGAAACCGATGGATATTGTGGATTTGAGAGTGTGACGGCTCAAGAAAATGGTACAATTGGTAGCCAAAAATCGGTCTGACAGCTCAGGTAATGCAGATTACTAATAGAAGTGCATGGCTAGGTACTGATGTTATTATCATGATCTGGGATCGTGCTGGAACAGAGAACCCCATCTGTCTCTTGATGGATATCGACACCCTGGACCCTGTCTGTATGTCTTCACGAGACCACATATCAAATGAAAGCTGAAAGTTAGGCATTTTCTATAGTTAAATCAGTGACTGATACTGATGGCTGATCGATGTACGAGTTGCGAACCACCATTCGCGGTATTGGTGCGCTGAACTTTATCGGTGCCGATATCGTCGAGGTTGCACCGGCTTACGATACTCATGCTGAGCTTTCAGCCATGCACATGGATCTTAATTTACTTCAGTCTATAACAGAGTTAGAGGTGTTTATTAACTGTTGATCTCTTTCGGGCTGCCGCTGGTGTGTTGTGTACAAGGTGTTGACAATCATGGTGAAGGGACCCATATCTATCGGTTCATCCCACGAGCTATAGAAAGCTTCCGGATCAGGACCTGTCATTCAACAAGAGGTCCACCAAATATAAGGGTTGATTCGTTGAAGTTCCTGATCTCAATATGCGTGGTCGCTATAAGGTTCTAAGGTTGCCTTGGCATAAAGCCTTCCGACTATCTAACTGAACACTTTCTAGGACTTTAAGTGTCAGAATTGGTGATTCAGCATCTTGGCAGAGGAATACAATAAAATACATTCCTTTCACCACGTGATAAATGTTCGAACATATTTCTTGGCTCCGAGGTAGTGCCGAGTCCAGGTATATATGACCAGTCAATTGACACTTGCAGAAAGTCGTCTGACCTGTTCGCTGTCATACATTAACCTTTCTGTCTGTTTTGCATGCACGAGCGTAAATTGAACCTTGGGAAGCGTTGCCGAGATACATCATCTGTCAGAGTGGGGTCAGCTATCAGCCCCTTGCTATTTTTGTGGAGACAACCAGAGTTGAAACGCCAGCTCCCCACCAGTGACTTGGCCATTGAGAACTGGGAAAGGGCTGAACAGGCCGCTCCAGTGGCCAGACCAGTCTGGTGGAGTGATAAAACGGCCAGCCCAATGCTAAGTGGGACGAAGACAGAGAGGTCGAATTCTCTTAATGATTGTGAGTCTACGGAGCTCACTAACATGCACTAACTAGCAGTAGTACAAACACTCCGTGCCCCTGCATGAGTTCACCAGTCCTTGAGTCAGGGGGCTGTAGATTAAGAAAAGGTAGATCTGAAACATTTTGAGTGGTCTTTGACAAATGTCTTGAGTCGTGACAGTTCAAGTGTATTGACAAGGCACGTGCAGGATCCGGCCAGTCCGCAGACTTACAATACCGATTGTCATGCTCTGTTCGGTACCCCGATTTAACGTATCTCGCTTATTGGCATATTTTGAAATTTTGCCTTCCTCCTACCTGGGTAGTAACTACAATATAACTAGGTATATAATGCCTACTTATGTGCCTGAAATATTATATGAATCAACCTCAATATTTCAAGGTCGTTCGTCATATTTGATACAATACCGAGTCTGTAATTTAGTATGACCGCAGGAGCATGGCATGTTCGCACGGTTAATAATCAATTAAAGAACTGACTAATCCTGATCATAAATTGATCCATCGTAGACATGAAGTCAAAAGTCTAAAGTCTCTCCACGTGCTCCAAGCGCATCGCAATTTTGGGTCAATGATATCCGTAATAGATTGTTGAATTGGATGTTTCGAGAATCGGTATTTGGTCGCTATAGATCTCTCCTACAGTATTGGTACCTAATGATAGATATTTAAATGAACCAAAATCAGGATCCTGGCTGTGATAGGGGAAATTTCCGAGTTTGATTTCGGCCGTAGATTAACAGGCAACGATCGGCATTTGGGGACAATTATTATATCATTAGCTGGGGAAGGGTTGGGTACGCTTGGGTAAGAACGAATATAAAAATAGCACTGGAAGTCCTGGGTAGCTCAGAAAGACTCTTCTCTATGCCTCATAGTCCGTAGTAGATTGGCTCTCCAGATTGATTGCTATATCCACTGTTAATAACTTAAAAGGTAATACCTGAGACATGCAATTGAAAGGTTGAATGGATTTAAATTTGAATCGTGGAGTCTGGAGTACTAACTATAGTTATGGAGTAAATAAATAGATAGTCACTAGATAATTAGTTAGGGGCCGATAATTGGTAATTCCAGGTATCAGTTATCGGTATCATGGTATTGTTCTAGAAGATGAAGAAGTGACGAGTCCGATTGGAATGTAATCTATGGCTCTTTTCCCTTGAACTGCGTAATCGTAATCGATGGAAAAATAAAGCAGTTCAAAAAAAGAGACTTGCCGATCCTGGTCAAGTAAGGCTGGGCAATCGCGACTTCAAATTTCCTTTGTTTTTCCCCTGAACCAAAAGTCTACCTCTGCCCCCCCTCCAAAACCTCAATAATTTTCCCCCTTCATCTTCGGAGCTAGACCTGCAGTTGAGTGCACGGTCATTCTCCAGACGTTGAGCCTTTTGCTTTTTTGTCTTTCCTTTTCTCTTTTCAGGGGATCTTCGTTATTGCGGAAGCATCCAAATCTTCAAGTGAGTTGTTTGTGTGTTTGTTATCGATAATTGAGTGCGCCCAAAAAATTTAAGGGGTTGGAACTGACCATCCACTCTCAATAGTCAATCTCGGAGTTGCGCCTGATGAATACGATACCCTTTCTTTCTTGAATTCCCATCTCCACGACTCTCTATCCCCCCTTTCCTTTGCCTGGTCTCAACCTAGGTCGTCGGGGAGAATCAGTGAGAAATGACAGCTTCTCCTCCCGCCTCCCCGGGTCCTACCCCACGGCCTATCAGTGCCGTAATGCGCACACCACGAAGCCACAGTCGCATGAGCGTGAGCAGCAAGCATGGAGGAAGCCGCGCATCTGACGAAGATGGCAAGACTGCGGTCAAAGTTGGTATGTTTAGTTCCCTTGGAAATGCTCCTGGACCGGCTTGTCAGGCTCGCACAACAGCGGCAGCAGGTCCGGAACACGACGTTACATCAAATTTCAAGCGTCAACGCACAAAAAAAAGCAAATACTGACATTGCGCAGCTGTTCGAGTTCGACCGCCGCTCAATCCCAATGATCCCGGTTACGAGTTGATTCCCCAGCGATTTCAGACTTCGATGGTTCACGTTACTACGCCGACAAGTTTAGCTGTGGACGTACCTCAGGGACGCAAGCTGTTTGTATTTGATAGAGTTTTTCCGGAAACTGTTGACCAGGAGGGCATCTGGGAATACCTGAGCGATAGTGTCAGCTCATTCATTCAGGGCTACAATGTTTCGATCCTGGCCTACGGTCAATCCGGCGCTGGAAAGTCGTATACTATGGGCACGACGGGCCCGAGTGAACAGGATGGAAACACAGGTATGGGTTCATCTGGCCATATTCTGTCTAGTCAGAATATTCCCGCATTGAGAGACGATGAGCTAATTTTAGTCTTGTTCCAGGCATAATCCCTCGCGCAGCTCAGCTCCTGTTCGAAAAGTTAGACGGTCCCAAACATAGTCGCAACGGCTCCGTCCCTATAAGCGGTCTCCGAACACCGCAGCGATACTCCATATCCTCAGCTTCAAGTTTCGTGAAGCCGAATGCCGAGAAGGAGAAAGAAAAAACTTGGCAACTGAAGGCCACATATGTAGAGGTACGCATCCATCCTCCACCAGACAGTACACACAGGAATCCTATCTAACGCGATTCTCCAGATCTACAACGAGCAACTTCGTGATCTGCTTCTTCCGGAATCGACCCCTCACAGTGATCGTAGCAATGTTACCATCCGCGAAGACACCAAAGGACGCATTATTTTAACCGGACTACACCAGGTCAACATCAACTCCCTTGAAGACCTGGTAGCAGCGCTCAACTTCGGATCCACGATTCGCCAAACCGATTCCACTGCCATAAACGCTAAATCATCTCGATCGCACGCCGTGTTTAGCTTGAACCTCATTCAGCGCAAGAGCTCAATAGCACCGCCCACTACACCAGAGAGGAAACGCATGTCAATGCCTCTCGATTCATTTATTAGCGGAGATTCTGTGACCATGGATAGCAAGCTTCATTTCGTCGATCTTGCGGGTAGTGAACGGCTCAAGAACACGGGGGCTTCGGGTGAGCGCGCTAGAGAGGGTATTTCCATCAATGGTGGTCTTGCAGCACTCGGCAAAGTCATCTCCCAATTATCGTCCCGCCAGGCTGGATCCCACGTGTCTTACCGCGACTCAAAACTCACTCGCCTGCTTCAGGATTCACTCGGTGGCAGCGCAATCACCTACATGATTGCATGTGTCACTCCCGCGGAGTTTCACTTGAGCGAGACAATCAACACCATCCAGTATGCACAGCGAGCTCGGGCTATTCAGAGCAAGCCTCGAATCCAACAGGTTACCGATGACAGTGACAAGCAGGCCATGATTGATCGACTGAAAGCAGAGGTCGCTTTCCTTCGGCAGCAAATCCGCAACTCTGAAGGCTCTGAGCGCCGTGAAATAGCAAGCACGGACCGCGGCGATCGAGACAACGAACGGGAAATTCATCTGCAGAACAGATTGTTGGATGTTCAAGAGAGCTATAACGCTCTCACCCTTCGCCATACTAAATTAATCTCCACTCTCACTGGTGATTCAGAGGCTACCCAAAGCGAGATTGAGGATGCCTCGTCTAGGGTTCATGCACAGGATTCCGTCGAGCGAATGAAACGATCCCGCTCCTTCGCGGACTCCGTGGAGCAGGTCGTTCTCGAGTATGAGAAAACGATTCAAAGCTTGGAGGCTTCGTTGTCTGACACCCGATCTTCCCTGGCTACGATTGAAAGCTCCTTACTAGAACGCGAGACTAAGTGCACATACACCGAGACTGTTAATGCGCAACTTCAATCCCGCATTCAAAAATCTGTGGATCGTGAGGCTAGTACAGAGACCTATCTGCGTGAATTGGAGTCCAAGCTTGATGGTGCCTCTTCTGGAGAAGAACAACATGCTACTGTCGTGGCTGATCTGCGAAAAGAGCTGGCCCGCGCGCGTGCAAATGAAAGTAGTTGCGAGGAGTACATTGCTACTTTAGAAGATCGTCTTGCCGAAGCTAATTCCGATATGGAGCTAATGCATCGTGAAGTGAACCGCTTGGAGCTTGTTATCCGGCGTCAGCGCGGTGTTGGAAACCTAGACGATCTTCTCCATGATCTCGATCATCGACACAGAGTCTTACAGGGTGACCAGCAGGCAACGTCCGATTCCACAAATGGTGCCTCTCAGCTTGGTTCTCATTCTCCCTCGCCTGCTCCCGCGCCCATCAGGATTCCACACCGCCACACGCCTTCTTTAAATGTTTTGAATGAGGCTGTTGAGACCGCCATTCCGGAGTCCGACGAAGACCTTGCTGAAGGTATTACTCAGGACGGTGAGGCTGCGCGGGACGGTAAAAAGGGCTCTGATGATGATCTTGAGCTTTTGCAAATTGCAACTAACAAGCTAGAAGCCCGTCGCTCTGAAGCAATGCTTGAGCAGCCAGCTACTAGCCCTGCGCAATCCAAATTTGTTGCTGACAAACTCGAGTCGGTCAGCCAGGAACTTTATGATCTTCGTCTTCACCATGAAAGTGTCTTGGGTGATTACGACTCGCTTGAGGCCAAGTATGAAGAAGCCTTGAAGGCTCTCGCTGAGCTTCGACAGGATAAAGAGGACGAATCCAGGCACTCCGTCGTACCCGTGCAAACTCGACCCATTTCTTTTTTAGAGGATGCCAACGCTCCGAGCTTGAAGATTGGAGGACAACCCTTATCCTCGCAACCACTCTCTTCGGAGTTGTCCTCGGCCGGGGGATTACCAGCCTTGCGCCTGTCTTCTGATATGTCCCTGGCGGATCATGGTTCAGAGCCATTCACTCCTGTCAGCTTTACCTCAAACGGTCATCATGACAATGAGGATGTTGAAAAGATGAAGAAGATGTTGGCAGAGCACCAGGAGGGTGCTAACGCCCTGACTCAGAAGTACACTGAACTCCAGGCCGAACATGAGGATATTCTTGATCTCGTTGAAAAGCTGAAGGCCGAGGCCGAAGCTCAACGGACCAAGAACAATTCGCCTACTGCACCTGGCTTCAAGGTGATCCGACGTATGACCAGCCAAAATCTGCTGTCCGGTGTTGACCGTGCCCAACGGTCAATTAATTCGCTGCGAATACTGGCCAATGAAGAATTTGCCTCCAAGCCAGAAACTATGCAGAGCTTCGATAGCCACTTGGATGCAACCATGCACGAGCTGGCCGTCCGACTAGAACGTTTGCAGTCTCTGGAGGCCGAAAACCAGAACGTGAAGAAGGAGATGGAGATGAAGACTACCATCATCTCGGGTCTGACGCGTGAACGTTCTAGTATGAGTGGTGCTACGTCAGTGGATATGGCTCTTGTGACACAACTTCGTGATCAGGTTGTAAGCCAAGAGAACCAGCTCAGTGGTCTCCGAGCAGCTCACGAAGCCCGCGAAAAGCAGCTACTATCTGAAATCGAGACTCTCAACGGTCTTCTCCAGTCTCAGGAGGTCGCTACCAAGGCCCTGGATGCTGGATCTGAGGAGCAGATCAAGAAGATTGATGCTTTGCAGGGAGAACTAACACAGTGGAAGGGAAAGCATCATGCTGCTCTAGAATCCTTGCAGTCCTCAGAGGCTCATCTCACAATCACTCTAGCCGAGCTCGAGACTGCACTGGCTTCTGTTGAGGCTATGCGCTCTGAAGGTGCCGGTATCGTTGACCAGGAGCTGGAAATTGAGCGAACCAAGCAACAGGAGCTTGTAAATATCTTGAAGAAGACCATTGAGGAGCACAAGACTACTATCGCAAATAAAAATCAGACTGTCTCTAACTTGGAGCAGTCGCTTTCTGCCGCCCAAGAGCAGCTGGCCGCTCAACTTGCCGAAAAGGAGTCTGGACGCGGCGTCAGCGATTCCCACATTCTTGAGCTGGAGCAGGAGATCGCATCCCACAAGTCTGCCATCGACTCACACAAGGCCAATCTGAAATCCCTTCGGGACACCCACACCCGGGACTTGGCGGAGTTGGAAGAACATGCCAAGGCGGCTGCTCAGGCTGACCTTCACTCTTATCTTTCCGATAAGGATGCTCAGCATGATCAGGCGATGGCCTCCTTGCAGAAGGAAATTGCTGAGTCCCGCGATGAACTGGTCAAGCTGCTCGCGGCTGTGTCAGTCGTGCTCAATTCTGATGTGACCGCTGACACATTGACCAACCAAATCCAAGATGTCTTGGCCCAGAAGCAGCACTTCTCTGAGAAGTACACTGAATTAATTGGTAGCCATGAGGATCTGCGCAAGCAACTAGACACCGTCAACACACAGGGTGGTGATCTTGAAGAGTTGTCAAAGAAGAGCGCCACTCAAGATGCCAAGGTCAATGAGCTGGCTCTTCTAGTTGCAACACTGGAGGATTCTATTCGCCAGAAAGATGAGCAGATCAAGAAGAAGGAGCTTCTGGTTGAGGAGATTTCTGCCGAGAAGGAGAAGAGTGTACGCCTGGTCGAAGAGCTTGAGGAACAGATCACGAGCAGCTTCGATCAGCATCACAACCGTCTGTCTGTCATCCAACAAGAGCGTGACCAGGCGCTAGAGGATGCCAAGGCTAGAATTGTGATTCTTGATAATGAGATTGAGACGTACAAGGTGCGGATTGAGCAACTCGAGGTAAGTCCCGTCAAATTTTATAGATGCAAGAACTTCTACTAACACCTCACCAGCTGCAGCTTAAGAACAGCGGAACTCAAGAAGCTTCCCTTGACCGCACCAGCTCCATGACATCTAACCTCCGCAAGAGCGCCTCAGCTGCTTCTTTGCCTTCGCCCCCGCCTGCGATTCCCCTACCTCCCCTCCCTACCATTCCTCAGGCGAATGGCACCGGCTCGCCTCCAAGCTCGCGCCATGCTAGCAAGGAGCTTGTGAGTGCCCAGCTTGCTGAGGACCAAGAGGCCCGCATCCGTACCATCGAGAAGCACCTCTATGCCGAGAAACAGCTCACTGCCACTCTCGAAGAGGCTCTTGGCGACCTCGAAGCCCAGAGTAGCAAGGTCAAGACTGACTGCGAGGCATGGAAGAAGAAGGCCTGGCAGTTTGAGGATGAGCTGACTACTCTACGCAAGGAGCGCAACTCTGCTCGACTTTCTCTCCAGGCTGTCGAAGAGGAGCGCAGTGCTCGCAAGGAAGCCGAAGCCGCACGTGCGCAGCTGGAAGAGCGGATGAACGCCCTTAATAAAAAGAAGAAGAAGAGTACCCTCAACTGCTTCTAAACCCAACCTCCATACTTCCTCCCCCTCAAAAGCGTGTTGTGTTTTACGCCCTATCACTACCATTACCGCTTGATTGATATACGCTTCTAACCTCTTCTCCTTTTTTTTTTCCTTTTGTTTCATACCCCTTCTACTTTTTTATCATTTGATCAATGCCCTTGCCCTCGACCAAATCCCCTGTATAATGAATGACTCCCTGCTTTATTATTTCCCCTCAGTCGATTTCCCATCGATACCAAAGTTTTTCCATTCGATTCTTCTTGCTTTAAGCCCTAGCAAACCTCTTATGATGCACATTGCCCTCAACTGTTCTTGACATATCCTTTGGTTCCTCTGCCTTATCATACGACTGGTGGACAATTTTTTAACCTAGTTTTTTATTTTCTTATTCATTGTATATTCGTGGCTCTTTACCAATTTTCTGGCTTTCTCCAGATTTTCTAGTACTGAGTTATTTCTTAATGTATTATTTACTCAATTTTTGACCCTTGTACTCCTTAGATATCCGATAAGACCAGGGTGAGCAAGGTGAGTACACAATAAACAGGGTGAGATTAGGGTGAGACTAAGCTAATGTCAAAGGACCGATTCCAAATTTATTTTAGTGCATATTAGTCAGATTCCGTAACTGGCATTACTGCCAGATGTCAAAGGACCGATTCCAAGTTTAGTTTAGTGCATTATTAGTCAGCTCCCATACGCTCTTTACTGCAGTAGATTGTACTACAAATACACACATACATATTTTTGACTACTCTGTTCCTATTCGCTCGCACGAATACACTATTCAGTGCCCTCTGGCAGATCTCCTAAATTAAAGGTATATACTATAACCACTACAAGAAGGTATAGATTATGGAATCTTCACTTGCTAAAACCACTACATAGGCCTTAGATTTGAGGCATTGTAGTGGTTATAGCAGTTTTTGTAGCGGTAGAAGTAAAGTGTGTAGTGGTTTTAGCGCGTCCCTATATATATACCTAGGTAGTCAATCATGATCCAGTCAATTTTAAGGTATTGGAGGTGTCGGCGGTTTTTTCTGGACAAATAAAGGATAACTGAAAACTTTTAAGCTATTGGAGGGATAGTTAAATTCATATAGTGACTAAAAGAAAGCATGTTTGATGGTGATCAAGTCCAGCAATCTCTGAAATCACAGTAAAAAATAATATAGAAAGAAAAGAAGAAAAGAGGCAAGCCGCCAGAACTCCAAAGTTCTCCAAGCCGTCGAGAAAAAGGTTGGGTAAAAAGAGACATGATGTTGAAAATGAATTTAAGAGGTATTGTCGTGAAAAAGGTAAAATTAATAAAGAAGCGCGAGTAAAAGAACCACGAAAAGATACAAGATGAATCTTGGATGCGTGAGCTAGAAAGCAGGCTCACCATTCTCATCATCTTCAGCATCATCATCATCATTGCTGTCTTCAAAGTAGTTGAAATTGTCATCGTCCTTGCGGTGTCCAAATACGCTGAGCTCTTCCGGCTGAATTGGAAATTCCTTGGTAGGGTCCTCATCTCGAAAGATTTGGACATACTCGAAATCGATGATGAAAACTGAAGGGTTCTCCTCCTTGTCATCATATAGTATATTGTGAGGGCCACAATCAGTGATGATAAGACCACAGGCACGGAAGACGCTTACTGCGCGACGGATTTGGCTCCGAATGAAGCCCCTACGTTCGACTGACATCGTTGTCATTCGGCCAAGTAGGGGAGAACCCCCTACCTTCGATATGACAAGGGCGTACCCGAACGGGAAAATTGACGAGCAGCAAATTTCTCCGCAGCTCTTACCAGAAGCCAAGAATGGGTACCCTTCTGGGTTCTGAATCTGGAGTTTCATATAAACCATGCTTTCGTTCAAGTAGCTCGACTCGTTGTTTTCCGACTCGGTCCAGCATTTCACGATAACCTGTTCTCCATGCCAGTCTGCTTCAAATATGGCCTTCGTCTTGTCAAGCCACTTCGTCTGGTCATCAGTATCCTTGAACAATGTATCCTTTGTTTGCCCATGGACCAACTTTGTCACAGTAACCGAGTCCATCCCAACACCATTTTCTCCAAAGAAGATTGTTCCGTATTCACCTGAAGCGGAATAAGACTGTGTAGGGAGAGAAGATTGCACCTCCTTACCAGCAGGATGAGTAGGATTTTTGGCTTGGTGGGGTGAGGGATGATCACCTCGAAGGCGGAAAAATGACGGTCGGTCTGAAGCTGTCAGTGTTGTGTATAATAGCTGTCTAGCATCGAAGTCATCAGATTCCACGTATGGGCCGAGAGAAATAGCCATAAGGGCCATGCCCATGATGGCTTCCTTTGTCGATGGCTTTGTTGCAGAGCTTACCGAATGCTGAAGGAAGACATCGCTAATGGAGAATTGAGCATCCCCAACACGTTTGACAAAGATCGTGGCCTTATACGTAGAGATGATCCCAAGTCTAGTATTGGTGTCTCGCATTTGCTCAATCAGCTAAGCTAGATGAGGTTCAAGAGAATAAAATGTAGCATAAGTTATCGGATGCGTAAAGCTTTCTAGGGCCCACGTCCAAAAAGTCTTCAGCTTAATAGGCATTGCGACTTTCAAATTTGGAGTACCGTCATTGTTATCTACGAGCACGATATCTGGAATAATAGCAGAGGATGGCATTGCTACCTGTCGGTCTGCAAAGCGCATTGAGTGGTTAATCGCAATAAATACGTTGTTGACGGGGTCGCATGCGTGCTTCGCGAACCTTGCCGTGAGTCCAAGCTCGCTGCCGACAATATAGCTATCGATTATGGGGTCGACGCTAACGGGGACAGTCAGGTCAACAGATTGAAGTTCTTGCCAAATTTCGGCTGCAAAATCGTTCCATCGTTGAAAAAGAGAGCTGTTAATCTTTCCGCCATGGTTAGACACAGAAGTTGTACCGGCGACTTGCTGCAGCTTTGGCATGCGCCTGGCAAGCGACTGACTGGCCGGTTCAAGGTCCGGCATTTGAAGTTCATGTGATGCGTGGAGAATGACTGATCGGGGCTGACAACAGGCCGCGCGCGCGAACTGTCCTGGTCTCTCTAGTCTTCGGACTCTAGACCACAACACTCTGCAGGACGATGTATATCTCGAGCGAGTCTACCGAGAAACTACTGGAAATGTAGAGATGGAAATGGGAAATGGGAAATGTATGCATGTTTGCTCATGTGGATACCGACGGGAGGAATTCGATGCTCTTATTAGAGGATGGGGTGGAAATCGAGATCTTTTATTGGTCAGGGAATGTCCGTACCCTATCAAAAATCTTTAATTCTAGTCGAATTCTAGTTCTTAGTCCACCACACCACGAGTTAATTTTAGATCGTGCTTAAACTTTAGGAAGTTCTAATCTAGTATGTAATCTCTAATCCTTATAAGTTTTAGCTAGACATCTAAAGAGATAGTGGTGTGGTGCCGGTTTAAAACTTTGGGACTATAACTATACCTGTGTAACGGCGTGGGTTATTTACAACTCATAGATAAACCTTAACCTCGGTCGATATCACATGATCGGCGATAAGCAGTAAGCTCTCCGCAACCAACTTAGGCAAGCTGTTTATTCTGGGTAAGTGATGATACAAAGGTACTCACCTCACCTTTAGACCAATAACGACGCTGTGTTGATACCCAATCAACCACTTTACAGAAGCTGAAACAACAAACCAACCGATCCACCCAGCTGACGCCATCATTCACCAACCTCCAACCTCCACCAACCTCCCGCAAGGCTAAATCTCCAACTCTTGCGTGCTCTTGCGTGTACAGAATACTTACAGAATCCAGCCTGCTTTTCAATCTACCACCACTCCTTTAAATACTCGCTCATTACCCCCTCTCACGCATCTGGCCCTTCATCTGCTTGCGACCCGTCCTGAGCACCATGTCTATTGGTAGGCGGGACTTCGATGCGAACCGGTCAATCCGTCAAGATGACACCGCAGAAGACGGTGACAATGAGCGTTTCCGAAGTAGGAGTAGGGGTCTAGAACGATCACCTACTGGATCGCTTCGCTCGCGACTATCCATCTCTAGCGAGGATGGACTGTTAAGCAATGTGGTTGATGGTATTCTTGAGCGGGATCGGCGGCAATTACACAAAGAAGTTATTCGAATCACTAGTTTTGTCTGGGGTGTCATTACCTGGTATTATTTAATCTTGTACATCTCTTACTAGGGAGCTTCTTGGGCACTGACGTTTGTCTTATAGTCTGGGCGCAGGTAGTATAACCGCATTTTCTCTATACGGGCATCTACTGCTTACACGTCTCCGTTACACTCAACTTCGCGTTAATGGTGTTTCGATCGCGGCTGCGGTGTCAATGTACTTGTTCGTTCCGTTGTTCGGGTACCTGTGCGATCGATACAGCCCGTCACCCTTGGCATTGGGCTCGGCAGTGCTGTTTGGGATTGGATACATTCTTGCTGCATTCACGTACAAGAGTGGTCCACCTCCAGATGCTGGTGGCTCTGGGTGGCCCTTCTGGGTGATGATAGTGGCCTTCATTGCTATCGGCATGGCTACTAGTTGTATGTATCTCGGCGCCGTGGCGACGTGCGCGAAGAATTATGGCCGGGGAAAGCACAAGGGAATTATGCTTGCAATTCCAATTGCTGCATTTGGTCTTAGTGGTATGTGGCAGAGCCAGGTGGCGACCTATCTGCTGTGTGAGCGTAATGTCGACGGCTCTCGGGGCGATGTCGATGTGTTCCGATACTTTTTTTTCCTCGGTCTTCTGCTCATTATCATTGGGGTGATAGGCACCTTCCTGCTTCGGATTGTCGACGATGACGAGGAAGAACAATACATTGATGAAACTGTGGAGGATCTTGAGCGCAGCGGGCTGCTGGAAGAAAGCGAATTCTTCCGGCCTCGGAACGAAGTGAGAGATGCGGCTGAGTATGGTACCTTTACTGCCGATAGCAACGATGAGGAATCGGTGACTCTGTCTGAGGCCGAGCAAGCAGAGCAGCGGCGTGAAAAGGAGCGCGAAGAGGAGGAGCGCCGGAAGAAGAACTGGCTGCTTAACTATGAAACCCGCGTGTTTCTTCAAGATCCCACCATGTGGTGGCTGGCCTTGGGATTCTTCCTGGTCACCGGACCTGGCGAGTCTTACATCAACAATGTTAGTTCAAAATTGGCTGTACTCGCTTTGGGTATCGGGGCTAACTTATCAATTCCAGCTTGGTACCATCATCCCAACTCTAACCCCAAGCTCCTATCTGTCGACAGCGCCTCCACCAGCCGGTTTACCATCAACACATGTCACCACGATTGCATTAACATCAACGATCGCCCGACTCCTCACAGGCTCCCTTTCAGATTTCTTTGCCCCAGTAGCAACACATTTGTTCCCACCAATCCCCGAAAACAGGCGCCGGCCCACAACAGGATTTACCCGGCCAACCAAATTTCTGACTCTTTCGCGAATGGTGTTCCTCATCCCATCAGCAATTCTCCTCTCAACCGGCTATCTCCTCCTCGCCTCTCCATTAACTCAAGAGGAGCCGCCTCTATTTCATCTCACCACTGCGCTTGTCGGCTTCGGCTACGGTAGTTCTTTCTCACTCGTGCCTATCATCATATCTGTTGTGTGGGGAGTGGAGAACTTTGCGACAAACTGGGGCATTGTTGCCATGGTACCTGCCATCGGCGCTGCACTTTGGGGCGTCATTTACTCGGCCGCTTACCAAAGTGCTTTGGATAGTAGTCCGGACGCAGGCTCGCCGGATGGTCAGTGCCATGGCTGGCGGTGCTATGGTCTTTGGGCTGTTGGCTGCACTGTCAGTGTGTGGATTGCTATAATTGCCTGGTTTGTTGCGTGGAGAGGCTGGAGGAAGCGAGGTGTTGTTGTGTAGGTTTCTTTCCAGTCCGCATATCCTTCATTCTTGGCGTATAAACATCTTCGTTTCCAATTTTGAATGCATTGTTTTAGCGATGTACAATGGCGCTCCATCCCTGCATGCAAGTTCACCCTCATTTTCAGCAAAGCAGCTTACCTATTCATTTCTTATTCCCTACTGTTCGTGTTATTCCAAGGTTCTTCACTTATAACATCTACATAGCTATTTCATCAAAATGATTTTTTATACCGATACAAACCTTAGAACCTCACATAGGCAGAATTGAGTCATGCTAAAATTGATAGACGTCAAAAAGCTCATACAGATATCAAATCTGAAGAGCGAGTATTTACTCATTCTTATTGATCTTCCAATTGATGTGATGGCCCTATCGGCGTAACAGCCATCCTCCTGGTAAGACTCAAAGACCAGAGGGTATTCACCAAGATGGTCGTTATCGAGCAAAGTCACTTCTTCCACCCTCTCAAAACACGTAGCTCCATTCCCAGTCCTTCATGCTTCTGCTTTCATCAATAAAACTCGCGAGAAATGCTTTTCTTTTTTTTTTTTTTTTAGCTACAGCCACGAGAGTCCCTAGCATCATCACAAACATTTCATTGAGAGAGGCGATCCATACACCGAGGAAGTTAAGGATGCAGGGAGAATTCCAAGTTTGAAGAATTGAAGGAACTCACCAGCGAGCTATCCACCAGCTTCCAAACTGCTGCATAGCGAAGTAAATGACGGTGCCGGCTTATAAATTTTTGTCTTTCTACGATAAATTCCAAATTCGCGTTCAAAAGCGTTCATTGCCTGACACGACACAAATTCCTGATCGCTGAAACAATAATTGGAAGGCTGATAATACCAGAGCCCCAATTAAGAAAGAAACTAACAGTCTCTGAACGCCATATTTCCCTTCTCTAAACGCAATTTGAGTATGGAATTGGCGAATGTCGTTAGTAAACAACACGCTTAGACATGGAGTTTGTAGGGTGGGATTGGTGCGGCATAAGGGGCTATTATCAATCAAATCAATCGATCATACTAAAGAAAATTCCCGCCTGGGTAAGTTGTATTATCCTGTAGCCTTGCCTGCTAGTGTGTCGCTAGTACCAAACCGGTATAGCCCCTTATTATATGTTAAGCTTTGCCAGGGGAACTAGTGAATTCATTGTGGGGATCTTGGGATTTTCCAGATGTGGAGCATTGAGACTTCGTGACTCCACCGATAAGGTGAGCCGGAAAATCGATAATAAATAATTCCGTAGAAACCAATTTGAAAGTATTTACTATCATTCATCTGATAAGATAAAAATTAAGATTCGAGAATTGGCCTTGATAACTACCGCGGCATGAACCACGGAATCATGATCCGGTTACTACCTAGATAGGCGGATCGTGCCGACGGTACCATCGCGCGGACTGTTTTCCTGCCGATATAAATGCGAAGTTGACTAAGTATCCCGGAGAAAACATCCAGATATAGAACATTCCTTTCCCGTGCAGGTTTGTTCTTTTTGTTGGAATTTTGTTACCGCTTATCAATTCTAGACTGGTGAAGTAAGACTGAGGAGACCTGATTCGCAAGTCCTAAGTGCTTTCTCGTCCCTGCTATCTCTTTGCCCTATCTACCTAGCTTTTTTTCTCACCAAGTCATTGGCGGGCCACAGACATCTTGGAAGTCAATTACCTAGTCAGGTTCATAAAATGAAATAAAAAATGAAAGCAGACTATACATCTGCGGAAGTCGGGTCTAGGCCTGTAAACACTTTGTAAAGCCGTTTACTAGCGGCAGGGCCAATGCGCGAGTCTGCCAACCCGCCATTTTTATTTGCGGATTTCTGTTCAAAGTGTTAGTAATGGGAACAAAGAAGATTGAGACCAGCGAAATGAGAATCGCGTACCTTTACATCCTCCAGCATCTTAGGCCCGTGTATGTGCATTCCCAGGCTTAGGTCGGTTGCAGAAGGGTATTGATTCATGATACCATATGCCATGGAAGCAGTGACTCGGTTCACTTCCTGGAGCATTTTCACGAAAGTGTCATGTTTATCTTCTCCAGACTTGACTTGACCAACGTCCATGCAAAAAGCGGCATCGTTACCTTCCATGCGCTCCCGTCGATATGGAATGGTAGAAATGTGCTCGGTGAAGTTTTTAATCCACTCTGCGGACTCCGGCGGTGCATTGGTATGATGGATCAAGCACGAATGCGCCACTTGCAATGTAAGTAGGGCATCTTCGATTGTATCGTCATCAACAGGTGGGGTGGTCTCTGGTTTATTCTTGGGCTTCCTGCCCCGTCGACGGGGCGGATCAGGGGCATCTGCAGGGGTATGAAGAGACTCGTCATATTGACGCAGGACTTCGGCTTGATACGCTCTATTTCGCGAGTTGCGATTTTTGCGCATCCAAGACATCAGACCTTCAATGAGGTAGATCGGCTTGCAATCCGGGTATAGGCTTCTCACTTTCAAAACGTGAACGTCCAGTGACTCTTCTTCCTCGCCATCTGGGGATGTAATCACCATATCAACAAAATCCTGTGCGGAAACCAAGCATAAAATATTTTTCTCCTCTTTTATGTGTGATGGACATGGTTCCCAGTGACCAGCATCTTCATTGTACGTGGCATTCATCTTTCGTCGCCATTTGACAATATTCGGAACCGGGCTTGTAACAAAGTTATGCTCAACTCCAAGGCGCTTCATGTACTCGACAGTTTGATTCCCCACACTGGTTCCCTCCATGGACGCTGATATGTCAATTATCATCTCTGGCGTGGAATCTTTCTTATCAACCTTCAATTTGTTCACCTCGGAGATATCCGCTGCTAACTGTTTCTGCTTGGTCTTTTCTTCCTTGAGCTGCTGCTTCCGCTCCTTCTCGAGCTGACGCTCTTGATCTTTTTTCATTTTGAGGGCTGCCCGCGCGTTTGCCTTTGCCTCCTTGTCTTCTGTTGAAGTCTTGCTGGATTTTTTGGCATGTCGCCGTGGCTCGACAGGCTCGTCTAAGTCCAAGTCATCGGAGTCAGAAAAGGTACAAATATTATTAGTCACCTGATCTTTTCTAGCTCCAGGCAATTCTGAAGTTCCAGTTGGTTTAGGCTTATTGTGTTTCGTATTCAATGTAGACAGCAGCCTGGCAGTCTTGCTGGAAAAGACTGTTTTGCAGGCTGTTTTGCCAGGTTGCGATAGGCCAATCATTTCCGCAAACCCAGGCATGGAGAAAGGATCGCTAAATTCGTCAATACTCTCCTGCGTCAATACAGTGGGAGCTTGATTTTTCGCAGCTTTTTTCCACGGATCTTCGTCGTCGTCATCAAGAGTAATGATATCAGAATACTGCGTGTTTGCTTTAGCACCAGTAGAGAGATTTGATTTCTGTTTGATTTTGGTGGAGAGCTCAGGTGCAGATGAGGTAAACATAATGGGATCGGATTCGTCTCCAATGATTTTTGAATCCTTTCTCGATGCGGCGGGATTGAAAGGTGGCAAGCTGAAATCATCGTCCGAGAACAGGAAAGAGGAACGAAGATTTGGTCCCGCCACATCTTTTACAGTGGTTGATTGTCGGAGAGGGGAGATGTCTTTGCTAACGCGTCGCTTTTTTGCTGGCTGGTCAAACTGAAGCGCATCATTATATGTGAAACATGGGGCATCGATAGGGTCGGACGAGATCACTTCCTGGAGATTGGACGGAGGTTTAGTAGGTGTGCGGCGGGATAACAGTTGCGTCTGCCGCAGTTGATCCCTTTCAGAAATAGGTGGATCTGAGGAGATCAGGTCAATGACTTCGGGCATCTTGAGAGTTGCTGGCGGCATGTGTTATTATGGCGGTACTGTAACGCGACGTCACGAAGTCATGTGACCTTTAATTCGCAAATGTACTGGAAGTGGTGTTGAGGGAAAAAAAGGGAGTGGAGGGTATTTTGGAATTGTTTAATTTATTTACGTGAAACTATGTCCGAAAATAAAAATGGCAATGTTGGTAAGAACGGCCACGAAAAGAGCCAGCGCAACAAACACCTGCGTCCATCCATGGAAGGGACGCCTCGGTGTTGATAGCATAGTGGAGATCTCTCCTTCCAACCGATTACCCATAGCTGTGAGGGAGAACTCATGCGCAGCTCTAAATTTGCCAGCTGCTGCTATCTGGTCAATCTCTTCAGGGCTCAGTCCGTGGAGAACTTTCTCCATTACCGCCGTCCATTCGTCGACAGCGTGCGCATCACGGAGCCAGCCCGTTTTACCCTCAACAATTGTTTCCAAAGGTCCCCCTGTATTAGAAGCTAGCACTGGAAGACCCGCATGCATAGCCTCGACGGGGACAATGCCAAAGTGTTCGTTAATCGGAGTATAGAGAAGGAGGCTGGATTGGCCTAGCAAGGTATCTTTGAAGGTGGTGGAGACGGAGGGAAGGAACAGAACATCGATCTCATTGGAAATTCCAAGCGCAGTTACGACTGTCTTTGCTGTCGCAGTCTTGAGACCAAGGCCAGTCGCGAGGCTATCAAGTTCTTGGTGGTACTGGACGTTTTCTTGGACTCGGTTATCGTAACCACCTAGACAATAACCAAGTCAGCACTTTATAAAAGTAAAAAATCTGATTAAAAAAAATACTCACCAGCAACCACCAAACGTGTTCCTTTTCGCGATTCCGCACTCAATCCGTTATAGGCACGGATAGCCAACGCCATATCCTTCTTCCGCTCAAAGCGATTGATGCTCAAGAATATCTTCTTACCACCCCAGAGAGCTTCTGCCGGTTGAGTTGCGGGCTCAGCGGCCTTAGAATCTGTATCCACACATGGATAGACCACCTCGACTTCTCCTAAAGCCTCACTCCCAAAAACCTGCTGCACAACTCCACGCGAGAATTTCGAGTTCGCAACGACGCGGTCCGAGGCACTCATGGCCCATCCTTCAAACCAATCAAATGGAATCCGATAAATGTGCTTTGCTAGTTGGAGAATGGAGCCTCCCTCGTTTCGTCGTGCGAGCAATTGGTCTGGAAAATGGCAGTAAAACAGGATTCGTTGGCGGCGGGACTCGAGTGGTTGGCCGAAGGTTTTCAGAATGGGTACGCAGGCGGGCAATTGATCGACAATGAATATATCGTCTTGGTTCTCGTTCTCGTCGGTTTTTTTGCTGCCGTTCTCCGGTGTTGATTTCTTCCGAGATCTCAATTCCGACAATAGTGACACTGTCAAGTGTAGCTGACGCAAGGAAGCCATGAGGATATGAAGGCGGCCGAATATATGCGCAGGGAATATGGTGTTTCCACGCACGCGCACGTCAAGGGTGCCATCTCGCGCTTCCTCAAAGCAGTGTGACTTGTCGCGATGGGAAGTGTAAATTGTTACACGGTGGCCGCGGTTCTGTAGGGCTAGCGCGACATCGATTATCAGTCTTTCAGCACCTCCAATACCTAGATCCGGGTGAATTATAACCACATTTGAGGGTGTGATTCCCGACATGTCGAATTGAGCTGTCGAAGAAAGTTGGAGAAACGCGCGATAAAGAACACGTGGAATACGTCATCACATGACGATAGAGCCTCAGTTGGGTTTTATATAATCTTCAAATATTAGTCAAGAATCCCATGGTGAAGTTATTCGCATATATTTAGGGGTTCTACTTGATATAATGCACTCCTGATATTACATGACATTGATATACTAGTCCCAAGGTTATTTTTGTTCGGATAATCCCCCATACGTTTTGCCGATGGATATTTCTTATGCCGGAACACTATCAAAAATCACGATCGAAAGATCGAGCAAACCTCTCAATGGGGTCACAAGATTCTCAAAAAGCCAAACAACCATCGCTTTGGGCGATTGTATTTGCGATATACTTGCTACTGAGCGCGCACATCTGTTGTAGCCACAATATGGGGTTTCCTAGAAGTATATCAATCCGTGTGGGGGTTACCCACTTCGGCAGAGGAATGCCGCTATTGCCGAGGCCTTTATCGCAGTCTAATTTCTTCTGCTGTTTTCTTTCTTACAAGTGACAGCGATGGTTGAAAAGGGAGAGCTTGTCGACGTGAACGACAGTGCTGAGCGTAAGCCAACTGAAGAAGCACCGCACAATGAGGTGCAAAATGAGTCGTCACCTAGATCTTCAGGTTTGTAAGTCTGTATCTTTGAGATGGAGGTCAAAAAACTTTCAAGATTTGCGCACCGTCCGAAATTCTCAGGGAAAGAGATACTAATCTGTATTAGTCAACATATCTTGGTTGTCGCCGCCGGCTTCATGGCAATGTTCATGACCTGTGGAATCATCTTCACGTACGGAGTATACCAGGCGATTTACGAAGAGTTGGCACAAGAGCCAAATACACCATTCACAGGAGCATCCTCTTCGATCATTAGTCTTATTGGTACACTATCTATAGCAATAATGTCCATGGGCGGACCCTTCATCAGTGCCTGGGCTAAATTATATGGCCCCCAGCCAGTCATCATGGCGGGCGGCGTAGTCTTCGGCCTTGGTTGCATCCTCGCCAGTCTGAGTGAGTACGTGTGGGAGTTCGCTTTAACACATGGGGTGTTAGTGGGAGTCGGGACCTGCATGGTCTATGTACCAACCATGTCTGTCGCACCTACATGGTTCGATAAGCGGCGTGGACTTGCCATGGGTATTGTCATCTCCGGTTCTGCCTGCGGTGCTATGGTCTGGCCGCCTATTCTGCGCGCCATCACCTCTAGCATTGGATTTCGAAATGCGCTACGTATTTCTGGTTGCTTGAATGTTTTATTTGTGCCGATTTCTGGACTTCTCCTACGCTGGGAACCGAGTTTCCAAGCTAAACTCCTTGAACAGACTGCCGGGCTATCTAAGAAGACCGGCTGGCTCAAGGTTCCCCTGGTGAACTTGGAAGTTGCCAAGTCAAAGAAGTTTGTCGCACAGGCCTTAGGATGCTTCTTGCAGTCGACTGGGTATTCAACACCCTTGTTCTTCTATGCTGCCTTTGCTCGGTCCCTCGGATACAGTGATAGCATGGCAGATAACTTTATCACCATCAGTAATGCGGCTAACTTCGTATCTCGCATTGTGATTGGTTATACTGCAGATAAGCTAGGCCGATTGAATGTGTTATATGCCACCACAGTGTTAAGTAGTGTGGCAGTATTCGCATTCTGGCTGCCAGCTACGTTTGCTGATGATACTATTTCTAGTAAGACTGCGGATGTGTTGTTCATCTTTTTCGCTATATCTTTCGGTGCCTTTGGCAGTGCTTATATTTCACTCTTTCCGGCCAGTCTGATTGAGCTGTTCGGTGTGAAGCATTTCACCTCGGTGAATGGTGCATTGTACTTTATTCGAGGTGCGGGGGCTCTGTTGGGAACACCTTTGACAGGTTTACTTATACCTGGACAGTCGGCACTCAGTGGTCCTTCGCACTACGAGAGGGTTGCTATCACCGTCGGGATATTGTTATTTGCGGCTAGCTGTGCAACTTTCTGGGTTAGAATAGAAGGTTCTGCTGGTAAAGCGTGGAAATGGAAGTTATAATGGAATAATTTAACTTCCACTTACCTCTTACTTCGGTACAACCTCAACGTTATCTCTATGAATCTATTCATTTTTCATCTACTATCTTTTTTCTTTAGAGAAATGACTCAACATTTCACAAACTTGAATATTCATTGGTGAAGAAAACCTGTGAAGGTAGGTAGCGGCATAGGGGCTGTTTCAAACTTCCACATAAAGCACTCCATAGATTCAATTATGTAAATTTCATATGGATCCAAATCCGCTACATCGAATCCCCATTCCTTGAATTATCCTCTAACCTCGGCATTCCTTAGCTGCCGGCCTTTTATTTTACCAAAAGAGTCTACATCTCCTGAAAAATCACACGTCTCTCCAGAGCCTCGACATAGCCACTTGCCCATCATAATCCGAAAGTCCGTCAGGAGGATCAGACTGAAAGAAAACAATTCCCTCAGCTGGCTGGTTTGTCCCCTTATTCTCATATGTGAAAATTTCCGTCTTAACACCCACCAGTCTTGAAACCAGATTTGCAAGCTAATGGACCTTGGAGTTATAAACATGGACATATTATGGACGACCCGGGTTAGATCTTCTAGCAACGTTAGATTTTGGCTCATATTTAGCCTCGAAAGCACCACTCTTGCCTGTAAATATAGCTAAAGCTGGCATATCATCTCCAGCTCCGCTCTCAATCACGTCCAGAACTCCTTTTTTGGAAATATTTATCCGTTCAAATTACCCAGTTGCCGGGACAGAATGGAGAAACTTCCTAGTGGTGCGAGATATATAAACCAGAATGCGAGGCTACAACCACCAAGACACAGCCAAAAAGAGCGTCAATGGCCATCTGTTCAGGATCCGCGTTTAGTTTCCAGAATTCTGCCACGGATTCACGTCCTCCACGTTCGCTGTCCAGGGGTTTTGGTGAATCGAATAGGTACTGCTAGAAACTATCCTCTATATACGCTGTTATTAGTCATGAGTCTTACTCTCAAGGTAGAGGCAAGTTTAGTTACTTACACCCCCCGGTATGAAGTCGGCCTTATGATATATTCCTTGGGGCGGAACGACCCGTGGTAATCGACCTGGAGTAGGAGGGTTTATGCGTAAAGCCTCCTATATAATAGCACTCTACGTGATGTTAGGGTATTTCTTATCAATGGAGAATAGGTTGCCATACCTCTCTAAACTTTACAAAGCCAGGTGATATCGACCTTTTTACCTACTCAGGGAGTCTTATAGCGTGGTTTATAATAGATGAGAATGGTGCACTGGTCGAAAATTAGAGTGATTTTTTCATGACCATCTTATAGTTAACTCACCAAACCAGAACTGGTAGTAGTGATCGACTCAATTGAACTAAAAATATGACTTTGATCTTCCGGGCTTATAGTGAGGCTGAGTTCACGCCTAAAAGACTAGCTATAAATGATGTTGACCTGATTATTCTAATATCGATCATTTTACTTCTAAATAAGGTACAATTTTCAACTGGAGAGAGTAATTACTGCTAAAGATCAAAAGATGGGTATCAAATCAACGGCCTTGTTGTTCTAAAGATGTTCTGTAACTTGACTAGAAGCGTCCTGGGCTCTTGGATGAATGGAACCAGCTATGGTGCAAATATGGGATTTAGGAGCCGTCGTATTGCCTGGCCTTTTGCTGCTCGCTAATCATTCTGAATGCCTATCCAAGAAGTTCATGATCTGCGATCTCGTTATCTGAACAACATCCAGATCCTTGTTCGTAATACGTGCAGTGTGATTTATATAGATGATCATCCATTGCGTAGAATGCTTCCAAATCCTCTAGTGTTTCTCAAGTTTTATTCTCGTCCATAATTCCCCTATTTATCTCCACTTATAATATATGTATTTAATATATGGCAGCATTTGTTGGCCATCGTTTAATTTCTTGCTTCGAAGACATTTGTAGCACTTCGAGATGGAGTCAAAATTCATCTTTTCCAGAAGGAGATGTTTACCCAAATACTGCCATCAATATTCTTGAAATAATGCACTGGTTCTTTAGGCCTCAGCAAATCTATGGATCGCCAAGAGTCTGAAAACAGTAACACCCATGACACAGCATATAATGAGATATTTAACAATAGAAAGTTGGAAACCAGGTCTTTGCGCAGTCCCTAGCTGCAGCGTGACACACTTATGCAGTGTGGTGCATATAAGATGCCCAACCGAGGATCTTCAAGCCAGCTGACCGAAGAATGGAATGTGGCACAGCCGGCTCGTATAAACTGTTGACGAATGGAAAATGGGGCCCCTTGCTTCCCTACCGATCTGCGTGGGGCTCAAGTCAAATCAGGCCCAAATAAATCGCGGTATGATTGCCCCGAAACTTGGAACGAGCATGTTCGTGGATGTTTGTGGAAATTGATCAGAACGTAAACAAGATCCACTTATCCTGGCGTCTTATTTTAAAGTCAGCAGCTCGACTGGACTATCAGCCTTTGTGCAGTAGCCAAAATTTACATCTGAGTTGATTCGTAGCCATGATTTCAGGATAGCATATTGAACTTCACCTCCGTTTCTTTAGTCAACCTTAAGGCCCAGCAAAGCATGAGAGGAAGCAAGGCGAGATCATCATCAGCGCTGGAGTTTGGCTAAGGCCCACCGCATACGTGTAGTGTGGCTTACTTTGCCTTGTGGAGTAATATCGTTCACCTGCTTGGCCGTAATATCAAGGTCGCGGGGAGGACAGCAAAATAATTTCGACGATGCTTATCTACCATCACTTTTCTAAACTTCAAGCAAAACAAGTGACGAGCATGGACATGCACATTTTCTCACTAGATCATAAAGACCACCCTTGGCTTCTTTGTACTATATAGGGCTATTCGAAATATGTAATATAGTATTTGAGAGTATTGTGATCTGTTGAGAGCATATGTACCACATATACATCTACATCTACATCTGAATCCAACCTCTGATAAGCATAGCACAGGTCTAGGCAGCTGACTGTCACCGCCATTCTCCTTATAATACTTGATAAATAGCGGTATATATTTGCAACAGCGTCAGAGGAATGCTGCACATGTACCAAGAGATATGATGAGTCTCTCAAATTTCTTAGCTCTTCTCCTCTAGAGTCTTGGCTGTGATAGTTAAACTGGATCAATCTCCCATGTAACTGGCAATTAGCAAGAGTAAAAATAAAACATAAGGAAAAAAACAAATATGGTGTTCCAGCCACTGAAGTGGCTATCAAGAATGCCCTTGCTTGAACAGTTGACTAACCCAACTGTTTAAGCAAGTCATCGCATAGATATTTATATATAACGAGATATAAATAAGATCGCATTGCCAAAATTTGAGCCCGGTTAAGCCACTACTTGCTTACGCACTAGAAGAACTCTATACATCAAGAACCAAATCTCACAGATACAAATGGCTCTCTCTGACACTACAAATATCAACTTCATCAGAATTCCAACTGTTTCCAAAAACTGGCCGTTCAAACGGTCTATTAATTCAAACTATGACTCAATGAAAGCAGATAGCGCAGCTTGGATCCAAAGCTTTGGCGTCTTCGATGTTAAGGCACAAAAGGTGTACGAAAAGGCGGCACCTATTCTGCTCGTTGCGTTAGCCTATCCTTCGTTGCCTCTCTATACTGCCAGACTTGCAGCAGATTTAGTAGTCATATATCGCATTATTGATGAAGCTACAGACTTGCTTGACACTACCGAGGCAAGAGACCTTTGCGACGTTATCATGGATGTGTTAAGGTATATGAAGGCAGCTCCTGACGCTAAGATAAAAAATGCTGATTAAATAATAGAAATCCTGATAGGAAGCGCTCCGATGATGAGCACATACTTGGAAAGATAATTCAAAGGTAGATACCATTATCCTTATATTCCCCTCAACCTCTTATAATCTTTCCCAGCTTTTGGTCACGCACAATCATTATAGGAAACGAAAACTTTGTCAAACGATTCGTGGATCACTTTGGTCTATATCTAGACGCTGTATGCTACGAAGCAAGTGATCGGGATCAAACCCAAACCAGGAATATCGGATCTTCTATGAACATTCGAAGAGACACAGTTGGGGCACAGTGCTGCTTTGATATGCTGCTTCTGTCATCTAGTCTTTCTGAGGAGGTACTAAGCGACCCAAAGATCAAAAAACTGGAGAAACTAAGCACAGAAATGATTGTCATACATAATGTAAGTATTCCAAAAAAGTTTATACTCTCTTTCCAACTTCCCGGGCCCGCTGGGGCAATATATACGTTAATAAGATTACTAAATGCCTGGACTTGCAGGACCTGTGTTCATACAATGTCGAGCAGAGTAGAGGGGATACACATAATATTGTGACAGTAGTTATTCATGAAAAAGAGATTTCTATACAGCGTGCGATTGACTTCGCCAGCGAGAGACTCGAGAACCTTATGGAACGATTTATGCAGATCATGGACTCAAATTTTAGCATTTGGGAGGAGGAACTTGCATCTTATGCAATAGGTCTTGGAAATTGGGTCACAGCAAATCACGAGTGGAGTTTCGACAACGAGAGGTATGGACTCGATGACAATGCGAGGATTACAGGTGTAGTTGAGCTATTACCTAAAAGGGTGCAGAAGTGTGAGGCGTGAGAGAGAGTGCCACTGAAAGTCTTAACCCATGAGGGTTGCTAGGATGTAGTACATCCCATTTACTTTTGCTTCGAAAAGCTTTAGCTAGAAGAGGCTATTCACGCTGTGAAGCGCTTCAGAAGCCTCCTTTAACTGAAAGAGCTAGATAATTATGTTCAGCTTGGGCAGAGAACATCTTAATTGGATGACGGATCAATAAAAAATGTTTTATAGACTGATGAGATCTGGGTGACGGCTGAATATCATCGACGGGTATATGTAACTCGGCGAGCTATGTAACAGGCCAGTGCCTGTGCTACCCGCACCCCTTATAATTAAGCGTCTCCTAGCTAGTCTTCACGAGGTCCTTCTGAGATCCGTTATGATTTCCCGTATGTTTGCAGGACTCTGGTCTTTCAAGTTCAGCCCTAGAGGGCTTACTGGGGGATTTTAGTCAAGACCTTAGTTACTAGTGCCGTTGATTGCGTAATTGTTTTCGACATGTTGTACTTGGCTCTTTTGAGAAAATTGTGATTCCTTTCCAACAGTTGAGTACTCATTGAAGGTAAATATCGTCTTGAAATTTGCAAATTTTCACTTTATATGGGGCATAACACGAAACAAGATACTTTTTCCAGCTTTAGAAGACCAGGGGACTTTCTCGGCCTTCCTTACACTAAATTGTAGAGTGGATGTTATCTTTTGCACTAAATCAACTACCTAGGTACGCATACTGAGGTAAAGCCACCTACTAAAAGTTATAGGGCAAACAGGTTGTCATAAAGGTATTCTTGTCTAGCACTAGAGATATCATTGTACATCGCCACGAAGGCAATAGCCTTACTCCAAAGAGCCCGGACGACGAAGGAACCATGTGGGGTATTATCAATCAAACAACCGAGAATTGAAAGCCAAGCTCAAAAGAGTTAAAGATGTGAAAAAGGGTAATTTATACATGTGATCGTGAGAATAGAAAATTGGGGTAGAGAAGAATGAAAATTTGGGAATGGGGAGGGGAAAAAACAAAACCCGCCAGGCTCTGAATGCATCCGGGCGTTGACAAGGCTTCATAGAACGTTGAGGTCGTTAGTCGTACTGCACCGGTTGAGAGCAGCTCGGAAAGAAAAGTGGAAGTCGCAGGCACATATTAAGGGAATTATTGTCTATCCCCAAACGCCTACGTGTCGGCAATGAGTCCGAATGATGAAAGAAAGATAAAAAAGAGGAATAGTGATGTCAACAAGGTCGACTTAGAAACTAACCTCACCAGGATCGCTATCCATGACATTTTCATCAAGATATTGATTCGACGGGGACTCGCGAACGGCAGGTTGAAAACCCAGCGCGGTGGCCTCACCTTCTCCACGCTCTAAGACATCATCTTTAGTAATTTCTTTCATGATGCGTTGGAAATACATGCGGAGTGTGCGAAGGCCACGGAGATAGCCGCGATCAATATCCCCTGGATGGTATGGTGGGCAGGGTGTATCTGGGGGAAGTTCGTCCTCGCCAGTCACACAATTTGCGAAGTCAACGATCTTAAGTTGAACGCCGACCTTGGAGTGGTCCTCTTCGGAGGCTCGACGCTGCGGACCAGCTGGTCGATCTTTGGTACGACGGGGGTTTGCAGGTGGGTCATTTGAAGGTTCACCGTCATACAATATAAGCAAGCTGCTAGCGTAGAGACGATAATTCTCAAGTCTTCGAACCATGTTTTCAAGCAGCGACAATTTCTCTAAAATAACGGGAATCTTCTTTGCCACGCTAACATAGCTCACACCATCGTAAAGAAAGCGGGTGAGTGCATCTTGGAATTCACGGCCAGACTTCAAGTCTCGACCGAAATACTTATCTTCAAATATGTATTCTTGCTTCTTGACATTCCAAGCTTGCATACCGCAGAGACGAACTCCTAGCTGCTGCGAAGTAGTCGATTGACACTTGCGTCTCTGGGACTTCTTTTTTTCTCATTCGCTTCGATGCCGTATTGCCGAGTGCCCATTTTGAGGTCAAGCACGCAAGGTTTATTCATTCCGGCAGTGAGATCTTCGAGGAGTAGGAAGAGCTGAACACGCTCTTCATCTTCATTCACTTTTTGTGCCTCTTTAGGATTATTCGGCAAGTGGGAGCCGACATCATCTTTAGATGCCATTTGAGTAACGGCGAGTGATAGTTTGGTGGGAGGTGCAGTCTCAAGAGATGAAATGTCTCGAGGAGAAGGTGGTGTTGAAGGCTCTGCTGATGGGAAATGGTCCGAGAGTGTTTGAGTATCACCATCCATGGAAAATATTTCATCCTCCTTATCACCACCATAACCCTCATCTTCAAAGAAGAGGAGCTCGCCAGCCGTGTTGCGCGAATTGATGCTTCCCCGTCTCTGCAGTCCACCTCCGGAATGACGTCTCCGTACCGATTGACCACGATCAGCGGAGTTTTTCTCACCCTCCTCATCCTCTGTTTGAACTCGCTCCATGCGATCCCGCTTTTTATCCAAGGCAGTGGAGGCGGATGATGAAAGAGGAGGTACATCCTGAGTGGAAGGTGGAATATCCATAGCAGGAGATTGAAGAGACTGGACCTTGCTCAATCCCGAGAGGCGACCATTTGAGCCATGGTCTTCCGAAGCAATTCCACGCCGATGTGGGATATCAGACGTGGCCCTCGAAAGATGTCCTCGAGCGTGACGTCTGTGATGGTGAATAGCTGGGGGACTGAAAACCTCACGAAGAACCTGCTCTTGCAGCTTTGTGTTGACAGTCGTAGCACCCCAAATCTTAGGTCTCTTATTCGAACATGGGTCAGAATCTGATGAAAACCCACCTAGTTCATCAGCGGAGTGGGGACGATTCATGATTGGGTCATTAAGCAGCCGTGGGCGTTGCGGACGAGAGAAAAGGTCGGCGGGGATGATATGGCGATTGTTTTCCAGTATGACTTTTGGAATTACCCCAGTCACTTGGCTCTGGCTTACAATTCGCTGTGGCGCCGGTTCCTCAAGCATTTTCGAATTTATTTCCTCTGCAGTTGTTTGGTTTTGATCTTCGGGATTGACGCCTGCATTTTCGACAGCGTCCTTTGCTCGCTTGGCATTCTTCGAAAAGGTGACGTTCAAAACACCAATGTATCTGAATAAACTCGTCAATATCAAATTACCTTTGGGCAATCAAAAGAATCAGATCCACCCTTACCTCGGAAGAAATCTTAGGATTTCAGGGTGCCGACGCTCAATACGTTCGTAAAACTCATTCTCTCGATTATTTAGTTGTTTGCATACTGCACGCCTGGAGAAGCGGAAGACAGTTGTGTGACCACCAACCTGGTGTCTGTACGGCTTCAACTCAACAGAACCAAGTGGTCCCGTAGGCTTATGGCTCAAAGGGAAATGAGAGCGCTGAGTGGGGGTTGCAGTCGGGGTTGCCTCAGCATCGTCTTCCCAATCCTCATGAGCAGAACGTACACTACCTTCTGTTGACGACAAGGTATCGGATTCACAAGCAGAGTCATAGCTGCGCTCAGAGATCGGACCAAGCGACGTCTCGGAAACAGACCCTGTTTGAGAGCGAAGGTCTTGAAGATCGCCGTGAAGGACCCTATTTTCATTTCTAGACCAGAAGGAGATATCGACATGACCCACTTCCTGCTCTTCAGAGATATCACGATCATGTGGCACTAGCATTACCCCATGGTCTTGCTCTGTGGCTGGCTTCACGCTATGCGAGTCTGGCACTAAAGGCTTTTCAAAGTCTGACTCGTCATTGGGTGGGATACGCTTGTGGGGAAAATATACAGCAGACTTGATGTGTTCATTTTCCACTTCATTCTCATTAAGTATCAAATCTTGTGAATCAATGGGTTCAACGGAGCTCAAAGACTCGGAAAATGGCTTTGCATTTGGTTCCTTCTGGAAGTATTCGCGGCCACGTTCGGAATACTGCGCTGGAATACTTTTAGAGAAGGACGATCCATGGTCTCCACCAGGTGTGAGATGAAAATTTCGAATCTCTTCGAGAAGACTGCGAGGTAATGGTGGTGGTGGGTGACGTCCGAGGTGTCCGTCCTGTTCAGTCACTTTGACGGGAACATCGTCAAAGGAACCATCGAGGAAGGATGGAAGAGATCTACTTTTGTGGACTGGTCCTTCTTCCTCTAATGATACACTCTGGTTTTGAATATCGTGTTCCATTGCACGGCGGGTAGGTTCCGATGCCTCATCTTGTTGTCGCTCGCGGTCCTCCCGTCGTTTCCGGTCCGGCGACGTATTCTCTTTGAATAAACCAAGGTAATGACTCGATTTTCGACTGCGCACGTTAATGACAGGCTCCACATTAGTGAGATCTGCCTCAATTGAATTATCCACGCGTCCACGGCCACGGCGACTTTTGCTTGTACTCCGTTCGACGGTGGTGCCTCGGGAATGTTCCGTCGGTGGCAGTTGCGACCCGCCTTGCGAATCGTCTTTCAGCTTGTCAAGCCCGACATGGGGGAAGGTCAATTCGATGGGAGAATTAAAAACATCTCCTAGTGGGGACGGAAGAAGACTACGTTCAGCCGGTGAGTCTTGTGGGCCACTGGGCTTCGTACCTTTTTCGCCTGATGGTAATTGATGTGATGAGGGGGGTTTTGTATGCAATTCCTGGCGTTTCGCCTGATCTGAAGAGGAGATTGACGCGCGCAAAAGGGACAGATGGGAAACTTCAGAGGATAAAAGAGAAGAGCGCAATGGATTGTGTCTACGGACGTCAACTTCCATGTGGGAAGGATCGACGTAGGAACGTAGGGAAGAAACCTTCGGGGCAGGAGTAGGAGATGCGGGTACTTCGTCAAGGCTGGGGATCGAGTTTACCTGGCGCTCATTATTTGAGGCCTGTTCTGGCCGCAATTGTGGAGTGGTTGCGGCGCTATCAGAGGGAAGGTAATGGGTCGCGAAGATACTGTCTCTTTCAGACAGTTGAGGGCTATGGATTGATGGAGGATGTGTGAATTTCTCCAGCGGGATCGTCGAGGACCTTTTGATGGAGAAGGAAGATACTGGTTGAGACCATTGGTGGACTGTGGGGGACTCCGCACGCGACGGGGATGGCGCTTGTCGAGCTCCCTGGGACAAGAGCTGATCCTGCAAAAAGTGGTGACGTGAGCCGGTCGGACAGCTCTCAGCTTCCTCGGAGCAATCATGTTGGGTAGGCGCGGCAGGTGTTACCAGGGGGCGAGGCAAAGCCTCTTCGAAAACGGGCGGCGGGTTCGACATGGGTGTGACATTGGTCGAGACTTCAGACTCGGAAAGTAAGAAAGCGGAGCCGCAGTTGGTTGGATGATGGGTAAAGATTAATTAGAACGCCAAAGACAACGTGGACGAGACAAAGTAGTCGTTGGTATCACGACGATAGAAACAAAGGCTAGTGGAGTAAGGGACGGCAGCACAGAGGTGCAGAAACGAGACCGGAGATGACCACGTTGATCAAGGAAGGGATTTTACTGGAGAGCTGGCGGTCGATCGGATATCCGGAAAGAGAGAAGCAGGAGGTCCAGACGCTGAGAGATAAAGGATTGACAGAAATCTCAATGGAGTTTGGTCTAGGTGAAATACGTAGGACAGTGGCGCCGATCTTTCGTCACCGCCCTTGGACCTTTTGAGGTGGATCCCTTCGATCTGAGAATTTGGATGGAAGAGGATTGTATAAAATAACCTTGGAATCAAGGGAGAAGGTAAAAAGAAGAAAGAGGAATAAAGGGGCAAAGCAGGGTCTTGCAAATTTGAAAGGGGAATTGAAATTGAAGGATGCAGTTGAAGAAGATCCTGTGCGACTTGCAAGCTTTTCCCCAGACAAAAACAACGACGTCAACATCAACAACCGCAACATTAACACCAACAGCATCAACAACAGCAATAATCATTACTCCCAGCGCCTTGCTCTAAATTGAGGATTTACTTGAAAGTCAAAATCCTTGATCGCAAGTTGATCAATGCTTGGTATTTCAAATTCAGCGCTATTCTCCAATTAACTTGGCTTCACGAGGGCTCGCAAGCTGCCATTATTGGTCCGATTTCCAAATAAGAGACAGTAGAGTCAACAAGGTTGATCTGTCGATCAATGATACATTAATGAATATTTCAGTTGTTGTTTCAAAAAATCTCACGAACTGACATTCGATAACTAGGTTATCACTCTAAATACCTCTCAAGGTGGGGTTGTTTACTCCCCTGAAGGTAGGGTGGAGAAAGGCGGGATAGAAGAACATGAGTATGCATCACTTCTTCCAGGCAGAGACCCGACAGTGTATGTACTCGGCCCTCGTGTTATTGACAATGGCATTGGCATTGGCAGGCAATGGTAACTTCCCCCGTTCTATTGCCAGCTCGTTGAATTATTCTATATCCGACGGGGTGGTACGGTCACTAAGTAGCCGTTGCGTCATCCGAGGCTGAATGAAGTCATGTCTAGGTAAAGATTGAAGAAAGCAATCTCTTCAGTGAACTATATACGTAGTATATAGTCCAATAAATATGTCCATATCATATATAGTAAGCCTACAAATAGTTTATTTAGATACCCAATTTTATTTGTGGTTATTCGGGTTGTTGTTTACTTTCAAGCCCCCAAGGTATTGAGGTCCATGCGCTGTTGCATGGAATAACTCGTAACCCTGTGAGTTCTTCCCTTTATCTAAGCTTATCATCAATGTGTCCCCGCAAAGTTTACCGATATAAAACCGCCAACTTTCCCGAGGTCAATTTATAGGCGATATGGGGGGTTTTATCTGGATGATAGCTGGGTTTTCTTGATACAGGATGCAGATAGACAACTGATCCACTTCAGTGCTTTAGATCGAAGCTTCCAAAGAATAGATCAATATCGTCCAATCATATAACTTATGAAAATGACAGCTGGTTGAATCACAAAGTGAATCGCCAACGGTTATCTGGGAATCCCCGCAGTTGTGGGGTCGCCAGGCTAAGACTAATTTGGCAAAGACCAAGCACTTCTACTTACAAGCTTCTTGATTATGAACTGTGGCTATGTGGACAATCAACCTTGGAATTTTACTAGATTTAGCCTGTTTCTATCTAATATCTAGATATTGATCTCAATGAAAATAGGTTGCTTCACTCGGATAATGATAATGCTCATTTCAACTTTGAAAGATAACAGGTTATAAGTACGTATATGAGGGGCATCCCTGTCACCGAACGTCCTAGGACTAGCCTCTACACAGCTCCATCGGTCTTTTCCTCCGAGGGCTCTTAGCTCCGTAATTCCAGTCTCTCCAGGCCGTATGCTCCTGAGGTCCATCTACTTTTACACTTGATGCCAGGCCAACATTGGAAGTATACTAAATGAAACCTCAAACTATTTAGCATTTAGTAACCATTTAAGCCCGTATATACAAACGTAGAACATGGTTTATTAGAGTATCATGAGATCGCCCGGATAGCGACCAGGTGTGATCAATAATGTGACGAGTGTAGCCCTAACACCCAACGGAGGAGGAGCCGGGCGGGTCGAAACCCAACCAGAGTTGAAGACCATGTGAAGTACATGCATTAGTGCCTAGACCGCTTATCTGACGACTAGGGTTCTTGATGAACCTCGACCTCCTCCGCCACTCATATTCATCATATGCATTTCCTAGCCTTCGGCGCAGCTCTCGCTATCCCCACTCTGTCGACCTTCCTCCCGTCACGTCTTGCCATATGGGTCCCAATTGAAGGCGCATGCCTATTTGTGAGTCGCTATATACTGCGGCCCAGGAGTCAAGCGCTTGCCGCACATTCTCATTTCCCAAACAGTTTTGAAAGCTGAAGCTTACAACGTCCCTTGCCCAGGTGTGCAGGCTGACTAGTTGAATATAAAATCCAAGCTACAAGCTGTCAAACCTTCGAGTCACCTCAGAGAAATCATTATCGGAATTATCGGTCTTCAATATGAGTCGACCACTGAAGTTAGATGTTCCAAAGGTTCAGGATGGAAATCAAGACCAGAGATATTCATTCATGGAAACGCCTGTGGAAATGCACCCCTCATCCCGTTATCAACTCTATACATCATCACCACCACCGCTACCTACTTCACAGCAGCCAGTATACGAGCAATCCACCGAAGTCGTTCAGCATCCAACCCAATATGCACAAGGAAATATTCAACAGTCAGCTCAGTATACACAACAGGTACATCCGGATCAGTATGCATACCAAGCTCCCTACCAAGCTCCCTACCAAGGCGAATACATACCCAGTGAAAAAGAGCGACAACTACAGCGGGAGGGCATCATTAGCTCATATTCCGAGTATCCATCACTAGACCAACATCCCGCAAACTACGCACCTTTTGCCGATCAAATTGATTGCCCTCACTCAACAACAATCCAATCACCACAAAGTACCATTCATCCACCATATCATTCCAACGAGACAGACCCCCAGCCACCAAACTCTCCAGGCCCCTTACCCACGAAGACCAATCCCGAACCTCTCAACCAAAATGATACGGTGACAGTAGCACCAGATGCAAACCCGCTCCAATCTCCTAAACTGCCCTACTTCCCACCTCCAACAGCGGCAAAGCATGGACCACTGGAAGACTTGGGTTCATTCCACCAACCCGGACAGATAATACACCCAAACCAAGAAGTCCAAGGCGGAACATGGTATAATGGACTATGCGACTTCTCCAGGATCGGGATCTGTTGCCTGGGCTTGTCATGTCCATGCATTTTATACGGAAGGACTCAATATCGACTCTCCATGAAATCGCGAAAAGAAGATCCAACCAATATGCTCGGCTACGAGACTTGCAATGGATCTTGCACAGGCATGGCATTATTATGTGGTTGTCAATGTAAGTCTAATACAGTGATTCTTGTGGACACTTCGCTGACGACTCACAAGGGCTTTTTGCTACTATCCAGCACACACGGACACGGAAGGCGTACGGAATTCATGGTGATGTTGCATCTGATTGTGTCCGGGCTACCTGCTGTACATGTTGCACCCTGATTCAAGATGAGAAGGAGATCATAAAACGTGAGCAGAAGCGTAGTCGGGCGGCACTTGAGAGAGGCACTACTCTGATCTCGCCATATACAGCTCCGGGGCCGATGACATTTGCCCCACCATCCAACAATTAGTGAAGTTATCATAGTGATGATCTGTTCCCTAAATTATTGTATTTATACCTAGTAGCCTTGCTTTTATATACCCATGTTTTATGAAAAACTTAGTAATACCCCAACAAGCTTTCTCATTTCATTATGCTTTGCCTTTATTTTGACATTTTAATTGCCTTTTCAATTTATTCTCCTTCAGTTGTCTTGGTCGTTGTGGAATTAGCCCAAACCCAAGATGCGAAACTGAAACCCCTGGCAATGTTAGACACAATTGGCGCCCCATAGCCACCCATAGCAGCACTCTGGAGCAGGCTGAATACAGCGTTCACACCATACATTGATTGAAAATATGCGGCAAGGGAGCCTAGTAACACACCAGGTTAGAAAAAGTAAAGTTAAAGACGAAAAATTGGACTTACCAAGTACGGGGCCGGTGCTGCCAAACCCAAGCACAGCCAGGAGTGGCGTGATCATAGCGAAGGGAAAAACCATAATTAGAATCTGCAGGCCCAGGATTGCGGCCTGGATGGAATTATTTTCGCACTTTTCTTTCGCAGCTGCGAAAAGATCATTGATATCTTCAGCGCTAATATTTTCGGTGCGGTTCTTAATAGTCGCCGCGAGCTCTTTGAGGTCTTCGGTCGTGATATTGGGTATGGCCTTCTTCAAGTCTTCCAAACAAATATTACGGAAAGCTTCCTTAATTTCCTTGGGAAGTTTGTCAAAGAGACCTTCCATAGTGGAATCTTGGATAGATAGTAGGGGGTGGTTTGATGAAGCAGAATGATGAAGCTTTATGGTGCAGTAGGGAGGACTGTGTTTATTCCCATCAAAGGAGCCTCTATTATCTAATGGAGAGCTCTAGATGTTACATGAATGAAGCCCAAGAAGTGGAGAATTTCTTCGCAGATGATGGAAACGAAAGTAAAGTAGATATACGTTGTTTTTTGCGGCGCCAAGGATCTTTGTTGGCATTTGCAATATGCAACATTCCAAAGGGGGGGTAAGTAGTATTCTCTCGGTTTTTATATGCATCAGATTTCAGATTCCACGCGCCATAACGAACCATTGCAGACACCACTGAAACAATGCATCGGGTGAGCCTATACAAGGTAAAGCCCATAATGAGAAATCTGTCCCACCTGTAAACGACCAGTCTAACAACATTCCGTTAGACAATCTTAAAACAACATCAAAATTATTTCAGTCCCACTCCGTCATATCAAATATGGCTGGTTCCTGACGGTGGATCCTGACTCGGCCTTGGATTATATGCATGTATATATTCATTAAACATTCCTAGACCTAAGCTTTAAACCACCTAACTTTAAACTGCACCTGGCGCTAGCATAGAATGCAGAATACTTCTGTCGAATCCAAACGTCAATACTTGACCAGTTCCCAATCCAATAGCTACTTTATCATCGTACGTATCTTGGCATGCTAGCTGTATATCTGATGATAGCCGAAGAAATGGCATCACTCCATAACATATCCACTGGCCTTTCACAATGAGATCCTGTAAAGAATGTGGACTCTTATCGTGGTCTTCTGTCGCAGTATCTTCAAGTCTGATTCGCTCAGTACCTGTTATAAGATATAGGTTATCTGCAGAGAATTTGAGGTTGTGCACTGGTTCAGATGTTTCGATTTCTTTTCGTGATCGGAGTTTGAAACGACTACCTAAGCGACGGCCAAGAAACTTTGAGGTTTTGTGAGACTTTGCAATATCCCAAAGCTTGATGGTGGTATCATCAGAGCCTGATGCGATCTGCTTGCCATCTGGAGAAAACGCCACAGTGGTGACGCTGTATGAGTGGCCTTCGAGTGTCTTCTGAAGGTCCCCTGTTGTGCTATCCCAAAGCTTGATGGTGGTATCATCAGAGCCTGATGCGATCTGCTTGCCATCTGGAGAAAACGCCACAGTGGTGACCTCGCGTGAGTGGCCTTCGAGTGTCTTCTGAAGGTCCCCTGTTGTGCTATCCCAAAGCTTGATGGTGTTATCAGCAGAGCCTGATGCGATCTGCTTGCCATCTGGAGAAAACGCCACAGTGGTGACCCTGTATGAGTGGCCTTCGAGTGTCTTCTGAAGGTCCCCTGTTGTGCTATCCCAAAGCTTGATGGTGGTATCATAAGAGCCTGATGCGATCTGCTTGCCATCTGGAGAAAACGCCACAGTGGTGACGCAGTTTGAGTGGCCTTCGAGTGTCTTCTGAAGGTCCCCTATTGTGCTATCCCAAAGCTTGATGGTGGTATCATAAGAGCCTGATGCGATCTGCTTGCCATCTGGAGAAAACGCCACAGTGGTGACCCAGTGTGAGTGGCCTTCGAGTGTCTTCTGAAGGTCCCCTGTTGTGCTATCCCAAAGCTTGATGGTGGTATCAGCAGAGCCTGATGCGATCTGCTTGCCATCTGGAGAAAACGCCACAGTGGTGACCCAGTGTGAGTGGCCTTCGAGTGTCTTCTGAAGGTCCCCTGTTGTGCTATCCCAAAGCTTGATGGTGCTATCAACAGAGCCTGATGCGATCTGCTTGCCATCTGGAGAAAACGCCACAGTGGTGACCCTGTATGAGTGGCCTTCGAGTGTCTTCTGAAGGTCCCCTGTTGTGCTATCCCAAAGCTTGATGGTGGTATCATCAGAGCCTGATGCGATCTGCTTGCCATCTGGAGAAAACGCCACAGTGGTGACCCAGATTGAGTGGCCTTCGAGTGTCTGTATAAGAGAAGCCCAAGTGCTCTCCATCCTGGGAAAACATTTGAAATATTTTGGAATTTTGTCCAGGTTTCCTATCCTCACAATACTTGTTTCTGGACTAAAGATAAGAGCAGAGCTATATATCTGTAACGGCCAATGAGCCATATTATAGAAATGTCGTAGCAGAAAACGTGTAGCGTCTTGCATAAGGGCTAATACTGGCGAATCCCTCTTTAATAGACTGTTAGGAAAGAAAAAAGATCAAGGAATATTAAATACTTACCTTGGTAATATCTATTAGGGCTCTGATTGATTCAAGGGCCTTAGGTAACCTATCTAATAAGCTGAAGCATTCCAGCCATTCTAAAAGTTTAGTGTGTAGGAATAACCCAACTAGCCCTTCCTCGATGAGCCTGCTTTGCGCTATGATCTTTAGTGGGACTTTCTGGAGATGTTGTACCCAAAATGTTGTCGCATAGTCAAGTGAAGACAGTAGAATGCTTTTTCTCTCACTTTTGAGTGATTTTATAAGCTTCGAAGTCGAATCAGGTCGCGGTAGGTCCATAAGATTGACTTTAAGCTGTCCACATAAGTAAGATAGACAGTTAAGAACAATATCATAGTGTTCATAGTGACCGTGTGAGTTAAGTATAGCCAATCCACTCTCCCCCGCTAGGTAATCTCGAGCGGATTGATGGACGAATTCAATAATGTTTCCCTGCATTCTGATGAAAGATGCATAATGATTGACTAACAACTTGATTCTATCATCTCCGAGAGATAGACCAGTCACGCTAGGAACTTCTTCCACTTTCAGAGGCCGATACACCAGCATCATTGCTTTTAGGAGCCGCATATAATCATAGACATCATTTGGCTGGCCTTCATGTAACTGATTTAATATCCGATCGTAAAAAGGATGTAGTCCAGGCGGTAAATCTTGAAGAGTGTTCAAAACTTCATCCGCACCGATACTCTCAAGCCTTTTGCATACTAGGCTCACCCAAAGGAAGGTGCCCTCAGCTTTCGCAGAAAGCTCAGCTTTCAGTTTTCTCATGAGTGCCTCTTCGTATCTTTTTTGACGGTTGAGCTCATCAACTTTGTACGAGATATAAGTCTGTACAGATTGGGAGATATGATCTGAGTTGAGCTCTAGACTAACTTGCATCTGCTCATGCCCAGCTAGTAATATACGCTCTGCAGCTTCCAATGGCCTACTTGTCAAGAGCCATTTGATTTTGGTGGGTTGATCAAGACCATTTCGGACAACAAGCTTCAAGAAGTCGGCCATACCGCTATCTTGACATTCATCAAGGGCATCCACAATGATATATACCATTAAGCCGTTGCACTTATCCAGCATCTCTAGAAATATGCTCCATAAAGCTCGCCACGAGCTAACGTCCTCACTAAAACGGTTGCTCTTTGGGTCCCATCGACGTCGTAAAGACTCTTTCAATTCGATTCGCTGGCTGACCAACCTAAGAATCAAGCCTTTAATGACCGATTCTAGGGTATTCAGCTCACTATCGGCATTTTGGCAAAAGAAATATGTCACCACAGTAGATATATCTTGTCTCTGTGAGAGTACTTCTATCAGGCCAATCGACATCATTGTTTTCCCCTTCCCAGCACCACCCTTTATCCAGAGAAGACAGACATCGTTCCCATGTCGCCAACTACGGTATTGTGGGTCCTGGAGAACCCACTCGAATGATTGACGGAGTAATTTGTCCTTGGCCTCTTTTAAGCGGTTTTTCACGGCTAGGGAGTCCGGGCAACAAAGTTTTTGGAGACAAATCCGATCAATATCCTGGCTGCTATATGCTTTATAGATGAATGGTGTTAGCTTAAGCCTAGCTTTATGGATACGCCATCAGACCTACCCCGGGATTCCTCCGTGACAGAGCCGTAGTTGTTTCCAATCTGAATTCCATGGTTTTCACCATGGAGTGTAGTCGATGTCATGATCGCAAGTCGCGTAGAATGCCGTAGCTATATTCGTGAGAGTCGAGGTTGATGGAAGTTGCTGGTCACTCAGCTAATTGAGGGGTATCCCTGCAGCCTTCGTTGTCAGCTGACTAGTCAATTTAGGGCTATCGACTAGTAATAGAGGGATACATGATACGAGTATTCAGAGATTCTGCCAGGTGTAAAATACGTTTTCTGTTTTCAGTTTTATGGGTTATTTCGCGGTGGCACTTATTACCCTCCGTAGTATATATGTAGATGTAGATGCAAATGTATAATTATTTATATGTATGTATGTGCACGTACGTGTATGTGTGTATGTGTATGATATCCTAGATTTGACGTATAGTATCAAGCTCGCTAGCCTCAGCTTGAAGTTTAACGATAACTGCTGGTAACAACGATACGATACGCTGAAGTTTCTGCCAGGCAGAAAAAATGGGGTATTTTGAGATCATTAATCAAGAATCCTAGGAAAATGTTTTAAATCATAGAAGATCAAAGTCATCCAGCTTCTCACGGTAACGCATAATATTGCGCTTGATCTTGCTTGAGTCGACCCAGGTCACGAAATCCTCCATATTGCGAGTAACGAGGAAAGCAGGGTCTGTGACAACTTCTGTTCCAACACGGACGTGACCCTGTTCAATGAAGGTAGCAGCCTATCAACCAGTGTCAGTAAATTGTCCAGGCAGAATGGGATAATATTGTAAACATACAGCTTTAATAGTTTCCACCAAGCCACTTCGTACCATCAAAACAGCTAAGCGGCGACGACAGAATGCAGAAACGGTGACTTCGCGCTCGACTCGTGACAGACCTGCTCCTTGCTCGCGCGACTGTTTTAAGATACCCATTCGCCATAGCTTCTCTAATAGCTCTGACTCAAGCTTCTTGCGCACTGGGTCGGAGTCTGGGTCGAGTTGGGAAAGCTTGTGTGCTAGCTGGCGTAGAGATCCACACATAGTATTATATTTCCGGTAGTCCATAGGATCCTGGAGGAGGTAACGCTGGCGAACTTGGTGCTCACGGTGACCTCCATCAGACTTATAGGTGTGGAAGTCAACCTTCCGAAGAAGTCTATTAGGGTTTTCTTGTTAGTATGCCAGGGATGTAAAGCAGGATGGAGTTTTGTTTTTTTCTGGGTTGCTGGACTGACTTCTTCTCGTGGTGCTTGAGTTGACGGACCATCTTGATAGGAGATGATGCCCAGTAACTGATATTAGAAAGGAGCTGGTACTGAAAACTTGAGATTAGGAAAGAGGACGATAACGAAAATTGTTATCAAAGCGGTGTATTTCTGCCATATCTATGTCACACCGCCTTTTAAAAGGTACACCGCCTGTAATGTCTCTGTAACTGGATTTCAGGGAGCTGATCAAAGACGCAAAAATTACCACTAGTTGATAAAAGGACGCAGAAAGTTCCCGTCATGGTAGTTCTTTACGTCCTTTTATCAAGTCCCTGTCTGCGGACTATTATCTCCCAAACGTGTAGATTCTCAACTCAATGGCTTACCAAGTGACAGAAAGACGTCTGGCACATCTAGTCAGACTAGTCTAAAACATCACTCCGTCTTTTGATAGGTGGGTTTGCCTGCCAAGGTATCATAATCGACTTAACATGAAGTGTTTGAATGGTTGGTTCGCATGACCGAGCGACCTGGTTCGATCTAGGGTCCTAGCGGCGAATACTTCTTTGCGATTCCTCCATCGCCATGTATCAATTTGAAGTCCCTTGATTCCTGTGAGGTCGAAGACCTGTTACATGAAATGAACATGTAAGGTCAAGGAAGAAAAAATACTGATAGATGGGCTCAGTCGTCGGGGCAAAATTGACATGTCCGTTTTGGATGTTGGGCAGTGCACGATGAGAATTCCCCAGAACTTTGTCATCTTGTTGCCCCAATCGGGTTGGACCCTTACTTATTAAATGTTGAAAGTGGCTCAACTAGTTATACTCCGTACGTTGTAAATCGCCGTATGCAAGGGTGAGATGCATCAAGTATTACCTCTCACACGGCGTGGCAATCTAATGGGATTAAATCAATTCTAGATAATCGTGTAAATATATGTTCATATCAAAGCTCAGACTTACCGAGCTAGTGAGGAAAATTTTACTCAAAGCATTTCAGTTCTCTTGAGGTCATACACCTAGATACAGATCAATATGTCCTCGGTTACCCAAGACAAGAGTGGTGTTGGCCACGAGAATCTCCAACATGTGGTTATCACAGCGACTTGTTTTGCATTTATCTTGTCTACTATAGCGGTTGCATTCCGAATCCTCTCTCGAAGTATCAATGGAAGCGGCCTCTTTATGGATGACGTTTTTATAATCTTCGCTCTGGTGAGTTTGTACAATTACGTCAAAGTGTATTCCAATGCTCCCGAGGTCCCTAACTCAAGGATAGCTGTTTGAATACGGAATCTCGATTGCTGGCATTGTCTGTAAGTTCCATGAACCTATGCAAGTTCCTTACAACGAATACTGACATGCAGTAGTGCTTTACAATGGACTGGGAACGCACATCATATACGTGAAGCCAGAGCAACTCGTGGTGTATTTAAAGGTATTCTCTACACCCTTCAGTCCCTCTTTTGGTATATGCCAACCTTAGAACTGCTCTATAGACACTCTTCACCGGCTCAATCCTCTATACCGGCTGCATCGGCTGCATCAAGATCTCTATCTTATTGCTCTACCGCCGACTATTTCCCACTAAGCACATGAAAGTTGCCGTTAACGTTGTTACATATATTATCGTTCTATGGGCCTTTGGAGGTATATTGACCGGCTGCTTTGCTTGTATACCAACAAAGAAGCTATGGGCTCCGGAGACACCGGGCGGCTGTATGGATCTTGCCAAGTTCTACGTCGGACTTCAGATCCCGAATGTCTTGACTGATGCCATTATCCTGTTCATGCCCATGCATATTGTCTGGAATCTGCCTATCTCCCGAGCACAAAAGCTTGGTCTCTCTGGAATATTTGTCGTTGGATTGCTGTTAGTTTCTTTCCTCTGCCGTGTTGAGAATGAATCATCGCTGACGATAGACAGGACCTTAATTTTTGACATTATTCGTCTCGTCGCGCTCATCGACCTGTCCACTGCAGGAAATGATATCACTTGTAAGCAACGTCAAAAGCCGAAGTATACTAGAATGAGCTGACTTTCAAATTTCTAGATACACAAGTCAACTCCAGTGTTTGGACTTGTATTGAGCCTGCTGTGGGAATTGTCGCAGCATGTCTATCGAATATGCGACCCTTGTTCAAAGTTTTGCATAAGAAAGTCTGGATTTCAAATATAAGTCGGGGAGGAACTGACAACACTAGTCAGCAGGAGATTGCCGGGGAAAAGCGAGATTGGAACCAAGGGACATCGATCCTTAGTGATGAACACTTGCGCTCTCAGACCTCGGACTCGCCATCCCAGGAAATCAGGGAAATGGTTCCGATAGACAATCATATCCGAGCTGAGTGAACTACCTTACATTTTTCATAGACAGATTAAAACGTGTTTTTCGAGTACTTGAATTTCGAACTTTCCAATGGTGATACGCGTCAGCATTTTGAAAGCTGGAGATTGGGACCAGTTGGTCATGTAATCCGATTTAGGTTCATATCCAGGTAACAAGGTAATAGGCCTCAGGTAATTGGTGTACTAGATTAGCCAGGATGATACCAACCGTCTTGAAAATCGGCAGCACCAGGTGGGAAATTGAGCGGCAATGGAAGCAATCTGCCCTGTGCCCAAGTGTCAGCTCACACTGAAACCTGTGGATTAGGATACCCTGATCTCTAGAACTAACCGTCCTGAGGTCCTACCCATGGATCTACCCAGCTGGCTGAGGGCGTACCTAGGTATAACAGATATCATCCATGGATATGACAATATATTGACTAGGTGTACATTTCCGTACATTTATTGCGGAATGCCCTGATGCCAGGTGGATACCTCTTGACAACAACTATGGCTTGAAGGACATTGACAATAACCTTGCAAGGTTGGAATCGAAGGCTGTAGTTGAAGTTGAATGTTGAATTTGATTAATCTAATAGGTCGTTTTATAAAACTAAAAAGAAGCGACTTAGAACCAATAAGCACTGGTAGATCAGCGGTTAGATCGTGTGATTGCAAGTAATTACTATCATCACGAGGTCCCGAGTTCAATTCTCGGTCGGTGCTTAGTTTTTGGCTCTTTTTTTTTTTTTTTTTTTTTTCCGGACCTCCCTTTTTCCCCACTCATTCTAATCTCCTTACCCCTTGCTATATTGAAAACATCAACCCGAATTGATATTTTCAATATTTGTTTCAATCCCTGCTTTATCTATTCGCTAGATTTTTTCTTAATACGTATAGGCCTTGCGAATGATGTGTCTTGACCGCGTGATTTTCCTAGTACGATGCGTTGGAAACAGTCTATTCGCCACGTATAAAAAACACATGTAGCGTAGATCAATGCACGACGCCAACTTGAGTTTCAAAAAAGCATCCATAATTGGTCACAAGCTGATCTGGCAAATCCCGTCATCTTATGTCAAACCATATACAACTTAGTCCCCCTCCACCTTTATTTTCCAAACTAGACTAGTACGAAGTAAAAACCACGATGAAACGACAGATAGTGTGCGCAGATCATCAACGCAGGGAATTTAAGCTTGGTTCCGCTGCCTTTACCCGTACCTCTCCCTCTCCTTCTACTTCTAGAATCCATACCACGATGCGCGGACTAGACGAGAGCACGGAAATCTTTGTGCGAGTCGGCCAGACGGCTGGTGAGCAGGTAAAACACGGCTGGCAGGCATTTTTGAATTTCGCTGCTAGAGATAATGTTTTGGAGGTTGCTCTTGGTTTGATGTAAGAATTGGTACCTACCCACACAGTAAATTATACTAACGATTTGGTAGTATCGCAAATGCATTCACCAAAGTAGTGACGTCTTTTGTGTCGGATATTGTCCTACCAATCGTTTCTCTCCTCCCATTCCTGAATAGGAACATGGACCAGAAGTTTGCCGTTCTCTCAAAGGGTCCCAACTACCCAATTGGAGAGGGATACAATACAGTCGACCAGGCCCGGGACGACGGTGCACTCGTTCTAGCATGGGGGTATCTATACAGTTCGCTCCTATTCACTTATATTTAGCCACTAACTCGTGACAGTTCGTTTGTCGAGACCCTTTTGAACTTTGGGGGTGTGAGTCTCACACTCTTCTTTGGCGCTCACTTGTACATGTTCGTTTCTCGGAATAAAATCATCAAGCCGACTGTTAAATGCAGGTACTGCAATCAGTATATCAGTGTCGAGGTAAGAACGCACATTTGTTGAAATTTTTAGGGCTCGGGTCTGTGATTAACTTCTCCACAGGCTTCTCGTTGTCTTAATTGCTCGAGTTGGCAAGATGGTCGGGAAGATTTGCCTAAGTCTGATGGGGAGGGATATGAGGAATGATTGTTTAGACAGAAGACATTTATCCGTGGGTCAGGAGAAAGGGATGAATTTGATGCTCAAGAAAGGTTTGAATATGCGAATTACTGTGTAGAGGGCGGCTATTACGGCGTTACAATAGGTCCATAACTAAAATGATGTATCGACTTTGAAGGCCTCAGCTTCAGCTTCAATATCCCTGCCCAGTAACGAACCTCGCTTAACATTTCTCTAACCCTTGGAATTGATCTCACATGTCGAGTCATTTGAACCGATAGCTATGTAGCCTTTATAAATACCGCATAGATCGCCTGCAAGTCACCTCTTCTTTTCCCTCGTATTATACTTTATCTTCACCCCTGAGTTCCCCTTCTCTCATCATCCTTATCGTCCTCCAGTTCAAATCTGAGAAACTAGCTCACCTCGGGAGCAGGTGAAAGATGCATGTTGGAATATTGGTATGTGATCAATCTGGCTACTGACCTTGCACATATCTCAGTCGATTCGCCATTACTGACTTTGGGCACAGCTACTCTGTTCGTGAAGGCGCACGACTTTGAAAAAGCACGAATCTGTCAAACAGATTACCTGTTTCAAGAATATCTTTAAGATTAAATGCCTTGGCACTGCATCAGCTTTGAAATGACGTTCATTGGTTATCTTAACCCCAGGCAAATGAAGAAGCAATCATTACAACATAGCCACAAAACTACATATTTGTGGATTCGCCTCAAGTCCAATCGGACCTTGAAATCTATCGCACCCATCATGGGAAATTTACATGCATACCTCCATCAAAAAAAAGATCTCATCTATCGAGACAGAAAAATAAAAAAGAAATCAGGAGCGAAGAAGGAAGAAATCCACTGTCATGTTCATCTGACAATGGTTATTTGACACAATATCAATTATTGTGAGTGAAGGAAGTCCTGGACCAACCCTGACTGAAAGAGTTAATTTAGTGGGCGGCGGAAATGGTGCTTGGAGATCCGAAGTAGAGAACAGTCAAGACGACAGTCGCACCGGCTCCGAGCAGAATTCCCTTGAACTTGGCAGGGTTGCTGTGACGGTACTCAGCAGCCTGGAGACGCACATCGGTGGACATGGTGCGGAGCTTCTCGGGGCCGAGCTTGTAGTAAACGAGACCACCAAGGGCAATAGAGTAACCGAAGAACTGCTGGCCAGTGACGGGATCACGGAAGATGATCATTGAGGCGCAGACCAGGAGGATATCCTTGAGGATACCAGCCATGGTCAGGACAACAGCAGAGGTCTTGCCAATCAGGAGCACAACGGAGGCGTTCAGCAAGAAAGCGACCAGGGCATTGGCAATAAGGGTGGCGACACCAAGTGAGTAGATGTTCTCCATGCTCATGCGGGGGAGATCAGTGAAGAGGGTAACAACACCGTTGGTGACAGCGCAAGCAGGAGCGTAGTAGTACAGAGAGACCAAGGGGTCCATCTTGAACTCGGCAGAGCTGAGGAGGCGCTGGACCATGACAAGACGCAGGGCCTCGAAGATGATACCACCGATCTGGATAAGGAAACCGAACATCTCAAACTTGATCTCACCAAAGGAGGCAATAACAACACCAGCAACGATGATGGCCACATTGCCCAGAGTCTTGAAGTTGGGAGGGGCAATTCCGAAGAACCAGGTGGCAAACAGAGTCACGACAACGTTGGTGGCCTATAGAAGAGTTGAATCAATTTCTGTCGGTCGCTCCAAGGGGAAGAGAGTTTATCTATAGACTTGGAACTTACCTTGAGCATCTGGATGAAGGACACACTGAGGTACAGGTAGGCCAAGTTACCGCAGATCAGACTCAAGCTGAACATGATACCAATGGGCACAATAGCGCGACTGGAGATACAATCAGCATCAATTCACCCAATAGACTGTTACATAGAATAGAATAACTCACCCATAGGTAGCAGGGGTCATAGGGACCTTGTGACGAGAGTCCAGCACCGTAGTGAAACGGGCCAGGAACTGGGTCATGGCAGTAGCGAAGACCATGTGCCATGTTGTCAAGAAAAGGGCTAGAAAGGTGTGAGTTGAGTATTCGGAAGTAATAAGAGGTATTGCCAGTTATAGAGACTGCAGGCTGTAGGTGGGCAAGATGAAGGAAGACCTACGGAAATCTAGAAATGGCACAAGTTAATTTCCGTATATGAATTGGAATTGAAGCGTAGAATAAACTTACCAAATTTGGCAGATGAGAGAACCCATTTGTTGAATAGAATGACACTGGAACTCAAAGCAATCCACAGACTAATTGAGAAGTTAGCAGAAGCCGTTGAGGTTGACGTTGAGCAGGGGTTCAGACGCACGCAATGTAGAAGGCAGGGTGCAGACCGCTGCTCTCTGGGGCAGGAGTAACGCCAGCCTCCAGATTACGCTTCTCTTCCTGAGATGACCGGTTGTTTGCCATTGTGTGAGTTTCTCAAAAAGAGTGACTATAGGTGAGTAAGAGGATGTTGGGAATGGAATGGTTGAAATACAAAACGGGGGCACATATAGGGGGCTCATCGGCAGGATGAAGGCGGTGAAGATGATAACCAGGTATGATTGGTTGAGAGGAATCGTAATAAAAAGAGTACACGTTGACGCGTGGATCCCGTGTTTCAAGTCTTCAAAGTCTTAAGTAACTCAAGCTTAGCCACACGTTTTATGTTGATTCAACCTATCATATCTGTGCCCTACTTTCTGGCTCTAATTTACTCCGTACTCGAAATTTAAGCCCCCAACGTCCAGACTCCAATCGAACTGATCGATTAGTTAGTAATCATGTTCGCTTATCTAATGGTTCCAAGGTTGGTTAGTTAGTCTTTAATTGGTACTACTTTGTGCTAATCTGTATTTAATACTACCCCTATTCCTCATCCCCTATCGCCAATTCCCTACTATGTAGACTCTCTACCTCATTATAATATACCCCATGCGGAGTTCTCCGCATCAATGTTGATGTGGGGACTAGGTGGAGCCCCAAGGTCGGATTCAACAAAGTCTTTAGTATAGATAAGACCACAACCCCTCATCTCATAACTTGCCATCTACGCTGTACCTAGTAGGTCTTTCATCATGACAGAGCTCTATCAAACCGCAAACTGCGATCACATCCCCATAATCGATCTAGCAAATATAAACAGTACTCAACTAGAACAACGTCAACAACTTGCACAAGCAGTATATGAAGCATGTACCCAGGTCGGGTTCTTCTACATCAAGGTACAAAAAATTCAACAAGACTTCCAAGGTTTGGTTGGAACAGCCCCTGACAGAAAGTATATATTTGATAGAACCATGGAGTTCCAGAAGAAATGATACAGGGTATCCAACATGCCGCAGAGCAGTTCTTCAATCTTCCCGAGGCCGAAAAAAGGAAATTCTATATCGGAAACTCAAAGGTTAGCAACTCTGTACAATTAATAAACTTAATCTCACTTCCTTGTAGAAATTCCGCGGATATAGCCCTATCGGTGGCGAAAAGTCTACAGGGACAGAGGACGACCCAGTCGCCGAAGAAGATGCCGAGGGCGTTCTTTCCGAAGCATTCGATATAGGATATGAAACCGCCCTAGACTTTGAGAAATCGCCAGATGATGTGCTGCCGCCAGATACATACGGACTATATGGTGACAACCAATGGCCGGACGAAGAGACTTTAGCTGGCTTTTCAAACACATATAGAAAGTATTGCGCCACAGTTTTGCAACTCTGTCGCAAGATGATGGGAATATTTGCTCTGTCTCTCGGGCTAACGGAGAATTATTTCGATTCAAAAATTAATTATCCTGGCGTCACTTCACGCATGATACATTATCCGGCTCAGGCTGTTGGAGAAGATCGTGAGGGGCTGGGTGCACACACTGTGAGTGAAGTATCATATTTGCTTATTTTGAGTATCTAACGGAACTACTCCAGGATTGGGAGTGTTTCACGATTCTCTTGCAATGGAAGGTCCCTGGCCTCCAAGTTTTCAACCATGACGGAGAATGGATTCCAGCTCCTCCCATTCCAGGAACGCTGGTTGTCAACATCGCGGACTGTCTATCAGCCTGGTAAGGGTGACCATCAGCGGAGCTCCATATTTCATTCTACTAACTCATTCTCCCAGGACAAATAAAAAGTTCAAATCGACAATTCACCGCGTAAAGAATATCTCTGAGGAAGAACGATATTCAGTTCCCTTCTTCTTCGGTGTCGACTATGACGCTACAGTTTCCGTCCTGGATAACCATACATCGGAAGATAACCCACCCTGCAGAGCCCCATTTAAGGCCGGTGAAGTAAGTACTCTGTCCCTGAAATATTTAATGTAATGGCCCATTGACATAAATTAGTGGGTCCGTGAGAAATTAGCAAGAGCATATGTGGGCTACGAATGTGAAGATATGGACGGAGAGTGATATGTTTTTGAAAGCATGTTATCATTATGTCAAGCTCGAACACACTTTCAAACCCGAAAAGCTAATATTTGACCCTGAAAGGCCCTTCAGGAGGCTAAAAACGAAATTCGTGATTTGCGTTGGATGGTCTTAAAAATGCCTAGTATAGCATCAACTGTATCAAGATGGCGGGCCCAAGGCTCTGTACAAAGTATCACATGCTCGATAAGGTCGTCAAAGTCTGGTATGAGAGACGAAAGTGACGGCGTAGTTCTGGCAAGTGAAAGCACAAACACTGCAGCTAGAAGTCTGAATTCGATAAATAGATATGTAAGCCATTACTGAAAGGGAAGATATGAGTCCTGGGTGATGCAGAGCAACTCACGCTTGGAATCTCAGCCACGTAGAATGTGTTCTCTTCCGGAGAAAAGGAACAGTGGCAATGACAAAATTTCGGCAGCTGTCCACGCACGTCTCGCAATTGGATTTTATTAGCGGGCTAAGTTGATCCCCATCTGACTGTGCTGCATATACGAGGAATGGTCTGGAAATGATGTGCCGCGCAGAATAATACCGCAATCGTAGCTGATTATCTTGCGTGCTTTGCGGGTTGGTATCCAGCAGATCTGGTTTGATTTGGTCTGGCAGGGAATCGAACCAGACCTCTAGCTGGCGGTTCAGTTCGACGTTCACTGCTTCGACTGGAGTAGTTGGAGGTCGTGGGGAATAGGAGTTTCTTGTATCGTTAAAGGGACTTCCGTTCGGTTCAGCGGGTTTGTTTGGATACAGTGTGTTATGGATGCGATTGAAAAGTTTGCGAATGGAGCACATAGCAAGGAATTTGAGATTGTCCCTATCATTTGGGTCTGTAAATTCTGGGAAAGGCAATCCATCCACGAGAACCTCAATCTGACTGCGAGGGAAATGAAACTCGGCAAGATCGTCACTATTTCTCGATCAATTAGCAGTGAAGGCAAAAAACAAAGATGCACACAGTACCATTCAAGTATGTAGCAGCCCCATGCTACTCGAACAAGGATTTGATGATGCTTGAGAGAAATAGTCGCGTCATGCAAACTGGACATGTATTAGTAATCGCTATTTTGCCAAACGAAGAACTAGACTTACTAGGAAAACATCAATTGAACACCTGTAGATGCCGTGTTTACCAATTTCCAAGCTTGCAGTGGCCTTGCTCGATAACGAAAGTATAGTGAGGCATAGAAAAATGCCAAAGGGACAACCAACTCTCTAGAGAAAGTTGCAGCTCCCTCTGAGCTCAGAACCTGATACGCATGTGCAAAGTACTCTGTACTCTGTCCATTCTTGATTGATTCCGTATCATAAGGATCTTCTGTTTGGGAGCATAGATCACCCAGGGCCAAGACGGTAAGACAAAGTGCTGAGGAGAGATCAGGCTCATGGGTTCCTACTAAGAACCTTTCAAAAGTCTCCATAAAGTCGCCATGATCGAGAATGGGGAATGTAGAATGAACATGAGTGAAGAAGCTAGCAACCAAAGAGTCTGTGATATCGCGATATAGGTTCAGTCGCTGTATGATTGAATTGTAGGATGTCCGCGGTACGAGAGGAGGTAGTTTGCGCTCCGATTCTAGCATGAGAAAGAATCCCGGCGGATAGTCACCGATGAGGCTCTTGATTCCCTCAAGTCCGAGAAGATTACCTGTTGGAGTCTGGTGTCCTAGTGGAATAAGACTAGTCTCATTATCGCTATAGTCGTATCTTTGCCACGAGCTGACTGCCCGCGGGATGTCACCCAGTAAAATAGCCTGGGAGGAATTGACAGGGGCGCTTAGACCACGAGAATTTGCAAAGATCGCAAGACTGGTCTGAGAAAGGGGAGCATCTAGTCGAGGTTCCCGTTTAAAGTGTTCGGTTAAAGCTGAGATGGCCTCTGTTTGCTGTTGTACAAGGGCCTCCAATCGACTCAAGCGCCGTAATATCTTATCAGGGGTGTCTTTGCCTCTATTATAGGGTCAGTAGGTCGAATGAAACATCCATATCTTATACTTCTCGTACTTCTCGTTCGGGCCTTCTGGATATTGACACTGACATCCTTGGCCAGTGCAGTATGCACATTGAGGCTCACCGTCACATTTGCGTTTCCTAGTTGAAGATATAATTTAGATGATTTCTCTATGCTATAGAACAATCTCTGATCCTACCGAGCCCTGCATAAAACACAAGCGACTAGAGCACGCTTGCGAGGATAATCGGGCATCTTGGCTTGAAATGATAAGAAGTGGGGAAGAGGATAAAGTCATGGCCAAGTCCCCACTCTTACACCGCTTTTTTCTGCTCTTTTGATATATAATATTTGTATAAAATATCCCCTATTCCTATTCCCACTATTTTATGGTAATAAACTCTTCAACTCCAATAAATGAGAAAGAGTATAAGGCATCTGCCAAGGTTCTAAATCCAGAATACTGATGACTCCCGCTTATATGGTGAGGTTTCTATGTGACAGATAAGAAAAGGGTACCCCAAACCCGGAAGAATGAAGAATAGAGAAGAGTATGAGCTGTCAGAGAGCTCAAATCTCTTGTGCATCCAGAGCCCATATTTCCCAGTGCTTCAGGACATCCCAGCCGACTCGGCGCATACCACGCCTCATGACGTTTCCGCTCTCAGTTATGACAGGGGGGAAGCAAACACGGCCAGATAGGGCGAGGTCATGGGGTTCAGAATCCGAAAGGGGAATGGATGGACGAGAACGTGATTCCGTAACCTCATCATCTCGTGGGTGCTTCCCTAGTATTGAAGAACGTATCTTTAATGACGGTCCAACATATGTTTGATCTGATAGATGGTGTTTGATATCTGCGCCATTGGCAAGAGCGGGAGATAGAGAGGGGGAGGTGAGTGTGCTGGTGACAACGCCAGCGCTACCATCGCTGCCGTTGAGTTCACTGGTAGATGTATCAAGATTGACATCTGGGGAATCCACCTGGGGTGATATTTTGGCCTGGAGAGGAGACTCGTAAAAGTCACGTAGCTCAAACGCTTTCCATCCCAAGCCAACGATCTTGAGCCTACCAAAGATTTTCTTATCTGCTAAGTCGAAACTCATCATTTTCATGAGCAGCTGATCGTCCATATCCACAAGATCCGCGAGGCTCCGTGCGTTGGAAATCGCATCCTCGACGTCCTTGGGGAGCTCGATTGATGTCTCCGCCCAAGACAATTGCTTAATCTTGAAAGGAGGGTCGAAGGACATATTAGGTGCTCGATTAGAAGAGCCGTTTGCAGGGCCAGTCTGAGGTGCTGGGGAGCCTGCAGGAATCAAGAGTCGAAGCGCCACCAGCCTCCGAAGGAATGGAACCAGCATACCGAGTGACTCTATGCTGGAGAATTCTGTTGACAGGGCTAATTGTTCCAGGTTTGGGCAACTATGGACCAGACGCGCGACCATAGAGGTCGACAACGGCCATTTCGAGCAAAGCAGTAGGTGGCGAAGGCTAGCTCCATGATGCGTCATGATATTGGCGAGATATTTATCTCTCACACTCAAAGTCACATTGAATTGATTGACGGGGGAGGCCACGGTAGGGGAATTTGTTGTTCCAGTTGGAGCATTATAGACAGCATAGTCGGTGACAGGAGGCGTGAGGGCAGTTGAACCTGTCCCCGCGGGTCGAGGCGAGTTGAGATAGTCTGAGGAATCTGTAGTCACATTTACAAAATATAGTCGTTCTAGCCCCTTAAAATTCTCTAGAAATTCCGAGTTTCGTTTTGATATCGCATCGACTCGACAGGACTTGATTTTTAGTTTTCGATGTGGAGGTGCCACGGGCCAACTGTGCTCGACAAATTTGTTGCCCAAACTCATATTATCCGTCCCGCTAAGGAATGTGACATCTTCGACCGTCGTCGGGTCAAATGCGTCATTAAATTCCGCACTGTGGAAGGCAAACATGTTCTGGAAGGAGATCTTCTTCACTGCAAGGGGCTGCTTTGCAGCGATACACTTTCGGAAGTAATCATGTAGAGAGATGCTGGGTTCCTGCGCAAGTCGCATGCGCGGTGACCAATGTAGTCTGAGATCTTGTAATTTCCTGCTCTTGAACAACATGGTTGCGATATCGTCGGGGTAACACAGTGGATCAATATTAGTGATTTTGAGGCACCGCAGATGCGGCATTCCCGGTAGCACAAACGTAGGCTGTGGATGGCGGGTAGAGGGGAATCGAATAGTTAGCGAGGTCAGATGCGGCAGCTGCGTCAAGCCCGAGTATACAATATCTAGCATTTTGGTGTTGAGATCCCAGCTGAAGCTCTGCAGATTGGTCATGCGATCCACGGCCGCCCGTGCAGTAATGTTCAGGAGCATGACTGAATCCGTTACTCTCCCGAGTTGAGCGTGCTCTTCGAGATCTTGGTCCTTCCAGTCGCCTCGGAGGGTTATAGATTGAACAAGTGTCGCAAATGGCCTAGTGATAACAGCATTCAGTCCCATGGTGAAAGGACTTGCGCTTCCGATGCCTTCAGGATGTCCGCCGCGGTAACGTATCCTATCGTAGGAGGTGAGGGTCAAGTCGCGGTAAAGCTGCGGAAGCGCCATATAGTTGAGAACGCGACATGTTTGACATAGTCTAGCGAGATCACCGGTATCATCGACCTGAGATTTTGCCTGTCAGTATGCTGGATAGCTTTCAACGTGAATGATGGACCAGACATTTGACACAATCAGGGCGATCAGATTCAAAGGTAGCGATAATAAGGATGCACCGCGACTTCTTTCAGCTGCTATGCTGGCAGCAAACATATTTTGGTTGACAGTCGCCATAACGCGACATTTGGCGTGTGGCACAGCATGAATTGGCGGGTGTGAAGAATATGGGGAAAGAAACCCGGAGTGAAAAGTTCCCGAACCAGCCACGAAGGCTCGGCATATGCCAATATAGATCCGAAATCTCGACCGTCAAATCTGGCGGAATCTGCTAGATCCTTTTCTACCTAGGTATCTATATTTCCTGCGTTAATTTTTTACATTTCGAAGTGTCCGAGGTCCTGTTCCGAACTAGATGTTATACCTAGGTACATTTCCAATGGGTTATGTACGTAGCATAAATTGATAAAATAATATGAATATATTGAATGCCTATATACTCAGGGTATCTTTTATAAAACCCGATCCCGAAACCAAATCCTTCTCAAACCCCAATACCAGATCCCCTGAATGAATGTCCCCATATTTATTACTCCAATCCCAGTAGCCAATTTCATAGCTAGCCCAATAAAGCAGGTAAGACCCCCCAAAAACACCGGATGATATCGGCCGGAATTAAAAATTTTCGACATACTGTCAGCGAATCCGTATCATGCCATACCAGAAGCGATCATAAAGAACTTTCATCGCCGTTAAGAGGCTGCGCGTGGTTGTTAGACGGCAGTGGGGCGGTATCAGACCCACTCTGGTGATGAGAATTGACCTGTTCAGGCATAGTTTCGACTATTTCCTCTGAAACTGTGGAGGCGGTCGAACTAGCTTGATCTCCATCATCATTAACAGATTGGCTAGTATGAGAACGGCTCACATGCTCGTTGATCAAAGCCGCTGAATCTGGGTCGTATCGGAGAACGTAGTTTCCATTTCCGTTCTCAAGATTCAAATCACTCCATGGAGCAGAGGCCTGCGGTTGTGAAGGGATGATTCTGACAGGTAGGTCAGAGCGGCCAGGTCGTGTTTCATGAGATGCAGACTGCTCTAGAAGCCTATTCTGAGGTAACCACGTGTGTTGACCACGCCGGCGAGCCGGGATTACAGTGACGGGTAAAGTCGTATCGCCATTGTAAGACCCTGAACCGGATACACCTCGGTGGAACGGGAGGAATTTATTGTAGCTTCTCGGCTGGATAATATATTGCTTATGTTCATACTCATGCTCATACTCACCACCATCCAGAGGCATGTCAGACTCATCATGATGTTCTGCGAGCTCATCACCAGCTTGGGCAGAGGCAACTTCCTTGGGTAGAGATGCGCGTCGTGGCCTGAAAGAGTTGAATAGAGTTCGCCAGCGAGGATCAGCCTGGGCGATTTGTGGTGACTGTTCACTGGGATCTGATGTGAAAAGTCTGTGTTCCGTGACATTAGAAAGTTTTCGACCATCGATCTCGATCTCCTTTGGCTCCTCCATTTCATCCTCCTCTTCCATTTGCGGCATCACCACAGGGGGCGTAGGGCTGGCGACGGGGTGATATCGAACGTTATAAACAGTGCTTGCAGCACTATTAGTGTCAGTTCGACTGACTGGGGTGGTTGTAGCAGTCGGAGGAGTGACATAGCGAGCCGCAGCGGCACTTTTTGTGTTTTGTCCCGTAACCCCTGCGCCACGATTCCGACTAAGCGGAATGCCAACTCTGGTCCTTCGAGGACGATGGGCAAGATTCATGACACCACCCCATCCCGAAGACGCACCACCTGTACCCCCTTTACTATCTCCACTGGAGTAGCGCGGCCAGTCAACTTCCTCTGACGGAGTGACATCAAGCATTTCATCGCCATCGAAGACTTCTCGCCCCAAAATGCCATCTTTATTTTCATCACGCTCGAGAGCTTCTATGCGTTCCACCCATTCCCATACCACCACACTCGCTGCAGCCGAGCCGACCCATCTGATATAGGTACCCCAGCCAGCGATCTCCGGTCGTGCAATATCCATAACGAAAAACACAACCGGAATCAAGACTGCTACTAGTGATAATAGAGCCACGAAACAGATGTTGCGCATCTTCGGGTGGAAAAAGGCATAGCGGTGCTTTGAAATTGAGTAAAAAATAACCCATGCAGCATAGAGCAGGTTGAGGGCCAATTCAAACAGATAGCTCAGAGCTGGGATCGCGTCGTTATAGGATCTCGGCCTTGTGGACGTATTTCTGTAAAAGAAATTCTCCAAGATACTGAACGTCGTATCCAGCACAATAAGTGCGAATCCAGCCCATTTGATCATAACTTTCTCCTTGTGCCGCGGAAACAGTCGAATCAGCGTCTGAACCTGCGCCAACCAAAGAAAAGTGCTCGAAATGACGCGGACAATCCTGATCTCCAGCCCGTCAATAACTTGTTGTGAGAGAGTTTCGGCATCCGAGTATCCGAATAAGAATTGAGACTCTGCGACTTTGAAAGAGTCAAAGGTCGCGATAGTCAATGCGATCGCAACCAGACACGCGGCCACCACCTGAAGCCAGGGCCGACCACCAACTCCAATAACGGAAGAATTCCCGCCGTATGAACCACTCATCATCCCATGTCGACCCAAGAAATTTGCTCCACCACCAGGGCCACCAACATAGAAAGTTCGAGGAGTGATGAGGAGAATAATGACGAGGACATAGCTGATGACTGTTGCGCAGCCGATGGTGAATAATTGAGGGGCCACAGAGGAATAGAACGGGTCGCGGGTGTCGAGTACGGGCGAGACATGATTGAAAGATTCAGGGTCACCGGTGCAGATGGGTTCATAGATGGCATTTCCCGTGAGACTCAAAGCGTATGATTGATTCACATGAATAATTCCTGCAACGAGCCGCAAAGTCCGGGATTAGTACGAGGAGGTATGAGTAGCCGGAAAGTTGCATTGGACACACCATTACTGGGTAAGACGAATGGCGTGCACCCTGAAGTATATGTTATGGCAGTGGTGGAAGTCGGGTCCGCCCAAATCTGGCGAGGAGTTATTCGAGTGGCATCTACCATGGTCGAGCGCTCCCAGCGGCTGGAGTTGCCGGCTGCAGTTCATAGAGACAATCCACCGATACTATTAGATCGGTCGTAGCGCACACGACAGGGTATAAAGGGCTTTAGATGGCCATTTCCAGATCACTTCTAGCGTGCAAGTACTCTTAGTGTTGGTACTTAAGTATTTCTCGAAGGGGGTTGATATAGGGGCAGGTCCAGAGGGCACTGGAGCGACGGGGGTTGAAGGAATTAAAGTCACCAAGTCTGGAGTGGGCGGGTCGAGATCATCCGTCACCCGGTCCACACATCATTCGGCGTTTCCCCCACAGTCTTTCTTCACTACTTGCGTCCTTTACTTTCCTTCTTTGTTCTAAATTTTCCAAGGTATGTATAGATTTGTATGATAATGATACCTCGTAGTGCACAAGTGATAACAGTAATGGTAGATCTCCATTTCAAGATCCCCGAGGTCTCTAGAACACAGTCAGCACTTAAAAAGTCTACCCAAGTACAACTCCAGGAGCAAAAGCTTCCGCCCATATTCATAATATATTATATAATTTATGTATCGCACTTTTCGTCATATACATCCATTTGATCCTATAAATCCAACTGGGCATTCACAGACAGACCTCGGGAACTGACTGGTACTAGAACCGGCACATGGAGTAAACACCAGTACAAGTACCTGGCTTTTACCTTCACCGACTCAAATATACCAAGCTCAATCAATTTAAGCTTGGGCAGCAAAGCCAAGGCTAGGGCCATTGGAGTCAAAGACAACATACTGGCTCTTGAGGAAGATATCGCCGAAGATGGAGAAACCAATGCCGGAGTTGCCCTGAATGCCACCGTAGCAGGTAGAGCTACCATCAGTGACAGTGGAGTAGTTAATATGGGCACCAGGGACAACGGCATCGTAGCTACCAATCACGACAGTGAAATCAGGCAGTTTGGTAGAGCAGGGGAAAGTGTAGCCACCGGCGTTAGAATCACCCTTAGAGCCATTGACATTCTCATAGTAGGCGGAGACAACATCATCAGGCAGAAGAAGTAGAGTGGTACCGGTGTCAGCAATACCCTGAATGGAACCACCAGTAGTGGTGCCAACCTTGTAGCCATCGGCAGTGAACCCCCAGTAACCTTCGGCGCTGTCGACATCGGTGTAGGTCAGAGAGCCGGTGTACTTAGAGCTGTCGATGTAGCCAAAGTCGTAGGTGCCAGGGGCATTGTGCTTTAAGCTTACAGTAAATAAGGGCGAGTCAAGCTGCGACTTGACAGTGTCGAAAAAGGTGGTCTGTGTCAGAGGTTGCACGGTGTTGATCGTACTAAAGGCTAGTCCTAGCAGACCGTCGTTGTGCTGGTCCTGAGTGAACTGCGTACTGATCTTTTTGGCGGCCTCGACAGCTTGGCCCGTGGTAGTGACTCCGCCAACGGTGACGGTATCGCTGTAGACATTTCCGCTAGCGGAACTACCATCACCATACGAAATCGACCAGGTATAGTTCGAAAGCTGGGTGGCACTGGAGCCAGGTGTATAGATGCTGTGGCCTGTTTGTTCATTTTTGGGTAAGTCTGAGGAGAAAACCCAACTATATAATGTCAGACTTTAGAGCTTGTTCCATGTCACAAAGGTATCTTATTCTTACAGATCGGCTGAGCCGGTATCAAAGTCCAGGTTCAGAGTGCTTCCACCGATGGTGACAGGAGTCAGGTACTCTATGTCATCGACCTCGGGAGTGGTAACAGCAGTACCATTCGCAGCGGCGGCAAGAATATTTGAGGGTACGACAGCACCAAACTTCGAGAGAGCACTGGCATAAATTCTCGGTAGATTGATGGTACGAGTCTTCGTACCGGCAGGTTTAGCAACCTGGCTGACACTGAAGCCCTTGCGGGTATTGGCAGTCGGCATAGCTGAGGAGATATAGGCTAAAACAGCTACAGCGGCTGCTAATTTGCTGAAAACAACCATTTTGAATGTACAAGGAATTGGATTTCCCAGGAGAATGGTGTGAGATGAAACCACTTGATAGATTTAACATATCGGAGACAAAGGCAGCTTTATAGACTTTCTCGGAGCTTCGCCATCTTCAGAAGATTGAGACAAAGAAAGCTTAAGAACGGCACATATCGCATTGAATAAGGAGGGTTGTCTCTTCTGGGAAGCTGGCGATGTAGATCGAGCTAACATGCAGGACCTCCGAGGCACCAACCTCGTGATCATCACGGAGTCTATCGGCCAGCCAGAAAGCCAAAGCTGACTGCGTCGGATCAGAACCCATGACAGTGAGGGAAATTCAAGATACAATGGAACCTAATTCCACGAAGGTGGGCAAGATGGATCTACTGGCACCAAGGCTCCTGGACAAGCATAGAAGTGGGGACTTTTTAGGGTGCGACAAGAGATAGGCTCGGAGCTTGATCACAACAAGCTACGCGAGTCCCAGGATGCCATAAAGTCCGTATACGATTATGATTAGCTTGGACCTTTGAAGCTGGCCCGTTTGGTATAAGGCTGGTTGTCCACACAGATGTCATTGATAATAGAGACCCGTGAAAGGACTTAATTCCATGGGATAAAGAATGAAATTGAATTGTTTTGAGGGCAAGCTCGTTATGCGCATAGTAAATGACACCAATAGAGCTTGACGAGTGGCTCATGTCAACTCCGGGCTTTATTATCACAAAGCACATTTCCACAAAGCACCCAATTACTGCACGAGACAGATATTTGTATACTTGGCCACGGTCAAGGTAGTATCCAGATTAGAAGAGAGTTCACAAGCTAATCTGGAGACTCTGATTCTCATTGGTGAAGTTGGTAAAGTTAGGAATGAAAGAAGTGCCTAGGTAAAGCAGGGATCCGATTGGCTTCTTCATAGTCCCTGGACTTTAATATCATCCGACGAGACTCCGCGACTGGACCCTTGGATTGAAAGCACATGGATTGAACCCTGTAATAGTAGGCCACGGGTTAGGTAAAGACCCGTGGACCTTATTAAATTCGGGAAAGATCGATCATCGATGTAACCTGTAGTCTTTGTCTACCCTTGTCTCATGCTGAAGATCCCTTGAGGCAATCTTCCTTAAAGACTTCCGCAGTAGCCTTATATATTTAAAGAATGAAGATCATTTTCCTGGGCTGATTCGATCAATACAGGCGAGCCCTGAAGGTCTGATTCCAAGGCTTATAAACATCTGGTCTAAGATACTAACAGATAACCTTGGTAGCATCAAACTAAGTTATTTTCTGGAACTACCATCACCGACACGAATGATAGATCAAATTCCTGATTTCAGATTCTGAAATCCGGAATCAAATTCATGCAACCTCAGGGCCTCAGTCTTCAAAAATTATAACTAATCAGAGTCCTTTCGGGTCCGAATAACGATTTGACTTCTCACCGCCTTCGTTATCTCCTCCGATATTAGTAATCAGCCTTAGCCAAACAGAACCAGAAGGCTTAATAGCTTCTAAGGACTTCAGGAATAAACAGAAAATTCCCCGATACCCACTATTCTCAGAGGAAAATCAGCAGGAACCGTTACACGATTACATGTATTGAATTTTCTGCCGGTTTTTTATAATCATCCAATATCGCGCCTGACCAAATTAGCCAACAGATATTAGCTCACCGACACCTCGATGATCTACTGAACTGACAGGGACTATCAGCTTCCATAATTTCTCTTCATTATCTAGATATTCTCTGTAAATATATTTGGGACACCATTAGTAAAGCTATCCACTCAAAATCAAGATAATAAGCACTGGAGATTCCATCTAGGCATGGATATCTTTTTACAAGTATCAAACCCATGGACCCTGTCTGTCTTCCAGGGTTAGTTAGATAGATCCTGAAACATTCACAAATGTCCAAACTAATTCTCTATTTTCATATATGTTTACGGTGCGCGCTATACTACCACGACCTACATCCCCGGGCCAGCGATGGCAAAATAATAGTGCTCATCTGAATCCAATCGGAGTATTCCATAGTCAAGAAAAGGGGGCCCGGATTTCCATTTGCGTCTCAGTCAGAATCTTAGAAGCTTACTTCCCGAGATCTCAGTGACGTATTCATAAGATATCCAGAAACTGTTTCTTGTGCTGAGGTATTTGCCGACGTAGTCACGCTACAGATAAGAGAAAATAGGTGAGAAAGGGCAGGATAGAGTATATTTTGTCCCAGCCAGTTTACACAGAGTAAACCGGCGAATAACTAACCCAAAAGACGCCGACTGAACATCCCGCAGGGGTATCTGAATAATACGGGCAAAGAATGCAAATAAAAAGAGAAGGGGGAAAAAACAAAGAAAAGCTGCATCATAAATAATCAGGGTTCACCCCCAAGGCAAAATCCGTAAGTCTGTTTCAGGGCCGTCGAGGCGGATATTGCGAGTTCAGTCCTCCGGATTCACCATCGCCGAGATTTCCGTCGTAGCCTTCGTTAAGTAGAACCTCTAGCATGTCAAACTCGCCTAGCATCGGCCCAGTACCGCCTAGACCGTGGTCAACGACTCCAGTAGAACTGTTGAAAAATTGGTCTAGCGGAAGGGCAAACCAATCCGGTAGTGCTCCGGTGGATGAATTTGTCCCGTTGTTGTCACTGACTGCCTGGGAGGACATGACGTGCGCTGAGGCGGACCGATCGAGGTCATTCTGAGGGATGCTTGTATTGGAATCGTAATAATTGTAATACACTGATGGGGGAGGCGGCATGAAGGATACATTCATGTTTGAAGAGTTAATCGTCTGGGCAGGAATGTTGGCCAGCGGGTCATGAGCTGATCCAAGCGGATTTCCACTGGTGCCACTTGTGTCTACGTATTCCGCGCCGTTTCCGTTAGTACCTGCGTCCTGGGACCAGGCTGTTTGGAAGCCCTCACGTCGACCCGAAACGCTCTCACGCGGCGGGGAAAGACCTCGTAAAACTGGGGCTGAGTTCTGTCCGTCACCATCCACGCCTCGGTCATGTGGAGCGAAGCGTAAGAAGCGGGTACGGATGCTGCTAGTGAGTAGCTCAAGCAAGCGAGCAACGGTGTTACTGATGTGGACATCATCAACGACATAGGTCTGAAGTGCCTCTACAGTGCGGTCTTGAAGATCCAATGAGACTCGCACGTCGTCTTCACGAGCACCCAAAGTGAACGTCTATAAAAATAGTCAGCATATTTACGGCAATTATTGTTTGGAACAAGACTCACTTTTAAGATAAATATCATGCCAGACAAAATACGGAAGAACGTTCGGATCGGTGCATGCTTGAGACGACCTCCAGGAACAAGTCCTTCTAAGACGACCTGCAGGATTCGGCGCGAGGAGTCCACTACTTCCTGAATGTATTGCTCGTTGACACGATATAACTCCATCAATGTAAGGAACCAGCCATTGCTACCAGCTGATGGTCCCGAATTAGATCCACTAATTTGGGATTGCTCATTCGACATGGTCGTCCAGCGGTCAACAACAGCCTGAAGAGCGAGAGAGTTGACATATAACCCTGTTCCATAATTAGTACATGGACATTGAATAAGAGACCTGGGTGACTGACTTGTGTACTCATACTCAATCATCAGTATACTTCGCATAGCCGGTGTAACTGTGTCATGTTTAGTATAATAATGGCGCATGTAGTAGAGAGCAGCTCACGATTGACACGATCCAATTGCTGTCGGAACGCCCGGAGTTGAGGTTGGAACCAATCGATCTGCTCGCGGTACCTCCCACTCCTGATTAATTCCGAAGTCTGTTCACTTGATGCAAACAGCTGATGATTGGCCTGATACACAATTTTGGAAATTCCCATCCAGCAGTCCTGCATCTGATCTAGATCTGAATCGCCATCACTCGCATCAGCAGTAGTCGGCTGCATATCTTGGCCCCACTCAGGCAAAGGAAGCATCGAAGGAATTCCTAGCCGCCCACTGCTGTGAGTAATAAATACAAGAATCAGCCGGCGCAATCTATGCTTCCGCGCTTGTTCGGGAGACGTATCGGGTGCTACTTTTGACTCGGTTTTGTAGTCGAAAACACCAAGCTCAAATGCCAAAGCCTGTGCCGTGCTCAACAACATCCACGACATTCGATCTGAGCGCCAGGCAGGTTCTAACCACTTCTGGAAAGCAAGCCTTCCTTCCTGGGACGTGCTCCTGCTACCCGTTTGATCGTCATTATCCGCATCCTTGTCGTTGCGGTTTTGCGACTGCGCCTCAGTGTCGAGTAATGTGTTTTCATCATCGCCCGGAGGAAAGTGAAGATTTCGTGGATGCCAGTCCGTCAGAATCAACAAAGCCTCTACAGTGCCCAGTGCTCTCAGATTACCTTTAACATTGGGCCTGCTTGATGTTGGGGCAAGATCCAGAGCTTTTGGTTTACCAATGCCTGGGCCTCCGGCATCGAACTTTTCTTGACCCCAAAAAAGACGTTCGATCATACCGCGCAAGTATGACCACAGACGGTCGTGTATGTAAAAGGCTCGCGTACTTGCTCCATCACCTTTAGGCTTCAGATGCCGCGACGCAATGGTAAGAATGGTAACGGCCAGCACCGGTTCATCAGTGAGCAGAGTGCGATGAGTAGAAGGTTCAGAGTAATCAGGGGTTACTACAGGACTCATCGGTGAGAGGTTCTTGTAGTAATACGCCACATACTCCATTCCTTCTGCCACCGTCATCCATCCGGCACGGACGAATCGCAACCGTGACCATGCCTTCAAGGCATCAGCGTAACCAGGGTCTTCGGCATTGGCTGAACCTTCTCGGGGCCCAATATCATCTGAAATCTGAGGATCTACGATACCCGAGCCAGCAGCTTGATAGAAGCCATTTCCACCAGATATACCCGATCGAGGAGTCCGCGAAAAAGACCCGTTCCCGGGAGAACTTATGTTGGCCAAGGGTGAAGGGCCAGAATTAAAGGAAGAAACCGATTGTCTGGCAGCGAACCTGTTCAGATCCTCCGTCCTTCCAGCGGCTTCAGAAAGTAGATGAAGAGCATCGTGAGAATTAGTGATTGCAGGCGATAACAGTTCTACTGCCGTTCTGTTCATCATTGGGGGTCCCGCGTATACAGATTTCGCATTTCGATCGCCGGCCGGATATGTTTGCAGTCGGTTATTTCTGGACTCGAGAAAATGTCTAGCAGGTGCTGTTATCGGGGCACTTGGTGTGTATCTTGGAGCAGCAGTGGCGGTGGCAACAGGAGCTGCTGTAGCTGAAGCATCAGACCATCTCTGACGAGGGCGAAAAGAATCTATATCAAATGAAGCCTCATGCTGAAGAAACGGGGATGGATCATTTTTAGGTTCTTTTTTCGCTTCAGCCTCTCCGATCATCATACGCTTATCGCGACGGAGAATATCCACTTCCTCCTCCTCCTCCGCGGCCTCGGAGGCCCTGCGTTTGCGACGGGTAGATGAAAATTCGCATCTTTTACTTTCACGGCGACAGCGCACACAAGGTGGGGGTCGAGGGTTATCGACACCTGAAGATGTTAACGTGATTGATCGGGACATATAAGGATGATCATACTGCCTAAATCGCACTTGACCTTACGCTTGCGACAAGGGTCGCATGCTTGATAGCCGCGTCGATGTTGCGGGGTTGGCGACAGTGTACCGGAATCATTCCCCGCACTATTGGCTTCCTGTACCATGCTAGGCTAGAATGGTAGTGACCTGGAATAGTGGATGCTGGGGAAGCCGATGCAAAGCGAAGATAAGCTGGAAGGCGGTGAGGGTGATCGAAGGACCGTTTGGCGGCGGAGAAAACGAGTAGCATAGAGGCTGGAACTTGAGGGAAATGGAAGAAAAACAGAATAAAATTGTAAAATTCCCATCAGTCATGAATGGTGATATGGGGGTGTAATACTAAATAGAAATACTTATTGTCAGGTCAACTGGCAGAACTGTGTATAAAAATCAAACTTTGCGGGGTAACAATAAGAGTAAGAGTTGCATTATCAACGGATGCAGAGGCAGTAATCACCTGGGCAGTATTTCAAGGTATTTCAAGAAGAAGTCTGCACACCTGAGCAAGTGCTTTAATATTTATGGTTCAGTAGTATCCTGATCAAGAGAGTCAACTTGCCCGCTTATGCCCAAGGTCCTCATCTATATACATCTCCATAGATTCATATATTACCTAATGATGGTTGGATAGATAATAGATAGAAAGATAAATGATAAATAATGAATCATTAAAGAAAGGTCATTCTTGAATATCATTCAAGCAACTCGAGACGACAGAGACCTGTTCACCGTCGCGTTTGGTCCATGGTCCAGGCCAAGACCAAGGCCACCATTCATCCGAAGTAAATCATAAGCCTTGCGCGACTGAAACAGTTCACCAGAGACAGCGCTGTCTGCACTACTGCGCCGGGACAAGCTAGGTGCTAGTCTTTCTGCAAGGCCTCGAATGCCAGCCTTCCGAGCAGGAATTTCTGTTGTACCTGCAGTCAAAATGTACAGAAGGTATTTGAGGTTGGGGAGAGTGTGACGGATATCCAATCCGTGAATTCCACACTTGTTAAGTAGGAATTCAATATCCTTATTCAATAGAAACACGCCGTACTCAAATCGGTACTGGACGCTAACTGGGTAAAGAGGGAAAGTGCGTTGCGGCAAACCTTGCGATATAGGGTCTTGGATCAAGGACGTTGACTGGCTGGGATTGATTGGGTAAGGAATTGTCACTGATAGATAAAACGAAAGCAGGTACACCAAGTGTGCAGTGTATCCTAGTGCTGCAGCAACCTTCTCTCGGTCAATGTCGTCGAAGTTGGAATTCGGGAGTGATAACCCGACAATGGTGAAAGCCAGTGGCTTTTCGGGAATTGGTTCAATGGGATAGATAACCATAAGATCCTCGGCAATGCGCCCAACCTGGCCCTTTTGATCTTCTGAGTTCTTCTGAAGCAACTTTTCGCAAAACACCAGCTTCTCCTGGGCCTGTGGAAGATGGCCCCGGGCTATATCTTGGATGTTGCGCCCTCTCTCCATAGCCTCTTTCCGAGCCTTGATGCTAGCAATGAGATCATCTTTGTGTTTTGTTGTGACTCGGAGTTGCTTCCGCTCCGCAGCAACGGCATGCTTGATTGACGAAAGGCGATCTTGTGTCTTTGCGGCATTGCTTTCAGTTGTCAAAGCTCCCTCATTTTTCTTGAGAATAACTTCGATCTGCGCTTCCAGTTTTTCCCGAGTAGCTAACGCATCTTGAATGCACTCGTCCAAATTCGCCAGCCGCATCAAGGCATCATAAGAGGAAGTAGGAAGCACAGTTCCATCGACATTGGCTCGTTGTCCGGTACCATTGATTGAAGCTTCCATTGATGGTATATCGGTGAGATTGGTATACACACCATCTGAGAAATGGAAAAGAATAGAGTTAGGAGGCAACGGCTGGTGAAAGTTCTCAAGTGTCTTCTCGAGGAACTGCAAAGACCGCAGGTGCAGCTGCAACTCGACGAGAAGCACATAATCAGACATAGCCTCTGTCCTAGCCCAAAGCTTGAGGGTCAATGTGTCACGACGAGAGACGACAGGGCCGCATAAATTAAGATCGAAAGACTGGAAGCTAGGATTGGTCGATTGATCAATCACCTCGCTGACATATACTGGGTTGTCAATACCTTCGCAATGAAGCGAGAACCAAGAATCCGCCATGCGACTTTTCATGATGCCTTCAAGATTGATCTGTCGCTTCTGGGGATTGGGATCGTTCCAAGGAAGTGAGCTACGCCGACGGGGTAGTGGGGAGCCATTTCTCGTTTCTGCAGGCAGATCCTGCAATGAACGCGACTTAAGGTCTGTAAATGATCGCGAGGGATGTAAAGAACGGCTATCTCGTTGCGCAAAAATCTTGGAAGGTGAATTGGCATTGGGAATATCGTGATCATCAATAGTTTTACCACGAGCTCGGCTTGACGGTGGAGTGGCGATCAAGTTTCGTATCGAGACTCCATGGAGGTGCCGAAGCTTACGATTCTGTTGATTGTTTAGTGTAAACATACAAAATCTAGTCTTGAAGGTGGAGAAGTCCGTACCGATGCATATAGCCACGCCCGCTCTCTTCGAGAGCCTGCGTCATGCTGTACATCCGCCACGACCTCCATAGCGCCGTCGATAGCGTCAGGACAATATTTGAAGATTAAAATCTGCCCAAGGAATTGAGAAGTGAATTCATCGTTGGTGAGACGAAGAGGAAAATACCTTTCAGGACAAGGGTCAGGTTGGAGAATGGTAAGGTGATGCGGAGAGCAGACAAAATGCCAAGACCAAGGCTTAACCCCCATCAAAAAATCCACCTCCGTCTTCACTTCCCGTCAAACACCGGCCTTCAACCTCACCCCCCATCTGAACGCGCCTTCCTCCCGGATTACGACATTGTGCTGGCTCCGAGAGCCTTGCACATAATATCTGGCCGCAATGGCCTCCACAAATGCGGCGGCTAAGCCGATGCAGAAGATTCTAGACCCTACCAAACTCGCCGGCTTGAAGAGTTTTGTACGAAAGCCGATAATTGACCCAAAAAAGCCAATTCAAGGAAAAGTACGAGAGACAAATTCCAATGCGTTCAAGGAGTACGCAGCACGCGAAGCTGTGCGGTTGCAAAAGGCCCTTAATTCGGCGCAGCACGGCAAACACATCTTCGTCTACCACAATGTTCGAACAAAACAGGTCGTGTACTCGCTGACACGGTATTTGGAGGTGAGATGCCCTTTAATTGGAAGCAAGAGATCCATTGCCTGTCTCATGCGTCAATGCAATGCTTTTGGATTCTCCCACGATTGCGACATATTGATTAACCGCTTCGACTTGTAGGAAAACAACATGCTGCGTCAAATGGTTTTCCACGGCAAGAAGACTGTCCCCGCCCAGCTTCGCAGAGACATGTGGGCACCATTCTATTCCGTCCATTTTAGTGACCCCCGACTAGGCCTTCGCGCCTACCAGCTTCTTCGCGAGTTCTCCTTGCAGCGCCAGCTCTCTCCACCACAAGAAATGATAACCGTAACCAAAGAATTCCTCGCCCTGAAGCGACCGAAGGATCCTGCGCAAGCGGAGGATTTCGACAAGATGCATAATACAAGAATCGGAGTGTCAATGACGAAGAAGGAACGTGCCCGTACTCTGATGGACCAGAAGGCCACCTCTGTTGCCGACATTGCTGCCGTTCTGGCCATCCAGGAAGAGGATATCGCGAATGGCTTTTTGAGTGAGGATCGCAAGCGCGGAAAGCTGACCCGCAAGGCGGCTAAGCGTCGTCGTGATGCTGCAGCCTATCAAGCCGTCAAGCACGAGGAGTATGCCAATCGGATTGCTGCTCTGGAGGCTAATTTGAGTGAGAAATCTGGAGTGGAAGTCAAGATTGGTACGAAGAGCGGCGAGTTCCCTGAGACTGCAGACTCCGTGAAACTTCTCTGGCGGGACATTCACGACGCACACTTTGCCGAGAAGTGGCCTATCAGCGCTGTGCACGGTGAACTAGAGATCACTCGTGGCGACATGATTGGTAGCGAGAAGAATTTCGTTGAGCAATTCCCAGAAACTGAGGAGGAGCTTGATGCCAAGAACAAGGAGTAAGGTTCATCGCTAATCCCTTTCACCTTGGTCATTATTTTCATCCTCTCTGTTCTGGGGGTCTCATTATGATACGGATTTGGATACTTTTCCCGATGTCCCTCTATCAATTTGATCTTTGACGATGTGGTGATGTTGTATTTCTTTATTTATCTTGTCCAGCTATTTATAGGACTGGCTACTGCATAAATTGTATTTTTAGACATTTACAGTCACTATAGTGATGAACACAGGTGTTCCAAAAGCCATCTACTTCAAGATACAACACTCGAGTATATTTTGCAGTCAAATTTTTAAAGAGAAAGCCTGAGTTTCTCTACACAGCTAGGCAGGTAGCCCTGGTGGTAGTATAAATGATGAAATTACCAACCAATGAACATTGAACTACACTGCCTATATTGACCAATTGCTCCCAAGGCTCAGACGAAACAGCTTCCTTCCCCACTCGCTTTCCATCCAACGAGAACATCCAGAAATCCTCGTCCCGCTTCAGCATATCCATATTCGTATTATTTTCAAGCGCCTGTTTGACACCAAAAAGCCCGAAGTAAGACAACAAGTCAAGACAGCCATGCACAGGTCAATAATGTTATTTCCATCTAACTCAAATCTGGAATCTTCAGCATAATCAGCCATGGCGGCATAAACGAGTCTGATCAAAAGGAAAGCTGCAGCGGTTGCGATGAAAAAGTGCACTCAAATGAAAATATTTCAACTTTCCGACCTTCTATTACTAAATTAGTAACCATAAACCAGAGATATAACATTACTACTATTATAAAGGCCAAAGCAAGTTCAAGAAGGGTTTTTGTCTAAATCTGGCTTAAAATCTGGTTTAAAATCTTTTCGTATGCCTCTAAGACCTCTAAAGGTAGCTCAGAGAGAAGTTTTTCTATAGCTGACGGTTGGCTATACTCACTTGGACTATCCTCAATGATACTGAATGTAGGGTGTAGCCAAAGATGTGTGCGTTTTTTTATCCTCTTGAGCTGGTCTGAAATAGTTTGATTGTCGCTCTCTCAGAAATCACGGGTGAGACTTCGCAGTTTAGAATCAATCACCAGATTTATATCGTTGCTGATGTCGGTAGATTTTTCATATCTCCATCAAAACACCAACTTGTTTTATCAGGGAAATCCTAGAACAATTTCTCTACTTCATCATAATGGCGACTGGTGATGAGGAATTTCACCTTCAAATCTGAAAGTTGAAGTTCAAAGAGCTTGTCTTTCAATTGATCCCTGCTATTCTTATTGCACTCATTAAGGGCATCAGGACACCAATGGCTGATACTCGGCCCCCATCGCCAGTCTTGAAGAAGAAATAGCAAAACTTTGATGTCGTGACATTAGTAGAAAGCCGGTTCTCATCAATAAGAGCGCGTGATAATACCAATTTTCCATATCCAGGGCTAGCGGAAATCAACAGAAGGCTCGAGTGATCACTATCACGCCACCTCCGAAGGACATCACCTTAGAGAACCATTCACATGTACCTGGGACTCGTTTTAGGTTATAATCCTTGCCACCTTCATAATCGGAAGCAAGTGCTTGAAGGGGATCTCTCTCTGTCTGATCTTCATAATTCTTCTGCTTTCAAAACATCGAAAATATGACCAAGAGTTTTCTGAGACTTATTAATTGCCTATAGCTGACGATCTCGGTGAACGCGAATCTCTCTCACTTCATCTTGATGGAAAAACTTTTCACAAACTGCGCTCGATTCTACACTTTTTGATACTATATCATCCTAATTGCTTCCATCGACCACGTTCTTCCATGCACAAGAGATTTGTGCACTCGAAGGGTGACAGATGGCACGTGCTTGGTATTCGATGATATAAGAGTAGAGCTTAGCAAGAGGGTTGATAAGGCCTGAACGCTTTGCCTTGTTCTAAAGCTGCAAGTATATTCTCTCGCATTCCTTCTAGTAGACTTGAATTTGATTGATCGAATTGAACCCTTCGAGCATCGCGAGATTACTAGTGGTACTGCCTATGAGTAGCTATCTGTGTCAGCGTGATGTAACCAATATGGGGCTGCTTTGACCTACGGGTATAAGCAACTCAACACCAGCCCATGCCAGTGCTGCATATGGCTAACTGCTGACAGCAGGTTCCACGACTGGTTCAGCCCAAAGGACAAACTTGACCAGTTTTCGGCTTGCTCTCGTATCGTAACCTCGTTTCCCATAATTGAGTTTTTCCACTGCTTCTGTTCTCAGTCTTCCAGCAACTTTTTGATCACCAGCCTAACTGACCCTTGATCGTGGATATTTATATTCACTGTGTCATTATGCTGCTCGGAGGTTAAGTGAGTCTGGTAGTTCTTCACTAGGCCTGGCTCTCGAGCCTGCAACAATTCATATGCTAAATTCCAGGTGTTAACGTCAGTAGTCGTAGGAGATGATGATGGACCATTTGTAACATTCTCCGGCTCCCGAGGAGACTGTACGTCGTTCGTCGTAGGGATGGAGGTTCGGGAAGATTTGACATGGAGGTGGCATGCTCAGGCTCTAAAATTTTATCAAAATTCCCAGCGGGATCATCTAGTGGCTGCGCAAAATTTCTAATAGTTGAAGTCCTAGAAGGATTACATGTCTGACCCTATAGTCGGAAGGATATGAGGACTATAGGCCTGTTCTCCACCAGGCTTCTTCTTTTTCCGCTCTACCACACGCTTTTCTTCATCTTTGTGAATATATTCATTTCCGGGAGTTTGGATTCCTGAATGAAGATTTCGGGGTGTGTTGGATACCAGAAAGAATGCTTTCCTAGGCAAGTGTCTCCTGTTGAGAAATTGAGAGTTTATTTTTGGTGCCCAAGAAAAAAGTACTCATAGCTTAGACAAGGGGAGGTCACCACATGCAGGTCAGTAGACCGTTTCAAACCACTGCGCTTAAAATAATGGCTAGAGCTAAGTATTATTATAATAAATATCTCATTCATTTTTTAGTAATTGCTAGAATACACTCACTTTCTCCACTTTTTCGGAACTTTTGATTGGTAGCTGAAACCATATCCCGTGGAGTATTATTCATTCCAGCAATCTGTATTTGGATCTCTAGCAAGTAAATCCCACGCACTGCTTATTTGACACAATGGAACTCCAGGGAAACCAGACATATAACACGTGGACTAGGCGCGGCGCGTCATATTATGCCACGTGAACTCATATCACGTGGTCTTCAGCCGCACCCCTCACGGCGACGAGGCAAGTACCTTGTGTGATGATTTTGCCTGTTCGCAGTAACTCTCTCGGCCCCTTTCCTTCTTGCTTCATAATGTCGTACAACATCTGGGCAGATATGGCTAAGATAGTCATCACAATGTCCATAGTCATCGTGGTCACTGCTCTCCTCGTCCGCCGGCGGCAGCCATTGGAGGGGCCAAAGCCTAAAAGGCTGACCTTTCGTGTCGATAACATCCCAATCGATGACACTAAAAAATTAGAACAAAATATAAAGGCCTTTGCCGAGCAGGACCCAGACTTGCGGAGCGCTGTTACTACCATAATTTGTCACCGTTTGACACCAAGGGACAAGTGCTTCGTCTGCGCCACAGTTTCTATTACCACTTCACTGTCTGGAGAGGTCCTTTGCGCCCGTCTAGACCGAATTAGCAAGGGTTACCAATATATATTTACATGCAGATTTGATGGAATCACACCACTCTACGAGGACGAGAGCGGAGCAGATGTCGAGTACGTGCCCACTTCTGCTGATCCAAGTTGTGCTCCGCGCTGTCCTTGCTCACTATTCTCTACAGCATCATTGCTATCCCAGGCCTAGGAAGCCACGCTCTTGGTTCTTGGAAATCTACAGACAGCGATGAAGTTTGGCTACGCGACTTCCTGCCAAAGGACCTGCCTAATATCCGAGTACTACTGTACGGTTATGATACAACATTATCAGGTAGCTTATCGAAGCAGTCTATCGAAGACCTCGGTGGTGCCTTACTAGAACTTATTACTGCCTTTCGAGCGAATGATGGTGTAAGTGGTCTCTACGATTTCTAGGCCTGGCTAATTTCTAATAGACTTCTAAACGTCCGATCGTCTTTATTGGCCACAGTCTCGGCGGCTTACTGATCAAAGAGGTAAGTTGTTCATCATCTATAGTATCACTACCATCTATATCACGGCTGACCAGCCATTCTAGCTACTTATTCGTGCCCGTCGAAGAAAAAGTACCGCGAACTCAGACCTGTCTCAAGCATGTTTTGGACTGCTTTTCTTCGGCGTGCCGAATCTGGGCCTTCGAAATGAACAGCTGAGGACGCTTGTCCAGGGCCAGCCAAATAAGGCATTAATTGACAACCTGCTCGTGGACAATGACTCAGAGCCTTCAACCTTCTTGAAGAGGCTTGCTGACCAGTTTTCTGAGAGTTGTAAGGACTATTACCATGTAGTCACGTTCTTCGAGCGCACCCTTAGTCCAACCTTGGAGGTAAGATACTTTATATATAAGGCATCTAGGACAGGCTAACACGCTTCATATAGCTTGCTCAAGATGGAAAGTGGAGCAAAACTGGCCGCCCATATTTACTAGTCACTGAAAAGTCAGCCACAAGCACAGGCTTAGTGGCAGTGATAGACGAGGACAACATTCCCCTTAACACAGATCACTCAGGCCTTGTGAAGTATAGCTCCCGGAGCCAAGGTGATTATTTCATTGTGAGGGAACGAATCAGAAGAATTGTTAGTGAGGCGAAGGCTGAAGTCGCCAAACGTTTCTCTAAGTATTGTGTGTCTCTATCTAAGATAAAGATGTCGGAAAAAGCTAATTATATAGTCTAGATCTATACCAACCTCTATCAGAGATAATGCAAGCATGCCTTAAGTCACTAGCTTTCGACGAGATGGAAAGCCGGCTGTTTGAGGTTGAAGACGCTACTGTTGGCACATGTAAATGGCTTCTTAGCCATAAAACTCTGCTACACTGGACTCGTCAACATCGAGGGTTACTCTGGATAAGGGGGAAACCAGGATCTGGAAAGTCAACGCTCATGAAATATGCTCTTCGAGAGACCCCTGCCATTTATAATGCAGATAATATGGTAATTTCCTTCTTTTTCCATGGACGCGGCCAGGAACTTCAAAAAACTCCGCTTGGGCTCTACCGGTCTCTTATACATCAGTTACTTAGGCGTGTACCAGGCGCACTTACTGATCTGATCGACTATTTTGAGGACCAGCGAAAGACAATTGGCGAGCCCGGAGATAAGTGGAAGTGGGAGTTACAGAAACTGCAATCTTTCTTAGAATCTTCGCTTACAAGAATTCTGAAGACGTTTTCAGTTACACTCTATATTGATGCGCTGGACGAGTGTGGCGAAGAACTTGCCGTTAAACTTATCAGTAACCTCAAGCATCTACATTCAAGTCTTCCATCAACGAATTATCGTTTTGGCATCTGCTTCTCCTGTCGTGAATACCCTATTCTCGATTTCAATGGAGGATCAACTATAGTGCTACATGAAGAAAATAATGCAGACATCGCTACTTTTATTAAAGAGTCCTTCTCTGCAAGCGATATAGATGCTGGAATACGAGAAAAGATTTCTCTTCGAGCGCAAGGAGTTTTTTTATGGGCACACTTAGTTGTTCAACGCTTATTAGGGATGAAGCGAAACAGGGAGCCGAGAGGCAGGATCGAGGCAGAAATCGACATGGTACCTCAAAGTTTAGATGCACTATATTCCCAGCTTATCCAGGGTATGAAAGATCGCCCAGACGCCTTAAAGCTGATACAGTGGATTTGTTTCTCCACGAGACCATTAACAACGGTTGAAATGCAATGGGCAATGGCAGTCAATGCCGACGGTACACAGAAGTCGCTCGAGGATTATTGCCAGTCGGATGACTTCATTTCCGACGATGATATCGATACGAGAATCAAGGTCCTAAGCTGGGGACTCGCAGAGACCGTCACCTCCACAAAAACTCGCATCGTTCAGTTCATCCACCAGTCCGTCAAGGACTTCTTCATTGAACGCGGGCTCCTGATTTTAGGTGAGACTAAAGAAATCGACTTAGTACGCCCTTATGCTCATTATCGGCTATCCCGTTCTTGCATCTTTTACCTCAGAATGGCTATATTCTCTCAGTCTGGGCCACCTGACTGGCAAAACAAGTCCAAGTTTCCTTTACTACACTATGCCACAACATCATGGATATCTCACGTAAAGTTGGGTGAGACAGCAGAAAAGAGTCCGGATGAGCTCCTGAGATGTCTAGGATGGCCGAACGAGTCATTGACTAGAGTCTGGGTAGAGATAAACAACTTAATGGAGCCCTTCTATCCGAGACAACATAAATGTGGAAGTAAATTTGTGCATATTTTGTCCAGATACGGCTTAACAGCATTACTCTCCTCTATTCTGCTTTATATAGGCAAGGACGATGTTGATATAAAGGATACAGAATATGACCGAACACCGCTGTCATGGGCTGCTCAGTACGGCCAGGATATCATTGTCAAGATGCTTCTTGAAACAGGCAAGGTCGATGTCGATGCGAAAGATTCAAATGGCCGAACACCACTGTCATGGGCTGCTAAGAACGGCCACGACAACGTTGTCAAGATGCTTCTTGAAACAGGCAAGGTCGATGTCGATGCGAAAGATTCGGATGGTCGAACACCACTTTTGTGGGCTACTGGGAACGGCCACGATAACGTTGTCAAGATGCTTCTTGAAACAGGCAAGGTCGATGTCGATGCGAAAGATTCGTATGGCCGAACACCGCTATCATGGGCTGCTAAGAACTGCCACGACAACGTTGTCAAGATGCTTCTTGAAACAGGCAAGGTCGATGTCGATGCGAAAGATTCGTATGGCCGAACACAGCTGTCATGGGCTGCTAAGAACGGCCACGACAACGTTGTCAAGATGCTTCTTGAAACAGGCAAGGTCGATGTCGATGCGAAAGATTCGTATGGCCGAACACTGCTATCATGGGCTGCTAATAACGGCCACGACAACGTTGTCAAGATGCTTCTTGAAACAGGCAAGGTCGATGTCGATGCGAAAGATTCGGATGGTCGAACACCACTTTTGTGGGCTACTGGGAACGGCCACGATAACGTTGTCAAGATGCTTCTTGAAACAGGCAAGGTCGATGTCGATGCGAAAGATTCGTATGGCCGAACACCGCTATCATGGGCTGCTAAGAACTGCCACGACAACGTTGTCAAGATGCTTCTTGAAACAGGCAAGGTCGATGTCGATGCGAAAGATTCGTATGGCCGAACACAGCTGTCATGGGCTGCTAAGAACGGCCACGACAACGTTGTCAAGATGCTTCTTGAAACAGGCAAGGTCGATGTCGATATAAGAGATATAGAATATGGCCGAACACCGCTGTCATGGGCTGCTAATAACGGCCACGACAACGTTGTCAAGATGCTTCTTGAAACAGGCAAGGTCGATGTCGATGCGAAAGATTCGGATGGTCGAACACCACTTTTGTGGGCTACTGAGAACGGCCACGATAACGTTGTCAAGATGCTTCTTGAAACAGGCAAGGTCGATGTCGATGCGAAAGATTCGTATGGCCGAACACCGCTATCATGGGCTGCTAAGAACTGCCACGACAACGTTGTCAAGATGCTTCTTGAAACAGGCAAGGTCGATGTCGATGCGAAAGATTCGTATGGCCGAACACTGCTGTCATGGGCTGCTAAGAACGGCCACGACAACGTTGTCAAGATGCTTCTTGAAACAGGCAAGGTCGATGTCGATATAAGAGATATAGAATATGGCCGAACACCGCTGTCATGGGCTGCTAAGAACGGCCACGACAACGTTATCAAGATGCTTCTTGAAACAGGCAAGGTCGATGTCGATGCGAAAGATTCAAATGGCCGAACACCACTGTCATGGGCTGCTAAGAACGGCCACGACAACGTTGTCAAGATGCTTCTTGAAACAGGCAAGGTCGATGTCGATGCGAAAGATTCGGATGGTCGAACACCACTTTTGTGGGCTACTGAGAACGGCCACGATAACGTTGTCAAGATGCTTCTTGAAACAGGCAAGGTCGATGTCGATGCGAAAGATTGGGATGGCCGAACACCGCTATCATGGGCTGCTCAGTACGGCCACAACAACGTTGTCAAGATGCTTCTTGAAACAGGCAAGGTCGATGTCGATATAAGAGATATAGAATATGGCCGAACACCGCTGTCATGGGCTGCTAAGAACGGCCACGACAACGTTATCAAGATGCTTCTTGAAACAGGCAAGGTCGATGTCGATGCGAAAAATTTGTATGGCCGAACACCGCTATCATGGGCTGCTCAGTACGGCCACAACAACGTTGTCAAGATGCTTTGTGAAACAGGCAAGGTCGATGTCGATGCGAAAGATTCGGATGGTCGAACACCACTTTTGTGGGCTACTGAGAACGGCCACGATAACGTTGTCAAGATGCTTCTTGAAACAGGCAAGGTCGATGTCGATGCGAAAGATTGGGATGGCCGAACACCGCTATCATGGGCTGCTCAGTACGGCCACAACAACGTTGTCAAGATGCTTCTTGAAACAGGCAAGGTCGATGTCGATATAAGAGATATAGAATATGGCCGAACACCGCTGTCATGGGCTGCTAAGAACGGCCACGACAACGTTATCAAGATGCTTCTTGAAACAGGCAAGGTCGATGTCGATGCGAAAAATTTGTATGGCCGAACACCGCTATCATGGGCTGCTCAGTACGGCCACAACAACGTTGTCAAGATGCTTTGTGAAACAGGCAAGGTCGATGTCGATGCGAAAGATTCGGATGGTCGAACACCACTTTTGTGGGCTACTGAGAACGGCCACGATAACGTTGTCAAGATGCTTCTTGAAACAGGCAAGGTCGATGTCGATGCGAAAGATTGGGATGGCCGAACACCGCTATCATGGGCTGCTCAGTACGGCCACAACAACGTTGTCAAGATGCTTCTTGAAACAGGCAAGGTCGATGTCGATATAAGAGATATAGAATATGGCCGAACACCGCTGTCATGGGCTGCTAAGAACGGCCACGACAACGTTATCAAGATGCTTCTTGAAACAGGCAAGGTCGATGTCGATGCGAAAAATTTGTATGGCCGAACACCGCTATCATGGGCTGCTCAGTACGGCCACAACAACGTTGTCAAGATGCTTTGTGAAACAGGCAAGGTCGATGTCGATATAAGAGATATAGAATATGGCCAAACACCGCTGTCATGGGCTGCTAAGAACGGCCACGACAACGTTGTCAAGATGCTTCTTGAAACAGGCAAGGTCGATGTCGATGCGAAAGATTCGGATGGTCGAACACCACTTTTGTGGGCTACTGAGAACGGCCACGATATCATTTTAAGACACTTCTTGAAACGGGCATAGTCGATGTAGATGCTTTTGATGAGAACAGCCATATCCTGCACCTCATAGAGAAGGGGGGACTAGCTACCCAAATTTCCTCCTCGGCGGCTTCATAACAATTCCAAGCTTTCATCGCGATCTATTTCCGTGCTAAACTAATTCAGAGCTTTCCTAGCTTTCATCGATCATTACATTAGTCCATTTCAACCTTGATCCTTTCTTAATAATCTGCGCTGGGTGTTTGACGACCCAAGTTGCGGGAAGTCTATGCTTCTAATAATATGAGTAGACTCCTCTCCTTCTAGGATCCACATAAATCAAATTAAGGACGAACAAACCTCAATGGTCATGAAAATTGAAAAGTTGGAACCTCTATCACTACGAATAGAATGGATGAGCGATCTCGTTCAAGCTGTTGCTTTTCTAGAATCACTTCATCTTGCTCATGGTGATCTTCGACCCAAAAATATTCTGCCTGATCGTAACAGATTAAAGTTGTCTGATTTTGAAGGTTGTATACCTCGTTATGGCAGAATCCTTGATACTAATGAGAGGGATGGAATGAGTGGAATATTTGGCTTTCTTGGTCCTCAAACAGAACAGTTTGCTCTAGGTTTCCTCTACTATTTGATAAATTATGGGGTTGAGGTTTATGGGGATCGATGTCTTACCGAAGACCCTAAAGAACACGGAGTCAGAATTTGGACCTTTTACAAAATAAAAAGAATTTCCCGAACTAGATGGTCATCCGTCAATAGATGTGAATGGCTCAATCTAATCTTATATTCAGAACTAGAAAGACACAAGCAGTGTACAAAAATCTTAAGGAACTTAAGAGGGTCAGCGTCGGTTTAGTTAATATACCTCTTCGGTTCGTTCATAGGTGACTCCAATCCGTTTGAAGGTAACTTCAGTCTGTCTTAAAATGAGGGAATTAATCCGTTTGAAATAAACCAGGATCATGGGCACCATGATCTGTTAGCAGGCATCGGCCTGTAACAATAGATTCTATTATCAACAACTGTTGGCACAATAGATTTATCAAGGTCGCAGATTTGGCCGCACAACACGAAAAAGCTTCTGAGCGAAAGAACTGGTGACGATGATAAAGGCAGTAATAAGAGAGAACGCAGAAAGGAGAGAACCGATACCGACACGGTTCCTCTCTTCGGATGGAATATGAGCCGCATGATTCAAGGATTGGTATATGGCCTCAAAAGCTTGTGGATGTTAGTCTCACAGAGTACGAACGATGAGGAAATGTGCCAGAGAATGACAATCTGTGAAGAACTAGAAAATCAAGGGCTTCTTCGCCTGCTTTCCTCAGGTGAACCTGAACAACTTGGATTTACTTTCGATTGGCATAGGCATAGTGACTGAGGGAAGTTGACTAAACAGCAGCTTCTTGATATTATAAAAGTTCTGAAAGTTCTGTGACGACTTGTCTAAAGCTCGATCTACGGAACGCTGTTTTATGCGCAAAAACGCGTTCTCTTGCCATCCCGAGACCGAGCTACTCCGTCAACGCATTTCTTTCTATTCCTTGCCTAGATTTTAAATTTCCTTTTTTGTCTATATTTTCCATATTTTGCGCAGTATTTTATACTTCTGTTTTATCTGCTTCCAAATTGTCCTATTTTAATCATGTTCTATGCAGGTTGGCAAAGGCGGGAGGAAAACAAAGATTATCAGACAATACAGCTATATTCGAAAATATATTCCCCCTTTGGCAGACACGCGCTGTCTCTTGGCCCGTACCCGAAACAACCCTATTCCCAGCTAGGATGTAAATAATCTTTTTCCAAAAATATGTCTCTTTTATTTCCAGCACGGCTGTATGTCGTAGCATTCGAAATCAAATTGACCTTTACACTCTTCAACTTTCATTCCTGAACACTAGTGGGGCACGAAAAAAGATTGAATAGTGTAAGTGGTGATAGTAGTTTCGAGACATGCTGTACTCTAAACATGGCATCAACTACTTATATTGGCGCCAACCATAGACTTCAGGTTGGAAACAACCGGGGTTTGATCAAAGCAAGTTTCTATAGAAAGTTGAATTAATTAACGATCAATTTGAAAATAAGCTAATGAAGTGCTGCCCAGGAGCTTACATCTTGAGATAAGAATCGATAGACCAATCAAATAAAATGCGCAGTAAACTGTAAGATTACCCCCTGAACAGAAGTGTGGTTCCTAGGATGAATGACTATTCTAGTGAAGTCCGATATTTATTGATGGGACAATGTAAACAACCTAGGTACTACCAACATTCCAGACGTGATCAACAGAGTTACAGTCTACCTAACCAGCTCTCTAGATATGTGCAGAATTTCTATCAAACTACAGGATGAAAGCCAATATCAAAACGACTGAACTATGAAAGTAGAACTTACTAGAAAAAGAGAAAGCAAGCCAACACGCAGGTCTTGAACGTAAAGAAATTCATAAGTTCTCGCCTTGAGAGATAGTGAACTAACATAACCATACATACATAACTCACACAAAAGAAGTGATATCCAAGAAATAAGAAAAAAGTAAAAGATATTCCACCTCAAGAGCCAAGGCTTAGAAAAGAAGGGGTCAAAGACAGGCGGAGAGGTTGATCACGCCAGTGGAGGGAAAGATAGATAACAATAGTAGACATGATAATAAGAAACTCCAGGTTTCGATAGCCGCTGTGTGAGCTGGGAAAATCACGTGTTTAGGGCGGGCAATAGTACGAAGCTGTTCTATCAAAATTGCTGGAAACTGCTTTTGAAAAGCTCTTAGGGGGGCCGAAGTGGGCCTCACAAAATTACTGAGTCTTTTAAGAACCATTTTTGGAGCCTAGCTCCCGCGATGGCAGATCGCTGCTGTCGTCAAATGAGATTTCAAAACCAGTATCGGAGATACTAGTTGTTTTGTGAAGATTGTCGTTTTTCCGTTCGGAGTCTGTGAAATTGTCGTCAAGTTCCGTACTGGCCATACGCTGCCGAGCTACCTCGACTATCTTGTCGGCTTCGCTCACACCCAGAGCAAGGTTGGTGGATGGATCACCATCCACACCGATCAGTTCTGCCTTATTGTTGATCACGTCCTGGAGACGGGCGCTGTCAAGTCGAATGACCATGATAGAAAGGTTGTCAGTACTGAAGCGCGCAAGGGCATAGTCAACCAGTATGCGGGAAGCGTGTTGAGCATCTTGCTCATTCCGGATCAAATCAACAGCTTCCTGGTCACTGCAGACGTCCCATAACTAAGAAAATATTAATAAATACATATATAGAAAGAACAAGAAAGAATCTCACTCCATCGCAAGCCAGGATGATAAACTCATCGGCACTGGGTTGAATAACCGTCTCCGTTGTGTAAGGATGCCCGGTGACGAGGTCTTTGAGATATGTATCTCCCAAAGCACGCGTAACGGCCAGGACACCATTGACACGATTATTAAGAATGAGGCCACCGGCGTTTGCAATGCGCTTGCCTTCATTCTCATCGCTACCCTTGTGATCGTATGATAGTCGAAGCGCCTTTCCGTTGCGACACAAAACGATGCGGGCGTCACCAACGTTGGCGGTATACAAGACTCGCTGACGAAGGGCCTTTTCCTGCAACTTTGAGAAGGATCCTGGTGCTTCTTGAGTTGGAGTCTCCGTGTTCTCAGAGTTGGTATCGCCTTTGCTCGCGACATCAGGTGCAAGAGCAGCCGAGCCAGTGGCTGAATGAGAGTTGGGCACTCGGTCCTCCCAGCGGAGAACGGCAGTAACAGCCGTGCATCCGCTATTTTTGACGGGTAGTTTCTCTAGCTGATGATCGACACTCGTAAATGTCTGATCAAGAAGCTCTGGGACAGGTGTGTTGGGGTTTCTGCGCATAATGTCCTCCAGAATCAAATGCAGCTTCTTGCCGCACCACTCAGCAGCAAAGGTACCAGCATGTCCATCGAAGATTGCAAAGTAGCCATTATCTGTTTCCACAATATTAGATAGGTCATGGGACTTCTGTGATTCGTTCGGAGGATCGTTGCCGTGTATCTCGGGATGTGAATTCGGCGACGGGGTACCGAGAAAGTTGTACAAGTAGGCATGTGTGTCTTCCATTGTACGACGACATTTTCGATTCCGATCTTCTGTTACGCCCACGCGGAAAGAGGAGCGCGAAGTGGGTATCGATTCTCCAGCGGAGTTGTTCAGCGATCCCTGGGGTACACTTAGAGCGGGGTCCATCTTTCCCAGTCTTTCTAGTGGGCTCTCCACGATCGAGGGGCTTGTACTGAATGTCGACGAGTCCCGCGAGCTGCTGAGACTAAGAGAGTTTTTGGCGCTGTTGAAGAAACTTGCGGCTTTGGTAACGGTACTACTGCGACGTTTCTTCTCACCGATAGGCGCTAGATCTTCAGTCTGTCGGCGGAAGAAACCAGATCCGGGAAGAGACGAAGGAGGGGAGAATCGCTTGTCGCGGGGACTGGCGTTCTCGGGATGGAGGCTCAATGGACTTGTGTCAAATCCAGGAACGGGAGTGGGGTCAGATCTGTCTTTGGGCGGGCTGGAGCCACTGAACATTCTATTCAGCAACCCACCCTGCGAAGAAAAGCTACGGCGCTGTTTTCCTGCCAGCTTGATTGTATCCTTGAAGGCAAGGATAGGGGGATATTAAGAAGGGTAGTTGTGGCGGATGCCTGATGACGAATACTGCGGACTGACGTAGGGGCGGTCGGTCGAGGGAGCTTGAATGAAGGCTATTAAGGTTCTGAAACGTTAGATGGCTTGAGGCTTGAAAACAAAAGTACGTAGTAACAAGAGGTGAAAGTTGCAATATAATTGTGTAGTGCAGATTGATGGTCAGAGAGACGGGAATATCTTCACTACATAAGCAGATGAAGGAACTGGAGGTAAGGAAAAAGCCATTGGGTAGAGGAGATGGGCTGAAAACCAAATGAGACAATCCAATAAGCTTGATATACTCATGGGAAGCATATAACTCTGTTTGAATGCCCGAATACGGCGCCTGATCACGCATGGCCGAGGTGAGCCCGAGTCTCACCTCGGCGGAAGCGCCGGTAGTGGGGTGCGTAGATGTCATGATGCAGGAGAACAGTAGAAGCATTCACTTACTTTTAAGTATTAGACAGAAGTTGAAGATTGTAGTGAGAAAAGAGGAGTGGGAAGAAATGGGGTAGGAAGGGTGGAGAGAGAGAAAGTTGGGGTTGCATGCGATCTGAATGGGGATGGGAACACTTCCTAACTCCGCCCCGTGCCAGAGAGATGGGCGGGAGCCAAGAACGGAGTGGAGATGTGGAGAGAAGTGAATTAGATGTGGACTTTTAATCTGAGATAATACACATTTCAAAATAGCCATGTGAATTTAGATTGCTCTTACTCTACAACCCCAACGACACATTTAAGTATGATTACTATAGTATCATTCAGTCATTGACTTTTCTATCAAGTTCTAAGGTTCTGCCCCGCTTTTCCCGCATAGCTACATAACTACATAACTACAGTATACACGGTATAAAGTTCGGAAGATATGAAAATGAATCTATGGTTACTACCATGTGCTAAAGTCTCCATACCCACCTGTGCTCTTCAACTTCTTGTGCGAAGGCCCAGGAGCTGGTTCCTCATCTATGAATTCAATAATCTCGTCGTCATCTGCCTCTGCGCGCTTGGCCAATGCAGCTTTCAAGTATTTTCCGACACCGGTAGAACCCTCACTTGAAGCTGCGCCAGCACCACGCACACGTTTTCCTGTCCAGGTGACCTGATCATCATCTACACGCCGAGCAGTTTTGTCTTTGGCGACGGAAGATTCAGTTTCCTCTGCGCGTTTCTGCTTCAAGAATTCATCAAAGGGGTCCACGAAGACAGTAATCTCCTTGATACGGATCTCAGGCGTGGGTCGGTTAGTATCTGACTCTACCGGGTGTATCTCAATAGCGTTAAATGTAGCGGATGAAGGGGTTGGGTCGTCAATGAGCCGACCAAACACTGTGTGCTTACGGTCTAGGTGAGGTAGAGCGCGGTAAGCGAGGAAGCTGATGACCGGTCAATATTGAAATTAGGAGATGAGAGGCATGAGAACTTACAATTGACTTGTGTTGGTATTTTTGCCCTTATTGGCCATGCTCAGCGTGCCTCGGGAGTCGTGCTTCAAAGGTCCATTGACCTCGTCGGCGAAGGGCTTGCCCCAAATGCTGTTACCACCTCGTCCAGTACCGGTGGGATCACCACCCTGTAGCATAAATCCCTTGATATTGCGATGGAAGGTGACATCATTGTAGTAGCCCTTCTTGGCAAGCTGGATAAAATTCCATACAGCCTTGGGTGCATGTTCGGGATAAAGCTCCAGATTTAGATGACCGGACGTGGTGACAATTCGTGCATAGCCCTTGGACTTAATCCGGCCAGACTTAAACCGACCCTGGTTCATTATGTAGTCTTCGTCAGATAGAATAGCCAAGTCGGCTGACGTGTGAGGTGTGAAACCTGTGCTAGTAAAGGAAGCAGCCGCTTTGCCTGTTGTGAATAGTGCAGCATTCCAAGGAGTAGGATTTCCTCCCTGGGACGCTCCAGTCTTGGGAGCGACTGAGACCGTTCCAGGTTTTGCACCCGCCTTGGAGACAGCCGAGCCAGGTTGGGCCCGTTCCGCGCGCGCCTTGGCCACAGCCTCCTTGGCTTTGAGAATCTTGGCTGAGCTTCCCAGCGCATTGGTATTCACACTTGCCTCTGGTTTTTGCTGATCGAGATGTCCAGTTTGACCCTCATTCAGGTAATTGAACGAGCTCAGATTGCGAGCCTCGACATTATGGGGATCCTGGAGAGTGATGATATCTTTGCGACTGAACTCTTCATCAGTGACGAGGTCGCGCCAGAGCTTTCCCTTAATATTTAACCGCTCCACTGTTTCCCATGCGAACACATTTCCGGTATTTCTTATCGCGACAATATGCGTATTATCTGTCAAGACCTTGAAGGTGACTGGATCCACATACTCGCCCTCCTCATTCTTGGCAATGGTGAGTTTGATCAAGTCTGTGGTCTTCAGTGGTGAGCCATCCACTGGATTTGTCCCTTGTTTTTTGATCCATGGTAAAATATTGGTCAAGTCGAAGATGATCCCTTCTGATGTGCAGACGGGGTGCGTGAAAGGCTGGAGTGAAAGAGAACAAAAATTGAATGGCAAGCGTTTGAACGAAGGTTGAGGACCGTTCAAATTACGTTTGGTGGTACCAGCGCTCGAGTTGGCAGAAAAGCCATCATTCGAAGCCCACTCAGAATGCGTAATCTATGCGATAGTTAGCAGAGATTTGATGTCAAGAAGGCTGGAAAATCGCGTACGTAGAGCTTGTCAGTCCCTACAAGTGAATATGTTAGTCAAAATAATACCATTTGGAGAATTTCAGACCTACCTTTTCCCATATTGGAGTTTGATGTTTGGAGGAAAGTCCAACAACTTTATGAAGATGACGCAGGGAAGAGCTAGCATGACTCGAAAATGATTGGTTTAAAGTGGGCAACGGTAGGGAGTTTTACGGCAGAATTATGCAGGTGTACCGCTTCATATACCGCTGAGCCGTACCGGCATGAGGTAATATGCCTTCAAAATATTAGTTAACTATTTTGATTTTACTCGATTATTTGATTTGGTCATGGCCATGTCACATGTGGGCCGTGGCTATAGGTGATATAGAGATTGTTACCTCAATTGTAAATTACGTAATTTATTGTTGAAGCGAAACTGGATGAGGCGATTTACTGATGGTCATTACTATGGTATGGAAACCGACAAGGAACAAGGGCGACATCATAGTTTCTATGAATGCAAGTGGCTAGCATCCAGATGGTGATGAAGCGACTTATGTGACCACAGCTATATCACCAAATATCTGCGAAAAAGCCGGATATGCGTACTATAAGGAAGTTCCTCCAGGGCTCTATTGAGCTAACTGCATTCAACGATTTGATATAAAGATTCACATTAACTAGCATTCACGAGAAACTGGACAACCTTGGGATGAGTTTGATATGTAAAAACTGATAGGAAGGGTATTCCAAGAGCATTGATATTGGAAGTATGTCAGATCTTCCTTCCAAGGGCAACAATAACGTCAGAGATCGTAAGAGTGCCTAATTAAGCACCGGGGCAGGCATGTATATCCTTTGAGAATGTGACTCAGATGTACTAGATAAGTATAGAGGAGGACATAGAGATCTTGGAATTTCCATGGACATAGCGTTCCAAGGTTGACATATGAGATGTGGGATGCGTAATAAAACAGTCATCAGCCCTTAATGTCGACAAGAATTCTGCGTTAAGTAGCCCAATCTGGGACACAGGCCTTTTCAAAAGATAATCCATATTTAGACTGGAGGCCAAGATACATGATTTCACGCATCTGGGAGTTCACACTTCGCTGATAATTTGTTGGGGCCTCAGGCCACCACAGCAGATAGAGTTGATAACTGAGCCCCCACACGTCTCCCTCTTTCCTCACATTATATCCATCCATTTCATGTAGTATATCCCTGTCTTAGTCTGCCGGTCAGTGCTCTATATGCAGGAACACCACCGATGAACATCCTAACTGGTGCTGCATGAACCTCGAAGAGCGGCTCACTGCTTGCAAATTGGACTAGGGACTTCTCCTCACAAGATTACCCTAGCCAGTTAGTTCAGAGCTCAAAGATCCCAAATCACCGATAACATGCAAGGGCGAGCCAATCGAGATGAGCGGGAAGATAAGAATGGCCCAACCCAACGCGAAGACAATAAGAACCCAGAGCTCGAACCACTTCTCACTGCGCACTATGCAAATAACCTTGGAATTGACAACATGGCATCCGCCAGTACTCAGGAAACTGTGTTGGAGTCCCACGCAGATCCTTTAATGGGGAAACGAGTGCTGCGAAAGATCGACATGCAATTAGTGCCACTAATGTTTTTTTCTTATATGTTGAATTTCATGGATAAAACTATTCTGTCCAGCGCGGCTGTTTTTGGTTTACGTGGTGATACGGTAAATATAATCTGGCTGCAAAAGAGAGGTCGAAGCTTTTAATCTAACCTCGTTGATCAGGGATTGGTTGGCCAGCAGTATAGTTGGGTCTCTTCAGCGTTTTACTTTGGCTATCTGGGCTGGTCTTATCCCACTACCTTGCTCATTGCTCGTTTTCCGATCGGGAAGTACATGACTGCCAACACATTTTTCTGGGGAACCGTGGTGGCTCTTACCGCGGCATGTACCAACTTTGGTGGTCTCATCACTGTTCGACTTCTACTTGGTATTGCCGAAGCCACTGTTACCCCAGCCTTTATGTTCATTACATCAACCTGGTACACGCGTGATGAGATTCCCACCAGGACAGGCTTTTGGTTTGCCGGTAATGTTCGTACACAGCTCTCACAGATATTTGACAAATACTCACCAGTTCGATAGAGCGCAGGAGGAATTGTTTCCAGTCTCATGGCTTACGGCCTCGGCCACGTGAAAGATCACGTTGGTGCATGGAGGTGGATGTTTATTGTTCTCGGCGTTGCAACTTTTCTCTGGGCCTTCGTAGTCTGGATCCTTCTACCAGACTCGATTTCCAAAGCAAAGTTCCTATCGGAAGAAGAGCGCCAGTTTGCAGCTAAAAGGGTTCTTATTTCCGGTACAGGTAACACAGAAAAAACAGCATGGAGGTGGGACCAGGTCGTTGAGTGTCTCATGGACCCCAAAACCTGGCTAATTTTCGGTCTGGAATTATTGACGCAGATCCCGAATGGTGGTACACAGAACTTCTCCAATCTCGTCATTGAGTCGTTTGGTTTCTCGAGTCTGGAATCGACTCTGGTCAATATTCCTTACAGTGTTGTTAGCATTGCCACGATTGTTGGGACTGGTTGGCTTGCTGGACGTTTCCGCCAGCTGAACTGCCTGCTGGTTATAGCTGTTGTCATACCGCCCGTGGTTGGGAGTGCAATTATTTATTGCCGTGCCCATATAGCCTTGGGCGTCCAGCTGTTTGGATATTTCCTTTTATCAACCGGGCCAGCGGCAATGCCCCTCGTGATGGCATTGGTACAAGCGAATTATCGTGGCGTCACAAAAAAGATGACCATCACCGCCATGCTTTTCCTTGCGTACTGTGCAGGAAACATCTCTGGACCGCAGTTCTTCCTTAGCAGAGAAGCCCCAACTTATAACACAGCATTCCGCACTATCATGATCTGTTATGCGCTCTCGATACTGCTTGCTATACTACTCCGCATTTACCTTCAATGGTCAAACTCTCAGCGTGTTTCCAAGGAGGGATTCGAGGGCAGTGCTGGAAATGCTGGAGCTGTGGGTAATGTGAAGAGGCTTGATGGGGATCGGGATCCAAATACTATGGCGGATATGCTGAATCAAGCCCAACTGGTATCTAATGACTATGAGGATATTACGGATTGGAAGACGCCGGGATTCAGGTATCGATACTAGCGAGCATGATACTATGATTTGTATCTCAAGATATGCGAGTTTTATACTTAGATTTTAAACTTCTTGTAGAAAGACACTGCTTGCATATATTTCAAAATTCCAACATCAGAATTTTGACCTCGAGAGCCTGTGTGCGGTTTTTCACAAAGTGTTTCAGCTTTAATCTAATTCTATGGAATGACCACCAAAGATCTTGAAAGGTTTCGAGCAACCAGTGAAGCCATATCAGACTTTCTTCCAAGGTATTGGAGAGCAGAGATACAAAGCTCACAATTCTTCTTGAATCGCTCAGTTGGCACATTTTGCGCGTCAGGCTCCTCCAACCTTTCGAGAGAGATGTATCCCGCCTTGGCAAATGAATGGATTAGAACAACAGTCCACGGTTCAACTAGAAGAGCAACTTCGCTGAGGGAATCATGAAAGCGACCATGGATCATCGGATCCTGCCCTTGAAGTGAAGAGCGAGCAAGTTCACCAACTGCCAGCGCATTATCTGCTCGTACAACAGAAACGAATTTTGTAGTTTGACGAACTTCTCGTTCAATATCCGAACCCAGCCTTGCTTGGTCAATACTTTCTATCACGTCTGCCAAAAGCATCGTTGCAAGATGCCAGTGACCGTCAAGTATGATATACCATGACTGGATGCGAGGAGGGAGGAATTCGTGATTGGAGATACAGTCTTTCATGAATGGCTGATATGCAGCGTTCCAGTGCTGATAGACCAGTATGGCCTTTTTCATGATTTCTTCGAGTCGGTCGCCACTTGCCCCCCGGTATAGCAGAGTTTGCAGCTGTGTGATTCGACGGTAGAGCAATACTTTGACCGGGGTAGCCTCCGAAAGAACAGACGCAGCTTCGTCGTAGGAACAGGGCCATCGTATCTGACTAGATTTCTGGCGCGGATAACGAAGGAAAAAATCACCCCATACGTCCTTCTTTTGACGAGATGAACTGTTTGGTAAGTTCCAACCGTCAAGGTCAATATGCTCCTCGAATTTTAGCATAGGAGGTGATACTGTTGTGACTTGGCTATCCTCATCCGACACCACAAGGGGACGTTGATACATCGCAGCACTCAGTGTATCAAACATTACTCCTAACCAAAATAATAGACCGATTGTATTGCGGTGTTCCTCATTACCAAGAACTGGGTCAACCTGAGGTGATACAGGAGGCGTAGGCAAGTTGAACACGTCTGCCGTTGTTGACCCTTTTGATCCCGCTCGCGATGAATTGGCCTGTCGCTGAAGTCGCATGAACTTATAACGAAGTGTGAAAAGCTGACGGTTGGCGTTTTCAAGAAATAAAGGTGCACGATCATTCTCTAATAGCTCATCCAGGCGTAAATCCTGTCCCTTGTCTAGCGGACTCTGTGTCAGGGAGAATATGATGTTCGCGAATATGACGCGGAAAGAGGGTATTCCGACTGAATGCTCCAGAGCGTGCCGTGCTCTATTCCAGATGTTCACTCGAATGGCTCTTTCGTCTTCATCGATTACACTTGGGACATTCAATACACTCCCTTTCTCCGCATGTTGAGTCCACTGTGAAGCGAATGCCATAATAGCCAGGTGAAGAGCTTGATATACGAGTTTCTCCTCCTCTGCGGTTAAAGCCCGACCGCGTATGTTATCGGATGCACGATCCAAACGACAAACTCGGATGCACATTCTGTTGGACCAGCTAGGGCCCCATTCCTTCATTTTTCTATAGGGCACCATACCGCCGGTGGAGTCGCTGTAAGGGCAATTGTGCTCCGTCAACCAGCATGACAAGGCGTTCTCCATACTATCATGGTATATGTGAATCAGGTTACGCGTCATCGATACACGAGCATATTCCTTAGCTGTATTGTTTGAAGCAGTTGAAAGACTTGGTTGACAGCCCAGCATGAATGCTGGGTTAAATTCCAATGTTGAGTAAACACTTTGGCTGCTGTTCTGGTACTCTGGGTCAGTGAAATCAGATGAAGAAGATATAGATCTATTCTCCAGATCTTGAGTTGCATCAGATCTGCTCTCTGATAAGCTTGGTAGCGAATCTTCTGTGTTTGACTGATACCCAAGTTGCCTGGAGGCATCTCCAGACTCTTGAATCACTGCATCGGTTTGCCAGTGGCCTGGGTTTCTGATGTCCCAGACGTTAATTCCAGGCTGCCCATCTGCTAAACCACTCCACTCTATTCCATTAAAAATTTTGTTCTCGGTTTCAAAAAAAGGTGTTGAGGCGAAACTTCGGGAATCGGGAGAAGCGAAAATATCCCCTGAATTGACAAGATTCCATTGTGAAGAGAGCAGTGGCTCATCAAAAAGGTTACTGACAGATTCTGGAATTGAAGGTAAATCGGGATTCTGAATTATATCTGTAGCGTTTGTTCTTGGTCGTTTTCGAGAATTTCGAGGGTCCGTGGGTTTTGCCAACAGCCAGTTGAAAGTGCACTCTTTCTTCCATCGTTTGCAGTTAGAGCAGGAAAAACCGCTGTCATTTCGATTTCTCTAAAACGTAACTAATATTAGTATATCGACAATGGTGAGACGAAGAGGACAATAGCCCCTTACCGGTGCATCACAGCCCCTCTTTCCTTTCCTACAGGGGTCGCAACTGTGAAGTTGTCGTCGGCGAGAGTTCTCCATGAAGATAATTAAGACGGGCTGTTCTACGACAGGAATAGACTCTAATCCGATGGTGATATAGTGCTAAATCTGTATTCAAGTAGCCGTGTTGTACAAGGCATGCTGATCGTAATCAGATCTGGGTTAACCTGGGGAAGCTGGGGTTGAAAAGCGGGGAAGGTTCCACTACAAGAGTATTCTGGTACCCTGAGTACGCCTGAATAATTAGGCTATCTATGAATAGAACCAACAAATTTTACTACTTAGTTGTACATTGGTATTGTCTCATTATTCTCTATGATACAGCAACAACACTCTGATTTTTACCCTACAGAGTCGATTTTTTCGCTCAGCAAAGTACAAAGTACGGATACCGAGGTAAGAACTACGCCTCGTGGCGTCGTTAGTGTTTATAACGAACCAATAATGATATTTCTAACGAACCTGCTAGCGCACGAATGTAATAATTGCTTGAATTGCACTGAGATTTCGGGAGATCACCGTCCAGGTACCCTGTTTATTTGATGGGTTATACGAGATTTAGTTACTAATATAATATTGGTGCTTCTCCTGAGAACGATTGATTTAGTACAGGACGTAGATGGTCGTTTTATTTCATGCTTCGAATGTGACAGAATTCGGGATGAATACACATTCCACTGTTTGATTCCAAGGTTCTCCACTTATCTACAAGTAGAAACGGAGGGAAGGTTTACGCTCTAAGGCTTGTCTAATACCTACGTAGGTGATCGATTTAGAGAAGATTCAAGATACAAGAAATATACCAAGAAATAAGCATATGTATAAGTAATTCATAGCTGAAGAAACCGATCTAAGAGATTCAGAAAAGATGCACGCGGACAGTCTTCACCTCTGTGTAATTCTCAAGAGCATATGAACCTAGCTCGCGACCAATGCCTGATTCCTTAAAACCACCGAACGGCATCTGATAGTGAAGAGTGTTGTAGTTGTTGATCCAAACAGTGCTATGTGAGATGATGTGTTATTAGAAGCCCAAGAAAGAAAGGAAAAGAAAAATACATACCCTGCCTTGATTGCATTTGAGACTCTGATGGCAGTGTTGATATTGGTAGTGTGAACGGCCGCAGCTAGACCTATTTGTTGATTGAGTGGTAAGTGTGAGTTCGCTTACAAAGATAGTCCCTGGATGGAAAAGGGAATGTTCTTACCATAGTTTGTATCATTGGCCATTTGAATGGCTTCCTCTTCACTGCTAACCTTTTGCACAGTGCAAACAGGTCCGAAAATCTCCTCTTTCACGATAGACATATTCTCATGGACATCAGCAAAGATAGTTGGCTTGATATAGTAGCCTTCAGCTCCATGACGATCGCCACCAGTGACGACCTTCGCACCGGCGCTTTTACCATCGGCGATATAGCCCATGATCCTGTCGTACTGTAACTGGGACACCTGGGGGCCCTGGAATGTATCAGGATGAAATGGATCACCGACTTTATTCTCTTCGGCCCTCTTCTTGAAAAGCTCAAGGAACTGATCATAAATGTCCTCGTGAACAAGAATTCTGGAGCCGGCGGAGCAGCATTGTCCATGATTGAAAAATATTCCAAAATTCACCCATCGAACTGCCTCTTCAAGATTTGCATCGGGAAGAACGATGTTCGGTGATTTTCCACCTAGTTCAAGAGTGACTTTCTTCAAGTTGCTATTCGCAGCCGCCTTGAGAATTTGGCGGCCAACCAAAGTCGAGCCAGTGAAAGCCACTTTATCGATATCCATATGACTGGAGACCGCTGCTCCTGCAGTTCTTCCAAATCCTGAAATCACATTCACGACTCCAGGAGGGAATCCAGCTTCTTTGATGAGGCCGGCCACATAAAGTGCTGACAAAGGTGTCTGTTCTGCGGTCTTCATAACAATAGTATTTCCAGTAGCAAGAGCAGGGCCAATTTTCCATGCAAACATAAGCAAGGGGAAATTCCATGGAATAATCTGTCCGCAAACGCCAATAGGTTCATGGCGGGTATAGGTCAAGCTGTTAGGGTCTGTATCGATGGTCTGACCATAGATCTTATCAGCCCATCCACCATAATAGCGCAGGCAGCCTGCAGAGCTCTTGACATCGCCTTTGGCCATAATATGACCCTTACCATTATCGAGGGCTTCGATGGCAGCGACTGTGTCGATGTCACGCTCTAAAAGGTCTGCAAGGCGAGTAAGGAGACGGCCACGCTCAGAAGGAGTGATTGTCTTCCATTCGCCTTGTAGAGCTTTCCGAGCTGCTTTCACAGCAATATCAACATCCTTCTCTGTGCCTTCATGCACAGCCACAATGGGCTTCTCGTCATGAGGGTTGATTGTTTCGAAGGTTTTCCCTTCAACGCCCTTGGTAAATTCATTGTTGATGAAGCTATATGTTTATCTGTCAGAAAGTCCAAAAGTCGGAGTTAGATTATGTGAGCTTACAGGCCTGTTGGTTGTTGGTATGTGACCACTGGGGTCGTGATTGTTTGGAAAAGTTGTGTCATGATTGAATAAAGACTTGGAAATATTCAATGATTACTTGGGGATGAGATTATCGAAAGATTCAGGATATCAGTGGGTACAAAGCCTCCTTTTATCATAATTGGATACCCTTGGAAATTGCAGGTCGGTGAAACGAAATGTACATGGATTATAGAGCGGAAAGCCATGGAGCGGGGTAAACTTCATCCTGTCTGGCTATACTGCGTGCGGAACTACGTACAGACAAGGTGCGGACCTCGGGAACTTTAAATTATGGATCCAGAGAGAAGGCAGAGGCCTTTTAATTGCCAAAATTGGATTCGTTGAAGGTACAGAACCGAAAAGCGGCTCCGCATGCCCCACTGCGGGAAATACCCCACCGCAAAGTTACCCCGCAAATGTCCTTGAATCTTCGAAATCTTCTTTTTTATCAGACAAATTCGATATAAAAACCCTTGAAATCTTATCAATTTGAAATATAGATTCTAATCAACTAACAAAAACACAATATTCAAGGATCCTCATTCTTCACCCATAATGTCTATTCCCGAGACTCAATGGGCCCAAGTTGCCGAATCAGTTGGCGCACCACTCCAGTTTAAGCAGATTCCTGTCCCAAAGCCAGGTCCCGATCAGATTTTGGTGAAAATTCGTTACTCGGGCGTTTGTCACACCGATCTACACGCCTGGAAGGGCCACTGGCCCCTCCCCGTTAAATTCCCCCTGGTCGGTGGACACGAAGGTGCTGGAGTTGTCGTCGCCAAGGGTTCATTGGTCACTGGATTCGATATTGGCGACCATGCTGGTCTTAAATGGATTAATTCGTCTTGCTCTGAGTGTGAACACTGTCGCCAAGCCGACGAACCCTTGTGTCCCAATGCACAGATGTCTGGCTACACTGTGGATGGCACTTTCCAGCAATATGCCGTCGGCAAGGCTACTCTTGCTTCAAAAATTCCTAAGAACGTCCCTCTTGATGCTGTCGCTCCCGTTCTATGCGCAGGTATCACTGTTTATAAGGGTTTGAAGGAATCTGGAGTTCGTCCAGGAGAAACCGTAGCGATTGTTGGAGCGGGTGGTGGTCTTGGATCCCTCGCGCAGCAATATGCCAAGGCGATGGGCATTAGAGTTGTAGCTGTAGATGGAGGTGATGAGAAAAGGGCTATGTGCGAATCGCTTGGAACTGAGGTATGACTACAAGGCTTGAATCGTGATGTGGCGACTAACATTGATAGACATACGTCGACTTCACAAAGTCAAAAGACTTGGTGGCTGACGTGAAGGCGACAACCCCCGAAGGTCTTGGAGCTCACGCTGTTATTCTGCTAGCAGTTTCTGAGAAGCCTTTCCAGCAGGCTGCCGAATATGTGCGCTCCCACGGAACAATTGTCGCCATTGGATTGCCTCCAGATGCGTTCCTCAAAGCCCCAGTCTTCAATACAGTGGTCCGCATGATCACCATCAAGGGAAGCTATGTTGGAAACAAGCAAGACGGTGTTGAGGCCATTGACTTCTTTGCTCGAGGCTTGATCAAAGCTCCGTTCCAAATAGCTCCCCTGAAAGATCTCCCAAAGATTTTTGATCTCATGGGTAAGTCACTCGCGATTTCATCTTTGGTTAGTACACTCACTGACATGACGCAGAGGAGGGAAAGATTGCTGGACGCTATGTGCTTGAGATTCCAGAGTAATTGCGACTAGTATTATGGGAGTATGACTTATTTATTTCTATATATTCCATATTTTAGTGTTGAGCCCTCAATATTAATGAGAATGAACTTATGCCATCTAACATCTAGACCTCGTGAATTACAAACAATTTATTGGACATGACTAGCCCTAAAGCCCTGCAATTCTAGGGATACCTTGTACCTATATAGCCCTGAGTGCAGACCTCGGTAGATTTCTACATATGTAGGTATCCAAGACAGCAGTCTGTAGAAGTTAGATACTTAGGTAGGTTCCAAAGTTGTTGGAACCTTGCCCATGTGAAAGGGCTAGCTAGATACTATCCTTAAAAGGAATTTTAGCTATAGAGACAATGATACCTAGGTCTACGAGTGGCTTCTGGAAAATTATACCTAGGTAAGACATCGAAAGAAGGGAATGTGATAATCCCATACTTATCGCTCCTTCCACTGGATCAATTTTTCTCGGATCCAGGAACACAGAGATCGGTCGGTCATGGATTGACAACGCGATCCAAAAAGCGACCCCGCTACAAATCCAACTATCCAATGACATTTATACCTTCTCCCCGCACTATAAAACTCATAGTGTGATTAACGCATCGTTAAAATTAGCTTCCTATCCGCAGCCAAACCTTAAGCTTAGAAGGATCGGCGAAGGATCTACCCCACAAAAATAACTGTACCCCATACTTAAACCCCCGCTGTATGCGGAACCGCATGGTATGTACCTTCGAATCTGAAGTATTTTCGGTTACGGAACCGTTTAAAATTGGTTGATCCGACCGACATATGCGTATATTCGCTTATTTTCAAGATATTAGGCATCAAGGTAGTAATTCTCCTGCTCTCGGCTAAGCCGAAACTCTCTTCAGCATCTCTGACCTATCATAATTTTGGCCTAGTAGTATCCACAATCTTGATTAACTGACCGAGGAAGTGATGGAAAGATGTGCTCAACATCTTATCATTCCCCCAACTTAAGCTCAATTGGAAAATTCTCAACTTCAAATCTTCAAACCTGTGAAAACACGCGACAGGATGGACAGCAATAATAGTCAAAATGGCGACAAAGGGCCTGTACCATAATAGTGAAAATTCAATGCGTACAGTTCCTGCATCAATTACCCTGTCTGCTGAGCAGTTCGAGAGACTATACCTGACACAAATGAAGCGCCACCAACCTCCCCTGGCTAAGCAGATGAGAGATCCGACACCTTTGTGAGCCGTCCCTATCAAATCGCCTAACTATAAACACTATCTAATGGCTTCAATGGCTCAATAGGGGACTAGGGGGCTTCGTTATCACAACCACGCCCCTCTCATTCTGCCTCATGGGCTGGAGGGGTGCGAGCGGAGGCGGTATTGCATTCACGTAAGAAATGGTCGCATCATAACTGTCTTGGTTGATGTATCATTGACAAAAACCAAGGGGTTCTACCACCTTTTTGGGAGGCCTTTTGCTAGTCATCACAAGCATCTTTGAGTATCTAGTTGGAGATTTATTTTCCTGTGTTACGTTTGGTACTCTTGGTAAGTCTGATAGCACCACGAGGCCAGACTTGTCGAGACCTTCTCTGATGTCACTTTACAGGCGGGTATTGGTTTGGAACCGCCGCTTCAATGATGCCTTCTTTCAATGCAGCCGGTCAGTTTAATCTTTATATTCTTACAATGATCTATACCCGTGTATATGTATGCTCGCATTTCTAAAGCTTCATACTCCCCTACCTTGCATAATACATCTGCTAGTACCGCCTTTCACAATACATACGGTACGTTGAATTATATTTTGGAATATTTCATTTAACTTTTCTGACACGCACCTGGGTAACATTTTTGTATTTGACCATGACAATCATGATACTGATTTTCATGATCTGCGCGACAAGAGTCCACGTCGTCTACTTCCTTATCTATCTATATCTGTCCCTAGTATACATCATGTTAACAGCAGGCTACTGGCTTCTGGGTGAAGGGAATACAACCAGCGGAAACAGATTTGTCGTGGTAATTGAGTGCCACTACCAAATACTTGCTAAACATTGACTGACTTTGATTCTCTGTTAGGGTGCTGGGGGTGTACTTTTTGTTTCCAGTCTACTCGGCTTCTACCTGCTGGTTGTTCATCTCTTCGCAGCCGTAGAATTTCCATTTACTCTCCCTGTTGGAGACCTTCTTCACTCTTGACTCGTGGCCACACCAAGTAAGTTAATTTCTCCAAAGTGGATGTTCACAATGCTGATTGCAGACCGGGGTAGCCAAATTGACACCGAGAAAACTGCTTGACTGGACTCAAAGTAAAACAATGCTGGTGAAATCATGTAAGAGTAAGGTCATGTAAGATTAAGGTCATGTAAGATTGAGGATGTTGAAAATAATAACTAGGTTAGAGCGTTAGAATGTTATTTACGAAGTTAGAAGTAGGTATCAGATGTAATGTACAGACAGATATTACGAGTGAATCGAGCCAATAAGACACTTCGTTTAATTAGAGATACGGGCGTTAAATATGATAGAAAATGCAGAATTCGGGCCCATAATTGGTCTCTATCCCCCCCTTCAATACACTACAAACATCCATTTAAGCTTCTTACAGTCAAGATTAGGGTCTTATCATAGATGACTTTGTGCCCATCGGGATCAATTAATACTTTAAATTTACCCACGGAGGCGAAAGTTGTAAGAGAGTCCTCTCAGTCTCTCCATATGTCTTGTAATACCAGGGCTCTTTTCCTTCGCTAAACGGGCTATGGTCAAAGAACGCATTAATCCTTTAAGAAGATATCTGGTAATTATTTGAGAAATGGAAATTGAGGGACAAAGAAAAGATAGGGGAAGTCACGCGCTAGTATACGGGATTTTTTCGGCTCTTCATACGCTTTGTCCAATCGTCAATGTTCTTCTGGTCTTCTATGCTAATATCTACTAGTGTTTCGTTGAGCTGTTTTGCAGGCTGACTAGGAGATTCTCTTTCCCATTGATTACCTCAAGTCCTCATTTAGTATGGACGCTGAGGAACTGATGATGGTCAACGGAATGAAACAGTTGTAAAGAGATTTCATGATGAATAGAAGAAAAAAAAAATTGAAAAGCTATCAACGGGAGCCATGATCTAGCTTGCAGCGGAGGCTGTCCATATATAAGTAATAAGGATAAGAAGGAACTACTTTGCAGGAACTTCGGGGCTCAATTTGCCTAGGTAGATGATGTCTAGATCTGGTGCAGGTGCTTAAACCTATAAATAGAAAAGAGACACGACTGTACATAAATAACAAAGTTTATTTGAATAATCGCTAAATAAGAGGAAGTAATGATGATAAGCTAAGAAGCGACGATAAGAGAATATCCAATATCCAGGGAGTGCCCTTCCTCCCAGACTTTTTTTCCCTCACAATAGGTGTGGGGTGATATTTCGGAAGGAGAATGATGTGTAATAGTAATGTCATGTGTGGATGAGAGTGTAAGATGTGGTCGTAAAGAATGGTGAATAATAAATGTGTTGCTCTGCTCCTTCCTAAGCTTCATCCTTGTAGTAGATGTGGGTTGTAAGATCTCAATCTGTTAAGATCTATTCACGTGCGGCCTCGTAAAGCAGTGTAGACACCCAGCGATTGCCGAAATCAAATCCATGATGACGGCGTGTCCCATACTTACGCCACACAATCTGGGGAATTCCAATGTCAGCAACACTGACTTTCCACAGTGCCCGGAAGCTCACGCTGTTGTGTGCCATGGCGGTGAGAATCCCGGTTTTCGGGGCGCCAAGGCACACCACGAACTTGGGGTTGATGTTCAACAGCTCGCCCTTGAACAACCCAACCTCACCTATCATGAAGTTAGCAAAACACAGAAACTTGGGATTTATTACGGGAACATACCAGTTGATGCAGAGATACCAGACGGGATATCAATCGAGAGCACGCCTCCATTCAAGGTGGTCTGGTTGACGCGAGAGATTATCTCGGACGCCATTTTCTGGTCCTCAGAGGACAGGTCATTGAAAGAAACATGCATGCCAAACAATGCATCAATAACCAGATTAAAAGGATTATCACGAGCCGATAGGCGAAGAATCAGATCGGCCCACTTGAAAACGCGTCCACCGGTCTTGCGGAAAATATCCAGCTGCTTACGACAGCTTTCTAGCAAATCACCATCGCGGTCTGCTCCAAGTAGAAAAACATTGACACGGTAGCCACGATTACGCAAGTGTCGTGCTGCGCCAATTGCTCGTGCTCCGGTACGATGGTTACCAGCAATGACCAAGATCGTCGGTGTAGGAAAGCATTCACTGGCGAGATGGCTCACGGTTGCTTCAGCGATGCCTCGGGCTGCATTCTCACTGATAATATCATCGGTTAAGCCAAACTCCGCGATCGCGATCTGCTCAACCTCGAGTGTCTGTAGAGGACTCAGTGTGGGGCAGAAGCTCGTTCCAAGAACGAGAGATCCGATAGGACCAGGATCAGGAGATACAGGGGATACGACGGATAGAGGCGTAACTGTGCGCGAGCTCGAGCTCAACTTATGCAAGAAAGGTTGAATCGGAGCTGTGCTACCCTTGCGCGATGGAACGCGGGTGGAAGTGGTCTTATCAACAATTACGAGCTCGTCGCCAGTATCAGAGTCCAGCACATTTTCAGTCCAATGGAGATTCTTTCCATCGTTAGTACCAGCCTTCGGCTTGCGATTGTGGCTGACTAGACGAGCTTCATCGGCGGTGGTATCTTCTTTTCGAATCTGTGCAAACACTTGCTGTTTGTTAAATTTCGTAAGATTGCATTGAAAATCAAAATCCCCCTGCTCGTGAATGTCGGCAGCATCTTCGGTAGACCAGCCGTTGACTTCTTGAGTAAGAGCACGGCGAGCCTTCTTCTTGGCACCCTTGCTGAGCTTTGAAAGTTGACGAGCACTGTCCGTGGGCACTGACTCCACAAAGGCAGTCTGCAATCCTTTGGTTTTAATGTTGTTCGTACTTGATCTATCATATCGGGTGTTGGATTTATTCGGCTTAGAATCACTTTGACTAGGGGAAACACTCGGCAAAGCCTCATAACCATCTTGTGGGAGCTGGCTCTCCGTGCCATTCAATCGAGAATCGCGAAATAGATTGGACAATGAAGAAGAGCCTTGGCGAAGAGCTTGAGCTTTACCAGCTGGTACTTTTGGTGGAATGGAGGTTCTTGCAGCCGGGTGGGTCGACATTCGCAGGATAGCTGGGTCGACAAATGTTCCGTTCGCAGTATGGCCTTCGCGAACAAGGCCAGAAGGGGAAGGGGAATATTGAGAAGTAGGGACGTATTGCGAGCGATGAACATGGTCGGTCGATAAGCGAGATGGCGAAATGCCCACGATAGCCGGGTCAACAAAAGTTCCGGTCTCAAGATGAGGCTGAGCAGCTAGGGGAGGACGAGAAACAATGGGAGAGTCGGGAATAGTGACGTCGATCATATTTTCCACCGGAATGGATCTACCATCCAGAAGATGAAGGACACCATCAACGAGTGTGCCAATTTTACCATGAATGGACTCGCCGGATTTCAGGGTAAGCAAGACATCGCAACCATGGAAGTGAGCGATAGTCACAGGAGCAGCCATGGCTAATTGAACAAAGAGATACACAGAGCAAGGAAATATGACTTCGATTATTCGAAGAATCTGGGTGGCAGGATTGCCCGATGCTATGAAGAATAAGTGAGAAATAAATAACAATCAAAGATGAGGAGGAAGTTGGAGAAGATTCTCTGCAGAACCCATATGAATCACGTGGAGATAGCTTATCGATAAGAAATGAGGGGTTAATATAGTAGGCGGTGTGAAGTGAAGGAAGGCAGTAAATGAAGTAGAATACGGAGTAGAAAGCCCTACTTTAATGGAGGAAGACAGCACGGATCTCAAGCTGAGGGAGTCACCTGGGCAGGGAGTAGTGTGCTTGGGCCTTCGAATGTTGTGTGATACTGTCATACTGAATAAAAGGTAGTCCTCACCTTCCAAGTTTACTTAGGACTATAGATGATAAAAGAACTGCAACTAGCTATTCTCAATTTAAAAGGAGAATGGTGGGATAACTCTTCGTCAGCAACATAATATTTAACTGAGATGTCTGGAAGGAGATAGATTGGAATATCGCTATGTTAATCTGAAAGATATGCAAGAACAATGGAAGAAATCATGCAAACATTGAACCAGATAGGCCTTTATAGTATCAATCAAAACAGTCATCATCGAAATCATCCACAGTCTTACTAGCCTTGGTTTTCTTAGGCTTCAGGACTTGGTTGACCGACACAAGGTTTTTATAGAACTCTATCACTTTCGGGTGTACCATCACCTTTCGTGGCTCAAACCCAGTAACCTGCAAACCAGCCTGAGAAGTTGCTCGACTCAGAGCCACATAAGCCTGTCCCTTTTCAAAGACTCGGCCCAGATTGACTTTAACTCGTTGAAGGGTTTGGCCTTGAGCCTTATGGATTGACAGGGCCCAGGCCAGAATCAACGGCACTTGCTGGCGCTGAGCTTGCACTTCACCGTTGGGAAGTTCTATTTTCCAAGCTTCTGGCTGGCAGAGTAGATGTCTTTCAGTTCCATCAGGCTGGACGAAGCATACCAGCGGCCACTTTCGCGTCACTGTCACTCCACCTGGGGTGTGGGCCATAGCCTTGAGCTTCTTTCGTGCGCGTTCTATGCTGTCATCATTATCTATGTCGGCCTCGTCTGTTGCAAATTCGTCTTCCTTCATGCGGTATGTCTCGAAGGTGCCCTCGTCCATAAACGCAACAACTCGTCCGATGGAGCCATTCACAAGAGTCTCCTCCATGTTCTTGATCAACATCACCTGTGCACCCTTCTTGAGATTAATCATTGGCGGAGCCATGCAGTTTGCTAGCAGTCTTTCACGGTGTACAGGGTCCTGGATGGTTCCCGAGTCCACTGCATTGAATGTCATCATTTCTCCAGACAGGCGGCTCATGCGAGCAGAATTGGCATTCTCCACTTCATTACGAGTTGGAAACCTGTCATGTATTTTAGTTTATGTAATTATCATAAGGATATAGGGTCGTACAGTTCGGTGGCCTCTAGCGCATCGTGGAAATTAAGTGGGCGGGAAAGCTTTCTGAAGGCTTCGTTCGTCTTTGGGGTGATGATGCCCAGTCTCAGGTCGTTCAACATTCCTGCAAATTCAGGATCTCGTTGACGGAAGACATGCGTTAAAAGAATGGTGTGGTGAATAGAAGTGGGCCAGCTATGCGCGGCAAACGAAAACTTTGCCTCGCGGTTACTTCCATCTGGAACAGGCGGCAGCTGGAAGAAATCACCAGTCACCACGAGTTGAATACCACCGAAAGCGCGGCCATTGTTTCGAATACGCCTAGCAATCTCTTCGAGCTTGTCGAACAAGTCACCGTCGACCATGGAAACTTCATCAACCACAAGAACCTTGGTGCGCAGCCATCTGTTTCGTGCTTTCTGGTTCTTTTTGATCTTCCAAGTTGTTAGCAAGACACTTGTCAACATTCAATAGAATACTGACCTTTTTAACCAGTTCTGGCACAGGCTCTTTACCGAGACCAATACCAGCAAAACTGTGAAGGGTGACACCTTCTATATTACACGCTGCAAGACCTGTGGATGCTGTCACTGCAATCCGATCTGGTTCCCGTCTGAACTTATTTCGAAGCTTCTTGATGATCTCCCTCATCAGAACCGATTTTCCCGTACCTGCCGAACCAGTGAAGAAGATGCTCTTTCCACCATCGACAACCATGTCGAGAACATTGTTCTGCTCGTCACTAAGGAAAATCTTATGAACCTTCTCCTCCTCGAATCGTTTCACAGGGGCGCCTCCTTTTTGATTTTTCTTATATTCCTGCCTAAGCTCTTTTTGACCTTCCTTGATCGCACTCTCAGTCTTGTTCCAAAGGTCAGATGGCTTCGGACGCTTAGTTGTGGCTGTACTGATCTTCTTTTCACGACTTGACTCCTCCTTTTCTTCGATCGCCCATGGTAGATTGCGCGGTTTTGGCTGTGGTTTGGGAGGCTGACGATGGGACGGCGGAGAAGATGACCATGGGATTGGAATACTACTTGGAGGAGCTATCTCATGTGAGGCCGGTGGCAGTTCCGGGTACGTGATATCTGAAGGCTTGTTACCAGTCAGATCGATGACTGGGTATGAAATTGTGTCTGGCTTCAATTCACTCGAAGTATTTGGTGCCGTATAGGTGAATGGCATGGGTTCGTCTATGTCGAGATCTAGGTCATCATCAAAGTCGTTTTCATCAAAGTAGACGGCGCTATGGAGAGAACCCAGTGCGGACTCTGCAGTGGTCATCTCGATTTTTCGTTTGATCCCGGCAGATTGGGGTGGCAAAGGGTTGGATGAGACAATGGAGTTTGTACGAAGGAGATTGGACTGGAGGGGCTTAGACGTGGCCGCCGGATGTTCTTTCACGGCTTTCTTAAACATGATGATATCCTCGACCGCGTTTCGAGAAGCGGAATGAGAAGATTTCAGCGGTCCTCTATAGTAATTCAAAGATACTAATTGAGTGAATTTTGTGGACCGCACTCTTCTTCTGATCGCATGCATAAACAAAATTCCCCAACTAGAGGATATGGTCGCGAGGTGGGGGATGACTTTCTTCTGCGACGCGTCTCAAGGCGGTAAAACTCCGGTTTCCTCGGTACCCGATCTTTGTTGTCTGATAATGTTCTTATCCTGATATGAACCATCTCTGATTGTATTTGTCTTGCTGAGAAATTCCCTATTCTGATACTCATTTTCAACCCAACTCAAAACCATCAAGAACTTAATAATCGGATATCCCATCAATATTTACATATGCCTACGAGGCATGCCGCTGGTACATCTTCGCGTTCCGCGGGTTGAAGTTGTGCAACTCCAATCACATCGATGTCGTTTCATTTGATACAACATGACCATGTTCTGGATAGTCCATTTCCAATCCAGACACGTAATCCTGGCTTGTCTTTTTTCCCATGACATACATATATTACTCATGAAATGAATTGCGCTCTTGCTAGGCAAAATCTACTCCGAAGTGATACTTCTGGCAAACTCACTTTATAATGTTAACAGCAATCATTGATGATTCAACCATTCTATAGCACTGGCCAGATATGCCCTTGCTATACGAGAAAGACGTAACCAACTTCCAAATATGCTACGCGCAATTCTTCGCCACAGAACGAGCTCACTAAGGCAAAGTGTCGAAATCAGTCTTTCTAGTAACTCCACTCAATTCATTTGTTGATGTGGCATCAGAGATACCGTTAGGTCGCTGAATGAGAGCTGATACGGCCTTTATCAGCTTGATTTAGAACCTAGCAATATTTGTGCTGATGCCTCCTTGGCAACTCAACGGTAAGCCATTGCCCATTCTCGACTAGAAAGCGCACTCTTCGCCCATTCTCTCATGTTGTGCTCGCGATGCGCTCATTGCTGTGAAGTGAAGATGTCCACTATTCCGAACTCAGTATCCTTCTGGAGTAGTGTAAATAAAATAGTACGGCATAGAGAAATGTGATTTAGCCTAAATGCGCTCATTATCGATAAGGCCTTATCGAGACGCGATCTACACGTGATTCTCCGCGACGCGGACTTGACCTTGCATTTGAAATAACAACCCCTACCTTCGCGCAAGCAGATTACTGGAAACATTATCGAGCAGTGGTGGAAGCTTCATCGGTCATGAAGGATGGGATGAACGCAGGTAGGTGGTGACTTGGCACTATATGAAATTTTCAGTCAAAATTCTAACGAGGCGCATAGACAAAGAGCGTCCGCTCTCCGGAGCAGTGATTTGCTTCACTTCGGTCTCCCTGGATCAAAGGGTAAGTTTTGTTCGAGATTGAATATTACTAAATGAATTGACTCGATATGCTGACATATTTGTACCTTTATAGACCCAACTCGTCAGCTTTGCGAAAGAAATGGGCGCAATTGAACGGCCTGACCTCACCTCGGAGGTAACACATCTACTTGTCGGAGCTACGGATTCCCCCAAATACAAATTTGTCGCACGCGAACGGAATGATGTGGTTGTATTGAGGCCGGAATGGATTGAAGCCGTACGCCAATTCTGGATGCTAGACGAGGATACAGACATACAGGCATTGGAGGCCAAATACAAGCTACCTTCCTTGTTCGGTCTCACAATCTGCATAACTGGATTTTCTGATAGTGAGTTCTAGGAACTTTGTAGATAAAAATGGACTCGACTGACTTTTCGACCAGTGGGTTTCCGGACCAAAATGCACGACACTACGGTGGAGAATGGAGCTGACTTTCGAAAAGACCTGACCAAAAGTGTCACGCATCTTATTGCGCGTAACGGAGAAGGCGAAAAGTACAAATTTGCGACACAGTGGAATATCAAGGTTGTCACCATAAAGTGGTTTAATGACAGCCTTGAGCGCGGGATGATTCTGGATGAAGAGAGATACCATCCACACATTCCGCCAGAGGAACAAGGAGTCGGGGCATGGAATCGAGAAATACTAGCTAAAAAGGGTCACTGGGCAAGAGACAAGAATGGTACCAAAGAAAACCCAAACGACCAGCGGCCGCGAAAAAAGTTACGAAGATCTGCAAGCACCAAGTTGATCGGACAAAACGAAAATATCTGGGGAGATATTATCGGTGCCGGCTTCGCAAACAACGAAGCTACAGAACCGGAAAATGAAGACTCGGACAACAGAGACTCGGATTTTTCCCTTTCTAAACCTATACTCCAAGCAGCAAAATCGTTTGCGAGTGAATCGACATTCAATGAAAGCATTGAGAAAAATCAACTACCAAAACTACCTCCTCCAGTTCCGGAAGGCTTTCTGGGCGGGGCTTATTTCTATCTTCACGGGTTTTCTTCCAAGCAGGTTAGTGCGAAAAAAAAAAAAAAAAAAAAAAAAACAGATTTGGCGAACGAGTTCGTTACTTACCCTTTTTAGATGGGCATTTTAAGACGTCATGTTGAGTCCAATGGGGCACAGTGCGTTGAAACAATGATGGAGTTCTCCCGACCTAGCATTCCAAAGACGGGACAGGGACTATATATCATGGTTCCATACCAAACACCAAAATCAAAAGTACCATCTACTGAAGATATGGCATTTGAATGCGAATTTGTCACCGATATGTGGCTAGAAAGGTGTCTCTATGCTCGAGCTTTGGTCTCACCAGAATCGCATGTTGCAAGCACTCCGTTCCCTAAATTTCCAATACCAGGTGAGCTCCATGACCCGTAAAGTGTGACTATGAATCTAACGGTAAATAGGATTTCCGGGAATGCGCATATGTTCTACAGGCTTCGGTGGGATTGATCTCTTGCATGTCTCCAAATTAGTCAACTTGATGGGTGCTACTTATAATGAGGTCTTGACACCTAGTGCATCTGTTCTGTTATGTCTTAACCCCAAGTCTGCTAGTCAAGACAAGTTGCGTCATACCGCAGAATGGAAAGTCCCGGCAGTTTCGGCCGATTGGCTATGGACATCCATTCAGACTGGTCAGAAGAAGCCATTTGAACCATATCTCGTTGAGAAACGGACCACGCAACCCAAAAGTCGCCCAGAACAACTAGGTGCTGCATTTTTACCTGATAAAGAACCCCAAAAACAGCCTGAAATTTTACAGGATAGCAGATCCAAATCCTCAATACAAAGAGCCCCCAAACGAACCTTATCTGGAAACCACGAGAAGAACCGGGTAACAGCCATTGATGATGGCTTCGCAAGAAATGAACTTGACATCGCGCCGCAAGCATCCATACCAGAATCTCGATCTCCTTCACCTGAAGTATTGGAAAAAGAGACCGAACCTACAACCGAAAAATCAGAACCCGAACCTCCTAATCCTCCAGAACCCTCTGCCCTAGCCACCGCAATGCAAGGTTTCATCCAGCAAGCACAAGCAGCAAAATCAAAAAAGCAACAAGATCCAACTCCAAGCACCGAAGATCCAAGTTTTCCAGCACGACGGAAACGCAAACCCCTTCTAGGCCGTGCATCCTCACACTCATCCAGCAAAGTTCTCGAATCCATGATCGCCCCCTCCCGCGCCAGTTCAATCGATACCCTCAACGACGATGGCCTCGGGACAACCCTCGAAAGCGCCAATCCCACCCGCGACAACTCCGTATCACGCGCGACCAGTCACGCCAACGAACAGAGTCTAGCATCAATGTTCAGCGGCGAGAAATTCGACTTTTTAGCTGATCAGCTCACTCGGAATACTCAAAATGAGGACGAGGAAAATCAAGAGCCGCCAATGACTCAGCTTGACTACGAGGATGCGGATGCAGCAGCTATGAGAGCAGAGTTTCTGCGAGATGCTGGGAAATTACCTGAGGGGTCCAGGCACGCTGATTCTAGCATGCTCCTTGGAGAAGTGGAGGAATTGGAGGATATCGGATGGGGGTCTAAGCGCAGAACAAGGAGACAACCCGTTAAGTCTGATTAATTCATGGATGAGATTTACTCCATTTGTAAAAAAAAATCACAATATGCAGAAACTGATAGTAATTGTGTTGATCCACACCAAAGCATATTAATACAATGGATTTAAGAACGTTTGAGATGTAGTTTACTAACCCTGGAACTACTCAAGTACCGAGTGGGGCGAGGGTTCCGGTAGAACCACGGAGCTTTATACTACGGAGTAGCTCTACTAGTTCTTATCTTCCAAGGTTAGAAGGATTCATTCCACTGGAACGAAAGACATAAGTCAAGCAAAGTATGGCAAAGTATAAAGACACAACCACCTCATAGGAATGAAACCTATATCATCGAATAGTATAGTTCGAATCTCATCTCAATCGACCACTAGCTACTACACCTGATCATGACCGACGCCGACATCCCAGCCGGTCTTAAGATATATATCATCACGCTCTGCGAGATCTGTACTGAGCTTAGCGTTGCTTTTGTTAAGACTTCTACTGGATATGGGTTTGTCAAGCAGGCTGACGGGTCTTATAACTACCTCGGGGCAACTGTGTTGGATCTGAAGCTGATGAGGAAGCACTCTGGACCTAAGGTGCAGATTAAGGCGACGGGTAGTGTTTGCACTCTTGATGACTTGCTTTATGTTATGAGTCTTGGAGTTACTCGGATTGGAGCCACGGCCACAGTAGCTGTTTTGGACAAGGCAAAGAAGAGGGGAACTGGCAGTGAGCCAGGGGAGGTGCGCTTTGTAACTATGAAGGAGAAGGTATGGTGCTATTGAGATTTTTTGATTGACTGCGTGAACTTTGCGCTACTCCAGTTCCTAGTTTCATTAACGTGGGTTGCTCCTTCTTTTATTCCTTGCCTTTTAAAATTGCGCCAATCTGTCAACACCCCAGATCCAAGCCTACTCTGGCGCGATATCGGTTCCGGGATCAAGTAGATCTGAGAAAGGCGATTCAAGCAAGGCGTTCATGTCATGACCCTAGAGGACTTGGATCAGAATATTAGATGATAATTTTAGACAGAAATGGTATCATCTTCCCACCTTGATCAAAGTCGTGAAGGGCTTACAATATAGGCGAGGGCGAGTCTTCTATGTATTTAAACATAGTTTCCTGTCTAGGAGGATCATTCAAAGCGAGCGCCTGGGCCTGCAAACCACCTTCATCTGCATCATGGTTAGCCCTCTAAGCCCCTGAGGTGCTATTCTGTTACTGTGGTTGCCTTGCACTACTGGCTGGTAACATTTCTTTCAATTCCTTCTCAATGAGTAATCTGGCCAATCTTTCCAGAATATCTAGATTATGTGCAGGGATTTGAGAATGAGACCGCGACTTTCAAATGCGCCTGCATACTAAGAAGACGACGTAGGCCTGTTTTGAACTGATATGACTGTTCAGATAAAGGCTCAATACTCGTCCGTCAATATGCAAAGCATAATCACAGCAGTAAGGTATGAATGTTGATTAAAGCTTGTGCATAAGTGTCAGCAGCAAAGTACGGAAGTCTTTTCAGCTTCAAAAGTGCGTAGAGCTGCGTCTCGTCAAGTCTTCAGATATGTATTTAGGGGGTTTTGGGCTGAGTGGGCCTCTTCAACATGGAAAGGACTATCTTGTACGCAAGCAAGGGCCCATGCACAAGAATTTCTTCATTATCGAATGCAAGGCTGAGAGCAAGAGCCTGAAGTTGATAAATGTGCTTTTCAAATTTGGGGCTGGAAGCACGAATATCACGGTCCATCTGATGATGCGGCTATTGTTTAGCCTTAGTACATCAGGTATCTCAGCATTCTACTTCTGCAGCCTAGTGTCAAGAGCAGACATTTTGCGAATTAAATTCTGAAGACCGGAAGAATTGTCCGATTTGTGCTTCTGAACGCCCTTTGAGGACCTGAGCCCATGGAGATCGGTCAAAATGTCTTTAATGAGAATCCAAAGCTTTGACATCACATATTTATAAATATATATAAGATAGGAGCGAAGCCGTACACTTCTGTGTTTCATCAAAAGAAGGTGCCTGGCACGACGAGATTATCTACCTAGGTAGCTACTAACTACATACCTAGAAACAGCGTGATATTGGGGCTACGGGGATATTCACGTGTATTCGAAGTTTGGATCTATATATTTTCATTTATGTAACCTCCAGGGCCTGGAAACGTCGAGTTGCATCTTCAGGCGGTTTATCATGCCTAGGTTTATTTTGTTTCTAACATTGGATATATATTCTCATGACAGCATGATTCTCATTTGAGGCTTTTGCCATGCCATTGAGTCGCCTGACTGTGCAAATTCTGGTATAAACCGCTGACGGAAGTATTAAAATATCGAACAAACACCCTAGATACGGGCGTTGATGATATCGACAAAGGCAGGCTTCAAGCTGGCACCGCCAACAAGGAAGCCGTCAACATCAGGCTGTGTGGCGAGCTCACGGCAGTTCTTCTCGCTGACAGAGCCACCGTAGATGATGCGGACCTCCTCCTGGACCTTGGCGGAGACGGTCTCGCCGAGCCACTTACGGATAGCGGCGTGGACCTCCTGGGCCTGTTCAGTGGAGGCGACCTTACCGGTACCAATAGCCCTAAACATAGAGAGTTAGCAAATATTCCTCCGCAAGGTGGGGAAATATGTAGATCTTCTTACCAGACGGGCTCGTAGGCGATGACGACCTTGGCCCAGTCCTCCTGGCTGAGCAACTTAGCGACAGCGTTGAGTTGACGGTAGACAACCTCAATGGTCTTGTCGGCCTCACGCTCCTAAAGTAGAGGTCGGGTGTTAGCGGAGAGTTTACCATGCCATTTCCCGGCGACCCACACCGGGACGAGAAAAGGGTAATCGAAACATATGACGTACCTCCAAAGTCTCACCGATGCAGAAGATCACAGAGACACCGCCATCAATAGCGGCCTTGACCTTGCGGGCAATGAACTGTTAAAAAAAAAGTTTGGTCAATGACTGTGGTTTTCCATATTGGATAGCGGGGGTTGATTTTGCTGTTTTGTTCCGTTCCGCTACGGGTGCAAGAACTTCATACCTCATCATTCTCCTTAAGGATAACACGGCGCTCGCTGTGACCGATGAGAGTCCAGTCGATCTTGATATCCTTCAGCTGTTCAACGCTGATCTCACCGGTGAAAGCACCGCTGGGCTTGTCGAAGACGTTCTGGGCGGCAACGCCAATTTCGGCCTTGGCCAAGCTGCGGGTTAAAGAGAGGTAGAGGGTAGGAGGGGAGATGACGACCTCGGTGGTGGAATCGAGCTTGGCGGAGTTGAGGTTGTTGACGATGTCGGTGATACTAGAAGTAACACCGTTCCTAGATGTATTGTCAGATTCATTGTTGTGTTGCAGGTATAGAGGGGTAGCTCGAAGCTGTGCGGGGGTTTAAACAACATACATCTTGAAGTTACCACCGACGAAGAATTGGCGAGGCATGGTGAATGAATTGAGGGGTGTTTTTTGGGAGAAGGGAAGAAAGTGAGGAAGTTGAAGTTGTTGAGGGAAGAAGAGGGAGACGGAAAGTTAAATAGTATGGAGTTATGGAGGAGGGGCACTTTTTCATCCCGAGGGTCGATCGGAGCACGCCTGACAGGCCATTCTCTCTATGACGCCACCCGAACACGTCTATGGTTCTATATTTCATCTTGATTAATGTCTCTAAATTCATCAATGCTTGGTAGGTTCAGTTCTTCCATTCACTATAATCTATACCTTAATCCCACTTAGGTACTTATGCATGAACCGCCAGGCCTTAAATGAACCTGTAAACTAACTAATGTTGGTATCAGGTTGCACATGTTCTTGCGCCTAGCATCGTGTTTACAATTCAACTTCAATCCCAATCTCAATTGACAGGTGCTAAATATCTGTCTGGCCAGAAGATTTTCACATCATGCAATATACGCAAATGGACAGACACTATTCCGCTTCTGATTTCACTGACCCGATAGCCCATTTGGGAATTGAAATACAATGAATAGACCCACGTATTTAGGCATGTAAAATTCAACAGCCCTGGGAGTCGGGAGATAAAATTGAAGGTCAGACGTGGCGTGAAATCAAAAGGACTTAAATTGCTATACCTTCCAAAATTCCAAGTACAACAACGACCGCAACAATGCCCAAAACATCAAAGTTTGAAGGGATTGGCCAGGGCATCCTTCCAATACTCTTTGTTGCGAGGCTGTCAAAAAATGTCTAACTACCTGAATAGGTACGATGCATCTAGCTTGCTCACCTGTACCACCCAGACAATGATCACCTGAGTAGTCCGAATTACGATTCCAAGGTTGAAATTTCTGCTATTAGTGCTATGAAACCTTTGAAAACTATGGATACATACTCAGACCAACTCTGGAAATGCTATCTCAAGAGGTCTCTATATATGATCTATACTTCAATTTAGGTACACTTTGGTTTCCAGAATGAACCTTGGAAGCTGCTACATCCAATGCTTTCAGGTGATCTGAAAGGGCAGTAGGCTAGCTGAAAAGGGGCTTGATACTCATCTTTGAGATCAAATGCCATGGGCGCCCTTCCAATCGTTGAAGGTTGAGGCTCTTGTTTCAAGCGGGTATCAGATGAAAAGGGCTTACAACACAAGACCTCGAAGAATCTCATTGTTCTAACAAGAATAATATTACATAGCACAATGAGCTTCTTGTTCCATATCAAGTCTTTCTATTGTTTAATTGTGTTTCAAATTTGAAAGGCTGCAATGATTCTTGTTTTGTTTTCTCGGCCTTTGTCGATACCAACCTGTTGTTAGAGGTAGCTATATGACTACACATATAGGTATAAATCAAGTGAATTAGCCCGGCATTTGAATTTCAATCCAGTCTGCATACATTCTATCATCTACTCAAAGAGTATCCGAAACCTAAAACTAACTAAGACGCTTTCAAACATCATACATAGCATTTTATTATGGAGTTGAATATCCCAGTCAATACGCATTGGAGAAAGTCCTTTGCACACCAAATCCGATTCCTCCTTGACCCCAACAGCGATCTGTCCAAGAGGCATCCCCATCTACATCACATCCTTGCTAGGAATGCAGATGATGCTCTTCATATGAGAGGGGGTAAACCTATATCTCAATGTACTCATAAGATCAAGCGAATCAATGAAGAATCCAGGAACTCCTATAGCCTCGGTCGAAGCGATGGGCCGGCGTTTCAGAAGAACGAAAATTCCGAGATTGTCAACCAACTATGGGCGTTTGAAGACACCGTGGAGCATCGCTACAACTGTCTGTGTACCGATCTCCTAGACCGCATGGAAATTTATGGTTATCTGGGTTCAGGAAGTAAGTGTAGATTTCCTTTTCGATTAAAATTATGTCTTCGATAAACAAATGCTAATTGATTACAGCTTTTGCCGCGGTTTTCCTAGCAAGAGATAAAACTACTTCCTCTTGGCAAGCAAGGCCAGAGGATGTGAATCACTACGCCGTGAAGGTTCAGAGGCACGAGACGGTATTGGGTGCCGTGACCTCTGGTCGACCTACGCAACCGATGATTGCCATTGAAGAGGTCTCATCAACCCGGTATATCCCCAATGAAGCGTTAATTCTCTTACTTCTGACACACAGTGACAGGTTCCCTATGCTTGACTCCGTCTATACGCATGATAGGTTCCATGCCATTGTTATGTCACCATGTATTGACCCTTCCCCCGAGAGAAATCCAGGCTATCCAGGAAGCATGAGACGGGTCTTCCCAGCATTTACGGGGAAGTATCTGATGAACAAGAACAAAACGCCCCTGTTAGATGAGATGCAGGCCTGCAAAGTCGCCGCACAGCTTTTGGAAGGCATAGTTCATATGGCTGACATGAACCTCTGGCACACAGATCTGTCAGTCAATAATTTCTGTGTTGATCAGAATCTGAACGTTCAGATTATTGATCTCGGAGAAACCACGTTTGGTCTCAAAGATCACGACTTTCGAGAGAGTGAATTTTACTATATTCCCTATCAGGAGTATCAAGTATTTCCCGAAGTAGCTGAACAGCTTTTAGAAATAAAAAGCCATAATTATGATTCTCACAACGCAGGCTTACTTCCTCTGACACATGATGTCCGCGAGGAAGCCATCTGGAAGTACGGTGTCATTGTATATGGCATTCTCCATGGCTATTGGCCTTGGGAGGAGGTCTGTCACTTTGATCTACTGCGTTGGAAACCTGGCCATCATGACGATATCATCGATGAGCGCCGAATGAGAATGGTTAGGTACGACGTGCCTATTAACGAAAGCTTATCACAGGGCTGTAGAGATGTTCTTCGGCGGCTTTTGTCTAGAGACCCACGGAATCGGCCGTCGCTGGATGAGTTGATTACCTTTCCATGGTTTTCGCAGTGGTCCAGAGCCAATCGGTTATATGAGCGGCCCTTTTCACACAGATTTCAGAATAGTTACTTTAGATCAGCTGGTATGTAATATCCGAGCATGAGCTCCATCCTCTCACGTTCAACTAACAAACTTCATGATTCAACACGGACGAAGAGCTTTCTAAGTGAAGAAGGGGAAGACTTTTCTAGCGATGAAAAGGAAAGCTTTTCAAGACACGAAGAAACAATTTCTAGTGAAGAGGATAAATCCTTGATCGACGGCGAGGAAAAAGAAGGCACATCCAGCAATGACCTTTTTATAAAACGCGAATCTTCTGTCTATTGATAAATGGAGTCTCCAAATTCCTATACTATGACGCCACCATTCAGGGATTGGAAATTTCGCCGCTGATTGCATATATCACTCTATCAAGCCCAAGGTTATAAGTCACTTTGTCAAGTCCTCTTGAGATCTTTTTCTTTCTTTGCCTGTACCCATGGATCCTTTCGTGGTCTGTTTCGAAGGTTGTCTTTCATATATCTATTTTCAGAACGCCCGGGCCTTCAAATATTTAGACATGCCGAGGTCTTCGAAGTCTGCTTAAAGCAGAGTTTTCTCGTACAATCATATACATTTTTACTAAAAAAAAAAATGAACCCATGAATCAATAGTATACCTACGGATTATCTGCGTAGGTACCTAGCACTAGAGATACATCCACATATAAGACCAAATTAATGTGGATAGACCATCAGCCCACAGGGCTTGGAATTTCTACAACGATGGAGGCTCAAGTAGACTCAGAGAAACGTTCCAAGGTTGGAAACCAAAAAGCTACCAGCTGAGATTCCGAGGTCGTAGAAAGGAAGCGTCAAAATGGAGTCTTGCGGGCGCTAACAATAACAAAGCGACTATGGAAAAAAAAAAGAGAAGGCTTATGCCAGACAGCGAGATTAACCCACCTACAGGTTCTGCCAATGAAAAGCAAAAATATCAAAGCTGAAAAGGTTGAGATCATCAACGTCGTAGACTATCCAGTCTTGCTTGAAGATCATCATCATCCGCGTGACCTCCACCACCGATGGCCTGCGCAACGCGGGTCTCTCCAACCGATTCTTTTTGAATGTTAGAAGGTGTCTCGCCCATCTGGTCGAAGATTGTCAGTACACTACACAAATAGCGGCATGATAGGGGAGACAAACCGATTGACCCAAATCAACACCAATTTCATCCAATACTTCTTTGACAATATCCTCGCCTTCCTCCTCTTCACCCTCAATCCCGGTAGCCTCGTCAATGGCATCGTCCATCATCTCTTGTCGTTCATCCATGACCTCGTTCTCTCGTTCGAACTCCATCGCGATGCGCTGCAATGCGGGAAGATTCATCTGTCGGTTCATGCTTCCCAGAAGCATGGTGGCACCCTTCATTGACTGCATCATTTGTTCATTGCTGCGGACCGTCTATGTTGTAACACTAGTGAGCACTTTGTAAAGTCGTCGTAGGGGTTTGCGAGCTTATCGTACCTGAATACGTAGAGAGATTGCCTGTAGTTGAGTGCGCATCTGATAGAATTTCTGAATATATCTATTTCAGAAACACAAGTTAGACAGAATGCTCAAGATAGTAAGATAGAATAGGATAGGATGATAGACCACATACCTTCGTGTCCGAACAAGATCCTTAGCTTGGATCTTACAGGCACCGATCTGGCCATTCTTTGCGCTTTTCTTGATATCTTGAATCAACTTCTTCTCCTGATTCTCGAGCTTAGTGCGCTCTCGGTCCAGCTCGCGCTGGGTTCGATCCAGGGCACGCTGGTGCTTGCGCAGACGCTCCGCAGGCGTTATGCGCTTGCCGAAGGCCCATTCGACGATCTGAGGGGTATGTCAATAGTCTGAGCCAAGTCACATACAGTGATATTCAAGCTTACATTCATTACGAGCGCGAAGAATGGAAGGATAGAGTGAAAGAAAATTGTAGCCTATTCACTTAAGATGATCAACTGAGTGACATCAAGCGGGACAACGGTACCAAGTTACCGGTAATTTTGGTAATATTACAAATCTTACAGTCACATGCACACTCTAAACCTTTTAAGGACCAAACGTCACTTTCCATGGAAATCTGCCCATCTACAAACAAAACCCTTTCATGGCACACTCACACTGTCCTTATTCGCCATGAGTCAGGAACATTTTCCAAATGGGGGATCTTGGAGATCTACTTCATCTCGTTTCCCTGGCGAAGACCAGGAACAGGTTCCCTCTAATTCCCAACCGCCGCCGGCCTACATGACCGTAGGTAGTGGCTCGACTTCCGAGAGTGCCACTGCCTTGATGTCCTCACTTTCTCGTGACTCGGGATATGAAGGCAGCGCTGCCGGTGAGACTCATACTGGTAGCGATTCAAGTTCAGCATGGCGTGCTGGCTTATTGGAAGACCGACCAACTCCAATCCATACTCCGACGCGCAGCGACGAGTGGAATCCTGCCGGTGAGTGACTCCGCATGAATATTATATAGCAGTTTTATATATTTATCAATAGCTAACGCAAACTCTTGCGCCCCAGTCGAGCATGAGAAACAGGTTCTTGCGAGTCATGTTTCCCAACTTCTTTAGTATGTTCTTTTTTCAACTACGCCAACTGCTATACCCGCAGGAGTACTCACATCTTTCTTCTAGCAACTCAAATCGAACGAAGCTTGGACGCGCGATTTCCCGGACTCTCGAGACATTAAAAGAGCTACAGGATATAAATCGACAATGGCCTGCAGTCTACCCCTCCGTGCAGGACGGTTCCCCTTCCCTTTCGGAGCGACCGCAATTGCAACACACGAACACACATTTTGGAAATGACGAAATGAGACCTGGCACTCCACCTCGTCCGGGAAGTCTGAAACGTGCTGCGACTACTGCTGGAGGAGACGATCTTGGTGAATCTAGCGCTGCCGCTCAACGCCGCGTTCAGCCTGAGCCTAGATTGATGACTCCACAAATAGCCCAGGAATTTTCCATCTTGAAGCTCGACTTGAAGCTCGGTGCGCTGTCGCAAGCAGAACTCGTGCATTCCTTGGAGAAAGCCTCTATCGCCTCACTTTTAGATGGAAAAATTAGCCAGAGCATGAAACATCTTCTCTCCCTTCGAGAGCGCATCGAAGATACGTCAAGTAAGGTGTTGATCACAGGAGATTTGAACGCAGGTAAATCGACATTCTGCAATGCTCTTCTTCGGCGCAAAGTGTTGCCCGAGGACCAACAGCCGTGCACCAGCATTTTTTGTGAGGTCCTTGATGCTCGAGAGAACAGTGGAATCGAAGAGGTACATGCAGTTCACAAGGATGCCATCTACAACCGCAATGACGAAAGCACATATGACGTATTTGTATTGAGCGAGCTCGAAAACATTGTGGTGGACAACTCCAAGTACATGCAGTGCAAGGTCTACGTTAAGGATGCGCGATCGATTGATGAGTCCTTACTTAATAACGGCGTGGTCGACATTGCCTTGATCGATGCCCCAGGTCTAAACTCGGACTCTTTGAAGACAACCGCCGTCTTCGCCCGACAAGAAGAAATTGACGTTGTTGTCTTCGTTGTATCTGCAGCCAATCATTTCACCCTATCTGCGAAAGAGTTCATCCTGAATGCAGCCCACGAAAAAACTTATATTTTCATGGTGGTCAATGGTTTCGACCAGATCCGAGATAAACAGCGATGCGAGCGCATGATCCTTGATCAAGTGGGCAAGCTTAGCCCTCGCACGTATAAGGAGTCAGACGAACTGGTGCACTTTGTATCCAGTAATGCCATTCCGACTGCTCCACATGTCTTGCAGTCTGGGTCTGGTGGTGGTGACGGTGGAAGTTCAGATCCTCACGACGATGATGACGATGATTCTGGCAAAGGTAAGGGCAAGCAGAAGGAAATGGAAAAGATCCAAGATTTCGAAAACCTGGAAGGGGCATTGAGACGCTTTGTTCTCGAAAAGCGGTCCCGCTCCAAGCTTGCACCTGCACGTACCTACCTTCTGAACCTTCTCGCGGACCTGACTTCGCTCGCCACTGTCAACCGGGACGTCGCTCAGTCAGAGCTTACGCGAGTGACCAATGAGCTTCAAGAAATTGAGCCCGCCTATGAGAACGGCAAGAAGAAGAAGGGTGAGCTGGCTGAGGGCGTTGACAAGGCCATCGACGATTCATGCGACGATGTATACAACCACACCCGTACCACCTTGACAGACACCATCGCTCAAGTATCCCGAGCTGAACTCGGCGTTCAATATCCCGGTGTTTTCTCCGTGTTCCAGTATGCCGAGGATTTGAAGCTTGCCATGCTTAATCAAATTTCGGCAGCAGTCACTAACTGTGAGGACTATGCCCGGGAGAAGACTGTCCAAGGTGTCGGTTTCATTCAAAATATCGGGTTGCTGCATGTTGGTGAGGACAAGTTCACTCCTCTGAACTTCCGTGCGGATATGATGTTCCGCCGAGGTCGCCGCCATACCTTTGGTCGCCAAGTCGATACCGAAGTGGAACTATGGGACTTCTTAGACATTGCCGCACTCTGGGAACGCCAAGAAAAGGTTGCAGGAACAGGTATAGCAATGACTGCCGTCACGGTTGTTGGTAGCCGGGCCCTCGGCGGTTTCAGTTGGGTGGATAGCGCTTTGAGTGCAGTTAAATTTATTGGACCAAACAACGTGCGCCGGATGTTCTTCCCCAGTCTTTTGGCAGCTGGTAAGTCTTTTTTCAACTGTTGTATTTAAAACATTCTTACTAACTCAGTATCAGCCATCTTGACCACAGCCTATGTGTTGTCATCCATTCCGAATACGTTACCTCCTCGTTTGTCTCGCAAGATTGCCGCGAAACTCTCACAAATGGATTACGTTCACACAAACGCCAACCGAATTTCCACCGAGGTCCGAAAAATCCTTCGACTTCCGGCGACAAGCTTGCAAGCTACCCTTGTCCAAGACATCGAGGACCTTGGCCGACGCAAGCAAGAGGTTACCAAGCTCAAGAAGGAGAGCGAGGTTGCCACCAAGTACTTTGGAAACCTGTTCCGCGACAGCAGTCAGAACCGCCGTTCTGTAGAGGACCTTGACCTGGACGCCCCCCTTCCTGGTGCCATGGGTGCCTACGCCGCATGAGCGCCCACTTTATGTACCAAAAATTACGATTTCACTGAACTGGCTTTCCCTTGCGATACCTACCAGAACTACCACATGGTCTCTATTTCCATTTCCCTAAAAATGTACAATCACCCCCTTCCGTACTCCTTTCTTTCTTCCCTGGAATTCCCTCTCTTCAAATGAAATTCATGTTCTAGATTATCTACGACTATGATTCCACCCCAAAAGAGATATGGCTTATGCCCAGTTCCTTACGTTCTCACTTAATATCGTGTGTTGGCGTGCACTGGGGTCATTCCAAGGTTTTAGCCCAAGATTCCCATCTGAATTGAAATATTCACTCTATGTCCCAGATCCTGATGTAATTCCAGATTGATTCTGTTGTTTCTTCGATTCTGTTTGTTTTGAGAAATGAATCATATGTTTCATTATAAATCATATATTAGATCATGTTTCCATATTTCCCATGAAGGACATTTTCCAGCGAATATATGTCGCTGGAAGACATGGTGATAACCTTGGGGCCTTGCAAAATATTATCATCATATAAAATGCATGCATCCCGTCTGTCAAACGGTGTGGTTTGTATTTTGCGAGGTCATGTTTTCATGCGCATGTTCAGTTGAGATGCTTATACGGATAGGAGAATTATGGATTTCTCACTTCAAATACAGAGGTAGCACCAACTTGCAATAGATTCAGTTTTATGGCGTCGGAATATGCATATTTCACAAACACTAGAATGGGATGAATGCAGGAATTTGTACGCTGTCAAGGTCCGATTGTCAAACAAGAAGAATTAACTAAGGAAAAGGGGACCTGGGGACCGGATGCTCTTATGGCAGGAACCAGGAACGCAGTCTTTCCAGACACTGGGCATATTGTCGGGTATAGACCCGTTACAGCTTTCATATCGTCAGAATACTGACGCGTCTTACTGGTGCATATGCATCTACTTTGTAAATGTATTGTTGCGAGTCGTAAGAGGTGTCTTATTTAAGTCTACTCCAGAACTGTCTAAAGTAGTTTCCCATTTATTAACCGACAAAACCAATTAGGTGCCAAAGATTTACTGCAGTATTACTACAGTAAATCTGGGCTCCATTCGCGATTGAAACCACTTTCAGTCCATCTTATCAACACATATAAAGACCCCACGGTATATAAAGATCTTATGAGTCTATATCTAGCTACCTACGAGCCCCTGTCTGGCTACCTATAAGCCCATGTCTGGCTACCCACGAGCCCGACCACTACGTCTACGCCTTGGAAAGGAGGGGGATAGCTTAGAGCTAGAACGATAAGCCTGAACTATAGCCTGCGACCTTGAATTTATGCCTAGGTACGTGAGTTTCCAAGGCTTTCTATATAGCTCTAAAGCTTTATCTCTTTTATTATCACCATGACACAAGATAATGGAAACATGAAAGCCACCTGACAGATAAAAAGAATCAAAAAACTATTCGAGATAGTACAAAGAAAACGACACCTGCAGGATTTGAACCTGCGCTCACGAATGAACGCCCTTAGCAGGGGCGCGCCTTAGACCACTCGGCCAAAGTGTCTTATTGATATACTAACTCCTAGTTGATATCATGAAATTGAGTCATTTGGGCGGTTGGAGTGCAGACATTACAAACGTAATGAGACCCACATTCAATTTATGGTCTTCCTATTGGCTGTTATTATTGGTCTAGTCCTAAAAGGAATAGCTCAAAATATATACACCAATAGGAAAATTATTCCCCGTAACTATACTGTGGCTTGAGCTGACATTTCAACTAATACTTCACTGTCACCGCAAATGGAGTCATCGATAAAGCTTCCATCTCTGTTTCATTGTTTTCTGATACAGCTGTGAGGAAGACCCGCAATGACTTGAATAAAAAATACTATCATAGGGATTGATACAACTGAAAAATATGATTGACTTTTATCTTGAATAGAGCAGAGAGGTCGAGAACTCATATATCTTTTCTCGACTACCTTGCAGTGTCAAGGTGCAGGCTCCGGCAGGAATAACACTGGAACTGTTACAGAAACTAGTTCATTCATTAGCAGACCGGACACCTGCAACGTATGAAAATCTTGCCCGTACTAAGCCGGCGGGATTCTTCGACAATGAATGGCTAGGAATCTCAACCACTTCAAGCTTCGATGGAGTGGAGATAATTTTCTATATACGCTCTGCAACTTCGAGATTTTGACCCAGAAACCTTTTTACAATCAATTTACCAAACAATGAATCAATAATAATATACCCGATATCCTTTTTGCTCTTCATTTCCCGTACATATCAAATACTATAACTCTCTAGACCAAAATTTGAATTTCTTAGTGTTTTCCAGTGCATATTGAATACTTAGAATCAGACCAGAAGCGACCCAATTCAGTTCAATTTGTCCATCAATGTCTAGCTATAACAATAATAAATGAATGTTGAAATAGCTATATATTCGATTCTGTGTTATCCTAGCCACGTCCTTCTCCCCAGTCTCATCGTCGACAATGGTTTCTGGAAGTGGTGATTCCACTGCCCGAGTTTGGGATTGTGATACTGGAACCCCACTGCACACTCTCAAGGGACATACCAGCTGGGTGCTGGCTGTCGCCTATTCTCCGAACGGCGCTATAATCGCAACCGGTAGCATGGATAATACAGTGCGGTTGTGGGATGCGAAGAAGGGATAGGCTCTCGAAGGCCCATTGAAGGGCCACGCGAAGTGGATTACCAGTCTGGCATGGTAGCCGTACCATCTGCAACTTCAAGAGTCTGGGCGGCCCTGTCTGGCGTCGGCGTCCAAGGACTCGACCGTACACTTATGAGATGTGGTGTCGAAGCGAATTGAGTCTGTATTGACGAGTCACAAGGGTTCTGTGAGCTGCGTTCGATGGAGTGGAACTAGATAGATGTATATTACGTCTCACGACAAGACTATCAAGATTTGTATAGAAGTGCTTTCCACAGAGATTCCGGGGGTTTGTAGGCGGTTGACCAGACGGTGGCGGACGTGCCATATCTCCAAAAGGATTCTCATAGTGAGCGGGGGAGAAATTCATTCTATCCTTGCGACGAAGGAGAAGAATTGTTGTGGGTATTGCATATTGAAATGCCTTCTCAGGTGACTTGTTGGAAGAAACAGAATGAAGATTGTTGGCTAGAAGAGGGAACCTTGGAAGGATTGAATCAAATAATTCGGTGTATAGTCAATTTTTGTTACGAGGTAAAGTGAAGGCCCCGGAGAAGCTGCCCAGTATTCTTGCTGCGTGATGCTACCAAAGGTCAAAAAGGACTACTCCTGAGGTCTACGTACTTTCAAGTTCCTGAATTTAAAGACCTCGAACATATCAGATTCAATGAATTGCGTAATGAAGGGAAAGGTTCTTGACAACTGTGAATTGAAGCTTACTTTGGCGCTCTCTTGTCGTAAAAGGACCTAGGAATATTCGTACGGAGCCTACCGACTTCGAGATATTAAATATTTATATTAGATGCGCCTGGGCACATTCTAAATGTCATCTCCAGAAAAAAGAAAATGGTGACAAAGAATCTTGTTCTCGATATATCTGTAGAAGAAAAAAGAAAGAAGAAAGCGCCGCCCCAAACTCCGTAAAGATGCCCACGAGTATCTTTTACTTTTTGATTGATAAACAGAAGTCCCAGAAAGACAGATAGTGAACTGTGCATCTATGCATCCACCATAGCATCCTCCTCTAGAATCTTGATCTCGCCGGAACTCCGTTCCCATTGGGCCTTCAGGTCCACCTTGAACTCGGACGAGGTAACTCCGAACATCTTCATCAGGGTAGTCTGTCTGGAGTCAAGTGTCTCGCCCTCCCGGCACACCTGGTAGCCCTCCTGGCCCTCTGTCAACTCGAGCATGACCTTACCCTTAATGAGGCGGGTGGGAACACCGAGCTTGCGAAGAGCGGGCTCGATAGTGTGGCTAATGGGCTCGTCATTGTCGGTGGGAATCTCGCCAGCACGAGAGTAAACAAGACCGTTGGGAATGCTGAAAGAGCGGGTCGCCTCGGTGCCAGCACGGGCAAAGTCTTGGGGGCGGAAAGTCTCGAAGTAGTTGATGACATTTTCAGCGGGGCGAGAGGTAAACAGCAGGCCGACGGCACCAGTAAGATAGGGTGTCAGACGGTGCAGGTTGGGAGCGGCCTCAGTCTCAGGGGTGCTTCCAAGAGCCTTGGCCATGACCTTAGTCTTACCGAAGAAAAGGCTGAAGAGATTGTATTAGTCGATTTGATGTAATTTTTTTTTCATGAAGATTGAGGTGGAGATATGATTGGTTGTCTCGAAAAGGAGATTATATCTTGTGCACACTCAGTCTTCTCAATTATGACCTACCGACTGTCTGTGAACTCAGTGCGGACATCTTTCAGGTATGTGTTGCGCATGTTGTCCACCGCAAAGACAAACATATGGTCATATTGCTCCAAGCACTCCCGGATATTGGCATAAAGTCGGCGGGTCTGTTCCTTGTGATCCTTCTTCGTAACCTTGGACTCGTGAACGATACGCGCGCGCTTTGAACGAGGCATTTTGAGTTGATGTGGTTGGTTCTGTAAAAAAGAAAAGTACAATTCGTTGCGGAGAGATAATCGTAATCGACTGTGGCATTTTTTTCGTTGCTGATAACCGGATTATCTGATATGCCGGGCTTATCCGACCCCCACTAGCCCCAATGGGGCAACCAGCTACTTAATGTCTTGATCCATCGATTCGACTCTCTTGATTGACAGCGTCAGGGTCGACTAGGCCTCGGACTAGAAAATGCTGGAATTTATGGATTACATTCAACTCGGCTTCGCGGAGGCGACCAATTGGAACTGCGACAATTCTTACTCGTCACTAAATACCACCGCGCAATGTAAGTCGCTTGACTTCAGGGATGCGCCGTAAATGGGACCTAACTGGGATGGATCTAGCAATCCTGGACTTTTCGACCCCAGAGAGATTTCGGATTCGCCTCTCCTCGCTGTCAACTCCGCACTTTGCAACGAGTTACTCGCTTGGTACAGTGGGGTTGCTTGATGGATCCGTATCATACCTTTTCAGCACAGTTCCCTTATATAATACTCCCAGTCGGAGTACATTGATCCCACTCAGAAAAATCTCTCTTGGGTATCGACAAGTGCAAGCGCCTGTATTACCTGTCCAGTCCTGGGGGTCCGACTCTATTTTAGACGATGTTAGTATCCCGGGGCTCAAGGAGGCTTCGTCCTCAAGAACGTCCAAGGAAGGAGACCAGACTACAGAGCGACGGAAGGCCAGTCTCCTCCATGCCTCACTACATTTACCATCACCTACAACACTAGAGGCTCTGTTTCTGCGTCGTATCTCCTCAACAATGCAGCTATCGCTGGCAGTCTGCTCCACCCAGGGCCCACCTCTATCCAAGTCCGCACCCCAGGCTTCAATGCTAGCCCAACTTTCCCACGACACAGGGAAGTACTGCAATGAATATCTTTTCAGTACAGACAACGCTCTATTTGGCTGGCGTGGACTTTGGAACTTTGGCCCTGACCCACGATACGACCGCCATAAATCTTCACCCGCACTATCTCTTCTTTCAGCTGGTGCAGAGGCATATTACTCTCCCATCTCCTCATTGCTTGGCATGTCTACGGGACTGCGATTTAGCACACTACCTGCGGCCACAAATGTCCCTTCATCGTCATCATCATATACCAGCCACCCAGCACCCATATCGACTTTCCCCTACACATTAACACTAACCCTAGCGCCCGTAACAGGCTCCCTTTCAACCACATACTCTCTGCGAGCATCGCCAAATCTCGCATTCAGCTCCAGATTCGGCTTCAATGTCTACAGCTGGGAAAGCGAGATGGTAGCTGGCTGTGAGTTGTGGCGCCGGAAGAAGGTACTCACAAATCCACTGATCAATGACGATGGCCTTGAGTGGGCACGCCGTAAAATGCGCTTGCATGATTTCTCTACTTCCCTCCCGAACTCTGCTCCATCCTCCACCCTCCTCTCTGATCCAGCTCATCCCGAGTCTTCTCTTGCCTCAGATGATCATTCTGGCGAGGATAATGACTCAGTCATTAAGATCCGCGTTGATCAGTCATGGAATGTACGTTTACTCTGGGAAGGCCGGGTCAAGGAGCTTCTAGTCAGTGCGGGTGTCGGGCTGGGCCCGCGCTCGTTTGCGTTGGCTCCAAGCATTTCCTCGGGCGGGTCGGTGCCTAGTGGAGGTGGACCATCATATTTTCATGGAGTCGGGGTGTCAGTGATGTACTCTTCATAATATAAAGGTCTTGTTGAGAGCTTCCCAGGTGCTACATATACATCTCTGCTATCTAGTCTAATCAAGAACATTGAAGCTTGGAATGGTTTGATATTTGATTTAAAAGCCCTTACAGGATCTACATCTATCACTTGGGTACTTCATGAAACCATACATTCTACAGCACCTGGGAATGTATAAAGTCTCAATCGCCTTCTGCAAATTTTTGTAAGTTTTCTGCTTTTGCTCAGTCCATGATGATCTTTGTATAGAGAGTCCCGCCATCGCGCGCCTTACTCCACGAAAATGAAAAACAACAAAACCAACAAAAATCACCTAAAAAAGAATAAAGACAAGGATATCCAAAAGCGAATGAATAAATTACATCCATGTTTTTAACTACAGTAAGTCATCCAAGCGCAAAGAACACCGTAGATAGAATTATCTAGTCCCATACTCTCCAAACTTGAGCATGCTCAGGCACGATGTACCAGAGCGCTCCCGGTCGATCGCTATGGTCTATTAGTTCTGTCGTGGCGTAACTAATCCGGTGGTATTGCCATATCACGTGTTATGCTTTCCTACTTGTAACTGTCATATGTTATGCTCCTTCCCTCGTCATCATCACTTTTCCTAACCCTTCCATCAAACATTTCTATCTGTACTGAGTAGCTTCAATCAGGAGCCTACCCCATGGTGGGGTCTTCCATCCGTCCAGATGACTTGGAGTCCTTTAACGTTATGGGACGGCAAACTGGAACCAGAAGGGATTTGTCAGGAAGAGAGTTCCTAACGCACTGCCCGCCTGATATTCCTCCGCGCCATCGCATACTCGCACTTCTGGCCATAACTGATGCTGGTGATATGGCATCTCCTTCCCAAGAATCGGATGGGTGGATTGTATCAGATTTCTACCTTTTCCACTACTTGCTTTCTCCTGTCTTTCCCACCAGTAAGTTCCTCTTGGTCGAATCTTTTTTGCGCTTTAGCTAATAGTCAGTAATAGTCCGACGTAACCAGCTTTGGATGACATGTGAGGATCCATCGCGTCTGGTCGACAAGTACACCGAGTACGTTCATGGTGACCCGAAGGGCGAACGACGGGTCGTCCTCGATGCTGGAATGCTGCCAAATATCGATGCCGCTCAGAATATTCGGGTGGTCTCCAGAGAGAACTTATTAGAACGGTACCTTAGCACGCTCCGAGAGCAAGTTATAGAGGCCGCGGTTAATGAAGAGCACTTGATACTTCTTATCTTCGGCCATGGAACGGAGGAATATGGAGTGCCTACTGGCGGTTCAGTTATTGAAAAGGAGCCTATTCTCCAAATGAAAGACGTTCATAACCTCCTATATCATTCAAGCCCAGTTACCCTATTCATCACATCATGCTATTCTGGTGGGTGGCTAGTGAAACCTAATATCAATGGACGATTCATGAATGCGACATCAGTCGCAGCAGCATCTGATCTCGTTGAATCTTCGTCATGGAGCGCTAGTGGAAGTGTTGGTCGTGTTGGAGGCAGCTTGGCTGCATCCGCTATGCTGCGCTGTCTCATCGATACTGAAGAAACCCTCCGGGAAGCTTCGAGTGATCCAACATATATCCAGTTTGCTAGTTCTATCCATGATAGCGTGAAGGGGATGGGATTGCTAGGTCAGTACCAGTAGATATTCTTCGCTGCAGAGGACGATGATTGGGAAAGCAGCTATAAGAAACGCCTAGGCCTTCCACTCGCAAGCTACCAAACCAAATGGCTGGAACTCCGCGCAATACTACCCTTTCCATCAGAGGAAGATGAGGTGAGTACAGCTATGTCTGCTGGACGGTCTACTCAACGAGCTCGTATTCTTGCACATGAATACCTGACGTCCTTCCCAGGGTTTGACGAACTCAGCCCAAATATGACTGTTCATTATGGATTAAGAAATATCCTGAAGGGCGTTGAGATATCAAATCATAAGCTAGATAACCTCACGCAAACAGTAGTTTATCGACTAGGCTCAATGCACGAGGCAGACTACTTTCGGGAATTGGCTGGCGCAGACTTTCCGTCGATTTTCAAAATTGACATTCCCTGGGGATTGATCCTGAATCAAGACCCTAACCCTCTCTACGGCCAGACGTGGTCTTTGCTTCTCGAATTAGAGATATCAACACCTCTAATCGGTATTCGATTCACCTACCCTAAGTCAAACCAGTATCTTGCTGTTGCATTAGTCAAGTCCCTGAAAACCTGGGATTTGATCGAGCCCAAAGTGAGGTACCTGGCCACCATGAAGAAGTCATGGTACAAGTTTATTTACAAGGCATGGCTCGGAAACCGTGTTTCTAGCGACCTCGGCGTCATAAGCAGCAGATGTGCGTTTTTGGAGGCCCTAAATATCACGTTTGATAGTGAGAGAAACCCACACTTTAACACAGAACATTGACAATGGCTGAGGATCCGGAGGGGGGGTGTATGATTCCCCGATAGAGACCTGTTCGTCGCTGTCTCATTTGCTTTTTTCGTTGCTTTGTCTCGTTTCTGTCCTTCTTTCCCTCTCTTTAAAGGCAGAGACTGGCTTTTGGGTTAGTAGGTGGAGGTAGTCAAGACACATTTTTCCTAGTTTTTTTCATTTTCGAATACGTACGATTCCAAGTAGTTATTTTCACAAATCAAAGAAGGCAAGAAATCGGTTGCATCTCCTGGTACGAAGACCAGGACGACATTTGATTGGTTGTTGGTGGTACCGATACGACTAACGGGGCATCCAGGCTGTTTGGATAAAACTAAGGTTAATTGCATAATTCTCTGTACCGTTCGATATGGTGTAACTCGGAGAGATGGCGGAAAGGCTATGATTATGCGTCGCATTGTTGTAGGAAAATCGTAGTGTTTCCGCCTACTCTCGGACGTTCCCCGCTGGTTCTTCGGTATTGTTCTCATGTTGGGGCTGGGCAGTGCCGCTAGCATCTTCTGACTTCGTAGCTTTAGACTCATCTGGAGACAAAGACATATTCCAAATTTAAATTTGTAAGTCGCGTAGAAGCGAGTGTTGTAAAATTCATCTGATATAGGCAAATGCATGGATTTCAGAGCGCGTCGGACCGGCGACATAAAAACCTCGAGCAGGCAGACAAAGTCGCCGGTTCAGAATTATGCATCCTTACGACACCAGCGCGCGTACGGACTCTAATTTTCCTAATTCCGGGCCCAAATTCTAATTCCACTTACCGGTGCTACTCAGTAGCTTCAATTGTGAAGATCAATGGCAGAGTCACACGTCCAAAGTAGACAGCGAGATAAGTTGTGAGATGGAAGGAATTCCTATCGAGAATTACATTCCAGGTTGTCGCAACTTCAAAGAACCGGATGTAAGCTGGGGATAGTAGGGTCGTAAGGTGAAGCTTGGAATAAACGATCTAGGGCTAGGATTGGCACGTGGCTGTTGCAACATCTATCGAGCAAAGAGCTATAGGCATTCCCATGAGGCGACTAGGTTGATGTCTTTATACAAAGTAGAGTACCTGATACTTGAGCGGTAGTTTCTAAAATCCTTGAATCCATACGAGATTCTGGAATTCGTCATCTCGGCTTCAAAAATATTCAAGTCCCCCGCAAAAAACACTTCCAGATCATCAATTTGCTCTAACTATGAGACTGCATGTATTCAGTCACTGATTTGACCTTACCTGATCTTACCTGGACGTCACTGAACATCCCCATATGATAGAAAGAACAAAGGCAGGGCGTAATAATAAAATTGGTAATGGTATGAGTCTCTCCATCTGGGAGAAGGTGCAGCGAGATGGGATATGAAAAAGAGGATTCGTTTTGTCAAGGTACTGCAGACCTTGTCGTTTGCTGTTTGCATGTAGCTTTTGTCTTACCCCCTTACCCTGATGAAGAGAAGAGGCAGGAACAAACCAAGGAAATCCACCAGTATGATGAGGCGAAATAGGCAAGGGGAAGAAGGCATACGTCCATAAGGCGAAGAATACTTAGTATCGGCGGCGGGAACGAGGGTCCTCAGGACCTTCGTCCTCACGGTGACGCTTGCGTCCGTATTCCTCGCGGCCACCACCGTATCGGTCACCTCCGCGGTCAGCACCACGATCACGATCTCCACCACGGTCTCCGCCGCGAGGTTCCCGATCACGGTCGCGGTAACGATCACTGCCACGATCACCTCCGCGGTCTCCTCCACGATCTCCTCCACGATCTCCTCCACGATCTCCTCCACGGTCGCCACCTCGATAGCGATCATCAGGGCCACGGTCGTCGCGGCGGTCACGGTCCGAGTACTGGTTTCGGGGGCGAACAGGCTCGCTGTTGCTGCCAGTCATACCGCGGTCAAATCTACCTCCTCCTCCTCCACCACCACCACCACCACCGTAAGATCCACCAAAGCCTCCGCCGCGGCCACCACTGGGGCCGGATGGGGCATTGGGAGGTGCCTGGCCGCCATATCCACCACTGCGACCTCCACCTTGATATCCGATTCCTCCTCGTGGTCCCCGATCGCCACGGTATCCACTACCACCACCACCACCACCACCACCACGGTATCCTCCTCGGCCACCACCAAAGCCTCCGCGGAAACCACCTCCAAAGCCACCGGGTCCAGAGGGGGCGTTGAATCCGGGCCCAGTCGGGCGCGATTGGATCTTGGTATATCCACGGCCTCCAAGACCACCACCAAGACGGCGAGGTGTCCAACCTTTCATGGTGCGTCCACGCTCAACATCTACAAGGACTCGACGGTCCTTGATGCGAATGCCGTCTGTTTCCTTGTACGCGGCTGATTTTTGGTGTCACTGTGTTAGCCATGGTTTCTCTTACCAATATGCTGCGAATGCAGACTTAGTAGATTTACTTGATACCTTTCATGTCTTTTTCACGTTCATAAACGACGAATGCGTAACCTCGATGCGCCTTTTGTTTTTTGCCTTCGGTGGGAGGAGTTGTGTCCTTAACGATGCGAATCTAAAAAGAGGTAAGAAAATAAAAATAAACCGAATGCCACATAAAAGAGAGAAACAAAGAGGATATCAGAAGTGGAAGCTTACCCGTTCAATGGGACCGAATCGGCCAAACTCGCGTTCCAAGTCTGCTTCTTTGACGTCGTAGCTGAGGCGCGACACAAAGAGAGTCTTGTAAGGATCACCTCGGATATTTGGGTCCTCATTTGGCTTGACTATAATGAAAAAAATTCATTAACAAATGCATCGAAAAGCGAGGGGAACAAAGAATGCTTACAGTTAGCTAGACCTTCCGCACCCTGCTTGCGAAGCTTCTCTTTGTGCTCATATCTTTGGCGCCATTTACGCTGGATCCAGCTCTCAGTAGCATTGTAGGGAGCGGGTTCTTCGGCCCGAACCAGAGCAAGAGCTTCGGCAACTCCAGTAATTTTGCTCTTGGTGAGGTTGTCTGGAGCGCGGCCGGTTGCAGGGAGATATCGCAGAGGTGGGCGCGCCTGGAAGAGTGCCAGCAACTGAGGGGGAAGTTTATCAGTCATGATGAAATGAGTCCTCAGCTCAAAACATGCGACGATAGAGAATGAAAGAAAAGACTATGGCGAAGTCTGGAGTTGTCGCGTCGTCTCACGAGGTTCTGAAGGGGAGCTTTCTGCTTCGCAAATGCATTAATCGCCCCACATGGTCTCTCACCGCTCAAGTCACGTGATACTAGAAAATACCCTTGAACAACTGATTCAATATACACGATTCAAGATATTGACTTGATACTTCAATCGCCATTATGCCCGCCAAAGGAATTCTAACGACCTCTTCAGCCAGGGTATGTCACAAGAGTTAGAGTTTCGAAATAGCACCACTAACTTTATTATTTCTCGCAGAACGGCGTCGGCGCTTTCATCCTCCAATGTAAACGCCTTGACTTTCACTACTGCACCCACGGTGCCAGCTCACGAGGCATGCTGTTAGTAGCCCTCAAAACTCTAGCACTAAATCTACTGATCGATGTCGTGCTAATTGATCGATTCACCAGCTCCTTCCTTACCAAGAGCCTTCCCGCTTTTGCCCGCGAACATCCCCAGATCGAAATTCGGGTATCCCCACGACACGGAAAGCACCCTGTCATTCAAGGCTATTACATCAATGGTGGCGAGAAGGCCATCTGTGTTCGCAGTCTCGAACCCCTCGAAATTATGAAAAAGGCCATGATCCTCAAGGATGCGAGCGGAGAGAAGCTGAAGAGGACTAAAAAGCCCGTCACTAGTTTGAACGATAGTGTACGTGGTATCTGGTCACCATATCACGGTGATCTCCGTGGCGTATAAGTTAGGGAGTTTGATTGTTTTTTGTTCCACATTTATTCCCAGGCAGTGGCTATATGTTTTCAAGCGATGATGCCCTGTTAAAGGTTGCATTGTTCTGTACTGTATTATTAGGATAGCCCAATTTTCATTATATATTTACATATTTCAATGCTCAATCTGATGCTCTCGAATCCGCATAGCTTTACAATAACCCCCAACCCCGAAGCGATACACTCTTCCATGGTTGTAGCTGGGTTGTGTTGTACCTAGGTAGGGTTCCAGGATTTCCTTGAGAATTCTGCGGTGGCTCATACCATTTGATTAAGTATCTAGAGTCTGTATGTAGGTCAATTGGCATACTAAATAATAGAAAGCTTGATATGATAATGCTTATATTGTTTGATTATAGAAAATAGAACGTAGTAAACCCCAGAAAGAGAAAAAAGGCTAAGCCCAGAAAAACGCCGTCCAGTCCACGCTGAATGGGTATCGACTGTAAAAGATAGAGAACCGACTGTAAGAAATAGGGTACGAGATCCCAAAACACCATTCTGCAGGTGAGTTTGAAAATATGGATCAAAAGAATGATTCAGATGAACAACTGAATCATCGCTGACTTGGAGCTCACTTTTTGACCACATTCTGGAACTTGACATTTGGAAAATGGCTCAGCTGCGTTGGTCTGGGCTGCCTTTTGGGACCGATTGGAGGCACAGTCTCCACAATAGGCCTATATGCGATGTTAGTTATAAATAAATTCGATGGAAAACTTGGGAATTTCTCACATGTCCACACGCCTTTGCAAGCCATATCTCCCGTTTCTTTCCCTCACCGGTACCTAGCGTCGAGTCACAATGAGGGCAAATTGCGACATCATCCTCAGCCAGGTTCCGTGTGAATCCATCCGGTGCAGGACTCGGGGCTTTGTAAACAGGAGGCTCGGTTGGTAATGGTGCGAGTGGAGGGATGAATGGAGGGAGTTCAAGGTCTTCGAAAAGGAGACGAGTATTCTCCGTACGCCATGCAGGTGTGTCATAATCCATACCATAAGGATAGGGGCGCAAGAATCTCTGATTACGTTCCCGATGATTATACCATGGGGCCCAATGGCGTCCCCCGATAAGTCCTAGCGGGATATGATCATGAGAAGGCAGGTTGTCTGATGGCGCACGTCTGATGCTTCGAACAAATTCAACTTCTGGGTCTTCGGCAGACTCATCGCGCGGTTGGGATTGGCCGGGCTCCAGACTTACAAAACCCATCGTGTGGAGGGGTGGTAAGTGGCGCCGTGGCCGTAAGTCCGGTGGGCGATCAACGCCGCCTGACGGATCGACAGCTTCATCAATTGTAAGATCAATCACTTCCGCGAGATCTATCCCTTCATCATCTCTATTTTGTCTTCCAACCGATTGCGGGAGTACAGATCCACCTTGGTACAATATGAGCTGGTCTTGGGGTCTTTCAATTTGCCGATCCATCGGATGGAAAGGTGAATGAAGGGAGCGGCGGGATCGCAGACTTGGTTGTCGAGAAGAAAATGCCGGGGAGTTGGGATCTTCTTCAGAGACTCTGTGTCGTGGACGCTGATAACAGAGAAAAAATTGTTAGGAAATTTGTTGATATACCCCACGACATGAAGGTTGATTTGTTACCTTGGCCCTAGCGCCCAGGAACTGAACGTCGGTCTCATCCCCGACACTGTCAGAATCAGGCGGTCCATTTAAGTCTTGGGAGACTTGACGGCGTGTACGCTGAGATGGGAGAAAAGGTTAGGAAATGCTTTGATATACCCCACGTTCTTTGGGGATTGTTGTTACCTTGGACCTGGCGCCCACAAACTGGACGCCAGTGTCTTCACTCATCTCAGGGTCAGGTGAGAGAGACGCCGCCAAACCAGAGGATCTTGACAAGTGGGTAAGCCCTTATATAATTAGTTGTTGTATATGGAGTGGTTAGGAGATAGGATTGTGGTTGAACATGATGATGAAGCCCGAGTATCCGGGCGGTCTATGATTCTGCTGGTTCTATAAAGCGGTATAAAAGGCGGCGAATAATATCAACATCAGAACATGAAAGAGAGCCTAGAGATACAGAGAGGAGAGGGGGGTTTAGAGACTTAATAGCACTAGCAAAGTGACATCTGAAAAGTGTTATTTAGAGCTTGGCACGAATATTCTCATATTCGCAAATTTTCGCAAACTTTCGTAAATGTTCGCATGTTCATGTTGCGCTTTGACGACATTGAGGCTGATCGCGCCAGAACACGAAAGATTCGTTAGCTAATTCATTCAACTTGTATTTAATAAGATAATTCCACACTGTTTTATAGGCGGGTTTTTGCTGAACAGTGAACACTCTCCCCAGCCAGGAGATAATGGAGGGGTTTGATTATTTTTATAAGGAGTGTAGGACATTTCATATAGATCCATAGGTAAGTTCATTTTCGGCCTTGCTTCCCGTTTGAAATACTGAGCCTAGGCGGCTGCATAAATCTAAAGCTTGAAAACATCATGTTCTCATTCGAGGATCCAATCGGGCTTACTGATTTCATGGTGTCTCGACTTAAGAGGCTAATGGCTTTCAAAATTTATTCGGTAGGATGACTAGTATATTAGTCTGTAATGGCTTCAGGCCACTGAAAAGCCTAAGAAGTATACAACAGCTTGTCGACTTTGGCTTAGCAGCTAGACTAGAGGAATACGACGACTAGGGTGTATGGCCTATTCAGCCAGACCACCTGGGCACTCTTGTGCACCAAAGGTGATACTAGGTAATAGATGGCAAATGCCTGCGGATTTTTAGAATCCTGAATGTTCTAATGCGTCCCGTGGTTCTCCAAAGTTGTTGCATCCATTAATACTTAACCAGTTATGGATATGATCGAAACCAAAGACCTATTTCAGCATACCTAGGTATTCATGATCAAAAATAAAGTCGCTACGATGCTGAACTATATATCGCCGAGATGATAACCTTGCTCGGTCCACTCCCCTACAGAGGTCATACAAAAGTATCAATATATGTAAGAGTACTTGTGGTCAGAACCTTGGAACCTATTAGACGAGAAGGCGGTAGAGCATGTGAGACCGCTGAGGTCTACATCTCTGGGCCATTCTTTGGCAATAATAGTATTACTGGGTTTCCTATCTCGAACTAATTGTTCTCAAACTCACGAAACATCCTTTAATAAGCTATCTCGCTCTTTAAAATATTAGTAAATCTATTGAGATAATAACTGCATAAATAAATTACACCACACAATTAATGTTTTGTATTATAAGAAAATTGCGGCCGTCCTCATAATGCGGTTGGGATACACTCACTACTTCTAATTGGCTAAAATTGTATCCGCTGGGATGCACTGCATACATCTCATGGGTTAGGGCTCAAAACTCGGGATTTAGGTGAAGGTATTGATAATCTAAAAACTGCTAAATTGAGCCCTGGCAGACGCCAAACACCTACAGGGATGTGATATGGCGTATTTTCAATCAATTTGCACCGCTCTTCCATCATCCTAGTGCTGAGAAGCTTCTTCCACCTTTCTCGTTTGCTCCATTTCGCGTTGTCTGCCAAACCCAACTACACCCCTAGTAGGTCAGCTAACGGATATTCCAGTTTCTTATCCATTTATCTTCATACAACTATGTATCATATGGCATTTCATGATTATTTTCAAATTTAGTTTATCCAACATAGACCGTTGTCGCTCTTAGGTTAGTACCGTAGCTTATTATAGAGCATCTGAGTAGTAGCGTAAACACGCCAGGTATCCTAACCACATAGGAACAAGTAGTGACGCTAAAGCACACATACAACCTTGGATTGGGACAATGGGGTGGTATTTCTGGAAGACCAATGGGCTTAATGAAATCAACTCTGATATGCCCCATCCCGTCACAGTTAAAGTTGTCATCAATGCATAGCTCGAAGGTACATCATTGGGACAAAATATTCTCGTTTTTTAGGGAAATAGGCAATGACTGAGAAGAGTCAGCTAATTATAATGTGTCTGAGATCTGAGCTGATAATATATTACTTACATTTGGCGAATTTGTCCTCCGCCCCGTAAAGTTCAAGATCTGCAATCTGGTTGGTGAAATCCTCAAGATGAAATTTGCTCAAGTTTCGTCCGATCTTGAAATATAACCATAATCTCTCAACGGGAAATTCCATGAAGAAGGCTTGCCGGGAGAATCTAACGAAATACTTGTCCTCGGTAGTGAGACGCGAATTATTGAGGAGGGTATCCATCTTGATCCTCAGCAACAGCATAAGACTGGCCTGATAGACATCATTGAAAAACGTCTTTCTACTCGCTTCTGCACGTCCAACTGTTAGAAAATGAAGATTAATCTGAAATGATTGATAAGTTACCTGGTTTCAAAAGTGAATATACTTGAGGGATGGGCGATTCTTCTTCCTCGGCTCGCAAAAGCTCAATTGCAACTCTGAAGGCAACAAATTCCGACATATGCGTTTCGGAAGACTGTAAATCAGGACTGCGATGTAGAATTTCACAGATGGTAGAACCACCGAGGTCACGCACGATCTTTTCAAGAGTCATCAAATACAGTCGGCGCTTATCGAGTAGATTGATCGGGTAACTTTTCATACCAAAGGTCTCATCTCTAAGATAAGTCTCTATGCTGGCTTTGAGCGACGTACATGAATGATAAATGAGTGAGGAGGTGGTATTCGCTTCTTCCAGAAGGAGACTGTTGATGGTTTTCACGTGGCCTGACGAAATTTTGAAGCATTGAAAGTGAAATTGGTCGTTGGCATCAAAAGAGGCCGATGAAGTGATATGCTGCTGTACATATACAGTATGGCATCTGCTAATGGGGAGGTCATGCAAGATTGAATCTGCTTTGTCAGGGTAGAGGTGTTGAGATCGAATTGCCCGTGATAGATCATCCCACAAATTGCCTGCCATTTCAACATTTTGATCGTACGCAGAGAGCAAGGGACTCCGTAGGACAATGATGAGCCGAGGCGATATGGGAGCAAAGTTGTGGTATTCGGTGTAGAGGACGGATTTCGTCTCTTGAGTCAAAGTATTCGTTCTCACAGTTGACGGACCTTCAAAAATGCAGTAAGCATTTTGAGTGAGAAGGAACTCATCATCCGAAGATATCGGCTCGCAAAAAGCGATGAAACTATGCTTGAGATGAAACACCATCATCTCGGCGTCGTCTGGATATACTTTCGATTTAAGAATTCCTATCCAATTATTCGCGGGATCCATTTCAAGATCCAAGAATTGTCGCAAGTTGTTGAGCCATACATCAAGTGGTTTCGCAAGCCCGTTTGATCTCATATAATCCATCATTCTTTCCCGGTCATCCGCCTGGTAGCCGTCAATATGATCATGATTATACCTGTCGAACATTCCCGAATTTCGATACTTCATGAGAAAAAGGAACTTTCGTAAGTTGTCAAGTTCGGTCCGTTTGAGTTTGAGAATCAGCCCTTGAGCGAATTGGCTACATGCACGTTGAAGTAGACTACTTGCATCATTTTCAAGATTTGAAAGCTTTTTCTCGAGATAATATGGATCTTGGTCAACCCCAATATCTCGATACATGTCCAAAAGAGCAAATTCCGTTGACACAGGTCGCTGAGTGAGAAGAGACTTCTCAAAATCAACCTTGTTCACCAGGAAATCCCGACGATTTCTGCGTTTCTTTCTTTCCCCAGCATTTTTGCTGCTGTAGTCAAGCAGTGGCCCTGCTGGCGGCTGGTCTTCGGGTGCGAACCGCTTTAATATAAATCGAGGAATAAAATGGTGTCTCTGTTGTGGCAGTTCCATCTTTCATGGGATTTCGTCTCCTTCGCATCTGCTCTACTCCAACTGAGCTTTCCATCACTCTGTATTTAAGTTTTTGAGGTCTGTTGCCCTCGTCAACTCAGTTAGCACCACGTCAGCACTATGTGGCCAAGTAAAGTTGGCCCTCAGACATGAAGCGCCAATTGAATTTTTCTCTTGGCCTCACGGCGGGTATTCGTTGGATCACAGTGAGGCGGTGATCGAAACGTCGTTACTGCGCCGACGCAGACCAGAAGACCAAGACTCGCTGACATCCAAACAGAGAGGAGTGGTTATAGTCGCCCACCAACTGCTAAGCCACCCAACGGGAAACCATGTCCTGAGTGTTGCGTGGCCTACATGATAAGGATGAACCCCAGCAAATGTATATTACGATGTCATAATGTTTACATAGACATACTCGTACGATATTGTGACGTTCAATAAACGAGTAGGTACTGATACATCCAGAAGAATATCGAACAATACAGTCGACGGGCAGGAATGTGAAATGGCCCGTCTTCCGCTGCCGTTGAGATATAGAAAGTTGTTTAGTGGAGCTCGACTACTTCACATTTAACCAGAGAGAAGTCAAAATTAAGATGAGCCAGAGAGATATTCGACTCAGCCGCGTGTAAGGGCATATTTTCCTTTGAATTGAGGACATACCTAGTTATCTCTCGCAAAGAAAGTCAACAAGTCCCTATGTTGATTTGGTGCAGGGAAAAGGGATCAATCAGCACCAAGTCGGTTCAGCTGAATCATATTAAAGACGCTTGATTGGACTATTGAGTTGGATGATAATGGGGCGGTGCGACTAAGAAGTAATGAGGTTTCTGATAATAAAAAACCGATGCTATTGGATAGATATTTTATCTAGATAGGTAATACTGAATAGACTAATAGTGATCTTGTGATTTGTTACGGGAAAACTGCTACTCAGTACTGTGTGATGACTCGGAATAGAACTCGAGACCTGTATTTTGTTTCCTAATGCTAACAGTCAAACACCAAAAAACTCAAATATTCAAACATTCAACGTAAAAGTTGAGATAAGATCATGAATCTCCCGCAAGCACTGTAACTGCACCCTCATCATTCAAAGCCACAATGCTCTGAGCAGAAGAGCCGAATGCCACAGCCACAGCAGTAACAGAACTGCGCAAAGACTCTGACCAACTCTTAGATGACTTGCTGTACTGCTGCACAGTAATTCCACCAGATCCACCAGTCAACAGGAACTGGCCAGTGTAGTCCCAGAAGATTGAGGTGACAAGGCTGCCGGTGTCCAGCACCTTGGATTCCTTGGAAGTACGAAGATCCCAGATTGAGACACTGGTGGATTCGGCGGCCACGGCAGCCAACAGAGTGCCATTTTCAGAGAAGAATAGAGATTTGACTGGGGCTGACATAGCAAAGGTTGCTGCTGATTCCCCGGACTCGGTGGAAAAGATCTTAATTTGGCCATCGGAGCCACCAGCAGCTATGAGGTGGCCATCAGGGTGGAAGTTCAAGGACAATAGAGCTATAAAAAGGATTAGTGTTCTGATATGGAAGTTGTAAAGTAAGAGATAAGAAAAGGGACCTACCAGCATCAGTGAAGATCTGGGTGAGCACAGAGTTGGTGGAAAGATCGTAGAGAACATAGCTCTTGTCAACACCAACTGAGGCAACAATATCACCAGTCGCATGGACTGCAAGGGCTGTAGCCTCGCCAGAGTGAGAGGAAAAGCTTGCAACTTCGCTTCCATCTTCAAAAACCTTGACTGCTCCCGAAGATGACGAAACAACAGCCTTGTTGCCGGCCCACTTTGCATCAGTCACAGGGCTACCAACCTGGAGAGTCTGGGTAACAGACTTCTGAGGGATGGAATAGACACCGACAACGCCATCCACACCACCAATGAGAGCCAACTCTCCGGTGGAGTTGACTGAGAAGGCTCGACTGCCGGGATAAAGAGCTTCGGAGGTTTCGACGGGCTTGTATGCGGCAATAGCGTCACTGGTGGCCCAGCCTTCAGGAATAGGGCGCTTGCGACGGCCCTTGGAGAGACTATTAAAATTATAAATTAGTTATGCACAGCCAGTAATGGGGCAGTTCAGTCCACATACGCAGCCTGTGTGTTGTTAATTCGCTCCACAACCGCCTGCGGTAGACCGGCAGAGTCGACCTGCATAGCATCACCGCTACCTGCTTGAGAAGCAGCAGAGAAATTTGAAGCTATTAAGCGAGCCTCGTCCCGCTCCTTGGTAAGTCGCGCGATGACTCGGATGGCCGCATCATGTTGGTAGAGAGCTGTACTGAGCTCGCGGCGGGTTTGTGTCAGGTTCTGTTGGAGGTTGTATGCCTCTAGGGCGAGCGCATCCCACTCTTGCTGGAAAACACTCAACAGAGAGGGAATGGATGTGAGGGTAGGAGGCCGGGCTTTTACGATGCGCTGGGCCTTGATATCGATCAGTTCGTCGGCGGTGAGCTCTTCGCCGTTGACAGGATCTTTGCCGTTCTCTTCAATGTAAGCTTCAATAAGGCGCTTCTCAAAAACACTGCCTGTTTGGATATTAGGGGGCTATAATGCGCGAAAATGGGCTTGAATGACCTACCGCTCTTGGGAGAGACGACAGGCACTTGAGGTGCCTCTCCGGAGACTGGATAATTATTTTGGTTAGATGGCCAGTCACACAGTATGCATTATAGACAGAAAGAAGAATTGTCACTTACTTGCACACAACATGATTAATTGGGATGGGGGAAGGTGGAGGTTAGATGGAGAAGATCGAACGCGAAAGTCGCCTTTGCGCTTTTCGATGTGTCCTATTGTGGCTTAGCGTCAAATAAGCTGTTCGCAATCGAAAACCACTTCTAATCTCAACTTTTACCTTATTAGGACATTGTCTTCTTCATGGCTCGTTCTTAATCAATAACTACAATTGTTTTTTTCTTCATTTGAGGATACACAGCATGAACTGAACTTCACCGCAGTCAATCCATCAAGCGTCGCAGCCATGCCAAAGAATCCAAAGCTTGAATATGGTATGCTACGTTTACATTACCTCACACTACCTCTCTAGTACGCTCTCCTGATTCATCCATCCAGATTCAAATATACCTGCCTTTCTACAGAAGCTCCGAGGCGAGTATGGGGACACCTCAGGCCGTTTAGAGCGACCCATCGAACGAGCACGAAACCCCAAGCAGACCAAGGACGAAGACGATGATGAGCCCGTCTATATTGATGAAGAGAGCAATGCAGTGATTTCTAAAGAGGATTATAAGGCCTTGGTTGAAGGAGACACCCCAGGCCAAACGGAAGGTTCTTCTTCCACGGGACAAGCAGGCACAAATACCTCAGATCCGGCCAAGCAAAGTAATAAGTCCCAGATAGGCGCCCAAAGGAAGCGAAAGCAGATCAAAGTGGTGGGTGAGGAAGACAATACCGAGTCGAAGCTGAAGCCCAATACGCCAGCCGCTCGAAAGCCCAAGAAAGGGAAGAAGATCAAGTTGTCCTTTGACGAGGAATAACTTCTTATTTCGATAAAAAATGAGGATAACGGACGAGGCCTTTGTCATCTTGACTCAAGTCGGATATCGTGATTCACTATGAGTCAAGATATCCACCATAGACTAGATGGCATGTATCTAAGTAAGCCGCTTAGTAGTGGAATTTCATAAATTAAATCTAGATTTATTATTTAAAACGTATGTATATTCGAGATCCATAAGTAATAAGTATCTTTAAAGTGGCGTATATACCAGGCTTATAAACGTTTATTGTTGGTCCCGGTCCGCTTCTTTTTTATCTGCCATTTTTTTTTCTTTCGTCGCAACGCCTTTCCCCCACCACTTCATCTTCGCTAGCATCACAGGAATCTTGAACAGGCACAGTGCCCAATCAAGATGCCAGTGGTAAATGTCGACGACCTAGTGCGACTTCAGCGCAAACCTGAAGACATCCGAAATGTGAGTGCTGCCCCTCTATCCTATCTCTGTAGGCGGTTATACTAAAACACGTCTAGATCTGCATTCTCGCCCACGTTGTAAGTCACCACCATTTTGTCAAAATATTGGAGATAATCAACCTCTCATTATGTCTATCATCTGTTATTGTTTGTAATTTAACATTTGTCTAGGATCATGGCAAGACTTCTTTGACAGATAGTCTCATAGCTACAAATGGCATTATCTCGCCTAAACTAGCGGGCAAGATCCGCTACCTGGACTCTCGCCCAGATGAGCAGCTACGTGGTATAACTATGGAGTCTTCGGCCATATCTCTATTCTTCTCAATGCTCCGTAGATCCAATCCGGACTCTGCGCCCGTACCGAAGGAGTATCTGATCAATTTGATCGACTCTCCAGGCCACATCGACTTCAGCAGTGAGGTCTCTACAGCGTCTCGTCTCTGTGACGGTGCAGTCGTTCTAGTTGACGCAGTCGAAGGTGTCTGCAGTCAGACCGTGACTGTCCTACGTCAAAGTTGGGTGGAGCAGCTGAAGCCAATCTTGGTTATTAACAAAATGGACCGACTAGTGTCAGAACTCAAGATGAGCCCTGCTGAAGCTTACGCGCATCTCAGTCGACTGCTTGAGCAGGTCAATGCGGTTATTGGTAGTTTCTACCAAGGCGAGCGCATGGAAGATGATCTGCAGTGGCGAGAGCGCATGGAAGATCGTGCTACTGCGTCTGCGTTCAAGGAAAAGGACAAGACGAAGAAACAAGCGCTGGAAGACGAGTCTGTCCAGAGTGTCAGTGAGATGGCAGAATTTGAAGAGCGCGATGATGAAGATTTATACTTCGCGCCAGAGAAGAATAATGTCATTTTCTGCAGTGCTGTTGACGGTTGGGCCTTTACTATTAGGCAATTTGCGGCTATCTACGAGAGGAAGCTTGGTATTAAACGGACTGTCTTGGAGAAGGTCCTTTGGGGTGATTACTATTTGGACCCGAAGACTAAGCGGGTGCTGGGCCAAAAGCACTTGAAGGGCAGAGCCTTGAAGCCTATGTTTGTACAGCTGGTACTGGATAGTATCTGGGCTGCATATGAAGCAACGACAGGTGGTGGAAAAGGCAAAGGGTATGTTTAAAAACGAACGAGATTACTATACACATAAAAGCTGACAGCTACTAGTGACCCTGTGTTGTTGGAAAAGATCACAAAATCCTTGAACATCAATATTCCACCCCACGTTCTTCGCTCGCGAGACTCAAGGAATATCATGACAACATTATTCTCAGCATGGCTTCCTCTATCAACCGCCGTTCTTGTATCAGTGATTGAATACCTTCCGAGTCCCAAGGCCGCACAAGCTGCACGCCTACCAGACATGATCAAGACATCACCGGGCTCAAATCACATCTCTGAAAAGGTCAAGGAGGCCATGGTAAGCTTCAAAACCGGACCCGATGAGCCCGTTGTCGCGTACGTTAGCAAGATGGTCGCCATTCCCGAAAGCGAGTTGACTGCAAGCAAGAAGCGCAGTGGCGCTACCATGACAGCGGATGAGGCTAGAGAGATTGCCCGCCGCAAGCGAGAGGAGATAGCAAAAATGCAAGCTGATGCTGCCGAAGGACAAACTGATGCCTTTGCACGAATGACATCTGCATTTGAAAACGCGTCTCTAATTGTGGAGTCTGAGGAACCGGCGAAGACAGAGGAAGAGGATGAAGATCCGGATCACCTCATTGGATTCGCCAGACTGTACTCAGGAACCCTCTCAGTCGGAGATGAGATCTACGTCCTACCGCCCAAGTTCTCTCCAGCCGATCCTTATGCGAGCCCAGAGCCGAAGAAGGTGACCGTCACAGACCTGTATCTGCTTATGGGTAGAAGTCTCGAGCCGCTCCAGTCCGTCCCAGCAGGAGTTGTGTTCGGAATTGGAGGTCTGGCCGGATATGTCCTCAAGACAGGCACGCTCTGCAGTCAGCTAGAAGGCAGTATCAACTTGGCTGGTGTGTCATTCAGTCACCCGCCAATTGTCCGTGTAGCCCTGGAGCCCGTCAACCCAGCCGATCTCAGCAAGATGATCACCGGTCTACGTCTTCTAGAGCAGAGCGATCCCTGTGCACAGTATGAAGTACTCCCAAGCGGTGAACACGTCATCTTGACAGCAGGTGAATTGCATCTGGAACGCTGCGTCAAGGATCTCCGAGAACGGTTTGCGAAATGTGAAATCCAAACTGGAGAAGCTATCGTTCCTTACCGCGAGACAATTGCCCATGCACCTGAAATGGCAGCGCCTAAGAACCCTGACTTGGGTCGTGGAGGCGTCCTGGCAGTGTCAAACTCCAAGCAAATGACACTCCGTCTGCGCGTCGTGCCCTTGCCTGAGGCTGTAACCGAGTTCCTCAACAAACAAGTGGGAACTATCAAGCACCTACAAGCTGAAAAGCGCAGCGCCGCCGAGGCGAAGTCGAATGGAGAAGAAGGAGACTCTACAGTTGAGACGAACTCAACCGGAGAAATCGTGGAAGCTTCAGCCGATGTGACGGAGAGCAACATCTTGTCTATGAAAGAGTTCCGACAAGAACTAGACAAGGTATTCAACGAAGAAGTGAAAGAAGACAAAGAACTATGGAAGAACGTCGTCGACAGAATAACAGCATTCGGACCCCGACGAGTCGGCCCCAACATCCTCGTTGATGGCACAGCAGTGAATACGTGCGACAAATTGTGAGTTTAACCAGCGACACAAAGCAACTTCCTTTCTTTCCAACGATAAAACTAACATCACCAGCCTCATCGACGAGAAACAAACTCCCACAACCTCAACAGATACCCCACAAGCCCTCCTAGTCCGCGACTTCAATGACAAAATAGCCCACGCCTTCCAACTAGCAACAACGCAAGGCCCGCTCTGCCAAGAACCAATCCAAGGTATCGCCGTCTTCCTCGAAGACCTCTCCGTCCAAGCAAGCAGCGGCGCCGACCTAGACATGGGCCGCCTAACGGGCGACGCAATAAAACTAGTCCGAGAAGGAATACACACCGGCTTCCTAGACTGGAGCCCACGGATTATGCTAGCAATGTACAGTAGCGAAATCCAAGCAACAACCGAAGTGCTCGGCCGAGTGTATGCGGTGATAACGCGTCGCCGCGGCCGGATTCTCTCCGAGATAATGAAGGAGGGGACTCCGTTCTTCACTATTCTGGCCGTGTTGCCTGTTGCGGAGTCGTTTGGTTTCGCCGAAGAGATTCGGAAGCGCACTTCTGGTGCTGCGCAGCCTCAGCTTATCTTTGCGGGCTTTGAGGCGTTGGATGAGGATCCGTTTTGGGTTCCGGCTACTGAGGAGGAGTTGGAGGATCTTGGGGAGCTGGCTGATCGGGAGAATGTTGCTAAGCGGTATATGGACGCTGTTAGGGGGAGGAAGGGGTTGGTTGTTCAGGGGAGGAAGTTGATTGATGCTGAGAAGCAGAAGACTTTGAAGAAGTAGATAGATACCATGGAGGTCAGATTTTATTTGCATGATATTGGTATCTAGGTAGAACAAAAATAGCATTGGTTTTGAAGTTCAATCATCGTGTGATTTATGTGAGATGTAACCGCTCAGAGATCAACTTTTCTGTCACGATATTATCCAGACAGGCAAGTAGTAGAGAGAGGTTCGCTAGAATGAGAGTTCTGGCGAAATTTCAGAGAAATCCGTTCATCTACCTCCATTGACAAACACAGCCCGACATGGTAAAGGTCTCGGCCGTGTATACTAAGGAGGGTTTGTTCTACGAATAGAAGTTCTGAGAAGCTTAAACAGATTGACAAGGTAGAGGTTACAATGAGAGACTTGAAAGGTACAATCATCACTGACTGGAGCACAAAGACTGTGCTGGGTTATTTTTCATTCGTAATTCATTGGGTATCACCTAGATTGGATTGAGGAAAATTTCATGTCCCGGGTTCAACCGGTTGCTTTCATAATGTCGATAGCCCATAGAGCTTCGATGAGTTGCGTCGTTTGAACGACGGAGCAGAAGGGGGTACTTCGGCGTGAACGATAAAGTTTCGTTCATAAGTAGCAGTGGATAAGCTCTGCATTAGAGTTCTTCATAACTGCAATGGCTTGGAGGGGTGGGGGAAAGTGATAATATCGACCTAGTCGACGTAATGATGGGAACATCAGTAAGGCCGAGCAACCTTCCTCGGTTCAGCAGAACCAGTTACAGGATCCCTCATTTCCTTCCAGCTCACAGGGAACATCATATTCCCAGCCTCGCTCCGTGCCATCACGACGCCAAAGTCATTACGGGCCGTAGTGAGGTAGTAAAAGCTCTGATCACCAAGCGAGATAACCGAGCCACGGACAATATCACCAACACGAAACATCTCATCCATAACAACACGGTCCTTCTCAACAGCGCGCACGTCTTCCTTGCGGATGAGCGCCTGGAAACGTAGCTCGTCGTTACTGCTGTGATTCTCCGGGTTGGCAGCAGAGGTAAGGATAGAGGCGATGTTATCATTATCCGAGGATCCTTTCAACGGTTCAGTCTCATTCGGATCAGAGCTCTCATCAAGGATAACGAGTATAGAAACTGTTGCCTGACGCTTCTGCACACGAGTGACTCGTGCAAGGACAACGGTGTCAATGCCCGGCAGGGAGTTGTATTTATTTTTTTGATATTTTGATGATGGGACTGGGCCTGACTGGTGTGCGGCTGGGACCATGCGGGCTATCCTTAGATGGGTCTTGCCCTTTGGTTGGCTTTTACTATCGGCAATGACGGGACCAGCGATGGAGGCGTAGATGTGGGATTGCTGGACGTGTGTCCCTGGTCCTGAGGTGTATGTGGAGATTGGGCCTAGGCATTCACCTGGAATGGCCACAGATGGAGGAGTGGCTGCCATTGTGTTAGCCCTGAGGGCAAGAAAGGAAAGAAGGAAGATGGAAGTTAATGGTTGGAGTTTAGGCGAGGTTATTTTTTCGGGAGCTTAGCATTCGGAAGGATGTATATCCGCTCCGCTTACCTTATACAGCGTTATATAAATATTTAAATAGTTAAATATTTAACTACACAAGAAGATTAGAAGTTATCTATGGATGCCATGAAATTGTTATTTCGACACCAATTGCGTGGTCTCTTAATAGTACAAAGACAGCCACTGGCTCGCTTGGCCATACTACTGTACTATCACAGTTTCATTCTCCAGCCTAATTAGGCTGGCAGTGTCCAACATAATGTCCAACTATCAACTCCAATTATAGACGAATTAGATAGGAACCCTTAATCTAGCATGGATACACAACGTATTATGTGTAGTGAGACACATACAGAACCAACCCAAATATCATGAACACACAAGCAGAATCAGAAAAAAACTCATGAACTGCCCTACTCACCCAATGCCCGCAACCGAATCAATCACGTAGGATCCAATGCAACACCACGAAGACGAAAACTGGAAACATAGGTCACATATCGGAATGAATAACCGAAAGGAAGATTTGGAAATGTCAATGTCATGCAGAAATATTCAAACTTAGGCCTCGACTAGCGTCTGTCTAGGACCCTGGCCCAAGAATTCCAAGCATCGTCGTGCAAGTGCAATTACTTCACCCTCTCCATCGTCATATTCTTCATCCTCGGAGTCGATGTTCCTCTCTGCGATTGACTTTACCATGTGTATAATATCCTCAGACTTGGAGATTAGTGCAATTAATTTCTTGTCCTCGGATTCTAGTAGCTGGAGAAGGGTCCAAATGGCAATGTGCTGGAAGGTGGCGTCTCCGCTGTCTAGGAAGCGCTCGAGATAACCGCGAATTCCTTCGTTTGGCTCTGTCCAGCTAGTGACAAACATAGAGTAGTCGCCCACTAAGTAAACAAGTTAGTGTCTATTGTAAGAAGAGGAATGTGAGGGAGAAAAACCTTTTGATGAGAGATTGCCCAAGGCAGCTGCACTGTTTCCTTGAACCTCGATACTGTCCGAGTTGGTCAGCGGAATTAGAACATCAAACACGCCAAGCTGGAGAAGATGGGGCTTGAGTTCGTCGCTGAGAGCCAACACGGCAATCGCAGCAGTCATTTCAGACTGCACGGTTAGAGGGACCCGAAGAACTAGGTCCCTGCACTTCGCCACAGCTCCAGCCTGCAGAACGAGTTCTTTATTGCGATCGGAGCTGGCTGCGAGATTGCGAAGGGTGGAGATGGCATGGCATTGAATTTCTTCATTGTCGGTAGTACCAAGGAGATCCACAAGGGGTGTCAAGAAGCCGGCTTCGATGATCGGAGACTCATTCAGAGGGTGAATAGAGATATTCCGGATACAAGCAACGGCGGAAAGGATAAGCGGGAGGTACGAAGATTGAAGGAGTCGCAGCAGCGGTGACAGGCCCTTGGCGCGTACGATGTCGAGTTGGTATTTCTCATCGGAGGCGAGATTGCGGAGGGCGAGAGCGGCTTGACACTGGACTTTGGGCGTTGACGAGTCCATAAGATAGACGAGGGATTGAACTAGGCGCGATTCGGTTTGGGCAAGGCGTTTGCGATTGGACGGATCAACGGCGATGTTGCTAAGTGCTGTGGTGCAGTAGTACTGTACATCGACGTCCTTGGAGGATAGCAGATGAACGAGGACCGGAATCGCACCGGCATTGACTAGCTGCTGCCGGTTGTCATCTGTAGTAATGATTAGTAGTCGTCCCAAGACCCTTAACGCTCACTCAAAGCTTACCAGAATGAGTCATGTTCAGCAATGCGCCGGTCGCATTGCGCTGCACACGCTCATCCTTCGACTTGGCGAGTCGAATCAGAGGATCCAGCGCGCCAGAACGAGCGATCTTGGCCTTGTTCTTCTCATGGGTGGCCAAATTTGTGATACATCCCACCGCATTGCACTGTACTTCGACATTTGCTGAGTTCATCTGGCGAATTAGAGGGACCAGCCCTCCCAGGGACACAATCAAGACCTTGTTTTCACCTACACCAGGTCAGCGATTGTCACAGAGGGAAAACAAAGGAAAATATACCATTGACAGCCAGATTTCCTAGCGCAGCGCTGGAAGCGCGTTGCACCTCGATGTCAGGACTCTGGAGTAGAAAAAGGATTGGTTCGAGCGCATCACGATCGACTTCGCGTACATCTAGATGAAATGTCAGCTATCGCTCGCAACATCTACCATGCGGCGCTACTACGCACCATGTTCAGTTATTTCAGCAAAAGTCAGACTCGCGCTTCGCTGCAGATCGACATTATCGGAGTAAACGAGCGTGCTCAGAGCTCTCAGAGGTTCTCCTGAGAAGAAATCGGTTTCATTCTCGTGTCGCTAAGGGGGACAAGAGTTAGCCTTGCGCTGACATCATTGAGCAAAACCCGATCGGAGCGATCGATTAGATTGAGACAAACTGATCAGGCTGACTTACACTTTCCAAAGCTTGTAGCAAATCTGAGACTGCTTCCCGTTCATTCTCGGCGAGAGTTGTTTCGTAGAGACCATCTCTTGAGCGACTTCCGCCGAGACACGGCACGGGGCACCATCGCTCGCATGCCACCAGGCACGATGTGATTCCACTCATGCCTCCTCAACAGGCCGGCATCAGGGCCCTGCTAGATATACTGAAACAGAGAGGGATTGGAGTAGAAGGTTTGCACCGTTGGGGCGGGCGGAGGGTTTTATGAGGGAGGCGGGTGTAGTGGCGGTCTGGGGGCAGCTTAGCTTTTAAAAATGGTACACAGAGATGGCGCGTGATATCGCGTGGATCTTCAGGATTACCAAAGCAGGGAATGGAGTAGGAGGAGGAGGTAGAGAGGGACGTACCTAGGTGCCGAGGGAGGGAGGTTGGGAAGTCAATGGGGAGGAGTAAGAGGAAGGTTCTGAGTTGGAGTTGGATACAGATCGGACTAGTCTATCTCCATAACTCTGCTATAAAAGGATAAGAACCTTGGAAGGATGATTGAATTCTTAATTGAGTATTATTGTATTATTATTCCATAACTAGGTATAATATTGAACATCTATAGTATAATATACATACTTACCATTGAGGAGGCTTAACCGAAGAACCCGTGTTCATTTTTATTAACTTCTCAACTTCGGCGATAGTATAGAGAGTTAAGAGTAGATATAAAATTGATATATACAGCCCCAATACCCAATTATCCCAAACCCCAATACCCAATACCCAATACCTAGTACCCAATACCCACATTCCCACTTATACTTAGTACATGTTCATCTTTTCACCTCCATAATTTCCATATTTTCCGCTTTCAGTCCGTGCCCATGACGTCTGATTCTGTTTAGCGTCATTTCTAGCTCGTGATTCCTTTTTTTGATCTTTTGACCCATTGTGATCACCGGATGAGTCCTGATCCGAATATCAGCATATAAACTGGTATATTATGTATATTATACAGTATAGATAATATGCTAATACCACAGAGTATAGATATCTTAAACTAATCGGATTAGGTTGACCCACACATTGAACCTTGGATCTATACTATCGATGATTAAGAGAGTAAGAGAGAGAGTAAGGGAAAAAAAGGACGAGAAAGTCAGGGCTTTAGTGGCGCTAGAAAAAGAATGGGGCCATTAGGTACGGGACAGTAGTTAAGAGAAAGAGTAGGAGAATTGGAAAAAAATTGGAAAAAAATAGAAAATAAATTAATTATAAAAGAAAAAGGCTTAGTCGGCAAGGTTTCTCTCGTTCCATAAAATCTCCATAAAATCTCCATATACCAGAGCCCATTCCCCTATTTCCCGCCTTTATTAATTCTTATTCCTCCTCTCTTCTCCTGTCTACTACTATCTTGCTAATCTACCCGAACCCTCACATATGGTGATCTCAGCCCAGTTACACATCTGATCTTGACATCTCCACTCCCAAAAGAAACTTGAAAAAAAAAAATAGACAAGAAAAAGAGAGAAAGCGCAAAGCATCAAACCATCAAATCTGCTAAGGCGTATAATTCTTATTGGGGTCGCGTGCAGAGAGACCAACGCTATGTCTACTTCCACCGCCACCGCCTCCACCCCATTTCCTGAACCTCGCCCTGGCCGTTTACGCAGATTCAGCCAGCTTCGTGCCTATACTCAGAATTTGAATCTATCTTCTACTTCAGGTCATCGAGCTCGCCACAGTATCAGCCATCGTGTTTCTTGGTTCTCACCTAATTCTCCATCACACGTGGGATCTTCCTCTGCATGCCCCGATAGTCCAGCCTTATCACGCTACACATCTGCCCCCGACCCACGTTCTCAGGAATCTGCTATCGATAGTCAGCCCTCATCTGCTGGCTCCACAGGTTCTACTCCTCCAAACGAATTAAATCAAACTCCTAATGATATGGCGAGATTGAGAAATTCCACTTCTGCCCCAGGTCGTCCCACTCGTTCTCAAGGTCGCACCGCCACTCCAGAGGCTCCAACTTCAGCCCCAGCCCCAGTTCCAGCTCCGACCTCGGCCCCAGTCCAAGCCATTTCAGACCTGCCAGTGACACCCGGTGTCATGAACGAGCCTGAGGAAACAACCTCGGCCAATGGTCCTTCCACCCCAGCGACAGATCAGAAAGCCACCATCCGATTTTTCCCTTACCAGGATACCTATCAAAGCTCAAGGCCCTCTCTGCCCTTTGTTCCCATCTCTCGAACTCTACCCTCGGGAAGCTGCTCCATCCGCGTCGGTCGCTACTCCGAGCGCGATGCAGTTGCCAATCCTAACCCCCTTGAGCCATCAGAGGCCCCTGTGGGTTTCAAGTCCAAGGTTGTAAGCCGCAAACACTGTGAGTTCATGTATGCCAATGGACAGTGGCACGTCAAGGATGTGGGAAGCAGTTCTGGTACTTTCCTGAACCACATGCGTCTGAGTCAACCTAATATGGTTTCTCGTCTGTATGCCATCAAGGATGGCGATATAGTGCAGCTGGGAATTGATTTCCGGGGAGGCGAGGAGATGATCTTCCGATGCGTTCGTATTAGGATCGAATGTAATAGATCCTGGCAGCAGAAACCCAACGAGTTCAAGTTCGTACCCCCTCGTATCCTTCCGTATCCCGCCGTATCCCCCCTGAAAACTTTTGTTAACCCTGCTAACCGATTAACAGCAAGAATACCGAGAGCCTTATCAAGAATCTGGGTAAGGGAGAGAAAACAGATTACTCTGGCTGCCGGGAATGTTCCATCTGTCTCGGCTCTGTTTTGGTGAGTAATATCTTTTTGTCCTGAACCTGCAAATCAATGCTAACTGTGAATTAGCGCCCTTACCAATGCCTGTTCATGGCAGCCTGTGCCCACGTCTGGCATTACAAATGTATCAGTCGCTTGCTTCACTCACCCGATTATCCAATGTTCCAGTGTCCCAATTGTCGCGCATACACAGATCTATCCGCCGAAGTAGACGATACAAACGATGTCGAGGAAGCGGCGGAAGAGAAAGAGTTGCCGGCTGCAATTTCCGAGAACATGGACTCCCCTTCTGAACAGCAATCCTCCAACGTGCAAGACGAGTCCGGTCTTCAAGAAGATGTCATTATAGAGGAGTCCGATTTGATCGATGTGATGGACAATCTGCAAACGCGAGATGCACTAGCCCTCGACGTGGACACGGAAGACAGCGGCCGAAGTTCACATGAAGGCCTCGCTCGCAGTGCTACCGTGAACATCCCCGGATGGCAGCCTACGCTACCTGTCGGCGTTCCTCAACGCCGACCACTCAATACTAGCGATCGCTTAGAAATATCTGACGATAACCCTATGACTCCGCGGAATGACTGGGGTCCCCTAGCCTTTGACGGTCGTGCCGGAATGTCATAACGAACATACTCATACTAACACTTGATATTTTTTCATTTCCAAAATTTTCACCCTCTTCATGAGCCATCTATAGCTGCTGCCACTGCATCTTGCCTGCATCTTGCCCATCATATCTGGAGCCAGGAAGCACATCATTTCCTTTTCGATCTCAGTTTCTTATCTCAGTTTCGGTTTCCATGCACTTCTAAGCTTTCATCTCAAGTGCTCTTTTCATGGATGGGCAAACACTTGGCGTCTTCCTCATTTCTCACTTCACTCTCACTCTCTTCGGTTCTCACCCCCCTCCATCTTCTATATACCCATTTCACTGCTCGGGATGTTCTGCTGCTGTTGCTGCTCATGGTTTTGGTTTTAACGTTTTGGTAATACTTGGCGAATTATGAACCTTCGTTTATATTGGTGATCTCGTCATTTTCCCCACAAGCTCACCGGCAGGTTCGAGCCTACATTTTTGATTTTGAGTATCATACTATTTACACTGCAAATTATAATATCTATGCTTGTGCTTCTTTATACAATATTTCATGGTGTCTTTTTGATGGGATATTTGAGGCTCGGTGAGCATACGGGTGTATACATTGGGTTCCAAGGTTGATCCTGCTGAGGTTGAGACAAGATTCGCTGCATCTACATCTGCAACGCGATGATTGGTATTTACTTTTTCTATGCAGTCGAGTTCCATACTGACCTACATCGTACGTACTAGGTACTATTGTCAGTACATGTGACCTCCTGAGTACTTAGGTAGACTACATACAGGTACATGCATAGTAGCAGAAGTTTCAAACTTGAAATCACACCGAAGTAAGTCCTAAGACAGTACTTTTCAAGGCCCCACCCACCAAACATGCATCATATCATCATCTCCATGCTACCAAGATTGATTGTTTCTCACTAATGTTCAAATGTCACATCCCCTGGAGTTATGGTCGCACAACCGGATTTTGCAGGCGAAAGCCGAAACCTCTGCAAGAACTTGTTCAGAAAATAAATCGAGGTAAACAGGTAGTCGGGACTTCCCAATAGACTATGGATTGAATCCCCCCTATATTGAAAGAGTCACGAGATCTTTTTTGCCGGATGAAATAGGATTCTTCAGCGATACCGTCATAGGCTAGGGCTAACCTGGAGATACATATGTATGTGCCTTAGTAGTTAGTGAGATGTTCGTCCTTTTGCGCCGAATTAAAGTTATATCCGCTTATCGTGCGTGGGGCAAGAGTTTCAAAGGAGTATCCTGATCAGGCTGCGCAAGACCAAATTTTTGGAACAGCATCCCAATCGATAGGATGCGGCAGACGGTGATCACGGTGCGACTCTGTCTCATCCTCACACCCAGAGCCGTCCGTCGTACTCTATTAGAGGCACGACTTCCCAGCCGCTGGAAATACTCGTCGCTGTATTCGCCATCTCTTCCGCGGCATTATTTTGTATCTCCACTGCTTGCCTCGGTGTCATAGTCACTTCAAACCCGAGGTCAAGACAATTTTAGAATTGCAAAGGACTCCGCAGTGACCCAGCAAGAATCATTCTTTGCAATTCTAAAGACTTTCAAGTAAATTTATTTTTTGCTGGTAGAGTACCAAAAACGAGAAATCGCATGAAACATGTAGTTTCAAGTACTGTTATAGCGTTCCTCTAGCATTATTCATGTTGAATCCAATAAGTATGGTTTCTCTTTGGCTGAGGATTTTGGTGTCGCCTTCCTTTGTTTCCTGCAAACTTGCAATGTTGTTGATCTGGTCTCTTGTTAGGTCAACGCTACATATCATTTCTCTCTAGGGGTTTGATTTTTCAAGTTCGAATATCTGACAGAGCGTGGGACTCTGTTCCATAGATGTCCTGATATGAAACACCAAGGATGATGAATTTCTAGAAGAATACATAGGTAGGTAATCGACCATCCGTACCAGTGGAGACATATTCAATAAAGTACATACGTAGCTGTGATTGGTAGGAGTCCGAGTGGCGGCAGACTTCAACCGACTGATTTTGGTACCTACCTAAGTAGGTAAATATGTATTTAGGGTACGTAGTAGGAATGGAATGTGGATCTTCAGGCTACTACCACATCTTTGAATAATGTGAAATAGAAGAACATTTTATTGACAAGAGATTATAAAGAAGCAATGGAGATGCGAAGTTACGTTGCAAAGTTAATGCAAGTCACTTCAAGTTGATAAATGAATGCTAGGTGGTATGTGTATCTATACGTGAACCTCATCTTACTATGGGAGAATGACCTCGCCCAAAGTTGGGAGATTCAATTCTGATGATATTAACTAGAATATTGGAAAATAAATAACTGCACATGCTGGCTGTATGTCTTTTCCGCTACTTATTACTCCTAGGCTCTTTTGCCTAGGTAGATTTCCTAAACTTTCCTTCTTCCATCTTCATCACACCGTCCAGCCGATACCTTTATTATCTCTTCCACCAACAGATAGTATTATCAAGTACGGGCTTGAGCTGACTATAATGAATCCATGCCCAACACTAGTACTACTTAGTGTTAATTCCGGTGAAAATGATCGGAACCACACCCCGCAAGGCAGTGGAGATGAGCACACTAGTGAATATTTCGAACAGCTAGGAAGTCGGGTACAACGACAGATGGGTCGCTTACAAAAATACCAGGAGTCCCTAATACAAACAGTTAATTGGGAGGCTACGCCCTTTATAGTCTTGTGCAACCTGGTCAGGATACCTACCCTCTCTGTGAGTATTCTTGATCCAGCGTGCAATTAGCGGGTATCATATTCATCTAACCGCACTTTGCTATCACCCCCTCTGTTAGTTCTAGGCACGAGTCCACCTACCCTGCTACTGTGGTAAACTCAGTCACACACCAAACGGCATATTGGCCTAAGATCCGCGCAGGAGATAAGCCGACAATTTCCTAAACTACCTCAGTTTGTGTCGCACGATGATCCTTCTGGCACGTCGGTCCCCGTTTCCAGAACGACGGCATTCATATTAGAACTGAGATTGTGCGTCGTCCTCGGATCCAGCTTGATGGGGTATCACTTTTGTAATTAATTGAGTGGTGGCCAATAAATAGATAACTAGTCATAATGTGTCTCTTCCTCTGAATAGTGGCTTGCAGCAAGGCAACCAGATTTCCTCAGCAGCAAATATCTAGGCAAGTATTACTGCCTAGTGACGATGATTATTGAAGCCAACGTCTTTTCGATAGATAAGCAGATTGAGGCTCTGAGAAGGGCTGCTGACTATACGCTTCTCAGAAGTAAGATGTACCACAATTTGAGAGAATCAACAAGAAGCTCCAAGAAGGCCACAAGCGGAACATCCTGCAGAAAGAATGGAAGTCTATAAGAGCCTGCACATTAGTAAAACTTGGCCAGACACTCCATAGATAGGGACTCACCGAGGAGATATTCAAGCCTCGCTATCTTTTTCGGCATCTGTGCGCATACCTTGAGCCTTATTGAACTTCAAATAGGAATATCACCTTTTATAATCCATGGAGTGCCTGGTTTTCACTTTAACATCCCTTTACCCTCACATTGGGCTGATAATCATGGTTCTAGCGCAATATTCACATTATATAAATTAATACTACCACCAATTCTTATTCCACTGGTAGTGAGGCATGTTATTAGACGTAGTTTCAATGGATATGGGGTATCAGCTAGAAAATGAGGTTATCACATTATCCTTGTTCTCCTACATCGTATTATCAAGTCAACAGTTAAAATTAACAATACTGATCATGTACCCGCCCCAAATACTTACTCTTCTTCGTTTTCATATGTCAAACTTCCCTTCCTCCATCTTCATCGCTCACTGAAATCTTCTTTGATCATCTCTTCCAAAAGCAGATAGTATCTACAAGTCCGTGTTCCAACTGTGTAATTATGATCGATTCACGCTTTAGAAACTAATGACCTTCTAATCTAGGATGAATTCTGATGGCGATACTAGTAACAGAACGCCTGGTGAAGATGAAAATGTAGCCCGTGGAGGAGGTGTCGAGTACACTGTTGAGTATTTCGAACAGTTGGGAAATCGAGCTCCGCGTGCAACTCGAGTACAGTGGATGGCTGAGCATGAGCCGCGCCGCTCTCGCCATCTCCCACTACGAATCAACTGGGATACTGCTGTTGTTCTTCCTCCAACTAGTCGCAATACTTTTGACCTTGGTACAATGAGCGATGATACGCGTTCATCTCCTGCTGAGCCGGCGTGGTACTCCCCTCGCCCAATTTCGCGTGTACGCCCTTTTACTTGGCGTAATACTCTCCCAGAACGTACAACACCATCTGCTTGTTCTGGAAGTATGTTTGCTTCGGTCGAGTCATTCCTAGACGAGCGTTACGTTGGTCTAAGATACAGACGCGAGATCGCTCAGCCGCCTGGATATGAGTCGGCTCCTTTTCTGATATACGAAGATACACCTGAAAATTTGAATCTCCACCTTGCTGAGAGCGGTGATAATGCCACTGGCATTGAGAACTTGGCTCAGACTCGTACCCCAGGCATCATAGGTGATGTAGACTTTGACGCAGCCAATCTCGCCGAGGAGCAAGTTTCTCCTCGAGAGAGTGTCAGTTTGCGTCAAACTCAGGCCGAATCCCGACGACTCAATGCCAGATTCGAAGACTTTTATCAATAGTTGTAGACTTCCCTTCTTCTCCGCTCTTTTTCTCTCCTCCATCCTGTTCTTAGAGGGGCTCTCGTTGATATTTTCATGAAGTATCTTTCCTGGGTTCAGTTGAGCGTGCGTGAAGAGACTGAAGTTTTCATGAAAAAGTTGGGAGCTGCCACTAAAAAGGAAACGAAATCGTGAGGAACAATTTGGAGAGGTAAGGCAGGAGACGGGCCAGCATCGTGTTGTATACTCCAGCATCGCATACTTGTCGAAGAGCCCACACAGGTTGTCGTTAACCCTCCTTTCGAGATTCCTGATGATATTGACAAATATGTCATGAGTGCCATTGCTCATTATTATTATTATTTATACTCTGACATCTTTCTCTTTCTCTCGAGTGGTTTCTTTTTTCTTTTCTTTTTTTGACGAGCAATGATGATTCCTAGGTCATCAAAAGGCATTAGACTGGTTTTGTTTTATTTCTTTTAAGCATAATAATTCTGAGGCCTCAAATAATTCAAGATAATCAAGCCGTTAAATGCAAGTTCTATTGGTTTATATTCTGCCTAGATGTGCTCTCGAGGGCTGTAGGCTCAAATGAAACATATCAAACTTATTCCTTCCCTGGCCCTTCATGCTGAAATTTGATTATATCTAGAGTCATAAAAGTTCTTGTAAGTGATCCCGAATGTCATCTTTCATCTATTCTAGAAATTAAATTATCCAAGTATAAAAAGAACGTCGATAGAGTGGCGACGATGTTCAGGAAAATAAATGGGTCCACTAATCCTAAATAGACCTAGCGTATCCACGCTAAGACTTTATTCTTCTTCCCGCGATCACTTTTTCTTTACCGTCGTCGATTCTGACACGGTCAAAACTTTGCACTTCACTGTCGCCAAGATGAAGTACGTTCTGGTTTCTGGAGGTAAGTCTTTATTGATTGTCAGAGAATATTCAGAGAACATGCGTTTTGCCTGGCCTTGAATCTGCGTCCCTTGTGAGTCAGAGATTGATAGATTTTTTTGCCGCGCAGGTGTCATCTCTGGTGTTGGAAAGGGCATTATCGCCTCCAGCACTGGTCTCCTTCTCAAGTCGATGGGTCTCACCGTATCGAGTATCAAAATTGACCCCTACATCAACATTGATGCCGGGACAATGTCGCCCATCGAGTCAGTGCCCCACGATCGACCTTTACAACTTCCCACCGACATGAATACTGACTCGTAGTTGCTTCAGGCATGGCGAGGTTTATGTCACAGACGACGGCGGTGAGATGGATCTCGATCTCGGTAACTACGAGCGCTACCTATTGACCACCCTCACTCGCGACCACAACATCACTACTGGAAAAATTTACGAACACGTTATTACTAAGGAGCGAATTGGTCACTATCTCGGAAAGACAGTTCAAGTGTACGTCTCTCCTTGAAATTTATACAGGCGCAATATGGGAAAGAGTGAAACTCATTTACGCCTTTGCGATTTAGTGTTCCTCATGTCACCAATGCCATCCAGGATTGGATTGAGCGTGTCGCTAAGATCCCTGTTGATGAGTCTCGTGCGGAGCCCGATGTTTGCATCATTGAGCTAGGTAAGGAAGATTTTTGACCTGATGTGGAATTTGCATAGGCTCATATAACCTTTTTAGGTGGTACCGTGGGTGACATTGAGAGTGCTCCTTTCATTCATGCCGTCAGTCAGCTTCAAAGACGTGCTGGTAAGGGCAACTTCGCCCATATCCATGTGTCTTATGTTCCAGTCCTCCCGTAAGCGATTCGTTGGATCATGGAAATAAGAATCAATTAGACTAACAGACACTTAGCCCTGGACCTGGAGGTGAACAGAAGACCAAGCCCACCCAGAGGGCCATCAGTGATGTTCGCAGCGCTGGCCTGAATCCGGACCTGGTATATTCTATCCATTCAAAATCTCGAGTTTCCGAACTAACTTATTTCGAAGATTGCTTGTCGTTGCGAGCTGCCCCTGGAGGACAGCACCATTCAGAAGATCGCCAATATGTGCTCCATGGACACAAAGCAAGTTATCGCCGTGCACAATGTGACAACTACATACCATGTACCTATGCTTTTGGAGAAACAGCAGCTCAGCAACATTATGAGCGAGCTTCTCAACCTTTCCTCTGTTCATCGCCCAGTTGAGCGAGTTGAGCAGGGTAAGCTGATGTGGAAAGATTGGTGTGAACTTGCCCGGGGCCAGGACCACGTCCATGACGTCGTGAAGATCGCCTTGGTAGGCAAATATACTTCCCTCAAGGACGCTTATATCAGTGTTTCAAAGGCACTTGAACATGCAGCCATGTACACTCACAGAAAGGTTGAAGTTATCTGGGTTGATTCGTCTCACCTTGAGGATGAAGCCCAGCTGAACTCTCCCACTGAGTTCCACAAGGCCTGGCACAATGTCTGCATTGCCGACGGCATCCTTGTCCCCGGTGGATTCGGAACTAGAGGCTGCGAGGGAATGATCAAGGCTATTACTTGGGCCCGTACGAACAAGAAGCCTTTCCTCGGTGTTTGCTTGGGTATGCAGCTATCCGTCATTGAATATGCGCGCAATGTTGCTGGCATTAAGGATGCCGGTAGCGAGGAACTCCACCCAACGGCGGAAAACCACGTGATTGTCTACATGCCTGAGGTAAGGCTTAGATCCATCATTGCAAATACTTCATGCTAATAAAATCGTCTCTAGGTGAACAAGGACAAACTTGGTGGAACCATGCGTCTCGGTAAGTACCCCTGTATCTTCCAGGAAGGTACCGAGTCCTCGAAGCTGCGTGCCCTTTACGGCCCTTCGGTGTCTCAAATTAGCGAGCGCCACCGTCACCGCTACGAGGTCAACCCAGAGCTGGTTGGAACTCTTGAGAAGGCCGGCTTGACCTTTGTCGCCAAAGACGAGAAGGGTGAGCGTATGGAGGTTATCGAGATCCTAGACCACCCCTGGTTCGTGGGTGTGCAGCCCCACCCTGAATATCTCAGCCGTGTCCTGAGCCCCAGCAAGACATTCCTTGGTTTCTTTGCTGCCGCCGCCGGCTGCCTAGAGGAAGTGACCAAGGCTGTGAATAACGGCCAGCGCAGCATTGGAAAATCCGAGCAATAGACATCAGGGTCATTGTGTGAATCAACCTTTGAACCGGTACTTTGGAAAAACAAAATGCTTTGCTATATGGAATTTGTTGGACATGGTTGCATATAGAAAGAAAAAAACACATTAGAAAAATAATAAAACACGATTCATGTATATCCACACTCCGACATTCCTCAGACGTATTGTAAACATATTTTTACTCTATTCTAAAATTTTATCTAGGTACGGACATTTGAAGCTTAGGTACGGAGTACTAGCAGTAGAAACAGATGGAAGTCCCTTCCCGACAATCAAACCACAGACTTTCCCAGCCTCAAATATCTTTGAATAGATTTCTGTTTTATGTATTCCAAATGAAGTCTTCGAACTTAGCTTCATAAATCCTAATATGGAAACCAAATTCAATTTGAAATAGTGAACATTAATCAAAGTGCTAGGAGATAGGAAATAAATAAATAAAGGAGAAAATGCGGTAGATTGAATGGCACTTGAGTACCTGCCCCGGGAATTGAACCCTGAACCTTCATTGTAAACGACGCCTAACTATTAGACCAAGCAGGCTATTGATAACTTGTCTCTGCGGAAAAGTCTGTGATTTATATACTTTTTGTTCAAAAGGAGTCGGGACTTTGGGAAATAAGAGTTATCGAATCTGTCAGTGTGAATAAGTAGTAGGGTAAGAAGGTAAGAAGGTACAAAGTAGTGAGGTCAAAATCGTGGGCTAACTAAGCCTTTATATGGCTAAAGTGGAGTCGACTCATTATTAGTCCGTACATCCGCTATCCATAATTTATCCGGGGCCAATGATAATGAGTTTAAACGTTGAGCTAAGCTGTAAAGGTCTTAGGGCTAAAAGATCTCAACCTTAATGAGCTACCTTATTCTATCTGATAGTTACTTGGTGATATGACAGACTATAATAAGATACAGGTTACTCAGATATTCATGTTATACTTCTAAGCCTCAAGGTTCAGCAGGAGCTGGTAGATATCACTAGAAGACACAGTGTTAATGTTTTATCTAGGTATTCTTTCTTAATACTGAGTACATGTGATCATGTGACCGTGACACGTAAAGTAAGCTGACAATCTAATATCGATTCCGTTTCGCTCAGTAATTTTTCGGAATAGGGCTCCATTTAGTGTGTTCGCTTATATTATGATGAAGATACTCTATATTCTTAGAATTCCTGTATGGTGGCATACAACTCATTCAATGAGAATCGGGTGAATTCCAAGGTTCCAACATAAGAAGGCTATAGTGCAGATGGTGGACCTCCGCATATTAGGTAGCCCGGAGAATATAGAGCAAAAATAGAACGAGTACATTTCTAGAAGTCACTGGAGTTCATCCAATCTGATAATGAGTTTTTACTTCCCTAGATTTCAAAGGTTCTGCTGGATGAATTAGATGTACCTAGCCCTGGAGGTATTCAGAAATTAAACATTGCCCGTGGGATATATTGAAATATCTTAGTGGAACGAGGAATAACGGTGACCCACTACTTGAAATACGTATTTTATTGGTGGAAAGATGTCAATGACTTGGTTTTGGGCATAAAAGATAAATTGGCCAATTTCAAACGACAAAGGTAGCTGTTGGAACGAATATCAGCTGACATACCAAGATCATGTTATCTTGGCATGGCAGCTACTATATCTTCTTTCATCTGAGCATTTTAGAATGACACTTCACTTTTACCCAATATGCATACACCTATTATATACGTACAGAAACGATATCAATAGCTGTCTGCTTCGGTAATAACCTAGTCAACCGACAGTAGCTAAAGATGTAACACCTCGTAACCTTGAAGAAATAGAAATCTCACGTAGCCAAATTTGAAAACAAGAAAACTGAGCGCACAATTCAGCAAACAAAAAAAAAAAAAAAGTAAATAGAGGCTTGTTTCACTTCCCGTACCCCTCAAGCAAAAGACTCGAGATATTCCAAAATTTAGTGAATTTTTTCGAGAAAAACCAGTGCACGTCGGGCAAGCAAAAAGGAAAAACCAAAAGACTCAATCTATGAACAGATTGTATCCTACGAGGAGATCCACCCACCAATCAATCAACCATATTAAATGCTCGCTACCAAGTATCAGAGAGTCGTGGTCGAAGTCAGAATTTAATCTCTCCATAGTATCAGGTGGTCATACTCCGCTTCTTTCTCTTAGTAGGCAAAATAATGAACCCGCCTCCCACACGGTCTTGAACTTCACCGAAATGACTCAATATCTGCTTCCAGCTGGCTTTGGAGTCCCCGAGCCCAGGATAGGTGATCACATTTGAAATCTCCGTTGACTTATTGGTTTGGATCTCAAGCATCAAATCGTCAATAGTGTCATTGGTTACGAGTTTGACAAACACCACTTCTCTCATTTGACCCAGGCGGTACAAGCGACAGAACGCCTAGTAAATTTTGTTAGAAATTTTCACAATTCCGGTATGTCAAGGGTTGTACTAACCTGCTCCTGGGCTGCCTCATTCCACCAAAGATCCACAAGTATGCACTTGTTGGCAACGGAAAGGTCAAGACCAGTCCCTCCTGTCTTCATCGTTACCACCATCACTTTAACCTCCTCATCAGTCTGAAATTTCAAAATACTGGAATCTCGAGCTTCCATTGACATGCTGCCACATAACTGTTTCATGTTAATATGTGTCAAGACATAAATTTTCAATCTTACTGGATTGAATTAAAAGCTTACTTGATTGTATTGCCATTGTTCCTTGGCGCACATACCAGCAAGAAGTCTCATGGTGCCGAGGAATTGGGTGAAGATGACTGTCTTCATAGCTGGGTCTTCTTTGAGCCAGTCCTTCACCATACTTCTGATTTTGCTTAACTTGGTGCTGGGCATCTCTGTTCCAACAATCGAAATCCAATCCGGTATTTCATTCTTAGTGCTCTCGTTAACTGGCGTGGATTTGGATCCGGAAGATCGTTCGCTCCACTCTGTGATACCAAAATGGCGCTTTCGATTCGCTTTTTGTTTTTGCGCATTACTTGGAGATCTTTTGCGCTTGTCTCCCGTCTTCGGCAACCGACAGGCGCTTTCAGACTGCAGCAGAAGATCTTTCAGCTCGCAGCGAACGGCCTCTTCGATCACGACCTTGCAGATACAGCAGACTGGAAACTCAGAATCCGAATTTCCATTTTCGTCTGGCAATCCATTATAGCAGTCGATGCAATAAAGATGTTTGCAAGATGTCAGGATCGGCACATCGGGTGTTTCTTCACAGCGGGGACAAACCATGCGTGCCGCATATTCTCTCATCTGGACATCGCCAGGAAGATCTGCCAGCATCCTTTGAAAAGCCAATTGAAGTTTCATAAAATCGCCAGAAGGTAACTTGACGACCAAGGGATCCAAGAGACCTCGAGTAGTACGAGTAGGGGATCCTCTAAGTAGCCTCATCAAAACTTTGTGGATCTCTGGTGAAATTTCATCTCCAGTATCCCATTTCAGGCTTTCCTTGTTCCCCGGTCTCTTCAGTAGACCTTGCAGAGCTTCATGAACAGTCAACAGATGACTTGTGAACATTCGAAGTTTGAGAAACATAGTGAGAACACAGCTCCACTGCCTCTCATTTTCATCGGCAAATGCTAATATTGATTAACCAACCATACCTACGTGGCTCATTGTCAGCTTAGGGATTCATATATCTCGGGCTTACCATTAATTTTCTCGACAAACGCCTGCTCAATCATGTGGTAAAGCTGGGTTTCCACGTTGCAAAGGTCCAATTTCTCAACCTTTTCAGCGATCATAGGCAATTTGATGATGGGCAATGTGAAGAGTCGACTGTTATGAGTCATTCGATGGACAACTGTACGTAAAGTATCGATGAGTTTTTCACGGGTCTTCTCGTTCATCTGTGAGTGATTTGAGAAATTGTCAACAAAATAATATAGGAAAATCCCTTGAAAAGCCATCTGGACATATTGGTGACGTACTTTGCTAAAGTTTTCCTCATATTTACTGAAATCAGTGATTGCTGGCACGTCAATGAAATGAAAATAGGGAAACAGCTCCTCGATGCAACTGGTATAATCAGCAGAGCCCATATCGACCAAGTATTGAAGAAGACTCACTTGTGCAAAGGCGTACCGCTCACAACCCATTTATGCTGCCCTATAAGACCACGCACGGCAATAGAAGTGTTCGAATCGGGATTTCTGATGGTGTGGCCTTCTAAGGGATCGAGAGTCAATATGCAGGAGTCCTCGATGATATGTTGAAGAATGAGAGAATCCCTACCGTCAAGGATGATCCGATGCCATGGGACTCGATGCAGACTGCCGCGATTTTCAAATTCTTCATTCCAACAAGAACGAATTTGGTTTGCTAAAATATGTTGCGGCACCTTCAAGCTCGGATATGACATTCGCACCTCATCATAGGTAGCGATTCTATTCGAGTAAGCGAGTGAACTCCACGACCCTGGGTGCTTACATACACGACATCAGTCCGCAGCATGCTAGTCACATTATTGTTCGTTGTCGACTTGGAGAGGTTTCGATATTCAAGAAATGTTCCAAAAACCTCACTTTCGAAAAAGCGATCGATTTGCGCAACCCTATCATTTGATTCTCAAGGGTTATTGATTTGATTCAAGTTAACTAAAGGGCTTTATCGCTTACCAGTGACTTCGCAGGCTCGGCGGCACAACAATCAATGTTGGATTCTGTCCGTCAAAATTTTGGGCTCTTCCATCCAAAACCACTGCCAACGTAGTCACAGTCTTTCCGAATCCCATAACATCGCAGAGGAGCCCTCCTAGCGGCGCTTTGCCACCTTTCTCTCGTGAACGCTACTAAAGTTAGCGAGCGTTTTGTGAACTTTTACATTTGAAATTATCAAAGACCCTACCATCCAGCCGACTGCCAAAATCTAATATTCTTGTTAGTGGATATCGAAGAATAATATCAATCGGAGCGACGTACCTGGTGATTCATGAGTCCCGTTTTCAGCCCCTTCATCTTCCATCCGCCTTTATTATCACTTTTTGGCTTATGGGAAAAATTGTCGATTGCGCGAAGGATATTCTTTTTGTCAGTTGTTGCCTTTTTCTTATCCTCAGGGGTCAAGTTCGGAATATTTGCAATCAGCTCGTCTAGGGCCTTGACTCTGTTGCCGCTTTTAAACCCCGGGATTGCAGCCGAGGCTTCATTTTCTTGAGCGCTCGAAATAATTCCACCGCTTTCAAAGATTTTCTCGAGCTCCAATGGTGCAAGTCCGCTGGTAAGTGTCTTTCGCTTGCCAAGAGTGGCTTTTTCAAAGCTCTTTTTGCCTTTCATTCTGGCATTTTTGATCAATGCCTTCAGCCCAACTTCCATCGATCGCTTCCGTTCCTGCGCAGTAAGCTTGACCTTTCTCTTTGGTGCACTCAGAATTGGTTTCCGGGGATTTTTGATCTTCGGCCTCGTCTTCACATGGTCAGGATCCTCTTCAGAGCTTTCCTCGCTGCCCTTATCATTGCTGTGCTCTTCAACTTTGTTGCTGCCACATTCCTCTTGGACAGAATCATGATTTGCGCCAACCAGGTCCAGTGTGTTGATATCGACAAGGTCCAGATAGGTTGCTGCATCAGAATCACAGAAGCCCGGCAAACTTTTGTAACCAACGTGTTTTCTCGAAACAGAGTCGGGGCCTTGAGAGCCTCCACTGTCGGAACCATTGTCAGGCTCCATCTTGAAGTGGGAGTGGAAGAAAACTGAAGGTTTCAAATCGACCAGATAGTCAATTTCCAGCCAGTCAGATGGACAAGATCTCAGCGATGGGTAATCTTTCAAGGTAAGAGTTGGCCACAATCTTCGAAGCGTAGGAGTTGAACAAGATACTTACTGAATACTTTATCTTTCAATGGAAATTGAGAGATTCAGATTTCACCATGAGAGAAAAAAATCCAATGTAAGTTTGATGTGCAGGCTGGATATGAGAGGGTCTTCAACTGAGAAGTAGTACTTGAGCTATTGACCACGAGATCAGGATTCAGAGGTCACGGAAGTTCCCGTTTGTGTCTGTGTGTGCCTCAAGCTCAAAACAATAGCTTGAAGCTAAGGGGCCGAAATCAGTAGCAGTGTGGAAGATACCTGTTAGGGATCTAGGTAGAGTATAAATTGAAACCTTTCAAGCTTGGAAGGATCAAGTCAAGTAGAGATGTGGGAGGAAGTAGAAGGAAGAAAGAACCATGGGAAATGTTTGACGAATATATACTAATTTATACTATTTTACATTCGAGACCACGTGGTTGAGCGTTTGGAGATGTTTGATTTAGAGCCAGAATTTCTTCAGCATATGTTCACTTTCTCGTTACTCCTGCCCTTTCTACACCCAGTATCTGCTATGGAAATAATACCATAATGACTCAGATTGGGTGGATGTAGGGCTATGTGCCAATTATTTGGACATTGAAATGCCCAATGCAATTTCTCAACCCCTAGAAGTATGTAGGTCTACGGGTACAATTAAGGTAGTCTTCTCACCTCCCCAGGGCATATATACCTGCCCAAGTGGGTGCCTAGGTAGCTACTTTACTGGAAACTTGCTGATTTTACCCACTATGTGTTGCTTTTTAGGTATTAGAAGGCTTTCAAATCAATTTTAGATCCTCATTGATTGAACTAGAGAGTGATTTCGCCAACGATCGCAGCGCAGCCAACCCTTACCGGTTCTGCTTGATTACTTCTCTGTGGAAGTACTAGATGACTTGACAACGACATTTTACCCATAAATCTTTCCATGGGCCACTCTTACGTGCACGCTTACTTTCACTTTCCCTTTTACCTGCAGGAAGTGCTTTACCAATGGCAACGATTCGAACATATCAACAGCAAGACACTTTTCAAATCTTGAAAACAGATGCCTATCCGACAGTCATTTGTAAACCAAATGAGCCCGAGTTCCCCAACTTGGGAAGCAATAGCTTGCGAAAATTCTTGGCTAAGAGACCCCAGGAAGCATGCGTCGAGATGTGGATAACGAGGAGACCAGAACCTGTTAACAGCAAGGCTGGCTCCATACGGAAGCGGTTGAGAGAAACTCGTCGGAAATAATGTGCGTTATTCAGACGATTCTTCATGCCAGGTTAGTCCTACTCTTGCATTTATTTTGCCGATCTGAAATTCCCCTACTGAAACATAATACAGATCCATCAGAGTCAGGTGGCCGATGATAAAGTGCAATTCCCACGAGAGAAGTTCACCAACTTCGAAACGCTCGCTGAAGCCTGGATGCGGCACTTCTATCACGAAACCTGCAGAAGATGATGTGGACTGGTGATGGATCCACGACTCGGCCCGTCGAGGCAACGTAGCACGACTTAGATCAGTTGATGAAATGAGGGAAAGAAATTACCCAGAAGGCGATCGGTTAAATAACCTCTGTGAGTGATTAAAGTCAAGATGTTCCTATTAGTAGTGAATACCTAATTAGACGTCTATACTTATCCTTATAGACTACATATCGAACCTATTCGGGGCTGGTTTATTCAGATCGCCCACAATATCCGCCTCTCGTCATCTCTCTAGCATTGCACTCCAGGGATCACCATCTTCATCTCATAACTGACTACTACTGATGAGGGCTTATGAGCTGGCACCATAATTCAAGTGATCATCTTCCTTACTCAACCCTTTATCTCATTTACACATCTCTCGTTCCAAATATTCATCACATTAACTTCATTTTCACGACTCCATTACACCTGCCTAGCAGCAACAATGTCTGAAATGTTGATTGGCTTCGTTCTCGGGTCTGTCTATGGGTTGACCTTAGCTTGGTCTTTTAGAAATCTGTTCTGTCCATGTGTCAACCGTACTTCTTTCCCCGTGATCTTTTGGATCTTCATCAATGTACACGTTTTCCTTGCTTTCATTTATTTCCTTTGTTTCTCGCCATGATGTGAGATCTCGCTTTCCTATCCTTATTCATACCTTTCCTGGGATCGATCAATGCTGATGACATATTCAGTTTACAATTCAGGAACCTTGGAATTTACCACCACCGTCATTGCTCCTTATATGATCAAGGATCTATCTTTATCAGCAATAAAGCCATGAACGCAGACTAGCACAATGAGCAGTCTTTCTGTTTTGGAATTTTAAGCTTATTGAGTAGAAAGATATGTGTGAGCCAATTGAAGACTTTCTTTGCCCACCAAGCAGGTCGTTGGCCTTATCCATACAGCCACTCAGTCAAAATGAAATTATCTCCATTCTCATGTCTTCAGTATATCACTGTATGTACCTTTTTGATTGAGTAGCAGGATGGGTACAGAATACCTAGGTACGTGGGTGTATGATCGTTCGATGTCTGGTTGTCAAATTGTATCTAGTTATAGAAACCCTTCCTTAGAAACAGAATTTCAAAAATAGACCCATTACAAAAAATAAGAGGTCAGGAAACTGGAAGAGTGTGATGATACACAGGCCAATGGAGATAGGTTTGAATTTATTACTTGATTATTAAAAAAAGCACGAGAAGACTTCCTTTGAGTTGAAACAATATCTGACAAGACCGATTGGGGAAGGAAATCCAAGTCCTAAGTTTTCAAAGAAGTGATTTGAGCCGGGTTGCAATTCTTTTCTTAACTTTGACGCAGGACGCAAAAATCAAGGCTGCAGTGCTAGAAGGTGAGGATAATAAAAGTGGACAGTGACAAGAATATTCATGAGAAGAGGATAGCCTGGATGGAATTCCATGTTCTTGAGTGAAATGTAGCGATCCTCAATCGGTTTCCTGTTCTTGTGCCTGTATCATACCAGCATCTTCTGCTTCTTTGAGCAGAATAATTTTTTCTATCATCCTGTTCATAGCAGCTTTATCTCTGGCTGCCTTTCGTACTGCTCGTCTCTCAGCTGATCTTGCAGCTCTCACCTTCCACTCTGCAAAATCTTTTGCCGTTGCTGTCTGTACCTTGTCGAAAGCATTCGTTGGCCTTCCACAATGCAAATTCTTTCTCACTCAGTCTCTTTGCTCTTTCAATATTTGCCAAGAAGTAAGGCTCACAGATTTCATCGCCGGGAAAGTGTCACTGCTCGCATTTTATACAGTGGACAGACTTGTCGAACTCATCTTGCTCTGACTTGGGCACATGGTTGTATTCAACTTCATGTTCTCAACCTTAAGACCCTGCCGACGTTCAACTTTGTCTGAAAAGAATATCAGAAGGTGTTTTAGCTTCTCTTGTTTTGGGTCCGAGGAAGATGAGGTAGGAGCATCTTCTACCTTCCGCTTTTTGGATTCCTTGACCGGGTCTGTCGCCTGCGGATCATCTTGAATTTCCATATCAACACTCTCGATCTTGATATGAGGAGTGTTCTGGGGAGACGAAAGGTCGCTATCATAAGCAGGTTGATCACTTGCTGGTTTCTTCTGGGAGATTTTTTTTCATACGATCGATCCAAAAGATCCGGGGGAGGTGACTGATCGATTGCCTCGGCCATTTGGGGACAGCTAGCAAGATTTAGACATAACACGTCCAGGAGTTGTGGCTTAAGACGAAAGGTTTGAAACAAGTAGTGTGTAAGGGGAGAAGTGAGAAGATAAAGAGAGAAATTCGAGGGGAGGACTCTTTGTGAAAGGTGAAGTTCTGGAGTGGAGGGGCACTTCCTAATTGCAATATTCCAAAAACGAAACAGGTCCCAGGTATTGGTAATGCACATATATTGTGCAACTGGCGTGTTAACTTTCAGAATATTGATTACCTGGATAAAAAGCCTGAACTTTTGGCACTTCTGGCTTAGTTATATCGAATATTTTCTCAACCCGAGGTAGTCTAAAAACAACGGTGAAAATCACTTGTAAACAAATGAAATTACGTATGCTTATTGAGATCTTCAATCAGAATGAATTAAATGTAAACCCAAACATGATAAACCTCAAATGAACGCCTTAAACAAGTAGACTGTGTACCGGGTATCATTAATTATGCAGTCGCCTGTACGGCTGAATCGCCGACTAGGGAAAAAAAGCAAGGAGCAATAGAAGATAGATCATGACATGGGAATCGATGGAGAGCTAATTTGTTCATCCAAGCCAGGCACAACAGGGGTTTTGATATCTTCATCATGCGGGAAAGCTCGGTCTGGAGCTGACACGCTAGTCGCACGGGACGTGACGGATTCAGCATCAGCAACCTCGGACATGGTAAAATTGGACACTGATTCCGCTGGCTCGTATGAAGCTGACACCGGGCTTGTGGGTTGCTTCTCGGGGGTTTCAAGTGGACCTTGGACGGCTTCATAGAATAGCATGAAGACGCCGCCTTGGGACATCACATGGCTCTCACTGACCATATGTACATCATCATCGCTCAGTCTATACCATCTTTCGGCCTTTTCCTTTTCCCCTTCCGCCTGGAGAACCTCGTCTGGAATTTGGGCTGGGAAAGTGGATGTGGGATATTTTCGATAGCAAACGTAGTGCCCGTTCTCATGACGGCCATAGTGTGTTATAATAGCTCGAAGTTCATAATGTCTATTAGACGCCCAGACTGATTGGCCTGGCTCCGGAAGCATGGACTGGCAAGGGTTTGTCTCCCACTGCTCAGTTGGACGTTCCGATATAGACTGATCTGATTGAGTACCAAGACACCAATTGTTCAAGTCCAAATATTGAGGAAACTTCACCGTGGCGTAGTTCTTTTTCAGCATCCCTGTCATTTCGTCAAAAAGACTGCGGTTTATATGCACGACAAGACACTGAGGAGATCGTGCGACCACAGCCTGTCGAGACTTGGTTGTAGACACCCGGTTTTTCGATGGGATATGACACTCCTTTGCCAGTGTTTTTTCGGTATAATCATCTTCCTCCAGGGCAGTTTCGACAGCTTGGAGCCGGGTTCGAGCAGAATTTGCCACGGCATCAGGCAGTACACGAGACGGCGTGGATTCATCGGCCAGAGCTGTAGTTTCCAATACCCCATCTAAGAGGAACTTTAGCTGACCTTGAGCTCGCAACAATGTGCATTTAGCACACTCAACGCCTTCGATAGGTTCCAAGCCCATGTATTGATCCAAACAATCGCGAACATCATATTGCATTCTGCCTCCAAGTGGAACAGTAAGGCAGTTAAAAGGGATGAGAGACAGCCCTTCTGTATATCCACATTTCATGCACCCAACCCGTTGCGCAAGTAGTCCCTCGAGGGGATTGCGAAAGGAAGATTTCTCAATATTATGATCTGATTCAGACTCATGAGTACAAATGTTTCTGAGGGTATCACCATCCAAGCCAGCCATTTTCAATCCCACATTCTTCGTTTGACCCCGGGAAGCTTCTTGGATCTCAATGTCGATTTGATCCACAAGTTTGGAGAAATACTCTTGCGCATCCTGTTGTTGCCAGCTACTCATGGACTTCAGATCTGCAGGAATCCATAGCTTGTTTCCGTAGTTGGATGCTCTATTGAGATCGTCAATTATCTCTTTGAGCGCTTGGTGTGTCGATAATGAACCCTTCTCTGCAAGAATGTTCACGTTTCGTCCCAAAAATTGCGCAAGTGATTCCAAAGACGCAAGACCTTGGATGATGCTATTTTGATAGCAAGAGTTGTCCCAGTTCCCCAGTCCCGGGGGTATGGCGTTTCGGCTGTTTCCAAGCAAGGCGTTCCCAATACCTGAAAGCGACCGTTGTCGAGAGAGCGGGCTGTTTTCAAGACTAAATATCCGTTGAATAGACTCGCTCTTTGCATGGAAACTCATCCGAGAGTGGCTCGAAGAGTAATCCGATGGCGACATGCGAGAGTCGAGTGCGACGAGCAAACGCGATGGCGTTAATATGACGATGAGAGTCCAGGCAGCTTGGATCAGCGAGATCGGCGCAAACCCAAGTTGGTCTATAAGCAGGTACACAGAAACTAAAGCGAGGAGAATGTAAGATGTGTTCTCTTGTAGGACTGAGGAAGTGGCCTCATATTGGCTATTCGGGTGAGCGTAGTGGATGGGGTCTCGGCGAACATTCATGGCTAAAATAAGAAACAAGGAGAGCCGAAGCAGGTAAAAGGTAAGAGTTTGGGCATGAGATGTGTCGCAAGACCGTTCAACCACGGCAAAAGTCACGGCGGAAGAGGTAGCATGTAGGGATGAGTGAAGGGGAAGGATGGCGCTTATTTCAAGGTACTAGTGAGTGAGTGAGTAATCACGTTTTTTCTCCGCAAATCAATTTTTTTTTTATCGATAGTCTCCACACACATCAGATCTTCCTCAAAACAGATATTTAATCCCACCATGGCTAAGAACAAACGTGAGTATTCAAGACTTTACATATTATTTATATTTACTCTAACAGATTTTTTTAGCCAAGGCCAACTCTCGTGCCGCAAGGCGCGCGGAATCACCGAGCCTGAATGTCGACCGATCCCTGACCACTGTCCCGCGAGCCGAGTCTCCGACTGCTGAACATCCTTCTGTTTTGACTGATCGTAGAAACTCTGGTATTCAGAAAAAGCAAAAAGGAAAGAAGCTTTCAAGAGCGCAGCGTCTGAGACAACAGAAAGGCATGGATAGGGCCGAGGCCGTTATGGATCAACTTGAAATCAAGAAAGCTAAGAGTTTTGTTCGCGCAAAGGCAGTTGACGCCCGAAGAGTATGAATTTCCTATAAACTGCCCTGTTATTGATAAATGTGCTAAAAAAATCCCTATTGAAGGGTGATTGGGAAGACCTGAACCGAAAGGCCGCCGCCTTGTTGGCTGCTCAACAAGCTCAGGCTAAAGCTAAAGCCGAAGCCGAAGCTGAAGCTGAAGTCAAAGAAGTCCACGATCGCGACGGCGACGAAGATATGGACGGCGATACAACACCATTTGTGGGCGCCGTCAATCCATTCGAGTCACAGCCGACAAACGCGGCTTCCAATCCTGTCACAGAAACTCCGATGCTGGCTGACGAAGACGACGATATCACTTGAACGAAGCACCCCGATGAATATTCCCTGGTAATTACCTTCTCGGCCTGAGCTGGTTGATCATCCGCTCAATTTCAGTTGCCGCGGGGCCAGATGCTTTGTTCCGGAGAAGCTCGAGGGTCGCAACGTCCTTGGCCTTCTGTGCTTCTTCTCCTGCCTTGACGATCATGCCACACTTCACCCACATTTCGATCCGCTCAGCGACAGACAAGTTGGTGCATTTGGGCACAAAAAGCGATGATAACTTTGTATTTCCGGCGCCAAGGACTTCGTTATAGAAAGGCTGTACTACGGTGTCAGTAGAGATATTATAGACAGAAAATTTGGGATTTGATATCTTACCTCCCACCCGATTGGGGACTTCTTGACCTTGCCAATCTCTTCCAATTCGCCCCAGTCGCGTTTAGCCACCAAGGCTCTTAGTCTCAGCCACCAATATGTCTTCTCTAGCATTTTGAATTCACTCTGCAACTTGCTCGCTCTCTTTCCATAGCCAGCTCGAATGAGCCTGTAGACTGTCTCGTTCAGGCTGAGACCGAAATACTCGGAACTGTCAGCGAGGTCCTTATCCAAATTTTCTTGAATCTTCAGGAGCTGAGAGGACTCGGCTATCAATTTTTGCTGTAGCACTACTGTCGGGTCCTTGGAATCTGACAGCAGACGCGATGCCAAATGAAGCTTTTCTGTCTTGCGTTTCGAATCTTTCTCCTTCAAAGCTTCAGACAGCAGCACATTTGATCCCTCGATCGGCTGATCATCTTGGTAGTATAGATCCTTGAGCAACTCCGTGTCCTCATTCCGTGCTGCAGTTTCAACCAATGCAGAAGCCACGGGGCGAGTGTTAATCACTCGAAAGAAGCTTGCCAGAGGTAACTTGGTCTTCATGTGCAAAAGAACGAAATTGACCAGATCATCATCACCGCTATCGATTGCTTTGTCCAGCGCGACCTCATCTTCCTCCATGTTTAATAGTAGTGGAACCTGCTTGCCAGCTCGGGGTTCGTGGTTCAGGAGTTGGGTAGCCAGATGTGATCGGCCCTCATTGTAAGCCGTTTGGGCAATGGCCTCGAAGGAAATGCCTGGCTTGCCATCGAGCTTCTGGACAATGAGTTTGCAGACAGCGTCGTCATCGACCGTGGAAACGCGAACCTTCTGGCTAGCCCAATGGACATAAATGCGATCTGCGGGGATTTGTAGATACTCTGAAATTCGTATGGCAAGGAGGTACTCATGTCGACTGATCAAACGTTCAATGAGTCCCTCGGGAGTCAAACGAAGATATTGCTCATATGAAAGTGGCAATCCGACTTTATAGTCCCTCACTGCTGTCAGGACTCTCAGCTTTTCAGTCATTTCCACGAATTCATCGCTATTGTAAAGTTCCAGGACTGATTTGCCGAATGATGCGGCCTTTAGGAGACGTTTTTGCCAGTAAGCATCAAATTCGTGGCCTGCTGCTTTGACGCACGTGTCGACTGCTGCAGGCAGACTGGAGCGAATCCGTTGGATATTTTCATCGGCCTTGGGTGATTTTTTCTCGAGCTGGTCCACGGAATCAAGGAGAACCGAGGCGGGCGAGGAAGATCCCAATCGAAATATTTCCTCTGTGACACTGTTGACCTTGTGCAAGAACTCGCAAGTGTCATTCGTGATGAGGCGAACTCCATCAAACTCGGGTATAACATGCACTCGGCCATCATAGTAATATTTGGAAGCGACAGCACCAGGTCCGACTAGGTGAAGTTCGTCTTCCCATGCCAAAACGACAGCATCATCACCACACCAGTTTACAGAGCTCGGAGGAACTCGAGACCTTGAATCGTAATCGGTGAGCTTGTTTTGAAAGTCGCTGCTGACAACCCATAGCCTGCCCTCTGCGGTGAAAAGAGCAACGAATCTTCCGGTCGGGGAAACAGCCACATTTTTAAAGGGACCATTTTGCAAGATCTTGTCTTCGGCCTCTGTGGAATCCACCAAGAAGACGGTCTTGTCGACGGCAAGTAACACCTCCACGGAGCGTGAAAGTGTCTGCGCGGGTGGTACCAGCGACCAAGATGAAACCTCACCTTCAGGGCATGTAGCGAGTGGTTTGGAACGTGGCTCATCGTACTTGGAGACGGATATCAACTGGTTGTTTGACAACAAGGCCACTAGCCCCGATGCCCAGAACTGACATGCTCTCACACCATATTCTTCAGCACCCTATGTATTGTCAGTCGATATAGACCATCGGATAGGTAGAATTGAAGACTTGCTTACGTTTCCAAGAGAAAAAGAAGTGAACTCGCCATCTAGGCCGTAATAGCGGCGAACTGTACCGTCTTCGCTAACTACCAGGAGCTCCTCTTTGTCGGACCAGCCGAGCCCACGAATGGTGGCTTGTTCCCACTGAATTTCAGTTAGTTCAATTCAATCCGAAAATCCTCAAGGGAATCAAACCTACATTAATGCGATTGATCAGCTTGCCGGAGCAGGAATAGATATCGATGCTCGATCGGGGAGCCTTCTTATCACGGAGTCTTAGCGGTTTACTCTCATCTCGGTAGAGGGCTACATGCATTAATCATTAGTTCTGGATCCCTTTGATCTCCACTTAGAACATACCGATGGCCCCTCCGTGAGGTGCGCCCGCGACGATGTAGTTCTCTAGTTCAACATCCCCGTCGAAGATGGCTTCGTACACGGGAACTTTGCGATAAAAGCTGTCACCAACTTTCTCCCAGTTAGAAAGGGGGTTTGAAGGTGCCATTATTGGAGGGCAAATGTCATGAACAATGGCCTTGGAAGACCTTCCAACCCATGCCCCGTGTTGATGTTGGCTGGGAACTGCCGATATGAAGATCGCACTAGTCCGGATTAGGCAGGATATATTGTTGCCTTGTTTTTAAGACATCAAGGCATTAACTTTCTATACTCGATTACAAGAGTCAATGATAAATAATTAACCTAGGGAATTTTGAGGATACAAGGAGCTGGAAGTAAGGATTTAAATCTCCAATTGCATTCAGATTCGGTGTATTTCACCACAGATCCAATTCGTAGTTATCAATCCTTTATAGAAGGAACACAGCGCAAAGGTTGACAGTACCTCTAAGTCATAACATAACGCAATAAATGGCGTTCTTTCTATCCTTGAATTGAAACGGGTGATAAAATTTCCCCACTCTTCTCAATCTTGTCTTATTCCACTTCCCCACGGTTCTGCGCAACACATTTTTCAACAGAGATACTCTGATACTTCAAGTATCGCGGCAGCCAAGACTGGAAGTTGCAAGGAAAAAGAATTTTTGGTCAACATCTGCATCAAACCACAAACAAATAGCATGTGCCTTCTTCCAGACTCTCCATGGGAGGAGTTAGCTATCTCAGCAGCTCATGCACGAAGTGGAAGTCACGATCTCCGCGCCTCGAGATACGAGCTCCCCCCACACACACATTTGCCGATCAAGAGGGAATCTCCTCCTGAATGGCTAGATGTTGCCGAGCACAAAGATCCTCAATTCCCTTCACGATCTTTTGATCTACGTCAGTCGTATCAGTTCTCCAAACCCAGGTCTCCATTCGCAAGTCAGCGAAGCCGAAATCGCTCCCGTTCACCACCGAACGATAACTGGCGTCTGCGCATTCGATCAAGTCCACTTTCGAGTCCTAGTACAGCAAGGAAGTACCGTTGTAGAATCAATCTTCCTGTCCGCTCACCCTCGCCACGCTTACCACAAGGAAAACCTGAATCACACAAAAATCTGGATCAAGCCGAAAATATGTCTCAGGAATATCTTGCGAAGACATTTGCGCATCTGCGAATAGAGCCAAAGAAAAAGCGAAAAAAGCCAGTTCGACCACTTCCAGCTCACTCACCCTCGGCACCAGAAAGCCATCCACCAGACGAGCCTTTGGGCCAGATCACAGAGATCGCCCAGGAAACTCTTGAGATCGCCCTTATGCGTCTGCACATTAGTTCGGCACCATGTTAACTCGCTGCCACCCCCGTACCGGAATAGCCTTCAAATTTGAAATGGAAAGATCGCATGACTTGACTCGTGCGCTGGTGTGGTTATGCTCAACATATATCAACTGTTAGTTCTAGTGCATTTTGAAATAATGGAAACTGGTATCAGAAGAGACCGAGAGAATCCATTGTTCACCACACCTCTGGAGCTTGGAGAACGTTTATGTTAATTTATTGAGAATCCAAAATCCGCCATCATTATGTTGTGGCGTTTGGCACTGTCAATTATAGAAAGAAAAAAAGAGCTATTCAAACTCCCCGATGGCCGAGTTGGTGAATGAGTGAATATTACCCTGGTCGTATAATAAGTATGCTTATGCCAATACATATATGCATAATGAAATGACTGAGAACCTGAGATCTCAATTGTAGATATTCATGGCACTGGAAACGTTTGAGTCACTTCATTCCTTTGGTCTGGATATTGATGCCATCGATTGAAAACGACGTAATTATTATTATCAGAGATGTTATCTTAGATATCCCCACACTAATAGAGTTGCTCTATATCTTCACCGCCTAATATAGTATGTGGACGTTAAGGAGGCATCTCCCGCATCCTCTTCTTCTCTCTCTCCCTCCCATTTTTCACTCTTGTTTCGCCTTTGAAGTTCACAATAACTGAGTGGCTGATGGAGCTGAGTCTCGAGAATGGATGATTCAAGTCTCGATGACATTGCGCGACAGCTGTCTGATCTTGAAGTTGCGCTGTTTCTGTGTCTGGCAGCTCGCGAACATTGCTTAATCGAGACGACGAGTGACGGAATCAATGATCTTGGGAAAGAACTGGCATTGGTACTAAGGACTCTATCATGACAACGGCACAATACTCTGACAATTGAATAGATCTGCTCTCAAACGTTTGGCCTATCCTACTCCATCGTTGATTTTGACTCGACGACAACAATCGAGGAGATCCATAATGATATTCTCACTGTGGATGCTCGTAAAAGCCAGGAGCGACCTCTATATTCTCGAAGAAAAACCGGATCAGTATGTATATTCTATTGAGGAGCTTATTGCCACAACAGCGCGGACTAACCAGCACCAGTCCAGCAGTGTTTCAGCCTATCTGAGCCTTCAAGATCGCAGCAAGTCACCGATACCAAGCCTTGCGCCTGATGAAATCAACGTGGTGAATGTTATCATTGCTAAAAATTTCAACTTGGTCAACGATGATCTCCAAGTACAGGCGTTACATGTGAGGACTAATTCTCAATGCGAGTACTATTCTCATCCTAACAACTACTACAGTTAATGCGCACAAGGAAACTGGCTATAGAAATGAAAATTCTTAATGCGCCGGCTGATTTCATGTTTTTGCCTCTTGTTGCGCGAGATTCCGATCAACTACAACCTTTGCTCAAGGCGCATCTGGTCGGTATTCTCTCCCATTAATTTCCTCGGCACTTCGTTCTAATGACCTTTTTACAGAATGATAACCTGCTAGTCTCTTATTTTCATGACCCGATGGATGGATACATGTATCTGGAAGAGAGTGACTGGCTTTCGGACGGTCAACTGTCAGCTTCATCGGTCATTCACAAACCAAAACATGCCGAGAAGATAACTGCCAAGGTGAACCAAACTGTAAATTCTCTTTCTCTTGTTACAATATCCAGATAATGCCACTGACATCCCTGTGTTGTATAGATGATAGAGAAGCTCCGAGAAGAGACAGACGCAGTCACAACGAGTGCAGAAGTGGCCCGGTACATTCAAGATATCATCGTATTCTTGCGTCTCAGTCGAGCCGTTGCTGGAGGCATATCTGCGAAGGCGAACATTCAATTCTCTCGGCTTGCGAAGTAAGTCAATACTGAACGGGTACCTAGGTGTATTTCGGAATACCATATTAACCAAGTTTCCCAGGCTCCTGGCACCTTTGCATGGCATGGATTATCTTACGCCATCGATTGTATCACTGGCGGCAAGGAAAGTGTTCCGTCACCGCATCATCGTCGCGAGTCCTGACGATGATCGGAGTCTTCAGTATGGTAGTGATCTGGCGGCGGTCTCTCATATCCTTGTAGATATCACCCCGGATTCAATTCTGGATGGGGTATTAGCTTTGGAGCCACCAATTTAACTCTCCAGTTGATTAAATAATTGCATCCTGAGCATACATAGGCAATAAATGGGAAATTCAAAACTTCCAGGCTAATTGATGAACAAGTTCCATTCAGTCACGTACAAGTCATAATCAAGCCAACTAGATAACTTCGTTCTAACTATAAGTCTATCCATCTATCACAGTCCACCAGATTTTAAAAATAAATCCGGCTGTTCATACTTCCCGTCGCTTCTTCTTCCAACTCCATGATTAGCAGATTCATCACGACAAAGACTATCGGCTTGATTTTCCTCGCGCACATGAGTCGCACTGTCAATCAGTTTGCATTGTCGGCGCCATGAGTCCAAAACGACATCAATCTCAACCTTGGAGTCACCAACAAGCGCATCCATCTTGATGTCATTTCTGTCATAGCCAAATGGATCTTCAAGTTGAGAGCCAATACCTTCAATACCATAGAGAGTAAATGTAACCAAGCAAACCACTGGAATAGACCACCAGCCCATCTCATCTACCATGGCAAAGGGCAGCACACAGCCAAATAGAGCGAGGACTTGTTTCTGATGAATGCTGCAATATAGTCAGTTTAATGAAAAAAACCAAACCCATTTCTAAAAAAGACTTACAGATGCGCCACCGGCATAGGAGTCAGCTTAATCGTCTCCATACGCCCATAAGCATCAGTGAGTGTATTCAATTGGCCCTGCAACTGACTCGCACCAGGAGCGGGAAACCAGCCACGCTCTTCACCGCGCTTAATAAATCCATCAACAAAAAAGGTAAGCTGATATGGAAGACCCATACCCTGATGCTCATGACCCTCCAATCCCTCTGGAAGTAAACCCGCATAGTCAGGATTATAAGCAGAAGTACCACACTCATCAATCTCATGGCCGAGAATACCGCCAATATCCCAAGCAGCACCCCACTCCGCCCGAAGGTGGTTCTTGACTGCGTACGGAATGGCCATGAGAATGCGGATCGTGCGCTCGACGTCCTCCCGCTCCGCCGGCGTGGGAGGGCCGCGCGTGGAATTGTAGCTGTTTGTCACGATTGTGCGCACGAGGTTGCGAATGCAAGTTGTTAATGTGTTCATGCCGTTGCGACCATCCCAGAATCTATTGTAGGAGGTCTGGTTCCTGAAAACTAGGATTAGACCCACGACAATGGACAGGGAGGGGATCTGTTTTTAGTTTAGTGTCTGGATGATTGGAGTGTTAGAATTGATGGCGCGTACAATGCTCGTGGGTAGTCCCACTGTTTCAAAGACATAAGTGTCCAAGTATACGACAAAGGCCGTGAAGAGAGCATGTAGGAAGACGGGGAGCAAGATTTGCCCGTGAATAGCCCCCTTGATGAACCGGAAAACGAGTGGCCATCTATCTAGAATGTCAGGTCTCTATTTCTTTGGAAATTTGTTCTGGATTTGCTACCTTCTGGGTTTTCTCCGCATTGATAACAAATGCGGATGGGTTGATCGGCGTTGGTGGGCTCTCTGCGTGTTTTGACGACTTAATGCCGGCGTCGGCGGCTGGCTGAAGTTCAACCGCATGATAGAAAGAGGATTCCTATCTCCAACGTGATCAGAATAGAATTGAAGGAAGATAAGGAACGAGCCAAGGTTTCAGAAAGAGAAAAGGTGTTATTTTGAACTCCGAAATTCAAAATCTGAATTGGGTCAAGCGTGCTCAACGGACGCTTTGATCACTCGATTATGCACGACGACCACGTCAGACCCGGAGATCCATTGCATTCACATTCTACTTGTATTTATCCAGATTAATAATATTTACTACTTCTTTATAATTGTGATATCTCTGGCCTTCAATAGTTTTCTTGTTTCTATTCGAACAGCTCTGGGTACATATCGGAATTAACTACTTATATCCGGGGAGGTTTGACGAATACAAAATCATCACATCTGTATACTATAACTATGTCCCGTCGTCGAAGCAAGACCGGGACGGCCACAAAGAATACAAGAAGCCCGAAAAGTGCCCTGTCATGCCATCGGCATAATACTCGAAAATGACACCGTGGGACCACTTCCGGAAGCCATGTAAATCACGTTTCTAATTCCCACCCGTAGTGATGAGTGTCAGAAGAACGAGACCCATGAGTAGCAATGCTTTGGTTGAAGCCATGATGAACTCGCTCTTGCCATAGTATTTAATTTCAACAAAGTTAACCTTGAAAATATAGAGCAGACGACTAGTGCCATAGCAACCAACACTGCTGGGTTAACACTTGTGTTTCAGTATTGCACGACTGTTGCAATAACAGAGAGCTTGGTATAAATCAGCATAACACAGCCGCAGAATTACATCCAGCCCCTAGTACATGTTGTTAGAGCGATCTTGGCATCAATAGAGAAGACTTACAAGGCAAAGCCAAAGGCTAGTCAAAAAATAGCCATAGCAGCTCAAATATTGACATTCGAACGATCAGATAAGCTGAAATCTCGCCAACACTCAGGTTCACTAGTAGGATGAGCAAGGTTTCTAGAATGAATACCTTATAAGCAGCGATAGAGGTCCTGTATCTCGCAAATAGGGTCCAGTGCCGACGAACAACCCAGTACTAGTGCACCCTCCAACAGCCATCAACTGAACGTAGCCAGAGATAAGTGCGCGTTCTGTTTGAGGGTATGTGACGTCTGTACCGGAACTGTCATATTTGGGAATGGAGACATCTTCGGTTACGCCTTTTGCACATGCTCAAGTGGTGAAGATTGAAATATACTGCGGTATCAGTGCATCAAATGAAAAGCCTAGGTAAGATAAACGTTTAGTTATATGCATCATATTTTAACAATTTGAGGGATGATCTTGTTCATACAGGCATAGGATCTGTAGCACTCTATCATCTGAGCAAGCACGCAATGTAAGTGATGGGACAGTGAGATCGACGTTTGAGATCAGACCTCGGAATTCAGAGTCTAAAAGAGCGGGTAAAAGCGACTCTAGCAGAGTTGCTAGGCGATAAGCTTAGGTAGTCGAGGATTGGTTGATAGCTATGTACTTCGGCCTTGGTGCCTCATTTATTAGGGTGCTTATTAGAATTGTATCACCAGCTCATATACCTGCCCAGGAATAATTCAAGAATAGAATATATCGATTAATTTCTTATACATCATATATTACATTATGCATGTCTCAAAAAGAAACTAGCTTTCTATTTGGTGGCCATCTAGACATCCAGGGCTGCTCATTCAGTCTCAACCGTAAAAGTAGAGTGAAGCCTAAGATCCCTAGAACTAGCACCAACATACGCATGATACTTACCAGGAGCAACAGCCCACTTCTGCGCCTTCACATCCCAATAAGATATATCCCGGCGACGCAGCTTGAACTTCACATCAGTAGTATTTCCAGCCTTGATATCCACGTTTTCAAACCCGCGCAGCTGTCGCAAGGGTTGCTTAGCCGACTTGGGATATTTGATGTAGAGCTGAGGCACCTCGGCACCATCAAGAGAGCCAGTATTATGAACTGTCGCCTGAACACTTCCGACAATATCCCAAAGGTCCTTATTGCCACCAATGGCGAGCTTGCCAGTAGGGTATGTGGAGAGGGTCGAAGGTGAGTTAATCTTGATATTCGAGTAGGTGAAATTAGTGTATGAAAGACCGTAACCGAATTCATACCGGGGAGTGATGTTGTAGCGGTCAAAGTAACGGTAGTCAATGTAGTTGCCCTCAGTGAAGTTGCACGATGTGGAAGAGCAGACATCAATATAATCAGACTCATTTTTGGCAATTGTGTAGATCAGTCGACCGCTCGGGTTGACATCGCCGTAGAGGACATCGACGATCGAGTTGCCGGATTCCTGACCGAGAAGACTACCATATACGACCGCAGTAACATTTTCGTTCTCAATCCATGCATCGAGGATTCGGGCACCAACTGTGTTAATCACAACGATGGTTTTGGCACAGTTTTCAGCAACCTCCTTGACGAGATCGTCCTGGTCGGTGTTGTACAGTTCAGTCCTGTCAGCACCTTCACCAGCGAGGGCGTTCATGAAAACGAGGCAGACGTCCATGTTCTCAGCATAGTTGCTGATGGAAGGCGTGACAGATGTACTATCAGATCCCTGCACCACCAGGTTGGAACCGGCTGACGCGGTGTAGGTGTCATTCGCAACCCAGCGGATCATAGTTCCATCTTGACTGGCCTTGATAGTCAATGCATTCTCGGGGGTGATCAGGTATGGCAGCGAGCCTTCAGCCGATCCAGAACCTGTGGCCAGGTGACCGTCATAGGTGGGACCGGAACCAACTACACTGAACTGGATATTTGGACCAGCAAGCGCAGCGCGAGCATGGGAGCCAAAGATGGCCATCTTGTGGGGCTTGCTTAGAGGCAAAGTATTGTTCTCGTTCTTGAGAAGGACTAAAGACTTTGCACCATTTTCGCGGATCAACTTTGAGTGATTACCCCGTACATCGATGTACGCACCTGACTCTGCTAAGAACGGTTGAGCGCCGTTGTCGAGATTGACCTGGTAATACGGCATAAGGTTACGGATAACCATGTCATTCAGGCGTGCTTCAGTCAGATTGTGCTCTTCGAGGTAGCCTTCAATCACTGAGTCGGACCAGATGCTGGAAGAGCCATAGTCAAGACCATTGGTTGCAGAGGCAAGAGCATCTGACTGGCCATTCACGTCGGGGAAGACGAAGCCTGGGAATCCGAGCTCGGTTTTCAGGAGATCGATTAGCAGAGACGAGGACTCGCATGCTAAAGTGTTGTTGACCTTTGTCATGGCGCACATCACACTACCAGCGCCTGAATGGACGGCATCATAGAAGGACCAAAGGTATGTCTCATGAATGGTCTTGTCATCCGCATTAGATGAATAAGGTCCACTTGAGGAGGAGGATGATGATGAAGATGATGAAGAACCACCGCTTGATGATGGGGCCGAGGATCCAGATGGACGCGCACCACTCGAAGATAGGGATGCAGCCCCGGATGAAAGGAGGGAAGGTCGACCACTTGAAGATGATGGTGAGGAAGATGACGATGAAGGTCCACCACCACCACCACTACCACCACCGCCGCCACCGCCGCCGCCGCCTCCTCCGCCGCCTCCTCCTCCTCCTCCTCCTCCTCCTCCTCCTCCTCCTCCTCCTCCTCCTCCTCCTCCTCCTGCTCCTCCTCCTCCAGCCTGGCGATTAGTCTCTTGCTCATACAAGAGGAAATGCTGGAAAAAGTAAGCCTCAAGATACACATGGGATGATAAAATCATAAATTTCATACCTTAACACCAGGGATAATACCACTGTCCGTGTACGCCTGGTTGCTCAAGCCAGTAGCAATTCCATTCAAGTAAGGATCAGATCCATATGTCTCAACAAGTCGTCCATCCCAAGGAGTGCGTCCAATAGGATGAGAAGTAGGCCCATCAGCAACCTGATAACCCTTCTTGTAAAACTCAGTAGCAACAGCTTTCGCCTGAGTATAGATAGCACCTCTATCCCAAGTCATTGCCAGTGCCGAAGCTTGACCGAATGCGCTGACATAGTAATCATCCTGAACGCCCATATCACCTCCGATGAACTGGTAGGCAGTGAATGAGGCACCATCTGTAGTTTTGACATCACTACCGGTGATAAGTTTCAGTTTCTCAGTAGTGTTTAGCTTTGCGACAAATTTCACAGCTTTTTCATAAGATTCTTTCCAGTCGCCGAGGTCCACTGAAGAAACCATTAGTATGTCTTGTGATGTACCTAGAATGATGAACCAAGCTTACCCTTGCCATTGGAAAGAAGACCCTTAGTGCTGTTGGATGCTGCAGCTACAGGGCCTAGAAGGCCAACCCCATACAATAGGGCCAACGAAAAATATTTCATCTCTCCGAGATGTAAATGAATGAATGGAAGAAACCCGATGAAAAAAAGAAACGAGAATAGGCGCAAACAAGCATATTTAAACTAAACTCAGAAACGCCTATCAATGGATAGCCACATAGTTCCTTCATCATTATCTCCCGGATATCTGATCCATTCACTCAGGACAAGATATAAATTGGGTAATACACGCCGTACACGCCATAGGCTCTAATCATCACCAAACTAAGATGAAACCCTGGTTTCACGTGTTTAGACCACTGGTATTACCAAGACCAGCAGGGCTTACGCGGAGTTATTACGCGGACTTCGAAGATGATAATTTATTTAGATAATGTTGAATTAATGCCTGGGGCCGCGACGCGTGGCATTTTTAAGCTAGGGAGCTTCTGTGTTGATCACTGCCTAAAATTGTTTAGGAAGAGATCTAGATGTATCCATAGTCATTCATCACCTTCTTCAGGTACGGATATGGAGGTCCATTGAAGGATGTGTAGGGGGAACATGTGGCTTGTTTAATGGTAGATCCACAAAGTCAAACTCTGCAGTACTCCCAGGCGCCTTCCAAGGTTGCGGGTGGTCCCGGCGGCTCATTTTTAGTCCACGTGAAAGCTTGAAACGCAGTTCTAACACATCGAATACGATGTGGGTAACTTGTGTTCAATCTCAGCATTCCTCATCTTTGTCTTGTGCCGCTTGGCCACATCCAAAATAAGAGCCTCGTATTGCCAATCAGTGCCAAAATCATTGATTCACAATTGTACTGATGCTGACTAAGGATTACTACCTTTTGAAAATGAACGGTGCGTTAAAACTGACTTCCTGTCTCAAAAGAAAGTCAATAGAAGCGATTTGTGTTTCTACAGCTACACTAGTGTACAACTACGATTAGTGATTAGAGGTTGATGAAAATCAAGCAGCAGTTAGATATGTCAGTTCAGCCACCAAAGACGGAGAAGCCAGCAAGTATCAGCCAACAACAGCCATTGGGCGATCTAACTAGTACAAGATAATCAAACCATTTTTCTGTCTCCCGGCAATAATGTTACATGGCAGACAGCTTTTCTCGAGGATCAAACAAGCAGCGGGAGGGGGCAAGCCAGAGCTATGAGAAGCAAAGGCTTAGAATACAGGTCATAAGAGGCAGGGAAAAGGGGGCCATAATCATACCAAGATAGAAAAAAAACGACAGATAATAGATGAAAAAGATGAGGGATACAGGAGAAGGGTAAGGGTTGGTGCTGTGATCCTCGAGAAATAGCCATTTTGTCGTGTAGTAAAATTGGGTAAGACTGACAAAGTCTTGTAGTCGCCTCCGAAATTGTGCTCAGAATAAAAGATATTGGAGGCGGGTATCAATCGCCCACAAATAGCACGGCGACTACCAAGATATCCGGTAAGTTTAACGGAATGGTCCTGGGGCGGGGCCCGGGCCTGGGCCCATCATCCCACCGCTAGGCTGACCAAACATGTCGAGCAGCTGACGGGCGGATGGAGGCCCTTGAGGTCCCTGAGGGCCTTGCTGACCAGGGTTACCAGGCCCGAAGGGACCTTGGCCGCCAGGGCCAAATCCCATCATAGCTTCCGGGTTAGGGGGCATAGGAGGGAACCCGGGCGGAGGGTGTCCACCCATGTAGCCGTGAGGAGGCATCATGCCAGGAGGGGGGCCGCGCCAACCCTGTCGGTCATTCATCTGGGGACCATTGCCCTGCATGGGGGGCATCATTCCCGGTGGGAAATTGGGCATGGTCATGCCCCCACGGTTGGAAGGTGGGATTCCAGGTGGGTGTCCCATGGAGTTAAGACCATTGCCCTGCTGTGGGTGAGGCTGGCCAGTCCAGCCCGGTGGTGGCATATGCTCAAGGCCGGGAGGTCGCTGGAGGAGGGGGCCCTGGGGCTGACGAGAGCCACCGGGGGTGATGGGGCCCTGACCCGGGTTCATCTGATGGAAGGTAGATTCGTCAAAGTATCCCATGGGTGGGCCATTGGGAGCTCGACGGCGGAGATACTCATTATCCGGTCCTTGTATGTTGGCGATAGCCGGATCATCTGGGAAGCCTGAATTCTTCGGGCCGCCGGTCAACCCAGGGGGAGGGCGAGTCATGATCTCTGGCATAAGGCCAGGAGGAGGAAGGGGCAATCCACCGTTCTGGGACTGCTGAGAGGGACCAGAACCCAGTCGGACTTGCTGCATCAGTCGGAGTAAATGTTCACGTTCACGGGTGTCTTGGTTGTTGTACTCTTGACGATGGGGTCCCACACTGGCGACGAAACGAGGGTCTTGCTGCGCTGGTGGCCGTTCCCGATAGGCTGAATCGGGGTGGTTGGGGGTGTCATTGTTGGATCGACTACCACCATTACCGCCGCCGCCACCTCCACCTCCACCCAGCATCTGAAGAATACGTTGGAAGCCTTCCTGGTCAGCATCGTTGTGTTTAGTAATGCCGTTAGAAGATGGCATTGGCACCTGCATAGGCATAAACACTGGCTGGGGCTCGGGGCCCTTGGCAGGGCTCTCTGGCATAGGACTGAACAGTCCAGCAAAGCGAGAAGACGACTTCGCAAGTTTTCCAGCTCCATCCTTACGCTCAGCAGAATCCGGAGTATCGATTTCCTGCCCCGCCTGACGGGGGTCAAGCGTTCCGAAGAAGCGGTCCATCGTGTTATCGGCCATGAAGCCGTGATTGACACCAGGAGGGATCTCAGATTCCTGTGTCGAAAAGTGTTCGGCGGGCTCTTCGACGTTCTCGTTCGAGGTTTGAGCACCGGAACTCGCCTTCATTCGCTGCTTCCACCGCTCAAAGTCGTGCTGCGTGTGTGCTTGCGGGTGTGCTCGGCTTGAATCATCCTTGCCGTTGCTGTCCATCCATTCGGGATCTTTCTCCTTGGGTCCACGGGCCCAGTCACGATCCGCATCATGTTGATTGCGACGCCATTCTCGGCTGCGCACAGGCGGTTTATCGTCGTCAGCATCGGCTGCGAACTCGTTGGAATGCGAATTGGAGTTGAGGTTCGAGTGTGAATTCTCGTCACGGAACCAGCTTCCTTCCAACTTGCCACGTCCAGGAGGAGCATCCTTCTTGGCGGAGAAACGACTATCCTTATCACGTGTTGTGCGTTCATTGTTGGCATCGCGGGGGCTAGCTTCCCATCGGTCGAATTCCCCGTTGCGCTTCGATTTGCGATCCTGATCTTCAGACCCGAACGTGCGACGCTGTCGACCAGCATTCCAGTCCTCCTTATCTCCGCGACGAGTATTCAGGGCAGCTTTTCCGTCACGACGATCGAAGTCACGATCTGGGGTATCCTTGTCCTTGGCGAGTCGTTCTCGGAAGTTGGAGGTGAATCGATCAGTTTTCTCATCTGACTCGCTTAGTCGTACAGATCGATCTGATGAATCCAAAGACCCTTTACCACCAACTCGCGATGACGCAAAGGCGATTTTGGGAGGACCAAGAACAATGTCCTCTAGATTGATTCAATTGTGTCAGTGATAAATTAAAACAAGGAATGACAAGAGTAGTTGGTGGATCTACGCTCACCAGAATTGGAGCCTCTTGAGATGTGACGAGCTTCAAAAAAGCTTGGTCGTCTGTTAGTAGTAAGTTCAGGAGAGTTAGGGTCGCGAGAAGATTGTTGTTTCCGTTGTGGAGTTGGATCGGGTTGGGGCCTGGTATTGCTCAGTCTGGAATCGCGTCTTTGTTTGCGGGCTCGCTCGGGGACATACATCCAATCTTCGTTGGGTGGAAGGCCGACTGGTTTTGCGACAAGAGGTGATGCGCGCAGCCAAATCAGCTCATCTATGGTGTACCGTTTCGCCATGACGGCGGAGAGGTAAAGTAGGGTGCAATGGGGATTTAGATGGACGATTGTCTCATTGGCTAGGATAAAATAGGTTTGAGGGAAGGAGATGGAAAGGATAGAGATAGGTGTGGAAGGTAGAGAAGGGAGAGGTTCGTAAAAAGGAGTTCGTGTGGGGGAAAAGTGAGTTGAGTGAGGAGAAGCCACTTTGTGGCAAGTAAAGGCGGAGTCGGTGAGAATCTCAATATTCACTTATAAAAGTCGAGGCAGAATTTAGACAAAGACCTTTCGAGTTTAATAAGACTACTATACAGTTATTACACTGTTATATGAAAGACTGAAATCAGGTAGCCAATGTTTATTGTTTATCTGATTTCAATTTTCAAAACATGTTCATTATTAAGTGAATTGAAATTTCAACTAGTTCAGAAATGCTGTACAAGCAGGAAGTGTGGTAATCCCATTGCCCTTTTGATTCATTTGAAAAGAAGCTACACTATTCAGAAAAATTGACTTGAATTGAGCCATTAAAATAGCAGTAGAACAATTTTTAACTAGAAGGCTGTAAACTGAAGTTGACTATAACTAGCTAGAGCTTACTCTATACTATACACGGGTCACGAGCCTCGGCAGTACTAAACGAGACTAGTTAATACAACTCAGTTTGTTTTTCTAGATCTTGGTGGCTTTAAACTTTTTGACATTCATTGTGATAAGTGCAGGATTTCAAGTCAACGCCTGTTTACTATGCACTGAGATTTAAACTGAAATATGATAGAAATCTATTGTTGTGAAATGTACTCCAGAGCCTTCTCAAGAGTGCCGGCACCCCATGCAGCAATACGCTTTCGATCGGATGTTTCATACAACTTCTTAGCAAGAGCAACAAGCATTGAAGCTTCTTTCTCATCAGCTTCGGGAAGCTGAGATTGGATCCAGCTGATGATCGCTGCACGCGTGATGAGTGTTGTACTGCCGCCCACCTGCGCGGCTCGGTAAACAATGTGTAGGATGTTTCGTCGAGCCGCAACAGTAAGAGTTGGCGACTGGTAAAGAGCTAGAATGCGCTCGAAAACATGTGCACGTCGGTAAACCTCCAGGTCCTGGAGATTGATCAGTTAGAACTGTTCAATTTGGGTAGAGATGGAAAGAACTTACAGCTTGGCTTCGAAGACCCTTAACAAATAGTCCAAGCATCCAATCTATCTCATCAGAGTATCCGTCATCAAGCTCAGGTTCATTCTGGAGAATTCGATCGATCCAGTAAGATGGAATCTTCTTCAATTCCCAGATTGGTGCTTTTTGAAGGAACTCGTTGACCTTGCCGTACGCCTTATGCATTGGGTTTATGAGAACAGACAGGCAGTTAGAGGCGCACTCGCCGACGATCCATGGAATGGGCTTATCAAGACCAATACTATTAACGGTCTCAAGCAGCTCTCCAGTAACGATGTACACCGAACGCCAATCGGCGTAATTAGATTCCTGGGTTTATTAGTTGAAGTTTGACACTTCAAAGAGGGATGATATCTCACCTTCAACTTCGCCATAAAACGCACAAGGCTAGAAAATGCCTGTCGCCGCACTTCCTCATGCTCGGAGCACAGACACAGCATTAATTCAGAAATGTGGCCTTGATCGACCGCTGCATCCAGGTCTTGTCGCTCCCATTTGTGCAACGCGTTATGTGTTTTGCCCTCTATCGGGAAGGAACCAAATATCTCATCAAGATCGACAGTTTCGGCTTCGTGGGATGTAATTAGTTGGGCTGGATCTGAGTCGATGTCCATCTTGTCATCATTGTTTCCATCATCTGTGTCTTTAATGCACTTTTTGAAGATTGAACGGTTCTTCTTGGTCTCAGTAGCCTCCATCAGGGCGTCCCGAGCAGTCTTCAAAGCCTCTGCACATTCTCCACCATGTTTCAAATGTCCAAAGAACTTCGCAATCCATACTGCGACTGCCTTTTCGTTGGCTTCATTGCCTGCCTTGACAACAAATGGCCATTGCTCAACAACAGTTGCTACAAGAGGGCTCAAGGCCACATCTTTGTCCTCTGAAAGAGCACCAACAAGGTCCAGGTAATGGACTGGCTTTTTGGCAACTCGGCACACGCAATTATCAATAAAGACCAGTTGCGTGTGCAGGTCCGCTTCGGAATCTCCCAGACTAGAGATCAGGGCATTAAAGGATAATGGGGAATTTCGAAGGATGGAGTTTTCGCCGAGAATAGTCCTCAGAAGAATAGAAAAGCGACGGGAGGAGGTTGGATCCGAGGATTCCACCAGAACTTTAAGAATTGATGTGAAAGGAGAGTATTCCATCGAAGCTGTAATATATTAGTCCTGAAGGGGAGAAAAACGACACAGTTCCACATACCTGGTTTCTGCCACCAGCGCATCGATGTCGACTGTTGCGCAATCTGAAGTGCGCTTTGCAATTGACTGAATAGTAGCTCCGAGTCGTCAGCAGCAATATTAGGTTCTTCCAACCTTTTCAAAACATCCACCAAAACTAAGGAGACATCGAAGTTGTCCTCCAGTGCAATATCAGGCATCACTTGGTAATAGCAGCTCAGGAGCTCTACAACGGCCTCCTGTTGTTGCAGATCCTCTTTGGCTGTCCGCTTGAAAAGTAGAATGATATCTTTGATAGATGGGCATCTGAGAGCGAACTCGGAAAGAAGCTTTGCAGAGGCCTGATTCCAAAACAGCTGGCTCCTTCCATGATCAGCGCGGAATATCTTCAGGACACCTCGCAATTTCATGAATGCTTGGGTCAAAATTCGGACAGCGAACAGGTTTATCACATCAGAATTCAGGTGCAAGCAACGAGTCATCGTCTTCTGACTGAGAGGACGAGGAAGAATGTTTTCGACAACGATCGAAACTGGCGGCGGCAGAAGAGGCAATTTATCTTTCCAACCGAAGTTGGTCGGAACAGGAAGCTGCACAGTAGAAAATAGGAAAGCTGATTCCGTCATCCATGTGGGAGTCAGCTTGGGATCAGCAGTGAACATAGCTTTCTTAGTGAAGAAATCGGCAATAAGTTCGGGTGCCGCTTTGAAAATAGTCATCAACAACTCAATCTGTAGGGTGTCCGAATCGATACGAAGGGATTGGACGATGTGTGACAGCGTGTTATTGCGAACTGGAACTGAATCGCGGAATTTGTCTACATAAATAGGAGAGTCGAGTCCCAGCTCAATCGAGTTATCATCATCGACACGCAGATTCTCTGGGTCAGTCGAGACTGGGTACCATCCTGTTTCGGATAGAACAAGACCAAGGCTAGAGTCCTTGCAGATCTTCATCAAAAGTGTGTGCATCTCGTTTGGAATGGAGATTTTCGCAAAGTTAGGATCATCTGATTTCCGGTTGTATGCATAAAGCGTCAATAGCCTCTCCAAGTTCCAACGATTGAAAAACTTGCTCTTCGACTTTCGTGGCAGCAAGGGATCTTGCACGATATCCCTGTCGATTGCCTTGAGTATGTCTATAACCAAATCTGGCGAGTCCTGGCGGGGATAATCAAGTAAAGCTCTGGTAAGATTGAACTGCTCTAGCATGTCGCTCTTGTCTGCTGTATGCTGTACTCTCAAGTTGGCCAGAGCATATCGCACGGCATTGCGTCTAAGAGTAGACTTCTTTGGTGCATTCTCCATATCATCTTGTTCCTTGATATGTAGCAAGAACAGCTCGAGACGCTTAAAGGTGATGTGGCGACGGTTGTAGAGTTGGCCCGCCACGGCACCACCATCAAAGGTTACAATTTCCGTAAGCAGACGCAGACATGGTGAGATGAGATGCTCTTTAGTCTTCATAGAGGTCAGACCACGGTTAACAAGCTTCAACTGGTCCTTCTGCAGTAAGAACTTGCACAATGCGAGCCCGAACTCCCTGAATTCGAGTTCACTGGAGATCGTCTTTAGAAATATCGCAAGCACCGACGGAACATTAGTAAGTAGGTGGTCATGGTTACTCGTTTCACCAAGATTCCATGTCGAGATGATATCTGGAAAGCAAATTGACTGCTCTTCTTTCTCTTTTGCAGGAGTGTACTGCTTGTCACAATAGGATTTCAATATTTCTAGCCTCTGGGCCTTTTCGGTCTCCCTCCCATTTTCAATAGACATCAAGAATGCCTTGAATTGAAGAATACCTGACAATCAATCATTAGATTCAGGTTTCGAGTTCGGATTGCTTTCAGAAGTTACCTCTATTAGCAATCCCGGCATTTTGCTGGGAAGCCAGCAGCTCGCGTAGCTGGCCAGGGGCCGTAATATTGAAAACATCATTTGCTCCAGTAGCACTCTCATCAAGCTTTCTTCTCTTTGTCCGAAAAGGGTGCTCTGTGACTTGGGCCATGTTAGGATAGTGAAGTGTATGTTTTTTCGATAACTTGGATGTGAGGTTTCGATGCCATCAAAATTTTGCACACGCTGATTGGTTTATCGGGCTCCATCAAAACCTTCAAACTCTACATGTGAAAACCTCTATTATTGGTCAACATAGCCCCACTATCTCCATCGGGATTACTGAAGTATTGAATAGTCCAGCATTACAGGCTACCTAGGTATGTACCTCTCAGGCTTTCTGAATTGAGATGCAAGGTAGGTTCCAGATACTTAATGGCTCATAAACTGATACACTGCGTGTGCATACGCTAGGCGACCCACGAGCTCGTGATAATTTCCAAAGCATCACACATGGGCACTTCATAACCTCTCTTCTCTACCCACAGCCAACAAGGGCTATCAAGCAATGAAAAAATAGACAAAAGTCAAGAGTGATATGATAAATCACGATTTGGTGTATGAAAAATTACGTGGCCGCTCACGAAGGCAGCTAGGTAGGTATAACTGATAGCTTTCGGTCAGCAATAATAACCTCAGATTTCTCCTCACCGGTGTATTAAAGCCCTTGCATATGGATGTATGAAGTGGAAGAGAGTGGTAGTGGGAAAAGTTTCACTTTTAAAGGCTGACAGGGTGCTGCGTAGAGCCCTATGCGGCGATGACATCGCCATGACCTCGCTGTCTTGGTCTCCGCCTAAAGCCTCGGCGACATCATGCGTTCAAGTTTGAAGTTTTATGGTTATAAGTATATGGCGTTCAAGGGCGTCCACAAGTGCAATCGAGTTGAAGTAGTTGAGAGTGGAGGCATATATAGGTTCATCTATAGTCTTGGAATCCTTGCTAGTAATGGGACGTATGGGGACTATTGGAAACTTGTAATTATCTTGAACTTTAGATTAGTTCTTATTGATCAAAAGATGGCATATGTACTAGGTCCCAACTAAGAGAAAGATCATCGACCACTTTTCGCCGGTAAGTCTTCAAAATTACGAATAAAAAGGTGCAAAAGCACTGGTATCGTTGAGCAGGACATTGAAAATCAACCCCAGGTTCCACCACCACCTCCTCTTCCTCCACGGCGTTGAGCAGAAAGACGCCAGTCATCTTCACCTGCAAATCTGTTATGGAGAGGCTGGATGCGTTCGGCCTTTTTGCGCTTGGATAGGCGATCAGTGGGTGCGACCTTGAAGAAAGTTGGGGCCGCTTCGACAAGCCACTTCGGCTCAATGGTGGTGCAACAATGCATATACTCCTTGGTCGTGAGAACCAAATCATGATAAATGACGTGTTCAGCAGGTTTTCCAAATAGAGCTGAGTTAGGATGAAGGGCCACAGGGGTACCTTCAACTAGTGTTTTATATCCTCCCTCTTGGTCTTTGCGGGCTGCGTGGCGGAAGAAGCCGGTGCAAAGAGCTTGTCGCACTTTAGTGGTGTCTCGACCACATGAAATCAGACGGTGCTTGTAGCGATTCATGATACCAAGGAGCTGCTTGCGAACATCTTGAGCGCGACGGATCTGTCGTGCTTGGATGAAATTTTCAAAGCACCAGGCATTGTTAAAGTTGGACTTCTTCCAACCATTGTAGACATTCAATAGAGTCAAATGATCGCCATGCGGATCGTGGAATTTGGACTTCTTTTGATCGGCCTGTTGTTGTTTTTCCTTGGGACGGTAAAAGACCGATTGAATACTCAGCATAGACACAATTGTGAGAATCTCTTCACTGCAGGCCATATCCACTGATGCAATGAGCACCTTGGCAAGTGCAGGTTCCATAGGGAAATCGGCCATCTTTCGCCCCAGACGAGTTAAAAGACCTTCATCGTCTAGAGCAGACAACGCATACAACTCTTCCAGAGCTGTCAACATGGTATTTGTTGGTGGTGGGTCCATGAAATCGAAGTGTAGTAGATCATTTATACCCATTGCCTTGAGCATTAGAATGGTATGTGACAGATTCTGACGTTGAATCTCGGGAATGGTAGTCGGTAGCATTTCAGATGCGTATGCAGCCTCGGTGTATAAGCGGAAACATTTACCTGGACCTGTTCGGCCTGCACGGCCAGCTCGTTGCTTAGCTTGGGCCTGGGAAACAGGTGTTACAACAAGAGAATCCATTCCTAGCTTGGGGTCATAAGCATTTTGCTTGACAAAGCCGGGATCGATGACATAATAAATGTTGTCGATGGTAATTGAAGTCTCTGCAATGTTGGTAGCGATGACAACCTTCCGACCACCAGGCGGTGCAGGCTCGAAGATTCGGCTTTGCACCTCACTAGGAAGTGCTGAGTAGACAGGAAGGATAACCAGCTCGGGCACGCTGGGACCCAGTGCCTTCATCCGCTCAAAGAGAATTTCACACGCGGTATCAATTTCCTCTTGACCTGTAAGAAAAACAAGAATATCACCCTCCGATTCTGTCAAGTGAATCTGCATGACAGTGATGAGGGCAGCATCGAGGTAATCAGACTCAGGTTCCTTCGAATACATAATCTCCACTGGGTATGTTCGTCCAGGAATAGAGAAAATGGGACATCCATGGAAATATTCTGAGAACTTCTCAGCATCCAGCGTAGCTGAAGTAACAATCAACCTCAGATCGGGTCTCCGCTTGACAGTTTTCTTCAATAAACCGAACAAAATATCGGTGGCAATTGTTCGCTCATGGGCCTCATCCAACATGATGACGGAATATTTCTTGATATCAGGATCTAGCAAGATTTCACGTTGCAGCATACCATCTGTCTGATATAAGATCTTCGTTGCAGGACTAGAAACATTGTCAAAGCGAATGTTGTAGCCGACTTCCTGTCCCAACTCCACGCCCACCTCCTCAGCCACACGTTTAGCCACAGACATGGCAGCCACACGACGAGGTTGAGTACATCCAATGATACCATCGTTTCCATACCCGGCTTCAGCCAAATATTGAGTCATTTGAGTAGTTTTTCCTGAACCAGTATCACCGACTACGATAAGCACTTGATTCTCGGCTACAGCATCAAGAAGCTGTTTGCGGAATTTGAATACTGGCAAACTCTCGCGCTGTTGTTTCATGGACATGTCTGTTCGCTTGCCAAGCGACTGGTTTTTGCCCATTGTGACTCTCTTCCATTCAGGAACCGCTTCGTCGGTCTTGGGTTGCTGACGCAGCTCAGATGCAAATTTTCTATCTTCTGGCGCAGTCATAGGATCAAGCCACTGAGCCGCAATATTAACATCGGCGGCGCGCTCAGCGGCCTTGTCCTGTGCCTCCTGCTGCTTCAGCTCACGTCTTTCCTTGGCAAGATTGTTGCCAGACATAGCTGCACGATTCATCGAGCCATCGGGAGCCTTGACAACACGAATAGGAGAAAGTTCAAGTGATTGTTTTGTCTGACCTGCCAAAAATGGAGGTTCTTCATCCTTGACCTCAATGTCGACATCTTCTTCTTCTTCGAAGGTTCCTTCGCCCGTAATCGTAGCATTATATTCCTCCTCTAGATCTGGGTAGTCCGCAGCAGAAGCCACTCCAGATGCAATCAACTGTCTGACCTCCCATCGTTCGGGTGAGGTCATCCGTTTACGGTTTCTTGGTCGACCATTGGATTCCTCGATCACGGGCACATCAGAGCTTAGGTTACCATATCGATCGCCATCTAGACCTCCATCTAGACGCTGCATGTTTGCACCAGAAGCAAGTCGTTTTTGAGGGACAATATCCATGCCTGTAACTTGGTCGACTTCCTTCATGGAAAGCCCGATGCGGGTACCCTGAATTGTAAGAACCTTGACTTTGACAGACTGTCCACGAGACACAAGATCCGATGGATGGTTGACTCTCGCACCTTCTTGCATCGCCGAAACATGAACAAGACCATCGACCTTTCCTTTGACGCCCTGTAAATTCACGAAAGCACCGAAGTCCTTAACACCGGTGACCTGGCCATCGTAGATCTTGAATAGGACAGGTGCATCATCCAATTCAACTGGCGGTGGTCGACGGAAATACTCATCAGCATCATCGCGTTCACGATCTCGATTTCGGCGGCGATCACTGTGGCCGCTGCGGTGACCATCCTCCTTATCACCATGTCTTCCAATCGATCTTCCGAACTCATCAATATATTCATCATTTCTGCTGCGTCGTGCACTTCTTGATCTAGATCTCGAACGATATTTGTCCCTATGCTGTCGTCCACGGCTGTGGTCATTGTATTCGGGGCTGCGACTTCGCTTCCTATGGCTGCGGTCGTCTCTGGAGGATTTTGGGTTGTCGCTTCGTGATTTTCCAGCCAACCCTTCCAGCATAGCAAATGTGTCGTCCATCGCATCGCCTTGCGCCTCGTTTTCATCGGCCGGTCGATCCAAGTAGTCATTTTCCGTCCAGCGCTTCTCGGTATCCGGAACAGCAAGACCCTTGAACACACGAGACTTCTTCTCTAGCGCATCAAATTCGTCCATCAATGAATCTTCTGCAGGGGCTGCGTCACCATTGTCCGCCTTCTTGCCTTTGTATTTCGGATGCATCGTAAGGATAGTGCGATCAATGCTTTCCATCAAGCTCTCGGGGAACTCGGCACCCATATCCTCTAGGATTTTCTTGAATTCAGGATAGGAGCCACCGCAATTGAGATGTTGATTGATCACAAATTCTGCAAGTGTCTTGTCGTTGATACCCAGGTGGTTCTGGAGCTCGTTCGTCACCCGCGAAACGAGTGAGAACAGCTCCAGCGACTCCAGGTCATCCATGATGGGCGACTTATGAAGGCGGCGGCAGAGCAGGGGATAATTTCAGCCGCGTATTTAATAGAGAGAGGAAACTTGAAGCACCGCGTCCGCGCAAAACACCGCACTTGGAAGAGTTAAGCTCGCGATGAAAGTGAAGCTGCGGAAAATCAATCCGGCCGAGACGGCTGCCGATAAGGATAAGCACTGATAGTGCTTATCAGTAGTTTGGGGCAAAGTACCTACACAGTAAGTAGATAGCTTTACGTACTGTTTTTTTCTATGCTAGGTGGGGCTTTCCTATTTCAGGTGCCGCCGCTTTAATGAGGGCCCTCAATTTCAGGCTCAGTGAGTAAATTTCAGTCCAGGCTCAGGCTCACGGAGCTGCTCATGGAGCTGCTCATGGTCATCACGTGACAGATCAGTGATGTCTACCCGTCGCGCGGCTACCCCAACTAGATTTCAAATGAACGCATCAATTTCAATTCCACTTTTAGATACAAAAACGCAATAAAATAGACTAAATAACCTTACCAGGGCATGTAGCGATGGTATGCACTGGTTCTCGACAACAAGCACACCTTCTGGCGCCTTATTAGACATAATAGGCATAGTTTCAACAGGGTCAACTCTAGATGTATATTCCTGTTCAACACCATTCTGTATCTTCTCCAAACTCCGTAAACTGCCATCAATAGCCACCTGCTAATTTTACTGGCATTCCTTTTTTCAATTTACTTTTTGTTAGCCTTCTCCAGATAGCCACAACGATTATGTAGAAAAATGTGGTGATGGACTGTCCGGGTAGTGCGATCATAAAAGCTCTGTATATCCTTTTTAATAGGCAATGGGATAAAACTAGAAGAAGATGATAGTGCAGAATCGATGCGAGGCCTAGATCCTATAAGCTTTGTAAGACTACAGATCGCGTTCTCGTCGTCGCTGCTACCAGAAGATATGGGACGTTCAGGATCTAGAGGAGGCAGACTTTTCAGCTGAATATTAAGCGTATCAAGGACTTTTGATGGGTTCAAAGGCACTGAACCAGCAGCTCTAAAGCTACCAATTATAGTATTAGCTTCAAAAATAGTGTCCCGGGCAACTTTAAAAAGGGGAAGAAAATCATCTTTATCAATAAAATTGACGCCGGGCCGCATCTGCTCCGCAACACCCTTTCTGTATCCCCTCTTTAAAGGACTAAAACAGGCCATATTAAGAGGCTACAAAAGGTAAGATTCATATATATATATATATATATATATATATAAACATACTTAAAGCAATAATATCATTTGTTTTACATATATTATTGAAAATAGGCTATATATAAGAGTTATGGCCATCAAGTATAAAAAGACAAAATTGACACCTTCTACTTCTTATATTAGGAACAAAATGCTTCTAAAGCTAATTTAGACCGATCTGAAAGCTAGTCTAGCCATTAAAGCTCTTACTTAAGCTCTAATTAGCTTTCTCTGGTAGCTCATCGAACCATCGAGACATAAAAACATTACCTTCAAAAATAAGATAAGGTGGAAGTGAAACGGGTTGATACCCGATGAAATGCTCAGTCTCTGGAGAGACTGTGCTCCTGGCATCAGTGCGGAGCCGAACGAGCCATAAGAGCATCCGGTCCCAGGACCCCTTTCCCTCTTTTAGTTAATTCTTATTGTTTATCAATCGGATCTTTACAGCGTACAAATTCCTGCATTCATGCCGTAACAGGAAGAGCATCTCTATTTGCTCTTATAGTCTCGCTCAGAGTCACCCACTCACGGTTTCCTGGCTGTAAAACTACTCTCCGACCATAGTATTCAGCAGAGGTAATAACTTTTTCAAAGCCATTTATTCTCATCGCGAAGCCAGACTCATCAAAGTTGAAGATGTTATCAGAGTGGATACCATATTTTGCGATAATACTTTCAACGAGCTTAAACCATGGTAGATTGATCCTAGGATCTTCATTAAGAGCTCTCTAATAATATTATTGACACGATCGAGGGGGTTTCAGATCAGGATGTCGTTTAGTAAAGCCTGAAGCCCAGTTTTTGGCCACAGCAATAGGCGTCTCAGAGGGTGTTCAAATCCGCGGGTATAGTCTAAGAGCCCCTGCCCCTTGGCTGGATATTCATCCCTCGAGCAGCGATCGAATGTTCTATAGAGCGATAGGTGATAGGTGACGAGGCCTACGGACTTAAACGACGTGTTACTAGAACTAACACGGGTGTTCCCAAAACAATGATCATTAATTTCTAAAGTGTCTAAACTGTAGGACGCAAGTTAATCATGCGAAGGGGTATCCGCGCTTCTCCTGACCGATCTAACAAGAAATGGAGAAGAAAAGGGTAAAGAGAAAAAAGAAGAACAGAAAAAGAAAAGATGTAAAAGACACAGAAAAATTGAGGCGATCCTGCCATGACTGATCCTTTCTCCAGAGGTGGAGCGAGAACTCCAACTTAAGGCTTGGAGAAATTCAACTGGTAGCCTAAACGGCAGGACGTAAGTTCATCTTGCGGAGGTATATCCGCGCTTTGTCTCGAAGAAGATCAATCGGCAACTCAAAAGTTGCCGGCGGGGAGCCCAATACGTGCTGGGTCCGCCTGGAAACTAGGGCCAAAAAGTTACTCGCGGCTTAACATGAGCGGCTGAGTCCCAGTAGTTGGGAGAGCTGGAAACGGCGGAGGAGCATTGGGGTGCTGTAGGCGCGCTGCGGCCATACCTCGGGTTGTTACTCCAGTACGAGTGGGAGCGGGTAGAGTGGCTGGGAGAGAGGCGGGGATAGGGGGCACAGGAAAGACTTGCTCGCTCTGTCGTAAAATAGGGTCGCCAAAAACATTTCTGGCCCATAGCTGGGAAACACCTTTGACTCGACGGGTCAGTCTGTTCTTGGTCCACTTGACTAGTCTCTCTATCACATCCAACCAAAATCAGCCTCATATCGTGCTTAAGTCTATCTAGGCTCTCTGAGTGCTCAACCTCGAGCACCACTGTTGGAATATACGCAAGTACTGGGCGTACGAATAACTCGGACTCCTTTCGAGAGTTTTGGTATGGTCCTGATGTGAATTCTAGTGCTTGAATTATTTAGTCAGAAAAGGCAATCAAGAGAATCAAAGGGTTGACTTACTTGTTCCCACCCCGGTATCGAATTGCATAGCTTCATTACATGTTAGCAACCCTTGCTGGATATGATAGAGCACGGTGTTTCTGAGCCAGGCTTGAATAAAATCGTGTAGCTCAGTCGGCATAATCAAGAATTGTAGTTCGTTTACTACTTGGTTCTACGATTTCCTACGGCAATCAGTATTAAGAGAAGGTAATTAATCTGAAAAAGGTTTGCTTGCCTCATAGAGGCTCCGTCCAGGTTATTATATATACTGAGCTCCCAAGCAGGCTTCAAGTCTGCAATTATGAGAGTCGTACAGGTAATTGAGCTTTCTATTTTAGAAGTGATCCGCTTCTGGAGCACCTTTCGGCGAGAAAAATCCTTAGCATAAATTAAGATCACGGTCGAGAGTGACTCGTAGTCATTGTTGCTAGAATCAGACTCTTGCAAGGCGACAGTTGTTATCTCGTCTTGGTAAAACTTGCAAATAGAGCGATGGGCTATGGTAGACGTCATTTTTCTCTCTGTTATGGCAGGCTGAGTCGCGATGAACGTGTTCGGGGAGGAGTTGTACTTTGTAGTTAGGTGTAGGTCACTTTGTGAGGTATCCCACTGTACACCGCCCAAGGACATCGTGTTTCTGTCGGTCTTCCCTAGCTTTTTCTCAGGAAAGTGGTCGTTGTCGTATATATTGCTTTTCGCTCAGATATTGTGTCCTCGATAAGGTGGTAGAACTGCCTCAAAAGCAAACTCGAAGTAAAGAATACTTCTACAAACTGCTTTAACTGCTCCCAAGGTCGAAGTTCCACAGTTGCTTCTAGGGGATAAGTGAACATGCATGTCACTAAACTTGCTGACATCGATTAACGTGTTGGAATTCAGGTAATTCCACACATGCTCAACCTGATGACGGAAGTAAGAGCCGTTCGTGAACTTGAGGATAGGAGAAATCAGTTCCAGCGGCCCTAAGTATTGTCAGTATTCAGAAATCTTGGCATATAAGGTAAAGATGCATACCTTGTCTTGTGCTAGTATCGGAATGATATAGATCCGGCTCAATGGAGTTATCTTTCGCAAGAATCTATTCCTTGAACAGACTTTCACTTTCTTCAAAATCGCCATCTTCGACTTAGACCTCTTCATGCATTCCTGTCACCCAGTTCGGAGCACCGTCGCAGTAACTAGCAGCAATCATGTAGGCAGAGGTCTTCAGGTCTGGTATATCGCGGTCTTCTTCAAAATTAAGGGCTCGGAGTAATAACTCAGCCTCAATTCCGATGTGATATCCATTTATAGCGACAACATCTTCGGCAATCTTGAAGTTCAATGGTTTGGACAAGTAATAGAGAGAATGGAGAAAAAAGAGGATGAAGGGAGAAAGAAAAGGATGATTAATCCCAAGCTGGGTTAGAGAGAGTAATGAGTTATGGGGGACAACCTTCCAAATAGAGGGAAAAAAGAGAGAATGAAGTGAGAAAACAAAGGGTGAAGTGAGAAAGAAAAGGATGATTGATACCAAGCTGGGTGAGAGGGAGTAATGAGTTATGGGGGACAACTTCCAAGGTTGAAAGTATCATCATATTTGATCCTCAAAGATACTGACTCTTACATATGTATCTTCAAATGTTGCCTACTGTACTATGTTGAATATATTAATAATAAATTGGAATTACCTGTTCTCGCTTGTCCTCAAAAATACCAACTAATGGTATCTGATTAAATCAAACTGGGAAGCAGCGTCCCGACTCTCTCGTCCACTCCACAATCTTCCAGGATTGGAAAGGGCATGGCAAAGAGGAACAACCCTAAGTAACTGGAGTGGAGCGGAATGGAGAGTTCTAAGATTGTAGATTCCGTTTGGAATGAAGTGAGAGGGAGTGTAATTTGGCATGGAAAGTAGTACACATTTCATTCAAAATCAGTTAGCTGCCTCAGCAACTGTCTCGCAGCATTATATTCTGATACTAGGTACGACTAGATAGATTGGTATATTGACCGTTAAGGTCAGAGTATTATTTAGATGAATATGATTTGTTAGTAAAGCAGCCCTTTCGAGTAGTTATAATCCTACTAGTCCTAGTTAGTATTAGGTTACGAATAATAAATCGTATAAATAACAATAAATCATATAAAAACTACAACAAATACTAAAGAATAGAAATAATCAGACCCCTAGCCCCATTCTAACCTTGAAACTCCCTGACATGATAAAATCCATGGACATACAAGCCTTAAATCAATGTTGGAAGATAGTATTCCACTCCTTCATCAACCAATACTGAAAACTCTGTATCACTTGGATTTACAAGATATTTCAGCACCACACAAATCCATCACAGAACCGAACGAACCCCAAGTCGTCTGAGCATTCAACAGAAGCGTCTCTGAGTCTCTAGTGAAAGTGCAGACGGTGTTTTGTCCAAAAGCAACAAGCTGAGCGCTTGAGGCGAAAACCAGACCTTTAGGTGCGAGAGCGCTGCTGCCCCAGAGTTCTTGGACGGCATATTTCTGGCCATCAACAGGGATGTTTATATTGGCATTTGCACCAGTCTGATCATTGGAGAGTTGAACAGTAGCGTCAGTTGGGGAGTGAGCCTTGGAAGTGGTAGAGACTGAGGATGAGACACAGGAAACTGTAGACAGGCTTGAGAAGTATGTAGGACTAAACGAAGCCGAAGTCTTCTTAGTATCTAATGATACTTGCAGAGATGGCTTATCAGTGAAAGTGCAGATAGTGTTTGTTCCAAAAGCAACAAGCTGAGCACTTGAAGCAAAAACTACACCGCCAGATGCGACAGAGCTGCTGCCCCAAAGGTCTTTAACGAGGTATGTACTGCCATCAACAGGGACCGCGACATTGGCATTTGCACCAGTCTGATCATTGGCGAGTTGCACAGTTGTAGTAGCTGGTGAGGTGGCCATAGGAGCGGCAAAGACTGAGGAGAGGACATAGGAAATTATAGCAAGGCTTAAGAAGTGCATTTTGGATAGATGTTGCAATTGATCGGTAGTGATCTTTGAGTACTTGACACTTGATGAACTTTAGAACTCATAGCACATTATACTAGGTATTTATCCCCATCGCTCATACTTCATTCCAAGGTCCTTCTTATCGAGGTAAGAGGCTTAGAAGTGGCTCATACTTCATACCAAGGACCTCTAAGGAAAGTTTCGGTACGAAGGTGTCAGGCTGTATATTCCGTCTAAAAATATCATTAGACACACCAATAATAAGCCAGACTGGCCTATCATTAGTATCCGCTATTGGCACCAACAAGAACCTCCGTATCAAGATTTATTTTAAGATAACAAATGCCAAGTTCCACATATAATGTATTTTATATTTGCTATTCAAATAAGTTCTAGAGAATAGTTTCTAGCTGCTCCGCGTTATATAAGCACTATAGCGATCTAACTACTACTATAGCTTGCATAACTTCATCAACTGTATATATATTAAGCCTTAGTCGGAGGTTTCAGTACTCTAAGCTATTACTTGAAACTTAACTCATGAGATCTAATATTAAAACGGCCTGGTCTAAAGCTTTAATCAGGGAACATAAAAAGGCATCAATTCATTGGCCTCAGTGGCGGACCAACCATTAGTAAAAATCGCCGGATTTGGTAAGCCTTAGCATTTATACGTGGAGGCGGAGTGTGCACCTGCAAACCTTGGAATTAACGGCAAGGCGGATGAGAAAGAGGTCTAGCCATCCATCAATACGAGATTGACCAAATCCTTAGAAATAGCCTTAGTTTTCAAATGGTGATGAGTACATATTCGAAGATTAAAGTTAAACATCGAAACCGTTCGGTTTCCTACGCCTTACCATCCCTAACCATAGTTCAATCACGAGGCTTTTTCAAGACTTAGAATTCTAAATAGGCGAGGCTCTCTAGCCCATCCCAATTAATTAACGAATCAAAAGTGACAAAAAGAAGTGGCGGACAAGTCAATCCCAATTCTTTTCTTGAGACCATCTCAATTACATTTAGGGCTCGTACGAGACTAAAAATTTCAAAATATTGAAATTAGTGTTAGTTCTAGTTAATTTTTCATTTTCAACTTCATCGGACATCAAGAAAAAACGTAGTAGGTAGATGTTTCAGTAGGGTGCGGTTAGAAAGTTGACCCATTCACGATTTCTAGCTTATAAAAGTCTTCGTTTACCATGATGTTATGAAGAACATATGACATACCCTGAAGACATGACGCCTATCGCGAATCGAGTCTCATCAAATTTATAGATATTGTCGGAAATGATACCATACTTTGCGATAGTATCTTGAACCAGATTAAGCCACCCCTTTATAAGTGTAGGGTCTTCTACTTTAGCTCTCTGAATATTAATTCGACGAGACCTTCGAGTAGTGAGAGATTTAGTGTGATAGAGATAGCAAATAGGAAAGCCCTAGCATAGAGAAAACGGTACGTAAAGCTACCTAGGTATACTGACATCCATACATAAAAGTTAAATTCCATAATAATACATACCTAATAGGTGTCGAGGTTTTTTTATTTATATACACAGCTAATCTTACATGGGATATCACAATCCCGTAGTCATCCAGAGTCTCCCTATACCGATGAGATTTGTTCCTTAGACACAGGGGTTGGCTCGAAATTGGCGTCAAAGTCGCTCTCAGATGGATCCATATCCTCATTGTCTGATAATTGCACCTCTTCAGGTCCGAATTCGGCCTCTCGGCCAATAATCTGCTTTTGCAACTGGATACGGCGTTTCAAAGAAGCATCCTTGCGCAGTTTCTTATTAGCCGAGAATTCGGTCAGCGCTCGAATCATTCTGTCCTCGACAAGCTTCTTGACATGTGTTGCAAGAGTCCGGTCAGTGAATATGCCACCAAATCGGAAACTCAGCCAGGAGTAGAGAATGATGGCTTTATGCAAACTCTCCAATTCATGAACGTAGTTTTTATCCCCGGACACAGGTTGTTCCAAGATTTCAAGGTTGAGACCAGGGATTTCCAATAGTCGGCCGCGAGTATTTTCGGCAATACAGTCAGCAAAAGCTGCAGTAACGTTGCGTGCAGATTGATCTCTCGTGTCCATGGGAGAAGCCATGAGCATAAGCTGGTCTTGGATACTCAAACCCTTCACACTATCAATGATTTCAGCATTTTCCAGTTGATTACGGACATCGCACATGAAAAAGAGAGGGCTCATCTGGGATATTTCGATGATTCGTTTGATGAGGTACTCGAATGGAACACCCCTCGGAAAATAGGCATCAAACTTCTGAAAAGCAACATTTGGAGGAACAATTCCAGCGGCACGAAGCGGTGGGGGTTCAACTCCAAAGGCTTCTTGGATATATGGAAGGTCGACTTCCTCGAGGCAAGTCACATAGCCTATATTGACGCCATCGTCGCTGCCTCCTTTGGCATTGGCCGCACGATATCGACCAGCACGTCCACCGATTTGCTTAATCTCGGGGACGGTAAGCCGATGTAAACCAGAAGGAGTGCGCTTAATAGTAGTCTCGAAGATTACACGCTTACAGCTCCTATATTCTCCAAGTTAATTGATATCCGGGCAATGCAAATTGACATACAAACTTACAGGTTCAACCCCATACCGATAGCGTCACTCGCTACGAGGAAATCATAGTCATTATCGGGATCATTGAATAGGGCAGCTTGCTGGGTTCGAATCTCGGCTGGGAGACCACCGTAAACAATTGCAGCTCGTTTGCCAGTAGATCTCTCAATAAGTGCCTTCAACGCGTGAATGCCGACTCGGGAAAATGCAACAAGACAGTCTCCCCTTTGGAGCTTTTTCAAATCCCCCCGCAGACTACGCGGCATTACCTCCAGCGCATTAAGGCGCTCATAGCGATGAATTTCCAGAACATCTCCTGTGAGTGCACACAGCTCACGAATCAAGGGCACGGTACGTACCTCACCACATAGATGTAGCTCGGAAACCTGAGCTCCAAGTACAGCTCGAGTCCATGCCCAACCTCGCGACGAGTCGGAAATCATCTGGATTTCATCGATGACTCCAACTTCGAACTGTTGCCCCAGACTAACCATCTCCACTGTATTGCTCACAATCCGTGGGGTTTCTCCGTTCTCTGGATGTCTGACTTCGTCTCCTGTCACTAGACTGCAGGGGATCCCGTTGTCCTTAAAACGATGATATACCTCCTGCGCAAGCAACCTCAATGGTCCGGCGTAGAACCCACTTTTAGATTTCTTCAGTCGCTGTAACGCATGGTATGTCTTGCCAGAATTTGTAGGTCCCACATGGAGGTGGATTGTACGTTGAATAGACCGTGCGTTGGGATACCATTCTGCAGGATGTCGAAGATCACAGACTTCTTGCTGTGCTTCCACATTCTCATTTGAATATCTTTCTGTGAGATCATCTGCATACTGCATATATTCTAGCTCTTCGCGCAAGCCGTGTACTCCAGATTGAAGGTATGCCTTTCTTAGTGACAGCTTGATACGGGCTAGGGGTCCTTCGGCCTTTCTTGTGTCGTGTAATTGACACGCAGTCTTGATTCGACGCTCGAACTGAGACCATTTTGAAGGATTCTGGCCATTTAACCGGTAGAGGTTTTTCTTTATATCTTGCAACGAAGTTTCCACGAGATGATCAAAATCGGATGCCGCAGCGATAGTACGACGGGCTGTCTGTGCTGTAGATTTCAGCGACAACTTCGCATCCTTCTTTGCCTCCTTTCCCGCCTCGGCGCGGTCCCTACTTCCTACTTTGACTTTCTTTGTTCGTTCGAGGGTAGCAGATACTGAGAAATGTCGTTCAGTGGGCCTAGAGAGTGGTCGCAATGCGAAGAGAAGCGCGCGACTGCTGGTACTGGACCATGGCTGCATTTCCTGCCCGGATATTTGGGCAACTATGAAACAGAAGAGGTCGATCAATTGAGATAGAAGATAATGATTATAATGACTGAATGACAAGCGTGGGATCAGCCCAGCGTTGAGTAATAGTTCAAAACGGTTGTTTCAATAAGAAAAAATGGCTTGCTTATCGGAATGGGTTCCCTGACGCCGCCAACCGGAGATCCACTTTCTGCTCCGAAGCTCAAATGGTGGGGAACCTTCTCCTTCATATACCTCATACGGGCCACCTAAGTCCCCTTGCTCTCCTCGCCCCATCCTCGCCTCTTTAAGGATCACTGGTCCATTGTCAGACCTTACTGTTCAAACCCGACGATCCCATCTCTACCTACCTCTGCAGTCCCGGTGGGCTGCCCGCCAAGATGAGCACCTCAATAATCAACATTCAGCGTGACAGTAGGTCTCCAGTAGCCGTTGCTCCCCTCCTGACATATGAGCCTAATCTTGGATTCCTTTCTGCAGTCATCAAGACAACTATTCGCAATGCAGTCGGCAACGACGTGAGTTGCTCCTCTCCCCTACCCTTCGTACTGGCCTACGCTGACGCCCCCACCCCCTCGTACAGTGGAAAGTGTTGGTGGTGGATGAGAACAGCAAAAAGCTGATCAATGGTGCCATCAAAGATGAAGAAATCCTCAATATGAATATTTCCAGTAAGTCTCATACTCCGTTAAATTTGCGGCACAGCTTGCTCAACACTATCGTTACTCTGCAGATGTTGAGCAGATCGATCATCGACGACCCTTCAACCCGGACATGGATGCTTTATATATATTATCTCCAGAGGCACATGTTGTGGACTGCCTCATGGCTGATTTTGAGGTCAAACGATATCGAAAGGCCTTCTTGGTCTGGACTTCATGTCAGTGAACGGCAACCTTGGGAATTATGCAGAGTGATTTGGCTGACAGTTATAGTCCTTGACCCGCAGCTGCGTGCCCGAATTGACCGATCGCAAAATGCGCAAGATTCAATAGCTGATTCTCGCATTATGAACATCAACTTCTACCCTCGAGAGTCACACCTGGTCACTTTCCACGACCCATGGAGCTTCCCAGTGCTCTTCCACCCCGACTGTAACCATTTGATTAGAAGTCATCTTCAAGACCTAGCGCAAAAGGTACAATTATTCTCGCCTTGGCATAAACATGGAGAGTTTTGATGCTAACTTGAACGTCAAGATCGTCTCGCTTTGCGCCTGCTTGGGCGAATACCCAGTCATTCGGTATTATCGGCCACGAGCCCCGACTCACGAAGCTGGTGTCCTCTGTTCTCACCTGGCACGGTTCATTCAAACCGAACTAGATCAATTCGCGCAATTCCAGCGGGACTTTCCTCCGCCGTCAAACCGCCCTCGGGGCGTGCTAATCATAGTAGACCGTTCTATGGACGTTTACTCGCCGTTACTTCATGAGTTTACATACCAGGCTATGTCACACGACCTGCTACCTATTAAGGATGGAGATAAAGTTACATACAAGACAATTTCGAATCAAGGAAAGCCGAATGAGGAGGTGAAAGAAATGGTGATTGGTGAAGATGACAAGATTTGGGTGAAATATAGGCATATGCACATGAGGGATGTGCTGGAGAAACTTGGAGCAGATTTCGCCCAGTTCAGAGCCGCGAACCCACAATTTGCGGAAGAGTACGTGTTCCAATATACCCTTTGGTTTATATTGTAACTGACAGGACTTGCAGCAATGACAAAACCAACGTGAATACAATCAAGGATATGCTGGGTGGTCTGACCGAATTTACCGAGGGCAAGGATGCTTATACACTGCATTTGAGCATGGCAGAAGAATGTATGAAGTACTTCCAGGCTCGCAAGCTTATAGAAGTCAGCTCTATTGAGCAATCATTCGCTACTGGCCTGGATGAGAACTACAAAAAGGCGAAGAACCTCGCAGCGCAGCTTGTGCAATTACTAGACGATGACTCTGTCACTCCTCCTGACCGACTTCGGCTTCTGCTCCTGTATATCATCTACCGGAATGGTATTCTAAACGGTGATATCCGAAAACTCATGGCACACGCGCAGCTCGCAGGCAATGACGGAAATGTCATCGCTAATCTTGACCTGCTCGGTGTACGTTCTGAGAAGCCACTGAAAGATGACAAACCTCCAGTCCAGCCTCTGTTCCACCGACGACCCCCCATACCAGACTCCGAAGAACTCAGTCTGAGTCGTTATGAGCTAGGACTTAAGCAAATGCTAGAGGAGCAGATCAAAGGCACGCTGGACCCAACCATCTTCCCATTCACAAAACCCCATACGGATCACGATGGTGGCGCAGCCACCCAGGAAATGATATCACAACAAGCATCTCTACGTAGTGCCAAGCCTACGTGGGCACGCACTCGGTCCACCGATCAACCTCGTCAACGCATCATCGTCTTCATGGCTGGAGGTGCTACACACTCTGAGTCACGCACCTGCTATGAAATCTCTCAGACCTACGGCCGTGATATATTCCTCGCCACGAGCCATATGCTCACCCCCGGGCTGTTCATGCGCCAAGTTGGTGACCTCAGCGTCGACAAGCGTCGTCTAGACATACCCGCCGAAAGACCGAAACCTACAGCCCCCGCTTTTCTATTCGAGCGCGATACACCTCCTGCGCCTCTGCCTCAACAAATGAAGAAGCCAGTGGCCAAGTCACCCCTGCCACCACAAGCACAAATGTCCAATTTGTCTTTGGGCTCAAACGGCCACCAAACACCCCCTCCGTCCTCAGGCAGTAAAACCTCTCACAAGGACAAGAAACACAAAGATAAGAAAGACAAAGACAAGAAAGACAAGGAGAAGAAGTACCGTTTCTTCTAGGGTTGTTGACTGGGCATATCTTCATTCAGCGCTGTTTTGATATCATCTTTTCCTTGTCCTTGGTCGGTCTGGTCCCGAGCATTCAGAGGCGCTTTTCTTGTTTTCAATATTCGCTGATTCAGCTACTCGCATCTTTCCGGTATCTATGTTTTCTCTATGGATATATGATTGTATCCATAGAGATTGTAAGAGAGAATGAGCTAAGCTAATACTAGTACAATACATTACAACCTTGAATACCTATTCCAAAATTGTAGCTCTTCGATTTCGCTATGTCATTTTACGAAGAAGAAGTATTACTACTACATCAACAAACGTTAAAATTCACCAGGTGGTCTTTACGGTATACCAATGAAGACTATATCTCCCTGCCAGGAGCTATAACCTCCAAGGGTGGACAAATGGGCTAGACTAGCAGGTGTTTACTTCAACCTGCAGGGGTCTGGACGACGAAAAAGTCCATCCTGACAACAGTTAAGCTGCCTCTACTCGTGGGGTGTAACTGGCTATCAAAAGTCCGGACTAATCTTTGTCGAAAAAGTGGTTCAGTAAGGAGTATAAGATCGGGAATAGGTCGCTGTTGCACTCTAAGGCTTGAACAATCAATTACTGGATGCAATTCTTGTGCACAGATGTCTCATTGAGAAAGCGATAATGATGACATGAACCTTCAAGTACCATTGCATTGATAGCTAATTCCCTAGTAAGCTAAATAAATGTTTATTTAGGTTGCTCCACTTTTGATATCAATACTAACCTAACCTCTTTTAGTCTGATATCCGTATCCTACTCCGTCCCACTTACCTAGGTAACATACGCTGTAGAACCAGACAATTTAGGCCTGAAACTCAGGCAACTTCGCCTACCATGGAATTCCTACAATATATCCGACAAAAAGGCCTCGTCACCATAATCCGATATCTCTCTTCACCAGGCCCAACAGCAACCCCAGACGAGCGAATAAGCATTCCCTCTCGAGATGCAGAGAGGATAATAACAGTCCACATCTACCGCTCAAAGTCCTCTAAGCCGACCCCAGTCTTAGTAAACTTCCACGGGAGCGGATTCGTCCTCCCATTACACGGCAGCGACGACTTCTTTGCACGCTACATCTCAACCGAAACTGACTACACCGTAATCGACTGCGCGTACCGGCTCGCACCAGAAAATCCCCATCCAGCAGCAATCAACGATGTGGAAGACATAATCAAATGGGTCGTTTCTCAGCCGACAGAATTCGATATCTCGAAAATCTCCATATCAGGCTTTAGCGCCGGCGCAAATCTAGCGCTGGTAACTAGCTCGGTCGTCTTTAAACAGGGGACTTTCCATAGTGTTATTGCGTTCTATCCTCCTACGGATCTCGCCACTGATCCTGCGACAAAGGTTGCGCCAGATACGTCTGGGAAGCCTATTCCTAGTTGGATGGCTAATTTTTTTGATGATGCTTATATGCCGGCTGGGCTTGACAGGAAGGATCCCACTGTTTCGCCGTTTTATGCTGCTGGTGAATGGTTTCCGGATAGAATGCTCTTTATCACTTGTGCACGCGATAATCTCTGTCATGAAGCTGAAGCTCTTGCGCAAAAAATCAAGGCTGTCCCTGGCAAGGATGTCGTCTGTATGAGAATGGATGGTTGTGATCATGGGTGGGATAAACATTGTAAACCTGACTCAAGGGAGGAAGAGGCTAGAGATAAGGCTTATAGCTTGGCTAAGCAGATATTACAAGGTGGCATCAATTGAGAGGGACGGCTATCAGATCTCAACGTTGAAGGGTTTAATTGACGTATCCATGTGCTATCCTGTCAACGGATAGTACTACGTAGACATATATCATGAACCAGCTGGTAATTTATCTCTATCAAAGATATCGAATTGGACAGAAAAATGCAAGGAGACTAAAAGAATAAGTCTGCCAGCGTGAAAAAGTGAGAAGAAACATAATAGCCATTCATTAAAGATGAACCTAGAAATCCATCTTAAGCCTCTTCTCCATCTCATCATGGAAAGTAGGCGGTTCCCGGAATTCGTCACCTAAGAAATCAAGTTAGCAATCACGCCCAGAGCTAGACTTAACTAGACTTAACCAAACAGCAGATAACATACCATGGAAGACATCTTCCCAACCAACCTCTGTATCCCGACCTCCAATCACCAAGATATCCTCGTGCACATTGCCACCCTTGAGACCACCAAGCACAGCTGGGCGGAATGTACTATCACGCACGATCTTCAGCTCCATGCCACGACGAACGGGCTCAGCAATTCCGTAGGCCCGGCGCAGGGACTCCATTTTCATTGCATCTTGGGTTGCGCGCCAGGCGAGCAGGCGGGCCTCGAGCGGGTGTGCCGAGGAGGTGATGTCACTGGCGACTGGGTTGTTGGTGGAGGAGGCTGTAGCGGTGGCGGGGAGAGTGAGCTTATTGCGGAGAGTGTCAGGAATACCGGGTGCTGATGGGGCGCCCTTTGAGGGCCGGGTGTGGCGGGCTGTGGTGTTGGAGGTATGGTTTGCGGTGCCAGCTGCGGGAATAATGCGGAGAGACTGGATAATTGTCAGTCATATGGGAAAGGAATCAAGTAGAGCTCTCAATTTTAATTGCTGATATAGCTCTCTTGCAGGTCATGGCTTATACGATGGGAATGGAGAGGTTCTTCGTGGCTTCACTATCGGCTTGATATGACATAGGGATCTGGGGCTCATAGCTTGATAACGTACCATGATGATGGGTGCAAGAGCGTTTCTTTTGACCTTTCAGTTACTGGCTTGATAAGAAATCAAAGTTAAATATTGCAAAAAGTTTTCAGGAATGAATGAAGATACAATAAGAAGTGGTGGAGATGACAGAGTAGTAGGAGAGCACAGCATCATTAGGCAGCGCGTCAAGCTTCTCCGGCAGCGCACAGCCACCACTTATGCAACTGGTACATCGTATATATGAAAGTCACGTGAAGACTTCAATCCTAATCCGCAATTCTGGGCCGAGCCATCATCCAAGACATCAAATTAACCACAATGTCCCAATTATTTTCACCATTGGCCCTCCAGGCCTTACGGGCTCTTGTACAGCGCCCAGCTCAATCAACACCTCTCCGCACCCTCACTACCTCCGTCAGTACCTTCCGTTGTCCCGCGATCACATCCCGCTTCAATTTCCAACCCGTCTTCCGCACCCCGACTGCTCTTTCAATCACTGCCAGCCGCCAATTCTCCAGCTCGCCTATTGTTCGCGCTACTTACAATCAAGTGCGCCGTGGCTGCCGTATTGGCCAGCGTGCACGTCGTGGTCGTTCGCCGGCATTGAAGGGCACGCCTTCCTTGAAGGGTGTTTGTCTTAAGATCGGTATTACGAAGCCTAAGAAGCCTAATTCTGGAGAGCGAAAGACTTGCAGAGTGCGGTTAAGTTCTGGCAAGGTTGTCAGTGCGATCATCCCTGGTGAAGGTAAGCAATTTCGCTCTTTGTCGAGGCTTTGGGTTTAAGATCTACGGCTCTCTTGCTGCGGTTTGGATCTATTCTTGACCGTAGTGGGAAGTGGACATGGGAGATCTTCACTTTGTTTAGGCGTGTCTATAGAGCCCTGGCTAATTTGGTTGTAGGTCACAATATCCAGCAGCACAGTGTCGTCCAGGTCCGCGGTGGCAGAGCTCAGGATTGTCCTGGAGTGAAGTACCACTTGGTTCGTGGTGCCAGCGATCTGGTAAGTTCAATTTCCAATATTCTTCAGTAATCAGCATCTGGACTAACAGGCACTTCCAGGGTGGTGTTGGAAGCCGAGTATCCAGTCGGTCGAAGTACGGAACCAAGAAGCCCAAGAGCAATTAAGGGATCGAATTGTCGCTTTAAGGCAATAGCTACTCCGTTATGTCTTTTTATTGTATGTGTAATATCGGCGATCTCATTTAAATCGAATGTATCATTAAGAAGTAAAATTTTGAACCTTTTTTTTTCTTCATTTTAAGGAACTCGTAGCTACATCTATACTGTGAGTTAAATGTAGAAGTTTAGTAAAAACGTTGCTCACCCCTTGGGAATCGACTCGTACTCCATGGTGTATGTATCCAAGACTTAGGAAAGAGATAGGAGCGCCGATAGCAATCGAGATAGTAAAACAGAGCAGGTATCGATATCGGCTTCCTAACAAAAAGATAGCAAAAATTGAACAGAAAAAGAGAAATGAAAGAGCAAGAGGTGAAGGTAGGCAAAGAAAAAGCCGCAAAGTACTTTTCACGCAATCAGGGCCAATTGACCAGGCGAATTCAATTAATCATTCCAGCCCTTGGGCTTTTGCAGGTTGTTGACCTCGTACCAGTGATTAGTGCCTGTAGCAAGATTAGCAGATGCATAAATCAGTATAAACGTAGAGTGATTACTGACAGGAGTAGCCTTTCCAGTCAAAGTTTTCCTCTGGCTTGCAGTTGCAGCGGAGGTCCAGCCTCTTCGTCTCCTCAGTCGGACAATGTGTGAAAGGTACGTGGTAGTAGGCAATCTCTTCCCAGAAGTGGATTTGCTCCTTCTTCAACAGGATCGATGCGGCAATAGAGTGGACCGGTGCGTCACCCCATCGCTCGTAGAAGAATCCACCATCCTGATCTAACTGGGAGAAATAGTCGATGTACGCCGGGGACCGCAACCACTCCAGGCTACCAATCTCGAAATTTGACCACTAGAAGAAGATAAATCAGCATTGCTGGTTTGTTTAGCGGGAAAATACCAGAACTTACGAAGTGACACTTGTTGTAGGTATCACCATTGTTATCGCTGATGAAGTCCATGGCGTTGCCACTGGGAATGTACTCAGGGTGCTTTTTCACAAATCCCTTCACACTATCCCACAAAGTGGGAATTGTCTCGTAGTACTCCAGCAAACTGATGACAAAGCTGTACATCTTGTTGTTCTCTTTCATATAACGGAAGGGATCCAGAGAAAGATCACAGTAGAGCTGGATGCTGGGTTCAACACGCCAGTAATACTCATAGTTCATCATAAGGGGGTGACGAAAGAAGAAACCAGATTCATAACGGCACATATGGCGATAGCTCTCGGAGTCACCGTAGATGATCTTCTTGCGACCCATCTCCTCGCGCACTTCCTTCGCCTTGTCCTGGTCGATCCACTCGGGGTAGGACCAATGTTCATTGGGAATCAGACCATAGTGGGTAGTACCGGAGACGAGTGCGGTGGTAAGCTTCTTGAAGTCATCGTCAAACTCCTTGTCGTTCAGGAAGACCCAATCATAGTTATAGTTTCGATTAAATCGGTCCTCGATCGTGCGGATGGAGTTGGCGATCTCCCAAATGTCGCTGTTACGGGCGAGGGTCACAAATGTGGCATTTACTCGCTCGGCGCTGTGAGTGCCATTGGTCTGGAATTTATGGTCCTTGAATTCTTCGTATGAAGAGGAGGTGTGGGTTAGAGGTCGGGAGATTGCGGCGGGGGTTGGAATCTGTAGAGAGGATCGGGAGAAGAAGTAGAAGAATGTCAGGCCCTGAAGATTCCCAGGTTAGCGCGCAATCTGGTAATTGGAGCAGCGGCTATGAGAGCATATCATTACTTACCACTAGGACAAACGCTATGTAGCGAGTATAGCGTCCTGAGATCGACATTGTGGTGGGGATAGGGAGGTCGACAGAAGGGGCCGCGCTCGTCAAGTAAGGAAGTAATGAAAACGAATGTAAAGAGTGTTCAGGCCAACGAAATTGATGCCCACACTAGTAGGGAAAACACATATGAAAAGATAGATTGGAATAAGATAAAATAAAATAAAAAGATAAAAAATAAAAAGATAAAAGATAGAAAGGAGAGGTTTCAGGTTTAGATAGGTATTAGGGGCGGAGAGGAAAGCAAAGGCCGCGCAAGACAATGGCGACAACCGCTTGCAGCCGCGTATGTTATTGTTCTGGTTTCACTGGATGAGATACTATAGTTATGGAGTGGTTGTTATTAATATTACCTTGACTTAAGATCAGTCCCTATGATGTAAATTCACCTTTTTCTCCCAAGGTTGTCGCTTAGTTTTAACCATTTTAACAGGCTGTTATTTCGGGACAAATTGAGGTTATGTGAGATTGCCAATTTCCCCCCAGATGACGCTAATTATACTAGGCGGAGGCATTATACAATTTATATTTCATTTGGCATGGTGATAGCGTATAATGGCATGTCCAATAATAGGGTGAGCAAAATATAAGAATATAATAAGCTCTTCAGGGTCGCAAAGGTTAAGTAGACTACCCTAGAATATAGGCTTATCAATCAAGATATAGTATATTTATTTACTCCTTGTTTCTTATTACGAAGTCCAGAAAGGGACAAGCTTCTGAATCTAACTACTTAAATGCATGTGACTTAGGGCTAGATCGACCTTCAAAGGTATACTCAGCTCATTTACTCAGATTCACCTCACTTCTGTAACTTAAAGGCACGTATCTACCAGGTAATATTTCAAGCTGACATCTGTCAAAGATGCCCAGGTGTACTACCTAAGTATCTAGGTACACTGATTTTTTGAAACCTAACATCATTTTATACCTAGGTAGTAATTATCCTTGAAGTCTTCACTCTTACATGGGTAACCAAGCAATGAACAGCTTCCTAGTTGGATGTAGCAGTAGCCAGCCAGTACCTAGGCAGATGTAAAGGCAATTGATCTTCAAGATTATACACAGTAAATATCGAAGCTATCATCAACAGGAGTTAAGAACCGAATTCAATATTACTGCCTGAGGCACCCGCACTTAGCGTATTCTTCCTTTCCTCTCCTTCCTCTCCCCCCACCATTATCTTACTCTGTATCCTTCTCCATTTCTAACCCACATTACTTACTTATTCTTAGTCAAAGAGACATGTCGTTCTTTGGCTTTGATACTACCCTGCCCAGGGATCGCGACCATGGTCCTCCGGCACCTAAGGGTTTCTTCGAGAACCCTGATCCCTTCGCCGAGGTGGCTCGTGCGACCGCGCAGGATTATGACGAGTGAATATTATCTACTGTTGAGAAGATCTGAACTTCTAGCTAACAATTCTCGCAGGCTCGACTTTGAGGATACCTATGATGGGTTGGGTGATCAGCTCGATAACGACCAGGATGTCTTTAACGACGATACCTTCGGGGGCGGCGAAGCTAGCTCTGGCAAAGTCGGCCGTGACTTTGACTTCTTCGGCAGAACTGCCCAGGTAGCTGATGCAATTGGCGAGGAGCAGGTTCGGTTTAGTTTACAAAATCCATCAGTCGCTGCTCCTCCCTACGATGAGCACCCCACTGCCCAGATGCCCGTCGTCGAACAGACCCGTCGCTCGGGTTATGAGAAGTATTCCGATCCCGGATACATTCCCGACCTACAGGCCAAATCAAGCGTTTGGGGTATTCCTAAGAAGCAAGACCCAATTCCTACAACATCGGCTGCACGGACTATGTTGAGCTTGGAGGAGGTGGAGGCACAAATGCGCCATCGCCTCCAGTCTGCTGCACAAATGCCACCGCAATCAATTCCTCAATCGATGCCTGATCAGTCCTACTTGCGCCAATACCCAATGCCTACATTTCCTGAGGGCTTCCCCAATCTGCCCCCAGAGCTCATACGGGCACAGCTTGAAAAGGGTGTGCTTCCTCCGCCGATGCCCCCCCACCTTCCCCCAGGTATTCAGGAAATGTATGGTGGACCTGTGCCACCTCTGTCAGAGGCAACCCTGCAACATCTGCAGAATAATCTTCCTCCTCAGAACATGCCCCCACAGGGCTCACGTTATCCTGGCCCACAGCGACAGCAACAGCAAAGCCAAAGACAACATCAGCAACAGCAACAGCAACATCAACATCAACATCAACATCAACATCAACAACAGCTGCAACAGCATCTTCAACAGCAACAGCAGCAGCTCCAGCAGCAGAACATGGCGCCGCCGCCCACACGCGGGACCAATGGTGGATTACCGGTGATTACCAACCCGCAACAGCTCATGCACCTGACTGAGGAAGAACGGAATGCTTATCTCGTGGAGGATGCGAAGCGGGCAAAGCGAAACCACAAAATATTCCTTTTGTCGCGAGGCAATGGCCTTATGACCCCCCAGGACAAGAACTTCATCACCCGCATTCAGCTTCAGCAACTGGTCGCGGCAGCTGGAAACGTTGCGGATGCCGATCCAGAGGCTGTGTTGGCCGAGGACTTCTACTATCAGGTCTATAGTCAGATTCGCGGGGCACCTCGCCAACACCCTCATCAGCCACTTGGCCACTTTGCTCAGACTTATCTCCTCCAGACCGGAAATCGAGTCGGTCATGGGCGCCGAGGATTCCAGGGTGCAGACAATCATATGCAGCGGATGCAACAACAAGTTCAGCGTGCAGTCGAGGCAGCCAAGGCCAAGCCTAAGAACAAGCAGCTTATCATCGAGGGCAGCTTAGGCAAGATCTCATTCAGCAACGCCAAGGCTCCAAAGACGATGCTCAGCGTCAAGCGGCCCGACTCCGAGGCACCTCGTCCCAAGAAAGTGCCGTTGAGCTCCAGCGACAGGAAATCAATCCTCACCAATATTGAGCGAGTTTATACTGCTCTGATGGCAATGGAAGACATGGAGCGGACAATGCCACCGCCGCCAGATGAGGACGATGCAGAAGCTATCCAAAAGCATGTTGAATGGAGACAGAATGCCCATACCATCAACCGCAAACTGTGGCGGTCCCTCAAGGTCATGGAGCCTATTGTGCCCAATTCCACGACTCCCCATCCCTTCATCGCATTTTTGTCGTACCCCAAAGGAAAGAAGGCCATCCCTCGTATTTTCCGTCACATCGACCAAGAACAACGCGTCACCATCCTCACCATGATTGTGGTACATTTGGATAGCTTGGATGTGGTTCACCTGGCCCAACCCGCACCTGGTGAGGCTCAGCCGCCTGTTGCTGTCCGTGAAGCCATTGACCTGTTCTCACTGGCCGTCATGCCCAGCCTGCTGGGCTATGTGAACGAGGCCCCCTTCCACATTATCATCGGTCTTTTGGGACTCGTCATTGCCCAAACCCATGTGGCAATTGTTGCCCGCACCAAGGTCGGACTGGGCATTCTTACCATGTTGCTCAGTCGCGCAGAGATCGTCAAGGAGGCCGGACAGGCTCCAGATCGTGATTGGCAGCAGTGGGTCGAGAAGTTCAACGTGCTTTTCGATACCCTAGAGCCCTTCTTGGCCAACCTCTTCCCTGGGTCAATCAATTCAGGCGATGATATGTACGTGTGGCAGTTCCTTGCCGCCGTTGGTATTGGTGCTAGCCCTGAGCAGCAGCAACGTTTGGTTATTGCTGTCAAGTAAGTGAACCCAACTCCAAAATTATAATAACCGATACTGACTACATTCTTTAGGGATCGAGTAATGGAAACTGTCAGTTACAGCAAGACTCTTCCCGCCGATATGTCCAGCCAGCGTCTGGGAAATGTCAACCTCTTCATGCGGGCCATCGGCCTGGATGTTGAGCTCCTCGGTTGATTGAGGATAATGTGATTTTACTTTAATGTTGAACCTACGCGTGCTTGCCGATATTTTGACCAAGGCTCACGAAACTAGTGTCTGAGATCTAGACTCAGCTGAAGCAGGATATCTTAAGACTTCCCCCTCCCATATTCCTCTTCATCCTCCCTCGTCGGGATCAAGTTTACAGTGTCGGAATTCGCCGAAAACGAAAACGTTGCAGACCACACAGATCTCTTAAGATTGAGAAGAAGACAGAATCATCAGGATCAAATTCAAAAAACCCTGAACGTTTGAAAGTCGAACATAGCGCGTTCTTTTTGTTGTGTATTATTTCCATAGCTTTTATCAACTGAGTATAGCCTCAACTTTTCGTTCCTGTGGGTACGAAGTACTGGGGCTTACATGAAAATGGACCCTATCCGCATGCGTCTGAAATGTCTATAAAAGTACTCTTTGATCCACCACTATGAAACTGAAGTTGATTTTGGAAACGAAGGAGTCAAGAGAGGACAACAATGCCATATGTCCATATGATGTCTATCATTATCCCATTATGGGTTCTACAGTGGGTGTGATCCCGCGATCTGCAAGTACAGTAAATAGTAAGCGGGCTGATGAACTCGTAGTTCATCCAACCAGAAGAATAAGAATCACAAGGTGTCTACAGATCGGACCTATCAAAATACCATTTCGGCTAAAATAACATGCCACAGTATTTGGGATAATTAAAGGGTCTCGGTCCCGTCATTGGGTGATGATGACGGCTGCCGTTTCCATATTTATCCCCCACCATCAATTTCCCCTTAAATGCGCCCTTTGTCCACTTCCTCTTCTGTTCTCTCTATTCTCTATCACTTACCTTTCATATCCTAATCTACTTCTCCCCCTATCTAATTCGCCCTTCTTTTGACCATAATGTCTGCTGGTTCTGTTCTTGTCACTGGGTACGTTTACTAACTAACCCCTCTTAGCTGCATGTCTCAATTGACCCCTCTCTCCACAGTGGCACGGGCTACATTGGCTCTTTCACCGTCCTAGCTCTTCTCGATGCTGGATACAAGGTTATTGTTGCTGATAACTTGTACAACTCCTCTGTCGAAGCCCTAAATCGCATTGAACTCATTAGCGGCAAGAAGGCCGAGTTCGTCGAGCTTGATCTTATCAACTCCAGTGCCATCGACAAGGTATTCGAGGACCACCCCGACATTGACAGTGTCATTCATTTTGCGGCTCTAAAGGTATGGTCAGAAAACAACAACCCATTGGTATACATTCACTAACCTTTCTTAGGCTGTTGGTGAGTCTGGAGAGAAGCCTCTGGACTACTACACTGTCAATGTTACCGGCAGCATCAACCTCCTGCGCTCCATGATCAGCCACAATGTTACCAACATCGTCTTTTCCAGCTCCGCCACCGTCTACGGTGATGCCACTCGCTTCCCCAACATGATCCCCATTCCCGAGGAGTGCCCTCAGCTTGCCACCAACCCTTACGGCAGCACCAAGATTGCTGTTGAGATGGCCATCACCGATATTATTAATGCCCAGCGTAACAACGCTATCAAGGCTGGCAAGGAGGACGAGGCCAAAAAGTGGAACGGTGCTCTGCTCCGCTACTTCAACCCCGCTGGTGCCCACCCCAGCGGTGTCATGGGCGAGGACCCCCAGGGTGTCCCCTACAACCTGTTGCCACTCCTGGCCCAAGTCGCCACTGGCAAGCGTGAGAAGCTGGCTGTCTACGGTGATGGTACGCGCTTTGCTCCCTCTTACTCTCCAAGTCTTTACTAACGACGTTCCTCCTCAGACTACAAGTCCCACGACGGCACTGCCATCCGTGACTACATTCACATTCTTGACCTGGCTGACGGCCACTTGAAGGCCCTGAACTACCTCCGCGCCAACAACCCCGGTGTCCGCGCCTGGAACCTGGGTACCGGCAAGGGCAGCACCGTCTACGAGATGATCAAGGCTTTCTCCGCTGCTGTCGGCCGTGACCTCCCCTACGAGGTTGCTCCCCGTCGCGCTGGTGACGTCCTTAACTTGACTGCCAATGCCAACCGTGCTATCAAGGAGCTCGGCTGGACCCCTACCCACACCCTCGAGCAGGCCTGCGAGGATCTCTGGCTCTGGACCAAGAACAACCCTGAGGGTTACCGTCAGCAGCCCCCAGCTGAGCTGGTGGCTAAGCTGCAGAAGTAATAATATAATCGCTAGGCCTGTATCATCTCAAAAGATTCTGTGGTATTACGGCATAATTGTGATATGTAGGTAGAATATAACGAATCTCTTTTCTTCATCCGTGTTCAGGTTTCGAAACCTTGATAAATATACTGTATTTCTTTCTACTTTTTTTTCTTTCTAGAAGCACCAGTATAAGTAATCTATAACCCCATCATACTGAATCAGGCTTTGTTCTTGCGCTGCCGCCTCGACCCAGCACTCTGCGCCTTCTCAGAAGCAGTCTCCTTGCGAGTTTTCTTTTCCTCCTCAACCTCCTTTTCTTTTTTTTCCAAAGCCCTCTTAACAGCACCCTCCTTCTCTGCCTCCTCAATCTGCTTCTCACTAAACTCCCACAGTCTCTTCCCGACATCCTCATCCTTGATATCAACCCGCGCATAGTCCATCTGCCGACACTCCTTAACAAGCCATCCACCTTCACCACGGCCATAATCCTCATCCATAGCCGCAGTGAGAATACTCTGCGCACCCTGACTAGGCGACTTCAAAATCAACCACCACAGCGGCCAAGTAATAAGATACAAAAGTAGTCCCCACAGCGACCCACCAGTAAGCCAGCGCCTAGTACCAGGTGTACGCGAAAGACCCGGATCAACAACAACAACCCGCGTACAGCTAGGAAGACCATCGGGCCGCTTATACTCGTTCAAATGGCGCTGAAATGAATGGGCGAATGCCATAAGAGCAAATTTGCTCAATCCGTAGATTCCCTTCTTGTTCGTAGCACCAGCTTTCAGGGAAGTTCCAGCTGCTCCGGCAGGAATCCGCTTCACGCTTTCCAATTCGAATTTCGCGCCGATGTAGCTTGCGCAAGTGGCGAAGATCACGCGTACGTCTCGGTGGGCGGGCTGGACGCGGAGCGCGGGACTTAGGATACTTAGGAGGTGGAAATTCGCCAGGTAGTTTATCTGCCACTCTTCATCTATGCCGTCTGGGGTATTCTTGTGTGCGCCGGATGGGACGGCTGTTGCTCCACATAGAATGACGGCGTCTATGCGGCGCGGTGGCGCATTATCGATCCATTTTGTAGCGAATGTGCGGATGGAGTGGAGCGAGGCAAGATCTACTTGCTCAGCCCAGATATTATTGTTTTTAGTTGAAGTGCGGAGGTCGTCGATGTATTCAACTAAGAAAGCGTCTGAGGGAGGTTGTTTGGTCAGGAGGACTATTTGAGCTCCGCGGGCGGCGAGTTCTTGGACGACTGAGGCTCCAATTCCAGATGTTCCACCCTGTTTAAACAAGTCAATTAGATATACTTTTTTGGGTCGGTGATAGGGGAGTTATGAGTTAAGTACCGTTATCATCACTACTTTAGAATGCCATAGTCTTTCAGCGCTGCTGCGAGCTCCGCCGAAGTAGTATTTCAGCGCGGCGATTAGGAGGATCCATGGTGTTGTACGCAGGACTGTCCATGAATATGGGACTGATGAGAATCCCTCTGTGAAAACCTGTACTACAATTGGGATGGGCATATTAAAAGGGGGGAGGTGACATAGGAGGAATAGGGAAACTTCCACCTGTTCGTAAAGCCGTTATCATTATCGCCTTATCGGTTGAGCTCTTATCGCCCCACACTTCAACTAGTGTTTACTCGTGGTCCTGTAGGCTGTGCCATGTCACTGATATTTACAGATTCAATAGGGGGATTCCGCCTACTCAGTGCCCCCTATATCTCAAGAATCTGAAATTTTCCCAACTGCCTTATTGGAAGGACGCTGGCCGGCACCCTCCTCCCCGACGAGCCTGAGCTTAGGAACCTCCAGAGCCTAAGAATTTAGAAGCCATTCGTGAAGTATGCAACGAGCAGCTGGGCTGAGCTGGCAAAATTCCCATTTGATGTTCACTTTTATATTCAATTTCATATTCACTTTTTCGGTTGTCATTTGGAGATATCAGAGACGAGATTCTTCCTTCTTCAACCCTTCGACCTCTCCTAGGGAACCTCTTAAAAGGGACTATCGATGGCAGTGGCCAGATCAACTCCTGAGGGTCATCTTTAGGATGACCGCCTAACTATGTGTACGACAACCAGCTTGACGAGGATGCTAATGCAACTTGGACAGGTAATATGCATTATAGGCATCGGGTTGCATCGCAATACTCAGCATTCAAATATTTGTTGCCATGTTATCCTCGAAGGCTGTCATATTCTCTGGCAAACCAAAACTCATGTTATATTCTGATATCAAGATGCCAGCAGCGAGTATTCGCCAAGTCACATCATCACTTGCAACCCTCTTCAGGGCCACGGAGAGGATATTACCAACCTTGAAAGCTTTTTTGAGGAAGGGGTTAAAACCTAACCATTTAACAAGTTGAAGAAGTCAGAAGTCACTACAACTCCTTATGATTCTTGCGTCATCATGTCGATACAAACACGAAGCAGAAATCAACTAGGTAAGAAAAAAATTCACTTTCTCTCGTCATTTCAAATGTTCATCAGCTCTTACTCTAGCTTGCCGACGCAGAATTGCAAACGGAATCGGTATTGAGGCTCATAATTTTGCGAAGCTTCGCCCTTTCATAGTCATCCGCAAGCGATTATTTGGGCTTCGAGTCACAGAATGACAATCAAGCGACTACCTTACAGCGGCAAAAATGAGCCCTGTACGGCAATCTTGGAGCTAAAGAACACTTTCGCGATCAAGTACCCTTACCCCAAATCAAATCTGCTGAAACAAGGTTCAATCAAGATCTGCAGCTATTGGATGAAGTGGAAAATAAACAGACCACTGATAAACAGTGGACACATCTGCCTTAACACCGCATACCCGATTCAACTTATGAGGTTTAACACATCGGGAGATAAGTCTTCTACATGAACGGCATCTCAATACTTACAAGCTATTGGCATTGATGAGCCTACGAGGAAGGATCATACTCTTGGAGGGCATATGCCGAGAGTTTAGTAATGCCTACATGACTGGGGGTCCAATACCCTAGTATCAGAAGTTGTTGGGAAGACTACAGCCTACAAGAAATTACCCACTGAAGACAAGAACAATGCCTTGGGAAAACATCATTGGGTGTACCTTGATGGACACTTGGCTAATGTATTTGCAGGCCCAGTCCGAACAACAACGGCAAACTTGGAAAATGGAATGGGCCAAAATCTATATAACCGGTATATTGTACCCCATGAAGATGAACCATGATTCCAAACCTTGAAGCTAAACCTTGAAGAACTTCTCAAATATAGTTCCCGTCGCGCTACCTATCGAGTACATTTACAGGATCAACATGCACTTCGCTTCGCAGTTCTTGTGGTCTAAGAACAGCTCAGGCTCCCAATTTCCACTTTTTTCTGTTAAGATGAGCAAGGACCATGTCTAGGGCTTACGGTACGCTAACTAACCTTGGAGGTAATCATCGTGTATGTTGATCATGAGCGCGAAGCACTAAGATTACAAGCTCCTCTCGAGAATCTTTTGTCTTAGTCGATAAGGTCGACAAGATGATGAAATCGGAAATTACCCCAGACTTCGAGGAAGTAAGTTCCTAGCAACCTTTCCTCGCGCCGAGAGTAGTCTCGGCAATTATAGTATCAACTAGAGCCACTAGTTTTATCTTCCCAACACAGTTTCCCTTCTTTCAATCCTTCATCACAAGCCTTGGAATCTTTCCAGGGAGATGGTTACAATATGGATCTACGTTATCACAGCAAGGTTGTTGTTTTCCAACCCATCTATTCAGAATCCCATTGACGCTGTCATCACTCTGGCATTTGACTTGCTCTAGTACTCAGTTCTGACTCCGATCTTCGCTCTTGAAAGGCAATGTAAGCTTTCATCTGAATCACTGGGGCTAATTATTCATTAGACACGACATTCCCTTTGAACCTTGGAATTGGATCTTCCTCTGTGTAATGGTTGAAGGCATATTTTCTTCAAGAACGTTGGCACGGCTATTCGTATACATTGAAGCCGATTGGCTACGGCTGCTCATGTGCTTCCCTGAGTTGTGATTCTAGTAAATATGGAGTATATTCATGAATTGAGAATATTGATTGGAAGATATCCAGTAAGAGAATATCAAAGCAAACCCAAAGGCTCGGGCTCGGCTCAAAACTTCAATTGTATGCTAAAAAAAAAACACCGTCATTAAGTATCCATATCCGTAGAAGTGGGATGTCAGGGTCATATACACTACGGAAGAGAGATGAATAAAAAAACAAAAGGACAAAAACCCAAGGAAGATTCATAGATACAGAATGTTTCGGGAAGAAGCCAGAAACAGGAATAGACACGATGAAAAGGAAAGTGGTGAGTAATAAGAGACAAAAAGAAGAAAATAGGTCGAATGGGATGGGTATATAGATGGGAAGGCGGTTAGGAAGGCGGATTTATATCAGGACAAGGACAAGGACAATCAAGGCAAAAGACCAAAAAGACCAAAAAGACCCAAAACCAGAGGGAAATTCAAGCGAGCGCGAAAGTCAAGAACATGGTGTGAAAGGATCGTCGGGCGAGAGCGAGGAGGATTGTTTTGGTTTCCATGTACAGAAAAGGCATTGAGCAATATTGACGGATTATGAATTTCGAAGTTGGTGGGTATGTTGACGACGAAAGAACTGTTGAATAAGGTGAAAAGCAGGAAATCAATAGGATCTGGAAGAAAGCCAATTCTCGAACGGCACTTCCGAGAAACTCTTTCAACATTAAAATGGTTAGAAGCCGGATCCTGCATCCAGGCAGGGTAGGCCAGGTCGTTGAGGGCTAGAGGGTAATGGGAGGGTGAAAAAGGAAAGGGGGGAATTCAGTATCGATCTCTCCATATCGCACCCACGGCAAGGAACTCGTTGCAGACTCATAGTATAACACAGCGACATCCAGGACTGCGCTCGCTGGTCTCGTTTTCACGGTTGTACTGCGCCTTGGCACCCTTGGCATCTTCCTCGTCGACGATTTCTTGTGGCTTGACAGTCATATGTAAGACATTGGGAGCATCGTGGTTGAATTTCGATTCTATTCGCAAGCGTTAGGATCATTCAATTTTGTTGTGTCGTTTTTCATGATCATACCAGACAAAGGGGACTTATCAACCAGCAATTTCCCAAAAGAGATCAAACGAATCGAGCTAGGAGAGGACGGACGGGGTTCCCAGTCTTGAAAATCAGACATCAGTGATTGTCTCCTTTTTCAAATAGTAATATTGCACTTACCATCTCGCCACTCGCGCCAAATCAACTCCTTAAGAGTATAAACGCTCATCGCGAACGGATCATGATTCTCAACGTTAACATTACGCTTACGCAAGTATTTCCCATCGATAGTGAATGGGTGTCGCGATCCAGTAGTCAACAGTAGCGTAATAACTAACGAAGGTCCCGTATCCTCGGCGTCGGCCTCGGTTTCGACCTCCTTCGAGGTGTCGTCGGGCTTAGCCAGAGACCCAGCCAACTTCGGCTCCTCGGTATGCATTGAAGTGGATTCTGTTTGAGTTTGTGCGACTGGTGTAATACCAGCGGTTGTTTCGCTAGGAGTTTGAGTGCCAGTTGTTGTCACGGGGGCGACGCTTTCGCCACCGTTTGCGGTCGTTGCGGCTGCGGTTTCGGATGCGGTCGCGCTTTGATTCGCTGCGTCTCCAGATAGAGGTGGGAGAGCAGAGGTAGGTGCACTTGCGTCAGCGACAACAGTATTGATGGGTGATGTGATTGAAGATTCTGTGGATTGCAGTTGAGTTGGAGAAGTGGTTGCCCCCGAATCTTGGGCAATAGCGAACGAGTCTATGTCTGTCTCTGTCTTTAGGTGCTCGGTTGAAGACATATCTGTGCCCTGACAAATTGAAATCCCCTTTGATAGGAAAAAGCGATCAAATTGTTGAAATGTTGGATGAGGGGGGGTGTAGTGGTGGAAAGCAAGGTTGATCGCCCGATCGGTCCAAGGGTCTGAGTTGACTGATTGGGCGAACGCTGCAATAGTACGAAGTGATGCTTTTTTTGTCGGGATCAGGAGATTATTAGAGTACAGCACTATTATTGCAGGGATAAAAAGATAAAAAAGACGAAAAGACGAAAAGACAAGAAGATGGAAATATGAAAATATTGGGGGGAAAGAAGTCCAGGTAAAGGGGATCGGCAAGAAGCTTCTGTAGTGAAACCGCAATGGAGACTATGAGATTGGATTCCCCACCTAAGAAAAAAAGCTCCTATATTGAAATTGTCCCTTTTGCTGATTTTGCCTAAGCCGGTTTGTTCAGGAGTCTAGACTCCTTTTAAGGATAATACTCTATGTCATCATTTATGCGAACCAGTGGATATGAAGATCTAGAACCTATAGTAAACACTGATCTCAGTTGGACTGAATACTCTTTTTAAAATTGAATATATAACCTCCAATGCTTAGAGCCAGCCAGCATACTGCTCCAAGAATTCAGTCTTCAATCCTTCAGATCCATGCCGCACACCCAATAGTCGAACCTTGCCAATCTTGCCTCCAAAGTCATCCTCTACGGTACTTTGATAGTTTTCGAAAAGCTCGTTCAGTCGGGGAATCACAGCCGTATCATCCTTAATCAACAACACAATGGCATCGTACCCTCCAGCACCCGGCACAACTCCGCCAATAACGCCATCGATCTCAGAAACCCTGTCCAGCAGCTCAGTCTGGACACTAGGTTCGATAGGAACTCCTGAACGCTGCGTCATGGTGCGAATATGCTGCCGCGTGCGCTGGAGATAACTGCTGATCTCGGAGAATTCTGCATCAGTGTTGGAATCGGGGTGTTGGGCGAGACGCTTCAGCTCCTGTCGCAACCGCTCATTGTTGTTCTGTAAGCTGGCCCAGAGAATATCGGCCTCTTGCTGGTTTTCTTTCCTCCATTGCAACACCTTCCGCACCATGGATGGCGTCTGAGAGCCACAGTCCACGTCACACAAGACCATCTGCATCCCGCGCGGGAGCTGCATACCAAAATCCACGCACTCTGTATCCCACGAGTGCGCTGGGTTGGCGTCCTCGACAACGGCGAACAATCGCTCTTCGAACCCGGCTGACCCCACATCGCCCACTGACTCTAGGATCGCGGGCGAGAATCGCTTATAGAGACATGATCCGTACACAGCAGTAGCGACATCGAAGCCGGAACCAACCTTTCCTTGCGCCGCGCAGTGTGCGGCCTGAGCTAGGTTGTGGAGCTTGTCACGGCCACCACCGAGGTCATCGGCTTGCATAGTACGGTGGATAACCAAGGCCGAGACGAGAGCGGTGACTAAGGCAGCTGACGAACCCAGTCCCGTCTTATGGGCCTCTGAGAGAGGAATACCGAAATTAGAAAAGCGGCCGCCATACTCTTGAGCGGCGGAGCCCTTCGATGTAGAAGTCTCGGAGTAGTAGTCGTTATCACTCATGATGGTAACAGATAGAGAGCCGAAATCTTTCGAGTCAGCGACGTAACTGATATAAGTCAAAGCATAGCTAACGGAGGTCTCGACGAACGGATTCCGAGGTCTGGATGTGATGGAGAGGTTAGCTGTGAAAAAGTAGATGGAAATGAAAGCTCTTACCCATTGCCCTTCTGGATAACTTTCACTCCACCGCCATTCTCACAGCGCTGGAAAGTATACTCCCAGACAGCATCCACAAACTGGGGTGATCGTACAACAATAATATCCTCCTGCTCATCACTGCCAGACTCAGTCTTGCTATGCGCCGGACCCCGTCTCAGCTGCTGAACAACGACATGGATGCGCGCATCGAGGGCGAACACCGTTCCAGTATACTTGCGATCGAGGACAAGGTAGCCGCCGGACAAGAGGACCTTGCCTGGAGCCGAAACGGCCATCACGGAAGATGGTTGAGGCATTGAATATCGAAGGGATGGAGGGAAAGTGGGGAAGAGGGGGGGGGAGCGGATAGACTACGACAGTGCTAGCTGGAGGTTTAGGCGGAACGAATAGAAATGGCGACGGGAGCGGACTAGAATCTGCGTTGTAGATGTTCTCATGCCCAATAGGGGGGAATGTAAAAGGTCAAGTGGCTCCAATCGGTGGACCTCAGGCAAGGATGTATCTAAATCCCCTAAACGGGTTAGCGTGGATCTGGGCACATATGGAAAGTCCCGAGTCTTAGCATCTTTCAGTACATCTATTAGAGATCTCTTTTGAAACTACCTAGATACAATTATTTCATCGGTGACTTCAGTAAAGGCGAATTACCCTCCATAGACTACCCAGGTACTTTCTCGTAGACTAAACACGAAAGAACACTAGTAAATACACGAAGAACATGGGAACATTCCAAGTATTGTTAATTAGTTTATCGGAAGATAAAAGACAATAGATCATAACTGGAAATAATATCAGTCGTCATTCGATCGATGTCACACATGCTTATTAACGAAGTTCTAGACCTTGTAAGTCGATGATGCACGTCATTGGCACCTTGAAGGCGAGGGCGGTTACATACAAACAGAAATCAGGGCTTGTAGGAACTGGGCAAGAAAATCAAGAACGTTTGATCTACTTAGCATCTTCGGCATTTCAGTGTTTGTTGTGTAATATCGGCTTACGATCAATTAATGACTTCAGTGTACTGGCAATATCTAAATACCTAATCTGTAGGTATTATTAACTTGTATTTGTAGGATTTTTCCCAAGCTTTCAAGGCTGGCATTTCTTAAGGTCTTCCAAGGGTGAAATAGAGCAATATCAGATTTAAAATACTATCATTCCATTCATGAGAACTAAACTATTATGAGTGATGCTATAGAATTGATATTCAATTCCGCTGGTATGGGATATATTTTAACAGACTCCATAACACTGCACCAACGTCGCAAGAAGGTTACAAAAAAAAAAAGGGATAAGAGAAGGACGAAAACCCACAGATGGAAAATAAAGTGAAAGAAAGATGAAAAATGTAGAAAAAGCCGAACTCCCAAAGCCTCTAAGCTTTTGAATTACTGTACAGGGTATTTGTATTGGTGGACCAGTTGACGGGAAGCGTGAAGAGCGGTACGGGGCGTGAGTGGTAGTATGAGGGGCTGTGGTGGAGTAGAGCGAGCAGAATAAGAATTTGGTGGCGTTGGCGTTTGGCGTCGCAAGATCATCTACTCCGATCTTTTCAACTTTCATAACTTCATGCCTTGGGCTTCTGTGCAATGATGCTGTAAGATGTCGTGGCAAGACGCATGACGTCCATCTTGACGAAGGCCTGACCGTCGAGGCACAGGCGGTTAATGAGAGTCTTGAAGTGTTTTGGCAGAGCATGGACCCTGACTAGACCCAAAATGCACTGGCGCAGAGTGCGGAAGTATAGATCAACGGTGTCGATGAGAGGGGCCTGAAGACCGTCGATAGAGGCGTTTTCAGAGATGACGATTTCGAAACCGGCTTCTTTTAGCGCGGACTCCAGGGTCTCCTGAGTGGGGGTACCGACGGCACCAATCAGAGGCTTGACGCGGCGCATAAGCTCGGCGTGCTCGGGATTAGATGCGTCATAAGCGGGGAGACTGATCCAGTCCAAGAGGGATATCTTGGAGCCGGGCTTGACGACTCGGAAGACTTCTTTGAAGAGAGCGGGAAGGTCCTTGCACAGAGAAAGTGCTTGGATCTGGTAGAAGGCGTCAAAGCTCTCATCGGCGAAAGGCAGAGGGAGGGTGTTGAAATCTTGGACGACAAAGTTGTTCTTCAGACCAAGCTTGTTGTTGAAGCTCTGTGCTTGGCCGATCTGGTTGGGATCAATATTAAGGCCAGTGACTTGGGCACCAGTGTGTTGGGCCATGTGAGCGGCAACGCGGCCACGGCCACAACCCAGATCTAGAACCTTATCTCCGGCAGTGAGGCCGATGTTCTTGGCAATCGATCTCTCATAGAGGATCTGGTTCTCGAGGCAGCCAGTCTTCTTCTTCATCCAGGGAGGAATGTACATCTTTTCCACGTCACCGAGAGCGCACAAGTGGTTGAGAACTCCATAGTAGGACTTGAGGCAGTCGCCGACCTTTTCCTGATAGTTGGGGCCCAGAGTTTCAATCATCTCCTTCTCGTTCGACCAGTCCACGTTGTAAATGACGTAAGAAGCCATGAAGTCGTCGACCTGTTTAGGAGTCAAGTTGGTGAGGTATCGGAATGAAGTCCAGAAAGACTTCCAGCGCTTTGGAGAAGCCGAGTCATCACCACCCTTGTCGTTCTTGCCCAGTGCCGTCACGAGAACCTTCTGCTTCTGTTCGGTGATCTCATCAACGGAAGTGTCGCTCTCAGAGCCACGATCATTCGGGCTTGGGTGAGAATCGGCGGGTGTTGTCACCGGGAGCGCTTCAGTCGCCATTATTGAAACAAATAAATATAATCAGGTAAAAGGTACTATGATGTACTAGGGGTAAAATAGGAGTATTAAGGGAAAAGAGAGTGAGGAGTGGGGTGGTGGTTGGTCTTGGTGTTTAACGGAAACCGATATGTATATACTCAAAATAAAAACAGTCTGCAATGGGGTTGGGCTTGAATTTATAAGCAAAGTGCGCCCCAAGAGATCCTCGCTCTCCACGATCCCTAAAAGAAAAATCTGTACTGCCGTGAGTAATAGAGAGAGGGCGGTCAAGAGCGGATTGTCACCGGATCTGGATCCTCTTCCCGGCTATCCCGGCAGGTTGAGTTGAAGCCGTTAATACGGGGATGGCATCCCGGATCTTTTATTTTTATTTGATTTAAGGCAAATGACTCAGATCAGGTAGTGAATTTATCCCGATCTATCCATACTTATCTCCCCTCGATATTCGTAGCCATCAATGTCGTGTAGATAGATATACAGACAAGGCACGGATGAAGCGGGACCCCAATTAGACCAAAAAGACCAAAAGACCCACTTAAATTCCGATATACGGGAGTACTTTGTACTACTCTCTATTTTCTGTATAGCGCTGTAATAGTTAGGTACGGAGAACCCAGTACTACACAGTACGTACGGCGTAACTTATATATACTTTGCAGTATTTTATTTTATTGATTTCTATCTAATATAGTGGACATAACTACTCATAGCCCCTTTACAGCTTAATACCCAATTGTTGGGATTATACTCTGCATACAGCCGATTATGCAAGCTGCTCATAGTCCGTTCTATAGTGGCGTCATTCCTACCATCTCAGAACCAAAACCAAAACCAAAACCAAGACACGGTAAATCGGCATATAAAATGGAGATAAGGGTAAAGGCAAATAAAGGATGTACCGGTAAGGCTTATGATCGGGAAAACTTAAATTACCTTCGAGAAGCTTTCCATTGTTCCTTTTTTACCCGTTTTCCTCTTTTCTCGTTCGGATATATAGGAACCGTGGAAATGAGGAAGAAATTCAAATATATTAAATTTAGATCTTACTTAAAGCGGCCCCTCGTGGCCACGGCGTTAAATAAGTGGATCACAGGATTGAATGGAAGACGAGGTAAGAGTTATTATGTATCCACCAGACCAAACAATCTATTAGAAATGACTCCATATGTTACTTCATAGTCCCGCCTTCCCGTGTCACGTGTCACGCCTGATCTAGTATTATGCTCCTTTTGACTGGCGCTGGAGCGAACCTTGGGTCTATCAGTAAGCCGGTGTCGGTCCTTCAGTATCCTCTTTTATTCACCAAATTTTTGATTTGATCTTGGCGTTTGCTTTTCGCTCCAGGGGTTGTTACGCTAAATCCATATTTACCCGGAGCTTCCCGTCTATTCGGATATAAAGGACATTTGAAGATTGAAGGTCTAGCTGGGGATATTGCTTTGTTTCCAGATTCACTTCGATTGCTCTATCTAGGAATCTTCTTCTTTCATCCGTGTCATCCGTATATCTATAGGATATCCTTCAAGTTTCACTGCTATCTCCTGGAGTATACAATCAAAATTATATCAGAAGATCATCAAATGATGTCAACTCATGGCACGACAACAAGTGGATCAAAACGAAATTTCTTCTCTCGAAAAGCGCCCTGGTAACCCCTTAGATCAACAGAATTATGCACCAAATAAGCCCTCTGTCTCTCATTATCCCTTTTAGGAGCTACACTATGTCACCTTAGTATGTACCTATGCTAAATATTATTTGTACTCACGCTATTAACCCAGACCTAGTTATCCGTCCGAAACCTCCGGATATCAATATAAAAGTCATGCCATCCTCAAGCCATGGGATTTCAAAATTTCGCAAATTGGTTTTTGTTTTTCCTGGACCTTTAAATCCATGTTTTGATTAAGGACAACCTTCCGAAGGTCGTTAGCGCCCATTTGTCTAGGTTCCACCATTCATCTCTTTTGATGCCATCACTCAGCATTTCCAAGCTTCCGTGTGGAGTCTTTACAGTGGACCTTGAAAATCAACATCCATAACTATCTATCACACGCTCAATTATACAGCATGGAAGCTTGGCGCATGAAATCGATACGGATTGAAAACATCGATACAGTACTAGGTATTGATGAATGCAATCAACTTCCTTTCTGGCTCCTTGCGCACTGACTCCGAAGGCCGCGATCCGACTAATGATTCAGTTCTGTGTCAGATACTCCGTGGACGTTTGTTTGAATTATTACCGTGCCTGATAAGCAATCACCTAGCCAATAACCATCCATGCACAGCACTTAAGATGGAAAAAGGGTGATTTAGTCTTGGGGGTCCGTGGGGCCCTGGGTCCTGCAGTGTTGTATCCATGCCCCGCGATGATCAGGTCTGGGAGAATCGATCGACGCCCAGACCATGTCTGCGTCCATGGATGTCTGAGCGTGCTGGACCGCGCATGATCTGACGTCAATATAGGTACTTTTAGTTCCAACAGGTCATTCCTTTAATCCTTGAGTATACAGAGTGCAGAGTGCAGAGCGCTCCGTGCTGTGTCCAAAGTACTGAGGTCCGCGACCTTGTGAGCATTGGCCTCATGACTATGGATTTGGTTTAAACAGTTGAGAACGTTGGTTAGATTGAAGACTGAATCTAGAGTTTTTGGCGGTTTTTGTTATTGTCGATATTTGGCCTGCCAAGATATGCCCAGGTTAAGTGTCAGCCCTGTCGGCCCGTTGATGGTTCGCAGGCTGTAAGCCTATCCATGGTCCAGGGTTGTACAGATTCATAAGTTTAGATACTAGCTAGACCCTTGGAAGTTGAAATAGCTTTATAAGAATGATTCAGGATAAATGTTTGCAGATACTGCTTACGTAGTTTCTGGGTAGCTTTAATCACGTTAATTTACCACGTTGAGCTCGGTGACGACATCGCTTGAACCTCTCTAAGTATCCACCGCCAGCCTGGAGATTAGATAGGTATCTAAGTATGCGCCAAAAAATGAGCATCCTAGAGATTAAAATCTCTGCTCAGATACCAAGTCATTAAGGCCATAACGAAGTCAATTCTGCAGCCAAGATTTGCGGCTCAAGCTTTCCTCTTCTGGCTAGACCTTCACAGCTACATCAGTCTTGATACTCAGGTACGCCAAGGTAAGGTACCCAGATCTTGATATGCCCGACGTCAATCTCGGTCCAGATCTCTCCAAGGCTCACCTGACAGACCCAACTGTTACAAGAGTGGACACCACCAGGGCTCCATAAGGATATCCCCACAGGAATCTAAGGCTAGCCTATCCCCAGGTTCCAAGATTTCCAAGACTCCCAGGCTAGGCTATGTGATTGGCTTCCATAATACTCCGTATGCAATACCTAGTGGAATCCTTAGATAGCTTATTTCAGGTTTGCCACAAGGTCCCGAGGTCGGAGGACATACGGGGTACCTGGGTAGACTAGTTACTCTTTCTGGACATGCTCATTGATGCATTCTCTGGTTCATGATAAGCCCTTGAACGAATCTATGGATGGATCGTTTTCTCTATAAACGCTTCGCCTTGGGTCCGTCACAATGTCATCTAGCAATGAATATTTCAAGCTTGAATCGATTCAAAAACACCGATCTGAGCAGTTCTCCAGTTCTGTTACCTTACGTAAATAACCAGCTACAGTACCTACTCCGTACTTTTGCAGACTCTAGTGTAGGTAACACCTTTCGTGCAATGAGAATACTGTATAGGTCGGGTGGGTCTGCTTCAAAGTCTCCTAATTATACAGTATTGACAAACGCTTTGCACAGGTGGACACCTTTCTTTTCGGTAAGAGGGAGATCCAGGCGGCGATGTTGACATACATGAGTCTATAAATGTTTAAATGGACCTTAGCAGATCCAAGCTGCAAGCTAGGTAGCCCTAAGTATTAAATGACTGGATATAGGTACCAATTTAGGTATAGTCCGATCATATTCCATACCTAGGGGACTCACATGCAGGTTATAATTGTCGTTTGATTAGCCACTCCAAGCCCTAGACCCTGGAACCCTATTGCATATCTGAAAGGAGAACCGAGGTTGTGATTTGAAGAATGACGATGTGATCCCTCACTTGAGGTATCAATAATGGTCCTTCAATGTCTTATTCCTTTAAGGCACGGACTCGGTAGATCTATCAACTAGTTAGTTCAGACCTGTCTAGACTCGATCTCAGATTGAAGAAAAGAAAGCCATGGAATGGATGTTCATATGAGTCAGAGGAACATGTTCTTTGTAATCCGTACGCCCACAAAATCCTAACTCCGAATGCTCGGGGAAGAACGAGATGAAGTCCGAAGAGAAGGAAGAGAAAGAACCGGGTGGATGTTGAGTCATCAAGGCACCGAGCGTTCTTCATATACATTTTTATTGATTTTATTGGTTCCCCGTAAAATTTAAAAGTGGATACCATCTGGGCCCATGATTACAGTGTACTACAGTAAGTACTATGTGTACATGTCTTTCTATATGGTGCCATGTTGTACATCTCCCTTTTCTTTCGATTCAGATATGGGGGGGATGTATCCATTTTGTACTCCATAAAACAATAGTAGAATCAATTTTACCCCGCGTGTTGGTTTCACGAAATCCGTCAATAGCCGAGGAGTAAAATATCAACTTAAGGGTCCCATGATGAGTACCTTAGACAGCTTCTCCGGAGAGGATCGGCCACAGCAAATTCAATCCCTGGCGGCCCACTGTGCGACTCCATCTCCTTCCAGAATCCTGTATCTTTTCTCTCTTTCTTTTAAGGCCCCCCACATTATCCGGGTTTCATATTCCCTTCCTTCCGACTCTGTTTTCTTTCTATACACATTTTTGTGAATCCCTTCTCTCATATCTTTCACCTTCCCTTTCAACAGCGCATTCACTGGCGACTTGGTCGTTCAATGAGTCTGCATTTCCAATACTATTCTGAGTGCAAGGTACATATTTTGAACTATCACCATCTACCATCCGACTAACTTGGATTTTTCTCTCAGCATTGCCTCTTCGTATTGAAGAGGTCTCCCGCTAGATAAATGGTCTTCAAACCATTAACCCACTTCGCGCGCCAGAGTTTCACAAAAGCCTTCACCCATGGCTATGCTCAATCGGTAGTCGCTGCGTCCCAATACGCGTCCACCAACACCCTTAATCAACTCGCGAACCATCCTGCAAAATTTGCACGCACAGCTCAGCTACAGAATGCCTTCTCCAACGCGTCCAGCTCGTCAGGCGCTGGCGCCAAAGCTGGCCAGGGTGCCTCTGGATCAGGCGACTCCGGTCTAGCCGCTTATTACGCCGCATGGCAACACGCCCAACAGACCGGCGATGATAGTGACTGGAGCCAGTTCCAATTCAGACGTCGCATTGGCTGGAAGCCCTCGGTCGAGGAGGTCGAGGTCGTCGAGGGAGCCCGTAGTGAATCTGTTCCTCCGCATCTCACCAAGGCTGCCGTCAATGAGAATGTTGGTGCGCAGTTGGAGGAGGCTGTCGCTCGCGAGATTCAGACCCAGGAGGAGCAGGCACAGGCAGAGGATGCGGCATCGGATGTGACTGAAGCTGCTTCCGGTCCGACCTTTGGCGATGTAGTTCTGTCTCCGGCTATCTCGGAGGAGTCTCGAGTTGCATCCGATCGTGTTGTTCAGTTGCTCAAGTCGAAAAACTATATTGAAATCCCTATTGCCTTTGAATTGCTACTGAAGGAGGGCTTGACCCCAACAGTCGAGGCGTACAACGCCCTATTGGTCGCGGCCATTCTACTCCACCCTGAAACAGCCCAGGCTATTCCCAAGGCGCTCGATGTGTACTCAGATATGCTTCGTCGAAGGGTAATTCCCGACGAGGACACGTATCAGACTCTCGTGCAGTTGTTGGTGACCCGGGCACACGACGCCATCACGGCTAGGAAAGTGTTGGAGCAGGAACGTGTGCGTTATGGTGGAATGGAGGAGCCTGGCAAGTTCATGCTCCACTCGAGTGAACTGGAGCGGGACATTCTCGCTGAGGATCACTCGTTATCTATCGCGATCAGGCTTTTCGACACCGCCACGAACCGACACTCTCGCCTGGCCTTCTCGGTCGATATTTACCGCTATCTAATCACTGCATGTGCTCGCGAGGGCCAGGTGGATGACATGGTCCGTATCTATGGGCATATGGAGAAGCAAAATGTGACACCTCACGCCACAATCTTCCCATCCATGATTGATGCGTTTGCGGGGACCGGCGACTTGAAAAGTGCTGTGGAGTGCTACAGTGAGTACCGAAGTCTTGCAGTCGCAGACGACAGCGGAGTTTTCTGCATGGTCCGGCGTCTGGACAGTGCAGTGTACGCAGCTCTCATTCGTGCCTATCTATCTTGTGGCAAGGAGAAGGGTGCTTTGCAATTCATGGATCGTATTCGCTCATCTTTCGATAATGTGACGGAAAGTGAAAGTCGATGGGCCGATGTGGAAAAGGTGATTGTTGAGAACGCCCTTGTACAGCATTGGCTGGATGTTGGCGAACCCAGCAAAGCTTTGGAAACGGCTAAGACAAAGCTCCACCCTGAGGCTCGGGATCATGCCATCGCCAAAATCTGCATCTCTGCCGCTGATTCGGGCGATCTTACCACCGCCTCGGCAGCATACGATTCCCTATCAACTTCACCGGCATCCCGACAAAGCCCAGCTATCTCTCTTCTCGCTCTTCACATTCGTCAAGGGAATGTTTCGGCGGCCCGTTCCTTGTGGATAATGCTCAACACTGTGGGTCATGCAACCACGGAATTGATCCAGCCGACTGCCATGTTCGCTGTTGCTCTCTTGAAAAGTGGTCATGTAGAAGAGGGTCTACTGGAAGCTCGGAATATGTTTACTCGTATCCGAAACTCTTCTCCTCCCATTAAATCTCCAACCGTCGCCAGTACCACTCGAGAGCAAGTCACAGAGTCCATCCACCTTCTTGGACGTGTTCTACTACAAACCGCTACTGTTATTTCCCCTCAAGCATCCATGTCGCTCCTCTGGTCCATGGTCGAGAACGGGGGTCTCGTGTCTCCCGTCGCCGAGCATGCTGTCGCCAGTCTCGGCCCTAAAGGTATCTCACAACTGAACCCGGCCGACCTCACCCTGGCACTACAAGTCCAGGCCGGTATGCTGGCCAACAACGACGCTCTCGTTTATGACGTTGCCCACCCGATTCGATTTGCACACATGCTCGACGTGGCGCTCTCGACCGGCCTTCCCCTTGATAGTTACACTACCCAGTTGGTCGACGAGGCCATTGGCAAGATTTTCAACAGCCGCCCTGATGTCGCAAAGAGGTGGCAGGATCACCAGGATGCCTCAAGTGCAGCTTCCTTCCAGTCCGATCGCCACAGCCCTGTCTCCATGCCCGACACCTCCATCACAACCCCTAATTCGAACTCCGATTCCTTCGATCCCTATGCATACGCCACCGACTTCCGAGGTTCTGCCATGATCGCCGAGGAGCTCGAGAAGACTACCGGTCGCGCGGAGGCCCACCTCAGCGAAGCACTCTCCCGTCTTCGAAACATGCGTCGCATTCGCCGTCACCCTCGCTACATCACCTACGCCAAGTTGATCACTGCTGCTGCCAAGGTCGGTCGCTTTGAGCTGGTCCATGACATCCACGCCATGGCCCGCGCCGACGTGCCCCTGAACCCATCTCACAACGCTGTCCGGTACGGCTGGGTGTCGATTCTGGACGCCATGGTCGCCGCTTGTCTCACCCTCGGTGACCGTAAGCTGGCTGGCCAATTCCACCTCGAGCTGACCGCTCTCGGCTCTGCACCATCTGCCAACACCTTTGGCCTGTATATCACCACCCTGAAGGAGTCGACGAAGACCTTTGACGAAGCCACTGAGGCTCTGAAGATCTTCCACCGTGCTGTTATTGAAGGTGTTGAGCCCACCTCGTTCTTGTACAACGCTCTCATCGGCAAGCTTGGAAAGGCTCGCCGTATCGACGACTGCCTCGCCTACTTCGCCGAGATGCGCGCCCACAACGTTCGCCCGACAAGTGTTACCTACGGAACTATCGTGAATGCGCTCTGCCGTGTCAGCGACGAACGATTCGCCGAGGAGATGTTCGAGGAGATGGAGTCGATGCCCAACTACAAGCCCCGCCCTGCCCCTTACAACTCCATGATCCAATACTTTCTGAACACAAAGCGTGACCGCAGCAAGGTCCTGGAATACTACAACCGCATGCAATCTCGCAGCATCAAGCCGACAATGCACACGTACAAGCTCCTGATCGACGCTCACGCCTCTCTCGAGCCCATCGACATGGCCGCTGCTGAGAAGGTTCTGGAGTCGATGAAGGCTGCCGGCCAGCAGCCTGACGCTGTCCACTACGCCTCGCTCGTCCACGCCAAGGGTTGTGTCCAGCACGACCTAGACGCTGCCCGTAAGGTGTTTGACTCTGTGATTTCCGACCACCGCTTCCGTCCCCAGCCCTGCCTGTACCAAGCCCTCTTCGAAGCCATGGTCTCCAACAACCGTGTTGCCGAGACCGAGGAGGTCGTCAAGGGCATGATCAAGCGCAACGTCGAGATGACCCCCTACATTGCCAACACTCTTATCCAGGGCTGGGCCAACTCCGGCAACGTCGCCAAGGCCAAGGTTATCTACGACAGCATCGGTCTGGAGAAGCGTGAGCCAAGTACCTACGAAGCTATGACTCGCTCCTTCCTCCACGCCGATGACCGAGAAAGTGCAGCAGGTATTGTCCATGAGATGATCTCTCGAGGGTACCCATCGGCCGTCGCTAGTAAGATTCTTGACTTGATCGGCGTTCCCACCGTTTGATTCTTGTTCTAGCTTACTCTCAAAACACTACATTCGATCTGTCAGGGCTGGATCCCTATCTTTTGGACCATCCTTGATTGGAGGATCTAATTTGGGTATTGCATTGTTATTTTTAATCATGGCATTCAGCGGGATAATTTGGCGTTAATTAAAAGGGGGCATGTATACCATCTACAATTATTTTGCTATATTTTCTGTTCATAGAGACCTCTCCACTCTTCTGGCGCTTTCGCCTGAGAAGAAATATCAAAAAAAAAAAAATCATCAAAAATTAGTATTGTTTCTAAGCATATTTAGATGTCGTACGACAAATCAATTTATTTGGTATGTCATAGATTCGGATTCGGCCGATGGTTCCAAGGTATAGTACGGAGCACTGAGACGACATGGCACCACCATCCATTAATCAATCTCGGCTCCTCAAATTCCCGATATATCTCCATAGCCGACGTAACTCCATTGATCTAGGCTACTAGATCGGGAACCAATTGAGTCAAATGCCCGTTCGCCCACATCTCACCTTCCAAGCTCTTGACTCATTTCTCCACATCCGTATTCGCCGTCAACCCCTCCACCGTCTACATTTTACAACCACAGCAAACTATAACCAAAAAGCCATGTCTCACGAGCAAGAATCTGACGCTCACAAGCGTCCAAAGAAGCTCATCTGTACGTCAGCAACCATACCCTCCGTAAAAAACCATAGCTTCTAACCAGAAATCTAGTTGCACCAGGTGATATCGCACCAATAGAGGCTACAGCTACAGCTACAGAATCCCAGTCTACCATTCCAAGCCTAGCAACCATCCGCTCAGAAGCCTCAACACCAGACTCAACAACCGAAAAGACAATACTCTCAAACCCCTCCCAAGCCCACCAATTCGTGAGCAACCCACCCTTAACAATCTCTCAAATGCACGGCACGAGCCCACTCCACCAATTCCACACTTGGTTCCGCGACCCACGCCTCTCACCGAGCTCCGCCCCAGAAACATGCACGCTAGCCACGGCCGAAATGCCCTCTGGCCGCATCAGCGCGCGAGTAGTATACCTTAAGGAATTGGATGAGCGGGGCTGGGTGGTATACAGTAACTGGGGCAGTAGGGAGGGGAAAGGCGGACAAGTCTTCGGAACCGAAGGCACAAAACCCGATACACTACCCTCTATGCCAGAACCCGGCGATGCAGCGAGCACCAGCACAGGCAACAAATGGGGAGCATTAACATTCCTCTTCTCATCTCTAGAGCGTCAAGTCCGCATAGAAGGCCTCCTCGAGCCATTGAGCCGGGAAGAGAGCGAGTTATACTGGAATACACGTGAGCGTGGGAGTCAGATTGGCGGGTGGGCTAGTTGGCAGAGTAAAGTGCTTTGGTCCTCTGAGCCTGCGGCGCTGGCTGAGAATCAGCGACGGAAGAGTGTGTCGAGGCTGCAGGCTGGTGGTGGTGGGGAGGTGCCGGCTGATATTGATACTACTGATATCGATGATGGGCGTAGATTGCTGGAGGAGAGGGTTCGGGAGATGGAGAAGAGGTTTGAGGGTGTTGAGAAGATTCCTCTGCCGCCGTTTTGGGGTGGTGTTAGGCTTGTGCCTGAGTCTGTTGAGTTTTGGCAGGGAAGGAAAAGTCGTTTGCATGATCGGTTTAGGTATGTTCGTGTTGAGGGGGAGGATGGTACTACGTTGTGGAGGGTGCAGCGGCTTTCTCCATAGTTGTTTTAATTGATGTAATATTTCTGTTTGGATTATTCTGTCCAATCTAGGGCTGTTCTATCTCCTTGTTCATGTCCTATAATTGAAGATATCTGACAACTTCCGAATAGTCTATAGGTGTCTGAGTAGGTAGTCACTGCCTTGGTTCATGACGTTAGAACTTTGGAAAGTTTGCATTTATTCTTAAGAATAAGAGGATGGCAATAACAACAAAGAAGCGCAGTGTTGTGATATTGTAATGCTGTGATGTATTTAAATGGAGTTTCAAAAGAACCCTCTCTTCTCTACTCGCAGCCAACAAGGGCTATCAAGCAATGAAAAAAAGGATGAGGGTGATAAAATCACAATTTTAGTCTTAAAGATTCCCTGGCCACCCACGAGGGCAGCCAGAAGGTGAAGGTAATCTCAGAATACTCTTCACTGATCACCTCCTAAGGGAGTATTCACGGAGAAAATAGCAAGTATAGAGCCCGATTAGGGTCTATCAAGCCCCCTGCACGAAGTTGAAGGAAAGGGAAAAAGAAAGTGGGGAGACATCTACACTTAAAGATCCATGGGGAAAGTCGTAGAGACCAATGCGGCAATGACCTCGTCGGCGACATGCGAGCGACATCATGCGTTCGAATTCTGGAAGGTCGATCCTATGTTGGAGCGAATGTACTAATATCAAATCCATTATCCGGCAATATCCTATCACTATCAACCCGCCTTGGCATCCAACCTCCTTCTCGACTCTAAACACCTCCAAACTCGCATTGTTATTGAAATCTTGCATATATACCCAACAATGTCTTCTACACCCTCATTACCAACAAATGAGTCCAGGTTGAAAACCCCATGGATCATGCTTGCTGTGGCAAGCGGTGCCTTCGCCGCGCTAAACGGGCTCTTCGCGAAATTGTATGTCCCAGTGCGAAAGAATGTCCAAAGAAAATAATCGGACTGAGAATGGGATGGTATTGGATGACCTCGATCACTAATAAACTATAGAACAACGGATAATAACACTTCTGCCTTTGCTCAATCTCTCGCACACCTATTCGGCCTTGATTCCTCCCCATTTCTAGAGCTTCTCGTCCGAGGTGTACGTCAATTACCCCAACCCATTCATTCACTCAATCCATCTCATATTTTCCTCAATTCTATTACGACAAGTATGACAACACTAACATTCCTAGATCTGCCTCGGTCTCAACGTTATATGTAACATAATAATGTGGGCCCTCTTCACTCGCGCCCTGACAGCCGGCCCTTCAACAGTAAAGGTCTCTATCACAAATACCTCATCCAACTTCCTTGTTACGGCGCTCTTGGGCATGGTGGTGTTTCGGGAGGCTGTTGGTGGGCTTTGGTGGCTTGGGGCTGCTATGATGGGTGCTGGGTGTATTTTGGTTGGGATGCGCGAGGGGGCGTAGATTGCAACACATCGTGAGGATTTTCGCTCTATACGTTGGTCTGGATGTACTGAAGGTATTGGAAATCTGACAGCTGTGGGCTTTTGCTTGTTTAACGGATGTATGTTGTGCTTATATTGATGTCACTGAACTTCAAGGAATAACCTTGGAATAAGCTAGGTATACCCAGGTACTCCTAACCATAGAAGTAAACTAGTGCAGGGGTGAGAATTAGTGTCGTACAATTCAAGCCAACCGATTCCAAAGTTACTATTGTGAGTATATTTGAAATTCGTACCCTGATGGCTCTATACACGAGCATATTTCCAGGGGCTAGGTACTTAGGTCGGTACTACTGCCTCTTAGCCTTATATTCACATTATCATCAAGATAGTGTACTATGGGCAATACGTTTCACAAAGCTCAGTGATCCCTCTCCTCCAACTCAACCAAACCCTCATTCTCCGTCCCATCCAAAATATCAGTCGTGCGGGCCTGACCTCGCTCACGCGGTCTGACAGGAAATTGTTTCCCACCAAACCTAGATACAACTCCGACAGCTGTCTGAATAAACCGCCATAATCGATCCTCCAACGCCTCGGGTGCAGACCCATTCAAATGCCCACCCAAAGCAGAATACTCCGAGGAACTAGTCGCGGCCAGCGCGTGTTCCTCAGCCTCAACCTTAAATTGATACTTCAGACAATCCTTGACAGTCACCAGCCCCGCTAAGCGGCCGCGGTGCTCGACAATAATGACCCGCGGACCCATCTTCTTGAAGATCTCCATTACGGTCTCGAGGGGGAGACGCGGGTGCACGGTTAGCGGGGTGTGGTCGACGTAGCGGGAGAAATTGACAAAGCCAGCACCGACACTTGTTTCTATGGCGTCAAATGTGTCTGCTGCGCTTTGTCGTGGAGCTGATGCTCGCCGCACAACGTTTGCATCGGCTGCTTCTTCGGTGAAGACGCACCGCGCTCGGGGGGAGACGAGTCCCTCGCTGCGGGCGCGGTCGATGGCGTAGCGCAGCTCTGTACGGCCTATGTAGCCGACTAGAGTCTTGCTGCTCCGGTCTTCAACTATCGGAAAGCCCTGGAATTTGTTGTCGTTTAGTAAATGCTCTGCTTCCCGGACGGGGAAGTCTGATGCGGGTAAGTAGAGCGGGTCTGTAGTCATTGCGTGGGAGACTGGAACGTTGAAGACATGGTCTTCCTTGTTATCTAGGAATGGAAAGCCGTTGAACCAGATCATGCGGTCTGCAATACCGCCATTTCCGAATCTTTCACTGACGAATTTGGTGACTCCCACCACGATCTAGGACGGGTTAGCATGTAGATGGAGGAAGAAGAAGAAAAAACTTACCATCGTCGGGAGAATATAGGTGAGAGCTCCTGTCAATTCAAACATGATGACCGTCACGGAGATGGTGAGATGCATTATTCCGCTCAGTGCGGCTCCGGCACCTAAGAAGGCGTATGTGCCTGGCGTAATGCACTGGACGTCCTGCTCGCAAGACGCAAAAAAGGCAGACTGAGGGTATGATTCGTGTAAGGCCTTCACCATGATTCCTATCATGCGACCGAATGAAGCCCCAATAGCCATAGATGGCACGAAAATACCAGCCGGTACCTTGCAGCCATAGGAAATGATGACTAGCCCAGTGCGCAAGATCGTGGCAATGGCTAGTGAAACCACCATTGTCCAGCGATTCTTATCTCTGTGATTGCGTTAGAATGGAACTGCAAAAGGGGAATTGTAGTCATACTCGCAAAGCCCGTGATAGTCATGTCCGCCTTCACATTCACGGAAGAGAATCTCCATCATTTCAGTCATGTTGATCTTCAGAAACATGTTCGGATAACATAGAATTGCGGTAAGGGCTGTCAGGAACACGGCCTCGCCAATAGGATGCGTGCCCAGGTATTTCTTGCGGAAGGCAGCCATTCGGAGATTCCATTTGATAACAAATGCTCCATAGAGTCCACCAAAGACACCGAGGAACACGAAGAATATGAGCTCGAAAAAATGCCAGGTACGGTCGTATGAGACCTGGAACATGACCAGCTGACCAGTTCTGAAGGGGTTCAAAGCCTAGAAACAATCAGTGATATATTTCTGAGAGGAATAGTCAAGTACATACCGCCAGAACACCGGTGGCCACTAAGGCGCAGAAGTAGCTACGCCAGAGGGTTTTGAGTGGGAAATAATTAGCCATTTCCTGTTCGTATATCAGTAAGCTTGTTCGAGCCTTTCGGGATACTCGATTCGATCACATACCTCCAACGAGAAAAGCACTCCTCCAATCGGACTACCAAAAGCAACAGCCACGCCGGCCGCAGCTGATGCAGTTAGAATCTCTCTCGTCTTGGAAGCATTTCGCTTATATTTGCTAAAGAACCGCGAAATCACATTTCCCGTACACACGGCAAAATGGACGCTTGGTCCCTCCTTGCCAACAGAGAGACCAGAAGCAATAGCCAAAGGCAAAGCAATCGACTTAATAATGAGAGTCCAGGCACCTAAGAAGCCCTTCATTACGAATCCCGCGATGATGCATTTGATCTCTGAAATGCCGGATCCCGCAGCATATGGAGCAAAGGTTTTGACGAGAATCGCTGCGACGAAAGCAAGGAAGACCTGGTCCATGTTAGCGCACCTACTCGTTAAAATGAAACGGCCTGTAGAAAATTACCGCAAAAAATAAGTAGATGATGTAATTGAGGAACCCGAAGGAAGTCCAGGTTTTCCATTCAGGGCAGCCTGAGTTTATAAGGTCAGATTTATATAGAATATGGTAAGCGCCTCACCTGACATACCTCCCTCTGAACCCCAGCAGCAGAACTGTTGATTCAAATAGAATGCTGTTGTACAATGACCCAGCTTGATATCAGATAACCACTCAGTGATTATATTCAAAACCGCGGAGTTGAGTCCAATCGCGATACCAACCAGAGTAACGACGAGCCACGCTTGACCAGCAGCATAGGATTCCTTTAGCTTGCGTCTCCAGCTAAGAACACCTTCCTGGTCCCAGAATCCGGTACCGCTCCTCCGCTTGGCTCGTCGACGACTCTGTTCGTATAGGGCATCTTGGACCCAATCTATTGTGCTGAAATCTTCATATCGCTTAATCTCACTAATCTCTTCTGTGATGCCTGGCGCTTGTGTGTCGGGTGTTGGTGAGGGATCTGGATCACTTGGGGAGGTAACTGAGAGTCCGGACAGTCTGCGCATATCCCGGCGCTCGGAGAGAATCGAGGGCGACCGGGCTAGGCTCGGGGAGAGGCGTCTCGAGCTCATGACTGTAGACTCAGCATAGTCGGATCGAGCTATGTCGATGTTGCGCGGAGGGATCGCGGGAAGCTCTCTTCAAAGTCAAGTATTAAGTAATTGCAGAATGAGCAAGCTCGCTCTGATCAAGACACGGCAAGTAAATAGTCGGTGGGCTTTGAAAAGGTATAGGGAACGAATAAAGCGGGTTGGATGTTCGAGGCCAAGTTCCGCGCCAAGTGATCAGATAGTGCTGAGATAACGCCAGCGCGCAACCGCGTTTGGGTCTTTCTTTGACTTGGACAACTCACGCTCTCGGATTCATTGATCTCAGACAACCCCTTTTTGAAAGACCTGAAATTTAACAATTCATACATTCAATTGTATCCACGGAATAATTTGCAATCATGCCTCCAAAGACTACTGGCGAGCCGGACGAAGTCACTGGCCAGAGTGCACTCCCCAGTACGTACATGATCATACAAAGATTCACTGTGGTTGATGCAGCTAATCAGATCCAGTCTCCCGCATTAAGAAGATCATTCAGCTTGACGACGATGTTGATCTCATCTCCAACAATGCAACTTTTGTCATCGCCATGGCTACAGTGCGCCATACCTTTCCACTCACGATACCACTTAAAACGACTAACAATTCCCAGGAGATGTTCATCCAGTATCTTGCTGAGCAAGGTCATAATGTGGTGAAATCAGAGAGAAAACCACGGAAAACAATCCAATATAAAGATCTAGGTTCGTGATCCACGCGCCAACTCATTTCAGTTCAGCTAGACTAATGTTCAAATAGCGACGGCGGTTTCCCATATAGACAACCTCGAGTTCCTTGCCGATGTCATTCCCAAGACTACAACCTACAGACAATTCAAGGAGAAAAAGGCGAGAGAGGCGGCCGACCAACCAATGGAGAAGGGCCAGCTTACTCTGAATGGAAAGAAGGCTGGTGACACAAACGGTGATATGGGAGATACCATCACAAAAGAAGAAGAGAGGAGTTTTTCTTCGCCAACATCTCATACGCCCGCAGTGCCAGTGAGTGCGCTGATGGCAGATCGAACGGTTGATACGCCTGATGAAGATGTTGAAATGAAGGATTGACATGGACATGATAAATTCTGTTCATTCCTGTCAATTGTAGATTGCCTTCTTTCTCATTCATTTTGCATTAGGAGTTTTATAGGATGTCGATTCGATGTCGATGTCGCTGCTTTGTTGTTGTTGTTTTTCCTTTTATCTAAAATTTATATGGTCGCATTGGGCTTGGGGTATGGAAAACTGATAATATGACCAATAACGCTAGCTTTTAATTTATTAACTACGATATAAACAATAAGTAAGGAGTAAGAAGTAAAGTGTTAATATCAAGTATAAGAAAAGTAGATAATATTGAAGTTCTACCCGGAGACCCGCTCAGCCAATGACAGTCCTCGTGATTCCGATCGCTAGCGAAAGCTCTGGCTTCCAACTTCAACCTTCCCGGCTTCATCCACTAGACCACCATCTCCTCTCTCACTCGCCCCTCTTTCAACCAACGCAATTGCGGTCAACACCTTCCCGTGTGGTCAATTGCATCACCATGTCGCTCTCCTCCGCCTCTAGCACCCTGCTGCGCACCTGCGCCCGCCAGCAGCTCCCGACTACCCGCGCCGCCGTCACCTCCTGCCAGCAGCGGAGGGGAGTCGCTGATGCGAAGGCATCGTTCGAAAGCCCCTTCGTGAACGCTGGTGAGCGCGGCTCAACTGTCAAGATCCCCAACTTCGGCAAATACCAGTCCAAGAGCTCTCCTCGGTCCAACCATGTCTTCTCCTACTTCATGGCCGGCACCATGGGTCTGGCTTCCGCTGTCGGTGCCAAGGCCACTGTCCAGGGTACGTTTCTGCTCCGATATATAATGAGATGATTGAGGGAAATAAGGGGAGGATGTTTTGGATTTCATGACTCGATTGCATGACTTGGATTGGGCGGTTTGGTTTCGCATACTGTATGGGCTAACATTTGGTCCGCCTCTACAGACTTCCTCGTGAACATGTCCGCCTCCGCCGACGTCTTGGCCCAGGCTAAGGTTGAAATTGCTCTCGGTGCCATCCCTGAGGGCAAGAACGTACGTAATTCCGTCTATTTTTGACCTTTCTTATCTAACATGATCATCTACAGGTCATCATCAAGTGGCGTGGTAAGCCCGTCTTCATCCGTCACCGTACCCAGAGTGAGATCGATGAGGCCCGCCAGACCAAGTGGGAGACCTTCCGTGATCCCCAGTCCGATGAGGACCGTGTGCAACGCCCAGAGTGGCTGGTCATGTTGGGTGTCTGCACCCACCTTGGTTGTGTCCCCATCGGTGAGGCCGGTGACTACGGCGGCTGGTTCTGCCCCTGCCACGGTTCCCACTACGATATCTCCGGCCGTATTAGACGGGGCCCTGCTCCTCTAAACCTGGAAATTCCCGCCTACCAGTTCCCCGAGGACGAGACTCTCGTTATCGGTTAAAGCGCTTTATATTTTATAACCCGCCAAAAACGTTTTCGACCAGCTTAGCCCCGCTTCTTCGCCGTTGGGAGAGGTATTTTCGTCTCGGATAGACCGATGATGGAGAGGGAGAGATGGGGTGGGGTGGGGCGGGGCGGAAGATGATGTTGTGTATGTGTTTGTGTGATCGATTTATTATTGTATGTCTGCCTTTTAGACAGAGCGGCCGTGTGTGTCATTGTCAAGATTAAGAGACCCGTGTTTAATATGGAAAACAAAATGAGCCTCTTTTTTTTCTATCTTCGGTCTTAACCTGCGTTTCTTTGGCATATCCGAGTGTGATAGAGCTTCCTCTGGCTGTTCGTTTGTTTGGTGCTAATTTCCTCGAGTACATACCTGTGTTCTATATTTGCTGTACTGCCTAGTCATGATATTTCCTTTGTTTATCAATCGGTTTCAACATTAAAAATTCTCGTAGACAGATAAAGAGTCAATCAACTCTATACAGCCTAGGTAATGGTACAGTCAATTTTATGTTCACGAGTAAATGTACACTGAATCTATCTCGGTCTTCCGTATCCAACATCCCTACCAAGTACTTAGGTACCCTTTAATTGAATCCCGTCAGCGCGACTATCAAAGCTAGGATGATCGCACCCGCAGAAGCACTCTGTAGAGCAGCCACAGTCAGATCACGCTGAGAAACAGCGACGCGGCGGTCACTGAAGAGCTCATCCCGTGCTTGCTGCCAATATTCAAGAGTAAGTGGTGAGTATGAGATATTAGCAAGGCAAGAGTAGAGTGATTGGAAGATGGACGCGGGCGATTCTACCGCCAACAATGGTTCTGCCTCAATGACAGCAGCAGCGGCAACCTCAGTAGCCGGAACAGGAGAATCTTCCTTTTGGCTAGATTGAGCGCGGGACTCAGCGGCTGGAGGGGAAGGAGAGTTTTCGAGGGTTGAATCGATAACCTCGGTGAAGAAGGTGGTTTGACCATCAACAACAACAGCCGGGTGAATGTATGATTTATCTTTCTCCAACGCTTCGACAACCTTATCCTCGAATCCCTTGATCAATCTGCTGCGACGCCATGGCTCAACTGCGATTTGGAACACGAGGAAGAGAAGCACGTTCACGCCCATTAGACCCCATGTACCCCAGGTACTCATGCGTCGAATCTTGTCAGACCACACCTGCTCCTCGTGGTAGCGCGAGAGAATGCACTTGCTCAACTGGACAGCCGCTTCTTCGGCCTCGTGCTCAGCCCGAGATAGCGCCTCTTGCGTTTCAGACTCTGCGAGCTCGTTGGCATGGTCATTACGGTAGAGGAGGGTGAAGCGTTCCAGGTCTGTTGAGGACCATGCATGTTTGCGTTGTAGGAGCTCGTTAATCTCCCGTTGCGAATTGGAACGGTTGTTTATAGCAGCTGTGTATTCTTCCTTGGCTTTTCGAATTTGGAGTCGAGCTAAACGGAGACGTTCCTCTGTGAAAGGGCATATATTAGTCTCATCCGTACATTTCTCAATATTTTGTGTATTGGCCCACCTTGTCCATGAATCTCCTTCTTTAGTGCTTCGATCTCAGAGTACCCTGTTAGATCATTCAATCGCTGGCCAGCCACAAAAACATTCGATTGCATGTTATCCATCATAGAGCTGAACTGCTTCGACCATTGTGAACGGCGGCTCTCAATGTAAGACGGGAGACCTCCCCGCACGTCGGGGCTACCAGCCTGACTCGGACTCTGACTCTCCTTCTCCTCGGTTTTTTTTTTCTCCGACTCAAGATGATCCAGTATACCCTGTTCCATCCCTTTCGCTATTGACTCTTCTGCAGATCGATCAAGCTCCTCAGAGGGGCTCGGACTCGGACTCTCAGCAACCGGTCCGGGCATCAAGATAGGCTGGCTCGCCTGAGCCTCCCTCGCAGCCTTGAGCGCATTCTCGACCTCTGGGCTTTTTTCTTTTTCCTTGTCTATGTTCCTTTCATCCACTGGGGAGTATGACCCCGGTTGGCGGCGGAATTGACAATGCAGGCATACCGAGAAGGCCCGCAGTGTTGGTCTGGGGGAAAAGCGCTGCGAGTCCGCAGTTCTCGTAGCACAGGTCTTGAGTATGCTGTGGATTGTAGTGATCGAAGAGATTGCCGTATGATTGACTGCATGGCCGGTAAAGGGGCCATAGACCTGGTGAATTGTGGTTGGAACCGGAAGCTTCCAAATATGAAGACCTCGGGATCTTCTCGGAGCGTCTATCCGCTTATCAGCGGTGACAGCTCACAGCTCTGTATGGTATCCAACTAGGTATTTATTCACTTGGGCACTTCAACATGATTTTTCTGCCAATTGCCTTGTACGTAGTCACCTTGAAACCCTGGAGAGATCTTGAAAACAGCAACACCGATACACTTGTGGTCAGGCACTGTAAGAAATATATCTCCACACCTAAATCCCCCTTCATCTAAGCATCTTCCTTGTAACTACCTAGGTAAGAACGGAGGCACCTGAGCAGTTTGTCCACTGAACAGATCCAGCCCTGGTGATCTATAGCAGCTAGTCAGGGTCATTTCTATCAGGGAAGGATTCAAGGATTACCTAGAGGCATATATTCCAAGGTTCCAGTGTTCCAAGGTTGTGTTCAGATATGCGTTTCCATACTCCATACCTAGGTACTCCATGTAACATAATTATTTGAATGTGATTACTTCGTAGGGTAGGTATAAATGTATAGCCTAATTAAAACAACAGCTGTACAATGCGCAGTTGCAAAGTACATCTCCAGCAGGAGAAAAAAAAATTACGTGGAATTAACGAGGTCAAAAGAGAAGAAGCCTTGAGCTGATAATAACAAAACAAATCCTTCGTGAAATTCATAACGATCTCGCTTCCAGAGCTTTACGACGAGACAGACCAAGCGGAGTCACATCAGGTCAGACACCAAGACATATGAGCGAGCTGCATGCTGTATTCACCATATTCATGCCGAATTCCCTCGCATTTAATCCTGGGATTGGATCTTGTGATCACCCTGCACCGCCTCGGCGTATGTGGGTGGTGGGCGTGCCTCGGAAGTTCCTCCATTGCTGCTGCTAGCAACAACCTGTGTGCCCGCAGGCTTGGACTGAGCGTTCTGAGACTGCTGCTGAACGGCGCCGTAAGATCGGGTTTGGGAGGGGTTCTGGGGAGGTTGGTGTGAAACGTAATAGTACGTCACGCGACCGTCCTCAAGGTCGCGACGTTGGCTTGAGCCACCGGGGATGGGCTCATAGGCAGCATCGTCATAGTCGGGCTCGGGGAATTTAGCGATGATATACCAGGCATGAATTAGGCCGGGAATGAAGCCCAACAGGCAGAGGGCAATGTTGATAAACGAGTCAGCAGAGCAGATTCCCGCCTTAATCCAGACTTTATCGCAAGATCAGTAACGGGTGGGGTATATATGGGGTTATTCGGGAAGTTTGGTGGCCTACCAGCAATAGGTGGAAATAAAATGGCCAGGAAGGCCAGGAAACAATCGGAGCTACACATGGTCTTCGAGTGGGGTGTGAGTATTTGTGGTGTATCACCTGTAGAAGTGATCTATGGTGGGCAATGAAGTGAAATAATGTAGAATTTCCAATATATGAGCTTGGTCAGAAAGGACGAGAAATGGCAGCCTGGATATCAGATGACGTGGATCACATGACGTGGAGTCCCACATGATTTCTGGAGATATGCGCCGTTAGATAAATCAACATCTATAGACAGAAACTACCTAGGTAGACCTGAAAAAGATAAGACATTGTATTCAAGGGACTTGTTCAATGCACATAAAAGCGGGGAGTTTCAGATTGAGATTACTCCGGAGGGAAGTACCCAGTACCTTTGGTATAGTAGGATAACCACTTACTCTTTATGTACACGATACTTACAATTAAGCCACTTATGGCCCAACCTTCGAATGACGAGCAATATGCATAATTTGCCATGGCAGGGCTTACTATGTACTTCAGACTGAATCAGACAGCTCATAAGCATAATGCAAGGGTTTCGGATAATTAGGTAGAGAATGGGGGATTGATATAGCGATCGACTCTAGCTGAAGGAAGCGAGGAATATGAGTGGAGGAAAATACGGGTTTTACTGTATTAGGACTAGCAGGGACGTAGACAGTAGAAAAGTACAAGTGGAGGTTGAGTATTAATGTGATCAAGCACGATGAAAAAACTCAGATATAGGTATAGTTGTCGGTGTAGAGAAACCGGAAAATAAGGGCTTAAATAGTGGAGCATTATCATTTGAGATCTGAAAAAAACAAATTAAAAAAGCATCAGAGAATGACTAGCTAGGGTTTGCCCGTTTTTGAGTCTTTTTTGGCGCTAAAGTGAGGCTAAGACTGTTTGGTTCTCTCTCGCTGTTATCCTTCGAGACTTCATCTTACCCCTAGTTACTCAGCCTGACCTCACACCTCACTTCACTCTCATTTCCCAAGGTCGTCCGTTCTCTTTTTGATTTAATTTGAATCCAGAGGCCTTAGGGCTTGATTTCGATTCTGCGCCCAGGAGTCACTCGTTCACTCTTTCCCTCTCGCGCCAATTATCTTCTTCGAGCTTGAAGCTCTGTACCTTTTTGCTTTTTCTTTTTCCACTCTCAGCTGGAATAACTCTTGACAGACATGCAATCCGTTTAACTTGCCCTTCGACACTACTTGACACATTCCTCGCTCCTTAGCGACATTCCTCGGATATTGAAGGGGAACCGAACCTTCGAGGTTCCAACTTTTGATGACGGCCTCGTGTCTTTCCCTGTCGGGTTCGACAGTCTGTCCTGCCTGGAGCAGTTCGTCGATATCCATCAATTCCACCCAATATGCGGATTTGTGAGTGCAAAAATCGCACCATATCGACAATAGGAGCGCTAACCCGATTATGATTAGTCCGTGGCTCGAAAACGTCTTCAACGTTACTGCCTTTGATCAGTCATTGAACAATTATGTCTCTAATACCTTAGTATCGTCCAAGTATGTCGATCTGCTGGGATGCGTGGGTCAGAACACAACCGCAACGAACGATTACTACGCCCAATATACCATCAGTGTGATCTGTAGCAGCATCGTTCAGAGCTCAATTGATGAGTGCAACTTGTCCGTCAAACAATCCGAACCAATCTGCGCAGCAACATGTGCCTTGATGGCCACCAGCGAGGAGGAAATTGTGGTCAACAGTGATCTCTGCTCAATTACTAACAAGGACTATATGAGCCAGATTCGCTCCGACTTTACCATTTGCTCAAATCCCACAAATTCGCTCACCACAGGCTGTGTGGATGGATCAACTAACGAGCCAAATAACTGCGGCTTCTTAAACAACACAATCGGGCTCTGCACTTTCTGTCAATCCAGTTCCTTCAACTCGACCGATGCATGCTGCACAAGCGCCAATGCCACCACTCGCTGCAGTGGCATCACCATTCCCACCTCAACCGCAACTTTACAGCCGATCACAACTGCCACCACCTCTGCTGCCGCCAGCAACAAAGGACATGGTCTCTCCGGCGGGGCTATTGCCGGGATAGTGATTGGATCGGTCGCTGGAGTGGCCATATTGGTGGCACTTATCGCTCTGCTTTTGATCTGCTGCCGACGTCGTCGCCGTGCGCGTCAGACCGAGGCTACGTTGAACCAGCCAAACCCACAGAGGGTAGGATTTGCACCCCATATGCAGCAAGTGGAATCGCCAGAACACAACATGGCTCCAGGCGGTCGTGTGGCACGCATGTCAGCCTTGCGCGAGGTCCCTAGCGTTTCTTCACCGGCTCACTCACGAACATCGGCCGCCATGTTTGGTGCAGCTAAATATAGTGATACTTCTGATTCGGAAGCCACAGGAGCCAGCCCCGGTGCCATGTCCAGGCGTATCCCCCCGGTGACTGGAAAACGCCATGCATCCCTGTCAACAAGCTCAATTGTCGCTGGACTAGAGAGTGAAAGCTCGCCTCGGTCCAATACTACCGGACAACATTCTTCTCCAGAAGGCGTGGCTAGTGGACAATCAGAGCAGTTGTCAGTGTTCCATGATTACTACTCGCAAGATGACATCTACCCGGGTGATCACGTGGCTGTCCTTTGGCCATATTCTCCACGAGCGGGTGATGAGTTCGAACTCGAACGTGGTGAGATGCTAAAGATCATTGGCATCTGGGACGATGGCTGGGCTACGGGTGTTCGCCTTTTCGAGCGAGCAGAGGATTATGATATTCGCCATAGTGAACAGCGTGATAGTGGAGTTTCCCACGGTTCCCAACGACCCGGATCATCGCCAGCAGCATCCTCGGGCGAGATCAAAGCATTCCCGTTGGTCTGCATCTGTCTTCCGCAGTACTGGCGGAAGATCATCGACTGCAGCCTAGAAGAGGATGATACCTAAGCTTCAGCCTTGACTAAACACCTCTTGTTTCGAAATAACGCCTTGACGACAGTGTATCGTTCTCTTCCTCCTTATACTGGCCGTCTCTCACCACCTTTTCTCCTACCGACCCCCACGCTGGGCGTCTATATGCTTCTCTTGATGATTGTTTCAGCCTTTTGTTTTTCGTATTCTATATACCCCCCTTTTACGACGGTCGATCTGGTCGCCCTTTGATTTCCTTTACTTTGATGTCTTAATTGCCATTTCGTCGATTTCCGGTGGATCCGGAGGGACTGGAACGGACTGCGGCCACTTTGAAGTTGGGTTTGTGTTCGTTCTTCTCAGGTCTTACCTTCTTCCTCTGCCATCGAGACACGTCTTTTATGTGTCTTCATGAGACCTTTGGTCATTGCCTAACGAGGATATTGGATATATTCTTATATAGTGCACGCTTCAGTGTCGTACGTAATTAGATTAAAATATTATTGATTTTTCAGTCACAGTTGAACTCCATGCGTAGAACTATACGGATAATCGCCATTCGGACCGCGGTTAGGTAAATAATTAGAAATCAAAGCCAAATGTCGCCATTGCGGCTTTACTAATCCAGCCCCTCATCGCATTTCGTGATAGCTTAAATAATGGCATCTTCACCACATCCTCATTCCCTTTTAGCCATCTCATCACCTCTTCAAATACCTATCCACTTCAAACTCTACCACCACAGCCATGTCCGCACCAAAGATCATCCTCTACACCAACCGCACCTGCCCATGGGCTCACCGGGCCCATATCGCCCTAAAGGAATCCGGCCTTGAATACGAAGAGGTCACCATTGACCTCGATACTCCCCGCGAGCCCTGGTATCTAAAAGTGAACCCAGTAAGTATAGACCACAGCATCTAAATATCTCCATTCCACATCCTTTGGAACCGCAACTAACAAAAAAACCACCAGCGCGGTCTAGTCCCAAGTATCTCATACAACGGAGACATAATCACCGAGTCTGGCATCGTGGCCCAGTTCATCGCAGACGCTCACCCCTCCCACCTCCTCCCACCATCAGGCCCAGTCGAGAACGCCCTCTATCGTGCCCGCGTAAACTTCTTTGTCGACGCCTTCCAAAGCAAGGTCGTCCCAAATCTTTTCGCCGGTCTCCGCGCAACCTCAGAGGCAGACCGTGATGCCGCAGCCGAGCAACTGGTCGCAGCAGCTGTGAAAGAGGTTGAGCCGCTTCTAGCCGATACTGAGGGCAAGGGTCCTTTCTTTGGAGGTAGTAAGAAACTCACTTTGGCCGAGGTAAGTCTACACCCATCTGTGCACTCTAATCACTTTTGTATACCTTGTGACTGACTGGTATTAGGTCCAAACTGGCTCTTTCTTGCTTCGTCTCTTTGGCTTTGCTGAGCACGGGCTTGTCAGTGCGAAGATTCCTCAGCTTCTAGAGGAACAAGCTCCTAGATTCAATCGCTGGGCTAAGGCTACTATTGCCCATGATAGCGTCAACTTTATTTATGATTCCAAGTTGGTTGCTGATCGGACTCGGGCTAAGTTTGCGCCTAAATAGATTGCTTTAGGTATAGTGTTCTTAATATTCAGAATGATATCATGGATTGGATGTTTTTTTTGGGAAGGTAGCCTAAGGTTGGATTTAGTTAGGTTGTAAAGATGGAAAGAAAGGTGTCTGAAGGACAGGTTTCACCGCTATAGAGGGGCGATGACATGTCATGTTTGAGTCTTAATGTACACAATGTATGCACTAGCATATTTAAGCGAGACTTAGCGAGTCCTCTTATTTACTGTACCTGTAGTGACTGGTCCAAGTCCATGTCATGCACCTCTTCTAAGTACACATACATGTCTATGAGCTCTTACTGTATGCGGAGCTATGGTACATCCGGGCTTCAACGAATCTAGGCTACCAACATTAGATAAATGCACATAATTTAGATGCCTGAAGGAAGGAAGTGTATCGCCGAATAAGCCTCATATCACTGAAATTTAAAATCTAGGATAAATCCTCTTCATCCCAACTCCAACTCTTCGTCCAGTCTTTGTTTATTCCCGAATAGGTGTTCCACATCACGTGCTACCCCCACCATCACAATAGCCTGGGCAACAGCCCCTCCGCCTCTTCCCCCATCTGTTCCCCATCTCCATAAGTGACATTTGTCTTGTCTTTGGTTATCTGTGAGTTTTTGATATAATTCTACAGTTAATTCCCAAGGCTACAACCAAAGCTACAGGTAGTCGCCCATCTCTGACATCTCAACTGACAACGTTTACCCGATCACAGGCAACCCCCCTTTTTTTCTGTCTTCTTCCAATCTACAGTAGCAATCATGTCGGTTCGTATATATATTCAACCTCTCTTGTTTCTGATGCTCAAGTACTGACTGGAATTTGTTGCGCAGCTCGCATCCGGGTACGCAACCAACCCACCCGTTACCCACCCCTCATTCCGTTCTATTATTGATAATCGATCTACAGTGTCCAAGTGCAAGATGAATGTATTGAGAAGTTCAACGAGTTCCGCCTGAGCCACGGCAAGATCAAGTACATCATCTACAAGATTGCCGACAACAAGAAGGAGGTTGTCGTTGAGGAGGTCGGCACCGACCAGGACTACGAGGTCTTCCGCTCCAAACTCGATGCTTCTAAGGACAGCCAAGGCCGTGCCGCACCCCGCTACGCAGTCTACGATGTTGAATACGATCTTGGCAGTGCCGAGGGCAAGCGGTAAGCATTAGCTCTCCGTGACATTAAAAAGATAACCTACTCACTCTCGAATTATAGAAGCAAGATCATCTTCATCTCCTGGGTTCCCAGCGATACCCCCATCCAGGTACGTCATTTGAACACATTTACCAAGAGTAACGCTAACCTCCTTCCAGTGGTCTATGATCTACGCCAGCACCCGTGAAGTCCTGAAGAACGCCCTCAACGTCGCAAACTCCATCCACGCCGATGACAAGGGTGACATCGAGTGGAAGGCCGTCCTGGCTGAGGCTAGCGGTGGCAAGGCCGGTCGGTAAATAGATCATGGCGTCGGCTGGGACCGAGGCTCGCGATTGATATGATCCGCGACGGCATCAATCCATAATCCTCTTTTCTCTGCACACCGTTCTCGTCTTTCTTTCCTAGTTGCAATGCAAGATCATTACGATTTGGGCACTTTTTTTTTTTATCTTTTGGGATATGCTTTTTTTTTCTCCCCTACTATGACCTCTCTTGAGCGGTTCTGATCAGGTCCTGGCCTTGACTTAGGATAGATGTGGTGGGCAACAAAAAATGATCGTTTGGATGGCTTTCGCTGTAGTTTACCTAAGCTCTGATATCCATTTTGTCCGTTTTCTCAGGTTTCGAGGTTACTTCAAGGTCATTATTTTGTCTTGATATGTGGTGGAAATTGACTGTATATTTCTGGCGTACTTTTGTATATGACTATACAGGAACAACTTCGGATAATAGGAAACCAGATTCCCCGCAAGCTAATTGCTGATTGCTGATTTATAATTTCTGATTTCTATTCAATAGCTGATAACATTGTGTAGGTAAACTGGAGATCATCAAAATCATACGATGTTGATTCGAATGGTGATGACCGAGTCTTACCACCACTGGCCAATCAGAAGGCGGTCAAACCCATTCTGCGCTAGTCCGGATCCTTTTCCTCCTCAAACCACCACAACCTTCAATTCCCTCCTCCATCGAGATCATCTCCCCTCTCCTCCACTCTCTTCTCTTCTGTCGGATCTAGACCCCCTGCTGGTTCCGATATCTCTATTCAATATCTTGATTGACTCGATATAGACGTGGTCCCGCCACCTCCCACCCGCACAATGTTTCTTCGCACCATCTCTCGCGCTGTCCCTCGCAGCCCGGTTGCCGTTCGCGCTGGCTCAATCGCCGTTAACTCTCAGATTCGTGCTGCTTCTACCGAGCATGCCATCTCTAACCCTACCCTGGCTGGTATTGAGAAGCGCTGGGAGGGTCTCCCTCCTCAGGAGCAGGCCGAGCTTTGGATGTCCCTCCGTGACCGTATGAAGGTTGACTGGCACCAGTTGACCCTCCAGGAGAAGAAGGCCGGTATGTGAACTCTCTGGATAGGGTTTGATATAGTCCTGCTCATTTCCACCTTGATCCTGTTGCTTCCGAGGACCTTTCTCGAAAGCCTATCCATACCCACCAATGTACAGGTTGCTGACGACATTTTCTTCTTTTTTATATAGCCTACTGGATCGCTTTCGGTCCCCACGGCCCCCGTACTGAGTACCCCAAGGGTGAAGGTCTCAGAGTCTTTTTCAAGACCGCTCAGCTCACCGCCGCGGCCGTCGCTCTCTTTTACGGTGTTCACTACTTCGCCAAGCCCTGGCCCAAGACCATGACCAAGGAATGGCAGGAGGCCTCCAACGAATATGCTCTTGTATGTTATCTATCCGCTCTGCTACTTTCACGTGTCTTTGGACCCTTGAACTACATCCTTATATCTATTGGTCATTTACTTACTATCTATCCATCCAACAGTCTGAGAACATCAACCCTCTTCACGGTATTAGCAAGGCTGGTTACAGCGGTGCTGGCTTCGTCCAGAGTGGCCCCGCCCCTGTCGAGAAGTCATAAATTGGCTAGTAAACAAATCGAGGACGAACCGGGCTCATATACTTGCCTTTGATGGGGCCTTGATCCTTCATAAACCCCGGATCCCTGTTAATTTGATATCTAGGGCTCTGGGGCTCATTCTGCTAGTCAGGCATGATATCAAAGGGTGACATACTCCTTCCGATGCCGGTGTAGAGCTGAGCTATTCATCATACCCTGTTTTTCGTCCGTTTGACCAGCATCAAAAAATGCGTGTATCCAGTACCTGTGCTATAATCAATGTATATTTTTTGTAGCCATATAGAAATGAGTTGATTCGATACTATGTACTCCAAATATAAGTAGATTATCTACCTAGGTATACTGTATGAGGACTTCTTGGCTCATACCGGAGCGATTCGGAACATGTAGGAGATCGGAGAAACACCCTTGTTTAAATTGTGCCGTGGAAACCCCATTGGAGAGTCTACATGGACGAGATATGGAATGGAATCTGCTTTTATTTACTACCTGGGAGCTATTTGCACTTTTTATACTGAGAATACTATGAGCTTCCATGGTCTCAGTTGTGGGTTGAAACTAATATGTAGGTTCCGAGATTACACGTCAGAGATTTCCATCGGAGAGCTGCGAGCTTGAAACAGCACAGATTCCAAGGTTGACTAGGTCCAATTGGAGGTCAATTGGACCTAAGTATAAAGATGGACAATAACATCTCATCCGATGTCAAACTTCAACGTGGTTAATGGAAGTATGTTTTTATATCGTTCCTGCATTCGGATGCCAAGCCAGTGTGTGTTGAGGGTAAATTCCGTAGCAACCAGAGTAGGACAGATATACCAACAATTGAAAATCTATAAAAAATTAGAACCATTCTCCAGCTCAAAATCCATCCAATCAATTGAATAAATCCCCTTGATTGATAATAAGTGTATATATCAATAAAGTGGTTGCTTAGGGATACAAGTTAGGATTTCGGTTCATCACGGGACCATCGGCAAAACCGCCCCGGAAAGGCTAAGGGCGCCAGTTCCCGTGCGAGTCCTCTTTCCCTTCCTCTTCTTCCCTCTTTTCCCTCAATCCACACTCTCACCTCTAATACACCCCCTCGCCGCTCAACACCTCCATCATGTTCAAGAGGTACGTCAACGCATTTACTCTCACCTCTTCCACCTTCGACCTTTTTTTTAGGATCAATTCCCCTAACTCTGGTTTATAGCGGTCTCGCCCGGACCTTCGGGAGGGCTACCTATGCCCGGCCGACCCCCGTCGCTCGCGCCTTCCAGCCTCTCCGCTCTGCTCTCCCTGCCCTGTCTGCTCGCTACGCCAGCTCTGAGGTCCAGGCTGGAAAGGTTCACCAGGTCATTGGTGCCGTCGTTGACGGTACGTGTTATCTCGAAAACTCCCTGGCGGATCGGATGCCATCGCGAAAATCTTTTTCCCGATCATCAATCCATCCCCAATCCCATCGCAATCGATCTCAATCACATCTCCGGGACAATATCTGACAAGTTCTTCGATATTTTACAGTGAAGTTCGACGGTGACAAGCTCCCCGCCATTCTCAACGCCATTGAGACCCAGAATAACGGCCAGAAGCTCATTCTGGAGGTTTCCGTACGTGCTCATCGAAAACTCAATCAATTCATCTAACTAATCTTTATCCTATCTGCAGCAACATCTGGGTGAGAATGTCGTCCGTACTATTGCCATGGACGGTAAGCTTCATCCCTTCCAACTGTTGAGCCAGCGTGTCGTTCTATTTCCGAAAGGGGGACCCACTTCCGGCCGGCCCGACGACAAAGTGCATTTTCACTAACTCGCCCTAGGTACTGAGGGTCTCATGCGTGGTGCTCCCGCTCACGACACCGGTAGCCCCATCTTGGTTCCCGTCGGTCCCAAGACCCTCGGTCGTATCATCAACGTCACTGGTGACCCCATTGACGAGCGCGGTCCCATCGAGGCTGTGAAGTTCCTCCCCATTCACGCCGATGCTCCTTCCTTCGTCGAGCAGTCCACCTCCGCTGAGATTCTCGTCACTGGTATCAAGGTCGTCGACTTGCTTGCCCCCTACGCCCGTGGTGGTAAGATTGGTCTGTTCGGTGGTGCCGGTGTCGGCAAGACTGTGTTCATCCAGGAGCTGATTGTGAGTTATTAAAATATCTGGTATTGATGTGCATTGACTAATTCCATCCCAGAACAACATCGCCAAGGCTCACGGTGGTTACTCCGTCTTCTGTGGTGTTGGTGAGCGTACCCGTGAGGGTAACGATCTGTACCACGAGATGCAGGAGACTGGTGTCATCCAGCTCGATGGTCCCTCCAAGGTCGCTCTGGTCTTCGGTCAGATGAACGAGCCCCCGGGAGCCCGTGCCCGTGTCGCCCTTACCGGTCTGACCATCGCCGAGTACTTCCGTGACGAGGAGGGTCAGGATGTGCTGCTCTTCATTGACAACATTTTCCGTTTCACTCAGGCCGGTTCCGAGGTGTCTGCCCTGCTCGGTCGTATTCCCTCTGCCGTCGGTTACCAGCCCACTCTGGCCGTCGACATGGGTGTCATGCAGGAGCGTATCACCACCACCCAGAAGGGTTCTATCACTTCCGTCCAGGCCGTCTACGTGCCCGCTGACGATTTGACTGATCCTGCCCCCGCTACCACCTTCGCTCACTTGGATGCCACCACTGTGTTGTCTCGTGGTATCTCCGAGTTGGGTATCTACCCCGCTGTCGATCCCCTCGACTCCAAGTCCCGTATGCTCGACCCCCGTGTTATCGGTGACGAGCACTACGGCACTGCCACCCGTGTCCAGCAGATGCTCCAGGAGTACAAGTCTCTCCAGGATATCATTGCTATTCTCGGTATGGACGAGTTGTCTGAGGCTGATAAGCTCACTGTCGAGCGTGCCCGTAAGCTCCAGCGTTTCCTGTCCCAGCCCTTCGCTGTCGCCCAGGTTTTCACTGGTATTGAGGGTCAGCTTGTTGACCTGAAGGATACCATCTCCTCCTTCAAGGCCATTATCCACGGTGAGGCTGATGACCTTCCCGAGGCTGCTTTCTACATGGTCGGTGACCTTGCTTCTGCCCGCGCCAAGGGTGAGAAGATTCTGGCTGACCTTGAGGCCTCCGCCTAAATGTAATATTATCATTCGCTAGCTAGCGGCGTCTTCAAACTGAAGATTCACAAACTTTCCACGCCCTTTCCTAAGCTGTCACAACTATTTGATTCTTTTTTCTTCTACGTGGTTTTCCTTTGTACCCTTGTGTCCGGAATTAAAATTTCCTTTCGATGTACTCTGTCCCATGCATCGATCTCAGCGAGAACCCAAGTTTGACGGGGATTTTGACTGTTGATTGATTTCCTTTCCAATTTCCCGTCATTCCTTGCTCGTTGAGGGTTGCAGGTTGCAAGGGAGATTGAGAGCATCGATAGCTGGAACTGTCTACTGGAATTGGTAAGACATCCTCAGAGGATGAAGCTCCGAGCTGCAGGAGAACAAAAGGTCCAAAACCCAAAATCCCCCAAAAAAAATCGAATCAAGTGGAAAAGGCGAAGTGAAAGAAGGGGAAAGAGAGCAGTGTGTTTTCGGACTGTTTCTAGACGTGTTATGTCAGTGAGCGATATCGATGTTTTGCATTTGGAGTTGTCAAGTCCGGCCGGACAATCCCCTTTTTTACCCTCTTCCTCAAAATTCTGGTCGGCTTGTGTTTCATTATTGTGTATTTAGAGTTGAAACCCATGGCCTTGCGAGGCGGCTCTGAGAAATCTTGGTGTTCAATTGTATTTCCTTTGTGAATGGTTGAGAATCGTAGTCGTAGATTGTAGAGATTAGTATCAGCGGAAGTATGAACTGTTATCTTGGCTGTTGCCTTTCAATCGAGCGTTGTTTGAACGCTCCGGGGCTTCAAGCTATGGACACAAGATCTAAATACCTTGTATGATTTAAATAATTACAGCATGTTGTGACGGAAGTTTAGAACACTGGATGAAAATGGAACTGATGATGGTAATAGAGCCTTATGGTAGTTCCAAAGCTCTCCATCTCAATCAATGATAGTGGTCTACGAGGTGGTGACTAGCTAAAAAAAACTTCATACTCACTCATATCATGCCTTCTCGTATCATGGAATCACAAAAGCAGGCCTCAAAATCACAGGCTATCTTCCAAAGCCAAGACCTAAAGAAGTATACAGTGTCAGCAGCAGTCTTACCAAATAGGCAGAAGGGGAGAAACTAACCAAAGCAGTCCGAGTAGGAATATAAACCTGAGTGAAATTGGCCCTTCCGTTCCAAGCCAGATCAGTAGTAAAGAAGCGCGTATCCTTAGCATTACGCCCCAAACCCCCAAAAGCCGGATCATCAGTATCAAGCACAATGCGATAAGTGCCAGGAACATCAACACCAACCCGATAATCCGAAAAGCTCTGTGTGGGATTAAGATTGAAGATGAAAAGCAAACCGGCCCGCTCAAAGACAAGCACCTTATCGCTCTCGTTTTTGAGGCTGATGAACGCCTGCTCGGAATGAAGCCAGCCGTACTTCGCCTCTGTCAGCTGCATTGCGCGGTCGAAGTCATTTAGGAAGTGGTATCGCAGCAGCGGGTCTTCTGTCAGGTTTAGCTGACGGCGCGCGTACCAGAAGGAATTGTCGTTACCGACGCGCGGGAAATCGAGCCATTCTGGATGGCCAAATTCGTTGCCTTCAAAGTTAAGGTAGCCTTCGCCGCCTAGACTGTGGGTTACTAGGCGGATCATCTTGTGCAGGGCCATGCCGCGTTCGATTATCGGTGTGAATTCCGTGAGGACGGACATATTGGTGTAGAGTTCTTTGTCGCAGAGCCACATCATGAGACTCTTGTCGCCGACAAGGCTGTTTAGAGGTTAGTATAATGGGAGGGAGGAGAGAAGGAGGAGTGGAAAAGTGGCGCTTACGCTTGATCGTGGCTTTCGGCATATGCGATTGTCTTCTCGCCGTGTCGACGGTTTGTCAGGGTGTGGGCGAGGTTGCCAATGTTCCATTCGGAGTCTTCCTGCTCTTTCAAGAGCTTGATGTACATATCTGGGATTGCCATGGCAAGACGGTAGTCAAATCCAACGCCGCCAATAGCATGTGGCAGACATAGGGCCGGCATACCGGAGACATCTTCAGCGATGGTGATACACTCTGGATAAAGGTCGTGCAGCAATTCATTGGCAAGAGCCAGATATGTGATAGCCTCATCGTCAACAGAAGGACCGAAATACTCATGATATCCGCCCGAGAAGCCACTTCCAATTCCGTGGTGGACATAGAGCATACTGGTCACACCGTCAAAACGGAATCCGTCAAACTGGTACTCCTCCATCCAGAAGCGGAGATTACTGAGGAGGAAACGCAGAACTTCATGGTTACCGTAGTTGAACAACCGACTGTCCCACTGGTCGTGACGACCCTTTCCTCCTCCGTGGAAGTACAGGTGGTCGGTACCGTCGAACTCGTTCAGACCATCCTCCACGTTCTTCGACGCATGGCTATGCACTACGTCCAGCAGGACTACCAGTCCCAGACTGTGTGCTGTATCGATCAACTCTTTCAGGTCCTCGGGCGGCCCGTAGCGGCTACTGGCCGCGAAGAAGTTGTTCACCTGGTAGCCGAAGCTGGCGTAGTATGCATGCTCCATAACAGCCATCAGCTGAATAGAGTTGTAGCCGAGATACTTGATGCGCGGAAGCATGTTCTTGGTAAACTCCTTGTAGGTAGCGACACGTGTTTCGGGAGACGAGATGCCGACGTGCGCTTCGTAAATGCGCAGGCTCTCCGGCTTCTTGGGTCGCGGGTGCTTGAAAGTATACCGCTCGTTGGCGGGTGGGTTCCAGAAGACGGCATCGTAGGTCGGGGATACGTTGAGATCCTGCACGACACGTTTGATCCATGCTGGGATGCGGTAGATGCGTTCGCCGTCGGGTAGGACCAGGGTGATCTGTTGGTACTAGTTAGCTATGATATCAGCCAGTACCGGGCTAGTGCTTGCCTTTATTTTGCTCTCGTGGGGAATAGCAGGGCTGCCAGCCTTCGCTGGCACGGTCACGTTCCAGATTCCGAAATCATTCTTGGTCATTGGGTTGGCGTTAACATCCCAGTTGTTGAAGTCACCGACTAGTGATGCCTCCTTCGCATTGGGAGCCCATTCACGGTATGTAATGTCGCCATTAGGCTGTACAACAAGACCGAAGGATTCGTAGCCCTGGAGAGAAAGTTGTCAGTGGCTACGTCATAGGGCACTTAAAAACGGTCGACCATTTACCTTGCTAAATTGGTCCAAGCCGCCCTCTGACTTTTTAATTTCGTTGGCCCATTTCTCGACCAAGCTGTATCTGTGCTTCAGGACGTCCTTGTGGGGTTCAAGCCATGGATCGAGCTTGAGAACAGCTGGGGAATTGTTATCGTAAGTAGTGCCCGTGCGGGGGAGGAGTCGGTTCTTACCGGTTCCATCGGGGGTATCTTCAACTGATGCCATATTTTATGGAGAACTGAAAAGTCCAAGAAGTTGAAGAAGGAATAAGTGAGAAGGAAGAGTTCACCACCGCCCTCTTTTCTCTCTTTTCAGGGAAATTGTTGGGTTGAGTGATTGGTTGATAGCGAAGCTATGGGGGAAGATGAGCTCGGACCGCGGGGATCTCTAGTCTCTGTTTTTTTGCCCGCCAACATTTCATTTTTTTCTGCCTACTTTTTAATTACTTGTATGGAGTAGTATTCAGTATTGACCAATGGCTCTGTTAGTGGTTACTCTGTATTTGATTGCATCATTGGTGTTCAATGTTCGATGTTTCATTCCGAAAACATCTAATGGTTCCTGTTCCTGGACGTTGACGTCCCAGTAATTGGAATAGAATTAGATACTCATTTAATTTGATTTATATTCATCAATCAATATGACTCTAATCATTTATTATTTAAGCTCACTAGTAGAGAAGAAGTTGAAGCTGTGTAAGAGCAAGACAGCCTGAGTGAATACCCAGGTACCTAGCCAGTACATGTAACATTAGGGCTTTTTCCTCTTAGCCGCTTTTGGAGTCAACATCCTGACAATGGCCAACTATGGGGAATGCAGATGAACTCGCTATTTTTAAAAAATTTGCTGAAAACATTAGAAGTGACATCAATACTGTTTTGATGAAGCAACAATCTCTCTTCTGTTGGGCTGACTCCATACCTAAGTAGATGTGTACGCTGAGACTCCTACAGCAGCTGAAGAATTGATTCATTTTGATCCATTAATTTTGAAATTACTTGGATAATTGAGCGATCAGTGCTCAGCTGCTGAATATGTACAGATCTTAAACATTTGAACAAAAAGAACCAAGGTTTCAACCTTGGAGAGACCGCTTCGTATACTCATAAAATCATTCTGATGCAGGACTCGGTGGCACCTCACCTGTAGTCCAATTAGCAGCAGCGGGTCCCAGACCAAACTCAAGCGTGCCACCCTGCGCAAAGATATCATCCCATGTCAACCAGCTTTTATCCCACTGCTTGCCATTAACCTTGAGACTCTGTACATAAATGTCGGTGTCACCGTTTCCATCGCCGCCTGTGGACGTAATCTGTAACTCTTTATCGTCCCCGAGATCGATTGTCATTAATTCAAACCATGGGGAGTGAATCAGGAAAGTGTTCTGCCCCGTTACCGGGTACAAACCGATCATGTTCCATAGCAACCAGGTCTGCATGGCCCCTGCATCGCTGTTGCCCGGTAGACCCGACACTCCAGTCGTATATTTCTCTTTAGCCACTGTGCGTGACCGCAAGACTGATAAATCTTGCCGGTTGGCATAGTTGTAAAGATAAGGGATGTTGAACATGCTGCCAAGGTGGATTATCCATTAGTATGTATCTTCAAATATGGAGCAGACCAAACTCACGGCTCGTTGGAAGGATCAAATATAGTCCCACTAGATCCACTAGCACCATCAGTAAACATGGTCTCAAGTCGGCTGACTACAGTCTCATTGCCTCCCATCAGATCAATCAAATGTTTCATATCATGCACATCAGCAAAGGAGTACGCCCATGAGCTGGCCTCGTAGTATGCGTCACCCCAGTAACCACTGTCATTTAATGGATCGGTGTCGATAAAGCCAGATGTATTGCGAGGTACCACAAAACCATAGTAGCCAAGCGAGGCCTGGCTCGGATTCCAATGGTTGCGCCAATTCCGAGAGCGGTTAAGATACTTTTCTGCATCATCTGTTATCCCCAGCCCAGATGCAACCTGATACAGTCCGAAATCATTGGCGGCATATTCCACAGCCCGGGTGACTGCGCGACTATATGCTGGCGTAATGTACCCGTACTCTAGCCAGTCAGGTAAGGCACTTCGGCCTTCGTGTGTCGAGGAGTCCGAGGCCATCCAGTCGACGGGGGAGTTGGCTGGTGTCACTTCTGCATCTTTGACCATGGCCTTGTACCCGTCTGTCCAATTGACTGCACCTCGTACACCTTTAATATAGGCATCTGCGAGAATGTTGTCTGCGTTAGAGCCGCCCTGTGAGCGACCGTTGTAGTTTGAGGAACGCGCATCAGGCAGGTACCCGTCAAAGCGCCAGATATCAATTAGAGAACGGATCTGCTCTTCGTAGGCAGTTGGCTGCAGCACTTGCATGAGAGCTGTTGAGCAGCGGAACAAATCCTGAACAATATTAGCATGGATTTCACAATACTTGGGGCTACCTTACCCAGTAAGTGAAAATGTCCTGGTAGTAAGGCTCTGATGAGGTCCAGCCAGGATTCTCCCCTGTCTGGTTTGTCGGGATCAGATGCATGAAGTACAGTGATGTGTATAGTAGACTGAGACTCGTCTCGTTGGTGTTTGTTGTGGTTATCTTGGAAAAGACCTTTGAGTTCCATTCCGACACGGCGTCATCCACGACAGAAGCAAAAGTTGTGTTTGCTGGAATCTCGCTGTTGACATTCGCGCAAGCTTGATCCGTAGATAGCCAGGAGATGCCCACTCGTGAAATCACTTCACTCTCACTGAATGAGAATAGCCCACCAATTCTAGTGTAATTAGAAGAAGATGTAGCATATAAGTATTGCTGCTCGACACTCTCTCCTGACCCTGTAGCTGTGTATACCTTCTGACTTGTGGCTGTCGTGTCAAAGTATCCACCTAGGAGAGTTAGATCAAGAACATTTGAACATTTAGTGTGCTTTTGACAAGACGGGCTGTGACTTACAAAAATAAATCGTCCAGTCAGGTGCTTCATTCCACCCATTATCATAAACACCATCTCCTTCATAATGACCGTCATCAAAAACAGTCAAATTTCCACCTCTATACCTCTGACCAAGACCCTGGCCACGAAAAGAAGGTAAAGCATGTGAAACATCCACGAGCACATTGCCTTGAGATCCAGAGGGGAATGTATATCGATAAATACCAGCCCGAGCTGTAGCAGACAGCTCAACCTCGACACCATCTCCAGTCTGGGCACTATAGTACCCGACAGAGGCAGCATCAGTGCCAGATCTCGAGACAGTGACATTGGCTAAAGGGTCACCGATGTTCCCAACCAAGGGTAATTGCGAGACTGTTCCATATTTAGGTGCACCACCAGTCCCTTGCTCATGCATCATGCTGAACCCGGAGAAATTTCCCGTTGGCAAGTACCCTGAGTAAGAGTCTGTTCCTGACACCAGCAGATCAGGGCCAAGTTTAACCATGCCAAAGGGCCTCACAGCTCCGGGAAAGTTATTTCCACCCCCCTGCGTTCCCATACTATATCTCTATCAAAAAACGATCTTCATATTGAAACGGTTCTGTGCGCAGAAACAAAACTTACAAGACATCGACATGCTGCGACAGATCATCAGCTGCCGCCGCAGCTAGCAACCCTTGGAAGGCTAAACCTGTAAGCATGCTGAAGCTGTTAATGTTCATTGTGGACATGATTTTCCAAATAGAAGATACGACCACTTTATAGGATCTAGAAAGAGGGGGTCCTTGGGACCATAGTTCCGCCATATTGGAAAGAGCTATCAATTGCAGATGGAAATGATAACCATGGAACTCGACAGCTCGGAAACTTGTTTAAAATCATAAGTTTAAAGTGGATGTTGTTGACTACGATGGGTATTCTAGGGGCTAGCCAGGACTGAGAGGGTCAAGAATGCAACCACTTGACCACCCCTCATATCTACTTTAATCTTGAAGACCTCGAGCAAGTAAGAAGTTTGGAAATGTATCCATTTCGAATGTACATTAGTTCACTAGAAAGTGTAAAGCAGGATCGTCGCTGCAGTTCCTTTACTATCTATCTGAGCAGTGGCCCATGAAATTTGCGGTGTTTGCCATAGAACGTGGCACCTGGGCTTTTTGGAGATTCTAAGTCGTCGAAAAGTATAGAATGTGTTCAGTTGATGGACGGACTTAGCTTGATTTGGAAAATAAGGATGATCTCTGTTGTCATTTTTCACCAAATCAGATGTCGCCGTTTATTCACATGGGCGGATCAGGGACCATATCCACGTGCACTGATTAGTCCCTGATATCTATAAAAGCAATCTTTATTTTAGTCATCACATAACCACTTAACTAACTAGTTACTTATTTAAATAGTTGGTTATTTACTTGACTAACTATTTATTTACGTTATTAGTTACTTAGTACTGGATCTTTGGAGTTGCATTGAACAATAATGTCTATGTAAATGATTGAGAAGTCTTTTTCCAAAACCCACATTCCGCCGGGTAACCCAGGGCAGTGGAAGCGACCCATGGACATAGACCTCGACATTCCAAGGTTGGAAAACCTGGAGATCAAATTTTCAGCTGTAAACACTATATAAATATTTCGTAATTAATCACCTCATCCATGCACTAATAGTCATCATTAGATGTATAGTCCACATTAGGCGCAAACTTCAACTCAGTGGCGCCAACATCAAAAACGGTGACTACATTCTTCTGGAAGGTATCACCGAGGATAAACACATCCTCAGAGTAATCATCACCACCATCAACGATACCAGTAATGCAGATATCATTGCCTTCATCATCAGTACCAGCGTACAGGATCAAGTCGAGCGGGTTAATGGTGAAGGCAGTGCCGCCGATAGTGATGGTGTGGGTGGGAGCAGTGGCTTTGCAGTCTACGACGTAGGCCCCTTCATCTGAGTTATATGTGGCTGCAGGCTCGAAGGCAGCATTTACAGCATCGGCGACGGCAGTAGGGTAATAGTTGAGGGTTGTACCAGAGTCGACCTAGTCAATGGATCAGTATATTCGCTCCAGTCAGAAGTGCATAAGAATTCCAGGTACTTACAATGTACTGAATATCGGTGCCCCCTGCGCCAGAAATGGTCTTGCCATTCACACTGACTGAGTCAATGTTGATAGTGTAAAAGTCGTAGCCTTTGCTGTATCCTTCAATGGAAGTGATTAGGATATCGGTCGAAGTCCAGGTTTCATTAAAGGTAATCGGGGGAAGACCACCAAGAGTCAGGTATCCTGCATCGCCAGAAACATCACGAAGGATAGCAAGGCTGAAGTATGAGTCGACCAGACCGTCTTTGACCATTGTCGTGAAGATGGGGTTATATTCTACCTGTTCAAAGCCATCGTAGGCACTCGTTCTTGGGTCTTTGTTAGTTTGATAGCAGGGTTAGATCGACGACCTCAGGATATGCTTACAATAGAGGGTATGCCAGACCAGTCAAACCAGACGTAGTACTGTCTCCTTCCCATGCACTCTCGGTGACAATAGCAATTTCCTGGTCAACGGTGACATCGGCCAGAGTTACAGTCTCGGTGGCTATATAACCATACAGATATTCACCATCACCGTATTCAATGCTGAATTCCTCATTGGATATCTTTGACAGAGTACTATCAGGGGTATAAGTTGGACCAAAGTCGCAAGCAGACTCAGTCGTATCCTCACCAGTATCAAGATCGATACAAGTGAACCCCTCCTCAACGACCCAGGTATCGCTAGATCCTGTATCAACAATAACCTCAAAAGTCTGTGTTCCGATAGTGATGGAAGTAGCGTATTCCTCACCCTCGGCCAGGGAGATCAGCGTGCTACTTCCAGAGGTGGTGGCCTTTTTCGTTTTGCCAGTCAGGGAGGCTGCGCTATGAGAGCTGGCGCTGGTTGCCTTGCGCTTCTTTAAAGGCAGGACATGTGAGGACTTGTCCGGAGTGCGTGAGGCTGTTTGGGCTGTGGGCTTCCACGTGGTGATGTTTACATCTGCATTCCGACTTTGAAAAGTTCTTCTGGCGATATGGTTGACAGGGGAGTCGTGAATGGGTGCTGCATTCGCCGTTAAGGCAAAAAGAGCCAGACCCGTGAAAGTAGCAGTGCGCAACATGATAGTTTATAGAAGATAGGATAATAGAGATGACAGTCTGATGATGTGAACAGAGAAGCATTAAATAGTTTTCAATGTATTTTTGGACTAATCAATTTCTCTAGCTCGGTAGGGTCTTGACTCTTCAGGAATCTTACACAGCGTAGCATCATTTAACTAACTTGGGAATAGTTACATAGTGGCGATGAGACTGTAAGTGATAAGGCGGAGTCCGCTTACTAGGATAATTAGTATGGACCTGCAGGTATGGATATGAATTTGTGAATAGCCCCGTATTCTCGGGATACCGACGGAATTCCGAACTCCACCGCGGTCACTCCTCTCGGCCTGAATAGTAGATAGCTTATATTGGGAGAAAGCAGGTTGGAAGAAGTGTCAATGAACTCCGCACTCATGCGTTCTCAGCACTTGATCACGCGATAATAGATCCATTGAATGTTCGCAGGGCTAACGTAAACAATCTCTTCTATCCCCAATCGAGACGAAAGGTAGCATTTGAAAAATGTATCATAATAAGAAATCTCAAATTGACTTCAAAAAGACTGATAGATCAACATTCTATACCCAAATTCAGCTCAAACTGCTGGGCTCATCCCGGAGGTCTCGGAGATATCTAGGGTCCAAGGACAGAACTCAACATCTTGTTAGATAGCTACATAGGTATGTTTTTTTTTACAGCGAATCCATTTATCCTTAACTGCCTAGGTGCCTACTTCAGCAGCAAGAGTCGAATGAGTCTGCCCAGGTGGTGCCACTAATAATTATTGTGTCACTCATCAATTCTCTCCATTGCCCAAAGTGGATCAATACTCCGTGTCTTATACACTTACCTAGGTACTCCACCAAGCCACGTCACATTTTGCCAACTCTTTTCGCACCAACTGATTTTTGACCAGAAATTATTCCGCATATAGAGGAGATCAACTGCCATTGATCTCCTTATATGCTCAAATTTAGGTCAGAAGTGACCTGAAAGACTAATGAGTATCGACGAAGTGATAAATCAGTCCAAAGAAGTGGTGAATTCATAAGACATAAGACCAAGGAAAAGATCTAGTCTAAATCCCAAGAACTCATCAAGTCCGTTAAATCATTTATTAAGATGAATCTTCCAGCTTGGATGTAGTCGGGTCCCAAGCACATGGGCTATACTGATCAGTCTCGAGCTCCTGAACCTCCTCTGGCGTAAGTGAGAAGTCGAACACATCCGCATTAGCATCAATGCGAGAAGGTGTGACACTCTTAGGTAGCGGAATATGTCCTTTATCCAAACTCCAACGGATAAGCACCTGAGCTTCAGTTTTCCCATACTTCTCCGCTAGCTTTTTGACCATAGGCTCTTCGAAGCGCTGGCCGCGCACAACAGGGGCATAAGCCTCAACTGCAACACCACGCATTTTGCACCAATGGACAATATCTTTGCGTGCCAGCCACGGATGAATTTCAACTTGATTGACACTCAGGATACCACCCTTACCCTTGCCACCACGCTCGGCTTCAAGCTCACTGATGTGTCGCTCTAATTCATCTAAGTGGTGCACCCCATAGTTACTGACTCCAATTGAGCGGATTTGACCAGCCTCGACAGCTTCAACAAGCTGCATGATAATTTTTTAGTATTGGAAACGGGGATGATGGGATTTTGAAGCACTTACGGCTTTCCATGCACCCTTACGGTTATCAGATCCTCCGAACGGGCAATGGAGCAGGTACAGATCTATGTACGAAAAATCCGTAGCGGCAAGGCTCTTCTCAATCTGCGCTTTCACCTCGTCATAACTGATGTTAAACGCCTTGCTGGTGAAGAAAACTTGATCGCGCGGAATCCCAGATTCACGGATTGCATTGGCACATCCGGCCTCATTACGATACATCGCTGCCGAGTCGATCTGTACTTGATGTTAGAAGATCGAAGATGCCCATTTCCGCTAATGCTTGCAGCGTTGAAACATACATGGCGATAACCGGCTTTGAGAGCTTGGAGGCAGCATCGCTCTGTCTCTTCTGGTGGACTATGGATGAATTAGTGGGTGAAGTCGAATGAATTAGGAAAGCCGTACGTTTTGTAAACCTAGAATCATTCCAAAATGAGTAAATATCACTATGCAAGGGGAAGATCTGAATTTACTCCAAATCCTAGACGAGGAATCTCGTAGCCGCTGGGAAGCTTGATTGCCGAACTGATGGTGGCCATTCTTGGCAGTGTGAGAAGATGAGGGGTTGAGATTGAAATTAGTGCGGGGGTCCTCATTTATACCTAACGTGAATGATTACGATATCCCGGTACATAGACCAACTACCAAGGTAAATAAACAACCTGTGGACTATTTCCGATTTTTACACCTGGGCCTCAAATATTTGTCGATTTCTTCCTTTGAACATCGGACTTGTTCGGAAATAGCTTAAATCCGGACTGTTGCTCACGTCCAATCTTCAAACATTATATGGGTGACAATATAAGAATTGAATCACAAGAAATTGGAATTACACTAATCTTTGAAGAGTTGAATATTGAGAACTTCTAAGGTCTTGTCGCGTGGCGCAAACAAACCTTAAACTCGAATTTTATTGCATCCTGATGGTGTCGAGACTAAAAACCTCATCTTCATCTTTACTCATTTTCCTTGAGATAAACTATCTACATACCTAGGTAGGTAATTAAGAGAGATATCTGAGAATGCATTATTGAATCCTTATCTCATGCTTGTGGTCGTTGAGGTTGACACCCAACCACAAAACGTCCCTGCATGTTTTGTATCTGGTATACATCATGATCACGTTGCTTCTAAACACGTATTTGTTATGTATCCACCAAGAGCTATCCTCGATGATCAACTACTTTTATTATCACCATAGGCTCTCAGCATCGGGCCTTATACCAGATCCATAAAGATGGCTCCATAAAGATCTTCTCTAATAAGTACTTCGCAATCCATGATTGTATTTCGAGATCGGTGCCACTTGCTTCACTCCCTCGAGTTCCTGTGGGCAAGCTCTTTACAAAGTTAATTTACCGCAAAATGACTGAGTTTTCGCGATTTCTACAGAGCATATTGAAACAAATGCAAAGCCTTGAAAGCTTCAAGTGGTTTCATACTTCGTCATTGGATATCAAGAAAGGCAACCTTGTCTGTGGGATATTCCACACTGTGACTCGTTCTAAGAATAGAGTGGAGTTCAAATTGAAGAAAAAGATGGAAGAGTTGCTATAAGCCTTTATCAAATCGACGACGAGATGTCCTTGAGCAGCGAATTTATGATATGGAGGCATGAGACTGACAACTGAGTTATGCCACTGAAGGCACATTTGCTCACTACATACACCGCATTGAAACTTGGCATTTGGTGACGACAGGGTTGAATTACTTGAAGCGAAGCCATGATTTGAAATGTTCCTTTTGTCTTGTCCACTTTTAGAGGCGTATAGTTCCATGGCTATGAGAATGAAGGGCTTCATGTTCTTTTGTTCTTAATGAAGATTGGAGTCGATTATTGACTCTTTTTACTGAATCAGAAACTAATTTTATTTGCTCAAAGAAAACTGAAGGAAGAATAGGTACAATGGACTCATATACAATCGTTTTGATTTATTTTTGTTTCAATGAGAACAAAGGCCGGCATTCCAACGTTCTCTAAAGCTTTCTCTCTCGGATGTTGCCGAGACCATATTTCGACGCAGCTTTTCTTTGCTATATAATGATCGCTGAACTATACCAAACTATCATCCAATCCTACTTTTCATTTCACTAGCAATCATGTGCCATTGTACTTATTACCACTACCTAAAATGTGGGCACATTGCCAGCTTCAAAGTGTCCAGCTGTCCAGCTTTCATCACTCAACTGAGACATCTCTCCAGCACATCTGGCCATATTTCATGCCGTGAAGTAGAAATAACCCATGGCCTCCAAATGCAACAGCAACCTAGCCCATGTGCGCAATGTGAGCTAGATCTCATTCGCAATGGCGTTGAAATTCTATCGCCGAGATCCACTCAGCCAATTGAAGGTCTTTATGCAGCCCGGCCTGTCCTCCAGTTCAACGCTCGAATTTCTAATAGTCAGGTGAATGAGGGTTCAACCAACTCCAGTTCATCACCTGTTAGAGTAGAAAATATCGATGGGTTTCCAAAAGAGCGATATCCCTACACTGTTCATTACGCATGCTCATGCCCGAATTGTAATAGCATGGCCTCACTAGAAAACACCAACCTGGCCGAAAGGAGTGGCATCACAAGCTCCATGTGCCCAGAATGCAATGGCAATCAAGATAGGCCAAACGGGACCTTGAATCATCTAGAGGGAGATAGCTGGCTTTGGAGGGCTGAGATCTCCAATGTATCATCACCTATTTTGGCCGCGCATACGGCCGACGATTGGGTTCATGAGTTGGAGCTCGCACCGATCCATATGACCTCGCGGGTTTCAAGCCGGCTATTCCATAAACGCCAGGTCAGGGACCCGACCAATGCCAGCCCTAGTACGGAGAGCTTATTACATAGCTTCTCTTCATCAACTGAGAGTTCACCTACCAGTGTTCCATCAGGAAATCAGCTCAGACCAGTCCGAAGTGGAACACCTTTCGTACGCCGCGATGCCATTTCGCTTCAAGGAAGTCCCCCTCGACATTTTCTGGCTGCTATCTCTGAAGAAGATGCGCGTCATCAAGGCCTTAAATTTCCATTGCGTATCGGAGGTCTTTACACCAGCTTAGCATGAGAATTTCCTATTTGGACCGATCTATTTATTTCGTCTCTGCTTACGCATTATGTCTTTTTTGGATTTCCAGCTACATAGAATGAACTTACATTTGCAATCTACACCACTATTATGTACTATGGGTCATTATATCTATTTACTTCATTTAAGTCGGACATCTCCCCGGATCTATTCGGTCGGTATTGCTTCGGGCTCGGGAATCACGGCGATGGTGGGCTGTCGGACTTGCTCCGTACCCCAAATGTAAATAAGTTAAGCCCCTCATCCCATATTCTAAACATATTACATCTTAATAAATCTAGAGATCTACTGCAGTCTACTTCTGCTAGCCAATCTATAATGTCTAAGCCATCAATCGGCTTTGTTGGTCTGGGAGCCATGGGTTTCGGCATGGCTACCCATCTAGTGAAGGAAGGATATCCCGTTCATGGATTCGATGTCTTCTCTGCTTCAATAGAGCGCTTCAAGGCTGCCGGCGGTATTCCAGCCTCCTCACTACAAGATTCTGCCCGCGATAAGTCATACTATGTGTGTATGGTAGCGTCTGCGCCTCAAGTGCAATCCGTTCTTTTCGTCGAAGAAGGCATTATTTCCGGTAAGACAATCTATTGTGTTCAATTGAAGCAGCAATATACTAATGAATGACTCTATTGATTTAGCTCTCCCACAGAATGCGACCCTAATTTTGTGCTCGACAGTTTCGGCTTCTTATGCCAAATCCGTTGCAGCGGAGTTACAATCTCGCGGACGCAGCGATATCCATTTCATCGACGCACCCGTATCTGGCGGTGCTATACGTGCCGCTGACGGAACTCTTTCTATAATGGCCGGTGCACCAGATAAGGCGCTGGAGAGCGGTAAATTTCTGCTCCAGGCCATGTCCGATGCAAAGAAGCTGTACCTAGTACCCGGTGGTATTGGCGCAGGAAGTAACATGAAGATGGTACATCAAGTACTGGCCGGAATTCATATCCTTGGAGCGAGCGAGGCAATGGGCTTTGCGGCACAACTCAGCTTGGACGCGACAACGACGGCAGATGCTATCAAGTCGTCGAAATCATGGACGTGGATGCATGAGAATAGACTTCAGCGCATGCTTGACGAGGACTGGAATCCTGGTGCTAGTGCTTTGACTATTATATTGAAGGATATCGGTATTATCACAACTTCTGCACGCCTGAGCCAATTCCCAACTCCTCTTGCTTCGACGGCTGAGCAGATTTACCTTTCTGCTCTTCTGCAGGGCTATGGAGCCAAAGACGACTCATCTGTGGTCCGTCAGTATTTCCCAGAGCCTATTTTGAAGGTTTCAAGCATTCTGTCGGCCGAGGAGAAGGCAGATGCCCAAAAGCTTGTGCTTGATATGATGGAGTTGACAAATCTCGTTGCCGCGGCTGAGGCCATCGCATTTGCGAAATACCTCGATGTTGACCTGGAGCAGTTCTTTTCCCTGGTCAGTGATGCTGCGGGATCTAGCCGACAATTTGTGACGAAGGGGCTGGAGATGATATCAGGCGATATTACCGAGGATGCTGAAACAGTCGACGAGGCTACCTCTCGTTTGGAGAAGGCGGTGCAAAAGGCGAGAGATCTGCACTGTCCATTGCATCTTGGAAATTCGGCGTTGAGTGTTCTATACCTGGCTAAGAAGGCTGGGCTGGGTGCCAGTCGCAGTGCCAAGATAATTGATATCTTCCAAGGTCAGGTATAGTGCATTGTTATTAGATAGCTAGCGTGTATTCTCATTCACCTTGCCCAAAATACCTACTTATCGTGGAAGGCTACTAAAACTTCAATCAACGATGTAATATCCATGATGCTCAGTGATTCACTTTAGGTAAAAGAAGGGTGTTGAACGACTGAATTGTTATTCATCATCTGGCTCTTTCATTTTTTTTTTTTTTTTTCAATTTTACGTGCTAAAATAGGAAGAGCACTGGTGAGTGTACATGTATCGTCTGTGAAAGGAAGAGACACTTCGAATCCGACAGTAACAACTTTCAAGGTCTCCGGCTTTAAATTTGTCTGGCATATGGAATCAGTAGTAGACAAACAACTAGATAAATTGAAAAGATAGATGAAAGAGTGAAAGAGTGAATGTAAGAAGGATCGGATCAACTCCGAGAGTCGGACAACATGCGGACTTTCCCAACCATCGGACAGTTCTCCGTGTAACGATTATCTCTATAAACCAAGCTATTCGCAATTCGAAACCTGTATTGATATTTTCATCTATCTTTTCTACCAATTTAAAATTTCAAAGCTATGTCACTCGCAGACAATCGCGCCCTGCGCATCCTCGACCATGCCGCCGACAACCACTACGCCGTCCCAGCAATGTGCTGCTACAACGTGGAGGGAATTCTAGCCACAGTCCGTGCAGCCGAAGCCAAGCGTTCACCAGCAATGATCCTCCTCTTCCCCTGGGCCGTGAACTACGCCGACGGAATCCTAGTTCACGCAGCCGCAGAAGCCACACGGAACGCCTCAGTCCCTGTAACAGTGCACATGGACCATGCGCAAACACCTGAAATGATCCGCCGTGCTGCAGACCTAGGTGGCTTTGACAGTATCATGGTCGATATGTCGCACTATGAGAAAGAAGAGAACCTAGCTTTAACGCGCGAACTGACGGCTTATTGCCACGAGCGCGGGATTGCTACAGAAGCGGAACCGGGGCGTATTGAGGGCGGGGAGGATGGTGTTGCTGATACTGCTGATCTGGAGGGTTTGTTGACAACACCGGAGGAGAGTCAGGAGTTCGTCAATACTGGAATTAATTGGTTGGCACCGGCTTTTGGAAACGTGCATGGCGAGTATGGGCCTCGTGGGATCCAGCTCGAGTATGATCGACTACAGTCTATTAATGAGACTGTTGGTGGCCAGGTGCGCCTTGTTCTACATGGAGCGGATCCCTTCAACAAGGAGATCTTCCAGAAGTGCATCGAGTGTGGTGTTTCGAAGATCAATATTAATAAGGTGCTGAATAATCCTTATATCAAGGTTCAAAAGGAGAAGGCTGGGAATGTGCCTCTGACTACATTGCTGGAAGAGACCACGAATGCTATGCAGGAGGCTGTGGAGAGATGTATTGAGATGCTGGGTTCCGAGGCAAGGTATCCTTGAGATGATGATGGAAGGAAAGAACGCTTCATTAAATTGTTATTATTCAGGCTATCTGATGTTACTTTAACAAAACTAAACGATATCCTAACACTAACACGCCTTTTAAAATTAAGAGAACTTTCTTGGATATCAACGAAACCCAGTAAACAAGCAATTGCCCCCAATCCCTTGCTGGATACAACTAAATGAAATAAACACGCGATTAAGATATTAAAAACTGGAAAGAGCGTTAGAACATGAAAGTTAAAGGAGTGTACTAAAAAAGCTTACATTATTAACGACGCAAACCGAGCTCACCGATAAGGCCGCCCCTAAGCAGCTCACCTAGCATGTTGCCTAGAGGGGCAACGACGCCAGAAGGAGTAGGAGTGGCAGAGCTGCTGGCAACATCGGAGCTGCTCGCACCGACACGGCTAGGTGAGGGGGAAGCCTTGTGAATGAGAGGGGTGGAGTAAGGCTTGGAAGCTGACACCACCGATGAGAAAGAGCTTGGCTGGAATTTCGATGACAGATCCACGGAGGAGCTGGGGGTGATTTTGGCCACCTGTGAAGTGGGAGTACTGTGAGATGATGCAGCAGGTGAAGTGGTAATGGGAGTAATGGTGGCAGAGGCCATGATCTTATCGAAAGAATGGGCCCGAACAGAAGGTGTAGCAGAGGGAGTAGGAGTCTTAGAACTTGGCTCATAATCATCATAATCTGGAGTAGCAGAAGGCTTGGCATAAGGAGTAGATGTGGGAGCCTCGGAAGTTGGTGTATTATCGTCATATTCTGGAGTAGCAGAAGGCTTGGCATAAGGAGTAGATGTGGGAGCCTCAGAAGTTGGTGCATTATCGTCATACTCTGGAGTGACAGATGGTGTGACAGATGGTGTGGCAGAAGGAGTAGACGTGGGAGCCTCAGAAGTTGGTGTATTATCGTCATATTCTGGAGTAGCAGAAGGCTTGGCATAAGGAGTAGATGTGGGAGCCTCAGAAGTTGGTGTATTATCGTCATACTCTGGAGTGACAGATGGTGTGGCAGATGGCGTGGCAGAGGGAGTAGACGTGGGAGCCTCAGAAGTTGTTGTATTATCATCATATTCTGGAGTGGCAGAAGTTTTGGCAGAGGGAGTAGACGTAGGAACCTCGAAAGCTGGCGCATCGTCGGCAACTTCCGGAGTGGCAGTGGCAGAGGGCGCAGGTTTGGAAGTTGGCTTATCAGTTGGAGTTGGAATAGAAGGAACAATGCTAGCCTGGCCGGGGAATAGCTCGGAATCAGATGGAGTTGAATCAGAGTCCGTGGGAGTTTCAACCTTAGCTACAGGAGCCTCCTGTTTACCCTTGGATGCCCCCTCCTTGAGCTTGGTGGCCTCTGGGACAGCTATTTCAGGAGCTGGAGCCATTGCTGCATGAGTAGGAACAATAGCATTCTCAGTAGCAGGGGTTGGCTCGGCCATAGGAGCAGCTTCTTGAACAGCAGAATGAACCTTTGGCTTTGAGACTTTAGCATGAGTAGGAACAGGAGCGGCGTAAATCTCGGCCGCCTGAACCTCTTCCATGGCAGCCATTGCAGCAGGAAGCGAGTTCGACATGCTGTCATCATCTTCATCTGTGACACTGGAGCTTCCTTCCATCATGAAAGGAAAAGTTGTGAAAGGGTCACTGTCCTCGGATTCTGGGCGAGGATAGGAGGGTGCAGCGACAGCACCAATGGCAAAGATTGCCAGAGAAATATACGAATAGCGCATTTTATCGGGCTTGGGGGACTTGCCTTGCTGGGAGTCGGAAATGAGAGAAAGAAGTCGGAAAAAGCTGCTCTATGGGACAAGGGGCGCACGGGGTGTGGAATCTTTATGTAGACATCAGTGGGATTCTTGGGCTTCATTCTGAAGCGTGGCTCTTGCGCCTATCACTTCTTCCATGCCTGGGGCATAAGTTAGACAGGCTGGCAGTGAGCAGTGTGGCATTAGGGGATTGCGATACTGGTATGAGAAATCACCTAGTTAGGGCATAGCTGAATTCCGGTGACACCTGTACCGAGTTATGGTTGGTCCCTTTGGAATGATCATCGCGAAGATTGCCTTTGCAAGGTCCTAACACAATAACATTCATCTCGCATTTTGATAATACGCGCCTTCGGATGGAACGTTCTTGTACTGCTAGACGCGGCTGAAATATACCTGGGCTGTAACAAAGGCTGGTTAAATTTGAAGATTAGCATACAAAACGCCAGCGGCGGCTCAGTCACTAAATAGGGCTTGGCCTGAATAGAAGCAGATTAGACGGGTTTGATTGGTAACCCATTCTGTACCTGTGGTTGATTTATCTACATAGAGATAAGCTTTTGATTAAGCAATACTAATGCAGCTAAGACTTTTTTAAGGATGAGGATCTCTTCGTGCTTGGCGGGAAAATTCATTGTCTCCTATCTAGGGGTATTCTAGTAAGCAAAAGTAATGCCCCTAGCAACCCTGACAGCCCCTTGCAGCACCAGTGGATCTCTATTATGAATGCCATGCTTATTTATATATGATGCCCCAAGTGAGGCCTACGTATTTCACCCTGTCTCCGCCGTAAATTCGTTCTTCCACTAAATATCTGGATGTCGCAATCTTGCCAAGGTTGAAAAGAACAAGATGTAACCACACTTACCAGCCCCAGACTTGATCTAATTTGTTCAGCCCTGCAGCTTTTTCCAGCTCTTGGAACTCTCTGGCATCGATACCTAGCTATTCAGCCTCCATTAAGGAGGTCGAATGGCGGCGGAGTACGCAGGGTCACCCGTGGACATTATTTTTAGTTTCCAAATTCCTGTGGAACAGTGCCATATCCCGGAAGATACTACCAAGCTTACTGAGTATAATCAATCCCAAGTATCTTAAGCTTTCAAAGGAATTTTCAGCCACCGTATTGGTCTGTTCATTCACCACGAAGGATTTTATCCCGGACAGGGTGTAAATAGTGCTGTCATCCATACCCCCTGATTTGTAACCTCGGAAAACTTAAGACGCTTGAACTTTTCTATTCAGACAGACGGAAGTAGTTACTTATGATTCTATTCCGAGGTTCAGTGCCCGGATGCCCAGAGCGGATCTCGGGAACTACTATCTGCTGGTTTCGGATAGAGATGCATCTATGTAGTATCTAGACACTTCGGTCAGAGACTTCGGGATTATTTAACTAAGATCTGTGAGAATTGTCAAGGCTCCAAGAGCCTTGCAATCCTTTGTTAATCATCTACCACACCGTCTAAAATGAAGTTTTTTAATCTATATTCATGCGCGGTGATTTCCCTCATCAGCTTGCCGAATTATATATTTGCGGCAGACTTCTGTCCTCGAGATGCCATTCTGAAGCCCAACTTAAATCTCCTCGTCGAGCAGCATACTTGCCTTCTGAACTCCTCGAATGAGGCTGGTCAACTCCCATGGGGTTCATCATATCGGTGCTTGGACGCGAAAGGATTCCAGTATCCACGTGCAAACAACGGATACAAGTGTCCTCGTGACAAAATTTAAATCTGACTTGTGAGAGGAATGAGAAGTACGTCAAGGTGCATTGTGAAATGGTGTGCTTTTCGGGGAAGATGAAACGACTTGAAGCTAAGGAACTATCTTGTCAGTTTTCCGTATCCATTGCGCGTGTACCTAGTGGACATTTAGGGGTTTTTTGGACATTTAGGGATTGTTTCAACTTTTGATGATTTGATTGGAGGTCCAGAGTTTGATATCAACACTGATTCCGTGCTTCCTCATTTGGACTCTCAGGCCGCAATCCTGGGAAAATCTTGGTGAAAAGATTGGACCTTTTCAGATTCTAACTCGATGTTCACTCTCTCGTTTGCCCATCTAGGCAGCTTTAGTGCTTATAGTGATAGCCGTGCTTACGTTGTTGATATCTTGCTTATGGTATTAATGTTTCAACGAAATATCAACTATGATACTAAGGGTCAAATGGGTGGCCTTAAGACGATTCATCCCAATGTATGGAGTATAAATTGGATCCTAAATCTCGAATCTTGAACGCTGACATTCTGAAGAACCCGTGAAAATCTTCTTACTTTATTCCAAGTTTATATTCGAACGAAATGCTGCTCGATATCCTCATACAAACCATTTGGATAGTTTCTGTGCTGGCAGCTCCTGCTGATATCCTCAAGTCTAATCGATCCTTTGCGAAACGCACCAGTCCTGAAATTGCTGATGGATTTACAACCCAGCATAAAACCCAAATAACAGACGGATTCAAGGATGCTCTCAGACTAGCAAAGACCGTTCAGACGGCGCCAGACGCAACTGTGGATACCATCCTGGAAAAGTACTTCGATTCTAGTGACAAGGAGACTGTTATGGGTTTGTTTTTTTAAGGGGAAACTCCGAAACAGAAGAGAATCTGACTCATTTTGCAGATTTATTCAAAAAGATCACCGGTAGTGATGACCAGTATGCCGGCAACTCTATATTGAGCCAGATGAACGTTGTTCAGGACTACGCCGATAAAAAGGGCAAGATGGGCTGCTATGATCCCACCATCTATGCAGTAACTCGCCGCTATACCACCTCCACTCCAAAAATGATTATCTGCGATTCCGGATTCGCGTTTGGGGGTATAGACAAGTCGTATACCGATGTCAGCGCTGTCACTTGCTCGACTATTGGGAGTATTGTGTCTAAAAAGATGGACTTTCTGGGAGCTACGATCTTGCACGAGTACACACATTGGCGCTCATTGGTTGTTCCACCGCTGTCGGAAGAAACGGACGATCTTGACGGTGGATATGGGCCCTGGGAAGCCCAGGAAACCGTTCCCAAGAGCGAAGCGCTCAAGAATGCCGATAACTTCACTTGGTTTGCGATTGAGCTGTTTTGGACTGTGCATTGTGGTCGTGAGTTTGCTGCTCCCGAACTAGATTCGGATGAGGATTGTGATTCGGATGACTATTAGGTAGCTTCGTGCTAGAATTTCCATTTTGTATTGAGGCCAGGCCCTGGAGGAAGATAGAGAGCCTGTATCTTCACAGATAAAGTATTTTCAATAAAGTAAACATTGTTGGAAATTCAGAAGCACCCGTAGATTCCTGGGGCCAGGCCCTCCAGCCCTAGAGCCTAGGTAGCCTTGCAAAGTCACTATATTGAATAAATTCGTCATCAAACCCATAGACAAGGCTGTTCGTGCCGAGGCGAGGTCACGTAATCTCACATTCGAACCGGAACTCGTCTTATAATGTACTGGAACTCACGTCAGCAAGCCCCTTAATTTAACTTAAGGTTGCTTTTGTCGTCTCTATCGGTCATTAATCATTTCAATCCAACCTCAGCATCATGTCCGAAAACTCTCACCACCCAATAATATCTGTCACGCTGGGCTTATCGCCTACGGACTTCTCTATCGGTCCTGGCTCCCCACCCACATTCACTATTACAGCAACCTTGCTTTACGACAAGCCTATCACAATTTTGACATACGCTACGATATTCAATCTTGATCTGAGCCTACAGCGCAGCAACTTCACCTGTCATGATATCACAACTGGTGACATCAAACCTGTAGAACTAGACTACACCAAAGGAGGAAGAAGGCCTTCTTTTAATCGCGAGTCTGGTGGGCGTGATGATCGGTACTTTTGCACGTTAGTGCCAACGATCCCTGTTGTCTTTCAAGAAGAATTTTGTTTGGCAAACCAGTCTGAAGATCTTGATCTATTTGTGGCTGGACACAAGTACCGTCTTACGATCAAGAAAGGAGAGAAAGTAGCTTGGTGGATGACCGGGTCGAAAGAAGAGGTGATGACGCCTCCAGGGAAACGGTCTGGGCTAGGGCACGCTAGTGGAGGGCCGATTCTTTTGGAGGCAGACGAGTTGGAGTTTAACGTGGTCTGAAAAGACAAGAACATGGCTTAGTCTTGGATCAGAAATCTCAAACTATACCGACAAATACCAACCCAACCTAGTACGCACTAGTTTGGTTTATTGATTTGGCCAAATTACCAAGGTTGGAAAACGAGAGACCTTGGGAGTTCCCTACCAAGAATAATAGTCCATGAATGCATCTTCATTTATAACCTTCATAATTCTTTCATCGGAAATCCTGCCCAGATGCTGCTACTTAAGATGTTTTCCAGCAGATAAACCACCACGGTGAATACATGTCACAGAGAAGAGGGTGTTTCCAGTCACGCTTTCAACCATATCTTGGAACAATCTGTTCTTCGACATTATGAATCACATGGAGGGTCAAGTTCTTCGCAAGCGAGAAGTCTATAGCTAGTGCAGTCTAAGCAATGGACAGAATTTAGCAAAGACTTTCCCTCAACCAATCGTGCCTCTTTCTCTCTATCAAAGGAGAAAAGATCGTTCAGAATCATGATTAGCTCCATGACAAGTTCGGCAGGTGGATGTAGTGGTTGGAGATCTTTGGGAGTCACAGATACAATCTGTTACAGCATCTTACGCAATCGAATAGTACTCTACACGGCTACCAGTTGACCTTGCAAAGTTTCAGGATAGATTTGAACAGATGATGTCATAGCAGATGGGAACACTTGCTCAATATCAAATTTGCGGTAATTAGCTGACTTGTCGGGTTGACTTCTTTCGTTTGAAATGATTGATTACTTTGCTGAAGCTCCTAATCGCCCATACTTGCAGTCAATTGGTGTTGAACTTATCTTTTTTCGTGAAGATTGAGATCATGGACTGCCTAGGTAAGACCTGTTTATAACTTTTACTTCGATGATATCACTGGTATGATCATCAGCATTCATAGGTGGGATATATCATGGATCCGTATTGGCGCACATCGCGCTTATTGGAAAATGAGACAAACTCCAGGTTAATTCAGACAACATGCAGTGTCCGTGCATGAATGTTCATAATGTAGTACTGGAGGTAATAAGTAAATACGTAGTTAGTAAGAAATTTCAGTGTTCACAATCAGGCCTGACGTTTATAATTTACCTAGGCATTGAAATTGAAAGAGATAGGTGAGATGACGACCCTTAGAAGGAATCGCACAGGTGGAAGAAACTTTCATTCAGAGTATACCTAGGTAGCCTCTTAAGGTCTGTTGCATGAACCATGATTGAAGCGGTGTGCTAAAATTTGAAGGATCAGCATCCATTTTTCGATATCTATTTATTTATGCCATATTATTTGAAAGAATCCTGGCAACATATTATATCATTTTATACAGGTCCAGTGAAGCAAAAATAATAGGTAATAGTATCTCATTAATGATGAAAAGGTATCGAGGTTGGGATATCAAAATCGTAAATAACAGTCATACATCATAAGGCATGATTCATCATGTAAAGAAGGGCTAAGAATGGCAGATTAAGACCAGCATGGAGAAATCATGATTGTTTTCTCCTCTCAACCCTGTATCTGTGGTTTTGGCTCTTCAGATATCACCGACGAACGCCGTTGGGACTGGCGAAAGGGATCGGTCAAGTCAAGTGAAGAGTGATGAAGGATGCGGGCTTCACTACTCCACGAGTAAGTGTGCGAGCGGTCAGAGGTTCCAGTGGGCGGGTTTGATGGAGGAGAGTGCTCGAACATGGCAATAGAAATATCGTCCGAGTCCATCCACGATCGATGCCGGAATGGATGAGACGGAACAGCATGGGTGATATCGGAGGTGACACGAGTGGCATCGACAAAGTCTGGTATTTCTCGGGGTATTGAGAGTGCCTCTGTCTTCCAAACGTGGTTCTGAACGAGGTGAACAAGTTTGCCTAGGATAGCAAACTCGAGCTTCAGCTTGATACTGTAGATGGCGCCTTTGAGCATAGTCTCGAAGATGTAATAGTTCATGTACTCGGCGACAAGCAGACCAAGATCCATGACAATGATAACTAAATTGACAATGATGAGTTGATACTGAATCTTACGCTTGGCTGGGTCTGGGTCGAGACGAATCATGCGAACTGTCTCCCAAATGTATAACGCAGAGAGAATAACCTCCTGTACACAGAAACCCGTCATTTGGATTTTCTCCATTGTGGTGTAGCCGGTCAAGAACGCCTGGTGGCTAGGGTATAGATTGCATCCATAAGTCAGAACGGTAGTTGGGATGTGTAATGCGACAGCATCGATAAAAATCATAATCCAGACGCGTCGCAGCACCCGCTGATTTGCCAGTACTAGATGTAGACGCGAGTACAGTACGATGGACTGTCCAGTGACCATGCACCACCATCCTATAGTAATCAAGGTCACGGGTAGCCAGGTTGCCGTTGTCAACTCAAAGTACTTCATCAAAAAGCCCAGTGAGTAAGGAATCAGGCCGACAGATGAAGAGATAAAAAGACTCCAGAAGTAGAGACCACGGTATTGGGCAAATGTGACAAAGACCAATACAACCAATTCGAAGGCATTATACCAGGTGATACCAGCCAGGCTTGCGATGGTGATCTGGATGCCCAATGAATGGCCTGAATAGCCGCCGGTAATGCCATCACCAGCGTCGTTTGTCATAGTGAAGGTTCGGGAGGACGATGCATGGCTTTGGGGTTGAGATTTGAGAGGACCAAGAACTCAGAGCTTGAAGAAGGTCTGGAGCAGAAGAAAAGACTGAACAAATGGAATATTGGGGAAGGGGGGTTATTTTGCGGGGGAGTGTCGATCAGTCCAGATTTGGTATAAGACTTGATTAAAAAAAAATAGAAAAAATAAAAACAAGAAAAAATAAAGAAGGGAATAGATCCCTGTCATGTATTCATTAGTTGACTAGAAACGTTGAATTCATTCCTATCAAGAGTAATAATACCAGCCCTCATTTCAGATTGTATATATGAATGTATGAAAACCAATACTATAGTTACTCTCGTCTGTAATTCCTATATATGGACTAGCTAGATATTAATCTCTATCCCTTGATAACCGGCTGATGCATACATGGCATGTCTTTGTTTCAGTATTAGTCTCCACTTTTATTAAACAGGGAAAATGCTAGAGATCCTAAAAGAATACGGGGTAATCCGGGCCAATTTCGATCTCTAGTTTCCCCGGAAATTCATGAAATTTATGAAAAATTATCATTTGATAGATTCTTCAATACGGATATAAAGATGTGACTTTCTTTACTTTTCAACTGATACTTCGGGGCTTTTTCAAGAATACCGTACTTGGATCGGTCTTTCGAGCTGATCTACCATCTCACTTGTACTATGCGTACTGCGTACTTTCTAGGGCTGTATTCTTCCACTGCCGATACCGGAATTCCCTTTGAACCCGAGTATGACAACCTTCCAATGTTTGAAAATTCAACCACAGACGAATAGTTAGCCTTGGAAATAGAGTCGGATAGCTCCCGAGTACGAGGAATGATACTTGGACTTTAAGGGGTGAGATCTTTAGTCTGCTGACTTGGAATTTCTTCTTGAGCTGCTAATCTCGTATACATCCCGATGTATTCTCGTAGGTATGGAGTAGGTACTTCAACATGGATCTAGTGCATAAACTGGGAGTGCCAGGTGTTGGTGTATTCAAATAGTGACCGGGAAACCGCTTCAAGCTCGGTAGACCACGGGTAATAACAGTACAAAGTGAACCATCCCAGAACGCCTGTCAAATTCCAAATAAAGCATGAAACATAGCTACTTGAAGTCTTCCATACCTAGGTAACTCCCCTTCCCCGCATAGGGGCCTATTGCACCTGAAACAGATCGTAGATCCTCGGCATAATGAAGCGGTAGTAGTTCCCATAAAGCCCTGAAGCCCACAGGACACACAACCCAAAAAGGGAAAAGACGGCCCAAACTCAGGCCCAAAGTCGATTTTTGCGGGTTCAAGCATGACTCTTAAGGATACTTCCAGTCAAGCCGTCAAGAGGCCTTGCGTTCAACGCAAATACCGCGGCCATGACCATAACCATGTGACTAGTAATAGATTACAACATCACTGACGTTGTAGATCTGGCAAAGAGCCAGTCATGTAGCCTTAAGAACCCATACAGGGGACAGAACAATTCAGCTGAATCAGATCCAACCCTTTATCTAGGCGCAACGCCTGCCTGGTCAACAACTCCCCCGTCATTAAGACCACACGATCTACCTCCTCACGACACTCAGGCATAGCGCTGCGCATCTCACGAGCCAACACATCACGGAAGTCGGCGAAGGCCTCGCGCTTGCCCTTGAGATCTTGATTGCCGCGCTGTACCAGCTCCACGAACTCACGTGTGTAGATATCGGGGTTGCGCGCGGAGTCAACGTAGTCGATGATCTCGGGTGGAAGTTGAACACTGGCTAGAGTCGGATTTGATGGGTCTGAGTTTGGGTCGAGAGCTTCGGTTTCTTGGTTGGGGAGTTGAGTGTCTGTTGAGAGGGTTTTGAGGGCGAGAGTGAGGGTTTTGCTGTAACAGGCAGGTTTGGCATGTTTAGTTCCCTTGTTCTTTTCCTTACTTAAACATGGATATTGCATATTAGATATTGGATTTGCTTCACTTACATCTTTCTTACAAGCTCTTGTTGTGTTTCTGGGCCTATGTAGCCGTGGACGGCGGATTGGATTTCGAAGAGATGTTGGATCACATCTTTGATGTCCTCTGTACCTGGTGTCAGCTATCCTTAGAAAATTATACGTCGGTCACTTACCATCAACTTTCTTTAGCGTTACGGGAGCCATATTTGCTTATGAGTTAAGTTCCTTGGATCGAGTGTCGCAAGATGAAGGCTTCGCGATTGTGGGGAAGGCGGTGGAATGCTTATCGTGTAGCTTATCTAGTGGTGACAAAAACAAGACTGTTAAATGTTTGTTCGAACTTCAGGACGTTTTGAAAGCTGAATAGCTAGTGTTTAGGTAACATGAGCACTTCCACTATTTCCATGTCTCTATATATGCACATTACAAGAAAATCATACATCCTCACAAAACACACCCAGACGAAACATGCTAAAATTGCTGCAGCAAACAGAGCCGAGGAAGTAAAGCTCCTCTTATATTTCACGAGTACGCAGTTTGGGGTATTTCGGGATTTCAATCTCAGTTTCCATCTCTAACCCAGAAAGACTGGGGAAGCGCCGGCTAAAGTTGGCCTCGTAATCCTCGCCAGGGCTCATAGGGGTTTGCTGCTGACCGGTACCAGGACGAGTACCGGGAAGCGAGGTGTTTTGTGTGCCAACCTGCAATTTCTTAGGCTTTGGCGGAGCAGTAGGGCGTGATACAGGGCGAGGGGCAGATTGGTAGCTGGTGGTAGAGGTGGCGGATTGTGGAAGTCCCCCAGGAGCGCTGGCGCCCTCCCGGCGATCAAGTGGTGGTGCCATTGCCGTGCCTTCCTTGAAACCGTAACCAGAATCAGGAGCTTTGGGTGGGAGCGCCGTACCCGTTGCGGAGGATTTGACCTCGTCCTGCTTTGCCTGCAAAGTAGGGGAGTTGTCGGTGTATTTTCCATAGCCAGATGCAGTCTTAGGGGCGGTGGATTTGTTCGACCCACTGAACAATGTCTGCACTCGATTTTGGATCGCACGAGACCGCTGCCCATCAGTACCGGCTCTGCCACCTCCTCCGTCGGCGGCTCGTCGTCGAAACTCAGCCGCAGCATTGGTCACGCGTTTCTCCTCCTGGGAGAGGCGACGACGTTCTAGCTCGCGACGCATTTCAGGGGAGATATCGTCACGATCGACATCTTCTAAAACATCCTCGTACGCCGACAGCATATCCGTTTGCAACCCCAAGTTATCCGGGCTGGGTAATGCCTCAGGGGATGGCGTCGAGGATTTGTCCGGGTTGCTGCTCTCAAATCGACGGAATGCCTCGCCAAATCGGCCTGCTAACATGTTCTTGCCCCCAGAAAGAGAGAGAGCAGACAAACTGCCACGCTTGGAGTGCTTGTGGCTGCCACTGAACCGTTTTTCGCGTTTGCGGTTGCTCTCCTCCACTTCCTTGACACGAAGATAGTCCATGTCTGAAATGTTGGGCCGTTCGTAGTCTTGGTCCATCTCTGTTCGGACGTTTCTCAATGGCACACCGTCCTCATATTGCACGCGAACCATATCGAGTGACGAACGATAAGATTCAGGCTCAGTATAAGCCCCAGGCTGTACTGACATCGGACGGGTCTTGGCAATGACTGATTTGGGTCGCCCAACGGGATCTTCTATCTCCAGTCCAGATGGCCGTCGCAATCCCTCCATCGATGGACGCGCAGATTGAGAATGGTTTGATAGCCGGTCAGATGAGACTCGGGGGTTTGGTTCTGGCTTCAAGCCCAACGATGTAGGTGAAGGAACGGTCTTCTGCTCCGGCTCCGGCTCCCCAACCGGGAATCGGTAAATCGGGCGAGTGGACACCTTGGGCTCCTGCGAGCGAGGTGCTGGCTCTTGTAAGCGAGGTGTTGGAGCAGGTGAAGTCATTGTTCCTGTCGAGACCATTGAAGGCCGCTGAGGTGTAGGTTGATACAGAGGAGCAGGTTGTCGGGCAGGAAGGGAAGGAGCAACTTCGTTGGACGATTGAGACCGCACGGGCGAGAGTTGACTTCGCCGATTCCGAGATGGATCCCGCCTTTCAGGCGAGGTTTGTCGGGCAAAAGCTTTATCGGCTAAGGCATTGGTGAGTCGCTTCGAGAGTTCTTCATCTTCTGAGCTTGAGTCTTTCGCGCCGGGCTCGAAATCAAATTTGTCACCCTGCTCATGCAAGATATCAAACTGATCCAGGGTTGGGAAACGACTTGATAATTCGTCAGCGGTCTTCTTACCCCGACCTCCATCTAGAGCTGCGAAGGGATCGCTGGACCGAGTTTTCGAGCTACCACGGAAGGGAGAAGGACTTGCTTTCGCCGAGTGGGTCGAGGACTGAGATTTTCCAGGCCGACCTCTTCGCATTGGCGCAATCTCTGGGATCGTAATTTGAGTTTCTTGTAAAGGAACCGAGAACACTGCCCCAACTTTTGGGGCTTCAGCGGGCGTCGCAGGTAGTTCTTGGTTTCTCCGATCCTGAGAGACTGATCTATTCGAATAAATCTAGACAATAGTTAGCATCTTGATTGTATTAGTTAGCAATGGACCTAAACGAACATCTCGAATTGGAACTTCTTTTCCTTGCATGCGGCAGATTTGAAGCACCACGTCATATATATTCGGACGCTGTCGCGGGTCTTCCTTCAGCATTGACCCTGTAAGAGTAACGAGTCAGCCCGATCACATTTGGGAATTAACAACAGGCGAAGGACCCACCGATAAACATCTTCAGCCGACTGGAAAATTGTGGATAAGCAGGATATTTGAAGCTGGCGTTGAGAATTGCCATCTGGCCAACCTCCTCAAAGGGAGTTGTATAGTAACATAATTTATATAAGAGCACACCAAGTGCCCAAATATCACTCTTCTCATCAATAGGCTGCTTTCGATACACATCGATCATCTCTGGGCTGCGGTATTGCAGAGTCGTGTGTCGCTGCACATCATCTTCAATCAGTCGACCCTCTGCTGCAGAAGTGGCTGCTGGACGAGGCGGGGCCGATGACCCAAAGTCGCAGAGTTTGTAAGTAGTAGAGCCAGCCGAGTTTGATATCAGGATGTTCTCGACCTTGAGATCACGATGGAGAAGTGGCGGTTTGAGATAGTGCATACAGGCTACACCCTCTGCGACATCGGAAAAGATCTTGATGATCTCGGGCTCTGTCAAACGGTTCTGAAGTCGGGTATTCATGAAGTCAATCAGTCCGCCACCTGCGCAGAACTCCATGATCAAGAAGACCTCATATCCACCTCCACGCAGCTGTGAGGCATGCGAATCGATGTATTTAACAATATGTCGGTGGCCCTGGAGCTTCTTCATTGTCTCTACCTCGGTGCGCATATTAGCTAGTGCCGACTTATCGGGCACGGCGACCCGCTTCAAAACTGCAGTCTCTGAGCCATTGATCGGTTGTGGTAGTCGCACGACGTAGACATGAGCGAAGCCACCTTCTGACAGGTACTTTTCGACTACAACACGGTGACTGCCCACCTGGACCTTTGTGCCTGGAAGCAAAGTCCCCGCGGGGGCTGTGGCGACGGCGACCGGGTTAAAGGCGGGGATCGTACGAGACGTAGTAGATTGACCATGATAGGCTTGGGAGGAGGATTGGAAGGTAGACATGATGCATGTAATGCCCGTGTAGGGCAAGGAGTTGGTCCGGGGAGACGACTATCAGCACGGCATGGAAAAGGAGAGGCAAATTGCCTGTGGAATAGGCCAAAAAAGACAGTTGGCAGGGTGGAGAAAATAGGGATAGTGCCTGACTACCGGTAGAGAGAACTAGACAGCAAAACCTTCAACCAAAGTGGAGGTTAAGAGTATAGAGCGATGAGAGTGAATGTTGAGGGGGAAAGAGTACGATCCAATCACCGGAAGCGGGTCTCGTCGCGGGCTTTCTGTTCTAATGGCGGGCGGCGACCCTTGATATACTTTTTCCTCTCTTAGCCTCACCAGGCTACGCTTAACATCCTACACCGTCATTCGTTTTTCCCTTACTTTCCCGCTACTAGTGCGTGACTCGAATATCCGAACTATGATCGATATTTCGTTGAGAGAGCAAAGTGATCAGTGATCAGGATCCGCATCCCATGCTCCGATCATGGGAACATACCAGTACTCGTTCACATATGAGTATAATCGCCACTTATGAAGCCAAACACTTTGGTTTTATTCATTTTTCATCGGCCAACAACTATCGTACTCGGACACGTTTTGGGATTTTCTATCGTTTCTTATTTACGATTCACGGTTTCTCGAGGTACAACACCGGACCCACACTAACTATGCTCTAACTGCTTGTTAGCACTAGCTATTCCCCAACCGTTTGACCGCATACCAATGCGGATACAGGCTCCAGTTTTTCGACTTTAGTATGAGCCTGTCCACAGTACTGTCCTGGCGCAAGAGGGGCTTCGGACATTGGATATTTGGGGTCTATAGGAGTCAGTTGCCGTGATTATAACCGAACCCCCTTCGAGTTCATTACGAAAAAGTTCCAAATAGCTTATTATACAGGGAACGAGAAGCAATGTCTTCTGAGTTCGAAGAAAGCTCATCCTTTCACATCACTGGTAACTCAGTCCTCGGCATAGTTAGGCGATGTCTCTTGATTTGTGGTGCCTGAGGCTCTAAATCCGATCTGCTGACATAAGACGGATCGCGGGGCTCAAGGCTAACCTACATAGGAGATATCAAAACAAACACCTCCACCTTGGATCAGAGAATACGAAGCAACAGCCTGGTACTTTTGATTGATCAGAGCAGATGAATCATTATTTTCACCACTTTATTCCTTATTATAGTGCCCTAAACATCGTATATAAAGTGAATTGGGAATTGGACTTGAGATGATATAGTTCGTAACGGAATTCTCCAGTAAGGTTCAAACTAAGCGGCATGCCTTGACCCTGTGCGGCGATAGGAGACTTAAAATCTATCTCATGGTCTGTAGATTCTAGATATCACATTCTTCTCATAATAAGTATACAATATTATTCTGATAAATGTGGTCTGACCACTCAGATTGAAAGCGGCTATTGGTGTGTGTGATGGCTGAGTCTGCTTTGCATGTGCCGATCTTTAGCGGATCGATTTTCTCCCAAACAACGGTTTTTCCCCTCGTAAGCAACGCCCCGATGGTTCTTGTCCTTCTACGTTCGTACCTCGACCCGTTTTTTTTCAAGGTGCTTGCTTGTTGGGAAGACTGGTCAATCGAATCTATCTCATACTAGGGTTCTGTGCCCCCTGTCACAGACCCCTATTTGACAATCCCTCCAACGCGCTGCGGCTCAGGTCCTCTGTGCAGGCCTTGTAGTCTCTATGATCGTGGCCTGGTCACCAACTCGCCTTTGCGTTGACAGCCTGTTCAACTGGAATTAACCAGGCCGGTTGTTCGAGAACTCGGAATACTGACTAGTTCCTTCGGCGGAAGGATCAGAGCTTGGACTCGAAGCTACCACGCTAATCGTCACGACGATCACTCACCTAGAATTTATTTTATCAACCCGCGCCATCATCGATCTCTACGTCCCTGTTTGTAATGGACGGACCGCCACCACCTCCTCCGCCGCATGGTGAAAAGCCCCAGACCACCGACGGTGAATACCGAAAATCATCCGATCTGCCGCAAGGCAACTACGATATCTTTATTGTCCCACCCCACTCCGCCGGTGCTGGCTTCGTCTATCTCCCCTCTCTGCAATGCAACCAAAACAGTTTCATCGCTGGCGTCGCCAGTACGCTGTTAGTGGTTGCGTTATGGTCCATTATCTCTCCGATATTCAGATCGTGGTACATTGCGACTTTCTACCCTAGCCCCATCCTTGGTGGTGGCAGTAACATAGTTCTGATCTCGAGTATTGGATTTGGTGTTGCTGGGTGCATATTCGGCGCATTCCAGTGGAAAGTGGGCCGTGGAAGTGGGTTTGATGAGGGTAAAGGATCCAACCCCAAACCCCAATCATCAGGCCATCGCCATGATGAATCAAACTTCCATAGTCACCAGCAACAACACCAACAGGACAGTGGGAATTTCAATCAGCAATCAAAAGAAGACCAACATCAGGATGCCTCCGAAAAAGGTCCAAATGATGCCGAGAGGGAGAGGGAGCGCGAGCGCGAGCGTGAGCGTGAGCGTGAGCGGGAAGAAGCAAAGCGCAAAGAGGAGCTTCGTAAAAAGATGGATGAATTCAAGCGCAAGCGAGAGGCAGAGGCAAAGGAGAAGGAGAGAGCACGCGAAAGAGAAAAAATGGAGAAGGAGCTAAAAGAACGCCGTGAGCAGCTCGAACGTGAAATGGCTGCAGCCAAGGCTGCGGCCGAAAAAAGAGGCCCACGAGCGTTTGGAGAAGGAAGCTTTCGAAGCTCGCGTTAAACAAGCGAAGGAAGTTGCCGAAGCCCGTGCCAAGGCGGCAAAGGCTGTCGCTGAGGCAAAGGCAGAAGCCGCAAGGCTGGCAGCAGAGGCAGAGGAGAGGGCTGCCAAAGACGCGGCAGAGAAGGAAGCTGCAGCAAAGGCTGCGGCCCAGAAGGAGGCCATGGCTAAGTTCGCTGCTCTCAAAGAGGCAGCAACAAAGCGGTACGCAGAGAAGAAGGCGGAAGAGGAAAGGGAGAACGCAAAGGCCAAAGCTGCAAGCGCGAAGACACCGAGTGCATCGAGTCCTCGAACACCTTCGCCCACGAAACCGCCGCCTTTCCCAACCGCGAGAACAACCGTTGAAGATGACGACCAGACATATGTCTTTCGGCCTTACGATCGACCTCGGAGGCCATATGCAGGCTCATCGGCTTACTCCGAATCATCATATGCCCCATCTCAGTCAACAGCTCGTACAACACCTCCCCCATCAAATCGGGGTACATACTCTACGAAGGATCCTGACAAAATCGTAATTCAGGGTGTGTACGCCTTCAACAATGCCTTCAACAAAACGCCGGTCGCCCAACTCGTCTCCGGCCAAGGCATGGTGACAGACGGCCTCGTGCTGCGCATCACAACAGAAGGCTTGTTCATCGACGACGAAGTCCGCGGAGTTGGACAGCGTGAGTGGGACGTCAAGGCATGGACGCTCAAGCTGGCTGAGGTGTGGTGTCCCCAAATGGGCCCTAACAGCTCCAAGCCAGGCTCCAGCAACCCCTTCTCTTTCCGCCGAGGTACGCAAGTGCCCACTAACGAAGAATCCGAGGCACTCATCGTCAATCTGCTCAAGGTCTGCAAGAACAGCTGCCGTCTAGCATCCCCAAGCAAAAGTTCTGCAGGCCTCCACATCCTCCGTGCCAGTGTACGGGACCAAGAAGGTAAGCAGTATGTTTTCGTACTGCCAGATACTGAAGCCTGGAAGGTAGCTATCGGTCTTCAGCGTATTCGCGCCGGTGCTCTCGTTCGCTCTATGGGTGTCTCCGCCATGGCTGTTCCTGAGTGCAAGAGGATCCTAGGTGAGCTTGGATATATGTGAGAATGGATATCCGAGCACTACCTCCTTGTCTGATCTTGATGAGTTTTCTACTGACCCAAACCTTCTTTTCACATTAGCGGCGGAGTTTGCTGCAATCTTCATTCGCTTCATGTTATGCCCTTCCCTTTCCCTTCCCCTTTCCCTTCCCCTAACGTTTTGATTCCCCCTGCTTCTATTTATCTTATTCCTCTTTTAAGTTACTCTTCTTAGTATAGTCAAGGCCATATGGAATAGTCTATGGGGAAGTATTGAGCACATATGATAAGATCATACTCTTTCTTGTTCAGAGTATATTGGTACCTAGAATGCTTTCAATCCAGGCAGCAACAGATATAAGAACGAACGGTTATGCCCATAAACTCTCTAGTTCATATTGGAAGCTCTCTTGATCAGCCATGGCCAGCCTCGGTGACATACGCGGAGAGATCCTAGGCAACGAAGTCACAAAACGGATGTCGCCAAAGCGAAGATCACAATTCACATATACCCTATGCCAATCTTGAATCCCGCTCGCTTAATCCATGTTCTACATGAATCTCTTTTTGAGATGTTTGTCGCGGACCCGCGATCTATGGAAAGATCGTAAAGGCGTGCTCGGCTATACTTTATGAGCAATACCGCAAAAAGGTACGAGTGGCAAACGTACTATCAACTCCGATTCTAGTTAAGCAATATTCAGTATAATAGATATTCTATCTGGGTTCAATCGCCCCTTCTCCGGATTGATGGATGAATATGTGTACATCAAGTGATCCTCATCTCGGCCCTTAGAATGCTATCCTACTAATACATTCAGACTCTCGTTAACCTGCAGATACCCCGCACTAACCTACTTATCTCCGGTTCCACATCTATAGATGTATGGGCCAAGCGAAGGTGTAAGCTACACAATCCATTGCGCCATCTTATACTCCATTGCGACAAAGCAAAGTATAACGACAGAGATACTGGGTATAAAAGCCGGTAATGTCACTTCACTCCAACATGTAGACCTTGGGCATTCAGATCTTATTCACCATGGCCCCTTCACTCACAGAGACGCTTCCCTTGCGATCATCTATCAAGGGTTCCGAAGCCAAAGTCCAATACCCAGCACCCTTGAAACCAAGCGGCGCATTAGACAAGTTCGACTACGAAGAGACAACACCAGTGATCGGCCGGGAATTTCCCACCGTAAACATAGTCGACGATCTCCTGAGCGCTCCAAATGCCGATGAGCTCCTACGAGAACTCGCCATAACAAGTAAAAGCCGCTCTCCCCTCAACTTCAAAAAGAGCCAACTCCTAACTAGCTACCATTTAGTCTCCCGCCGCGGCGTGGTCTTCTTCCGAGCCCAAAATAATCTAACAGACGACCTCCAAAAGCACCTAGTAGACAGCCTGGGAAAACTAAGCGGAAAACCTGCAGATTCAACCCTGCACATCCACCCGCTCCTAAACAATACCCACGAATTCGGCGTCCAAGACGCCCAAGTAAGCACTATAAGCTCCCTCTCGCGCAAAAAGGTCTTCGGCCACGAACAACAAGCCAACAAGCGCCGTTACGATGCCGCCCAATGGCACTCAGACATCCAATTCGAGCCCGTGCCTGCAGATTACACCTCTCTCCGCCTAACCCAGCTGCCTAAGACAGGCGGCGACACGCTCTGGGCATCGGGGTATGAACTGTACGACCGGTTCTCGAAGACGTATCAGACCTTCTTTGAAGGGCTGACGGCTGTTTATTCGGGCGACGGTTTCGTCAAGGCTGCTGAGCGCGATCCAGTCGCCAACAAGCTCTACGCAGAGGCTCGTGGTAACCCGCTGAATTTCGGGACCGAGTTGAAGACTGTTCATCCGGTTGTGCGGACAAACCCTGTTACAGGGTGGAAGAGTATCTTCGCTGTTGGGCCGTTTCCGACGCGTATCAACGAGCTTACGCCTGACGAGTCGAGCGAGCTGTTGAAGAAGTTTCTTAATACCGTTGTTGAAAGTCATGATCTTCAGGTTCGGTTCAAGTGGAGAAACGAGAATGATATCGGTAGGTTTCTACTTATCCCGCTATGCAAATTATAGCTTTACCTGGCTCTGGCTAATCTTGGTTTTTTTTTTTGCAGCTATCTGGGATAACCGGTCTGCTTTCCATACTGCCACTTTTGATTATGAGGGTCTTGGTGAACGATTTGGTCATCGGGCTGTTGGCATTGGCGAGCAGCCGTATTTGGATCCCAACAGCAAGTCCAAGGCTGAAGCTGAAGCTGAAGAGCTGCTGGCCTAAGAGTCTTAAGGATTAGCATCTATTAAAGGGTTGTATTTGAAGTATTAGATATTCAATTCCAGTTTGCAGTGTAGTGAGTCCAGTCAATGAAAATAGTACTTGGGAACACATGAAGTTCATCACATTTCGATTCTGTCTCTATCATACGACATAGGCTACACCTACAGACTTCAGTTAAGCCTCCGCAAACAGTTATCCAAAAAGTTCCAGGCCGAGAAAGATAAAACGCCAATGATATATGATGCATGGCAAAACACGGTGGGATCATAAACAGTCCAGGATGCACTGCGCTGATTGATTCCCATCCAGAACTCATGTACCGAATCGAAAGATGAAAAAGGTAACAAAGGTTAAGATATAGAAATGGGGGGAGGGGGATCGACATTGAATAGAAAGAAGACAAGTCAAAATAGACAAGTCAGGAAATGAGACAAAGTTGTCTATCAAATGGGAATCAATATTCTTTCATATAACCAAAGACATGCTCTTTGACAAACGGACCCCCCCCAATAGGAAGGTGAAAAATAAAAGATAAATAGATAAATCATCTCGACTTATCCAGGGGCAACATGAATTATCGTTGAAGACGCCAAACACCGAAGTTCATCGGAAAGTGTGTCTGAGTGAGATCCGCCAGGTTGATCCCCTATAAATATGTCTTCAGACGAAAACATGAACCAAGCAGTCATAAAAAAATAAATGCACGGCTAGTAACAAGAACTTGTTCCCAGTCGAGTTGGGAAATGAGGTTTTTAGTCGTTCAAATCGTTTAGAAGGGGAAGCCACCGGGGAAGCCTTGGCCGCCGCGGGACTGGCCACCTCCAAAAGAGTGGCCGCCGCCAAAGCCACCGCCGCCGCCGCCGTTCATCATGTTAAAGAGGATGTTGGGGTCAATGTTGATGTGGGAGCCGTTCATGTTCATGCCTCCCATGCCGCCCATTCCTCCCATACCACCGCCACCGAACATGTCGTTGGGATCAATAAGGTCGTCTCCGTTATCGTAGGCAGCGCGCTTCCTATATAGGTTGTTAGTAAAAAAAATTAAGTGACATCGTTGAAGCAGTCAACCTACTGAGAGTCACTTAGGGTTTCGTATGCCTCGCCAATCTCCTTGAATTTCTCCTCGGCGTCTTCCTGATCAGGGTTCTTGTCAGGGTGGTATTGGATGGCCATTTTGCGGTACGCCTTTTTAATCTCTGTTTCGTTGGCATCCTTGCTAACCCCAAGGATCTTATAGTAGTCCTTGCGTTGAGACTTCTTGAGCTCAAACTCAGCACGGCGGATGTCGTCGGCGATGCCACGCTCGCTGGGGTTGTTCTCAGCGACACTCTTGTAGTCACGAATAGCCTCCTCCCAGTTCTCGGCACCAGCGTAAGCCTTGGCACGAACTTTCATGGCCTTGATATATGCGGGATCCAGGCGCAAAGCTTCAGTGCAGTCCTTTACGGCAGCGTCGTACTCCTTCAGGTTGGTGTAGGCTTGAGCCCGGTTCTGCAGTATCTTAGCGTTCATGTCCTTGTTGGTCGGGTCAACTTCGAGAGCCTGGGCGTAAAGCTCGATGGCACGGCGATAGTCTCCGGCCTTGAAGGCGGCGTTTCCTTCCTCCTTGGTCCGGCTGAGTTTCTGAACAATGCGCAGCAACTTAACGGCCTGCTTCATGTCCGGGTCCAGCCCAAGGCACATCTTCAGCAGCTTGGCGGCCTGGTCAGTCTCACCGGAAGCGTAGAAAGCCCGCGCGCGAATCATCAAGGCATCCGGGTCTTGGCTGTTCTCACGCAGGAGGTTGATTGCGATATCCTGGGCCTTGCCCAGCGAGTTACTGTTATTCATCTTGAGCTGAGCCTCAGCGCTTATCAATGTCCACTTGCGGGGCTCCTTAACACCCTGTCCGAGCCCTTGGCGAGCTTGATCAATGCAGAAAATGGCCATCGAGCCACCGCGATTCTCGGCAAGTGTCTCCTCAGCCTGTGTGATGTACTTTTGCATCTTTTCAGCGGGGGCGCGGTCGGTGGCAGTAGCGGGAGGTTGAACACGCGACAACACGTTCAGAGCCTCTGTCGGGCGACCCAGGCTTGTCAAGATCTTAGCCCATCGGTGACTGATCTTCGCATTGGTAGGGTCAAGTTCGTGAGCACGCTCGATGTCCTCGAGGGCGTTCAGGTATTGTTTAGCAGACATGTGGGCCGCGGCGCGGTTGGACAAGTAAGCCGACGAGTTGGGGTTGATCTCGATCGCTGTAACCGGGAGGGGAAAAAAGAATGAGTTTCTAGAGAAGTAATGATATCGAGATTCGAGACTAGTGACCTACCTTTGTTGTACTCTTCAATGGCACGAGCATAGTTGCCATCTTTGAAAAACTTATTACCAGCCAACTTGAAAGAGTCCGCCTCGTCCGATGTAGAGTTGGAGCGGTGAGGAGGGGGAGTCGGGCTACGCTCCTCGGTATTCTTCACGGGCTCTTGGAGATCAATGTCCATAGAATTCTCATCGCGAGAAGCCGCCATGGCTGATAATCGACGACGAAGCTCGTCAGGAGGGAGATTGAGGGGATGGAGGTCCTGGTCTTTTGTAGACCGAGCACCAAATTTAAAATTAGGAGAGATGGGATTAGAATGGGACGAGGTGCGACTGTGAGAAAAACGGTTCTTGGTGGGGGACTTGGAAGAAGACTTCGAGGGAGACTTTGAGGGAGATTTGGAGGGAGAGAGTGTAGAAGGCTTGCGAGAAGTGGAGAAGGAAGTTCGAGGGGAGGAAGATTCGTTCAAAGTTGGTTTAGTCTTATCGACTTTGTCTTTCTCCTTGTCCTTATCCTTTTTGAAAATGTGGGCGAGTTGAACCATTCGTGCGTTTGGCTGGTTTTTTTTTTTTTTTGGGGGATCGAAGGACGGCGAAGGCGGTAGAAGCGCCGAACCGCGGAGAAGGAGGAATTCAATTTCGACTTTCGACCACGGTTGCGTCTTGGTCTGTCTGTTTTTGAGTCTGTCTGTTTGATAGATGTTCCAATTCAGAGAATAATCATGGTCTTCTCAAGTTTCACGGTTTCAACGGTTTCAACTTCAGTCTAGATCGTGGATATACCTAGGGTATACGAATGCACGGAGTGGACTGGTTCGAAGGGGTAGAAAAGAAAAGGAAAAGATGACACTTATGTACTTTACTACTTTAATAATCTCATTATATTATCCTTGTTTTTCTTTTTCTTCCTACTGGTGGGCTCAATATCCAAGAGGCTGGAGAGCTGCTGGCCTGTGTTAGCGCGTATAATGACCGGAAACATGTACTAGGTCGCTAATCATTTCCTGACGTTGCAGAGGGGGAGAGACTAGTTCAATCAAATGCCTTAGGCTTGTTTTTTCACTTCTTTCTCCGACTCCTGGTAACATAACCTTGGAAGTTGGGGCTATCACGTACATTGGTGGAGCAGTGGAGCCGATATGCAGTTTGCTATGGCTGTGCAAAAGGCGAGAGTAGTCAGCCCACTGGCATTCGTGGACTTGTTCAATATGGATCAGATATATGACTGAACAGACGAGGTGATATCAAAATATATTTTATTGTATACTAAAATATAATCTCAAGTCACAGGGGGTATCAAATCGATGCCTCAACTTCGAGGCACATACATGACTTTGTGTTTTCATTTGGGTATTTCATCCGATCGACATCCGATTGTGCACGCGTCGGGCAACAGCATTCCATTTTGACAACTTGACTCCCTCATTGCTCTCGTTATGCTCTGTTTCGGCGTGTGCATTGTTATGATAAAATCGATCCGGCGTTAAGGTCTGCAACCGTGCTGGCGGTTGACTAATTGGAGTTTGAGTCTGATAATATGTGTATGGTGGTGGGGGTGAAGATGGTTCTGGTGGAGGTGAAGTTGGTCCTGGCGGAAGTAAAGTTGGACCTGGTGGAGGTAAAGTTGGACCTGGTGGAGGTAAAGTTGGACCTGGTGGAGTTGATGTGTTTATAGATATATAGTCGGCGAATGTCCAGATCCTTTTCTCTTCATTCCAGATGAGAGGGGCACTCTGTGCTCGTCGATGGTCAACATTTCGATATGAGAAATTAGGCGAGGATCGAGAACGCTCAGAATATAAGACATCTTCGCGTAGAGTCATGTCACTGGGATGGCCTCGACCTCTGTTGGCTGACATCCGTCTCACGTCGCCGTTATTTGTGCTCCAGTTAGAGTTTGTATAAGACGTTCGATTGTAATTGTTCGACGTGTAACTTGACTGGGATAGTGTTGATTCTGCTGGTATATGTGGGAGAGGTTTTGAGCGGACGAAATTATCGTAGTGTGCATTTTCGGTGTCTGGAGTTGGAGGCTCTTCAAATATAATCGGTACTGTTGAATCCTGTGGACAGATGACCCTACTGTTGACAAAGAGAGGGCCATCTAAGGAGGAAATGTCCATGCTGACTGTGGAACTGACTCGGTTGGAAACTCGAGACAAATGGATCAACCGGCGATAGTTCCAAGGTTCCAGGGTTCCAAGATTGTCAGCAGAACATGGATTTGAGTGTGATGAGTGGTAGTTTATTTCATTATAAAAAGGGAGAAAAAAAAAAAGGGAGCAGGAGCCTATAAATCAACAAATATCAACTTAGTGTGATGCGGGCCATTCGCAAGGCTTCCTGTCACGCTCCGGATTGGACCGAAATGGAGCTATCCAACTCCTTCTCCTAATTCAATTGGTTTAGTGAAAGACTGCGGATACAACTTATATTGAGCCTCCCGAAATCCCTTCAAAATGGGGCGGAGCAACAAATCAAAACAGGGCGATGGGGTTAAGATTTCCACAAAATGCTTAGCATTTCGCTTGCAGTTTCCAGAAGCTGTCATTAAAATCTCTCACCGTAAGTTGTGTGGACCTCCAAGGCATTCTTGCATATATCATATCTACTATGTATACATCTGCCCAGGTGCTCAAACCCTACTTGCCCGATAGCCGAAACACGCCCCAAGGATGTAATTAGGAGTAGTTCGTGTGAATGGAAGTTTCAGATTTCAAGTAAAGATTCAAGGTGTTGAATCATTCTTTAATTTGATTTGCGCCCTATAATAAGGTATGGAGTAAAAGGAATCGTTCTGTTGTGTATACTTGTGGATCACCTCCAGAGCTATTTTTGGCTAACCAATCAGAAGTTCCAAATATACAGCGTCTTCTTCTATCTTGCTCTATTCTGTAGATATTTCCATTTGGATTGAATTGTTGAGTCTCTAATGATCTTAAGTCTTCATATCTCGATATTATGTTATCTGAGATTTGTAGCATTTGTGGCTTACCGAGATATTCGATCAATCTGACTTTGGAGTCGAAGGATCGATGGTGGAGGCTGATGTACAATTGGCATTGAACTAGAAATTCTAAGTACAATTTTAGTATAATTCTTATCCAATGCTACTGCATACTAGTCAGGTACGCATCCTAGGGAACAGAATTCTAGGGGCTGTGGATATGCATGCATGTCACAGCGTACATGGAAGCGAGAAAGCAATTACCTACCTAGGTGCAGGATTGCTTCATATACATGAACTACTAGAACATAACAACAAAGGCGTCGGGACTCACCCATGACATCATGATATTTTATATTTTCTTCTCTACCCGCAGCCAACAGGGGCTGTCAAGTAATGAAAAAAGGTAGACAGAAGTCAAGAGTGATAAAAATCACAATTTTGGTTTCAAAATTTACTTAGTCGCCGGTGAAGACAGCTAGGTAGGTATAACTGATAGCTTTCAGTCAGCAATATGTAACCTCAAATTTTGAACTTCTTCATTGGTCTCTATACCTAGGTGGAGAATATTGCAGTCCTAGTAACTAGGGAGAACCTCGGGTAGAATATTCCAACTGATAAAGATAATATATATGTAAATTGGTACATACCCTCGGCACTCAAAACCGGCATTATCCTCTGTCGACAGCCCCTGGAATATCAGATTGAGTCTATTCCTTTAGTAGCTACTAACAATCATTGTCTTTTAATGAAACTATCTAGGTTTAAAAAAAAAAGGAAAGAATGCAAAGTGGTATATGTTAAATTACAGGATTCGCCAGAAGCATTGAAATGGTGAAGTGGTTTTACATTAAGGTCATGCTCAAGCCAGAGCTTCACACAACTCCTCAGCTATCCAGGAAGCCCAATAAGATATGTATCAATATGAATATAAAAAGAACCGTGGGATAAGTGTATCCAATCAAAAGCAAGTAACAAAGATAAATGGCCAGGTAAGTCACCGAGACCGCATGTAAATCACAAGAATAACGTCCCCTTTCTACTCATTCCGTTCTATACTATAATCTAGAAGGTTGAACCAGCTAGATCTAGCATTTTAATTCCATCTAGGATGAAATCATTTATGCGAGGAAGAAAGCGGCGGCGGCGGCGGCACCGGCGAAGGTGAGGGAGCCGGTCATGGCACCAGCACCGTTGAAGACGGGGGTGGCAGAGGCGGAGGCAGTAGCACCGACGCTGTTGATATGTCAGTATATAGTTCAGTTGAATTATTTCATATTAAAATAAGAAGTATTTACCTGGTAACGGGGCTGGAGACAGCACCGGAGGGGCTGGAGCCAGAACCGACGGGGGAGACACCGGTGGGGGTGACGGCAGCAGTGTAGGTGAGGGTGGAGTAGGTCACGGTGGGAATGCAGGTGGAGACAGCAATGACCGAGGTGTAGACGGAACCGCTGGGGGAAGAGCCGACGGCGCCAGCACCAGTGGGGACGCTGCTGGGGGCAGACCAGGCAACGGGGCTGGAGGGAATGACGGAGGACTCAGGGACAACAACGGAGCCACTGGCAACACCAGTAGCGGCGGCGGAGGAAGAGACAACGGGGGTGGTCTCAGCAGCGGCACTAGTGGTCACGGCAGCGGAGGCAGACTCGGGGACAGCAGTGGAGCTCTCACGGCCAGGGCAGTTGGTGATGCTGGCAGCGCAAGAGATCTTGGTGACGAGATCAGTCTGGTAGACGGTAACCTCTTCTCCACTGGGGAGGGCGGCGACCAGGCCAGCGAAGAGGGCAACGGTAGCAGCAGTGAAACGCATGTTGATTGATTTGGTTGGAAATTTACGTAGAAGTAAGATTGGTTGGGTTTTAAAAAGCGAGTTGGCTTAAGAGCGAATGCTTGATAGTGGGTTGAAAGAGTGGATGACCGAAGTCTAGAGAGTGACAGTTGCAAGGCAGCGAAGTGATACTTGAAGAAGAAAGAAAGAAAGAATGAGGGTGGAAACAAGGTGCCCTTTGTATGGAACCAGGGAGATTAGGCTAAGAGAGATCAACACACTGTTTTCCCCCTACGAAAAGAGAGAGAAAAAGGGGAACTCGTCATGTCTAACTTTACTTACGAAATGGGTAATGGAAGTGGCCCCGAGTGGGGCAATGATTGGGTTCGAAATTGGTATATGATACTTGTCTATTTGCAGTGGAGATAGTAATAAGACCGAGTCAACAGGACTTTGTGTGCACAGCCATTGAAAATGGGTCCCTGCATACAGTATTGTGATAAGCCATAAGCCATGTCGGTAATAAACAAGTTTGTATTTTATTAGCCGCTAACAAGATTGCACCATAGAGTTTCCTCATGTAGATCTTATTTTGAGACCAAAATAGACCTTACTTACTGTGTTGTGGTTGAATATCAAATGTCAATCGAGTACTCCTTAGATCGAGTATAAACTTGATTTCCCTCTTTTCTTTTTCTTTCTCTTCCATTTCCGTATTTAGTTGTATGATCCTCATGTATTGATCATCCATGCTCTAGTGGTTTCAGTTCACTTCCCCGTAAACCAACCGTAGCAACGCCCGTTCCTTATAGTGTCCACTATTAGGTCCACTTTACCCCTGAACATCCCGCTTGATTCTCTTACTCAACTCAACCTCTAACAATGTCGAAACTTCAATTGAATTCATTAACTAACTCAATTTCAAACTGAGATCCAAGCTCATTTCTTTGTAACGGAGAGGAATTCCCGAAAGAACATATTTTTCATTGGTTGTTGAGTACTACACGCCAAGCATAAGTGCTCCATACTCTCTCCCCTTATGTCTTATCCAAGTGGGTATGTTCTCATATCACCAGGTGTCTAAGCTTCTAAGCTTCTCTATTAAGTGTACGGAGTAAGTTCTTTGATCTGGAATACTACCATGGATGGCGCTAGTAAATACCCTATGGTATTAGCCACTGTACGGTGAGATGAAGAAGAGGTAGGCTTGGCTTTAAGCTTGGATCCTTGGATCCTTGGGTCCGCTGTCTGGGCGCTGTCATGCCGCTGTTGTCTTATTGGATATAATAGTGTGCACAGAACGGTGTAATATTGGTGTTATTATGAGCGATATCAATACAATTTCCAAAGGTTCCAATGTTAGCATACATTGACAGTAAGAGACCCTGAGTGCCCCGAAGTTGAGGATTATAACAATTAGGCCCGTGCCCTTGCCCGGACTAGAGCCTTTGATCCATTTGTTTTGTTGAAAGAGCCAATGATAGAGTTATGCGCGTCTCTCTCCTTCTGGTTCAAAATTTGGTACTTTACAGAGTATAGGAGCTTCAAATAAAGAAGACTCGTGGCGCCCCATTCTCTCCACATTCCAACACTATTGACAGCTCTTAGATCTCACTGGACTTTATTGCCTCCCCCTTTTTATCTTTAGATATGAGTGGACCTTGACTTCTAATTAAATCTTAGTTCCAAGGTTAAAGATTATCTAGCTTCGAGGTTATTGGGTCATGTGTGATATTCAGACAAACTAAATACTCCATAGCTATCTATAATATCCGATTTAGCTATCCGAGACATTGTTCATAAAGAAAGAAACCTTGGCCTTGAGATAATAATAAGTCGGGGCTTGAATAGTCGCAATTGTAGTTTGAACTAGCTTGCACTGTGCTATCTATCAATCCTGGTACGCACGCGCGTAATGAAGCTTGTTCTCTTGGAAAGGGGCTGGTGACAGAAACAACAGACTCAAACACGGGTACATCGGAAAAAAGGCGATCATTTGCCTTTTCTGGTTTCTAGACCACAATAAAGCATTCCAAAGTTGAATTTTGCAGTGTGCACTGAGATGAATCGCGGGGTGGACGGTACAAATTTACTCCGAAGTTCACCCGGAGAACTCTAGGGCACATGACTATGAAGTTGTACAGATCAGAGTCAAACCCGACCCCTGACAATAAGACCTGATGAATTGCAGAATCATCCTTTGAAGCTGGGAATAAATTAGAGTTCTATTTGGATATCTCTGACGGTCTTGGTGATGGCTCTCCGGATATATACTCAACAGCCTGTTAGAGACTATACCAAAAGTCGACAGGAACTTTCAGGGTTATTACCGAAATATGGCGACAGTTCAATTTCGAACGAATACTATGGAAGTTCAGTCGATTATAGTAAGCAAGAAGGCACCTGAGCAGCTCCCAAAACCGGAATAAGACACATTTGATCAATTGAAGGCCTCCAGGATTCTTTCTTATCTCCTCAGGGGTACAATTTAGGTAATAGGTAGGTAGCATAGCGAGTTATACTCCAAGTACAATTCCAAGTCTGCGGGACTGGAGGAAACTGCTTACCCCCGTGATAAATTGATATCTGCAAGATAGCTTTTTCCCGCTTGCCAAGTGGTTTCCAAGATATACTATTTCGACTGCTATTAACTACTTTAAATTGCATATTGCTTGAATAGTCGTGTGCCGATGAGACATACCTAGGTATGGATCAAGGTACAATAGCAGGGCTGTGACCTGTGACGAACGGTACGACGAAGTACTCCATGCAGTCTCCTGATCTCCTGCAAGGGATTCGGCCAAGAGTACTTTTCAATGCACACGCATGCGTTGCCACTCAACTCAAGATGCCACTGGCCGAGACCATAGAGGCAAGAAGCACTTGCCACTTTACTATGCACTATGACACAGTCTAGACTGATTTCCATCAAGATGAAACCTTGGCACGGCCACATCTCAGGCTATAAAGCCATAGCTCAGGCTGTAAAGCCACATCACAGTCTAGACCTGGTAGACTAATTGAGATCCATACAGTCCATTTTAGCAAACTCCGTCGAAATTCTCTTAGTAGTCGGTTTTCTCAATGTGTATTGCCTGATCCCACTATCATCGCCAATGATGTAATGATGAATTTACTGAATACCTAGAACATTGCAAGCGCCGATGATGCTCTCTATTATTCCTGGAGTGGCTGAGCCACAACCTGTTAGGGCTGAACCATTCCAAGCGCATAACCGTGATCGGTCACTTACTACTGGCCCAATTAGTGACCCGCTTGGTTTATGTACTTTTGCCATAAAGTGACAAGTGAGTGGGGTGTCAACCAGACTCGAGTGGAGATAATGAGCTGGCATGGTGGAGTAGAAGGGTTGTCGCGGCTCCTTTTGAATTAGGCAGAGATATAATCCTGAGTTAGGGCAAGGGTCCATAGATCATTCTTGATATCAGGTGGAGTTGGGCTATCAGGAACCAAACCAACAACTTCGAGTCCTAGATAGCCCTAGAGTACTCTCTCAAAGTACAATACTTCCATAGTAATATACTGTGACAGATGAATAGACTTGTAAAGATAGAGATCGCTAGTGTTTCAGTTGAGGCGCCTTCTGAAACAGCCCCGCCCTTAAAGACCCGATCTCTTCGTGTCCCACTCGGCGGCTGAGTTGCCGTCTATTAATATTGAATGATATTCTTGGCCATTCCAGACTTAACTGTTCCATTATTTGATATTGAGTCCTTAAAAGAACAAAAGGGAACGGAAAGAAGTTGACAGGTGGACCCCAATAAAACGGTTTTTTTCTCCCCGAGTCACCCGCTAGTCACAACTTCCCCTCTCTCTCTCTCTCTCTCTTCTTCTCCTCTGCCACTCGTTTGTTCTTCTTCCTCAACACACTCGCTTTCTCGACTCTTTCAGAATATCTACACTGTGGCTACTCTAGCTGATCCAAACGAGTTGTTTTTGCCTGGTGATAGGCAGAATAACCTGGCCATGTCTGTGCCGCTCCTTCGACCGCCGGTTCCCGGCAGCAGGAGTAACACTCCAAGAGCTCCAAAACTTACTTTGGGGATTCCTCCGTCGCCAAATGTCAAACCTGTCAATGGCAATGGAGTCCCTGTTGTGTCCGTCGCACCACCCCAATTTCAGTCACATCAGTCTTCTCGACCCGCCCCACCCCAGTTGCGCTTAGCGACCCCAATGGGTAGCAGCCAGAACGTCTCTCAGCACAATGTGTCAAATGGTCGGCCCTCTTTACCACCGCTTCAGGTGTCCACAAACGGATCAGGTATGAATGGCCAACCCAGTAGTGGTCCAGCATCAGCAAACTCATCATACTCTACGCTATCTGTAGCCATGGGACTCCGCCAGTCCTCGAGCGGCAACTCAGACCCGTCATCAGCGATTAGCTCGGTATACTCGGAATGCGATAGAACGATGGAAGGCGAAAACGGCGTCAACGGATTGCTTCCCAACTTGGATAAATTGAGTTTGGAGATGGGTCGACCGCTCGATGTGGAGGATCTGGACGATGAAGGCTGGCATGCGGCCAGCGAACAAAACATGATTGTCGAACTGGGAAGTCTGGGTGAAGGTGCCGGTGGCGCTGTCACCAGATGCCAACTCAAGGGTGGCCAGACTGTCTTTGCGTTGAAGGTGAGTCAATTGTCGGACATGGATTCATCTCCTGGAAGAAGAGAGAAAGAGTTCGTGGCTAATATCTGTTTCATTAGATTATAACCACGGATCCGAACCCTGACGTGAAGAAACAAATTGTCCGCGAACTTAACTTCAACAAAGACTGTGCCTCCAACCATATCTGTCGCTACTATGGTGCTTTTATGGATAAGTCCACTGGCACAATCTCGATCGCTATGGAATTCTGTGAAGGTGGAAGTCTTGACAGTATCTACAAGGAAGTCAAGAAGCTTGGTGGGCGTACTGGGGAGAAAGTACTCGGCAAGGTCTCAGAGGGCGTGCTCAATGGGCTGACCTATCTGCACAGTCGGAAGATCATCCATCGCGGTATGTTCACCTGATAGAACACCAGAAAGCGTCAGCTCACTAATTCTCAACAGACATCAAACCCTCCAACATCCTTCTTTGCCGCAATGGCCAAGTGAAGCTTTGCGATTTCGGTGTCAGTGGCGAGTTCGGTACTAAAGGCGATGCAAATACCTTCATCGGTACCTCCTACTACATGGCTCCAGAACGTATTACCGGTCAATCCTACACAATCACCTCTGACGTCTGGTCCCTGGGTGTGACTTTACTCGAAGTTGCGCAGCACAGATTCCCTTTCCCTGCTGATGGAACCGAGATGCAGCCCCGCGCTGGATTAATCGATCTCCTGACGTACATCGTTCGCCAGCCCATTCCAAAACTGAAGGACGAACCTCAGAATAACATTCGTTGGTCCGATAACTTCAAGTACTTCATTGAATGCTGGTATGTACTTTCCAAATTAATATCCATTTTTGCTTTACTAACGAATTCTTCCAGTCTCGAGAAAGAACCCCCTCGACGAGCAACTCCTTGGCGGATGCTGGAACATCCTTGGATGCAAGATATGAAGAACAAGAAAGTCAACATGGCCAACTTCGTGCGACAGGTGTGGGGCTGGGAGGAGTGAACCAAAAGTCATTCAACCCAACATCGAACACCTTTCCTACAACCTCTTTTTCACCTACACTTACTTACTGTCATGGACTTTCCGGTTTTTGAGCATGAGTGGCTGGACCCTAAGGGTTGACCAGGCTGTCAACAATAACAACTCAAAAACACACCTACCACCATAACAATCACGACACCCCTAACATTCTTCTGTCTCATTGTGTCTCATTGTGTCTCATTGTCGGCGCTCAAATTTGCGTCATGTCATGATATTGAAGGTCTCCCGGGCCGGAACTCGGTCGAGCCTAATATCATTTTATATTTTTACTGTGATTCTCCATCATACCCTGTCATTGCTTTCATCAGCGACACGAATTCCTACCGGCTACGTTTTACCTAATACGATCCTTAACGGCCTGATTGATATCTACCTGGTGTTATCATTGCATTTCCTCGCTCCTTAATTCCATCACTTCACCCTCTTGTCCACTCTCTCTATATATCCTCTATCCCTTCCTCACTTCCTTCCCTCATCTCATGTCACATCTCGAGCCCTGGACATATCTATCATCTCTACATATGGTCTTCTTGTTTTTGTTCTTTTATTGGATTTTCATTGTTGAGCCTCTCATATCTTCAAGCTTTTCTTAGGGATTTCCTTGTTCTGGATCTGGATGTGGAATGTGCAAATGCATTGAAGTTTCCTCTTCCTTCAACATATTAAGTACTTGATAGCATTCCAGTCAAAGTAGTGAGTACAGGTGTGGCGTAGCTTAAGGAGAAACCTTGGAAGCCTTCTAATAACCAAGTAGAGAAGTATTCCCCGCATTAATTATCATGTATGGATGTAGGTATGACTACCTAGATATGGACTGAGAAGAGTAGCCTCAAATTTGGTAGATATTCTGGGGAAAATATCACCGACTACTTATTGACTGGCTCAGCACCCAAAACCCAACCGATTCCGCTCGCCAAACCACCCGTCACTATACTACTAACCATATCCCTCTTGCGCACACGACCATCCGGTGAAAGCGCAGATTCATACTCACTAGTATCACCGCCAGTCGTGGTCTCAGCTCCAGGCCCAGCTCTAGGCCCAGAAGTAGAAGCAGAGGCTGCACCACGCAACGGGAATGCATTCTTATGCAGCGCTAGCGCCGCACCGCGCGCAACCTCAAAGAGTCCCATTGGTGCCTCATGCGGGTGAGAATGCGGCATTGCAGCACGCGCACGAGCACGTCTAGTAGCTCGCTGCTGCGCTGTGTCAAAGGCGTCACGTTCCGAGTCTGATGGGCCGAATCCGCCCGGTAAAGTGGAGATGGTATCTCCCTTCGAGTCCCATATGTCTTCTTCTTGCTGCTCGCTTGCGCGGAGGGAAGACATTTCCTCGTCGCAGCGGCGCCAGCCGCCTAGGATCTCGGGCAGAGGGTCTGGTGATGGGACGAGGACGAGGGCTAGAGAAAGGAGTTCCATGCGTTGGGAGAGGTGGGTTATTTGGGCTTGGAGGGATTTAGATGTGTTTGGTGTTGTGGAGCGGTAGCGGCCGGCATTGTAGACTGCGCGCCAGGAGATATCATCTGGGATGGATGATGTATTTGAGGGTTGAGAGGGTGGTGGGAGTCGTGTTAGGATGTAAGAGTAGGCAGTCCCGAAGTCATTGGAGTTAAGGGCTGAGGAAATTGCGAGAGAGATGATGCGACGTTCCGCTATGGCAAGCGTGTCTGCTTCTGAGATAGTTTCTCTTAAAAGGTGGGGTTCTGTACCATTTGATGTCTGTGGCGTAAGTAGACCGGCAAAGACCAGATTTCTTCCAATAGAGAGCAGATCATCCAGTTTGGTGTAGCTTTTGGCATTTTGCTCGAGCACTGTCTCGACCAGCGAGATGGGATCATGGTGTATGCGGATGCTAACTGGTTGGAATGGGACACCATGCTGCAGGGTCAGAGAGTAAAAAGATAAGGCGTGAGTTGCAGCTATAAGAGCATTGATCTGCTTGAGCGAAACAGATTCTGGAAAATGCGGTCTAAATGCTTGCAGGCTATGAGATAGTTAGGACTATGCCAAATATGATCCAATACAGCTCCATGATCCAGACTTACATTTCATAGGCTCTTTTCATTCCTCCGCGAGTTTTATTCCCGTTACTAGCATTGTCGAAGGCAGTGAAGAGGGCCTCAACTACAGTAGCTTCCACTTGTGTTATCGTCAATGGGGTGGGGTTGGACTTGATGTAAAGATCCACAGCCAGTTGATATTCTTGGAGAGTGTTAGCATTTGACATAATTTCATAGAAAACGTGGTGCGCACCTCTAGCTCCTAGGAGAGCTTTTAGAATCTCCATTTCAACCGTATCTCGCGAGACTCGCCAAAACAGCCCCTGATGAGTGGATGGCTCATCCCAGCCAGAATCTGATGGCCCTACTTGCCAGTCTCGAAGCCAAAGCAGCTGCTGGCGAACTACTTGCCAGTCTTGCTGCGACCGTGTTTGTTTCACTGCAGACGCAACCACATTTTTCAACTCTGCCATTTGCATGTCCTCGCTGCTGTGAAGGCAAGTGTTCGCTGCAGCTCGGCATTGGAGAAGATGGCCAAGGCTGGTTAAAATCCGAAGGGAGAGAAGAAGGGCGCTGAGAAAAGAGATTGAAGACGGCGAGGGGGTTGTCAGTGGGTTTTCAGATGCCAACAGAGCATTCTGCAGCAACGAGGCCCGAGTCCCCGATGAAATCAACCCTGTGTCATAGTCCACGGATGGAAGCCCAGACCCAATAGACGAATTGAGATATGAACATTCCTCTAAGCTGAGAAGCTGTGCAACTCGTTCCAATATTGCGAATGAACCGTCCAATGCGACTTCAGATGAGTTTGCAAGGGCATATACCACAGCTAGACCAGATTGAGCATAACGGTGCAGCAAGTCCTTTGCCGTGTCCGAAGGCATCTGTGAATCTGTAGGCTCATAGCCTCCTAAATCTAAGTCTCCGGGGCCATTCCAGTTTGTAAATGCACAGACAACACTATCCCAATTCACGAGACTCCGTGACAACAACCATTCATTCACATATTCCCACCCTGCCAGTTCGGCGGGACGTGGTTTCTGCGTTCCTTGTATATATGAGATCGTATTATGTTCAGCGGCTTCATTCAATCTGCGTCTCTTTGACCGCTTGCTACCATAAAGCCAGGGACCAACAAGTCCCCTCAAATTATTGACCAAATCCATTTTGTTGTTTTGCTCTGATGTAATAGATAAGAGAACGTTGATCGCGGTCTGATCATCCATCAACTCCAATGTATCGAGCGACAATGTGTCTTCGCGATTCGGGTAGTATTCGTAATTGAGTCGCAGTGCTGGTAAAAGGCTAGATATTAACCATGTTCGAATCACCGCGTCTCGCTCGTAAAATGGAAAAATAAGGTCAAGGATGAGGGGTTGGAGAGCCGTTTCGGAATCGATCAGATATGCTCGATGGATGAGAAATTGGGTGAGAGGTTGAGACGATATCACTTCATCGTCTTCTTCCTCTCGCTTCAATGGTAGTAAATGAAGCTTGCTAACGCGCTTCCTTGCTTCGAGCTCAGACAGATCTATTACGGCTGAAGTATCGATATCTTGAAGTTGAGAATTTTGAGAGTCGGAAGTCAGCTCTTGGAGCACAGGAACGTATTCTGAAGGCTGTGTGCTTTCAGGTAAGAATGTTAAGATTATTTGTAGAAGGCGTTCCAGCGGGAAGCACTGGGGGTGTTGCGCTCGCAGAGAAGGCAGAACTGCCACGTCGCCGCCTGCACAAAGAGTAGTCGCAAGTAGGATCGCATGAGCTTCTGAGAGTCCTTCAAGGAAAACCATGGCGATCAATTAAAGGAAAGAAATGGTAGATTTGGGTAGTCCCCTGCGCTCTTCAGAATGTAAAGTAGCGACGTCAACCAAGTTGCATAAGGCAAGGCGCACGGGCCAAGTCGGAAACGAATGGGCAAGCGTCGCATCCGCCGCCAACCTCACCACCTTCATTGTTGCTTCTCTCCCCTCCAATCCCCCAATTTCTTTCAATTCATCTCGAAAATGGCTTCCGGCTATGGTCTGAACGGCGGTATGTGTCGTCCTACCCATTTTTCTAGGCCTTGTGGCGAGTCCGCAGTAGTTTTTTAGCCGCCGGATCACATCTTGCGCAGGCTGTCCCCTCCTACTCCAATGGCGTTGACTCACCCATGATACCCTTTAGGCCCCGGCCGATGCTATCCCTTCTGGCAAGAGGTTCTCGGTTGCTACGTTGTGAACTCCGGCGAAGGTGAAGCCGGCAAGAAGAAGTGCACCCCAGCTCTGGATGACTACTATGAGTGCCTTCACCACCGAAAGGAGGTAGGTTTTGACAGATGAAATTATGACCTTCAGAATTTTTGAATTGGGAGGAGATTTCTGACATTTTCATTCTCATTATAGGCCCTCCGCACCATGAAGATGCAGTTTGCCTACCGTAAGGCCGAGGCTGCACACCCCCGCGAGAACGCCCCCAAGGCTGAGCAGATCCGCAGTTTGGGACTACTCGGAAAAGAAGAAGAGGCTACTGCTTTCCTCTCGCAAAACTGAAGGATATAACAAGATCATTGTTATAAAGCCAAGGGCGTCGTGGTTACGTTTTTTTTATTCCATGCGTGTGATGCCTTGTGTTTCGGCCCCGGAATATTTCCCCGGCAGCCTGACTGTATAGAAAGAAATGCTCAATTTGTTGGCCTACAGGCCTTGTGTTTGAAATGATACTCCAGTTCTATAACAAATCTGGAACCTTGGAAGGTATGATCATATACTTGTAACCTTTGGGATTGTGGTTGGATATGTTCTTCGCTTACAATTACCGGGAATGAAAGAAACGTAGCTACTCACATTGCCTAGGTGGTGAGTCTTGGAAGAGCTTGTTCCAAGATTAAACGTGGCTTTATCATATTGGTAAGGCTATATACTCCGACTACATCTATCTAGCTCTGGCGGTACGTCTATCTAAGTAACCTGGGTATCTCCGGGGAAATCTTGGTACGTACGTCTACAGGACTACTTCGGGAGGTACCTAGATATGACAGGCGTAGGCATCCAGCCTTCAAAGGTTCTAGGTACCTGCTGCCCAGGTGCATACATCTGAGCCTTATATTTATATCTCCAGGGCTCCAGGGTTATCACCCTTTTTTACTTTTTTTTCCCCCCTATGGGCTCTCATCTCAAGTTTTTGTGTATTCTCTCTTACCTCTCTCTTACCATGCAAGTAGTGTTTGCTGAGATTGAAAGTTTCAAGGTTGGCAATATATTCCTCCTCATTGGTAGGATAAACATCGTGATGCAGATCCACTAGTTAACTAGTTACTGCCGAGATCCCTAATTCAAGCTTCTCCAAGGACTACGGACAAGCATTAATTTGAATACTTAATGCCGTTTCTAGGTAATGGTCTTTGAATGTCTCTAATCACATACTTAGACGACCCCTTAGATAGGATCATCAGGGGAATTTGAGGGTATTTGGCATGTCTTGGCATTTCACTGAGTATCTGGGATGTAAAGAGTACGGTGGAGAGGAGGTGAGAGTTGAATGGATAGGTTCATTATGGAAGGAAAATGATAATGTTCTACCTAGGTAACCTGGAGAGGGCGAAGGGAGATGCCCTAATCAGACTAAAATCCAAGAAAAACGCGTCAGTCACGTGACCTATAAGTGGGGGCCCAAGCGCCTACTAGACCCGATATAGTTTAGTGTAGAAAAGCCAAACATGGGCCGGCGCGCCAGGCAAGAGCGTTCCAATGATATAAACCCGTTCCCCTCGACTCCTCTTGTAGTTACGATGCACTAAATTCCCCCTTCTGCTTAGTCATCCTCTCTTTGGTGTTGGGCGTTATCTCTTTTTTTACTATTATCTGATACAGATACACATTCACATTCACGTAAACATCATTCCATCGACGCGACTCTTCGCGTTTTCCTCAATTTTTGGTTTCTTTCACCATCGAGAGGGCTATTCCCTCGACACATCAGAGTGACGGCCCGCCATGACTTCTCGGTAAGTGTCTTCCTCCAATTATGACGCGCCGATCACATGACACTAACTCCACCATACAGACTCGACCGACTGGTCACGTGAGTACATTTATAACTATCTCACTTTATTGTCTAACCGATAATTGCAGATTACTTGAAACTGGCAGCACTCAGCTGATTCGAAACACTGCTGCTCAACAACTGGGTGATGTTCAGAGACAACATCCCGATGAGCTTTTCAACTTGCTGGGTCGTATTCTACCCTATCTGCGATCCAAGTCATGGGATACTAGAACAGCTGCTGCTCGGGCAATTGGGTTGATCGTCACGAATGCTGATATTTACGATCCTAATGAAGATGATGGGCTGCGTATTTCTTCTGCAGCAGATGATGACGAGGATCATGTCAAAACGGAGGTCAAAGAAGAGATCAAAGCAGAAGAAGCTTCCCTCGATCCAACCTTGCGACTTGATACTCTAGATCTAGCCGCTGTGTTGAAGCATGGTAGACGTTTACTCGGTACCGCTGGCAAGGAGAATGAGTACGCTCTGGCGGCAATGGCGACAATGGAACCGGCAGCACGTCTCCAGTCTCAGAAGAAAACCTTGTTTCACCGTTTGGGTCTCGCTGGAGAGTACACCGAAGTCGACCTCATTGAGAACAGCAGCGTCATCCCCAAACTAAGCAAGCCAACGACAAAACGAAAGCTATCGAGTATCACTGTTCACCGAGAAAACACCCTACAAGATGAGTCACCTTCACGGCCATCTTCGCCAGGTGAAACGCCCAAACAGGAAGAGGCTGGTCTCAGCAAACGTCAACTGAATCAGTTGAAACGTAAGAACAAGCTGAATGCCAAGTTTGGTGCTAATAAGGTCCGAGTCGTGGACTTGTCCGCCAGGCGACCCTCAGAAGTTGTCACGACTCCTGTCGTGGTGACTCCTCACGCCATCAAAGCCGAAATTACTGATGAGCAACTGAATGACGAAAACCCAGACTATTTTTCACTCGACCGATCTGCGGAAGACGACGATTCGAAAATTGTCTCGGAATTCAAAGGACCGATTGTACCCGAAAGACCGATGATTCAACCCGAGGTAGTTGATCAGGGGTCTGGATGGCCTCTGGAATGCATGTGTGAATTTTTAACCATGGACATTTTCGACCCGAACTGGGAGGTACGCCATGGCGCAGCGATGGCTCTTCGAGAGGTCATCAGAGTTCAAGGAGCCTCAGCGGGTCGTATAGACGGCAAGACTCGCAAAGAGAACGACGTACTCAATCGCAAGTGGCTAGATGATCTTGCCTGCCGCTTAATCTGTGTCCTGATGCTCGATCGATTCGGTGACTTTATTTCAGACAATGTTATCGCGCCCATTAGAGAGACTGTCGGTCAGACTCTTGGTGCTCTTCTATCACACCTACCGCCCACATCTGTCCGGCTTACCCATCGCTGTCTATATCGAATCACCATGCAGAACGATCTGGGCCTGGACCAACCGATTTGGGAAGTTTGCCATGGAGGTATGATCGGGTTGAGATATTTGGTTGCCGTTCGCAAATCCCTACTCATCAAAGACACTGGTATGGTGAATGGTGTTCTCGAGGCTGTAATGAAAGGCCTGGCCAATTTTGATGATGATGTGCGAGCTGTCAGCGCCGCAACACTTGTGCCCATTGCTGAGGAATTTGTGACATCATGGACCAGCTCCCTTTGTCCCCTCATGAATATTGTTTGGGATTGTCTTTCTAATATCCAAGATGACCTCAGTGCCAGTACAGGATCTGTGATGGATCTCTTGGCCAAGTTGTGTACATTCCCCCAAGTTTTGGATGCCATGAAGGAGAATGCGGCAGACGATCCTGAATCGTCTTTCGGCAAATTAGTTCCTCGCCTATACCCGTTCCTGCGACATACAATCACAAGTGTTCGTTCCGCCGTTCTTCGTGCGCTAATGACATTCCTGAAGTTGGAAGGAGAGGGTACAACGGATTGGTTGGATGGCAAGGCACTGCGCTTGATTTTCCAGAACATGTTGGTGGAGCGCAACGACGGCGTCCTCAAGCTGTCACTGGAAGTCTGGTCAGAGCTATTGAAGGCCGCTGAGAACCGAGGATTGTTTGGAGCCGATTCTGAACTCTTGGAATCTATTGAACCCTTGGTCACTTTGTCTCTCGGCCCCTTCGGCGTTCCTCGCTATCCTATTCCCATGAATACCAGCTTGTTCATATCACCCTCCGGCCGACCATTTGCTACGGTCGTCGCGCAGCTTCCAACCAAGGCCCTCTCTCCAGCTGCGACACCCGGCGCTGTTGAAAAGCCAAGCGGCAAAAGAAAATATGTGAAGAAAGAAGCACCTGAGCCGTCCCAATCAGTTCACAATGTGGATGGACACATGATGTCTGGAGACATTGATCTTGTCGGTGCCGATACGATGCTTAGATCCAAGATCTATGCTGCTAGGGGGCTTGGTGAATTGCTGTCTTTCTGGGATAAGCATGACCTTCCAAGTCTCTGGTCACCAATCTTGAATGGCCTTACCCATTCCGCGTCCAGTGCCCAGCTCTCTTCAGCCATGGTCATTACAGAGTATGCCCGTCTTTGTGGATCAGAGAGCAAATACGCAACATCCCTTTGCAAACCTCTGCGCTCAATTGTCGAAGGCGACCGGCCATCATGGTATTCCGATATAGCTTGCTACCTGCATGTCGCACGCGCTCAGTGCCATTCTCTTCTAAACACCTTCCGCGACCACGCCCATGTCCCACCCGCGCGCTTACCGACTCTGGCTGTTGTCGTTCAAGGAGATCCCGGGGCTGGCCCTAATGCATTCTCTCTGGCGGATGCCGAGAAAATTGTTGGGGCTGATTTCGATCGCTTGAAGAAAAATTTGACGCCTGCTCAACGGATCACTGCTACTCAAGTTTTGACCGACACACGCACTACTGCACAGTCGGCAGTCGATGATGCGCGTGGATTTAAAGAAAAGAGAGATATGCGCGTACTGGCGGCTGCTGCAGGTGCACTAGTCACCTTGCGAGACATTCCCAAGCGCCCGGGCCACATAATCAAGAGCATGATGGATAGTATCAAGAAAGAAGAGAACTTCGATCTCCAGCAACGTTCTGCAACCGCAGTTGCAAGCCTTATTGAGCATTACACTACTGCTACGAAACGTGGACCAGTTGACAAGATCTCAGGCAACTTGGTTAAATATTGCTGTGTGGATACATCTGAGACACCTGAGTTTTCGCATAATGCACAGTTGGAGAAATCGATCTTGTCTCTGCGCAAGGAAGAAGACCGAAGAGATCATCCTGATGCAGCCAAGTTCGAACGAGATGCCAAGGAGGCTCGCATCATGCGACGTGGTGCTAAGGATGCCCTGGAGCAGTTGGCTGTCAAATTTGGCGCAGAGCTCATGGAGAAGGTCCCCAACCTAGCGTCCTTGGTAGAACGCCCATTGAATGAAGCGCTGGCAGGTGAACTACCAGCAACGATCACTGATCCTGGAAATGAGCTCGGCCAAGAAGTTGTCGACGGCTTGTCTACCCTCCGGGCTCTTCTACCAAAGTTCAATACTGGGCTTTACCCATGGGTCATCAGTCTTATGCCAGTTATTGTCAAGGCTCTGCAATGCAGGCTTTCAGTCATCCGCTATGCGGCTGCCAAGTGTTTCGCTACAATCTGCAGCGTTATCACAGTGCAGGGTATGACGATGTTGGTTGAAAAAGTGCTGCCAAACATCAGCAGCGGGCTGGATGTTCACTTCCGTCAAGGAGTGATCGAGTGTATCTACCACTTGATTCATGTTATGGAAGATGGAATTCTTCCCTATGTGATCTTCCTTGTTGTTCCTGTGCTTGGTCGAATGAGCGACTCTGACTCCGATGTACGTTTATTGGCCACCACATCATTTGCCACACTTGTGAAACTCGTTCCTTTGGAGGCTGGAATTCCAGACCCGCCTGGATTTTCTGAGGAACTGCTGAAGGGACGAGACCGCGAACGTCAGTTCATGGCTCAAATGCTAGACTCCCGAAAAGTAGAGACATTTTCAATCCCCGTTGCTATCAAGGCCGAGCTTCGGCCATACCAGCAAGATGGTGTCAACTGGCTTGCATTCCTCAATCGTTATAATCTCCACGGCATTCTCTGCGATGATATGGGTCTTGGAAAGACTCTACAGACCATCTGTATTGTCGCAAGTGATCATCACATTCGTGCGGAAGAGTTTGCCAAAAGTCAATCCACAGATTCTCGCAAGCTTCCGTCATTGATTGTTTGCCCTCCATCGCTCTCAGGCCATTGGCAACAGGAGGTTAAACAATACGCGCCGTTTCTGAATTGCATCGCTTATGTTGGGCCCCCAGCAGAGCGTTCGCGATTGCAGGCGCTGCTTCCTCAGGCAGATGTGGTGGTAACATCATATGACGTCTGCCGTAACGACAATGAAGTGCTCAATCCGATTAATTGGAATTACTGTGTGCTTGATGAGGGTCATCTCATCAAAAATCCCAAGGCTCGGAACACAGTGTGTGTGAAACGTTTGCTTAGCAACCATCGTTTGATTCTGTCTGGTACACCTATTCAGAATAACGTGCTCGAGCTATGGTCTCTCTTTGACTTCCTGATGCCTGGATTCCTTGGCACCGAGAAGGTATTTTTGGACCGCTTTGCAAAGCCCATTGCAGCAAGCCGTTTCTCCAAATCCTCATCTAAGGAGCAAGAAGCAGGTGCATTGGCAATCGAGGCCCTCCACAAGCAAGTGTTGCCATTCTTGCTTCGTCGTCTGAAGGAAGAGGTCTTGAATGATCTACCTCCCAAAATCATTCAGAACTATTACTGTGACCCCAGTGAGCTGCAAAAGAAGCTATTTGAAGATTTCAGTAAGAAGGAACAGAAAGAGCTGCAAGATAAGGTGGGCAGCACAGAGAGAAACGACAAAGAGCACATTTTCCAAGCTTTGCAGTACATGCGTCGACTCTGCAACTCCCCTGCATTGGTTGTCAAAGAAGGCCACAAGCAGTACAATGAAGTCCAGAGTTTCTTGTCGTCTAAACGATCCAACATCCGAGATGTGGCACATGCCCCGAAGCTTTCAGCATTGCGTGACTTGCTGGTCGACTGCGGTATTGGTATCGACACATCTACTGAGGGCGAGCTAGACACTGGTGCAAGCTATGTCAGTCCGCATCGTGCCCTTGTTTTCTGTCAGATGAAGGAGATGCTAGACATTGTGCAAAATGATGTCTTGAAGAAACTTCTCCCATCTGTTCAATTCCTTCGTCTGGATGGTGGCGTTGAAGCCACCAAACGCCAAGACATTGTCAACCGGTTCAACACCGATCCCAGCTACGATGTGCTGCTTTTGACTACTAGCGTCGGTGGATTGGGTCTGAACCTTACAGGAGCCGATACCGTCATCTTCGTTGAGCACGACTGGAATCCGCAAAAGGATATCCAAGCCATGGACCGAGCTCATCGTATCGGCCAAAAGAAAGTCGTTAACGTGTACCGACTGATCACCCGAGGCACTCTGGAAGAGAAGATCTTGAAGTAAGTACTACCCTTCAACGAGCCAACTTGATGCATGCTAACCTATTCAACCTACAGCCTACAGCGGTTCAAGATCGACGTCGCCTCGACCGTGGTCAATCAACAGAATGCCGGTCTCGGCACCATGGATACAGACCAACTTCTGGACCTTTTCAGCCTGGGCGAAACGGCAGAAACAGCTGAGAAACCAAGTGATCAAACCGGCAACGAAGTCGATATGGTCGACATCGATGGCGAAGTCAAGGAGAAGGGAAAGAAGGGCTGGCTTGACGACCTCGGCGAGCTATGGGACGACCGCCAATACCAGGAAGAATACAATCTGGATTCTTTCTTGGAAACAATGAAGAGTTAATCGTCTTTAACTCGTTACTATACGCCAACATTGGAAACTGTTTCATCTCTATTTCGGTTTGGCCAGCTTCTCACTCTACTCTACTCCGTCATTTCCTCGCTCAAGCAAAAAGACACATGTCTTGAGCGCCCCCAAAAAATCTTGAACTCACCACGATCGTAACGTTTCACGTCCTATGTCTCTCTTCTCTACTCCTGTACCATATCTGAGTACAATATGCATTAGTAATAATCCTTGCTTTTCCTCGGATCGTTACTAAGTCCTGTTTTTTTGGGATTTGTGTTTCCTGTCATCTGTACCCATTTGTCTTCGACCCTTTGGTGAATGCATGTACTTTTAGCTCAAAAATTTCTGCCGCAAACACTGTAAAGAAGAATCCTTCCTTACCCTTGGCATATGGAACATAGCCTATGTTTTACAGCAGTTCTCTTCTCAAATAACTACATGCTTAACTCTCCTTAGAAAATTGTAGCAAAGAACCATATTGGCGTATTCGTGTCATTGTCTCATACCGTAAAATTGAAAAACAAGTAAGCCTCCCAATAAGACACATCACTTCTGAGAACCTGCATCAGACTAGATACCTGAAGCAGAGCTGGCTAGCAGCACGAGAACCTAGAGCTTGGAAAAGATAACAGGAGAAATAAAGCAATGTCACGTTCAACGCCATCGACAAATTAGTCAAAAAAGGAAAGAATGAAAGCAACTCCGACAGAAAACCGTAGTCGTGCCCAGACAGAATATTGCTTGGATAAAAGGTACCATAGATGCATGTTAATCCTGAGATCTCAAGGGACAGACCGGAGAGAGCAAAGCCAACATGTAAAATCAAACTGAAAGAAGAAAAATAGTCGGATTTGATGGCCGGCAAAAGTTTAGTCACATAAAAATAGCAAGAGATGTTGGTTTGTTTGTTGTCAATCAAAGGGGATAAACTGAGGTCGAAAAAAACAATGGAATGGAAGGGTCAATCGAGTGAAGCATGGTTAGGGATCGCTCATCGTTCATAGCACAGCGCGCCAGGCGAGTGCGTTCATTTTAATTTATGTTCAGTTTCGCGCCTTCGGCTTGGAAAGCATATTCAACCGACTCATTCTGAGCATGCCACGGGGCTTCTGACTCGCCGGAGTAGCAACTCGACCTGGCATGGAGCGGACAGGGGTCTTGATAGGTTGAGTCTTAACTGGGCTGGGAGTAGGCGGGCATTTCTTCAGTCTCTTAGGAGTACGTCCCACAGCGGGTGACTTATTCTCGGCATTCTCAGTTGTATGAACGTCGTAGTCATCGACCTGGTCTCTGTGGCGCTTTTTGTTGAGGATTCCATGAGCAATGCCATGGGTCACAACTGGAAGCTCAGAGTGAGAAGAGGCTGGACTGCTGGCATCCGAACGCCGAACGTGGCGAATAGAAGGTGAGGCCTCGACAGCGGCATTTTTTTCGGGTGTAAGAGTAGGTAGAGTGGGATAGGAGATGTTGGAGGTGTTGGAGCGGGATGGAGTTGTGGGAATCTTAGATTGAGAGGGGGATTCCTGGGCTTCCTGGGCCAGAGTATATCGAGACTTGACACTAGGTGTGAATTCAACATGCTTCTTCGGGGACGGCGTAGGGGCAGATTCGGTTTCCGGCTTAGCCGAGAAGATCGAGTCAGGGTTGAAATCAGGAGCTGCCAAATGTGTGCCAGCTGCGATTTTGGATGGATCACGAGAGAACAAGGGCTGGCGTTTGCGGAGAATGGACCGCAGGGCATTAAAAGTAGGCAAGCTGCTCTTGAAGCGAGGGTTGAAATCGGTACGCGGGGTGCGTGGGGGTGCTGCAACGTTAACGGCTGGAGATCGCACCTTTGAAGGAATCAGTGATGTCTTCGGTGCCCTCACGCTAGCCGTGGAACGCGACATTGATGCCCGAGTAGGAGTCATAAGGGAGCTGCGAATTGCGCGAGCGCGTGGAACAGCAGGAGGAGCGCGCGGACCCGCAGGCTTGCCAATAGTTTTCTTAATGTCAATTTCTTCCTTCTTGATACTGGTGCGGTTGGTCGAGGTGTCATCTGTGAGATTGTGCTTGACTCGTTTACCCGAGGCAGTAGGGGTGGAAGTTGCCCCGGGCTGTGCTGGAGAATGTGAAGACGAAGATTTCTCGTCCGGCTCGTCGAGCTGGGCCTTCGATTTCGTCCGCTTCAAGGACTTTTCCGTGGGCAGGAGGCGACCTGGAGTAGCCCGGAAGGACGAGGGATGTCCGGCAATCGAATCCATTTTCTTGAATTCGGCCATATGCACATCACTAAATCGTCCGGCCTTGCCTCTGGGCTTTGCGATCTTTCGGGTTCCGTAAGCACTCTCAGCCGCATGCTCTTGCTCATCTTTCTGTGCCTTATCTGAGATCATCTGAGCTTTAATTCTCGATACATCTTCTCGCACACTGGCCATCAGGAGCCTGGCTTCTTCACTAAGCTGAGCATCTTGGCCAAACTTGATCTCGTAGCCAGGAGTGCCGTATTGGGTGAGCCCGGGCGATGCTCTAGACTTGGAAGGGGTAGTATCAATAATTGTTTCTTTCACAATTTTGCCATCAGCATCTTTCTTGACGGGGTTAAAGCCGAGAAGCAAGCCCGAGTCAGGTTGCTTGGTAGTGCTTTGACGCGCCTTGCTGGGATGCATTTCTTGCCGAGGCGGACGAGGAGCAGACGCGCTAGTTGGAGTTCGTGTTTCGGTGATTTTCTGATGTTTTGTTGTCTTTGGGGTTTTCTGAACAGACTTCTTGGAGACGGGTGTGTGAGCATCATGAGCAGTGGTCTCATCGCGTTCCTCAACGGAGGACAGCTTAGCAGAAATAGCCGGTTGGCTAATCGACTCTTGAACCTATGAAATTTCACATATTAGTCAAGATCATACATACATACAGTGACGTCGTGAGAGGGGATTAAGCACGGGCGTTGCCTGGGTACGCACATCGGGGGCGGGAGATGGTTGAGCACTAGTGCTTCGCAGGCGCGCAGAGCGCCGAACCGCCATAGCTAAATACTAATAGTCCCGCTTTTGAAGAGTTTGAAATAAGGCTTGAATATTGATGAAGGGTAATTGTGGATGGGGTGGAGTGGAGAAAGACGTGGTTGACGGGGGGAAGCGAATCGAGAAGTAAACAACGCGTTTGACGTCACATGACTAATCATCTATCAGCTTATCAACTCCACTGCATATGTGTATCAAGTCACCTTTTTTTCTTTTGCCCTTTAGATATCAGATTAGCCGTTCATTGTTCTTTAAGAGATTTCAAGTCGAAGGAATATTCTAGACTAAGCTTACCTATGCTACTTAGGTACTTGATTTTCCTCTTCATGAGACTAACCGCAGGACCAATCGGATTTTAAGCTGACACTCGTCGTATCTCGAATTTTCAGCCTCAAGGTCCTTTGAATTCCATCCCTTGACGTGCTGAAGTTTTCAGGTCTTCACTCTTATTGTGCCCCCGCTCTCTCGATACCGATGAAATGGCATACCCCGAGCCACACATTCACAACCCTACAGGTGCCCATACACATACCTTTGTATTTCTCCATGGAAGTGGGAGCAGTGGTCCCGAATTCTGCGAGGAGATGTTCTCCATGGCAAATTCAAAGATGCTGAACTTGCCTCAAAGCCTTCCAACATGGCGGTGGGTTTTCCCATCCGCAAGTGTACGATGGCGTTCTAGGTTTGAACAAGACATGCCAGTATGGTTTGATTATTACTCCCTCGAGGATACAGAGGAGAAAAAAGAACTACAACTTGACGGCCTTCGAGAATCAGTCTCCTACATCCTCAATATCCTGGAACAAGAAATTGAGCGAATTGGCGATCCTAGCCGTGTGATACTCGGAGGAATTAGTCTCGGTATGGCGACTGCTCTGTGGACTTTACTTTGTGCACCAGGCCGGATCGAGGAACCACTCGGTGGCGTTGTATGCTTTTGTGGCTGGTTGCCATTTGTCAACCAAACGGAAGATTTGATTCAACGTCTCTTAGACACGGAGAGATCTGGCGTTTTTAGTGCGCTGGAAAGACAGCGCCAAGTATCGAAGTTGTTTTTTGATACTCTCTCTGGACTTGGCTTTTCACCAATGAAAGAAGACGCCAACACATCTGTGCTGCTGACACCGATGTTCCTCAGTCATGGAGTCGACGACGGCTTGGTACCAATTGAGCATGGTCGCCGGGCAGCTCAAACTTTGAAAAAAATTGACATACAGATAGAATGGAATGAGTTTTCTGGTGCTGAAGCTAATGGACATTGGATTAAGGAGCCTCAAGGCCTTGATCAAATTATGAAATTCATCGAAGACCATATTATGGACCTTTGAAGCAGCACGACTAAGCAGATGTCTTCTGAGCTTGAAGAAGTGCGCGAGATACATTGAATAACGAAATACCTAGTAGCTACATGAATGAATTAGTGATTAATGTATCACCTCTCGTCAAAATTCATCTCAGTTATGCTTCAGTTGTAGGTGGACCAATATACTTCTTCATTCCATATACCCAGTACCAAATAGTGGCCACAAGAGTAAAGGCAACGAAGATAAAGGGTACATAGTTCACAGTATCTGCGGTGGCTGGAATAACAGAAGACATGCAGAATAAGCCTACGCAGAGTAAGCCCCAAGCTGAGATAGATAGTTAATAAATTTCTAGCTGGAGACCAAGAACAGAAGCTTACTAAGGTCTATAACATTACAAAATACCCCCGAGCTTTCCTATGTCAAATGCTCCATTTCTGATCTGGATTCGACTCCTGATGAGAGAGATACTAATTAGAATTGCGTAGCTAACAGTCAGAGAGAGAGAGAGAGAGAGAAAACAAGGGTGGTTTGCAGTGATCTTGATATTTTCCTTATACTAAGCGAGAAACGGTAGTAGTGCATCCGATCCCACAAATGATGGATAGCACAATTAGGGGAAGTAAAAGAACAAATGCGCCTCCCGAGTTACCAACAGCGGATTTGATGATTCTCGGGACTGGCTGACCAGACTCAGAGCAATGAGATCTTTGAAGAAATACCAACCAGGTTAAGAAGGGAAAGTCGGCCACAGTGTTCATGATAACGGTAGCCACAATGGCTTTTGGTACTTGGATGGTTCCTAGACTTCTTCACACATCCTGGGAACAAAGTCAACTAAAGCTCTTGTATGTATTACTCACCATCTCCTCTTCGGAGTTCCTAAGAGAACTACAGATATCAGGATCTCAATCCTCTAGAGATCCAATATTCAATTGACCAATAGCTTGTCAGTGACACAGAATCTGACCCTATGACTCTAAGCTGAGACAGAAAGGGGGGAATAACCCTGGAATGGTGGAATATTTCAAAGTAGACGAGTATGACCCATGCATCGCACTTAGTTCAATAGAATGAAATCAATGTTTGCTGGAAATGTGGATTTTGGGAGCCGACTAGTCGACTCTTCATATTTCTTTTCTTTTGCAACGTCCAAGAGCAGCCTTTGAAGTAAGCAGGGCGCAACCGAGCTCCTGTGTTTGTCGACTTCAATATATTCAGTCTAAGATCCAGGCCTTCGGGATATCACGAGATCAAATTTTCTTTGTCTGCGAGAAGTAAAGAGCATCATCTTGCATATGATGTATCCACTCACATGTGCACATGACCGCTCACACATATCGTCGGAGAATACTTCCACCCTTAGGTTTGCTTTCAGCGGCTACGGCGCCAGCTACAAACCCTGGAAAGAGTCGACGATTTTAAAATATTCTGGCTAATGCAGGCCTCTGCGATCAATCCTCGCTGCCAATGGAGTAGGAAGGCCGTCTAAAAACTACTTATAGTCCGGCAAAGGTGCTAATATGGAATCTGGTTGCGAAAACATCCTGAGCTGATATTTTTCAAATTAACTCCCTGTCGATCCCGATATGCCCTTTTCAAGATCGTTGACTGTGGTTGGATGTCACGCTGAGGGTGAAGTTGGCGATGTGATCACCGGCGGAGTCCTCGACGTTCCAGGGAAAACAATGTTTGAAAAGCTCATTCACATGTCAACTCAGAAAGACCACATTCGCCAACTTCTCCTCAACGAGCCTCGAGGCCGTGCTTCAATGAACACAAACCTGATTCTCCCACCCTGTGATCCACGTGCAGATGCTGGATTCTTGATCATGGAGAGTGAAGAATACGCGCCGATGTCTGGCTCGAATATCATCTGTACGACGACTGTGCTTCTTGAAACTGGCATGATCCCAATGCAAGAGCCTATCACTGAAGTTTCCCTGGACACTGCGGCCGGTCTGGTGAAAGTCACTGCCGAATGTGAAGCAGGCAAGTGCAAGAGTGTGGAGTTCCACAATGTCCCTGCTTTTGTGTTGGAGCTAGACTATAAAGTTCAGGATCCTGCTTTTCCTCGTGGAGAGGTCTCGGTTGATATTGCATATGGAGGAATGATGTACATTTTGGTCGATGCTGCCTCGTTGGGGTTGAAGATTGACAATTCACACGCTACTCAACTGGTCAAGATTGGGGAGCGGATCAAGCGTGTCGTTGAGGCTTTGTATACCCCTGTACACCCGGAGAATAGTGGTATCACAGGGTTTAGTGTCCTGGAGTTTACTGAGCCCGTGACTAGGGAACATGACTGCCAGGTTGCTGTCAATGCTGTGGTTGTTTCGCCCGGACGATTTGATCGCAGTCCCTGTGGAACTGGGACATGTGCTCGACTCGCCGTTATGCACGCCAGGGGCCAGATCGAAGTGGGAGAGGTTTTGAAGCACCGGAGTATCATTGGTACGGAGTTCGTCAGTAGAATTTCCGGCCTGACAAAAGTTGGTGACTATCCGGCTGTTCTACCTACAGTCAAAGGCCGAGGTTGGATCACAAGTTTCAAACAGGTTGTTTTAGACTCATCGGATCCCTTCCCCGAGGGATTTAGGATAGGTGATCAGTGGCACATGGAGCCGAATTAGCGATACTGGATTTGTTAAAAAAAGGATTGAGTTTTCTGTATAATAGAAGACGCAATGCAATGACTGGGAGAAGGTATGGACAAGGAGTGAAAAGCATATGAAAGCCAAGCCTGGCCATGAATAATACATAAATTAAAATGCAACGCAATCTATTTAGTTCTGACAGTATAGTTACAAGCATTAGATAAGAGTAAGGCGAGTAATGTTATATCCCTGGTAACCCAACGATATCTCTCCAGGACGCGAGTTTTCTCGGAAGCACATAGATAGTATAAATGGTACTTAGTGCAATGATCATACCAGCCCACTAGAGAGAGAGAGAAAAAAAGGTCAGTTTTGAAGATAAGAATTTACAGGGCCGATCAGGATTGAAAACTCACCTTTTCTAGCCATGTGTGGAACCAGATAGCAGTCATGAAAAGCATCCACCATCCTAGGCCGACCACAGCCCACACCAAGCGCAACGACCAAGTCCTCACAAAACCAGAAAGACCATCGTTATTTCCAGTATGAGGGATATCTGGGTCACTCGTTTTTCGCTCACGGAAATTAGTAGCTTCAGGGCGCGTGGCTGAGCCTGCGAAATTCCCATATGCACCAACGCCGATCGCCTCGAATGCCAAGTGCGCTGTCACTAGCACTAACATGAAAACGTGTCCACTGATGTCGTGACCACCCGTCCACGCTCCACCGGCAGCTTTGCAGGCTCCTGCGGTAAATACTGTTTCCAGTTTGGCAGATGAAATGGACTCCGCGCTCAGCTTGTTAATGGCGTGCCGGCATTTTCCACCGGTAGCTACAAAGCCTCGATCGATAATCGGTGGACCAAAGAACCATTGTGTCATCAGATACCATACGGTAGTCACGAGTGCATATCGTAGAAGAGATTGTAAGGCACGGCGGAATCGCGTTTGCTGTTGTGATGGAGAGAGCGAGGGTGTGTAGTACGAGGGCTGGGCGAAGAGGAGTGAGGCGAAGGCGAGAGTAGTCCACAGCCATCCAATTTTCACAAAATAAACGTTGAAGATGTTGTTCTTCCGTGCGAAGTAGTTGACTGGGTTTTCAGATAAGTACAGATCCGCTGCGAGAGAAGGTGCTAGCGGGCCTGGCAATTGGGATGGTGGAGGTATGAGTGCCCTAGAGCCATGAGCTGTCGGTGATATAATTGAGAATAGTGAACCCAGAAGTAGCGTCGCTGGGTATATGAGGAGGACGGCCGATGAGGGCGCAGGTTGGGTGGAAGTGGCCATTGTCGTATATTGAAGCTGTCGACGCCTCTCAAGGCTAGGCTATATCAGAGAGCGTGTACAGGGCAAAAGAACCAGAAGTGGCACAGGTTGAGTGTAGAAGTATGCGTAGACAGAATCAACCGTAGTACAGAGGTAATTAGCAAGTATGGGGTCTTGGTAAACAGGGAATGTGAAGTTGAGTGGAATGACATCAACTCCACTTGCGGCTTAATGATTCACACCTGAGGCACCAACAATCTTGTTGGTAAAGTACATCCAAAAAACTATGAATTCTCGACAACAGCTCTATGTGTCTGTTCAAATCGATAGACAGTAGACTAATATGGCTCATTCTTGGGAAGAAGTTACAGAAATCACAATACTGCCCCTCTACTTAGGCTTATAACTTGCTTCACACATGATAAGTGGATATATTGCTTCATACGGTGGGTGGCGTGTTGGATTAGAAGCCCATTTTTGCGATTGAACCCTACATGGGTCTTCGTTTTCTTCGGGTCTACTCTTCAGTCTCTTCTCCCCTCATCATTTAGATTATACGGTATAATATTCAAGATCAGTCTTGGTGGTTGGATTACTTCACATCCCTTCGAACATCTATCCCCAAGATTTCAATGCTAACTAAATCCACAAGAGAAGTTACTCAATGCTCAACATGACTCAACAATGATATTCAGCTGCTCAAACTCTTGTATTGGCGGCTTATCATCGCATGATCCCGAGGTCGGAACCTGCCCAGTGTAATGAATGCTGAGTGAAGATGAAAATAACCATCATTATTGGGATCGGATGTTGAAGTATTTTACCGCAAAGATTATGCTCCATTTAAAGATAGTAGATTCTCTTCGTGCCAACCAGATTTACTTAGGTAAATCTACAGGTAGCTATTAGCCTCGCTTGAGCATTGGATCCAGTTCGCTCTAAGCAGTATCCATGTATCTTGAATGAATAATCATATTGAGCCCAAGTAAATACAACTGGGAATGCTACAGCATTGGAACTATAGAAATATGACAGTATTCTGAGCTCTCTACTTCATCTACTTCCAATCTTGGAAGCTGGTAGCCAACCAACCCCGTCCCCTATTGCCATCAGCATATCATAAATTCCCTTCACCTCGGAAGTGCACAAGGTTGGAAGCAGTCACCTAGCAGCTGCCTCCGGAAGACCCGTTGTCACAAGAGGAGCTGGAGTTCGAAGACCCAGAGTTCGAAGAATCACAGCTACTTCCACCAGAGTAGGATGAGGAAATGGTGCTGTAATAAGTAGCCTGGGCCGCTGCGTTGGCTTGGGCTTGGGCGGCATTGTTTCGTCGGCGTCTCTCTTCTTCTTCTTCTCGTCGGCGATCTGCAGCAGATTTCTGAGGCATGATGAAGTCTGTACTTGTAATTATTGGGATTGGTTTCGAGTTCTAGACTTCAGGGGTAGCATGGATGGTTTGAGCAAACCTTTGAATCGGGCCTTTGAGTAGCAGTTGAACACAGATCTATGAGGCCAGAAGATGGATGGAAGTATGATATTTAGGTAGAGTGACACCTGTAAAAGTCTCTGAGTAGTATAGATATATTCTTCGAGGTTGGCAATTTCAAGGCTTATATACCTCTCAAGTGCTGTTATCCAGTAGATTCGGATAACCATAGGCATAAGGCATACAAGGGTGATTTATGGCTAACTAGTTAGATTCTCCGCACCTTCAGATGTCGTAAGTTTTTGCGCCCAGCACTGCCCCATTCTAGTAGCTGTCATCTTTTAGGAAACTGTAGGCAAGATAAGCGTGACTTTAAATGCAGGTCAGATTTTAGATTCGGATCTTTCCAAGGTTGCCTACCTTTTTGAATCCTAGAAACGGTCGGTTCATAAGCATATCGCCTTACGCTCTCTAAGAAATACGTATAGCTTTATAACATATTCGGATATTCCTGGTATAACTACTAGAACCTTGGAACTCGCATTCTAAGGAAGAACCTCTACTGATGCCGGAACTTGAAGATAACGGAGAATGAGAAGTTGAAACTATCAAAGATCAAAAAACTGAAAAAGGAAAAACATACTATCTAATAAAATAGAAGGGATGGCCCCCCAAATACAACCAATAGATCCTAGAAGACTAGGCCCAGAACTCTCAAGATCTGATTTCAGAATTTAAAACACAAGTAAACAGCCAGCGAAAACAGAAAGAAAAACTAATAACCCGAAAACGGAAAAGAAACAATTTCTAAGCCTAAAAATCAGCTAGATCAACAGAAGTAGGCCACTTCCCCTGGCGAGCAGCAACTAGGAGTCCATATATTGCGGGATTCAACTAATCCAGCCGCGCCCACATTTTCTGCTTAAACGCAATTTTAGCAGCACACCAAGGGTTAAAATACTTCTCCCCCTTATCTAAGCGAAGAAGTCTCCGACCTACCTACTCCTTATTGAATTCCACCTAAGCCTCCATCAATAGAGCCGCAGCTCTAGGAGCGATATTAGGATATATAGTGTTATGCAACTGACGCCGCACCTGGACCGCTCTTTTATACTCTATCTAAGAATAAGCCTACTAAGCTTAAGTACCAGTTAGTTGGTGCTAGGTCCTATGGCCGTCTAGAGATAATTTAAGCGATATAGCTAGTATAGACAGGTCCGCCCCGATGGCGACCAACCATGGATCCATAGGCCGAGGGGGACCCCTATCCGCGGGAACCAGGTCGGGAGAAAACCGAAAGGGATCTTTCAGAACCCAGAACTTGTTCGTCTAAACGATAATCCTAGCAAAATCTAACTTATGATGAGTTATGTTTTCTATAGTAATATTCCAGGGATTGGTCTGAAGATTAAGACGGAGAGAAATGACAAATGGGCACCCATTAGCTAGTGTTGTTGTCGCTCGCTTGGCGATATTCGAATATCTTAACTGAGAATAGTAGACGTTGTGAGCTCCAACAAACCGCTACTCAACACCGTAGAAAATCCACCGGGTGTAGTGGATGCTACGATACTGAATATTGCGATTGTTGTGAAGTCTGCTTTTTCATTGATGAAAGAACTAGCTACTTATAGTATATGGGTGCCCCTCTGCCCTGGACGAATGTCAACATTCGTCCGAGACAGAAGAGACGGTGAAGACGGGACATTACTGTCGCGGATGCACATCGCTCAAGGGTGTCGTTTGCGATGAATGCATATCGTTCAAGGATGCCGTGATATACTAATCTAGTTCCAGAGTCACTGTCTCGGCAGAAGCTTTTTCGGCCGAAATACTTTCCGTCTGTTGATGGCCTTGTTTCTCGGCTGTCGCAACAGTTGTAGTCTCTCGTTGACGTGGAGTTGTAATTCAAGATTTATATACGCGTCCACGGTCACAAAGAAGCCGTATAGTCTAAGTAAGAGCTATTTAGTAAGTTGCTTAAATGATATAATTAGAGCAAAGAGTTGAAACATAGAAATGAAGCACCTTTAAAGCCCCCTTCTTGCTTTTTCTGTGCGGAGTTTTGCAACTGCATATCCATGATCTTGGGCGAAATTATTGATTGAATTGACTCCTCCGTCAGCAGTTTGGAACGTCTGATCGAGAGGTAGTGGGAATTGGAGTTGGAGTGGCTCGGGAGCAGGTATTAGCGCAGGAATGAAGTTTTGGAGGATTGGGTCAATTGGAATTGCCTGAGAAGAGGTGGAATCCATTTCAAAATAAGTGCAGAATATGCAGATTTAGAGGAGTTTGTATTTACAATAAAGTAAATCACCACCGAACCGCCACCCCAGAAAACCATAGTAAACTCGAAAAAATTGAATGTCATATTTCAACAACCACTAGTTAAATGATTTCAAGTCTCGAAATCGGATTATTACTAGCTAATTAAATATATATATACATGGAAAGAAGGATTAGGAAATCATCGAGTAAAGTGTACTTGAAGCTAAAATAAATAAATTACACCGTAATTTATGATACTACTATAATCCCTCTATTTAATTTACTTAAAATAAATTGATTCTTTGTGAATATTCTTATAGTTATATCTCACCGAATATTTGAATTATATCAGTGTCACGGTTGTTGAGATGTGATATTCAATTTTTTTCGAGTTTACTATGGTGTTCTGGGGTGGCGGCTTGGTAGTGATGGCGGTTCGGTGGTGATTTATTTACTTTAGGTATTTAAAGGCTAGCTAGATGACTAAGATTTGCAGATATTTGCGGTTTAACATCTCTACATTTGACACTTACCAATATGATTTCAACAGCAGTCAATGAGAGGTTGACCTTCGATACAACCATGACCAACCTTGATACCAGAGGCTAATGTAGATGTTACCCTAGTAACTAGAGGTATCATCTGACGAGACATCCATGATGGCATCATGATGGCATAGACACTGCTGTACTAAGATCCAGACGATTACTTTGGTTTATATACGTAAAGGCTGTATGCTATAAAAAAAACGATCGTCCTATTAATTTCTATCACTATGCAGAGCGCTTTTACGCATTCGTCTCATCCATCATGCTCAGATCAGCGCTGGGCCTTATCTTCACGTTGACCTTGGCTACTATTGTGCCTGCCAGCTTCGATCTAGCGCGTCGCGGTAAGTATATCTCTGATGGTTAAACACTAATAAATCACCTAATTTCGTATTTGCGTTAGGAATACCTCCGAGTTTATTGGACGATTTCAATTTGTTCGCTCAATATGCTGCTCTAGCAGGATGCGATCAGAACAACAACAAAACTAGAGATGGAAAGCCACTAGTCTGTGACCCAGGGTTTGGCCTATGTGATCTCGTTTCACACAATAATACCAATATTACCATGTCCTTCCACAGTAAAACTGGCCCAACAGGATACGTCGCCTTGAACCACGACCAAAAGCGTATCATTCTATCATTCCGTGGTTCGGTATCTCGATCGGATTGGAAAACGGATAGAGACGCCTTTCACAAAACATCCATCCCCAAGATTTGCACCAATTGCTATGCCCATCACGGATTTTGGAATTACTGGCAACAAGTCGCCAATAATGTTACCGAACTGCTGAACAACACCGTCATTGATTATCCAGACTATAAACTGGACATAGTGGGTCACAGCCTGGGTGGTGCCCTTGCGACCCTGGCGGGAACTGAGCTTCAGGCCAAAGGCTTCCCCCATCTGCGAATCGTGAGCGCTACCAAAATAAATTCGTGCATTTTCTTAAACCTGCCTAGCTAACAAGTGGCCAAATTTCAGTGGACTTTCGGAAGCCCTAAAGTCGGAAACTTTAAGCTCGCCGAGTTCATAACCAACAAAATATCCAACATCTACAGAGTGACCCATGCCTCGGACCCTGTCCCGCTACAGCCCGGTTTATGGGATTGGAGTCACCCTTCACCCGAATACTGGATTAATCAACCCACTAACGAACAACTTAATGTTACTGCGGATGTGGTGGAGGTTATCTATGGGATTGATAGCGAAGATGGCAATACTGGTCAACATGGCAGTCTCCGCAAGAATACTGCCGATCATTTGTGGTATTTTCAGGCCATGGGTGTGTGCAAGCAACCAGCGGATTTTGACCCTGACTATGGGTTTGGCGACGGAGATGGTGAGCTTTAATAAGGGCTCAACTTTTTAATGTTCTTCATTACTGCGGTAGTAGTGATGTGACTCTGGAGGCCACAGCTACTACCGTGATGGATTCGGTTAAATGTTTCAACAAAAGAGCTTGTTGGTATAGCAAAACAAACTAAGTAGGAAAGTATATCATTGGGGCTACCTTAGGTATGTTCTAATTGAAAAGAAAAGTCGTCTTTGTTGTGATGATTCTGTTTGCATTCCTGTGCTTAGATCACAACACATCAAAATATGAATGAGGTGAAAGAAATGTTTCACCCTGCTTCATGGCAGAGATCGAACCAACGTGATCCTTATCCCAGCTCTTCTGGCCTCCGCTATTTGAGATCCGTGGAGGGAGATAATGGTGTTGGGTCGAAAAGGGTCATTCATGATTCGATTTGAGGAGCTTTTCCTCCGAGCTCAGCTGCTCATTAAGCAGATATGTCTTTGTTGATAGATGTGATGAATCAGATGGCTCACGAAGCTTGGAATGAGCTGAGAATTTGAAGATCACGTAGTTTCTGTTCTCACTCTTGTTCTGATGTTCCTACGGGGCTTGCTCTTTCTCATTTTTTTATTTTTATTTTTTTTAATTTTTACTCCTAGTTTATTCAATTTTTCTAGCTCACAAAAGTCTCCTAAATTCATTCAATGCATGCTCTCGTTCAGAAGGATACGGTGCACTGAGATCCATCTGGGTTCTCTTTCATCCTTGCAATAATTAAGATTAATTGTTAGTCGAGAGTATTTTTTAGGTATTGTCACCTGGCAATGCTGACTTGGACTATTCCTCAAAGCGTTGATCCCCAAGATCTTGCCTCTTCAGATCAATTTCATCCAAAAACACCGAAGTGAGTAGGCAAATTGAGCTCACCGGAAGGGCAATTCCTAGGCAGGTTGCATCCACTTGAAAAACAAAAAGTGTCACTGCAAGGCCTATGAACGCTAATTTGAAGGACAGTGATTTTTTTGCCTTATTTCAGCATTTTCTTGAATTTCTTCTGTAACTTGTTCTTCGGTATCCGCCTTTTCTGTCGTAGGCTCCAGATTCGATTCTTCTGGGGTGACAGGAGCCACTGAATGGTCCATTCCGTACAAGACCTTAAGAGAACGCTCTTTTCTTATTTTAAGAGAGTAAATCAACAAGTATCTGTTTTGATCAGATGATAAACTATAGAAATCAAGGTCTAAACAAGGATGATGTAACAAAAGATACAATATTTACCTCCTGAATAGATGTCAGATCAGGTGATTTTGTTAGTCCATATCCGTGCCATGCTTGCAAGGTCTAGTTTTCCAATGAAAATGTAGCATTACGCATTACCAAATCAAGCTATAACATAATTCAAGAAAGAAAATATGAGTTCGGAGTAAAAAAAGATGTGATATAGGGCTGACAGCTGTCGAAAAGTGTGAACGTTGATTGAAAGTGAATCTGGTCTCGGGAGCTTTTACATGAGGTCAACCGAGAGATATCATGAAGCGATCATCTTTGACATGTTGTTTATGCTCTTAATAACCCTTGGATATGGCCTTTACATAGATATAAACCCATATGCGTCTTGGTCTCGTGTCGCTAGGCCCGAACTTTCAAGCCCCACTGCTCGCACCCCAGGCTAATGCTACAACTGATTTCTCATTAGTGTGGTAACTGGCAGCATCTGTGTCAGGAGTCGTTGAACCAGTTTTTTACAAACAGTGTGTGCAGCTAGGGAGAAATATGGATGCAACCGTTGAGATCTAAGCTTGCAGCCGAGATTAATGCGGCATCAACTGCTACCACTAGTCCCATGCGAGACTTGTCTGGATCTAAGAGGGATGTCGTTTTTCAGGTTATCACGAAATATCTCTTTTATGTTTGGCTGCTTTATGTTTGTCTATCCGGCCTTGGTTTGGTCATTTCATCGATCATGATGGAACTCAAACTCCAAGGGTCACGAGTTGATAGCCTTTCCTTTTTTTGCCAGAGTGCCCCAGTGTAACAAGTGTATTGTTTTTATTTAATTTCTTACTTCAAAAGAGATTAATTGCATATAGACCACCTTTGATTCAGGACCTCGGAAAGTCCTCGGTAGTGTTATCGAGAACGCGCCTCTTTAAAGATAGAACGAGATCTTTCAAATCAAGACTCGAATCCTGATACACTATAGCATCGTGATTACAATCTTTCCTCTCCCAGAAAACCTACCATTAGCATAATCATAAGCCTCCCTCACTTGTGCAAGCGGAAAACTCCTTGCAACAAACGAGCGTAAATCTCCTCGATCAACCAATACAGCCAAATCATGCAATACTTTACTACTACCCTCAACAATAAAGAACAAAGCCTTAACACCCGCCTTCACAAGCCCACGCTTCCGATGCTCTTCCACAAAATTGAAACTGGCCGAGTCCACTGAGATAAGGGACCCAGATTCTTCAACGTAGTCCCAGCATCGGGCTAGTAGATCCCCACCAACAGTATCGATGATAATGTTGAAGACACCTCCTTTGCTTCCAAGATCGCCATACTCAATAGCTTCGTCAGCACCCAAACTCTGAAGCAGCTCGCTATTCCGATCGTTCGAGCTCGTAGCGGCGACAACATGTAATCCAGCACTCGCAGCTAACTGCACAAGATATAGCCCAACGCCACCAGCAGCACCAGTGATCAAAATCTTCTTGTTCTGTTCTTCAGTGCTAGAAGGCTTTCCCCCTTCCGGCAAAGGTACACCGGCATGGTCAAAGAGAGCCTCATAAGCCGTTTGCGCACTCAACGGCAAAGCAGCAGCCTGTTCCCACCCAAGCGCCTTAGGTTTCAGCGCAACCTCGTTCTCAAGGATAATTGAGTACTCAGCCCATGTAGATCCACGGTTTGCATTTGCCATTCCAAAGACCTCGTCTCCGGGTTTGAAGGCGGAACTGGAGTCATCGGAGAATACCTCCACAACTGTGCCAGAAAAGTCGTTGCCGGGAATTGAATACTCAAGCTGGTATGTTTCGGGCCATGTTAACATGTCTCGGACTACTGTTGTTGCATTTATGCGAATCAGAAGTTCACCCGTCTTTTTTGGATGTTGAATTGGGATTCTGTCGATGTGGAGAGCTGATGTGGGGGCTGGATTTGTTGGGGAATAGGCTGTTGATGACGTAGGTGCTGGGTGAACTCGGATGGCTTGCATTTTGGAGTGAGTTTTTCTCTGCTCAGGTTCTTGTGAATGAAAATTGACCAAATTCGAACAGACGGGAATTACGTGTATTAAAGATCTTGTTATGTTACATTCTTGAAATCGTATCGATTATGTTTTGGCCCACCGCCAAGAACTTAGTGTGAGAATGTTATTGAGCCAACCGCATAGATATGATGAAAACGGTCATTTTCCAATTGTAACAAATGGGGAGTCTTTCTAGCAAGTTTGGAAATCATCAGCATTGACTAAGGACTTGAACAATACAAGCAGCCATAAGGGTAAGGACGAGCTTTTAAAAAAAAACAGCATTTTGAATCATTAAGAGGAATTTGAAGAAATGAGTATAAACGAAATAAGTAGTGAAGGTTACTTACGCGTCTGGGAGGGGAAACAAGAGAATCTGAGAAGATGAAGAAGGAACACAATAAAAGTGATATCAGAGATGAGGTGTAATTGGATACATACTATTTGTGAAAATGGTATGTATAAAAAAAATTGGTTAGCTTAAGCCCTAATACACCATTACATGGGGTGATACGATGAGCTGTTAGGTCATTTCTTTTATGTTTGCGGCTCAGACCGATTTCTAGAACGACTGTACTGGAGATGGCGTAAATGTTATATTAAGTAGAAGAACCATTGAATGAAGAGAAAAGATGCTTGTCGTTAAATGAACTAAATACATGGTCCATAAAGTTGTGATTGTCTATACAAAGTCAAGGAACCAGTCGAAACCAGTCGAAACCAGTCGAAACCAGTCTTGCTCCCCAATTAACAACTTATAAAAATTCATTATCCTTAAGGCTTTTACTGGACTGTAGGCAAAACCGCAGAGAGAGGCAGGTTGCGCGAGGAATTACCCACGTAAACCTTCTTCTCAGGGCTAGTTATGACCCAGTTCTGGGAGGCCACGTCCCAGTTGGAAAGATCGCGACGGGTCAAGGTGGCTGTCCATAGGTGCTTCTGGCCAGGAGCGATAGTGACGCGGTCGAAGGCACGCAGTACACGAACTGGCTCACCCTCGCCACCTAGAGAGACATAGAGCTGGGGAATCTCGTCACCGATGAGAGATCCGGTGTTGACGATGTTGCAAGTCACCTGGATCAGATCTTCGTAGAGGAGCGGGTTACCGCCGCTGCTACCACCGGCAGGCAGGAGAGGCTGGGCGGAGCCATTCGTGGCGCCCTCTGGAAGGTACTCTGAGCTCTTCAGGCCGTAGTAGGGGTCAAGAGATGCCTCCTTGAGGTTGGTAGATGTCAACCAGGGGTAGAGGTATTGAGTAATGCGCTTGATATTACTCGGGTAGAGGTAGTCGGCAATCTTTCCAACTTTGCCCAAAACAGGGGCAGTCTTGGTGTAGCCGGTTGTGGCGGTGTAGTTGTCAGCTTTCAGAGCCTTGATTTCCAAGTCGGAAAACTCGAAGGAAGTGTAGCTTAGACCGAAACCGAACTCGTAGACGGGCGTGACGTTATTCTTGTCAAAGTTGCGGTAGTCAATGAAGACTCCAGCAGTGCTGAGGTCAGTCTGAGGAGCGGCGATGCCGTTGTTGGGTGAGATGAGGATTTCAGGTCCATAGTCTGCGCGTTTCTTGCCCCAGGTGAATGGAGTCTTAGCGCTGGGGTTGACACGACCGTAAAGAACATCGACTAAACTGCGACCACTCTCCTGACCGGGCATACCGGCCCAAAGAATAGCGGTGATGTTCTCGTGTTCATACCAGTCTTGGATGAAGACGGCAGATGCAGTGTGAAGGATGACAATGGTATTGTTGCAGTTCGCAGCGGTGGCATTGATGACTGCCTCACCATTCTTCCACAAAGTCATGTTCTTGCGATCACCATAGTTGCCATCAACTTCAATGTAACCCTCACCGGAGTCAGCGTTGACAAATACCAGAGCAACGCTAGCCGTCGCAGAAAGGGCTTCGATCTCATCGATAGCCCAGTTATCAGTAGCAGATAAGACATTGCTTTGAGTGTTGTAGTTCAGGATTTCGTTCTGGATAGCTGACTCAGGTGTGATAAGGTAAGGGAAGTTAGCAGTTCCACTTCCCCAGCCCATAGCCAAGGTACCATTGTCACAGGCACGGTCAGTGCAACCGTTAGGACCGTAAGCGTTGGAACCGGCATCATCACCAACGATAGCAACAAGGCGCTCATTGTGAGAGAGGGGAAGTGCATTGTTCTTGTTCTTCAGAAGTACAGTACTGTCAGAGCCAATCTTGCGGATGACATCGGCGTGGTCGCGCTGCACATTCACACGCTGGTTGAGCTTAGTGTAGGTCTCGCTCACAATCCAGTGCTCATAGCCATACTCATCACGGGTCCATGAACTGAAGTTGGGGGGAGTGCGATACTTATCACGGCCAACCTTGTAGTATGCAGCCATTATACGGGTAGCCATGTCGTCAATACGCCATTCGGGAACAGTACCATTCAGTACACTAATAGTCAAGTTGGTACCCCAGAATGAGTAAGGGCTGCCCAGGATCACATCACCAGGCATAGACATATCCAAACCAGCCAGAGCAGTGCTGACACCAGCGTGGTGAGCACCCCAGTCACTCATGACAAAGCCCTGGAAGCCAAGCTCGGCTTTGAGGAGTTTGTTCATGACGTAACTGTTAGAGCAAGCGTAGCTGTTGTTGATCTGGTTGTAAGAGCACATGACAGAGCCGACACCAGCGCGGATGGAATCCGCAAAGGGCCAGAGATAAAGTTCGTGAATGGTCTTGTCGTCAATGTTGGCGCTAACACTCTCAGTGATGTTCCAACCAAAGCCATTAGACTCGCCTGACTGACGGAAATGTTCCTGCTCGTAACCAATGAAGTGCTTGGCACAAGCAATGATACCAGCATCTTGCATTCCCTTGATAGTCTCAGCCATCATGACACCGGTCAAGACAGGATCGGGGGAAAAGCCTTCCCAGATACGCCCACCATCAGGGTTTAAACCCAAGGGTCCAGCAACAGGTCCAAGCTGAACGTCAACACCCTTGTCACGGTGTTCTTCGCCCATTGCCTTACCACGGGCATAGGCGAGTCTCTTGTCCCATGTTGCGGCAACATTGATACCAGCGGGGAAACCAGAGTTGTAATCACCTATTCTGAGTTAGTCACCATAGTTGACAAACAACTGAGTCAATTCATCACTCACTGTAACGAACACCCAAGGGCGAGTCTTGCAAGCACAATCCCCACATTCCAAGTCTGGGAAGATCACCAGTCTCACCAACACAGTGTTCTTGCTCCCAACTAAAAATTCAGTTAGGCCATGATACAATGTTTTTAGTTGAGTATAACTTACCCAGCACCGGTTGTCAAGTTCACTTTCTCATCCAAAGTCAAGCCGGAAACAAAATCGACGGCGCGTCTGTAGGCTTCAGCCCAATCACCTTGGCCGTCCATCCATGGAGATGGGTAATATGGGGGAGAATAAGCCAGCTCCTATCGATCGATATTGTCAGCATTGAAAGTAAATGGTAAAACTTTCACTTGGGTACTTACACTGGCAGTGGCCACTGAGGCTGCCGTCAAGGCGGCAGCCTCTAGTAACCCTAGCTTCATGATTACTTAGGCAAAAGAAAGAAGTTGAAGAAGCAAAAATGCTCAATGAAATCTGAAGTACTCAAGTGAGGATCTTGAAGAAGAAAGGTAGGGGAGACGAGGGTGATTTAAATAGTGCTGGGATGATCGCGGAAAAGAAGGGATGATCGCCTCGGCACATGCATATCGTCATTGCTTATTGTTTTCAAATACTAACACTACTACTCCGGAACTTTACTAGGACTAGCCGGAACACTCGAAGTGTGGAGAAGTAAGCCGAGATCGACAAGTACCGATGATTGTGGTACGGTTATTGCAAGGTACAAATGAATTACTCCAAGGGGTCTTTCATGTCCGACTACTCCGTCAGACGAATCTAATTGGATGGAAATAACCCTTCAAGGGAGGAAATAAAGCGAAGTGGCTGGAGATGCGGGGGAATGCGAAACACGAACTTGAGCTCTACGGAAGATGAAATCAAGTGATTCAAGGAGTTCATAATCAACTGTACAAAGTCATTGTACTCATGACTCGACATACTTCGTCTCATAATCAAGCAACAGTTAAGTTCTAGTCTACCCCGGTACTCATTCCTAATCGGATAACCTTCACCTTCTTATTCATCCGCGTAAACTTCGGCTGTAGTCTATTCCAATGTACTTCTTTACGCCCAATCCGTTATCAAACCTAGATGGGATGTATCCACGAAATGCCATCAAGTTCTCATCCGTGAAGTATTTATTTCAACCAACATCAATCTTCTACTCGGTAGTGAATTCTTAGGATCGTGTACAGGCTTCCAAGGCTAGAAGCAAATGAACACATGGACAGGAACGAATCCTAATGGATGAGTGTCATGCGATCACCACTTATCCCTGCCAAATTCGGAAGTTTTCCCTTTGTTGACATCACACTATTGTGGCCTTGCATCCTGCAGGTGAGTGGATTGTCGGATTCCTACATTGCCTAATACCTCCTACTACTACTACTCCGTACTTCTTAATCTAGGAAATCGGTCTGGACTGAAACGATGACTTATAATATAGACGTTAAGCGTTCGATATAAATATGATTGATGCCATTGCAGGATTAATTGAGTTTCTTGATTTTTAAGAAAGTGATGTAACTAGTGATTTTAAACCTTGATGGCTGAATCATAACAAGTTAGGTACCGTGGAGTTGGAAACTGGGGGAAGACTGGGGAACTAGCAAAATGCGGGGCTCCATACGGCTCCAGGTTGTATAATACAATTGCCGATACCGGAGTTCCCCGTTTTATGTTCCGGCTAATTAGTTGAAGTAGGCAGTCACATGGGCCTAGTTTATTAGCGCCATTCCATCTGACTACTTGTCAATCGTGGCAATCGAAAAAAAAAAACATCATGAGATCCCTAGAAGCAATCGTCTCATCGACTCATCTCTTGATCATTCATATATTCGGGATCTCTTTTCTCGCTACGGATACCCGTATACTGATTTCCACATGATTTGGACTCGGCCTGCCGACGTGGGGAAAGCCCCCCACATTCCCTCTTATACGAGTAAGACCCGATCAGACGGTATGTTCATTTCCTGAGTTAGGGCCGCTCAGGGCTGCAGTGGGTACTCTGACAGCTCTCACCTGCATGCCTTCACCGAGTCCTCATGAATTCAATCCGGAGAATTCCCCATAAAAATCAAGTTAATCATCAAATACCGTGCCGTAACCCCGAGCTCTCCAGACTTTTTGTCGATCCCTGCCTTATTCTGGTATATTTCCTGGATGTCGGCTAATCATCGGTAGGACATGATCATACTCCAATTTGCCAAGGCAGTGGCTTGCAAAACGCTCGCCCGAGCGGGCATCAGTGGCTTTCTATGGCATGATGACGCTTAATATCGGGATTCCGACATTTCTTCACGTCTATAATTTTCTTAGAATAGATGCTGCCTTTGTTGGGACCTCTAAATATGCTACTAGTCTACCTGCTTACGTCGTACGTAAGTACCACATTATTATGATATCTGGACTATCATATCCAGTAGCTACGCCCTAGGTTAGCTTTGTCCTCAAGGTACACATCTCTCATTGCGAATGGTACACACTTCCCAAAATCTGTCATTCCTAGTTGTCCTAACTCCCAAGGTTTCTACGTCAACACATTTGATATAACTACTTGGAAATTATGCCTAGGTATGATCTCTTCCAAGTTTTTTCTTAGCCGAATGCACCTTCTTAATCCTACTAAAAAGGCTTATCATATTAGAAAGGACTTAAAGGGTTGTAAGTTGAGAAGATTACAGAGTTCTACGGGGATAGTAGAGACTGCAAGAGACTTTTTTATCTCACTGTTGCATTCTTATATTACTTTTGTCTTCTTATAAATTTAACATCCTAACTATGCAGGCAAACCATTCAAACGAATAATTTGTTCAAAGTTAACACCATCCTTCCAAGTTTCAAGTTGTTGTCAACTTCTAGAGAGCTATACGATATGCGACCAATTAAAATATGAATGATTGATTGATTTATTGAGATTACTAAATGTAGCGATCTTGGGAGCCAAATAGCGAGTATAACTAATGAATCAGTCTTAGTTGTACATAGTCACGTGATGCTATATGCAGTATGTCACTGGTCAAACATGATTGGTTGATGTACTATCATATCTAAAAACCCTCGAAACCCTATTATATAGTTCCAAAATAAAGCGAGTGCCTTTTATATTATTGGAAAATGATCACCAAAGATACTGAAACCACAGAATGGCTGCTAAAATACCAACAACAGCCTCGACGAATGTCGACATCCTGCCCAACAAAGAAGCTCATACAGAATGCCCAGACCTCGAAGATGGTCCTATCTCTAGAGAAACCAAGCACAATTCCGCCTTCAAGCAACTAGGGATCCTAGATCGCTTCCTAGCTTTATGGATATTTCTAGCTATGGCCGTAGGAATCATTCTAGGGAATTTTGTGCCCAATACAGGACCGGCGCTCCAACGAGGAAAGTTTGTTGGAGTGTCAATACCCATAGGTACGTACCAAGATCTCTCAAAGCAATGTGAGAATTACAACTAATTTGATGCAAATCTAGCGGTTGGATTACTTGTGATGATGTTCCCAATTCTGTGCAAGGTGCGGTATGAAACTCTGCACCGCGCCTTTCGCTCAAAGGCACTTTGGATCCAGATTTCCTTCAGTCTCTTCATGAACTGGATTGTGGCTCCGTTCTTCATGGTAAATTATTCATATCTTACAGTGGCGATGAATTGCTGATATCTTGACCAGCTAGCATTATCATGGGCATTTCTTCCTGATGAAAGAGGCCTTAGAGAAGGTCTTATCTTAGTGGGAGTCGCACGATGCATAGCCATGGTAAGTCCATTTCCAAAAAAGTAGTATAATATTGGAAATCTTCAGCATTACTGATTGAACTAGGTTCTCATATGGACAGATCTTGCAGGGGGAGACGGTGAGTATTGTGCGATTCTTGTGGCTATCAACTCCATACTGCAGATAGTCTTGTTTGCGCCATTTTCCATCTTGTTCATTCGAGTTATCGGCGGATCAAGTGATGCCACAATAGAGTATTCGCTCGCTGCGAAAAGCGTTGGAGTTTTCCTCGGTATTCCACTCGGTGCGGCAATTGTTACACGATTTGGCTTGCGCAGCATAATTGGCACGAGGTGTTATGAGGAGAAGTTTCTGGTGTGGATCAGCCCTTTGTCTCTGATCGGCCTACTCTTCACTATCCTGGTATTGTTTGCTTCCCAGGGCCGGCATGTGGTCCACCAGATTGTATCTGTCGTCAGGGTGGCTGCTCCTTTGGTCGTCTACTTTGCTGTGATTTTCCTAGCAACTCTGTTGCTTACTCGTCGGTTCGGATTTGGGTATAAGCTTTCCTGTACTCAAAGCTTTACTGCTGCCAGTAACAACTTCGAGCTGGCAATTGCTGTTGCCATCGCCACATTTGGAGTCGACAGTGACCAGGCATTGGCAGCAACCGTTGGACCTCTGGTGGAAGTTCCAGTACTTCTGGGGTTGGTGTATATTGTCAAGTGGTATGGTAGACGATTTGATTGGTAGAATCACACCTTATCCCAAGGTTCGAGAGGTAATGCCCTCCAAAAAGGTTGATATCCAAATGTTGAAATGAACTTGGAGCAGTAATTACTCGATATCAACTAGTATTGCTAATCTCATCCAACACTTGAAATAAAAGATTGTTCTGTACGCGACAACCATCCCCTGGATTTCCATTGCAGAATCCAGATCTGAGTCTGTGGCGAATTTCCTCTAAATCAACCCCATGCACATTATACTGGCTGATCAACTCCTCGGCGATGGCACAAAGAGTCGTATTCAGCACATCAGAATTGTGTGATACTGGGGTAGGATCAGGATCTCCTGTCGGGCATTTGCATAGAGGTGGGACTCTTATCTCTTCTTTCTCCGTATGTTCAAGATTGATTACAGCAGTAGGAGTCGTAGAAGTCTGCTGCATAGACGACCCCGTGAAGCGCTGAAGTGGGGGTATTGCAACTTTTCGGTTAACTGCTGTACCCTGCTCGGCCATGAGTAGATACTGTTGGACAATATCTCTGGATACACCTAGAGAGTCTAGCAAGGTCTTGAGGAGTTGATTGTCCGCTTCGAGTTTCTGTATGGCTAAACGGTGTTCTATATCCTTCTGTCTGTCTTGGTCTTCGTAAATAGCCAGGCGTTTTTCTAGCTCTTTGACATGTTCTTGCTTTCGAGCTCGACTGTTGCGCTGGTTGTCACGCACACGAGCGAGCCGGTCTAAGTTCTTTCAGCTCTATCAGGTTTTCTGCTTGGCAAACCGTACGGTCTGGAGACATTATTAATTACTATTAACATACCTTTTGGGTATTTTGAGATTCCATCACTGTTGATTGCTTGACGTTAAACCCAAAAGTTTGTTCTGGTTTGTCAAAGGCCCGATTCCTGTTTTAGTTTAGTGCACTTTAGTCAGCTTGGAATGGCCAACTTGGGCTGTTCCACCTTGTAGGTTTACACACACACACACACATACATAATTTGACTACAATTTGCTCCATTCCTATTTGCCTATTCGTATCCACCTTAATTGGTTTGTCAGACCTCCATCCGACATAGTTTGTCAAATGAGAAATTGACCGTCCAACCAGAAATGGTTGACGAAACTGGATTGTCTATCTAGGGATGAAACCCGCTTAAATACACACATTATGGGTCCTGCTGACATACGCAGCACACCCCTTAATATCGGCCCTTTGACATAGTTCGTCTAGCACGTGTTTCGGCCTTAAAGCCATGGCGGTAAGGCATTCACTTGAGTGGGTCTCTATACAAATCTTATTTGAACTGATCAACGATAATTCACGTTAAAAATGGCATTATTTGCCTGACTAGTCTCGCTGGTATCTGGTAAATCTAGTTCTGCATTCTATTCGTATCATGAAAGTCATATAATCACTAATTATATTCAAAGTTCATCCCCTAGTGGTCTTCCTCCGGCTGTGGTACGGCGTACAGGTATAAGCGTACAACAAAAGAAGTACGGAATATGGATACGAAATCTAGTTTCCCAGTTAAAGGCTCTGATACGATGATGATAGGGCCGTGAGTCGTGTCGCGTTCTGCTAGCCACAAGGGAATTACACCGATTGGACCCAGAGGTGATTGCTTAATCTCGATAAGGTTAAGTGTCAATATCTAAGAAATCATGAGATCGAATAAAAGGAGTCCGATGCTTTGGTTCTAGGATTAACCCATGAATGCTGAACTCCTACTGGTATGCGATTGGTTCGAGGTAACAGGCTCGCCGCCTTCTCCTCCCTTGGGATCAAAATGTATTTCTCCGCTCTCCATTCACCCCGCCTTTTCTCCAACTTCTTAAATCAAACGACCTCTTACTTGGATTTTATTTACAATCCTACACCATTCCAAATTTCCTATTTATTCACTGTTCCCAATGGTTTCCACCCGGCATCATCCCTGTGACTTTCCAACATCCAGTCGCGCCACAACGAAACTAGACAAACCACCCACAACCACCGAAACCTCACAAAAATGGGTGCACACTCCTTCCACTACTCTTACAATCTGGCTTGTTATTTCAGTACCGGTGGTCCTGTGGGATGCAGGCTATGTAATGCTGCGACCACATAGCATGCCTGGTGGACAATTCCATTCACCCATCTGGACTCCGTACGCACTGTATGGTAAAATCGACTTTATCTACGGCTGGCCAGCATTCAATGCGAACAACGGGTTTACGGCTGCACAAACCGCTCTCAATTTGGTCGAGACCGCAGGCTATGCATATTACCTATGGATTGTGTACATCCATGGCGAGACTGGCAATAGTTCTCGCGGCGCACACAAGCCCAAGAAGGGCATTCTCTGGCTTTTGACGGATGAGAAAGTTGTGGTGGGACATATTGGAGCAGTTGCCCTCCTAATCTCATACACAGCCTCTGCAATGACCCTGTGCAAAACACTCCTATACTGGCTAAACGAGTATTTCTCCAACTTCGGGAATATCGGACACAATCCACCAATCACTCTGATATGTTGTTGGATCATCCCCAAGTAAGTTAAGTCTTAACATATCACCCAAAATAACTCACTGATCCGATCTTGATAGCGGCCTCTGGATTATCTTCCCGGCCTACAACCTCTATATCCTTGGGACAGAAATTCTCAATTCTCTGGAGCAAGGGAGTCCTCGTAACGTCCCAATATCTCTTAAGTCGGAATGAATATCCGTATTTCAATGCATATATTACACAGGCACCAAAATATACATCTTTCTGTTACCACAACTTTCAACATTTAGTCCTGAAACGACGGGCTGGAAAACTTTAGGCATAGCCGAGGATAGCTGAGAATTTTAATTTTACTTTTCTGATACCCAATGGAGTTTCAGTTTTATTTTCAGGCAAAGACTCATAAGATTCCTTACTGATTTGCTTATGGAAGAGGTAAAATGGGATTGATCTGGACGAGATAAGAAAGTAGCTTAATTAGACGCCAACCCGGTAGCCCTCGGGCCGAAGGTGGACCTATGCATGGAATTTTTTACAAGTGCGTATTGATCTGCTGATCTGTATAGTCTGTCTATTACCTATTTCTCTTGGAGTTTCTGCTTTTTCTGCCACTTTTAACACCTCTTGAATATCATAGATTTATTAACGCTTTCTATACGAAGTAATCGTTTATACAAAATGCGATTACCGTGGTTAGAGGCCGAATCCGGATTGTAGAGAGGTATGTAACCTCATTTACTCAACCAGAATTCAATTAGGAGTCTTCAATTTTGAATTATAGAAAAGCCCTTTTATCAACTCAAATGTATGATTGCTAAGACGCAAATGAACATTCAACGGCATGCTAAACAGTAGTGAGTTGGAGGGGCTAAGCTCCGTAATATAAGACTTACAAGTGGTCGCTCGTGCCAAGCCATCGCTGACTGAACCTTTCCCCATATTCTTCCCTTCATTCTCCTCATTTTCTCCTCCGCTCCGAACCTATAGCGTCAGGTCTATCTCCCCTGATATCCATCCCTTTCAATCCCGGCTTGGAGAATTCTTCGCCTCTAGTGGGTGTTGACCCCCATTTTTTTGAACTCTCCGCGCTTGCCGCCGAACGATGCTTGGGGCTGGGCCTTGGGGTACCAGCACCCGCAATGATCCCTCCCGAATCTGACGATATCCCATTCAAGACCACCAGTCTTAGCTTCGGATTATCTCGCGAAGAACTGGGGGCACCGCTAGATGATTTCGATACGCGCAGTCATGCAAGTTCCCGCGATCCCGGTAGCACACAAACCGCGGACCCCGCAACAGGACCCGACAGTGCATTAGAAATGCAACAGGATGATGCTACAAGAGATGATGTCGGAGATGGTCAAAACTCGGCTTTGGATGATCACGATAAGCCATCATGGAGCGAAATGAAGACCAAGGCTGGGAAAGAGCGGAAACGACTGCCTCTTGCCTGCATCGCTTGTCGCCGAAAGAAAATTAGATGCTCCGGCGAAAAACCCGCTTGCAAGCATTGCACACGATCACGGATTCCTTGCGTATATAAAGTCACCACCAGGAAGGCGGCGCCCCGAACCGATTATATGGCTATGTTGGATAAGCGGCTGAAGCGGATGGAGGAACGTGTGATTAAAACAATTCCCAAGGAGGAAACGAGAGACATGACTTCAATTGGAAGATCAATTGTCAAACCAACCTTATCAAGTCTAGCTTCAAAGACACAGAAAAAGCGAAGCGCAGACGAGGCTTTCGCAGCCGAAATGGAAGATTGGGCCCGTCCAGACCGCCGTCCGCCGCATGAGACAAATCAGTTGAATACAGAGACCAAGTTCAATGATGGAACCGGTATTTTGACCGAGGGCGCTGAGTTTTTGCCCTCCATGGAAATTCAAGAGCACCTGGCCGAGGTATTTTTTGACTGTGTTTATGGACAATCATATCTCCTTTTGCATAAGCCCAGCTTCATGCGACGTCTCAAAGCGGGCTCGATTCCCCCAGTTCTTATTCTCGCTGTTTGTGCAGTATCTGCTCGTTTTTCTACCCATCCGCAGCTCAATTCAGAACCAGCCTTCCTGCGCGGCGAAAATTGGGCCAATCCAGCTGCAGCCATCACTCTTAGTCGACACGACGAACCCAATATAACAATTTTGACGGTTTTCCTCCTTCTTGGACTACATGAATTCGGCACGTGTCATGGAGGAAGGAGTTGGTCCTATGGAGGACAGGCATTAAGAATGGCGTATGCTTTGCAACTTCACCAAGAGCTTGAATGTGATCCATTGCTTGGTCAAAATAATCACAGCTCCCAATTGAGTGCTACTGATCGAGAGATTCGGCGACGGACGATGTGGGCATGTTTCATGATGGATCGCTATAATTCTTCGGGAAGCCAGCGCCCACCCATCGGAAATGAAAAGTTTCTCCACATTCAACTTCCTATCAAGGAACCACACTTCCAGATGGAGATTCCCGGTCCTACAGAAGACTTGGATGGCAATGTGCTTAACCCTGTACCTGAGGACTCTGGCCAACTGTCCGATGCCAAGGAGAATATGGGTGTATCCGCATACATTATTCGAGCAATTGTCATTTGGGGTCGAATTGTTGATTATTTGAACCTTGGTGGAAAAAGGAAGGATACACACCCTTTGTGGCATCCAGAATCAGGTTATATACGACTAAAGAAGCAGCTTGAAGACTTCTCCTCCACACTTCCGAACGCCCTTGCCTTCACATATGAAAACCTTCAGATTCATGCAGCCGAGAAGATCGCCAATCAGTTTATTTTCCTCCACATCATTATACATCAAAATATGCTGTTCCTAAACCAGTTCGCCATTCCTCTCTCTCCCGGTGGGCGACCACCCAGAGACATGCCCAAGGCATTCCTCAGCAACGCTGGCCGAGCAGCTGTGGAAGCAGCCCATCACATCTCTGTCCTCTTCGACCGGGCATCAGCCTACCCACTCACTGTCCCTTTTGCAGGGTATTGCGCATATAGTGCCAGTACTGTCCATATCTGGGGTATCTTTTCCAAGAACGTGCAACTCGAGGCTCGATCAAAAGAAAATCTCCGACACACATATCGCTACCTGAACAAAATGAAGAAATATTGGGGAATGTTCCACTACATGGTGGAAAGTGCCAAAGACCGCTATCGGCAGTTTGCCGATGCAGCCATCAAGGGATCTGTAGCAAGCCAGAATGGAAGCACTCTGGCACCTATGTTCCAATATGGTGACTGGTTTTCCAAGTATCCTCACGGTGTATCGAGGCTGCATTGGGAAGACCCAGACTTGAGAAATAAGGATACCGGTGAGGACGCGGTTATGGGCCAGAAACCTGACCTACAAAGCGTAGAGGATTTCTTCGCCAGTCTATCCCCGACACCCCAGTCTGCTCGCCCCCGTAAAACACGATCGCGCAAGAACAGCAAAATCTCTGACAGTTCCTCAAACATTGGCCAAAACTCCCCAATGGACATGACAATGGTGAACACACCAGGTATACCTAGTAGTTCATTTCCCCAGTCATCCATGTTCGCACAGAATCGAGCAGGCGTACCGTATAGTCAATTCGACTTAAACATCGCGCCAGATCAGCTGCCTCAACTCGACCGACAATTTGTATATGGATCCTTTCAAGAGTTTGATCCCAATAATTTCATGCCAACAAGTAATTCCGTTATTCCGGCTGGTAGCGGTGTCGAAACTCATGATACGGAGCAAGCTCTCTATACTGGTCATCTTGACCCGGGTGCACCAGCCGGCACCGGTGAATTCTACCAGCCCAGCGCGTGGTTCCTGCCCTTCAATCTTGACCCAGCCGGTGCCACAACTGCTTCTAATACTTCAGGTCCTGCGGCAGGTCAACCCTCGGCGCCAGTCTCAGCCGGCGCTCCTACTTCTGCGCCTGTTTCCGATATGTCTGGCTTTGGCTCTGGCCTTTCATTGGGCTTTGACCTACATTTGGGTGGACAAAACTCGCGGCATGGATAGGGTTGGATCATGCTCGATGACCGCATGTGGTGTTTATATTGTCCATTTGAGTAACAAGGGAGGATTTGGATTTGGATTTTGATCTAGAACTCATGATTGGTGTTTTTTTTTTCTTGCATGTGACTTGGTTCAGAAGTCTGGAGTAATGCGATGTTTTGAGATACTGTATAGAAGTCTCGACTGCTGTTGTCGGATGTTTATATTTCCCCTTTGCATGATGGATTTAATGAACACTTATAGTCAAATGAACGCATAAAGTTCGATGTCTGTTGGGTTCCAAGGTGTCTAAATAGAAGATTGAGGGGATCAAAAAACTTCAGCCATTTCCGTTCATTCAATCTATAAATACTAAGATTTATATAGAATATAAATGAAAACTACCTAATTAGGTTAGGTGTTTTAGTTTGAAGGGGAAAAAAAAAGATATGCATCATCCGTGAATCGAACACGGGCCTCGTCGATGGCAACGACGAATTCTACCACTAGACCAATGATGCTTATTGGATGAGATTCTTGTCAACTTCGGCATTCTTCAACCACCTTTAGGTTGGTTACTGCTTGGCAGGGTTCCAGTGCAAATACTTTGATACAGTTCCACCGCGGTCAGTGAGATCAGATATAGGCTATTTGTGCCCATTATAGGATTGGTCTTGACTTCAGCGGTTCTATAGATGTTGTCGAGCTCAGCTTCTCCAGTAGTGCTGAAGATGATCAGAACCTAGATTCTCCTGGTTATAGACAAGATGTCACCACTCAGAACGAATCGCACAGATGCGTGCGGATGCAGTGATGAAAATGCTTTATTTAACGCCCTACTCGTCTGGCTTAAATCTGATCGATGAGTCTTTTGTTGAGCTCAAGAGCTTCATAGGAGTAACTAGGGCTATTATGAAAAATATCCCGGTCAAAGAGTTCGATGCTTTCTTCGAAACGGCGTATCTATTTATCAGTGCCAAAGAAGAGAGTGCAAGGGGCCGTTTTGGACATGCTGAATTGACGATTGATCAATCATTCAGATATCTAGGCACTTAGATACTTCCGCATCATGATCATACTTGATGGTGCAAGACTAAAGTGCTTGAATCTATGTTGTCTGGTACCTAGGTATGCGAAAGGGAAATTAAAGATGATTTCGAAGTTTTCAGGGACGCTTAAATCACCTGGGCAGGCCAAGTAGCAGATTTTGGGGCAAAAGTTCTGATAGCAACTACGAATTAGGGTTTAGAAAAGTACTGAGAAATGGCGTAAAAGAATGGTAAACAGCTGATGGAGATATGAATATCAAGCTAAATTGCAAAAAGACATAAAGTAATGTGACAGGAATTTGAATGAGAAGAGTGCAGAATTAATGTGGAATATAGTGGAATCGGCCTGAGCCTCTGACGTTTGATGATCTAGGTCGACCACCAATCAGATCTGTAGTTTTCCCACTACTATACCAAAGTAGTATTATCGCTCCTGCTATAACACAGTAGCTTCTGTATTTAAGGAAAAGTAAAATCATTTCTCTCCATACTGTGAAAGTAAGATTCTCATACTCTGAATACTACACGTCTAATATAGCTAAATTAACCCATAATTCGCCAGGTCGCATGAAGCTCCTTTCCAAACTATTCAAACCTCATCCGCTCTCTCTCTCCGCAAACGTGACTCAAACCGTCTTGCTTCCTCTTCCCAGATGACTGATGAGGCTGGAGGGAAAAGATCCAAGAAGGCTGAAGAGTAAGTCTCTTCTCATTTGCGCTGTAAAATTCTAACTCGTCTCTCTTAGGCCTGAGCCTCCTACCGTCACACTTCACCCCCGAGAGGTACTACGAAACGTTGCAGATGCGCTCAATCGCCGACATAACGAATTGGCCGTTACACTCCCCATCAACTCTACATGGGTGACTGCTCTAAGGGCTGTCGAGGAGGCTATTGCCGGCGTTGGTGAGGATATCGTGCTGATGCTGCGTGGTATACGGGGTCCGAAGGTGCGTGAGCTGGCTGTTGTAACCCCATCTTGGGAGCAAGCCTGTCCAGGACGAACCATATACGGACAAGAGATCCGTACCGCCATTACACTTTCCGGCATGGATTTACTCCCCCGGAGAACTCAGGAAATGCGGGAGAAAATCCGTGAGATGGCCGAAAAGACCAGAGACGAAGGCTTCCGCGAGCCATACGTTGTGCTCCGAGCGGAAGTTTTAGAAAGATCTATCCCTACTATCCATGCCAATATCTTTCTCCGTGCCATAGATGGTGATGATGAGAGTCCGGTCGAGGTGTTGAATAACATGGCAATGATTTTCGATACCGGAGCGCACCGAACGATAATCGCCGAACTCCTCCTCCCTCAGTCATTCCGTGAATCGCTACATGATCCTATCCACGATCCATATCGGGATCAGCATGGGGTCATAGTGCAGTTAGATATTGAGATGGCTTTCACCAATTGTGCTCTCCCTCTGACCACGTCGGTCCTGATTGTACCACAGGCCGAAATGCCCAATTCTTTGGTGGGCGTGTTGTTTGGCCAAACCGGTGGGATTGACCATCTTAGACTTCAAATGAGACCCCGCAATATCCTTCAGGCGAAGAGAGAGCAGATTCCAGAAAATGTTTGGGGTGACATTATCCTCGACGAGTATGTTGATCTTTATGGAGCTGTGCATGCTCTGTGAGATTGTGTTTGCTTTGGCTTTTTCCTTCAATGCTGATATTTATGGAGTTGTGCATGCTCCGTGAGATTGTGTTTGCTTTGGCTTTGTCTTTCAATTTGCAGTTTGTGTTTGCTTCTTACAATTGTATTTTTTGCTTTCAATTCAATTCGCTATCATGACCTAGCCCTGGTTCAGAACACACCTTAAGTTAGAGACCTCAAAACCAATCAGCAAGTTGAAGACCATGCCTCACCTATCCTCCTCGACCATAGACCTTCTACCTCTGTTGAAGCTATTGGCCGCAAATGCAAGAGACCTTGTGCTTATGACCAACCTTGTTAATTGTGGGGCTGTGGGCCATGCTTCTTTTTCTCAATGTCGGTTCTGTAGAGTTTACAAATTCGAGAAGATTTGTTATGGAATTTGATTCCCTTGATACCCTTAACGCTTTTTTAGGCAGCACATTCGTGAGTATAAGAATTATTGCAAGACTTGAAGGGATTCTATACTCACCATTATCTATGTAGAGAGAATCAAACACTTTAACCGCAAACTTTGAACCGGGTTGAAGTAATTTGGAAGAATTATAAAATGAAATGCCTCGTATAATCACAGTGAAGACTGGTGCTTCGACTCTTCAAACTAACCATGCTCCTCCATTTGTTGCCACTACAGACCCAGTCACGAATTTATCTTTCATCAAATACAAGTACGCTTCAGCTGCATCTTCTGGATACCCAATATCCTTGGTCAGGGATGCCTTGGTATGCTTCTCAATGGCGCCCTGGACCATTTCCTTCGGAAGGTTGTCGAGTAACTCCGTCAAAATAAAGCCTGGGGAAACAGCATTCACGCGCATGGGCGACAGCGTAACAGCCAGGCCTTTCATTAACCCTTCTAGAGCACCAGTAACAAGGGGCGGTAACCAAAATGACGGCTTTTTGTTCTGAGTGCCCGTGGTCAAGGTAATGGAGGAAGATTTATCCACAGACATATACTTCGGAGCATACTTGCCAACTGCCATGGCACCGAAGACGCGAACTGTCATAAATGCATCGACGTGTTCGAATTGTGCTTCGGGCAGAGGCACAAGCTGGGGTACGTTTCCTGCCGTGAAGACAATGTGGTCGATCGGCGAGATTTCAGCCGCATACTTGAGCAGATTCTCGACGGCTTCCTCAAGCTTGTCTCTAACAGAAAGATCGGCGACGTGACTACGCACGGCCGAAGCGCGGGTTGGGTCTGTTTCGCGCAGGCGGCTCACGGCTTTATCGACTCTTTCTTTCGAAGAAGAACTGACAATTATGTTCGCACCATCCAGGAACGCTTGCTTGGCGACCGCGAATCCAATGCCCGAGGTACCGCCAATAAGCAGGATGTTTTTGTTGGCAAGTTTCGATGTCATGGCGACTGACTTTGAAGTAATTCAAGCGAAACTAAAGGCTGATTTTGATTTTTCTTTTGATGGTCGTAGAGAATCACAGAAGTGTAATGATGAACATTATAGTCCTGGGTTGTTATTATAGGGTTTTTATACCTCAATCAGTTACTTGCTGAGTTCGTCCGATTTTCGGACGAATCCTTTGAACTACGGAAGACTTATCTACTCCGTACTCCGTTTTAACGACTACGCCAATGAAGCGGGTCATGTAAGATGGCATGCTCGGTCTAGCCACGTAATTGGCGATGTCAGTTAAGGAGCACTAATCCTAGTCAACTCCCGTCTTGTAAGGTTGATGGTGAGGTTTTACGAAAAACGCCAGGGCTGCAGAACGTGAATTCTTGTCTACCTAGGTAGAGTTGACTGCGAGGGACTAACCTGCCTTCAAATCCCTTTCAATTCTAGCACCCTTGCAGATAGCAGTGAAATATGTTCTAGAAAAAGTCCCTGGTACCCAGTCAGTAGGATCAAATTGGCTCCGCTAGCAAGCAATTTATATTTTATTGGGGCCTGTTTATGGAGCAAACTAAGTTAACTAACAGCAAGTGACCTTGGAAGTTCGTCTGATTCCTCTGCTGATGAGGTATGGACATTTGGCGGCAGACGGACAGAATTTCGTCCGCATAGTTATCAGGAATTTCTCTCTGATTTCTGTTTTATCAGCCCTAACTTAGTCCTCATTAGGAAAACTAGAGTCTTCGCGCCCCACGCCATGACAAGGGCATTTATAAAAGCTATCTTCGATGATAATAAAATGTTCGGTTCTAACTGGAGGATTTGAGACTCAATTGCGGACATTAATCATGTCTATCAGTATGCAGAGCAATTCGTGAGGTTCTACGACTGGGTTGAGAATGAATGATCTTCATTGTGGTGGAGTATATTGCTTTAGGAGATCTCTAGAACCATATCATGCCCCATTTACCGGAAAAAGAAGTGGAACAAGTCTCTTATCAGATTTTGGAGGGTTTAAAATATCTACCTAGGTACACAACAGTGACGTTTTTCATTGAGATATAAAGCCGCAAGTAGGCTTTCCATCTACGCATAAAATATCAAACTCGGATTGTTTTTGTTCTTGGTCCTTCTATAATATCGAATTCAACATCACTACGGTTTGGGTTTACTGCACGTCGCTCGAGGGCGAGTGAGTCTTTTGGACAAAACTATATAGAAATACTCTTGGCATTGAGGTGGGGACCTCGAGAGTCCCCTCAAACATTTTATAGAAACCAGTCAGGCCTTTCCATGACGATGAAGATAACTAAGTAGCTGGAACAAAGATTCAATCATCCCACTGCTCATCAAGCTGATCAATCAACTGATTTTCGGCTTCCACGTCCCGTCGTCCACTAGACACTCCGCGGCCACCAAAGGCACCAATCAAGCCACCACGACCATCCCCAGCTTGCGTATAGTCACGGTGTGATGGCGAACGCTTAATGCGAAGGCATCTCCCCAGCGACGAGAAAAGAATGACAAAGATATCCTGTTTCACAAAAGAGGCTGATTAGCATTTTCATTTTTGATATAATGGCAGAAAACATGGTCTCGAAGGCTAGATGCAAAGCACTTGGTGTAAAGTATAAAATCGAGTACTTGGAGCTGTGAATATCTAAGGTGTGCGCAATATCCAGCCCCAAGCAGTATCAAAAACGATATATGAACCAACGCTTCTCATGCGGAATGAACATAGAGTGTCTAAAGTCGTGTTTGTACATGTGGGAAGTGGGTGGGAAGTGAGAATGCGACAGTGACGAGTGCGAAATGGATATAAACGAGCGAATGTAAAGAATGTAGAACAAGTATGCGGGTTCTTTCCAGTATTGAGATCCAGACCAGCTGAAGTAAACTCAATCTAATCGTGAGACTGGAAGGCCGAGCTTGTTTGATTGCTTACGTCTGTGCCCACTGTGCCCGCGACGAGACCGACATGGGACGAAGAACAGGAGACTTACTTTGATAAAATCTAACATTCCAGCCCATAAGCTAAAATTGGGACATTGGCGCCAACCGCGTTGGTGCATGACTGTTCGCTGGTAAGCGCAACCACCGATCAGGTAGACGGCTACAGCTATAAGCATACTGGAAGAGATTGTTAGTAAAGTTTGACACCATTGCACAGAGTAGCTGAGCGAGAAAAGCTTACATTACGCCAAAGACTCCTCCCGGTCCTAGTCCTCCGGCGTTGGGATCAACAGCAGTACCACCACACGCAGCGGAGCTTCTTATTTCGAAGTAATAGCTACACGAGTCCATGGTACCGACGAAAGATGGAGTAGCCAGGGAAGGCAAGGCGTCACGATCGCAGAGGAAAGATAGGATGGTGGATTTGGTGCGTTTGGAAGTACTGGCGTTGTCGGTGTTGTAATCGTCTGGGCAAGGGGACCCATTTGTATAATTCAAAACAAGCTTGCGACCCCGGAAAAATGGATCTGATGCCTGTTCTCTACAAGATAGAGCAGAGTCGATTAGTATGCGGCGGATTCAAACACCAGCTAGCTGGGAGAGTTGTTGTACCCTATCGAATATACTTTCCCGGATTGTTCGTAATATGCGCTGATATTACTCCACCGAGACGATGGCACTCCAACCACGTCCGTAACATCTTCGATAACCGGCGCACAGATGTTGATAGTAAAGTTGGCATTGTAATCGTGTCCTTTGGCATGCCAGCTGTCGTCGCGGTCGTTTTGGTGAAGCTTCTTGCCATCCTTCAGCTGGGGAGGTTGCAACGAGATTGCACTCAGGTCGAAGTAGAGACCGCTTGCTGGTGAGCGTGCTACACATGGCGCATCATCAAGATGAGGGTGATCGGTCGCAGCGCCGGTCAATCCGAGAAACGAAGATAAGAGGAGGAGTGAATAACGAGCAGTAGGAGCCAGCTTCATGGCTGCGAAGGGATGAAAGAGAAAAGAGATCGATAAGTTTCGCGCGAATGGTAAAATCAGAAGGAAAGTCTTAGGTCTATTCAAAGATTGGAGTCCAGCTCTCTTAGGTAATGTTAGAAAAAGAGGAGAAAGATTGAAACAAAAGAAGGATTACGTTTCAACGCTCGCAAAGTTCATGCGGAGAAACGCCGGCCTCCGGACGGGACCCGGTGTCGTACGTAATACGCCCAAGCTCCAGGTCCTCCAGGCTTCTTCTTATTCAATTGCCCTTCTCCACAGCCGTAAATCAATCAATTGCTCATCATGGCTTCCAAAAAGGCATCTAAGCCTCAGATTCTTGTCCAGCCTGTCCCTGAAAAACGCGGCTATGAATTTGGTGGACCGTATGTTTTGTTTTACCCCCGTTTTTAATGCACGTATTAACAGTAACAGTCTAGGGGCTTTCGGAATTGTTTTCGGTCTCCCAATTCTCGTGTATACCTTTACATTTGTCTGCAATGATATTTCGGGATGTCCTGCCCCCTCGCTACTGCATCCCTCTACCTTGACCCTCAATCAATTGAAATACGAAGTGGGATGGCCAGAGGAGGGTATTGCAGGACTATTTGACCTCCAAGTGACACTCTGGACCCTGAGCTACTATGCTTTCAGTTTGTTTATGCAGATCTTCTTGCCTGGTCAGGAGGCTGAGGGCGTTCCACTGGCATGTGGAGGAAGACTCACATACAAGTTCAATGGTATGGGGATAAAATCTAGCACGCCACATCGGGCATTACAACACCTGGGCTGTGTCTCACATTGCTAACTGTTCGATTAGCATTCCCCTCTGCTATCGTTATTCTCCTAAGCTTGGCCATCGGAACCTTCATGCAAGGTGCAGACTTCGTTGTCTGGACATTCCTATGGGACAACTACACCCAGGTCATTACAGCAAATCTTCTAATTTCGTCAACAATTGCGCTGTTCGTCTATTTCCGGAGCTTTACTGTCCCCCAGCCGGGAGCACTTAATGCAAATCTCCGTGAGCTAGCACCGGGAGGTCACACCGGCAACCCGTTGTATGATTTCTTCATTGGCCGTGAACTCAACCCCCGTATCCGTCTTCCCATTCCATTTGTCAGTGAAGCATCGCGCACGGTTGATATCAAGGTTTTCATGGAGATGAGACCAGGACTGTTGGGTTGGACAATCCTGAACTTGTCTAACGTGGCCCACCAGTACCGGACTCACGGCTATATTACCGATTCAATTCTCCTGGTAACCGCGTTCCAGGGATTCTACATATTGGATGCCCTGTACATGGAGCCTGCTATTATGACTACTATGGATGTGATCATGGATGGATTCGGCTTCATGCTTTCGTTTGGTGATGTGGTCTGGGTTCCCCACGTTTACAGCATCCAGAGCCGGTATCTCTCAGTTTTCCCTCTCCAGCTGGGATGGACCGGTGTAGCTCTCGTGCTGAGTGTCACCGCGATTGGATATTCAATTTTCCGCGGCGCCAATAACCAGAAGAACCGTTTCCGTACTGACCCCAACGACCCCCGTGTGAAGCACATCAAGTTTATTGAGACCGCTAGTGGATCGAGACTGATGACATCGGGCTGGTGGGGCTTGGCGCGTCACATCAACTACCTTGGTGATTGGACTATGTCCTGGGCCTACTGCTTGCCTACTGGTATTGCGGGTTACGCCATCTTCGAGGGGATCAACCCTATTACTGGAAAGCTTGACAAGCAGGCTGTGCAGACCCCCGAAATGCGAGGGTGGGGTATGATCCTTACCTACTTCTACATGCTGTACTTTGGCGTTCTCTTGATTCACCGTGAGATGCGTGATGAGGAGAAGTGCAAGAAGAAGTATGGAGCGGACTGGGACCGCTACACCTCTTTGGTGCGAAGCCGAATCGTCCCCGGTATATATTAGACCGGCTTCATATCACCCTGCTGAAATAAGAACCGGGCGACAGTCGCAAAGGTTTTCGGCGACTTGATTACTCATAACTTGTATATCTTTTAATTGGGCGTTGCGATGAAGGAAAAGCAAGAAAACTTGTAATATAGATTTCTTCTAGTGTCTTATAGACCAATCTTTCGTTTTTTACTACTACTTGTAGTACTATTGAGAACCGTTAGGTCCCAGCCCTCATCGCCTGTGTTGGGAACCCATCCCTTGAGGACTTTCTTAGCATCCCGTAGAACCTCTTCACGCACTTGGAGAGGATCTGCCCAATCAGTCCCCGCTTGCTTCAGCTCTGCGTATGAATTCGCTTTGCTAATTTGCTGCTTGGCAAGGAACCCGTGAAGCTCTTGAGCAGGAACTGATTCAACTAGCTGGTTCTGAACTTGAGTATCCTTCAAATATTTCTTATATCCCTCAGAATCGACGGTTTCTCTGAGAAAATTCCATAGCCTGGCACGAGAAAGTGACGAGGCACCTCTTTGGCCGCCTGAAAATGCCTTGTTTCCCTGCTTCACGCCATTTATGATAGTTTCGTAAAGTCCAGTCTTTGAACGAAACAGCGTAGGTAACTGCGTACTTCCAGGTAACAACAAGCTGACATGCGGGTACGATGATGCGGCTGCCCACACTGTACTGACATTACCAGGTCTTCTTTTCTTGGGTAAGACTGTCTGGCTGGTCGAATCACTGCTTTCTTCTATTAAGTTTGCATTCTGTGGTGTACCTGTCTTAGGCTTCGCAAATTTCCAGAGTAGAGCAATCTCCTCCGCAGCTACAGACAGAATATTAAATGGGCGGAACTGGTAGCCAGTTTGACTCTGAGTCTTCTCACTGGATATTTGACCAGGCCAAGACCGACCCTTGAGATCTCTCATTCTACCATTCTCCCCAAACGCTCTCTCGCAAGCGACGTGGCTGATTTCATCCTCAGGAAGAACGAGACCGGCAAAGTATGCATTTGAGGTAGGAGCAATGAAGCGACTGGTCTGACAAGAGAGCAAGGAAGAGACCTGCCTCAGAGCTAGCTTGTCAGAGCAAGATTTGCTTCGAGTGGATTCTGCGTCCATCCGTGCTGGCTTGCGACGAACAACACCAAGAAGGGAAAAGTGCGCTCGACCATCTAGCATATCGCCTTCGGCAAGTGTGTCATCTTGTTGAATATCAGAATTTATATGAACTTCCCGTCTTACCTCCCATGGTGTTGCGTCTTCTTGTGAGTCCATACATAGCTCCATACTTCCATCGCCACACGGGGCGCAGGTGCAGTACATATAGAACTTGACGTCAGGTTGGATCTCAAAGGGTGGCCAATCTATTGCTGATTTTTCCACTTGGTCTTTCATATCTCTTCTTCGTATGAAAGGTGACTCGGTGATAGAGCTTTTCGATTCTGAGTTTGATATTTGGCTGTCAAACATGCCTCGACATTCAGTCAAGAGCCAGTAGTTGAAGGCGCGAATGGCCAAAATCTCCGCGTGGCAATCATGCAAGACAAGGCCTTGACAGCCAGGTATCTGGGATGCCGATAAGCATTTTGCCCCGCTCCTGTAATATAATTAATTTTGATATTTTGACTACACTTTGGATATGTGCATACGTGATGGCTAAACATGTCAAACTTTCCAATGGGGTATTTTCTCCTGTAGTTCAAGAACTATTGAGTATGACTTTTCACTTAAATGAATTTTCCAATTACCTTTGACAGCCACAATTCCAGTCAATGGAATCCATTCTCTTGAGCCATCATCAAAAACATTTGGTTTATTGCGCGCTGGCAATGCATCAAAGTGTGAATGAACCAGCAAGGCTATCCTAGATGGCAACGGCACCGTAGAAACAGGCATAGATATTGCAATTTGGATGATTGGAAATTCTAGACCCGAATAAGAGTTGCAAAAATCATTTTTATATAAAATTATTAAAAAAAAAATGGTAGGAATTGGGAGTAACAATCTGCGGTAGGACAAGAGATGAGAAAATATGGTGCATTCACCGCCCTCCAAAGATACGATATGAATTATTCTGCCACGCCTTTACGCTTTGAAGCTTCAACGCCATATGATCTCAACCCTCCAAGTATGATGTCGCTCGCCGAGAACGTAGCTCAAGGCAACGATATTCCATGATGTAGTCGCCGCACTGGTCTTTACGACCTACCCCGTGGACCTTTAAAAGCAGTGATTTCCCCACTTTCATTCCTCTTTCTTTTTTCATCATCATCTTTATGCATGGGCTTTCTGTATACCAGTGAGGATAAATCCGAGGTTATATATTGCTGACTGAAAGCTATCAGTTATACCTATCTGGTTGCCTTCGCGGGTAGCCACGTAATTTTTGAAATCAAAATTGTGATTTTATCACTTGAGACTTCTGTCTACCTTTTTTCATTGCTTGACAGCCCTTGTTGGCTGTAGGTAGAGAAGAGATGTTGAAAGCCCATCGTCTTTATCATTCCGTCTTATCGATTTAATATCACGTGACCTTAATTATCATCTCCAGATCCCGACATCCTGTCAAGCGCCTCTCATCCACAAGCAATCAACTATCCTAGTACTCAAAATGGCCGACAAACTCCGAACCCTCCAGAACTTGGAGTCTCTACAGACCCGCTACATTGGTACTGGTCATGCCGATACGACCAAGTACGAGTGGACCTCCAACATCATTCGTGACAGCTACTCTTCCTACGTCGGCCACAACCCGATGTTGACCTACATGTCTATCGGTCTGGGTCAACCCAAGGAGAAAGTCCGGGCAATGATGCTTGAGAAGATGGTTCGAGGCGCTGGAAACCCTCCAGAGGTAATTGTGGATTGAATTCCCTGGAAATTGAAGATCTTGTTCACTGACCTTTTTGGGTATCAGGCTCCGGAGGACCGATGAATTCAGCTACTCCTCAGACTAGAAGCTTCTGCTTCAGGATCTATTCCATACGCACAGATACGAATATCATGCCAGCGGGCTTTCGGTTTTCGGGGCTGTGATTTTATTTATACATCTTGGTTCGAAGATTTGGATGGCGTTTTGCTGGCTATTGCAGTCCTTATTCTATTTATTTTCCCAAGGTTGGGTTTATGGCGTTTACAAGCTGATCAAAACACTACATGGCCCAGACGGGCGGGAGCAAAAATTTGAAATCTTCATAAATGAGTTGTTAAATGATAGATCATGCCCTGCTAATATCAATATCCCTAAATTCCATGATAGAAACAACACTGAGCGATGGTTCACGCTTGAGCCTAGCCCAGAAACCTGTATCACAGCTTAATGCTTCTCCGCCATTGCAACCAGCTTAGTATTCTCCGATTGCAGCGAAGCGACAATATCCACATACTTCTGGCGTTCAGCGCGTAATTGGGCGACCTGAGATTTCAAATCTTTCACCTCGCCACGCAGAAGCTCAACTTCGGATTTTGACTTGGACTTTTCCTCCTTGCCAACTACCTTCCGCTGTTTTGCTTGAATCTTGAGCGCAACCTTGAGCTGGGAGGCCTCAGTTTTGCGCAGCTGCTTCAGTAACTTAGCTTCCTCGTGGCGTAATTGCGAAGCCACTTTGTTTTGTTGCCCTGGTAGTTCGGATGGTGATGCGTTTGTTCTTGCTTGGGTGGGTGGACCACTAGAGACACTATGGTGGCTGCTGTGTCGGCTTTTCTGCGTTCCAGAGCTACTTCCTGGCGTTGAAGACCGGGTTTCCGCTGCATTTTTCAAGATACCGCTTTGGTTGTTTTGTATGTCGTCGATGTCTTTTTCTGGAGTTGCAGAAACAGGTTGAGGTGGGATGTGGAAGCTTTCCATGCTTGCGCGGACCGTGTCGAGTTTGGCGTCAATTTCACGTTTTCGGAGAGCTAGCTTGGCGAGCTCTTTTTCCTGGGACGTAAGTTTGCCGGACTTGCTCATTTCTATGAGATCTGGCTGACTGATGGTGTTCTGAACGACCCCGTCGACTAATGAAGTGCATGTATCGGAGTGGGGTGCGGATGACAGAGAGACTCGATCGGATTCATGGGGAGGGAGTGACATTGTCTCGGAAGGGTGTTCTGCGTCATTTGTCTCTGAGTGCAGAGCTTTTACTCCATCAGTGTTCGCCTCAGGCGATGTGGTGTTTAGTGAGCGATCAACCGAAAAAGATTGGGACGCCGAACGGTGGTGCGGTATAGGGATATAGTCGAGGATTGCTTGTGGCGTGTAGCGTTCAATACCAGTATTGAGTAAACCTGTCACGCTGGCAATGAGACCGTGATGAGAGGTATCGGAATCGACTGAGTCCAAGTCCGAATCGGAAGTGTCTTCTTCATCGTCATCAAGCTCATTTCCCGACTCATTAGGGACCAGCCCGGCGCCCTCTGAGGTCTCAGGATTAGCTGGCGCTTGCTTTTTCCGTTTATCTTTTTGAACAGCCCAGTTGACAAATTTTGCGGCATCGGCCCCGACACTGCTCGGGGTACCTTTGTCCACAAGCCATCTGGGGATGTTGCCACCGGGATCACTTCGTGTGACCATGATCCATTCGACCGGATTAAGCTCCTCATCCATATCAGCTTTTTCATCTGCAGGGGCTAAACTAGTCTTGCTGGAGCTACCGTCGATATTCTTCCTCGGAATCTCACGAATAAGCTCAATAGACTCATATTCACCCCGGACATACCCATACTTAGGCTTCACTTGGTCATGGTTACAGGGTTTGGAAATCATCATCCAGCTCCGACCAGGCTGTTTTGTGCCGCCAATTTGTAGAGCGTGATCTGAAGTGATGATCAAAGGAACAAAGTCGCGTGGCGCTGTAGGCTTAGGAAACTGCGCAGAGACGTGATAGACCATGACTTCAGCGATGATTGAACCATCTTCATCTTTCACTTCCACCGCCTCAACTTTCTGCTCAGCGCCGATACCACGAATGCACACATCAGGCACTTTGCCCTCTTCAATCTTCTCCAGATTACCCTTCAGGGTCTCGTCATACTCCATTGAAAGCTTCCTCCTCCACTGAGAGAACCCGAGACCCTCGTGCACGCTCCGTCTCCCAAACCAATGGCCGCCCCCGTCGTTCGAATTCAGCTTCCACACATGCAGGCCAAGCGGGTTATCCTTCGGCCCGCCCATCTTGATAGGCTTGCCCCATTGCTTTTGTACGGATAGAATCTCCGAATCGGTGTCTCCTACTCGAGCCGACGAAGGAACGACTCGCGGTGTTGAATGGGATTCGTGTGCATGGTGCTCCTCAGGTGCGTAGGTCGGAGGGTCCGGGAGGGATTCAGCGACAAGTCTACTCTTCTTGAAGATATCGCGCACGTATTCGCGGAGCTCGTCAGGCGACTGTGGAACCTTATCCCATGATACCGGGTTCATACATTGGAGCGCATCGTGTAGAGCGGCCATGGAAAACGTTGGATCCGGAGCCTTGGCCGTTTATTTGTGATAGAGGTTTATGGCCACGCAACCAGAGAGGCAAGGATAGGGGTTCGGACCTAGTACTTTGTACTTGGGGAGACTGGTCACTCAGTGGTCAGCAATGGAACCACCGGAAAAGCCATCCGAAACGGCTGACAGCGCATTGGACATCGCACTGCATATTGCGCTGCCGCATGCTTGATCAATAGGGGGCCATACCAAAATGAAGGAACGGAAAAGATTTCAATGTTTATTGAAGGGAGTCTTTGATCACAAGACCTGACCTTGGAAGCGGATCCAACGATAAACGCGGGGACAATGGGGTCGCGTTGAAATGAATATTTGTACGAAGCATGTAGGTACTAGAATAGGAGAATTTTGTAGCGAAGTATCCGAAATCCGATTACTTCCCCTCAAGGTGTGAGAAGTGGAGGAAGTCCTTGGAAGTACATGGGATAACGGTTCTTGACGTCATTCCAGTTTGTGGAACGGAACTAGTAATTACTAGTTGATCGATCTATCATCGTCAACATTCAAAGGAACAACCGGTTTTTTTGAACTTAGATATCTAGGTACGGAGTATATTTTGAATAAATATGACGATCTGGACGTTGTCAAAATTGTGGAAAATGTAGTTGAAATAGGGTTTATATTTGTAAATGGATGATTTTCTATATGAATCTGACACGTTCTAGATCTAGTATAAGGAGTAATTAACTAATTGATGAGTCGCATAAATAGTATTATTTAGCTAGTTTCGCGTTTGGTTAGTTACGATAGTTACTTATGTAAACAAAATTACATACTCAATTTTGCGACTATGTCTACTGGAAGTCATACTTGCATGCAGCTTTCATACTTGAATTTCAAAGATACATACAAAAAAGACAAAGAATGACAGCCAGCAAAAAGGGACTAGCCCTTCAAACAGACAAGAATAGAAAGAGAACCAGCATCTAATTCCCAGTGTCAGGATCAAAAGAACGAAAAATGGGCTCAATCAACCAGTGAAAGAATCCCCTGACAACTCGAGCTCATCCAAGTAAACGCTTAAACCCAGCCCGGATGAATTAGGTGATGAACCTAATATACTGACTATGGGGTTGAAGTTGTGAGATAGTTGAGTATAAAAGATAAAACATACCATTTGCACCACTCGCAGGGGTGGGATGTATCGAATATTCCAAGTCACGGACTTTGGAATAGTCTCAATCTCAGGTCCCTTCCTGCTCGGTATTCGCCGCAGGCGAAATCACCGAGTTCAACGAGGTCGATGGTATACTTCCCTTTCTGCTACCATCGATGCTCACGGCTTCAACCCATAGACAGCGGCAAAAAGGGGTAGTCAGGTCAAGCATGTCAAATGCTGGACATAACCACCCTTGTCACGTAAACATATCCCCGAAAACCCAATCAAGAGCTTCGCCAGTCCAATATCCAGTACTGGAAGGAAAGTCCTCGACAAAAACCATATCAAGGACAACAAGAAACGAAGCCAGTCGATTCTTATAGCCCATTGCCAAGCTTGTCGAGCCGTGACACAGAAATGAAAGATGTAAGATATCCCATGCCGCGAGGCAAATCCTGGTCTCTTTATGACATATATGCGGGAAACGAAAAAAAAATAGAGATAGCCGACCCGCCGCTTGTCGATGCAAAAAGAAGAAACCAAAAGGTGAAAAACGAAAGACGCTTTCTCTGGTAGAACGAACAGAACAAAAAGAATAATTCTGGAAATCGCAGATGCTGTCGGGAGCAATATTCTGCTTATGAATACAATGACGGAAGTATCACAAATGCACAGTCGAAGAACGCCGGGTCAAGAATGCCAATTAGTCGGAGGGCTGGATGGCCCGATCCATGCCTGATGGATGGGAGGTAGATCGATGGAAAAAACTTCCCCAAGTCAAACGAAGCCGAAAATCCCAACGAACTCTCGACGTCAAAAGGTTGCTCGACTCGGTAACTTGGGGCCGCGAGAGTCAGGAGGGACGAGAGTCGAGGCCATCGAGTCGAAGCTCCGAAGAGTGATTTACATGATCATACTGTAGGGTAAGGCAGCGGTGGAAAAGTCCCCCCAACCAAAGCCGGCCATGTTGGCAGCCGTAGCGCATTGCTGCAAGGGTTGCACGAGCATGCTGGGGAGCGGGAGGGAAGTGATAGCTGAGGTGGCGGCCATATTGTCATATGGCGAGTAGGCGGTGGTGAAAGGCTGGCTGTAGGACGGAGAAGGCGACAACTGATCGTCACTGAAAGTCATACTGGCCCAGAGATCCGGATTAGAATCGTTCGTGCTGGCCGGGGGTGGGCTGGGCGACAGTACTTTCCACGGCTCGATAGACGCGGATGGTGGGATCCACCAGGTTTCCGGTCCAGTCGAGCTGGGCAGCAGAGGGACTGGTCTAAGAACATCCACCACCCGCGGTGGCGGGGGCAGTAAAGGTACATAGAGACCAGTGATCGATATCTTTGCCTCTTCACTTAGCCCGCTTGGTAACTCTCCAGAGCCATCTTCCTCTAAGCCTTCTAGGGCTTCGGCGTTTGTTCGATACACGAACTTGTTAGCGGCTTGGATAAATTCATCCTGCAGTTTCTTGAGCTGGGAATGCTTCCCGGGCCAGTTCCACGTGCTTGCGGCGGTATCGACAGAATAGACGTCCTTGTGGAATTCCACCAGGGCTTCGATCGTCTCTGGTGTTAACTTAAAGGCCACCTCATTTCGTGAGACCATATCGACATGTACGACATATGCTTCGATATGGATCATCTGGAAGTTGAACAGACCCTCCACGAGTGGGTTCTCATCCTTTCGTAGCTCGGCTTCGGGTGCCTTGGCGAACATCATTGAGCATAGGGTCCAGATGGCGTTTTGCGATGACAAAGTCTCTGTCAGACAGCGAGTATGTTGCGTCACATTGTTGAGAGGACGCTTGACCCTGTTGACTCGTTTCAAGGTGGCTGTCAACCACGGCGCAACCTTCCTAGACAGAACGACATTTGGCGGAGACCGTGGCGCAAAGGCAGCGGCAGAAGAAGGAAGTAAGACTGTTGGCATTATGAATCTGTGTGAGAGGAAATACGTCCGGCGTTTCGAGATTGGATATGATATAAATGAATGTAGAATGGGAAAGTAATCATATAATGCAACATTCGCCCACACAAGAAGGAAGATCGAGTTATATTAAGATCGATCGCATACTCTAGTTTAGAGTAGAAAATTTGCAAGTTTAATATTAGTGCGAGCGAATGTGCGAGAAGAGAAGATCAAAGATAATTAGATATAAAAGAAAGTTACAATAAGAGAAGGAGTGGATGAGGGCTAGAATAAGAGGGGTGGGAAAAAAATGGAGTATGGGTGGAGAATTGAATTTGTAGATGTGCATTAAGACTAGGGCTTTTCAGTTTTTCAAGTTTTTCGGTCTCATTTGGCTTATTTGGCTTATTTTGGAGAGTATATGCAGGTCGATGGAGTCGGAGACTGTACGGTACAAGTAAGAAAACAGGCTCGGAATGCCCGATGTGGCGATATGGCAGTTGAAACAAACACTGTACAGCTCTCATCTGAATGACAATGTTTCATCAATCAAAAATACACAAAACTTTGATCGCACAGAATGGACCTCACATTTGACCCGTTGCACGTCCATTTTGGCCAGAAGCCTGCAAGATTCCCCAAACTGCAAAAGCTAGGAAGAGGAATAAAACTTCCGAAAAACAATAAACCATAAACAAAAGAACCCGGTCTTGGCTTCTGCAGATTGAGCATGAAGCATCAAGTATAAGGTTGCTGTAGATACCTAGGTACGGAGTACTGAGTACACTGTAATCCATACGAAGTACCTCCTTATTATTGGGTGTGGTTGAGGCAAAAGTGAAAATTACCATGAAGTATATAACTCCACATATACTTAGATAAGGAGTCTACAGACGTTAGAATTTAAATCTTGACTATTTTTGTAACGACTCTACTTTATAAAACCCTAAAATAATATAATATGCTAAAAAAAAAAGGAGGTTAGGGGATAGGGTTACAGCAAAAGCACTTGAAACTACTCGATTATTTTGTTATATTTTTATGTTATTTTAGACGAGTCGAGTTACCGGTATAGACTAAATACACACTAGAAACCAAAAACCCAAAAAGAAGTGGACAACCTCAGCTGATGAGAGTACGTGGGGCACAGACCTTAGGCCACTGCGCCTAAGATTCGCTGGCTGGGACTATCCGCCCGATGCACTCCCAGCTGAGAGATCCCTGTTCCGATCTGCCATTGGGCTGAGCCTCCATGGCCGGTCCTACGCAGACTTTGATGAGGCGCCCAATCCCGTGTATGGGTAACAAATACCAGTTTCCTAGTCCAGCCAGTCCAGCTTCTTCAGAGCTACCGAATCAGCGATTCCATCATCCCACAGTACACAAAGACGGGGCTTAAGGGCTTATCCTTGTGCAATCAGAGTTTTGTATTCCCACCCTGGATCTTGTCTTGCATATGAGTTTGATCATGTGAGCGTGGAGGGCGTCAATAATTGGGATGAGAGGCACTGGAGTGTGTGAAGATCCGAGACATCCCAGTTACCGGTTCGAACGACTCAAGACTAAGATGGAAATGACGTTCCTATCTTGCATTCGAAGTTGTGTTGTTTTATCCTAAAATAAGTGTGTACGGCTGCGCCTCACTCCGCCACCTCGTGTTGTGGCTATGCTTTATGCTTTATGTCACATGCGTCGATCTATACGTTTCAATTCCACAGCGCTTAGGGCTTTGGAAGTTCATTACCAATGCATTATCCTTGACTCTTGAACTGAATTAGAATCTTCTCAGTTCTACTGTTTCAAAACCGGGTTGAGGTGAAGCGTAACTAAGACATGCAGCCTTACATTTGATGGAGCTGCCTAACAGTTTGCAAGATTCAGACGCCATTATGGTTATACTCGGTAATATAGTAAGACTTGCTTTGTGATAATATAGTGTCATTAACACTCTTTGAATGTTTATTGAGTCATATTTTGATATTCTGATGCCTATGTATCAAAAGCCAGCTTAGCTAGTATAAAGTGGATGTCTAATAGTGGGTATGACTTGCTACCCTCCAGTGGAGTGGAAATTCCGTAGAATGACTCATGGCGGGGCTGCTTTCTGACAGTTTGCGTCTGCATCTGCATCTCTCTTGGTATTATCACCGATGATCTCGGAGCCACCTGCAGCCTGCAAGTTTCATGGCTTTGCATGAGTCCATGCTAAACGTTTATATCATTACTTAATTCGGACGTTTTTCCTAACATACTGACGCTTCTTTGGAGATATTGATCAAGCATTCCCTGGTTTGAAATTATTGAGAATGATAGCAATGCCACATGATATATCCTCGGGTCCGTAACAGCCGAAAACTTGTTATAAGCTTCAGTGGCAATATTCATGAATGTAACCTTGAAGTTGCTGCGATTGACTTGGTCTTTTACCCAAGTATTGTGCATGGACGCGCCAGACTTGAAACACTTGAATATACGCTGAGATGCCTACCTAGACAGGTATGCCAGGTTTTTCATCGCCAGGCGTTGCCGCATCCCGGGATCCCACCTACAAAAACAACCTTGAAGTTACCTAAGTACCTAGGGACCTATTTTTGCGAAGTTAGTTACTCCTCAATCGTTACTTCCTATTATTCCAATTTAGATCATTCTATCTGCCCAGGTGGGTAGGTATTTCCTAAATGCTGGGCTCCAGGTGCCGGGCTTAGATCAGCTGGTGATCTGAGCACTTGAGTACCAGGGCTTCGGGAGGTATACTACCCAGGTGGGTTGATAAAAAGTGATCTTTAAATAGCTCCTACAAAGGAGGTTACTATCAAGTTGTTCCAACCTTAGAAGGTCGAGTAAGAGTAGATCATAGGAGATAGACATCATTCCCAGGTGATCTTCAGTCCTGGAGATATTATTCGATCATCACCAATCGTGGAACGCTTCTGTGCACGTGCCTAAGTAGCATTCAGACCACCGGGCGGGATGTGCGTGATAAGCCGAATCATTTTCTGTAATGAGGTGATTTCAGTAAAAGCTTTGAAAGATAGGGCGAAAAGGTGCTATTCGATCTGTCCCGAAAGTCCTCCAAGGTTGGTGCCTTTCCACCTTTCTGAGGCCTGATCTCAACGTCCCCAGGTATCACTCAAGGTCGGGAAATGATGGATCTACCATCGGGAACCAGTTGCTGTTGAACACCTTTCCAAGGGTCCACGGCATGTACTTATTTTCGGTATCTTGAGAGTCGCACAGCATATCCACGTCGAATGTATCATATTATCTTGTGAAGTCAAGATTTCGATAGGTTGAGTGCGAAAGTCAGTAGTTTAATGTCTGCTGAGTGGATCATATAGTTAGCTTGATGGTTCCAAGGTCGGCTTGTAAGGTCAACTATCTAGGTAGGTCTTTTCTACCGTGATGGAGATATATGACCGGTTGCAGAAGATTGATACAAAGCCTGGTTGTTGGGATATAGCACTGAAATTTATCCCATTGAATATGGTGTTGAGGCCCGGTTAAGCTTACTTATGTCAATCCAGTGCTATGTTTGCTCTGTTTGTATGACACTAGTCACTAAGTAGATCAAGGTTTTAAGATCAAAATTGGAGTAGTATTTTATACCCGACCTCTGTAGTGCAAATGGTCAAATAGGAAAATACACAGCGGAGGTCGGGGGTTTGATTGCGTACTTCCATCCCAGCGTTGATGAAACTATCTAGGAAATAAGTAGGTCGATCTAGTTACTTACTTGTTCGCGCTCACTTCGTGACTTAGGTTAGTAATTACTTACTATTCACTATCAGGTTTCAGCAAATTCTTGTTTTTACTCTCACCTGCCGAGATTGATTCTTCGAAACAACGTGTTACTACCTTGTACTCTGCATATTCCCCAGAGGTTGAGATGAATGTCATATATGACTTCGGAAGAAAGTACCAGAGTTTGGGACGGGAATAAAAGATTCCAGCAGCAGAACGAGCGAATTACCGCACGTCTCAACAATCTCATCAGAGACAATTCAGAGCCTTATTATGCTTAAACCTGGAAAGTGGCCAACTTCTACTACACAATCGCAGTCTCGAAGCATGTACACACCTGGGCACCAAGACAAACACATGGATATATTGGCACTTGTTGACCTCTTGAAGTCGGAACGCGGCAGCATCTCTTTCGCCAGACATGATATGCTTGGAATGCAGATATACTAAACCTATGTACTGCATTAGTATAAACCCTGACTGAGACTGAGCGAGTAATCCCAAGAGGCCATTCCAAGGATGGAGGTCAATCAACATTCTCGAATAGAAATAGTTCGTAAAGCAGAAGTGGACTAAAGGGAGACCTGTTGCCGCATTTAGCCGAATAGGGATGAAGAGGATAATAGCATATCTACAGGGCTCTGGCGACCTCTGGTTTTTGGAATGAATGAAATATCTATGCTCAAGTCGGGGTGGGTATACTTCCCTCTTTCTAAATTGGGTATAAACCTCATGCCGAGGTAAAGAGACAGCTAATTCAAATCGTGTGAGCACCTGCCTCCAGTCAAGTTAGTGTTTATCAGTACCCCGCGCGACAGGTGCGTATCAACAAGCTAGTTAATCCTTAGTTCCCCCTTTACTCACGTCCTGAATGTTCCGCGCCAATTCCAGCATGATCTAAAATTCATGTGGTATCTCTGGCTAATCGGCGGACAGAATGACGATTCGTACATATGTACATTTTCAAGGTCGCACTAGTTTAGGCGATATGTCGTGATAACGGACTAAGAATTGCTATTTCTATGCGAAGGCGACATCTCTGGGCATTGCAAGATCTGTTATCACCTTGAAAGTCTCCCAGACCTCAGAGGTCATTGTCATTTCAAAGAATCTTGAAAAATCGAGCGCAAAAATGGCTCAGACAAAGATACTTGCGCCGGCTGATAAGCAAGTCGACAGCTTTTCTGTCGCGATTGACACTATACCACATGAGCTTTCACTGACATCACCGCGACGCTCCTTTCGTTCCTTCATATGGGACACAGACACTCACTTGAAACCCCCCGAAGAGCAGCGATTGCTCCTAAAACTAGACGCAGCAATACTCAGCATAGGATGCCTTGGCTTCTTTATGAAGTACTTAGACCAAGGCAATATGGCTAACGCATATGTATCGGGCATGAAAGAGGATCTATCAATGTTGGGCAATGAATACACGTACGCAGGAACAGTTTACACAGTTGCCTATGCGGCTATGCAGATCCCCAGTACAATGATCATCCAACATGTCCGACCAAGTCTCTGGCTTGCTGCTATGGAAGTTGGCTGGGGAACTTTCACATTCGCGCAGGCAGGCATGCATAGCGTCGGTGAACTCTATGCTTTTCGGTTCTTGATTGGTTTCTTTGAAAGCTCGTTCTTTCCCTCATTGCTTTATATTCTGGGAAGCTGGTACACGAAGACAGAGCTTGCTAAACGAGTCGCACTATTCCACATGACTGCTCCCCTTGGAACTGCTTTTGGAGGATACTTGCAAGCCGCCGTATACAAGAATCTTGACGGTGTCCATGGGCTTGCTGGTTGGAGATGGCTTTATATTATTTGTGGTGTAAGTATCATTTCCAAATTTTGGACTTTTGGACGATGAAAATAACTTTTGTCATCAGTGCATGACTGTACCTGTCGGGCTGGCAACTTACATTTGTCTTCCCGACACGCCATATACCACACGTGCTTGGTTTCTCTCCCAAAGTGATCGTGATTTGGCAAAAGAAAGAGTCCAGAGAGCTGGCAAAGCCCCGCCAGTGAAAATAACACTGAGAAAGATACAGAAGATCCTTAGTTCTTGGAAATGGTATGCATTTGTGTTAGGATACGTGGTAGGTCTATTCGCACCCGTTACTGCCAAGGTACAAACATTGTATTCTAACACAAGAGAAGTTATATGGAGAGTCATGTGGCAGCAGCGGTTATTTTGCTATTTGGCTCAAAGCGGAAGGATTCTCTGTCGTTGAAAGAAATATCATCCCGACGGGAACCTCGCTAATATCGGCGACCTGCGTCGTTCTATGGGGATTTTTGTCAGACTATACCGGCAGTCGATTTACTTGGGTGCTCATACCGCTAGTGAGTGATATCTGAAGAGGAGGCTTCTTGATTCAAGTTGGGAAGAAATTCCTAATACGTATTTGACCTGCAGATATTTGCCCTCCTCCCCAACGGTATTCTGGCATTTTGGCCAGCGAGCTTGCGCCTCAAGGAGTTTGCATTCTTGACTACAGGCTGTCAGCTAATGACGGCTGTTTTGTAAGCTTTCTCAGTTCATGAAACAAGATAGATACTAACTGTACCTTCTTTGTATAGCTATTCTTGGGCGAACGAGGTGACCGCCGGTGATAACGAAGAAAGGGCTATAACTATTAGCTCTATGAATGGGTTTCAATACGCAGTTGCCGCTTGGCTACCTATCATCATATTTCCGCAGACCATGTCGCCGACATTTCGTAAGTGCAACTAATGATAGAGAAGATATCAGGAATATCTAACGTGAATTTTTAGGCTATGGGTTCCCAACAACGTTTGGTTTGGTTATCGCCGCCATTATCGTTGTCATAATGATTCAGTTGCTCATCGTTCGAGATAGGCGAAAGACAAAATGACAAGAAAGTTTGAGTGATAATGGAGCGGAGAGCGCATAAAAATTGCGGCAGCTACCATGGGAAAGCCTCGCACAGGTCCTTACCTGGGTTGTGACAGACAAAGCTCAAGAGTTATGAGATTTGGGAGGACGTGGATTTCAATTAAAAGTTTTCTCGTGAAAGCCACGACCAGACGAATTGAACACGACTAAATTAGAGGAATGTCTTGGTAGAAGCTTTTGAGTCAAGTGTAATCCCGAGGTACATGAATAGTTAAAACGACATGTCGAGCGGTTCATATCTGATAAAAGTTCCAAGTTTAAGAGTCTAGACGGGTCATTCGGGTAAACATGTACGCTTTAAAAGATGCATGACCATGGCTTATTCGATGGGTGGTGCCGATTAATGTCCCCATGGAAGGTCATTGATAGTTCTGACAGGGGACCGATTCGGAGCTGGCCAATCAGATATGTGGGGTAGCCGAGGGCCAACAACGAGATCTCGACTTGTTGCCCATCAGTGGTCCTGAAGCCTGCTCGCAGATATGAAAACAGCCCATATTTACATGATCTGCGAAAAAATTTCTTCGTCAAATTCGACCTGTTGACCATTGGATTTCTGGTGGGGGTGATTTCGAGGTTCGTTTCTCCTTCAAGACGGAATGTCCACAGCCTTGACTTGTTGGTACTTGGATAATACTTTCAGCTCGGTATCTCGCTCCTTAAGTTTCTTGTCCACAGCTTTTTGGACCTGCTCTTTCTTCTTCTCGATTTCGTCAATTTTCTTCTTTGCCTCCATAGCGATCCATTCCTGCGCCTTTAAAGCGGCCTCTTTGTTTGGATATTGTTGGCGCAATTGCTCAAGTTCAGAGGAAACATCTTGCTCGTTGATCGGTTGACAAGTAATTGGGTTGTAGAAGTATCTTTCAAGGGGTCCTTCTGGCACTTGGACATCCATGAGTTTTAGGTGTATTGGGGTAGTGCGGATTGGAGAATCCAGAGGAACAGCTGCAGCAGACTCAACAGGTGGAGATAGTATAGCTGAGCCTGGCTCTGTGTCGTCCATTTTTGTGAGTTGGTGCCAGCAAGAACAAGGAAGGAAGTATAAAGAAGAAAATGGAGAGGCAGAAAGTCCTCGGCGTTTCAAGATTGGAGATTCTGCCACCATAGAGCTCTCACCGCCATAACACTGCGGGGAGACACATCGCGACGAGATTAGTGGTCACTTTCAATTCTATAATTTTCTTTAAACAATCTGAAACTGTCAAGCTCGAAGTGGACCAGTCATTTTAACTTTTAACTGCTTTGCACAAATCCTCTGACGGTGGGTTGAATATTCAAGTGGGACATCTAGTGGACCCCTTAATTGGATTGTACGTCATCTAAACAACAACGCAAGAATGCAAGCATTCGGTAAGTCACTAGCCAATTCATTCTCAGCTAATGACAAAAGGGGTCACCGACTTCTCATCCACAATTACTGACCATGCCACTCGATATAGTGCCAAAGAACAGGAGGGTAAGTCCCAGAACCGGAGCTCCTGGATGAACATCACTAAAACTATTTGATTTATCTAGCCCCGATTTGAGCTTGTTTTGAGGGTATGTCAGAATGACTTGAACCTACTAAAGATAAAAACAAGTGGCTGAAATGATTCCTAGATCACTGATATCAACAATGTCCCCCTTGGAAACAGTGTGGTCTGGGTGAAATGGCGCCTACCATCATCGAGTGCCACTGAGCATCAAGGTCATACTGAAAAAGTACATTTAGCTGATCATCGTGCTTACTGGAACTATGAAAAAGCTCTTTCAGTGAGACTCACCATAGACAAAAACTCGGTGCTCCAAGAATGCGATATCAACTTCGAGGTCATCCAAGAGTTCCACTCTTCCCCCACTTTGGAAAAGAATGTGTTGGGCAAGATCAAATTGAACCTTGCTGAATATGTCGATAAAGTGGAGGAAGATGAAGGAGTGGTCAGACGATACCTGATGTTTGATAGTAAAGTGAATAGCACTCTCAAAATCGGCATCACTCTGCGCCAGACGGAAGGAGATCGCAATTTTACAACGTGAGTCTACCCCTTTTCTTTGAGATTATTTGAACTAAAAAATGTCAGCCCAACTTTAAAATCTCCAACAGTATTTGGAGGTATCGCAAGAGTTGTCCATGCTGCTGAGCCTGGAGATCCTGAAGATTTGGGAAACTTGCCATCAATCAACAGCAAAACAAAAGAGCTTGCTGACATGCAAGACATGTACCGGCGCACTTTGGCAGCCTCATGGATTTCTCGAGCAGGTGACCTACCAGCAGATAAAATGGTGGAGGAATTATTTGCTGGAAGCTCATACTGGAATAATGAAATCCATGCCGTGATGCAAAATCCTACAGAAGAGCCAAGTCAATTTCTGGAAATGGTGGAGGCCATAGAGAGACAATCACGCACGATGAAAGGACTGTCTCCTAACTTTGAGAAGCGCCCTAGGAGCTCTTCCTCACACAAAGGTGGGAAAAAGCCAGGTTTTCTTGCTACTGCTATTGAACATCACCGACAGGGTAGTAGTATCGAGCAGAAACTATATGATGGAAACAGCAAAACGTGGAAGAACCGCAGTCCTGCTGATGAGATCTCCGAGTTTGATGTGCGAGAGGATCTGCGAAGCTGGGAGATTTCAGCAAAAAAGTAATCCATGGATGTATTAACCTGTACATATGTACCAATATTCCACAGACAATCTATGTCTGATATAACCTTGGAAGTTCATCTGTCTGATACCTAGGTATTTGCCATGGCAGAACTCCTAAACCAATAAATATCTCTGAGTCGTGCCCGGGTGATATTAATAATTAGATTTGAATCAAATCTGCAAGCAGTAGATTTTAATATTCAATTACAAGGTTATCATTGATTTCTCAAGTACCTAGTTATGAAACAAGACCGTTGATACCTGAGCACGGCCCCAGGCTTTAATCCGCCCCGCTGATCCCCGAAGCTGACATTGTCCTCGACCTTGATGTGTGTATCTCTCCTCCCTAGCACCCAAACCTCTCTAAACTTTCATCTTTCTTAGTTGTTTTATTCCTTGAGGATTTGCCTCTTTAGTCTGAACGAACTTTGCTTATTCAAACCATCTTTGCACCCTCATCTGAAAGTGGTGCCCTGAACTCATTGACAGTCATACCCCTCTCCCAGTATGAATATCATGCGCAAATAGTGATCAAAGCTTACGGAATGGAGAGAACACGGGTCGCCAAGGTCAAGATCCATCACTAAGATCTTAATCACATAGAAATCTCACTAACACCCTCGCGATACTATAGGTTGACAATGTGACCTTGGCTCGTCGCGGTGAACAAATTGATGGCGCCCTTCACCTCACACCTCACCATCTCATTTTCTCTCATATTCCTCCCGTTTCAAGTGAGGAGCAGGCTCAAGGGGTGCCAATCAGGCCAAAGGAAGTCTGGATCACATACCCAATAATCGCTCACTGCACCTTACGACCGGCTCCCGCGGCCTCTCGCCAACTCTCATCCATTCGCCTCCGATGTCGCGACTTTACATTCGTTTGTTTCTATTTCAAAAATGAGAAAACCGCACGTGAGGTCTATGATAGTATCAGACAATGGACTTGCAAGTCTGGCCGCCTTGATAAACTTTACGCTTTCTCCTACCAGCCACCACCCCCGGAGAAAGAGTTCAATGGATGGGATCTTTATGACCCGATGAAAGAATGGGCACGACAAGGTGTCATGAAGGAAAATTCAGGCTGGCGCATTTCGGAAATCAACATCGATTACAGTGTATGTGCTGTTGCAAGAAAGGGGGAAAGACCCTTAAATTGCTACGAATACTGATAGGAAATTTGCAGTTCTCTCCCACTTATCCTGCGCTTATTCCAGTTCCTTTCGCCATATCTGATAATACAATCAACTATGCTGGTCGATATCGCTCTAGGACAAGAATCCCAGCACTCACCTATCTTCACCCAGTGAACAATTGCAGTATCACTCGAAGCTCCCAACCTCTCGTGGGCGTGCGACAAAACCGCAGTATCCAGGATGAAAAACTTCTGGCTACAATCTTTTCCACCAATCTCTCCGAGCGACCACTGGCTAACTTTTCCCAACTTCAATTAGACCGTGAGCAGTCAGACTCAAGCCATGGAAGTCTGGTATCCAACAACACAGACCCTGAAATGTCCAAGCTAGAAGAGATAGATGCTGATGTCCTAGCTGCTGTACGTCAAGACCCTGAAACACAGCGTGCAATCTATGGTGCTCAGCAGTCAAATTTGATCGTTGATGCACGCCCAACGGTTAATGCATTTGCCATGCAAGCAGTTGGGCTTGGCTCAGAAAATATGGATAACTACAGGTTTGCGACGAAAGCATACCTAGGAATTGACAACATTCATGTCATGCGTGACTCTTTGAATAGGGTGATTGATACTTTGAAGGACTCGGATGTCACACCTCTCGGTCCTAACCGTGATCAGCTGGCCCGGAGTGGATGGTTGAAGCACATTGCTGGGGTTATGGAGGGGGCTGCCCTGATTACCCGTCAAGTTGGTCTGACTCACTCTCATGTCTTAATTCACTGCTCTGATGGCTGGGACCGGACGAGCCAACTCAGTGCCTTGAGTCAAATCTGTCTAGACCCATACTTTCGAACCCTTGAGGGCTTCATGGTTCTTGTTGAAAAAGACTGGCTATCTTTCGGTCACATGTTCCGGCACCGATCCGGTCATTTGAACAGTGAGAAGTGGTTCTCGATTGAGAACGAGCGGATTGGCGGAGATAACAAGGGAGAAGGTGGAGCAGGAAAGGCCATCGAGAATGCGTTCCTGAGTGCAAAGGGCTTCTTCGGTCGAGAAAACGTCAGCCGTGATTCCTTGCCAGACTCCGAAGGAGAAATGCAGAGCTACGATTCTGATAGCCCAGCCAAAAAAATAAGCTCTGCTCCACCATCGATCATCTCTGAGAAAGAGATCACCAAAGTGAAGGAAACAAGCCCTGTATTCCACCAATTCCTTGATGCTACTTATCAACTACTCTATCAGCATCCGACACGCTTCGAGTTCAATGAGCGCTTCCTACGCCGGCTACTTTACCACCTCTACGCCTGCCAGTTTGGGACATTTTTGTTCAACAGCGAGAAAGAGAGGGTGGACACTAAAGCTAAAGAACGCACACGGAGCGTGTGGGATTACTTCCTCGCTCGCCGTGATCAGTTTACCAATCCTAGTTATGAAGCTGAGATTGATGATAACAAGCGAGGACATGAGCGATTGATCTTCCCTCGACCCAGTGAGACTCGTTGGTGGAGTGAAGCATTCGGCAGAGCGGACGAGGAGATGAATGGAACACGCTATGGCGGCTCTGCTCCTGCAACTGGAGACAGCCCTGGGCAAAGCCAAAAGCCAGTCTTGGTTGGAATCGAGACACCCAGTCAGATCAGCAACACAAGGACTCACAAGTTTGAAATGGAGATGGAAGTCGAAATGCAATGAAAGAACAGGCTGGGAAACCTCAACAGAAACAGATTTAGTAATAGATTTGGCGACTCAGGAGCTCGCGGCTAGGTTTTAACTACACATAACTACAAAGGATTCCGACTTACAAACGTCATTGCTGCCTTGACACCTTAAGCCCGTAAAACTCAATTTCTGTTTGCCTGACGGATCAGGTGTTACCACTAGGCTACTATGAACACCCAAGCGAGGGTTGAGCCCTAGCCCAAACAGGCAGGTCTCACTACCCAAAAATTCCCCACTAAATCCAATCTCAAAATCGAACGACTTCCGACCTCGACCACGCCCTCCCCTCCGTCGACACCCCAATTCCACCAACCAGGAACGCAAATATGGCCGCTGTCCAGGGAGCTATTTCCAAGCGTCGCAAGTTCGTCGCCGATGGTGTCTTCTACGCTGAGTTGAACGAGTTCTTCCAGCGCGAGTTGGCTGAGGAGGGCTACTCCGGTGTCGAAGTCCGTGTCACTCCCACCGTCACTGATATCAGTATGTCGCCCTAAAAATATCCTTTTTTTTTGTCGTCTATGGGTATCACGAGGGTCTACGGGGTTTTGAGATGAGGAGAAATGCAGGCCCGGAAATCAAAAATCGAAAATGGAGGATTTGCGCAACAATCGAGAATATGTCAATGCTAACGGATGGTGCTTTTTCTCTTCAGTCATCCGTGCCACCCACACCCAGGAGGTTCTCGGTGAGCAGGGTCGCCGCATCCGCGAGCTCACCTCCCTCATCCAGAAGCGTTTCAAGTTCCCCGAGAACTCCGTTTCTCTCTATGCCGCCAAGGTCCAGAACCGCGGTCTCTCCGCTGTCGCTCAGTGCGAGTCCCTCCGCTACAAGCTCCTGAACGGTCTCGCCGTCCGCCGTGCTTGCTACGGTGTTCTCCGTTTCATCATGGAGTCCGGTGCCAAGGGTTGCGAGGTTGTCGTGTCCGGAAAGCTACGTGCTGCCCGTGCTAAGTCCATGAAGTTCACTGTATGTCTACATTGAGTTAGGGGAATATGCACTGGGAAGATTTTTGCGACCTAGCACTCGTGGTATATGGACATTGATGTCTGTTACCATGGAAGCAATGCGCGATTCTCCCGGTCATTGCGATGATGGCAATCATATGGGAATAAATCACTAATTCTCTTCACAGGACGGTTTCATGATCCACTCCGGTCAGCCCGCCAAGGAGTTCATCGACTCCGCCACCCGCCACGTTCTCCTCCGCCAGGGTGTCCTTGGTATTAAGGTTAAGATCATGCGTGGTTCCGACCCCGAGGGCAAGTCCGGCCCCCAGAAGACTCTCCCCGACTCCGTTACCATTATCGAGCCCAAGGAGGAGCAGCCCGTTCTCCAGCCCATCAGCCAGGACTACGGTGCCAAGGCTATTGCCGCTCAACAGGCCGCTGATCAGCAGCGTCTGGCTGAGCAGCAGGCCGCTGAGGGAACTGAGGGTGCTGCTGAGGGTTACGTCCAGGAGTAAACATATTTTTCTCATGGCTAATACCTTTCTTTTCTTCCTGTCCTAACCTATCCTCATACTCTCTACCTCACACAATCAAAATTACATGAAGACTTCAAAAATTTTGTTCTCGTCCCTTTATGTCCTGAAAGGCAATATGCTACTGATGTCTGTATCTTTTATGGAAGCTCGACGATTGCAATGGACTTGTATTGCAGAGGATTTATGCAGCTTGTTAAATCTCCATGCAGTAGTATTTCATGTGTTGACCAGTACCTGGGTAGTATTCGCAGGTTGCTCTAATTCATTTCGATATCAATATAGAGAATTGCCCGGTACTGCCATTCCTATAGTAAACCAGCAGTTGGGCAGTGAGTGACACACCTTCAGATCAATTCCTTACCCAGATAAAAGCTCAGCCATGGAGGTTCAAGACCACCAGTCCCTTCAAATTGAAAAATAAAAGCTATCATCCTACTTGTTCCTCTCCCGGGGCCAGGAAATTCCAAGGCTTTATATTACCACTGCGGAGACCTCCAGGGCTCAGGAGTACATGTGAGTCAGCTCCAGTAGTTAGCTTTTGTCAATAAACATATGGAAGCCGCATGTCCTTATATGTCGTGATCAATTTCAAAGCATCACACCTGCAGTAACCTCTCTTCTCTACCCACAGCCACAAGGGCTATCAAGCAATGAAAAAAGTATAAGAGTGATAAAATGATAATATCACAATATTGGTTTAAAAAATTACGTGGCTACCCGTGAAGGCAGCCAGGTAGGTATAACTGATAGCTTTCAGTCAGCAATATATAACCTCGGATTTATCCTCACTGGTATACAGAAAGCCCATGCATAAAGATGATGAAGAAAAAAGAAAGAAATATGAATGGAAGTGGGATAATCATTGAATTTAAAGGTCCACGGGGCAGATCGTAGAGACCTAAGTGGTGATGACCTCGTCGGCGACATCGTGCGACATCATATTGAGATAGCGGCCTTCCCGACTTGGAAGGGTTCCAAGGTTGATCTCTCAAGTGGACCTCTGGGCTTCCATGGCAAAGACAAAGATAATACGTAAACATCTGGATTACCTACCTAGGTAATGAAGCCCTTTAAAACGAAAAAAAAATAAAAATAAAAAATAATTACCGTCGATTTATAACTCGAGTGTGTAAATTTTATTCCTTTCGGCAAGCTCTAATCGATGCATACTTCGTATATCCCAAAAGACTCGTCCGCATCATCTCGTAATCTATCTCCACAACTTATTGAAGATACATACTTACAGGAAAGGCTCGATGTTAATTTCCAGAGTGGTGACAGGATATTTAAGCTCATACTTCTCCAGCACAGTGGGGTGCAAGATGCCGAAAGAACCGATAACATGCTCCTTACCATCAACACGTACGTGAATGGAGGCAGAGTGACCGGGGAAGTAAGTAGGATCTAAAGACATGTTGTGTTAACGAAAAGAAGACCTTGTAGAGTCAGACTGTAAACATACCATCCAGCTCCTTGATGAAGTACTGCGAGTCAGACCCAGGAAGGGCCTTGACCTCCTCCTCACCAGTGATGTAATCACTCCGGAGCATGGCCATAACGCGATCCATGAGACCGTGCACGACCTCGAAACCACTAGTCTTGCCATACCATGCAGCAGCAAAGTGGCGCTCGTTGCGGCTTTTGCGTTCCAACGAAAGATCCTTGAACGCGACATCGCTGACCTCAAAGATCTTCATGGGTACTGTATGGTGCTTGTTCTCGCGGATGGTCTTCAGCAGACCGGGGAGCAGGGTTGAGCGGACAACCTGGAATTCAGCAGTCTTCGGGTTGGCCAGCTTGACGACAGTGTTGCCGTCGTCTTTGCGGTTCAACCAGGCAAAATTCTCATCATGCGAGCATAGAATTAGAGGCAGCACCTCAGACCATCCAGCCATGGCAGCCTCAACACGGATAATATCGGACAGCTTGTTAATTGGAAGAGGCTGAGCGATAGTGCCAGATATGTTAGGGAATGCACGAGGAAGCGAGTTGAAGCCATAGGCAATGGCAACATCCTCCATAATATCGCATTGGTGCAGGACATCGGCACGGGTAGGGGGAATGCTGACGTCGATGAGGTCAGGATTAGTGGTTGAGGGCTTAGCACTGAAGGCCATCTTCGTCAACAGCTTGCAAATCTCGTCAGCAGTAAGATTCAAGCCGCAGCAGGCGTTGATGTAGGAGATTTCCGCCTGGGTGGTGCGAGGAGCTAGGTCGGGGGTAATGCGGGTTTCATTGTTGTGCTCGGACACAATCTTGACAGGCTCAATGCTGTAGATGAATCAGTTTGAATATCTCCAATCTGATACTGGATGTAACGTACGTGAAGGGTTCCGAAGTATACTCGGCAAACATAGTGACCATCATGCGGTTCACAATCTCAAGCTTTGTCCGGTCGAGAGCGGTAATTTCAATGAAAACATTGGTGGTGTTCAGGGTGATTTTTGAATGGTCACCGTTGATGATCGGAGGCAAAGAGCACACAGTGCGCTTGGAGTCGTAGATCACTGGGTATACCGGGGAATCACGAATAATGTGCAAGAACTTGCCCAGCTGCTGGTGCTTCTGTTATGAAGAGTAAGTATGGAAAATTGGCGTATATGATACTCGTAGAATGGCCGTACCTCGTAGAAAGTCATCAATTCTTCGCCGTTCATCTCCTTGGACTGGTTCAATGGAACGAACTTGATGTCCTTGGGAGCCAAAGCCTCATAGGTGAATGGGCCTTGAACGGTATCCAAGTCATGAGTACCGATTGAGACTAGGGTTCTTTGGCGGGCCAGGTTCTGGTGCAGCTTATCCTGAAGGGCAATGAAAGAAGCGTAGCGAGCCTGGTCGAACTTTACACCCCGAAGAATAGCACCCGATACATAGGGTCGAATCTTTGTGGTCTATTCAATTATTATCAGCGACTTGAAGCCTCCCAAAATCTCAGTTGTACCCACATCTTCCTTAACGATGATCTCTTGAAGTTGGCCATTCGCCGGCTCGACCAACTTATAATGAGGCAAAGACTTGCGCTGCAGGAAAATATTGAGCATCAACGCGATGCCCTCGAAGCAAAGGAGATCATATCTGCAATTGATTTTAGTATTCTTCTTTCCGGGTCATTTTGGTCTATTCAGGCATACCGATTGGCGGGAATTTCGATCTTAAGCTGTGGAGGTTCCTGTTTTCCGTCGACGATCGGGCGGTCGGAGTCGGTGGTCTGTACTGTCTTAGTAGGAAGTTCTTGATTGTCTTATGGAGCGAGTAGGTCGTACATCTTCGTCAAGTTCAATGCCTATTTAATTTTATTAGTATATGCCCCGCACAAACTATCAGCGGTTCACTCACCAAACTCGAAACACAGGTCATCAAATTCTTCAGTTGTATACCTAAAGAGGTGCGCAATAAGATATTAGACAAGTTAAAGCAGATATATCACGAGCAGGTTACATACTCCCGGCCCAGCTCCTTGAAGAGAGCGGCCTTGTCAACCGTAATGGTAGGCATGGCGGGGGGTTCGCGATGCGATGTGAATCTAGTGAGGGGGAGATTTCGAGTTAGATCACGGCATAGGAGATATCGGAGGATCTCAATTCACGAGTTGAATCCAATCAGGGTAAAGAGTTCGTACCAATTTTACAAAAGGGTTTTGCTATAAGAATAGCCCAAGTATGACTCTTCCGATCGGGACTTTCAGAAATTCTGCCCACCAGCCACACTCACACCGCCACTATGTTCCCCTCTATTGTGACGATTTGGTATTGGTATGGTCATAACACCACTCAAAGGGCGCGACTCTGGATGACGTAAGTCGTATGTAATGTAAACACCAGCCGCAGCGTTCGTTCACAATGGAATTGCTCCATGTTGCTACTATTGATTGAACAACCATAACAAATATTTTGCATCGACTACAACAGTTGGTTCTAATCATCTACTGACTCTGCTCATTCTTAATTTTCGGGCGCCGATTCCTTCAATTGCCCCACAAGGTATGCTTTTCTGTTATGCCTGTTCCAAAGGTGGCCGGCGGCCCAAACCCCCACGAAACCTCGCTCCGGCAGATCGCTCCAACTCCAACCCCCCTTCCACCTTTCAACTTCCCATCGCGCAAAACTGACTTTCTACGGGATTACCCGTTGCAGTAATAACTGATTCACGAAAGCTTAGCTTCTCCTTTTATTCCCTTTTATACATCTCGTCATCGGGTGCTTCCACGAAACCGCATATCAACCCTTCCACTCCGGGACTGGGATCTGCCATCTTATCTCCCAGACTCGTTTTCAAATACACAAAAACACATCGTCCAAGATGGATGGCCAAAATGAGAACGATGAGCTTTACCCCATCGCGGTTCTTATTGATGAACTGAAGGTACCAACAATATTCCGACCCCCTCCCCCTCTACCAGCTAGCAGATGGGGATGTTTTGCTGGCCGAAGCTCACCGCCCAACTTCATAGCACGATGATGTCCTCCTCAGACTCAATGCCATTCGTCGTCTATCCACTATCGCCCTTGCCTTAGGTCCTGAGCGAACCCGTGACGAACTCATCCCGTTCCTTGATGGTGCGTGGACTCCATACATTCTCCTATTATCGCGATGCGCCTAACAAATCATTTCGATAGACTCGGTAGAGGACGAAGATGAGGTTTTGACTGCCCTCAGCGAAGAATTGGGCAACTTCACAGAATACGTCGGAGGTCCGGAACATGCGCACGTGCTTCTCTCCCCGTTGGAGAATTTGGCAGCCATCGAGGAGCCTCTGGTTCGCGAGAAAGTGAGTCGGCGTCGCATATTTGAACCTGCAGGATGTATCGCTTATCTGTATTCATCAGGCTGTCGAATCCCTCAACAAGGTTTGCGAGCAGTTGTCAGAGAAGCAGGTTGAAGAACACTTCGTTCCCCTGGTCCTACACCTCTCGAAAGCCGACTGGTTCACCTCCAAGGTCTCCGCAACTGCTCTCTACAGTTCCCCATACCGAAAAGCCACCGCGACAACCCAACAGAGTCTCAGACAACACTTTGGGGCTCTGGTACACGATGAGACCCCCATGGTCCGGCGACAAGCCGCAAACAACTTGGCAAAGTTTGTCCAGGAGATGCAGACCCCCGTCATTATTGAAGAAATGATTCCCCTCTTTCAATATCTGGCCAGTGACGATCAGGACAGCGTGCGCCTGCTGACGGTTGATATTCTCACCTCTATCGCCGAGGAAATCCCCAAGGAGCAGCAGCCCAGCCACGGTGTTTTGTTGACATCTCTTCGCAACCTCTTCGAAGACAAGAGCTGGAGGGTACGATACATGGTTGCCGATAGATATGAAAAGGTTCGCGCCGACTACGAAATATTGGTGTTCAGAGAAGCACTAACATCTACCACAGATCGCCAAAGCCGTTCACGAGGAGGTTGTTACCCGCGATATGGTGCCCGCCTTTGTGAAGCTGTTGAAGGACCAGGAGGCTGAGGTTCGCACTGCAATTGCTGGTCAAATTCCTGGTTTGTCTCTTCTCTTCCCCTTTTCAACAAACTTCGGATTAGGGATTAACATTTACGGACAGGCTTCTGCGGTTTGATTGATCGCGATACTCTCCTCAATGAGATTATGACTAGCGTTGAGGACCTTGTCTCCGATCAATCTCAGCATGTCCGGGCGGCTCTAGGCACCCAGATCAGTGGTCTTGCGCCAATCCTTGGAAAGGACGAGTATGATCGGCTCCGTTCATGTACCTATATTTCACTGCTAATATCCCCTTAGGACCATTGCTCATCTCCTTCCCATGTTCCTTTCTATGCTTAAAGATGAGTTCCCTGACGTTCGTCTTCACATCATCTCAAAGCTTGAGCAGGTTAACAAAGGTTTGTGTTGCCCTTCCTGTCATTGCTTGATCGCCTATCTAATTTATTCACAGTTATTGGTATTGAGCTTCTCTCTCAATCTCTCCTCCCTGCCATTGTTCAATTGGCTGAGGACAAGCAATGGCGTGTACGTCTCGCTATCATTGAATACATTCCCCTTCTGGCTAGCCAGTTGGGAGTTAAGTTCTTCGATGAGCAGTTGAGTGATCTGTGCATGGGCTGGCTGGGCGACACCGTCTTCTCCATCCGAGAGGCTGCCACTCAGAACTTGAAGAAGTTGACTGAAGTTTTCGGCGTGGAATGGGCCAAGGAGTCTATTATTCCCAAGGTCATGGCCATGGGACAACACCCCAACTACCTCTACCGCATGACTACATGCTTTGCTGTTTCGGTGAGATCTACTGATGCTCTTTTCTCACGTTTTGGAACAGACAAACTAATCCCGTTTTAGACCCTTGCTCCCGTTGTCACCCTCGATATCATTGAAAGCTCCCTTCTTCCTATTTTGGAGCGATTGGTTTCGGATGAGATCCCCAACATTCGCTTTAATGTTGCCAAGTCTTATTCCGTTCTTATTGATACCCTGCGCCGCCTGCCAGAGGACAAGACCCTGGTCGAGGTGGAGAAGTTGGGAGAACCAGTCACCCCCTCGCCCAAGAGTCAGGAATTGATCCAGCAAAAAATCATGCCAAGTTTGGAAAAGCTTCAAGAGGATGATGACGTGGATGTCCGCTACTTTGCTACGACTGCTGGAGGTAACCCCGAGGAGGTTATGTCGACCTCTCCGTAAGGATTGAGGAGTGACTTTTTTTGCGAGCCACTCTCTTCTGCAAGGCCCTCCCATGTGCCTAAATCACACGAATATCCTATTATCGCACTGGGAATGGTTATCATGTCAGCTTAGGGATTAGCCAGATTCAGGATGTCTTAATGGCGTTTTTAATGTAGAGGCTCTTCTTTCATCCTTTCATCTGTATGCCTAGTGAAGTACCCATAAAATTAGACACATAGTATCAATTCTTTGGCTTTTTTTGTTAAAAAAAAATATAGCGGAATCCTCGCAATGTTCTCATAATAGTTACTGTGTACTCATTAACCAGTGGGAGTCTAATCAACTCATTTGTCAGCGGGCTAACGGATTAGAGAACTCGGGGCGTAAGCCTCCAAACCCGTGGACGTCAGCGACACCTGTTCAATTTCCTTCTGCAGGTAATTCACGTCATCGCTTCCCTTATAACATTAGGGGCTCTTCAATGCTTGTATCAAACTAGCACTGCCTCGTAATATCGAGTTCCTCTACGAAACGCATTATCTTTTCGACACTGCACCGACTGACCTTACAGATAAGTGTTGGGACAAAGATGTCATTCTCGTTTCCGTACCATTTTGTATTTCCCTCCGAGGAAGAGAAAGTCCACCGCCGTGAGCTTATTGATCTGAGGGGCTCATACGCCCAATGGTCGGTTATTGTGGTCATAGTCGCACTGCGGGCTATTCAAAGCTGGAATATTGCAATTGCCCAAGCAAGCGGCACATCTCAACCACATCGAAGGCCGATCTCATGGTGGGATCGTCCGCCCATTCCTGGGTGGCTTGAAACCCGGCGACAACACCTGGTATGCGGGCTTTGGTTACTATGGCTAGTTAGTCTTTCGATCTGGAACAGCGGAGATGGTAAGTGCTTACAATATGGCCTTTTTCGCTATATCATACACTCACATGGAAATTACAGACTATCTTCACTTGACCAAGGCATTGGGCCATGTTGGCCTTTCTCAAATTCCGCTTCAGGTTCTCATGTCACCTGCAGCATACATTACCTCTAAGCCATCTGCATCATCAGTTCTCTCGTTCGTGACATCCATTCCACAGGGAACTTTGACCCCGTACCATCGCCTCTTTGGCCGTTTGGTCATATCGCCTCTGCTTTTTAGTCACGCTACGCTCTACCTCCTATTTTTTGTGCAATCTGAGCATCCGGAGTTTGGAATTCTTCTTGCCAAGCGTGTTCAGGACCTCGATGTACAGTGTGGTCTAGTCGCTTTATCCGCTGCTATTGCCCTTCTACTTTTTGCTCGGCCACGTGGTGTCACGCAAAAGGGCGATTCTCGAGTTCGAGCTGCGGGATCTATGCAGAATCGGAAACGGTCTTTCTATTTCGTTCATGTTTCGTTGGTAGTTGTTTTGTGTTTTGCTGCTTACTTCCATGTCCACCAGGCCAGGTTTTATATGGTCCAGACTCTGGGGGCGTCTGTTCTTAATAGCCTGTGTTCGTTAGCTATGGTTCGATTTGAGGGCCTATAGATATGCTTTCCAGTGGACTATCATAAAAAGTCTTCGAAAAGGTTGCTGATGTACAAAATATACAGTGATCAGTACCAGTCATATAGCCAATTGGAAATTCTTTGTGTTGATGAGTATGGTACCAATGTATATGAATTATAACCTTGGAAACAGCACGGTTGTCGCTGCACTTTGGGCAGTGACTTCGCAAGTACTAGACTAGCTTGGTACCTAGGTATGTCCATCAATTTCATGAATAATAAATGTAATCAATTATCAGTCTGCTCAAATTGAAATAAAACTTCAAGTACTAAGTGAGCCTTCATTATCGCCAATATTCAAGTGACATGTCGGAGGTTTCCGTTATTTAAAGTGCTGACGCCACTGACTGTAGTTTGATTACTTACAGAGTTAAGATATCAAGATTAAAGGGTTGAACAAGTGAGAATTGATTATCGGTTGACTAATACTAAACAGGCCACGCGGACAATAGAAATATTTCTTGGCATAAGTAGATCCAGATCCTCGATGGACTCTGTTGATGGATCCCCTCCCCTTAGGCCCTCGTCCCACCTTGGTCTCCGTTCGTTCTTCCCATGCATTCAACAAATGGCAGAATGCGATCCCAACGACTAGTTATTCTTCTGGCCATTGTTGTTCTTGCATCTATATCCCTCATCTTACTCCGTTCCGAAGACAACCCTGAACCCGTCAACCTCCCTCCTCCCGAGCCGATCAGACACCCCCAACTTCATACGGATCTGAAGTTTTACCCCCGGAGAAGGTGCATCCTATCTCGCATTTGATCCAGGATGCACAACTGTCCTTTGATCATGTGCAGTCTCGCCAATCCACAAACCTGGCCGAGGCCGTACAGGAATACGAACGTCGCTACAAGATGCACCCGCCACCCAATTTTGACAAGTGGTTCAAGTTCGCTCAGTCTAAGGGGGTGCAACTAATTGACGAGTTTGACACGATATACCACTCCCTGCTCCCATTCTGGGCCCTGAAGCCACAAACCATACGTTCACGTGCTCGGGAGACACTAGGTTTTGATAATGCAGTGATAGGTGTTCTGATACGGGATGGGAAAGTCACATTGACGGACGGCGGCGGAGATGGTGGTAGGTGGCAGCGTGAAGCTACGGTCGGCATGATGGAGAACTTCGTGCGGTATCTACCTGACATGGACCTGGTGTTCAATCTTCATGACGAGCCACGGGTTGTTATCCCTGGTGATGATCTTCGGCGCCTTGTACAGATTGCGACAGACCGCATAATTCCGGCTTCCTTTACGCGCGATAGTCCGATAAACGCTTGGTCAACCCGAGCTCCAGATGTGAACAAGGGTGATCGTATCGACGAAGTGCGCACGACGCGTTTCAACCGTTTTGCTCACCAGCCGACCTGGTCCAACTCCCGCATGTCCTGCCCAGTCGATAGCCCTGCACGATCCCTCGAAGAAGAACAACCGGACAATTCTGAACCATACGCTCTCGGTGAACTGGGCTTCATATACAACACCACATCCTTTTCCGACATATGCTTTACCCCCTCCCTTCGTTCCACATACGGATTCTTCGACCGTCCCAATGCATTTGACATCGTTCACGATCTATTCCCTATATTTTCTCAGAGCAAAATCTCTAGCTTCCAAGATATCGTTTACCCTAGCCCTTGGTATTGGGCAGACAAAGTGCCATATGAAAAGGCGAAGGATTTTGACTGGGAAGCTAAGACCAACCGCATGTACTGGCGTGGCTCAACCACCGGTGGCTTCTCTCGAGCAGGTGGTTGGCGTCGCCAACATCGGCAGCAGTTCGTTGACAATGTCAACTCCCTGGGTACAACCGAGATTCTGGTCCAGCAGCAGGACGGCTCGTGGGTCTCGCAGGAGGTCAAGAAGGACCAATTTAAGGATTTATTTGATGTCAAATTCACATTTATCGGACAGTGTGATCCCGACGACTGCCATGCACAGGAGGAATATTTCGAGGTGGCCAGAGCGGCAGGACAACAAGATGCGTGGGCACATAAGTTTTTGGTTGATGTAGATGGCAATGCCTTCAGTGGACGATTTTACGCTTTTCTACATAGCAACAGCTTTGTCTACAAAATCGCCATCTTCCGCGAGTGGCATGATGAGTGGCTTAAGCCGTGGGTGCACTACGCGCCTCTCAGCCTGAAGGGTAACGAACACGCTGAGAGCATGCGATACTTTGTATCAGAAGATGATGGCAAAAGGGCAGCTCCCCAGATCGCCGCTCAAGGTCAAGATTGGGCCCAAAAAGTGTTGCGGAACGAAGATTTGGAGGTTTGGTTTTTCCGTCTACTTCTCGAGTAAGTGATAGTCTGTGAATCCCCCTGCTCTCTGTTTGGATGTTAACCTTTTTTTTTTCTTTTTCTTTCTCACAGATATGGTCGTCTTGTGGACGACAACCGAGAAAACATTGGCTTCTCGCTATGATCTCAATCTATGTCCGATTGTAAATATCATCATAATTCCCCACCCACTCCTGCCTGCTGAATTGAGATTCAGCCTTGCGCAGGAACTCGACGAGACTACGGCCATTTCCTTGTGTTCTCCTGTGTTTGGATGTGACTTTCTTAATGTTCATGTGTCAATACCCTACCTGGTTGATTTTTTTTTTTTTTCCCATATATCTGCACTTTTTCTCCTTGCCCATGAGTGAAGATGGATTTGGCGTTCTCTGGGATAAGGAGCCTGAGCATTGCTATATCCGCTCAAATATTAAGAAGTAATATAATCAAAATGATTCAATAATGTTATCTTTTGCAGAATGCGGGCAATACGGTCCACGGGTACAGTTGCCGAGGTATACTCAGATGCATTGTTTCGCATACCTACACATGCTGCATAGCGTGCACAATTGATTGGCCTGAAGACCTACAACACCCCAGAAAGGATCAAACAAAGTCTTCAGACTTTCAGTGTCTACTTTAATGAAAACTACTAATGATAATTTATACGTACCTCGGCTGATTACGAAGCCTAAAAGGTGGCGCCATCTTTCTTCCCCACTTACACGAAGCTTCGATATGCTCTAGATCCAATTTTCCCTTCTTGACCATTCCTAGGCTCGAGTTTCGACCAGGATTTCTTTTAGCTTGAAAATGGTAGTATCGCTCACTACTACCGCCATCAAGGCGGTGGCCTTTGCTTACGGCCTCTTTGCTTTGAGTCTGTATTACTACAAATTTATCCGCTATGGTATCTTTTTTCAGAAAAATACTGAGAAGCAAGATCTTCAGCTACAGCTGGGTAAGTCTATCTTCACCTTGGTATTATTTCAACACTGTTGGATATTTCCATTACTACCGATCGAAACATTCAAGCTTCCAGCCCCGATCAAAACCGGTAACTAATGGATATTAGCTCGAGATCGACTGTGGAATTTATCAAAGAGTTATCGCGGCCTCTCTCACCATTTCTTGACTTTGCAGAGTGGTTTCAAGTTCCATTTTGTTAGCAATCATACTCCCAACTCGTCCGAAGCTTTGAGCTCTGGTAAACCCGTGGTTATCTTCATTCATGGGTTTCCTGACAGCTGGGCCGTTTGGCGTCACATTGCCGGTTCCTCGACCCTTCAAGATGCTGCTTCTATTGTTGCAATTGATATGCCTGGTTACGGAGGCACGCAAAAACTCGATAAATACACAGCTACCAATCTTTTGGAGCGATTGACCGAGCTCATCATCGCTCTTCGGGTCCAATATGGCGTCGATGATGACTCTGGATCCAATAAGAAGAAGGTCATCATTGTTGCTCATGATTGGGGTTGTGTACTGGCTATGCGACTTGCATCTGAAGCACCGGCACTCGCTAGCCGTTGGATCTTTTCCAATGGACCCTTGGTATGTTGACAAAACCCCCTATCTGGGTGAGTGATGAGAACTAATCAATTCCCTAGCTGAGCGTTGTGAAATCCAACGTTCTCCGCTTTTTCTCGTCGGCGCAAAAGATGTTTAAGACTGCTATGAGATCCCCACTCAATGCTCGCGCTCCGTTGCTTCAGGCAATTCGCACCTTGAGACCCGTCTTTCGCCAAATTGGGTTATCTGGCTACATCTTTGTCATGCAACTGCCTGTCCCCCTTGTCCGTTTCTTCCTAACTGGAGGAAATGGCTCTTTTATGCGTTCAATTCACAAGAATTCACATGGACGTGCAGAGTTCACTCCTCAAGATGCGGCCGATTCCATGGCCAGCACCATGGGTCCATCCCTTTCCGAGTCCAAGACCCAGACTGCCGAGAAAGAGACATATCCTACTACCATCTCATACGACGGTGAATTTGCTAATATAATGGAACCCGCCAACTACTACCGTCATCATGGAGCTTCTGCGCGCTGGAGGAAATCCCTCGAGACAATCGCGAACTTGCACGTCATTAGTGCTAGCAGTGGGCGACGTACTAGCAACGGCGGAGGTTTGATTGACGAAGGTGTCCCTGGAGGCTTGAAGGCATCCGCAACTATCCTATGGGGAGAGAAAGATCTGGCGCTTTACCCCCAAATCTGCCTGGATGGCTTCGCGGACTTCATGGTCCAGGGAAGCCAGATTATCATGCTTCCGGACTCGGGACACTTCACTCCAATTGAGATTGAGTCTCGTGTGGCTCTTGAAAAGGCGGTTCAATGGGCCATTGAAGGCGAAAAGGGTGATGTTGCAGCTGCTGTGCAGGTAGCATACCCGACCGCGAAGGTCACTGTCCGGAGATAAATGGGGAGGGAAGTTGTGTTTCTGTTGGACCAGAAATAGTGTGTTTTAGCTGTTGGAAGCTTGTATCACCATAGTGTTCTTTGACCCCCTAGTTGTACACTTCGATTAACCCCTGGTGGAGATTAAGTATGGATCTGCCACAATTTGTTATCAAAAGAATGGTCTAAAAGGTTCAATACTTGGAATGTATGGAATAATACCGGAAGCTAAATAGAAGCCGTAAGCTCGGATCTCTAAAAAGTGGAGGAGACGGGAACATCCATCTCCACCTTTACCTTTTCCCTCCAACTTGTTTTTATTTTCTGACGTTTTCAACTTCCATTCTCCACTCTGATTCATTGGTTTTAATTCTTTAAACTCAAGCTTGAAGTTAACCAAATCTCGGGAGCTCTCTACTTTGACACTTTCTTTTCCTTGATTGCCACATCGACCGAGGGCCACGGCAAGTCGCACGACTGTCCAGACACTATGCAGAGCTAGTAGAGGCAATTGTTTTTCGTCAATTTGCACCTGCATCTGATCCAGGTGCCACAGTCCTTATTTAGAGCTTTCCAGTCGACCCCGGAAGCCAGCCAGAACTGTCATTGAGGTGGACACAACACGGTACCTTGTCAAAACATAGCTAGCCGCCTGTCAGGTCCACGGATTTTCTTTTTGGTCCATTTCAATTCTGTGGTAGAATCAGGACCTGCTCGATACTTTTTCGCTTGTTCCGCTTGGAGGTGAATCCTCATTTCTGATTGCTTCGTTGATGCTAACGGAATTGTCGGCGCGATGGATTCCGAGCGGAGCGCTGTTTACTGCACGGTTCGTCATCACCCCCCTCCTTTGGTCTAATCGTTATGATCAAAGTACATACGAACAATGCTAATTATGGGTTTTGGAACAGCTTCTTCTAAGCGACAATTACTTGCCAGGTATGTGGGTCCATCTGGCTTTCCTTTTCTTGAAATGCAGATTCTAATATGAGATGTCTAGGTGCTATGGTGCTGGCGCATTCATTGCGCGACAATGGCACGACGGCGAATTTGATCGCTCTCTTTACACCGGACACGCTACGTTCAGAAACAATCAATGAGTTACGGGTATGTTGTATTGAATTCTGCGCGCAAGATTACACACTCTGAAACTAACCTATGTTTTCAAGACCGTTTATGACGAGTTGATTCCAGTGCACTCGCTCGTGAATAGCACCCCGGCAAATCTTTGGCTAATGGATCGCCCGGATCTCATTGCAACCTTCACTAAGATAGAACTTTGGCGCCTGACACAGTTCGAGCGGATCGTCTACATCGACTGCGACGTTGTCGCCTTGCGAGCACCAGACGAGCTACTTTCCCTGGAGGCAAATTTTGCAGCTGTGCCAGATGTTGGCTGGCCGGATTGCTTCAACAGTGGGCTCATGGTTCTCCGACCTAATATGCAGGACTATTATGCTTTAAAGGCGCTTGCAGAACGGGGCATTAGCTTTGACGGAGCTGATCAGGGCTTACTGAACATGCACTTCCGTTTCCAGGACTGGCATAGGCTTAGCTTTACGTACAATTGTACACCGAGTGCTAACTACCAGTACATCCCTGCCTATAAGCATTTCCAAAGCTCCATCAGCCTCATCCATTTCATTGGCGCGCAGAAACCGTGGACTCTACCGAGGCAGATAGAGCCAGCGGAATCGCCGTACAATCAGTTGCTGGGCAGGTGGTGGGCTGTTTATGATAAGCACTATAGACCTCCTTTTGTGAGTTTTTTGCTCTTTCTTCTCTCGTCAACGACTTAGCTAACTGTTTATCTAGGTGACTACATCACGCCCAGGAAGTGTCCCACTACCGCCACAGCATAGATCATTTCACGTGAAAAGTCAGTCTTCAGCTCAAACTCAATCATCCGAAGTTTCTCAGCATGAGCGTTGGCCGCAGCCTTATCATGTTGAACATGAGGAGCCTGTGAGCTTTCATGAAGAGATGAAAACTGAAGGAAACTTGCCAGCTTTTGAATCATCTGCGTTTACGCCGACACATCATGCTACTGCGCAGCAACATCACGAATACCAACAAAACCATGAATACCAGCAACGCCATGAATACCAGCAACACCATGAATACCAGCAACATCATGAACATCATGAACATAATGAAGGTCGTAACCACCATGACCATTCGTATGACCACTCTGCGACAGATGGAGCGAGAAATGTGGAAGTACCGGTGATGAGTGCAGTTCCGCAGTATGTGCGCGGTGAAGAAAGTGTTTCTACTTTCATACTACCTACTGTTTCAGCGCCTCCTCCAGTGTATCAGCAGAGCTTCGAAAAAAAGCATGAGACATATGACCACCATCACCACACGCACTCTCAACTTGATTTTACTAATAGTCAGATGCACCACCCTGAACCCATAGTACCCTCGCATAATGTGACTGAGCAGCGGGCTGAGCAGCGGACTGAGCAGTGGGAACGGCCTTCTTCATCAGAACCAGAGTCAAAGCCAGAGGTAGAGCCGATATTTGAAGCTCCCAAAGCAGAATGGGATGCCTTACGGTAAGTTTACTCAATGAAATGTCCAAGAATGAAATACTGACGTTCCACAGGGAGCCTCCACCAACAAACTCCAAGCCAGAAGCCATTGGCTTGGAGCAAAAGGTATACGTCATGTCTGAGGACACAAATTTGTTCCAGCCTCCTCCTTCGTACCCCGAAGCCCCGAAGAATATGTACTACAACGTTCCTGCCAAAAAGCCACAGCCGGAAATGGTCACCCAGCTGTTCCCGTGGGAAAGCAATGCACCGAATCCCACTCGCGTCTTTCCCGATGAGCAGTCTATCGCACGTAGTCCCTCTCCCGAGCCGCCTATTGCATCCCCCGAAAGCGATTTTATGCACATGAAAGCCAGTTGGTCATCAACTAGAACACAGTATGAGCCTTCCGCAGAAACTTGGGGTGAATACTCTCACTCCAACGCTTGGGACGAAGATCCGAATATCCAGCGCTACATGGAATCTATCCAACAGGCTCGCCGTGGTAAAACGCAGGTGATATCTGGATCAACCAACCAAAGCATCAGCACGACCAGCTCCGCCCAATTCTCATCCTTCACCAATCCTAGCTCTGCTACAGGCCAATCCGCTGGAAGGAGACCAAGTGCTAAAATCACTGACTTCCCTACGGAAGTGGAACGCCCCAGTCTCCCCGTGACCCCGGCGCCTATCCAGCGTGTCTGGGGTCACTCCAGTTCAGACAACGACGCCTCCGGCTCAAGTGCACTGCCCGTCGCGAAGGGAGTCCCGAGCCAGGAGGAATGGGTGGGTGTCACAGCCGATGCGTTCTCTCACGTGCTCAAAGCAACGTACTTATTATGGCGATCCACAGAACCCCCTGGCCCGACTCGAGGAGCTTCGTCGTCGGCAGTCCGAGGCATTTGAACATCCAGAGCAATTATTTCGTCGACTCTCATCATCATTAGAGTCAGATAAGCACCCTCCAGGATAAACAATCCACAGCACACTTTCTGCTGAACTAAGATCTACTGAACTGAATTCTGAATTAGCCTAACCTGAGATTTTTTGCTGGCATATTTTTTACACATCGTTTTTTGTCCCATTACTCATCATTTCGCGTACCTGCGCTATGTACATTGCATTTGCATCACCTGCATGTCGACTTGAAAATTGAACTAGTAATATTCCATTTTTAAAATCAATATTCCCTTTTAGGCCCGACCCCACAAAGGTCCTACCGAGGACCAATGATAAAGCAGATTCAAGTATATGTATGATCCTTCTCATTATGTAAAATTAAAGCTAACTTCACACTAACTCCCATAATCCGCATTTGATCATAATGGTGTGACAAAGGAACTTGGGGATTGGGGTTTTAGTGCCTAAAGTTATGTAAAACCATGGGGTATAATGGAGAATTGGATATAAAAGTTGAAATTGGATATGGAGGTGTAGGTTGAGGTTGAGGTTGGGTTCTTTTTTAGAGGAAAAATCTGCATTAGTGGCTTGGGGCTATAAAACGCCACTTGTACACTTGTACTCCTTTGGCCCTCCGGCAGATTTGAACCAGCATGCAATTTAGGTGGCCTCATTACTTGCTATATTAGCATCATCTAGTAACTAAACCATGATATATTGAATGCCTGAGTAATTTCCTTGTGTTCCGATTAAGCTAGAATTGTTGCATTTCAAGGATGGTTATAGAACCGTGGACTGTTAGGTGAAGGTTGGAAATCGCATCCATGGAGCTTGGGGTACTCCACGCAAGCAGATCGGTGAGTTCCACCTTTGATCTCTCCGGTGTACTAGCAGAGAGCAAGAAAATGGCAGGCTGTTTAACCTACTATGTTGCCATGACTACTCATTTCGTTATCAGTTAGCAGCTACCAACCAGGAACGTTTTATCCACATAATAGTATACAGAGTATGATAAATCATAATCCTCTATCTAGGGCGCAGTTCGACAGGATCCAGGAATGTCCGGAGTACTCCGTAATAGTACTCCAGAATCCACAAGGACCACGTCTTCTAGAAGAAACCTGAAAACCCCGGGGGCAAAAAGCTCGGATTCCGGTGTATCTATGAACTAAAAGACCACCAATAGATGAATTACCATGACAAATGAATGAAGGTTACGGGCCGTCTTTTTAAAGCCGTAAGAAACAAAAAGCACGAACCATGGAAAGACCGTGTGGAAAAAAATCTAATTCAGCAGCCCTAACGGAGTCTATTACCCATGCTTGCCTTCTTTCCCTGGCTTTGCCGCCTCGATCGAACGGATCATATGATTTGACAGCGCTTTACATATGCTTTTCCGGTTAAATCGCTATCTAGCACGGGCAGGGGCGTAAAGCTTAGACATAACTTAGCCCAGAGAGGTCGGATGATAAGATAAAGTAAATTTGTCAGGGGCGCGAATCTCGGTTCCGCTTGTATAAGCATCAGCCAGTGAAATTAGCGTATATAGTGCCTCGGTGGATCTTCGGTGGATCTATGTAGGACATCATTTCCATATTTGTCTCCAACGGGGCAATTTCGGGCACAGTAATTTGGCTCATAACGAAATTCAATTTGTAAGAGTGCTGATTGCATATTCTTCCTATTAAGGCTCTTGGATTTCCACTCCTCTGACCATCATTAGCTCCAGCATCGATCTCAAGCTTTAAGAAAATCAGAGAGTATAGAAGAACCGACCTCCCCATCTATATTTCAATCGTTTCGCTATAATGGAGACCGTTGCACCCCTCTCCAATGACAACAAGGTCGCCAAGCAAATAAATGAGCCGACATGGGAAGAGGAAAATGGCTTGAAGCATGGCGAGATCACCGATGCCTTTGGTAACGAGGAGTATGCCGAGATCAAGTATAAGACTTTGACATGGTGGCAATGTGGTTTGCGTACGTTGCGATTAATCTGAAGCATGAGATTGAATCAATTTCTAATGGCTTTTCTATAGTGATGATTTGCGAGTCTGTTTCGTTGGGTGTCCTGTCTCTACCCTCTGCGATGGCTACTTTGGGTCTTGTTCCGTAAGTTGAAGCAATTAGACAAGAACCATCGTACGACTAGCTTTGCTAACCTTCGTGATCAGTGGTATCATTTTGATCATCGGCCTCGGTATTCTTGCCACATACACCGGATACAACATTGGATTGATGCGCGAACGCTATCCCCACATTCAGAACCTTGGAGATGCAGGTGAGATCCTGCTGGGTCCCATTGGTCGTGAAATCTTCGGTATTGGTCAATTCCTCTTCTGCATTTTCGTCATGGGAAGTCATCTCTTGACCTTCCGCGTCATGTTGAACACCGTGACCGACCATGCAACCTGCTCCATCGTCTTCAGTGTCGTCGGCTTGATCATCTCCCTCGTTCTGTCCTTCCCGCGTACTATGAAGGGCATGACCTGGATCTCGTTCTTCTCTTTTATCAGTATCTTCAGCGCTGTCATGATCACCATGATCTCCGTCGGTGTGCAGGACCACCCAGGCCGTGTGATTGACGCCACAGTCTCAAACGATCTATACACTGCCTTCCAAGCCGTTTCCAACATTGTCTTCGCCTACTGCGCTCACGTCGCTTTCTTCGGTCTGATCTCTGAGATGGAGAAGCCCCAGGACTTCAAAAAGTCCCTGTTCATGCTGCAGGGTTTCGAGATCTGCCTCTACCTTTGTGCCTCAATCGTCATCTACTACTACGTCGGTAGTGAAGTCGAAGCTCCAGCCCTGAAGTCCGCCGGTCCTCTGATGAAGAAGATTGCCTTCGGTATCGCCATTCCCACCATCATCGGTGCCGGTGTCGTCAACGGCCACATCGGTCTCAAGTACATCTACTTCCGCCTCGGCCACAAGTCCGGTCTCATCCACCAGAGCAACTGGCGCTCGATCGGTCTCTGGCTCGCACTTGGTGTTTCTTGCTGGGTCGTTGCCTGGATCATTGCCGAGGCCATCCCCGTCTTCAGCGACCTGAACGGTCTGATCAGTGCCCTCTTCGCTAGTTGGTTCAGCTACGGTCTTAGCGGTATCTACTGGTTGCACCTGAACAAAGGCCAGTGGTTCGCTGGACCCCGCAAGATCGCCCTCTTCTGCCTCAACAGTTTCATCGCCCTAATTGGTCTGATCCTTTGTGTATTGGGACTTTACGCTTCTGGTACTGCCATTCATAACGATGCTTCCAATGCCAGTTTCACTTGCAGGAACACTGACTCCTAGGTTCCAAGGCTTCTTCCTTGGAAGCTTGATGTGTCCTAGTGTTTATTTATATCCATTTCTTTCATGCATATACGATGTTGCATTTTATTTTATAGCTTTTCATGGATAGGTCTCTATAGATTGGAGCCACGATACGATTTAAGAGATTACTGGTTAATCAAGCAATGCATCCATGATTTATTACGTTTCTAATTTTTGCCTACTACAGTAAAGCTTTGGAGTAATTTTGCGAGCAAAGATTTCGAGATGAGAGAGCATGCTAACTAGGGTAAGCTGCTCGTTCAAAATTATTTCATTCAATACTAACGATGACAGAATTCAATAATGGATAGGTAGTAGAGCTGTGCTAAACCTGCTATTCGTAGTGCAACGGCTTTGCCTGTTTGAATTATCAGCCAAATGAGCATAAAATTAGCATTAGGTTGATAAAACGAAGGGTTGTAAGGATATTTGTGAGAGGGTATTAATAATAGAGGAGGTGGTGTTGTCAAAGTATAGGGCGAGAAGGGTACTGTGTATTATATCCAGATTCAGGAAAAAGGTCTCAACCACGACTTGCACTTGCTAATTTACTAGATCAAACTCAAGCCGTTTGCCACGAATCGAAAAGAAGTGTCCTTGTTTGATATGCTTGGCCTTGCCAGTCCTTTAACCAAAGAGGGAGAAACCATGTCGTGTAGCATTTGGAGGAGTGTAAACTAAGAAATATATTAGTATTCGAGAATGATATTGGGGTAACAGTTCGATTGATCTCACGATGTAGGGAAATGGCAAAATTGGTTGAGTCCGGGTTAAATATCCGATGGAGCCCAAGCTATTTCTATTGTGTCAGTTCTGAGATACTCGTAGATGAATATATATTGTGAAGATGTATTGTGAAAACAAACCTAGACATCGGAGTCGTATAAACGAATAAGTCAAGTGCTACTTAGTAAAGGCCTAAAAGGGCACTTTTCCTCACGTATTCGATAGTCTTGAGCAGGTAAATAGTATTCTAATCTAGATAATTTCTAGCGTCTCAGGTGCGTACGCAGCCTTTGGTGGAAGTTAGCATTCCCTAGGGCACTAATACCTAGTATCTCAGGTGCGTACGCGGCTTCCGGTGGAAGCCAAATACTTTTATCTTTCACAAATTCATATTAATCAAAGCCGAACGCTGTTCCTCGTTTCATTAGTAGCCTGGAAGTCCTATATTGTGAAGGGATCGTGCCTGCGTCCACGTCCATCCCACTGAGCCAAAAGACTATAATGATTTCGCTCTCAAGAAATCATATACGCAGGTTCTACTTATATAGTGCCACTCTTGATCCTACACTAAACATCATTTGTCAAGGTATTCTTTTAACCTATGACATATATCCTAGGATCTAGAGTGATTATATTCCACCGTCTTCACTCCCAAGATCACTCTCAGCAATATGCCATATCAAGATGATACCCTTACTTTGATACTGGTTTTTATTTCGGTACTAGTGACGTGGAAAGGATATAATCCCTATTCAGAATTCAGCAGAGGACAAAGGATTACCTACTCAGTTGGTATGGCGTTAATTTTCTTTTCTCTACTCAGTTTTCTAGCAAAATTTCTCTAGCAAGGTATATGAGCTGTATTCCAATTTTGTAGAGTTTTATTCCAGCGAGAGTGACAAACTGACATGGTTGACCAGATTTGTAACGAACATTCTAATGGCAATATCTTCTTCTTGGTCTAAGCTTCTCAAATGTCAGTCAGTCTCTCTTTATGTTCATCAGGTGGATCAGTCTAGAATTTCAATCCTGCCTACCTTGACCTTCTTGCCTCTCGCCAAGTGAAAATAATTACATTTCAACAGGTTTTTCTCAACGTTGAGAGAAAGGTTGACCGGCATGGTGCCAATGTTCTATTAAGCAATGTATGAGAAATTGCGGTTCACTTCTGTTATCAGGACATACCCTTTGGCAGCGGAAGCCCTATTGGTTTCTAGTGAGAATATTTAAATTGTGATAGATAAACACTTGATCTCCCCTGGTCGTCGGTAGATTGCTTGCTCTTTTATCCGGGAGGGATATAATATAATTTTGGACTTTTCGGTACATTTACCTACACCGATTCAATAGCCAGAACAAGACCAACTCAGTGCCTGATTCTGCACATTTAAGTCGACGAACACCAGTATCTGCGGATTACTACCAGAACAATTATCATGAGGAGAAGGATTGTTGTATCCTGTACTTCATGTTACAAGCATCATATGTGACTTGATTTTCGTTACGTAGTCTCACGAGTGATCTGAGGAGGAGATGGCTCTCCGTGTGCGACCTTATCTTCATCTGGCCATGAGTAGAGAGTTTCTTTAAGTGTTCTCTTAAGGATCTATTCAACTTTGAATGAGCAAATCATGTGTGATTCGAGATAGTTTCAGATCCGAGGACATGCGCATTGGTGTGGTCATGGATCGCACTTCCTTTACAGGACTCCAAACAAGAATAAGCTATTATAATATGAGATTCAGAATTTAATGAAAGGACATGAAAAGCTCAAGATTGGTAAATTGTAGAAGGCCCACCAGGTTGCTTTTTCCAATTCCCTCGTCAATCAAGTTTCTGGTATACGTTCTGCTGCTATCTTTCATATCATAAGGACCCAATCTTCCTCATCGGAGACCTATGTTTCCATTAATTGCTGAATGTCCATTGGGTCAACATCATCAGAGTCAAGACCCGAGCTTGGTCCTAAAGCTGCACTGAGATCCTCGACAAGTTTTGCAAAGGGATCGAGAGTCTTCTTGATATCAGAAGGCATCTCAGACTCGTCCTTAAGGAAAGGCATATTGAAACAAAGAAGTGAGACGATGCTAAAAGGTGTTTCTGTCAAGTTGAAACTGGAAAGCACCGTCGGAATAAATCCGTTATCGGAGTTTAAGTAATTGTTCGTCGACTTGAGCCTTCTTTTCGTTGCACATATCTAGATAAGGTGTTAAAGGTGATAAGGAAATAAATTAGGTAGATACGCAAATGCGAATCTTAAAAAACGTATTGAGGGAAAGAGTAAGAAGCGTTGACTGCTTGCCACGCGATAGATGTATCTATCCGATAAGCCGATAGTGGCCAAAAGCAAATATATTCTACACTGAAAAATTAGGCATTAAATGACATAGTATTTATGCCTCAGGCCAACACCCCGCCCTGACTAAGAGTGCCACAATTCAAAGATTGTCCGCAGCCCTTCAATTTTATCGTAACACCGAGCCCTATTTCACAGCACAGCGAGAGGGATTCGCGCCAAGTCGGGGGTTCTTCACTTTTATAACTTGGAAAAATTCTTTCTTTTGCGAGTTTTGTGAATTACAACCGCCAAAATGTCGACCACAATTGACAAGGTTAGTGCGACTCGTTCGCCTTAAATTTGTACTGAGCACAATCGCTAACAAGGCTATGGCATGGTACAGATCAAGGAGATCGAGTCCGAGATGGCTCGGACTCAGAAGAACAAGAACACATCCTTCCATTTGGGTACGATCACCTACAGAACAAGAATTTTATCGATTACGACCATGGACACACAAATTGATAATCGGTGCAGGACAGCTGAAGGCTAAGCTCGCTAAGCTGAAGCGAGAGCTTTTGACTCCATCTGGAGGAGGTGGTGGTGGTGCCGGTGGTAGGTCCTCAGATAACAACAATTTTCTAAACGCTAGCGACAATCGCTAACTTTGATGCTGTTTAGCCGGTTTCGACGTTGCGCGTACTGGTGTTGCCTCTGTGTAAGTCCGAGGATGGTGGAGATCGATAATTTCAAGAGATGAATTTTAACAAATATGCAGTGGCTTCATTGGTTTCCCCTCCGTTGGCAAGAGTACCCTGATGAGTAAATTGACTGGCCAGCACTCCGAAGGTTTGTTTGCAACGATACCACCTATCTCTTCAGCCATTGACTCTTTTTGTAGCTGCCGCCTACGAGTTCACAACCCTTACAACTGTCCCCGGACAAGTCTTGTACAACGGCGCCAAGATTCAGATTCTTGATCTGCCTGGTATTATCCAAGGTGCCAAGGACGGAAAGGGTCGTGGTCGTCAGGTCATCGCTGTGGCCAAGACTTGCCATCTCATTTTCATTGTTCTTGACGTAAACAAGCCATTGGTTGACAAGCGTGTTATCGAGAACGAATTGGAGGGCTTCGGTATTCGTATCAATAAGTCGCCGCCCAACATCAACTTCAAGAAGAAGGACAAGGGTGGTATCGCGATCACTAGCACGGTTCCATTGACAAACATCTCCCAAGAGGTAAGTTTGATCTTATACAGTCCCAAGAACAACGGCTAACACCCAGCGACAGGAAATCAAAGCTGTGATGAATGAATACAAGATTAACTCGGCTGATATCGCCATTCGGTGCGATGCTACTATTGACGATCTGATCGATGTGCTGGAAGCCAAGGCTCGTGCCTACATCCCCGTTGTCTATGCCCTCAACAAGATCGACGCCATCTCCATCGAGGAATTGGATCTTCTCTACCGAATTCCTAACGCTTGCCCAATCAGTTCAGAGCACGGATGGAACATCGATGAGCTGCTGGAGATGATGTGGGAGAAGCTTAGTTTGCGGAGAATTTATACCAAGCCCAAGGGCAAAGCACCTGACTACACGGCACCTGTTGTGCTCCGTGCTAATGGATGCACTGTGGAGGATTTCGTAGGCATCCTTTCCCTCTTACTTTGAAGAATTCTGCTAACATTTCACAGTGTAACGCCATTCACCGCACGATCAAAGATCAGTTCAAGCATGCTATCGTGTATGGTCGCTCTGTCAAGCACCAGCCGCAGCGTGTTGGTCTTTCGCACGAGCTGGCTGATGAAGATATTGGTACGTACACTTTCCCCTCTCAATCAATGAATCAACGCTGACTCGCCTTATAGTATCTATTGTTAAGCGCTAAAGGATTCTCTGTAAATCCTTGACCGTCACAGCCGGCTATATGAAGCGATAAGTCGATCGAAATCGCCGCTGGGGGCGTGCCAAGGGTGGTCTGTGAGGAAAATGCTTTTTACCCCTGGAGTCCTCGTACTGACAGGGACGGCATTTTGGCTTACAGCCCTTTTCGTAAAACGCCACCGGACATGTGTGGTTGGACTCTGAGAGTACCCCTCATCGACAACTCAAGATCATCAAACGAGGGCCTCGTGGAAGAACAAACCAGTCGCAGGGCTGGAGTGGGGGTTATCACTGGAATGAGCGAGTTTGTAAAGTTGCTGCGTATACACTGCTTGCTTATTGTGATTTCTGACTCCTTTTTCGGTGCTTTCTCCCCGGTGCAGCATGAGAGTGAAACAACCAGACCTCGTCGCATTGGATACATGTCCAAGAGGTCGGCCTCTCAGGGGAGTAAGCATGAGAATAGGATACCATGGGTATGTTGATGGTCTTGGCCAGTCACCATGTTTCGATTCTTCTTGCTTTATTACTTGGCTTTGAAACGACCTTTCCATATTGTTTATGATTACCCCATTCATCTTTTATTTTTTTTCATCTTGTTAAGGACAGTACTTTGTTCTTTTTCTAGTGAGCGTCATCAAACATAAAAGTTCTAGATTGAGGTCTTCATGGCCTACCCCTTCCCTGTTCAGACCACTTGCATCCTTCCCTGGCTTTTGCTAACAACAAAAAAGTGAACGACAGTTCAGAATGCTTCCTATTTTGTTGCCGAGCTGGCTCGAGGTCATAGCTTTACTGTTGAATACGTCTTTCCCGACATGCATAGAGATAGTGACCAATGAAGGTCTTTTGATAAGTACTATATAGAATACCTAGGTAGAGATGGTAAAGCTCTGGCTCGAGACTAGTCTACCCTAGATGAGGATTTGCAGCACTAGGTCTGCTAGTTCTTATCAGTTCGCAACGGTATTATCGGAAATGCACTCATGCCCATATGAGTAAAAGCTCTTGCCTTTCCAGGCATACCTGTAATCTGAATTATACGAAGTACCCTCGGGTCTTCAAAAGGGGAGCTGGTTCCGCGTTATGTCTGGCCTGATGTTGACGATGCTCTATACGGGAAATCGGAGCTTGATCTCCGTATGGCCCATGTGGCCGGCCCTCCGTGCACTTCCGTGCAATTACTTAAAAGTATTTGAAGGCTGGAACATTTGACTGAGCCGAGACCCCTGTCAGACTCCGGACTTTTTTTCCCCTCAGCCAACGGGTCGTCAGATCCCCACATGTCGTATGAGGTGATTTGTACCAGATATCTTGGCCTTAAACATGAAGAATAGAGTGGGGGAAATGGAACTTAGGAAATACAGAATCGACAGCTTCGACCCACGAGAAATATGGTGTGCATAATGTTTCGACTTGTGTGCACTGACCTACTCAGTAGTCTACAAATAATAAGACTCCACCTCATTCTCTCTAGCCCTCTTCTTAGGGTACGCCTCACTTTCTGCATTCGATATTCACTTCAATTAGCGTAACATCCAATTGGGGAAAAATGGAGAGGGATAGTGAGTTAATAGTTACGAGGGACGTAAAGATGATAAGTCGACTAGACAAGAACAGCTTACTTCCATTTTTATTTTATTTTTACTTTTTCTTGCCCTCGGTAACAAAAGTACTCTGTAGCATCCCAAAGGCTTCCTCCAAGACTTCCGAGTTCATTCTGGACTGCCCTGAAGGATCTGCAAAATCCACGCCAGGGTCAGCAGGTTGACATCTCTCATCTCTATTGGAAGATGAAAAACAAGGCATTTGAGAGAGACGGGAATGAAGAAGCGGTGAATATTGGTCGAGTTAGCGATCTTTATCTGATTAAGTACATTTTGACTGGGATTTGGTGCCACAGCAGATTCTGCTCGAGCTATCCAATAACAAAGTCCAGATACAGGTACACGTACAGACAGACTCGGATTGCATAGATACAGACCAGGAAGTTCAACCTGGGACTATCCTATGTATGAAGTGGAGTCACCGACAATCTACTGGGTATTAATATACTACTATACTAGTAAAATACTCACGATCTCCTCCCGCCGATACGAGATCGACAAAGAACCCGTTTACCCTGTTTAGTAAAATGGAAATATCTCAGAGAACATTGAAAGCTATCATGTGACTGCATCGACACCACGCTTTGTCTCTCGTGGAATCCATCGGGCTTCCTGGTTGCATTGCATTGCATTAGGCCGCACTGCAATCTTCCCCAGAGTCGTACTGGTTACTGGTAGGAGATTGTGGTTGTACCTAGGAGTATACATTATACTCGAGAATGCTCCTGCAGCACTTAGGGCTTCTTCTGATTTCTATTCCGACTCCACCTGCGTCTATGACTCTATATCATACGCATGTTTCAAATTTGAATTGAATTTCAAATCTAGATTTCTATTACAATTTTCTACGTAGCTTCTCCCCTTTTTTTGACCGTCAGATTGCAGGAGTGAGGCGCCGTTTGAAATGTCTTGTTCTGTCGATCGGTACCTGACAACCCAATAGCCCTACCTTGACCTTGACCGTGCACACTTGTGTTCCCCTTGTTCCTGAGTCCGAGTCTGAGTCTAACGGGACCTGTACTCTGTGCAACTCCGGAATATCTTATCACACATAGGTCAAGAAATAACCGCAAATCAGGTAAATTGGAAGGAAATACTATCCAGCCATAGGCTCCCCTGATGTCGATTTCAATTTTGACTAGTCTAGGCTTCTTTCTTCTTCTGCTCCGAGGTGGTTTCTTGGCCTGGCTAGGTTGCATTTTGCAATATACGTTTTGTATTTGAAGTTTCCAGTCTCGATGAGTGAGGTAAGGCATACACAGTACCTAAGTATATGGATGTGAGATCCGAGATTGTTTTCCACCTGTGCTTGATGTATCATGTTCCATATACGGATAACTTCCATACTCCATAATCTATACTTCATCTAAAACTTCAACATCAGCCCACTGATACTGCACATGTGCTAATCTATGATTTTACTTCTAACCGAACCTCTCCGGGTGGGTAATGATCTACGTAAACTTTCGATTTTGCTATTTCTTTTCTTTTACTTCTAGTTGACTGGGTGAAGGCAAAAACTGACGTCTACAAGTAGTATGATTGGCACTTGAAATCAGCCCCAAAGTAACCTACATATCATTTTGGGACACTATTTGCCCCCTTGTTTTTACTTCAAAACATGCCTTACAAGGTTCTATGAAGCTATCAATCATTTGTCACAGAATTCTATTGTAGACTAGACATTAATTGAACGGAAAAGAAGAGAAAACGGATAGAAAATGAATGGCTTGCGTAGCTGTAATCAAAAAAGAAAAGAAAAGTAGAATCTTTTTGATTCCCTCGTGGCTTTCATGTCGAACAAGCGGGGTTCTATGATCGAATCATTTCAAATTGTGGCTGAGGCAGACCGCCGAATGAATGATTCTATCTGAGGAAGTCCGTGCAAAAAGCAGTTGAGGATCATCGAATCCCCCAAATTCTCGGCCCGGCGAGGACCGCAGTGGTAATAGAAGTGGAGAGTTGTGGTGGAGAGAGAATCAGGGCTGAGATGTACTACTAATTTAGCGCCATATGCCTTCTTTTCCCCTCTTTTCGCTTCTCACCCTTGAAGACCAGGTTCTGTGCAATTGCATATTATTCCATTCTTTTCATCTCTAAATATGAATATAATGAGAAATATAAGTTTTAAAATAACGTATTAAAAACATAGGTGGATCGCCAGAGATCGAACAAGGGACGGTGACCAGGGCTGAAATGAGATCCCAGCTTCTACCTTTCTCACGTCGGGTGCTCTAGTGTCACATGGTATCCATAATGGGGGATCTTAATCTCTCTTTGGTCAATTTTGGGTGAACTGACCGTTAGACGACTTTGAACGCGGGATGAATACGGCAAATCATCTACTATTCTCTCTCCACTTTGATCTGACCAATTCAATGGATATTTTTATAATGTCATGTGCACTTAAGGTTCAGCGGGTGAATCGGTCCGCTTTTGTCTAACAAATCATTGTTCTAAGGTTGTATGTCGTTTAGGTGTGTTCCCCAGTAGAGATCTATAATTGACCCGACTATTCATCCAATTAGTATGGAGTACGGAGTACTCCGTACGGAATTCTGTCCCTTTACGGAACAGGTTCCCAAGGCTACTGAAGGATTTATGAATTTGGATTTTACATGGTTATAATTATAATTACAGAGGTTCCATGAATGGAGAATGGAGCTCTCTATTGTTAGTTAAACTTCTTATAGAAGAAGTCGAAACCAATCGACCGTGTTCCATATACATTGATATGCATAGTTACTACCGGTACTACGGGAAAAGAAGAGAAATGGCATTTCCATACGATACACCGTCTTGGTAATACATGAACGACTAGTAAGGCCTGAGTAGATGCAACCCCTGCCGCGAAATACATCTCGCTTTAGACCAACCAACGCCGCCTCCCCTTATGAACAGGGGTATTTTTATTTTTATTATTGATTTACAATTAATATTATAATATTTCTCAATTTTCTATTTATCCTCTTCCCCCCAATCATAGTGGAGATCGTCGGGTAGGTTATCATCGATTTTTATGTATTATGGATTTTCTCCGGACTCGTCTTTTTTTTTTTTTTTACTCTGCCAGTTGGAATCGAGATCCATTTCTATTCAAATCCACGCGATTATATGCCCTTTTAACTCCGTCCATTGCCTTTTTTCCTTCTTTTGCCTCCCTGCATATCTTCTGTATAAACCCTTCTTGCCCTAACCAAGCTACTTTGCAACAACTCACAACTGAACTTTCTCTATACAGGTTCAATAGTGGTGGAACATGCATTATCCCTCATTGTCTCACTAGACTTTGCATTGTTACCATCCCGGGTTGTATTTCCTCGTCTAAGATCTCTCAAAAGAACCTGATAAAGGTACCCTCAACTTTCAATCTTGGAAGGTTCATCAAATCGACAACTGTTATTGTTGTTCTATGGAGGATCATACAATGGAGTCAGAATCTCATCATGCAGATAGCGATTTCGCACATTCGCCCTGGGTGGAACTTGGTGCTTTTGTGACGCCCCAAAACTCGCCTCCCATGCCCGAGTATAGTGGCTTCGACTATGGCCCGTCAATGATGGCTGTGGATGCTTCCTACGGCATATCGCTACCGCCACCCTATACCTCCATGCCACTCCCCATGCCCTCGCAAACTTGGCCAAGTATGCTCACTACTCATGCACCGTTTCCTGATGGACTTTCTGCTCCACCCATACCAACTTCGATCTCGCCTACCGCCCCGCCATCTCGCAGGCATTCCTCTGGATCTACACCTCGCAGGACTTTGACCGATGATGATCGTCGACAGATGTGTTTATACCATGAAGAACACAAAACAGCAAAGCAGACTGATATTGGAGGTATGATGACAGTATATTTTTTGTTCTACCAAAGTTTGCATGGGGTAAGCTGACCGAAGTTTATATACAAATAGCCCTATTTGGAGTAGAAAGAAGGTATTGAATATATCCATTTTCTGACATTCCAAGGTTGATTAAATCTGACTTGAATCGCAGCACGGTCTCCAAGGTCTTACGCCAGAAAGAAAAATATCTCAACCCGGATGATGGAAGTCGATCACCCATCAAAAGGACCAAGGGCCGAGTGCCCGATATTGAGAAAGCCCTATCAAATTGGGCGAGGAATTTCCTGCGCCATGGCTTCACATTGAGTGATGAGATGATCCAGGAGAAAGCAGCTTTCTTTGCTTCGACTTGTGGTCGAGAGGACAAGGAAAAGGTGCTCACTTCAGCTTGGCTGGAGAGATTCAAGAAAAAGAATAGTCTTCTCAGTGCACGGCCACGAAAGAGTTCTATCGACGTGCGAAGCGGGTCCAACAGCCCAACTATCAACACCGACTCTGCCATCCATTCCGCTGTTCAAAGCCCAATTGGACCATCTCCCTCCTCTCCCCATAATGGATTTGGCTCCCCATTCTCCCCAGTGCAAAGCCACGAAGGCATCAAGAGGGAGACTGGAGATGGCGTCCCCGAGCTGACGGGCGGCTACCAGCACAACGGCACAGCCATGCTGGATACCTCCTCAGTAATGACCAGTCCTACGTCAACTTTAGTCTCGGATAGCCCCTTCACCCCAACAAGCCAATCCCGCATCCCTTACTCAGGGGGCGGCTTCAACCGACCACGCAGCCAAACCTTCCCACTCGTGCCCATCGACCCAAGCCTACTGACGGCCGACGAATCCATGGACCAAAAGCCCAAGGTCGAGTCCCACTCCGTTGCCATTCTCGAGTCTCCACTAGAGCTAGACGATGAAGAGACCCAGGCCGCATTCAAGGGCTCAGACCCACACAATGTGATCAAGCGCAATCGCAGCAACCCCGAGATCAAGACCAGATCCATGCAGCCTCCACCGCCCGTCTCTAGGTCTACCACCGTTTCTCCCATCAGTGGTCCAGGTTCTCCGACTCAAGATGAAGCTAGACGAGCACTGGAGCTAGTCATGAACTACTTCCAGCATCAGCCAGCTGGACTTGCCGCACAGGAGTATGTCACTATCGGAAAGCTCATGGAACGCCTCGATCTAGCTAAAAGTCAATCGCTCTTCGGCGGTCTTTCGCGGATTGACGAGCACGAAGATGCTCCTCGTGTACGCAAAAAGCGGAGCATCCAAAACCTTGGATGATAACTCTTGTGCATTTTCATCATCCATTGTTCGCATCTACTCCTACACTCCCTTTCGCCCTCCCCCTTCCCCTCCACTCCTTAACGCTTTGCATTGTGATTCCCCTTTCTCGTCCTGATTCTTAATTTTGACTTTCTTTGAGTGGTTTTTTATTCTTCTAATCTATGCTTTTCCTTTTCCTTTTCCCTTTGCATCGTGTCTAGGTTTGACACCTGAAGATCCTGGTATAATCAAACAGAGAATAAGCTTACACACACAAGAGGACGACCTCGAACTTGTTTTGAATGGAATCTCGCATTGACGCTAGCAACAATACAGAGAGCAGACATCGCCGACCCCTACGCTTACCGTTGACATGGTATGAATGGCTACGGTATATATGGCTTGGAAATACCAAGATGTGCTTATAGGAAAACTTGAATGGCGTACTTTTATCCTTGATTTTTTTGATTTTTTCTTCATTTCCCTTTTAACTTGCCTTTCCCCTATTATTCCCCATCTCACTCTCTCTTTATTTCATCTGACTTTGTTACTACTTGCACTTCCAAGGTTTGCACTTCGTATCTGGCTTTTGATATTTACTTCCTCTTCCTCTCTATTCTTTCGACCACACTCCCTTGGTTACTACTGTTATTCTAGTTGTCTACATTTTCTAAACTGGGCCGCCCACGCGGAAAGAACATAATTTGGGATTTCATTCGGATATACGACGACGATCTCTGAGGTTGGCTATTGGATGTAATAATACCGTTTGCTTCCATTTCCCCATACTATCTTCCAAAGTTCCATATTTCTCCCTCTTTCTTTATTCTCTTTTCGTCTGGTGTCTTCGACATTGGACAGATTGGCTTATTGCCTAGATTATACCCCTTTCTTTAATGAGACAAACAATTTTGGAACATTCATCCAAGGATGCATTTGAAGCTGTTATTAAAAGTTGAATCATACACCCAGGACCTTTTCCAACGATAATACCACCATTAGGGCTGGATAACCTTTCCCCTTGGAATTTTTGACAGGCTAGATAGGTGTACCCTGGTTGAAAAAGATGTCATTAAAATGAAGTAAGTGTGTATAGGTGATAGAGAATAAAATACAAAGTCTATAACATGGGGATGCTTCCATAGCCCTGGAGATACCGAGGCATTATGCCTTAAGACCCGATGAAGTAACCCCACGATCCTCCATAAGCCCTGCAACACTGCGATTCGCCAATTCAGGAAGAACCCCGGCAAGAACAGTCTCAATAATAGCGTAAATGAGATGTTTGTTGCAGTACTCATCCGAAAGTAGATCCAGCAGATCAGTCTCAATAGCCTGCAAAAGGAACTCCTCGTCCGAGTCAACTACCTTGTCGTGTTCATCTGGGCGCTGCTCAGACCGCTCAGCAGGGATTCCATTTTTTTGTTCTGGGAGGGACGGCGCGGTCCGTATTGGAGAGGTAGATCGCACTTGATCGCCACATTCTCTGCCCTTTCCCGAACTAGCGATCGTGACCGGGGAGGACGAACTCCCCGTGCAGAAACTATCGGCACTCTGAAGCCCGAAAAAGGATCGTGCAACTTGGCGCGGAATCATAGCTAGGATGCCAGCTGCACATTCTCGCTTGATGGTAGCGATTTCAGATTCTGAAGGCGCGACCGTTTCAGATTCTGGTGTTGATGTCGAAGGCGGTGATGGTGTTAGATCACCTGAACCACTACCATTGCCGGCATATTTGCTGATCCCGGCATGAATGTAATCTGTTGCATCTCTGGTCAAAGGTACAGCTTCAGGGGCCCTGGCCCCTTCCTGAACAGGTGTCGTGGAAGGAGCTGGAGCGACGGCCTTCGCAGTAGGCGTCGGGGGCTGGGCAGACAGCTGCGGGGTCGAAGCCGAGAGTACTACATTCCCAGGCATTGGGGCTGCATTACCGGCATTAGTTGGAAAAAGAGCAATCCGCGATGCGAGCAGAAGGTTGGGCAACAAAGCGGGGGTCAGCACGTATTCATCGATCGTTTCTTGGAGAAATCTGTTAAGTTAGCCAAAGATCTTAGAAATGACGCAAGATAGAAAGAAAAAAAAACAGGAAAAAGAAAAAAAAAAGAAAAAAGGGCAGAAAAAGCAATATAGAGAAAAAAAAGGGCAAAGATCTCTTCCTCGACTGTGGAGACTCCAGACCGTTTAAGCCCGTAGTTTTCTTTAGTTTAGCTCGTTTTTTTGGTTTGGCAAAAGCTCTCCACTGCTTTAAATGGAACGTCCCGACATCAACTAGGGCGATTGCTAAGTGGGGATTGCTTTAAGGCGGAGCAAGATCGGCCTTAGTATGAGGGAGCTTGGGCCTTTGGATGTTTGGACAAGGGTGTCGTCCATCCGGAGTCAAGAACCACAAGAACCCTCGAGGCGAGGATAATATGAGAGAGGGAGAATAGAGAGAGAGACTGAACCCCCTCTTTTTTTCTCACTTCTCCTGTATCTTAGCTTCACTGCAGCGGGTAGGATCCCAGCATCCTAGTGGTTGTGCCTGGCGCACGAATGCAGGCCTGATGCGCGCCAACCTCGGTCGGAATGTAAATTGGAAATCTCACTACCTGGAATTTCGCTGATTGGATGCATTATAATGAAATCACTAGCCTCGCTGAAGGAAGTCTTTCTTCATGCAAATACCTAAAGTGGCATGGTCCTTCATCGCCGATGATCGGCATGGGACGATTTCTGCTCGTGCGCGATTCGCCCGGCCGAGAAGGATATAGCTTGAACGTAGGCATTGATATGGACCAGGATGATTTGTTTGTACTTTCCCTATGATTCCAGGAAGTGTAGTGAGCATCATCTGAAAGGGGTTCCAAGGTTGTCATGAGTTTTTTTTTTTAGCTCTCATGACAACGCCATATTTCACAAATAGAGTGAGCATGACGGAAAGGGCCGGTCCCGACCATGATGAGAGCAAGAGGGTGGATAAGGGAAAGAGACCCCTGCTCTCGAAATTGCATCTCGCTCGGACCGGGTGGAAGCAGCCAATCTTATTGCAGAATAGACCTGTCAGACGAACGGTAATGACGGTACAGTCTGTAAGGGCCACCGTACAGTGACCGTAATATCAACCACCACAAGATCAAGTGACCGGTGCATCATGCGAGTAAAACATCTCGTCCCACTTTGGACTCACACAAGTGATACTGTTACTGTAGATCGTAGTTCGGAGATCGTTCCTTTTCTCCACAGTCAAAGAGAATGGTTCAAGTGGGAAAGGTCCGAGCCCAGAGAAAGAATGTAATGCTCCGAAGATATAATAAAAAAAAAAAAGGTATAATATAGACTCACCTATCAAGTATGCTGTTCGTGTCACCCAGTCGACCTGGTCCTGCCACGATCAGGTGCTGGACGAGGGCTAGTGAACCGGAAAGCCACGGCATTCTCTGCGATGTACCCAGAAGCCGCGAAGCCATCGAAAAGACTTGATAATCAAGAACTGGGCGCTTAATGACGACGCCGTCGGACGAAGACCCATTACCCCCCTTCAATGGGGGCGTTGCAGCGGGAAATGAAATACCGTCACCGTGCGAGCATCCCTGTTCTGACCTCGATGCGACGCGGAACAGACCTGTCGCAATGAAACGCAAGGCAACGTAACCAAGATAGACACTTTGAAGAACGTTCCATATCCAGGCCGTTGCTGGTAATTGGACAGGTTGTGGGCTATTAGACTCGTCTTTGATCGGAAGCAAGCCGAATTTCTTTAGCTGGTTGGCAGGAACGTCTTCCGAAGACTCCTTGATATCGGCTTCTGTACGATGTCTCAATGTAATGAGCTTGGTGATGCTTTCATAGAGAAACCATCCTTCGCATATCTTGCCGCTAACTTGTTTCCCCAAAATCAAGTCCGCTATGACATCTGCGACCAATGTGCGCAGACTACTATTTTCTAAGTCCTCAGTTGGTAGCAGAATTGTCAAGATCCCGTTGGCAAGTAGTCGACGATAGACCTCTTCGTTTTCTCTCTGCATTGTTATCGTGTCGGGATCTATAGAATCTGGAACTGGCGACAACCCAGGATGGGGATTCAACTCATGATAGATTGCACGATACGACGTAGGTAGACCTGACATAGATGACTGCTTCTTGGCCAATCTGTAAGCTGGAAGAGATATGGCATTCTCGAGTCAGTATTGTGTTATCCTTCCTCTACCCATCTTGCGATGGCCCAAGAAACCAAGTATTCAAGACAGTCGGGTCTTACAAGCGATATGCGCTTCCACTAGCGCTGGAATTTCGTCAAATACCAATTGTGTAACGTCTATTTGGCGTATTCTTTGCTCTAAGGCACGGGTGCAGTGTGCTATCACTAGTAGAACTTCATTGACGAGGGCCTGGTCGGGGGTGATCTTGGAGTACCAAGAGTACACAAAATCTTTCATTATTATTGCAATTATGGCGTAAAGCTGAAGGTCGACGTCATTGGAGCTCGTGAGGGGAGGCAACGGACTTTCAGGAGGTTGTTGGGAGGATGAGCCATGATCGCTGGTTGGGGGACGAAGAACGCGTCGGATTAAGGCAAGGGTGGCCTTTTCACTCGCTGGATCGACTTGCTCTTCTCGAACATATGTCTTTTGTGATTTCAAGCGCGAGCTTGGCCGTACGAGTGGCGGTTGCATCGGCGCGGGGATCGCAGTCGACCTGGAGCTTGCAGTGGTCGATCCCGACTTGAGGGAAGCCGGTTGTAGACCGGGGCGGAGGACGTCAGTCATAGCATCGCAATAGAAGAAGATCTCTCTGGAATAGTTTGAAGATCGCACTGTTTAAGATTTTCAACCCCTTCTGGATGATCACAAGTTGCTGCTGTCGCGGTCACCGCAACAATGATGACTGTAGTTGCCTGAAAAGGAAGGTAGGGCTCAGGGCTGGAAGATAAGGGGCTTATCGCAATGCGGGGACAGAGTCAGCTTCATTGTTGACCCCTTCTGTTTCATCAAGCCTACCTAGTATTAAAGATGCTGCAATCTATTCCCACTCCACTCTGGCTGGATTGCGATCCTGGTATGTCTATCCGTTGATGAAACCAGCTCACTAAAGATACCGTTAGTATTGACCATCAGCTCAGGCCACGATGTAAGCTTATCTCAACTATGTTCTGAGGCCAAAGTCCGCGAAAAGACTAGACATTTAATATCATTTCCAGGATGCATTCGCAATCTTAATCGCTGCTCTTCACCCTTCTCTCAACCTCCTTGGTATCACAACCATTCATGGGAATGCCTCCTTGGCCAACACCACCGCCAATGCCGGGAGCATACTTGAAGCTATCGGCAGGCCGAAAATCCCCGTATACCCTGGAAGTGTGAAGCCATTCTCTCGGCCCGCTCTCCATGCACCGGATATTCACGGTATGATCTCATTCTAGTCCCCTCGAGAGTTACGTGTGAACCTATCCTTATCGCTCTTAATAGGTGAATCGGGTCTTGATGGCACCGATCTTCTCCCTAAAGCTTCCCAGTCACCGATTCTCGACCAGAATCCGATCCTAGCAATGCGAAACGCTCTTTTAGCTCAGCCAAAGGGTACTCCGTGGGTGATTGCAACTGGAACCATGACCAATATCGCTCTCTTGTTCGCCACATTCCCGGAGGTTGTTGACCATATTCAAGGACTGAGTATTATGGGAGGTGCCATTGGTGGTGGTTTCACAGATGCTCCCATGAGTAGACTTCCTGGAGAAAACTCTCGTGTTGGAAATATTACCCCTTGGGCAGAATTCAATATCTATGTCAGTATACGCTTGTTTATATCATTCCCTTCATCTAATCAGGAACGGCGCTTAACCATGTATCTGTATAGTGTGATCCCGAGGCTGCCGAATCAATCTTCAGCAACCCCATTCTTGCAGCTAAAACTACTATTATCGCTTTGGATCTCACCCACCAGGTCCTGGCCTCTCCAGATGTCCAGCAGCGCATTCTCCACGGATCCAGCGGCTCAAAGCCACCAACAGTTGTGCGGCAGATGTTACATGACTTGCTTCTGTTCTTTGCGGATACATATAAGACGGTATTTGGATTGATTGATGGCCCCCCATTGCATGATCCTCTCGCAGTGGCTGTCATTCTATCGACCCTGAACCCTGTGTTTTCCCAGCAGTTCCCTGAAAATGCCCTCAAATTTGACGACAAAGGCGGCGAGCGTTTCAACGTTAGCGTTGTCACTGATGGTGTCCATGGTGGAGATGCTTCCACTACCGGTCAATTAGGACGTACCATTGCTATTCAAGCTGATGGACCGGGAGTGGCCATTCCTAGAGGAGTCGACTTGGAGGCGTTCTGGAGCTTGATTATCCAGTGTGTGCAGTTGGCTGATGACTGCAATGATACTCGCTCAAGAGCTTAAGCAACTTTTTCGTGTATATAGACGGATCTACTACTTCGAAATCGCGACATGCTAATTTGGACTAGACATCTACAATTTATTTGCTTGGCACTTGCGCTCAGATATAGCTCCGAATTTCAGATATAGTCAATGATATTCTCAATACTTCTCACACAAATGATACCTAGCTATGAACAAACATCCATCGAAGACAAATATACAACAGTCAGAATTCGTATGTGGTCACCATTTAGATTTTCAAATCGCAAAATATAAAGATAGGAGTCTACCCATCAACGTAGTCCGAACAATTGCGCGACAGCCTCTACTTGGGCGAGATATTATCCAAAGAGAGCGTCAATTCATCTATACAGGTATAAAAATTGTGAACCTGGGAGTCTACCTAGGCAGCTGTATGTAGCAGATTTTCTTTCCTCGGTTGGCTTTCCTAAAACAGCTACCGCCGCTTTAATGAGGGCGCTCAGAGTCAAGCTCAGAGAGTAAATTTTAGTCTGGGTTCAGGATCAGTAAGTTGCTCAGTCTCGCCACGTGACAGGCCACTGAGGCCTAATGAACGCTCAGTCGTGATTAGCTGCTCCCTGCTTACTCAGGGTACTCAAGGATCAATCAGTGCCATCTATTTGTATTAAGCACTCAGTCCTTTCTTGCGTTATACTAAAGGGGACTAGTAGAAATAAGGGTACTGAATTTAGAACTATTTTTGATGGTTAGACATAGACCTGTGTATAGCGTGGGTACGGGTCAAAAATTTTACCCATAACTCATATGGGTTGGGTTGGGTATACTCAATGTCTAAAGAGCTTTTTGATATCATATTAGCCCTAGAAGAATGGCGAGAGCTGCTGTATATAATTAATGAGTTCACTATTCTAACCGACCATAAGAACCTAGTGTTACAGGGTGAACCCCTCGCAGCGCCATACGCGTATGGCTGTGGCACGTCGCCTTCTCCCCGCTTCCCTATATCAGACTCTTGCCTTGACCACTGTTTTCTAGTTCTTAGTTAATCCTTCTTGAATCACAACGGACCATAATGGCACCCAATTTCCTGTAGTATCGTCCCGTCATATTATGAATCTTTAGCCAGCTAATTCTTACGATCTCTATATCGCCATCTTCATTTATTCTACCTATGTTCTAGTTATATATAATCGCCGCCAGTATTTCTTTCACGACTTTGCCCTGGACCCTTTTAAAGTCTTCCGTTGCTGCCTTATTGATCCCTAGCAAGTGTACGTTGATATCATGGAAGATAATTCCCTATATAGGGAGATGAGCGAATGTAGTCTTACATAGACCTTTTATCCACTTTTCGCGGTGCACTTAATGGATTTCTACTTCCTTTATATTCCTTATGGTAAACCGGAGATCACCTGACCATAGTTGTCGCGAAGCAAGAATCATTACTTGTGCGAGAGCTAGTACTAGATCATATAGATTAGTGGCTGCCTTCGCCTACGCCTGCTAAGCACGTTTCGTGAACTCTATTAGCGTGAATCGTCGAAATATGCTAATTTGTGGACAGTAACCTAGGCAGATCACGATTTCCTGGTTATATACTACCTCTGATAGACGCGCTAGGGATAAGGTAGATCAATAGGATGATAGAAAATGATTTGGCGTCGGTGCTTTAGCGGCTATTTTTACGAAGGATTCTATGGTCTGCTTTAAGGGTTGCTCAATCACTGCTTTGATACCTTAAATCTTCTTGCGGAGTGCGCCTAGCTCTTCCTGCCAGTCATTCAAGGGTGTCGATAGGAAGTCCTTGGTAAGCTCTCTCACACTTTGAAGGAAGGTTGCTACCTTAGGACTAAACCGGTTCTGACTATTGCCGATGTCCTTTAGCAGGGTGTATGCTTCGTGATTGACTTTCTGTACGCGCTCACGATTCATTGGCTTTGTTGGAAGCGAATTTTTTGAGCGGCCGCAGAAGCAGTCCCAACTCCCTTGGACGCGTGCAACATCGACACAGAGGAGATATATATCACCAACTGGGATCAAAATGTAGCACAGTGAGTTAGATTATGTTGAGAGCTAGTCGTCCACTTTCCTGAGATATAACAAAAATTCGATTTGGCGCTAGAGTTGTTGTTCTTTCTAGTTAATTTACACCCACACCTTTTCGTCCCATTGCAATTCCCTCAATCTGATCATACTTGTTCCTACATTTGGAACAAGGGAATTCTGATTCTTACAGTCCAAGACATAATTAGAAGAGCCACAGTTTAACACGCAGAGATGTTAACTAGTATATGTTCGTCAACTAATTTCTATCAAACTTTGAATTAATATCCATATCAGGATCATTTCTGCTCAAGAAAGCAATGTGAGCTTTAAGCTAGAATGCCTTTTAAATCTCAAGAGCAAAGATCAAAGGTCAAAGCTTCGGTACCCAAAGATAATAGTATTTAAAAAGCGGAAAAGGACAAAAAGCTCCACCTTATAAACAAAGAAACAAGTAAAAGACCTCGTAATCAGGCCAACTGACAATTGAAAACTATAGTGAGTCTATTCAAACTTTGGTGTATCGTAGATATCATCGGGATCTGTGGTGGATCAACATTAGTATCAAACTTAGAACCAGAACCGTATATCAGGATGCCTTATCACCTTTGTGGTTTGTCAATATGTACTTCCTGATTTGGACAATTTGTTTTTCGATCTCAGAATTGAGCTCCTGTTGGCGAACTCGGACCTTCTCGTTTGACTTTGCTATCCCACGGAGAGCATTCTGAGCAACATGGAATCGCGATACACGGTTGGCAAGCATCATGTCAAAAGGAGTAGTAGTACTACCTTCCTCGATATATCCCGAGACAGAGATCCGGTCAAGATTCGGGCGTCCGAAAAGCAAGCCCTGCAGCTCAGTAGGATAGCCATGATAGTTGAAGTGGATAGGTTTGTCTGACGTGAAAAGCGTATCAAAGGCCTCTGTAGACAGAGCGTGTGGATGCAAATTCTCATTGTCGAGGATCATTAAATCAGTTACATTGACCACACAGACTCGCAACTCTGGTGCAAGCCTACGCAGAAATGCTGCTGCCGCAATTACTTCAAACATCAACTCGACACCGATACCAACCAGCACGACATCCGGCTTGATTCCGTCATCCGTACTGCAGAACTTCCAGATCGAGGCTCCAGCGCGACAATGGTTCTCAGCTTCCTCGGGGCTCAGGTAAACTGGTGTGGGCTGCTTTGAGCCTATCATTAAGTTGACATAGTTCTTCGAGCCTAAACAATGGCTAAGAGTGGTCAGGAATGTGTTCGCATCTGGTGGCAAGTACACCCGAGCTGCAGTTGGTTTTAACTTCAAAACGGAGCCGATGAACGATGGGTTTTGGTGGGAGAAACCATTGTGCTCTTGGCGTGTCCAGGTACTTGTTTCGATGTAGTTGATGCTGCTGACCCCAGAGTGCCATTTCGTTTCCATTGCCTAAAATGGCTTTAATAACAAATTACTGGTGGAGTGGGAAAACATAACTGACCATTTTGATGAGCTTGGAGTATTGCACCATCATTGTGTGGATGATACCAAGGAAGCTCTCATAGGATGGGAAAATTCCAATTCGGCCAGTTAAGGTATAACCTTGCATGAATCCCTGACACATGTGTTCACTGAGGACCTCAATGACACGGCCACCACGTGCATTGGCAAACTCGTCCCACTGGAAATTGCGGCTCGTTGAATCGAAAGCTGCATCAAGTTTATTACTTTCCAGTTCGTCTGGCGAGAATAGCCGCACGCTCTTTGGGTTTTTCACAAATGTCTGATTGATGAAATTGCCAATTGATTTCATGGCACTCTCGTGCGAGCCCTTCTGCAGACTGAAGGATTTCCAATCTGGCAAATTTGGAGCTACATAGCCATTGTAGCTCTCAATACGCTGACCGAGCTTCTTGGTGTCATCGTTGGGAATAACATACTTAATTTCATCAATGATATCACCGTTTGAAGTGAAGAGCTCTTGTGGCTTATAGCTCGAAAGCCACTTTTGCAGGAGGCCAAGTTCTTCTTGATCCGATTTGGCTTTTGGCAAAGGAACCTGGTGGGAATGGAAAGAGCCCTCTATAAACCGACCATGAAGCTCTTTTGGCCCAGACAAGCCCTTTCCAACGTTCCACTCAGCTTTGGTACTCGATAGGGGGAATAAGTGAGTCACATACCTTAGGGGTCCGCAAGATCAACATTGGCCATCTTGGCTTGAAGATCGGTGTACCCGAGCGAGCAGCCTTTTGAATCCTTTGAATCTCTTCCACAGCCCATACCATAGAGAAGTGCAGATCTGTATCTATATCATTTATGTCTTCTACGAATCGCACTTGGTAGCCGTATCCACTGAAGAGAGCCACAAGTTCCTTGTTGTCCATACATCCAAAGATAGTGCGTTCGCTGATCTTGAACCCATTCAAATGCAGGATTGGCAAGACTGCACCTGATTCATTGGGGTCAATGTACTTAATTGCATGCCAGGACCTATCCACAGTTAGCTTCATCCACATAAATGGCGTATCAAATGACACACGTAGCAGTAGGGCCGGTCTCGGCTTCTCCATCACCGACAATACAGGGCACAATCAGATCAGGCTTATCCATGATAGCACCAAAAGATACAGCGAGAGCATAGCCAAGCTCTCCGCCCTCATGGATAGCACCGGGGGTTTCGGCGTTGATATGGCTGTACTGGAGTTTCAGCAGAGAGACGACAAGGCGCAGGTAGGATATTTAACAGACCTAGGGAATCCAGATGGTGTACTGAAATTCGAAACTAGATTGTGAAGACCTTGGTTATTGCGCGAGTATTCGGGGTAAAACCTCTCCAACGAGCCCTCTAGCCACAATGCGGCTAGAATAGCCGGTGCACCGTGTCCTGGACCGACAATGTACAACATGTCTAGGTCCATTTCCCGGATGATATAGTTCAAATGAGAATAGACCAAAATGAGGCCTGGGCATGTTCCCCAGTGACCTGTGGCCCCTGTTAGAGAATTATCATATCTATGTGTTAGTGGCAACTCACCAAGTAATCGAGGTTTGATGTGATCAAATTCAAGGTCTTCTTTCAAGAGAATGTTTTTTTTAAGAAATATCATAGCTAAAAAGGGTCAATTGCCAAAGACTTTTATACATATCCATAGAGGACTCTCACCTGCGGCGATGTATGAAGCTGCTCGGCGGAATTTGAACAAGGAATCGCAGGCATTATCATCCAAATCTCTATTTGCATGTTCCAAAGTTACACTTAATTTGTTCAAATAATCGGGCAAATGTGAAGGTTGAGGTTTTGGGTTTGGCTCCGTTATGACTTCGCCAGGCATAGTAGTGGATAAAAATTTGGGATAAGAACTTGGCGTGGATGGTTGCGTGAGTCAAAGATGTTATCTGAGATGTAAAAGATCAGGTAGAACCAAGAATAATGAGGAGAAACTAAGGTAATTATTGCCACCAAGCAAGATTGAGATCATGCTAAGTAATGGTCACTTAACCGGCCTTTAGTTCAGATCCGCAGCGTCTAACGTCATTAGCACATCTTGACATCATTCGCGACAAGGAAAAAACCAGCCAGGAATCCGAGATCCAATTCTATTATCAATTACAATATACATGTTTGACCAAGGTTTTTCCAACTCAAAGGAAACAGCTCAAAATGCCCAGACCTATTCTTTCAGTCAACGCAGGCTCATCCTCGGTGAAAATCACTTTCTATACCTTCGAGAACCCACCAACTACCATTGCAGATGCGGAGATCTCTGGATTAACCGCGGCACCACCAATACTCAAGTATCGACAGGGCCATATAAACCACGAGGAAGAAGTCAAAGAGAAACTGCGCTCACCCCAAGATGCATTCAAATACCTCCTGAAGCGTTGTTTCGACGATCCAGAGCTCTCTGAAGTCACCAGCGCCGAAGATCTAGCCTACATTTGCCACCGAATAGTTCATGGAGGCGATTATCGTGAAGCTGTCGAGATCAATGACGATACGTACCACCAATTAAAATCATTCGAAGATCTTGCGCCGCTGTAAGTCAGCACAAACATCGGGCATTCAAATTCCATGTTCAAGCTCATACTAACTGTACCGCGCGAACAGGCATAATTTATCATCATTAGAAATAGTCCGCCACTGCAAGACTGAGCTCCCCAAAGTCAAGAGCATTACGTTTTTCGACTCCGCCTTCCACCACACAATCCCGGAACCCGTGTGCACATATGCGATCAATCAGGAAGTCGCCAAGGCTAATGGTTTGCGTAAATATGGATTCCATGGAATCAGTTACTCATTTATTATGCGATCTGTGGCGCAATTTCTAAACAACCCGATCGAAAAGACGAACCTCATTGTGATGCATTTGGGGAGTGGAGCTTCTATCTGTGCCATCCGAAACGGACAATCTATTGATACCTCGTAAGTCACCATTGTATCTAATTATATCCAGCTCTACATTCAACTAAACTTACTGACTCATTAGAATGGGACTCACGCCTTTGATGGGATTGCCCGGGGCTACTCGCAGTGGAGATATCGATCCTTCGTAAGTAAACACTATCTAAGTAAAGAGAGAACGGAAGCTAATCATAATGTAGATTGGTTTTCCACTACACAAATGAAGCAGGAAAACTGAGCCCAGCCAGCACAAAAGATATGCACATTAGCATGGTAAGTACTGTATAGTCAAGGTCAACTAATCAAACAGAACGATTGACTGTAATTGAATAGGCCGAAAACATTCTCAACAAACAATCAGGGTGGAAAGCGCTCACAGGAACGACCAACTTCGCCGAGATCGCAGTTGCCAATCCACCCACCAAGGCGCATAAACTTGCATTTGATATATTTGTGGACCGCATCGTTGGTTACATAGGTAATTACTATGTCAAGCTAAATGGTCAGATAGATGGTGTGGTATTTTCCGGTGGCGTTGGCGAGAAGAGCGCTTTGTTGCGGAAGACGCTTATCAATAAGTGCCAGTGTCTGGGCCTAGCTCTCGATGATACAGCTAACGACAAAGGACCTGGAGGGGAAACGGTCGCAGATATTTCCCTAGGCTCTAGTAAGGGGCCCAGGGTTTTGGTTTGTCAAACCAACGAGCAGGTATGTTGCCTAAGATCTTTAGAAACTGTCACCTTGACTATGGCCTTGGCTGTTCATGAGGCCGTAGGTTATGGTCATGGTCATGGATTGCTATTTTCGAAGACATCAATTATTGACATGGGACGGATTTTTAGTACGAAATGGCTTATCATTGCGCTTCTTTGCGGCTCTGAAACCTGACATCCCCCAAGAAGCATATCTTCGTCATAAACGGCTTCCATCATCTATTCCATAATCCTGGATTGCTTATGTATTAGCAAGTCGACAGATTATCTGCGAGTCACGATTTTCAACCCCGGCTCTAAGTCGTGTCTAAAGGATATCGAAATATGCAATTTCCAATTATTTGGAACGACCTGCCTGGTACACAAAAAATAAGTAACAAAAACCCTTGGCCTCTTGAGTATTTTCGAAATATTTGTTACAAACTTTTCCAATTTAGCTTCAGATAAATACTTTTACATCTGAATTGATGGATGGATAACCTCATTTACCCTGACCCCTCGCGAACGATATGCAGACTACTACTACTATATATCTCCCTCTATGTACATGTATTGTGGACCACTTCCTAAGCGAACTTAGAGCCTCGATGAGGCCTTCCGTGGCCTCTGTGCCGTCGTTATGTGTATGCTGCCCTCATGGCGCGTGGCTTTGAAACTGTTGCGATGTTTCAGCAAAGTCTAAGACAGTCTCTACTATCTTGGTCCGTGATGCACTATCAATATTACCCCTTCTTCTTCTGGTCTCCCCCAACATAGTTGATATACTGATGAACGCGTCGCCCACCTTTCTTCGGAGCTCTCTTCTCGATCCTCCTAATCTTAGGTAATCTAACAACATGTGATGAACATTTTCCCGTTCGCCATAAATGTATAGCTCATCATTTCGGAATCGAAACGCCTTGGCGTATGTTGATAACCAGCAGTGTCCGATTCGTAGTTACGTGAGTAGGTAAGCTTGGTTTCCAGGTAGAGAACCGTAGAGCTGTCGTACTTAGCCGGTAAAGTGTGGTCGATCTTCCGTAGATGGGCGCTGGTCCTTGAATCTTTCCATCTTTCTTCTATTGGATATGGATTCCTTTCATGATGTGTGCTCTCTCGCGTGATAGTAAAGAGTAAGAAGGGGGGTGTTTTTTCTTAGTATGGCTGCCTCCTTAGCCAGCAGGTCGGCTATGTTGTTTCTATGTATTTCGCAATGTCTAGGTATCCACTATAGTTATATCGATGTGCTATAGATCTTAGTGTTCTTGGCGGCTTATAGAATGGTACAGGTGATCTATTGTCCTGACTTATTCCCTTGGTTCTGGATTACTTATAGGGCCGACTTACTATCACTGAGGATGGTGGCAGATCTCGCCTGCTTATGGGATGCTCTTTAGTGTCGGAGAGCGACCTTGTTGATGATGTTGATGGCGTATAGGATCCTAATTAGCTCGGTGGTATATATATACCATCGATCCATAGGTCCAGCCTAAACTTATATGCTGTTGGTTATCTCTAGCGAGTCACTTAGTATGGCAGCTATGGCGCCCAAAGAGCTATGTCGTCCTAAGGCGTCCGAGTACACCACGATGTCTGTGGTTGCTCGCGCCGCTTCGGCCCTTTCTATCGCGACCTCCCTGCCTAATTTAATCTCAAATTTGGAGAATGCCTCCTTTCGCCATGGTGATGGCAGAGTTAGGTCAATCATTTCGATTTCTTGGAGTCTTTCTATAAGGCCTCTGATAGTGGGAACCGGCAAACGATCCACAATTGTTCCGTCTTTTCTGGGCCGAAGCAAGACGCTCTATATGAGATGTTTTATGGGCAGAGTATGATAGCGTAGACGAAGATGAGTTGGTAGTATATATGCTTCTACATTAAGTGCGGCCACCATCTGAAAGGCGGATAGGACTCGGATAAGAGCCGCTTATTACATAGTACACAGGTGCCGTAGGTAGGTCTTATCTCGAAGTGGATCATGCCAGACGGTCGAGGTGTAGTTGTAAGGGTTAGAGTCCAATACGGTTGGGCTACCGTAAACAAGAGAAGAACTAATATGAGAAGGCTACCAGGGGGCAGGTGTATGAGTGGTATCCCATAGGGCTCAATTCCACTAAGGTAAATTGGGAACAAGAACAACTCTTGAAGTCTTTCAAGAGTCCGAAGACCTCAGAGAATTAAGTACATCAGGAAGTGGCAAATCTCTAACTAGGAGCCCCTGCTTCCCTTGACCGCTGGTTCAGCCAGTTTGTGTTGAGAGTCCATTGCCTTTCTCAGCCTTCTTGCAACCCACGCCGTTACAATGGAATATTATCTCTCGAAATATTTTGCTAAGTAGACAATCGACTGTATCTACTGTATCAAGAATTACGCTCAGGGAAACAAGTTTTAAATCATGACGCAATATAATTATGGCTACCTTAACATGACTGTAAAGAGAAGATCATTGACAGCTTGATTTCTTTAATCGTCATAATGCTATCACTGAAAAGTCATGAAATCCATAAGAAAACAAGGAAGGACCTTGTCTGGAACACATCCTATCACGTATTAACAGATACAAACAGGTAAAATCAGGTTGAGGTTGTCCATGGATATTCTATTTAAACTCAGAGGTGCCTCCAGCCATTCGAAAGAAAGACACAAAAAACAAACGGAAGAGTGAGGCCACTAATATTTTAGTATGATTTCCAATTGCTCCATGTCTTGACTGCTGTCGGTCGCAGTTGGGCATTTCTTTACTTCAACAACCATAGTTTGACCATCCGGAAGCCCGTGAATAACCTTATCATCGACTGTGACTTGGAGACCGGATTCAGTAGCATGAAGAATCCGAACAACAAGGGCTGGATTAATCTTGCTTTTCTCGGAAATTTTCATGAGTAAGTCGGAGACCGAGCGTGCTGTAAGATATAATGCACGGTAGCACTGTTGTGTTTGATCTGAGTCCGCAAATTGAACATAGAAGCAAGCAACTGGTTAAGGTAATACTCAGCAGCGGAATTCCACTCATTACAAAATATTAGTGACTTACCCGACTTCAACGACCGTTCAGTTGGTGGTCGATATCTTGGATCAATGTCTAAAACCTCTCTTTTGTGTGTTTTCTCAGGCAACTCACGCGAAGTCGCACGTTCTGACTTGGTTGATGCTTCGCTACTTAGCGATGTAATGGAAGAAGACTTCTTTCCCAAATCATCCTCTTTATATAAGGTCAGATTTCCCATGTCTCTTAAATCACTTTCGGTCAAAATCCGAACAGGGCTAAGATCTGGATCATCTTGTTCGTCACATCGTAGTGCAAAAACACTGATCGAGTGGGACGAAAAGACTTCATCCTTTAGCACAGCCATTTTAGAAGTCAATTCGTCTTCGGAAGATAACGTATCAAAAGGGCCCTGGGGTTGTTTTAAGCTATTTCCTCTCGTTGAGGTAATATTAGACCTCTTGCGCTTTTTAGATCCTGTCATCTGCGGTTTTTCCATTTTCGTGGAGAGCTTTTCGATTCTCTTCCTCAGGCGTGTAACATCGTTGGAAAGCTTCCGTTCAGCACCATGGTCTCGAAAGAGTTGAATTTGACAATAACACAATTCTGCCTCCCTCAAAACTCCGAAGTTCTCAGATGGTAGAAGTTGTGTTTTCGCACATAAACGGAGAGGAATTCCTTTAACACCTTTCGAGTGAGTAAAATCCGTGGACAAGAAGTTAAATCTCACTGATAAATGGCAGCCAGAAGTGCCTATAGTCGGGTTGGATGACCATGTTATGCAGAATCCATCAAAAAACGACTTTTCGACTTGAATACTCCCAGTTCCATAGTTTTTAGCATCTAGGTTCACCAATTCTAAGGCTAGAAGCTTGCCGCCGTGCTGGTGTGCTTCGCTAGAGCCGCGTCCATCTTTCCACAATTCCCAAGCGTACTCGGGTCTTACCCGCTGCGGTTCCTTGTCAAATGAAATATGCACAAACGTTCGGTATCGTAGGACTTCAGTGCTTGCCGCTTGGTTCGAGTCCACAATTGACAAGGCGTACACTTGGCCCTTGTTGAGATACGTTATCGGGACCTCGTCCTTATTCTCGGCCATTGCAGTAGAAGCCCCTATAGTGACTCTATAGCGAAATCTAGTTAAGAATCAAAGGTTAATAGATGATACAATAAAAGAGGTACGCCAAGCTAGTTTTCACTGACTTTTCACCCTTGACATGAGCCATGCCACCAGGGCTTAAGGGTGGGGATTCGGTCAAAGTCGTCATATCATATATAGACGATGCTTTGGCAAAACCATACGAAGTATCTCTAGAGTCATCTAGGTCCACGAGATTTGGATCACAAGTAACCAAGGCACTCGGCGCGAACGTGGTCTGCTGATCCTGCAGTTTCTTAGTTGGTAATGGCTCAAGATATTGCGGATTAAAGTTTTCAATCGCAAATGGTGTGTGCTGGTAGTATGCCCCGGAGTTCTCAATGAAAAGAGGATTAACTGTGCGCATGTGTAGGGAGCCTGCTTGGCTGTGTATACTTGCGCCAAGCCAATCAGCACGACTAGGTTTGCATACTTCATCGTACTGTTCTGCAAATGAAATTGTATTCAAGTCAAACTTCATCCCTAAGGGCGGGAGATTGAGGTTCTGTATATTTTGTTGGTTGAATTTGCTTGAGCTACCCGAAGACGAGTATGGATTAGACTGGTCGTATTTGTCGCGGGAATTTATTCGAGGGTAGCTTTGCCGGAAACGCGATATGAGCTCCTCATTGGGCTTTTGGGAGTTGTTTCTTCATATTTGCTCTGTAAACATCCTATCTCTCTAACTTGAAATTCCTCTTTGACACTTACCGTCTGCTCAACATGGCGATAGAGTAGTGGAGATATTTAATCGAAAGGAAACAGATTTGACCCAATTTTCTGGTGAGTTGTAGAGAGTCAAAAAACTACTGTGTAAGCTGTGCACGACCGTGAGGGGTTCGAGGTAAATATGTATTAGGCTTTAGCTTCAGATCTTATTGGCCAAAAAAGCGACACGTCACAAAAAGGTGGTGATCTTTCCAATCTATGATGTAGACGTAGGTAGTTGATTGACTAGTATAGCGTAATTTCTGCATTTTCCGTTCAACCAATTCCATTGCTACCCCGTCAAATTTCCCCATTTTTTAACCCCAAACTTAGCAATCAAAGTAAATTCAATTGAATGATAGGATTCCGACACTGGTTTATCTTATGCCCTTTTTGACCAGGTCTGTGAGCCTATTAATCGGTATATTGGGCAATTCAGTTTCAGTAGACGTATTTTGAACAGATTCAACGCCGGATAAACATCTGCTCACCATTTTTATCAACAGGTTCTATCGACAGTCATCAAGGTAAAAATGACGAAATCGATGATCAGTTAATTAGTATTTATTAAATAACGTAACATGGCGGGAAAGATGAAGGTGGGGTCATGAACCCGCACCCTGTCAACCTTTGGAAGAGGGCGCGTTGGCCACCACTATCACGACTGACTCAACAGTCTGCTCAATTGCAGCTCTGATGCCCTGTTATATCTACGGAGAGCCCCCAGCTCGTCCTGCCAGTCGTTGAACGGCGTTGCGAAAAGGTCCTTTGTAAGTTCTTCCACGCTCTTCAGGAAGCTTGTCACCTCAGGATCAGCATTTTGAACTTTGCTGACGCTTTTTGACAGGTTCTACGCCATGTGGTGGTTCTGTACGCGTTCACGCTTCGTTGGCGTTGAATGCGAGTTTTTCGCAGAAGGGACCAAAAGTCCCGAAATGATAGATAGAATCCTGATGGATTGATCTCGGCCACTAAAAATGATTAAAACTGATCCGAATGAGTCCAATCGATTAAAATATGTGTAAAAACTTTGGAAGCTTACATTCATACGTCGCTTTGTTGGAGATTCAAAGCGAGTATTTTATAATCTCGTCAGATTTTTTTATACACGAAGAGCACAACATGCCTCGACAATGCTCTGGACTAGTTTCAAAAGCGAAATCACTTCAATTTTCATCACCTATCCATTAATGTCAACTCCTACGTTGGGATGCAAACTTTGACCCGAAATAAAGCTACTGTCTTGGCTTGCGAGGGAAACGAAACATGTTGCAATTTCATTGGGTTGTCCCGGGCGAGCTCAACTCCTCCTGTGCTGAAGAATTCATGGTTGCTGGAATGAGGCGGGTTTTGGATCTTCTATCTCAGCCTGTAAGCCGGGCTTTTTGTGATGCTCAACGGGAATCTCATGTCCTACCATATTTCACTATTTTTTTACGGAAAAACTTCATTGCATGGTATATCGTATCTACTGTCAGTACCTTGGAGGACCTTTCCACTTCATGTTGCATAGTATTAAGGTTTCTGAAACTATTGTAGAAACAAATATTGATAGTGGTAAGTGAAGAACAGATAGCTCTTTTATCAGTAGACTTGTGATTTGGCGATAATGAAATAGCAATATGATCTCAATATCGTCAGTATGACGTCTTCTCATAGTAGCCTTGAAATCCGGTAATTCTCCAGATCATGATGATATTTCTTGTTACTTGGCGATAAGATACGTCAAAAGTCCATTGGTTCACTATTAACGGGAGCAAACTTTAAAAGGTTAATTCTAATGACAAAAGTATGCAACAGGTTTAACATCCAAAAGATTCTTTTCTTGTTTGAACTGCATTCGATCACACAGAACTACATCGCCATGGCAACAAATTCTGGAAGTCACAATGACCCAAAACAATTTCAACGCATCGGAATAGTTGGTGCTGGGAATATGGGCACACAAATGGCGCTCGCTTTCTCAGAGTTGGGTCTCGAAGTTTCTATCTGGGATGTGGTTGAAAAAAATATAAAACAGCTCCAGGAAATGTCGCAAAAAAATAAGCCCAAAAGCGAGATTAAAGGATTCCACGACATCGATAAGTTTGTCCAAAGCTTAAAGAATGAACACCCGAAACTATTTCTCTTTTCCATTTCGCACGGCAATCCGGCAGAGTCTGTGCTGGGCATGATAAAAAAAAATCTCAACAGTGGAGACATCGTCTTGGATGGAGGCAATGAGGACTACCGGCGCACCCAAGAGAGGCAGAATGAATGCGAAAAGATTGGCGTCCATTGGATTGGCATGGGAGTCTCAGGTGGTTACCAGGCAGCTCGCCGTGGGCCAAGTCTTTCCCCAGGCGGTAATGCGGAAGCAATAAAGACTGTGATTCCGCTACTCGAGCTATACGCAGCAAAGGACCCTAACGGCAATCCGTGCGTGGCTCGAATTGGTCCCGGTGGTTCAGGCCATTACGTGAAAATGGTTCACAACGGGATTGAGGGAGGTATGTTGTCCGCCCTGGCCGAGACGTGGTCATTCCTCCGATATGGTCTGGAACTGGAATATGATGCTATTGCAGATATCTTCAGTCAGTGGAATGACCATGGCGAGCTACGAGGTACCTACCTTCTTGATATCGCCATCGACATGCTACGAGCCCGAAGGTCTTCTGGAAAGCCAGGTCAGGAGAATGAAAGAAAAGGTTCTTATATCCTTGATGAAGTCCTCGATAAAGTCGTCCAGGATGACGACGACTCCGAAGGTACACCGTACTGGAACATCATGGAGTCGGCGCTTCGCCATGTTTCAACCCCAACTCTTGCTGCGGCGCACTACTTGCGTGTCGCTAGCGGGAACCGAGCAGAAAGGTTAGTAGCTGCCAAGAAGCTTCAACTGCCAGTACCCAAGCCAATCCGAGCAGCTGAAGACAAAGTGTCTATGATCGAGAATTTGCGCTCTGCCTTGTATTGTTGTTTTCTAGCCTCATTCTGCCAAGGTCTAGAAATGATAATGAAAGCTTCCGATGATGAGGGTTGGGGCATTGACCTAGGTCAATGTCTTCGGGTTTGGCGTGGTGGCTGCATCATCCAATGTGATGGTATAGCCGATCTCTTAGATCCTTTGCTAAAGCATCGCTGGAAAAATCTGAAACATGCCGATGAAGTAGCGGGTGAGTTGCACCGTACTTTCAATTCATTAAAAGAAATTGTGGTTCAGGGCACTTTGTCCGATCAGTATCTTCCTGCAATCTCTGCATCTTTTGAGTATCTGAAATATACGGGTGGCAAAGCACTCCCAACTCAGTTTATGGAGGGGCAGATGGACTTTTTTGGAGCTCATGGATATAACAAGGTCGGCGTTATTGGAGAGGACCCAGGGTTCGTTGAGAAAGGGCCTCATCACCATGAATGGCGGCCTGCAAAGGAATGATATTTCATATCTGTATATATGCGAATGGTAGAGGAAATTGTTAAGTAGGGATTTACAGTCATACTTCCAACGGTGGTATGGGTGACCATCGTATGAAACTTAAGTATTATCCATGAATATTTCTATGATCTACATAGGTGGTTACCGACTGCTTACATAGGTAATAAAAACATGACGTTCCAGGCTGATGTTAGGTATACTTGTTGTTGTTACTCAGGGATCCGGAGAATTGAATGTTGGCGAAGGATCCACTCATAGCATCGCGGAAGGGGGTGTTTACATTGCTGCAACAGACGCTGAATTGGTGTTCTCAAACAACTCAGGGTTGATATGTTATCGAACATTCTGATAGGAAATTTGAATGGTACCAGTGGATACAGTCATAATTAGATTTCCCCCTAAGAAGATTTAAACATCATGATATGTCTAGAATTTTTTAAAAGTCTTAGAAGCTCATTTTCTTTTGTAAATTATAAAATTGGACAGTCATTTATCCCTGCAAGTCACTACCAGCCGATTTTCTCACCTTGTCCCAAATGGCAACGCATTTTGACAGATATATAGTTTAGACAAATATCCCACGGCTATGTCAATAATTCATGTTTAGCGATAAGACACCGTAAATTTCAACCTAAGCAAAAGTGTTTTATTTAGTACCTATTGATGATATACCAATTTCTCACTCATCTGCACAATTTATCAACAGTTTCTGCACACTCTCCATTGCTTTCTTTGCATAAGGTATCATGTCATACTCTTTTCCTTTCCCTTCTGGCCCAGAATCGAAAATTTCCATCGAAAACCATCCACGGAACCCGGTTTTCAACACTGCTTTCACCACATCCTCAATCGGTAGATAACCTCCATCATACGGCATAGGCCTATAATCATGACTCCAACGACCACGGGGCTTTAGGCCTTGAACTTCCCCGTCGCTTAGCGGTGGAGAAACCTTGTATGCATCCGAAATCTGCAGCAGATAGATTCTATCGGGTGGAACGGTGCGAGCAAGCTCATCCATACTAGCAGCGAATTTCTTCAGCAGAACATCATGCGATACTTCTTCGATAAGACCTGATTTTGTCGCCGGGTCTGCCCATTCACTGCCCGATATTTGGAAGGTGTCCAGGCACAACCCAAAATTCTGGCGGTCGACGGCTGAGACAATTTCCCATGCTTCTTTCCAACTTTGCGCGTGGGTTGACCAGCACCAATTCTCATAGGCTATACGAAACCCATGCTTTGCCAGTATTTCAGAAAGCTCACGGAGATCAGAAACGATTGTCTCGCGGTCAGTAGATATTTTGCTCAGTGGGCTATCAGTAGCTCCGACCTAGGCGAACTGATTAATGAACACGTAGCAGACACTGCATTTATAATCAATACACACCTGCAGTAAATCCGTACCTACAGCCTTCATAATCTCAATCCAACCCTTTGCCCTCGTAAAAGCCTCTTCCCTTTTCACTGAATCTTTCGGCCAACCCTCAAAATTGGCGAATGGTTGCAGCATCATGATGGTCAATGAATTAGCATCACATATCTTTCGAATTTCTTGACCAACTATGACTAGTTCGGAAAAGTTATTCGGTAAAATTGAATGGCCATGTATATGTTCTGCGTATTCCAAAATATCGGGATAGGACAATTCAATCGAGATGAATCCAGCTTTGCTTATTGCTTCAAGCTTGCGGGGAAGGGTGTCATTGGGTGTACATCCAATTGAACAGGAGGCGTAAGAAAGAGGGATTGTCTGGCATGATGCACTAGTTATTGACATCTTGAATTGATCAATAGAGCATAAAATGAAGACTGAACTTTCTGTTTATATATGTAACAAAATACTTGTGTTCAAAGAATACTTAGACAAGTTCCATGGGTAGTGTATGAAGATATGGTTGATTATGACGTAACCTATACTTGCCAAGTTTCGAACAGGACTAACAAGATTGGAGGTATTTTTTGAAAATACTCTGTCTCTTAGTTGCCTGGGTTCTTCGTTTTCAAAAGTATTTTTTCACGGCAGGTGATGGTGTTTCGTCTGAACTCCCAAAATTCGATTTGTAGGCCACGGACCATAAAAACATGATCACAGCCTCATAAATGTAAGGTCTCTAGCTCATATAACAAAGTATAGTAGAACAATTAAATCAAGAATAATACGAGTCTAGCTCCATCTTGATAAAAAAAGATACAGCAAATGTAAAAATCTGACATTTCTCTCCGAGCTTCCGCTCATATTCTTTTGGAAAACAGCGAAATCTCTTGGTATTGGAGTTCACTCTATGGTAAAGGAAGACGAGGTTTTCAATTAACGGTACCAGCAGCCAAAACATACCCCCCATCTACAACAACAGTTTGTCCATTCAAATATTGATTTGTCGCAGCAAAAAGTACCGTGGAAGCCATATCCTCCTCCATGCCCGGTCTTCCTGCAGGAACTTTCTGTTCATATTTCTCTTTCGGAATAGCACTCTTCTGCTTCTCATCGCTCTCGCCAGTAGTCATCTCACTTGGAAAAACACCTGGAGCGATATTATTGACTCGGATCTTCAAGTTCGATGTCATAATCTCATGCGCCAACATCTTTGTCAAATGAATTGCCGCTGCCTTTGACGCATTGTATGCGAAATGATGCTGCGAGACCTTCACGATACCTGAAATGGACGTGATATTGATAACAGTACTTGACCAGCCGTGTTCCTGCTCTGAGCCCCGCGAGAGGAGAGGCAAAAAAGCGGATGTCATGAAGAAAAGCTGTGATGTATTTGTTCGGAAGACGTTATCCCATTCTTTGATATCAGCAGATGCACCTTCAAAGAGAGATTTCCGAAGCTTTTGAGGGTCTTCGTGTTCGGTTGTTTGGGATTTGCTGGATATTCCAGCATTGTTGATCAATATTGAGAGAAAATGTTCACGTTCGGAGATAGCTTCAACTAGATTATCAATTGAGTCTTTCGATTTGACGTCCGCTGTAATAGGAATCAATTGGCCAGGAATATCTGCACCATACAGATCGGCGACTCGTTCAAGCTTTTCTTTACTTCGGCCTGCGATGTAAACTTTTGCGCCATTGACAGCAAGAGCTTGGGCGGCCATTAAGCCAATTCCGGAGCCGCCACCAGTGATCAGGGCCACTGAGTTTTGTTAGTATATATTTCAAACCCATCTGAGAGCACAATACCTTTGCCCCTCACGTTGAAGAGATTTTCTAGCTTGAAATTCTGATTACTCTGCTCCGCGTCCATAATTATAGAGGTGGGTGATATTTTTTTCAAAGTTCGTAAGATTAATTCGAAGACTTAAGGTGAAAGTGAAAACGGCAGTTAAGGGACAGAGACATTGAAAAACAGTGTGATTTATGAGAGTGGATGTCCGAGCAAGCCTTCCAACATTACATCATTGTACAACCTTGAAAATCGTTGACAAAATCGTTGACCTAAAGACCAAGGCCAGATTATTGTCCGATCTCTAAATCAGGTTTGAATTTGTTTTCATAATGATCATTAGTTTTTACGGGAATAGAAAACTTGTTCTTGGGATCCACTCCTAGCAGAGAGAGGTAGAATTAAGTAGATTTATGCTTATTTTCAGCTCTACTGACTTGGAAATTAAAATTTCCATTTCTCATTGTCAGTTCACGGGAATCTCGATGCACTATTACTACGTTGATACGTGGAGTAAGTGTGCGGTAAGATGTGTGTTCATTCTAAGTTTCCGCGATGGAATCAGATATGCCCCGATTCCACTAGTTCTATTCACTTCACGAGTTCATTCATTGTAGTAAACCAGATTCCATTGGTTCCAGCACCCATTGTTTTGTACTTCATAGTGCTATCACTGCTACATATGTCATCCAAAGTGGGGTTGCTTTTAACAGTCACTGCTCTGAGTGGCAAGTTTCATCGCAACTACAAGAATTATATGTACTTTCGGCATAATAATTGAATATAGGACTTGATATATGTGACCTTCTAATTACAAGTCTCAGATAGCTTGCATCTATGTCTTTAACTGTCCTTCAGAGCTCAAAATTATGGAAAATTATAATATTCATCACAGCTTCTAAAATCCTAATCCTATCATAGGTCCCTGCTTCTATCAGGTGCTTAAATGACGCCCATTAGAGTACTGTTTATTACAAGCACCTTTCCAATCGTATCTGTCCGCGAATTCATGAGCTCACAAGATTCAGTCAACAAAGATGCATGGTGATATCGTGACTACAAACCCAAATGGGAAGAATTTGTTGTAATAGGAGCGGTCGTCAGTCCGGATTTAGATATTAATCTCATCAGATACGAGACCAGGAAACATTGGTGTCCTCTTGTCGGTTGACTAGGTTATTACCGAAGCAGACAGCTATTGATATCGTTTCTGTACGTATATAATAGGTGTATGCATATTGGGTAAAAGTGAAGTGTCATTCTAAAATGCTCAGATGAAAGAAGATATAGTAGCTGCCATGCCAAGATCACATGATCTTGGTATATCAGCTGATATTCGTTCCAACACTTCTTCTGCTTCAAATCGGAGGACATTGATAAAACATCCACTTACCGGTTGTCGGATGTGGCTTGGAAATTATTGGCAATCAAGTTGCTCATGAGAGAAATCTACGATATATTGTCCGCGAAAAAAATCCAGAATCCAGTCACTGAATTGGTCTTGGATGAAGCACTGAAGGCTCGGGATAGAGGTCGGCACGGTTTTACGGATACGAATAAAATCTCTACGGTTACGGTTACGAATAAATGCCCTCTATCCGTACGGATATCCGTAATATCCGTAGCATATATCACGTGTCTAGAACCACCTACAGTTCTAATATATATTTCCACATCTATAGAGTTATAAATCTCATGTAATTCTCAAGTAAAAGAAATTTCAATTAGGAATCAATATTATATACATCTCTTAACAAAACTAACTCTCTCATGGTCTTACTGTTCAGAGATTGTCGACGAACACCCAGGATATCCCTTACAGAACTGAAAAGTCTTTCAACTGAAACCTCAGCTGCTGGAATACCAAGGTAGTCCCTTGCAACTGCTGCCATCATGGGGTGTTGATCATTATGAGCGTTCCACCATGAAAGCAGCCACTTAGAGTCCTCCTGGTCTTCTATTAATCCTTCTACTTGAATAGGAGGTTCATCAAAATAGCGATCAATATCAGAAGCCCGAGATACTTCTTGAGAATGTACTTTTTGTAGAAGACGAGCTCTCATACCTGGTCGAGCAGGAGGATCCATAGTTCTAGAAGTAGAACTAGAGATGGAGGTAGCCAAAGGGGAATATTTCTTATGAAGAAAGACCTTAATGCCCTGAATGATTCCTTGGATAACCCCATCTTCAAGCTCTTGTTCCATTTCCTATACTTTTGCATTCCAACCAAGACAGCAGAAGAGATATCAGGACTAAGCCCTGCAAAGTCGCCTTCAAAAGAAGCTGCTTCTATAAGGAAGATTGATAGTCGCCAGACTCGGCGTGGTAGGAGACTTATTCTATCAATGAATGAATAACTATTTAGATATCAAATTAGGGACTTGGGATGATAAGTTTCTATCGTGGTATCGTATGATTTATTTAGGCGGTGGCATAATATCACGGATATAAGTTCTCGACTACGGTTACGGATACGAATAATCCAAAATCTTACGGATATGTATCCGTGCCGACCTCTAGCTCGGGACATTGAACCCAATAGATTGTACTCCTAATCAAATCACCTGGAAAGATAATAATCCCACTTGTGACGAAAGATTCGGGCGACTGCGATTTTTACAGTCTTGTCCATACAAAATCCTATAGATAAAAGTCTGGGATTATGAAGCCTCTTCACGTTTCCCGTGTTAATCTAGGATGTCTAGTGAATATCAAGACTAAATACTGTTTCGGGATGATTACGTCTGAGCAACTTCTCTCGTGCTTCCAACGCCCGTCGATGCATCGCTTCTGCCTCTTTATATTCCATTGCCTATCAAGCACATTGCCAAGGTTACGACACTGGTGATCGTGTCAGGATGCTCGCGTCCAAGCACCTTCTCTTGTGCTTCCAACGCCCATCGATGCATCGATTCTGCCTCTTTATAAGTTCCTTGAAGATCTAGAAACCACCCATAATTAGATAAGAGGGTGGCTGCATTTAATCCTTCTTCATCATCTTCGTCATATATAGAATTCAGCACACTTTTGGCATGCGCAAGGGAGTGATCGATATTTTGTCCAGTTTACGAAGTTGCCATCTAGAAATCCCCGTGCCATAATCCCTCGTGATTTAGCCTACCAGCCGTGGAGCTGCTGGTGCATGTCTAGTCACGCCCGGACGGATAGTTGCACTGGGCGGCGCATGTTAAACAATTTTTCGTTCATTTCTAGTCGGAATAGAGAATAGCTAAGCAGCGGCGCCAATGTATCGTGAAAACCTAGGATATTTTGAGTATAGTCGCGCACCAGATCTTCCGGGATTCCCTGCCGATCGAACATACTCATCAACGCTAGGAGATCTGTCGCCGCGGGTCGCTCATGTCGGATTTGCTCAAACAATTGCTGCCACGTTGTGATCACCGCATATCGAATGCTGGAATCGCGCTGGAGATCCGCGGAATCCTCAGTCTGGAGAAGCCGCGTCCGCTTTGACTTGCTTTCATGGAAAAATTGAAGATATGTGGAAACGGTAACAAGGGGCAACCGATTGGCAATATACGCCGCAGCCTGCGTGATAGAAGTGAGATATACTCTAGTGCCTGGACCAATGCCTTCTCGTCCTCTCCAACCTTTCTAAATTGGGAGGCTGGAGCTCTTCCTCTTATACCAGCAGTCTTTCCACTAGTCAAGTTACATTTTTCGACCTTGATGTTGACACTAGTCAGATAGTTACGAGTAAAGGTATACGGCGCTGCAGTTGGCATTTTCTGACACAGTTTCATGAGAATTTGCGCTGGCACATTGGTCAAAGATAAAGATATTCTGGCTCAAAGTTTGTCATCAGAAAGTCCATGCTCTACACCATAGCTATTTGGAACAAGGAAAGCCGAGTATATTAGATTTCCACCAATGATCTCCATCTGGCTTGAGCGAGGCTGCATCGGATACTCAGCAGTCTCTTTTGCGGTGTGTTCTTTGTCTGCCAATTTGTCGCACTGAGGTGATGTACGCAAGAAGATCTAAAGCGTGAAACAGTGATGATGTGAAGTAAGCTATGGAGACTACGGGGCTAATATGATGATGGCAAAATAATAAGCCTGCCTCTTGCCATATATAGCACAAACCCCATCTCTCTGGTCAGAATGATAGAAGATGCATTATTCATAGAGAGAATAAGATTTACTACGATATTGAGGAAGCGCCTCGAAGAAATCCTCATAAATAGCAGCGCCAGTCGAGTTTCAAAAGACGCGAGCGAGGAGAATTCCAATTTGAGCGTACGCTGACAATATCGCTGGGAATTTGAAGTGGTGCTACGTCAAGGGGAGACGAGTTGATAGATGTCATGAGCTTTGTCTCGACTGGAAAATCTATGCATGTTTAATAAGCAAGTCTTGATGCAGCAATACAAATGGAACTACTTGGAGAGTAAGAAGTCAAAGTCTGTCATAATGCATTGATGGATGAGAGATGGTATCCAAATTTTCATAATATGATATGTTAAACCAAGAGGTTGCAAATATGTTTCTGTCATGAGAAATCTATGACGGTGAGTTTGAGTTTGATAAAACATGCAGCACCACCCAGCTATGCAATACGCCGATCATCCGGCCTACTAGCCCAAACGCCCGAAAGGAAGAATGATGAAGCCGTCCAGGGCCAGAATGAATCGATGCCGATATCATCGGCCAAGAAGAATGGAAGAGGAAATAAAGCGGATTCTGGAAGCATGTTCCAACCTAACGGAAACCATATGCTGGGCATGTGTACTTCATGGACTCTGGTTTTAACGATAGTTGCTGGTATGGCGAGCTGCCAGGATCAAAGTAAAGGCCTTCAATATGGCCAGTTTCCCGGCAGAGAGAAATGTAGTAGAACCCGGAGATAGTAAGACCCTGGCGCGAATCTGTAGGGGTGATGAAGCATCGTTCTAGCAAAAGTTAGTCAGATCAAGGGCAAAGGGGTAGAGATGAACTATACCCTTCCATCGCATCAGGATCCATCCTTTGGCCAGTTCCTCAGTGAGCCACTTCTTACTGAGAAGATTTTTGGCGATCTCCGTATCAGACATATTCTTGAACGGTTGCAACTCTCGCCAATATGTGCTATCGACGTTCACGTCGGCCTTGAAATTCTTTGTTTCAAGTGTATGCTTATTAAAGTCGATGATTTCACCTTCTAAGAAAGTGACGATATGTGCGTCATGAGTAGGTGAGGTTTTATCGGGTATGTTGTAAGCCTCCATTGTACCACAAAGGGTCATTTCGGTGTAATCAATGGTCTGAATAGTGACCTTAACCGGCCAATTCTCGTCGCGGGTATTGTTGGCCAAATATCGACGTCCACTAGTTGTTTGAACATTGACACGAGTGTTATCCCGAGTGCTCTCCCAGGTACCATCACTGCCACCGTTGACAATCACAGGATCCCGATTTGGTATCCTCTGAGGTTGGGCCGGACAACATAAATTCGCAGCTCGTTGGCAGCCCACAAAGACCATGCCGTTTCGAATCCAGGAAGAGATTGCTGGTGGGGCAATGTTTTGTGTTGATGTAATAAAATCTCCATCTTCCCACTCGATGCCTTCATACGACATGAATCCAGTATCAGCCAATGCACTGAGTTGGTCATAGCTGGTTTTTGCATCACGCAAAAGATCAAGGTAATTGAGTGTGTCATTCAAAAGTGTGTCTCCAAGGTGGGCAGAAGAGTATAAATTCCTCCACCCATGCTCAGCATCACGGGTTGTGTTGGTAGAGGGTCGGTATCGGTATGTCCGCGAAGACGGACCAGGCGCTGGTCGTTCAGTTTCATTGGATTCTTCGGTGTGCAGGTTCGTGTCCTGATCCATCAGGTAATTTTCCAGCGCACGGGTCCGTGCTAACCTGGGTTGTGGCCTGGCGGACTGTAGCAAGGCCTCCACAGTGGAGACGCGAGAAATCAGATTGGCCGAGTTCAAGGATCGGTACCTGGCTCCGGGTCGATCGCCGGGTGAGTCTTCTGGACTGTCATAAGAAAGTGTGGGAACTTGTGACGTTTCAAACGTCTCGGACGACGATGTACGGGAAATTGGCCTATGTCTCGGTGGTCGTGCCGACAGGCTGTTGCGATCCGAGACGGCATAGAAGAATGGCTGAATACGGTCATTTTCATCTTCAGTTCGGCGTAAGCCCTCATTATATCCCCACGCGGTCCGCTCGAAATTAGACATATTGGCAGGTTCGGCCCGTTGGCGACGTATGGGGATGCGCCGGTTGACCTCGACTGGTATGGGGATGCGACGGCTGACCTCAACAGGTGGCTGACGGCTGAGCTCATCTATGCGCTCGTCTAAGCCGCGCCTGATGCGGGCGGCATCTCCCCTATTCTCGCGAAACCTACTCATTGTCGGTCTGTCTTGTGATGTTGGGTTTCGATGGCGTTGGCGATATTCGCTTAAAACTGGTATAGAGGTAAAAGCGCGCGCTCGTATGAAGCTGACATTCTCGTCGTGTGGGGTGTCGTTCACCAGAGGCGGGGTTTGCGGGTGATTTGATGTAGGAGAAATGGATGGGAGGTTAGGAGTCCTGTTCTAGAGCAATAGGTGAGATTGTGACTTCCAGAAGGCGAGATGAAACATACTGATGCCGAGTTAGGAGGCGGCATCTCCTCGGATCGGAAACCGGAGTCGGGATCGACAGTTAAATCATGTGAATGCAGAAAGGTGGATCGTGGACTGTAGAGGAGAAGAGGCAATCGGAGAGAGATGCTGAGTGTGAGTTGGAAATGGAACTGCGGCGACAAATGTGGAGAAGGAGAGCATCGTCGAATGTCTGACTTAGCTTACCTTTCATTAACCTGAAAATAGCCAACAATTTACTTTGATATTATAAATTATTCAAATACTCTCATCAAATATTACTACATTTAATCACTTCAAGAATCGCTTAACGGAAAAGTCCTCAGGCCAATAAGAGTAATGGAAGCTTTACGTCACGTCTAGTATAATTTTCAAAAAATAAATATCTTATTATTAGCTAACTGTAAATATCTAAGATCCATCAGATGCCATCCACTAAGTGAGTCAGTAATTGACTCAACTTTGGATGCTTCGTACGTCGTATATCTAATTACTTCCCCGGAGTTCTTAGTGCGGAGTCGGTCTTTGGTCTCCCCACGTCGGCAATCCATTCTTTCCCGAACGGAGAAACTCCGACTATTTCTATCGTGGGGAATCTTCTGCCCCTCGTTTTGGGAGATGTAACCCATTCCAGGTTCCTTCTTTCTTTCCCTGATCTCTGCTTCTTCTATTCATCTCCAGGAACTTCTCGAAACAATTCAATTTCAACATGGTCAAGATTAAGAGCATTGAATACTTTCGAGTACTACCTCGTTGGTTGTTTGTCAAGATTACTGACGAAGAGAATCAATATGGATGGGGTGAAAGTACCTTAGAAGGACACACAGAGGCCGTGGAGGGCACACTCAATGCCCTCTGTAAACGATTTGAGGGCTATGAAGCCGAGTAAGTATCCATCAAGTTGTCCTAGGCCGAATATAAGCTCATGATTTGTCCCGAAGTGATATCGAACACATTTGGCAAATGGCATGGCGTCTTGGCTTCTACCGGGGTGGTCCTGTCTTTATGTCTGCTATCTCTGGCATTGATATTGCCCTCTGGGATCTAAAGGGCCGACGCCTCGGAGTCCCCGTGCATCAGCTGATAGGAGGCAAAGTTCGCAGCAAGCTCTCTGTCTACGCTTGGATTGGAGGTGACCGTCCCTCAGACGTCGAAGCTGCCGGGAGAGCCCGGCTAGCGCAGGGGTTCAAGGCCATCAAGATGAACGCCACGGAAGATGTCAATTGGCTCGATTCGCCAAGTGTTCTAGAATCAAGCGTGGAACGTCTTAAGGCAGTCAAAGCCCTAGGATTGGATGCTGCTGTTGACTTCCACGGACGTCTTCATAAACCGATGGCCAAGCAGTTGGCTAAGGCCCTTGAGCCACACCATCCGCTTTTCATTGAGGAGCCGCTCCTCTCTGAACACCCGGAGGCCATTAAACAGCTATCTGATCAGGTCTCTTGCCCCATAGCTCTGGGTGAGCGGCTCTTCAGTCGGTGGGACGTCAAGCGTTTCCTAGAAGATGGTAGTGTCGATGTCCTCCAACCTGATATCAGTCACTGTGGTGGTATCTCTGAGCTTCGCCGAATTGCTTCTATGGCAGAAACCTACGATGTCGCTATTGCGCCCCACTGTCCCCTGGGCCCTATAGCTCTGGCTGCTTGTATGCAAGTCGATCTTGCAACCCCTAACTTTGTTATCCAAGAAATGAGCATTGGAATGCACTATAACACGGAGGCTGGCGAGTATGATATTACTAGCTATGTCAAAGATCCGTCAGTTTTCAATGTGAAGGATGGGTTTGTTGATGCACTGATCGCTCCTGGTATTGGAATTGAAGTGGATGAGGAGGTTGTGCGTCGAGCTTCGCAAAATACCCAGCCCTGGCTGCCGAAGGAATTTTTTGGGCCAGATGGTTCTATTCGGGAATGGTAGATCTCAAAATTGAGGGTCTGGAGGAGTGGATCTTGGAGATGGCCTTTGATACAGAATGTATACGTGAGGCAGCTTGGGCGAACCTGGAGGCTGTTGGCAGATGGGACTGGCAAAATTTAGAGTGACTGTGCTTCTGTATTGATCGCATTTGAAGGAATATTCACTTATGAGGTGCTTGACAGGAAGGTACCTCTTCAACAATATCAAAGCTGGGAACTTAAATGGATGTATTCTGACAATAGGTTCTGGAAATTGTTAGTGAGGAGCTTTCGAATACCGAGGTAGAGTGAAATATCATACATGACAGTCCCATAATTTGTTCATCGAAGCTGATGGGCGCTTTGAAGGTTTGGGTACATCGGCGTGTATTTTCGAAATGGAGGAGAGGACTCTTCTAGAGGTAGCATTCAGAAAATTGCCAACAACCCTGGAGCAGTGTGTGGAGCCAGGAAAAGCGAGTTGGGTAATAGATGTTGTACATTTATCATCTCGACTAGTAACCTGGAAATATAACGCTTAAAACGGGCCAGTGCTGAAGATATCTCCATAAATAATGACAAGGCGGAATCTAATAGCAGACTGGACATCGGAATGCCTTTAAGGGATATTTGGAAATCGAATTCTTCCGAGGTCGGTTGTTGGAATTGAAGAAAGATACATAATGTGGGAGTCCAAACTGCTTAGACCTAGGGACAATGCGAACCGGAAGCCTTAGAAAGTGAAAGTGAAAACGAGAGTGAAAATGAGGTCAAAGTGAAAAAAATAAGCTAATGGGAAGATCCGAACCTTATAAGTTACTAGTTTCAAGTCTTTGTAGCAATCTCTCGTGGTCATCACCACTTAACTCCAATCATCTCTCTACATATGTGCACAACAGAGGATTTCAACCAGCGATTGGGCTATCTTGGCTCAGAAATATGCCAGAATTCTTCAGAATCCTGACTTGATGAGCCCTCTTTTACCTGGCATTCTGGGCTGATCTCACTAGCAACACTGCTCTATCTCGGATATAATACGGCCACGGCAACAGAGATTTGGGACCCAATTGTTAAATAGACCGATGATATTCACACGGGTATGCCATTTATCGAGTTTTCTGAAAAACAGATGTACGGCTGCCTCGCTGACACCGTCGAATTGAAGGGGATGACTCCTCGTGGCAGAACTACCCTGAGCAACACAGATTCAATGCAGATCTCAAGTGTTTTCCGGTATGCAGGATCAGATATCATAAGACGTAATAGACACACACGGTGAGCTTGGCTCTAGCGCGATAGGAAAGAATGATAGACGCCTCGAGGAACACACGTTAATCTCAGCTATCATACGATATGAAGGTAGAGCCTCTGGTTCTTATGTGACGAGACTTCATACACTCCTCCCTGTTACGAACACTGTTCTCGTAAGAGATGAGATCCCCGCGTGGCTCCACAAAGCCTTTGAAGCAAAGCCTAGACTTCCTTTTGAACGGCATTATGGCAGACTAGCCTAAGGCATTGAGGAGGTGGAGCTCGACAAGTTGCATGAGTATACCATGAACCATCGCTTTATGGATGGAGAATGGTACTAATAGACTCAAACTAGTAGCATGAGCTATGAGGCACTGGTGATGTGATTAGCTGACCGCTAGCGAACAAAATGAGACAAGGCTGATGATCCTGTACTATTCTAGCTCGTATGTACATTCAGACACACTTTGGGCTCCACAGGCATTGTTCGGTTCCATTGTGGTGCTTTTTTCCAATTATAGCTTTTTTTCAGGATAAATAGTTCCACCACTCTGTGCTCCTTAATGATGCTGAATTTCAAATGGGACGGGGACAGGATCGGGACTAGCGTTAAAGTTGTGACTCAGATCTGATACTCATGTGACTTGGACCTTCTCAAAGTCTAGACTTAGCTACTTCAGAAAGGCTGCGAAAACTTTGGTTTCCAATCTCAGCTCATATTCGTACGCTCTGCAATCATGGGGGAACCAATAGACACCAGCAATCCAGTTTACTTTTGGAAACCAGAAGGGGAGACTGGATACTTGGGACAGTGGTGGCCATCATCATTCAGCGATGAAGGGAACTTCACATACGCAAATGCAGAACAGTGAATAATCCTCGTACTCCCATACAGAAATCATTGCCTTACTGACTTGAATGATTCTCAAGATATATGATGCATCGAAAAGCGCTCCTCTTTGCTGGTCCAGACCACCCCGTCACTCAAGAGATTCAAAAAGGTTGGAAACTGCATCCAGGGCTCCTTCGAGAGCTAGGCCGAAAGATCCCAAATTTCTCAGATGATGAGTGGGAAAAGCATCGATTGGAAATTGTTAAGGAAGGCAGTTATCTCAAATTTTCACAGAACAAATATCTCCGAGAGAAGCTGCTTGCAACTGGCGATCGAGAATTGGTTGAGGCCAGTCCGAGGGATTGTATTTGGGGTATTGGATTTGGCGCTGCAAATGCAGGCGCCAGTCGAGATAATTGGGGCTTGAATTTACTGGGTAAAGCACTCATGCATACAAGGGAGAGGTTAAAAAAAGAGGAACCATGAAGTGCCCAGGTGCCACATCCGCATCCATATGACTTGGATAACCTATTGATTAGTACCCAATAAAAACATAATGACCTCAGCCCGAGCCACTCAAAAATATGAGCCATCTATCACGTCTGTATTTAAGAACTGATCCAAATCAATTCTCTGCAACCCTGGAAGGTCAGCCACAAGAGCACCAAGCCAAGAATATTCTTCAGCGCTGGGCTGAAATTGTGGTGGAGACACGAATTGCTGCTCTCGTCGGGGTCCCGTGAGAGCTTCTTCAAGAATGGCAATATCATCCCTTCTGCGTTGCTGATGGAGCATGACCAGCAAACATGCTGCACTATAGGCCTCGCGCATAGTCTCAGTATCATATGTAGAAGCGACTAGACTCAAAGTCTGCATAGCTTCGGGAAGCATTTGAAGGGACGCACGAGTGTCCATGACAAGGAGGACGCAAATGATATGGAAAGGCACATTTGCAATCTGATGCCACGGGGAGCAATCCAGTGTCATGCTCCGAGCACATCCGAGTGCCTTTTTTAGTAATGACAGAACGTTATCTGCTAGAATGGATGATATGTCAAGATTTTGTGTATGAATGCGTCTTAGGATGCAAAGTACAAGGTTACACTGCGCTAGAACTGACGGTGGCCGAGTATGGCTTCCGTTCAGAAGAGTGGAAAGGGTTGAATTCAAATCCGTCTCGTCTTTCATTTTTCCTGGGTCTAAGCTCACCGACATTGGTAACAAGTTCAGAAGTTCCCCAGTGTAATCACCAGGTTTTGGTGATGGGAGCAATGGCAAATCTTGTTTCTGAAATGATACCCGTGAAAGACCTAGATCGTATGAGGTCCATATATTAAGGTGGTGCGCAATTCCAACCAATCGCCTTTGAATATCTGGATCTGGATCGCACTGGTCATTATGTGGCAGGATTGAATCACTTGGTGGCTCGGGGTGCAGTCCCGAAGCTTCAACCAGGTGCATCAAGGTCGAGCTAGCAATCCATGTTGAGTGTGGTGAGTCAGTGAATCGAAGATACATTGCTCGAAGTGCCCATCCAGTGATGAGGTCCACAGATGGCGGTCCGACAAGATCAAGCATATCCAAAGTGAAGCGGGCGCTGCGAACTAGCTGTAGTTCTGTGATCGTAGCAATACGTTGGGAGAATAGACATCCAATCGCAGCCACGCCACATAAAACACTGTCATATAAATTCGAAGATAACTGTGAGTTCCAGCGCGCATTCAGTCGCTCAAAGAAGATATCCTGATTGATGAATCCATAACATGGGTCTACTTTGTTGAAGTAAACGTGAGCTAGGCTACTTATATGTTCAAGCGATGTAATTTCGACCACGGGTAGCGCGGTAGGATTAATCAGCTGCGATGACAACTGTCGAGCACCAATGTTCCACCCAAATAGGTTGAGCTTTGGCGCCTTTGCTGGATCAATCTTCAATCCCAGTTTTCTTACAAAGGCAGCTCCAGAGTTGGCCTCTAGGCGGCGTATTAAGCCGGACTGATCTGACTCAGTTGCTTGACTAGCAGGTCCAGTACCATTTTGTGGTGAAGATCGGGATATAGGCTGTGCATCGGGTGTTGGCTGTTTAGCCTGTCTCCGGTCTTTGTAGTAACAGTCGTATCCCCACTCAACGCAGGTAGTACACGGGGCGTTACCATCACACTTCCTCTTGCGCTCCCGGCATGGGTTACAGGCCAATCTAGAACGTTTCCGTTTTAGAGCTTGCATAGCTTTGTGGGGGTTCAAGTAGTTAACGATCTAAGGATGAGTAAGGATCTTGTCAAATCACGGGACTTGGATCTTCACCCACTTACCCTGATTGGTTACTTTCATTTCTAATAATAACCCGCAATATCCGCATTTTCCAACTACCGCGGAGATAGTCGACATTCTTTAACGCACCTCCTTCATTTGTAAGTATTTAATCGAAATTTGAGTGGCTCAAGATGTAAAAGTGGTTCAAGTTGACTCTAAGTTCTTGCTAAGAAGCGAGAGACTACTTCAAGCATGAAGCCTCGAGTCCATCCATCATTCGCAACACTCTGTAGATCACTGTCATCTCCAACCTTTTGAACTTGACACATTCTCACATTTCGAACCCCACTGAAAATGGCAAGCAAACTATTATCCCGCTACCCATGGGCATCAAGTCCCTTTATAGTTGGCGCTCCAATGAGAGTCATGTCCGGCCCTAAGCTCGCCACCGCAGTATCTCGAGCAGGTGGCTTGGGATTCATCGGACCAGGAGCCAAAACCGAAGATATGAATCCCGATCTTGAAGAGGCATCGACTCTGTTAGACACTAGGAGGGCTTTGTCCGCGTTCAATTCATTATCAACATATCCACTCCTTCCAATCGGTGTTGGGTTTCAACTCTGGGCAGACGACATGAATGTAGCGACTACTATCATTGAGAAATTCAAACCTTGCGCAGCCTGGTTATATGCTCCTAGAGAGGGAGCAAAGGACTACGAAGAGTGGTCTCGTCGGATTCGTCAGGCATCTCCTCAGACGCAGATTTGGATCCAGATCGGTACCTTGAAAGAGGCAAGACAATTCCTTCAATGCTCTGAAAAGCCAGATGTGGTTGTGGTGCAAGGTGCCGAATCGGGTGGTCATGGCCGGGCGAAGGACGGACTAGGTATTATGACCCTGTTCCCTGAAGTCGCAGATGCCATGGCCGGCAGCCAGATTCCTCTGATGGCAGCAGGTGGAATTGCCGATAGTCGTGGAGTTGCAGCGGCATTGTGTCTAGGAGCATCTGGTGTTGTCATGGGAACGAGGTTTTTAGCTTCCAGTGAAGCGCGCATCAACAGCGGCTATCAAAATGAGGTCGTTCGTGCCTCTGATGGTGCGGTGAATACCACTCGAACACTGCTCTACAATCACCTCAGAGGGACTTTTGGATGGCCTGCCGAGTATAGCCCTCGCACCATTATAAACAAATCATTTTTAGATCACCAGGCAGGTAGTTCATTTGAAGAACTCCAGACTCTTCATGATGAGGCACAGAAGGCTGGGGATAATGGATGGGGACCAGATGGAAGATTGGCAACTTATGCCGGTGCTGCTGTGGGGCTTATCCATTCCGTTCAAAGCGCAGAAGATATTACTCGAGATGCTAGGGAGGACGCGCTGAAGAGGATCTATCAACTCGGAAGGCTGTAGGCAAACCCTTCTAAAATTTGGAATCATTGGAAGTATCAATTTATGGTAGCTTTACTTGATTGGAGACTTTGTCTAGAACAATTTCATAACAGAAACTCAATCGTCTTTAAATAAAATCTTGGTTGGAGAAATATGAAATCTCAGATAGCCATCACAGACTACCAAAAATTTCCACCATCCAATAATCATCAAACCCATTCATTGGTAACACTTCCTGGAGGGAAGGATTGGGAACAAATTCCCCGCCCATAGTGTTGGCTGGGATGCTGGGGAACCAGGTCTCCATTAACTTTGGCTCCCAGCTTTTCTTTATAGACTCCATCATCTTAACTCCCTTTTCATACAAATGCTCATCTGGGCTACCGGAAATTGAATCGGGTAACGTTGTCATAGAGGTTACCAGTCGTTCCAGAATTTCAAGAACATTGGCGGTGTTTCGTACTGTGGTTTTGTCCCATGTTGGGTCATCCAAGGTGGATAGGTTGTATAAACTTATCAATGCCCGACCGAACTGGAATACGATGGTAAATGGAACGCCCTTATAGCCCTTGGGAAAAGCTGTAAACCAATTATCGAACCAAGCTTTTGATGCATGAAGAGCTGTATAGAGACCCTCTAGTCGATGGAGCTCGGGGGAATTTGACATGAGAGGGGTCTGCATTTCTGACTCATGAATCACAAGTTCTGCAGAAGAGATGTACATATGAACAGTTCCTTTAACCATGTTAGTTATCTTTCAAACTCGATTTAAATCATCCAAACTTACGATCTTCGCGTGCATGCTGCGGCAGCTCAGCTTTCACAGAATCGAGCTGTGATTGGAACGAATGCGTGTAAAACTGTGGAGGAGGATCGATATACCCATCTCGTCGAAGATGATATACTTTATCTATGATCACTTGAATCTTGACGAGGGAAACAAGTATTTCATCTTCGGGGCATTCTTTTCCATCAGTTAAAACGACCAGGCATTCCTCCATGTATGAATTCCATCTCATTGCGTCGATTTTACAAATTGCCGATGCAACGCTGGCCAGCAATTAGTCATGCTTATGACAAATCTTGATGAAGAGTTACCTTGATGTGATCAAGAAGACTCCTAGTGCAGCTCTCCGCTCCTCTAGGGTTCTCTCTATAAGTACTGGCAGCTTCCAGCCAACGGCACATTTAAAAGCCTGCATCGTTGACAACTCCTTGAAGGGTGCCTTGTTAAGTCCCAAATCACACAATATTCCCAGAATCATGTGGGAATAAAAGTTGAGAAAGGGTTTTTTGGAAAATGTTGTCCTGTTTGATCTATGAGCTTTGTCTGCAAGTTTTAAACATAAGATGTTTCGAGGAGCTTACCATGATATAAAGGTCATGACCCCCAGGAGCATATCCATGCTTGAGGTTATTGAAACCAAGAGTTCCTGGCGAATAATTTCTGTCACTTTTTTGAAAAGTATATCCCGTTCGTTATTTCCTGGCACTGTCACGGCCATGATGCATAGCCATAGGAATGGCTTTTCCTGGCGAAGTTGCGGAGAGGTGAGATGAGTTGGTAAGTAGATAAAAGGCAGACTTTTCAAGTTTTGGCTTCGAAATTGACAGATAAGCTTCTCTGATTCCTTTAAGGGAATCGGTATTGACTGACAATACTCCATAATGGTGCTATACCCCGGCGAAGAGGTTGGATCAGAATGACACCCGTCATCAAAAGGCATTGAGTTGGTTTCCGAGCTGTTTGGTGTAGAGCTGGCTGCTGATCCCCATTCTGCAAGAATATTTGCTGATGTAGAAGACTGGTTTGTCTGAAGCAAGGATACAATGCTATCGAGCTTTGCCTCCAGTTGTGAAGTTTTAGATTTAGAAGCGCGACTTCGCTTCCTTGTCATCGGTGCCGGTCTGCAGTCCTTTTCTAAACGTTGGCACCTACGACAAGTTTAGTATATATACATATATATAATGTGTTTAAATTTCCATAATATCAAATAAGGAGAATCGAGATTCACTGGGGCACTCACCTTTCACACGAACTGCCAGTTGACTGAACAATACATTTGCTCTTAGCGCGAGAGCAGTTTGTACATGCTCGTCCATACCCAGCACCAGCCCCACTCGATGGTCTCATTTCTATGTTAGTCATTTCAGAGCCTCAGAGTTCAAAGATCTTGGCCTTCTCAGGGATTCAACGAAAATATGAGAAACCCGAAAAAAGAATAGGAGATAAAAGCTGGAGGAATTAACGGGATTGGGAAAAACGTGGCGAAATCCGCCCGAAAAGCTTCTGACTAATCTGATCTATAGTTGAATTGCTTATTTGAACGGGTTTCGGATTTCGGATTTCGTTATCCCCTAAATATGGCATTTCTTTATTCTCTTTTTGAATAGAAATAAATGTCGAGCATGTACCTAGGGAGTCTCACTTAATAAGATTTGACTCATTTGAATACAATAAATAATTATATCTTTTGTCTCACTCCATTTGAGAGAAATCTAAACATTGATTGTCTAGCCCATCGGAACTATACAACTTACGAGCCCCAACATTGAAGTGTCGAAGACACCAGACTAACTGAAGTATTTGACATGTCTTCTATAGAGCAGGATTCCATTTTATCTTCCAACTCATCATTGCCTAAAGAAATAAAAACAGAGAAGCCTGTTCAGCATGAAGACCGAGGATACCTCACCGGCTTCAAGCTTTATGCGGTCTTGTCGGCAATAACTATGGTCACATTCCTGATTTTACTTGACACCTCAATCATTGTTACTGTGAGTTATCTCCGGATCCCAATTCTGCTTGCTCTCTAGACTCTTGAACCCATCTGACATTGTATAGGCGATCCCGGTGATTACTGATCACTTCCACTCCCTTAGCGATCTGGGATGGTATGGCAGCTCGTATCAGATTGCCAGGTACATTTTCCCATAATCATAATCCACTTTACGGCGCTAAAATAGCTTTAATATAGTGCTTGTTTGCAGCCCCTCGCAGGAAGAGTCTACAGCATCTTTCGAACGAAGGTATCTCCCAGAAAATCATTTCTTCACTGCTCTCAATTGCTCCATTTACTCACTTGTAATGATACAGTGGGCTTTCTTGTTTTTTTTCTTCGTATTCGAGCTGGGTTCCCTCCTGTGTGGCGTTGCAACGTCTTCCAAGATGTTTATTGTGGCTCGAGCAATTGCTGGTATGGGATCGTCTGGCTTAATCAATGGTGCCTTAACTATCATCTCATCTATTATTCCTCTACAAAAGTCTCCAGGTGAGTATTTTCCAACGTCCACTTGACTCTGGCGTCTGATCATGAATGCTAATTTATTTAGCTTATATCGGAGTAGTCTTGGGCTGTGAGTTTTGTCCTCCGATTTTATTTAAGTTCCACTGACGTGGAGAAAAGTTGCTCAATTAGGTATCGCCATTGGACCCTTGATAGGAGGCGCATTTACCGAGTACACAACTTGGAGATGGTGTAAGCTCTTTGCAGATATTCCCTCAAGGTCGACCTTTTCCTGATAGCATACTATAAATCTAGGTTTCTACATTAACCTTTCCGTTGGTGCTGTGGTCGCATGCCTCCTTCTCTTCACCCATATTCCAGAACATACCGACAAGCCTTCTTTCAGATCTATGAGAAAAACGCTTGTCAGCCAGCTCGACCTGATTGGGTTTGTTCTGTTCGCACCTGCCGCTATCATGTTGCTTCTTGCGCTGGAATATGGCCAGAGTACATCCTCATGGGGCACCCCAAGGGTAATTGGCCTTTTCTGCGGTGCAGCTGCGACCTTTGCCATCTTCATGGCATGGGAACGCCGACAAAGAGAAAAAGCGATGATTCCACTGGCAATGATTGCAAAGCGATCCGTTTGGTCAAGCTGTATCGTCATGCTTGCTCTTTTCTCCGCGCTTCTGTCCGTCTCGTACTACCTCCCTGTCTACTTCCAGGCTGTCAAGAACGATACTCCAGTTAGGAGTGGAGTGAGTATGCTACCTGGAATCTTGGTGCAACTGGTTTTCGCAGTGATATGTGGCTTTTTAAGTGAGTTATCCGCCATGAATAGTTCTTTGCTGCATACTGACAGCTACATAGCTGGAAAGTTAGGCTATTATCTTCCGTGGGCAGTCGTTGGCGGAGTCTTAATCGCAATCGGGTGTGGATTGATGTCAACGTTTACCCCTTATACATCAACTACTAAATAGGTAGGGTTTCAAATCATCATAGGAATTGGTCGAGGCGCTGCGTTTCAGACGGTAAGACTTTCAAACAACCACCTAGGCAGTTGAAATTATAGCCCTGGACAGAGCATTTAACTCATACTCATACAGCCTTATGTCGCGGTGCAAAACAGTCTTCCTCCCAATCAAATTTCTGTGGCCATGTCGATTCTGTCGTTTATGCAAACACTCTCAGGTGCGGTATTCCTCACATTCGCTGATGTGATCTTCTCAACGGGCCTGAAGTCAGAAATCCCGAAAAACGCTCCAAGCGCCGATGTCGAAGCTATTATCGCTGCAGGTGCCACCAATTTCCGGACTATTGTGTCGAGTGAAGACCTCCCTGGAGTTCTAGAAGGTTACGCCAAGAGTATTGATCATGTCTTCTACTTGGCCGCTGCCCTTGGTGTCGTTTGTACAGCTTTTGGCTTTGGGATGGGTTGGAAAGATATTCGAAAGAAGAATACTGGCCAAGAAAAGTTCTAGATTGCTTCATTTACCAACAGTTATATGAATTCTTGTCGTGTACAACATTTGAGCAGCCCAAATGTGAAACTTGTGATATTGGACTCTCTACTCCCTAGATACAGAACCTACAAAATAATATGTGGACCGAACATAATGGTTCAAGTTCCAGTCCACAGTTTCCAAGGTTTCTTTTTCTGATAATACCATGTCATCAAATCAGAAAACCCCATGTTTGGGTCAACCTTCAGCGCTGATGTCGTCTTCGGGCAGCCTATCAACTGGAAAATAGTGAGGTGCTGTGTGTACCAATCGTCACGACCCACCATATAACTCACTTTTTACACATTTTTGAGGTTGACCTCATCTACTTCACTACGTACATCAAAATTTCGGTGTGGAGACTAAAATGTATGTATTCTTGTCCCTATGTGACCAATATAATCTAGTAAAAGACTATATCTACTGCTCGGTCTGGAAGTAGTTGAGCAGGACGGAGCGCTCCTGGGAGTCCTCACCCCAGTCCTTGACAACGACGCAAGAGCAGTTAACGACCTTGCGGGCGTTACCCTCACGGTCAAGGGTGCCTGTAGAAAGAAAGATGTTAGCCAATGTACCGTTGATGAAATAGGACTGAGTATACTTACAGAGACCGACCCACTCGCCGAGGAGCTTTCCATCGGGAACCTTGATGAGAGGAATCTTGTGCTCGGAGCAAAGGGCAACAACAAGCTTCTTGTAAGCCTCCTCCTCGCAACCCTCGTTGAGGACACACATGTGAGCCTCACGGCGGTCAAGGGCCTTGGCAGCCTCACGCAGACCACGGGCAAGACCGTCGTTGATCAGGGAGATGCGGAGGACACCCTTGAGGGCATCGAGGACGGACATCTGTCCGGAGCCGGCATCGGCGGAAACCTCAACCTCATCGGCGGCGACGGGGGGTTCTGGATCTCTTCTCCGTCCGACTGTGCGAGATATGTTAGTATCACAGTGTTGAATTCGTTCGGAGCTGGTTCTGTATGAAAGTGGTTGACAGTCGAGTTGAGATTGGGAACCCTGAGAGCACTTTACAGCACTTGAGCTCTGAGGGGTGTTTTCAGGTCGCGAAGACATGGAGCCGTGTTGGCGTAGCCCGGCTCATTTTCAATGGGTGTATCTCATTCCCAGTCGCTCAGATTATCCACCACTGACATTCAAGACTCAGCGCGAGTTTTTAACATACCATTTTGATTTTATTTTTTGATAAAGTCGGATTTTCCTCGAAGAGAAGTTGTTGGGTGATAGAGATTGGTGGAGGAAAAAAAAGACGCTAAGGAAATTCGGTGTGGGTTTGTGTGCCCTATGCTTATGTCATCTTTATCATCACGGGTGATAAGACTTCTCTACGAACCAGGGGAAAATAATCGAATGGAGATTCAAGAACAATAATTGGACTCGATCACGAGTCCCGATTTCTTCTGAGTTAAAAATAAACAAATTCTACACCAATTTCAGGGAGTTGTTCTCGATAGATTTCAAGTGGTTGGCGAGAATACTTAAGCGGACGAGATCAGTTTTCTTTCTCTGAAATTTTCGATCAGACCACAGGAAGCTAGCCGCATATACATCAATGAAATCCCGTGAGGTAGGCATAGATTTTGTCGATCTCGAAGACTTGGAATTTTCAGATTGATTAGGTATTCTCAAGTCATCCCTGGACGTCTATCGACGAAGCACTAATCCATTAACATCCCTCCATTTAACTTTGGAATGCATGTATCTCATTTTCTTCCTTCAATCATGATAATATGATATCCGAAACCTGTTTTCACCTCCACATACTTAGGTTTGGCCGTTGTGCTCGGTTCAAGTTCATAGGCAACTTTCTCAAACTCGGCATCCATACTACCCCTAACCTTCCATCCTAGAGAGCCGCCTGCGATAATCAAGTTAATAAGCATGTTCAGTCCTCACATTTACATCCTTTGCATGATGAAATAACTAACCTTGTCTGGCCTTATCCTCTGAGAACTCACGTGCCACCTCGTCGAACTTGGTGCCGTTGCGTAGTTTCTCCAGAGCTTCCTCCTTCTTGGAGTGTTTCTCGCACTGAAGATGACGTTAGTTAGCCCACCTTAGGTAATGACAGATGTCTAATCCCTGACTTCCAAAGTTTAAGCAATGTCTAATAGGGACAGGTAGAACATACAAGGATATGTCGCACGTTAATCGACTGTCCACCAGCAGTTTTCGAATCTGCTTTTCCACCCTTGGCCTTGTCATCATTATTTCCTTTGCCCTTGGCTGGTTTTCCTTTTTCACCTTTCGCATTGCCTTTGGGTGCCATGACTGAAGTATGGAAGCTCCAAGTTCTCCAATTCGATGCGGCGGGATGAGCGTCGCTAAATGTTCGATGTTGAATAAGGTGGGGCTACTGCCTCAGGCCACACATAAGTGACGTGAGCATTAAGATTTATCTACTTTTAGAAGAGAGAAGAATCAACAAATTAAATGCATGTGTATTTTTGTGTGTGTGTGTGTGTGTGTGTGTGTGTGTGTGTGTGTGTGTGTGTGTGTGTGTAATAACCAAAGGGGCAAAGCCATTTCCACGAAGTAAAGGAACCCTGATTAATTAGCTAAAAACTAAACCAATTGCCGTCTATTCCCTGACAAGATGTATCTATGGACTAATAGTTATTCGTTACGATCCTGGTTCAGCTCGCATAAAATCGATGCCTAGGTACTATTTTGAATCTTAAAGCTTCTATATATCAAACAATTGAGAATGAGGAAGGCTCAGGAAGCCATGATATTACAAGAGGTAAGTACTTCCAATTATTTAGGTAGATTTTTAGTTATTAGCTATCGTCATCTATGACTGGGTACACACGAAGAAGACTTGACTTGTCGTGTTTGATTATTTCAAAGTGTGGATAAGCGAAAGGGAGAACATGAGTGAAATGTTTTTTTTTCTTGACCATCAGAACGAGACTGCTGTATCTCTTGAATCTTCATGCTATCAAGTGGAAAACCTTTCTGCAAGCAAGAGTAAACCAAGAGTGCTAATTCCAGTGCCAGAGGAGATTCAAGATTTTTGTTGATACTCAGAACGAGAAAATGTCTCTTTTATCTTCATGGTATTAATTAAAACCACTCTTGCAAGCAGGAGTAGACCAAAATGCCAACGCCGAAAATAATGGATTGAGAGGTGGATCGAGAGATGGACCGAGAGATGGAGCGAGTCATGGAGCGAATAATGGAGCGAGAGCTAGTAAATGATAGAAGTAAACGATGGATTAAGATATGGAGCGAGTAATGGATCGAGTAATGGATCGAGAGATGGAGCGAGTAATGGTGTGAGTAATGGAGCGAGTATTGGAGTGAATAATGGAGCAAGTAATGGATCGAGATATGGAGCGAGTGTTGGTAAATGTTATCAAATGGTAGCAAATGATGGAGCGAGTATGTGTTGGAATGGGGAGTGTTGACGAAGTTTGGCGCGAGACTTGGAGTGAAGACTGTTGACGAATTTAGAGCGAGTGTTGGTAAATATTAGCGAATGCTGCAACGCGTGCTAAATCATGTGCTAAATAGTGAATGTACTAATGAATGCTAGCGTATGTCAGTGAGTGTTAAAGCGAGTGTTGGAGAATATGGGAGCGAATGCTGGCAAGTTGGTGTAAAGAAGAAAGATGAGATAAAGATGGAGACGCTGTTTATCTTCTCAATTAGAAATGTTGTTTGTATTCGTAGCGTACCTCCAAATTTCTCGTCCCAATGAAGCAGCCAATACATACATAGAGATAAGAACCTGAATGGATCTCACGTGGTGGCGAAATTTATTAGTCAATTAACTGAAATACACATAGTGCCTATTTACGAAAAATTGGAAGTAATTTGGAAGCGCGCTAGTGGAAGGATAAGTAGCCTATCCATCCCACTCATCCTTTCTCTTACACAAACTCGCCAACCGACTTACAAACCGACATGTCGAGAATCACAAAAGCTTCCGACTTATACATACCGACAGGTCGCAAATCACCAATATTCGCCAAACACTAGATAAACTGGAGGCTCTGGACTTATATCGTCAGATCCCGAGTCGCGTGGGTGTTGGACGTGGGCATTGGCATTTTTGGATTACTCTTGCTTGTAGGAGGTTTTCCTGCTCTACTGACATGAAGATTTAAAATAATCGGTCTCTTTCTGATGGTAGATACAAGATTAGGAGATAATTCTCCATGATTTCATTTTCCATAGTCTTTATAATAAAACTGCCAATCAAGCATCTAGGATCTAGACAAGTGAAATCTGAAATACAAGCAATAATATTCAATATTCAATCCTCTTCACTTCTAGATCGACGCTAAATGCTACTTAGATGATGTTCGAACGTGGAGGAAAATTTGTTAGGTGTATTTGATTATTCTAAGGTCGATTAACTGGATATAAATACTTTGCCTAATTGGGATGTTGATGGGAAGTGGGGCTTATGCCTAAGGCCACGAGTGTGACGTGAACAGAATCGTAAGCTTTAAAGATTTAACCATCTGGGCAACATTTATGGATCCATGGACTATATTCTGGATGCAGCTCGTATCAAATCATTGCCTGGAGATGCTTTTTACATATCACATTTCATAACTGAAGAAGAGGAAGCCTCGCTACTGCAAAAGGTGAGTATCCCATTATTTATGATTATTTCTCTACCTGAATGACGATTCTGTATATTCATGGATGATTGCAAGCTCATTGTTTTACAGGTAGTATCGACGCCTCTTCCGCGCTGGACTCAACTTTCTCACCGTCGGCTACAAACATGGCCATCGGCACTTACCAAAACCAACACACTTATCAAGTCACCCCTGCCATCTTGGCTGGTATCACCTATCATTAATCCCCGATTCCAGGCATTGAGGATTTTCGATGATGCTCCACATAGCGTACCCAACCATGTCCTAGTGAATGAGTACCACCCGGGGCAAGGAATCATGCCACACGAAGATGGGTCAGCATATTACCCGCTGGTGGCAACAGTGAGCCTGGGTGCATCTATTGTGCTTGATTTGTACGAGAACAGCCAAGCCAGTAAGAATGATGAGAAAGTGCGACAAACTCCAAAAGCAAGACCCGATTTCAGAATCCTACAGGAAAGACGAAGCCTGCTTGTTACGAGGGGCTCGATTTATACAAATTTCCTGCACGGGATAGCGGAGACTTGCCAGGATGAAGATTTGGGACCTGCCACTATCTGTAATTGGGACTTGTTGTGCGAGACGGATCGATATATTGGCGGTTATTACCAGCGGGAGACGAGGATTAGCTTGACATATCGTGATGTGTTGAGAGTTGCGAATATTGGTAACGCGATACAGTTTTTGGGACTAAAATAGATATGAACTACGTACATATAAATTGACGTAGCTTACAGAAAGGTTAAGCCCAAGCAGTAGTCTGTATTGAGAACGGAGTAAGACATCTCGGAACACCCACGGGGTTTGGTGGGGGCGTTGTCGAAGAGCTGATAATTCTCATGCGTCAGTCGGCGCGAGCAGATCTGCGGTTATTTTTCAGCGAGACCAGTAGGTAGTGAGTCAACAACATGATGAGAGAACCTTGGAATAAGGAGAAGTTAGAACAGCTAATGATATTCTTCATAAGATTCTGCAGCTCCATCCATATCACGTGACTGTCTATTTTGGGACTAGCCTGCCGACTAGCTAATATTTATGTGAAGCGGTCTACACATGCAGCAGTAAGTAGTAGTAGTTATTTAGTTAACTAGTTACTAGTGAGTTACTCAGTGACACTGTTGGGAAGTCAATCTTATATCTACATGATAAGACTCAAGATCTATAGCAACAAAAGAGAAGTTGAGATTACCGATAACTCCGATTTGATCTCCTACATGAAATTGAATTCAATAGTTCGAGTATAACAAATCAGCCCCCATCCTGAAACCCTTTTCCTAGAAATTACTATTTACTACGTACGGCGTAGTTATTACATGCAAAAGGGCCCCTTATTGTCATCGATAAGCAGAATAGTAGCTGAGTGGTCGCATCCAAAACGATCGCCACATTTCGGTGGAGCCGGGCTTTTGCTGCGTTGCTGAGTCCGGAATGGTCAAGGGTCCGTGCCGTGCAGAACAGTAATTTGGTTGAGATGAAAGTAATGAGAATGGAAAGGGAATGAAAAATGGTTGATAATAAGAGAAGGGAGTACAAGAATATGAATCCGTTGAGTTTCTGACTTGTGGAGGGATTCTAGGCGGGTTCAAGCTTAGTGGCCGCGTCAATCTCTCTTTTTCCCCCATTCTTCTTCTTCTCCCGTTTTCCCTTCTTCTTTCCCCCTCAAAACCACTTCCCACTTTCCACTTCCCAATTTCCACTTTCCATTTCTCATTTTCTCACTTCCTCACCTTCTCTTCCACCCCGAATTCTTCAATTCTTCAACTTCAACTCTCCACCTTACCCTTTACTTCTTTCCCTCCACTTTTCACCTTTTTCCTTCTTTCCCTGGGCAAGCCGGTCTTACCCTTTCGCTTTTCGCCTCTCGTGTCTCACGCTTTACTTCACAGGTAACAAGCGTCTGCGCACTTGCTGGCGTTGCCGACGTGGATTGCTTGTCCCAAAATGACGAGCGGAATTCTCACAACCCGAGTGCTATCGATATGAGTGATGTCGAGGCAGTCTCTTTACCCGCTGCCCTGGACGTCGGTTCCAATCCCCTCTCTGTATTAAAGGAACATCCATCGGAATTATCAGCACTGACTCATGGGAACCCGGCTCAACCTGCTCGTAGTAGTCATGATTTGGATACCGGGGCATTAGATGATGACGGACAGGGTCCCCCAAGCCCCAAAGCTGACTCGGAGGCAGAAACTATTATTCAGTCTGGTCGGGAGTCGCTGTCACCAGAGAAGAAAAGGAAACACATAAGACACGACCCGAATCGTCAGGGATTTGACTCGGTCGACGGTTCGCTTTCCAAGAAACCGCGCATTAATGCCGACCGAAGGCATTCGCGCTCTAGGTCGCCCATTTCATCCGAACGTGCAAAATCTCCCCCGTCAGCTGTCAAAATCGAGGTGGATGATCCAGAATCTGTAACACGCGATTTGCTAAAGCGTAATGGCACGAGCGAACATTCAAAGCCTCAAATTTACCGCAAGAGAAGTTTCAGTGACAGTGTGGATGAAAAGGGTGACCGCCACATTGATTCACGCCTGGGAGTCACCCCTGATCTTAAACAAAATAATCACCTATCACGACCAATCTCCAACGCTCGCTCAATATCCCCTACTCGCTCATCTCATCAAAGATCTGTTTCTGGTTCCCATATTATCTCCAAGAAAAGGGTACCCACCCCTTTTCTTACTGCTGGTTTCCAACGGCAAGCCTCTGAGGACAGACTTTCTACATCCTCATCTGCCAGCGGTTCCCCGTTACCAAGCCTACAGCTGCGGAAGCTTGGCTCTGGGATAGGTGCGTCGGCGTCTCCCGCCAAGCATTTGGGTCCGAAGAAGTTGCGTGATAAGAGTGGTCGCACGCCTCTTGCAAGAGCATGTGCCGATCGAAAATACGACCAAGTAATTATTCGCCACAGCGAACGTCCCGAAGATCTGAATGTTCCCGACAATGCTGGCAACACTCCTTTACAGATTGCCTCCTTGAGTGGAGAGGCTCCGATCGTCAAGTTTCTTCTGGATGCCGGCTGTGAAATCAACTCTAAAAACATCGACAAAGATACCCCTCTTATTGATGCGGTGGAGAATGGAAACGTCGAAGTGGTGAAACTTTTGCTCGAAGCGGGAGCAAATCCTCGCACTGTCAATGCGTCTGGGGATGAACCTTACGAGCTAGTACCGCAAGACTTAGATGACGACGAATACCGGGAGATCAGGAAAGCACTGGCTGATGCCAAGGCAAGCTCAAGACCTAACCGACGCTCAGAAGAGCAAATTGGTCCACATATTAGGGCGTCCTCACGGCGAGCATCAGCTGCAAGTCCATCTCGGAGTCCCCCACCTTTGGGTAGCGTAGTCAGTCGCCGCAAAACTGGTCGAAGCGAAGCCACACGGAATGATCTATTGTGGACTCAGCCAACATCAGAGAAGCTGAGAGATTTTGCGGCAAAGGGTGACGAACAAGGCGTAGTAAGCATTTTGAATATCCTGCAGAAAGCCGATGACGCATCCCTGATTGCTGCTGCCAAGGGTGGCCACCACGATGTGCTTTCACTTATGTACGCAATGGGTGATGCAGACGCAGATCCAAATCCAGTGCGTGGTGGTGGTCATAAGCCTGGTTATAATACTCCTATGCTCGCTGCCATTGGCCGAGGTAATACCGCAGTCATCAAACTCATCCTCAACCAACCCGGTTTCAACCCCACCCGTCGACTGTTTGAGAATAGAACCTACTATGAACTATCACGATCCCGTCAGGGTGAGAATTGGGAGGAAGAATATGCCGTTTTAAAGGCAGCATACGAGAATTTTTCAGGATCTGACAAAGCCAAGAACTCTCCTCGTCGTGCTCGAATCAAGGACAAGGATGAGAAACGAAAAGCTCGACGAGAATCCTCCTCTCCCGTTCCTCGTTCGAAGAAATTGGATGACAGCCATCGTTTACCCAGGGACGTCGATTCCTTGAAGGAAAAGCGTCGTGAGAAAGTGAAGGAGAAAGAAAAGGTTGTCCCGCGTGCCCAAGGAATCACTCGCGACGCTAGCGATAACGCGCTTGCCAGCTCCGACCATGATTCATCCCAGAACGTGAAGTCTAAAAAGTCTGCTTCATCGCGAAGGGGTAGTGAATCGAGTGGTGTGGCTCGAACGGATGAGGTTCGCAAACGACGACTCATTGCTGGTCGCCGCCCACAGGAACAAAATCGACGACCGAGCCTCTTTTCATCCGATTCAATGTCTGGCCGCGAAGAAGCTCCGAAATCCCGCCCCGAAACCTCTCCTGATAACTCTTCTCTTAAACGCCTTCGCCCCGATAACTCCCCAGAGCGTTCTCGCTCCCGTGGCACAGACAGTGACCGCTTATCCCCTAGTTCACGAAAAAAGAAAAGACGAGTTCTCCAAGATGAGACGTCCTCTAATCTTGCAAACAGTTCCCGGAAAAACAACGAGCATGTTGATGGTGACAAAAAACCCCGACCCCAAGAAGATTCCCTACGAAGTGCGTATGCTGTCACGCGAAAACCTGCTCAAACCTCGAAGGAATCCACACCCTCGCGGCCTTCGATAAATTCAGATTCCATTAAGAAAAATGAAGATGTGAAGGTAGAGCAATCCGAACCTCCAACCAAGCCTGTTGCAGAAGTCACAGTTGATGACAAACAGGCCGAGTTGGCGGCAGAAAAACTTCAGAGGGATGAGGCCAAGAAAGCCGAGAAAGATCGTGTGGCAGAAGAAAAGCGCCTCGCTGAAGAGGCCGAAAGCGCTCGTCTCGCCAAAGAGGAAGCGGATAGAGCCGCATGTGAAAAGGTTGAGGAAGATGAACGCAAGCGCAAGGAAGTCGAAGAAAAGCGTGCAAAGCTTGCCGAGGATGAGCGTTTGAAGCGAGCGGAACAGGAACGCTTGCGCAAGTCGAAAATGCGCCGAGACCAGGAGGCTCAAGAGCGACGCCGTCGAGATGCCCTCCCGGGCCGCCTTCGTGTCGCCGCTCACCTGGTCGGTTCCCAAGAGCACCGTGCCAAAAGCCATGAATGGCTTAAGAATTTCATGCCTCTAGTAACGGCGACAACCCGACAGCTCCAGGGCCGACAGCTTCAGGTCAATGGTTTTGATGAGACAGCAGACGAGAGATGGATTCCAAATTACTTGGTTGCGCCCCTACTAGCTACCAACGACCTTCAGTTGTCGCAGTATGCTAGCTGGGAGAAGCGTAACGCGACCGCAACTCAACGCATGAATCTCTGGCGATGCAGTCGCCGGATGTTAGTGTACACCGACGATCCCAAATATAGCGATGCATCGTTTGGGGACATTATGCAGTTGAATTGCGAGACACGACCCAAGTATTTTGAAATGGAACATATCTTCTGGATCAGAGTAAGTTCCAATATTCCCGAGTTATTCTAACAGCAAATCTAAACTCAATGTAGCTTTCTGACTTCATGGACCTCGTCCCTCACATTCCTCATCTCAACGGACTCGATCTTGAATTCGTGAGCATGCACATTGATCCCGAGCCTTCTCAACCCAACGGTCAACCTCACCTAAACGGTTATACTCCAGCCTATATCGAAACAAATGGTTCTGGGATGAATGGCCATGGCTACTCACGGCCAAGTACATATCTTTAAGCTTCTTTATTTCTAGCGTCTTTGGTTTCCGGTCATGGCCATATCAGCAGGGTGTACAGGCTGATTTTGATTGTACGATTATGACGAATCCACCTTAGTTCGGTAGTTTAACCCGGACACGAGCATATTCAAAATATAAATTTTTCATGCTTACTTTCTAAGAGTATATATTCCATTATATATTTCCCTAGAGCCATCGATCCTTCTTACCTGCTGAAATCCGATGAGATCTGACAAGTGGAGTAAATACCCTAGTTATCAGATTAACATCCATAAAGGCGGTGAAAATATATCCTAGTTTCTGCCATTAATTTTTTGACGCCAACGTCACAGACTTCAGCACCTCAATACCCAACATGGCTTACAATAAAGAAAACCGCCCAGCCCAAGAGCTATCAGCTCTAGCCCAACTGATCGAATCGACCTCCACCGAATCCCCCCTCGCTGCAACAACAGTTCAAGTCCTCCATAACCTCCAACACCAACACAACTGGACCTCTCTTCAAACCCACGATATCTCCAGCCATGCCTCAGAAATAAGCCCGTCCACCCTATCTGCATCAATAGCAGTCCAAACAATCATCTCAGGAATCCCTCCAAACCGCATATACACCCACCCGGACGAACAACTCTATATGCTAGAAAAAGGTCTACGAGAAGAAGATCTCCGTCCAGAGCGCCTATTCGTCCTGCCAACAGCGCAAGGCCAGTCATGGAGTCTGCGTCAGATGGCAGGTGTGTTTGATTCACTGGGCGATATCCACATCTTGACTGAGGACGAGAGTGTGTCTGCTGCGGCTGATGCGTCTACAGAAGCAGAAAATGAAGCTGAAGCAGTAAATGAGGCTAAAGAGAAATTATTAGAGGAGTTTTATGTCAGGAAGGAAAATGCGAAGCTGGAGAAGGAGTGGGGGTCGCAAAGGGTATTGCTTGCTATGGTTGATAAAGCTATGGGTGGGGAGGGGACTGTTGTTTATTATGTTGTGCAAGAGGGGGAGGTTAAGCCGAGGCAGAATTAGTCTTTGCTTTAGCGAGATTGATGTAAGGGAGCAATGCTTGACATGCTTAATATCCGTGGACGACACCCAGCCACGCCCAGTGAGAATGCTCTTCAGCTTGTGCACATTACCGGGACGCTGTCTTGGCTGGAGAGCTTTCCCTATGTACTGCCCTGCCACCTTGTGAAAGCGCTGCAGCCCCTTTCTGCAGCTCCCTTCTGCAGCTCCACCCACCCAAACGAACAACTCTACATGCGAGAAAAGAGTTATGGGAAGAAGATCTCCGTATGCATTGTCAGCGGATACCAATCATAAGTCCTCCCGAGGTCCGGGGCTGGCTTACTCGGTTTAGTTACATATGCATTGAGCAGATATCAAAGGAGATATTCCAAGTCCAAGATTATCTACTGGCATCTCCTAATACAAGTGCATATGTGATCATTGTTGGGACTTTCAGGATAGTTTCAAGAAAAATAAAAAAAAAATTAGCAATTAAATTACGCACGGAACATTCTTCATGAAACCATAGGGTATAGTGTTTTGAGTGCGAAAGCAGTAAAACAAAAACGAAGAAAGCAAATGAGATGAAGTGCGTGCTAATATTTACCGAGGGAGAAAATAATAAGCAGAAAGGGTAATCAATCAGACTCAAAGCAACTGGTTCTCGCGGCCAATCCACTGGACCTGTTCTTGCTCCAGTTGACAGCTAGTACAATATCGGTCATACCACTGTTTCACACTGTCTGTATTTCCAGCAAAGATGCCGTCCTCTTCAGATAACTGAGCCTCGGAATCATCATCCTGGACTTTTCCCTTAAGAAGGATCTCAATCTGGCGACATCGCTTAAGCTCCCCTTGAAGCCATCGCTCCCATTCACTCTGAACAACCTCCTTCTCGATGTTGTTCACAACACGCAGCGCTATCAAGAGATTATTCCGGTAAATGGCGAGGCGCTCACGAGTCTGCTGGAAGCGCTTCATTGCGCTCTTTGCAACTGCGTCTTTGGCGTTTGACGTACTGAGGGAGAGAGGGAGCTCAGAATGGCGCAATGTGTTCTCGTGGAACGCATTGAAACAGTTACTGACGTTTCCGGCCTGGGACCAGATGGTTGTGTTTGCGACTGCTTCGTCGATGTCTCGGATGTAAATGGCTCTGCTCATCACCATGTTTGGCTGGACGCCTAGTCTGGCCATGTAGCTGGTCGCGTAGCGTTCATGCCACCAGTCCCAGGTCTCTCTAGAGGAGTAAAAGCCGTTCATAAGTGCGCTTGTGATGAGTAACAGCAAAATGACCTTGTGTGCAGTCACGGTCTTCCACGACCAGCGAACGACAGCGGCTGACCACATCCAGAATAGAGCGAACGTGCTTTCGAGGAAAGATAGTGTGCTTTCGATGAGAAGTTGAGACATCGTTCGCTGAACACGGGGCCTGCGAGGCTCGATTCTTAGATCGGCGCCAACGCCGTTGAAGGTCGAAGTCAAATTTTGGCGTCCAACGTGGCCGAAAATTGTTATGGCCTTCTTCGTGCGACTGTGTGCACCGAGGCGTCGCACTTGGTCGCTGACCAAGTCGATCAGATCCAAGGCATCATCTTCCAAGTCCTTACTGGCCTTGTTGTCGATAATTTCTATGGATTGGATATTAGTATATGAGATGATGATTTTGACCAAAAGGTGGAAAACTCACTTTGGAGACCGTATGGAGGCGTGAGCCATTCTACTTTAGTATAGATGGCGAGCTTGCTCTTTGATTTGCCCGCAAACGTAATCACAACCTTACTAACCAAGCGGAAGGATCGACGGAAAGGAAGATGCCATGGCGTACGCTTATCGGTAATCACGTAGCACAGATGATCGTTCAGAACATCGATTATCTGATAGTCCGAGATCTTGTTTTTTTGAGAGCCGCCTATACACAATTAGTGGAAGGAAATCGCACAGTTGAACGCGGGGCAAGCTAACCGATTAGATCAGTCGTCTCGATGTAGTAATGGAAGTCTCTTTTCAGGTGTCGTGATTCCGAGCTGACCCAGGGTCCTTGCTTGATTTCTTTATGGATTGGTCAGTATAATGATAAGCAAGATATTCAGGCACGATGACTTACCTTGAGCCTGTCTTTCGTGGAGTAAGAGCTGCCATACAGCACTCTTGTCACCAAACATAATATGGAACAGTGCCTTGGAACTGATATCCAGCACTTTCTCGGCTACACGATTAAGGTCGCCTTGGGGAACATACTCCACAGGTTGAGTGGGTAGCCTGAACTTGAGATTGTCGCGCGCCCGATTAGCCTTACTTATCTCCGGGTCAAGTTCTTTATCAATGTAGATGGGCGCGCGGAGATCTTTGCTCATAGCGTCGGCGTTGCTATCATGATGGGCGGTTGAAATATCCTCCCAGCTATCGGCACTAGTCGCTCTATTTGGAGTTTCAAGGTCCATTTTGATAAGCTCTTTAAGTAGAGCCTCCAGTGACAGAGGCTCTGCCGCAATCGACTCTCGGACCAAAAAGTTCAAGCGTTTTTGAAGAAGTTTCAACGGTTCAATGAAGGACTTGATGGTGATTCGACCGGGAGTGTCACTTCCTAGTGGAGGAATAGTGTGTAGGAAGAGGAAATCACAATCTCTTCCAGTTGCCGCCGTGACTTCTTTGATGCTCTCCAGTGAGACACTTGTCGTCAACACAAGCCCAAAGTTATTGCTGTAGAAGTAGATATTTCTGGTAGTAACATAGGCTCTGCCAGGGAATTCTTGCTGGTCATTTGGGCTCCAGGTAGCTCTAAATACCAAGACCAATGCCTCTTCTCTTTTCACATCTGAGAAAAGCAAACGGAATTGGGCATCCTGCAGCCTCAACTGCTGTGGGTATACACTAGGATACTCATACTCAGCATTCAGTGGAACTCGATTCAATTTGGCTGCGTTCGCATCAAGGGACACTGTGTGTCTGTGGTGGGAGCCCGAGGGGTCCCGCGAGCCCTGCAACGGACTGGTCGAATTAGGTTGAGCGAGTGTCTGTTTCGAAGAATCGAGCATGGGAGATGACGAGGGGGATTGAGTTATCTTTTTTTTATTTAGAGAAACTTGCTCGCGCTGGAGCTTATTAATGAAACCCCAGTTGGTACTGCCCCATAGATTTGCCATCATACCACTGGGCATACCACCAGTGTTATCAACGAGGCCAAGCCCAATACCTCTTTCATTGCTCACAATCACTGCAGCCTTGCTCATGCTTGTAGAAACCGGTGGATTCGCGAGAGTTGCAGGGGCAAGGTTTGCACCAGGCTCATCGAGGTTACTCAAACTGCGACCCCGACCTAGATCATCGTTATTCAAGAACGGGTTTGCTCCGCTGTAGGGAAGAATGTTATGACTAGCCGAAATGAGACTGGCAATTCCGCCGGAAAAGCTGGGCATGGATGGAGATGTCGGGGAATAAGTCGATTTGCGATGAAGGTCCAATTTCTGAATGATGCGAGCTGTATGATCCCGGGCAGAAGATTCAGGTTCTAAGCCAGGAAGTCTGCGGCTCACATCGCTACTGTTTCTAGATGCCAACACATCCTTCTCTGGAAAAGGTAACGTGTTGCTGCGCTCAGCTGAGCTCGGCTCATCATTAGGATGCGGAGTGAGATAATTAGTCGGATCCGCAGTGAACTCGGGAGCAGGGGGCTGGGAGACGGAAAACGCTGGATCCTGGACGGTGATTTTTCCAGACACTGACAAATCTGTGATAGTTGGGTTCTCCAGCGCTTTCTGTTTAGCAGCCTCGAAGGCACCAATCCACTCCATGAGCTCCTTTTGGTCTTCGGCCTGCAAGACAATGTTGTCGCTCTTTGTCTTTACCTGGAAACAGAAACGGCGCTCTTCTTGAAATGCGGCGCGGACACTACACAGTAGTACACCAATTCGTTCGCTCTCTTCGACACCGCCAGTACGTGTGCCTTGAACAAGACACCCGAAGATTCCATGCTTTAAAAAGGCCCAACGCTTTACCCAAATAGTTCGTGTGGGCTTCCCCGAAAGCGTCCGTAGATATAACCAGCCTTGTTTCTCTGGTTTTGCTTCCTTGTCCATGTTCAACGAGGACAAAGGACGAGAACCAAGATAGGGAACGGTAGAGATAGAATAGTCCTCAAGTTCTCGAGATGGTCGAGCCACCAACTCTGCTGCTTCCTCAATTTGTTTTCTTGTTGAAAACAGCTCTCTTTTCGAACATCTATCACTGCTTTCCATCTCATGGACCCAGCCCTTGATTCGGTCCATCTCATGCGCCCACTTTGAGAATATTAAGCTGTTGTTGTTGTGGAACCCTCTAAATTCTCTCCATTGATCAAATGAAATTTGGACTAGGAGTTTATCGAGGCTGTTGCGAACCTGAGGGGCTTCTACTGAGAAGTCCATCGATGTTTTCAAATAGCTCTTGCGAGCTTCATGGAGCTGGAACGCTTCCTCTCGGAGGGCGGAGGTTTCTTTCGATTTCGATTGCGAAGCATAGCGGGCCTGTAAATAATCAAACTGCTTTTGAGCGTGTTCCAGTGAACGCCGGGTTTCCTATATCGCGGGATTAGCGTCACTCGCAAAAAGCAACACGGAATGTCAACAAATACCTTGAAATGACGCAGATCCTCATGAATATAGGCTCGGATAGGCTCAGCAATCATGGATTCCATCTTCTTGGCTGTCACAACCAGTCCATCCCATAGATTCTTCGATCCTTCACCGCATCTTCGCATTGCCAACAGGGTATAGTCATGATCAACAACGGCCTCTGAAATCGCCAGGGGCTGGGTCGAAAATGAGAGGAAGTTATTAACGGTGCTTTCCAGAGCCGTCAGGTCCGAAGATAATTTTGTTGTCGACCTGGCATATCCATCCAGCCATCTCTCGATCAGCTCGATTTGGTCGCAAAAGTGAAGGGTAGTAGCTCTAAAGGTTGGCGAGTCGAGTGCGGCTTCTTTGAGACCTACAGGACTATCATCACCCAAGGAACATTAGCATTGGACATCGCGGAAATCAGGAGTTCTCCAGTCAGTCTCAAACCTACACCACGCTGACGAGGGTCCCAACTTGGGGTAACGAGGTGGGCTGTGGCGACATCTAGCGCATACCCCCGGCCATAAACTGAATGCTAAGCAGGAACAAGAAATGAGATTTGAGAGTTATTGGTGAAGCAATTCAGGAAAGGTTTAAGAATCCTTGCATTCGAGATTTAGGAGGCTAAGCTCGCCCTCAAGGACTAAGCTCCTCGATGATCTAATTGGCTACGTCAAGGAACCCCAAGTTAACTAGTTTGGGGGTGCAGTGTGCCTTAGTGCCATAGTATTCAGGTGTCTAATGCAAAGTATTCGGGCCGAGGGCGGTGTGATATTTTTTTTCTTTTCTGCCAATCGACTCGCGGAAAGGTCTGTACGTCGATTTTCGCAACTCAGATTTCAGCTTCATATAGCAATGGAGCCTCCATCGAAAAAGATGCGGACCCTCATGGATGATGACGAGTCAGGCGACGATGCTGGTGGTGTTTCCATCACCAAGTCTCCTGCCGTAAACTTCAAGATCAACGAAGACTACGCCCGACGATTTGAGTACAACAAGAAGCGGGAAGAAGTGCAGAAGTGTAAGTTTCTACAATTGACATTGCTTTTTCGATTCGTTCTCACATCAATACATCTGTGTAGTGGAAACGAAATACGGAAAATCAACCAGTCTGGGAAGGCGCCCATTAAATGACGAACCCGAGGATGAAGAGTCTTCTTCCGACGAGGACGAAGATGAGGATGGAGAGTTGGCCACCAAGGCTTTAGACGCAGAGATCATGGCCACTCTGACGGCTATTCGCTCCAAAGACCCCCGTGTGTACGATGAGTCTGCTACTTTCTATTCGAAGTTTGACGAGGATGCCGATGCCGCTCCCAAGGCGAAGAAAGAGAAGTCTATGACGCTTCACGACTATCATCGCGAGAATCTTCTCAAGGGAGCCGACCCTTCTGAGGAAGAGGATACTCCCAAGACTTTTGCACAGGAGCAGGCAGATCTGAAAGATGATCTAGTTAGACAGCTGCATGGTTCCGACGATGAGATGGAAGATGCCGATGAATTTCTCATCCGCAAGTCTAAGCCGGAAGAGCCCCAGGCAGAGATCCAGCTGGACATTGAAAATGCTGACAAGGACCCTGAGACTTTCCTTTCCAACTTTTTGTCAGCACGCGCCTGGATTCCCGAGGGCCGTCCTGAGCTCCATCCTTTCGATTCAGACGATGACGATGAAGTCGAGCATGCTGATGCTTTCGAGCAGGCCTACAACTTCCGTTTCGAAGATCCAAGCAAGCTCAATGAGAAGCTGATCACCCACTCTCGTGATGCCACCAATGAGCAATCCGTTCGAAGAGCAGAGAAGAGCGCGCGTAAGAAGCTGCGTGAGGCTGAAGGCCAGCGCAAGGAGGAAGAGAAGAAGCAACGTACAACTGAGAAGAACCGACTGCGCAAGCTGAAGACCGAGGCATTGCAACAAAAAGTCCAGCAAATCAAGGAGGTTGCCGGCTTGCGTGCTGCAGAGTTTACAGATGATGACTGGGCTCGCTTCCTCGATGATGCCTGGGATGACGACTCTTGGGAAAAGGAAATGGAAAAGCGATTCGGAACGGAATACTATGCTGAACATGATGACAAGAAGAAGCACCCCAAAAAGCCAGAGTGGGATGATGATATCGACATCACCGACCTGGTTCCGGATTATAAGGACGATGCCGAAGATGCCCAGCCTACTCTTGAGTCAGACGACGAGACGGAGGGTGATGATGCCGGTACCAAGAAGAGCAAGGCCCAGGAGAAGCGTGAATCGAAGCGTGACGCCCGCAAAGAACGTATGCGCATCGATGAAGCCGTTGAGCGCAACCTGGATCTCGATATCACTCTACTCCCCGGCGCTACCAAGAAGAATGCCACACATTTCCGTTACCGCGAGACATCACCGCAGAGCTTCGGCTTGACAGCACGGGATATTCTCATGGCAGACGATACGCAGCTAAATCAGTTTGCTGGTCTTAAGAAGCTCGCAACCTTCCGTGAGGAAGAGAAGAAGGCCCGCGACCAGCGGAGGCTGGGCAAAAAGGCCCGCCTTCGTCAATGGCGGAAGGATACTTTCGGCGATGAGGAGGGCCCAGTGTTTGACTTTGGCGGGCCCAAGGCTGCCAAAGATGCAGAGAAGGATGAAGATGAGGGAGAAGCCAAACTTGATATCCGCGAGGGTGATGGCCGGAGAAAGAAGCGAAAACGGTCTAAGAAGAACTGAGCGCAGGCGCAAATGAGCCACTTTTCCTACACCTAGGTAGTGAGATCAAAATTTATTATTGGAGCATGGCGTTCAACTACTTTATTCTCAACCTTGGAAATGTCTAGGTCTACACGCTTCTCTCTTCAGAATCATTAGAATAGGTAGCCTTAGGGCAATAGAAACGACTGTTTCCATATGGATGTAGGTAGATACTTAGGCACGTGCATTATAGACCTCGGGGTCTTGTCCAGGTCAAAAGCAACCTCAAAATCCACATGTGGATCAATCGATACCAAATCTGTCAACAGTCGAACATTTCACGATTGGTTCCAACCTTAGAATGCACCAGCACCTTACATCCTCTAGGTACAGTACAGAGGTCCATTTCAAAAGTTTTCTGTGTTTTGCTTTTTGACTTTACCGAATTAAGACTAGCTGTTTTATTTACAGTAATATCTTGTATGATTTGATCTAGTGTTTTGTATGATCTCTGCCCTCCTTATACTCATTACCTCCTTCCAAGCGAATAATCTTTTCAATATGTCTCGGTATCTGCTCAATCCGCTGCTGAGTTCGTTCATGGTGTAGTTGATTCCATGCTTCACCCTATACTCTAATTGCTTGAGCTCTTGACTTAGGTGCACCCTTCTTAGTAGTTTGGCGTTTTGAGTAAAACCATGATGGCTCAATAACATTTAAATCAGGCGAGTTTCCTGGCCAAAGAAGACGTTGAACACCAGATATATCAAAGATATATTGTTGAAAATGATGCGCATACGAGGGAGCTTTATCTTCTTGAGCAAGAGTATTAGGCCTTTCAACCATATATTCTTGCGCAAATGGAAGCAGTTTTGGCACCAAAATAGTAGTAGTATAACAGTGCCAGTCGATTCCACCTTTAGACTTAGTGCGTCCAAGCTTTCCAGTTTTCGATATAAAGCGCCAATTAGGCTTCTTCCTAGGCAGGTTTCGTCGAAGATCAAGCTATCGCATACTTATATCTAATATCATACCATTTTCAAGCTCCGAAGCTTCACGTAGCTTAGGTTCTAACTCCGCATTCTAAGACTCAATAAGAGTATCAGTACAAGTCTTCTCCCGTCCGTATCGATCAAGACGTACCTTGGCTAGTGCTGAAGCTATAACCTCAGGTGTCTGCTTCTTTGGCCGACCAGAACGATTAGCATCAGCAACATACGCATCAATGACTAATAAAGGTCGCTGTAAAGGATCAAATCCCCGCTCAATAGCTTTATTCCAGATCGACTTAATAGTTTGAGTAGATATATCAGTCATCGCAGAGATTTGAAGAGGTTCTATCCCAAGCGCTCTCATAGTAATAATAGATGAACGCGTAGCAATATCGTATTTCCCCATCTTGACGAAGGTAAATATGAGGGTAAACCATAGAATGTAATAAGATGAAGGGTAAATAAGGAAGACATTAGTGTGTATAGACTAAAACAGCGCTAGTAATATTAAAAAATCCAAAAGAAAGCAAAACACAGAAAACTTTTTTTGAAATGGACCTCCATACTTGTTTAGGTACCTATGAGCCTAGGTGATACGGGCCCAGGGGTACCAGCCTCGGAGACGACGTGACCATTTTGATAGCCCGAAGTCCCAGGATAACGGATATTGGAACTATTGAACACGCCTGCGTAGGTATCTACCCAGGTACACACAGAGTATTGTTTGCCTTCAACTACCAATAGCATCCATAGTCTACTTCTTGATCACTAATTTCAACCCAGGTCTACAGGTTATTTGCAACTTGCAGGGTTTAGTCTCGAATAGGGTTGTGCTCATGTGACCAGTCACTAAGCCAATATATGAGTAATGAGTACTCCATACCGACTCCATACCGACTCCTTGTTTGGGAATAAAAATCAAAACGGAGGTTCTTGAATAGTTAATTGAATAGAATCTGATTTGCGACCTGGAATGTTCATACCATCTCAAAGAATATTCGTAGATCAAAGCGATGCGGATCTCAGTGGAAAGTGGGTCGTGATACTGGAGCCCTGGCCTCATCCGTGTATCCCGTACATTACAGATGGGGCTTGCCTCCACTATAAATCAAGTACCCGTTACATAGTAAAGAAAATGTCTCATATTGGAATTTGAAACATAAGAAGGAATATGGGAACATGTTCATGCGGGTCCAAGACTGATGGGCATCTCAAAATCTAGTGGCGACCATCTAGAATCTACTTGGTATAAAGTAGTAGATCCAAGTGGCTAGATAAGACCGGCACTCGGGCCAGGGAGGAAATGAGGTTTGCCCCAGCCCTTACAAGTGAAGGCTGACACGAAAGGAGAAATATACACGTATTATGACGCTTGGACTTCCCCGTTGCTCCGGGATACACAGAGATTGATTTAGTTGAGTACTATGTACATAGTAAAATATTCAAATATGAGATGGAGATTGTAGAATAATAGTAAGTAAGGAAGTAGCCAATGACTAGAAGACGCTTCTATATAATGAATGTGGCAATTATTACTCCAAAAGTGAGGTATTAAGACCAACTGGCCTTTGCAGATTTTTCGGATTGTTTCCATGGGAGATCGGGATATATCGGCAAGGTATTCGGACAATACGGCACAAATACAGTAAATTCACTTCCTGATTGGGTGTAGTGTGTTGGTTTCGCTTCTTCCCGCGTACGGCAGTATTTTTCTTTGCCCCCTTCCGCCCCTTCCTCTTCTTCTTTTTCTTCTCTCCATCCCCGGTCTTTTTGACATCTTCTCTCCCCATCTCCTCTCTTTTTTTGTTGTGTTCTTTCTTTTCGCACAACCTTCAAGATGGCTTCTCAAAGTGACAAGAGCGTGCTCGGCATGCCCGTAAGTGTTTTTCCTCTTCTCTCTCCCTCTCTATTTGTGCAGATTTTGATGCCATATTCATTTGGTCTCCATCTGGAATTTGCTTCAAAAATCTTCAGATCTGAGATTGACCTGCTCAATGACCCCATCATACTTCAGACAACAATGCTAACGGGTTTTTCTTCCAGGGCTTCGTTGTCGACTTCCTCAGTATGTTGCCACAACTACAGGCTTTGGCCTGAATCGGGAACCATCCCTTTGAATAATGATAACAAATACTAACCTCTCTTCTAGTGGGTGGTGTTTCCGCCGCTGTCTCCAAGACCGCTGCTGCCCCCATTGAGCGTGTCAAGCTCCTGATCCAGAACCAGGTTAGTTATACTATGTCTCATCCGCTCGGCAGTCTCGGATCGAAAAGGAACGATGAAAAATATTTCAATTATCTTGATTGATCAAGCACGGTGCAGCTTCTCGATGCTTTTCAGCCGCAGATGACATCTTTTTCCTCGACTCCAAATCGATCTGTGGCAGTCCGCAAATTTTTTTTTCTTTTGTGATCCACAGCTAACAAACTTCTTTCCTTCAGGATGAGATGATCAAGCAGGGTCGTCTTGACCGCAAGTACACCGGTATTGTTGAGTGCTTCAAGCGTACCATCGCCGCTGAGGGTACTGCCTCTTTGTGGCGTGGTAACACCGCCAACGTTATCCGTTACTTCCCCACCCAGGCTCTTAACTTTGCCTTCCGTGACACCTACAAGTCCATGTTCTCCTACAAGAAGGACCGTGACGGTTACTTCAAGTGGATGTTGGGTAACTTGGCCTCCGGTGGTGCTGCCGGTGCCACTTCCCTGCTCTTCGTCTACTCTCTGGACTACGCCCGTACCCGTCTGGCCAACGACGCCAAGTCCGCCAAGGGCTCCGGTGAGCGCCAGTTCAACGGTTTGGTTGATGTCTACCGCAAGACCCTCGCTACCGACGGTATTGCCGGTCTCTACCGTGGTTTCGGTCCCTCCGTTCTTGGAATTGTTGTCTACCGTGGTCTCTACTTTGGTCTGTACGACTCCATCAAGCCCGTTCTCCTGGTTGGTGCCCTCGAGGGTAACTTCCTTGCTTCCTTCTTGCTCGGCTGGACTGTTACCACCGCTGCCGGTGTTGCCTCTTACCCCCTTGACACTGTCCGTCGTCGTATGATGATGACCTCCGGTGAGGCTGTCAAGTACAAGTCCTCCCTCGATGCTGCTCGCCAGATCGTCGCCGCTGAGGGTGTCAAGTCTCTCTTCAAGGGTGCTGGTGCCAACATCCTCCGTGGTGTTGCCGGTGCCGGTGTCCTGTCCATCTACGACCAGGCCCAGCTCCTGCTCCTCGGAAAGAAGTTCAAATAAATTATTCGCCAATAGCGAATCATCTACCACTGTAGTTATACTGGAGATGGGGATGGGTTCCCTTGCACCCAGCATAATCACTGGGGCATGGGGATCGGTGTGAGGTTGGGAAAAGATAGATGCGTCAAGAAATGGGTCGGGGGATCTTGAAGCATTAGATTGGTGTGATTCCCGTTTATGTTTCCGATGTACTTTACTGCCTGCAAGCTCTTTTTCTTCAAAATCTGTTTTTTTTTCACGTACCGAGTTCATGTAATGTGTTCGTAAAATTAAAAAAGAAAAAAGAAAAAGAACAATTTGGGTACTGTTGTGACATGGCGAGTCTCCAAGTCGTGACATGACCGAAAGGAAAGCCCAGCATAGTTCAGTACCATCGATGATCAAACTACTACTATATCCACATCAAATCTTTCTTCGTAATCTTTCTTCATACTTAATCTCAGTTTCATGCACGCCCTCCGCAAAGGAACAGGACCCTTGAAGCGGCAATCGCCCCACAGCGGAAGAGCATGACGTCCTGAGGCTCGAGCTCCCCCCTATTCTCTTCAGCCTAACCTCAAATACCACATCCAGTCTTAACCCAAGTGACTTTATATAAAATGTCTACTACCGGCGTCCCAATATACACATCAGCCCCTCTGAATTCAAATGAATCAGAGGGTACACACGCAACAACCTCTCACCCCGAACCCGCCACCGCAATCCAATCCTCTACAACCACATCTCCACCCCAAACCACGACAGCTACAGCTACAGCACCTTCATACGCACCTGTCTACGCAACAGCAGAGCCAGGCGCTGCACCAAGCCTGCCAGCACCAACAGGTCAACCCTCAGCAACACCAACAACAACCCTCCCCCAAGCGCAATCACCACCAAATCCCCAACCAGGCGCTGTCCCAAGTCTATCCCAAACCGCACCTGCACAGCGATCAACGATCCCCCCACCCCCAAAAACAGGTGAAACACCCACCGTCGCTGCAAGCCCGTTCACGAGTTCCTACGCTTACCAGCGCCCATCACACTCTCACTCTATCCCAAACTCAACGTCTGCCCCGTATGCCGCTGTGTACCAGTCCGCATCTGACGTGGGTGGTTCTTCCCGGCAACAGGCATTCCAGGGTGGCTATACTGCGCGGGGCGGGGGTGCGGCTGATATCTTTGATGAGGAACCGGGGTTTCTGACTACGGCCAGGTCGTGGATGCAGAGTGCTGGGTCCAAGTTGGCGAATGCCGAAGCTGAGGCGTGGAAATTCATTAATAGTGCGCATGATGATAAGTGATTATGGGTTATGAAATGGGTTGGAGTGCTACTGCTATTGATATGAACTTGAAATGTCTAGGGCCTGGATGAGGAGAGGATTTTAGGATTAGGGACTGGGATTGGAGTTTACGGGGTTTGGATATCCGCTTGGGATACGAGTAATTCTTTCGTTTGGTTCGACTGATCAGTGTATGCAGCAAAATTACCTGGCGTTTTTAGAAGTTGGCCCTTCATTATCAGACCTCTGAACTTAATGTTGAATATACTATCTTTTTGAGTAAACTCCCGAGGTCAGGATCTGCCATTGAAAATCGTTTTAAGGGGAAGGTTGATAGAGAGCTTCAATAAATCTCAGCCCCAGATGGGTTTACTGTGGTTTCTATTACATATTTCCTTGTTGGCTAGGTCCTTTCCGACTCAATCTAGTCTTGTCCATAGTATAAACTCATCAAGAAAACATGCCTTCGGGTCTTGCTCGAATACAGAAAATCATTCGAGTGGGATTCCAACTCGGATTGTCCTCCATCAAGATGCTCCAGTTAGCCCATGCCTACCGTGAACGGTCATCGAGTGGGAGACCAATATCACAAAGAGAGTTTTGGTCGAAACTTATTTGAAGGCAGAGATCTTGGTGTATTAGGGGAATACCGGTGTAAGACACGATATCAACATAAACAAGACTATCTAGGCATCAAGCTAACACCTGGAGTTACAGGTCGTGGCAATCCAGTAAGCACTACGGAGTTTAGGTAAGGAAGCTTAGTAGTGAGTGAGAAAAGCAAGGCGGGTGGGACAAACACGCATAATATCGATAAATGCAAAGCTCACAACTGCATTGACCTCTCTTCTCTCCTCGGGATCAGCAAGGGTCATCACGCAATAAAAAAAAGAAGACTAATAAAAGACATTTTAGAGGTGAAAAAATTCCCTAATCCACATAAAAGCAGCCAGGAGCAACCCTGAGGGTCTGTGATGATAGTTTTCATCACCCGCAGATATCATCTCAAAATATCCTTCACTGATACAAATTCAGAGAAAGCTAGAAAGTAGAGGGTCAATGGAGGTCCTATCAATGCCAACTGCAAAAGGATGTTGAAGAAACAAAGGAAAGGAAGAGGAAAGAACGTGGGAACTCGGGAGGGTTCATAATTGTAGTCATGCATCTAAGACATGATACTTTTCGCGCAAATATGGGAAGCAACTGCGACTCAAATGCGAGTGGTAAGCTGAAGTGATGAAATTCACCCACGTTTTCCCTACATTCGCCCATGCCACCCAGTCATGGTGATGAGGTGTAGGCCATAGACTTGAAAGGACGAATTCGCTCTTAGGATAAGGCTCCTATGCTGGTCCAAGAACCATTCATAACTTACAACAGTTGGGTGGTTCCTTGGATTATGGCGCGGATCGTGGCTGCTTTAAACCAACTGAATGGTGGTCATAATGGTCTTGATCATAGTCTCTGTGAGACAGTCCACCTGCTTCTGAATCTTCTCCTGTGGGCTGTCACAAGTTTGACGGTCTATATGATCGATCCTGAAGAGATGTTTAAAGTCCGAGTGATTGGCTTCCGTTCGAGTGTCGTGAGTTGTGACTTTGAGGGTCTCCTTGTGTAGCGAGTATAGCATATTTTGTAAAGACGGTACTTCAGCATAGTACAGGCGGTCAATGCAGTGACTTGCCTGGTCGGGGAGAACAAGGTTGATCCGGTGTTGTTCTCAAACAGATGTTATTGTCAGACATTATGTTGTTGTCAGGCAATTTCCCAGTATTGTAGACACATTTTTTGTAGCAGCAATACGAGGTTAATCATGTTGAATGCAACCGGCATGAATTCGTCATGCTGTCTCTCTTTCTTTGCCTGAAGGATATCGGGATGGGAAGATTTACCGATATTGAAGAAACATCTTTGTCTTCAGCACAATCGTCACTGCCAGAGCGCACGTCCATAGATGATGAACTCGATTGCATGAGATCACTAAATCTAAAATTTGGTACCTGTAAAGAGGTGAGATAGTACTCTTGATATGAGATGCCGTTTGTTTGATCGCCAACGGGTATATACATGAGCACATCTTCTATAAAATTAGCTAGTCAGCATCAGATTGTAAATCAGTATTCTCTAGATGAACTTACAAAAATTATGAGTAATATGAACCCTTCTACTTTCTGACGGTAGTCTTTGTGGCAGTTATGGGAACTTTCTCCTGTCTCGTTGCGAATCTTCAGAACATGTAGAAGCTCATCATCTATGAGCGTGCACTCTTGAGGCAATATTGATTGGGTTAGAGTTGAATTTCCAGAGAGTGGCCGGGTGCTTGTGAGAAAATTGGTAGAAGGCGAAGAAGTTCTTGAGCGTTGGATAGCTGACCTAGAGCCATCCTGTCAAGTGTGCGAGACAAGAGAAGAAATGAGAAAGTAAAAAAGATCGCAGCCAATAGTCTGAATGCAATGACAACTTTGGTGAAAAGAGAGAGAGAGAGAAAGAGATAGAGAGAGGTGAAAAGGAATATAGAAGCACAGGAGACGACTGAGCCCTAGAGATATAAGTTCCAAACCCCTTTCCTTTCCAGGCCAGAAGCATAAAGGAATGAGAGAGTGTGAGAGATGAGTGGAAGAGTTATAAAGAAAAACCCTTATCATAAGACAGACGATTGATGAGAAATGGAAGTGGGGAGGAGTGGGAAAGGGAAGAATTGAATATGAAAGCGGAATGGTAAGAGAATATACAGCAAACCTCAGCTTCCTGCCAAGCATAATCTCACACGCGCTTCAACTTCACTTTAAAGTCACTTAAGATCACAATAACTTAGGACTAGAGCTCACTTTACATAGACCATAATCACTTCAAAGCATCATATTAACAAAAAACATCTCTTCACAGGAAGCCAACATGGATAATGTAAACAGTGCTGATGCTTTATGAACAATGACGTCAAGTATACACCATGTGGTAATATTTTGAAACGGCTCATCTGTTTTCTTCTCTACCCGCAGCCAACAAGGGCTGTCAAGCAATGAAAAAAAAAGAACAAATACTAAAGAAGTAAACATTTGTGTTCAAAAATTCCCTAGCCACGAAGGCAGGAGCAGTCAGGTTGATAGTTTTCAACTAGCAGAAACATAATCTCGGATTACTCCTCACTGATATACGTAATGCCCATGCACTTGGATGGTTGAAGAAGAAAGAAAAAACAGAGAATGCAGTGGGAGAAGATGGCACTTATAGGTCCCAGAATAGAAATGCGCTAGTCCTTATTTGGTGAATGGTCATCAAGTCACGGGATCGAGGACAGGGATGATAAGAACGATAAGGGCAGTATATGAGTAGAGTTCATCTATTTAGACCCATGAGCCACCTAGTTACGCTTCCAACCTTGATAATGGTTCTGCCCGACATAAAACTAGGGTTTGGAAAGATTTTGCCTTCAGAATATATCATATAGTTGTTCATGGAAGCCTTAGAATCGAGACTCAAGTCTACATTGGATACAGATACGGAAGCGAGTTGACTTTATATGAGTGGGTGTTTCTCCCAAGAGAGCCTGAGAGGACCCTCAATAATTGATTGGTCTAATTAGATCTAACTAGATACCTGCCATACACAATGTCAGGTAGAATAATGTATTCCCATGGAAAGAAAGGGAAGAGCAAATTGCATTGATTCCAGCATCCATAATGGAAACCTAATCTGATCCCCAGACCAGTGGGTTTGCTCACACACAGACAAACCCCAAGAATAGAAATCAAGAACATAACTCTGAGTGATATCAATCAAGATGACCAAGAGTTACAACCGCAAAACCAGCGATGCCAAACAAAAACCCAAAAACCGAGAAGTGTACGAAGTCAGTACTGTTCAATCAAGACGACCAACATCCACAATTCCAATTGTGTTTGCTTGCAAGACATTTTTTGGTATGAGATTGGGGGGAAAGTGCTGGAAATCCTTCCAACAGGACATAACCAACGCGTTAAATATTAAGGGTAATAATAGGGGGGAAAGAACAAAAACGAGTAGTAGGCAAGTGGTTGAAGCCTGGGACTCGTTACAAAGATGTTGAGTAAAGATGGGGAGTATTCAAGCTTGACACAGAAACAACAGATCATAAAGCCTGCCGTGCTGTTGTTGAAATAAGTCATTTCCGAAAACAAAGGCCAACGCCGTCTGAATCAAAAGTAACAGAATCTATCCAACGCCAAAAATTTCATTAGTCGACATAAGCCAGAAGCAAATGAAGCCAATGTAGCTAGAAGACTTTTCTCTGAAGTGTTGACATAATCAGATAAGCACGTCAAGTGCGTCCGGGGCCAGCCTTGACAACCTCATTAAAAAAAAAAAAAAATCCAAATAACGCTAATCATGACGTGTGTGTGAATGGTAGGGCAGTTACATAGAGCCCAACCTAAGAAGCGCCTCTACTGCAGCGCGTTCCTGGTTATCAAAGGTGCGTGGCGTCGATTTAGCCACAGTAAAGGGAGCGGGTCCGCCAAGGGATCCAAAAATTCCCGAATGCAGAGCTTTTGCCCGTCCTGCCATGTTACCATGAACAAAGCCAGCAGTGTTCAACGAACGTGCACGCAGGGCGTCAGCCCCGATCTGTGCCCAGTCCTCTTCATCCGTGACGTCTCCCTCGTTAAACTCCCCGTCCTGCAGGTCGTCCGGCGCCTCGGAAGAAGAACAATACTCGCGCTCGTCGCCGTCAAGAGACATCTTATCGGCCTCATGCTCGAGCATGTCCAAATCCTCATACTCGCCCCGCGCACCATAGTCCTCAGTGAAGGAGAAAGCTGTAGAATCTTTTCGGTCCATGCTAACACCGTAGGCGTACGAATCACGGCGATCATAGGCTGTTCGGCCTTCGATCTGCAGACCACGCTGCTGGAATGAACCAGCGACACTGGATGGAGGGGATGACGCGTTGAAGGCTTGCGAGCGCGAGGCCTCGTCGCGTCGTCGCGCATCCCAACGACCCCAACCAACCTTTTCAAAGATCACATCACTCTCCGCACCACTTGCTTCAAGTCCACGACTCTCCAGTGCAGCCACCACGAGACGACGCGCCTTCGCAGGAGGGATGCGCGAGAATCCAGGTACCGAGGTTGTGAGGAAGCCCATAACGTGACGGATGGCCAGAGGACCTTGCTGGAGAAGGATGTCTGGCAGATGATATGTGGCTAGCATAGTGGGTGTGATGGTGCCAACACTGTCGAGTTCATGCAAGGGCAACGAACGATTCTGGTTGTTGTGGTGATCGGCGGTGTCCTGCAGGTCGATGTCGGAGTCCAGCTGGGGCACTGTTGACAATGGTGAACCAGGCGACAGTACTGGGCGGTGTTTGAAGGCGTGCGGGGGAAGATTGGGAGAAATGGAGTTGGGTGGCGTCGGAAGCATAGCGGGCTGTCCAAGACGCGAAGAGGCGTTTGGTGCCAGACCCGCACGGGGCTGAGGGATATCAACAGAAGCAGTCTTGCCAGCAAGAGCCATCGCAATGCTGGAGATAGGTTGAGAAGCCATAATCACAGTGGGATGAAAAGAGGTCTTGTCTAGAGTGCGACAATGAGTCAGATGGGGTCGTTATATAACAATGCGACAAAGCCGATAACACCGGTTACGATAAGGTGGCAACTCCAACAAAGATAACTTGTGATATCTACTCACCTCAAGCAAAGAGACAAAGAAACCAGTGGTGTGTGTGTGTGTGAATGAGTAGGAAGAAGGTATGTCAGGGGAAACGCAGGAACGCGGCTTCCACAGGGGAGTTGAGGACGCGGTAAGGGGATGACGATCACAACTAGAAGACAGATCTGATCTGTCTTACTATATTCAAGGGACCAAGTATATAGGGGAAAGTGTTGGAGAAGAAGAAGGAGGGGTTTGTGCGACTAAGATTAGAAAAGGTCATAAGGCTTACTATTACGGAGTACCTAGTGTTATGGGGTCGGGGTACAAGAGCCTGGAAGGGGAAAGTATGGAACTCCGCATACACTGGGCATGCGAGGCGCGTGGGCAGACTGATTGGCACCTCGTGGATCACCTGGACCGGAAGGTTCCGGGTTAATAGTTAATGATGTCTATTCATTAATTCAATTCACGGAGTACTACAAGTACTGCGTATACCTGGTAGATCACTCTACCATGGATGTGATCTTACTGTGAATCCTGATCCTGACCCCTTTGTCGGTGTATGGAGTATAGGGTTAGCTCTATTTATTTTTCAGTTTAGGATCAAGTTCATACTTAGTAGTCCCTTATCATCCCACAAAAGGATTCAGGGCTCCAGGGCTTCCAGGGCTGTAACCCTACATATAAAACGGAGTATTTTAATCGATTAACTTATCTAGACTTAATTGCCATTGATAAGCACTCATTGCCGCACGTGGTATCCACTTTGCCTTCACTCTCTTCTACTTAGTATCACTGGTTAACTGAGTAATATTCACTCGTGGGAATGTAATAGGGCAGTGTTAGGCATTCACATAACTTACATCTTACACTTTAACCCCTCCACTCTTCTTATCCCCTCGGCGGGTCTTCACTACAGTCGATCCCTATTCTGGTGATACTTGACGTCACACCCGATTGGTACACGGATACTGAATACGCGTCCCTTAATGGCATATCTTTCTAGGTTGCGCCTTGATCGCTATGTCGGCTAAGTACAATGTATAGTCACTACCAACATGATCATTGATCACCTGGAATGTCATGCAGAACTATGTCTTCTACTTCTGTGTAGAGTCTAGACCCTTTCGGAACAAATCGTCCCGAGGGTGTTGCTCAAAATCAGGTAGTGGATCTCTTTTTATTGATACAAGTTTTAGGGACACATTTTCTTGTTATTTTCCCGCGGCGGGGGTTAGGGTTCTAATCGCCATAATACTAAGTAGTACTAGTAGTGTGGAAACCCCACAGATTGGAAAACTGAACTCTCCTACTTCCTAATTCCTAATTCTGAGATACTATCTACTAAGTAGAAATGTGTATTGTCCTCCAGGGCTTAAACCACTCGTGGACTAATGTCAACCTTGAATATTTTGAGTTACTAGATCTCCCTTTTAAGCTGTCACTCATTTGAAATCAGCACACTCGTTTCAGCCTCCAAGGGAAAGTATTAACCTTGATTCCAAGCTCAAAAAGAATGGCGCAGTCTGTGCCGCGGGGTCCGAAGATGCGCAGTCTACACTGCAACGATATGCCCCATTAGGCTGTGGGTCGGAGTTTGGACCTTCATCTTTCTAGTCTTGGAATCTCGGTGAGCATACACCTGCGTGACCAGACAGACATATGGGTCTACCATTAAGGACATGAATCTTAGAGGCCTTGATGCAGAAAGTGTGATATGGTATCCGGGTACATGGATGAGTTCCTTGACATTCTAAGCAGATATGCCAACAGTGGGGGTGACACGTTGAAGCTGGAGAATTGAGGGGTATTCCGTACGGAAGAGATCATTAGTAGTATCATCCACAAATTGATTACTCATTTCAATTCAGCCTCACTGCTTATTCAATTTCAAGATTAATGCGGGTTACTTTCTCAGACTAATAGTCACTCAAGGTTGGAGTATATCGAGAAAATGCATCACCATTGAACAATGACGATGTGCACTCTGCATCAGTGCCTTGATATGATACCTGGAAAGGTACATCTATGGATATACGATGGAATCTCACGTCCAAGGCTATCAAGATGACGTGCACGGGTATTCCAAGGTTGGTGCCTATAGCTATCTAGGATTGCCTGGGAATATTTGAGTACTAGGACTTAAGCTTGTCCAAGACAGTATCTCGGAGGTACCAGTGCTTAGGTAGATGGGAACTCTCCATAGCAGCGGGCACTAGGTGACCTTCCAACGCTGTTCAATGATCTATCATATGTCGTAATAAATGTCTGTACTACTTCAGCCCAATTGAGTATTACCACACACACACCTGGGCATTGTCTTATTACCCAATACGATTAAAATATCCATGGATACCATGAGTTCAGAAAAGAAAATATTTTATGCCCGAATACCTACTTACTTCCAAGTGATATCTCTATATTACAACAAGGAAGTAGACGCTTCTCTAGCTAGGTTAGCTTACACAATATGACTTCATCAATTCCCTCCTTTTTCCCAACTGCATGCAGCAAATTTCCAATCATAATGTACTAAGTACTTATAAACATAATTTCTCATCAAGCGGGAGGTCATTTAAAGGTACCTAGGTATCTTTGAGACCCGTGAACACGTGGACCTGGTGGATTAATCTTTAAGACTCGAAAGTTATGCACTTCTGGCTTTCGAGTTCTTGGCTTACGAAGTACTCCCGATAACATTGGAATGTCGCTTTCTCATTGAACCAGACAGCTCAGACTCCTTCAGAAAGCAGGAAGCAGAAAGCCAACAAGTTCTTGACCGATCTTATCCGACTTGTAGACCATTTCCTTACCATTTGCAAAATGAGAATTTGTAGGTGCCTATCTGACTTGCAATTGGATGCTGCTTTAATAACTCGCCGAGGCTGCATTTTGTGTGACTCTAAAAGCTGAGGGTAACGAGAATAGACTACCTCCATTAGCTCTCTTTATCTTACCTTCCCGCCTGCCTTGCAATGCATCATAAGCCGGCTCATAAAAGAGGACTCTGCTCCACTCGTCAGAAGTACAGAAAGCATCAAGATATGAGAGGAAACCATCAGACTGATCCTCCCGCACACTTTGCATCACACATTTTGAATCAAAATTAAATCCGTATTGGTAGAAAAGTCCAGCCATCTTCACAGTGCGGATAAAATCCAATTAGCGTCAGAGAAATTATAAGCCACTTCCCGAAACGTTTGCCAGAAGAGGCTCTTCTGAATCCACCCGGCCCAAAGTATTCCCAAGCCCATATATGGCGAAGCCGAAAGACAAAATCATTGATTCAGTTCAGTTGATTTTCCCTATGATGTTTGTAGTTTCGGGTCTGGTGAGCATGTTCATCATGTTGATGTCCCCGTGGCTAAGAATAAAAGGGAGAGCTTTGGAGCTTTTGAGAATAGAGACGAGAGGACTATGCGCACCTTTCGAATATCTCGAGCAAATTCCTATGAAAGAAAGCTAACTAATGCAAACTAAACAAACACGAATGACTAAGGAATTAGTCTGACATAAGTTATAATTCACGTGATATCCACATCCGATCTTATCGTATCCGAGTCCGGAGGTCGGAAAGAATCAAGATCTTGAATTCGGATATGGTTATTTTCGGATCCGTTTTAGTGGGGTTCACGATCGCAACAGTCCAGAATGCCATGGCTTTGATGAGCCGATGGCCGGATGGCGGAATTTCGAAACTATAGACCCCATTTAATCATAAGTATTCTCAGTTCAGTGTTAGGACTTTCCTTATCAATAATTTCGCCACTACCGACGATCGACCAAACTTCCCCCAGACTTTAACCTTGATCAGACACTTCCTGCTTTAAAGTACTCTTCTTATTATCTTTATTGCTCAACCTTGACAGAACTAAATCGGAATTGGATCTCGGTCATTAGGTAATATGGCCAATTCTTCGCGATACTCCCCCGTTTTGGAGACGAGTCGCATCTTCTCTAGTCTATGTGACCAGGCGGAGCGACTGGGCTTGCCTTCAGATGTGCAGGTCAATAAGGACCGCGTTTCTTTCTCAACTAGTCACAATGAGATTTACTACCCGATCCCGTTCAAGGAGACAGAAACCTTGGCCGCATTGAAGGGTGTCGAGGGAGCTGTAGCTGCCTCTCTTGCGGATCTGCGATTTGGTGCAGGCTCTCAGCCACGTGGTGTTCAGGTTAGCCTGGAGGGTGCAACTGCATTTGGATGCCAAGCATATATGGCGAAGATTGCCGGACTATCAAAGCTAGATCCTAGTGTCAAGTCCAAGCTCAAGGGTACGTGCAAGTGATAGACGTTGTTTTGGGGGTCCTTTCTTTAACAATTACAATTTCTCAGATACGGATCTGCTGGCTGCTCAGTCGAATCAATATCGACGCATGTCGGCTAATCTGTACAAGACTAAGAACCCTGGCGAGTTCTATCACATCCATGGTTCTTTGGAAGCTACTACCACATTGAACATGATTGGTCTTGAGGGCCATCGACCTGATTTAAACGATTATGAAGAAATCATCAAGGTTATTGAGAGCCATGTGCAGAAATACACAGTCTCTGAACTTGAGGAGATGAACAAGGAACGCCGACAAGCTGGTGTTTCGGCTTTGAAGCACGAGGACTTTATCAAAACTCCCCACGTATGCATTGGCGCTTCTATAAATATGATTTTGAACAGCTGGCTTACATTCTTTACAGGGAAAACTCAACGTGGAAGAGCCAGCATGGAAGCTTGACCAGCTCCCAGGAAACCTTCCCCCAACTCCATTCCCGGTTAACCGTACCGGCAGTAAGAAGCTTCTTGAAGGGGTTAAAGTCCTTGAACTGTGCCGTATCATTGCAGGTCCAACAGTCACACGTATTCTGGCCGAGTATGGTGCCGACGTGTTGAAGATTACTAGCCCCAACCTCTCAGATGTGCCTTTCTTCCAAGTTGACGGAAATATGGGTAAGCACGCTGCAGACCTTGATCTGAAGACCGAAGCTGGACGTCAAGAGTTCGAAAAGCTCCTTGTCGATGTAGACGTTATCGTGGATGGCTACCGACCCGGCGCTTTGGAGAAGCTTGGCTATGGCCCCAAGGCTGTCGCTGCATTGGCCGAGAAGCGTGGCAAGGGTATCGTCTACGTCAATGAGAACTGCTTCGGATATGAAGGTGAGTGGGCTGGAAGGGCTGGATGGCAGCAGATTGCCGACTGTGTAAGCTTTATTTTCACAACTTCCTTGAAAGACTCATGATGGCTAATTGCAAAACAGGTCACTGGTATTGCTTGGGCTCAGGGCCAGTTCATGGGCCATGACCACCCCGTCGTGCCTCCCTTCCCCATCTCCGACTACGGAACTGGCTGCATGGGAGCCATCGCCGCCCTATCCGGCCTCTACAAACGCGCCAAGGTCGGTGGATCTTACCATGGCAAGGCCTCATTGATGCACTATGATCTCCTTCTTTTCGCAATGGGGCAGTACTCAGACGAAGTCAAGGAGGAGCTGCGTGCGGCTCAGCCAGCTGAATTCTTCAAGCTGCGTCACTGCGATAGCGTCGACAAGATCTCGTCCACTGTTCTCAGGGGCATGCAATCTCGCTTCCCGCACTTATACATTGACCCTGATACCAAGGCTGAGGGACAAAAGGCACTGACAGAAAAATGGTTCGCGCACGCCTACGACGCCGAGATCGAAGTTGTGCGGCCCGTTGCTGTTGTTGCGGGTGTGGATAATCAGTTCGTGCGTGCAAGCCGGCCTAATGGTGTGGATCGGCCAAACTGGGAGGACTTCAAAGTAAATGGAGAAGGAGAGGCAGATGTTAAGAAGGCTTGATTTTCTCAGTTCCCAAGTATGCGCCACTACCCAGGTACAATGTATATAGCTTGCGCAGGTGCATCTTGACTTGGACAAATGGAATAGAACCACCACCCAGGTCGATAATTTTAGACAACTAAACTCAATAGAAATGAAATTCACTCGAGACATCATTCAATCCAGTAAATTGGACAAATTCACGCAATTGATAAGATCGGAAGTACCCTAAATTATCGGCCCGAAGCTTCCCCTCATAATGAAATAGGCGACTCAGCCTCTTCCACATTTTCTAGACTTAATACTAAATAATTCTAAATCAATTCAAATCCAATTCACGCTGCAAAATACCAAAAGAAACCCGGAGGAATGTCTTACAAAATCACCTATGACAAATCCCTTGCGCCGCCCCGCGCGGCCGCTCTCGTCGCTTTCATGGAAGACTTCTACCGCACCAGTGACAACGAGTCTTTGCACGAGGAATACGTCAATAGCTTCACCAGCAATGCAACATTGATCATGGGGCCAAAGGAGGCCAAGGGTTCGAGCGGTATGTTTTATTCAAGTTTGTGAAGCGAATTGACGATTTCTATTTCGCATATCCCTGTGGCTCGGTTCCCTCCAACTTCTGCTTGTTCTATACTTCCAGGGCATGAGGAGCTGATGTTTGAAATAATAGAGATTCTTCCTTTGCGCCATGGTCTCTGGACTCATGTCGTTTCTCGGAAACACACACCCACGCACATCTTCTTTGGCGGCGAGAACGAGATCATGCTTTATGGTGGTGTTGTTTATCGACTTAGGGCTAACCCGGACGCTGATTCATATGTCCCTTGGGCTGGGAGAGTGGTGTTTGCGCCTGAAAAGGAGGGCGAGGGTCCTAAAATGCAGTTCTATCAAGTTTATCTGGTATGCATAATAGCTGGGGTTGGGTGATTAGACGCATACTAACCGATTGATAGGATACGGCTGCTCAATCCGGCAAGAAATAGATAGCATTTTCCCTCGTTCAGGAGACCAGGTGGTCTTCGCGGGTATAAAATAACTTTATACATAAAGCTCATGATTTTCCAAGACTCCTGCCACCCGCTGTAGATCGCTGTCTGTTGAGAAACGGAACATAGAAACGGAACATTCGTCGTAACCAATGAGCTTTGCTGCGAGGAATGTGAGGTTATAAACTTCAAAGTCAGAGATATTGTACCCACTTAGTGCAAGTGCTGCGGTGAAGGCTTCTTCTGACCCCGTTAGAGATGATGATGACGCATATTAACAGGCCGCAGATAGGCAGTGTCCACAATTACAAGTGAAATCGCAGAGATCATCAAGAGAGGAATCAAAGAGTACCAAATGAAGTATCCTGTCTTAATTCTTACATCAAAGGACCAAGTGGATGATGAAGACGCCTTATTTATTACCCCTTAGGTAGCTGATTCATATCAAGATGAATTAACCCAGTACCCTGCAGAATTAGGTATGTTTTTCCTTTATCCTAGCTTTCATATTCCATCTTCATTAATACTTATATCTAGTCTACTCAAAGCCATTGGGGTATTGGGAAGCAGTTCAAATGAGATACCCAATCTTGGCCAGAATCACCTATGATTACCTTTCTATCCCAGCGAGCGGTGCTGGTAACGTCATTATGAACTGATGGATTATAACAAATAATATTTATTTGTAGTGCTTTTTCCACTTTCACTTCTGCTTCATTTCTGCTCATTTCTGCTTTACTTCTGCTTTACTTCTGCTTTACTTCTGCTTTACTTCTGCTTTACTTCTGCTTTACTTCTGTTTTACTTCTGTTTTACTTCTGCTTTACTTCTGCTTCTCTGACTAGTCGTTCATTCCTTCTACTTGGACGTTTTATCTAGGCACCTCCCTTCCTTCCAGCTGTCATCATGTCGTGTCTATCGGCTGATGATTACAGCTCTAGTCTGATTACTCGGCTTTCTCCTCGTGTTCCATCTCCGTTTTCTATCCCGCTCGTCTGCGTCACGACTACCTCCGCCAACGATTTCGATCAATTTGAGCAGTTTCAGGCAGACATACTTCAGAAACTTTTAAAGAACACTCCTGGTGACCATCTTTTCACAAAACTCCCCCCTGAGTGGGGATCTCGCATATTCAAAGAGATAGACGAGATCTACCCTTGCAGGTAAATCTTACACTCTTCTTCAATTATATACCTTTAACCTAATAAAATATAGAAAAACATGGAATAGTGCTAGCGGGACACTTCGCATCAAAACAATACCTGTCCGGGTCCATGATTCTTATCATGGGTGGATTGGAGTATCGAGGGAGAGATGGATTTCCATGAACCTATGGACAACGGCGGAAGGCCTGCTATGCCGTGCTCAAGTTGGAACCACACTGGAACATACATCGGGGCCATTGATGGGATTGAAAAAAGAGCCGGACCTTATGTTTAAAATTAACCGACAAGATTACCCAAAATTCGTTATCGAAGCAGGGTGGTCTGAGTCCGCCCCTCTTTTGATACAGGATAAAGATCTCCTTTTGAGTGGAGCCCAGGGTGACAAGAAGGTGGTTATAACGGTCAAATGGAAGAAAAACTCCCAGGGTCAAGTATTAGGAAGCCTTAAGGTCTGGCGCTGGGGGGTGGCTGTCCCAACTGAAATGGTATGTGAAGGTCTGCAAAACTTTATTCAGTGTACTGATTATCTCGAACTATATAGACAATATTTCCACGGCCGCCGAATGGACACCTGCAAGTCATCAATTTGACTCGTTTTGAAGTTTTTGGTCGATCTATAATCCCGGGGCGCAATCCCAACGATCTTCTCCCTCTGGCCTTGGACGACTTGCGATGCATTGCAGCAGATGATCTGGCTTTGATGAACTTGACTCACGTTTAACCACTCACATATTAGCAAGAATTACTTCTTCTGCTAGTTCTTATCAGTTTACTTTCTTGATAATATAAGCTACTAGTTTTAACTTCTCCCTATTATTCCACTCGATATCTCTCGCAATAAAGTGCTCGAACTAGCATTGACTAACAAAATATGCGCAATCATTACGCCTTGAAGGTTGCTTGTTTTTGTCAACAAGCCAAGATACTTCTAGACCACAGAGCAGACGTCAATACGAAGGGTGAACCCTATTATAGTGCCTTACAAGCTGCTTATGACTATATTATACAGATTCGATTGAACCATGGAGCCGACTTGAATTTGTAAGCAGACATGGGGGCTTTGCGGATTGCCTGTGAAAAAGGGCACGATGACATCGCTCATATACTATTTGACTATAGAGCTAAAATCTAGGCTATGTTGGCAGCTCGTGGTGGACAGGAATATTAAGGCAGCGAAGGATATAGGAAAATGCTACAGTTGCTTCAAAGAGTCACTCCCTTTTAACGTCGACTTCTCGGTCAACAAAAGCTCGCGTGACCTGATACTCAGTGAGCAAATCAGTGAGCTTATATCATGCTCACAGATCGGATCAGGGCGCTCAGAGGTGTGCTCAGTTCTGCTTAGTGAGTAGAAGCGGCGAGGGGGTGAGCACTAATGCAGAAGGAGAACGCCAAGAACTGGCATAGGAAATCCGGCATATAGGTAGATCAGTTCAGTGTATATAGATTGTATCATACCATCTGGAGAGTCCGTGAACACCCGTAAACAACTTGATGATCTACTCTACTCAACTACGAGGGAGATGGACGATTTAACGTGTAGTCAGACATGCTCTTTTTTAACCAGGAGACCGCGAGAGAAATCAAGTACTAAGACGTAGGGGAAGTTCGGGTCAAAGAGGTAAAAAATGTATGGAAAAAAAGAAATTTGACTCCGCGCAGCACATACAAATGCTACGACATAAAGGAGCCAGAAGCATGTCTCTTCTTCAATCTCTCTCGCTGAATCTCTCGAATATTCCTGGTCGTCGTGAAAATGGAGTTTGTAAGGAGAACGTGAGAAAAATCGCTGGGACCAAGCTCCGATTTTTTATGTCATCTCAATTGCCCTGCTGGGGAAAATAGCAAGCAAAACAGAACGACCCCCGAAACACATTATATGCCCTTGCGATACGTTTACTCCTCATCCGACTCCTCCTCATCGACGGTGGTCTTGGCAATACGGTCAAGATCACGCTGGCCGCTCTGGGTGATGCGGCGGCCTCCCTTCTCCTCATCGATCTCGAGGACACCGATCTTCTCAAGGGCCTGGAGGGCCTTGCGGTCAACGGAGCCGGAGGCGTCAACGTGGTGGCTGGGGCGGGAGCCACGGTTCTTGGTGGAACCGTGGACCTTACGGAGACGGCCGACACCGACGGTCTTGCGCAAGTAGATGTGACGGGCGACAGCGGCGGCGCGAACGTAGAACCTTGAAGAAACATGTCAACTTCCTGAAGTGTAGATGTCGATCTTGAAAGATAGGCGGTCGTACCAGTCAGCGTCCTGGGGAGGGAGCTCGTTGGAGGCGGAGGTCTTGACAGTGTCAACCCAGCCAGGGATGGGGAGCTTTCCCTGACGTTTCAAGAAAGCAGAGTAAGCAGAGATGAACTGCTGTGCCTATATGACCGAAGAAAATATTGTTAGTATCAAGCTTTTTATGTTGATCGATGTTTCTCCAGTCGGGGTGCAGAGCGCAAATTGGCAGAGTATCTCGGGTCCGATTCCAGAGGCAGTCAACGTAATCCTTCTCTTGTCGTCAAGCACAGGATATCAAGTCTGCTATTGAGGAGGTTACATCTAGTGGTCTATCACTAGGTTTGATATAACGGGCCAGTGGTCCATGCATATCTTGCCAGAATCAAGATGCACTTGTGCACTTGATGCCATTTTGCCATTTATTCTGCAGCCTGGCAATCTGTTTCAACCGTATCCAGTGATTGGACATAGTATGGGCGTTGCATCTGCCGCTGGTTCCTTCTATCTTGAATCGGTGCCTCCAGAATCAAAACCAATCTGCAATTCGCTATCTGCATTCGACGAGGACCGGAGAAAAATAATTCGAAGGACACTTACGTCCACATCGCGAACGGAGACACCACCCATGTTTGCGGTTTTTTGGAGGGCGTAAGGGGGTTGAGAGGGTCGTTGGGCGGAATGTCGGTGGGCAGTCGAGGTTCGAAGGTTCAAAATTTAGTGCTGCTTCGCGCTGTGCGAATTATCTATCATGTGACCCACAATGTTAGGGTTAGCCGAAGATGGGTCACATGACAACAAATCAATGCTGATTAATTGACACCTGATTAAATAGGCAAACATACAAGTCAGCGGGAAACAACAGTAAAAATTATACTCGATATACGTATCTAGGTTTTTAATAAAACATTACTTCTCAAAGGTAGGCTTCAGGTATTTCATCCGAACCACCCGGACCATCTTCTTCAGCTAGGTTTCTCTCATGCTTAACCGCTTCTCTCTTTTCGCAAGCTTTTCGACTTTAAATTCAGACACTTTTTATCCTACTCCCTTGCGGCTTGTCCAAGTCCCCCATCTTGCTCTTAGGCCCAATACTGCCAAATCTGTTAAACTAAATGAACATACTCTCGATCCAACTAATAACATATTCACTTTAATTGAACTTTCACTTCACTTCTAATGATACGAAGCGACCAAAAAACTGAATTCATTGTTCTAATTACAGACTTTAGTACATCTGAATAAATAGGCAAAAAGGAGAATATACATCCCGATTTCACTTGGGCATCATTAATTGTAAAATTTAATTATCGTTTCTCATAACCCGAATATAAGATGCCAAGTCCAAGTCCATCGCCTTTCAATCCACCCATGCCCAAAACGCCATAAGAATCGCGGAAAAAACCATAAGAGTGTTGATATTATTTACAAAGTGGGTGCCCTCTTCAGCCCCACACAATATCGTACAAATAATGTATCAATGAAGTGACCATGGCGGATGCCAGGTGGTCGACAAGAATTGAACTCGTCAATTGCGTCTTGGACGCTATATCCCAGTTGTTCAATGAGATAGCATGCGATTAAGAATCCAGTGCGGTTGTACCCGTAGTGACAGTGAACACCGACTAGAGGACGTGGCAGAGATGGATCTTCACGTTTCTCCATCTGATCGTCAATATCCTTCTGGAGACGATCGACAAGGGCAATGAAGTCGCGGGTCTCATCGGGAGTGGGAGGGATCTTCGACACCGTTGGGTGCTTGCAGTAATTTATACCGCCCTTCTCCATGTTGGCAGGACTGTAGACTGGGCTCTCGTGGCTGATGTCGATTATGGCGTAGATCTTGCCTTTGTATTTTTCAGAGAATAGGACTGGGTTGTGCTCTTCGTCAACCTCGCGGAGCATCTTCATCGCAGCAAAAGTGTTTGCTATTGGCTTTGAGACTGGGGCAACCTTCTTCCACTTTGCAAGGTTCTTCACGTCCCATTTGCCTGAAGTGTTCATGTGTTGTAGTTGCCACCCCAGTCCCAGACGCTTGTCAATGTGCTGCGTCAGGAAATCCTGAATAATTCCAGCCAGTGTACGGTATGTAGCTCGATCATAGAGAAGAGCATGAGATGCTGGCGCAGGTAAGATGGCTGTCTTCACTAGTCGCTTACGTTTACCGCCAGTGACGCTGGCTGATTCCATTTGATGTTCCGTTATGACAGGCTGAACACCATATCCCTCTTCATGAGCCAGGTAATCGGCTGGTGCTGCCGCCTGGTCGTGAACTTGCGAGGCATTGGGGACGACGCTGCCTTCGCTAGTGTCAATGGCAGTATGAATAGATGCGTCACCAAAGAACTTCAGCAGTTTTTGAATCTCAGCTGGCTTGGTGACAGCATCTGCCTCGCCTGCAACCAACAGAATCGGCATTTGAATACCGGCCCAAACCTTCTCGCCAGGCATACCTCCCACAGCTTCATCTCCATTGTAAGTGGGAAGCGTACCCCAGGCCATGCGACGCCAGACAGGTGTCTGGCTTTGCTTATTGAAGCGAACCTGGAGATCCCGAGTCTCAGCATCGGCATCTTTGCCTACCATTCTCATGACACTGGTACTTTCAATACCGCCACGTCGATCCCACAAACGCCAGAGATCGAAGATAGGCCCGGGCACGTGAAGCAATCGGCGAAAATTTGTAACTGCTTTCGGCGAGGGAGGCGTTGCCTTGGGGCATATTGCGATAACTCCGATGATATGCTCTTTCAGGCCCTCTCCAATTGACATGGTCGAGGAAGCAAGCAGAGCAGACAATGAACATCCCAAGCTGTGACCCACGAGAATAACATCCTGTCCAGCCTCTCGATCTCTGTGTTGCTCAATTGCCACAGCTAGCAATTCCGCTAGAGCTTCGACTGTGTATGCATCCCATTTAGTCGGTGAAAATTTAGATAATCCGCATCCTGGCAAGTCAATGCCAAAGCATGATCCTATGTTTGCAAGACTGGTCAGAAGGTGGTGGAACTGAGCGAGCGATCCACCCAATCCATGGATAAATACTAGCAAAGGAACAGGCGAGGGTTTGGTAGGAAGGCGGCTGATGTGTGGGTGGGGGCAGTAAAAGGTTCGAATGGTAGGATAGGTCGCAATGGGGGTAGTATAGATTTTGTACGAAGTAAATTTCTTCAGAATTCCGGGATCGCTTTTAAAGGCTATATAGCGATTAGATTATTGTTTATATGACGTGAAAGAGGGCTTTTATCGCACCATCTGAAGTTTGCTGCTCTGGTTGGGAAGACCATTCTTGAGAAGTGTCAAGAGAGTCAGTATCGTTTCGCAGGGTACCGTTACTGCTAGTAAAGTCTTCATCTTCATAATCGTCATCAGAGGAGGTGAGAGTCTTCGAGGATGACTTGGAGGTGCGTTTGCGAAGGCCAGACGGGCGAAACTTTTTCTTCTGAGGCGACCGCTTGCGCCAGAAAGGACGAGAGAAGATAGCACACCCGGCCATAGTTATTACAAAAGTTGTCAAGAATAAGATGTGAGACCAGCTCAGCACTTCATGGCGATATAGGTTGCGCAAATACTTTGCGACAGAGGTGAATGAAGCTCGTTGGGCAGCTACTCGTGCAGCACTGCAGTGGTACAGAAATGCCTCAATGCCCGATCGAGGGGAAGGTTGAGAGGCCAAAGAGTCGAAGGCAGCAGACAGGGATTCAGGCAAGTTTTCCGACATGGCTGATTTAGCTGCTTTATCTTGTGTCGAGGCAGTGCTAGCTGTTCGAGAAGTGGGCCAATGCCTGAAGGATGGCACAAGTAGCACGCGAAGGCGCAACCGGACCTCCTTGGATGTACTAGATAGCACCCCAATGATTGACACCAATCAGATAGAGGTGATCAACAACGTTGTGGAAGGAATTGAGGAAGAAAAGAATATATGACTTCGACCAGTCAAATTGATCGATGGGGAACCGTGGGGGAAAGAACGTGACTCAGAGGATCCACCATACAATCCACATATCTTCACGTCACGGGATCTCTTCTAGAACTTCAATAGATTCTATATTTATCGATTACGTTGCATCATTGTTTACTAGTTCAAATCTTATTTATGTCCAACTGAGGGCTGAAGCTTATCAGAATATCAGAATACCAGAATATAGATTGGATGAAAAATATGGACATTGGGAGTAGTTACACAGTAACACGGAAAGACTGATGGAAATCATATACATACGGGTAATAGGTATACTCTGTTGTTTCACCACCTTGGATTGAATATCGCGTTCGTAGAATAAGTGTTATGATTCAGGGGCGTTTCTATTCTATGATCCCATTTTTCAGATAGATCATAACAGCCCCAGAGCTAGAACAAATCCGTCACTGCCCCATGCGATGCATCGCCTACGAGCCGCGCATACTTGGCCAACACACCCCGGGTCATTTGCGGCTCCGGAGCAGTCCATTGGCGCCTTCTCTCCTGGAGCTCTTCATCCGAAACATCCATAGATATCTCATTAGTGACAGCACTGATGGTAATGACATCACCATCACGAACCAATGCAATGGGTCCACCCACGGCAGCCTCGGGAGTGATGTGTCCAACAATGAACCCGTGGCTGGCCCCTGAGTATCGCCCATCAGTAATGAGAGCAATGCTGGTCAAATTAGCGCCCTTCAATGCGGCACTGGCTTTGAGCTGTTCCGGCATCCCGGGTCCACCCTTTGGCCCCTCGTATCTGACGATCAAGACTAGATTCTCCCCACGTGGAATCCGACCCTCGGTCAACGCATCATTGAGCTCATGTTCCTTGTTGAAGACACGGGCTTTGCCCGTGAAACTGAGACCCTCCTTGCCGGTGATCTTGGCAACGGCACCTCCCGGAGCGAGATTTCCACGCAGAATCTGCAGGTGGCCTGTTGGCTTGATGGGATTGGTCAATGGGCGAATCAGTGTCTGGTCTTGCGGTAGCGAGGGCCATGATGAGACGTTTTCCTCCAGTGTTTTACCAGTGACAGTTGGAATGTCGCCATCGAGTAGACCTGCTGCAATCAGAAGCTTCTGCACAGACGGTATGCCACCGATTTTGTATAAATCCACCATGTGGTATTTACCGCTAGGTGTCAGATCAGCAATGAATGGTATCTTGTTACTGACGCGCTGCACGTCATTCAGAGTCAGATCAACGTCCGCCGTCTGGGCCATGGCCAGGAAATGAAGGACGCCATTAGTGCTACCACCCAATGCCATGGTCATGACCAGGGCATTTTCAAAAGATCTCTTAGTCAGAAGGTCTCGCGGGCGAATGTTCTTCTCCATGCAGATTTTAATGGCCTCAGCAGCGCGTACGCACTCGCGCATCTTGGTAGGCGAAGAAGCAGGTGTTGATGACGAGCCGGGCAGAGACAAACCCATAGACTCAATGGCAGTAGCCATGGTGTTTGCTGTGAACATACCACCACAGGCACCGGCACTAGGACAGGCATTCTTTTCCAGATCATCCATGATCTCATCCTTATTCTTGCCGGTTTCTCCGCCATCGTCGGGCTGGCGAAGCGTGTCATACGCATAAGCGCCAGCTGCCTCAAAGCACGAATTTATACTGATGGGCTTTCTGAGACACTCGGAGTATCCTGCTTGAATGGTACCGCCATAAATCATGATAGATGGGCGGTTGTGGCGAGCCATACCCATCACCACACCAGGCATGTTCTTGTCGCATCCTGGAATGGCGATACATGCGTCATGTGCCTGGGCACAGGTGACAGTCTCCACGCTATCAGCAATGATTTCCCGGCTTTGCAGCGAGAACCGCATGCCTTCAAAAATGTTAGTTGGAGCATCATGGCAAAGTCAGACAAATGTTCTAACGTACCTTCATTGCCCATTGTAATTGCATCAGAAACACCAATGGTATTGTATTGCCAGCCCAGCATTCCCCTTTCTTGAACAGCCTTCTTCACCGTTTTTCCCAGGTCCATCAAGTGCATGTTACATGGGTTACCCTCCCACCATACAGAGGCAATTCCAACATGTGGACTTTGCGCCATTGCCGCCTTGTCTGGCACGCCGGCAGCGAAAAGCATAGCCTCAAGCATAATTAGCAGGGCAAACATTATAAACAGAGGTTGGGAAGACACACCCGTGCACCAGGGAAGTCATGGCCATTGGTGAGAGTAGAAGAATATCGGTTGAGTGCAGGCGAACCGTCAGGGTTTTTCGCGTCTGCAGGTAGACAGGGGAATTTGATGTACTTTGATTCGGAAGCAGATGGAATTAGGGACGAGGAATCCATGATGAGGCCTATAAAGGGGAATGAGTAGAATCAACAAGAGATTCTTGAGGCATTTTAAGTGGAGCTGACCCAGTACCCCAGTACCCCGCACCCGGCACCCACACTCGGCTCCTTCGGCTTAATTATGATCTATCAGCGTCGTTGAGAATGAGCTCCGAAACCTTCTAGCCGAACATTGTTTGAGGTTTTTCACTTTTCACCCCTAGACCTATGCCAACTGACAAACATAATACAATGTCCACCGACATTATCATCGCGCAGCTAATTGGAACTCTAGGTTGCGGTATTGCAGCTGGTGATACCCATCCTTAACCCCGGAGTCATAATTAAGCTAGCGATAAGCTAACGTTAAGCCATCAGGTGGCATTGGGACTCTATCGCTCATATGCATCCCAGGTCTTACCCTCCCAGCTCGAAGTTCTAGTCCAGGCCATTCAAATTCACTACCTGAAACTCCAATCCCCCACCTGGCTCACCAATGGCTAGATAGTTACGATCGTGGAAATAAAATCTTCCCCGGAATCTGCACCATCAGCTCATTTGCAAATGGCTATCTTGCTTGGGCTTTGAAGGATGTCCCGGCACCTGGTATCATATGTGGTAGTTGGACTAGCCTCTATATTGCTGCTGTTGCGTTGAATATGGGCATTGTTGTGTTCACATTGTTGGTGATGAAGGGAACCAATGACCGGCTCCGGGATATTGCGGAGCGGAATGATGCTGCTAAGGACAAGGAGGTAGCTTTGAGTGATCGGGAAAAGGCTCAGAGAGCTGAAGAGGAGAAGCAGGTACCTGTGTTACTGCAGAAGTGGACAGGGCTCAATATTTGCAGAGCTGCTTTCCCATTTGCTGGTGCTGTTGTTAGCTTCTATGGATCTGTTTGGCTGAAATAAATGAATTTATGTTAATATTGGGATATAAAGTAAAATCAGTATCTACACCACTTTTAGGGGTATCATTAGCTCGAAAAGACTCGAGGTTGTGGCATAAACCAATATACGCTGGAGCAGGGTCAATAATTATAGTGGGGATTCTCTTCAACTTCATCTCCTCCCTCAGCAGGTCCTTTCTCATCGATGGACCACTGATTTGAATGATGCAAAGCCTCGTCGGCGCTGATATCATTAAGCGGACTCGACTTCCCAGAATTTTGTTGGGTCTGCTCTGTTTGCTCAGAGTCGAGTTTTGTATCGTCTATGGCGAACCCGACGATCTTTCCGGTACCAGGATTGGAGCGAGCTTCTTCCAAAACATCCCCGTTCCAAGGTTGGCACTTTTTGACAGTCTCGCCACATCGGAGACAGATCCAGCCCTGGCCTTCCTCGCCCTCCAACTTTTGGACAACACAGACAAAGCAATATATACACCCACAAGGGATCGTCTCGTAGGGATTGACGATGTCCGTCTGTGCTGATCCTACAATACCACCCGCCGAGGCTGATGCTGCAAGAGCATCGCTCTCTGTTGTGCTGGTAGGATTTTGATCCCGGTAGCAGATTGCGCATGTCCGTTCTGGCAGGAATGCCAGTTCTCCTTGCTTCTCTTTAGAGGTTTCGTCATCCTCACTGGACCTGAGGGAGTTGACTGTCTTTCGCCATGCACGAGCTATCCATCGTCGCCAGCGGCCAATTCCAACGAGAGGAAGCAAGAAAAGGAGGAATTCGGTAAAGGCATGCCAAACCAGCTGTCTGTTTAGATATTCGAAAGATACTTCGCGACTAGCTTGGGTAGATGGTGGGGCGAGGCGGATACGGAGGATTCGATCGACCAGCGTTCGGTAACGGCCGTTAACGAGAAATACTAGGAATGAGACAAAGGAAGCGATCGAGTGCGTTGTGGAAATCATGTCTGTCAGACGCGACAGCATCCGTACATCCTGCGATGGCTTAAATGGCAGTTAGTAAGTTGTTGCAATAACCAGGGTGGCATCATATCACCAACCTCTGCATAGCCGCCTTCCTGTCCGATCAACCAGCTCTCCCATTTGCCCCAAGCATAACGACCGCCAACTGTAAGGAGTCCGTAGACCGACTTTTGCCATTTTGTCGGAGGAGAGTATACTGGTCCCTTGCTACGACTGTCGGTATATTGCAAACCCTGAAGAGCAGCTCCGTATGACGCATTGTGGTCCCATATCGAGAGCTTGAAGAGAATGGCTCGTAGCGCAAATGAAACTTCATGAGACCAGTCTTCTCGTATCTGAGGCTATAAATGCATGAGCATAAAAGATATGCACCAGCATCATTGTAGATAAGACACAAAGACTTACACCGAAGTATTTGAACGCGTCGCTGACCTGGTTCTTGAACAGGCCAAGCAACTCCTCATCCAGTAATTCGGCATCCACCTGGCCCACTCTGAACGCCGGGCGCGTACCCTCTCGGCCCTTGACAGAGTTCCAAAGAGTCCATCCTGCTCCTGGTAATCGGTTCAATGGATATGGAAGACGTTGCACGGTGGCCGAATTGATCGGGGAAGCTCGCTGTTGTTCTGCTCGTCGGGCACGCGCTTCCACCTCACGTAGACGGCGGCGTTCGAGCACCCGCTCCTGTGCGGCGGCAAAGTTTGTAGAGCTCATAGTAAAATCATGGCGTGGTGGTTACTTGGATGAGGGCTGTCGGAAAGCCATCTATTATCGGTTCCCCAGGTTTAGAAAGCCGAGGCATGTATCACGTGACTACATATACAATGAAATCTTGGAAGGTCTAGATAGTTAGATGTTGTAGCTATTTATTAGGCACCTAATAAGTACAGCTATTACTATTTAAATAATAAGTTGGTAGAAATAGGATTGAAATTTCTGTGCACTCGTCATGCCTGCACTTCCACGGTTATCCCGATGCATTAGCGGCCGGGCACTGTAGATGAAATAAATGAGAATTGTGGTTCTCAAATCAAGTCAAGTTGATTAGAAACCAGCGACTATAGCACGTGCCCTACCTCGGGCTCAGTGCGTGGATTAGCGTGCCCGTAGGCATGATTACTTAGTAAATATGCAATCCTTGATGTTGTCTATTGGCCAATCAGATCATCCAATTCCACATCGTGATCAACCATTCCAGTTTATTCTCTTATACTCTCTTGACTTGCCTCGCCTCGCGTGGACTTGTGCCTGGAAACTGCCAAATTCGGTGTGTTTATTTTTCTTAGTGCATCTTTAATGGTTCTTCATTGGATTCATATGGATCTTTGATCGGAATCTAGCAAAATAGCTCTGGAATAGTTGAACCCACGTGTCAAGCTCCTACCTTCTATAAATCTTTCCATTTTGCCTATCATTTCCCTTTTCTTCTTTCTTCTCTCTCTAAGCTACATTCCTAGTTTCGTTCTTTTCAAGGTACTTTATATTGAGACTTCACTCAAATCTCAAGAACCGTCGCCATGATGAAGCCTGCTCTTATCACTCTTGCCGCAGCTGGCGTGGCATCAGCTCTCGTGGCTACTGCCTCCGAGCCTGCTCTTTCTGATATCGCTGCTGCACAGGCCACTACTCTGCCCGAGACTACTACTTCCGATGTTAAAGGTCTTGCTTTTGATCGGTTTTACCAGGTCTGGCTCGAGAACACTGTACGTATGGCCTTTCCATGAGACTTTTTGGTTTGTACTTACATTTTATAGGATTACAATGATTCTGCTGCCGATTCCAACCTGCAGTGGCTGGCTGAGCAAGGTATCTTGCTGTAAGTATTCATGAACTCAACATCTATGGCACCTACTGAACTAGACTTCAGGACCAACTTCTATGCCGTCACCCACCCCTCAGAGCCCAACTACTGTGCTGCTGCTGGTGGTGATACCTTTGGAATGGACAACGACAAGTTCAACCAGATTCCCGCCAATGTCTCCACCGTTGCTGATCTGTTGGATACCAAGTCCATCTCGTGGGCCGAGTACCAGGAGCATGACCCTTACCCCGGCTTCCAGGGTTACAACTACTCGAACCAGGAGACTTACGATAACGACTACGTGCGCAAGCACAACCCCTTTGTTCTCTTCGACTCCGTTGTTTCCAACGACACTCGTGCTCGTCAGATCAAGAACTTCACCGCTTTTGACAACGATCTGAGCAACAAGCAGCTTCCGCAGTGGGCATTCTTTACCCCCAACATGACCAATGATGCACACGACACCAACATCACCTTTGCTGCCAACTGGGAGCGCAACTGGATCTCCAAACTGCTGACCAACGACTACTTCATGAACAATACTCTTGTTCTCCTTACCTTTGACGAGGACTCAACCTATGCCAAGAAGAACAAGGTCTTCAGCGTCCTGGTCGGCGGTGTCATTCCCGACAGCTTGAAGAACACCACTGATGATACCTTCTACACCCACTACTCCAGCATCGCCTCCGTTTCTGCCAACTGGGGTCTTCCCTCCCTGGGCCGATGGGACTGCGGAGCCAACATCTTCCAAATTGTTGCCAACCAGACCGGATACGTCAACTATGATGTTGATGTCACCAACCTGCACTTGAACGAGACCTACCCCGGTCCCTTATCCGCTGGTGAATACTCCGAGTACTCCTCCGTCTGGCCCAACCCCCTGACCACCGGCTCTTGCTCTGCTGGTCACGGTATCTTGGATGCAGTCAAGCAGAACTTCGCCAACACCACCCCCACTTACAACTACACCTCTCCTTTCCCCTACGATTCCGTTTCGGGTTACAACACTGAGGTTACTGCTACTCGCAAGTCTAGCAACTCCAGCTCGAACACCACCACCAGCGCTACTGCTACCGCCACTGGCGGTGCTGCTGCCAATATTGCATCTGTCTCCACCTTGTTGACTGGGGCTATGCTGACCGTGCTTGCTTGCTATCTGTGAGCTTGTCATTAGTATGGCGGGAAATTGATGCTATCCGGATTTCTCAAACGAAAAGGAAAAGAGTCCCACGTTTGTTCTTATTGTTATAATTATAGCTACGCTTTGCAATGACATCATGAAGTTTCATGAAACCTCAATCACTTCTCTCATCTTCCAGGGTTTATCTCACCTTCATCTTATAATCTTCAGAGTAGTCAACAAGTCACTCAATCTTTTCTTATTAAATGACACTTTTTGGTTGATTGATTAAAATAGGACAAAAAATGAGAACATGACATACGCCTCATCTAAATATCCTCCTGAATCATATATTGCCTGCCTTGATCAAGATGCTTTTAGTCTGGAGAAAGTTACCAATGGTATTCAAGTAGCCCTCGCGTCCAATACCGCTCATTTTCCATCCACCAAAAGCCGCATCTTTGACCATGGTCGGACTGGTACAGTTCACACAGACCGTACCAGCCTCTAGAGCCCGAGACATTCGCATCGCCCGATCAATATCTTTGGTAAAGACGGCCGCGTAAAGACCAAACTCAGTGTTGTTCGCCTTTTCAATCGCCTCCTCCTCTGTCTTGAAAGTATTTATAGCCACCACCGGCCCAAAGACTTCTTCCTTAATCAGTCTCGAGTCTTCAGGAACCCGCTCAATGATTGTCGGCTTGATGAAAAACCCGTCACCAGCATTCCCACCAACTGTAAGATCTCCATCCTTCTCCCCAATGCCGAGATAGTTTTTCACCCGCGTGTACTGCGCCTGATCAATTTGAGGACCATGCGAAGTCTTAGGATCGAGTGGATCACCCATCTTTACATCGGCAAAATTTTCCCGGAAGAGCTGGAGGAAACGTTCTGCAACAGTCTCTTGGACATAGACACGTGAGCTGGCAAAGCATGTCTGTCCGCTGAGATATTTGATGCTGAACTGTGTCTGTTGAGCTGCTGACTCCAGATCGGCATCTTCGAAAACAACCGATGGAGACTTTCCACCGAGCTCCATGTGCAGGTTCTTCATATTAGAATTGGCTGAGGCCGCTTGAATCTTCTGACCGGTAAGGGATGAACCAGTGAAGCTGAGGCACCGGACTGACATATGAGCTGCGAGGGCAGCCCCCGAGAGATTTCCGAATCCAGAGAGGATGTTGACGACACCAGGTGGGAAGCCAGCTTCGATGAAGAACTTTGCTGCATACAGAGACTATCGCCTGTCAGTATCAATAAGAAAAAGTAGTCAGGGTATTGAACAACTGACTGTCAAGGGCGCCTTCTCTGAAGACTTCAAAACGACAGTATTTCCAGCTGCCAGTGCCGGTGCTATTTTCATAGAGAACGAGCACAAAGGCGCATTCCATGGAATTATCAATGCAGCTACACCATATGGTTCCTCGGTTGTCAATTTAGTGATACCAGGTGTGTTGTTACTCGCGGTACCCTGCACACTCCAAGCATGATCGCTAAAGTACCTGAAAACGTCGGCCGAATACGTTGCATCCATGATCTGTGAAACTGGCCGGCCGGTACAGCGAGACTCTAGTTTGCCCAGCTCATCGCTTGCTTCCAAGAAGAGATTGGATATCTTCCGAAGATATACACCGCGTTGTTCAACGCCAAGGTCTCGCCATGCTGGAAACGCTGCATTGGCTGCAGCAACGGCATCATCAACATCTTTCAGGTCTGCTTCTTGGACTTGATTCTTTGGGTTATTTTCAGGTACATTCGTTAAAGGGTTGTTTTGAGTTACCTTGTGCTACCACTTCTTTGGTATAAGGGGAAATCACGTCAAATGTTTTGCTGCTCGATGAGTTGCGGAACTAAATAATTTTTTTAAGATATTGCTCAAGCCCCAGAGAAAACAAGACCCACCTTATTGTTGATGAACAAGCGAGTCTCAATAGGCTCAGCCTTTTGAACAGCGATGGTCATCTTGAGAGTAGAGTGCGTAAAAGTGCTCGATCTTGGACAGGATTGATATAACTCCAAATATTCGGAGGAAGTATTTGTATTGATAGAAATCTTGGAATGATCAATGCCTTAGGGTGGCTCTCTTTATACCGGGCAACAGGGCTTTTCCCCTCCTTTACCTAACAATACGATACAAGATCGGCATACATATGCAGAGCTACTAACCAGGCTCATAGAACCGAATTCAATCCATGGATGCCTTGTTGTCATACATTGAGGTATGTATGTGTACCCAATTTATTTTGAAAGACTACTTGCGCAGAAGACCATATCTATGTATGACGAGGGCGTTGATCATTTGATAGTATCAGAAAACTACTCACCAAAGCTCTTCACCGCATTTTCGTTTCACCGACGGAAGATCTCCTGCAATCGCAGATCCCTGGAGTTTTTGGGAAAATATTCGCCACTTCAAGAGTTCGAATAGTGAACCAGCACATACTTTAGGACACAGTGCCTGATATGAAAGCTATTCTCATAGAGAACTACCTGAAAGAACTTGGGCCACTGAGGAGTTTAGGATACCACAGCACGCTTGCAAAGGTTTGTGAGCTCGCCCTCGAAGGCCGTGGACCTGGAAATCTCCAAGATCAGGCGGTAGCCACCATTGTTTGACAGGAAGCCCTAATGCAAGAAGCGAATAAGTTGATGCAACATCTGGCTCACCTTGGACTGATCACAAACTTAATCAGCCCATAAACGGCTACAGAAGCACTAGAGGGCCATGAGGACGAGATCGTGAAGCTGATAGCGGATAGGCTCATAATGTCCGGCTTACTATCAGATCTAGTGAGACTCCCACTTACAGGCTATCTCAGTATTCATTTTGACGATGTATAAAGCAAGGCTATCGAAATCATAGATTACAATCTGATAAAGTACCCTGATAAAATCAGTCTCGAAAGCGTGGTGAGAGAATGCGTTTCTGGGAGAAATTAGCAGCAGTTCAATCCTAAGGGGGTGTCCTTTTTCAGGTATTTTGTAACGTCTCATTGGAAGAGCAACTACTTAGATATCAGTTAGAAATGATAATAGCTCTTGCGGTCCGCCTCCGTCTTACCTTATCATCCTCTTGATACGATCGGTTCCTCTGTTTGGTTTCTACTATCGAATTCAATATTTCTGTCTTTTGTTTAGTATGTGCGACATCCTTGTATTCAAAACACATTATAGTGGTTACCCAATAACATGCAGCAGAACTTCGAGAACCTTGCTCTATGCTAAGATATAACAAAGTGAGAGATAGCGGCGTAGATTAGCCTAACCCTAAGAATTACAGTGCCAGTCTACATATCCTGAGTAGTATCTAAACCATCAAGATGAGGGATAAAGTTGATTTTGACTGTGCGAGATATAATAGCTTGGTTAGCAGTTTGCACATCTGTCGCTGAATTAAGTTGAGATAGCCAACATTGTTTGGTGATTTGTCCTCTTATAAAATTAGAAATATCTTACGTCATACCTATAAATCTCCTCGTACGGGCTAATGCTTTTCGAAACCGCTTAAGCTTTCGACTCTAATGCGAAAATATCTCTAGTGACTGTAGGTTGTTCTTTCCAATGTCGTGGAAGAAAATCCAGCGCTCCTTCACCAGAGGTTGGCTTCAAGCTATATAGCGAAGAGCTTAAGAAGTCAATAGCTTCGAGATCAAAAGCAGGATTCAACAGAAATTTTCGTGATTGATATTGCAATGGATATTCTCACAACCTGTTTATGTGACCTTGAGCGCAGTCCAGTCAAGGAGCTCTAAAATTCCAGTGATACCTCCTGAGATAAGTTTGCCTTGGGATCCCTCGATCTAGAATGTCCCATGCTGTATTTGATTCAGATATCATCCGGATTCTCATCAACTGAGTTTGGGCAAGGAGATGAGGCAGTTTCAACATTTTTAGCAGAAGGCCGACTGATCAGATGAGGTAGGGAAGACATCTAATGCCATATCCAATCCCAAGTATTGAGATATGTAGAAAATAGCGGTAGTTTTCTAGCACAAAGGGTCAATGCCATTCCAAACTTGATGTTGATTTGTGAAAATGGGACTCATAGTAACCAAATGAGCTGAGCGATATACTCAGTCACGCGATCGACACATACCAAGCCCTCAAATATTGACAATTTCTGATTGAATCGGGAGCTTTGAAGCTCAATTGCCCGCGACTTAACAATGCGGCTAGCCCTAACTCTTCGTAAATCTCTTATCAGGTTCTTATCGGATTTTGATCGACACGGGTGAATATTATTCCGGTATCGATCCAAACGATAAGCGCGTTGGTCTAAGTTGGTGGGGGTCTGTTGACAACAACCTTCTCCAATATTGAGGAAGATCGCGAAAACCACTCGTCATGGCTCACGCTCAGCCGATCGAGGTGGCTGGTGAGACGAACCCATTGAATTACCAGAACCTCGTCAACGCCTTGTCTCTCGCGGCCAGTAGTGACTGGCAGCAGATCAAGGCCTCGAGTGCGCAACTGAACAACTGGCAGAAACAGACGACATTTTATTCCATGGTTCAGGTATGTCCGTTCAATTTCTTGTCAGCACTATATCGCAATAAATCTAACTTTTATTGGGTGATAGGATGTCTTTTGTGACCAATCTCTCCCACAGGACGTTCGCCATATGGCAATCACTCAGCTGAAGAACGCAGCCGGCCAATTCTGGCGCAAGACGGCACCAAAGTATGTCGTCAACTTCTGGATCTTCGAGATTTGACACGCAATACTTACTAATCTCGATGGCAGTGCACTACCCAAAGACCAAAAAGACAAAATCAAAGTCACTGCTCTACAAGCAGGTGTTCTTGAGCCCGTCTCAGTTCTGGCTGTTCAAAATGCCCTACTCGTCGCCAAGATTGTGCGTCAAGAATACCCTCAAGACTGGTATTTATCATCTAACTCTGATTGCACTTATTTGTTGTGCTGACCTGAATAGGCCCGACGCGATTTCATCTGTGATTACCTTACTGCGCACCGCAATTGAGCCGGGCGCCAACCCTTTTCAACTCCCTGGGACCCTCAAAATCCTCCTCGAGGTCACCAAGGGATTGTCGGAAGCTCGTATCTTGAGAATTCAAGAAAGCTTTCGATCAGTGGCCCCGGAGATACTACGCGTGCTAGGAAACATTTACGTTGACAAGGTTAACCAATGGGTAGCGGCTCTGGAACAGGGTATTATGGACGAAAGTCTGTTGCTGGATACCATTCAACATTCTCTACTATCTCTTAGAATCCTACGGCGTCTCATCGTAGGCGGATTCGCCCGCCCTGGTTACAACCAGGATGTTCAGGAGTTTTGGGCTGTAACTTGTTCGCATTTGGTCAAGTTTGTCTCGATTGCAAACGAATCCGCCAAGTTACCGGGAAATCTCTCCATCGCTATTGAAAAGCACATCTTGCAGCTTACAAAACTGCATGCTAATATGTCTACGAGGCACCCTGCATCTTTTGCACTCTTTACGCAAACTATAGATCTTTTGAAGACCTATTGGGCAATGCTTCTTAGACTTAGTGAAGTTTATGTCAGTCTCGGTCAAGGGAATGATGAAGAAGAGGGATCAACTTGGCCAGAGAAGACGGGCCTGCGAACTTTGAATCTCATCAGATCATGCGTGAAATTAGCATTCAAGCCCGTACAGACCTTCAGAACCCTGACTCAGGAAGACAAGGACGATCGAAAAGTGGCGGTTGCACGAATCAAAGAGCTCTTTACTGACAATTTTGTTCTAGAAGCAATGGAAGTTCTGGTGACTAAGTTCTTCAGATTCCGGGATTCGGACTCTGTACAGTGGGAGTATCAAGCCGAAGAATGGGAGATGGGAGAAGAAAATGATGGAGCTTATGAGTTCTCTATCCACTTTTGTTCCCAAAAGCTTTTTCAGGATCTTGTGATTCACTTCCCGAGCTTGCTTATTCCGCGATTGCTGGATGTGTTTCATACATTTGCCCGTGAGTATTATATCCATTTGCTGAAAGAATACAATTGCTAACACCGCTCTTTCAGGCCTCGACAATCAAGACGTAATTTTGAAAGACTGTGTGTACTCTGCCATTGGCTTAGCAGCACCGTCTCTTGCGCAGCGCTTGAACTTCAACGCCTTTCTCGAGTCGACTCTGATCCCCGAGGTTCAAATTGAAAAACCTGAGTACCGTCTTCTGCGTCGACGAATCGCCATTGTTCTTAGCAGTTGGGTACCAATCAAGCCTGATGACCTTAACACCAGTGCTGTTTACCAAATATTCCAGCACTTACTGAATAAGGATGACTCTTTTAATCACCAGGTGGTCCGCCTCACTGCGGGTCGTCACCTTTGCCATGTTATTGATCCCTATGAATTTGCACCAGAGCAACTAAGCCCATTTGCAGCGTCGATCATTGGAAGCCTTATGTTGCTGATCCAGGAAACTCAGCTTCCTGAGACGAAGCTGGCAATGTTGGAGACGCTCCGTGTTGTAGTTCTCAAGATGGAGCATAACGTAAGTTCTCATTAGTCTTGAATTGCAACATTTATTAACCGATTTCACAGATCGCTCCGTATTCTGACCAGGTCATTTCGTTCCTTCCAACGCTGTGGGATGAATCAGTGGATGAGATTTTACTCCGACAAGGCATTCTCAATCTCATGGCCGCTTTGATTCATTCCCTCAAGGAGAACTCTGCACGGTACCATAGCCTTCTTTTACCGCTAGTGAAGACCTCATTGGACCCCAATTCTGTAAGTTGATCGTGTCGAATATTGTTAATGGTTTATTTTTTGACATTATTTTAGCCTACTTTCGAGGACTTCGTGTTTGACACATTGGAGCTATGGTCTGCTCTAGCCATGCAATCTCCGTCGCCCGCTTCTCCGGAACTACTAGCTGGCCTGCCCGCTGTAATTCCTATCATCGAACGAGGAGCCGAATGCACGCCCGTGGCTATCCAAGTAGTCGAATCCTACGTTCTACTCGCTCCCAAGGAAATCCTGGGCGATGAAATTCGGCTTCCATTGCTGCGCGCTCTGGGCGAAACTCTTACATTCAAGTCCGAAGTCAACCCTGGCGCTGTGACTCGTATTGTTCAAAAGATGATTCGCGGTGCCGAAACAATTGATGGAGGCAGTGAAGCCATATACGGAATCATCTCGAAATCGCTCATCGACAGTGGATTCCTCCGCTCTATTCTTCAGGGCCTCTACTCTGCCCATCAAGCAAGCCAAACTACTGGGCCTAACCGGAAAAAGTCAGAAATTTCCGGCATTGTCGAGGGCCACTATTTTTCTGTTCTCGCCCGTCTCGCACTGGCGAACCCTTCTATTTTTGCCGCTGCAGTCGCTGCAGCGACTGAGTCTACCGAAGAGCAAACCCTTGACTGGATTCTCAGTGAGTGGTTCTTCCACTTTGATAGCGTCGGTAGCATCAGTGAGCGGAAGCTACATGCTCTTGGCCTCACCCAACTTTTCAATCTCCGTGGACCATCCAATGGCCCTCCTAACTTCATTCTCAATCGCTTGCAATCTTACCTCACCGTTTGGACCGATATTATTGTCGAGCTGGCAGAAGGCTGCACTGGACACCCAAGTGCTGACTATTTGGTCCACTGGGATTCGAGCGATCCTGAAACCGCTGTGGCCCAAAACGTGGAGACAATTGTTACTCCTCAGAACGCCCGTGAGACTGAGTGGTCTAATTCAGACCCGGTCCACTGCCTCCCTATGCGGGACTTTGTGCGTGAGCGACTTTCTCAAGCCATCATCGCCTGCGGTGGTGCCCAGCGCTTCCAAGAGGAGTGGCTGGTGAATGTTGACGCCGAAGTGTCTGCGGCCTTTGGTGCCCTGGGCCTTATCTGATCAGGACATGTCATTACCTGTATTACCTAGTATTCATCAATGCCGCCATCCATATCCAAAAACGAGAACACATATTTTAATGAAATTTTAGATTCTCTGTAATATTTCGAGTACACTTCGAATGACCATATCTACTATACCAGTGATCCATTCATCATTCTGCAGCCCGCCCATGACGTACACATTCACAAGTAAACATTTTGCCTCCACAGCTGAGCGGAGACATGTCCTAGCCAACTCCCACGCTGTAAGGAAAAGATTATTGATACCCCCTCCAGCAACAAAACTAAGCTTATAAGCGTCCTAGAGTCCATTAAACATCAGCCATTCATTACCAGCACTCTCCTGTATATGTCCGAATACATGTAGTCTAGGTTTAACTCTCCACAGTATCTGTAATAGATGAGCACAATCTAACTGAAGTAAGTCAAGATTAGTAAGTGGTGAGCCATGAGTTACGAGCACATCAATCCCATCCGGCACTAAGCTCGGCCAAATATCCTGACTTCGAGATATTGAAAGGCCCAGTCTCCATGACGTGCGGAATGAGGATTTCCATATATCCCGATCTGCCGACCATTCGGGCAGTGAATGGCCACTTTCTCATTTCCTAGGTATATGACATCGGTTCAGTCGAGTTGAGCCCGCTTAGAGGCTACCGCGGGGAACTGGTGATTCCATCTTGAATCAAGTAGAAGCTCATTACTAGCAGCAATGACGATTTTAGTGGCATGAGGCAGTGAGCGTAACCATTAAAGTGATAATATGAGCTCCTTCGCCTGTTCTTTAAAGGTCCAGATTGCGTGAGGTCACTAGCGTGGATAGGGATATATCTGTCGGTACACCTGTATCAAGTGTGGAATAGCTATTCGATAAAGGTGATGAGGCTAACGCCCACTTCTGACACCTATCACAGGTAACACTTTACGCCCCTATGATATCTTTGTGTCCTCTTGAAGTGGTTGTAAAGTCTGGTTTTCATTCTTAGTTTGCTATCTATTATAAAGTAACAATTTGATCACATGACTGCTTTGTTCCATATTCCAACAATATCCATCTGAAATACTGATTTTAGTAGCTTATTATGGGTATCGAAGATGCAGACGATGGTGATGGGATTCGTAAGTGGTGTTGCTGGTTTAGTGCCCTGCCAGTTGTGAAGCTTCCATGCGAGGAAAATGTAAGGCTGGGCCCATAACTTTTGCCAGGGACCGCCTTGCGGTGGATTAATGAGCTCCTTGGGGTTAATTATCTAAGTCTTAAGTCCCAGGTAGTTGCAAAACTACCTGGAGTCAATTGTCTTTCTTGATGGGAAATGATCGGGTGTCGTCGGTCTTGTCCTCCACGGTTTTATAAGATACTGTCCATTGAAAAACACTTCATGAAGTTGAGCGATGTATAAAATGAATCAAAATTGTTAAAGAAAAACACCTAACTATAGGTTGATTTGGTTGCATAATGCAAGCCCCCTAACTCCTAACAGCCATGAAACGAAAGACTCGCGAAAAGAAACACAGAAGAAGTAAAAACGCCCCAGTCTCGAGATAAGGGTAAGCTTCTACCTTAGCACTGGCCAGGGAACTGGCGATCAGTGACAGGGTTGGGGAAGACTCCACTAGCCAGCTGGGCCTTCATGTCCCACTCTGGGGCACCCTCAGTCTTCCAGGTCCAGTAAAGCCAGCCACTTCCCTTCTCAAAAGCATCCAATTGAGCCTCGATGAACTGGCGGATGTTGTTACGGTCATCCTGGGAGAGGCCATCGACGCTTCCAACGGACTTTCCTTCACAGCTACCAAGTGCTGAGCTACCTGGGTAACTACCGTCATAACGAGAGCCAATACCCTTGCCATTCAGATACTTTGCGCAGTCGGTCATAGCACCGGTCCACTCGCCAACAACAGTCCACTTGTCAGAAGTCTGAATGTGGGCACCAGCAAAGCCACAGGCAGTGCTGGCATGGGCGTGAACATCAAGAGCAAGAAGGCCGCTCTCAAAGACTTCATAGTGGTGGGTGTCCATCATGACAAACCAAACACCAGTGGACTCGCTCATGAAACCGTTCCATGACTCAGTTGGTGTAAAGCCATCGTGAAGAACAATAGTAGTGTCCTGGCTGTACTGGCGGGCAAGACCCCAGGTGTCGTAGTAGTATTGCTTCAGGCCATCCTCGTTGACACCGCCAGGGATACTGGGCTCGTTCAGAGCTTCAATTGCGGTGACAACGTCAACATCTCCGGCATATCGCTTAGCAAGAGCATCGATGGCGTTCTTGGTGTGTTCTACAGTGTCACCCTGCTGCCATTGAATGGCACCTCGTTTTCCACTGTTGTCAAATCCGTTCTGGGAACCAGGGGCTGATTTCTAGAGTTAGCATCGGATGAGACATAATGAAGCACAGTGAGCCATTTAGATACTTACCTCCGTGAAGGTCGATGAGGACTTTAATACCAGCAGAACGTGCCCACCCGACGGCACTGTCCAGATACTGCAGCTGGCCATCAACATAGGTGTCACCATCGAGATGCTCGAAAGCCCAGTACCCGATAGGAATTCGGACATGGTTCATGCCGGCGGAGGCAATCTGATGGAAGTCATCTTCATTGATGAAAGAGCCCCAGTGCTGAGATAGAACACTGCGGCACTGGTCGGCACCGAGAACGGCACAGAGAGAGTACTCATCCACGGCGGCATCACCAACGTTATCAAAGATTGATGGGGTGATCCAGGGCTCCAGAACCAACCAACCACCGAGGTTAACACCACGAACCTTCTCCGATCCGTATCCAAAGCCAGGAGCACTGTAGTGTAAATATTAATATTTTATATTTAGCGAGCTGCTTCATGAGAAGATTTTGCAGATGACTATAGTCACTTACACTGTTGTTGGCGAGGCTTGCGCAAGGGCTGCCACAAGGGACAAACCAAGTAGAGTCTTCTTCGCGAACTTTGACGGCATTTTGAATTTCGCTAACATAGTTTAGCCCAAAATTCAGGAGGCTGGGCTTCAAGAATGAGAGGAGAGAATAATTGTGTCAATTGGCATGGAAATTGGCTGCTATAAGTAATCTTAATGTCAATGCTTCAACTTAATGCGGCCGCAAACAGGCTGACTGCTCGGAAATGGACATCCCGAGGTTTAATTTGGCGATAAATTCATACCTCTGACAATAATTGTGTAGATCTCCTCTTGAGGAATAGATGGGCAAGGTACTTCAGAGACCGGAAAAGGTAAGGCGCCTGGCCGAAAACAGTCAACAATGGGAATAGGCACTGCGGAGTCCGGGTTTAATAAGTGGAACAATGGTGCTCTTTGTACGTCGATGTGACAGTGAATAGCATACCTCGGTAATATCCTGTTCTCTAGCGCGGATCTTGTGGATTTGACAACATGGTGGATGTTACAGTGCTCGGGAAGCTGTTAAAACACGGTCGGCGATGAAATAAGAGGTCACAGCTGAATAAGAAAGCAGGTAAAAGTGGTGGAGCCTTGACAATCTGACAAGCTGTGATATGATTTCAGTAAGACTGCGTTTGAGAGAAGGGTCAATGGTTGACGGGAAAGGACGTTGTTGCCGTTCTTGCTTGTAGATAGGGCTAAATCTATCAATTGAGCCAGAGAGAGAAACTATACTAAGTTGCGCAACGTGAAATGACCTCTGCAATGTGATTAGGAATTCATTTCATTCATTGACTATGCAGTGCAATTTTTTGTCCATGATAGCATGGACTTGCCAACCGCACCATGAAGTCCAGGTGTTGCCGTTTCCGGCGATCTCAGGTGGCTGCCATGCCCTGAGGCAATCAGATCCACCAAGCACCGACGACATCCTCTCTGGAATGTGTCAAACCAAGTTTCGACCATCAGCCTTGGAACCTTGAAAGGCAAAATACATCTGAGAATGTGATTAACTAAGTCGTCCAAGGTTCCAAAGTTGGAAATTTTCCAAAAATGAATCATGTAATGCACTGTACCCGGTCATATCAAAACTTCTAAGATGCCAAGGTGTGTGCTGAGGATTTCAGGTAGTGGTCAATGTCAAGTTCAACCTACCTCTCCACTTTGGAAGGCTAACTTGCATTGTATTCCCTAAATCAGCCCTAAGCAAACAATATCTACACAGAAAACCATGGATACTGAAATGGCTGGAGGTAGGAATCGCTACTTTGCCGGGTAATGCTGAGATCACAAGGAATGTAAGTTAGGAATGCACACGTCCTACGCTAGTCCACTTCGGAATTGAAATACCAGTTCATTGGTTATGTTTTTGTTCAGAGTACAAATCGAGACCTGTCAAAGTAAGGAGTACTAACACAGCATTATACCGTTTTGTGAGTGACTACATAGATACTCTGAGGTGTCTAGATGCATTAGTTATTATACTTAGAACTCGTCAAACTGTGATTGGTATCGGTAGTATTATGAACCTGTGGACCTCGGGAACACCTCGATGTATTCGATCCTGGGAAAAGATATTGCTACCAAGTCTACCTCTTACAGATGATCTTTATGTCAGTCATAGAGATGAAAGCATCGCTTTTGTTAGACCATTCTCTCCATCCTTGAGGGAGCTCATCCTTTCTGTCTTCATCAATGAGACCAGCATCAACTCCCTTGTCGAGCACACCTTGTTCCAGTCGCCGGGCCATTGTCTCACCCCACCACTTCAATCCCTCGGGACTTGAATAGTAAACCGTAGCTGCAGATGCCTCGATGTCTGCCGGCTTGAACCCCGCATCTTCAGCCCATGACCGAGCCTCTCCGCCATAGGGCGAGGTCTAGCGTGATAGAGCCAGGTCCACAGCCAATATCGAGAATCTTCATATCTAACTTGATTCTCGATATGAAATAGGCAGACGTGTTCGCTGCCGTCCGGACAGAGTATGTTTGCAACATAGAGGTTGAGTAATTGTCCGACATTTTGGCGCGCATATCGTTAGGAATATTCTTGTTTAAATGGCAAGAAGATTAATATTTTCGATTCTCGCGCGCGGTGGGCTGTTTGAGGTAAACAAATGGGTCGGCGAAACGGGCCGGTAACGGACCGGTGATAGTTGCCTACTCACTCCTTGCTCCGTAGCATATCCTTTCCTTGGAAGGTTGATGCATAGTTTGCTCAACATTCAAGTACTTGATTAGCTATTTCACTGTTGATTCATGTTAGATCGACTCCGTATATTGCAACTGTAGTATGAGTTGCCCGCTTCCGTGCTTAGCGCTTATATAACTCAACACTAGCTTTTTATGTCCCCCACTAAAATAAAATCATGCTCCGTAGGAAAAAAGGAGCAAAAAGAAACCGTCAGCTGTAGGATTCGAACCTACGCCCCCGAAAGGATTTGATAGCTTGGTCACGTGACCTTCGAGTCAAACGCCTTAACCACTCGGCCAAACTGACTATACATTATTTCATATATTTAAATTTGCTATTTGTAGTAATTCTGAGGCCTGACTAAGAGTTGGTGAGTAGTGATATCGAAGCCGATGTGACGTACATCTATATATTATATCATCTGAACAGGTGCGTAGCCGTTATGTCTCGGATTCGGAATCAAAATGCCTCCAAGATAGGTACCAGGTACATAGGTAGGGAATAGTCTTGAGCCCTGTTCATTCGTAGATACCCATAGATAAATAATTGTATGTAAATTAGGTACATCTAAGTATCCACGTCCTTGATATTTAAACTTAGAATTTAGAACTTTGGAAGAAGATTGTTTTACAACCTCTCAAGGTTGGAGCGATAGATAGCAGAAACTTTCAAGGCTTGAATCAACTTGAGAACATTGAGTTCCGAGAAGAGCAAGACATCTGCTTCCTTGCTCAATCACGTAACCGGTGCAGCAAAGAGCCTGCAAGCAAAGATATTTGTTTTGGGATTTGTAACCGAGAAGATCCCCGCCTTTCGGTTGTTGGCCAAGGTCCGGGTGTCGATTTCTTCCATCATGGGAAAAGTGGATATGAAAAGGGAGAGAGTGTCCTCTAAGGTGATGGAGTGATGGATGGCGGGAAGAAGTGGTGGGAAGAAGCGGTGGGAGAAGATTTAAAAAAGATCTTAAGGTTATCTGTGGAAGATGCAGAAGTGAACCACAACAATAAACAATGAATTGAAATGACATCACTCTAGATAGCTATTTACTTAAAATGAAAGATACCGTTGATAGCCAAGGGTAAATAGCTATTTGGATGGAACATTTAAGCAACTGCCATTGAATTTAACTGTCTAATACCTTTGCATTCGCAAAACGGTACAGGAAACCTATGTGGGAGAAAACTGTACCAGGCACAGAAACAGGACAGCAGAACGAGCTAAAAATCAAAGATGAAGCAAAGACAGTGTAAGTCCGACCACTTTATCGGACACAGAATCAAAAACTGGCAAAAACTGGCAAGAAATAACTCGAGTTCGTCTTCAGACAATAATTTCATAAAGGTGTTCAGGTAATAAACCTGCAACACTAACTACCAGAAACCACCATAAAGAGCCTTGTTGCCCTCATATAGGGATACAAAAGAAAGTTCTCGAGATGGAGGCAGCAAGCCTTAGAACAAGCATGTGACTACACATCAAAAAATTTCCTCTTACCCCATAAATGCCACTAATGCTCTTTATCCTGGCATATGACAGCAAGTGTGGAAGATCGGGTATCCAAAGCCTCTTCACAAACCATAATCCTGAATATAAATCAGTTTAACTGTCCGAGATCCTTCAAGTCCCAATTTATGTCAAAGGCATGGATCAAAGAGTGACACACCTGACTTAAATGCTTCTAATATCGGTTACTGGATGTCGAAGAACCCTATCTGGGCGGCCACTTTCCGAGTAATCTCGATATTATGGTCGCTGTCAAGGAAGACAGCTCCAACAATAGCTTCTACCGCTTTCATCATCACACCCGGGGAGACATGGTTCCCTTGAGCGGGATTCACATATATAAGCCTATCTAGGCCTTTAGAGAGTCCGATTTTGTTAATCTGCGTGCTGCAGGTTCGACCGTTCTCAATATGGTTCATGTCGCCTATGTCCAGAATAGTTTGAAATAGTTTCAACCTTGGAGCTGAAAATTAGATATACTTACTGAGATTCAAGCTCCTGTCGTCATAGCTGTTCAAATGGGACATAACTTTGAGCAAGAAAGGTCCGATTAGAGCCAATCGCGAATTCTGGTCCTGTGAAAGGACCATATGAATTGATCATTGGTTGATGAAACTATACCCAATGATCGTCTCTAGGATCTCTGCACGAGTGGTCGAATCAGACATTGCACTGGAATGGAATAAGTATGGACTATGGAGGCTAAGATATCCAATGGTTATGTTTAGGTGGTGAGCAGGAAGTCAATGGTCAGGAAATTCCCTCAATTTATTCATCTGGGAATCTTGCAATGTTTTCAGGCTGTCATCCTTGGGCCTCTACGGCTCTGCCAGCTGATTTTTTCAACGCAAATAAAAAGGCAGAATCATCTCAACCCTTGCTTTGAAATGCGTGTTCAAACACAAAAGGTAGCCCTGAAGGTAACAAATAAGTTGGACGGAGGTGTTACTTGGACATGTTATCATACAGGCTATTGGCTCGTAAAACCCGACATCAAGCGCTTTGCTGGCAAAATGCAGACTAGGGATGGATATGTTATGCGACCAAATTAGCAGGGGGAAGCATTGGCGGTTAGGTACCTAACTTTGTCTGCTCCGGAGAGTAGACACCTGGGCAGGTCAAGTGAATCGTGAGATAGTTACATTGATCATCAAGAAAAGGAAATTTCGATCAACAACGGTGCATATTACAGCTCTAGCACGGCTTTGCGGATCTTATCGTTAGAAAGCGATTCGTTCATCGCTTCGAGATCGGTGGCGGTAATTACACGTCCCAGTACCTTGCTGGCGAATGGAGCGTACAGGTCGGGCTGAACAGTGAACACCAAAGAGAGCGACTAGGAAGGTCTGCATGCTGTCTTCGTGAACGTATGCCTGAGTGAGGTATCTGATTTCAGAGAGAATTACACTTTCTAAGCGCTCGGAAGAGATGTACTCGTCCTGGGCTAACTTGAGCACATTCTTGCGACGATCGATATTACTATGGTATGGCCCTGTGGAGTTGTTAGCGTGGTACTTACCCCCTTTTACCGCCTTATTGATACTAGTCCTAATATAGCTTAATGTAATACACCATATTTCAGGGACCACGGTAGTTTACTAACCTCGTCGCCTGCCTACACCTCTGGTCGTCGCCGTTATCCCCTGCCCTACTATGGCCACAACTCCTAATTAGATGAAGGATTGGACAGGGAAGCATTATCTGCGTGCTATAATACGAAGCTATCTTGAAATGAGTCCCGTAAGATAGTTTATTAGGCCTCAAGAGCTGTTCCAAACGGGCTTGTATTGCGAAGTAGGTTACCTTGATGGTGGCGATGTTTTTTAAAAAAAAATTACAAATATGTAATATGTTTGTAAAAAGCAGCTTTAATACCATAGTCGGTATTTAAAATATGGCAGAAAAGTGGGTCAAAGAAGTACTGTCTAACAACTCCACAGGGCCATATCATAGTAATTACGCGGCCCATCTCGTCGATTGCGGCGACATCACCAGTATGGAGCCAGCCATCCCCAGTGAAAGCCTTGTCTCCTCGGGGTTCTTATAGCACTCACGGAACACACTATTGCCGCGTAGGAGAAGCTCACTCCGAGGGTATGGCTTGTCATCCACCGAATAGTCCATGTCGGGGATGGACTGCAGACAAGCCTCAATGCAAGGAGCAATAGAGCCACAGTTGCCGGAAGATAAATCATAAGCGTGCTGGCCTGTACAGAAGGAGAAGGAGCATGATATCCGCTCCTGGAGGCTTCGCCCAGCGCCTCAACTTTATCGATAGTGTATATAGCCACTTCTTGACCGGCCGCCATAGACTCGAACAAAGCACGCTTCGAGTGACCCGCCTTCTCACCTACATCGAGTGAATCCAGGTAGACAACTATCTTTAGGTTAGGTAGAAGTGGCTTGAGTTTGATGAGAGTGGGGAGGTGGGGGAGAGAAGCCACTACATAGTTCAGTTCTGCATGGTTGATAATGTACTCTGCTGCATCTGGGGCTAGAACATCATAGATGGAAACGGTGTAAAGAGACTGAGACATGCAGGCGAGATCTAAATTCCATCAGTTTCCGTGCTAAGCCTACTAGACATATTTCTCACGTCAATCTTACCAGTCAACTGCCACTCGGGGCGGTTCAGGGACCAGAGACTAACGCCAAATTGGCCAGAGCGAAAGCAGTCATGCTTATGGTGTAGCTCGACCAAACCAGCGCCTAATACGGCACGTCGCTTCTGCACAGTCTCGTATGTCAGCCATTGGTAAGGGCCAAACTTCTTGGTAGACTGGTTAAATGGGCGTCAGCCGAGGTACTGGCTCTAAGGTCGGCGGTTGGCCGTGAACTCGAACATATCGTGGATTGTCAAAACCTATACCTAATTAGTAAGGGATACACCTTGCGACTCTCTATTTGTTAACCTCGTACCTCTGGGTCCAGGGTTTTTATCAGCTCTTTCTGCGCATGACATGATCGATGAATGTGACTGCGGCCAGGTTTCTCGCTGCCAGGGATGGTGACTGAGTAGGGTTGGCCTGGCGGAGTCGGTTGCCGCAACTCTGCGGCTTTGATTTCGTGGGTTGGCTTTGAAAAAAAACATCATGAAGTGTCCTGTTTTCGAGAATCTATCAGATTAAAAAGTAAGCAGCTAGTCGCCACGTGCCTACCTGGGTATAAGATAGATAGTTATTCCACGCGATATAGCACATACCTCAATTGAAATCAAAGAGGAGGGCAGTGAAACCTTGGAATAAAAGATCTTCCAGAATTCAGTGAAACCCCCAAGATTATGGGGAGGAAAAGGTGGATTGAGGAAGAAAAATAAGCTCAGGGATCGTTCTTCAGCTCGGGATTCGTTCTTCTTTGAGGGAATTTCTCTGGGTGTTGGCCGATCATAGTGGAGCCGGCCAGCCTCAGCCGTTACGTATTCAGCTAGTACTTACTTATCTATAGACGTCTCTTCGTTTATGAATACCTCATATGTAGTTTCAATTGCAAATTCTGACCAAATTTCGGTAAAATGAATTACCTAAATTGCTGTCGAGACTCAGGCATCGATACTTAGGTGTCGAGGCCCGTGGGTCTCATTGGCCTAACGAGGTCGATGTGGAACACACATCGAGTATTTAGGTGACAACTATTCTAGTTTAAAATATTACTCCTCTTTACAACTTTTGACCTCGTAACAACGATTGAAAGACTAGTCAACCCCTCCCGGTCTATTCATAGTAGATCGACGACGAGACCATTAACAGTGGACTCGTGATACGACGAGCGGCGACTCATTCACAGTGAGCCGCGACAGGAGCTATTAGCAGTAGTTCCTACCGATAAATGCTGTCCATTATGCCTTAACAACCTACCTAGGTAATACCCAGGTCAAGCGTATAGTTTAGTCAGGGTGGGCTTCACGGTATCTAATGATGTAAAGCTGCAATGTCCCTTCTCACCTCCCTCAGAGTCGATAAACCCGAACGGCAGACCGGTTGTCTGACCCCACTTCACTTTGCTCCGGATTGCAGTATCCGAGTCCTCCTGGGTTGGTGCATGGCAGGCGGCACTGATGGCAGCGGAACAAGACCCAGCTAATGGCACATTTGACTTGAGTCGCTTGAATGCCAATATGCACAATGTAAGTATCATGACAGCCCCGACCAAGATGGATAAGAGAATGAAAATAGGGGAGAAACCAAGTCTACCGTCTTTGGACTCTTTGCCCACTTCGTAAAAATCTATTGCCAGGTAGAAGATAGATTGAGAAATTGTCCAGTGGAGGGTCATATATAGGAAAAGGACAGGCACACCGTAGCGATACGGAATGCTGAGATAGTATGTCGATCGCTGCTGGCTTTCCTTAATAGGCCAAGTGACACGAAGCGCCTTGCGTTCGATTCCATAGGTGCTATACTCAGTAGCAGCTAGCATACTGGTAAGTACCGCGTTATAACAGTAGTAGCACATGGTTACCACAAGCTGCGGTACGTTGGCAAGTACAACAGACTGTAACATCCCTTGGATAGGAATTCCGAAGACTTCTTGATAATCGTCTAAATTCACATTTGATGAGAAAAGATTTTTGAGCTGATTTGCTGAAATCCAATTTCCACTCCATGTGTAGGCTGCACGAACACTAATGAAAAACAGAGCGATTCCCGCGAAAAGGGTTGAAAGCCATCTAGTGTGAGCGTTAGTTGACTTTTAGGGACTCAATAAACTAAAAATCCAGAATGAATTTGGGACATACAAGAAAAGAGTTGCAATCCATCTCCAACAAGTTGTCGCCTGCAACCAGAGTTGCGGCTTTGAGAGTGAATTATAAATGGGAGTGGTGTTCTCTTCACGCGGTCCACTCCAAGTTCCATTACGGGCATCTTTGCTTGACAGCCAACATATGTCTTTTGTAGTGTAATCAGGCTTTGATAGGAATGATGATATGGCATCTCCAACAGTGAGAAGAGGCGGCGATCTGTTGCGGCCTATCCGAGCAGCCAGAAACATGGCAGAGACCTTCACAAATATGGCAAGCGCAATTGCAAGGCATATAGGTGGGCTGTACAGTAATTGACAATGTCCTGGATCTTTGATAATCAGGCATTCATTGGCCGTATAATCAGATACCGCCGAGAAGTATATATCTTGGCATTGTGTAGAAGCACCAACCCCTGCACTTTCATTGAAAAAGGGAGCAGCTTCAACGATGTGGTTCCCAAGGTAAGGTCCCGGTGTGTTCAGAATCGATGAATTTCCCCCGTCACTCACGGTTAAATTCTCAGCAAGGATAATAAGTACGGAATAAGTAGAATTCCAGCTACCGACAGAAGAACATGCGGCCCAGTCATGTCGTTCGTAAATCCCACTTGCAATTATAGGAATTATGTCTTTCCAAATCGCAAAGCATTTATCAAGCGCTGGACTAGTAAGAGAATATACGTTGGAGGAATTCAGATCTTTCGGTGCGACAAAGGTTTCAACGATATCTTCGGACAACGACCCGAAGACTATAGAGTTATACCTATCGAAGCCTAGTCAGCGATGTTCAGGTAAAGCATTTTCCATGCCTACATTAGGTGAAAGGGCGTTGCTGTTAGCATCAATGTAATCCAGAGCCAAAGTCGATCTCTCCCGATCGCACGAAGGTTCTTTATACTAGCACCTCCGATGTCCAGCCATTTGCCACGCGCATGAGCCTTGTCTACTTCTTCTCGTGTTGGAGCTACCAGTGTTTGCATGCAGTAATTGCTGGCAGCCAGAAGCAACGTGCTCAGAACGTTAATAATCAAGTGCAATCCAAGGTCCCATCGTTTGACGGTGCCGCAATTGCCTTGATAAATTACTGCGGAATCTCCCCAAGCGTTGTTATCATAGCGAGTCGCCATTCCAGCAGCAGTTATTATGAAGATCAGATTCATCGCCATGATGCAGGCTCCCCCTCTGGCACAATGGTACACTCCAACAATCCATTTTTTTTCACCTTTGATGTTGACCCGCCATCCTCGGCATTTATTGCCTGCTCTTCACCTGCCTGGATTAAGGGATGGTTCTGTTCTATGATTTCTGGATTAGATTTGAGAAAGGAACGTGGATTTTGTAGGGTCGACGTAAGTGACGCGAGTGAATAGGTCGAGGGCTGACTTTGCACAAGCGTATGACCCTGTCCATCGAGAAGTCTATGATATTGGCGACGGGTAAAAGTGGATTGGACGTTACCCCACAGACTCTGCGCTTTGTTGCGACTCATGATTCATAATCAATCTCCTGCTCTGCTCCAAAGAGTATTGGAAAATCCGCAGAAAAGCAGAGCATGTTGATTATTTAAGTGCAAGACTAAGGATGAGAGGGAGATGGGAGGGGGTGTATGGGCCAAAACAACGCTAGTATAATTCAATCTTACGAAAAAAACGCAAAACTGCAAAATGTTTTGGTATGGACCTCCGTAGCCATCATGGGTAATAAAAGGACGAGGCCTCAAACCTAAGTATTACCTACTAGCCCTACCGTAACGACAGGCTAATAGGAGCGATTATCAGTGACGACATAAGCTATTAGTAGCTGCTAAGGATCATTTTGCCTAAAATCAACCTAAGAGTGGCCCGGTCGTTCGCAGATGATATCGGTTGCTGAGAGTTCTCTAGGCGGTTCTCTGGGCCAAAGAGACACATAAGTGATGACAAGCACATTCTGTACAGGAAGAAGGAGAAAACCTTAAAGAGATGTCCCAGCTGATCATCAAGTTACTTCACGCCAGATGGTCTTTTCCATATGATTTGCAGGGGATTCTGTACAAAATTGTAATTTTACGTAGAAAGATACCAGTACCATACAATATGCACTTTACGGCGTCCCTCAATTAACTTGGAAATCCGGCTAAATAAACGATCTATGCTAAGGCCTTGGCAGGGTCCAGAAAAGAGTTACTCTGTGTTTGTTGGTCAAGCCGATTTCGAGAACGACTATAGCGGAATAATATGTTTGACAGTCACTCTCTTCTGCTCTTCCCTTTCTTTTTCTATCTTAGAATTACATTTCGACTTTCACTTTCTGTTGGCATTAGAGCAGGGTCGTTATAAGTGAATGATAAATTCTGACGAACCTCTAAATGGTGAGTCTTAGTACACTTACAGTTCAACGAGACTTGATCATATCGGCTAAGCGGCACATGAGAATATTGCGCGCATGAGCGCTTATGGCGAGCTGTGTATCAGTCACATTAAGGGCCTAAGAAACAGGGCTCTAAATTCTGACATGCTTCAAGCATCTAAAAAGCAACAAATGACCATCAGCCGATAAGGACGGCGCCTCGCCGTAAATGTATCAGATAACAAGTGAAACCGGTCTTACAGACAAAACCAGGTGCGCCATTTATATTTAATTATTGCCGCCTACTTATCAGTCTCGCAGTGCATATACGAAAAGCACGGTGAGAACATTTAATTAGCTATTTAGCAGGTTACAACTCAGCCCGGCCCACCCACGCTAAAAGTTCACCTCCAAGTGGGTCCGCATGAGCTCATCCCACCCCAATCATACCTAAATAGGAAGGCAGTCACCTGACTTTACAATTGAATACAGTATCTTTTGTATTTTGATTTGTCTTTCAAGAGAAAGATAGTCATTAGCCGGTTATTGTTTAAATCAACCACAACTTAATAATAGCTCATTGCGACCGACAAATTTCTATTATTAAGTAGTTAATAGTGCCTTTTATATGACTCTGTATAGTATAAATAGATGATAAAGAGCAGTTCATTTTATTGTTCTCACCTTGGTTGTTCATAGACATGTGCATGGGTTGGGTATGGGTATGAATTTTGACCCATACCCAACCCATCAGGGGCAAGGTAAACCCATACCCATACCCAACCCAACCCACGTGGGTATGGGTTGGGTATGGGTCCCATATGGGTAATTTTGATGCCTTAATGCCTGGTTTTCACCTCAACCTAAACTAAATTAGGGTAATTAGTGCCTTAGTGCCTAATTTTTGCCTCAATCTAGTACTAACTAGGTGATAAATATCACGTGAAATAAAAGTCTTGGCAAAAAGATGGGTTTATGGGCTGGGTGTGGGTTTTACTTCAAACCCATACCCAACCCATATGGGTTTTGGGTAAAATTTCTGACCCATACCCAGCCCATTGTGGGTTGGGTTGGGTTGGGTATGGGTTTACCCAACCCAATGAACATGTCTAGTTGTTCATTCACAGCATATCATACCAAATATATCTATCATTCTTTGATAATTCGCTTTATACTACCTTTGAAAGGTTCCCGAGGTCCAGAAGACCATGAAATCAGTTCTTACTCTAGAATTGCTATATTTATATCAATCAAAGAAGCTGGTTATGAAAAGTTGTTATATCCTACGCTAATAACTGGTTAATATAGGTCTATATTGTAACAGGCTGATGCTGTAACGAGCTGATGCCCGCCATATCATATGGATCTTGCATTATCCACTTTTACTACAGTACAATCACGTGACTCAAGGACCCTGTCAAATGGACAGTCCTATTTTAGTCTAGTGTTATTTATTAGTCAGCTTCCGCACACTCTTTACTGCAGAAATTACACACACACACACATATTTTGAGATTGTGAAGTCTTCTGGTTAGTTCATATAATACCAATTCCTCGCTCAAGTTGACAGACCCTTCATCCTCAACTCCACGCCGACCCTTTTACATCCCTTAAGGATTTTGTACACAGTTTGTGGGGTTCTAGCACCGTTTCGGCCCGCCTGTGGAGCCGTCCGCAGCCCCATCAGGACCTCCAGTAATGACTAAGCACATAGGTATTCTCCTCATAAACACCACCACAACTTCCCATTTAACCTTACGAGCGGGTGAGGCAGATTATTCCTAGTCTCTCCTAGGGAGATGTCAAAACAGCATACAAATAGGAAATGCTTCAAGCGAACAATATCAGCGTAATTATCTCTCTCACTAATACTCGGTAGGTAAAGTGGAATACCATTGCAAGAGAGGCAGACGTTCCAGAACATCGACTAGCGCATCAGCTAGTTATTAAATTAATGTTCAATTTATGTTTTTGTTGTTGAAGTTGAGATGTTTAAAATTTCGAATTTTTGAACTTCTAAAGTGGTCGCCACAACGGCAGGGACGAGCGGCCGGGAATGACGTTACTCTGTATGGGATTAGTAGTTAGACCGAAGCCTCGAGCCAAACTTCCCTTTATCATCCATCTCACGAGGATGAATACAAATTTTGTCCCTTCTTTCTATTTCGTACTTAGTGCGAGAGTAGCGCTACATCACACTTTCCTATTGTTTTGTCATTGCTACCATTGCGGGTGAGAAATATGTCTGCTCTGATAGCGACCCCAACAAGGCTGTCACCCGTTCAGCAGCTTCAACGCTCTCCATATACAGACATCTACACAAATGCACCCATTACTCCGCTTCGCTCACGTACCAATGTGCAGCACTTAAACTTGACCGTTTCCCATGCACACCCAGAACCGCGGCGATGGAAGAATCCCGGTGGATGGGGTGCTCGTCACATCAACGACACCGCGCCATTTACGCTCTGGAATGAAAAGAACAGACAGTTCCGCCTACCCAGCCGAGAAGAGTTGATCTGGATTCAAAACAAATTCGGAGAAGGGACCCTAACGTTAACGTGGTTTATGTCCATTGTGACAGCCTGCCCGCCACAACCAGTTCCTCTTACCGTCGGCACGATGCCCGTTATCTTTATACGCCCTGGTGAGACTTTGCCATCTTTAATCCCAAGTTCTGGCTATTCCAATCCTAGAATACCAGATCCCTGCCCTGACTTACACTGGCCGAGAATGGCGCTTCCCACCAAGAGTCAACAAGTGGAATATCTTGAAGCGCTTGAGCAACTTGCAAATGTGCGTGCGGTTATGTTTCTGCCTTATTGGACCATTTTGGAATTGGACCATCGAGACGGCCGTCTTTACGGGAAAGGCTCACTCCCCGGTGTAGTCGCAGGACGCACCGCACTCTATCACCATGCAGAAGCACCTTTCTTCACTACAATGAGAAGTCAAACTCGGGCTCGCTTCATCAACCCTTTGCAGCAAATCAATGGTTCATGCCCACAGGATGACTCTAATTATCTTCGAAGAGCTCGCCTTACACCAGGATGCAGAGTGGAATGTGGTTTTGGCTCTCCAGGCACCTCGAATGAATCTTACAACTGCGCGACTTCATCCGGTGTCAAGATCCGCAATTCTGTGGGACAAGAAGCCCTCACCGTTGCCCATCATGGCTTCCTTACATCAAACGCAGTTTTTCACCCACGAGTCAATGGAGACCAAATCGGGCAGATCTTTCACTCACTGCCGGAACTAGATATTGCATTCGTTCGACTCACACCAACCACATCCGCTAACTTTACCAATTCTTGCTACTTTCAGGCCGAACCGCCAACAAAGCTAATAGATGGATATGAAATTCAGGGAGGATCGTGGAGCGAAGTAGACGGAATGAGCTCTGGTCTGATCAGTCTTATGGCGTCTGGTAGGCAGATGTTGCGGCCAATTCGACCGGCTGGACATCCAGAGATTTCCTATGCAAAGTGGGACACACGCATTATTAGTTTGAGTTTTGGAGCGGTCAATGAGATTATTTCCGATGGTATATGTGGAGCGCCAATAGTTGACGTGGAAACCGCTGGAGTTGTTGGATTCTTTCACCTCTTTGATGGAACGTTCGCGCTACATGCCCATATCGACGAATTGATTGCCGAAGGCTGGAACTTGATTTAAAATTTTTTATTTTGCTTTTGCTAGGATCAGGGCGCTCAGAGGCGTTCTGCATGCTACGTTGCTGAATATCAATATTGTTTTCCGTTGCAACGTGATATACCTTAACAGTGACCTTGGACTTACAGAATACATTATTACCATACGATATATTCATTATTTATTCAATGTAAAAAAATCGATTTCAATGCATCCATCTATGGATATTTGAAAAAGTAAAACGCAACCCAACCTTGGAAGCAGCACCAATCTGCATTCCTCGTACAATCATTATTCAGGCTGCTGGTAGTGCTTGTACTGGCTAGCCTTGAAAATCTTGGACCAAGGCTGCCAAGTGCTTATAGGTCGTGCTATTCTGCCATAACAAGTGTTTCTCGTCAAATACTTACATAGGCTGTGATATAAGCTCTAGAAGGTTTCAGGTAGTCTGATTTCTCCAATCCACAATATAAGAGCACAGGTAGGCTTCGGGTTGAAGACAGGCATATGGGTATGCTAAAATCCCTCGGTAGCACTAGTGAAATTGCGACATGGCTTATGACGATGTTACAGTAGAATTTCGAACACATGCAGGCCGGGTGCGTTTGCAGCCTTGTGCCGATGATGGCTACACATGGTCAGTAGCAAAAGACAACGAACACCTATTGAAGACAAGCCTAAGCAACGGATCAATTCGTGTTTACGATGATATTCTAAGAGGATTGGGCCATTTGATCGAGGCCGTAACTCCTAGGACCTTGGAGCCCAATAGGCAGAAGAAAGTCTCCAATGCAGAAGAAAAGGTAAGTGTGCGCTAAATCAGGCCCTTTACCAATGTCTACTATAGCAGCTCAATTTGATTGGTCCTTTTGTAATACAGATCTCGGATATGGCAAATGGTTCTTTCACCGCAACTATTCAAAGATTAGAACGAGAGAATCAAAAGCTTACTGAAAAACTGAAACGCGCTTCTTGCTATTCAGAAGAGCTCCTGAGCAAAGACCAGGATTGGATGAGGAGAACATGCAATCTAGAAGAGGAGTTAAAGAATGGTCAGAGTCTGGTGGTGCAACTGCAAGACGAACTGCAGGAGGCTAGAAATGGTATGGCAAAGGCAATGAAAGTCTTACGGCAGTGTCAAAAGATACAGAACAAAGGACCACACATGGCTGGAGAAAGGAAGCGAGGACTTTGAGGATATCAATGTATATAGTTAACACGTCTATATCTGAAGCTGGATTTTGGAACTGTTGCATGATCGAATGAGTCTTAGTGAGTTGAAGAGAGTAACCGCAGCACATATCATTTTTCCATTTCTTTACCTATTTTTAGGCAGGCTGACAAAGGAAAATTCATGAGACGATATCCAAGGCAACCCTGAATAAATCTCCGAGGACCACCAGAATCATTATTGCTCCCGAGAGCCAAAATTTGAGCATTCTGCTCGTACAAGCCAAGAAACTACTCGTGGGTATAAATTTCTGAAGAGACTAAGACCTATCCAAACTGTTTTTCCGGGTCTAGTAAGCGTCCTTGAAGCAATAAATATCCTTGGAATTATAACAACCGCCTATAGGTTTCTTTTTTACGGTAAAATTGCGACCGATAGGAAGTTAAAATACAGAAGCAAGATTCTATGGTCTCTTAAGACCAGAGTTATATTAAATCAATCCAAACAATATAATAAACTGACAGACAAGTTCTAGGAAAGGACTGAGTGCTCAATAGATGGCACTGATCGATCTCTGAGTAAGCAGGGAGCAGCCAGTCACGCTCACTGAGTAGTCACTGAGAAGTCACTGAGCCTGAACCCGGACTGAAATTTACTCATTAAGCTTGACTCTGAGCGCCCTCATTGAAGCGGCGGTAGCTGTTTTAGGAAAGCCCCACCGGGGAAGGGAAATCTGCTACATACAGGTACCTATGTAGATATTTAGCTAGTCAATGTTCGCGCATGAATTTGAAAACATCCGTCAATATTTCCGTATACTAGTTCTAAAAGCACAGTCGATATTATGTATGATCCATAACTATCTCCTTGATGAAAATCTACTCTTGAGCCTTGGTATGCACACTTACACAAGTAGGGACACTGATTCTTTATTGGTTATGTGCACATTAAGAAGAAAAGTCATACAGATTACTAATATACATCCAATACCTGGGCATCTCGCCGAAACTGAAGTCAGAGTGAATCCTCCAGAACTAGAGTCTCTGATGGATGCAATGGCACGCGGAGCGGGGATATTTTAGCGTCGGAGAGAAATTTATTGGAAAGAGACTAGTTCTCATTAGTGCGCCTGTCAGCTCCACGTGATAGCTGTTTGTACTCTCCATGGATCAGTGCCTAAATAGGTAAAAGGAGCCTTAAATGGATCGCTGGATATGGATCTATGGATTGATAATGCATGATAATTTCGATTGAACATATATGGATGGGAGGTTATTCGAGAAAGATCCGTATTATACATAGAATGTCTAAACAGTACTTAGATAGCCACTTGAATCATCAAGCCAGTCAATTTAACCGCCCTTTAACTAGAGCAGCCACTATCGACTCTGAACTCTGTGCGTGGAGTAGGCAAATGATAGATCAGGTACGTGCAGGATTTCTGCAGGAACATGAAATTCGAATTACGATAACCTACTCCGTAGATTACTCGGATATTGACGTGACATCTAGGGTCTATCCCTCGTCCGTTGAAGTCCCAAATTACCGCCTTTGTGGCATATGAAACTATTATTGGCTATAATCTCTTACTAAGCTATTTCACAATAACTAAATGCAACACAATGGTAATTTACCATATTATATATAAAACTAAACCTGTTTTAGCTTAGCTACTGTAATTTAGATTTTCACCAAAGCGCTAATTTGGGACAGATGAGGGGATAACGTCGGCCGGTCTACTCCGTAGTATTCAAAAAGACCGTGCAATAGTTAATTAGTGAGGGGTTAGATTTCAATTTCGTATCTGTTAGCCGAGCACGCGATTACCCAGAGTAGACACTGAAGACAAAGACGTATCACATCCACGTGTGTTCAGCTATTCATAGAAGTACGGAGGACTCCGTACTTAGTTAACCCCGGAGAATGAGATTATGCACGTGTTTGAAGTATAGTTTAGATGCGCGATTGAACATATCATATTGTAGGCTTAGATAGCTCATATTCTGACTAGCTAGCCTGTCAATCCAAGCCAGTACCAGTACTTAATCCGGATGGCTGCAGCTGCCAAGGTGTCACTTTTCCAACGGAAAGTCAAATTAGGATTATAGATTAGCGTGTTCCACGGCTTAGTTCCACGGAACCATGATATCAACTGCCGCAGGCTTCTAGAACAACTGATCAAGATCGACATGTAGAATTATGGAGTGATATAACTCCGGATTTACATTAGTAATCATCTTTACTGTCTCAGACTGACGCAAGAGACCCTTCTGAAGACCACGAGCCGTTTGACCCCGTTGAGTCATCCGTAGATATGGATCTAGGCGGGCATCACTGTAAATACGGACCACGAACCGGAACGGTCAGTCGGCCCATAAAAATTTTCAAGGTCAAATCGCAAATGGCCGTACTATGTATATCAGGCCATACTCTGGGCATCACACGATTAGTGGAGATGTCAAACTACCCCTAATCCCGACTTTTGACCGGTTCTTCCTCAAGGACCCATTAGCTTGCCGAACGGTTCGCTTTGGTGAGAACTAACAAAGATATTAATCTACACAGTATATCTCGCGCCAGCTTATGAATCCTGCTATAATCCTTCATTAGTCAGAGTGAAACCGGAGCAATATGATTTTCTTACTTCCTTTTTATGATTATCTCTAAGTTCAGCACTGAACTCCGGGTAAATATTGTACTTCTGCTAACCCTGTAAGATTAAACGGAATCACACGCATAAGCCTAAGCTGACGCCTCCTAAGCCTCCCGAAAAAGACGACCGCCCGTCGGCTCCGACCCTAGTGGAGCCGTTAGGGCGCCGTTACGGCCGCGTGTTTAACAAGGTTAACAATCGAATTCTACTTGCAGCCCGCCCTGGAGGGAATTGGATCCTGTGGAAAAATTGTAAAATAGGAATAATTAAAGTAAAATTTTCGTATTCCTTTAGGAAAGTTGAATGCAGTCAATAGCGCCAGCAGATATAGTAGCATTCTGATCATCCTTGGAACACATCAGAAAAATAAACCAAAACTGGTGGCTTGTTCTAAAGTTTATCCCGTTTTCTCCACGGGGTCCCTTACCCAGGTGTTTCGTGTCTAAGCTAGGTGGTAGTAGTACCTATGTATTGGTTGAATGAAAATCTTGCAACTCCATGGGTTTAATGCAAAGCAATATGTAGAGATCAGCCCATACCTGTCAATATTTCGTGGTGTGGTTTGATAATCGCACTTGATATGTTGGATTTTCACCTGGGGACGGTCATCGCCTGAAATCGGAACAAGGTCCACACAGGCACGAGACCTGTGCTTAGAATATGGATCTCACTGATTCCTTGAAAGCTTTGGATCGGACCCATCGGGGATCGGAGGATCAGCTATATAAATCGCCTGGTTTGTCCTGGCCATATGGGTGCCACGAGGCAACCCCATCTTTATTTTCTCTTTTTCAACTTCACACCCTTTACCCAATTTTGATTCTTCATAGATCTTCAGGTGTCCGTTGAACAATTGATAGAAGTTTCTTCACCTCTCTTCTCTCTCAATCTCTACTTCATACATACCCGCAACAATGGACTACAAAGGTCGGGCCATCGAGCCCATGCATATTGATCGGAAGTCGCTATATGTCAACTTGGAATCACGGATCAAGTACCTGCACCACTTCCTTGAGTGGACCTCTGGTTAGTATCCAGCACAGTATTCAAGTATAGCGCGGAGACTGACTGCTTTTGTTTAGCCGATGTCGAGGCCCTCCAGAGCGGAGCTAAATACCTGAAGCAACTCATCCCTGCAGTCGTCAACCTCGTCTACAAGAAACTATTAGTTTATGATATCACCTCGCGTTCTTTCCACACCCGAAACACTGCCGATGAACGTGACCCAGATAAAGAATGGTTGACCGAGGAGACACCCCAGATTATGCGACGAAAGATGTTCCTCCGCTGGTACCTCACTCGTCTGTGTCAAGATCCTTCTACTATGGAATTCTGGCGCTACTTGGACAAAGTCGGGTACGTATTGTCAATATCCAGAGAGAAGAGTACTAGCATTGCTAACATGCAAATACAGTGTCATGCACAGTGGTGCCGAGCGTCTGCATGCCCTTAACATTGAATACATCCATATGGGCGCCTGTCTGGGCTACATCCAAGATATATTCACCGAAGCCCTGATGTCACACCCTCAACTCTCTATGCGCCGAAAACTAGCTCTCGTCCGAGCCATTAACAAGATCATCTGGATCCAGAATGACCTGTTCGCCAAATACCACTGCCGCAATGGTGAAGAGTACGCTGATGAAATGTCTCTATACACTATTGGTTCCGAAGGTTATATCGGCGACAAGAAGATCCTCGGTAGCAGCTCCAGTTCTAGCGAAGACGACCGATCTAGCGTTCACAGCACCGAGGCTCCATCGATTGCTCCCTCTACAGCACCCTCCACCATCCCCCCGCATGGCCTAGAGATTCCGGCCAGCTTGCGTGCCCCTGGTTCTCCTAGCACTGGTGCTTGTCCATTTGCCAGCATGGCGGGGCCTTCAACAACCGAAACCAAGATCTGGTCTGGCAATAATTAATTTGTTTCAACTTTCAATGTTTGGGAGATCTTGCATGACCGTTTCAAGCGTAATAATGGGAACTAAAACCTTTGGAAAAGGGGCGTTGGGAGGAACTTACTTAGATTGCATTTGAGGGTATTTTAGTATTATCATACTATTATGAAATTCACGATTCTAACTCTTAATCTATTCTTCTTTTCTCTCTTATTATTCTATTCTCCCGTTGATTCAAACATTCCGGGTCGTTCCGATTCGTTCAGAAAGAAAAGAGAAAAAAAATCAGTCTATCGTGAGAGTCGAATTTAATTAGCTATCCAAGCCTTGGAAAAATGGAATATTTCCCTCGGTCGCAGATGATGTACGCTCATTTCAGGTTCCAATATCAACAAATGAAGGGTGTTGAAACTTAGGCCACGAAATAGCCATCTAGCTATAAATTTAATATCTTGAAAGGATATCGATAGAAAATTTGCCATTTTCTGTAAATTTAAGAGGAATAGCCTTTACCTTGTCTATGTTAAGGGATATGGCTAATCTTTCTCTTCATCTTCTGTGAGCAAAAATTGGCCAACTGAGTTTGTTAAACGTTGTCTGAATTTGACTTCAAGGCTTTGATAGAATCGTGATCTCAAAAGGGTTCCTTTAAGTGCCCTAGACTTATTATGCCATGGTTTGAATTAGTCCAAAATACGATTCAAATATGGCATCGATTCTGATGATATTTCAACTTTGATGAATCTGGCTTCGCAATGGGAATAAATGGGACTCAAAAATATTGTTACCTCTGCTATCTGCCAATTACAATGGTCTGAAAACTCTTTAATAAGCCGGAGATTATGAATGGGCCACTATTATCGAGTATAAAAGGGCTGCTGGAGTAGCCTTTCGCACACCGCAGGCTATATTTAGATTGTTGAGCCCTCTAGATTTTTAAATTGCGGCTCCGCTGGCCTCCGGGGGGCCACTGCCGTGGAGGCGGTCATTATAGAATCATGCTCAAATCCATACTTATCTATTTCTAGTAACCCACAGTCGAAGCGAAAGACTTCAAACCAACACCATAACCCCGAAACATGATCGATTAGCCTATTAGAACTAAGAAATATTTCAGGTGAATCCGACCATAGATGGTAGGCACTTCGTCTGATCTACCCTCTTCGCCTACCAAACGAGAGAGATCCAGGCGCATTATGGTCGGACAATTCGAACGGTTCATCATCACATCTTCCTGGTCGATGCAGTCATTTAGAAGAGGCCAACAAAAACCAAGTCAAAAAAACGGGTAGCAAGTAAGAAGCAGACCGTCTGTATAGGTAGTCGAGGGAGTTTATATGAGAAGATTCAAGTAGGGTTGGTGTTTGAGAATGGTGGTAAATGGTCATATATGAAGCTATGATCTACTAAAACCCTATTATTTGACGTGGGCACTTGCTCTTAACGTGGGGGAAGAGAGCATAAAATCAATGTAAGGATTGTCATATTTTGGTTCTTAAATCCGTGTTTGGAAATTCACATTTTTCGGAATTTCTTTTTCATGGGGTAATACCGATATTTTTTCTCGCATTCCCGTATTCTCGGGTGAAATTATCGGCTCGCTACTACCGAAATAAGGGTTGACGATGATTTTTATATGTTCTTCTTTACCCCGCATTTCTTCCTTTTACCGTTCAAAACTGCCGCAATTCATATTGCTTAACTAACTGATCGACATCAATGTCTCCCACTCAATTGGGTTTTCTCAACTCATAAAAACTCCCCTCTCCTCTCCACTCTCCTCTCCTCACCGACTATTCCGGTTGCTATATATCTCCTGCAAAATGTCCAGCACCAACGTAGTCCCGCTCATCATTGATAATGAGTCGGTTTTGACCGATATCAAGTTCCCAGTCTATGGCCCCGCAACGGGAGAGACCAGCTACTCCGCCGGTGCATCGGTCAAGGATGCCGAGCGTGCTGTTAATTCTGCACAAGCTGCCTTCCCCGCTTGGGCGCAGATGAAGCCCTATGACCGCCGGGATATCTTGCTCAAGGCTGCTGAGATCATGCTTGAGCGCAAGGAGGAGCTCATCCGGATTCAATACGAGGAGACTGGTGCAGCGCGACTTTTCTCGGAGCACACCGTCAAACTTGGTGCTAGCTTCATCAAAGACTTTGCCGCTTGTATTCCTGCCATTGAGGGCGTTGTCCCTAGCTGCACTCTAGACGGTGTGGGTGCTATGGTATTCAAGCAGCCATACGGTGTCATTCTATCTATCGCACCATGGTAGGTACTCAATCCCGGAATATGGTATTTTATTGCCGACTTAGTTAAACTTCAAAATACTATGTGCTCTCATCTTGTATATGTTAACTAACGACTTACAGGAATGCGCCGTTCGTTCTGGGCACTCGCGCCATTGCTATCCCACTTGCGGCTGGTAATACCGTCGTATTGAAGGGCTCTGAGCTATCACCTCGGTGTTTCTGGGCCCTCGGAGATATTTTCCGACAGGCTGGTTTGCCTGCAGGGTGTTTGAACGTCATTTACCACCAGAATTCGGACGCACCGGCAATTACCACTGCCCTGATTGCGCATACCGCTGTGCGCAAGGTTAACTTCACTGGTAGTACGCATGTTGGCTCGATCATTGCCTCCACAGCTGGAAAATACATCAAGCCAGTGCTACTGGAGCTGGGAGGAAAGGCGTCAGCGATTGTTTTGGATGACGCAGACCTGGATAAGGCTGCTCACAACTGCACTATGGGAGCACTCTTGAACGTATGTAGCCCGTACTCCTGTCATGTACATGTGTGTTTATACTGATGTTTGAATTCAGTCTGGCCAAATCTGCATGTCCACCGAGCGCATCGTTGTCCAGCGCAGCGTCGCAGACCAATTCAAGCAAAAGCTAGCTGAGTCAGCTGAGAAGATTTTCGGCAAGAGCGCGCCAGTCCTGGTCTTGGTGAATGAGGCAGCCGTGACGAAGATTAAGAAGCTTGTGGCGAATGCCGTGTCACAGGGTGCAGAGGTATTACTCGGTGATGCAGACGCCAGCGAGGCTCACGGTGCACACATGCGATCGATCATTCTCTCCAACGTCACCAAAGACATGGATATCTATGCGACAGAGTCATTTGGACCGACTGCCTCGCTGATCGTGGTCGACACTGAGGAGGAAGCCGTGGCGGTAGCGAATGACACTGAATACGGTCTGACCGCAGCCGTGTTTACGAGCAATCTGTTCCGCGGCCTGAGGGTTGCCAAGAAAATTGAGTCTGGGTGAGTTCTGGTCTGGACCAAGGGTGCTGTATATTGCTCATGTACTGACTGTTTATTTTAGGGCTGTTCACATTAACTCTCTTACCGTGCATGATGAGCCTGTTCTACCTCACGGTGGGTGGAAGAAGAGTGGATTTGGACGCTTCGGTGGTGGTGTCGGTGGCTACGAAGAATTCCTGCAGACCAAGACGGTTACCTGGATGGATTAAACGCCGTATTTCATATAGAAAAAAATAAATAGAGAAGATGGGTCACTTACCGTGCTACTATGTATACAGGTCAGTTAATAGCCCACTTGTGGGCACTATTGACTTTCCGGGCGCCGAGCTGGCTTGGCATCTATTTAAAGAGATTACGAATAAGCACAGCGGAATATTTCACAGTTTCTCGTATTTACTTGGGATTTAAGGTGTATTCACAGTGTTTTATGTCCAGACTGGTCTAGTGCCAAGATTGATACTTCAGCTGCATACGAGAATAGGAAAAACAAAATAAAAATAAAAATAAACTTGAATTGGCCACATGGGAAATTTAAATCTACGACGCAATCTAGGCAGGGCTAATTCCTCTAGATTCTATTTAAGTTAGTCACATATGTAAGTCAGCCTTGAAAGTTGTACTGTGTAAGTATTACAAATGCCCGAAATGGCTCTGATAGGTCACTTTTTAGTCTAGTTTTAGGCTTTAGACTTGGCTCAGGGGTACAGATTACTATCATACAGTATACACAGGTAATATTACTCTATTGGAAGAACCGACTGCTTCGAGCTGGAGCTATTTGTAGCTACATTTCTCTCCTTTCAATAGTGTACGCCATCTCGTCTAACGAACTCTAAGGCTCAGAGCCAAAAAAGATATGCCAGTGGAGAGAAAGGTCCAGTTTTAACGGGACAGCCAGTTCTCACTCCACTAGTGATCTCCATTATTTATTATGAACCGTCCCTGGAACCAAGTTATGATGACTATATCCCGTAGAGAGACGAAAATTTCAAATTATAGGGGGGTCAAGACACTGTACAGCCACAATACAGAGCTCTGGAGTAGACCGTACTTCGTATTCATAAATCAGGGTCCAGGGAAGTTTGTTTCTTACTTGTGGAAATGAGATGACGGTAAATCACTCTGATTGGAGTTCCTGGATTTGTTCCGTTTTATCCGGACTTTCCCCGACTCACTCTGTCTCCTATCTCATCCATACCGCATGAGATTCTATTTTGAGGATACTTTGACTTATCCCTATTCAATGTTCAGGATCAACCCCGTTATTTTGGCATTTAAATATACATTCCTTGACTTAGGAATCGACATAACTTGACTCAAAAGTAATTTAGATAATACGGTAACAATACTGTAATAAATGTACCTAAAACCACGAGGGGTTTGCCCCACGCCCAAACAAGCTTGTGAACATGGCATCCATAGAAGGCCCCTTAATTTTAGTCATCGGTATCTTTACTACCTCAACTGATCTATATAATTCTGGCTTCATACCAAGATCTATCAATCGTATGCCTTCATTTCCTATACTAAAAAGAAAGACAGTCTAGTGGCGTGATTTGAGGGGCGCATTTGGATACACAAAAAGCCTCAAAAACAGTAGAACCAAACTTCGCTTTGACAGACTTTCGATGATGACCCACATAGTACAGTGGGGAATGAATATGATTGGTCATAAACATACCTAGCTTAAGTGCCTATGTGGGCTCAGTTTTCCCCTTCGAAGTCCAGTCATCAGTGATCCAAGGTTCTTCTTCCGGGTAGAAATCTAGTCCCTCTCGCACCTTTTCCCTCTTTCTCTTTTCTCTTTCACTCACTCTTTCAGTCGTCTTCACACTCCCTCGCTTCGGCACCTTACTATCTTTTGAGAATTCCAACTCAGTCACTCTTTAATCAAATACCATCAATATGCATTTCTCTGCTGCCGTCGTTTCCACCTTCGCGGCTCTTGCTGCTGCCTACACCACTCCCGACTACTCCAAGGACCCCAGCGGTAACGCCATCTACACCCCTACTCTGGGTGAACTCGTTCCTGAGGGTAAGGCCTTCGACATCACCTGGGACCCTACTCTCGGTGACAAGGTCTCTCTGGTCCTCCTCCGCGGTCCCAGCTCCAACGTTGTGCCCCTCGAGACCATTGTCGAGGATATTGACAACACCGGTTCCTACACCTGGACCCCCAGCACCTCCCTGGAAACCGACACCACCCACTACGGTATCCTTCTCGTTGTCGAGGGCACCGGTGCCTACCAGTGGTCCGTCCAGTTCGGTATCTCCAACGAGGATGGCACCGTCGACTCCACCTCCACCGCTGTCTCCTCTGTCGCTGCCTCCACCACCGCTGCTTCCACTACCGCTTCCCCTTCTGCCACCGGTGAGACCTACGTGACCGTCATTGACAATGTGACCACCACCATCTGCCCCGTTGCCGAGTCTGCCTCCGCTGCCAGTACTTCCGCCGCCGCTGTCACCTCCGCTGCTGTTTCTTACTCTACCGTCATCCCCACCTGGGTTGAGACTACCACCATCTGCCCCAACTCCAAGTGCGGCGCTGCCACCGCTGCCCCCGTTGTCTCCCCCTCCAGCATCCCCAGCCAGTACACTCTGGTCAGCTCCGCCGCCGCTGTCAGCTCCACTCCTCTGACCGCTCCATCCGCTACCTCCACCCCCGTGTTCAACGGTGCCGGTCGCAACGCCATCAGCTTCGGTGCTATCGTTGCCGCTCTCGCCGCTGTCATGTTCATCTAAGCGATATTCTCGGCATCTTAAACTGGTTATTGTTTTTATGTATCTTTTCGTGGCATGTTTTTCATGAGGGTTTAATCTCAATATTCATCGATCTCCTGTGATATGAGACCTGTTCCAAAACTTTACCCTATTTTGTCTCCTTTAATTTCTTCATCTGGCTTTATTTTTTATCTCACCCCTTTCATCTCAAAGGGAATTTAAGTGTCCAGATATGTTTGTAATGTCATACCCCTTTATGCTTTATCTATTTTTGTAGACTTGAGTGGATTGTAGGTTTCAAGCTTTTTGATTGAGTTATAGTTTAGGTACGATCAAGGTTCGGGCCATGTGGTTGAAGGTTGGATATTGGACTAGTACCTGCATGTGGATGCAGTAGTTTGTACATTCTTTAGACATGCTTGTGTGTTGTCATGGGATGACTGGCCTTCTAATAACTTCAAGGCATTTCGGGTTCGCAATATCGGACCAATATCAAAATCTATGGCATTCACTATACGGCTCCTAAGGTCAAGCTGTAAGGTTCTGGCACCCTAGATACCTACCTGGATATGATTTTTGTCCTCATATTCAGGGATAATACAGTATTTTTGTCTAAGTCTTCTATTGGCTTATAATGATAATCCTTTACCCCACCCAGCCTAGTACAATCCTCCCTTAGGCTAGCAAGCCATCAAGATACAATACCCTACGCTTCAAGGTGACAAAATCCAAGCTGTTGAACGCTAGACGAAAGTTTTCGGACTATATCTATGGGAACATCTATCTCTTCATTATCTTCATCAACCCCATATCCTGCAATGCATACACTCTCCATCAATCCAGGCGCTTGTTGCAAATATCCACCCAGTCAGTGTCTGCACATAGTAAATATCATGAAAACTCCCTTGTCTCTATAGCCAAATGATTGGATCGTAGGTCAGCGTCATCTTTATCCTCTTTCCTTCCTCACTATTAATCTTCAACCTCCCAGCCCTCTTAGCCCCATATGAACCATAGAAAACACAAGACATTTTTTCAAGTTTCCTTTGAGAAGTCTTGTAGTGAATGTCGCATTGAGGCACCTTTCTATCCCTCTTGATGATAGTGCTAATCTACGATAAGACTGGAGCGAATATCTCAAACATCAAAAATTCATCTACCACAATCACTTGCATTAGCGACAACGCCTCCGACTCTGTCACCTACCACCTACTTGGTTCTTAAATTTCGCACAGCAACCATCAGAGTCATAGAAGATGAATTCCATTAGAACCTAATATATTCCACTGAAACTGGCTATTCTCGGAAGTTTTGTGTATTGGGGAATAACCTTGGCTTGAAAAGGGAGGGCAAGGAACACCTGGGCTCAGAGTGATAAGTGTTTGCAAAACAACTCAACCTCTTTAGGTCCAAATATGAAGGTAAATATGGAGGCTTCTTTTTGCACTTTATGGTACCCTCAGCTGTTTTGACATCAAATATAATTGCCAACCCGCTGAGGAAGAATAAGGCGAAAGTGTAGCTAAGGGAAGGCCTCAAGGAATACTGTGAAGAGTTTCTGGTCTCAATAATAACTTTTCAACATTTGAATCAAAGGCTTTCAAGTGTGACTAGTGAATTGATCAAAATATATAGCAGTTAGAGGAAATACTAAGTATTTGTGTCCCATCCAAAGGAATGATTTGCAGTATATCATGACTTCATTAGGTATGTCAGGCTGAGCTGAATGATGACATTTAGTCAATTCATCACATTTCCAATGATCCATGGGTGTATTCGGCTTCCATCAGACTTTGGTTAAAAGACACGATAGTACGGTCAATCATCTATCCAAGAACTGTCAATACATTTCTTGAACGAGCTCTTTTCAACTGCACGATGACTAGAGTAGCCGATCAGCCAAGTTATATGTTACTTGTCTCTCCCCAATAAAATAACAATGCGTGGGACACCGCAAATCCATAAGAGCCTAGGTAGCCCAGTTACTATCCTTGATAGCCTGAATATGCACAATAATTTTTAGTCTTTGCACGATTTATAGAGCTAAAGAGAAGTAACTATAGTTAATTTGACATTATCATACCCAGGGTGCTGACAAAAAGCTAGATCAATACCTGAATAGTTTTGCCGCGATCCAGGGGCAATACTGGAACTTATCTTCAAACAAACCTTAGGATTTACCATATCTAGGTATATTGACAATGGCCATATAAACTGGGGCATATCAGGGGCCTCTTTGATGAGGGCTTTCAGGATTAATAAGTAGATTCCATTCCGGGCTCAGGCTCAATAAGCTATTGGCTATTCAATAAATAAATAATACCTAGGTACTAAGTGCTTATTGGGCCTTGGTCCCATATGACAGACCACTGAGTACTACTAATAGAATGCTATGATCTATCCTGATTGGTCAAAACCAATACTATAACCTACCCACGTGACTTCGATAAGGTGCAAATCGATAAGGATTTTTCCCCCGACTAACATTTCCATATTTCTTCGCCTCCATCCGTGCTGCTGGCAGTACTATACCCTCACAAGTGCACTGATAACCGAACAATATACATCATGGCTCAGGGTCTTAATAAGAAGACTAACCCCAAAACGGCCGTGGGAAAGCGGTATGTCCTCGACCAGTTTGCGGCCTTCACCTCGACTCGATTTCATGAATGTTAAAGACTTTTCTTGATCAATCTTGATGAACCGATTCACTCTTGGAATATTCTTGTGACTATATCATTTCTTACGGTTGATTAATAAGTATTTGATTAGTGCTTCGCATGCTGCGTCTAAAACGAAGACCGGTGCTAGAACGGTTGCACCCAAGAAGGCTGCTTTGATCAAAGTGCAAAAATTGAATAAGGTATGAATTATCCGATACGAAGCAGAGCACATGTTGCAAGGACCTTTATCCCGCCTTCACTTGTCGTTGGATCTCTTGCTGATTCGGCTTGTTGTAGAAAATGTCCTCTGGACTCGTCGCGAAGACAGAACGCAGCCTGGCTGCGAAGGCTGGACATCTGGAGATATTGGCTGGGGGCAAGAAAAATAAGGATACTGGAAAAGATGGAAAGACCGGAGCTAAGAGGAAATGAGTGCTTCAGATCACATTTCAGCAGGCTTCACTTCTTTCCTTTCGTGCCTTTTAATCTAGCTAGATTATTTTGTCTAGAGGCATTTTCTTGAAGTATTTTTCGAGATGGCGACTTATTCATGAAATTGATACCCTATTTTTTGATATAGTTTTTTTTTTTTGTCCTTTCTAAAACCGTAAATGTAACTTCGTTGACCAAACCCCGAAGAAGTGAAAAACAAGAATAAAAAAGAAGTAGAGATATGTAACAGAAAGCCACCTGGGCTGTTGTCCATGTACAGGTCAATGACCAAAACTCGATGAATAGAGTTGTTAGTCGGCGGCAATCGTCAAAGTCTGCGGTAAATAGAGTAGGTAGTATAATCAGTCATAATTCGTCCCAACGCGTATAAAAAGTTGTTCCCAAAGAAAAAGAAAAAGAAATTAAAAGGGTATCATCTATAGTTCCAACTCCAGTTCTAGCACCCTGCCCATTCCAGGGTGCTTAGTTTATCTTCTATCAAGATTGCTCGTATTTAGTGAGACTTGGACAGGCGGCTGAGGACACCAGCTTGCTCGATGAGTTCTTGGCCACGGTCCATCCAGGCGTTGAAGCCCGCATCTGACGGGTCCGAGGGGAAGTCATCCCACACCGGACTATCCGAGTCTGCGTATGAGGACCAAGTGCCCTTAGGGACCTCGGAGGTCGACCACGAGGGCAGCTTCGCCAAAACGCAGGTATAGTAGACGTATAAGATACGGCAAAGAAGCTCTACTCTGTCAACATAGTGCTGTTGACTGGGATCGGGTTTTTTGCCCCCATCGCCCAGTCGCTTCCACCACGAAACACGCCATCGCAGAGTGAGGAGGATATGACCAAGTTCACTCAGGAAGCGAAGGTGCGTCTCGTGGGAGATCTGCTTCCATTTTATGTTGTAGAAGTCACGCTCTAGTTTGCGGAAACCCTCAACCTCGAGCATGCGACAGATAATACGAGATAGCTGTGCCGCGAGCAGAACGTCTCGGCGGTCTTCCGGGTTGTTGCAATCAAGAGTTCGTTCTTGGCCGTTGCCATCAAGGGGGACGATGGTGTACTTGGCTCGACTGGGCATGTTGTTCCATTGCGAAAGCAAAGTCTGGAAGAAATCATAGTTAATCGAAAAGTCCGAAAAGAGGCCAGAGATTATACTCACATATGCTTGGGTCATTGGATCACATTCCTTCACACAGGTCAACCAGTTCTTCGACTTGTCCTTGGATTCGACAATCCGGCGATCTATAAACTCTATGAATGTTGATCTAGAATTTCCATTATAGTCGCTGAGATTCTTCAAGAATTTGTACGTCTCGCTAAGGTCGAGAACGTAGAGAGAACCCCAAGCTTGACTAGCGCGGATGTTGAAAAGCCCCTGGCGCTCGCCAAGGAATGTCAAAAGCTGGCCGAGGTCAAATTCAGAGGGAATTTCTATTCGCACTCTGCCAGAACCGTCGACTGTGGGATGGTTGATAGCTCGTTGTGCTAATTTCGAGTTAGTCGTAATCATTTGATATGTTGAGGGGCGGTGCATACAAATGTAGTTACAAGTTCCAAACTCAACGATGCTGGAGAAGCAAGCACGAGCACATGGCTGCTCGTGGAGAGTTGGTCGACAGGCGTCGCAAGGAGAGCTGCCATCACACTGAGAAAAGTTAGTTAGCTTTCATTACGTAAATGGTGTGATATTTGCAAACCAACCTTGCGCTTGTTCAACCGACATTGAACACAGGTATCTTTGTTCTTGCGGCGCATACCAGCATTGGCTCGCCCAACCATACTCAGTGGACCCTTGCGACGGGCACCCCGAGGAGGAGAAACGAAATCTGCCGATGCAATCGATCCGCCTTGTCCGTCTTCCTGGACAATCTGCAGCGGCTTTGCCTGGCCCAGGTCTACGGAACCTTGAGCGCTTCGATTTTTGCGCTTCCTAACAGTCGCTACAGATTGCATAGCAAGAGCCGTCGATCGTCGCTGGCCGGTAGAAGAGGAGTTCCTCGATCGGGAGTTAAGGGGGACGGGTGATTCCGATGAGTTCTCGCTGACCATGAAAGCGGTGGTCTTCGTATTCGAGCTCGGTGGGGAGCCGCTTTCCGGGGTGATTATTTTCCACTGGGAGTCATCTAGCTGGCGTTCTCCAAAAGTGGGAACTTCTTCGCTAGTGGCAGAGTAAGAGCACTCGTAAACGCCAGGCACATCTCCTGAAACAGAAGAGCTTTCCGACTTGTACTGAAGTCCATCCTGGCCATTTCTGGAAAGAAAGGATGATGCAGGCAGCTGCGACTCTAAATTATTGAGCCATCGCGACTCTAGCGATCGAATGGGTGGCTGGAAGCCGTGCATGGATTGATCCTTGGTGTCATTCGTAGATTCAAGCGCCAAAGGGATCGTTCCCTGGCCCAGGATATCCGCCATAGATATGCCTCGTGAGATATCTGGCCATTGCTCTGTCATCATCGGGAAGGATGGTGGAACTTGCTGAAACATCAAGGCTTCCGCCGATGCATCCGAGAAGCCCGGGCCTTGCGGGATTTCACCGACATCCTCCACAATGACTGCGCCATTCGAGTGGGTGGAGTTTTTGCCGTATGGGAAATGGAGGGGTGACTCCAGTGGCAAACCCCCCGCGCCAGAATTGAATAGTTGGAACTGTGGCCAAGTTTCATCGGCGGGAAAGTTGTCATCGGTGGAAGGCACTGTACGAGGGCTGATGGTACCGCTACCAGTCCCTTCTGCGACCCCGTCGTAGTGAAAATTCTCCGAGGTCACATCGTGCTTTCTAGAAGGGAGAAGCAGTCAGCAATGTGATAAAAAGTGGCCAAGTGGTGAGAGAAATGCGAACCTGTCGAGTAAGCTGTGTCGATCAGCCGAGTGATCGAGATGTGGGCGTGTTAACGGATCATGAAAAGCGCCCAAGTCGGCGATATCAGCGCACTGGCTAGATTCTTGACTGGTGTCCCACTCAGGCGGTTGATCGTAGTTTATATGTTCCCAGGAAGAGACAGAAAAAGCACCATCCGTTTGCCAGTTATCAAGTATTTTGGGGTCAATACCCGCAGCCGTTGGAGCGCCTCCGCTGTCCATACAGGATATATATAGAAGATTTCAGGATTGTCGGATTCCGAAGAAGCCGAGCAAACGTCCCCAAAATGCAAAAGTCGTGGTGGTGACTTTTACGAGAGAAGACTTTTTTACAAAGGTGGGATGAAAGAGGGGGAGATAGACTTAGGGGCAGAAAAGTGTTCGAGGGGGAAGGAAGAAGGCTAATGAAGGCTGATGTTCCCCACCACAAAGTTTTACCTTGCGATCGATTATGGGCAGGGATTGCACAGACCGCCCGGTGTTTGGAACACGAACTTGGCAGTTTGTATACTGCAGTTATTAGTACATAGTAGGACAGTTGTACTACGTACTTCGTATTGTTTAATGATTGGTCACTCTCAGTGACTTTACATCAGTTTATTATATCAAATCCCGAGCTTCTCGTACTACTAATGTTTACTCTTTCTACCGCTTAACAACGCCTATAATCGCAGAAATCAAAAACCAGAAACCAAAAATCAGGAACCAGAGCAGTTTCGGCATGCCGATTCCCGAGAACACGAGGTGGATTAGTTGGTTTTACTGTGTGGATGGGGTGGACTGATTACGCGAGATCAAATTCTTTATGATTGTGGCTCAGTTTCATACCACATTGAGGAGCTATGAATAGCCAAGACCGGATTCCATGGAACTACTCAGTATATTATAGCAATAAATAATTCAATTAGATAATTAAATAGTAACTCCCAATTAAATCATCCCACAGTCTAGACTTTACCGTGTATTCTGTGGAATTGTTAGACGTGATAACCCCAGCCCTAAATAATTCCAACACCCCTTACGACGTTGTTCCACACCTAACTAGGCAGGTTATTCATTCCTTAAATAAGGGGCCATGATATTTACAACTTAAGATTCTCGTCATCTTCCTTTCCTTGCTTTTCTTCTGATATCCTTTTGCACTTCGGCTATACTTCGGCTATATAGCTAGATTGATTCTATAAAAACTATGCAGTATTAACAACAATCGCGTTCACCCTGATCACTACATATTGTATAATTCCGAGATCTCTTCATAAGTTCCTTATCTTGACTCCTAATATGCCACTCTACTCATAAGTTTTCCTCATCTCAATCTCAACCACGGATTAGGCGGAAGCGGTTCACCGCAGCCTCTATCCGGTCATTAACTGCCGCGTCCACTTAATAGCCTGATCATAACCTGATCAACTTCACTGCTTTCTCATTTAGGGCTCCGGTAACAGCTTTCAAAGGCTTAAATCCTTATCCAGCTCTCATTTTCGTCCATTCCTCCCCCATATAAGGTTGGGGCCCCAGGACGTGGGGTTGAATTGAGGGGATTTCATAGACTTCCATTTTGTTAAGGATTTCTTTTTTTTTTTTTCATTTATATTATTTGCCCAAAGTTCCAGGTTTTGAGTGGAAAATACTCTACGAGAGTAGATCTTTAGATCTTATTAGTCCAGCACATCCAATATACAAAACCAAGAAAGAGAAACAAGGTCAATTCCAAAGTCACCATGCATATCTTGGTAAGTAAGAATAAACCAGTTACTTCCTTCTTTTCCGCGGAACTTCGGCAATGCACAAAATTACCTTAGTAGAATAGTCTCGGATGCTCTCCCTTCTTTCGTCCAACCGTTAAGAGACAAAAGGACTAAAGGAGAAACTAACGAATCCACTTCTGGTGCTCTAATAGGTGGTCAATGATGATGGGCCCCCAAACAAGCGCGTGTCGCCCTACGTCCGCCCACTGGTCGACGAGCTCCAAGCAGCCGGCCACCTCGTCTCAGTGGCAATCCCAGGCTCATCACGCTCATGGATCGGAAAGGCCCACATAATTGAAAACACCTTAACCGCAAACCTTGTACACCCAGACGCTTTCCGAGACGATGGTTCTTGGGATGAGGCGTATCAGCCCAGCGAGAACAACAACGCTCCGAACTCCGAGTGGGTTGTCGTACAGAATGGTACTCCGGCCAGCTGTACCCAGCTAGGCTTGTACAACCTGTTTCCCGACCGCCCACCCATCGACCTAGTTATTTCCGGCCCGAATCATGGCCGGAACGCTTCGACCATCTACAATCTCTCGTCCGGCACAGTGGGCGGTGCTCTTGAAGCGGTATTCTGCAGTAAACGGGGGATTGCCATCTCATTCGGTAGCAAAGACCTGCAACCTGCTGATGTGATCGCTGCTGCTGCTAGACTGGCTGTGCGCTTGGTGGATTATCTCGTGCTTAATTGGGATGAGCGCGTCGAGCTCTATAACATCAATGTTCCCATGCGGTTGGATGTCGAGTCGCAGCCCATTTTGTATACCCGCACTCTACCCTACTACTGGTCACGGGGCTGTCTGTATGCTGAGACGGATAAGGCGTTGACGAATGGTGCGAAATCGCAGTCTAATGGTGTGGCGGCTGTCAATGGTGGCGAGTCAGGAAGCAAGACGCGTAGCTTCAAGTGGTTGGCAGATCTGTCGGACATGAAGCAGAGGCTTCAGGAGAGTGAGGAGGGGACAGATGCCCATACTGTGTTGAATGGTAGCACTAGTGTGACTGCCCTCCGCGCAAACTTCTGGCACGTTCCAGGCCTCGAAGGCCCGTTGATCCTAGATCAATAACGTTCCAAGGTTCTAGATGCTATGATTAATGCATGATACCTCCTTTTGTTTTGTTTACCTTCGCGCTTTGAGTTCATGCCACGCAGGAAGATTTGATATTGCATCTCGGAGCGAATTAGCTTGGGTTATATCAGCAGGAATAAAACAGAAAAAGTGGACGTGAAAACTCATTTACCATTTAACTATTGCTGTATCAAAAAAACACGCTGCATAAAATTAACTAGCGCATTGGATTTTTCATGCTCATAAAGGTACAACATTCAAATATGGGATACTTGGTTGAAAATTGAAGCTTCTCAGATTGCGCGTGCGGCCTCTCCAGCGCCGCTTTCTACTGTAGACGCCTGCTCAGCACGCATCTTACCCTTAGCCATTCCTACCTCACCAACACCCATACGGCAAGCCACGTAGCGCTGTGCGACAACACCTGCAGCCAATGATAGAGTCTCCTCAATCCACTCCGCAACCCACTCACGTGGGTCGACACCACCGCTCTCGATAACTTCGGCAATAGCCTCGGGCACGGTGGACTGAGGCACCTCAACCTCTCCTGAGTCAGGATTCTCTGTAGCTGGAGCGGAGGCATCGAGCCATTCAATCCACTTCTGAGGCACAGCCTGGGAGATAGTGTGAAAGGCAATTCCGTGGATTGGGTCATGAAGGTAAAGGGCGAACGTGATCTCCTGCTCCGTCTCGGGGACATCATTCTCATCCGATGCGCCTGCCTGGAAGAGCTCTTTCGAGACAGTCTGGCTGATAGCCTGGATCGCCAAGAAAATATCACTGCTGCGGACCGGGTTCGACTCGCTCAGTATCTCGGTGGCTTGCTTGGCAGCCTCCTCAGCTCCACCCCGGGAAGCGAAGTACTCTGTAGCGTAGGACTCGGCGCTGGCTCGGGCCAACTTGGACCCTGCCATGGCACCAGCCACTGCGTTGACGGTACGAGGTGTTCCTGGGGTTACGGTGCGCCACCAGGGTCCATCGTTCCAGCCTGCGCTTGAAATGTAGCCGTCAATATCGAGGCCACGCTTGGGAGCTGATTCTTGTCCCCGTTGAATCACGAGTAGATCCCCGCCCTCAACTTGAGCCATGACCCGGGAGAACACAGCGTAGACCAGTGGATCGACACCAGGGTAGCCGGATAGATCGTGGGTCACATGGATCTGAAGACGTTCGTGGGATGAAATGGGAGGGGCGAGAGTGTGGATGAGGTTCGTGAAGGTCGGGATAGCCATGCTGCGAATTTCACCGCCTGTACCAAGATATTAGTAAGATCATAAATAGGATAGATATCAAGCCAGATGAACATACCTAGATCTCTCAGAGCGCCAACATTTCCCTTGACCTGCTGAGCCCAGCGCTGAGCCTCCTCATTGTTCTGGATTTCCTTGACTGCAGCCTCGGCCTGCTTCATGGCTGCGCTGGCCGTTGCGTACAGTCCTCCCCACCAACCGCCGCCCGCAATCTCCTCCTGCTGTTTCGGTTGCTCGGTCTCTGGCTTAGGTGGTGCCTTGGTACCTGTGTAAGAAGAACGACCAGTCTCCTCTGAAAGGCGTTGGCCCGCCCTATCTTCACCAGTGTGGTCAAAGGCCGCACTATGTCTTGGCGACCGTGTAGTTGATCGAGGTTTGTCTGCTGAGAGACGCGGTGTTCCCGGGCCACTACCAGGTCGCTGAACAGCTAGGTTGTCCAGCTCCGCCAGAATGTCGTCCTGGTCGGCGGCATTGTCAATGGTGGGTGCTGAAACTGTCGGCTTCGAGGGCTGTTCACTGGCCCCGTCAATACCGAGGTCATCAAACTGAGCAAGAAGCTCATCATTTGTGGGCTTTGCTCCCTTTGGAGGCATGGTGACTGGTGGGTCTGAGGGTTGTTAAGGAGAGGTGACGACACTGATTGTTTAAAGCTCCCGAGCTTGTGGAGACTGCCAAGACGCGCTGTATAGTACCTCCGTAACGGGAATGATATTCCAGCGCGAACGTAACTGCAAAGGCTTAAAAGAGGGTAGGTTTTTGAGGTTGTACAAACGTGGTTTCTATATGGGCCACTGACTCTTTCCCAAAGTTCGGGTTTGTAACAATACTTCCGCAGGTACTCTGTACAACCATGGAAGGACTTCCCACTACCTAGGTAGCTTTACGTACTGTTTTTTCCATGCCAGTTGGGGATTTCCTATTTCGGGGTGCCGCCGCTTTTATGATGGCGCTCAGGGTCAGGCTCAGTGAGTAAACTTCAGTCTGGGCTCAGGCTCACTGAGCTGCTCATGGTTATCACGTGACATATCAGTGATGACTAATGAGCGCTCACTGAGCACTCGGTGACTGGAGGCATCTATTGAGCACTTAGTCCACGCTCAGCCTATACCTAAAGGGGCATTCGGCCCCATATTGCCGTTTAATAATTTAATGAACTACTTTCTGATGGCCCCAAGAGGTCCTATAAGCGCGATAGTGGAAACTATGAAGGATTTAGTAATGGTAGCAGTAATATCTATACCGACGGTAAGATAGTCTGCGGAGGAGATGGCACGAACTTAGAAGATGGCATTACAGGCGTGTACTACGGGATAGATTTTTACGGTACAGAGTCTCAATAGGAGGAGTACGATGCTGACGTCAGAGGTCAATATCCAGACACCAACGGTGCTTGGCATCTCGCTAGTAAGCTTTCCAGCGACACGCAGAACAGCCAGTGGTGGCGCACCTGTCTATGCGACCAGGAGAGCGGGGACTATTCATGGACAGGAGCTCTTTAATACACTTGGAATGGAGGATTCAATTGTTACAGTGACTGCTATGCTAGGACTTGTGGCGGAGCCACTTAATGATGCGAGTTTGAAACGAAGGGTAACCCGAATAGTCGACGACTACCCAGGTATCACAAGTGGCATAATTAGCGACCGAGCTGTGGCCTGAATGATGTGTCTGTAGGGTTCATTCTAAGGCCTCATTTTTCTCATCACTGGTTGATCGCCAAGGTTCAAGTTACAGGTCATCTGACCTCAGATTTATACTCTTTAGAATGGCAAGAATGGTCAAATCATCACATATTGCGTACATAGAGCTCTAAGTCTAACATCTGCATATGTGCCAATGACCTGCAGATGCATACGCTTCAGATGGATGTTCTACAGGTAGATACTTGATTATCTCAGACGTTTTGAAAGCAAAAATATATTTGTAATGAGCAGATGTTGGCGCAAGCAACAAAGCAAAAGCAAGCAAACACTATCTCAAAGAACATGTAGATCTCCAAACAGGTCTGCGTACTCGTCGATCATGATATCTCCCCAGACATTTGCGGGAACCTGCTCTCCCTTCGCCTCCAGAATCTGTCGAGGTTTCATGCTCAGGCCCAAACGGTCAATGGCCCCCACTTGGCCTAGCAATATTCCGACAAAACGATTGGGTATTTTGGATTTAGGAACGATCTGCACTATCGTCGAGATAGGCAGAATGCAGTTGCTAAACTGGATCTCTGCGTCCAGCTGTACAGTCATGCCGTTCCCTGCTTCGGTCTGATCTCTCCGATACTCTTCATGGATAGGATCCTTGAGGTATTCTAGAAATATCGGAGACAGCACCTCTTCGCTGATTATGGTACGGTGAGCTCCAGTATCAAAGATCATTTCCTTGCTGACCCAACTCTCGATCAGATCATCTTCACCGCTCTCTATAGCACGAAGAGTTATGTTGGCGCGGATTATGGGGATATATGAATCCATGGTTTCTGCGCGAAGAGTCACATATGGCTCTCGGAACTCTTCATCTCTGGCTTTGATAGCCATTGCGCGAATCTTTTCGCGGATTTCTTCCCTTCTCTCAAAAGGTATGTTCACATCGGGGAGTGTCATGGAGCTCCTAATCTCTCGTCCGTCTGATCGCTGTTCTGTAGAGCTCTTACCCCATGATTGAATTGAGATGGCTAGCTCCCGGAGCTTTGGACCCCGTATACCTCGTGGCATGATTGCAATATCCTCATCAATGTCGGTGATGGCCGACTCGGCAGCTCTTAAAGCTGACACCAAAGTAGAGTGGACCGGGAGAGTCACCGAAAGTTCTTCATGTCGGCAATTCAGAGCATCTGCGACATTTCGGAGTACTACTCTTGGGTGAAGAGTGATGGTGTGAGGCATAGGCCTAAAAGTAACGAGTTAGCAGCGTGCAGCGTAAAGAAGGAGAAACCTACTCTTCACTCTTCTCGGATCTTTTGACATCGGTCATTTGGGTGGAATCCTCGATGGGGGATAAACGGTACAAGTGAGGTTTGATATGGGACGAGGGCTTGAGGCGCAGTGAAAGTTTGGAAAGTCTGACTCGGAGACGTAAACGCCCTGGAGAAGCTGAGTTATCTGCCATTTTGAATGGATGTAGTGGGATGCGGAATATATGAGAATCTTACCTTCAAAGGATGGAGCGAAATGATGTTACTATTTTTGAAATACAGATGCAGCAGGAGCGATAGATAGTACTTCAAAGGTAGGTGCCATATAAAATTAGGATCCACTTTATAACCCCAGATTTACGCTAGCCTATTATAGTCTAGTTCCATTCAATTTTGGTTTAGTGGGCTTATTCGCCCCTCTTATATCCGCCAATCAGGGATCCGCGATGTTTACTGACGGACCACAAAAGTCGTCCATCCCATCATCGCAAGCACGGCGGTCGCAAACAGCATTTAACGCCGAGATGGATGCCCAACGGCTAGCTGGAGCGAAAATGACGCATGTACCCTAACTGACCAGGAGTCGATGCCGTCCGGTGACTATGGATGCGCTGTACGCCATTGGGAGATCACAGAGACGGCATGGAATCGCACCTGAACCATAACCACGCTGCATAGAAGGTAGCAAGTTGGATAAGCAGGTAGTTCGACCGGATGGATTTTGGCCTGAAATATCCCTACTAATGATCGGATCGGACGTATCCGCGCCCGCAAAATCATCGAATAATGCCTCATCGTCAGTCTCATCGGCCTCATCACTACCATCCTCATCAGTCTCTAAGTCAGCATCAAGAGTCTTGGAAGCAGGTGCAACAGAACTGTCAGTCTTAGCAGAGACAAAATTGCCGGCGGTAACTACTTTAGCGCAGTTGTGCTTAGCATCAGGGACGGTTGTAATACGGTCCGGTTCAACGTTCGCCTGTCGGACTTATTGGGAGTCACGACTAGAGCAGAAACGCCGGTGAGCACGGCCACGACTAGGGCACAGACATCCGCGAGTTCGTACTCAGAATCGTTCAAATTAGTGACCGCAGCCTTGCCCTTGCGCTTTCGCTTGATAGAGTCCAATTCGCTTTCCCGATTTCTCCAGAGATCCTGAATGATATCCTGAGCCGTCTTAAGTTGCTCTTACAGGGAATCAACAGACAAATGAAGGCGAACGACGTCTTTGGCCTATGGTATCAAAAAGCGCATAAGTCGATCTAAGGTCTCCTGAAACTCTTGCACGTCGAATACTGGGGAAGTCGCTTCTAGTCGGAACAATCCACTGTGCTTCGACGCTAATCCGCTACCATGGAGGAGATATCCAGTGATCTCCACTCCCACCCGGCGCAGAGCAGCTATGACCAGAGAAGCACCGTTCGAATATTATAAAGCTAGACAGTTGCGACACTACGGGCAAAGATGAAGAAGAGGAAAATTCCTTACTTCCTCTTTGCGCGCAAATCCGAACTCGTCGCAGCGTTGGAAGCCGACGACGCGAAGCTACTCCAGGAGTAGTGGACGCAAGAGAAGTTATTCCTTATTTGACGATATTGTGCTATAAAATCAGGGGAAGAGGTGAATCAAAAAGAAGGAAAAAGAGCAGCGGAAGAGGTGAATCAAAAAAGAAGCAAATCCATAAAGCGAAGAAATCCACGCTTCCCCCACTACCACGCGCATAGAGATCATATTCAAAGGTGCGGCCTTCTCTAGGGAAATAGACGGCCGATCACTAATCACCTGTAACAAATACTCTACTAGAATTTGTTATAGTTTACTTGAGATGATACGAAAAGATAAAGCGGATAGTAGAGTGCGGTATTGTCAAGACTGATTCTTGAGAGAATCAGGTGGGATCCGTTGGCAGATCGTACTTATACTGTTATGTGATCATGTGACCTGTGTTTATAATAATCCTGTGACAGAACCATTCCCTCTTCATATAGTATATAGTGCACCGTGTGAATCTCCGATCAAACGTAGTGCGATCGACACATACTGTTATGTGATCATGTGACCTATGTTGATAATAATCCCGTGACAATATCATTTTGTCAAGTGGTCGTATTACTGACTAGTAAGGCGGAATCGATTGGGCGAATGGAAAGGCAGTATATAGAATGAATGTATATGTGTGTAATCCTAATACGGAATGGCTGTGTAGTTAACGCGGTCACCTGAGCTCACTTAGGTAAGTAACCTTATCTGAATATATATTCAATTAACCCCCATATGTGTGCCTAAGTACTCAGGTATGATGAGGATCAGATCTTAACCTTATTTTATTGACTAATTTTTTTTTTCAAGTCCATCTCGTCTTGTCTCGTCTTTTTGATTGCCTTAGGAAAGAACATTCGAATAGAGTATCAGGTGGTAGATCTGCGTGGCATATAGTTTTATCGGACCCTTTCCGCTGCGGGCCCAAGCGGCCCGCGGCCATAAAGCAACGGCGAGGACAGTAAGCATAAATGGTACCTTGTTCCTGCACCAACCTTTGTTGGAACCACCAAGAAATTAGCGCTGGAACATAGTATGTCAATTGTCATACATATTTCCTGCCCAGACTGGAACCGGCAGATTCCAAGGTTTACATTAAGCTCTACAAGTGCTAATCCGAGGTCCGACACCAGATACCCGCATGGAGTTATACCATCCACTAATGCAGGTGGTCGATTATAGTTACCCGAAGTCCAATTCCAATTTCTGAATAACACCAACATACGTCTTTTATATGTACCAGACCCCCCACCAACATCGACACACGATGAAGCTACAATCCTAGCCAGAGTTCAAGCGCGTCGAGCTCCCAATCCTCTCCTCCCACTCGATCTTGCACTCCTACACTCATTCCCTGCCGCAGACGGATGGAACTCATTTATAGGAGCTATTCGCAACAGAACAAGTCTGTCGACGGTTGTTCGGGAGCTTGCGATATGCCGAGCTGCTTGTCAATGGCGCGTTATTTGAATGGGAGCAACACTCCCCTCCCCGTTACTGCTGCAGGGAGGATTGAGTGAAGAGTCGCTCAAGGTGGTCGGGGATGCCGAGGCAACATTCGATGCTGAGGGTTCTAAAAAGGCCTTAGACAAGGATCAGTAGGCTGCTGTGAGATATACTGATGCAGTAGCCAGCAGTGCCAGACGAGGTTTTTAGGGAGTTGCGGGAGTGCTTCGATGATAAGGAGGTGGTGGAGATCATAGCGGTGATCACGGTTTATAACTGTGTTAGTCGGTTCTTGGTGGCATTGTATGCGGGAGAGAAGAACAGGGAAGACGGTGAATTGGGCTGAGTGGACCTCGGGACTGGGCATAATATACCTAGGCACAAGCTCTATTAAGTGGTTTAGTAGGAGTAAATCTATAGCAGTCTAGTATATCCGAGATTTTACGGGGTTGAGCCTCGAGGAACAGGTGTCTCGAATGTTGATTTCGAAATGAATACTTAGGTATGTAGCAAATTTCCAAATTTATAGCGTACATATACTGTGACGACAACATTGGAAGGCAGTTGAATATTGATAGGGCGGAATTCCTTCTACCCAGGAACAAAAAACGAAATTCAGTGGTAGCCAGTGAAAATGCTTTTCATGTCCATCGAAGGACCAATATGATGGAATAGATCGGAGAAATGTGAATCCTATATGCACGGTCTGTGCGTGGCTTGAGACACGCGACGACCCGGGCCAAAAGGAGAATCAATGGGAGTAAACAAAGACAATGACTCTCACTGGCATCAATTGAGACGTGTATCTGGCATTTTGTAATTTCCTTGAGGTATTCTGACAGAATGACAGTTTCTCGTGAAGTATTTTATATCCAGGTACCAGACCCCATACTCCTCCCCCTTGCGGTAATGATATAGCCTTCCAGGCGTCGTATTTGATCACTAAGCACTTAGCCTAGAGTGAAATTGAACCATAGTCCATATGGAGTGAATTGAAAGTCGAGATTAGACAATTAATTATTTGGGGGTCATAGTGGTGGTGGGAAATCTGAGTTTTTTATGTTTTTGCGTCGCGTCTCAGGAGACGGATAGTCACCTGGCTTTACAAGTGGGAAGTGATAATATCGGAAACGAGAAATACTTCGAGTTCACTTCAATTTCACTCGAGTTTACTTCCAGTTAAATAACCTATCCAGGACTACGTCGAGTTCCTGACGTCTATGTTTTATGTGACTAGTAGATGGGGGTGATATTATTGGATGAAAAGAGAAAAGTGGAGATCTGGAAGTTCCAAGCTGGAAGTGGTCACTACAAACTAAACCACCTCTCAATCTCTTTTCTTCCTCTACCTTATTACCCCCATCCTTTCCTTTTCCTCCTCTCATTCATTTCTCTCTTCTACAATTTCCCACAATTCGGATTTTCCACCCTTTACTTCGCCTTTCTTAACTTTGATTCCCTTCCCGGGTCCCCGGAGTGAGATCTCTTCAATCTACTACATCCCTGGCATCTTGCTTTCCAGCTTTGCGCCAAAAGAATTCCCATTCTCAAGTTGTTCGTAAACTGTCTGATAAAGACATTTTCAGTCACTCAGCTCTGAGATTCCAAGTTACATGGTAAGCTAACATCGCGTCTGTTTTCACGTTTTTCTTCCCTTTTTTCCCTGTACTCTGGCTACACTTCCGGGTCAGATCCTGATCCACACAATTTGCCGCGACCGTGTTCTGCTTCTTTTTTTCTGTTATCATTTTCATCTCACGTTTAATTTCCCATTACTGTGATGTGCAACTGTTTGGATTTCTGATCGTTGTTCTCGCCCCCTCTATCTCTCGTTCTCCTGTTGGGGGTGTTCCATTCCTCTGCTACTAAAGGAGTCTTGGCACTGCAAGCGAGACTAATTTCCATCTATAGACTACAACCCATCAACACCAACTGCTCCATTAACAGCACCATTCCGGTGTCTGCTATTGGTAGCTCATTTTCCAGACAATTGTGAATTTGCTGTTGATGACTTTCGTTTTCCGACTTCCTAGCATCAAAACTCTTACAGTCTGTTCATCTCGCAGCAAACTTTCCAGACCATAGGAAATTGAATCAGCTGTCTCTTACTTCACCTTCGCAGCATCAAAATTTCTGGTGTCTGTTTTAATCCACAGCGACCTTCCAGACAGGAATTAAATCAGCTGTATCTCACCACAACATCAGTATTTCTGGTGTTGATCTCATCTCACAGAGAACTTTCCAGATCATAGGAAATTGAATCCAGTCTCAACAACATCAATATTTCTGGTGTTTGTTTCACATCACAGCGAGCTTTCTCAAGAATAGGAGATTCAATCAGCTGTTATTCCCTTACTCAAACTCCACAGAGCCAACTTTTCTGATTCTGATTCTCGGCACCTTTCCTTCCAGATAATAGGAAGTTGATATTTGTTGCCTTCTCAAACACCTACAATGGGTCGCTTTCAGGTGTCCTATATGGAGGCCGACAACCAGTCGTCCGATGTGGGCGATAGCCAGGACCGAGACTCCCCGATGCACCGTCAATTCTCAGAGCCGTTTCGACCGCAGTCAACTTCAACTCAAATATCTCAATCTCCAGAACCCTTGCCCCGTCGCATCAAGTGTGACTATTGCAGCAAGCTGGTTGAGATCCCTAAGCACAGCAGCGTTACCGAGAAGGATCTTTTGCATGCTCATGCTACCTCAGATCATCCTGAGTCTCTAACTACCGAACAATGGCAACATTCACCCCATTGGAACGGATATGATGGTGTCAACGACGATGATGTTGATATAGAGGAATCTGATATAGAGGAATCTGATATGGAAGACTCTCAGATGAAGGACGCCCAATCACATCATTGGGGTGGCTTTGACAGCCCTAACGACACCGAACCCATTGAACAAACGCATGAAGAGCAGGACGAGAATGACGAGGTCGGAGAGCATGATCAGCAAGACGAGCAGGACGAACCCGAAGAGCAGATCGAAACCGAAAATCGTGCAGAGCAGGAACAACCCGAGGATAGACCCTCTAAGACTCGCAAAAACGGCATAGGTTATGGTCATCAATACCGCCGGACCACCCCTGAAGAGCATGAAGCACAATTCGACAAAGGAGATTGGCTTGGCAATCCAAAGTCTGGTCGTCCAGACGAGTACCGCAAACGTGTGGAAAAGTGGCAAGGCCCAGAGATGGAGACGCGTCTTCCTGCCATTTGGAATGTTCACGACATGGATAAGTTCAGTCCTTCGTATGAACAACTTCGAGCCGCTGCCGATACCACCTGGCAGCACGCTTTTGCAAGCACTGAGGCAAGACCTAATGGGCCGAAAGTTATAGAACGCCCTGACCCTTACCTCGCGACCACTGTGGAAAAATGCAATTTTCTGCCTATCAATCGACTGGAAGACCTGTTGGAGATGCTTAAAAAGCCAGAACTTCTCACACAGCAGGAACTTTATGCTGCCACCGAGAATGTTTATTTCGCTATGCAGACATGGCAAGACGAGTATATGGCTCTGGATGAGCTTTACTTGAAGGCCCATCGACACGTGCGAGCCCCAGTGACACGCGAGGAAAAGCGCTTGAAAGAGAACGTGCCGGCCAAGGGAAAGAAAAAACACACTGGGCACCCGCTTGCACGCGTTCCGGAGGATCAGCGAGATTTCGAAGACAAAAAAGAGTCTCTTCTTTATGGATATAAGCACAAATACTACCCTACCAAGGATGTGGAAGCCTTGAACTGGCACCAGCAAGACCCCTTTGAGCAGGGAGGGTTTGTCCCAACCCCAGCGCAGGGAAGAAAGATGTTGGCCAAGGACGCAATCGGAGACCGAAATCCCGATGGTTGGAAACCGGTTGTGCGGAGAGGGGAGGCCGCGGTTCCAAAACTCTTCGTGGAGCGAGAGGAGCCTCTTGAGAAGAAGATTACCCGCAAACGTAAAGCCGGGTCGATGAATTTGACTGCGACCGCCAAAGTCATGACCCGGTCTTCGAACCCCCCCAAGGCCGATGTTGAAATGGTCGACTCCGGCCAAGAGGACGAGAACGCGGAGGAAAAGACCGAGGCGGAAGAGGAGGAAACTGCACCCCCTCCCAAGCGCCGTCGTGGTCGCGGTGGCAGGAAGGCGCCAGAAGTCCACCAGCCCGCCGAAGTGCCTGCAATTGCAACCGCAATTCGTGGCCGTCGGGGCCGGGGTCGGGGCAGCCGTGGTGGGCGAGGCTCACGAGGTGCTCGGGGAGCTGCTTCTTCCCGTGGTGGAGCTCATGGCTCAATCGAGCCTCAAACCACCACCAGCAATTTCCGCGGCCGCGGTCGACGTGGCGGTGCAATCGCTCATGTTGTCGATGAAGCTCGCACCGATTCGCGAGCTTCATCGGCAGGAACCACTGTGTCCGTGCCTGAGCAAACTCCTGTTCCCTCGGTGGAGACCCAGACCAAGCAGGTGGTCAAGAAGGAGTTGAGCGAGGAGGCAAAGGAGGAGGCCAAGCAGGAGGCGGATCGATTGAAGATTCTCAAATCCAAGAACCCGAAACGGACAAAGGCCATGCTGGACCATTGGGCCCGCTTCCGTTCCGACAAACGGACGCGGAATCCCAAAAGGTCCAAGGCACAGATTGAGAGCGATCGTCAGATGGATGGGGCCGGCGATGACATGCCCATTTCTGGGCACGGTCAGCGTCCATCATCGCTCTTGATGCCTACCGGGGGAAACTTGGCGCCAAAGGCACCAATGATGCCTCTCCCCGGTGCAGGGCCTTTGTCCATGGGGCATCACCAGTACCCGCCCATGATGATGGGCGGGTACCACCCTCAGTCGATCCCCTACGTTCCTCCTCCCCACCATCAGGTTGCTCAACTCGGGCAACCCATGCCCCCTCAATATGCCCCATTCCCATACGTGCCCTATCATATTCCTCCCCCCATGAACGGGGGAGCCGCCTCACACGAGCAGAACCCGCTGCACCAACAACAAGGTAACCCTCCGCCCCAGAACCGCTATCGGTTCGGGGCGGAGCGGGGAGGCGGATGAGAGCCCTGTCAGCCACCCAACACCATCTAACCTGATCATCCTCCACAAAAACTCTTCTTCCCCCAAGCAACCTCCTCCCTCAATCATTTCAAAACGATCGGGGAGGAGAGGAGCAGGAATATGGGGGCAGGTATATGGGTGGTGGGAACAAACCCAGTAAACTCGGGCAAACTCCTCCACACGATTTATTATCCAGCGACCTCTTCCCCCGACCATTTCGACCAACAATCGGGGAGAGGGGATGGTGGGAGGAACAGGGATGTGGGTGGGTGGGAACTTACGATTCTCCCCTCTGAATTCGAATCCTTACGCCCAGCCGCTTCTAGTTGTTGCCTATCTGCAACTTCTCCTCCCCTATAAGCCACATTCTTCTGGGACCTCCTTCCCATCATCTTTATTACCTGCGATCAGGGAGGATAGGGGAGTATGGTGGAGGATAGCGGAGCGGATTCGGAGGGGAGTACACTCATATTCATCGACATTGGCATTGACCCCTCCATATGCAGCATCACCTCCGGTTTCCCAACTCAACAAATCGGGAAACCCATGCCACAGTACGTGCTTTTACAAGTTATGCCGTACACCCCCGGTCACTAATTGACCGGTCCCGCTTCAACTAATGGGATCTCCCCTCTAATTCCATCATCATATCATTTATCCTTCGTGATCGAGGGAGGAGATGGTAGAGGCGGGGAGGTGAGAGGGGTCTATGAAGGATCATGGGACCTAACTGGTCTCTTTTGAATTATTGTCCATTTTCATGGGGGAGAGCTGGGAATCAGCAAGGGACATGCATGGTAGTTAGTGTATATAGTGAATCTGTACATTTAACAGTGTATTTGTTTTTGTATAAAAATCAAGTCAACAATATTGAGCACTTTGATAACATATACAATATGAATGACGTAAGGTTTATAGTCATCTCAAATCACGTGGCCGTGGTTCTGCTTACCTAACATCATGTGACTCTCGTCCTAGTTCCAGAGGACCTAATCTCGCACCTTGAATTTCCTCTTCTTCCCTTCTTCTTTCCCACACGCAACTCCCCCTTCTTTTGGAAAACTTTTCAATTGGTATAATTTGCAACGTCGCCACAATGACCAAAAAGAAACGTAACACCGGGCCTACCCTCCAAGAACTTTTGGAACGTCCTTTTTGCTACTACTGCGAACGCGATTTCGATGACATGAAGATTTTGACCGGTCATCAAAAGGCTAAGCACTTTAAGTGCGACAGCTGTAACCGCCGTCTAAACACCGCCGGTGGTAGGTTTCGAAATCCATTAATACTTGACTATCCATCCGACCGTGACACTAACATATCTTCGCAGGATTGGCTGTCCACATGCTCCAAGTTCACAAATCCCAACTTGAAAAAATTGAAGACGCTCTGCCTCACCGCGCGGGGATTGACGTCGAGATTTTTGGTATGGAGGGAATGCCTCCAGAGGTGCTCAAGGAGCACCAAGACGCCATTATTGCGCGCTTCAACGCAGCCGAGGCCCAGCGTACGGGAAACTTCCCCTCCTCCAAACCTGGTGGCCAATCTAATAAACGCCCGAAGCTTGAAAGTATATCGGACATGAAGATGCGCCTTGCGGCGCACCGTGCAAAGCGTGCCGAAGAGGCCGCCGCTGGAAGTACTGCGAGCACCGGAGACGCAACTCCCGTTGGCGAGGTTGCACAAGTCACCACACCCAGTGAATCTGTAGGTCACAGAGTTTTCCCTGGACCATGTCGCAAGCTAATAGTTAACCGTATTTAGTCCCCGCAGGCTCCTCCCACGCCGGGGATCGTTCAGCCTTTCAATTTCGAGTACGCAGCACCCACCGCACCTCCCACCGTACCTCCCACCGGCCATCATTTCGCACCAGTTGTGAACTCCACTTATCAGGCATTTCCACCCATGGGTGGATATCCGATGTCCGCTCCTCAGATACACCCCAGCGGATACACTTATTCGCCTCACAGCTATGGAGTGCCAGCCTATCCCGTCCCACACACTATTGAAGCTACCAAGCCTTCACCTCTCCCACTGCCGGTCGGTCTGCCACAGCGTCCGAACTTTGCCAGCCCTCCAAATGTGAGCCAAGCGGCCCTTCCCTCAGTTCCAGTCGCTATCCCTGCCACCACAACTGTGGCCCCAAGCCTCCCGACCATGAACGAGAAGGCGACTGTTACCTCCGATAAACCAGCCAAGAAGGCTAAGGCCATCCGACTGGTCTTTTCATCGAATGATATCAGCCCTGAAGAGTTGATGGCCCAGCTTCCCCGCTTCGCAAACTCTAGCTAAGTCGCCTACGTCGCCATTTTTTCGGCTTGCTCTTTTTTTTTTCCCTGGCCCTGATTCTCACGTAGCAGCCCATCTCGATTGTTTTTGGTGAGTATGGCCGGGGTCACGATACCCTATGAACCCCTTCGTAAGTTTTCATCTTCAAATTTTTTTTAAGTATTCCAAAAATTACTAAAAATGCCTGTTATACAATTTGATCGTAAATACTTACCATTATATCTCCAAAGCAATGTGCGGATCTGTAAATTACTATGTAGTAAAGTAAGTTATACCTTTTGTGGTTAATCCCCATTACATGAAAGACCTTCCTACATTATGAAACCGAGATATCATTGTTACGAGATTCCTTGTTGTAAAGCAGCTTCATGTTGTTTCAATTGCGTAACATTCTACGCTTAGTCCGTGAGCATATATAGTAAATTGACTTCCATCGCAAGATATAGTCTTCCGCCGTGCTTTTTGTCTCAGTACCTCTCGCACCGCACTAATAACTGTCTAGTTTATACCCGTGGACTCCGTTAACTAAGTTACTCTGATGTACTAAGCTGAGTCATCGGCATCCGCAAGAAAAATTAGCCAAATCTGTATTCTATAAAACAGCATAGGAAGTCGTGACTTCGTTAATTTCTATTCCATAATAATCCAATCTAGTAGATCCCATTGTCCTGGGATCATATTCAAGACGACTATCTTCAGGTGTACGCGCCTGTTGCGGACTCTAAGTAAGACCCCGCAGGTCCAACCTTTGACACATTTCCGTGCCCCTCCTCCATTTTCTTTTTCTGCATCTCTTCCACGCGCATTCACCATGGCAGCCACAGCAGCACCTGATTCTTCTCTACTCTCTCTGCTTTACCGCTCATACCCAACTGTGATTTCTCCCAATGCCACCGAGCCTGATTACCAGCTTGCCTCGTCGAAGATTTTCCCCGACGTGAACTTTGGTGAGACTGAGCATGTCGACATTAAGCAGTGGCTGAATGCCGTCTCTGGCTTGAAGGCTGCCCTCACCAATGATGACAAGACCGTTCTAGAGAAAATCCTGGTCCAGTTGAATACCCACCTCGCCAGTCACACCACCCTACTCGGTGCGAAGCCCTCCGTTGCCGATATTGCTGTGTACGCTCTCGTCGCTCCCATCGTTGAGAAGTGGACCTCCGAGGAACGCACAGGAGAGAAGGGTTACCACCACATCGTACGCCATGTCGACTTTGTGCAGAACTCGCCCCTCTTCGCCCTGCAGATCCCCGAGGAAGAGAAGGTTGTCATCGATGTGACCGACGTCAAGTTTGTGCCCAAGCCCGTTGACCCCAAGGAGGAGAAGGAGCGCAAGAAGCGCGAGAAGGCCCTGGCCGAGGCTGGTGCTGAGAAACCCCTTGTCGTTGGTCAGGGTAAGCCTGAGAAGGCTGCCAAGGCTGATGCACCGGCCGCCGATGCTGCTGCTACCGGTCACAAGACCGAAAAGAAAGAAAAGAAACCCAAGAAGGAGAAGGCTCCCAAGCCTGCTCCCGCTCCTACTACCCCTCCCTCCCCATCCCTCATCGATCTGCGTGTCGGCCACATCCTGCGCGCTATCAACCACCCCAACGCCGACTCCCTCTTCGTTTCTACCATTGACTGTGGTGATGTCGCCGGATCTGACAATACATCTGTGGATGAGGAGACCGGCAAGACTGTGCGAACAGTGTGCTCTGGTTTGAACGGCCTGGTGCCTCTGGAGGAGATGCAGGGTCGCAAGATCGTTGTTGTCTGCAACCTGAAGCCCGTTACCATGCGCGGCATCAAGTCCGCCGCCATGGTCCTGGCTGCATCCCCACGCGTCGAAGAGGGCGCCGATGCTCACGGTGGCCCCGTCGAGCTTGTCAACCCCCTGTCGACGCCCCTGCCGGTGAGCGCGTGTTCTTCCAGGGCTGGTCCGAGGGTGTACCCGAGAAGCAGCTCAACCCCAAGAAGAAGGTCTGGGAGGCATTCCAGCCCGGTTTCACCACCAATGAGAACCTCGAGGTTGTCTTCGATAGCAGCGCTGTCCCTCTCGTAAAGGACCAGGAGGGAAAGCCTGCCACTGGTAAGCTGGTTATCGCATCCGGTGCTGTCTGCACCGTCAAGAGCCTGAAGGATGCTACCGTGCGGTAATAGGTGGACTCTTGCTGTTCAAATACAGAATATAAAAATATAAAATATCACTCAGAGTGCATACCCACGAGAAGACGAAAATCAATTAGCAGCATTTTTATCAATTTGTTCTACTGTCTATAATTCTTGTAATGTGAATGAGGTTATATGAGATCTATAATTTTTTTGACCTAAAATATGCATGGTATCAGGTCTATAGGGATTATCTAGGTAGCTCCATGAGAACTCCCAAGGTCCAACCTTGGGAAGTATATTAGCCGATATCAAAGCGATCTAAGCACATAAAGCTTCGCTGCTCAATTCAAGCCTGAAAGGCTGATCATGTGTGAGTAGCAAAACCCAGGGATGGACCCCGTTGATCAAAGACCACAAAGAAGGCCTTCAAGAAGATATCACCAAAGACCTGCAAGTCAGAGCCCAAATTTGACTGAATACCGCCATAGCACACTATCAACCTGTTAGCTCAACAACATCGAAAAGAAAAGAGGGTGAGAACTTACGAGTTTCACCCGTGGTCGTATTGGTCCCAATCTCAGAATAGTTCATGTAATCACCGGGGATAACAGCCTTGAATTCCCCACCAACAGCCATAGACAAATTCGGCAGCTCAGAGCTGCAAGGAAACATGTAGGCACTGATACTGTTGGAATAAACAGCACCAGTCACTTCCTTGTAGTAAGCCCCAACAACCGACGGACTAAGCAGCATGAGAGTAGTACCCGTATCGGCAATGGCATTTGGCGTATCAGTGATATCATGCATAGTTGTCTCGCTCCCAACAGCATACTGAGCCGCCTCGAACTGCCAGAATCCATCCGACGCGTCGACACTGACGTTAACCAGTGAACCGGTATACTTGCTCGAGTCAATCTTGCCAAACTCATACTCTCCCGCACCGTCACTGAGCAGTTTAGCTGTGAAGACTGGTTCGTCGAGGTTTGGAGCAATGTTGTCGAAGAAGGTCTTTTCAGGACCTGGTTTGAAGCTGTTTAGAGAGGTGAAGGCTAGTCCGACTAGGCCGTTGGAGGATGTGTCTACGACGAAGGAGCCTGCGATGTCTTTTGCTAGACCGAAGACTTGGTCTTTGACTACTACGCCGCCGACTGAGACAGTATCTCTTGCTAGAGAGCCCGAGGCGTAGGATGAGTCTCCGTAGGAGATTTCGAAAGTACCGTTTATCTCGGTGTAAGTAGTTGAGTTGGCAGGATTGTAGAGTTGGTGGTTTTTTGTCGAGGATGAGGGGAGTTGACTGCTCATCACCCATCTGAATTTCAAGTTAGTCCCTGATATTATGATCCATGTAGCTCATGACTAGACAACTTACAGGTCTGCTGAGCCCGTGTCGAAGTCCATTGTGATGCGCTGACCACCTATAATAACAGGTGAAACGAACTCGGTATCACCCTGAACCGAAGTTGCGCTCACAGCCCCAGTTAGCTCTGAATCCTCAGAACTCGCTTCGTGAGAGACAGTTTCAGCCAAGTTCTGAGTGGTAAAGGGCTCGAAATCGATCAACTCATTATCGCTGAAATCCGTGTGTGAAATCCCGAATTTGCGGTATGCTTTGCGGAGGGCTGTTGGGCCGTGGCGGACATAATCGCTGCGCTTCACTCTTTTGACCTTGAAGGATCTGTCATTGGAGATAGGCCGAGCGGAGAGTGGTATAGCAAGAACGTTGATGCTCAATAAAAGGAATAGAATGGTCGAAATCAGGGATTTCATCTTGACAGTCCGGCTGTCGGTGATGCTGTTTTAAGTCTGATCACGATGAATTGGAAGCCCAGCAATGGAGATCTGGAAAGCCACCGGGGCGTTGGAAGTAATGAATGTATTTGAATCGAAAATGAAGGTGAGTGGTGGCGATGCAAAGGAATACAACAGTACCAGACTTGAAGTTGTTGACAAAAACCAAAAGTACTACTAGACAGTAGGCAAGGAAATATTCAAAGGATATAGTAGAAGGAACGAGAAATTAATATTGACAAGGAATGGTACAATCGGGCAATAAGACAAAGGAAGGACAATAGAATTGAAAAGTATCTACAAAACATCCATCCGGAAGTATATCAACTATAAGAAGTAGGGCTAAAAGCGGGTATACGTAAGACCTCGTTTCCAATTCTTCGTCTTTTCCCAGCCTTGGAAGAATACAACCTATCAACGAAGCTGAATCTCTGCAAGCTCGACATTATCCATCTGAGACCCATCACACGGCTTCGAGTGGAGCTGGAGTGGAGGGTCGGTTATACGTCCCAGGAGAACGTTCGAGTTTTCATGGAGGAGATTCTGTGATTGTATTGGGCGAGATTTGACATCCGGGAACCACTGAGGATCCAGTGATGGTCTATGGCCGTTTCTAAGTTATCTGAAACTAACGAAGGGCGGTTATGAAGCATCATTTGGCCAATTATAGAGAGTTCATGATCCCCTTGAAACTGGTGGGGAACTCAAATGAGCAGATGCCTCATTTTGACCTGTCTAACTACTATTTGCCTTGGCGCATTATATAGAATCTTGTTATTTAACCCATGTTGTACACTGGAAATGAGAGTCTAGATTGCCTGGGCAATTTGTTCTCTTAATTTATTATCCAGCTGGATAGTTCATCCTAGAGGACGAACTACATTGATCCCGTAGTTTCACCCTTTAATTTGTATTCGGACATAGCCGCCCAACATGCAGATCTTCAACCCAATCCAGCATGGCGTGTGCATTTTAGGCCGACAGAGTCGTATGCATCCTATGTTTGATCTGAAAATTATGTACTCCGGAAGAAGCGGAAAGTCATCTCTGCCATCAACCGTGATCCTCATCTTCATCTGAAGAAGTTGAGTGAGATCTACAGTAATCCACGCGAAAACCACACAGAAAAAAGAGATGGATCCAGGTTAGAATACTTGACTGGTGACTAGACGGTCAGAACGTTCCCATTTAGATTCAAAATTCATATCTTCATTAAAATTTTGCAGTTGAAGTGCTTCGTATCTAAGCAAGTGTCTTCATCAAAGACTCTTTAACAGCCGCAGATAGAACAGTATGAGCACCTCGAGCAGCCTCAACAGCTCCATCAATCAAAGCATCATGGTCAGAACTATCTCCCTTGAGCCAAATCTCGGTAATTTCATCTCTAGCAGGCATGTACGCCAGAACACAAGCAGACATGATAGAGCGATGTTCCGCCGGATCAGGATCAAGAACCAAGCTCGGGTTAGGAACGGTTGACAGCGGGTCGCCACAGACAAAAGCAGCAACACCTCCAGCAACCAAGTCCAAGCAGTCGATGCGGGCATCGGCTATAGCAGCTGATGCGGCGGAGATACATGCCGCAAGAACATTCATCATGCCCCATGAAGCATCGTGCGCATCAGGCGCATCTCCCCACCAACGATCATCCTCAGCTTCAAGGATAGTGATAGTGACATCGATACCGCTCTTTGGCCATCGATCGGCAATGATTGCGCCGCGAAGAGCTGTCTCGAGGTGAACACCGAGATCTCGCTCGGTAACATCACGAAGATAACCTTTGCGCTTGCGCGCAGCAAAAGGCGCGTACTTGACAATTGTTGTCAAGACCAGGTTCGGCGAAAATGCCGCAGACCGGGGCAGTGGCTTTGGGCCGTGAACTGTGCATGTCATTTTCAGCGCTGAGGAGGGTTGGATCAGAGATTTGGGGTGTGAGCGAGCGAGGGCGAGGGAGGAGGAAGGTTCGAATTCAAGATATGAGGATCCTGATGCAGAAGGGATTAGGCCGGTCCTCAGGACTAGAGGTTCAACCTTTAGCTTGGTTCACATAATTATTTCGCATCGTGCATACAGATTTTCCGTAGATCGACTGGCTGACGCTGGCGATGGGCTCGCTCTACAGCGCCTGTGCCGGATTCAAGAAGGGAGGCATATACTGGAGGCCTGGTACCACCAGGTGGCCCATTGATCCGTCGTCGATCATTCATTGTTAGGTGATTTGGAGATTGATGAAGCACACAGAGTTGAAGAGCCAGAAACGGAAATCTTATGAAGAGTTTGCAGTGTTTGTCTAGAAAAGTGGGGCATTTAAGCTACAGAAAAAGCTCGTCTCTCGGCTCTTTTCTTTTCTCCTTCTTCCACACTTCTCAAATTTACCATTTGGCCAACAAGCAACTTTTTATGATGAAGATTGCTTATGGAGTTTTATTTTTCTCTTATTTTCACCTTAACTCTCCTCTCTAAAACTAATCTAAACTGTGAGTATCCTTGCAACAATTTTCCCACAATCGTGCCTTCTTTTTCGTGATGAGAAAATTTTTCAGTTCTGCTTCTGCAAAAATATTGAAGATAACAAAATACCTTACCAAAAACTCCTGATACTACCATTATACATTCTATTGTCTTGATACATCGTTGCTTTTTCTGACTCTTGTACTGACAATTCGAAGAACTCTAGTCACCTCCCTTTCCAACCTCTCACTCTCGGTGAGACTGTTCTTTACTAGGTAAGAACATGCAACTGTTTCTTCATATTCACCATCCCTTTATGATGACACCTAGTCAATCCATTCAATGACTCTTTTGAGAACCGCCTTCGGATTAATTACTCTGCTTAGCCAGTGACATTATACCAGTTGTCGATCTATCTTCTTGACTCCCACACTTGACTTTTCATGCCCTCGGGGAAACCCGTGTGTCGTGCCTTGTGCCAGGTGAAAAGGAGGAAGGTTGTGGAGCACCAATATTATAGGCTCATATTGGCTTCTGGTGTCGCTGGCTTCGCATAGTGGTTTCTCTGGCTCGTGTTAATTTTCTTGGGCTGAGCTGACCGTCCGTCTTGGGCGCCAGTTTTGGTTCGAGGGGTTAACAGGGATGGGATGAATTAAACCGGCTTGCCTGATTTAGTTTCCTTGCACATTTATTTGTATGAGGAATATTCTTCTGCCTTCTATCACGCATTGATTATTTATGCAATTGATGCTAACGATATTTGCAGTTTATAGGCTTCAGTCTCGATTAGAATACTAAATCCATTAGTGGTAGCTTGAATCAATGAACTTGAATATCCTAGATTGAATTCTTGAAGAAACAAATGTTTTTTTCGTAAGACATATGTGCGTACCAAACCTAAGTAGGTATCGAAAAGTATAACCACATACGGTAACCCAAAGGGTTAGTCTGGGTAAGAAAGACTATGATGGCACTTTCCTATTCGCGTTCATTTTCCTTCAACGGGCGTGTTTCTGCCATTTGACCGGGACATGCTGTAGGGAGCCTGATTGAAGACACGGTCAGAAAGAGAGTCAACAGAACTGAGAGGATCACTAACCAGAACTTTCTTTGCGTTGAAAATCCGCCAGGAAAGATTCTTGACGTTGCCATCGGCTTTGACGACCTCAGGAGCCAATTCAACACCAAACCTGCGCATAATGTTAGTAAATCAAGGTAAATATTGAGTTGAGTCACGAAGATTGGGATAATCACATCTGATGAACTGCAAAGACAACACGTTTGGCGAATTTTCCATCGCGTTCAACTAGACTGCCAAACTGTTCCTCCACAGTCGCAGGGGCAATTTCAGGATCATGGTCAAAACATCTGCGGACAACGGGCAATAAGGCATTTTCAACAGAAGTCGAAACAACACCATCATTCTCAAGGACATCTCCTTCGTCAAAGTGGGTGATACGAATCTCGAATGGCCGTGAGATAGCCATGACGTTGTGCATTCCGTTGTGGTGGTAGCGCAGCTCGAACACGCCCTGTGTCCAGAAGAGCTTGTCTCCAGAGAAAACGATCTCGCCGGACGCAAGCTCCCGACCGTCAGGCCCAGAGGATTTGATGATGATATCACTGGAAATGATGCCCTTTTCACAGGTCAGATTGTCGTAAGAACCTTCATTGGTGGCGATCCAGCGGCCCTGTGACGAGACATGAGTGACATCTCGGGAAGTATTGTCCATGACGCGGTAGAGACCGATCCAGTCCTTTTTGCTGTGGTTGAGCGGAGCTGTCCACTTGACCTTGATTGGGGAGCCGTATTCAAAGGTCAAGTTCTTCAGGCCACCGCGGCGATCCAAGGGCATGCGGGCGTTTGCACCCTCGCGACCCATAAACTGCTCACATTCCTCTTCCTGCTGGAACTTGACACCATCGCCCTCCACAGAAAACGAATAGTCGCTAAGATCAAAGCCAGCCAGTTCCGCATCAATACGAGAGATGGTGACGCGGGCAGGGTAGTTCTGGAAGAGAGCGGTAGTGTCTTTGACGAACGTGTTGACTCCGGCGGCAAGTTTCGGACGGGCGTTTTCGATGATCTCCTCGATGAACTCAAAAGAATCATCGAAAATCTTATCGACACTACCATGCAGCTGCTTGAGTGATGGGGGTAGAGACCTTTTTAAGTTCTTGACCACACCCCCATCCTGGCGCAGTTTACGGCCGTACAGCTTCTGCATGTGCGGGCGCTCCACAAATTGAATAAAACCAAGGCTCCCGATGTGGCTCAGCAGAGCAATGAAAGTGATTGCTCTACTGCTTGTGAAGAGAACAGCACCCCAAACACCCGCAAGACCCAGAATACGTTCAGGGTTGTTGAGGAAACGATATATACCGCTATATGTCAATTTGGCTGACTCGTCAAAGAAGAAATCACCGTAGAACCAGCCAAATTCGCCAAGGGACTCGTATATACTGACAGAGGTCCAGATTTGCAGACCGATAAGGCCAGCTCCCAGAACGTGTCGGAACAACACCAAACCATAACCCCAGTCGGTTGGCAACGTATACATTTTCCACACAGCAGCAATGAAGCTGGCGTAGCACATGATCATACTCTGGTGGTACGTGCCCTTCCACTGGTTCCACGCCTCGTAAGGACTCTCACCAAACTTGAGGAAGTGGCGGGTCCAGGATTTGTTGTTAGACTGCTTGTTGAGCAAGTACCCAATGCCTACAGAAAACCACAAACGCCATACAACGGCATTGGCGACGAACAGAACCTGGTACAATGGAGTCGATGGGCTCAAAGCAGTGACTCCAAATACAAGCAGTTGAATGAGAATGATCGACGAGTCTGTAATTCTAAAAAGATCCAAGTTGTGTAACCCGAGCATGTTGTGGACCGACGGGGGAGGCTTAGCCGAGTATGAGGTAGTCGCATTGGATGTTGGTGCATTGGGTGAAGATTCATCGGAGGGAGATGGCGCTGATGGGTTGTCTAAGTCGAAATCCACAGATGGTCGCTTTCGGGGAGGAGGCGGGTTGTAGATCTTGTCAATGTGAGGGTTTTCGACAAACGCAAGGAAGGCGAATTGAGCTGCATGGGCAATGATGGAGATAAATAAGACTTTATAGCTGGCGGCCATGAGGGATATTCCGTAGTAGCCTGCGTAGCCGACCGAGTACATTGGGTGCGGCGCCATTTCAAAGACGCCATCAAAGGTCAGCTTCTGCTCAACGATATAAAAAAAGTCGCCCCAATACCAGGCGTAGTCCTTGACTACTCGGTGGGCGTCTAGTTTGACCCAAAGGTTGAACATGACCAACACAATACCAGCAGTCCATCGGAGGATGGTCATGATCAAAGTCTCATCGGTGGGCTGGTGCGCACAAGCTATTGCAAAAAGGCAGTAAGACGTGAAGTCACACATCAGGATCAAATCCACAAGACGCCTAAAGACAAGCCATGTGTTAAATTCGATTGGAGCAGTCTCAAATGAGTAATCGCGAGGGATCTTGATCTCTAGCTCCCTCTTGATCCAGTTGTACAAAGCAGGATGCGGGTTTTTCCCAGTGGACGGGTTCACAAAGATACTAGTTTTTTTGGCCCATCGAATGAGTGTTTTGTGGTGCGACTGTTTGTGTAGCAGCCATCCAATTCCTCCATTATAAGCCGCGCGCCACACCAGGTAGACGAAACCGCAGACCGGCACTTTGGCGCAGGCAGGAAGAGCATAGAGCAACAGGATATGCGCTGCCAACAGAGCCAAAACTATAACATCACCGAAGTTTTTAGGCTCAGAGGGGAATAAGAGCTGGGATACCATATCATGGGTCTGAGGTACGGTGAACACTACCAAATACCTAGTTAGCGGAGTCAACCCGAGACCACAAAGGTACTTCAAGTCAAAAGGAGAGAAAAGTCAAATGACAGATAGGAAGATTACATGCATTATGATCGCAAACCGGCAAGTTAACTATTCGGGTTCAGGGAAAAGGGACCTACTTGTTCCATCGGGTGTGCGACCAAAGGTCTTCTTGTCTTTATAAACGTCATCACTGCTCTCAGTCAGAGTATCACGACCCCCAATTGACTCAGGGTGGACAACTCTCTCACGTAAGCTATGAGGCTGGGTTGTTGAAATACCCTGATCCATAATGGTGTTGAATAAGGACAAGTTGACGAAGAGAGGGGCATTAAGTGAGGAGGAGCAGCATGTGACAGTCGCCAAGATTCCGATGTTGTTCTGTTTGCATCCACTTTATCTATAAGAATGTAAGTTTCAATTCAAAGCCTCAAAGGGTCGATTATTAACAATTCTAGTAAACAAACTAGAATTATAAGAAAGAGAAAAGAAAAAGAAAAGAGCGAGGACCGGAATTGACCGCGATCGTAGTGTTCGCTAATGAAATCTTAACTATTTAGCGTCTGCGGGTCCCGAACCAAGCAGAAGAGGAAAGAACTGGTACTACTTTTTGATGGCCCTAATCATGTCTCCGTTTCTACAAGTAAAGTTTCTCCGGCATAACCAATCATAGAGTGTTGTAGAAGACTAGGTTCTCTGTCCATCTGAGCTTCAAGATCTTTAGATCCTAGGTTTCGATGAAACAAACCAGGAAGTGAACTAAGATAAGAAGTGAATAGATTAGAATGCTCGGAAATAACTAGGTTCGCTGATTTCATGCTTGACAGCGACTTCGTTGTGGCCTCACGATGCAGGGTCTTATCCCAGTTGGGTTAGACACATAGCTACTAACTTTCGCTTCGACTTCCTAGTAACTAATTCTCCCTCTAGACCCTCGTCAAGATATAAGAAAAAGGATCCTGACACCTCCATAATCGTTAAGGATCCCGCAGGAAAACGCTATGTTTTCCCATTCCTCCCATCCGGCAACCTCTGACCTTCTTCACCCGCGAGAAGCTGTTTGGAGCAGCCTTTGTCTTGCCGGGCCAAACCCCGGCCGAACAGTTTATGCTCGACCTCAAAGAGCTGCGGGACCTTGCCACGATATTCTTGTCTCACGCTGGCTTTGTGCCACGTCCTTGATTCGTTGTCTACTCGCTATATGATTGTCTACTATGGCTATCTGCTATATCATTATCTCGCTCAGTCTATCACTCAAGCTTTACTCAGTGAGAAAAAGCAGCAAGGGGTTGTAAGCTCTTTTACGGAAATGGAACGCCAAGATCATTGGCCTTCTTTATTCAATACTAGCTTCCAACGCTTGAAGGTTGTATGTCTTGCTGTGAGCTTTCTATTTCCAAATATTCATAGCAGGGAGGTTCCTTGGACTACTGATATTGATTAGGGCTGCATATACCCTTGCAGGAGCTGAGCAGGCACACTGATTATCTTGCAGTAAAGGCGTCAAATCAAAATTGAGTCCTCAGCTTAGGTTCTGACAGAATTACTCAGGATGACATCCATGTATATCAGTCATGTGATCTGCCAAGAGCAAGTGGAGTTGTTTCCCATACTGTTCTTGGTACCGAATAATTATGAAGCTTATCACAATAGCTGGCCAGAGACAAAAGCCGCCATGAACATAGATGATAGTTCAAAACGAGAATTGCGAATCTGCGATGCCCGAGGATTCAATGAGACGCTCGGCAAACTCGCTGTCCTCGATCAGACGCGCTATGACATCTTACCCGAAATCATCATCTTCGGATGTACTTTTCTGCCCATAAACCCACGACAGGGTTTTTGATCCCAAACACGGGAGCAGCAAAATATCCTCGGATTCCATGAATCATTTATCGATCGAACGTTGTTGGAATAATGAGGTTGTCAAAATTCGGGCTTTTGGCCGCACGCATTTTAATTTTGACGTCCGAGACTTGAAGACCGAGAAAAAAGTAATCCCAAACCAAAGAGGTTATCACTTCGCTCAGTTTGAAGGATTTGATTGTGAGAAAACGGTTGAGGTCTAAGATTGAACGACAGGTTATATCTTCCAAGGTTGGCTCCATTGATCATACAGAGATATTGAAAGGTTTGTTGCATCTGTTAATCCGCATTTATCACTGGGAAGCGAGCCCCTTCAAACCGAGTCGGAGCTCATCTCATATTCTTAAGGGTCTATAACTCCCACTTTGAGACTATAATAAAACTTTCTGAAACTATCTTGCAGTTCTCATCAAAGATATCTATATCATCGACATATTCCATAATATAAGCCAGAATAGCCAACCAATAAAGACATACGATAGTACATTCTTGCATTGATCAGTTAAAGTGAATAATGCGAGGAAGAAACCCGATGTAAAAATTCAATAAACCCTCAAGTCAAAGCAAAGCAGCTTCCCGGAAGCTTAAACCCCCCTCGCTCTCGAGCTCCTCATCGTACTTGTCCATTCCCTCATCGCTAATGATCGTCTCATTCTTGAGTCTAGAAGTATTCTGAGTTTTTGCAGACTTATCGCCGTCATGCTTCCCATTGTATTCATTCGTCACCTTGGTTTCCTTTTTGCTAGTACCGCTATGAACCACATCTCCGCTATTCTCAACAACAAATTGCTTCAGGTGGCGTTCGAGGCGTTGCCATCTTTGGAAAGCTGTATGATAACTAATGCCCAGAATGGTAGCAACAGCGGCGTAGTCAGGCTATAAAGTGTCATTGAAATGGTAAATATCTTGATATTGAGAGTCCAGTCCATCGGCTGAAAACTTTATAACTCACGTTCTTTTGACCAGTTGCCAGGAGAGATGCATAGAGTAGCATCATCTCTGCATGCCTGGATTCCTTTGGAACTTCGCCATCTGCACGCTTGACTAGCTTCCATGACTTTGGGAGCTTGGTTGCCGCCTTGCCCTTGCCCTTAGCCGCCTTTCTTCTGCCAATGACCTTTGAGGTTGATGCAATAGCCTTGGGAATAGGGTTATTGGAATTTAGGGGCTCTATGTGTTCGATCATGGTTGACCCATCCGCTGTGACTTGTTCAGCTCCAGCCATGTTGAGCTGCGTATAGTTTTCCAAAGTTAGAAAAGTGAACTTTATAGAATAAGAATACCACTTTGACATGTGAAATCACATAGGATTATGACTCAGTGGACATGGAAATGGTAAAACATACATAGGGCTGCTTTGAGTGAAAAATGGAGTTGAAGGTGCGAAGACGAAGGATGTGAGGAAGAGTTCCAAATCGGAAGAGAGATGATAGGTTTATTTGCAATCCCCCGATTTATATACAGTGCACTTTACTTTCTCTTCACATTCCAGTGACCCCTAAAGTGTGCCAAAAAGCTACCTCAATTCCTTCTCAAAGATCCGTATGTTAGTTCTCGAGCTGGAAGTGAAGACAAAGTGACTTCAACCCAGCTGCAACCCAACTACCTTCATCAGGTATCAAACATCTCACTTTGAAGCAGGTAACCGGAGAGCACCAGTTCTAAGGTCTGTTCACTGACACCTATGACAACAATCTTCGCCCATTTTATTTGTCCCCTTCCCATCCATCTTACACTCTCTTAGAATCTTTCCAGCTAGTGACACTCAAAATTTCTTATTTTCTTTTCATTCAGCCTTCTCGAGCAACTCTACAATGGCTTCCATCGTCACCCCCAAGAAAGGAAGCAAGGATAACGACTTCAACTACCACTTCCTGTGGGAATGCTACGCTAGCAACCCCACCAACAAAGTGAGAATCTAGAAGGCCTTCAATAATCACATCTGCTCATACCCCTGAAAAGCGATACTGACAAAGCTTTTATCTCAGGTTGATTTCGCTGTGGTCGCTGAAAAGATGGGTGTCACAAAGAAGGCCGCCGAGGGACGCCTTTATCGCCTCAAGAAAACCATGGAAACCAAGCCCTTCGACAAATCCCCCGAGAGCAGCGGCTCCCCCAAACCCCCCAAGAAGAAGCCTGCTACAACCTCTACTCAAGCCACTCCCAAGTTGGAGGAGGGCGAGTTTAAGAAAGAGCATCACGAAGACAATCCAAAACTCGAGTTGAAGCATCAAGATCGCATGAAGGGCACGATCAAGTCGGAGCACGAGCTGCTCAAGGATCAGAAGGAGTCCAAGGATGTGCTGGCCATCATCAAAACTGAGACCCAGGAAGATTCCGACCAGTACGAGCCCATAGCTGAAGAAGACTTCGCTTAAGAGGTATATTTGATGGGATTGGGATTCAAAACAATCTTGTGCTCAAGATATTAGAGTCTCATTACGAAAGTGTGAACAGTGATAGCAACGACAAAGGTTTTTGCATCAACTATGGAGATTTTGGGGTCTAGCCGACTCTAGTTCTTAAGTTTCAATCAATTCAATCGATTCTCAGTGATGACTTTCTTGAAATAGAGCTTTGGAATGAGGTATACCATATTGATCTTTTTATCATAGGTATTGTTGCTTCTATGCCAGATGAGCGCAATAGCCTTGAAGAGTTAACATGCCTTGAAACTCGAGATGTCTATCCAAAAGTAGAAGAGCTTTAAACACATCTATTTGACATTTAGAAATCAACCTCATATAATATGTACTCACGTGACCTCATCCATGCTAGGGTTTCTCCATCCCGTTCAGCCCTCGAAAATATCCAGAGAATTCCATTAAAATCAATCAAGAATTTGAAGTATGAGAAGAGAAGTGGTTGAAGGGGATTTTGGAGACTTTGATAGGGGAGAGATAGTATGTCAACCTTGGGAGTGGTCCTAACTTGCAAATCTACAATGCAACCTTACAATACAGTATACCTAGACATGATTAGCAATTTTTAGGTATCTATCTACCCAAGGTGGAATTCTCTGCCGCAATGTGGAATAGTAGACCCTCTGCTAAAATTGACTTTCGAGTATTTCAAGAAGTTATGAATTTGCCATTAAAGTACCAACTTGCTTGTGGGAAGTAATATTTACTGACCTCCCATCTACACATTAATACATTGATACCTAGATAGTTGAGGAATGATGTGATACCTATTTCAATTGATTCTACTGATACATTAAGTACGGCGATATAGAAAGGATTTTGCGTCAATACGGTATCGAAAGTGTTGAAACACCTGGGCATAAAACTACCTTCATGTTCAAGTTGTCCCCCATGAGCTTCAATCGAAAACATATTTCCATTTGTATAATCCATAGATCAATTCAAGACTAGATACCATGTATGAAAATAACAGAGTCACACTATGTTTTTGTGTTGATGTCGATACGGAAGTCTATTGAGGAAGAAATAGAACAAAAACATACATGTATTTCGAGAAGATAAGACGGGGAAGGGAATAGAAGAGAAGGATCAATAGAAGAGAAAGACCCTTATCTCCTATTATTCTGGATTTATTGATTCGTTGTAATCTTGGAAACAAGTAGAGCCACCTAGTGTGTGTGTGTGTGTGTGTGTGTGTGTTTTCCAGATCTCAAGGCGCTGATGACCTCATGAGCACCTGAGCAATATTCAATGTTTTCATTTATATTTGTTTACTTTCCTTCTTCCCAGCCTTCTTCGAGCTTTGTTTCCTTCTTTCTTCTCGCATATCGCCCACCTTTCTTTCTATCTTTAACCTTCCTACTACTGTTTACATCATGACCCCCAAGAAGACCAATGCTTTTTTTGGTGTCCCAAAGGAACCCAAGAAACCCAAACAACCTCCCCCGAAAATGAAAACTTTCGTTGACGACAAAGATTACGATGATCATTCCCCTAGCGGTCAGGCTCGAATCGATAGAAACCGTCAATACCATCGCTTCAAGCATAGCTCAGAGGTCGGGGTCGATGACCGACCTGACCCGTAAGCCAACATTTCTTCCTGACTATCATTGATGAATATCACGCTAACATTGAAATAAAAACAGGCGTGACAAGACTCGTCAGACCAAAGAGGACTTCAAAGAGAAGATGATAGCCGAGAAGCCTGATGATCGTGCATTAGAACCCATTTCCTCTTATATAATGTATTGGCTTGAGATACTAATTGTGGTAAAACCTTAGGTGTTCCCAATGCTGCCTTCTTCTTCTTTACGAAGGAAGACCACACATTGGGTAGTCTTCTGGTTGGCCGCCTGCAGAAATTACCTTTTGTATTCTTTGCTGCCTACAAGGTAAGAAATAGTCGTTTTTGACAGGTTTCAGCTTATAAACGAGTCTCACACATGTTTTTATCTAGATTGCCCACCCTGTTGACCCCAGGGTATTGATGGAGCTACGTGTGCAGACTGATGGCTCCATCACCCCCCGCGAGGCTCTCCTGGCAGCCGCCCAGGCTTTGAATGCGGACCTGGACACCCTCTCTCTTCGTCTTGCTCGAGAGGTTGCGCTTAAGAAAGCTGAATATGCGTCCAATCAAATGGACGACTTCGCTAATTACGCCTCAGGAGTGGCTGCCGATGAGATGGTCACCAGGGGCATCAATCCTTTCAACGTGCTTAGACCGTTTCCTGATTACGATCTGCTCGATGAACGCCGCAAATGTCTCCTCATGGAAATTGTTGCTGCTAGCAAATGGATTATCCAGGTCAACTCTCCCGCTGAAAAAGATCCTCGCAGCGAGTTTAACCGCCAGGCTACTATCAGCAAGCATATTAGCGCCGCTACCAGGGAGTTTATGTGCGCCTATTTTACCGAGAAGATGAGCGACCCCGTGAACGTTGTAATCGACAAGGATATTATCCGCCAGGCTATCCATCGGGCTTTCGATATCGTTATCGAGGACGCGAGCAGAGATTGTGCCTCCAACGCTTCCAGCGAGGCCAGTAACAACATCAAAATTGCTGTTGACAAAGACGCTGTCGACCAGGACATCCATTAGTCTCTTGATGTTTTGGCTGTTATTCCGGATTGAACTAGTTCTCCGAAGGTAGATTGAGGATTCTCTCTACTGTAAAACAGCACTGCAATACTATTGTTAAAGTTCACAGTTATACGTACGCTCTACATAAACTTTCTTCATTCCTAACTATATTTAAAGACATTGATTACTCATAAGTCATAACTTGACCTCGGGATACATCAGTGATGTAAGTATGGATTCGCCGCCCTCCGGAAAACCCGCGATTGTTATGCTTGACCATACTAGCTAGGTACCCTGGACTATGTTCATGTTCCCTCTTGGATTCATCAGTTTCTCTCTAGAAAATACTCTTTAATTATCTTATATATGAGCTGAATATACTGATTATTTGGCTTTTTAGAGCTATGCGCTGATTATCGTAGATCTACACCAATCGTAACCTCGAGACCGGTGTGCTAACTGTTCTAATAAGAAAAAATGAATTGTGAAGGGGTCGTTTATTCTCAGGTTTCTGACTTATCTTTTTTCATCTATCATTTTTGCTCAATCAGGTCCAGACATCAACGATGTACCTTGAATTATTGATGATATCTATGGATTTCAGATTACTGCCTGGTGCCTCCAAGCGCTGGAGTGAACGATTGACAGTTCTTAGATACACTTTTTTGTTCGATGATAGCCTATCTATTTATGAAACTTAAGAAACGTTCGAAAAAGGCAGGTGGTCTTTGGTCAGAGAATTAAGATGGATATCAGTTCTATAGCAATTATAAAGTACAAATACCATCCAGAAGATGTATTTAAGTTGGTAGTGAAAGACATGAAATGAAAATCGAGCCGAGAGTTAAAGGCAACCTTAGAACGGATAAATAAAAGATAGTAAAGGGTGAGGGAGTGATAGACTGAAGTCAATAGTGTTTAGGGTATATGATCATATGGCGCGGTGACAGACAAGGTAAACGAAAGTAGGATTGATATGAGGCCAATGAGATGCTTCAAGTTAGGGATTAATCAAAATCGCGAACGGGAAATGAATCAAGACATTGGAGGAGATCAAGCTTTGGGAGTGAAAATGTAGTGGGGTATCATGGAAGCATAATTATTATGCAAGAATGGGGATGGGTGTTTAATAGGTCTCGACAGATCGTGAATTCCGCAATTGCAGCCCAGGGCGAGAAAGCGGAGAAAGGCTTCTGTCACAGATGGGTGCTGGAGGGTTGGAGTGGGTTGCACGATGCTTCCAGTTGACGAGCCTTGCGGCATCTTCGGAGTCGATCACGTAGTGAACGTTGTTCACGTCAACACCTTCAATCTGAAGTAGCGGGGGAGGTCCTGGACTAGGAAGGTGGAGAATGTCATCATCCATTCCATCGATCGAGAGGCTCTTTTGACTGTCCTTTGACGGAGTGGAGTGTGCCTGCATACAGTGGGTGTAGGGAGTGTTCGCATCAAGGTTCCGGGTAGTATTCGAGCTCGGAGGGAATTTATCTTGGCCGGCACGCACCAAAACATCCAAATAGGTCATCTGATCGTCGACAATGGGGTTCATATCGCCATTTGACTGACGGAGATCAGCAAAAAGAGCAGGAGATGGAGCTGGAGCATCAGTGTGTCTCCGCCGCCGAGAAGCAGAAGGAGAGACTCGACGAAGAATTCCTGAGCTCTTTGCAGGGAGGCCGATAGAGACACTTTGATGAGATTCCGAATTCACCCTGTGCATTTTGAATGAGCTCTTTTTGATGAGTTTGGATATGGGAGAAGGACTTTGGCTCACTTCCGAGACTTTGGACTCGGAAATTGTAGTTGCAGACGGGGGAGTGAAGGGTGGGCCCTGATCGGGAGTAGGCACATGTCGAAATGCTTCATGTGAGTTGATCTCACGGACAATGGCATCCTGCAGAGACTCATATGTGGGGTGGGAGCTGACGGCCTGGGTAGAAAAGTACGCCTTATTGAAGAGATCCATCATTTCTGAGACCTTGAATCGAGGTGACGGTTGCATGGGGCTGGGTTCAGGCAATGGGCTGTGCATGATCTCGGCGATACTGGGAGTGACTCCTTTACACTCATCATTGGGTGTTTTTGAGGGCGTTGGGGGGCTGATGGCACGATGAGCAATCTTGGGGCCCTGGGCAGCCAGTTGTGTGTTGATAGAAAGGTCGCGGACGTTCTTTCTTGAAGAAGACCTCAAATCGGATATTGAAACAGAACTTGTATTCAATGATGAGGATCGTACTTTAGCAGAAAGCCGCGGAGATGGTATGCTTTTAGCGTCCTTCTTTTCATTGCCATTAACCTCATCGACTGGTGGCAATGTGGGACTATCAGGCAACGGCGTGCTGCTCCATCGACGACCCAACTTGAAAGCTGGGGGTACACCCAAGCTCTGGATATCAGGCACTACTGCCACTTCATCTTTCTCGTCCACTTCCTCCGTTGGTAAAGCTGGTACGGACTTGTGCAAACGTAGGTGGCTTCTCGTTTGAGGGGTCTTTGATGTCTTTTTGGGCAAAGAATTTCGCAAGTTTTCTTCTGAGGACCAATTTGATTTCACACTGTTGCGTTTTTTCGGATCTCGCACCCAACCGGCAATAGCAGGTAGTGACCGGCAACTAAGTGAAGAGTTTGACCGAGAGTCACCGCCATATTGGGCGATATTTCTATCAGCTACATCTTCCTGGTATAAGGATGACAGTCTTCGTGAAACTCTGCTCCGATATTGTATGCGCAGGAATCTTGTCATATTGCGTTCTGCGACATCTTCGTTGTAGAGACATGTGCCGGTAGGGGACGGGGAGACGGGTTGTGAGTCTCCATCTTGGAGTCGTTCCGAGGTATTGACAGCTTCCAAAAGATCGATGTGTCTAGATTTGGGGCGACTGAGACGACCAAACCCATTTGGAGTCTTCGGGGTTGTGGGAAATACAAGTGACTGGGAGGATTGTGGCCGGGCCAGACGTCGATGTAGATCCTCGAAATGTTTCTCGATTTGATCAAATTGATTCGTCAGATCCATTGATTGCGCTGAGACTCTGTATCCGGTCGAAGGTTTGGACAGTGGTGGATAGTCGTACGTTTGGCGGTTATAAAGAGTCTCTTGAAATTGTCGCTTCGCAAGGTAAGGCTCATCTGATTCCAACTCGTAAGTTGGACTCGACGAAGGCCTCAACGGGTGGCGCTCTGCCAGTAAAAGTTTCTTCAGACCAACCATATTGTCAAATTGTTACAATGACTGGTAATTCCAGTTACAACCGCTTGATCAGCTGGAAGTTCTCCTTGGAAGGCTGCACCTGGGCAAATAAAGAAGAAAAACAAAGTAACGAGATAATGAAAGAAGGAAAGTAAGCTCAAGACTCAATGATTGGACTGAGAAGACCAATGGCCATCGAGAAGTATCCAGTAACTACTCACTGTCATGACATCCAGTATGAAGTTACCATCATACGGTATTTAGACAGTAGAGGGGGAGTAGATAAAGACAACAAAGAAGACGAGAAAAAAAATAAAACAAATTGAAAAAAAAAAAAAAACAAATAAAAAGGACGAAAAGAGTGACGAGGCGTGTGAAGTAGTTTCCGTACTCTGTGTGCCGCTCCGTAACTCTCGTCCGTAAATGCAGATCTGATCCTCTTACACTCATTTGGTGGTTGGATCAGGGGGAGGGCCCATTCATGATGATATGGAGGAGAAAAAGAGGGGCCCAGATGCAGCCCAACGCTAAGGAATTAAGAATTAAAGATGGTAATTTAGGAATATTAAGAATAAACGTTGCAACGAACGACGGGTTTAATTCATATATAGTGAAACCTAAACTTTTTACCGTTCGTAGCAAGTTCAAAGACATCTAGATTGTAATATAGAGTAAGGCGGAAGTAGGTACTTAGGGCTACTTTTTTTGCTCTGGACAGGGACTCGACCTGGACTGAAACTGGTATGGAGCCCTCGGAACCTTTGGAATTAACAAGACCATAGCTTACATGCTCCATACCTTCTCCATTACTACTGTGTATGTACGTCGTACGTAGCATTAGGGCTAGAGGATCCACATATTGACAGAACGTTCTATGACAGGTGCAAAACATGGAAATTACACTTGTCAGCCAAAGACCCACATAACAATTGGGCCGCAAACATCTTCTTACTAAGTACATCCCGTGTACTCGTATTGGCCAAGGAAAAGTAGAAAAGTACGGTAGTTTTCATTTCGGCTCAGGTCATGATTGGGACAAAAGTGGATATTTGATCCATGTGGAGATTTGATCCAAGTGAAAATACAAATTACAGTAAGCACTCCATTCCGTTCCTGCGCTAAGGACCGAATAGGCTTGACAAGGATAAGAACAAAGCGAGCCCTGGAGATCAATAATCTCCAAATTTTGGATTATGGTCCCCGATAGAAATATCAATAGTACCACTGCCCCTCAATTTGTATCTTTGTTCTCACCTAGTGCTAGTTAGTTCCTAGATCAAACGAACTCAGGGGGTGTTTTTCCATTGGAAACGCTAGTCAAATTTGATATTTACCCGCTTTCTCAACCACGGATCAAAGAGTAGGCAGAAATAGCACAACTTTGTATGATGATATCAATTTCCGTAGATCATAACATCCCGTCTCACCTCACTTTTACAACCCTGAATTGAAATAGATCCACCACATTTCGATCGATACGATCCAACACAGATTTCTATCTATCCGGTCCGATGAGCCGTCATCGGCGGTGAAGATCGTACTTTTGTTTAATTGAACTTGCAAGTCTTTTCTCTTGAGTCATACATAGTGCTACTACCTACTAGGATGAGACTATTGCAACTTGTAAGGTTCCTAGTGATGTACTATGACCACCAAGATATGTACCTACCCAGGTAGGTAGCTCCAGGACGATACAGAATACTAATGTAGTCATATGATTGGAGCTCAGAGAAACGTGGTGACGTGTGCAATCTTAGCACTGAATATTCATGGATGACAATAAGCTCTGCATTAGGTCTTGCATTAGATCGACAAGCGCAATTTTATATGTATTTTGCCTATTTTTTTTTAGCTCCAAGCATTTAATGTATCAGATTTGATCGTATGAGGATCGGATTAATCTGCATAACAAGTTTCAAATCACCTTTCAAAAAAGAGTTGGAAATTATTGACTTGTTTTAGTTGTTCCTGAGGACGGATATATCTCGGTAGAATGAAGCAGTCCTTCATTTTGTTTAAGGTTTTCAGATTCAGATATCATCTCTCAGGGAAGTCTTTTAGTTCCATACTCAAGTGGGCCAATTCTGAGACTCCCCGTTGAAAAATTCACAATCTAGAACTTGGCAACATTCAATTTGGGATTTCCCGCTTTCCACGTAATATCACGAATCCCCATTGGCCAAAAGAGTGGATTCTACGCCGTTGTGCCGCATGTTTATATTAGTCAGTACAGACCAAAAATAGTTCAACGTTGTTGTTATACTACATGCTATGATATTCCATGGTACACGTCTGATATGGCATGATACTTCTCAATTTTCTAGTAGACTAAACTCCGTCAGAATTTCTTGGTCTTGCGACGCTTAGATACGTATTACGTCCTGTGGCCAAACACCTTGGCACAAAGAGCTAAATCTTAGAAGTGAGAAGAATCAGGGGTAAATGCTATTCAGCATGCGTTATTTACCTATTGAAGGCTGCTATATGATATGTAGGCAAAGCTGAAATTTCCAAACGAGAAACACCTTGGAAATCCCATCAACAATCTATGGAACAGTTCAACACACTTTCATCAATAGAAAGCAGTAAGCATTCGATCCAAGAACCAAGTTGTGTTCTAAATATGTATCAGATCAATATTAGCCCTACCCAAGTGGAGGTAAGCTTATATCCCCTCAGTAAAACGTGCAGTCTGAGTGTCTGAATCTTTCATAAATTCGCTCCGAACGGCTTTGGTGCTCTTCTTGATGCCTTCACTAGCTTGCAACTTGGTATTTGCAGCCTAGGTCATATCCATGGCTGCGCCCATATTGTCAAGTTTGAAAGCCCGTATCCGCATGTACCTGGTTCTCGCATATGAAGAGGTATACGAAGTACGTTGGGGTATTAATCGTGGAAAGGGCTATGTCCTGACATTTTAAGAACATGTTTACATAGTCGAGGAGGGTGGGTGGCGAGGGATGCTGGACCTTGAGCGCACAATCGGCAGATAATTCATTTCCCAGACATCCCTGTGAAGGATATCAGTGGGCTCAAGCAAAAGAGCGACAGGAACCTGTAGATACTGGTTACGTAGGTATGCTGGGCATTCATCGACGATCTATTTAAGTAGGCAAGTCCGAGACCACGACCAAAGGTATTTTAAATAGCCTTATGCGCAAACCTCACTTGTGGAAAATTCGCAGTAAGCAAACATTATCATGGTGGTGTTGACTCGACAAATCCTGAGTTTCAAGGTTGGTCTATGTCGGTAGTACTTACCTAGGTAGGTACGTATGAACTAGCTAACCATATTGCTACAGCTCCACCTTTTTACACTAGGAAATGGAACAATAATCTGAGAGTTCACTTCCAGAATACTGCGCATATACTTCATGCTGGAACTTTCGTTTCATTTGAATTTTTGTTGATTTTTTTTTAATATGAAAGACATTGTTCGTTTCTTCTCATAGGCTCATACCCAGCCATACAACCGGTCCAGCCATCATAATTCTCAACTTCCAAGCCACAAATTGCAAGATAACCTTCCTCCAATTGGACAATCAGCTTGTAGAATGGCAAGGTCATGTGCAGTATCGACTTGTGCTTAGTAAGAGCCTAAATAGGCAAAGGTTAGCATGAATCAACTCATCCAGATACTAAAGGGAAAACTTACGGCCAAACATGCACCACTTCTCGGCGAAACGGTCACACTTGGGGTTGGTGCACTTGGTGACACCGGGTTCGATGCCAGCAGGCTGCTCGAAGGGAATGCAAAGAGACTTGGCTCCCATGCTGGGGGCCTTGGCATCCTGAGCCTCTCCAGACTCCTCCTCAGCCTTGCGGGCACTCATATCCTTGATCTGGTCCTCACACTCTTCGGTCAAGCAGGAAGGAATGACACAGATGTTCTTGGCGTTAAGAGCCGGAACGAAATCGTCCCAGTTAGTGATCAACTTGCGGTGAGCGGTGAACGTAGCATTAGCACGGTCGTAGAGATCCTTCTGGATGGTTTCCAGAAGAGCAGGGACGCCAGTAGCAAGCTCAGCAATGGGAATAGAGGCTTTGCCCTCCTTGCCCATATCACGGCGGGCAGCAGTGACGAATTGGCCAGCCGACTCGCCAGGGCCGAACTCGAGACGCAGGGGCACACCACGCAGCTCCCACTGGTTGAACTTCCAGCCAGGGGAGTAGCTGCGCTTATCGCTATCGGCACGGATACCAGCAGCGGCAAGAACGGCAACGATGTCATCCACCTCGGCGTCAAGCTTCGTCCGCTCCTCTTCGGTGGTCTTGGCAGTAATACCGACGGGAACGACGATAACCTGAAGCTCAGCCACACGGGGGGGGAATAACCAGACCTCGGTTATCACTGTGAGTCATGACCATAACACCCAGGACACGGGTCGACAGACCCCATGAGTTCTGCCAGACAAAGAGAGGGGGCTTCTTCTCATCGGGCTTAGCGGATGGGTCTTCGACTGTGATATTGAACATCTAGACAGGCAACGTTAGAAGTAGATGAAAGAAGTAGATGATAGTTATAATTACCTTACTGAAGTTCTGGCCCAGTCCGTGAGATGTAGCACCCTGGATACCACGACCAGTAGCGGGGATGTAGCCTTCGACGGTTGTGGTGTAAAGACCACCGGCGAACTTCTCCTTCTCGGTCTTTTGGCCCTTGATGACGGGGATAGCAAGCAGTTCCGAGTAGATATCGGAGTACCAGTCAAGAATCTTGAGAACCTCCTGGCGGGCAGCATCCTCGGTCAGGTGAGCAGTGTGACCCTCCTGCCACAAGAATTCACGGGTTCGCAAGAAGGGCTGGGGGTTTTTGAACTCCCATCGCACTACGGAGTTCCACTGGTTCAGGCGCAGAGGCAGATCACGGTGGCTGCGGATCCATTTGGCGTAGTATGGGTACATAACAGTCTCCGAGGTGGGACGGATGGCAATCTTCTTCTCAAGAGGGGTGTTACCGCTAGAATTTCAATTTAGTAATCCGCAACGGCCAAGCGCATTGGTATGGAAATACATACGCATGAGTCACCCAGGCGACCTCGGCGGCGAAGCCCTCAATATGGTCCTTCTCGCGCTTCAGAACATCCTCTGAGACGAACATGGGGAAAGAGCAGTTCTTCACACCCATACCCTTAATGCGCTTGTTGAAATAGTCCTGGATCTCCTCCCAGATGAAGTACGAGGCGGGCTAGCGCATACGTTAATTGCAAGCCTAGAAGCAAAAAACACGCGCAAAGAAGTTAAAGATACCTTCAAGATAAAGCAACCAGACACATCATAGTAGTCCAACATGTCACCCTTGGTGAGAACCTGCTGATACCAGGTAGGGAAATCCTCTTCCTTCGCGACGTCAATACCAATCAAAGCGGCGCCGTCGACCTTCTTCTTAGGGGCCTTGGGCTTAGGCTCTTGCTTTCCAGCACTTTTATTGCCAGCCTTGTTACCAGCCTTCTTCTCGGCCTTGTCAGCAGCCAATTTTGCGAGCTTTGCGGCTTTCTTTGCGGCATTCTTCGACTCGCCTTGGTTATCGGCGGGGGTTTGGGTGCGATCGGGCAGGGCCTGGGGAGCAGCAGCGCCTGTGGCAGTAGCGTCGCTGGTGTTCTCACTAGCCATGATGGAAATGAGACAAAATCTGGCTAGAAAAAGAGAGGAGACGTAACTGTCGAGAAGAATTGGAGGAAGTGAGTCAATATCTAAATATTGAAAGTGGGATGTGATAAGTGCAAATGTATACACCGCCTGGCAAAACTTTTAGCGTGTCCAAACCAAAACCCCCCGTCCGAGCGAGCAGAGCTCTATCATCGCACTCGAGCTTCGTCTATTTCTATTTTAATCGCTATGGCAGGCATATTCGAGGCGCCGCGCAATGCGGATACTCTTTGTGAGTCCAAGTTACTCCTCAGCTCTCAGACCTGAACTAATTCATCTCGCACAGTCCTGGGTGGGCAGAAAATCACCGGCGCCGACGTCCGTGAGCAGAATGGTATGTATGCTGGATCACTCAGTTTACCAATTGCAATTGTTGACTCCTTGTAGTTCTCGCAACTCAGGCTATCTCAAATGTCATTAAGAGCTCATTTGGTCCCTCCGGATTGGACAAGATGATGGTAGACGACATAGGGGTATGCAGCACTGAATTACCCCGCAGAACTTTCTGACAGCTTCTAACCTGAAACTTTGTGTGAAATAGGATGTTACTGTTACAAACGATGGCGCTACTATTTTGACACTTTTGGATATTGAGCACCCCGCAGGCAAGATCCTCGTCGACTTGGCCCAGCAGCAGGACAAGGAGGTAAGAAAACTACATACTCTTGCATGCATCAATTTCATACTGATCTCCTATAGGTTGGAGATGGCACAACCTCGGTCGTTTTGATTGCCTCAGAACTCCTCCGGAGAGCCAACGAACTGATGAAGAACCGCATACACCCCACCACCATCATCAGTGGATACCGTCTTGCCCTTCGCGAAGCTGTCAAGTACATGAACGAGAATGTCACAACTAAGGTGGAAAACCTGGGCAGAGACAGTCTGATCAACATTGCAAAGACCTCGATGTCTAGCAAGATCATTGGTTCTGACTCGGACTTTTTTGCCAATATGTGTGTGGATGCGATGTTGCAAGTGAAGTCTGTAAACCAGAGGGGTGAGGTTAAGTACCCCGTCAAGGCTGTGAATCTTCTCAAGGCCCACGGAAAGAGTGTCACTGAGTCTGTTCTTATCAACGGTTATGCTCTGAACTGCACAGTGGCCTCTCAAGCCATGACCACCCGCGTCACCAATGCCAAGATCGCCTGTTTGGATATGAATTTGCAAAAGGAGCGGATGAAGTTGGGTGTGCAGATCACAGTAGAGGACCCCGATCAGTTGGAGAAGATTCGTGAGCGCGAGGCCGGTATTGTTCTGGAGCGCGTTGAAATGATTCTGAACTCCGGCGCCAATGTCATCCTGACCACCAAGGGTATCGACGACATGGTTCTCAAGACTTTCGTAGAAAAGGGTGCTATGGCTGTTCGCCGCTGCAAGAAGGAGGATTTGCGCCGTATTGCTAAGGCCACCGGTGCTACCCTTGTCAGCACTTTGTCTGACCTGAACGGTGATGAGAAGTTTGAGGCTTCATATCTCGGCTCCGCCGATGAGGTCGCCCAGGAGCGTATTTCGGATGACGAGTGCATCCTTGTCAAGGGAACCAAGGTTCACAACTCTGCCTCGATCATCCTCCGCGGCGCCAACGAGTTCAGCTTGGATGAGATGGAGCGCTCTGTTCATGACACTCTTTGCGCTATCAAGCGAACCTTGGAGAGTGGAAGTATTGTGCCCGGAGGTGGTGCTGTGGAAACCGCCCTGCACATTTACTTGGAGGAATTTGCTGTCACAGTGGTAAGTTCTATCTGTTATATAATTTTTGTCTCGATTTTATTTACTAACTGTGATTCTAGGGCTCCCGTGAGCAACTTGCTATTGGCGAATTCGCCCAGTCTCTGCTTGTTATCCCCAAGACCCTGGCTGTCAATGCTGCCAAGGACTCATCTGAGTTGGTTGCCCAGCTTCGTGTCCGCCATGCCTTGTCACAACGTGTGCAGGATGGTGATGCTAATGAGGAGGAGAAGGCCATCGCTAAGAAGAAGACATACCGCAACTACGGTTTGGACTTGACAAAGGGAAGAGTTCACGACACCCTCAAGGCCGGTGTTCTGGAGCCCAGCATGAGCAAGATTAAGCAGCTCAAGAGTGCTGTTGAAGCCTGCATTGCCATCATGCGCATTGATACAATTATCAAGCTGGACCCTGAGCAGCCGCAGGATGACGGCCACGGTCACTAAATCTAGTGCCCTTATGTTTTGATTACCCCGGATTTACAAAAAAGAAATGCAGTAATTGGGTGTGACATAGAAATGAAAAATTAGTAGATAAAATAACTTCTACTTTATATGAAACGAATACATCAAATGGATATCCTGTACAGAAGCGTAGTAGTAAAAACAACAGAATGAATCACAGCACTTGTCCGCGCTTCTCTGCCATTAACCGACGATATTCTTCCACAATGTTTCGTCTTTCACCGGCCAATTCCTCTCGTCGTCTCAAACTGCCCACGGCATTCGGAACATTGGCAACATCAACCTTAGCTCCTCCGCGGACCTTGAAGATCTCCCTTGGCTTTTGCAACGTTGGCGGTGCCTTGGCAACATCGAACGGGTTGACATTGGCCTTGCGCTCCTTGTCACGCTTCTTCAGCTTAGCCCATGGATCAGGGTCGTCATCGCCACTGTGAATGTCAACATCTGCATCGGCATTCGCACCCTTCTTCTTCTTCTTTGGAATAGCCCCCTTCTTCTTGGCCTTTCCACCCCGCCTCTCCAAGTCCCACTCCTTCATCAATTCCAACTGCTCTTCCATCGCCTCAGCTCGCTCCTCACGCTCTGCTTCCTCCTTCTCCTTGATCTTAATATCATCTGCACGCCAACCGGCCTGCAGTCGTTTCAAATGTTTCTCATGCTTTGTAACCTTGTGATCGCGGTTTTTAGCCCCATTTGGTAGGGTCGACTTTGACATTTGAGAGAGAGGCAGAGCACGATCAACACGCGCCGAGAAATCAGACAATTTTTCACCGGGAAGGATCTTCGGCATTGCCAATTTGGCCTTGGCCTTGGCCTCGGCCTCGGCTGCTTGCTGAGATTCTGCCTTCGTAGACTTCTTACTTGGGCCTTCCTTTTCATCCTCACGCTTCCGCTTCTTGTCTCGCTTTTCGCCAGTCTCTAGTCCGGATGGTGCCCGTCTCCCAGTTGTTCGGAACTGCATTAACCGCTGGAACGCTTTCGGGGTGTCATCTTCCTTGGCACCCTTGCGGCGGCTATTTGTCGGTTTATTGTTGCCCTCGGCGACTTGTTTTTGCTGCTGCTGCTTCGACTTTTGCTGCTGCTTCTTGCCGTTTGTCTGCTTCTTTGGCTGGTTTAGGTCGCGCACTGGAAGTGCTTTCGCGATCATCGACGGCGGAAGATTAAATTGGCTGATGGATGTTAGACTAAATATTGCAGAGCTATAGTTATTCAGGCACATACGAGTCATCTTGCTCACGTCTCTTGTGTTTGTGAGGCATCTTGTCTTCGCGGGCTGTGAAGAGTTGATGTGTTGTGTTGAGCGGAACTTTTTTTTCATGTCGAGCTTATCGCTTATCAATTCTTATCGCACCTGGTAGTACATTGATCAACGCAATATACGAGTAAGCGAGTGAGCAATAAATAACAATCAGAAGCACGATACGTAGATTCTTTTGATTGAATATTCAATAAAATATGTTAGATGCGACGAAAAAATGCAAAAGAAGTCTAGATAGAAGTCCAGACGGGTATGACGCTCAGAATATGCCCCATTAACACCAGAACAATGCCCACAAGAAAATAACAAACCCTCATAACGGCTAAGCAGAAAAAAAAAAAAAGAAGGAGAAAAAGAGCTGTCAGAAATTATTCATCCTCATCGTCATATGAATCTTTAGTTGCGGCCCAGCCACTCTGCCAGCGCCGGCCCTCTGCGTCGCCGCTGTTTCGCAGCTCGCGAGCTTCCGGCCCTTCTCGCCAGCATCGAACGCTATAATCATCACTGACAGTGATGAGTTCACCGTCAACAGTCCAGGACAGTGCGGTAACTTCTTTCTGGTGGCCTTCCACCAGAGGGGTGCCGGAATGATGAATTGCGATGGTGTCTTCCAGGCGTCCGGACAGACCAGCGCTGGAGTTGGTGCGGCGTAGTCCCGATCGAGTTCTGAAGAGCGGCGTACCGCCGGGTAGATCACTATCAGGAACTTTTACAGTGGACTGCAGGAATCTTTCGTCGGTAGGAAACAGGATAGGGGAGTGACCAGTGCTTCCGACGGCGAGCATTTCAGCACGATCGTTGTGTGCTTTGCGTAATGCAAGCTTGACATAGAACGAAGATACCTGCAGGTTTGGATGACGGAATCCATAGAGAGGCCCTAAGCCATTTTTGTCGGAGCCTCCAGAACGTCGAGGGCGATTATTGTTGAGTGAAAGTTCAGGGGCATGGCCGAGTATCAGGTGAGAGGTTGCGTATGTATACACTGTACTATCTCGACATAGGGTATACAGTCTGGAACCGTCACCACTAAAAGCCAAAGAAGTTAAACCAAATCTGCGATACTTGATGTGGCTATCAGGCTCTCGGGTTGAGGACAGTGGAAGGACAGGTCGACCGCGACGGTTGTTGTGTGCTGTCCGCAAATCCCATAGCCGAACACTCGCACTAGCCTCCGATGCTGTCACGAACAGGTTTTCTTGGCCAGCGGGCAAGAATGAAATGGACGTGACAGTGATATCCGAGCGACCAAATGGAGGCGGGTCGCCTTTCTCTAAAGTTTGCTTCTGAGGGGTGGTGTAAGCATGAGCTCCGTGGATTGTGTTGAGAACGTGAGGGTAAGTCATCTTGGAGGGTGTTGAAGACACTGCGTTTTCAGCATCAGACTCCAAGTTGCAACGAACTTGCAAGGAAGGACGCTCAAAGCCTTTACAGCGGAGATCCCAGATATTGACATTGCCATCTCGACTGCATGTTGCGAGAACCTTATTATTGGTAGCAGGTTGAAACTGTACTCTCTTTACCGAGGAGACATGATTCGACAAGCAATGAATAGGTTTTTGGGTCGTCATATCAATAATCAAAGATGTTTGGTCGCCCGAAGCTGTGGCGAGGAACAAGTCATCCGATGAAAACTCGAGGTCCATGATCGAATTCATGTGCGGACGAAAAGCTAGGAACGCGCTCGAGAAGCCCCGTTCGTCATCTTTCGATGAATCAAGTAGTCGAATACTTCCTTCTTCATCGCCTACTGCAACCAATGAATTGTCTATTTCAATATTAGAAATCATATCACCTAAAGTCAATGTGGGCCGCCAGTAAGCACTTACTGTTGCAGGAGGCATTGCAGAATGGCAGTGCAAGTTGCCCTTCATTGAGGTAACTAGCACATACATAGCGGTCTTCCGATCGCGAGTAGAAATCAGCAGTTAAATCTTGCCAGCCTATATAGATATTAGAACGAGACTTCCTATGGTTGGATCGGAGGAAACTGACCAACACCAGCAGTGGCTCTAGAAGTCAACCGATTGTTGCGGCCGCCCTGTAGACTTCTCGTGAAAAAAGCCCCACAAGTTTGCAATGCCCGTGACCGTTGAATAGGTCGAACGGGTTCCCGTTTGAGAGGACTGGTAGGTGGTAAATCGTCATGGCCTTCCTGAGGATTGATATCAAGATCGTGAATTATGGGTCTCGGCTCTGATTCGTCGCCCACCGGTGAACGCACACGGACTCTTTTTAATGGCGAAGATTGTAGCGGGGAAACAATAGAAGAGAAAGAATATTTTCTTTTCCGACTTGGTGTACGCATGAGATCCTCTGGTAAAACATCGTTCGGGCTCTGTGCACCGTTGGTTTTGGACGCTCTTGTAAATGCGGGTGCGAGACGATTGACTGCCGGCGAGGTCAAGGTCCGCAAAGCCTGACGACCTGTTCTCACAGCACTGCTATTGTTTCCAGCATTGAGAAGAGACCTTGGTGTGAAAAAACGTCTGAAGGATCGAGGCGTGACCGTTGGTGACTTTCTAGGTCTGCGTCTACCAACCGAAGGCGGGGAGGACGGTATTTGAGGATAGATTTCGCGATGGGAGGTAGGCAGGATAGGCTCCGAATGCGGCACTTCAGGAAGTCCGATATGATCCATTGTATGGCAAGACAAATGTCAAAAATGAAGGTCTAGGCGGAATACATCTGGTAGGAAAGAGATTTGTCCCAAGGGGGTAAGATGGGTAAGATTGAGCGGGTCTTTTTCTAGAGTGATCGCGTAGTGGATCGGACGTGACGCGAAGCGTGTAAAGCACGCCTGACTTATCAGGTTATTGGTGGTCACGTGCTCGGCGGCGAACATTCTCATGTCGACCATGACTCGGCAATTTGAAGACTGGGCTTTCAACATGTCAATATTCCCCGAGCCTCTCTCGTGTCTACCAGTCTAGGATACCACCATTACCTAAAAAGTATCACGAGACTATATAGAAATGACATCACAGTCCAACATGAAGTGCCTTTTAGTCATAGAAATGCACTTGAGTTTCTCGATGAGAGTCGGTCTGACGAAGCCAAGAGAGTTATTTATTAATTAAATGCTTAAAACAGTCATGAGGACAACAGATGGACGTAAATTGATACTAGATATAGTATAGCCAAGCGGAGATGGATGCATTGTTGACTAATGGCCGATGTCCCGAGGCTAGTATTATAGCCTTTCTCCAACTTCTCCAAAATTCCGGGGTAAAAAGATTCAATTTGATACATCATACTGTATGAATGTACATTTGGCTCATGGCTCATATATAAACCCAGTTCTTATCTCCACATTCCGCTTTCCCGCAAATTCCAATCTCAAATGTCAATCCACCATGCGACAACCAGCAATTCCCATCCGCTCGCCTTTCGAGTCTTCCATAGCGAAACCAGGCCAGGGCAATGTCGTCCTTTCTCTCCTCCCGCCTAACAATCCCACACTCACCACCCTTACCTATAAATATCCATTAAAGCTAGTCCCGCGAACACCAGGCTTCGTTCCCGAATCCTCTGCATCACCAGACTCCTGCCCCTCACAACCAGTCCACCTCTACCTCCTTACCTATGGTGGTGGCCTATTACCCGGTGATCACATCGAGGTGTCAATCAAACTTGAGCCCAGAACACGAATGGTGGTCACCACTCCACAAGGAAGCACCAAGATTTTCAAGACAGAGCCCATGGGCCATACGACCAAGGGCCATAGACTGAGGATACCCGTCAACGAGCACCTGTCCGACATGAGTCAACAGTCTCTGGATGTGCGAATTGGCCATCAAGCAGCTCTATGCTATTTACCTGATCCATCCGTCCCCTATATGAACAGCCGATATGCCCAAGTACAAACCTTCACGGTCGATGCCACTGCTAAGGGTAACAATCGAAGTAGTCTATGTGTCCTTGACTGGGTCACGCAAGGTCGTACCTCACGAGGCGAAAACTGGAATTTCCAGGTCTGGAAAGGCCGTAACGAAGTCTGGGCCGCGGATGAGAAGACGGGGAGAAGCCGACTACTACTACGAGACTCGGTCATTCTAGACGATGAGACTGGGGATCGTGGGGGCCCAGAAACCGGCAATTTGGATGATGGTTTTGGGCGCGCAGAAACTCCTCCGCCACAGGCTAGTCTGGTTCCATTGAATGTGATTCAAGAACGTACACGTCCCCATGGTGTAGTAGGAACGTTGATTCTATCTGGCCCGGTCTTTGAAAGTCTCGGGAATTACCTCATGCACCAGTTCACGTCGCAGCCCCGTATCGGCAGCCGTAATTGGTCATCCACTGCATCGTCATCTGCACCAGAGACCTCGCTGAGTACGAAGGGGGGTGCTACTTGGACGGCAGCTCGTGTGCGAGTTGGCTTTGTCTTGGTCAAGTTTGGGGCTAAAGACTTTGAAACTGCCAAGGACTGGTTGGGTGGTCTGCTTCGTGACGAAGGAAGCATCATGCGTGAGTTCGGTGAGGAGGCTCTCTTCTGTCTGTAGACCTCATACATCAAAACTTGATTCAAATGATACCCCATTCTGCACATATACATATTTGCCTGGTAATGCAATGGATTTAAAACTCGTTGATAATTCATTCAAAGCCAAAGCAATTTTTATAGATGCTTGCTTAATATGCAATAATAAAACAACAATGCCCCCGTAAAGGTATCTCAAATATCAAATAGACCACCCAAACGCCCGTAGATAATCATCAATCGTCCCTTCGAAGTAGACCAATCTCAAAACCACCAATCGAAAGCCTTCATTCTCCAATTTCCCTTGGTCGCACTGACCAGGTCGTCCACATTCAGGATATCCACACCCTCCTGGACAAGAATTCTCCAAACATGGTTGCGCAGAGTAAGCGGCCAGCCAGGCAACCCCCAGTACCGCACCTTGAGGCCATGGTGGTGTGCAACACGAATTTGATTGCGAATAATATCCATCTGACGCTCTGAGAAATGGAAGGGCCATGGGATTCCAATGGCTTGCTTCAAGGAAACAGAAGCGTAGAAGCTGTTCGTACTATTGAACGTATTCGCAATAATGGCATCAGGTGTGCCGGACATGCCCTGGCCGAGAGTAGTCGCTCGTTTCACGGTGGATAAAGACTGATCCGATGCTAGGTCTTTGTCATCGACCAACTTGTCGAGCGGAGCATCGAAGAAGATGTCGCGGTAGGTGGAGTTTCTGGTGACCAGGTTGAAAGGGGTATTGCCTGTTCCGACAATAGTGATGGGTCCCTGGACAATATCTTCCCCATTGAAATAGGTCAGGTAGCCAAGTTCACGGAGTGGCTCCAGACTCTCAACAACAGTGGGCCATGTAGCAGCGCCATCGGTCTTGAAGTCAATAAGAAGAATCAGTGTCTGGCTTGGGTCCATGTCGAAGACACCATTCGGAGACTGGTTGGGAATTGGCTGGAACTCCGTGATAGGATTCTGTTTTTTGAGAATTTCGACCAGCGGTTCAATATACATCGACCGCAGCGTTCGATGCGATGTCAAGGCGCTGGTACTGTGGCCCACATACAGCTCACCATCGAACATCCAAACATCCGCCTCAACACTGACACAGCCTGCCCGTAGGGCTGAGTATAGCGGCACCCGACGCCAGTAGTCATTGTGCGAGTGGCAGCCTACAGGAATGATTTCTCGCGAGAAATCAGTGGGCCAATGAGTAGTATCCATCGATTGATGATCTTGATCGCCTCTGTGTATCCATGTACGGGCTGCCCGATCATACTCGTCCGGAAAGAAAGAAATGACAATTCCGCAGGCGAGCGACACGAACTGGAATAGACCACTGTAGCCTCGTAGGTTAGTGCCGAGATTCGAACCAAGGTCTGCAGGGCGACAACTCACAGCATGATAAAGAAGCTAATCAACGAGTGCCACAATCCTCGTGAGATACACTTACGACTTGTGAGACCACACTTGCGCCGCGGAAGACCCTCCAAAAAGATGTCGTTGTCGCCGTGAGGTGAAACTAAGGGAATCCAGCCATCAAGAGCCTGACGCCATTGTCTGCGCCCCGAAGAGCGCGGCCCCACCTTGTCTTGGGAGATAGTCTGACTTCGCACGCTTGTCTCGCCGATGTGCTCAGGCAAGTCGTGATAGGCCTCCACAGGTTCCATATTTGAGTGTATTCGACCTGAGATGAGAAGTCGCTATCTCCTTAGGACTTGGAATGGGCTTCCAAGATTACCATGGGTTTAATCAGGCAAGGGAGTTGGGGATGACAAGTGTATGAAAATATCAAGCAAGAAGTGAATCATTTTTAAGGGATTTCCGATTTAATGAGAAAAATATTGGTACTGGTTACCTTTATGGAACATAAGCATGTTGTGGGTGTAAGCATAATGATTGGGTGCCAGGTGGAAAGCGGCTTACTTTAACCAAGGTTAACCACGAGGTACAAGAAGATAAAAAATCACGACATTTTAACACGAAGAAATTATTTAAATAAAATCTACTTGTGACGCTTTAATGTACAAATGCTAATGACCCCAAAACACCCTCGGGTTTCATACTCATAGCCCGATCCCGTTCTTTTTTTTCAATAAACAACAAAATCAAAGACAAAACTTATTCCTCTTGAAGAGACTTTACGTAGGCTGCAGCCCGCGCTTTGGTCTCTTCGACCATTTTCTCGTTGCCACCGTTCGCGGCAAGTTGCTCCTCAAATTCAAGCCACTTCTTGAAGAGGAAGCGGGCTTGTTTAGGTTTGAGCTTCTTGTTGGCATCGATACTGATAGTGCCCTTCTTGCTCTGCAAGCCAAGTACACGCTCAAACAGACGGCGCACTTGCTCTGCATCTCCGACCTTGATTTCAAGGTCGATAAGCACGTTCCACAGGTCAATACGCTTGGGGAACGAAGAGAGTAGACCTTCGAAGACGGTACGACCACGCTCCACATCACCATTTGCCGAGCGGAACTCCATTTGACCAAATTTGGAGGTTGTCTCGATGTGAGTATGCGCTGGGAGGGACTGCAGAGCCCGAGAAAGCAGGCCTCGGGCCCGCGCAGGTGCTGCCATGGTGTCAAATAGGAAGCTAGCGTAGTTGAGGAAGAACTTCGGCGACTGGTTGGAGATCTTCTTCTTCATAGCAGTCCGGAAGAGGTCATCCGCTTTCTGTAGCAATTAGTTAGTACTGAAACTGTATATTAGACAAGACTTTTGATATATACCTCATTCTTTCCGGATTGGATGTAGATGCTGATCATCCGCTCATAGATCTCCTGCGGGTCGTTGTACTGACAGGCACGCTTGAAAATCTCCTCAAGACTGTCGTCATCACCGTAAGTGTTCTCTAAGTTCAGCAAAGCAATCCAGATGTTGAGCTTCTCAGAGTCTTGGCCCATGGAGATGGTGCGCAGAGCACGCTCAGCAATGGTACGAGCCTTTTCAACCTCACCAAGCTCCAGCTGGAATGCCATGTACTGGAGCCACAGCAGGGATGAGTCAGGCTCACCCAGAAGAAGACGCTCAAAGTCAGCAACAGACTGAGGGCCGTTCGCATCCAGATCGCCAGTACGGTCAATCTGGATTTCAGCCTTGCGGCTCTTCTTCTTCTTCTTCTTGGAATCCTCATTGTCGCTGTCAGCAGCCTTGGACTCCTCAGCCTGGATGTTCCCACTCCAGTCAAAGCCACTAGCACCAAGTCCACCCTCTTTGGAAGGCTTGGTACCATTAGTGGGCTCATCTCCGTCACTATCTTCTTCTTCTTCTTCTTTTTCTTCGTCCTCATCTTCATCGTCATCGCTACCATCCTCCAAATCATCCATGGAAACGTCGTCATCGCTATCAGCTTGTGCAAGCTTGACACCACCGTCGTCGAACATGTCTTCATCCTCGCTCTCCTCGTCAGCCTCGTCCTGGAAATGCGAAGCCTTGAGCGAGAACGAGATTTTGCCTTTCTCGGTGTCGATCTTGATGATCTTGGCCTTTACAACATCACCTTGATCGTACAAGGTGCGGGCATCAGCAACACGCTTCTCGGCCATCTCACTACGGTGGCAGAGACCACTGACATTGGCAGAGCGATCTATAACAATGAAAGCACCAAATTCTTCAACCTTCCTGATCTTACCAGTCACAACCTGGCCTTCCTTGAGGTCACGGAGGGTGGTCAGGGCCTTGAAGTTGGGATCCAATGCCGACTCCTTCAAGGTAAGTTGCAGCTTATTCTGCTCCGGGTCGACCAAAGTGACGCGGCCCTTGACAAGCTGGTTAAGCTGGAAAGAATCCTTCCACTCTTTGAGATAGGAATCAGAGAGATCAGAAACGCGGACGTAAGCATTGATCTCGTGGCCAACGGAGACGAAGAGACCGGCGTCAGTAATGCGCTTAACGAAACCGCGAACAACGTCGTTGGTCTTGAGCTGCTTCAGAGAAGTGATTTCACGATCTTGCACTTGGAGTGAAGAACTCAAGACCTTGGATGGGCGAAGTGACAAGTAGATCTTCTTCTTGGTTTTGTCAACAGCAACAACGCAAGTACGAAGAACCTCGTTCTTGTTGATACTAGCCGGGGTTGCCTTCGAATAGTCATCCGCCAAATCGAGCAGGTTGACTGCTCCAATGAGTGCTTCGCCGAGCTGCATGATGACTTGTGTCTCCGTAATCTTCGCCACACGTCCCGGAAGAATCATGCCAACGGAAATATCCTCAAATGTCAGTTTTTCAGGGGTCTGCTTTGCCGTGAGGTCCAAGTGGCCTTTGTCGGCATTGACTGCAGTGACCTGGACTTTCACGGCGGATCCAATGGGAAAGTTTTTCTCCATATCAGTGAGAAGAGAAAGGTCATCCGACGCATCCATCAAGCGAAGCCGGCCTCGCACATTGGGAGACAAATTGACCCAGAAGCAGTCATCGGCGACATTGTTGATGAAGCCCATCCAGGACGAGCCAACCTTGACTTGCTCCAAGTTCAGTGGCTCGGGATTAGCAGCATTAAGGAAGCTTGGCTTGATGGACAGCTCGAACACGGGGTATTTGCCAGTGCGGTGGGAGATAGGAAGGAACTTGTGGTTGCGAGCGTCATGAACACCAAGGATTCTAACAGAGAGCTCCTGCTTGGGACGGAATGACCGCGTTGGCTTCTTATGATCCTCAATGTCTTCCCATTTGTCGAATATTTCAGACACGTCAATGCGACCTTGGATATTGTCGGCCAATTGAACATTGATCTGAGTCGCCTTGACAGAGACGACCTTGCACTTGACAATTCTTCCAAAGGTAAAGTCGGACATAGTCTTGCAGTTCTCATCGACAGAGTTCACAAGAGCATGGTCCTGCTGTTTAGGCGTCTTGGTGTTCTTAACTTGGACAGGCTCGGCTGCCTTTTGAGTTAGGATAAATCGCTGGAGGTTAGGTTCAACCTCCTTGATAGTAGCTGAAATGTTCTGACCCTTCGATGTTCCGAATTGGGGCTTAGAAAGGTTGACCTCTTCGATAAGACGCTTAGGGATCAGGCCAGTCAGACCACCCAGGAACTCAACGAACAGGCCGGCAGGGGTAACGTTACGAACGAAACCCGTGACTTTAGCACCATCCTCCAGGCCGTCAAACTTGGAAGGCATGTTACCCTGTTTGGCCGCCTTCTTCAGAGAGGCCCTGCTAGAGACACTGATGAGACGATGGGCACGCTGAATATTGAGAACCATGAGATCATTCAGCTTCTGGCCCACGCGAACTTTGGAGAGAGTAGAGCTCTGTTTAGATGGAGATCCATCAATGATGTGCTGAATATCCAGACGAGCCACGAGTCCCGACTCGTCCAACTTGAGGAGCAAGTCATCAGCGGACTTCTCGAAAACGGTTCCAGCAACGAGAATGCCGGGGTGAATGTCTTCAAAGGCCTTGCGGTACTTGTCTGTGAATGTCGACGGATCCTTGCAAGAAACGGCGAGGCGACCCTGGGAAGCATCTACACTCAGGGCGTGCACAGTGATGACCTGGCCCTGTTTGAAATGCTCTGTGGGATCCTGGATGTATGCCTCACTCATTTCAGATACGGGAAGGAAGCCACGGATGGTACCGTAGAACTGGATAACGGCACCATGAGACTGCAGGTTGACAATAGTTCCAGGGGATTGGGAACCTGGAACGATATCCTTGTAGTCTTTCCAGATGGCGGCGTCGCTGTTCAGCAAGCTCTTCTTCAGGGTCAGTCGAATTTGGCGCTTTTCGAGATTGACGGATAAGATTCTGGCGGAAACCTTCAGTCCCTCCCGGAACTTCTTCTCTGGGTACTGTAGTTTGGTATCCGCAAAGTGCATAGACGGAACGAGACCAGTAATTCCATCTGCCAGGCTGACAATCAGACCGTCCATACCGGTGGGACTAATCAAGATCTTCTCGATCTTTCCCTTGACAACAGCTCCAACGTTGACATCCTCGAGGCGAATAAAAGGCTGCTCAATGATGGACTTTTCAAAGGAGAGCAAGTAAAGATTGTCGACTGCGTTATATCCAACAACTCGGGCTTCATGGCTGGCTCCTATTTTGAATGCACCAATGTCATCCGAGATCGACTCTACCTTGCCATCTGAAAGTCTGGAAATGTGAACAAATCCAATATGTTTACTATCCCCGATTTGAACATATACACCCATGCCAGGATCAACCTTGATAATCTTGGCTTCAGGGATGATTGCAGAGATGGCAGGTGCCTCGTCAGACGATCCAGGGCCATAAGAATCAGAAGAAAGTTTCAGAATGTGGTCCAGCAAGGAAAACCCAACCTTGAAGGGCTCAGCAGATGGAAAAGTAGAAACAATTCGACCCTTGATCTTCATACCAATCTTGTACTTGCGAACCAAGTCGAGCTTCCCATCGTTGGCACCTGATTGGACCAGGTCGACAGTTGCGTCAAGCATGCCCATGATCTTTCCCAACATACCATTTGCGGTAACTTCAGTCAGAAGAATCTCTGCGGCGACACCAGGAAGGTATGAGCCGATCGTAGGTGCTGCACTGAGAAAGTGGTTCTTTTTAATGGAGGCGGCAGATTGAAGGTTAGCGGACAACTTGATGACGTTGCCGCTAGAGTTTTGACCCTTGACCATGCAGAGGAAGACTGAGCCTTCCTTGATATCAGCGTACTGAACATGGGGGTCGATTTCCTTGGAAGACATGAATCCCTTCAGGTCTGAGCCTTCAATTCCAAGGTCCATGACCAAACCGTGGTCTTCCACGCTGACAACGGACGCCTGTATAGCCGACTCGTTCACTAGGTCAGCCTTGGAGAGGCCGGTGTTGGTTTGTCTAGGGTCAATGGACAGCTCGATGCGCTTCTTGCTGCGAACGCCAGCCTCCGTTGCTTCGGTGCCGGTGGAAACAACATATGCTCGAAGGAACTGGCCGATGTAGAAGTGTTCCTTGAAATCAAATGAATCCTCGTCCGAACTATCCTCATCATCTTCCTCTGAATTGAGAAGCTTTTCGATGTTCTCTTCGAGTACTTTGGAGACGGATGTGAGAGCGACGTATCCGGTGAGGTTGTTGGGTAGGGAAAGAGCAATATTGTGAGCATTTATGCTTGAAACCTGGCCGAGTATCATAGATCCAGGAACAAGTTGCTGCGGAAGTTAGCTAGTGCACCATGCTTATATTTCGATTTTCTTCTGAGTCGTGCATACCTTGAAGCTGAGGTGTTCGATACGGACGCCTTGCTTCTCTGAGACCTCTTTATCTCCAGACTTTTTTCCTTTAGTCTTCTTCTTCCTCGATTTCTTCACAGCAGTAGTATCATCTGCATCTTCCATGTCGACGTCGCTTTCATCGTCCTCACCGTCGTCGTTTTCCAATTCGCGGGTTGATTTCTTAGGTCCTTTAGGACCTTTTTGTTCAAATAAGACATCCTTGGTAGCCTGAATATGAATTTGCTTGCGCTCTAGAGCAGTCAGAACACCGCCACCACCACGGGGGAACGATGGCTCATCATCACGTAGGACAGAGAGCTCCGATGCTTTCGCAGCGGTTTCCTGGGGCTTCTGGTCTTTTTTGCGGTCTTCAGCGACAACCTTGGCACGCTTCTGCGGCTGACGAGCAGAATTTTCTTCAGGGGCATTCCCCTTGCGCTTGATGGGCGCCATTGTTGGTTGTCTAGATTCGCTGTGAAAAAGTGATGAAAATTGCCATAAAAAAAATTGGAGGCAGAATTTGGCGGTGAGATTTCGTTTTTTTTTTGCGGGTCCCAATTTACCAAGTTCTGTGACTAAATAGAAGTGATAATAGTCATGAATTGTGCTACTATAAACGTGATGATCGGTACCTAGGTATTTGATCAATGATATTGAAGGTTGAAGCTTTTGAAAGCCACGGATATATAAGATTTATAATCGAAAGGCTTCGTTGGAAGCTCATCATCATCCATGAGCGAGGTTATCAGATACCGATCATAATAACCTTGGAACTATTTCCACCCCATCTGGGCTAAGGGCTTGGAATTATTTTTTCCCTTCCAAACCTACCAATGGTGCCGGGTATGATGGTCGTAGTAAATACTTAACTAGAGCAGAATAACTCATTATTACCTAAGTAACCAACTTTATCTAGGTAAACCCGAAATTTGAATACCGGCAAACAAATGCCAGGATGACAAGCCAATGCTGGCGTATTTCTGGTATTTTTGAGTAATACAACTCGTCACTCCGAGGTCTTAGATACTAAACGGTTACAGTGTTTTCTCACCGCCTCCAAGACTGTTATTTATTTAACTTACCGCCTACCTCTTTAGTATGAGATTTTAAGATCACCATCCCTCAGCAAGCTTAGGAAGACTTAAATTTGGAATGTTTCATAAGATAGACTGGAAGCTGTTATTTCAGCAGGTGGTAATTATACTGTATGAATTGAATTGAATTGAATTTCTGCAGTTTCTGCCCTGCAGTAAAAATATGCTAGGGTTTTTTATGACACCCCTACTGTATACACCCCACTTAGCTATGTAAGGCCTCTAGGCACCAAGTCGCGTCGACCTCCTGTACGATTTCCAGTTCCCCGCCCTCCGCACCACCGGGCCTCTTTTTTCCCCACGCTAAATTTGAACTGTCGGACATTGAACGATAACTGCTCTCCTTAACGAACAAATAGAGTCAAGCTGGATCGCACCTCTTATTGTTCCCACTTACCTGATTCTCGGTTGTTGCCATTCGGCGCGCTATCAAGAGCGCGTGTTGACCCACAATGTACGAAGTCCCTCAATTCTATCCTTTACCTTTGCCATTACCTTAGCTGATGCATTTTCTCCCCATTTTCTAGTTCCTACATTGAGAGTCACACAATTCATTCTATAATGGAACTTGACGACCTCACCCAGGTGTCATCCCCTATCGCAGAGGATAGACGCAAATCCAGTCGAATGACGCGACGACCCGAAGTATTTTCGCAGACGACTCACTCCGCTATAAAACGAAAGCGTGGCGACGCACATGACCCCAATGATTCTGACGACTTGTCAGAGTCTGACAGCGACGATGTGGCTGATGACGATGCCGATGAGGAGGAAATGAGAGCAAAACGACGCGCTGCCCGTAAAACTGGCTCAAAGAAATCGCCGGCAAAAAAAACTTCACGCGCATCGAAAAAGCCCAAGGTCGCCAGAACTGCTGCTCAACAGCTCGCTTTCCGACCTGCATTTAATGCTCGTAATGCCACCGCAAATAAGCGAAAACAGAAAGTTCGACCCAGCTTGGCGGCGGGTGAACGAGGGCTATTTGGTAAGTTCCATGCGCTTGATCATAATTGACATGTCTAATAATCAATACAGCGGAAGTTTTTGGAAAGAGCAATAATGTTGACACGGCAGCGGCGCAATGGTCAAAACAATACCAGCGCGATGACAGCCAGGCCATTCAAGTCCTGGTAAATTTCATCATTCGATGTACCGGTGCCGACCTGGAGATAAGCGACCAGGAAGTGAATGACGTGGACCACGCCCCCGACCGCCTTAAAGATCTGGGAAATGTCTACCAGGCACAGGGCGTAACTGAGTATCCCCTGGTCTCCCGCTCAAAGACCTTCAGAGCATTCCAGCCCGTACTAGAGGAATTCATAGTCGCCCTCATCCAAACATTTCATCATTCCTCTATTTTGTACACCGACAAAAACCTGTTGGAGAACATCGAAACTTGGGTGTATGCTATGTCATCGTCAAATTTTCGCCCTTTCCGGCACACAGCGACCATCATCTCATTGGCTATGATAACTGCACTATGTGAGATCGCGCGGGAGGTGACAACAACTATTAGTACTTCTCGCAAGCAGTTGGAGAGCGAGAAGAAAAAGAAGTCCGTGAATAAGGGCCGCGTGGAAGCGATTCAAAAGGCCATCTCTGAAGGGGATCAAAAGCTAGAGCAATTGGACGACTTTATACAAGATGGATTTAATACCGTCTTTGTTCACCGCTACCGTGACGTTGATAGTACCATTCGTGCCGATTGCATAGCGGCCCTAGGTAAGTGGATTCAGACTTACCGCGAAATGTTTTTTGAAGGGCAATACCTGCGATATATTGGATGGACTTTGGCCGATGTCGTCTCGAGTACTCGCTTGACTGCTTTGACACAATTGTTGCCTCTTTATGAGAGCAAAGACAACGTCGGTGGTCTTCACTCTTTCACGGAACGATTCCGCTCGCGCATTGTTGAGATTGCTGCTCAAGATGCCGACTTTGCCGTGCGCCTAGCAGCCATTGAACTCCTTATTTTCCTCCGGGAAGGGGGGCTACTTGAACCTGCCGACATCGACTCGATTGGCCGCTTGATATTTGATGTTGACCCTCGAATTCGGAAGACGGCTGGCCGCTTCTTCGTGGCAAATGTTGAAGATGCTTTTGAGTCGATGACCGAGGAAGTAGAGGAAGAAATGAATGAAATCTTTGCCGATGACGATGAAGATGAATACGAATCCCCCAAACGCTCTTGGATTAAGTTCAAGTGTCTTGTTGACATGTTCCAGGCCTATGACGAACAAGGAACTGAGAGCTCAGAGCTTAGTATGCGGGATGTGATCTCCGGGGCTCCAGCCCACTCACGCTTCTTTTTGGCCACCGAGGCCATTTACCCCCATATGGAGGAGCTTCATCAGTGGCAATCCCTGGCCGGTTACCTTCTTTACGATCACTCTCAAATTGCAGACAGCCCGTCAGAAGATGATACTACAGCTGTTGTTCGCCACTTGTATAAAATGCAGGAAGGACAGGAGTATGTGCTACTAGAGGTCCTATTTGCCGCTGTCAAGCTGCGTGTGCTTGACATCTCAAAATCCGATATTGACAAGCGAGGGCGTAAAGTTAAGGCCCTGACTGCCAAGATCTCAGAGCTCCAGGAGGAGATCTCTCACAACCTAGCCCAGATTATTCCACAACTTCTGAACACATTTGGCTCCACCCCAGAAGCGGCGTCTGCTGTTTTACGTTTGGAGCACCTTGTGGACCTCGATAAAATTCTAGATCTCCAGGAAGATGCCACAGCCTACTCATCCTTGCTCAACGACATCAACAAACAATTTCTGACCCATTCAAATCAGGACGTTTTGGCAGAGGTTAGCGTGGCTTTCCTACATGCAAAGAGCTCTGAGGAGACGCGTGAGGTCCTTGAAGGCAAGATTCAGGAGCTGTGGGATGATATGGTGGATACTCTCGGTAACTTGGCTCGAAAGAAGGAAGTCGAAGCGGGTGGTTCCATCTCAAATTCTACCCTGACAGATCTTTCCAATACTATGATTCGCATTTCAAATCTTGCTGGTATCGCAGACTGCACCGTCATTCTGGAAACTGCCCTCTCGTTGAAATCCAAAAAAGGGAACCCCGAAGCTCCCTTCAACACTCTTCTCCGCCTTGCTCATCGTGGTCTTCGCAAATTGGACGATGATGAGGATGTTGCTAGGGCGGAGAGTGAACTTGTTTGTCACATTATTCGAACCTTGCTGTTCTACTTCATGTGGAAGGTACAGGCACTGACATCAGCGCTGAACGATGGCAAAGCCTCATATACCACTTCCTATTTCGAGGCACTCACAAAGAGCCGTGATGAATTTTCATCAGTTCTCCTCGAGATCATGAAAAATCGCTCTGGGCTTGATGATATACGATTTGCAGCCACCACAAGTTTCCTAGACCTACAGACCCTTTTCAGCACACTGCGCAATGTCGGCCAAGGTGTTGGTAACGACGAGGATGCTATATTCCAAACACAAAACCTTGTGCAGGAAGTCTCACCAAATGCCCAGGCTCTGATCACCAAAATACATGGTCTGGCCGAGCGCATATTTGCCAAGAAATCTAAACGAGAGCTGGAGCTCGCCGATGACGACGACCCTATCTCTGATGACGAAGAGGCTAACGAATCTGAAGATGAGGTAGTGGTGAATGAGCGTCTTCGCCACAGCATTCTGGCCGAACAACGCCTTTGTGAATTGACTGGCAAGATTGTCCTGGCAATCATTGCCCGTGTTGTGGATGCTTCTGGTTCAAAACGCGGCTCTTGGAAGAAGCAACTGCTTCACAACAAGGGCTCCTTTGGCCGGAATTATCGAGAGGTTTTGTCGTACCTTGAAGAGCGCAAACCTCGAAGTGCACCCCGAAGCAAGGGCAAACAGCCTGCCAAGCAGGGAGCTCAGCAATCTGCAGTCGATTCCGAAGGCTTCAAGTCGGCAGAACATGTCGATGGTGATGAGGAGGAAGAAGGCGGCGATGAGAGTCCCGTGGAGGAAGATGATGAGGATGACTTGCGCGATCGCGAACTTGTTGAAAATGATATCGACCACGAGCATGATGAAAACGAAAATTCGAAGAATGTGACACCTGATCCAGACGAGGACCAGGTGATGGGTGACTAGGTGCCAGGTTCATTCTGTGCTGTGTCTATGTTTGATTGTGGATTTTCTCTCAGCCTTTGACGTTTGCTTCTCTAATGATGTTGACATTATTTTTTATCTATTGCCCTTTACTCTGCTAGAGTGGACCTTCAACTGTATGCTATAGGTGTTTCATTTCCTAGTTATCACTTTCGCTGATATACTACATAAATTCTCCCTCTCGCACTTTTCCACTAAGTCTAATTTTCACATATTTCAAGCCATTTGATGCAGCCTTAAGTCTCTCTGTTATAGATGTCGTTGTATTTTTTTTTCAGAGCTTGTAGAGTAAGCTCTGCTTTTTCAAGCCCTTCAAAACGTGCAGGATCAAGTGCTTTCAAAGATGCTCGTCTTCTGGAACGGGGGGATGCCCGGTATCACGGAGAATCGCTCTAGATACTAGTTTGGCCGTTCCTCCAGCTGTGGTAACCCAAATAGCAGCATATAGCCAGAGCTTTGACACATCAGATACCTTTCCTGCAAGTGGCAAGTTATCAGGTGTCACAACGAAAATGCCATTGAAAGGTTTCTCTAAAAAGGAGCCATCCAATTCTGCATGGTTGCCCTGGACAAGGAATTGATCACCGTTTTTTCAATAGTGAACCCGCTTCAGAAAGGACGTTATCAAAAGTTGAGGGCCGTGATCCGAGGGCGATTTCAGTCGGGTGCAACTGTAATGGAGGATGACCATAGCTGCCCAAGCCGTCACGATCGCCATAATCCCGTGCATAGATAGACATGGTTATCTAACCAACGGAATAATGGGTATCGCTTTCCGGCACGAGGTGTTCGGGCTAATGAGGAAGTGTACGGGTGAGCAACTGGGACAATTGGGACGGGAATCTTGGTAATTGGCACATCAGTGACATTGGATTGGCCACTCAAGGCAGACGTCCAAATTCCAGTGGCAAGGATGACAGTAGCGCCTCCCAATCCGACGTCTCCCTTCGATGTCTGCATAGCTTCCAACTCTATAGTGGGACGTGATAATCTGCGCATTCACCGTACCATCAGACGGGAAATGTAGAGCGGCTCCCTTCGACTCGGCATTGATGAAGTCCGGGGCCAGGGAGGCTGCGGCTTCGAGTGTGATAATCTCAGCTGGTAATCCGGCAGACCGTGCTAGATCCAGTCGATGGCGTAGCATTTTCATGCCGGATGGTGTCGAGGAGAGTCCCAAGGCTCCGACAGGATTGAAACCACCTAGAATCAAGGAATACTCAGAGACGGTATCTTGAGCCAGTCGTGTCAAGACAGGGGATTCATTGAGTTGGCCAACGAAGCCTGGGGCATGGCCAGTTGATCCGACTAGCGTTTTTAGGTTTTTGTCAATGAGGATGATGTGGCGATCGTTTTTGGTTTCGGAAAGGTAGGCGAGTGCCGCACCGACTATAACTCCGACGATGAAGAGTCAGTTGGAGGAGGGTTTATCATTTAAGTCAGAAACTCGTAACGCTGAGACCATTGTGCTTTGCTGTTGAATGTATAATTTGAGTCAATGTGCTAACCTTCCAAGGTTAGAAATGGGGGAAGTACCTGGGCACGTCTGGTATAAATTCGGTAGTATAGCGTGACATCGGAGCCTGTAATCTCAAGTATCCATATCTAACCAGCTTTGGGCGTGGTTGAGACCAGTGGGGATTATAAATGACATAGTTAATAGCATCTAATGATTTCCAGTATTAGAAGAAACATCTATTTCTATCTTGCCAAGCCTCTTGGTCCTAGCTATACTGGCGTACTGAGAACCGTTCAGAAGGGGACAAAGACCGAGAATCTTCCGCGGCCATTTCCGACCCTTCTGGTCCATGAGTACTTAGGTAAGATTTGATACCGTATGACCTTGGAAGTTATATTCGGATGTTTTCATGCTAGATATATGGATATCCATGGATCAATGAATATTTCATGGCATGGCATCAGATAACAGTCAAAGCTAGGTAACTAACTACAGTGCCCAGGGCAACGGGTGGAGTGTAGGTAGTCCAGAGCGAGCCGCGCGGAGTAATAGGGCATGCATTGTTCTTGCTGCTCGATATATCAGTGTCATTACTTGGCCTCTGAGACTGCCACTTTGGAACCTCGGATATCGTATGTAGTCTACAGGTATCCTAAAATTGGGACATACAGCCAACCTTTCAGTTGCTGTTGGCAATGGAAAAACAAATTATGGCATAAGAATTGAAATTTTGGGCTCTGGAATTCCAGAGGTACGACAACAGCCGTTGTACATCGGTTGTGGCGGGACTATGATGATGAGTTTCTCGAGGGACGAATACCTCAGCAAAGCCAACAAAAAAATTCAGAAGGTGGGTAGGAAGACATTAACGTGAAAGAAAAGAACCAATCCGCGAATAGTTACGCCAGTGTATGAAAATGCTAAAAGGGGGGGGGGGAGGGGGAGGGGGGTGGGGTTACATGATGGTGAATCTTTGTTTATCGTGAATCCAAATTGGTACAAGAGAAACGAGGGAAGGGGAAGGAAATGGGGAAAGCCTCGTGAGAGGAGTAGGAAAAAAAAAGGAAATCGAATAGAATCCAAGTGCTTCATACGAAGCATGTGGAGGAAGGGGGAGATAGGCCGGTGCTACTCCGTAGACGCGAGGGAAAGTGTGAAAGGCAACTTACAACAATCTGCATGAAGAATAAGGAAGAAAAAAACAAGTGCAGAGTAGAAAGGTGCAAGCTGATGGACGAGAAAATGAATCCACATTTACACATTTACATGTCCATGGAGTCACCACCGTTGGCGAAGTTGAAGCCGCCAGGTTGCTGCTGGTTAGCGCCAAGGGCAAAACCGGATTGAGTCTGCTGAGGAGCAAGCTCGTCGATATCACCAGCTCCCTCGTCATCGTCGGAGAAGTACTTCTCAATGATGTTGTATGCCTTCATGTAGATCTCTTCGTTGGCGTTATTTTGGCAATCATGGATCTTCTCCATGCCACCGGCCTCCTCAATGAATAGGGCGTAGCGGTTGATGCGAGTCTCACCCTGGCCAGCCTCCTTGTCAATCTCGCCAACCTTCAGGATGTTCTCCAGACCATCCAGCGCAACCTGAATAATCTTGTTATCGGGGCAAGCCAACAGATCGCAGAGAGGCTTGATGCATCCCTGGGAAACAAGGTAGCGGATCTGGTCGGGCTTCTGCAAGCCACCGGAAGTAGCGTTGGAGATAGCCCAGCAAGCCTCTTTGCGGGTCTTGAAGTCGCCGTTGGCCAGCAGATTGATCAAGGGGGCAATGATACCGGCGTCGATAACATGTTGGATCTGAGTGGAATTACCTGCAGTAACGTTGGAAATGGTCCAGCAAGCCTCCTTACGGATTCCATCCTTGGTGGAGCCAAGAAGAGACAGCAAGGCGGGAAGGGCGCCACAGTTGATGATAACCTGGGTCTGGACATCATCACCAGTAACGATGTTGCCAACTGAACGAAGAGCAGGGGTCTGCACAGAGGTAGAGGCGTGCATAAGGAGCTCCACAAGGCGGCGGGGAATACCGGCCTCGATAACAGCCTGGATCTTATCATTGGCCCCATCAGAAAGGTACGAGATGGCCCAGCAAGCATCGATAAGAACCTCATCATCCAGCATATAAATGAGCTTTGCAAGGACGGGCAGAGCAGGGGCAATGGTGTTCCAGTCAGGCTGAGGGGTCTTGCCACGGCAGAAGTTGCTCAGAGTCCAGGTGGCGTTGCGGAGCATGCTAAGCTTGCGGCCATCATTGATGAGATTCAGGAGCGGGCGCAGGGCACCAGCACCGAGAACAAAGTCACGGCAGTGAGGACTATCACCAGCAATGTTACCAAGGGCCCAAACGGCCTGCTCACGGACATCAGGCTCGGGGCTGGCGAGGAGCTCGCAGAAAATAGGGACGGCACCGGCCTCGATGACAACCTGGGTCTGCTGAGCAGAACCAGAGGCAATGTTGGTGAGAGCCCAGGCAGACTCAAACTGAACAAGAGTGTGAGGAGAACGAAGGAATTCCACAAAGCGGGCGACAACTCCAGTCTCGATAACGCGCTCAATAGGAGGGTTGCGCTCCTTCGACAGCAATTTGCGGAACTTGGTAGTGGCCTGAATCTGCTCCTCAACCTGGTCGGACATAACACCCTTCACCATCAGAGGGAGCTCGACATTGAGCTTTAAAAATCATTTTGTTAGCTTCATGTTGATCTATTTTTCGTTCTCGCGGGTTCTCTGGTAGTGGGGTCATCGAGTGGAGGGGTTGGCCCCATGGCAACAGGGCGGTGAAAAAAATTCCCATGTTGATGATCGCATCAACAAAACAAAGTACTCGGAGTACAAGAAAAAGAGAGGGGGAGAAACAATTTTGCCACCATATTTGGGGACTAGAGGTGGGGGTGAAACCCCTCCAAGCAAGAAATGAAAGGAAGGGGAAAAAATGATCGCCTACTTACTTCACTCTCAATAGCAGTAGCTTCATCGTCACTTTCAGCGGCACCTAAGCCATCACCAACTCCGACTCCTCCATCACGGGTCTGAATGCCACGTCGCTTGGCAAGGTTCTCCTCACGCTTCTGCTTTCTGATCTCGACCTGCTGTTCTTCACGGCGACGACGGAGCTCATCGGGCTTGAACTGGTTACGGGCCTTGAACTGCGTCCGTCGGTGCTCTGGAATATAGCGTTCCGCCATGGTATGTGATCACTAGTAAAAGAAAGAAATTGCTCCTCAGAAATGAAGCTTTAGAAAAGTGGTGTAGGATAAACACGCAGTTGAGAGAGAGAAGAAAGAGGATGTGGGGGGAAAACGGAAGAAGAAGGTTGTGTGCAAGGAGGGGAAGTCACGTGACCTCTGTTTCTATTTACAACCGCGTTCTTTCTCAGAGCAAAAGCTATAAAGTCGCGATCAATCAGTCTACATACAATATTAAACACAGTTACCTTTCTTAAGCTTTACTTTCCCATTCCATCTGTCACACTCTTTTTTTTAGGGGAGTTGAAGCAAGTTCTCTACGCTGTTTGATGTATGATGAACATCCAATAAACAGCACATTCAAAAAAAGAAGACCTGGAACTGTTCTTTTCTTATCCTTCCTTTACCAAACACAAAATCAAAGTCTGAATTTTGAACACGAATTTTGAAGTGTCATGCTCCAACATGCCTGCTGATTTAGTGCCTATTCCAACCGCATGCTCTCACTTGCATACAAGGCACACCGTCGTTGGCATTGTTGTTGACAAGCTGGATCCCTATCACAGTCGAGGATCATCAGCATGTGTTACTTTCACACTAAAAGACTCGGATTTTGATCTCCCATCTCATAGTGGTGGACTTAAAGTTAAGTACTTCAATGACGATACGAATGAACTTCCCGCTGTGGATGTCAATGATGTAGTTCTGCTACGAGGAATTAAAGTATGTCTAATAGATTGGCTGAGATGATTAATTCATGACCACAGTCTGATCTTATATATTAGGTCAATGGCTGGAATGGCAAGCCTGTTGGTGTCGCCTCACAATATGAAAAGATCTATTGGGCAATATTCCGACCACATAAAGATCCAACTGCCAATCTAACCATCATTACTGGCCCCGGCCAATTTGAGCCAACATCTCTAGAAAAGAGGATAGCAAGATCTCTGCTAGAACACGTTACAAGCCAGGACAACTTTGTGGTACCACCGCCGCCTAAGAAGACACCTAAAGCGATTCAAGGATCCAACGTGGTTCAAGCCTCTATGCCAGCTAGAAACACGGGAGGCCTCCTTCCAATTTCTCTCATAAAAGACGTGCAACCAGGGAAACTTTGCCAGTTAATTGGTCAGGTAGTGAGAGCATACACCGCTGAATTCGACAAATGCACCCTCTACATCACCGACTACACTGAAAATGAACAGCTTGAGAATATTCTGAAAGAAGACGATGAGAATATTGCTGAGGGTGACTCTTACGGCTACCTATCCAGGAAAAGCAGAGGTTGGCCAGGCCCATGGGGAAAAATGTCACTACAGGTCACTCTATGGGAACCTCATGCCACCTTTGCACGAGCGCATATTAAGCCGGGAAACATAGTCCACATCACATATGCGCGAATTAAGGATGGTTTCATGGGGTTAGAGGGCGTTATTCATCAAGACAGAAATTTTTCGAGCAAAGTCCATATTGCTGTGGTCTTAAGCGAATACAATCAGCATGCGCGAGACTTGATGAACCGGCGCAAAGAATACTGGAAGGAAAATGGCTCCTCCAAGGAAGATGTAGTCATCGAAAAGAAGAAGATCGCTCAAAAAGCCAGGAAGATGCCAGAAAAAGATGAGCAGAGAGAAGACGCACAAATACACACCACAACCTCACTTCCAGGAAAAGTTTTACGGACGACACTCAATCCAAGTAGTAAGTATTTGTTGAAACCGAGCAGAAATATCGCTTATCATCCTTCTAACACTTGTCTGGTCAGTTAAAATCCGCGAGTATGGAGCCACAGTTCGGTCAATCGAGTCCATCTTGTCCGCTGAGACCCATTCCATTAATATCCCTAGTGGAATTACCTATAAGCTCCCATTTCAAAATGTCTGCTACCAGGCTAATGTCCGAGTGGTTGACTTTTTCCCTCCGAAATTGGAAGATTTCGCAGTACAGATAGCTGATAACCCCATTGCTCATCGTGGATATGACAGCCAGCCCATGGTATGGGAATGGTGCTTCTGTCTTCTTGTTGAAGGAATTGATCCTATGGTCTCCAGGGAAACCCCACGCGATCAGATGCGGCTTTACGTCTCTGGTGCAGAGGCTCAGCATCTGCTACACCTTGACGCTGCGAAGTAAGTCCTCAGTCTCAACTTTCTGTGCCTGTTTTTTTACTAATCATGGGGGGCGCTCTTAGTCTCCGGCGCAATCAACAACGGCTAGGAGAGCTCCGTGAGCAATTGTTTCATCTCTGGGGCAATCTTGAGGAATGCAAAATGTCTGCATCTGCTCGTGTTGGGAAAAAAGTATCATCTCTTCCCTTTCAGTGCTGCATCAAAGAGTATGGAGTCCAGTGTGACCATGCAAAGGATCCAGATGGCATGGATGTCGACGGAGAACCTTGCGGCAAACAAGGTTGCTTTGGATGGGATAGACGATTTGCCATATTTGGAACGCAAATACGCGAGTAACACGCAGTTTCAGGCGCAATAGGTGTTGTTGATGGTCACCAAAGAGGCAAACTGTATAAATTTTCGAACACACTTCCAAAGCTCTTAAGCGTATATACAGAATCTGATAGTTGAACCATACTGATAATGAATATTCCAACTAGTCGCAGGCAAAAGTAAGTGGCCTAGACCAGTCCATCAACCCAGAAACTACCCTTATCCTTGGTGGGTGAGGTGGAAGGATCAATCCAACGGCCATCACAATTATTCCAAACGCCTCGCAGCTCCGAAAATAGAGAGACCCCATTAGCCATGAGTTGTTGGCAACTTTTTGATGACACCGAATTGGTGACCCCGGAACCGATGACCCCCAATCCCAAATAAAATACACGACAGAAATCAAGTTTGCAGATATGAATATTAGATCAACCCCCACATTCCCTTCGTCAAAACCTTCAAAAAAAAGTCACGCCTAGATATATGGAATAGACCGGTAAAGGTTTACGCAGTATGGTAGTAGGTCATTGACGAATTCATTTAAGACGAAAAGAAGCACTAGATCTTGGTCACCTTGACAATGTTAGTGTCAATGCCGTGAGCAACAGGCTCGAAGCGACAAGTATCTCCTCGGAAGCAAGTTTTCTTGCCAGGCTCACTTTGAGGGCATCGGTGGCCATAAATGCAATCCGGGTCGTCGCATTCCAAACCAAACCGGCAAGGGGTCATGCGAGCGATAGCAGACAAAATATGGAGTTCTTGGCGAGTCAACTTGCGGTCGTGATCATGGTAGCAGTTTTCTTCATTCGGACATTCGCCCAAGAGGAAGTGATAGTTGCATAATTTAAGCTTCTTAAGACGGTTCAAATCGTCACGAGGAATGCTCTTGAAATCAAGACGGTCCACACGTTGGCCGTACTTGTTACGTTCCACAGCCTTGTGAGGCAAAGATCCAGATACCTTAGAGCGAACGACTTGGAAATCAGGGGATGCATCAGTCAATTTAACAGCAGCAGGCAGAGTTGCGCCCGTGCCTGTGCCCGTACCCGAAGTGCTAGTATTGGTCGAAGTACGGGACAGAGGTGGAGGGGGAGTTTGAAACTGCTGGGAGGGTGACGGGGTCATCAAGGCTCGGGAAGGCAAGGTACTCTTCCATGGTGCAATCCATGACGGTGCCAGCTTGGTCGTACGGAAGACTTCTGGGAACTTGGCGGTTCGATATGTACTCTTAGCAGTTTCCAAGTCTTTATCGAATGTAACGCCCTCCAATAACGAAATTCGACCACTGAGATCTCCGTCTTCCATAGTTTCGTCGAGAAAATGGGCGTATTCACTATTCGATGCACAGCCCAGGAAGATTTGGTGGCAATGGCAGTTGTAAAGGAAGATCTGGAAAGTCTCTGTGGGAACAAAAAGAGTCAGTTTGACTGGAACAAAGGCAGCTTTGTAGATTACGATCCATCACTAACCATAAACCTTATCGTATGCCTTATTCTTGCTAGAACCAATATCCACAATCTCAAAAAGTGGCATCGTTTCATTAAAGCCTCGAATGAAGTCATAGATCACGACCGGCTCGGGGACGATGCCACTGCGAGTACAGAGCTCGACCAGGTTCTTCAGATTTATGTAGATCTTGGTGATTATCTTCGGCGTATTGATACTTGGAAAATTGGCGAGCAGATATGAGTGCAAACTGCTGAAGAGTTGTTTAGCAGCATTTCGACCACCTTCTTCACCGAGCTGTAGAAACTCGTCCTTGAAAATTATTCCTTCTCCGTCGAGAAGTACCACGACAAAGGGTTCTCGGTCCTGAGTAGATGATTTGTTAGAGCGAGTTGTGTGAGTGTGGAAAGATCAAGTTTACCATGATGGTTTTGATTTGCGATATCTGTTGCATTAATTCCATCTCGTGCAACTGGATATCACGATTAAAGCGGGTTTCGCGTTCATGATCAAGTTTTTCGCGCTGGAAGGAGGTCTCAAGGTCGGTCACTCGTTGAAGGAGTTCCTATCTGTAGTATTAGTTTGATCCATGAAAGTGAGCAAGGGGGAAATACCTCAATCAGCTGGTTCTTTTGCTGGTCCAGTAAGCTTAACTGTTGATAGCGATCGAGAAAAGGTGAGGAATCCATTTTATTTGAAAATCAATAAAGGCGTGTGAAGGGAAAAAGTAGTGATTCTTCAGGATCTTAAAATTAAAGAAGGGTCCTTGCGCGATCCACTCGGGGAAAGTGAATACTTCGAAGTTGCAAGAGATGGATTCTCGGGGATTCAAAGGTGAAGCTGTTGTTTTCTCTTTCTCGACTAAGGAGTGGAGATCAACGTGTTCTAGACTAGAGTCCTGTTTTCACTTCCCAAAAAAAATCGAAATCTCCAACAAGGCGAACGCGATGCTGAGTCAGCTTCCCCGGCTAAACTAAGTGGACCTAAATTGCTGCAACGTGTGATCTCCCTTACCCTACTCTCCGTACTTACTTCCTCCTCTTCACCTTTCGCTCTCCCCCATTTCTGTCTTTTAAAGTCAAGATGACTCGTTTCGGATTCCTCTCACTGGCTTTGCTCTCCCTTCAGGCCTTCGTCGGCACTGGCCTCGCTGCTGTAAGTTTTGTCTTCTATTTCATGTTCACCCACTGGAAAACAAATGAACTCAATTGACTCATTTTTCTGAAATTTAGGAGGAGACTGTTGAGGCTGAGACTCGTAGCTATGCTGTCTCTGCCGAGGCTTCTTTCCCATCTTCTGAGATCTTCGGCGTGAAGCTCGTCAACGGTCACCCGACCCAGGCGCTGATCGCCTTCACCAACGAAGAGCCGAACCCTGTCACTGTCAATTTTGTTGGTGGTACCCTTTGGAATCTCGAGGAAGCTAGCAAGGTTGTCCGTAATCTGACTGCCACCCGTTATGCCCTTGAGATCCCTGCGGGTAAAAAAGAGGTCATCAGCTATGACTTTGCCACCGAAATGCACCCGCAGGATCTCCGTTTGAACATTGCTGCAATACTGTCTGACAGCGAGGGCAACTTTTTCTCTGCTCAGGCCTTCAATGGCTCTGTAAGCGTGGTTGAGCCTGAAACCAGCATCTTCGACCCCCAGATGTAAATGCTCCTCCTTGTGTATCGCGTGCGCAACTCAACTGACACTGAATAGCATCTTCCTCTACTTCTTCCTCCTGGCCTGTGCTGGTGGTATCTCCTACTTCTTCTACACCGTCTGGATCGCTCCCTACTTCCCCCAGAAGCGCAAGAGCAAGTCTGATGAAAAGCGTGCCCCCAAGCCCGTCGTCGAGAGCCCTAGCCCTGTCGTTGCCTCTTCTACCACATACAACACTGACTGGATCCCCGACCACCACATCAACCGCCCCGAGGCTCGTAAGGTGAAGGGCGCTCGTTCCAAGTCTCGCTCGTAGATATCGCGCACGTGACGTGGATGCTAGTTGAAGATGGAGATGGGAGGAATTGGAGAAGCATTAAGTTTTTTTAAATTTTTGTTGCGTCCAAGAGAGGTTTGGATCATGAATTTGTGCTGAAAATGCACATTTCAGGTTGCCTTCCACTACTCCGATACCGCAGCTTGTACAATATACCCAAAAAATGGGTCTCATAGATATCCCAAGGGCAATCTAGAGGCCGATAGGAGTTCAGTAATCAGAGAACCAAGCTAAAGTGTCGCAAGACTGAATTCCCCGCAAGCTTGAAGCCGTCATTGGTTACAATTTTTTCCAATCATTATACTCCTGCTCTAAGTGTGCCTTCAACTCGACAAATTTGTTGCCAAATCCTTTACCGCAACGCCAGCAGACAAAATCTTGTTTTAGATATCCTTCCTTCCCTGGATTCCGTCTTACGTCGTCCTTGGCCAAGGGAAAGTCCTCAATAGGTATAAAAAACTTCGTCGCAAAGCTGTTGTAGTGCTTGCGATGCTTCAGACGCTCGCTATACCGATCTACTGACATGACATGCACATGCAAATGGCTCATTGAGGGGACCGCATGCACCCCGCATACTATCTCTTTATCCCAGTCCCGCCCATGTGGGAGCTCGTCCGGGGGCGAATCAGCACTGAGCGCAGCCTGTCTCGCCTGCTCCTGTACAGACTCCTTGCCGAATTTGCGCCGCAGCTCGCCAGCAGCTAGGGTGCGCAACTTTTGTACCTCAGTTTTGGTCTTTGCAAGGAAATCGGCGTCTTCAAATGCGTCAAACGGGTGGAGGCGGGTCTTTGTTTCATCGCGTGGGAGAAGGAGTAGATGCAGTGACGATTTGGGGAACATGTCATGGATGGCGACAAATTCTTGGTTGTGATAGATGACTATATCGGATGGGTAGGACTCCGGCTTTGCAATGTATGCGCCCAAACCCTCACAAGCTCTAAAGTTAGATGTGCTGCCCTTAGGCGCATGACTTCGAAGTGAGCTTTCAGTAGCGTGCTGTGGTTTCTTGTTTCGAGATGACAGGAGCTCTGTAACTGTGTGAATTGTCAGTAAGCTGTCAAAGCTATTTCAACCTGAGTCAGATCTCACAGGCGTTTCTCTTCTCCGCTTTTACAGGCTGCTCCTTAGCAATAGTGTTTGCATTATTTCCCCGGGCTTGTTCCGCCTCAGGCATGATGGGCAAGGCAAGTTAAGATTCAGTATTGCAAAGGGAAGGGTGGAATAGTTGGAAGATGTGGCGTGAAAGCTGAGCTAAGCTAAAAACTTAGGAGGACAATTGAGAGAAATAGACGAAAAAGCAACAAATAGAATCTACAGTCTCCCCGCAAATCCTAATCCGGTTTAGTGCGGGCGTCGAAAAGCCAGAGCTCCGACAAATCAATTGAAATTGCCTATCACAATCGTTGAAAATGGGACCCAAAAAGAAAACCTCTGCGGGCGTTGGACCCAAGCCTGGCACTAAACAGGCCCAGGCTGTTGCAGAGAATAAGGCTAAAGACAAGAAGCCTGCGCCAGGCCCGGAGGAGCCAAAGAAGCCGTCCGTGAAGGAGGTTATTGGCGGCGCATCGTGGACAGGCAAATTGCCCGTTAATATGTTGTCGGAACATTGTCAAAAACAGAAATGGGAGAAACCGGAGTACAATATGGTACAAAAAAAAATCCCCATAAATTCCATTATCCTGGTGAACAAGCGCTGATGGACATGATACAGATCAAAACCGCCGGCGGCTTCGTTTCCGACGTGACCTTGAAAAAGGTAGACATCAAGACCCGCGAATTGACCGTCCTTCCTGCTATACGACTGCCACCGTCATATAAACAACTCGCTGCGCAACCGACGGCGCTCGAGGCTCGCCATTTCGCCGCCGCGTTTGCTCTGTATCGAGTCTGCAACATGCGCAATCTTCATATGATGCTTCCTCCGACCTACAAAGCACTGTGGAAAACGGAATTCACAGAAATCAAAGCCGCAGACACTCGGGAGGGGAAAGGCTGGTTGTATGAAGCAGATCCATTCCTGGCCAAGCAAGAACGAGAGAGCGCTGCCGCCGATCTGGAGAAGAAGAGAGCAGATCGTGCGAAAGCGCAAGCCAAAGAAAAGGTCTCTGCGACAGATCTCGGTCTGGGAGGTGGCGATAATAGGAGCAAACGAATCTGGTCTCAGGCGCCCAAAGTCGATATGGGCGCTCGCATCCGACGAGACATCGAAGGACTCTTGCGGCAACATACGAACTGGAATCCCTATGGTGTGAAGATACAAGATGACGAGACTAAAGCTATTATTGAAGAATTCGCGCGCTTGGGATTCCGCCGCAGCCATGTGGAAGAAGCGGCGGCAGAATGTAAAGACCGCGAGGAGGTTCTGGAGTGGCTCTTGGTTTACGTGCCGGAGGACGACCTGCCCCGATGGAGTTTGCCAGAAGGTTACTCGGCAGGAGTCAGTCTAGCCAATGGTGATCTAGCTCGAGAAGCTAAAATCAAACGTCTCGCCTCGATTGGCTATCCTGTAGATCTATGCACTCAGGTTTTGGATAGCAAGAACGGCGACGAGCTGGTAGCCGCGGAGTACTTGCAGAGTACCTTGGTTCATGGTTCAGCTATCGCATCTGAATCAGTTCCAGAAGGCGATGCAGACGCATGGGCTGAAGAACAGGATACTCTCGAAGCCATCTTTGAAGAGCGCTATACTCGAGTATCGGCCAAGGTCTGCGAGATCAAGAGTGAAGCTTCTGAAATCCCCGAGAACACCTCTTTCCGTTTCCAAGAGCCATCAGTCCACTACCCCACGGCTCCTCCAGTCATATCGATCCAGGCGAAAGGGATCCCAGCTTACATCCGACTCAGTGCAATTCGCCAAGCAGTGCAGTATGCCGAGATAAGCTTCTGCGGAGAGTCCATGATCTTTAACATCCTCGACTGGTTGGAGGTCAATCTGCCTGCAATCATGGAGAACCCAGGCAAGCTACGGGATATCTCTTCTATCACAGCATCCCCAGCGGCAAACAGTCATGAAATTCCTGTGCGCTCCGCTCGCAAACAACGAAGAGGGATTAACTGGAGCACAAATTCACCACAGAGTGTGGCAATGCGCGAGGCCTGGGAAGCAAAGCAAATTATTCCCGCCCAGGTCGAGATGATTCGCAAAAGAAAGTCACTGCCCGCCTGGAACACCCAAGAGGCGATCGTCGACGCAGTCAACTCCTACCAGGTCACTATCATCTCTGGTGAGACTGGTAGTGGGAAGAGTACACAATCCGTGCAATTCGTGCTTGATGATATGATTCAACATGGACTTGGCGGAGTCGCAAACATTATATGTACGCAGCCGCGGAGAATTTCAGCGCTCGGTCTTGCCGATCGAGTCAGTGATGAACGTTGCTCAACAGTTGGCGATGAAGTTGGATACATTATCCGCGGCGAGTCGAAGGCTAGTCAGGGAAAAACTAAGATTACCTTTGTGACTACCGGTGTACTGCTTCGCCGCATGCAATCCGGTGGTGATGCGGACGGCAATGTCGCAAGCTCCCTAGCGGATGTATCACATGTGGTAGTGGATGAGGTCCATGAGCGCAGCCTAGATACCGATTTCCTTCTTGCTTTACTACGTGACGTTCTGCGTCACCGTAAAGATTTGAAGGTCATCCTGATGAGTGCCACTCTGGACGCAAACATTTTCATGAATTACTTTGGCGACAGTAAATCCGTGGGATTGGTTAACATTCCCGGTCGAACGTTCCCTGTCCAGGACTACTATCTCGACGATGTCATCCGAGACACTGGATTTGCGCCCGAGCTAGGCGAAGATCTGGAAGATGACTTCGATACTGGACGAGCTGAAGAGTCGCTTGGCAAGGCTTTACGAAGTGTCGGTATGGGAATCAACTATGATCTGATTGCCGCAACCGTTGAATATATCGATTCTCAACTGGCTGACCAGCCTGGAGGAATCTTGATCTTCTTGCCTGGAACAATGGAGATTGACAGGTGCCTGACGGCAGTCAAGAGGATCCCCAACACCCATCCACTCCCATTACATGCATCTCTGCTCCCAGCCGAGCAGCGCCGTGTTTTCCAAAGCCCTCCCCGTGGAAAACGAAAGATCATTGCCGCAACAAATGTTGCAGAAACATCTATCACCATTGAGGATGTAGTGGCGGTTATTGACACTGGTCGAGTCAAAGAAACAAGCTACGACCCCAAAGACAACATGGTTCGCCTGCAGGAAGTTTGGGCTTCGCAAGCAGCTTGTAAGCAGCGCCGTGGACGAGCAGGTCGTGTTCGTGCAGGCACTTGCTACAAGCTCTACACTCGCAAGGCAGAATCTAACATGGCACAACGACCAGATCCCGAGATCCGCCGCGTTCCTCTGGAACAACTGTGTCTATCTGTCAAGTCCATGAAGGGCATTGACGATGTCGCCATGTTCCTAGCGAACACTATCACTCCACCAGAGAGCATAGCTGTAGAAGGTGCTCTCGGCTTCCTTCATAGAGTTGGAGCGCTAGATCACAACCGTCTCACAGCGCTGGGTCGATACCTAGGCATGATCCCGGCTGATCTCCGCTGCGCAAAACTGATGATCTACGGCTCAATTTTCGGATGTATGGAATCTTGTCTTACCATCGCAGCAATACTCACTGTGAAAAGCCCATTTGTCTCTCCACGTGAGAAACGTGACGAAGCTGATGCTGCGAAGGCAGCTTTCTCCCGCCCCGGCGACGGCGACCTCCTAACCGTTCTATCAGCGTATGAAGCGTGGACGGAGAGGTCCCGCGCACAGGGACACTGGCAGACGCAATCTTGGTGCGGTGCCAACTTCCTCTCTCACCAAACACTTCGCGATATCTTATCCAACAGAGCGCAATTCGTAACATCGCTTAAAGACGCCGGTATCCTGCCCGTGTCTTATTCGGACGGCGCAAATGCCTGGAACCGCAACGCTTCCAATCGCAACCTGCTCCGTGCACTCATTGCAGGCGCCTTTCAGCCACAGGTTGCGCAGATCTCATTCCCTGATAAAAAGTTCGCCAGCTCGGTAACTGGAACAGTCGAGGTTGATCCCGATGCCCGTACGATCAAATACTTCAACCAAGAGAATGGCCGCGTCTTCATTCACCCCAGCTCTATCCTGTTCTCTGCGCAAGGCTATCCCAGCTCCTCGGCTTATTTGAGCTATTTTACCAAGATGGCCACAAGCAAGGTCTTTATTCGCGATCTTACCCGTAGGTTTTATGATCATATCGTCCTTGTTTTGATACTAATCTCTTCTCAGCCTTCAATGCATACTCCCTGCTCCTTTTCTGCGGCTCTATCACCCTCGATACAATGGGTCGTGGTCTTGTTGTAGACGGCTGGCTCCGACTACGAGGCTGGGCCCGGATCGGCGTCCTTGTCTCTCGGCTTCGCATCATGCTGGACGAAGCCCTTGCAGCGCGCATTGATAACCCCGCACTCGGATCTGATGGTGGTGCAAGTGATCAGGTCATCGAGGCCGTTAAGAGATTGATCGAGTTCAATGGGCTTGATCAGTGATACATATAGAGTGCTGTCTATAGGAGTGACACATAGCGATGATTCTGGGCCTGCTGCTTTTGTGAATATAATTCGTACTTAGATAGATTTATGAGTGACGATGATGATAGAAAAGACTATGTTTGCTCATTATTTGCATTTCCTTTCCATGGCCACGAGGATGCTGTTTTACTACGAGAATTAAGAGGAGAAATGAATTGTAACAAATGCGCAGGAAATGGATTTGAAGAGTCATCGACCATAGCTAGCTATTCAAGATGTTTGCAAATCATTTAGCTTCATTGTCATGGCGACATTGTCACCACAAGTTATGACAGGAGAAATGAATTGCAGCAAGTTGCTGAAGCAATGAATCTTGAAAGCCGAATCACAGTTGGTAATCCAAAATCCTCGAAACACTCAAAACCGCTGTGACAGTCCAATAGCCACAAAACCAAACATGCCTTGGGCAAGAGAAGAAACTAGAAGTTCCATCGGCAGTAGAAGTTGAGAAGTCTTGCCAAAGACAGAAAAAAGAAGAACCGGAACACCTTCCCCAGCAGATAAAACATATGATGAAGAGCAACCCTAAGTTCAAACTGTTGATAAACAGGGTTGAAAATCAAATAAGATAGAAAAACCACGTCCCCGGAAACTCCTGCCATTTTTCCTCCAACCGGTTTCAGAAAGCAAAATAGAACATGATAACAATTAAGTGTCGAAAAGGGGGTATTGTGATAGAGGTAAAAGAACTCGAGAGGTGAGGCATAAGAGTTGAAACATCGAAAACGGACGCATCGAAAGGTCAACGCCGGGTGTCGAAAAGTGAGGTGCATGAATAGAAAAATGGCGAGATTTAGAAGTTCTCGCGACCATCAAAACGGTCAGGGTTGTCCAACCAAGTAGGCTCCGGGATCACAAAGCCTCCTTCAATCTCACACTGGACAAAGACCGAGGCACGCTTGAAGCGACGCTCCTGATATTTATCGTAGATTGCTGCGTGATGGCGATGGGCGTCCTCGCAGCATTCAATGAGAACTTTCAAAGCCGGTACCAACTGCTGATAAATGTATCCGCTGAAGTGGGCATGGGCTGGGGTCTAAAGAAAATGATGTTAGTAAGTGAGCGAGTTCACTTGGAGAGAAGAAACGTACCCATGTACCCTTTCCGAGAATCAGACGAGAGATGCAGTGTGCCGCAGCGGCACTATAGCTGGGGGAGTGGAGACGAAGCGTTCGTCCATAATCGTGATGTCCAAGAAATACTTGGCCACAGTTCGAGTCTCGAGATCGTAGCCATCAGCCTTGCTAACACGACGAAGGAAACTCAATGGTCCGGGCCAACCCAGCTCGAACTTCAGAATGTTGAGCATGAACTTTTCCGCCTTCAGTATTTCATCCCTGGAGTATCCATTATCAACCATAAAAACAATCTCATTAATCGAGGGGGGAGTAATCTCTTCATATTTCGCAGCAATAAAGAGCGCAGTTGCTCCAACCAACTGAAGTTTTCCCAATGAGACAACCTTCTTGGAAAGGAAACGATCGATGTAGTTAGCCGTCAAGAACAGAGTCTCGGGAAGGAGACCAAAACGGCTGTGAACCTGAACGATCCACTCCATCAAAACAGCGCGCATGGTCCACTGAATCTCAGCCTGGTTAGCCATGTAATCATGGGCCGGGAGCATAGCAACCTATTTGATATGTTAGTCAAAGTTTGTGCAGTTATACTAAACAGATCGAATCACATACCTCTTTCTGGCGAAGGAATGCAAAAATCTCGTCACTATACTCGGCAACCATAGTGATATCAAATTCATCCTCCAACTGATCCTGCTTATAGCGTGTAGCACTAACAATATCGTTCGCGGTGATCAGCTCGCGGATGGAAACAGCGGACTCCTTGGGAATCAGGACTACAGTGGCTCCGGTCGTGTCATCATATCCGCCAGGGAGCTGAGATATGGCACCATATGTATCATAGGTATCAATCCCATCAGAGTACGACTGTTCTCCATCAGATGCGGTATCATCTGAATCAACAGACTTAATCCGAAGCAGCTCATGTCCGGGATCAACGGCGGTGTATGAAGAAACGTCAAACTCCTTCTCCTGTGTGTTATCACCATTGACAGAATCACTGTCAGTGGAAGACTCCGTATCCTCGTCGTGGTCTTCGGTTTCCTCCAGAAGGGTATCAGGATCCCGGAAAATCGTGGTACGGCTAGGGCCTTTGACGGCTTGAGCCCTTCCAGCAGGGTTGATCGGGGCAATGCCGATATCAGCCAGAAGACGAGGTCCGCCAGTAGACAATGTGCGGTTGTGTGTGTGCTGAATTATGGCGTTTGCCCCGTTGGTAATAGTCGTGGCAATAACTTTCTTGCTGTCTTCAACCAATCCTGAAGTAGATGTAGAGCGCTTGTGAACAGCTTTGCTGGCTGGGATCGTGGGCGCAACATTCTCGTCACCAAAAAGGCGCTTCTAAGTAATCGGGTTAGCATGTAGAATAAATCTCACCAAAACTCCGAAATTCAAAATGCAAAATTATATGCCTCAATGAGCTGGCATCAACATCGACTCCCTTTGCGCCGATTACAGGTGCTTCACCAAAAAATGTGATGGGATGTTGAAAATAATCGCATATGAAAGAACAGAGTGGGTACTAACCTGTGCCTCCATTCTGAAGGTGGTTGTAACTCCTTGGGAAGAGTTGTCGCGTTAATAGTGTGGAAAATAAATGTGGTGAAGTGAAGTGTTTATGTTTTGCGGAGTTGAGAGAAAGTACCAAGGGAGATCATGGAGTCTCTGATTGGCTGATGGAACAAAACAAACGAGTGGAGTCGTACTGTGTTTTCCGTATCGTCAAGAGAAAACCAACTTGATTAAAATGGACACGCAAGTCAATTGCAAATAGTTTGATTTTTTCACAAATTAAAATAGCGTTTTAGAATAACACCAACTACTTTCAATGAATAAGTAAAATGCACTACTGAAAATCAGGTCTCAAATTAATAAATGAAAATGTATGTTCGAAGGGACGGGATTCAATGACAGTACATTGTCAATGACTTAACCGTTTTTTGCCGCCTTGAGTCTTAGGCAACGATCACCGCCTTGATAAGATAGCATCCGTAGCCCTTATCAGCGTCATTCAATGTAACGATTAACTTGCAGAGGTCTTGGTGGCAGGTACATAAATACCTGTAAACAGGTATCTTTGACAGATATTGATCTCTGTAAGCCTTTATATACAATATATGATGCTGGGATTCAACATATTCCTCTTCAAGATGAACTATTGGGTAAGATGAACTATTAAGTGATGAAAATGATGTCGACGCGTCCACAGATACATTCCAACTAACTAACCTATAAACTTAGTATTTAGAGCCCTAGAACCTAAAAATCCTTTAAGAGGGATGAAATGCCTTATATCCAGGAATTTTTAACTCTGGAAGGACTAAGTGATAAGAGATTACTATACTGGAATAGAGAATAAGCCAAAATTCTTCAAGATGAGATCGAAGAACCATCTGAGTAAGTGGGGACAATTGCAAGAAGTGCATTTTGAGCTTCCAGGCTTGCTTCGAGGCTGTCGATCAGCTTCCTTAAGGGGGATAACTGCGGGGACAATCCTTGAAGGTGTCCCTGGATTCCAGCCCGATTCCACTAGTTAAAAATGCCCTTACTGATGATATTCGACTATCTAAGTACCCCCAAAATCAGTCATTCTTCTTCAAATGGGTTATGGGACCAGCTTCTACCTAGGTAAATTCCAGCTGTGTCTACCTTTCAAAAAATGTCCAAATCTTAGAATCAGACGATCAATGGCCTTGCACCTAGGTAAGTCAACAATCTTGAAACGTTCCATAGTGAAATCTTTAAGGCTATATGCAATTACCAATCTGCAAAAGGTCATGCACCCGTCTGGATAAAAACTTGATGTTGATGTGGGCAGACCTTGGTATCATACCGATAAAATAATAAATTTCAAGGGCATAAATCAGGGCTAACGAACAATTTTGGAACTATTTCCACGATGTCGTTTGTTCAACTTGAGGTGTATATATCTTGGTCTCGCTCTGATATTGATGAGATATTCTCTATTAATTTTTAAAAATGATAGCGGAAGACATTAGGGAGATACGCAAGCTCTATGAGATTATCCATGAAAGAACCTCGGAGTGAGGATGGAATTAATGAGGTCAGCTAATAAAAATATAGGTATGTACTAGGTATTTCCTTCTACCCAAATTTATTGGTAATCCCGAGATCTTGACAAGTTAATTTCGAAGTAATAACTTTGAAAGGTATTAGATAATAATGGAAATATTCTCATTGCCTAATGAGTCATTCACCTTCAAGGTTAGAAAGTAGTGGTAGAGTCCTCACATATGAATCTACATAGTCGCGTAACTGCTTAAAGATCTAATCTTATCAGCATCTATGATGTCATGTGACACGTCTCCCTCAAAAATCTGATTTTCATGTTTCAGTATTAAAGAGCCTCAAAGAGCTCGAATAATGATGAAATAATTTATGCACAGTATCCTGTGAGCTGTATCTCATCATCCCGATATTTATAGTATTATAATAGGCCAAAATGGAAGACAAATGGCTAAGTCCATTGATTTAAACACATACAACGCGAGAATCACACGACACCACGTGATCTACACCGCCCCCGGAGCAAGCGGTAAACGGTTTAGCATTTGATCAGCCGAATCGCATCCGAACTCGCTCATCATTGCGACAAGTTAGGCATCGTTTGTATTTGGTACCCGCTCCGAATTCAACTGGTGTGCGGGGTCTCACACAATTCTACTTTCCGCTATTTGACTGGCCACCCAAGCTCCCCGAAAACATAGGCTTTTCGCCATCTCGTAATGATTCCTATCGGATATTCTGGACCATTCGAACTTGAGGAGGAAATCTTGTAAGTTCATGCGCCAATGCAGCATACTTTACGTATTACCGGAGAACCTACAATACATCTCTCCTTTCCAGCGCATTCAAAGACCCATACACACCTGATTTTCATTAATCCGCTCTTTGATTGTAAACCCCATCCCCTTTCCATTCTAGGAGGAGGGGTACAGATAGACCTAGTGTAGATCATGCGAAACATTAATACTGTGACGAGTTTCGGTCATGCGATTGAGTCAATATTCTTATTTCAAGGGTCTCTAGGGCTTCGAGGTGACAATGAAACTTGCGCGCATGTTCAATTTCTGTGTTGCTCTAGATCTGCAACATGAAACCCCCGCACCAGACTATTCTGCCTCCATTGACATTGTCACAGTATCCTGGGTTTTGCCTCTAGCCTACAGGATCGACCATGCGACGAACATTGCAAAGTCGCGTATCTCCTAAATCACCAACATGTGTACATATTGGCCAGCACATGGCCCACATAGTTTAGACAAGTGGTTCCAGATATTTCATTCCTTCTTATTTTCTATTTTCTAGCATTGGGGAGCTAGAGTTCTATTTGGCGGGTGGCCAACAAAAAGGTACCTGTAGCGGTGGAGGGTCCTGAAAGCAATTTTACAACTTAAAAAAACCAGCATCCTACTTCCTAGCATTCATCAAGTCAATCTTGTATCCAAACTATCCCGGATGGTTAGACAGGGCGCTCGGCGCAATGCCATTGCGGCTTGCGACAGCGCATTGCGAAATGGTAGATAGGAGAGGATGTCAAAATCACTTTTTTGATAGAAGCAGTAAAAGGAACCATGATCAAATATAAATTTCGGAAATCAAAGAACCTATTACACTTAGTCTCCTAATCCAATAAAATATAATGGATATTTTGATGGGCTGCTTTGAACGGGCGCCGGAAGCGCAAATCGCCATGTCACCGACCCAGACAGGCCGTTTTCTCGCCTTAGGTGAAACCATCCTACGCACCACACCCACTTTCACCACCTCTCACTTCTCATCCACACTTCCCCTTTATTGTAAACCTCTTCTTCACAGTTGCGTAGGTACTCCTTATCGCAATTCTGCCTTTATCGACTTTCTCCTGAGCTGCTCTTGGCTACTGGGTCTCATCACTAAACATAGCCTGCAGCGCTTTGCAGAGAACAGACCGAAAGAATCCCCTCGTCCACACCTTCGAATCGAAACTACCTCTCATCCATTAACCGAACCTCGAGTCATCTATATACCTGCGATCCTGTTTATATTTGTTTGATCTGTTCTAGGTATGTCTACACTCTTCTCCATCCTCATCCGCTGCTCTCTCTCGTTGGCTTCCCCCCAAAGCCACACACCCCCAAGGTCGTTCGGACTCGGCTATCGAACAATCATCCATCCATCCTTCAAATCCAAAATCCATCCTCCTCATACATCTGAACCCTAGAAAGTGAATTATACTGACATTGGTGGGTTTCTTCTAGTTTGACCGACTCATTCTCTTCCCGGGTCGTTCTCGGTTCTTGCGACACCCAGAACTTCACCCCCTCCAACCCCATCGAAAATTGGAATTTTCTACTTTCTACATACTTTGACAACATCGCCAATCCGGTGGTGGTTCCATCCACCTACCATATTTTCTTGAATCCTACAACTGTGGTAGGTTTTTGGATTCTCTTCCCCTCTGCACTACCCTTCCCGCCTATCGTTTTGTTCACCCGCCCCTATCATATAAGTAAAACAGTGGGTTGATGGAGTTATCGCAATAGCAACAGAGGACTTTTATATCATTCTGGACCAGCCCATCATGCAGGCGGTCCAAAATGAAGTGTACTCTGGCATGACGCACCAGCCGGTTCTTGCGGAAGCCTCCCAGGCCTTGTCGCTAAAGGCTCCCGTGCCCAAGAACGTCGCTTTCGAGCTGCTGTTGGACGAAAACTCCAAAGTTAGAGCGCGTATTCCGATGCGCGTTCAAATATATCCCCATGACACAACTGACTCAATTGTGACCACGGTCAAAAATTTCTATGGCATCTACGATGGCACCGCCAGTGGGGTGAGCTTCGAGGACGAACATGGAATCACCCTCATCGCAAGGTACGAGAATCTGAAAAATAACATGACTGTCTACGTACGAGTGATTCCCATCCAACCATATGGTGAACACCTCTACGGTGGATACTCTGTCGAGCGCAAGCGCCCCAGTCTTGGGGAGCCATTTCAGATGGATGGTGTGGTACCAGGTGTGGATCAACCATCGCGGCCATCTTCTCGCCCCGCTAGAAAGCGTAGCACTTCTCCATCCAACCGCAGCCTTCAGAGTGCTTCTCGGCACAGACAGGGTTCTCGCAGTGGCATTAAGAGTCGTGGCTCGAGCACCCATGCCAACCTGGTCGACGAAGACATGATGAGCGATAGTGAGGAAAGTTATATTCGCAAATCTCGAGGCGATACATTTGCCAGCTCTGACATCAGTATGGAAAACATACTGCAGGATGGTCGCCGTAAAAGGCCAAAGTTTGATAGCTCCGTTAGTGTTGCTCACTGCTCATTACTGACCTGCGCTAACAAATCTTCTTTTTTCAAGGAACTGCCACTTTTCGCTCCTCCCCAAGTTCCTCTCACTACCTCAACCTCTTCAATCTCCCCTCAACGTCGATCGATAGGTCAAGAAGGCGCTGGCTCCCCCTTTGCTCGTCCTACTCACCGCCCTTACAATTACCAGCAAGCGCTACCTTCGCCACAGAGCTATGGTCATAGCGAATATGGAGCTCAATCGGGGCGCAATACCATATATGCCACTCCCGTCGTTCCAGAGCATGCGCATCGTGTGCCTCTTAGTTCGGGTGCGCGGGTAAGTGGGCCTGGTGTCCTGCCCACTCCAGACCCAACCATTGCTAGCTGTATCTCGGATGAGGACGTCGCAATGCAGCTGATTCGTCTTGGTGATGCATCAAATTTCTCACATGGTCGCACATCTGCCTCCACGCTGGACGATGCCTTTAGCGGCGCTGCCGATGCAGCCTCGTCGACTGGTATCACCAGCGAAGGGGAAGACTTCAGCGAAGAAGAGGACGACTTGCCAGTTCGTCGCCAGCGGTATGATTCTAGCCCAATGCTTCCCCCTGGGGCCATCAAACGTCAACACAAGCGTTTGGATGATATACTGCCCAGCGCAGATAGTAGCGAGCATAGCTCGGATGGTCTAGATGATGGCCTCAAGAGCGAAGCTGAGGATGATACCTTGTATAAGGAGTTTGCTCCTAAGGTAAAGAAGCCTAAAGCTATCAAGCCTCGAAGCCAGAAGCCAATTGTCAAACAGAACAAGGCCAAGACTTCCATGCCAACTTCGCGCAAGCCCTCTGACAAGTCTGCCGGGCCTGTCCCACCTCTCAGCCCGAGCTCATTGCGCAAAGTATCGGGGTCATCCGTCAATTTTCAACACCAATTTGGCGCTGATGAAGAGGACCTGTCCACCAAGCCTCGCTGCCAGCGATGCCGAAAGAGCAAGAAGGGCTGTGATCGTCAACGCCCGTGTGGTCGCTGCAAGGACGCTGGTATCGGTGTTGATGGATGCGTGAGTGAAGATGAGGGTAACGGCCGCAAAGGTCGATACGGACGTCATATGGGTGTCCCAGTCAAGAAAACAAACGACGGCGATGAGGAAGAGACCTTCGACTTCCCCACAATGCCAGACACCCCTCTGGTCTCTGCGGCCATGGTCGAGAAGAACAAGAAGCGTAAACGCTAAAAGTTCTTCATTCTGAATTCCTTCTCTGGCTTGCCTTGTGTAGAAGAACTCCTTTCTATCAACATATCTTTACTCTCATCCTCTCCTCACCCTTTCCCTATCCCTTCAACATGCTGCCAGCCACAAGCAAATCTCCTCATTAACCCAGTTCCAATTCTCCCGCCTTTGGATTTCCTGCTTCATTTCCTGGAAGTTCAACACAACACTCCTTCTACACCATTCTCGCAACTACACTCACTTTATTGGCCTCGGTTTAAGGCTCCGATTCCAAAGTCCAGCGGTTTGATCTACATTGTCTTATCGGCGTATTGGCCATGGGTATCTTTTTTATATACTTGTCAAATTTCCTTATACCTTCAGTCATGAATTCAGGTCTTCTATGGCAACCTCTGAAAGCTGAACTTTGTTTGCATGCGCGTTCTTGGTGACATAGTCACTGTCAAGGCGGATCAAATATATATTTCGACACCGACAGAGGGTTCAAATCGATGGACCTCATGGGCTGTATAATGTTGTATGGATTTTTGTTTAGCTTTGCACAAGTATCTTGGGAATCAATTAACTTTAAACTTCTAAAACTACAACATTTAGAAGTAGGTATATCCTCGAGGTTCATAAGTCAAGATCATGAATGTCGTCATCGGATCTGTATTACGTGACATATCACGTGATACCCACAAAGGCGGTAAGATGGCAGAATGGCCCCACCATTACTTTTTTTGTCTTGAGCGATGAAGCGCCTTAATATTTCTCCAATTCCAAGATTTCCAGCGCCCTTGATCTACAACTACCATAAAAATCACATACGAGTTAGCACCAACTTATAAACACTTCCATCGATTCCTGAAAACCCATCCGCGGGCGCCAGCGGCGTCTCACCTAAACCACCATCATGCCTCCCAAAGGTGCAACTCGCGCAGGGCGAACAGCAGCAGCCTCTAGCGCATCCTCCAGCCTAACGACAAATGCTGAAGATACAGAGTCTAAGCAAAATTCATCTACTTCAGGTGTAGCACCAAAACCATATGTGCAGCGATTGCAATCTCTCAAGAAAACTAAGCCATCTGGAAGTATCACGGCTGGCGCAAAGGCTGGCAAATTCAAGGTCAAGGCGATAGAACGAAAGAGCAAGGAAGAGCGAGAAGTACTTGAGAAAGCCGAAGCCGAAGCTCACGCACTGCGTAATAAACGGACAGCAGCAGCTCTAAAACTTGCGCGTGGAGATCATGGTCATCGTGGAGGCTCTTTCCGTGGTCGCGGAGGTTCCATGAGAGTGGGCGCCGGGCCATTCGGTGGTGGCCGCGGAGGTCGTGGTGGTGCCTTTTCTGGTCGTGTCGGTATGGGCGGTGATGATTCGGACGATTCGGACTCCTACGAAGACGACCTTCGCGTCAACATCGATCAAATCAACCTCGACAGCGACAACGACGAGACTGGAAAGGGGAAGGGAAGAGCTTCAACCAACTCCAAATTACAACCTGTTCGAGCCCAGCGATATGAACATACAGAGCGAGCCGTCCATGTTAATGAGGAATCGAGCGCGACCATTGAGGTTCCGGTGGGGGCTCCAGTGGAGGAAGTTGCACAACCTGAGAATATTTCATCAGTTGAGGGTTCAGATGATGGGCCACGCGTTAAGGCAGAGCCAATCGATGACGAGGATACAGTAATGGTGACTGAGGTGCCTCGTCATGAGGATGATGGGCTGCCCGCAATGAAGAAAATGGTACGCACTAGCGTTCCTCCCTCCCCCAGGAAAAAGGCACCAAAAGCTCCACTTTCACAGCCTAAGCGGGATCCGCGAGAACTACTTCGCACCACGGAGGAGATTGAAGAATATGACCGACACTTGGAAGACCTGAAAATCATCCGAGATCTGCTTTCCTTCGACGAGGTTCGACCCGAAAAGCCTCAATCTGTGGATTCGCAACCATCAGCCCCAACTACTGATGATGACGAGGGCGAAAGTCAAGGCGTTACAAAACAAGAACATGCGGATGGCGAAGAGGCCGAAGATACCGAAGTTGAACACAAGCTCGCCGGTCAGCTCTTTTTGATGCAATTCCCACCCATGACACCCAACCTTGTCATCCCAGGATCCACAGGAGATACTGCTCTTCCATCGACAGAAACCACTGCCCAAAGTGAAACCGAAGCAGCAGACAAAGCTGCGGCCGACACAGCCGTGGCTGAGAAAGCCGCCTCTAATAAGGCGAGAGTCCTCACTGCTGCAATGCCATGGGCCCTCCCAGCCGGTCGCGTGGGCAAGCTGAACCTTCACAAGTCCGGCCGCGTGACTATGGATTGGGGTGGCATCAGCTTTGAGGTGGATCGTGGCTCGGGCGCAGACTATGTCCAAGAAGCCCTGATCGTTTCGGAGCCAGAGGCCGAGGAGGCTGGCCAGCCTCAGAGGGATGCAAATTCACGAAAGGAGGCATGGTCCATGGGCCAGTTGCAGGGCAAGTTTACAGTCAATCCCAACTGGGATCAGATTCTCTAATTTACTGCATTTTCAAGGAAGGAATACTCACTGGCTCGAGGGGCACCCTTTACTTCACGACTTTACAAGATATTTTCCTAGAAAATATCGCTGTCATGGCGCACAAATCGAAGAGTTTTCCTTCGATTTATGTGATTTCATTATTCTAAGATAAACCAATTAAAAACTATTCGTAAGTGCAAATTACAAGAGGAAGATGTGACTGTAGTTGAAGTTCCCAATAGCGTTGGTTCTTATATCTAGATAAGCCTGGAGCTTGTAATAAATGCCTTCATAGTCTAGCGGTCATGACGTCGGTCTCATATATGTGACCTTTATATGATGTTTCTGGTAACAGGAATGCCATCCGAAAGCCCCAGTTCGACTCTGGGTGAGGGCAATTTTTTTTCTTTCTATTTTTTCGTACATACTCTTTAAAAAAATGTACAGTTGTGATCTCTTAGAACGTAAAACTACTAAAAGCTTTTTTTTTGGTTCAACCTTGAAATTTTATTGGATAAAAATGGAAAATGAAGTCAAAAATACCAAGGGCAGAAAAAAAATACATGTGTAATTTTTGAAAGCTAAAAAGTTGCCCTCACCCAGAGTCGAACTGGGGCTTTCGGATGGCATTCCTGTTACCAGAAACATCATATAAAGGTCACATATATGAGACCGACGTCATGACCGCTAGACTATGAAGGCTTGTATGAGTTTCAAGTCTCGAGAAATGAGATCCCATACCACAAGTCATTTGCACATTTCCAAATATCAATTCCGTAATAAATTACAATACTCATGTATTTTTGGTTTTTGATATCAACACTTCGAAGGTTGCGTAATCTTTAAGCGTTGGTGCTTGATGGACGCCATATTGCTAGGTACCTAGGCAGTGCCCAGGTGTATTCCGACCACCAACAAATTACATCACCTAGGCAGGATGCGACATCCGCAGTATAGATGAATTAACGCAGACATTACGGGGGCCTAGCCGCTCAGAGAAGAACCTGGATGTTTGAGTCGATATAAACATAATCAATATATCTTCCGCTGAAGTATTTCAAGGTTACCCAGGTAGATCCAGGATGGTTAAGGCGTACTTCAACGAGCTTTACCACTTGCCTTTCTGGAATGGTGACATGGAACCTTGGCATAACCTTGGAACTAATGATGTGATAGGCAGTCGTGAAAGTTGTATGCTGGGCTGGGCTCGGGAAGTAGAATATAATTTAAACGCACTAGTGCATCTCGCGTTCCTCAAATACTCCCGAGGTCTAATAAGTTCTTCGGCGACTTCCAAGGTTGGAACCCTGGAAGGCTCTGCATTCTCTGATCTCGACCAATTGTCATGAGTTAATTGTAGTCCCTGCCATTATACCATGTATTCTGTGACACTGTTGGTTTGCGATTTTCGGCCGATGTGTCCAGTTCTCTTATTCAGTATCACCTCAACCAGGTATCAATCCTTCTGGTGGGGAAAGCTGTCGTCTTTTCCCATCGTTCTAGCTAGGAAGTTTGAAGGTGGCTACTCACAAGCCAGGCGTTGATCGTTTGAATATTTTAGCTATCATATTGCACCCGACCTCGTTCTCGGCTTGTTGACCAATATTTCAGGGAGCCGTCTGCACAGCGCCTTTTGTTGTCTCTCCATAAAAGTTCTTGGAAGGTGATTCAGGATAAACTCTTGAGCTTGATAATCGCATCACTGGATATGTCTGCAGGTTGTTTCTGATTCAAGCTCCAAGATGATGACATCCGATTCAATTACAACATTATCGTCGACGATGTGTAAGATTGGCTGTGATTTTCCGTTGTTATCCATGTACATGATGTCGACGATAATGTTGTAATTGAATCGGATGTCATCATCTTGGAGCTTGAATCAGAAACGACCTGGTGATCTACCAAATTTCCGACAGTGTTCACAGAACTTGGTTATCTGCTCTAGAGCTTGTTTCTGGATGTTATGGCCAGCTCTATAAAGGATAGTCTGGAGCTTTAGAACTGAAGGGTGGCCAAATCGACGATGTAGGCGGCGAAGCTCTATGTCTGTGAGAAGACATTCAGCCTTGAATGGCGATGTAATGTAGCCTGAAACTGCTTTCCAGAGTAGGAATGGGTGGCCGAATCGACGAACAATGTCAGTACACCTGTAGCAAGTGTGGAATAGCTATTCGATAAGGTAGACGAGAGGCTAACGCCCACTTCTGACACCTATTACAAGTAACGCTTTACGCCCCTATAATATCTATGTGTCCTCTGAAGTAGTTGTAAAGTCTGAATTTTCATTCATGGTGAGGACTAGCTATTTATCGTACAAGTTGCTTTTCTGTCTAAGACGAAGAGTCGGCAGAGACGGGACATCGCTGTTATAAATGCATACTGTTCAAGGTTGTCGTTTGCGATGCACTCTGAACAGGGATTTCGTGATGTAGTCTAAACTGGGATGGCGTCTGTTCGATATTCTAACAGTCTCTTAAATAGCCTTAGTGATGAGCTACTAGAGACGCCGTGGTCAAGAAGTAGCTCGATACTGGTTAGTTGAATAAATCCTTAATTCGACCAACTTAGATTTCGTTAGTCGGATTTTGAAGATTTTCTTATTTGCATTTGATCAAGCTGCTCGAAAGAGAGACCCGCGTCTCATGATTTCTCCATCAGACATTCCAGAAATGTGATAATTGAACCAGGAACGTGGCCCGTTGGTTGCTTTGGTTGCTTCACCTTGTTAACCACCTGTGCAGAGCCTAAGCAATCAAATTTCCCGTCAATCAAACATCCATGAGAACCTCCAGTTGGTTGAAGCTTAACAACCTACTATTTTCATTCGCAGCGATAAAAGAAGCAGGCTCTAGTCGTGAAGACGACATCGTGTGTGTCTTAGGAGTTTAACTTCTGATTCTACTTTCTTCAAGACAAGACCTTGGAAGAGCTGGGCATACTTTTTTCCATTCATAGCTATTAATGGCTTATTTGAAGTTAGTACGTTAGGGCTAACACTGGTTCTTATATCTTATTAGTGGCGATCCTCTAACAATTGCCTTCATAGTCTAGCGGTCATGACGTCGGTCTCATATATGTGACCTTTATATGATGTTTCTGGTAACAGGAATGCCATCCGAAAGCCCCAGTTCGACTCTGGGTGAGGGCAACTTTTTGCTTCCTTTTTTTTTTTTTTTTTTTTTTTTCCGATCCATTCCTAACTCCTATTTGTTCAAAACAGAAGTTCTGGTTTGTTTACAAAGAATAATAAGTTTTCCAGTGCGACTCTAAATATATTATTGAAATCTGACGATGTCGGACGACAAAGTAATAAGGGCATGGAAAGTTGAGGCTAATTTCCAAGTTTTCGTTCAATAAAACAAATTCATTAAAAGGCTGGATGCCCCTCATGTACTAAGCAAGTCTAGTTATTCTCTATGGTCAGGACATTTGAAGTTCAAGACAAAAAGAAATATTGATATGTACAAGCAGACAAGGATTCAAATATTACACTGTCCAGCAGCAGAAGATGAAAAAAGAACCCAAACACCATTTCATGAAAGGACCAAGCCTGACTCAGCCAAGTCTCAACCGACCAGGAGTGGTTCGACCACCAAAGAGCCTCGAGACACCGTCGTCTTCGGTGGTGGTATTGTCGCCAGACATCCACCGAGGCAGGCGGAACTGATCTCCCTGGAACCATTGTGGTGTATTCGTAGTCTCAATGGTGTTGCGTACCCGGTGAGCCAAGGACTGGAAGAAGTTCTCCTCTTCCTCCTCTGCACCACCTATGACGGTAGTAGGAGCGATGGCCGGGCGCTGAGCAGTTCGTGGAGACCGGGAGCCCTCACTAGCGGGGACTCGCAGCCGAGATGAGCCGCGAGAATCGCTATCGTTACGATCCGACGCCCATGTCGAGCGGTTACCACGAGAAGAAACAGCCAAAGAACCAAAACCATTGAGCTCACGCTCGATCAGATCGCGACCTTCACGCCAGCCACCCATCCCATATCCAGCAGGGTTGTTTTCGAGATCCTGCAGATCGTCCTCGTCCGACAGACCAAATCCGAAAACCTTTTTAATACGGCCATAAAGATTGAAAAGAGTTGCACAGACGGGAAACAAAATAAAGATTGGGAAGATGAAATCGAACCCCTTGCCAAGTGGAGTGAGCCTGATGAGGCGGCCGAGGAACTGATAGAAGGTAGTGGCATGGCGGAAATCACGGGGGAGGAAGGTCAAAAAGTTATAGGCGATTGGAACGGTAAGACGGGCTACATAGCTGGCGTACCAGCAGGCGCTCTCACCGTAAGTGTTGCGGCGCACCAGCGCCCGGTTACCCCAGACTTTGACGTTACTGATACCCACAAGGGCGGCAGAACACATGTACAACAGCCATGCAGAAGCGATCACCTGGTTGCCAAAGCCAACAGGCTTAGGGTTATTATAGTTGGGAACCACAGTCAAGCTCACGACGGACAGTTTGGGACCCCAAGACATAGACTTGATCAATTCAGACCAGACTATGCACACTGAAACTGCGGAGAAAAATATACCGAAGAAAAACCGCACAGATGGGATAACATTATAGTAGAGGTGGTACCGTATATAGGGAGTCAAAAACTTGACACGGGGGAAGCAGGATGATCGGCGGGGAGCAGGGGCGAATTCGAGCTTTTTAGAAGCAGCAGAATTGATGATTGCTTGAAGGTCAGTTGCCAGCTGTACTGTGCGATCCCATTCATCCACAAACCGAGCCTTCATGTGCCGTGCGCGCTGCAGCCGCCTTGTGAGGTCGGCCAGGTAGCGTTCTGTGATCACGGCAGGAACGGTGCCGGTAGTCTCTGGAGTCTCGAGAATAGGTACACGCACATCTGATGACGCTGAACCTTCAGAAAGGTCTTCGATCCACTCCTGGAAATCACGGGCAGTTCCAGTTTTGCGTTGTTGAAGCTGAGCAACCTGCGAGTTGAGGCTCTCGAGTTCGTTGACCGCATCCATCAAGCGATCATGCACCTTTGGTGCATACGCTTGAATACTTCTCAATCGGCCACTAACATTGGAGTTCCGGAAGAGATTCCGCGGGATTGTTACCAGGCCGTGGCCCATGAGATAGATGGCGAGAACGAGACCCCACACATAGGCTAGGGCCATTACTAGACCCTTGATGGAGGTGAACTCGAATCCATTTGAAATGGAAACATAAATCAACCCGACCGTCGCACAGGACAAGACGGTCAGTTGGTACCGAGCATTCTTGCGGAGGGAGTAAAAGATGCGGGCTTTGGGTTCGCGGTAACCGGAATCGACGTACTCGCCCAGGAGGGGAAGTATCACCCTAGCAGAAAACAAGAAAGTAAGCTCGAGGTCATCATACTACTTCACGAATCATATCATACCAGGTGAGCACAAATATTAGCCAGTAGGCGATGCGCCAGCACACCAAGACCATACGGTCTGGCAGCCAAATCGCCGTCGGACCACCATCATTTCGTAAACTAGAGGCTAAATCGATCGGAACCAATAGCACTACACTGGCGGGTAAAGCGAGAGCAAGAAATACGGGGACGATCAAGTAGGCGGGAGTAGCGCG